CGGTAGCAACATGCTTTTTGTATTCTTCGAGCGTTTTCGAGAATATGAGGATGTCGTCCAGGTATACTACGACGAAGTCGTCGAGGCATTCTCGTAGTACTGTATTGATTATATTCTAGAAGCTGGCTAGTGCATTGGTTAAGCCGAATGGTATGACTAGGTATTCAAAGTGACCGTACTTAGTTCTAAATGCCGTTTTCCATTCGTCGCCTTCCTTAATCCTGATCAAGTTATATGCGTTGGGCAAATCTAGGGCCGTAAACCATTGGGCTCCGTGTAACTTGTCGCGTAAGTCCTTGATTAAGGGTAAGGGGTAACGATTCTTCTTCGTGATTTTGTTAAGTTCTCGATAATCGATGTACATTCTCCATTTAACGCTTCCGTTATAACTTTTCTTAAGTACAAATAGTATTGGAAAGCCTGTTAATAATGTTAATGCTCGGATAATTCCTTTTCTAAGTCCTTTAACTATGTGTTCTTTTAACACTTCTTCGTGTTAAGGTTTAACCGGGTAGATTTTCATAAATCTAGGTTCCTTTCCTTCTTAGAGTGGAATTTCGTGGTCAAATACCGAATGCGGCGGTAATTCTATGTCGAGCCTCTTGTTAAACAGTTTTCTAAACTTGTCGTACTCTTCGGGTATTGTTTTGTTTAAGTTTAGTTTAACATCTTTGGTTATTAGGTAGAATCCAAATGTCTTAGGCTTGCTTAAGGGTTTCTTTAAACACTTCTTAAAGGCTAAGTCTCTACTTAGTATGTCCCACTGGAAATGGCCTGTGATCTAGTTTACTCTAAGATTGCTCGCTCGTAACCAAGGTATCCCTAGGACTAAATCGTAGTCCGTAATTTCGGTGATATCGCATTAGAGTTGTTCTTTTCGATCTTAGATGTAAACGGGGATATGCGCAGTCTCTCTACTTACACGTCCGTTATCGTAAGTAACGAATTCTCCATCTACCGTCCTGAGTGTATAAGGCGTCTTTTTCTGCTTCTAGTCGATTTGGAGCTTATTAACGATTTGTGGCGAGATAAAATTTCCTTGAGCACCCGTGTTTATTAGGGCCTCGATATCGTGTCCTATGATTCGAACCTTTATCGTGAGGTGATTATGTATGTTAGTTATGGCACTGTATAAGGACCTTTCTTCTAACCGTTATTATCCCGTTATAAACGGTTAGGTTCTTTTCCCGATCTTGTCTTAATAGGTCGGCGTCGCTCTCGGCGGTCTGTGGCTTCTTGTATAGCTTAAGCGTACCCGCGTTGTTCGCTTGCTTCGTAGTCCTCTTCCTGAGTACCTGGGGTATTAGCTTGTCGTCTTGTCGCGGTTATCGCGAGGATTACGTAGTTTCGTAATGTTTCGATTTAAAGTGGAATAACTCCGTCCTATTCCAACTCGTGTTGTCGATCTCGTATCCATCTCTGGATTCTACTGCTAGGTAGATTGTTAGGGGTTAGTGCTCGTTTATAGATCGTGACTTGATTTGTTAGTTCGATGTTAGTTCTTTGGCGATATAGCTTTAGACTAAGTTGTCCCCATTGTTAGTAAACGTCCCGATATATTTCCCTAAATGACGGCCAGCCATTGCTATCGTCGTATTCTTAATACATTCTTCGCTCGACTTCTTCGAGTAAGTATTTGTAATCGTCGTATCCTTCTTAGGGTGGCGATCCACTTAGGAGGTCTCTCTTAACAATCTCGATTCCTGTTAATCCTTTATCCGGATTTTCATCCATAGTATCGTTATCGTTGTTATTATCGTCGATACTAGGGGTTTTCTTGTTTTGTTATGCTTTAAGTCTTTGGCTTAGTGTATAGGCTTCCTCTCTCTCTTGCCTATTAATGCTAGGTCGTTAAGTGAGATGCTAGATTAATTGTTCTAGTCTAAGGCTTCTTCCGCTTGTAATGACACGGATTACGTGTTATTAATAATATTGTTATAAGCCTCTCCACGCGCGGCACTTCATGTCGGCGTGTTCTATATAAGTGTCTTCGTGGCATTGGTCCTAGTTAACCTGTCCCTTAAGGCAAGCGAAGTATTAGCGAGGGTCCGTGGTAAAGATAGCGTATCCTTACGGGTCTCGGTATCGTACCACTACTTCTCTAATCTTATCGGCTAAGTAAGGTTTGTTAATAGACTATAATGCGATCTTGTTTGGAAAGAATTCATGCTTTAATTTCTCTTCGAGGTGGAACGTGTAGTTCCTGTCGATGTATAAGGTTTAAGCGAGTGTTCTATGTCCTCTACTATTCTTATATAATATCTGGTCATCTCCGAAGATGGCTCTTAGTGTCCATTTCTCCTACCCTATAGTGCCAAGGTCTTGTGCGTCGTTTAGGGCTTGATATAGTTCTTAAGGGGTATGGAATGATTGTCCTGTAAAGACCATAGCTCTTATTTCTTCGAGGGTGTTTTTAATGAGTACTCGTGGAAACTCTTAGGTTCGAATAGCGCGATCCATAAGGTATCGAAGCTTCGCAACCTGGTTGTCTCGATAAACATTTTCTTGGTGTCGATCATTGTCGGCTCTAATGTCGAAACCACTGTTGTTGTCTTCGGAATCGTCCTTTGATTCGTATTCCGATTCGTTCTCTAGACGGGTTGGTCCGTCGTATTCCTGGGTAGCTAGTACATGTTCCTCTGAACTATTGTACGTGTCTTCTGCTTGTGTTACTGGTTATTTGCGAACCATGTGGAAGTTGCGTGGTTTGGAAGGGTACTAGCCTTGGTCCCTTTTGTTAGAGGCGTGCGTGCTATAGCCATCGTTATAGCAAAATGTCCAGTGCAAGTCCTCATGTGGTGGTTCGATACGGGTGGTCACATTGACTTGTCGTTCTTCCGTATTATTGGTTCTGGTGGCTACTTGAGCCTGCCGTCCCTCTAGAACGGGTTTAAAGCCTCCCTTCTTAGGTTGTCGGCATTCGTTAGCGAAGTGACCCTTTTTATCGTAGTTATAACATGTAACATCTTTCTTGTCCTTCTTGGGTCCTCCCCGTTTAGTGGCGTCGAGGTCCATAGGTCCGTTATGTTGTCCGTATGACGTCTTGTTACGCTAGCTGTTATCCCGTAGTCGGTTATTGTTACGGCTTTTCCCCATGTTTATTCTGGGCTTTTAGTAATTATCGCGGTTACCATTTCCGGATCCTCGCTTCTCTAACCTTCTCTTATATAGGCGGTTGTCGATCTTAACAATCCTTTCGACGTAATCGTCGAATTCTTCCGGTCGATCTTCCTTAGCGACCTTATCCTTGACATCTTCACGTAGTCCTGCGTAGAAGAGTGTCATGAGGGCGTCGTCATCGCTCCATGTGGTTCTGGAGGAGATTTGCTTAAACTCGGAAGCATATTTAGATGTAGAGCCTTTCTGCTTGAGTTGTATAAGGCGTCTTTCTGCGGTTCGTGTCTCATCTGGGTTACCGAAAGTTGCCTTGAGTTTGTCTTCGAACTTGGCGTAGTTGGCAAACATTTCGTTGGTGCTATCTTCTCGACTAGCTTCGGTGTTATTATTAAGGTAGTCTCTCATAGTTGGTTCGAACCATTCGAGTGCGTCTCCTCGGAGGAATCCTGTAATGTAAAGAATTTTGTCGGATGGCGTGATGATTTTGTCGCGATAAAATCGTAAGTACGCCTTGCATTGGGTGAGGAATCCTTGAACGTTTCCATCCTTGCCGTCGTAGGCTTGTGGTGCTAGCATCTTGTATCCATTACTTCCGTGTGCGATCGCTGGCGCTAGAGCAATAAGGGGTATGGTAGCAAGCTGCTCATTCAGCTGTTCGTTGTCGTTCCTGACGCTGACGTAGGCGGCTTGGAGTTCGTTATTCTGAACTTGGAGAGCTGTTGTTTGTTCCTAGAGAGCTCGTATTATCGATAATACGTCGGCTCCTCCCGTGGGATTGTTAACAGTGCTTCCGTTACGAGACATCGTGTATTGTTCCTGTATGGAGTATTGCTTAGTACTTTTCGCGGATAACGTACCTGAACAAGAGTGATCAAAATGTGACGATTATACTATCGGGTTATATAACCGCAAATAATATAATGCAAGGGGGTTTATATTAACAAGATATGCTAGCCACGAATAGAAGACTATAGAGATAGACCTTTAATAATATACTAAGCAAAGAGATTCACAAGTGTAGTCGTCAAAGCGTGAGCTTCACCTATGGGTAAGATAGATGCTTAGATTGATCACTGAAGTAATGACTGTCTATGTAGAGTAGGAAACCCAATCCTTATTATACCCATTCATTCCTTCAATGATACTTCTTGGAGCGCTAGGAGCGCGATGCTCCTGTCGCTCCTAGAGCGCTGGGAGCGCGGCGCCTTCATCGCTCCTAGAGTCGCATAAAGCGCCGTCCCTGTGTGGCTCCCAAGTCACGTGACCCAGAGTCCTGTGCTGTCTTTTGTCCAATGGAATCTCAACAGTGGTGACTGGCTGGTCCATGCTTCCTTTCTCCACTTCAGGCCTGGTTCCTGGCCTTCGTTCGTAACATATTACTAGGCCACGTAATAGATAGCGAAGGAGTTGTCAAAACAACCGACCGTATCGAAGCTTTCCGTAAGCTCTAATTTCCAAACACCTTGGCTTCCTTAGAGACTTACTTAGGAATGGCTAACTAGTTACGTAAGGGAATCGCTTAGTATAACCTACTAAGCGCCCCATTACTTAGAAGAAAGACAGAGTTAATCGTAAGGCTAAAGCAAGAGGGATAGTTGTTATAAGGCGTGTTAAAACATGTAAAGAAAGCGTATACTTCGAAGGTGGCTTTCGAACTAACAAACGAAGAGCTTAAAGCCTTTTAAGGGATATAATACTAGTTATGTAATTAGTCCAAACTATAGCACTATATGTTAGAGGACTGGTTATTCTTAAAGATCGATGTTTATAAGGAGGCAATCGGGGTTATAGTATTCTAACTCGATAAGATATGGGACGGAAAGTCTATACCGGGGAAGGATATAGCGTTTTCGGCGATATATCTAATCTTATACTTGTTAAGGATGACCACTCCTACGGAAAAGAAGTATAAATCGACCGAAGCGGAAATAACTACATTGTTATAGGCATGCAAGAAGCTACGAAAGCTTATACACGCTAATGCTCTCTTAATTTAAGTCCTAACTAATTATGCCGCGACGTTATCTATCATTTATCACACCTCGCAAACCGGATCCTAGCGACAGCCTCTCCGAATTTGAGGACACCGACAATGAAGACTCCTCTGCCGTTAATCCCGCCGTTAAGGTTAACAGTCTAGCTACCGTTACCGGCAATGGACCTCCTAACGGCGAAGACCTCTACGTAGAATTTGAGGACTTAATCGACGAAGTCAACAAGGATACTACGAGCAAGGTCATTAACGTAGCCAATAGCGAGGAGGATGAGGAGTAAAGACGTTAGAAATGGCAATGGATAACAAGCTCGCTATTACAACTCATAACTAGAGCGTCTCTTCTAAATGAACCAGTTTGGCTATAACCTAGGTATTGCATTATGTTTTCGCTTAGAATGATAAATTGTCAGGGACGACAAATTTTGTATTAGAGGGGCACTTGTTACAATACCCATAACGGGGCTGTGGGATATAACAGGTATATAAACAGCTCTCTCTAACCTGTACTTAGAATAGCTTTTAAGACAAGACATATTATAAGCCCATATTAACTTTACAGTTCGTGACGTTATAGGCTTGTTGTCTCATACCAGTGTTGTCAACTCTTATAGCTTAGCGCTAACCGCGCCTATACTCTTACAACGGGCTTAATAATTATAACGGAGAAAAAGGCTAAAAGCCGGGAATATACAACTATTTACTAAACGTAAGAAATAAACGTTAGTCCATTCGTTACACCTTTAACCGCAAAAGCGCGTAATAAGACATAAGGCGAATGGCTTTAATAAGTATCTAAGTATAAGTCTTATTTTTATATAAATATAAATAGTAATGTTAATACGGATTATAAACAAATATTACGAGGATGTTAGTATGACAGTTTTTATAGCTAATATCGAGGACTGTTATAATAAAGTATGACAGTTTCTACAGTTGATATAGAGGACTGTTGTAATGAAGGTCTGCTGTGATGCACTGAAAGGAAGAGCCTAAATCTACTAGAGCATAGGATAGTGAATACGGTGCTCGCCTGAGCATGGGATCGTAAGTGTAACGCTCTAAGCGTGTAATGATAGTATAGGTACTGTCAAGTAGTATACAGAAGTCTAAGAGTACAAAAGAGAATATCGGTGTACAGAAAGTGGGCATATACCCACTGGCTTAGTCACGTGATCACCACTTCCCAAGTTCGGTGATCCGCGAGCTCGTCGCCTTAGTGTACGGAGTGCTCTCCGTACACTGTGGACATCTATAGTCATCCATGTTGCCACAAATGATTATATTAAGAGACTTATTCTTAAAGAGGAGAAGGGAACGTTTATCGTAGCCAGTTACGAAGCGGGGGTTTTACGCCGACTACGCACGGGCGTGCCTCGTACACTACTCGAGCGCTAGGCTGGCGCCTAGGCCGGTTGTTACAAAATGTAAAAGGTCATGTAATATATAAATAAAAGATCCTTCGAATGTTACGAACGAAGGCCAGGAACCGGGCCTGAAGTGGAGAGAGGGAGCTTGGGGCAACCAATCACCACTACAATGATCTTATTGGACAAGGACAGCACAAGATCCTAGGTCACGTGAGTGAGGAGCACTACAGGCACAACGGTTCATGCGACTCTGCGAGCGATGAAGGTGCCGCGCTCCAAGCGCTCCAGACGCTCCAAGAAATATCAGTGAGGGAATGAATGGATTTAAAAATGATGAATTTCCTACTCTACATAACGTCCATCCCTACGTAGCGAGCCACCCTGCGTGGCGAGCCAAAATGCAGATACTTCGTTTTCAACAAAACCTCCACCTCCACCTCACGAATGCAATCACTTAAATTTGCGTTGACTCAATTCCTTGGCCATCTGGAAGCCTTGCGTCCTGTTTCAAGCAAAAATTACGCCGGCGTTGTCGCGTAATCACATACGTTGGAACCATCATCTTTCCGTAGCAGTGCAAGACCTACGCAACACAACCCCACCACCGGGCCTTTGACGCTGACAATAGTCGTTACAGGACAATTTCCAGCTCCTCCGTCCTCAATTCCATATTGGAAAGCCATGGCTTAATCTGTGGCTGCCGTGGAAGGGTATCCTGTCTCTTCTATCGACGCATCAATGTCGAGTCGGATGGTTTTCTTACGCCGTATCCCTCTTGTAGCTTGTTGGTTTCGAGCCGAATACGCGTCAGTCGGGCCAGTGCTGTTCGTGTGGTCTGCATGAACTCGAATGCGCCGCGGTGAATAAACCCCTCACGGCAACAGCCAACCGGAATTTCGGACGGCACCACACCGACGCGACAAACATACGCCGGACACCACGAGAAGGCCAGCTACTTCGTCCTACTGCTCTTTCAAGCAGCTTCCAGTGTGCTCACCGGAGGCAAGCGACGTACAGTAAAAGGCGGAATGGGTATCGTGGGTTTGTATGAATAAGAGTAATAATGGGACCCATTTTTGGACCATTGTGGATTTAAGCGATTGATTGCATGTACCCCTAAGTACCGTAACGAATGCAGTAGGCGCCAGAAATAGGATCTTTCTTGCTCTGCGCTCTGCTCTGCGCCCGCCGAAGTCATCATGAACATTGCTCAGTCGTGCATGCGCCAAAAGTCGTCGAGGCTGCAGTTGCCGGACTTTGTTTAGTGGAAAACTTAGGGCGGTCCGCCCACTATAGCACTAGGCGGACGGGCTAGTGGGGCCTGTTCACTATGCTTCCGGCATTCATGTATAGCGATCTGACTCTTCTCCCATTCATGCCTTCCTTCCAGTTTGGCATGGCGACAGAAGATCTTGTCGCCCACCACCGAGACCTACAAGCCTCGGGACTTGGACACATGCAGGAATAATCCCTTGTCTTGTCCAACCTGTGGGCTTGCGGCTGAGTCATTCTCCGAACCCCGCAGCTGTAGCCTGATGCAGGCCTCGATCATCAGTGCTTGTCGCGACAACGGGAAGGATGCCTCCCTTACTCCACGAACTACGGCCATCTAGCCAAACAAGAATTCATCGGCCCTAAGCATGTCTGGGTGATGTCCTTCCGATCTTGTGATGCGTCTGCTACAGCGCGACGATGCAGGCAACTATAGCCTTACCCGCAACCTCGCCTCCGACGATGTCCCCCCATACGCGATCCTTTCCCACACGTGGGGGCCCGACGAGGTAGTCTTCGCGGACATTGCGAAGACGCCAGGAGATTGGCAACGTAAACCTGGCTTCGACAAGATCAAGTTCTGCGCCAACCAGGCACGAAGACATGGGCTGCGACATTTTTGGGTTGACACCTGCTGCATCGACAAATCCGACAGCATCGAACTTCAGACCGCGATCAACAGCATGTTCCGATGGTATCGTGACGCGAGTCGATGCTACGTCTACCTGCCTGACGTCTCTTGCTCTCGAGCTTCTAGTCAACCACAATCTGTAATACCATGGGAGGACACTTTTCGAACAAGTCGATGGTTCACTCGTGGGTGGACGCTGCAAGAGCTAATCGCCCCGAGGACAGTCGATTTCCACTCGAAAGAGGGCTCTTGGCTAGGAGACAAGCGAACACTAGAGCCGTTGATTCGCGACATTACGAATATTCCTGCTAGTGCGCTCCGTGGTACACCTCTATCCGACTTTACGATTGCAGAACGAGAAGCATGGGTGCGTGGCCGCCAAACGACACACGAGGAGGACATAGCATATTCGTTGCTTGGGATATTTGACGTTCACATGCCGCTCATATATGGCGAAGGGCGAGAGAAGGCACAAAGACGGCTCCGAGAGGAAGCCCAGAAAGCTGTTGTTGGTAAGATCTAGTGACTAATAGACAGTGTTTGGAGCCTGACAGGACCAGGAACGCGTGTAAATGATTTCTCTGTTTCCTTCAGCCTGTCCGAAGTTTTCGAGGTCCAACATTTCGTTGCACGAGAGAGGGAACTTGCCGAAATGCGCAGAAATCTCAGCTCTGATGGCAGGCGCCGTATCGTTGTCCTTCATGGTCTCGGCGGCATTGGCAAGACACAACTTGTTGTAGCATATACGACGCGATACCGAGATGAATACTCGGCGATATTTTGGCTTAACATCAAAGATGAAGTGTCGATTCGACAAAGCTTTACCAAAGCTGCGATGCAAATTCTACGACAACATCCTAATGCTAGCGGCCTGAATGCGCTAGACTTGCAACAAAATCACGAGGAGGTAATCGAAGCTGTTAAGGCATGGCTAAGCTTACCAGGTAACACTAGGTGGCTTATAGTATACGATAATTACGACGATCCTCGACTGGCTAACCACGTAGATGGCACGGGAATCGACATTAATCGCTTTCTTCCCACGTCGTACCAAGGCTCGATTCTTGTCACGACGCGGTTATCACAGGTTGATATAGGTCATCGTGTCCGAGTAACGAAGCTTGAATCTGTAGAGGACAGTCTTGAGATCTTGTCTACGACCTCAGGCCGGCGTTGCTTAGGCGATGGTAAGCTCCATACAAATCGCTAGGCTTTACTGATTTTTGCCACAGACATGGTTGTTAGAGATCTTGTGGAGACGCTTGACGGGCTTCCGCTTGCCCTTGCCACGGCGGGAGCATACCTAAGGCACGTCCCAGTGAGCTTTAGTGATTATCTTCGCCTTTACCAAGGTTCATGGGCGAGACTTCATGCCAACACTCCAAGCTTGGGGTCCTACCAAGACCGCACGCTCACTTCTACGTGGCAACTCTCATACGAGCAAATCAAGTCACAAAGTTCCCTTGCCGCTAATCTGCTCCAATGGTGGGCTTATTTTGATAACGAAGACGTGTGGTTTGAACTCCTCTTGCGCGATAGTGATAACGGTCCGGCGTGGATTAATGAGCTGCATGATGAGCTGAATTTCAATAGTGCGATGGGCATATTACATGACTATGGCTTCGTTGAGCCACACAGCTTCACTTCAGACCAGATCGAATCGAGGGGATATAGCATTCACGCATGCTTACACTCTTGGACCATCCACATATTGAATCAAGATTGGGATGGCGAGCTGAATAAACTCGCAGTCGAATGTATAGCATCCAGGGTGCCATCAGAGAACGACGACCAGTTCTGGCTAATTCAAAGACGACTTTTATCACACGCAATGATCTCGTGTGCCACGATCCCTGATAGCGATGAAGGTGTTGATTGGGCTTTCCATAACCTAGGGAACCTTTACAAAGCCCAAGGCAAGATGCAAGAGGCGGAGGAGATGTACTTGCGGGCGCTTCGAGGGTACGAGAAGGCGTGGGGCCCGGATCATATATTAACATTTAGCACGGTCAATAACTTAGCTGTCCTTTACTCTGGCCAAGGCAAGATGCAAGAGGCGGAGGAGATGTGTTTGCGGGCGCTTCGAGGGTACGAGAAGGTGTGGGGCCCGGATCACACGTCGACACTCGACACGGTCAATAACCTAGCTGGCCTTTACTCTAGCCAAGGCAAGATGCAAGAGGCGGAGGAGATGTGTTTGCGGGCGTTTCGAGGGTACGAGAAGGCGTGGGGCCCGGATCACACATCGACACTTAGCACGGTGAACAACCTAGGGAACCTTTATTCCGACCAAGGCAAGTTGCAAGAGGCGGAGGAGATGTACTTACGGGCGCTTCGAGGGAAGGAGAAGGCGTGGGGCCCGGATCACACGTCGACACTCGACACGGTGAACAACCTAGGTCTCCTTTACTCTAGCCAAGGCAAGATGCAAGAGGCGGAGGAGATGTACTTGCGGGCGCTTCGAGGGTACGAGAAGGTGTGGGGCCCGGATCACACGTCGACACTCGGCACGGTTAACAACCTAGTCGTCCTTTACAAGGCCCAAGGCAAGATGCAGGAGGCGGAGGAGATGTACTTGCGGGCGCTTCGAGGGAAGGAGAAGGTGTGGGGCCCGGATCATACGTTGACACTAGACACGGTGAACAACCTAGGGAACCTTTACTCCGACCAAGGCAAGATGCAAGAGGCGGAGGAGATGTACCTACGGGCGCTTCGAGGGTACGAGAAGGCCGTCGGGCCCCAACATATCGCGAGATATCGACCAGCAATCAATACATTGTGGGGCTTTGGGGCCTTACTATGGAAACAGGGCAGGCCAGTCGAGGCGAGGACATATTATCAACGCGCTTACGACAATCTTACGGCACTCTTGGGATCCCAACATCACGACGTTCAATCACTGCATAAAGTTTTAGTGGACCTAAACCAGAACATTTATGGTAAGTTGATCTTCAGAAGCTTGGTCGCTACATGATCTTTTAACAATAAATGCAGATACGACAGCTCCCCAACCAGCCCAGAGTAGTAGACGCCGAGATGTCTTGAAAAGAGCCCTACGCATTTCCACCAAGTAACGATGTTCGCAGGCAATAAAAGGTTACAGAAATAGAAGACATTCGATATAGACCAGTAGTTATAGCTTTTCGCTATAGTCCCCATTATATAAGCCTATAACTTATAAGATGTAAGTGGTGATGTTCTTATATTTTTAGAATGTGCCTTTTATTGTTAATGCGGTTTGGTGCGGTAATAGATTTATGAACTTGCCGTGATGGAATGTTTTGTAACGGCTCTTAAATGCCCTCCCGTAACAACTGTTGTGGAATGCTTGGTTTGCCGCAGGTGCCATAGCTGTTACAACTTGTAACTCAGTATCAGAATTATTCTAAACAATACCTTTAGGCGCGTTGACCTTGGTCGGCGGTTTCGTTTAAGTTGGGATTAAAGGAATCACGTGTTAGGGTATCTTTACCGTTACAGGTCAGCCACAGACAGGAGATTTGACGCTAGCCTGAATCGTGGCCCTTTCCATCCAATGTACCGATTGGTATGCCCATGTCGTATGAATTGCCCTTCCACGGCAGCCACAGATTCAATCATGACTCTCTAACATGAGGGCGAGGACGGAGGAGTCAGAAACTGTCCTATAATGCCTTATTTGAGTGGCGGGAGCCCGGTGATGGGGTTGTGTTGGATAGGCCTTATGTTGCGACGGAAAAATGATGGTCTCAACCTACGCGATCATGCGACGGCGCCGGCGTAATTTTTTGCTTAAGCTAGAGTCCAAGACTTCCAAATAGGCAAAGGATAGAATTTCCGCAAATTTAAGCAATTGCATTAGTGGGGGTGAGGTGGAGGTTGTGTTAAAAACGAAGTATCTGCATTTTGGCTCGCCACGCAGGGATGGACGTTAGACAGTCATTACTTCAGTGATCAATCTAAGCATCTATCTTACCCATAGGTGAAGCTTAAGCGTTGACGACTACACTTGTGAATATCTTTGCTCAGTATATTCCTGAAGGCTTATCCCTAGTCTTCTCTTTGTGGCTAGTATATCTTGTTAGCATAGACCTAGCCTGTTATATTATTTGTGGTTTTATAACCAGATAGTACAATTGTCAAATTAAAGCTTTATTTATCACGATATCATAATATAATGTCAGATATAATATAAGTAGCTTCTTAACGCGAATTATTTTTATAAATCAGGTACTAAAGACCAATACGTACGCTTATTAGTAAACATATGAAATGTAACGCAACCTTATTCAGTTCTAGAAACCCCCGTAAGAAAAGAAATGAGATCGTCTTAAAGTCCAACTCCAGATGGCGGCACTATACTAGACCCTTTGTAGAAATTGGCGGCATATTGTATTCCTATCTCGTCTGGCAATTTTATGACTTGTTGTCTTTGCTGCCTTAGCACAGGTCCTTAGCCGACCAGATAGCGCTATAAGTAGAACAGCCCATCCGTAATTTCCCTTGAGAATTTCACATTAAGAACTAACTTAGAGAACACGTAATATCCCTTCTTATCTAGAAGACTTATAACTAAGTACGCGTATTTGTTATCCTCGTATACCCCCGACATAATAAGAGTCAAGTGATACTACTTGTAACCTTTTAAGTGTTCTTTCTTGCTAGTCATCAAATAACTCATGTTCTGTTGTTGAAATCGAGTATATTCAGACTCATAGTCAGATCCTTTGACAAGAAATCCCCTCTAGTGGTTTGCTAATTTTAAGGATAGCGCGATAACAAATAGGAATCCACGGAATTTTAGCATCGCTAATATTTTTGCTTCTAGTTTTCCGAGCTCAGGACGGTCTGGGTCTTGTTCCAAGACAATGCGGTCGTAATCTGTCCTATCATCTATGATTTCTATAATTGGCGCAGGACCAAACTCTAGAGCTGCGGTAGTGGTTCGACCAGGTTAGACGCCGGTATTCGCACGGATTTGATCTATGAAACAATCCATTGCACGATCATCCTCTACCTTGATGGCGGGACTTGGTACCCTAGCAGGATGCTCTATACCTCCCATACCCACATCATGGGTGGGAGGCGGTAGCTGTTGCAACGGGATTCTCCGGACTAGGATGTTCTGTACCTCCCATATCTTCATCACGGTGGGTGGGAGGTGGTTGCTAAGTGCTATCATGGTCACTACTGTTTGGTACGGGTGGCTGCTGATCAACTGGGGTTTGGGATGACATTTCAGGGACTTCAAATGATAAATGGTAATGATTTAAGAGATATCAAGATAATATAATATTATAAGATCGATACGGTGGGCATATATAGTATGAGCTTTATATAATCCTAAGGCCCTAAGCATGTATCGAGAGAACACAAATAATATTAATTTAAACTATGGGGAAAAAACTGGATAAAAACAACGGTTTAAATGTTAAAAAGAAAAAGTAAATGCCTAAATGAAACCCTGATGCTCCTCATCACTTCGACTATAAACAAGTAAATTGGCAACATTTGGAGGAAAACTTTCGTATACACTTCTCATCGAAAATTCGCTTAACTGGACATGATGCCGCCTGCTTAACATACGTAATGCAAAACGAGGAATATCCTCTTCTCCTACGTATGTTCAAGATACCTATCAAGACGCCGATACCGCAAATGATAATTGCAGCATTCCAACTTCAGTTGCCTCTTCGGCCCGAGAACGAGATTATTTCTGAGATTTTCAAGACGCCAGTATATATGAAAACACGACAAGCGAGCCTGATGACAAGAACTCTGCACAACACGAAGCTCAAGACAAGCATGCTCCGCCTACTAGAAGCAGGCCCAAGATGACCGGCATTCCAAGCATTTGAAATACTGGCAGGAACCAAGGTGGTCCCAGAGGTTGCGCAAACCTAGGCGATCTCAGATAATAAAGGTTGGGGACTCCAGGCTAGGCGATGGACAGCATTTACAACGTATTCAGAAAAGAGGGCATTTCAGATAGCTGTATTGTTATTAGTTCCAATATATTACTTCTGTCCACGATAATTGCTGGAATTCTCATAACGAAGTGCGCAAATTATCAAGCCAAGTCCAGTCCGATCCTGGTTTATCGATTGAACCCACTGCTCTAAGTTTTGCCATTTTTGTGCAGCCTCCATGGCCGGTAGTCGTATAGGACCAGGCCTTCATATCTTCTCGGCGCACCTCTCGCTCCTGTAGTCATTTAATCACCTCCTTAGCGTATGTATCTGTATTGAGAGGACGATTATGAAAATCTGATCATTTTGTTGGCATATTGATCTTTTAGAAAGTAACAGATACATCAGTGAATTTACTGGTTATTTAGAAGCCGAATTTATACATGACCTAGCTAAAGGGTAATTCCTAGGAGACACGATAAATGCCTCAGACCTATACCCACCCTTGAAAGTACCAAAAGCACCACTAAATTCTCCTATTGAATGTTCATTATTTCAAATAAAATGCAGTCACAGATGTATAAAGTTAACAGAGGCTGTCTATTACCTAGTCTAGGCGCTCCTTCAGTCCTAGGACCAGCCAGGTGGGGCACATGTGTGTACTCAATCTGAAGACTCGGGTCACTCATTGGTGTCTTGTCGGGTTGATGGAAATTTCTACATCGACACCATAAATATCAGGATGCGAATGCCGGAGATTTTCGATAAATTCAGGCCATGCCATGTGTAGGTGTCCGTATGGCAGTACTAGATTTGTGAGCTGAGCGGCCTCTAAAGATATTTCCTCCATTATAAGATCACACCAGGAAAACACGTGGGTTTTGCCTTAGTCTAGTACAACAAGAACGGGGTTATCCCTGAATGCTTATATTAAAACAAGCATAGACAACGGATGCGGACATTGGAGTACCACACTTATCATGGCAATAAACGTAAAAGAATTTTCATATTTGTGTCAACCACGAACAACAATGGCCGGAAGGACCTGTGTGTATATGAGCACAAGTTTGAACTTGCTTTATGTAATACCTTCTATGGATAATGTGGCACGTAAATATCTAGCTGATTCTATCATAATTTTTCCACACTTTGATATTTTTCACAGCCACGTATGAGCCAAGCTACACATTACTAACGAACTGATGCTTGTGTTCGCCATTCAGTCGGATGAATACGGAAGCACTGTACCCGAAAAAAAAGCATGTGACAAGTTGTGGATCAAGACCCTTTACATTATGATGAGGTGGGATATTGTAAGGTTCACGGATAGTTTAAAGTCGAAATTGCAATGTGGGAGTATATATTTCAATTAATAAAGACTGCCTCTTTGAAAACAGGGGGCTTTGGCTATTCGTAACGTGCATTACATGCTATCAACAAGATATCCAGAGCTTTGATTATGATATTCTTGAAGTTATCTATAACCTTACTGGTAGTTGATAGTTCGATTACCTAACTCGTGATAGATATAAACATGATGAAGCGGAAAATCATGACTTCGTATGTCACGGGTAAAAATGAAGTGTTATACTGTCATATCCTGTTCGAAGTGCACGAGAGTATCTAGGGACCTAATGCAATGATGCCACTGGGCTTTAAAATGGCAGGGAGGCGGAAGTATTGGTTAGTCACGCTAACCTGAAGGTTGGACAGTCGCCAAAACATAAGTTTCGTCGTAATAATCGGCTAAAATGCGCTTCTACTAGAACCCAGCGCTCGGCATAACATGGTCCTAGGTAAAGATATACTCAGCTCCCGAACAAGTTAAAATAACAAGCCACGAGTAAGAAGAAAAGCTCCTATGGGTTATTCGCAATGGCTTTCCCAGACCTACAACTCAGCCCGTGCCGTCAGCTGTACAAAAGGGGGTGAAAGGCTCCCAATCACACATTACTATTACTCGAACGATCTTTCTCAAATCGCACGCACGACCCCCAGTTATGACGTATTGGTTTGTACAAATAATTTGCGATTTGTAGCTTTTTGTTCTGCGTGTCCCTCTTTGTCGGTACATAAACAACAGAATATATGAAATATTTAAGTTAACATATAATTCAGAATCTCTTATTGGAGTGATAGTCTATGGCCGAACTTTGTCCAAGACAGTGATACTCTTGCCCTCCATGAGCAAGACGTAGTGGCATTTCGTGTAGGGGATCAAGGCTACTTCGTTAATCTAAGGCCCCCACATTCTTAGTGCAAGATCATATGATTACAGTATCAGTCACGCAACTTGCTAAAGCACGGGCCAAGAGCCGCCATAACGCGTTAAGTACGGATCTGTAGCGAAATAAACTCACCGAACCTATAGCAAATGTCTCCGAACTGAAGGAAACATTGATTTGAGGGCAATTCGCTTTGTCATCATCTAATACCAGAACCTGGGTAAGCGCAACATTATCCCGTGCCTAGCATTATTGTAATCTACTGTGGAGAAGCTACTGGTTAGATGAAGGCCTGTGATAGGAATTGATGTGACAGCCCTGTTATGCGACGCATCCTGCTGCAAGTTCCATGCTTATAAAAGGTCTTGAACTACACCTAATTCCTCCTCTTCCATTCTTCATCGACTCTGAAGTTTCTGATTCATTACCATTGCCTTCCCCTACACCTTGAAATCATGAGCTTTACCATACTTGTTGCGGGCGCAACTGGCAACACTGGCCGTAGCGTTGTTGAAACCCTATCGAAGTTGCGGGACACTAGCACTACAGGTACTATCTCTGGTTACCGAATCCTTGCGCTCACACGCTCCTTGGAGAGCCCAGCGGCAAAACAGCTTGCCACCCTGCCTCATGTCCAGGTCCTCGAGAAAAATTGGGTAGACATCACCGCGGAATGGTTACGCGAGCACGAAGTGGTCAGAGCGTTCATTGCGTCTCACAACCTACCGACTCAATTTGTTGAAGAATCGGGCTTTCAGGTTGCGGCGCTTAAAGCAGGGGTAGAGTACGTTGTGCGGATTTCCACAGCTACAACAAATGTGCGACCTGACTGCGAGGCCTACTACCCGCGTGCACACTGGGCAATCGAGGCTATGTTGAGCTCGCCGGAATTCAAGAATCTACAATGGACTTCACTTCAGCCAAACGGGTTTTCTACAATGATCCTTTACAATGCAGCAGAATATATCAAGAAGTATCGCAAGACTGCGAAACAAGAGACGCTGAGCCTGATTGTTTCAGCGGAGGCACCCGTCGCTATCATCGACCCCTATGACATTGGAGTTCTTGCTGCTCATCTTTTATTGCAGAAAGACACGTCCGTGCATAACCATGGTAGATATGTGGTGAACGGGCCAGAAGATATCACCGGAGAGCAAATAGTCAAGTTGGTTGAGGGCCGTATCGGCGCTAAAGTCGACAGCGTCCTCTACAAGGACATGTCATTCGTTGAACACATTCCGGAATACCGGGGTCAAACCGCTGTTCTATTTTCACTCAAAAAAGGTGTAGAAACTCTATGGGACGGTGTCTGTACTGCTTCTACGACTAGTAAGGAGGTATTGGAGCTAGCTAAACCGACACGGACGCCGACAGACGTCTTGGAGGCATTACTGCAAGATTAATCTTGTCTAGTCCCAGCTTGTTTCCATTATACCACAATAAGCCGTCTTAGCTCGAGAATTTTATTCTTAAAATCATCCATTGTCTTGCGAGAGCTTCAATTATATCCTATTCCCATACTCGCAACTTCACGGTACATGCCATTAAACGATAGCGCCAAGTCAATTATGAAAACGTATTGACCGTATTTTCCCCTCTTCTGCCGGAGTCTGATTGACCCGCCCTGAACCTGTAGTGTTTATTTGGTATGTCGCCATTTCTGCTCGGTAACGGAAGTTATGACGAGTACCACTTGACATATATATTTCAGGCTCAACTATGACCTTACCCACGTAGCATGTCAGCCTACAACTACGAACTATAGCGTCAGTAATCGAAAAGTCTTGCTTATATACACACTCGTCCGTCAGTCGTCAGTGCAGGATCATGTATCGGCGACCCATATTCAGACACGATGAAGACAACCGGGGCGCTTGTAGGAACCGAAGCTCCTCAATACAAGACAGTTATATTATACAAGTCGTACTTTCCCAAATATGGGGTAAAGTAATGCGAGGTCAATTTGTTGATACTCTTGGTGGAAATCAGAACTTTCTCCATGCCATGAATACCCTAAATTGTTGAATTTCTATTACCCTGAGTACTAGTAAATGTGTTAACGTCTAGCCCTAGACATTCTTGCCTTAAGGATCAAGATTGATGCTGGAAGGGAAGCTTAGTGGCTCTCTTGACAAGTTATTCATCATAGCAATCAGGGAGAATGTCACAAGATAAACTTATCAACAGGATAGATTGTAATTGCGGTCCTCATTAGTACGGAGCTCGGGCTCACAACTGAGTATAGTTCCATTGCAATGACTACGCCTACAAATATCACAAGGAATTTATCGTTAAATGACACTAACATCGTGCTTGACTCGGGGACTACATTCAATAAACTCGAGGCTACAATGGTGAATAAGATATACATAGACTAAGATGTGACCGTCGGCAACTCTACCGGGTGTCCCATGATTGACTGGGCAGTGAAAAAATGGTCGGCTCTTCCATCTCATTTCTAGAACGTCGAAACTGACCGGTCTCAGTGGTATACGACTTCGATATCCGGGAAGTTTATCATACGCAGGATGGTAACTACAAGGAGATATTGTGTTGAAGGGTTGGGACTGAAAGTTGTACCTATACCATCACCCTGGACCATAAGTGTTACCGAAATTCGCAGCATGGCATATATGCAACAGGCTCTAATACCTGTCGTGGATGCCATCGCATTATGATAGGTTGAAGATGACAGTACCATAGTAGAGTATGCAGGATAGTAGGCTCTGATTGAAATTCCGACGGGCGCAAGCGATAGTGATGGAGGGACGCCATAAGCTCTTTAGGGGAAAGTAATAGCGCGTGCTTTAAGCTGTGCTATGCGATAATTTGCATATGTGTTGTTTCGTTGAATTTCAATTTGGACACTGGACGACCTCACTGCGGGAGCGCAAGACCAACTGGGCAACCATTGAGTAGTTATAGATGCGGATAGCTGTCAGAGCTGGACTTTTCTTCTGCATGGGGAAGCTCCCTTATCAAATCACGATCACCTTGCCGAGCCGTGTCATTAGAGATGTTTGGTCCTTGCACGACGTTTAGTCGGATGGCATGAAATGTGCATACCAAATACTGGCGTCATAAATATACACGGAGGATCGGCCCGTTGAAGTTTGCATCAAAGCACGGGCCGGCTGCACGATTGACTCTTACGTGATAGTATAGTGTGCAAACTCATAAGACCTTCAATAGACGTTGCGCGATCTGAAACTTCGTCACAATGACTAAGCATGTAGGTCTAGTGACCAATTTGCTCGCTACTTAAGTTAGTGCAATCTCTTGTAAAATGTCCGGTTGGCCAGAATCCAGGTGCCTGATCGACCTTATCGTCCGAACGCCAATCGACCGGCCGCCAAGCTGGACGTGGGCTTACCAGTTCTAAATGCGGCATGGGGTTGGCGTCGACTGGTCGTTGCTCAACAGCTAGAGCTGTCATGAAACTCCACAAAAGGGGGCCTACAAAGATGAGGGAATATAAGAAACTTGCATGACAATTTCGGTTCCAGGATATCCAGAATTATTTCAAAGCTTATAGAATATGATGTGTCGTCGATAACAACCGCACTGGGGCCGGGCTCAATAGGTATCACCCATCCCAAGAACCCAGAAGTTGAGTGGAAATTATAGGCTCGCTTAATCCAGAAGCTTCAGCCATGGCTCGCCCGGCTTTGAGTACCGCTCTATATTTGGGAGTCGCACTTTTCATGACAGCGGCAGCGCTTGTCTATACAGCACAGCAACGGGGAGATACCGTGGCTAATGCTCGTTCGGCATTACCTGCCGATCCCTGGTCAGCAGCGGCTGAAGGCGGTCGCAAATCAGATATTTTCAATCGGACTCTAGGTGTACGTTACTCATCGAGAATCGTTTGTCGGATATCAAGGCTTATCAGACACAGTTTGGGAAGGTCTTTGCCATAAGTCTCCCGGAAAGATCAGACAAACAGGATGCGTTGGCGCTCATGTCTGCTTTGACGGGATTTCGAATCACTTGGCTAGACGGCGTGCGCGGAAGCGACGTTGTGGATAAAGCCTTGCCATTCGTAGGTCCTGCCGGTTGTATGATGCATAAAGAAAGTAAACAAAACTAATTAATCTAGGGATGGGACCGGACAAAGTTGAGAGACAGTAATCTTGGATCATGGCGTGGGCACGTCAATGCGATGCGGAAGATTGTTGAGGACGGACTTGGATCGGCGCTCATCATGGAAGATGATATGGACTGGGACACCCATCTCAAGAAGCAACTTTACCATCTCGCTCAGGCCGGAAAACAGCTGCAGAACGGTTGGGAGCAAGACTCGGCGACTCTTGGCGAAAGCCCTTATGGACAACATTGGGACATGCTTTGGTTCGGCTTGTGTGGCAGTACATTTGACGAACATCTTCCCGAGCGATTGGAAATACCCCTGGAGCAGAAAGATGCCCGCAAGGTTTTCATCGACAACGATCCAACGGTGCCGCCCGCAAGTCACGTCAAGGGAAATATGTCGTTCAGCTGGGAGGATTACGCACCGCAGACCCGTATCGTGTTTGTACCCGGCGATAATATCTGTAGCTATGCATATGCATTGTCTTACACTGGTGCTCAAAAGGCATTGGAGTATATTGGCCTAGAGGGACAGCACAAGCCATTCGACAACCATCTCAGTGATCTTTGTAGATCGAGAGCGAATGGGATGCGTTGCATCAGTATTACACCAAGCTTGTTTGTCCACCACAAACCTAAAGGTAATACCAACGGAGATTCAGACATCAATGGATCTGGTGAAGGCGAGATCAGGAAAGTTGGTTTTACAAACAACATACTGTATAGCACGCGGTTGAACCTCGCCAATCTCATCACTAGTGCTGAGCTGGAAAAACAGTGGCTTGAATAAGAACGAAAAGAGTAGATGCAGTATTCATTTTGATTTCATTCCGTTACATACCATCTATATGCAGTGGGACTGATATTTTCAATGTTTCAACTGTCTCTGTAGCTGGGGAGCCAGAAAGAGAGAGAGAGAAGGTCTTCAACAGATGATTTGAAAATTGCGAGAGAAACCCCAAATTTAGCTGCATAGTTTATTCCGTTTTGTTCATCCTGCGTGGCTAAGCTCAACTCGGGTTTGAGTGCGCAGTAAACATTCTCTCGAATAGCTAGGTTCCCACCCGTTGCAATCAACAATAAAGTGAGGAATAATCTGTCGTCGTAGAAGCAGCTGCGAAAACGAAAGAAATTGACATGGCGCATTGTTTACTGGCTGTTAGTTCTAATGGTAAACTACATCTTCTGAGCTTGTTTCGACAATTTAGGAGTGACTATGCTTGGATGAACGGGGATTTAAGATTAGTAATAGAGAGCAAGAAGGGCGATGAATATTCTATCGAATTGAAGCGAGTAATAAGTAACACTGGCCATGAGAATCAATTCACCATGATATCAAGAACTTGTTATTTTGCTGCTGAGATTAATTGTGCATCAAAAAGTGGTGTTCTTATGCAGTGTTGCTCAAGTACGAGTACTACGCACATATATTCAACACCACGATTTACAACCATGACAGGCGCCAATCTTCGTACTTCAACAGGTTCGTACCAGAGTAACAAGTTGTAAGTATTGTGCTCGGGGAATACCGGGTTTCATTGTACCAAATGAACCAGAAAACAGGTATCTACATTTGATGTGACTGACAGCCGTATTTCACAAATGTATTTCAAAAGAACGAAATGTAAACCTATAGTCTGTAGGGATCCGTATACTAGGCGAGTTAGTTTCAATATATCCGGCTGCTGAACAGAATATTCAGTGCGACATGACATGGCTTGCGGGGGTCTTCTTCTCGCACCAACTCGGCTTAGACTAGTCTAACTTTAGCTCAAACCAACACGCGATTTTCAAGCTTTGAGCCCCTATTTCTGCTTTTCCTGCAGAACGTGTTTGCAAATGATGCAGCAAATGCGATACAGACAAATCGCCCTAAATGATGTCTTGCGACTTCCTCTCATGGGGATCTGCCGATCTGTGGGCTCTCTCCCTCTTTCTGATCGCTGTGCTCTGGTATAGGTACACTGCTGCGCGTAACAAGTTTTCGTCTTACGAGAAGCGCGACAATGCTAATAGTTACCCTTTGACGTTCCCATACGTCTTTCCGGTACTAGGCACTCTGCCAATCAGTTATCTCTGGAGACCACGAGCATTCGTCTTGAACCCATCGTAAGCGCACTGCATGCGAGCACTTGCTACGACTAACTCGTGCCACAGCTCCTTCTTTCAGAGTGTGCACCCAGTTAGAATCAGACTCCTCACATATGAATTTTATGTTATCCGTGGATCTGAAAATGTCAAAACCCTTTTCAAGCGTTCCTGGGCGTGTACTCCCATTCCTTTTGTCAAATTCGCTCTTGGGTACGCATTTGGCTTACCAGCCAAAGCACTCAGTTTATACGACCAGGACGACTCTGGTGGGGGTCATGTACCCCACCAGAACAGCACCGTAGAGAGCCGCAATCGTGTTGACTACCGTGCGCACCAGTCCTTAATCCAATTGCTGGAAGGAAATGGGCTTGTACCTTTCTGGAACAGATTTGCAGACAATATCACACAGCAATTGTGTAAGTTACACGACAGCGTCGGACCCGAATGGGACCATCGTGCCGATCTAATGACACTCGTTGGAGACGAGATCTCGGTTTCAACACTAAACGCGCTTTGTGGTCCATACCTTTTAAGCCTGAACCCAAATTTCCTGAGCGACTACTGGAGTTTTGATCGCAATTTACAAACGTATCTTCAAGGTACGACATGAAAGAATCTGTGACAGCGCACCGTACTAATCTAAATCGCAGGCGTTCCTTGGGTTTTCGCCCCAAAAGCCTACGCGGCTCGCAAGAGGGTATTAAATGCGGTGAAAACTTGGCAACAACACGCAAGGGACCACTACCATGACTCCGTCAAAGATTCTGGCGGCGACGATCCATATTGGGGAAGCAGTTTTTTCCGGAATAGGCAAGATATGTTTCTCGAAATGGACGGTTTTGACTACGATGCAATCGCATCGGCGGATTTTGGGTTAATATGGGCGTAAGCTACATAACCCGCATCTTGGCGTGTATACGTATTCAGCTAACTTGCTTGATAGAGCGAGGAACTCTATCACTGCTGCGTCTTGGACTACCTTTGAGCTATATCGAGACCCGGAGCTTCTGGCCAGCGTGAGGGAGGAAGTTGATGCCTGTGTACTCACTGATGCAGACGACCATATCCGTTTTGATCTTGACAAACTACTTCGCTTACCGGTTCTGCAGGCCGTCTATGCCGAGACTTTGCGCCTCAGAATGCACTTTTACATCATTAGGATGCCGGACAAGGCCGACATGGAATTCCGGGATTGGGTCATACCAAGACGAAAGGTTATTGTGACACCCACGACTGTTGCGCATTTTGATTCCGAAGCATGGAACACTGGGTTGAACAACGAGCATCCTCTCGACCAATTCTGGATCGGACGATTTCTCAAGTATCCGTCGACAAGTGTACGTAGCAGCTCGCGACCAGGGGATTCTGCTTCCACAGTGACATTTTCAACCAAAGATCTCGAAGGCTCATGGATCCCCTACGGTGGCGGACCGCGACAGTGTCCTGGGCGGCACTTTTCTAAGCGCCAGATATTACTGACGACTGCCTTGATGATAAGCTTGTTTGATTGCGAGATTATAGAAGAGGGCAGAAACGTGAAGGAGGACTTGACGCTTAAGGGCTTCGGCGGGGGTGTGTCGCATCCAGTTGGCAAAGTGCCGATCAGTATACGACGCAGAAATAGGAACGTCATGTAAGTCATTAGCTTCGTATCGTGTGCTGCAAAAGTATGCAAAGGCTTTTCACATTCTGAAGTACTATGACTCCGAATTCAGACACGGTTTCTGGCTTCGTTCGCGAATTTATCTTGGATTGCAATCCATCTCGCTCATTTTACATATGAGACCTGCTCCTACAAGCTTGAGCTCACTTAGTGCAAGTGTAGTTACAGCAAGTCAAAGAATCAACAGGTGTTCCATCAATGTTGTGAAAGCAATGTTCGCCCGGGCAATTCGTCCCACTCAGTGGTACTCAACAAAATCAAATTGCACAGCAGACAACCTAACCTAGTCGACTCTAGTGGATACTTAAACAAGAAAGTAGCAGTATCTCTCCACGCCATCGGCAGTCAGCCAAACGGCGAACTGGTGTCATTGTAGATCGTCCTATGTATGCTGCATACCGTGTAAATACAGTACCGAATCCTGTGGAAGCCTCTACCTCGCTAATTGCGTCTCCCGCGTTTTGGCATGGGTGACTCTCCGTGGACAGCAACGGGAACCATTGCTCCGAGTATATTGATACAGCAGCGCTATGCTTCATACGAACGTATTGCCATTTGACTCAGTTTGATCGATATGGCGTCGATGACCCTAAGTTCTTCCAAGTATGTATCGCTGTTGATCAGGGTAATCTGTATCTCTCAAACTTCATATCTGGTTCAACGTAGCCACAATCGTCGTGTCTCTGATTAGCTCTATCTTACTATACTCAAAACGAGACTAATAAGTCGTTAAGGAACAAGCGGAATCAAGATTATTAGCAAGAGGTTAGAATTTGTTACTCTTCATGATAAGAATCAAGATTTGTTCAGATTATCATACATACTCAGATATATATCCGGCAAATGGACCTCTGCATTCGCATCACAATCTTGGAAGAACCCGGTGGGAAACCAAAATCGAGGTCGCAAACTATCTAACAAACCAGCAAACAAGTCTGCTAAGCAAAGGCCTGGGCTGCAACTCTCACATACATTCACATGGAATGAAAAGAAAAATAGAACACACCGACCTCGACGGGGATGCAAACAACCAGTTAATATAGTAAACAAAATAAAAAGTGAACACTGTTGTCAGAGCTTATCCGATATCGGATTGCAATAGGGTATATAAGGGCTGGAATCCTCCATATGTGATAGAGAGTAGGGCTCAGCGCGTCAATATTAGCACCCTAGCACTCCCTTGTAACACCAGCGTCTGACAACTGTGATCAAAGAGGGGACTTATAGAACCGGTAGAGCTTGAAGATCCAGGAGACTCCTGCGCAAACCTTCTGCTGTACGATTCAGTCGTGCTCTTTCTAACCGTCGCCTCGCGTTCTCGGCACCAATTCGAAGTATTTCATCATTGGAGAATTGAGCGACTCTGGTTAGAGAGAAGAATTTTAGCATTGGGCTCAGTATATAACGCTCGATTGTCTGACCACAGACATTATAGACAAAGGTTTTCATCGCCACCTGCTTAAAATGTCAACAACAGTATTCGGGGTTAGGGTAATGGGATGGCACCTTGTAGTAAGCATGCAATCCCGCTTTTCCTTCTACACAAGCTTGCTCAGTCATTTTTACAATGACAATAGTTTACAATGACCGATGCAATCTCTTAAGGTCCTGTAGGAGATTGCTCACATGGAGTTTCCCATTGAAATCATGTTCGATCGTGTTTAACAATGCCTGTTCGATAGACTAATGGTTAGTGTCATTCCATGCTTTCTAAATATTATCTAGATAATAATGATTATACGTAATAGGTTGTATTTTTTCATCGGCAATAAGATCATGCAACTTTCCTTAAGCTTGATAAAGTACTTCGGCCAGATTGGTTTGGCAAATGATGGAAATATGTTGGCGGACATCTTGCTTGGCTACGGTTAGAGTAAGTGCCTCGCGCATCCATTCCTCCACGATCTCCCAAACTATACTAATATGCTTAAAAGCAATGTTAGACCATTTGCTAGATTGCTCCTGGAATAACTCCGCAAGCAAAACGTGATTATAATTGCCCGGAAGTTCGCGACCACACGTAACAGTATATGTCTGATAAGCGGTTAGTAGCCTGTCACTATAATAGCTTAAAACGACTCACCTATGTGATCCAGTGTTTCATTTCCTTATTAGTCACAGATATCACCTCCGATTCATTCTCTTGTATTGACGGGTTGCCTAAATCCCCATCGGGGTCAGCGTGTTCTATTTTTTTCCCATTCCATGCCTATGCATATATAAAGCGAAATCTTCATCAACCTTGTACACCCTCGCACGCCACCGGTTCGCATGATTGAGAAAAAAACGCGCTATCAAGCCCTTAGTAGTTTCTATCGAGAGCTGCCTATGTCAACACATGGAAACGCATGCTCATTCCTATAAGGAACAATCTGATCTAATGTACAATCGGCCTTTCCTCGCCTAAGGCTTCCAATAAGCGTTTAGTAGCAACGAGAAGGTGTTTGACTTCCTCCCGAACTTTGGGGAATTATTTCTCGATATAATAATCAAGGAGTTCCTATAAGAAACATCTCAGATTCAAAACTCCAACACGAGCCATGTCTAAGTCTTACGACTACCAAATTAAAGACGCGAAGAATTGGGCTTCTCGCTAGCACTACGCATTAGAGAAAAGACCAATCTCCGACGGGCTTAAACTTTTGAGACGGAAGAACCCTAGCTTCAACTTTACATTATCGAGATTCTTAGCGAGCCTCGAGATCTTGACCTCAATGCCTTCGTTAATAAGATCGTGTTTCGTGATAATTCCGACAATAGGCTAACTATTAAGATCGTGCTTTTTAGCCAATTGCAAAATCGCGTGGCTTACTACATCGTTGCTTGCTTGGAGTACGGCGAGGATAATAGTTCGGCTACTAGAAAGGTAACTCTTAACAATTTATGGAACGGTCAAAACATCCTCCTCAATTTGTTCTTCATTCGACACAAAGATCAGACTAGGAAAATTAACAACAGTGAGATACAAGCCGCTTGGCCCTGAAACCTCTATCCGAAATGTATTAGGAGCAAATGCATCACCAGTCTGGTCGTTATCTCCGTATCCCCGAATCTGCATTAACGCCGAAACTTCCTCGATGATAGAAGGCAATTCTGAGAGATTGGGGATGTTTCGATGATACGCTCTCAAGGAATCTTTCACTCTTGAGTCCCGTGTTTCATGTAGCTGAATCGTAGCAATGACTTGTTACTCGTTTGAACTGTGACGGAGGATGATTTCGGTCGGAAAGCGAGCATAAAATCCATCGCTACGGGGAAACGGAATTCCTGTAAGACGTTCGAGAACAGAACTCTTTCCTGCAGACTGATCGCCGTATACTACGAGTTGATGAAAAGAAATATACCGCCGACATCGTTAGTTCTAACTCTATCAATCTGATTGAGACGATTGGTAGATCCAGAGGAACGAAGCCTGTCCACTATAGTGGGTGGTGCTTCACCTGCTGTGTTCAATGTCATATTGGATACTAACACGACTTGGAGGGCAGACGAAGCACAATTGGGTTATCTATCATGACATATTGGCCAATTTTATAGGCCAATCATGGTGAGAAAAGCGTATAGTTCGAATATATCCTAACAGGCTTCTGACGGTGAATTCACAAAATTATTCCAACTTCAGACTGATTTTCTTCTTTGGCTGAGACTCCCAGGCGCCCTCCAATACACGACCTGAAACCTTCTCTGTATGTTATACCATCCTGCCACTGGATTCAGAACACATAATACAATTCGTATTCGAAAACGGCTTTGGGAACTCTTTGTGGGTGAACTCATGGAATACTGTGGATCCTGAATCGTCATCTCTGTAGCTGACTGCGCTATACGTTAATTCGACCAGCTACAGTTCCACTCCCAACAGCGGCGCAGTACATTCACTGCGGAGGTGAGCATTCAATACACCAACCAACGCTCTTCTCTCATTGCGAATTGAGGACATACAAGCCCGGCCAACCATATACTCACGGTGGGATTTCCCAGAAAAGAAACGCTGACCACTAAAAAACATGGCTACCATAAATGATTGCTTGTGACGTCCGGCAAGAGATGAAACACGCGTCAAGGAAGCGGCTGTATGTCATTGTTAATTTAGAGTTGGTATTGGAAACAAGCAGGGTGTCTCATCAGGTTTGTTAGCGTGAACATAGCAACAGCGCGGGATCGTTACATTTTTGCACGCCTATAGCTATGTGAATAGACTGCTGGTGCCATTGTTGAAAGTATTCTGGACCAGTTTCTTCTGTCATCATGCTCAGCCCTACAGCGATCGCAGCCGGAAGGGTTTCCGAAATAGATACTGACTGGACGTCGTTTCCAACCTGTGGGCACTGCAATTTTCCATATTATCCAGGTAGTTCTTTGCATAATGAGACCAGTTGTCGACTATGAGTTGACCTAACTGGTCTCTGTGCATGTAGCTATACAGATGGATGTCAGAGGTCAGCGCATCCTTCCATTCCTGGCTCGACAGATTCAACCTGTATTCTCGACTTCCGTGCAGAGTATGAAGGCTGTATGGTGGTATGGATCATCTGGTAATTGCTAACCTCGAGACCGTTTTGAGCACTCGCCAGCCAGCCCAGCTGCAGCTAGCAGGCACGGGTTGATAGAGGTTACCCTGCGCGGCTCCCAGAGTACTGGCTGCGATGACGCAGGCGACTGCCAAAGCAAGGTGAGATTGAAAAAGGGGCTTGGGAGCCCCGACACAAAGCATCCAACAAATTGCCTGGAAAATGTGGTTTCGAGCCCAGCGAAAGCAGCTAACGGATCCTCGGGATATGTCAAATCCCTGCGATTATGTTTGGAACACTGCTAACACAATCTATTTGGGGACTTCCGCCAATGACAATTGTTTTGACGGGACAAAACCTACTGGTGCAGGATTAATAAATTCTGGTTGCTGAATTTCTGCGCAGTGCGATCGATCGCCTTTTGATGATTCTTATCAAAGTCCCACCCTTGGTAACCAATTTGAAGTCGCAGATGACGATGCATCACGCCGTTAGACCAAGGCCACCGGGGTCTGGACATTGCTGGGTTGGTCACAGTCGATGGCATTGATAACACTCACAATTCTGTATAAAAAGTCTCTGATTTCCGCAGACCCTGTGAGGGTATGGCTGAGATGTGCAGGATACCGCGTGGTGCAGGTGGTCAGCTGAGTAAAGTCGTTCACGCACTCATTGCCCGCACAGAGCCTTACGAACGGTGTGGCCATGACACTGTGTACGACTTTCCTACCAGCGCAGTCGTCCTGCTTCGAGTTGTAGTTACAATGACTTACATGCCTGTTTGCATTTTACACGCGAGGCAGCGGTCGATGCATATAAGAGCTGTATGTAGCTATCGAGAACTTGCCCCGCGGTCCCCCGCGCCAGTTCCCAACAAGAACAAGGTCCAGCGCAAACTTGCCTGAGCCTTGGGCGGACTCAAAGATCGCGTGCGTTTTACATGACGTCGGTGGTGACAATTGGATTGACGTCAATAATAAGCTGTCCAACCAGTGTACCGTATCTCGTTGCCTCCAAGAAACAACAAGAAGCTGTCAGTCGATGACAGCCAGCCGGCGTCCAATCTGACCTTAACAACCAACTCCACACGACTAATCTCACAACGATCCATCTTGGACCCATACGTCTCCTCCTTACCTAGATCCTGCTAGATCCTCCCTCGCATCATCAAGTAGTACAGCACAGCTGCGACCTATACGACGTACATCATATACCTTGAGTAAACCCCCCCAGGCGCTGAGACTCCTTGCATTTGCCGATCCAGCTTTACATACACTGCCCTGCGTCAACCTGGATACCCATAGACCATTCGCCAGCCTCAGCTTGTTGGTCCCTGCATACTCCATACCTAGCCAGCCTCTACATATTAGAAAACACCTGGGCTAAGACGCAAAAATGTCCGAGAGTCAACAGACACCCAACCCACAGGCGTCCGGAGCCAGCTGGACTTCGTTCATCAAGGTAAGATGATGGCTGCATCTTCCGACCCTGTTCCACATCTTCCACTGCATCACCGTCCGAACATGGCGCATGGCTAACACATAACTGCTCTCCCACAGTCTATCGCATCCTTCAACGGCGATCTCGCGTCCCTAACGGCCCCTCCTTTCATTCTCTCGTCGACAAGTCTCACCGAGTTCAGCTCGTACTGGTGCGAGCATCCCGCAGTGTTCGCCGCACCGGCTAAGGAGCAGGATGCCGCCAAGAGAACCCTGTTGGTGCTGAAGTGGTTCCTCACAACCCTGAAGCAACAGTACGCCAGCCGAAGCGAGAAATACGGTAACGAGAAGAAGCCCCTCAACCCCTTCCTGGGTGAGCTCTTCCTTGGTTTGTGGGAAGACAGTGTTGGCACCACAGAGCTCATCAGCGAGCAGGTGAGGTGAGTCGCATGCGGTCTCGAGCATTGGCGAACGTTGAGACTGACTCGCATGGCAGCCACCACCCTCCCGCGACGGCTTACAGTATCACCAACCACCAATCCGGAGTTCACTTGGAGGGGTTCAACGCGCAGAAGGCCTCTTTCACAAAGACAATCAACATCAAGCAAGTCGGCCATGCCCTCTTGACCGTCCCCAACCCTGCGAAGCCGGCTTCTAATGACACCTACCTCATCACCCTGCCTTCGTTGCACATTGAGGGTCTTCTGCTCGGGTCGCCCTTTGTAGAGCTGGATGGCGCCACATACATCACGAGCTCGACTGGCTTCACTGCCAAGGTCGACTTCAGTGGAAGAGGCTGGCTCAGTGGCAAGAAGAACTCCTTCACTGCCAACTTATACCCTACCGGCAAGGAGAAGGAGGTGCTTTACAACGTTTCGGGCCAGTGGACAAAGGCGTTCGAGATTCACTCCGGCTCCGCAAAGCATAACAGCAGCAGCAATCTGATTGATTCTTGGGACCCAACTTCCCAGCCGACTACCAAGCTCCAGATTGCGCCCATCGAGAACCAGCATCCTTTGGAGTCGCGCCGCGCCTGGTCCAACATTGCCAAAGGCATTGCCAGTGGCGACATGGACTTTGTCGGCAGAGAGAAGTCCAAGATTGAGAACGCACAACGCGCCTTGCGCAAAAAGGAGCAAGAGGAAGGCCGTGCCTGGGATAGACGCTACTTCAGTGCTGTTCAGGGTGGCTCTGACGTTGCACTAAAGTCACTCGCAGCACACGTTGGCATGAATGAGACCGGCGATGCGGACAAGACTGGCGGACTTTGGAGATTTGACTCATCAAAGGCCGACAAGGTCCGAGGACAGGCTCTGAGTGAAGAGGACAAGGCGAAGTTGGCTAAGGAGGTGTTGGGCCAGTAGGAGGCTCCATGCCCTTTGCCGCAACCGAAGCAGACGATGAATGAAATAAGCAACAAACCGCCGACATGCGTGCGTTGCGCGGGTGAAAGCGAGAGCGATGCTCTATAAAGTGTTTACAAATACGATTTGGTTTGTATCAAGCATATGTTAGTTTGGAATTGGCATACTGAATGGGTGCAGTTAGGTGATATACTCGGCCTTTAATGGCGATTGGCTGCTGCGTAGTAGTAATAGAACGTTTCACAGTAAAGTTTCCTCAAGTTCGCAATCTACTTGCACGCCTCGATATCAATGGTCGCCACTCGACAAGTTACACTTCTCATTTTGATTGGTGTTACCTGTTTCCAGGGAACGCTATTGTCACTTATTTTTCGTATCAGCACGCGCTGCCGAAAACACGGTAATATCTATCGTACGAGTAACCTGCGTCGAGTTACTCTTCCCGTGCACATCATCCTGAGATCCCGAATTGCTCATATTGCCAAGAGGAATTTCATCCTCGTCCATCTTGTAGTACGTATCCGAAATCATTCTAGGTTTAGACTTTTGTCGCGACGCCCGGGAACCACCATACGTGCCTTCGGTCGTCGAGGGATTGGTGACGGATTTGTTGCTCAGGCCAAGGGCACTCCTGACGCTCTGTGAGATGCCGGACTCGCGAAACACCTTAGGAATACAGGGCACGCAGAGAATGAAGAATCCACATGTCATCTCGGCACACGCCCAGAACAGCAGCGGGCCGATGAAGTACATGGTGTCACTCTCCTTGGCAAAGGTGACCGTGGTTGAGAGCCGCACGCTTGCTCCGATACAGGCGCTGGTGGCTGTTCTCAGCATCTGATCTGTTTTGATAAAAGAAAGAGAAGGAGCAACGGGTTCAACCTACAGTATACCAGCTCCGAAAATGATCGACATTCCGATCTTTCTCTGCCAGTTCATGTGCAGACCCCATATAATGCGCTGTGGCAGGAAGACCATGGCGAAGTCCGTCACCACCTGGACGCTCGCCGACGTGAGCATGACCTTGGGCAGCGAGTAGCACTTCGCCGGCAGGTAGAACTCGTAGATGGCGGCGTGCGGCACGCACTGCATGTTCAGGAGCGCGATGCAGGCGATGCCCCAGCACACCTGCAGCGCGATGACCGCCATGCAGCTCCACCAGAAGAAGCTCCTGGTCCGGTCCGGGACGAATATCCGGCACCAGTCGATCAGGATCGCCGCCTTGATGCAGGGCATTACCGTCGAGTAACTGCAGCCGTATACGAGGATAAGCTTTTGCGGCCTGTTAGCTCGATACGGGTCTCCGGAAGGAACGAGCACGCACGTAGAGAGGTCGGACCAGATCGCCGTTGGTCAGGTCCCAAGTGTGGACGTAGTAGCCGGGCGTGAAAATCATCCCGTAACCCGCATATGCTGTCCCCCAATAAGCTCCCTGAGCTCGGTCAGTGTTATTCGATCGATCGAAGAGTGCGAAGCCAATGGCGCGTCGTGGAGGTTGACTGGACTGACATAGGCACAGTACATCAATACTGGCATGATTAGTCAGTGGTTGGTTCTTCGGATTCGGGAGTCATAAGGTTGGGTTATACCTTCTTCAATACCCGGTTTCTTGAGCAGTACAATCCGAGCATAAGCACGGATGAAAAGACATACGGTCGCTATTATCATACAGAAGGTCGTCACGAACCAGGCGAGGCCGTTCCTGTTCGGCGGGTTGTCAAAGTCAGGCACCACGCCATCGGGCGGACTGAGGGCTGGTGCAGCAAGCAGTTTTGCGAGATCATCTGCTGGTAGCGACATGGCATGAACTGCTCGACAAAAAGAATCACGGACAGTTCCTGTCAAACTCGAATCGTGGGCCAAAATTTGAGGTGAATAGAGTCCTTGAACCAGCAGATAGCTGATCGCGTTTTGATGTCTTCGTCATTTAATGCACGGCCGCAGTCATTCCCCGACGGTTTGGACAACATGATATCGACATCCAGGAAGATTCACTCTCCTCCATGTTGCGATAGCCGTATGATATCTGCCGGCCTACCGTGCGGGAAATTTAAACTGAAGATCAGACTGGGGTCTCAAACGGTTGCAGGGGTATAGAGTTCAGCCCGGCAGAGCTCCGCGGATGAAGATACGTTGGGGCACTTCCTTTTGCAGCTTGGTGTTCTTGGATACAACTCCACCTTGATCATTGCAATTCGGGCAGCCAGAGCCTTACCGTATATGGAATAAAATAGTCACACTAGACTAGCCAGGGGTTTCGTATGCAGCCGTCAGGTCGTATCACATAGTATACTCTGGAAGCTGAAATGACTTAGTAGGCATGCAGGGGCAATGGGGGAATACGACATGTCATAAAAGACCCAGGTTCTGCTTCAAATATTCCTTTGTTTCCTATCAATTCTCAGGATTCAAACCCGGGAACTCTTGTCACCACATCTCCCGATAACCTGGTCAGTCGATATCCTAGCTGGCCTGCTGCGCAATGTGATAGAGCCGGGCTACTAGATGAAGACGTGACATCAAGCAGGACTCTCTGGTTTTAAATCGCGCACGCACAGAAGGAGAGCACTATGTTTCAGCCATGATGCGAGGTACCAATGATTTAGAGTAGGCTGGCCAAAGACTGAACATTCGTCCACTTTGGAGAGAATGACTCGCAGAAGGATACGTGGAGTCGTATATGGCTCGGGCCGGGGACTCTCATTAAAGAAGATGCCGCGTAATCAGATTGGGCTAGTACACATCCCGGAACGATGGCACACAAATTTAGCGACTGCCGTGCAGGAGAAACAGCCAATAAGGAGTACCCAGGGTACATATCGACTTACATTACACAATGCTTACCTCTCCCCTCATGGATAAAGTACTATGTACGTCGATCGATAGGATGATCTGATGCTCCTGTGCAACGGGAACCGGAGCACTATCCGCGTGTGGAAATGCTCCGCTCAAGGACCCCAAACACCTCGACGAAGGATGCATGAGGGGTTCTTCATAAGAATGTGGCATAAGCACAGGGCGAGACTCAACAATAACGTTGAGGTATTCCCAGTGTCGGGACGCTCAAACCATCGTCGCAACATTCACTACTCGGTGAAACCCTCGACGCTGTGTTACAACGTATTCCCTCTTCTCCCTGATATTCAACTGCACAGCAAGTTGCCGTTGCAACCAAAGCAACTCGGTTGTCTGCTGTGCCGTGACGCTTACGCTTCAATTTCGTTAGACAGCCTTCGCCCACGCCCTGGTTGGATTGCAATATGACGCATAGTAAGATTCCCTGACTAGTCTACCAGGCAACTTACATATATTCATACTGGAGACTAGACACAACTTCTGCGGCCTTGACCCAGGATGAATACCCTCCAGCTGGTAATTTACTTCACATGTTGGAGGCAAAGCCCTTGCCTACCCTCGAGCTCGGGATCGTAGGATCTCTGAGTGTTGATGAGACCACCAATCAGGCAAAGGCAGTGTTGATTGCTTTTAATACTGCTTTAGCAAAAGAAAGCCCGCGGCAGCTGGCTGATTGCTTCTATCATGACCAATCATACTGGCGAGACCAGTTAGCCCTGACCTGGCATCTGCGAACATTCGAGACAGCAAGCACCATTGCGGCGAGTTTCTTAGAGACCAAGAGACTGAGGGGTGTTACTGATGGACTCGCTCTCGAGGGCGAAGCTCTGCTCATACCTGTGACACCTGTTCTGGTGAGTCGTCGTGATAGTGCTTTGTGAATACGGTAGATCAAAGTAAGCTTCAAAACTCATCCGATAATAGCAATTCATCGACTTTGGAATTTCTTTCAAGACTACCTCGCCATCATGTACCTGCAGCGGCAAAATCCGCTTACTGCCGATCAAAAACCGGCTGGAGAGTGGTGAGGAGACTGTATCATGGAAGATATGGGTCTTAAGTACTTGGCTGCAGGACCTTGATGTACAGCCTGAAGACGAGTCACTACTCCAACTTGGGCGACAGGAACTCGGTAACGTCAGCCAGTTCGAGTCCGATGTCTTCATAATTGGAGGCGGAAACTCGTAAGTCCACCACAACCGAAACGAGAATCAGTCATCCAATACTTGTCATAGTGCTGTTGCTCTCGCCGCGCGCCTGAAGGCTCTCGGTGTAGATAGTGTCATCGCTGAGCGCAACGCCAACATCGGCGACAACTGGGCCCTTCGTTACGATTCCCTACGCTTTCATGTTCCGACGTCCTTCTGTGAATTACCTTATATGCGTGAGTCCTTAGTCTAGAACATCTTGTCTTATTCATAGGCTATATATTAACTCTTATAATTTCCCCTCAGGCTATGAAGATCATCTTCGGACTCCGCACTATGTATCCAAAGATGAGCTAGCTGCACAGGTCAAGAAGTTTGCGACTACGTTTAATCTCAATACCATAACTTCCGCCAGAATCACGTCGACTTCTTACGACCAGGAGCGTCAATTGTGGTACATCGCCCTTGAGACCCCGGCCGGTGCCTACTCTGTCACAAGCAAACACCTCGTGCAAGCAACAGGCTTTGGGTCACAGAATCCTTACGTGCCAAACATCGCTGGAGGCGATCTGTACAAGGGCACAGTCGTCCACTCAGCCCAGTACAAAAACGCAGCCCAGATCGCGAGCCACGCCAAGGTAATTTTCTCTGAACCTGCTACGTTAAACCTATTCCGTAATCAGCACCTACCTGTCTAGTCTGTCATCGTCATTGGCTCGGCCAACACAGCATTCGACGTCATAGAAGACTGCCACGCGGCCGGCCTTCAGACAACCATGGTAGCCAGGTCGCCCACGTTTGTGATGCCCCTCGAGTACGTCTGCGACAGGCGTAGTCTCGGTGTTTACGACATTGTCGGCGTGGAAGCGGGTGACAGGCTCCAGATGACTGGACCCGTGAATGTGGATGCGGCTCTGGTGCGAGACCTCTTTGCATTCATGGCTTCCGAGGAGCCCCATCGATATGATAGCCTTGCCAAGGCCGGGTTCCCGGTCTATGACAGCCGGGAATCAAAGGCCGGGCTGATATCGAACTTGCTTGAGCGGGCTGGCGGGCATTATGTTGATATGGGAAGCACGAAGCTCATAGCGGATGGCAAGGTGGCCGTGAAGGGGCGAGTCGAGCCCGTTGCTTTCACCGAGACTGGTCTCAAGTTCTCAGACGGCACGACCCTGGACGCCGATGCCGTAATTTGGTGCACCGGGTTCAAAGACAAGAACGCGCGGGCCGTAGCCGCCGGAATCTTGGGCGGGAAGAAAACGGCGGTCAACGGAAGCACGCACCTAGAGCACTTACTGGGACCAGAAGAAATTGCGGCCCGTCTCGACGCCACGTGGGGCCTAGATGCCGAAGCTGAGGTACGTGGCATGTGGAAGCGCCATCTCAACATCGACAACTACTGGACGATGGGTGGACATACTCAGCATCACCGCTGGCATTCGCGCACGCTGGCTTTGCAGATTAAGGCTGCACTTGCGGGGATATTGCCACCCGCTTATCGCGAGACACCACTTAGTCAGGAAGAGTAACTGGAAGGTTGCCTGCAAATCTCACTCATCTACTCAGAAACATGCAGATATATGATCATCATGAAATCACCATGAATATATGAAGCTTACAGAAAGGCACGCAGAAGATATCATCTTAGGTAGACACGGAGTTTCAAGAACAGTTGAAGTGCTGTTCTATATTATCTTAGGTAGCAATTCAGAGTTTAGTTTTAGCCTGGCAGTCGACCCACCAAAATCAAAAGTGCAAACTTTTGCTGCAATTATCGCAAATGTACTCACCAGGCAGAAACCGAGAAGATTCTGCCAAATGAAAAATCAGCTGGCCTACAATCCGGATGCTACAACTGTTTTCGAATAGGCTCCCACTGATTCAATAAAGAGTAAACTAGGAGCCACTGATATTGGTAAATACTTTCCAATAGAACCAGAGTATTATAATATGGTCCAATACTTCGACCATTTGATGTCCAAATCTATGTACCTCTTACAAATTATTCCAATGATAACTAGGTTTCTCGTTTGGTACTTCTAGCCGGGTTTGCTAATCTATACTGATTAGCTTTTAAGTATTATTCAAACTTACCAAAATTCCAAACTTTATAAATCTTCCATATGAAATACGGTTCGACATTCTTGAGGGACTGAGAACGGGCGTACGCGACAGCAACTCAACCTCTACGAATCACCTATCCAAATTTGCCGTCGCTTGCCAAATATGGAAGATAGTGTTCGAACAATAAACCGTTCTTAACCTCATTTTGTCGCCTTCACATCTCCAGGACCTATATCGGAATATCAAACACCGGAAGGCATTCGTCAAGCATATTTGGTACCAAGTGAAACTGCAGAAATACCCCTGTGGTGCTTGCAGCTTACCAGAATTGTCCAATGGATCTTGGCTGTTTGTATTTGTCCTCAGCCATGTCGTTTGTCCATTTTTGCTAATGGGCACGAGACAGCCACCCGGCCAATTTATTAGCTTTTTGAGGTGTTGTCGAACTAATGTGAGAGCGGAGCGTGTACTTAATACGGGCTTACGTTAGAATTGAGCGCTTATTCGCCAAGCGATTCGAAGCATTAGTTCAGAACCTCCACCTTCTTCTATTCAGAAGATGACGACTTTGACCAGAACCTCAAGACACGAAGACTGACGCCAAGAAGTTTTGATGGTCACACCAGTAGGATAGTCCCCACGATACTACGCCTAGAATATTCAAATAAGATGAAGAGTTCATGGAAAGTCTCGACTTATTCAACAAGAAGTTTCAAAGATGGAAGTTGTAACACGTCTACTTATTCGGAGGTAATACTAGCCAGCTTTTGGACCAAGAACACCCTATCATATTCTATCAGGACTGCTAATATTGAAACAGATACACATAGAGTACTAGCGTTCTCTTTTTCATTTATCCCAACTTGGACTTCAGGCAGAAGAAAACCAACGTTTACATCAAATTTCTGAATACAACTTGATAATATAGTGTAATCAGAGATACTAGTCCTTGTGCAATGTTGAATGCCTGCCAGATTGAGGAGTTGACCCTATGAGGAACATGACGGCTTTTACGAGCGTGTCGAAACGGATGATCGCTCTTCATGTTCGAAACTAACGGAAGCGCAGACTTTGTCAATAATCTATTCTGTGCTACAAGTAACGCAGCACTTAGGATGTTGAGGTTGCAAGTCATAGAACTTTGGAATGGACATCTAGGGGGAAAGTCCCAAGCGCTAAACCACATGAATATAGCTGCTGTATTAGACGACCCCCGTTCATACCCGAAAGATTACAGCCTCTCCTCATTCCAAAGTTACAAGTTAATGGAAGAAGAGGTCGCTCTCAAAAATAGATGCCGGGAGTTAACAATGAACTAAGAATAGATATCCGCTTTCCCGGTTCATCCTGCCTCGATACTAAAACATCTACATACACTGTGTCAAATCCTTCACTCATTCTAGTTATACAAGACCCAACAAGAGATCGATGAAGGTCAAGATATTCAAGCCTAAGGCGCGGCACTAAATATAATGTGAAGATTCTGGTATCATATGTACCTTGATTGCTTCACAACATACATGGGTTTGTGGAGGACAGGGCAAAGCACTTGCGACAGTGTAGTAGTATGCACCAACCAGCTCTATCACCGCGAAAGGACCTTTGACTTTACGGCAGGGCGATATTGCAGCATACGAATTTACTGGATGCAAAGGCTACCATAGCTATGTGAAGTGCGCTGTTCATTCGAGGAGGCATAACCAGCCACAGAAAGGTCTAGATGGGACCTGTAAGCCAGCTTCAACGCCCAAGTTTACAGGCCAGACCCAGTTGTTTTGTACAAAATATTCGAGGACGATGTGAGAACTTGTTTTGCTAACAACACAGATTGAGATCATCTTAGAGAGTTCTGTAATAGATACATCTACAATCCTCGAACCCCCAGACAGTTGTGCTATGTATATGTCTGTGTTGGTGTCTTGTTCTTACTCTTGTTCTGTGTCGAACGAAGTCAATATGACTCCAATTTGGCATCAAAATCATGAGTGACATAGGCTTCCACCAAGGAGTACCTGTTCAATTGCTGAACTCGAATAGTCTCCCTCAAGCATGAGTATAATAGACCGCTGATTTTCTATCCGTAATAACTACTAAAGCCTAGTAACATCAGGGTTACGTCGTGTTATATCAGCCAATTCTTCCGAGTACACGTGTAGAACTATCGTAAGCTTCGATGCCCAAAATTTGTGAGATGCAAGTTAAAGGCCTCAACCCACTGCATGGCCTGGCCGAGAATGATCAGCTACGAGCTGTATTCATCGTGGCCATATGAGGTTTGTTGAAGATGTTCTAAGCTCACGGGGAAAGCTTTGAAGTTCCCGATTTCATAAGTCGTCAGCTTCATGGATGGTTGGGTGCCAAGTGGTAAGCTTGAGCACGCCCTTGGTAGAGCCTCCGAGAATAGTCTGATGTGGCTGAAGTAGAGTTCTGAAATGAACACCCCTGGTAATGTCCTTATCAGACCCGCAAGACTTGCGATGCAGGATTGATGCGTCCCTACTTAGCTGCTATCTCCTGCTTGGCCACTTGTTAATTCGTTCAGCTGAAGGATCCGTCAACAGGGCTTGCAAATCGGGCGAGAGAGGCAGAAAAACTTCGCATCTTGATTTTCAAGACAAAATTACACATGCTCTTTATAGCACACAATCTCACGTTGATGAACTTAATTAATTATTCAATGCTTACTTCCTCCCAAATGCATTAGTCTGACCATCCCATGCGATGCTGTCAATTTTCTATAGTCATCTGGCTCAGATTTGCCTTTACGTCGTCATTGCTGTTGCTGACTAGAGCATCACTCTTTGGAGGGTTACTGCAAAGCAGAAACACACAGCCAAAGGGATGTTAGATTGGCGCAATTTAAGCTCGGAAGTATCTGAGTCATCATCACCGCCAGGATGCGTATGCTATTGAATCAAATCTGTTCCTTTGGTCTTTGGTCCTCCAGTTCGCTGCTCAATTTTGGCAGTTCTTGCCCCAAATTGGATGGCTCTCTTCTTCTCCCTTGCCGTAGATGGGAGATCCATCTGTTCCGCGAGCAGCCTCAAAACCCGTTTTGCAGGTTCTATGTTTGCTGGATGAGACTGATTTGCAAAATCACACTTTTCCCATACCGGGGACTCCATGGCAGCTCTCATGAAATCCTCGTCAAGGAATGGGAACCGAACCTCCTTGCCCCAACAGGATAGAATACGGTCGTCGCGGCCGAGATTACGCGTGGCGATCCGGCTGACATCAAGCTTTAATTCCTCAATGAGGCCTGGATAACCATCTCGCTTGAAGGCTACCTCATGTCGGCCGTACCCACCGAATAGCTCGTCGGCACCCAGACCAGAGAGAAGTACACGAGCGGGTGTGGTGCAGATTGGAACAGATTGGTCCATTGCAGTACAGTCCGTATAACAAGACCCCACTCCACGACTAGCAAAGTACAAAGCCAGCGCAATGGACAAGTCCATTTCAGTATTATGTGGATACATCAATGAAACAACACGAGATCGGTGAGCCATGGCTTCGGTAAAGGAGACATTGACCTAGATTCAATTAGTAGGTTGAGGTGAGCACTGGGTCATATGATTTTCATACCGCAATGAATCGCCAGCGTCGAGCTGGGCATGCTGCTTTGAGCTCTACGAAGGCTTTCCTGCCGGTGACCCGATCAGGGCAAGCTTCGAAGACGTCAGAGGCTTTTGCGGATACACCTTCTTGAACAGCGTTTCGGGCGTTTTGGAAAGCGACATTGATGAGATCGATACCTTGTGAACCGGGGAGGACCACATCTGTGAGCCGTGCCATAAGAGTACAATCAAGCCCTCCTGAGAATAGGATCGCAACCCGTATGTCACCATCAGCTTGACTATCTTGACTCGCAGGCGGCTGTGGAACATTCAGAACTCGCAATTTCAAGGCCTCTGTGAGATGTTGGTAGACCGTGTCAACAGATGGAGAATTATATGTCAAAATCTCGTCTCCTTCCGGTAAATTTGAGTTGAACTTGCCAATGCTCGATATCTATCAAAGTGAGTGTTAATGGAGTGGCAACATCCCGAGGAGTCATCTGGCACTTACCAGATCAGCTCCACCAGAGGCCAGCCAGTCATTCCTGCCTATGATGATGTTGCCGACGTTTTCACCGTCCTTGATAGCAATAGACATGTTGTATATGCCATCAGCGGCGACTTCCTCCCAGGAGGGCGTCAATGAGTCAGCTACGCTGGAGAATGCGATGCTGTCGGCATTTCGAACCTTGTTGATGAGAAGTGAACGGCGGCCAAGACGGTCGCGACCAAAATACAGGCACTTGCCCGGTGCATCATAGAACAAAAAAGCGAAGGGTCCTTGAATGCTTCTCAGAACCCTCAGAACGTGCGATTGTCTCTGTTCAGCGCTAGAAGTTGCCAGGGACGTCAACCGAGTGAAGATGGCTTCACCGTCATTCCCGTCAACGAGCTGCCCATCAATCTTCCAGGCTTCACCGTTCCAACAAAGCACTGATTCGCTGCTGGTGTCCTCGAAAGGTTGTCTGGCGATGTGGTCGCCTCTCAGTGCCAGCACGGTCGAAGTGAAGTTGAGGGAAAGACAGTTTTCAGAAGAATTAGCGATTGTGGTCCGTGTCACCTGCCCCAGATAGTCAGGCCCACGGTTTATCAACGCGTCCCGCAAGTCTGCAGATAGCTCGAACCCCTGCTGCGCAGAGATAACGGCGTGTATTCCGCACATGACTATTACAGTTGTCAGACGACGCGGCTCGAGATGGTGAAGGAATGTACATCGCTGGGGCTTGCCTTGTCGGCCTGGTGGTTTGCAAAAGTTGTTCGTGGTGAGAACTTTCGTGTCACAGTGGGGTGGTACGCCTCAGCCAGCCAATTAGCTTACCGCTGTCAAAGCCCACGGCTAAAACGGCAGCCTCGATGTGCCGGACGCCTTCCCGTGGAAATCGCGAGAATGAAGAAAAGAAATATCCGACGCTTGCATTTCCTGGACGATCCGAAGTAGTGACGCCTGTCAGAAAACCATCAAGCTGTGTTCTGCTGCTGTTCTCGATTCTACACAAAACTCACAACGTTCAACCCCTGGATTACCAGGCCAAATGCTGGCCAGAAGCGGCCGCATCGTAACCATTTCAATTCTATCTACTTCATGCTGGTCGCAACATGAGAGACCCAAATTGCCGGTAACCGTTCGGGTTTGTCGTCTGGTATAATCCCATAACTGTGGGTGACTTCGCAGGCTGTCATTCGAAAACGCTGTTGGGTGTCGCATTCAGCATGGTATAACCCGGAAAGTCATGTTGGAAGTAAAGGGATGCACTCTATGAGCCGCACGTTTAGCCCCATACTGTAAGAGGTATGCAGCAGACCTTGTTATCTCCGGCGCTTCTGGAGAAACAAGAAGCAACAACGACATGGTGTACCGAGGCAACTTGTCTCTCCGTGCTCTCCAGCTGCCCCGGGTTGGAGAATGCGGGGATTGTCGATCATTGGTTGCCAGTGACTGGCTCTCTGTATCAAAGCCAAAAAGGGATAAGAGCTGCAAGGCGCAGGTAATGAAGTAGACAGTACCGGGTTTCCGTTGCTCTTTCGACAAAAACATGCTCGTATTACAAAGCGCCGCACCACCATCCTCTGACTTGAGCAAGCTGGTCCATAACTCATCGCAACATCTCAAGATCGTCAAACGTTCAATCGAGTAGTACAAATAGAGATTCAATGGCTTCAACAGCTGAAAAGACAAGAGACGGTGTGATATACAAGCCGTCAAGGACAATACCCGTGCCTGACATTGACGTCCTCACCTTGCTGTTCGGTGAGTCCACCTGCCTCGATCATGCTATGCTCTACTCATAAACTGTCTAGAGTCCAAGCAGTGCTTTAGTCCAGATGAGACGATCCTGCATGCAGACGCAGCAGATCCTTCCAATCATTTCACCAAGTATCGTCTCCGACAGGAGCTCAAGAGGCTTGCTCATGTATTTCGTGACCAATTCAGCATCGGAGCTTCTGGGCACAGCCAAGATGTGGTCTTCACGGTGTCTACAGGCCACTACATGCTGCCACTCATGTTCTATGGTACAATAGCGGCTGGCGGCATCTTCTCATCCACCAGCCCGGGCGCCACAGCAGATGAGCTCGCCTTTCAACTGAAGCAGACTAGCCCCAAGATTGTTCTGTGTAATGCTGATACTAGAAGTGTCGCGATTAAAGCAGCGGAAAAGGTCGATTTACCTCCTAGTAAGGTCATAATGTACAAGGGAGAAAAGGAATTGGAGTTGTACGAAGCAGTCAGCGGCGCGAGGCTACCCATATCGAACCAGTCACTGCAGTGGAAGCGCATAACGAACCCGCACGAACTCGACAATAGCGTCGTATGCCTCCTGTTCTCAAGTGGTACTACTGGACTACCAAAAGCCATGAAGCTTTCCCACCGAAATCTCGTGGCAGGTGGCTCACTGGTCCTTGAACCGATCAAGGAGTTTAACGCCGCTCATAGACCACCAGGCTTTCGGAATATCGGGATTGGACATCTTCCAGTGGCGCATATTGCTGGAGTCCAAGGGTACTTCATCAATTCTGCCTATATGGGCGGAACGTTGTACTGGATGTCGAAGTTCGATTTCGTCAAGTTCTGCGGTTACTTCAAGAAGTATAAGGCCACGTCAGGTTTCAGCGTGCCGCCGATCTATCTCCTGATCTCGAAATCTCCATTAGTAACTGATCAATTTGACACCTGGGTCGACGCTATCTCAGGAGCAGCTCCAATGGGTGAAGAATTACAGAAGGAAGCTAGCAAAAAACTGGGGAAAGGAAATACAAAATTGCGACAGACATGGGGATTGAGTGAGACCACTGGCAGCATCACCACTGTGCCTGTTGATCGAGCAGACCTTGCTGCTGGTACAGTCGGAAGCCTAGTTGCCAGTCACTATGCCAAGCTCATCGATGAAGATGGCAAAGACGTCGAGCCTGGACAAGAAGGAGAGATTCTTGTGCGAGGGCCATTGGTGATCAAGGGCTATTGGAAAAACCCCAAGGCGGATGCAGAGTCATTCAAGAACGGATGGTTTTATACGGGCGACATTGGCGTATTCCGCGAAGGTTGGCTGTATATCGTTGATCGAAAAAAGGTACAAACCATCCTCTCCTGGTCCTATAGATGGCAAGTCTGACCATTGATTAGGAACTCATCAAGTACAAGGGTACCCAGGTTGCCCCAGCCGAGCTGGAGGCTATCCTGCTGTCTCACCCTGAGATTCTAGATGCAGCCGTCATTGCCGTAGCTGGCGAAGGTACAGAACTTCCTCGGTAAGCATAAGTGACAGATGAATCTCTCTCGTAGTAACTGACGAAGATAGTGCCTACGTCGTGCCAGGTTCAAAACAGATCTCAGCCGATGAGATCAAAGACTTCGTAGCTAAGCGGGTTGCCAAGTATAAACAGCTTAGGGGTGGAGTTGTGTTTATCCAAACCATTCCGAAAAGCCCCTCTGGCAAGATTTTGAGAAAGGAACTAAGAATCCTGGCCAAGAAGGATATCCAATCCGCAAAATTGTAGCATCATCAGCTCACAATTGTTGCGTTTGAAGATGTTGTTATTGTTGTTGTCCTAGATGGATTTGTGCCTTTTTATTACCGTTCCACTATTATTCCGTATGATTTGTCCTGGTTCTACCAATATGATATTACCTTTGGACTTTTTTTCCTTCCCTCTCTACTTACCCAAGCTCATCTCGTTAAAGTTCGAGGCTAATGCCTCCTCGCCCAGCGGGCTCGAGGGGTTGGTACGAGCGGCGGTCATGGGGCTGAGAGCGCTGCTCGGACCACCCATGCTCAAATCCGAATATGTGTTGGCATTTTTGTTGTACTAGTTATTTTGTCGCCGATGCCGTCCATCTCCTCATCCTCGTCTTGATCGGCGCCATCCCCCTCGTCGAACCCTCCAGTCAAGTCGTAGACCTGTCGGTTGCCTCAGCGCCGGCGGCGTTGAACATTGCCACCAGGACGGACTCCAGGTTCAGCTTGTCGTGTTTCAATTGCTCTTTAGTGGTGTTGCCGTCAGTGATGATACCTTGGGGCTTGAGGGCGTGGAGGAGATGCGCATCGCGGTTGTTGCGCGAAAATAGCGAGATATTGCTGGGGTATACCATTCCCGCCTCAGCCAGGTAGCCGACAAGTAGCTGTTGAAAGCATTTCGAACGTCTTTGCTGCTGTACGGAGAGGCTCGATGACGTTGCCTACGAATGAAGGATGGAAAAAAATTGTTGTGCGAAGCTTCAAGCTCTAATATAAATATCACTTGCAATTTAACGATTGAGCGTTGAAATCTCGCTGTTCATTCACCTATCTGTGGCATTAGCTATCAATACAACAATACATTCAATTTCTAACTAAGCGATGTATAGTTATCTTACTTACTTTACAGCCCCTGTTGACTTAGTATTGGATAAAAGTAATATAACCTCGCCTTGAGATTTGAGAAATAAATCAAAGTAAGACTTTGTTTCAAATGAGTATTGAAATTGTATATGAATGACAGTATTCGAGCGGTAACATGCTTAAGAATGAATAACAGCATCCACCATCCATCATTGAGAATAACCTCAAGACATAATTACGAAAGAAGAAGGAGGGATGAGGAAAAAAAAGGAAAAAGACGAAGGTCATTGGAAAAAATGCGTCAAGCCTGTCCCGACCCACAACTAACCGCAGACATTGTCTCAACAATTCGGAATAACACCTAGCAGTACCACTCAGAAACTTATTAACAGCAACATTATCACTGCCCTGCACAATTAATCTGAAGGGGAATCGCAAAGAGAACCATCATTTGGTGTGAGGACTGAATCCACGATTTGGCGATGGCAGTTCGGGTAAGTTCGCGTCACGTCCTGACCTGATCATGCAGCCCGACATTGTGTGAAGGGTCATTTACTTCATTTTCATTTACGAGCTGAATTTTGGGGCAATCTATGATTCATTTCTTCATTCTAGTGTGGCCCCCGCCTCATTGATAAATTTGTACTTCACTCATTGTTCATGGTCTAACCACTTCCTACGGTAGCCGCTAGGTCACTAGCCACTAGTGATAGAGCTTCACGTGAACCTCAGAATGAGGATTCTCAACTCATATACTCGGTCCAGAATCTAGACTCACACAACTCAATAAGAGCAAGATAATCATATCAATACACAAGTACGCCTAAACATATGACTTCTGCAACTTACAGGAGCCTGTGATACATTGTGAGTTTGACGGTTATAAGCAGTTTTTTTCTACGCAAAGCGATATTTTGTCATTCTCTCCACCGTATAATCAGCAATCGCTAAAATATGTCGTTGCCCGGTAACGGGACCAAGCACGAGAACAGGCCCTATATGAGAAGAGGCAAAAACAACGAGAGCACTATCGAAAGTATGATAACGAGAATTATATTTGCAACCTATGGATTTACCTCTTATGTATTTACCTAGTGTTCGTTACCTTACCGAGTTATGTTTAGGCTTTCCCAGTGCTTTCTTCAGTTATGATTCCTTCCTCACCACTAGAGCGTGCTGGATCCTTCTCAATCTTACCAACGATGCCAGTCCCACGAAACGTGAGACCCACGATCACTGCACCGAGCACAGCTAGTGCAAAGTTGAACCAGTTTGCAGCTCTCAAGCCGACAAGAGAAGGAGGATCCCATGGCTCGATGCCACCAGATTTTTCCACCGATAAGCCTCTTTCGCGTGCCATGACAGCAGTCTGAATGGCTGTTGTGATGGCCAAGCCTATGGCTCGGCCTATCTGACCACAAGCATTGATCAGAGCGCCGCCTAGCGCTTGGTCTTCGTTTGGCACGGACTTGGAAACAAATAGTGTCAAAGAAGGCCATATCATATCGGCGCCGATGACGGAGAGAATCATGGCAAAGAATGAATAGGCAAAGTAGGAGGTTTGAGGTGGTATAGGCGCCGCGAATAATAAGCACGATACCGCCACCGCAAGATGTCCGAAAAGAATGAAAAGGTACGTGGGGAACCTGGATATAAGGTGAGACATTATGAAAGCAACTATGATGCCTGAAACGCCGGTCGGGATGAAGCGCAGTGTGGTCTGAAGAGGTCCCAGATCTTGATAGTCTTGGAAGAAGTAAGTTGCGTAGATCAGGAAGTCGTTAAAGGCTGAAAAGAACAACGCCATAAGTACCATCGCCACACTGAATTCCATGTTACTGAAGAGTGAGACCTTCATCAAAGGTGGACGGGTAGTATATTTTTCTTGATACCATTGCCAAGCAGCAAAGATGCCGATCAAAAGAAGTCCGATGATAATGAGCAGATACACCCATACAGTCTTCCATCCGACAACATTGCCCTCCGTCAGGGCGAAAAGCAATGCCAAAATTCCGAGCGTGATCAATATGCCGCCGAACCAGTCGACCGATTTGGCTAGGGACTTGTTGTGCTTGTTGGCGGTGGTCTCGGGCGGGGGAGGCGGTATAAGGAAAACACCTGCGGCTGTAACCGCGACGGCCAGGATTGCATTGGCTCCGAAGACCCATTTCCAATTAGCATACGACGCAATCAGGCCCCCAAGCAAATTGCCAAAGACTGAGCCCAGTGGAGCGCCGGCGGCTACGACAAGTTAGCAGCTTCAGATGGTCGACGTGATCTTGAGTCGTACCGTAAGTGCTAAAAGCAAAGTTTTTTGCCTTTCCGGGAGGAAACGTCACACCAAGAATTCCGATAGCAGTAGGCACATTGGCAGCTCCACCCTGACCATATATCAGTCAGTGTCCGGTAGGCAGACTTCTTAGATGTAAAACTCACGATTCCTTGCAAACCTCTGAACAGATCAAACGCGATTTCATTTGTTAGAAAGGGATTGATGATGAGTGTAGCCGCAGCGAAGGCACTCCCAAGGATAAAGATGAGTCTTTTCCCGAAGATATCGGCCATACGGCCCCAGAGCAATAGAAAGCAACCGAATGTGAGAGAGTACGCTGATACGACCCACTGAAGTCGACTCTCAGGAATGCCGAGTTCGTCACCTATAGTGGGTAGGATGATAACAACTGCCTGTACGGTAAGAGTCTATACGGTATATCAGCAGTCATTGCATGGATCTTATCAAGCATAATACCGACATTTAAAAAACTAGCACCAGTAACGGTCACAACCAAAGCAATGCACCGTGCTTTGGAGAAAGGAAGCACCGTTGTCGCAGTGTCGGCGCCATCTACTTCCCTACGTGGAGATGCCGCCGAACCGATGGATTTCAGATTGCTGGGTGCGGGGTCTGTGCTCTGCACTTCGGGGGGTACTCCTTGCTCGGCATCGGATGCCAAAATGCTATGGACTTCGCCATTCCCCGTCGACATCTTGATAGATTGATGTCTCACGGAATGAAAGTTGCAAGAACCAGTTTGACTGAGAAATTGCCTCCCACACAAAGCAGCGCAATCGGCGCTAAGCCAGTAGCGCCTTGCATCCCCGGGACTAACCCCGGGAATTCCCCCGGGAGTTCCTTCTTCCCCGGGCGCTTGCTAAACCGGTCCACTAAACTTTTCTCATGCGATGCATTTGTACCTCAAAATGATACCGTTCCCGGCCTTTTGGGAGACGTTACCTTCCAAACACATTTTGGCTTTTCCTCTACACATTTGTATCTCAACTCATACAAATAACGATTCAATATCTCAACATGTTTCATCTTATTCCTACTCCTAATGTGGATCATAATCCAAACCCTAAGCCATCTGCAATGCTCGCCCTTTTATCTATGCACACTGCCACCTGACGGGCCACCTTGATCATCTGCAGTCATCGTGATTATTTTGCCCTCAATTATGGGTGACTCGATTAGGCTACCTACAACAACTTCAGGGGAAGGTAGGAGACCCATGGTCAAGTTGATGGATCTGGATCGGCCCCGCCTGATATGTGTGCATCCTAAGCATCGTCGTCTATCTTGACAAGCTCGGCATCGTGGTCTTCAGCCTCTGGATTTCTGAACTTGTAGGACCGGATCTCACAATTGTACTAAGGACGAATGTCGCCCTAGACAAGAAATTCCAAGATATAACGGTGCGAAACTATGACAATCTCAGCGTTTTTTCCATGCTCTGCGAAATATGTCTTCGCAAAACTCCTTAGCCAGATACGAGCCTCTCTTGCTCGATTAAAGGTTACTTCGAATCTAATGCCATGCCGGCTGTCGGGAGCTTCTGCTGGTGTAGTCGATGTTTTTGAGCAATTGCGAGTCAATAAGTTGACCTGCTTTGGCCTGTAGCACTTCTAAATCCAAAGAATTGTTGCAGGAGTCGTTAGTAATTTCCATCATGTCAGGGTGTAGAATAACCAGGCCGGGTGAGGCTGGCCGACTGGCGACATGAGAAAACAACAAGGCTGCTAGGTTGCAGTTTGGATACATCGGTAAGACAGTAAAGCTACGAGATGTGTTATCTGATCCTGGGGCAGGGTGTTCATGGATAGAGATTGAAATTGATCCTCAACAAACGAGGTCAAGGCTGGATCCAGCAGCTCATGGTAGAGAACAACCTCGTAAAGCGCTTGCGCATTCCGCACGAAATGAAGTTTGCAGTCCATGATCACGAATTTCGTTTGTTCATGGGCGACTGTTCTTGTTTCCGGGATAGAACTAACATTTTTGAGTTGAGAATCAAGATTGTATGGCATTAGATCAAGCAACAATTTAAGCTTAGATAGCCACCATATATACCATAAAGCATTGTGAACTACGTTTTTGTGATATTTCTTTGTTAATATTACCTGCTAAAGATGGTTGTAGGTCTCCTGACCATGTCTACAACTACATCCCTTTGACTAAGGAATCAGTAATCGGACAGAGGTCTTCTGTGTGATTTATTATTTTAACAATGAACAAAATACTAAATTTACTCAAAAATATAGGCACTCTCATGATACGCCGTCGTCTTGCAAGTGTTCTAGCCTAGGACAGTCTTTACCATTCACCTGCCGTGCCAGAACCAGCTGTTTCTCCAAAATGCAGGGAGCGATCCAGACTGTACCTAGCGATTAATACACGTATATTTCAACGTAGGGCGATAGTCCTGGGAATTGCATGACATCGAATAAAACCAGAGCTGCATGAATAACCCACGGAACCGGCTGGAGTTGCGCTCATCAATCCGTTACTACACTAATGAATCCACAGCTGACTGATGGATCAAGGAGAATGCAGGTAGATTTCACTTAATGTCTGTAAAGCGCACCGATGGAATCCGGCAACATTTACTGTCATGATAGGTTATAAGATAGATATCGTGAAAAGATGAATGGTAAAATATTGGGACACATTCGAGGCCAGGACCATGGGCGGCAGGGTGGCTAGTCGTATTTTAGCGACATGAAGCATAGCAGGCGAATATACCGGTTCTGTTTGTTGAGTGGTTGGTAAGTATGCATGGCCTCAACGTAAGCGCAAAGAGAGCGGACAAAACGATCTGGCCGAAAGTGGAGCTAAGATGTACTTTATGCTAAAGTTTGCCAATGAAAGTGTGCAGTCTGGTCAATCAATTGGCCATGTAGACATACATTGATCATCACATGGAGCCTGCTCATATAGACGAGGCAGTGCGATGATAGTGGTGTGGGAAGGTGCGGTATTTCAACGCGAGTTGATAGGTAAAATAACGAGAAGCTGGGAGGTGGGCGGCATTTTCGGTGCTCGTATGATATAGTAGTCACGATAATTGATGTGTGATTTTCATCCAGTGGCCCTAATCATGCCATGTGAACCTTCACCATGGCCCACTGTTAATCTTGCGCCATCGTAGTGATGTGCACGAGTATCCGAGTGCTATTCAAGTACTCTCACCCGCAACCCCGCCTTGACTCCGCATATTGACCGCGAGACGGGGTTATAGCGCGGTCAGTTCCCCCATGTACCCCCGCATGCTCTACACTTTCGATTCGCTGTGTGGTATTACATTATTGGGAGAAGACCTACGAGCACTGTGAGCTGCCTGTTCCTGAAATATTCACAAAATCCCTTCCGTATCAACACTTACCACCATAGACCGTTCAAGATTACTTGAACTCTAATATGACGCTCAAAAATGTTATTGTCACTGGAGCTGGGGGTTTGATAGGCCCAATGCTCTCGAAGCGCCTTTTGAACGATGGTTACAGAGTCATTATGACCGATATTGTTGAGCCTGTCGTCCCGAAAGGCGTCAAAACCCCGGAGAATGCGACACGCCTGAAGGGGGATATCTGTGATCCTGCGTTCATCAAGACACTGCTGGAAACCGCACAGCCGCTCCACGCCATCTTTATCTTCCATGGCATCATGTCAGCGGGCTCGGAGGCAAACTTCGACCTATCATGGAAGGTCAACGTCGAAAGTGTACGAAACCTCTTACTGGCACTCAGGCAGTCAAACCCCGGCGTTCGTGTTGTCTATTCAAGTTCGCAGGCAGTGTACGGCCAGCCACTACCACCCGTAGTCACCGACTCTGTTACACCCACCCCCGAGGGCACCTATGGCGCGCATAAGCTTTCGACCGAGGTCATCATCAACGATATGCATCGCAAAGGCTTTATTGATGCCTTTATTGTGCGGTTTCCTACGCTGGTTGTGAGACCTGGCAAGCCCAGTAACGCAGCATCGTCTTTCCTTTCTGGTATGATACGTGAGCCGTTGAATGGTGATGTCTGTGTGTTACCTCTCAAGGATAGATCCTTCAGGTCATACATCTGCTCACCTAGTGGCACGATCGAGAATCTTGTACGGGTCTTAAATCTGAGGAGCGATGCTCTGCCGAAACACATCCGGCATATCAACTTCCCAGGTGTTGCTGCATCAGTTCAGGAATTGATGGACGGTTTGGCGAAATACGGTGGAGAGGAGAAGTTGAAGCTGCTTCAGGAGGAGACAAATCCGGAATTGGAACGTATTCTGAGGAGTTGGGCGCAAGACTTCGATCCAAGTACACCTGACAGGCTAGGCCTGGTGAGAGACAAGCACCCTGAAGATCTTGTCAAGGAGTACGTCGATTACTTGAACGAGCAATGAGACGACTCCCTAACCTCTGAGAGAGAATTGATTTGCACATGAATGCTTGACGGGTATTATATAGGAAGTTCTAGCAAGATTATGAGTGGATGCCTATATTCTATGGTAGCTTTCCCGTTGGTAATCAGTGTTAGCGATGATAATCTGAATTCTCGCAATGGCACACCAAGATTCCTGTACCCCTTTCGTTACCGATAATGTGATGCCCTGGAAGATACTGAAGATTATAAAGTCGGATTAGGTAAGGGAATTTTTTGATATATTTAGTGATAATAGTTATTTTGTTTTATCTTAGCCAAGTAGTCTCCTGGCTTTATGATTGAAAGGCCGAAAACCGGCTGCAAATGATTATACCTGACTCGAATGACATTGTACCAAGGCATCGTGGACAATAGCGCACCTCAATGTTTGCAAGGGTATTTACGTTCCCTCAGTAGCTTACAAGGGAGATTGATAGTGAAATCCAGGGGCGCCAATCATGAGGAAAGACTCAGGCAGCGGACTTGTGATAATTTGACAAAGGTGCATTGCATACATAAGAAAAAGCATGTCAGTAGATTATTCCAGGGGCTGCTATCTGGCCAAATACTCTAAATAGGGCGGCTACAGTAAGGCCTAAAGCCGATGGGTCCACCTTGCGCAATTCTCAGTCGCAGCACCGTCATGGTCAATGCCATCATTTGCACAAGACTATTGCTCATCGGCACACTAACCTCAGCCAGACGTCCGGTTGTCTCTGGCAGCTAATTCATCTGGATACTGGCAAGCCACCCGGAGCATATGCAATGTCCACTAATAGCATCACTAGCAGGAGACGGCTACAAATCTGGCATCCAGTGAGTGAGCGGTTTATAAAGACCTGCAATATAGCAGTGCCCGAAATATCGCGAGAAATACCTACATGTGATAGAGTAACGGAACCTCCAAAATATGGGGCATTCTCCACTAACTCAGGCGGTTGTGTATATTAAGACAGGCTGGCACAAGACCTAGCCGTACGATATCGGTGTTTTTTTTTCACGCTTTCGCGTTTCATCTTGTCGCATAACCGGATGGCCTCGTATGATTTAAGCAATTTGCATTCAGATATTGGGTTGCATAGAAACTCATCACAAGAAAGAAACCCGGAACACTTGAAGTGGCGCTAGAGTACCATGAACCCGGAACTTGGCCGACCCACCCCACCTGAAGTGTTCCAGCGAAGCAGTGAAGGAACCCAGCATTATGTTGTACGGAATCTTGTTGGCAGTTCAAGATCATATCGGTAATCCCGATATGTTGACAAACCAGATTCCTGTTCTCATCACCATGAAATATGTTTGCGGCAGATCACGCAGACTTGTATGTCAAGTTTTTCGCAGAAACTTCATTCGCGCAGTGGTGACGTTTGTGAAGGGGGTTTGAGTCAATAATGTCTCCGTGCGCGTAGGAAAATGCGCCTTGATGCAAAACCGCAAGGCTTGATAGCTCCTCATCCTACTGTATAGCCAATAACATCTGGCACCCATTATCTCAATAGCCAGGAACAGGGGGACCTTGTTGACCATATGAGGACCCGCCTGGACAATATCCCCTTTAGGCCTAACATATAGATAGCACAGACGCCGCTCGAGATTCATGTCACTAGTTCCCGATATATATCTCGGCAATAACTGACTCAAGCATCTGTAAAACAATTTTCTTTCTTCCAAGATCTGTCGTCACCGCTACTTGAAAATTTCCAATCTACGAAGGCATCACATCATACAGGATGAGAACCTCACCTTTTCTGAATGCACCAGCAGAAGTGCGTGGTCTCATCTATGATTATCTCTTCGACGATGCTGGCCACAAGCGGCTGGAAATCCGCAATGCACCGGCCGAGAAGGTGTCAGCGCAAGATGGGCGGAAAAGGACAAGATATTATGTTCTTGATCGCTCACTGCATCGAAGGTGCTTTGAGACAACATATCATCTTAAAACAAACGATGTACACTTCTGTGCGGCTTTGATGCGCACCAACCGCCAGGTATATCAGGAAACATCATATATCGTGTACGGCAAGCATGCATTCGACTTTGGGGGTGATGTCGAGGCTGTAGAACCATTCATATCAGATCTTATTCCTGAAAGTCGGCACATTATTCGGGAGATCTCACTTTACAAGCGTGGGCCGATGCCGATATATGAGAACGATCGGAGCGAATGGCGAAGCGTTTGTCGGTTCCTGCAGAAGACTGGTGTGGTCAGAAAGCTTCGTCTGGTCATCCAAGGAGGAAAGCCGACCGTCGATTGGCATGGGCCGAAGGAGTTCACAGCAACAGACTTCAAACTCTTGGCAGATTTGAAGCACGAGAGTCTAGATTGGGTCAACGAGTTGGCGCAGGTCAGGGTTAAAGAGCTGGAGATTTTGCCGGATGTCCATTATGCCCCTCCGCCTACAAGTACGAACATGTTGGTTTTCGCAGCCATATCAGCAAGCATAGAAAGAGGCTTGACTGAATTTCTTAGATCGCGATTGCTCTTGGCATCAGTCTGACTAATTGAGCTCATGTCCGTGAGATTTATGGAGTGTGATGGGGATAATAAGGGCAAGATATGCGTCGTGACGTGGTCCAACGCAATCTGACTGTTGGTGGAGAATTCTAGGCTCTTGTATGTGATATGATGAGGCCCGGCATCGCTGCAAATGAAGTTTTCATACTTATTTGAAGAATTTGGTGCTAAATTCAGCACTTCTTACCGTTAATCCGCTCAGTCCAACACGACTCACAAGCTCAACTAGCATTTGATAAACCTAACGATGAGTAATGTCATGCGCATAACCGCAAGGAATAACGGTTACTACTATCTGTCACATTTCAGTGTCTTTTCCCATGTATAATCCCATCCATAAGTCTATATACAGATCGGTACTTCACGCGAAACCCTCAGACTTCGAATTCACGCACTTGATAAATCGTCATAACCACACACCAATGCCCCATTGTTCCAAAACTGCACGTTCTGCAGATACTCGAGCCACGCATTGGATTTACGAGCATTACCTGTTCGATAATTTTGCTTGATCAGAAAGAACTCGGGGGCTGGATCAAAGCTGATACCGAAACGTTCATCAGAAGCTAGGACGACGCCAAGAATCTCCCGGGAGGGTCACTTCTTCTCCATATCTATGAGATCTTTAATGGTTACGAGATCTTGCTCCCGGCGATCGTTTGCCCGCTTTCCGTGAAAAGTTATGATTGGACATGTCAGCCCAGTCATTGCCCTTTCACTTACACGTGGCAATTACTCTTCCTTTACGTCTAGCTCAATGAGGTGTTTTGAATCTGGGTTGGTTGATATTGAGGGATGAGGTGAGACTTCTGAAACAAGATAATCATTTGCCAGAACAGAAGCAGGTGGACTCGCGTAGTCACCAGATTGTTGCACTGCATGCTTGAGGAACACTGAGGGATATGATACCCCTGCTGTAGAATCCAGAGGCACCATTCGACGTGCCGAGCCCTAGTCTCTGTTCGATATCGTGCCTGGTAACCTTCTTCATTGCCACACTTAGTTCGCTCGCGAGCGTCCTGCATTGCTTGTATATTTTATGATTACTGTATGGTGGACGAACCTAGTTAGGATGTAATTACTGGTGGTAAGCGGAGATGTTAAGGTTTGACGGATGAAGTTGTAGGAACTTGTGATATTAGAAGTATGACATCTTGCCTACTCCGACGAATTATACATGAGGTAACTTATCGCGGTTATGATCATAGAAATCAAGTAGTTGGAGTTCGGCATGTACAGTGATTTCGCGAGGTCTTTTTTGCGAAAATGTGTTTCTGTTGGAATATATTATTCGCGGTCTCGTACGACGGTTGACTACGTAGTATAGGTAGTCACCGGCGTGCTGGCAGTAAGCCACCACAGCCACGATGTGGCTGTCGGCAGCCAGCAGCTGTACGGGTGAACCCCTATCTATAGACCACGTACGAGGGGAAGAATCCCTTCTTCTCCTTCGTACGATAGCGCTGAATAGATCTGTTTGTCGCCCAAACTGTACGGAAAGAATTGAATGGAGAAGCCATTCCACAGTTTCGGGATCACGAATATCCTAGTGACGACCCAAGCGAATAAATGTTCTTTAATGATATTATGATGATTTTTTCTTTTTCATTTTAAGTTACTTATAACTATAAACCCGAAGGTATTCGGAGAGGTACCGAGGGACTTAGAGTCTTACGGCGTATTTAATAATAATAATAATAACCCGAAGGTAATGTTAAACTCTTTTTATCAAATAAGATAATTTAAAAAGGATTTTTATTATTGATTTATTTCTTATAATAAACAAATTAATATAAATTTTTATTGAACGAAAAGTCAACGTTTAAATGTGGAACGACCTGGCCAAGGTGCCAGCCTAGCGCTCGAGCAGCGTACGAAGTACATCTGTGCGTAGTCAGTGTAAAACCCACGCTTCACAACTAGCGATGGAGACATTCTATTCTCGCTTCCTTAAGAATAACTCTTTGTGTAGAATGGCTTCTCCATCAAATTCTTTCCGTACGGGGTGGGCGATAAATAGATCTATGTTTAGCGCTGTCGTACGAAAGGAAGTAGGGATTCTTCCTTTCGTACACGGTCGACAGATAGGGGTCTAGGATTCACCCGTACGACTGCTGGCTGCCGACAGCTACGGTGTAGCTGTGGTGGCTTGCTACCAGTACGCCGGTACCAAGCTAGACTATATGGTTAACCGTCGTACGAGACCGCGAATAATATATTCCAACATAATAAATACTATTATAATAAATATAAGTTTGTGGAATGGCTTCTCCATTCATTTCTTTCCGTACAGTTTGGGCGACAAATAGATCTATTCAGCGCTATCGTACGAAGGAGAAGAAGGGATTCTTCCCCTCGTACGTGGTCTATAGATAGGGGTTTGGGGTTCACCCGCACGGCTGCTGGCTGCCGACAGCCACATCGTGGCTGTGGTGGCTTACTGCCAGCACGCCGGTGACTACCTATACTACGTAGTCAACCGTCGTACGAGACCGCGAATAGTATATTCCAACAAAGTTATTTATTAAACCCTCGACTGAATATTACTTGAAGTAACTTATAATTATCATTACTTTAGTAATCCTAATCAAGTAATAAAAAGAACGAAATTAAAACGAAAATTAAGGAGTTTATACCTAGGGTTTTTATCGCATATAACGCAAAGCACACATATAAAAAGTATGGTCTTCCGACATTGCCTTAACAACATACAGAAGACAACCAGAGAGATAACGAAATTCAATCAGCTCATAGTATAACAGTCTAGTAATAATACTTGCGCTATTAATAATAACCAACTAACAGACATGTTCCCATTTGTCGAACCAAACTCGATCTTTTGACGTGTCGTTCTCGACGAAGCGTACTCCATCAAGAACGCAAACACAGCGAGGGCAGAAGCAATCTCTTATATCAAGGCAAAGTATAAGTGGTGTCTTACGGGTACCCCAATCATGAACATAATACATGATCTGGCTGAACTGATACATTTCTTGCGCATCTAGCCGTACTATACTCGCGCACACTTTTCGAGGATCTTGTAGTTTTTGAATTGTCGAGACAATAAGGGTGAAACGGATCAAGAGGTCTCCGGTAAACTCTAGACATTTCTACATGATGTTATGCTTCGTCGAACTCAGCCTTCCGAGATCAACGGCTAACCAATCAGTATTTTACCACCGAAGATAGAGATAGTCGGGTATGCCGTTCTCAGCGCTCACGAGAAAGCCGCGTGCGACAGAATAAACGCAGCGGCTTAGGAGCGAGCCTCGAGACTTCTTTAGGGGGTCACGGCATGGAGGCCCTTGACGCAACTAGAGCTGCTTCTCAAACTGATTTTGTTAATCAAGACACCTTCCAATCTCAGGCGGGCACGGAAGTTGCGAAGGGCATTCCCGACATTGACGACGTTAAAAATGCTAGAGGCAATCCCATCACTATTACATCGGAATCCCAAGACCTGTAGGAAGATGCGAAGACGGATACGTGGAATACGCAAGCTGGCTCTAAATTGATGACGAACGAACAGATTATTCTTGTTAAAAGCTATTAGCATGATGATGACTTTCAGAAAATATGGAAGGAGGCCAAAGCAAGTAAACTTGCTTATAAAAGCTAGATTTCATACATGCAATGTGATTGGATAAACTCATCCAAGATCACCGAATGTTTGTAAATTTTGAAGGACGCCAAGATAAGTGGAGAGAGGATTATTATGTTCTTCCTATGGACCTTCCTCCTCGACCTACTTAAACAATACATCAAGATATTAGGAATAGGCTCACATCGGTATAAAGGCGCTATGAATATATCTCAACGGCAAAAGGCTATTAAGGATTTCGTCAAGGTATTCTCTACTTTGCAAGTAATGTTGATGTCGCTCCATGTTGGAAATGCGAATTCAAATCTAAGTGTCGCGTTTCGCATCATTCTGATAGATAATTTCTAGAACCTATTCGTCGAAGACCAAGCCGTTGGGCAAGTATATCGTATCGGTTAAGTCAAACAAGGAATGGTCCATCGACTATTGGTCAAGGAACCGCGATGCAAGATGTCACCAAATACACCTGCCCTATGTCTTCGGCCTTGCAGCGCCTGGTTCACGATGGATTACAACTCTCTCAGAGATCTCATTCTACCACACACAATTTAATAAGCAGTTAGGAGCTCAATTAAATGATTGACTGGCTATATACATGGTACCCAACACTGGTTCCGGCGGCCGACGTTGGCAGAGAAGTATACTTAGTATGGTGCATAAAAAGAAGTAGATATGGAGTGGGAGCGTCCATGGCATCGCGAGGGCCTTAATGTAGACAAGGAAGGGAGCCGCTTGCCATTTATGGCATATCCACCAATAGATATAAGCACACAGTCCATAGCCTAGAGTGTGCTTGCTAGACTCTTTATTCAAGCTTGTATACATCAAACTCCTCCGGAACAGTGGCGGAGTCTAGACCGCTTGCCGCGATCGTAAGGCTGGATATAGTAAGAAAATCAGTAAAAGTGGTGATATAGGTTTAAGTATTAAAGGGAATCTTATCGTTCTCAGATTAGTAGTTCTTTGCTTACTATAAAATAGAATTAATTTGTTAGAACGTGGGCTTTAAAAGGATGATAGAATTAAGAGATATACCATTTGGGTAAGAGGAGTTTCCTCCAAGTCCGTAATGTTATACTTGGCTCCATCCCCGAACAGCAAGGTATCGGGTAGATGAGAGGCGCCTCCGTTGGCGCCTTCGGCACGCTTTCCGTTGACAATGCTGTAGCCACCACCGGAGAAGGGTCCGGAGTTAAGACAGACGAAGTTGGTGTTCACGGCAGGCGAAACCTGCCTCAAATTGTTGCAATTACCACCCGAGTGGCCCCTGCACTGGAGCTGCCAATCGGTCGGGATGCCGCGGAAGCCGACACTTGGGAAAATGTCTCCCGTCGAACCGGCGCAGCAGTCGTCGGGGTTCTTGTTGGTACAGACAGCAGAATTGGAGCCGCCGCAATTGCTGTCAAAATGGAGGTAGATATCGATGGCAGAGGCGGTGGCGAAAAGACCAAGGAGGAGCTGTGGGACCTGCATATTGAGTGGATGTGGTAGTTGGTTGTTTGATGCTTACTGGTGGGATGAAAAGGGCAGATGTTTGCAGGAAGTTGAACAAGAAATGACCGGGCTTTTATAGATATTTCAAACCCTTCCTATTATACATGTCTCTATAACAAGTCGACTTGATAGTCAACTGTTAACATTGAACACAGCTTTTTCCTTGGAATCAAGTGCTAGTTGCGGCCTATTGTCGAGCATAACATGCAGGTAATCATACATGGTACGTGTGACATAGAGCCGTCAACAAGTCTACAACTACTGTAGGGTCACAGCTCACAAGAACGCCGTGGATTCTTGAAAAAAGCATCAGAGCATCATGCAGGCCTCGTAACTGGATATACTTGTCAGCCGCGGACAAACTTAAAATTGTAGTACTACGATGCAAGAGATTATAACTGTTAGCTAATTGGCTCGGTCATATTTGCCAATAAGCCACGATTGTTTGTGGAAAGCAATTTGCAAAGCAGTCTTAACGCAACAAGAATATCTTCCTATCTCGCCGTCTTTACAGTCTTACTCACCAACCAACGCGTGAAGCGGTACGTGCCAATTAGTGGGATGTCAAGTAGTTTACGCTATGGCATGGCTCTGTTTATGATAACATGGGCTATCGGATAATTGGGTTTGAAATAGACTTCGATGTGGAAGATAAAACAACTATTATTCTCGGGCAATGTAGCCCTACGTGTTAGACGGAAGATACATGTTATATTAGTAGCCAGTGCGTTTTGTTTTCTTTTCTTCTGTATATTATAGATGAAGAGCTTATCTAGAGACTTGGTAAAACAATATAATAGCTTCTCATACACATGCAGATGTAACCATGAAATGACGTTCTATTAACTTTACGCTAGTTTGCCATTTCTACAATTCACAAACCGGCAAAGATGTATTTTTAGTCTAATGGAATTTTCTTTCATTTTAAGAAAACCCAGGAGTGCCTCATGCTGAAAATCGTAGGAGGCTTTGTTTGCCATGAACGACGCTATGCGCATAATTGTCCGCACTGGATCATTTATTAGTAAGAAGAAGGTAAACACGGTGTCATCTTGCTTATGACTAGCAATGAATCTCAAATTTTAGTTTGATCCTATAAGCAACCGTCAAACTTTCAATCAGTACATACTCATGTTTGACTGCTTGAAGCATTACACGAATTAGATTTATAAAGTAAAGCTAGCGCCGTCTTAGATAAGTTTTTAAATCCTCTAAGAATCCTTCTCAATTGACGTTAACGTTAGCCTGTTGAGTTATTCCGCGATGTATACTTGTGTAGTCAGCAGAGACTCTCATTCCGTGATTACTCATGCTCCACAATATTTGGGCTTGGGGAAGAAATACTTGAATATAGTCAATCATTATGGTGTGAGATCCATAACAGATCTAGCAATCTTGCTCTATTTCGACTTGATCATATATACGAGACCTAGATTTAGGAAGATTGTTAGATTCTTGCCTATTTAGAGATGACCGTAGCGTAAAATCTCTTCACAAATTAGGCTCACAAGTCCTGCTAAATTTTATTCCTACTCCATGTGATCGATATCATCGATAAGCCATGATCATCGGCGGGCAAGCACGTTGGGCCTGTAAGCAGGATTACCATTCAGCTAACGGATTTTAAGGTTTTGATTATTAAGTCGAAATCATAAATCTTTGTCGCACCCATTAGACCAAGATATGTAGGTAGACTTTCATCCCAAATTGCAAGTTGACACTCATCTTTGCCGTATCTAGCTCGTTGTGTTATGTCTGCAGCAAATCAGGTCTTGTAGAGGCAGCCAAAGTAGCCGATTTCGTGATGTACGGTACCGACGTTCAAAAGTACTACGGTGGGTCTGAACTAAAATTAACCTGAAGGCTACGGTCGGTGGACCTATGCCTGCTACGGGCATTTGCTGGTCTTTCTGACTATTGTAGAACTCGGGCGGCTGCGTCTTAGAGACACACTTCTCAGCCGAAGCTAGGAGCTTCTGCATCTCCGTAGTGTTTGGCCCCAGTGCTCATTGCCGTGACTTTATCTGTTATGTTGTTCTGCATAGAAATAATAGCATGAGTGAGCATAGACTCCCGCACGTTCTTGGCTGCAAGCAACGAGATTGCTGGCCGCAGGCCAGGACCAAGCGACCAACTTTGCTTCCGGGTGACTGTGTCGAATGTATGCAGACCATCTCGATTTCGTTCAATGCATTGGGTTATACTAGTAGTTGTTGGTCTTGGGAACAAGGGTATCTCAACTGTACGTATATCCTGCGAACTAGATATCGCAGGAATTCCATGGGGCCTTTAACGTCTTTACGGATGTACGCGCGCGTGGAATCTCGGAGTCCGCCGCCAGGGCCTAGAAATGCGATAATGTTGCCAGATCCCGACGCCTCATAAGACACGAACGACTTCATGTTGGTAAGATAGAGCGCGAATTAGAGTCCAGCTGAGCATAGGCCAAGCCCTACGACATCAATAGGCTCTACACTTCCAATAGTTTCCAGCCCGGATGCCTAGACTGGTGATGGCCCATCTTAGAGACCAGTGCACCCTGACCCTCCTTCGTAGACCCGAATTTAATTGAGGAGATCCAGCTGCAGCGTATCACATGGAGGTAAACGTCGAGATCGATAGCAGCAAGTCCTTGTGCATTCGGAAGGATCTTCTGACGAATTTCGGTCAGTTGATGGATGAGTTGCTGTTGCATGTCGTATGTTCGTGCCTGTGCGAATGAATGGCAGGGCCTTGTGTGGAACATCAGGATCAGTGTGTTCTGTGTGAACAAGCGAGTTAGCATTCTCTACCAGCTTTCGAACGACAAATCGAATCATTCGCTAAATTTAGCTAGGGTCTAGCTCGGAAGTTACGTCGGTTTTTCCCGCGTTCCAGCATTAACAACACAGAGATCTGCCTTCTGCAGAGCTCTGCCGTACGGTATGAAACGTAAGCGAAATGCATAGAGCGTAGTGAAGGACAAGAATCCTGGAAAGCTCACTGTTCAAGAAAAAAAGTCGTGGACACTGATATATCATCCTCCTGGTGGTGATGACGCGGCTAAGATGCTAGTACTTCCTCCTTTTCCTTATTTCTTTTATTTTCTCAATTTGACCACTGTTAGCTCCGGTTAGACTACTGGTTGACTGAAATCCATCCAGAACTCAAAAAGCTTTAGCCCGATACCAAACTCCCGCAGCCTCGGTGGATGAGTCAGGCTGTGGCCGTCGCTCGGCATGGCGAGTCTGACAATGGTCTTGACCCGGCCGATGACCTTGCCAGTCTTGTCTGTCTTCTCTGGCAGGTGGGTGGTTCGGATTCGGACTCGCTTCAGGAATGACACCAGTCGGGTCTTGCCGTCTTGCCGCTGGGTATCGAACTCAGCCATCAGCTGGTCCAGCGGGACCCAGCCTCGACCACCTTACCCAGTCACCTAAGTTGCAGAGTTGCCACTAGCGCTAAAAATGCGCTGACGGTAGCGAAGCGCTGACACCTCTACCATTGTGTATGCATTCCAATTATGGTGCAGCAATTCAATGGAGAGCGTATGAGGTGGTATGTCACTGTCTGAGAGGTTGATCTCGCACATCAAGGTGCTGCCTAGCACCTACTCGAGCCGAGAACAGAGATTAAATCCGATCTGTACAAGGATGGAAATTTAACGCCACCTAATGTAAGATGGCGCCGCTGTTTCCGCCCAGATAGCAGAAGATATACATAGGCTATAGGAAGCTGCTTTAGGAGTATTAAGCTGGGGACTCCTCCTGCTGGCTAATTTAAAGTTCGCAAGGCAATTTTGTGTTACTTATAACCTATACCGTGAATTTAGGGGACCGGTCCTCCTTTAATTGGCCATGTGTTCTATTCATAACGTGTGAGGAGTAATGTGTATCATGCTCAAATAGTGCCTAACAACTACAACCATTCATTATTTTCCATTGAATGCACTAATCTATGGCACTCTAGCAATTGACACTACTATTAATCACTCACTATAGTGCTTGCGGAAAGCCATAGAGTATTCGTCGGTACTTATGAATCTCCATGTGCCAGTTGTACCCGGTGCGTAGAATTGAATAGAGATATTGCACAATTTAGATGCCACAAAAACCGGTGGTCGTGAATATGTTTCATTGTTTGCCTATGTACCTCGGCTATCAATTTCATAGGAAGAACAGTCAACGGCACGCCGTAGCGACTCCCCCAATGAAATTGCAGTATTACCTGGAATCACGACGATTCAGAGTGACCGAATTTCGTGGATCACTCGCCAAGACCGAGATTCGATCACGGGACCGCACCAGCTAGCGCTATTGCTCTAGCTCTAAGCCATATAGCTGCCACCTGTGGTTCCTTTGTCCTTCTGCCGTGAATTAAAAGGGGCAATATTTGTAAAATTGAGCTTAGCCAGAAGTGGTCTATCCTAGGCATATTGAACTCACCCAAGGCCATACCACACCATATTTGTCAAGTCTACTTGTAGCCTGTTTACCCCAAGCAAGCATGGAGCATTGACGCTTATATTATAGCGATATGGTAAGTTGGCACAAGCTAGAAACAGGATCTCTTGGTCCTCAGCTCATGGATCCAATAAACCACGGTACAAAGCACGTAACAAGTTCCTCAATGCATTCCTCAATGCCCAAACAATCCGATGTCTATCGGCCTCTAACTGCTGTTACTGTCAGGCAACGAACTCAAAGGAGGAAGACCTCAAAATCTCAGACGACGCCATGGCTTTACCAGAAGTGCCGGTGATCAAACAGTGGGATGTCGCAATTGATGAAGACATTATACCGTCCGAAAATATTTGCCAGGCCTACTAGGTTAAGTGGTTATAGGTTACAGATTTACGTGTCACAAGCTGCGAGCCAAAACATTCTTCTCGCTAGGTGGGCATGTCCTTGAAGTGCTGGATTAGTACCCAGGTGAGTTGATGACTGGAAATTTTCGATGTTGTACGTTTTTGCGTTTTCGTATGATCCCGTCTATCTTAGTACTCGCCCTCTAGCATACTTACAATAGAAATCATGAATTTGTAGAGCAACAATCGAAACAGCTTAGACTTGGAGCTAACATGTTGTGTATTGTCGTAAGGGACAGCTGGTTGGCGAAGTGGATGGCTTTTTGACTACTGTGAACATGAACATAGAGTTGTCACGTAGCGCATCTACAAGTGAGGTATGCTGAAAAAACCCATTGTCGATTCGCAAGGTTCTAACCTTAGTCTATACTAGCTTACTTTGGTGGCCGCCATATGCCAAGCCTATTCCAACTATGTTGAGGCCCATGGACACTTTCGAAGGTAACACAATGTTTTAAAGGAACGCAGGCAAGCGGGTAGCATCGTACGTAAGACATGTAAATTTCGTGGCTACAGGAAGAAGCCTAGTCACCGAGATGAGTCTTGTTGGAAATATTCATAATCTGCGTAGATCTTTAAACTATCCACCAATGGAAGCAGTGCTAACAGATATCTAGCCGAGCTGTCCCGCAGGGAAGTCTCCAAACTAAAGGCCTGCTAGAAAGCAAGATGGCACAATATGTCAACTGTTATTATCAGATTGTCTCAAATTATTTTCATAGTTCGTCTCTACGTGTCATAAAATACCAAACATCTAACTTCAATACTCTGCCGGTGTTCCATACTGCAGTAAGCGGGGTCTTCGAATGCCGAGTGCAGCGCCCGGCGGGCGACCGATTTATCCGAATCGAAGCATTTAATTAGAAGTACCTCATCTGTCTTGAGCCCGTGTTTGTAATACCAGTGATGTGTAGGATTGTGCCTCACTACCCAGGACTCTCCACGAAAGCCATCTTCAATCATCTCCGCCCCAACCAGATCCGCGTCTGGGACCGAGTTCGCGTTTGCCACGGCAACAGGATCCTTGTATATCGTCTTGATGGGGCGCCAGACATTGATGATTTGATATCGCTTTTTGATGAGCTCGTCAGCTTCTTCTGGCAGCTCCCATCTCAGCCGCTTCTCAGCTCCATCGTATGACTGATCGACGTGGGTTTTGGTGACGGGCCCACGGTTCGCCAGGTTCTTCAGCCCCAGGTGATGCCAGTGCGTCGGTCCCCTTCTCACCTTGTGATTGAAGACATGGATGCGACTGGCTCCCGTCACATCTTGCAAAGCTTGAGCACACTCTGGATAGTACTCGGCTCTGATCCTTTGCTCGTCCACGAAGTCTTTCTCCTTGCTCTCGTGGCGGATGTACTGAAAACCGTGACTGTCAAGAGTGTAGCGATCTTCATCGCCACTCACATCCGAGACCACAAAGCGGTGAGGGCGATGAGGTCGCTCATTTGTGATGTGTCCCTTACCTATATAGATGGGTGTTGGGCGAGAGCCATCGCCTGGGTCGTCCCAATAGTTCAGTTCCGTTGCCACGTCGTGTTTTTCCTGGTGTTCGTTCACTGCAGTCGACTCATCAAGTGCATTGTTCGCCATATCAGAAACCATCGTCGCCATTGTAGATGTAGGCGAAACGTCAGATAGACGTTGAGCTGTGCTGCAGCTTGCCGGGCTGGAGCTGTCGAAAAGAGGCATTGCTAATGTGACAGTGCAGTACAAAAGCATCGATAGTGTAGGCGTGGTCGCCTCCAAATTTGAAGTTTGAACATCTGCCGGTCCCAAGAGTTGGGGGACTGCGGACTTCCAGATGGCCGGCTAGGCATTGTAATGCATTTCGAGTACCCCCTCATCTTTGGCCCAATCGTCACTTTCAGAATTACAGATAGCCGGCAATTCAGTGATTGGGCATGTCTTAAGAAGGCAATGATAGCGCAGTAGGAGTAGTATTGTTCGACTATCATAGAGATCACGGGGTCTTGTGAGTTTAGCCAGATTGAAAAGAGTACACGGAGCCAGTCCACCATGACGTTCTTAAGATAATTTGGATATATGCACATTGTGTGGGGAAGAAGGATGTCTATGCGCTTCCCGAGCACAACTTCGTTTCTATCTATAAAAGAACTCGAACTATAGGTTAAGAGCCATTCTGTTTGAAGTGTGTTAATCCGAATCACTTGATCCTCTCTCATTGTACACTGTAAGCTTTTGTCATAAACCGACCACCATGGCTATCTCAAACACAGTCCCACGAACGGTTCAATGGAATGGCAAGAATGTCCCGGTCTACCCAATGGAGACTATTAGCTTCGAGCGACTGCTCTCCCAGGAGCCTGCTGAGCTCGAAAAGGCAGTGCGCTGCTGCGAAACTGAAGGTTTCTTCTACCTAGACCTGTCGGGAATTGATGGCCGACGCTACTTGGAGGATCAGGAGAAGACTCTGAATTTGATGCACCGCTTCTTTGGATCACCACTCGAAGCTAAGAACCAGTTCGGACTTCTGGCTCCTCACTTGGGGTAAGTTGAACAATAGCCACCATTCATTGGGAAGCGGGAATGCTGATAGAGGATGCTAAAAGCTACGAGCCCGTCGGTTCACGAACAGGTGTCTTTGCGGACACAAAGGATGGATACGAGATGATCAAAGTATGACAGTAGTCATTATGGCAAAGATCTAATAAGCGTTGGGCTAACTTCAGTACGAAGGTATCCCGAGACGAGATCCAGCGAGCCAACCCGCATCTTCCAGATGTGATGAAGAACAGCCCGGACATTCGAATCCTTGAGAACGCCATCGCAGGATGCAACATCGTCACCAAAACGATCCTGTCAGCGCTGTCCACCGGACTGGGCCTCAGCGGTGCCGGGCGGTTCGAAAACTCCCACCGCAACGATCGCCCCTCAAGCACGACCCTGGCCATGATGCACTATATCCCATCGGACCCAGCGGTTGCGCAGAAGATCGGACACCAGAAGCACACGGATATCAGCTCCCTGACGCTGCTGTACAGCCAGCAGTGGGGCCTGCAAATCCGGCCGCCGGGGGCGCGCGAGTTCGGCTTCGTCGAGCCCAGGGACGGCTGCGCCGTCGTCAACGTGGGCGACTCGCTCCGGTTCGCCAGCGGGCACAAGATGCAGTCATGCATCCACCGCGTTGTGCCATTCGACCCGACTGAGCACCGCTATTCCATCGCCTACTTCCTCCGCGCCGAGGACGACACCATGTTCACCGACAGCGAGGGTAGGTACATCACCGCTGGGCAGTGGCACGACGAGAAGTTCTTCGCATTCACCAACCCGCCAGAGCTGCAGGCCCAGGCTCCGCCCTCCATGTTGTTGGGTGGGATGACGGAGGCGGATGACGAGGAAGAAGAAGAGATCATCGTGCAGGCGCCCGCCGGTCAGAAGGACATTGCCGTCGGGGCATAAATGGCACATCATTGCTTGTATGCATATTTTTAGAGGATCGAACGGATGGCAACACCTCCCTAGATACAAATCAAAGCCATTACCCGAAGATCATTGTTCATCCGCTCCATATCCGTGCTGTATCTGTCAATTATTTTGATTTCGTTCTAGTCTAAGACTTATTAAGTAAACTCGCATGATAAACATGATGTGTGCCAATCCCCATTAGTTTTAGCAGAAGAAATCGAGTTTTTCGGGATATTGAGAGGGCAAATGTTGCATATGGAACATGTAATATTGGGTATACAAGAGTTGGAGCTCAATCTTCCCAAAACACAGACACCAAGAAGGCGCTATAGTGAATTGTGTACCGACATGCCAATTTCGAACCAATCATAACTACCGGCACTTGTCGAGCTCCGATGAAGCCGATTAGGATCGGTCCCAGGCGGGTAAAGGGATCGGGTTGCGACCTTCCCCTCCAGAACCATAGACTGAAATATTGGCACTTCACATGGTCTGGATTGCCCAGTTCCTTGATGGCGTATTACCTGCAGCAAAAACGTCACGATTATACTGCAAGGCGATGTTCGGACTTTTTGGAGAATCAGCTACAAGTCGTTGAAAGGTAGTAGCCCGAAGAATTCACCATTCGCAGCCAATCCTGATATACGAGGCGATCAAGTCTGCGACGTACCGCAACCAGAAACGCCATGGAGGTGGCTGAAGAGGACTTTGTTCTTATCTACCATAGCGATGCGACAGACAACCCTGGTGGAGCCGATGCCGCATATGTTAAGGAGATTGATGAATTCGTCGAAAAGATCTCCGGGGAACTATGGGCCGTGAACAAATACATACATGACAACCCGGAGCTTGGCGACGAGGAGCATAAGGCCCACGCACTTTTGACCAATTTCATGAAGTCTAGGGGTGGGTGGAAGGTCACGCCCTCAGCCTACGGGATTGCGACGGCATGGGTCGCGGTCTTCGACACTGGCAAGAAAGGTCCTGTAGTGTCGTTCAATGTCGAGATGGGTATGTTTCCCCTGATCAATGCCTAGAACGCCTACCTGATAAATATGACACAGATGCTCTGCCCCGGATTGGCCATGCATGTGGCCATAACCTCATCGCCACAAGCTCATTGGCCGGGGGCCTGGCCACCGCCGAGATCATGCAAAGTCATAGTATAAAGGGCAAAGTGGTCATATTCGGCACTCCAGCAGAAGAAGGGGGCGGCGGCAAGATCCGCCTGCTCGAAGCGGGGGCCTACCACGAGCACGGCGTCGACGTCTCTCTGATCTCGCACCCGGGCATCTCGCGCGACAGCGCGCTGGTCCACACGGCGGCCTACACGCAGTTCGAGGTCGAGTATTTCGGGCGCGCAGCGCATGCGGCCAACCGTCCCTGGCAGGGGATAAATGCGCTCGACGCTCTCGTCGTGGCATACAACGCGCTGTCTGTGCTTCGCCAGCAGACCATGCCCGGCGACGTTATCCAGGGCCACATCACGGACGGCGGGCGGGCACCGAACATTATACACGCGCACGCGGCAGGCACTTTTGTGGCGCGGGCGGGCTCGGCGACCCGGCTCCGGGAGCTTCGGCGGAAGGTCGACGCCTGCTTCCGTGCGGGCGCCGAGGCGACGGGTGCGAGGCTGCAGGTCGCCCAGGTGCAGGAGTATGCCGACCATGTTCCCAACCAAGTGCTCGGCACGTGTTTCGCGAGGTATTGGAACTCCTTGTGTCCGCCAGGCGGGGTTCCTATGGGCCACGAAGTCGTCTCCGTAAACGCGAGCACGGATCAGGGCAATATCAGTCATGTGATGCCGAGTATGAGCGTGAGTTTTGCCATTCCGCCTGGGCGGGAGGGCGGTGGACCACATAGCCCGGACTTTGCTGCATCAGCTGGCACACGGGAAGCCTTTTGGAGATGTCTGAGGACGGGTAAGGCGCTCGCTGGGACGGCCTTAGATGTTCTCACAACGGAGGGTCTGCTAAGTGAAGTAAAAAGACAATGGGAAAGAGACATGGATTCTTCACATTGAGAATTTGACAGGGAGGCACATGCTGGGTGTATAACTTTGAGCAGCTTAGTACGAATGTTTTAAATATGCCCTTTCGGCCTCTTCGTACGCGTCGTATGACCATATCCATTCCTGCGCCTTTGTGTGTGCCCTTTTGCTACAGTCTCGGTCAGCTCCTGGCTCACAGTTTTGGAGGGAGTGTTAAACTAGATTACTTACTACATGTTGCCGTATTCTTGACTTGATGCTATTTCGGTGGTGGCGGCTGCGTAGGGCTCTGCGTTCTCGAATTGCGAGCAGGTCGCAAGCCTACCAGTCTCCTGGCGTATACTCTTGGCCCTAGACATTCTCAAGCGTTCGTATAGCGAAAGTGCTTTAGGAAGCTGACTTGGATTCTCCACATGAGCTAGTAAACTACCGAGCGTTCCTGCATCCTCTAGACCTAGGCTGAGGCCCTGCCCTAAAAAGGGACGCATGGAATGACCGGAGTCACCTGCGAGTACGCACGTTGCTTGTGGGGATACCAGCGTAGTTAATTCAGGAACTGTGTTCGCCCCTACTATCAATAAATAGAACTTGCAGGAGTGATTGATCAGTTCAAATCATTTACCTTGAACCAAACACCATTTGTTCACTTTCTGCACGGATTTTAGCATGGCTGTCAAGCTTGGCAGTCTGCGTTAGTATTTGTGAATACAGCGACCTATGATGCGAGCTCACGTAGGATCCCAACCTTCAGCACGCTTTCTCATCTCTTCAGCGATCGCAGCCATGTTTCCGGTTTCCTTGCTTGAAGCATGAGGTAGCAGCAATAACAAGCTGTATTGCGTGCCCTTTCTCATGGAATATCCCACAACATGAGCACCTGGTGCAATCCAAGTCCGGATCTGGGGCAACTGCATCGAATTCCGTACAGTTTCATCCTGTATCTGTCCTCTAGAAATGGTTATGCGATACGCCAAGTCACCGGTTGGCTCCGGCCTGATCACCCTTCCAAGGACTTTGGACCTAAGTGTTGACCATGTTCCATCAGCGACTACAACAAGGTCACCACGATGCGTTTGTCCATTTGTGAGACGGATCTCGGGCTTGGAAGTTTCGAGATCTGTAATGCGGGCCGAATAATGTACTCGGACCCCGAGTTCGGTCGCCCTTTGGAGCAGACCAGCTTGGAAGTCGACACGGTGAAAAGTCCACAGCGGAGATCCGTCCCGCTGTGAAAACTCACCCTCGTGGTTTCGCTTCTGGAGGATTAGTTTCCCGCGGATGTCATAAATTTGTAGGAGCTTATGCGACGAAGCCACTGGTTTCAGGATCTCTTCGAGACCCCATCTCAAGAGAAGCCGCGTTCCATTGGGTGAGCACTGAAAACCAGAACCAAATGGATGTGGCTGATCCGAAGACTCAAAAATCGTCGCGTTATGCCCTGCAAGTGTTACTGAGATGGCCGTGGCTAAGCCCGCCGGACCAGCACCGACTATGAGAACGTTGAGCGGAATAGGCGTGGGTACTGGTGGCAAGTCCAACATGTTTATTGTGGAAGTTATCGAATGTTAAGGTGGGAAACAGGACTCCAAAGCGCATTATCCGGTGGGAAGAAGTCACCCAATGGTGCTGGTGGACTTTTGGCAAGCAAGATACAAATTTCAGCAGGAAGTACATGGGCGTAATTGAATTCAATATAGCCGGCTACTAGCCTGCAGCTATTTGGCGAACCTCAGCACACTATGCTGTCCAGCAATCGATGCTGGTTCGGCGGAGAAAGTGCACTTGTCCATTGACGTCTCGGAGCATGTCTTTGCGGACAAGTCTGACCTAGTCAACGTGCACCTGCTGATATACTGGCCTTCTATCTTACCATGTCAATTAAGTAGGCCTAGATAGAGCTGTCAACTCTCTAGTCAGCGGTACTAGGTGCTGACGTGAAAGTGGCGAGACAGATATACACCTGAGACTATTTCCTGTGACAATGCCATAATACGATGTTGCATTATGGCCGCTTGAACTTTGTTTCGGTCGTCCGATTGACCGTCGTGCTAAGCTTATCGATAGACTCTGGAGCGAAGCGGTTCAGCGAAGAATAGAAACTTAGAATGAACCAGACACGAGCAAATAAAGATTGCAGCCGACCAATGGATAGGCTATGATCTCATATGACCCGGTTGGTTGTATCCTACTGGGTGGTAAGTGAGTACATATGTATGTATTTGGCACGAAAAAGGGGCCGAAGGGGCACTGTTCTATGTACGTGATGACTAAGAAGCGTTCGGTCGGGGCTGGAGCTGGGAGGCGGGAGCTGGAGCTGAAATTGGAAATGGAGCTGAAGGTAAAGGTAAAGCCCGGTACGGTGTTTGGCGTCTGTGCTTGCGACAACTAAACCTAGCCCCTACATGTGTACATACAGTAGTCCCTCCCGTCCCTCTGTAGTAAAGCTAGGTTAGCCGGTTAGTGCTGAGATATGGCCCCAAAGTGGTCCCGGTCCCTGACGACGACAACTGGGGCGGCGGTTCCATTCGCGTGGGGACACAACCTGCATTGGAGGGTTTCAACTGACTTCCAGCTTCGAGTGCAATACTGTACAACTTGAAGATCGTTCATCGGTCCGTTCTTCTCTCTTCTCGTTTGCTCATGCTCGGTTCTGATTCTGATTCTGATTCTGATTCTGATTCTGATTTCCATTCCCATTCAATATTCAATCCCATTGATTGTGTATGTACAATAGCTTGGCAGGCGGAGTCTAGTCTACCACGTCCACGTCTCCGTCCCCCAAGGTCCGTGATAGCCGTCCTTGGCTCACGCTCACTGCACCCCGTCCATCTGTTCACTCCTTTCTCACGTTGTAATTACCCAATACCCTTATCGTTCCATCGCGACCCTCATCTGGTGGATTCATACAAACCACAATCACATTGCGTTCAAATGTCCCCCATCACCCAGATACCGTAAATATGCCTTCCGACGAAAAGTCCCATTACACCCCGGCACCACCCATACCATCTTACGACGAGGCTGTCCAGGGCTCATCATCCCGCCATGACTGGCCGCCGCCACGGTCCCCCATCGACGACAGGCCCGAGTCCGAAAGAGAAGCGCAGTCGCTGCTGACCTCGTCGCGACCCGGCCCGACCGACAGGAGGTTCCCCGCAGGCTATCGCCCGCCGCATGTTGAAACCGACGACGAGGATTCGGAATGGAGCATCGACAGCGGCGATGAAGACGACACGGAGGACGCCCAGGTGCGCCGCGAGATGCAAGAGTTGGAAGTCGAGGATCCATTGAATGGGTCGGCCAGCTCACGCTCCAGCAACTCGTTATGGCGCAAGCGAATCGCCGCCCTCTCCCTGCCACAGTGGAAATGGAAATGGCGACTTCCACGCATGACGGTGCGCCTCCCCCGAGCGAGCGATAGCGCGAACATCCCGACCACGGACCCACAACAGGACAGCTCCAGCACTGCACGCCGGTCGTGGTGGCACAGCAATGTCAACATGGGGAGCTCTGCTGTCCTGATCCTCTTGGGCAGGCTGTTGGCATTGTTCTTGGTTCTGGGATTCTTGTACCTCGTCTTTGTCAGCGATCTCTTCTCAAACATGTCGCGGCGCATCGGCGGCCAGATGTTTGATCCCGAGAGCGTGCGCATGCATGTCAAGAACAGTATCGACCCCCGACGGATCCGCGACACGCTCAAGCACGTCACGAGCTACGCCCATATTGCCGGCACAGAAGGAGATTTCGCCATGGCCGAAGATGTACGCAACTCTTTCCTGAGGAGCGGTTTGGAAGATGTCACCGTGGACGAGTACTACGTCTATCTCAATTACCCGAAAGAAGATGGACGAGCCGTCGAAATCATGTCCCAAGATGGCTCCAAGGCCGTCTGGAGTGCCAAACTCGAGGAGGAGGGCGTCGGCGCCGTGAGCAACACGGTGGGGAAGCAGACCCTGGCGTTTCACGGCCACTCCAAGGCTGGCGATGTTAGAGGACCGCTGATATATGCCAACTATGGAAGCAGGGAAGATTTCAAGCGGCTATACGACAGCGGCATCGACACCAAAGGCGCCATCGCATTGGTGAGGTATTATGGTACGCAAGGTGACCGAGCCCTGAAGATCAAGGCAGCCGAACTCGCAGGGTTTGCTGGCTGTATCATCTACAGCGACCCCGCAGACGACGGCTTCCGCTTAGGACAACCCGCGCCCGGCGGACACTACATGCCGAATGACGGAGTCCAGCGAGGCGGTGTTAGTCTGATGAGCTGGGTCGTTGGCGATGTCCTTACCCCCGGCTGGGCAAGTAAAAAAGGCCAACCTCGAGAGAAGACCACTCAAACCAAGGGCCTGGTACAGATTCCCAGTCTTCCATTATCTTGGCGCGATGCCCAAAAGCTATTGCAAGCGATTGAGGGGTTTGGCGACCCGCTGCCAGAGGAATGGATAGGTGGTGTTCCAGATGTCAATAAATGGTGGAGTGGCAATGCATCGTCGCCGATTGTTAGACTGAAAAACGAACAAGACGAAGTAGAGCAACAACCCATCTGGAATATCTATGGCAAACTCGCGGGAATTGAGCAGACAGAAAAAACAATCATTGTCGGCAATCATCGGGATGCCTGGAATTGGGGTGCAACCGACCCAGGCTCAGGAACAGCCGTCATGTTGGAGGTTGCTCGTGTATTCGGCGATCTTGTTGCTAGAGGCTGGCGCCCATTACGAACGATCGAGTTCATGAGCTGGGATGCCGAGGAGTACAACTTGATCGGCAGTACCGAATTTGTGGAGAACAACCTCGACTATCTCCGTGCAGATGCCTTCGCTTACCTCAACATCGACACGGCTGTCAGTGGGTCAGAGTTTCGTGCCGCCGCATCTCCCGTGTTCAACAAGATCTTGTACAGTGTACTAGATCGTGTGCATGACCCGGTGCAAAATGCATCCCTTCGGACCTTGTGGGATGCTCGTGGAGGCCAGCTCGAAGGGCTCGGCGCAGGCAGCGACTACGTTGCCTTTCAAGACATCGCGGGAACCAGTTCCATTGATATCCGTTTTGACGGCAAGATGCATCCGTACCACTCGAATTACGACAACTTTGACTTCATGTCAAGGGTTGGCGATCCCGATTTCGTTTACCATGGCCTTTTAGGCCAAGTTTTGGCACTGCTCATTGTTGAGCTTGCAGATCGACCGGTACTTCCCTTTGACCTCCAGGAGTATGCTCTCGCTCTCGGTCGATATCTTGGAGATTTGTGGAAATGGAGCGAGGATAATGGTGCGAACAGAGACGAGAACACCAAGCTCGATCTGAATGCTATCAAAGACTCGATCAAGGAGGTCGAGGCAAGCGTTGCCAAGTTCGGCAACTGGGAAGCTGAATGGGGCCAAGCCGTCACGTCGTCTAATGGCTGGGAGCCAGCCGGGCTTGGTCGCCAAAGAACAGAGTACAACTCGAGGATGGCTGCCTTTGAAACCGGGCTCCTTGATACCGAATTCGGCGGTGGAGTGAGTATCTCCTGGTCACACTTCGTACGTCAGCCACTAATCATTCACAGATTCCCAACCGGACACAATTCCGCCACGTCGTATTTGGTCCCCAGCTCTGGTCTGGTTATGACGAAGCGTATTTTCCCGCAATCAGAGACGCGGTCGACGCACGGAATTATGAGTTGGCGCAATCCATCGCCAACAAAACGGCGACCATCATTTCTGCGGCAGCGAAGGCACTGATAGAGTAAAATTTCGTCTTTTCATTTTCGTTTTCATTTCTCATTGGAATTTTCCCTTGTCTATACGGTCCCGAAAGGAGCCTTCATGGAATTGCATCGCTCGGCGTTGGTGGTCCAGCTGGAAATGCTTGATCCGTTTCGGAACATAACTCGGTGTTTTCTTCTTTTTAAATATACTTGCTTCTCGACATTACTGTACAACAAAGAGCAGCGTAGACAAGTTCATTTATAGCGGTAATGACGCGTGTACAAAGAAACATCTACTCCATGTCACCAAGTAACATGCCAGAAAATTTCGACCGTCACTGTCAACTTCTGCGTGCGCTCGGCATACTAAGCTTACAAACGCATCTATCTTTGATCCTCCACGTCTGTTTCGGGTTTGTAGCATCAGAAATATAGAACAATATTCACACATTCTCAAACACATAGAGACACAGCTCTTAGAGAACTTGGCATCCCCGTTCGCTCCGCCCTAGGTAAGCTCGGAAGCGCTCGTTCGACGTGACCGGCGAGACATGATGGCCTATCCCTAGTGCTGCACGAGTGAAGGTTGTCGCCACAGGCGGTGTTGTGGTCGAGACCGTTGCGCCCGGCGTCCAGCATCAGCGTCGGGGCAGTAACTCGAGATCGCCGACGGGGCAGATCCAGGCGACTGGGTAGTCCGCCCGCCGCTGTTCATGCAACGGAGCCGCGCGGGAGCGATTTCGTCTTTTTGACGACAACGTCGTGCGTCGGATAAGCGATGGGACCGGACTTGGAGTAACTGAAAGGGGGGGTGCAGGAGCATTGCTACTGGGGGGTTATGTGAACGGGTATTTCGGCTGAGATGATCGCGATCAGGGGGTAAGTTGTTGCAAGCGCCAACTGATTGTCAGCAACATACTCCTTTCTTCCGTGCGTTAAAATTTACTGGGCAATACATTGCGCACATCGAGACAGACCATCCAGCAACAAGGCAGTACCTGCTATGTTCCGGTTCTTGGTAAGACTCACCACTATAGCAATTAGCAGATTAATATAAGCTGTAGATATTGGGCTGGGCACATATAAGGTTTTAATATCTTCCATTTGTCTTACAACACCCGCTATATTATTAAGTACCTGGATAAAAAGTGCTTGAAGCTTAACGACAGCGAGATGGCTACACTGACCATTGAAATCCTTATCGTTCCCAGGATTGTGCCAAGGTAACCTGAAGCTTCTGAACCAACTCAGGCTTACGCTCTTCAAATAAGCCTAGGGCTTCTGGAATGTTCTGGTAGTTTGAAACCCTTTCACAAACTCTTCCCTGATCAGAAGGCCGGCCTCAGATTGATTAGAAGTGTAGTATATGAATAGGTATGTAGTTGATAGCAGCGTTGGATATCATATCTTCAGGCTTATAGACTGATGGGACGATAGGTCTTCAGAGCATTCCTTATCCACTACTTTTATGCGTGCTCGCGTCGTCTCCTGTACAGGCACGTTTAGGAGCTTTGCCATGGGTAGAGAGCCATAGGCTCCAGGGTACTGCTTCCGATAGCTGCGTGGAACCTTCAGAAAACCAGATGCCGTCTGATCGCAGTGACTTGGTCATAGATGTTCGAAAGCAAAGAGTTATATATTGTTGTCGCGGCTAGTGCTCGGCCAGTATCGTCTTAGATTCTAGAAGAATGTCCAACATGACTTGAAGCATAGTTTCAACTGCTGCCCAATCAATCATCAATATCCATGACCGCATAAATACCGCTAAGCCTCGAAGTAAGGGTGGTTGCATGCCTGCTTGGCCGAGATCCGGCTGGCGGGATCATACTCGAGACACCTCTCCAGAAGGGCTAAGCCTTCCTCGTCTAGGTTGGAGCACAATGGTACCGAGTAGTCGCGATGCCACTTAGGGAAACTCGACTTGTAATCGGGGTAAGAGGTCACGCCCGGCCAGACTTCCTCCGTGGGTGTTCCCAGTAAGCGGAAGGTCTTAAAGATCTGGTCGATTTCGGAGTCGCCAGGGAAGAGCGGCTTTCGAATGCACATTTCGGCGAAGATGGTTCCAACTGACCACATATCGACACCGGTAGAGTACTGGCGGCCGCCTAGCAGGATCTCGGGAGCGCGGTACCAGAGGGTGACGACTTCGTGGGTATAAGTTCTTAATGGCACGCCGAAAGCGCGGGCTAGACCGAAGTCGCCTAGCTTTAGATTGCCATCGCGGTCGATTAGCAGGTTCTGAGGCTTGAGATCGCGGTGAAGAACGCGGTGGCTGTGGCAGTAGCGGATGCCAGAGCAGAGTTGCCACATAAACTTCTTGATTATGGCGTCGCCTAGTCCTAGATAGCTTAGAGACTCGCTAGAGCTCTCGGGGAGGGCCTTGCCGCGTCCACCATCGCTGACCGGTAGGGCATCCATATACCTCTTCAGGTCGAGGTCGAGGAACTCAAGGACCAGGTAGAGCTTGTGGCTGTCGACGTGTACGATGTTTAGTAAACGCAAAATGTTAGGGTCCCGCATCTCTTTGAGCAAGGAGATCTCGCGGATGGCAGTGCTTGGCACGCCCTCATCCTCGGCTTCGAGACGGATCTTCTTGAGGGCCACGATGCGGCCGTTGTTGGCGAGATCGCGGGCTTTGTAAACGACACCGTACGTGCCTGTTGACAAGCACACAGCCGAGTTAGCAATGGCCATAATCATCTCGTCTCCATGGCGTGCCCTCATGCAGAGAGTGCATGCAGCGCACGGGGGGTGGACGTGGGTCTGTCTGCGTACCTTCGCCGACCTTCTCCAGCTTCTGATAGTTATCCATGGTGGCGATTGGTAGGCGGCAAGCAGCCTCAGCGTAACGATTACTTGTCTAGATACTTACAGAGCAATTGACCACCCCGGAGGCGAAAGTCCGGCAGGGCAGGGCGATCTCGCGAACCTTATCGGCCTGATGCAGGTTACACGCCTTCAGGTTCAGTCCGATGAAGACCGAATTGTGGTCTGAAGCCGCCCGCTCAAATGCCGCAGAGATCACGCAGACGACCAAGGTGTCAGTCAGGTCTACTGTCAGGACGGACAGAGGAGCGTCGAGGTCAAAGACCCAAGGGATGGGGAAAAGAGCGGACGACGAAAAGAAAAGTCGAGCACTTCCGTTCCGCAGAAAGGAAAGCGGACCAGCTAGGCAGCAGGTCAACTCGGCGGGACAGCAGGTCGACTAACCTAAAGCGGAGGTCAGCTAACTCATATTTTCCAAGGTACTCGCTCCAGATCAGAGTACTTATGTATCAAGCTTATGGTCACCTATAAGCTTCAGCCGCGTAAGATAATAATCTCAATTCGCAATTCATCTTCGCCGAAAATAAGATACACGCAAGTGGTCAACATAAAGAATTGGCGCACTGTTCAATAAGCTATAGTGGCGGCTAACCTAGGTGGTTAACACGAAAATTAGCGTAGCGGCCATCGTAGCTCACTAACCTAGGTTAAATAATAAGCTAAATCTTGTGTCAACCACCTAGGTTAAGTTAGCTAAGGGAAGATAAACGCATACGGCCTGCCTTGTTGATTACAAAAGTCTTTAAACGATTCATGAACCTTTATCTCCGTCAGCGACGACGAGGTTTAAGTAAACTCTCCGGCATGTTAATTAAATCAGTAGCCTCTTGAAGGTATCTCCCTTCCCTCTGAGGTAATCGACTTTACTTTAGCCCGTGAGTACGGCTGGATACCCAAAGGAGTTAGTTGGCATATTGCCTAGCCGTGCCCTCTGAAGCTCTCAATTTCGGCCTCCAGACCTCCTGAATCTGAGCTTCCCTGAACCACCTTTATGCAAGAGCTAATTGCACCGCCAGTTGTTGAATTCTACTCTTCCAATGAACAAAAGAAGCTGGGCGGTTAAGGCGTCCCTAGGGGAAACGATCCACGAAATTACAAATGTTCCGGGTGCTCTTCGATCAAAAAGCAAATCTCGAGTCAGAACAGTAAAAGGGGACTCCTCTTTAGCTCGTAGGGCTGATTGACCAAACTCAGTTTCCATCGATCGCTCTAGAGGCTGACTATAGTCTCCATCTGGGGAAGCTGTGCTTTTGAATAGAAGGACTCATCAACTGGGCCCAGGAACTACGTTAATCTGCATTAGACACAAGTCGACGACGGATAATCGTTTTTGGAGGCCATGCATCCTCAGCAATACTTCAGGGTTTTGTAGGGATTAATATTGACGGTGGTCTTAAGTAGTTATTCGCAAAGGCTGAGAAGAGGCTTGGCCGCAACTGATGAGATTATCCTAATTGCCCAAGACCTCCATGGCTACGTAAAGCGAGAAGGAGAAGCCGGCCAAGCTAGCCGCAGACATAAACGATATTAAGAGATAGAACCACACGGGCACACCAAGGTACACCGCAAACATACCATGCTTCTGCATCCATCTTTCAACACGCACGCGCCGCGAGATTTTGTTGGTGGCGAACCCAGACGGGCTCGGCGTGCGCAACCATAGAAGCCTTTGGAAGCCACTAAGTAGTCCCCCACGACTACTATGGACTCCTCTGCCGCCATCTCCATCACTTCCGTTACCACTAATACCGCTACCCCCAGTAGCATTACTGTTACCAACACCAGTGACACCATCAATGCCTCTACTAGTTCCACTGCCTTCACCATCCCCACCGACGCCGACCAGCGTATCAGCAATAATCCCAGGTGACTGCCCACTCGTCTCAGAAGGCTCCCGCAACCCCATGAGCAGCATAGGCCCCTCATCCCCCTCGTCCGCCAGATAGTCCCGCAGCCGCTTCTCGGTCTCGCCCTTCTCGACGACGTCCATTTGGGGGTGCTCGGGCCTCCACTGCGGGACCTGCCTTTTCTTCCACGCGTTCCAGTCCCGGACGGGAGGCAGCGGGCTCGCGTCACCGACGACGGCGCGCCGCGCACGCTCCTCCCCGCGCTCCCGCACCACGACCAGGAAGTCGTGGAACCGGCGCCGCTGCGTCCGCGCCGTCCGCGGGCCCAGGTGGTGCCGGTTGAGCAGGTAATCTCTCGAGTTCTTGGTGCGGCCCGGCTCTTCCGGGCTCGGGGAGAAAGGGTCCTCCTCTGTCGAGGTGGGGGAGTCGGACAGGTCACTACTTAGTGGGCTGAGGGATCTCGTGCGCTGGATCTTTGGCGGTTCGGGAGTTTTTGGTGGGCTTCGAGCTTTTGATAGTTCGGGAGTCTTTGGCGGCTCAGGGGCCTTCGACGGTTCTGGCGTCTTGGTTGGGTTAGGGGGAACCTCAGGTGGTTCGGATGCAAAATTGGCAGGTCTTGTAGGAGACGTAGACCTCACAATACTTTCCGGTGACGAATAGGGGGTATTACCTGAACTAGGAGTCCCTTGGGGGCTGGGACTCGTGTTCGGACTTGGGGATCCAGCATCTTCTCTCGTGGTTGGCCTGCCTCGAGTTGGACCCGAGCCTGTCGCAGGTACTCCGAAGATAGGCGACTCCTCTGTTCCTGATACACTATATAAGGAGTCTGAGTCCGCATCTTCGGAGTTGCTAAGGAACAAATCCGTCTCGGAATTTTCTGGTGTCATACAGAACAAGTCTGAGGACCTTAAAATCCGTGTTGGTGATAGGGAGTGCTCTTCCTCCTCACGCGCCTTACCACGACCACGGCTTCTAGATGACTTCCCCATGGCGAGCCCTTTCCGGACTCCTTCAGCCTGAGTTACTGACTTCGACGGTCTCCCAGTGCTAACACGTCCCCAACCGATGAGTGCTACTTACGATAGTTGACGCTCGCTGTGACAGAATCACCCTAGTCAGATGATGAATACTGTGTGGCCCAGATAGTGAAGAAGCAACGTGCTCCAACTTCGTGCTAGATCTATTGGTGTTTTATTGAGACTAATGGCGAAAGTAAATTTTCTGACTATACTCAAGAACAAAACGTCCTTACGTTGCTCAGGATATCTGCCCCAAATCACCTCCCCGCGATCAGGGGTAATGAGAATAACTGAATCTTTCAGTCTAATAAAGGCGGCTGTGGTTGAGACCAGGACACCATTTGTTTATGAGAAACCCATCAAACTTTCCTTTGTTGTCTTTGTCTAGCCACGTCACTCTAGATCGCCCAAAAACAGATGTTCACTTCAACCCCATCGTAATAGACTTAGTTCTCAATTCGAAAACAAAGAAAAAGAAAGGCGCCCGTTGCACGGTGACGAGGATAGATCTATTGTCAAGGGGAACTGTGGAGAGTGTGTACATAAGGCTGTAGCTTTTACAGTAATGTGGTAATGGTAGCAAGCAGCCTTAGATACAATCGAGGACATAAATAAAAAGGAAGAACTTTGCTCTAAACCGGTGTGTACGTCATTCGTGGGGTTGCGACAAACAGAACCCGTCGCGCCTTTCAGTTCAGATTCTGGACATCAAAGATTAAACATAGTAAAACGCTCGCTAGGAAACTAAGATTGTTAATGAAGCATCGAAAGATGCTAAGAAGGCTATCACCTAGCCGCCCTGGGCGGATGAACAGACCATACAGTATGATATACATTTCAAGTCGTGCGACTCATGGTATACATCTCTCGTGTTGGCAACAGGCTTGTTACAAAGTATGTACAATTATTCGTTTCATCTGCCCAATACCGCTAATTCGATCTGGTGCAAAATCTCATACACCTCTTTGTCTCCAATCTCTTGTTCCCTTGCGTGCAATGGTGGTTGGGTATGCAGTGTGCGATCTCATGAACGCCCTTTTCTCTTAGCACCGCAGACTAGTCGCACTTTCCTGTCGCTCAGTTTCACTTTCTCAAACCAGGGTCACCTCACTTTTGCGGATAGAGCACGACCCCTTCCCAGCCCCTACTAGCGATATTCTCCAATGTCTGCTTGAAGTGCTTCTTACTGCTTTCAACACTTGCAGAGTCTTGTTGGTTGGTACTTAAATTAGAGTGGATAAGTTCGATAAGACCATTCAAGTACTTGGTCGTAACCTGCAGATGTTATCAGCATTAAGCTTAGAAAGAAAAAAAAAAGGGAAGTGGACAGGCTAAACGAGATTAGGTTAATGGGACTTACCGATTCGTTTTGCTGTTCAAAGTAGTAGGCATAACGATCCAGGATTTCGACGAACAGCTCGATCGAGGTCGCCTGCTCCATACAGCTATCGGCGACCCGAAGCGCTCTTTGAAGACACTCGAGAACACGCTTGCCATCGCGGTACAAATTCTCCTCGGATTCCTGTGCAGCTGCGATAGGGGTTGCCCACCACAAGTGACTTGCCAGGTAGACCGCCCGACACTGATCGGGCTTGCGCAGTAACTTGCTACCGTGAAGAGCGCACTTTGTAATAAGCGTGTCGTAATTTTCCCTGCCGAAGTTGCGCGTCTGGTGGAGGGCACTGGCAATTACACAAACGGCTTGGAACTGAGCCTTGGAGTCGCTAACAGCCTCTTCATATACTGTAAATGCCTGGGCAAAGAATTCATACGCAACCTCCTCAAAGCCAGTCATGTCAGCGGTTTGACCACAAGCGCTGAACAGTCGCAAGGCGAGCTCGGCAGTTCCAGAGCCATTGACACGAGCATATAGACCAGAGATGGCTGAGTGCATGAACTTGAACAATGCGGAGGATTGTGTTTCCCAATTATCGTCGTAGTGCTCGCGAGACTTGAAACGTCTAGCGAGCTTCATGCCAGAGGTGATAATTGGTGGGGTGGTTGTCCGAATGCGCTCAGCACCTTCGCCGTATGCTTTGCGAATCATTTGCAACAACTTGAACTGGGTATCGTTGTTGTCGCTTTGGAGGAGATGGACAAGTCGTGCGAGCCAACCTTGCTCCTCGATTGTTTCGTCCGTCTCTACTACTCGCCTTTGTGGGCCGCCGGGATAACCGGCAGGAGGTTGAGATCCTTCCTTGATAAGGACTTTGAGGACCTCGAGGACGTTTTCCAGTTGTGTGGGGGTAGTTATTAATGTGTGCTCTCGAAGGAGAGTCCTGGCAACTTCGCCAGCGACAGCTCTCCGCGTCGGATAAGTCTGTGACTGAAAAAGGGATACATATGTTGGAAGCGACAATGCTGTAAAGATGGAGACGTATCTCTTGAGTGGTGCTTGTAGGAGTGCCAGCAAGCTTTGCTGTGCTGGCGGCGAGTGCAAGTCGGCGCTATTTGCGTGTTCCCGCACCTTCCGGTTCGCATAATCGAGAATCTGGTCGACATAGTCCAGTCTGTTGGGGTAGATGTTCAGAGCCAGATTTGTAAGGGATACCAGTAATGCGATTGTATCTTGGATGGCCAGGTGCTGCGCTGCAACGAGGTTGTTGACTTGGTCAAAGAAGATCTCGTACAGCTTGACGTCTTTGGGAATGCCGCGTTCCTTCTTGAGTGACTCGTCTGGTTGTTCACCTTCTGCGTCTACCGCAGTGGTTTCCGTCTCGGCGATAGAGGGTTCAGCTTCGGTAACAGATTCGGCGCCTTCATCGGCTGGTGTTTCTTCCGTGGCTCCATTTCTGTGCTCATCCTCGTCGCCCTTGCCGTCGCCGTCGCCATTGCTGTTCGCATTTTCCGAGGACTCGGCAGCGTCTGGTTTTGCCTCCTGCTGCTCCTTTCCTAGTCGTACCTTCTCCAAGAGATCTGCCAGAGCGTCCTCTTCCAATTTGCCCCGGTCGTCACTGCCTTCGACTTGGGACTCTCGTTCAGCATATGCCGACAGTCTATCCATCAAGCCGATTACGATGGCTTTAACATTGACATGGGGGTTCAGTCGAGACACGGCGGCAAGGAACTGGTCCAAGGTGTGCAGGTGGAATTCGTCGGGGAAGACCTGGGTAATAATCTCGAGGAGATACTCTTGGGCCAAGACATCGCGACATTGGACGACCTGCTCGAGCAGTGGCGCCAAGATGCCATTGGTGTATGCCTCCAAGTCTACCAATTGGCTCAGGCGCACGATGTTGCTGCCGACCAAGAGCTGCAGCTCTTTGCGCTCGCGTGTGCGCTGCTCCCGATCGCGCGAGTGGCCCTGGTGTTGCAACCGCACCCAAAGCTTGTTCATCTCGACGAAGTTGGTGAGCACGAAGTTGATGGAGTCCTGGAGGTTTCCCTCGGGCCCATCACCGTCGCCGGTCGGAAGGTAGTCTCTGGCCTGGCCGGAAAGGTAGTATCGGAGGAACAGGCCTCGTATGGGATGTTGGACACCTCTGCTCATATCCATCATGTCCTTCATGAGCTCTTTGACAGGCGCCTCGGGTATGGACATGTAGGCGGTGCCGACGGTGATCATGAGGTACATGCGGGGAATGATATTGCCGGCGTATTGGACGAGCTCGTAGAGATCGGCGAGGTGGTTGTGTGGGTGGTTCTCTCGGAGATGAACGGAGAGGTATCGCAAGGCGTCGAAGACGGCCATGTATAGCTCGTAGTACTGCTTGGGGCCCAGGCTGCTGGTTCGGAGCTCTGATACGAGAGTAGAGCTATGTGACAAGTCAGGTCAAAGTCAGCACGAGGCGGGCGAGGCAATGCAACGCAATGCAACAGGACGGTGCGCAGGCGGTGCCTGTAGCTACGGCGTAGAGAAAAAAACATACCAGCACTTGAGGGCGTCCATGAGCTTCCCCGATTGATCGAGACATTTGCGCATGAGGACTGTCTGCTGGCGCACGGCTATCAAGGCATCCTCGAGCAGTCGTGCCTGGTCCTCAGGCGGAGCGGGCGTTGTCGACATGACTGCGGTATGATGTGATGGAAGCGGAAGGAACGCGATCAAGTCTACAGCTGGTCAAGATCAAGCGAATGGTGAAAGGCGCATTGATGAGTACCGGCTTGGCAGGGAGCGGGTTTGGTGGTATGTCGTCCGAAGTCAATCTCCAGTAAGTTAGTTTATTAATTCGGCTGCCTTGAAGTCGTCGCAGGAGGAGCTCACCTGAAGTGGCAGTCTAGTTCGTGCAGTAGGCAGGGGCTTGGGGGGTTGAGGATGTATGTGATAGCTTTAAGGCTCAAGGGTCAGGAGGCTTGAGGCTTGAGGCTTAACTAGGCAGAGCTAGGTTAACTTAATACATACATATGTAACTTAAAGGCTCGAGGCAGCTCACAATCATAGTCGCACTCGCTCGCAGCACTCCGTAACCGTGACCCTGCAAGCCGACCATGGACCTTGACCATTGCATGGAGATGATGCGACCCACTCAAAGTCGTCACTTTCATTCTTGTCACTGGAGAAGGCTTCTGGGCTTATCCGTAGGGCATCCGTAGTAGGTTAGACTCGGTTAGCTTAGTACTCTACTCCAACAGGAAGCACAGACATTTTCTCAGGCTCATCCCCCCATGCACCGCCACAACTCTCACAAACATGATAACTGCAAGGTCAATGATTTCCTTAGATTGTCAAATGCCTAACCTTAGGTTAGGTCCGTTACATGTATTCCTTGTTCCCATCAGATCAGGCCCGTCTCTAAGCCAAAAAGAAAGATGGAAAAAACCACTTCTTACTTGGCAAAAACCTAGAACGGCTATCTATGTAAGCTAAACGAGACATGCACACCGATAGGTGACATATGTGACCAGACACTTATCATGCCGCATACTAGCATACAAACGCATCCTGCAAAAAGTTGTAGTATGTAGTAATTACCCATCATGGGTGCACAGGCCCTTGTGCCCACCATCCTACCCTGCATACCATGCACTTGTCCGGGCCGAAATCCATGACTAGATGATAATTTCGACTCACAAGCAACCCGGCCAGGCTGGAGCCATGATTTATCAGCCGGCTGTTTGTTCAGATAGTAACACTCATGCAGATCGTCTGGACTATGCCCTGGTCCAATGTATCTCCAGATCGTCACCTCTAGCTGATCATTACCCGACTCTGAGCTGCTTTTCTCCAGTATAAAATCCACACCACATAACGTGCAGCTATGCATCTGCTCACCCAGCTCCGTCCCTGACGCACCATCGTGTCGACCACAAACTTTGCAAGTACAATGTACTTCAATCTCAAACGCTTGATTTTCCCGCGCCTGCAACTTACCTTTGAGCTTGATGTGACGACAAACATAGAGATTTGCTGCAAAGTCCATACGATAGGCCACCTGATGGTTGAAGTTCAATCTGCCACATGCGGTGTAGCACTGAGTCTCTTGCCAGAAAACTTCGCCGTCGTTCACATACCTCTCTATGATGAAGGCTCATCTTGGAGAATTTCAGCCGTTCTATCGTATCTGACTCCACCAACTGACGTAGCCAGTCCACCTTTCGGCCAAGTCGCACATTCTTTGCGTATCCGTATATCATGACGCCTTGTGCTGGCTGATTCCGCGTCGAGGAATAGTGCTCGAACTCATTGAGTTGTTCACATGAAGTCTTCTGTTCTCTTTGCACGTTTTCTTCATAGCATCATGAATTATTCGACACCGTGGGCAATAAATGACATCCATCTCCCGCTCCAACAGCTTGAGGAACGCCACTTTGTTGCCGCCGCTCAGAGTTTCATGCCAGCAAACATTCACAAAGGTATTGTTCTAATCAACTACAGCTATCTTGCGCGTGTTGTGGAAGCATGAGTCAACAGGGTGGAGAGACTAAACCTGCGCAAACATATCGCATCACGTCGAGAAGAACACAATTTCCCAGTATATCTAACTACAACATTTCCTCTTTCATGTTTCATTTACGCCGATTTTTCTCTCCCAATGCAACCGATATAACAGCACTTCTACAACAGACCATTGTTCCACTGAGCACCTTGCAGTCATGGCTTCAACAGCGAATATTTTCAGCATTTTTCCAAAGTTTACCCCGGGGTCTAAGATTGAGGATATGGAGAGCAGCTGTACAGCCTGCCATTCCAGGTGCACATTCCTTCACCTAGGGGCTTTACTCAGCGGCAGGCGAAGCCAATGCCATCGGCGACTATGGCATCATATTGGGTATTAAACAACCTTTACATCCGTTGGCTGCCCCGACTTTTGAAGTTGGAACTGCAGGACTCCATTGGACTGATATATACCCATTTGTCTATCTGGAGAACTGAGGCTTGTGCACCGCATGTGAAGAGTTTTGTAACATTATGGAAGGCCATTGCCAGCAGTAAGACTGGCGAGTGAAGCCGCGAATGTCTGCAGAAGATGCTCGCAGTGGCCCTCAGCCGCCGTACGTACTGATGAAATTAATATTCAGTTCGAAAGGTGAAATGTAGTAATTTACCGTTCATCCTCAGATGGACCTATATTGTCTTGAGCCTTTAGGTCCGGCGAAATATAGAAATTGAAATAAAACTAACGTTCAGCCGTTCATTTCAATCAGGGCAGAGGTTATGCCTATAGGCACTTTGCCCTAAAATGAGACAACTCCTGGAAGGATATCCGGATGAACGGGAAGGGCTTCTCGAACATTACTCGTTCCTTGTTTATTGAAACGTCGCCCCAAAGCCTCCCGTGTTGCAACCGGCGACAGTCTGCTGCATGGCAACAATCTTAAGTTAAAAAGGAACGTTGCTAATACGGATTTGTGATACATCTGGTGTCTTGATTGCTTCTTGTTAGTTGTAATAGGCTATCTATTATATGTACTATACTCCAACTCGTAGGGTCAAAGCTTTGTCGGATGCCAGGATCAGAAATCATAGCGAAAGTCAGGATTCTCCTTGTCCGTTAGATCTTCAAAGGCATGTACATGCGAGATTTTGGTGTTATCCTGATCAGGTCGCCCGTCTGTGTCACCGGCTGCATCACGCTTGGCCTTATTACGGCGCATTATCAGCACACGCATGACTGCTAGAGTCATATTGAAAATAACGTAGAGGCAGAAATGGGCCGTGAAGCCCTTTTGGTATCGTGGTGCGTCCGTGGACTGAAAGATCTGTGGGGCGGTCATGTTACCTGCAGCCCAGGCAATGAACGTTATTGCTAACGTTGTTGACTTTTTGGTCTGGCCGGCGATGTTCCGCGAGATTAGCGAGAAGATTAAATTGCCCTCCGCCAGGTAAAATTGAGTGCAATAGAAGGCTATGAGTAGGCCGACGCTATTTGAACCATTGGGCGGGAAACAATATATTATGGAGGTTCCAATGATGGGAGGACTGTTTTTGCGTTAGCGAAGCGGCTCGAAAGTTGAATTCGGTGCTTTCTTGTGCGTAAAGCGAGAGAGAGAAAATCAAATACGTACATAGTCAGACCATGCATCACCCATGCAGTTTGTTGCGCCTTGGTTGCGATAGTCGCACTTCCAACCATGATGATAATCGTTAGAGCGCCTTGAGCAATATTGAGCAGCTGAGTCTGGAGGTAGCTGAATCCGAAAGAAGAGATGATGATATTAGAGAACACCCCCAGACCCCCAATGACCAGAGTCGACGTGATGTTGAGCATGACATAGCACCAGACCAAAGGGTCTCTCAAGGTTTCTATCATCTGGTAGCGCTTCCACTCTCTATTTTGAATGCCAGTCTCGTTAACCCTAACTCGCTCGATCATCAAGCGTTTTTCGTCTTCGTTAAAGCATTTGGCCTTCATTGGCGAGTCTGGCAGCCACCAACCGATGAAAACCGCCCAAAGACAAGTCGTACCACCGAGGACAAGGAAAAGTAGTTGCCAGGACTTGATGGCACCGCCGTTATAGTGCGAGGTACCCCAGGCAATGATACCGCCGATCATCAACTGCACACCAGTCATGCAGTACCAGAGCGACGTAAGGATGACCTGCTCCCGCTTGGTATACCACATGCCGGTCATGATGATAAAAGCAGGCTGGACGCACGACTCGAAGACGCCGAGCAGGAATCGCACAACCATCAGAGAGGCGAAATTGTTCGCGGCTGAAGAACAAGCAATAACCACACCCCAGCAGAAGACGTTGGCAGCGAGATACTTGGCGACGGGTAATTTCTGAAGGAGGAAGTTGGTAGGGTATTCCCCGACTAGGATGCCCATGTAGAGAATGGTACCAAGCCAGCTATACTGTTGTCCATAGAGCCCCGCATCCTTCTGTATGCCCATTACAGACGCGAAACCCAGTGTGCCTTTGTCTAGAGACTGGCAGAAATATGTGCCCAACATGCATGCCAGGATTCGACGATTTACGGTCCAGAACAGTCTTTTGCTGGTTGCATCGTCAATGTGAATTCCCTCGTTGGTGGCATAACCTGCAGTCTAAAGTGGGAGAGTCAGTTGTGCATCAATAAGGAGAGACTACGATCGTACCTCATTGTCCGGAGCGTGACATTTATCTGTCGTTTCCATATTTACTGAAATCATGTCCTCATGGACAGCGTGCGGGTTCGAGGTCTCTACTTTTTCCATGGCCATGCTATCGATGGTTGCAGTGTCTAGAGCTCCTTCGATGTCGTCAACTCAATTGATGCGACTCCACGGGCCCAGTACTTATCTGGAGTGAAATTAATTCTTGCTACATATACGGCTCCTCAAAGACACTCTGGGCCACCAACCGACGCGTTGGTTCGGGCCGGGGCATTCGACCCCAGATCTGCCCAGTCTGGAGAAATGGTACGACGCCATCCCACCGGGACCAAATTGATCGTATTTCATTCGACAGCGGACCTATGCCCGCGAGTTCCTCCGGGGGCCGGACTTTGACTACTGGGTCTCTCTACTGTGGGATTATGGTGGTGTTACATGGCGGAGGTTCTCTTCTCCGTAGTTCACTTGGTTACACGCAACCGAGGCAATAGTCCATCGACTTGGTGGCGGGGTCGAGTCCGGGAGTTCGCCCGTCCACCGCAAAAACAGTGAAACAAGGGGGGAAACGTGGGGAGATTGGGTACTACGCTTCATATTTCTTCTAGCTCGACGTCCATAGATTCCCAAGGGGTCCATCAATGCGGGAAAACGCTTGCTACACATCTTGCGTAATTCGGCTTTTACTTGTGGCTCAAATGGTGCGTACCAAAGTTCATGATGCCTATAGCTATCTATTTGGTGAGCTTTACCGCGGTGTTAAAAGTAGAAGATTTAGTAACCTAACCTTAGAGGTTATTACAAAAGGAGGATATTGACACAACCATAATCACTAATAAATAGACTTTTAAGTTAGACGAACGTATGTATGCAAGCTTGTGACTTCCTACTCTAGTCTAGCCAAGGTTATGAGCTGACTTTGAAGTTTTGTCCTTATCGGGGTAAGGAATTCCGTGTATAGATGAATTGCCCAGATTTCCAGTGGTCCTCCCCCGCAATTATGGGGTTGAGAACCACTCTCAGCTCCCCACCCCGTCAACGCCACACATTTTGTGCATTGTATCCATGGCCGGCATTGTAGGGGATTCTGAAGAGAGGTGCATATGCTACCTGTATTCCAGGATGTCTCACTCCCAACGACGTAATCAAAATCCGTGTAGAATTTTGGTCGAGTGCGCTATCATCACTGTTGCATTCGTCCCAACTTGCTTATGGCCAGGAGCCCTCACGTTGTAACACTGACAAGACCATACTATTTTTAGTGTCCACAGAGAGCTGTAATCACCGAAATGCGGCCAAATGTAGAGGATTCAGAGGAAGATCCCTATGAAGACGAGTTTCCTGATGATGAGGGTGCTCAGCGTGCAGCGCGGAACGGCGTCAAATTCGATGAAGGGCCTGCTTGTCAGGCTTGTCGGCGAAAGAAGGCAAAGTGTTCGCGTGGCCGGCCTTGCTCGCATTGCCACCGATACAGTCAGTCGTTTCTATTCGCGTTATCTGATTGCCACCAGTGCTGATACCGGCTCAAGAGCTCGATTGTATCTATGATGAGAAGAAGACCAAACCTGGAATGCGCACAGGTGCGATTGAACACCTCACTCAGAGGGTAGGTACGTTATGTGCTCTGTAAATTTCGATGTGGGGAGTTGATCGGACCTAGCTACACTTGAGAACATGTTTCTTGGACAGGGCGTCTTATGGCAACAGGTCTGGCGATGCTTAGACACAATAAATCAGCACAACCCGGACGCGTCTCAAGCAGGAGAGCTCAATGGGTCACTGCAAGAATACACTTCTCAGTTTAAACAAGCACTATCAGGTCTGCAGCCAGATAACTTGACAGAGTCATTAAGAAAGACTAGTAGGTCGTCTGCTAAACGGCAGCGGCTGGAAGGAGATTCGCTACCTGAATCACACAGCAAACTACCTTGGATGCGAGATGGGCATCTTTGTATCCCCGATGATCTTATCGATTCTCTGGTGGAGATATATTTCGCCCGCATTCATCCATGGATCCCAATATTGCACACCCGACGTTTCCAGGAGAATATGAAGATACCCCGGGAACGAGAGAAAATGAAGTCCATATTCCATGCTATCGCTTCACTGTGTACACGCTTCTCTGATGATCAGAGACTTGCAAACCATGAGGTACGGTCCAAGTTGGTGCAGGAATGTCGTCAATCGGTCATTCTCGACAGCATGGAGTCTTTTTCAGTTGAGAGTCTTCAAGCCCTCATCATTTGCGCATTTGACACAGTACGTAACGCACCGATTCTATCATCGATTGCTACCCCCTAACTTGTTCCAGATTGGTCGTGGCCGAGGCCCTTCAGCATGGTCGATTGTTGGAAGTATGGCCCGCACTGTGGAGCAACTCCAGCTGAACATTGAAAACGAGGACAGTGATAACTTGAACGGATCAAAAGTCCTTATAGCCCGAATGGCCTTTCTACCACATTGTCGGGACTGGGTTGAGGAGGAAGAAAGGCGGCGAGTATTCTGGAATGTATTCCTCATGGATCGATTCTGTAGCATCGCAACTGGCTGGAATTTGTCCCTCAAAGGCACGGAGGTCAAAAGGAGGCTACCTTGCGAGGGTACCCTATGGAGGATCGGCGAACCACTGACTTCCCCGACCCCTTACTTTGGTATCTCAGAGACGACTAACCCTACCGAGAAGAGCCTGTTGCAAGTGTGTCCTGGTGCAGACGATCCGTCGTCACTCGGAGGTCTGTCATATTGCATCGAGGCTACCGAAAGTTTGAGCCTGGTTACATCTTTCTTTCTTCGGCAGGTCGTCGATGTTAATGACTTACAAAGTATTCGGGTGTGGTTACTGCGGTTCAAACAACTCGACCTTCGCCTAGTACAGTGAGTTCTTGAGCATTTTCTGTATCCGCCTATACTAAAATTTTTACCAGATGGAAAGTCTTCTTACCTGAAAGGTGGAGGGAAGCATGCGCTCGGAATAGTGACGGCAACATGGACCCAAATTTGACACTAGCCCATCTTACGCACAATACTGCCGTGGTGTTGCTCCATCAAGGGATTGCCTATCCCTCTACCGATTGGCAGTCTGCTCCAGTCACACTACCTTCTGTATCCAGCGCAGATACTTGTGTGACCGCTGCGCGAGAAGTTGCCATTATAGCCGACAATTTTCTACAAGACGCAGACTTCCTCACAAACCCTCAATTTGCGTTCTGCCTTTTTATCTGTGGAAGAATGTTTCTAGCTCACGCAGCGTATTACGGCGTCGATCTGTCTCGCGAGATTGAATTGATTCTGCGCAGTCTCTGGGAAGTCTCACGGAGATGGAATGGCCCTTACGCAGATGAAGCTGCCTCAGGCTCTGGAAACAACTTGGCATCCAAGTTTGCGTCGCGCTTGATTGAAGCAAAGCAGCTCAGTCCGATCACCGTAGATTTAAGACAAGCTGCATACTCCGACAACCAAGTACAAGGAGACAGTGTAAAGACAGCATCATCGGCGTCTACTGCGAATCCAGCGGCTCATGCGAACAGATACGGTAGCGATATCACCACACATCCATTCACGATACCCGATGGAGGCTCGCAATTCGTGAACAATTGGCAGAACTCGTCAGGATTATACCACGTGACAGCAGCAGCAGAAGCAGCGCAAGAAGCATCACCAGACAGCATTTCACTTGCATTTCCTCCACTTCCGATGGCATTCCAAGCACCTAGTGCGCCACCTACTGCTATGCATTCTCCCAATTCTGGCGCCATCAATCTCGCTCCTGGCCCAGGGACAATTCAATTCGCCCAAGGGGTGGCGGGTTTGGAAGACCTCAATTCTTTCCTCGATTACACATTCCTTCCAGATCAGAGGGTCAGCATGTTTTCGCATCCGAATGGACCTGTTTCCTCAGAGAACAGTACTCGAAAGGGCAGATAATAGCATTCTTTGTCGTCCTCAATACTAAAATACTCAAGTTAAGGAGTTTTGTGATGTACCAGGATCTAAAAACAAACCGTCTCTGCATAGCCGCCAAGCCCACAAATTCTCTCCTATTTCTATGTCATCCTGTGCTCCTCAATCTATCCCGCCGAACTACATGCTATGATCGCATTTGACTCGGTGCTGCTTTAAATGGGGTAACACGACCAACAAGGCCCCCAACGTCCATCTTCAGAAGCTCGTTGCCGACAAGTAGGAAGTAGTAATCCGCGTAGACCAGGCCATGATTAGCCCATCTTCTTGGCGCGAATTCATGATTGTTGATGGTAGCGCCATTCAGTATTGTCTCGGCACCGCCAGGCTCGACGGAGACGGTCACCACGTCTTCTGTAGGTCGCTCAACCATCTCAATCCGCTCCGTGTGTTCAATGAATGAAGATGGCGGGTTGATGTGGTGCATAGCAACAGCATTCACCAAGCGTAATGCATGATTGAGGTATTTGGAGGGTTTCCCCAGGGAAACGAGGGCTTTGTGGATGAGCAGGAGGCCATAAGCCGTGATCATGGCGGCGCTGACGTCAGGAGCTTGCGAAGTCTTACCGTCGCGCTTGGCGTCGTCTTCGGCATCGAAATCCCAGGGAGGAACTCCAGATTCCGGCAGACGATGCAGAAAATAGTCTGCACAATTGACTGCGGTCTCAAGGAAAGAGCGATCGTGCGTCCAATTATATGTCTCCGCGAAGCCGGCGATGGCCCATGCCTGTCCACGCGTCCAGCATGAGGTATCTGTATATCCCTGGTTCGTTAGACGCTCCCTTACACCCCCTGTGTTTGGATCAAAAGTTACTAGGTGGATGGTCGAGAAGTCATCTCGGATATGGTTCTGCTGCGTAGTGCGCGCATGCTGGGCAGCCGCTTCGTACATCGCGCCGTTGCCGGTTTGCTGCGCTACGTAGAAGAGGAGGTCGAGATTCATCATATTATCCTGCCCAGTTGTTAAGACAATCTGCCTCCGCGGGATTTAAGCAGGTGAGACTTACTATTACAGTTAGAAATTCGTTATCTGGATCCAAGAACTCATATCGTTTTGTGACGCAAGTATCCCAAGATCGAATAAGTCCTACATTTTTGCTGAATCGACCATGCAATGTTTTCGCAGCCGTTTTCATGGTTTCTAATGCTCTATAGTCGTGGTTGAGATCCCAAGCCACCTTTGCCCATGGTGCAATCATGAAGCCAAGGTCGTGCGTCGTGCTGAGATGCGCGTTCTGGTGCAAGCTCTCGGTCCACCATCTACATGCAAATCTTTCAACTACAATCAGTACTACATCACATCATGACATGAAAGGGCATACTCAAGGTGTTGCTCATGAACTCCGGTCGCCTTGAAGTTGCGCTGCCGCTCGAGGAGCAGATGCAGTGACCCGGGGAAGAACCCTGAAGTCCAAAAGTCCAGCTCTCTGTATACGTATTTGGTGCCTCCAGGTTTCGTATACTCGGGAAAGTAAATAGGCGGCTTAGGCTATTTTTTGATATTAATAGGCTACATCGATAGGTCTCTCGCTGGAATGTACATACCTGTTGAAGTGCTTTCGTGGCAATACCCCAGAGCTTCCCAACAGTCGAATTAGAGTAAAGATGATGTATTGCACCAATACTGAGCTCTGTTGGCGGTGGCACATCTGATAAAGTGGTTGCTTCGACATCTGAAGATTCTTTGGGAGTCAGAAGGCTGATATCAGGTAACTCTTCAATTATCAATTCATCTTTATGATATCGAGCACGTTTTCTTGTTGGCGCCATGTTGCGTGTATGATCTTGGTACACCGACAGAGGGCTGTGCAGAATACCGGGTTTACGACTTTGGCACTTGATTTGTTTGGAAGATGTTCAATCGCGATAACGTCTAGGAGCAGATCACGATAGATCATTCTTTTACTCTCGTGGAGCATATTCCCCGTGGGTTGGACTTTCTACAGCCGGTCCGGTACTGCGGCGAGCATCCCGTATCGCAGCTTGACACAAGCTAATCCATGGAGGCGACCGGATCATTGAGCCGTCTTTAGCGTGCATTCGAGCTGGACTACTATGATCTAATTGGCATTAGTGGTAGATTAACTACTAGTCGTCGTCAGAGCAATCTTGCAAGCATCTGCTGGCTCGGGAGGTCGGAGAAAGTCTCGGAGCTCACGCCGGTTGGTCAGTGTGTGCAACAATCACCTTCGCTACACCCCACAGAGCACAGCGGAGAATGTGGAAGCTACCAGAAATCCATACTCTTGTTCCAATAAGGAAAGCATGTCCATGCTTTGATCAGGAATCTGGATCTGGATCCGGAATTGAGTGCCGATCACTCGGTTAAGTGAGTAACGAACGTGAAGCACAACGTCCCATGAGATAGCTGGGTTGGGTATGCATCAAGCCCGGGTCGCAAATCCTTATGATGTTATAAGTCACCTCCACCATTTGTTACGTGGCTAACATGATCAAATTCATGGTCCTACCTGTCAGCTCGACAATCGAACATGGCCCTCATTAGCATCATCGTGAGTTTCTGTGCGCTGGCGAGCTTTTCACGACTGGTCCACTCCACAGGTACTCTCAGTGGCTTGCCTATACTTAATGGCCCCATTCCAGTTATGCCAAAGGTTCTCGGGTCCAAGTCTCGGATCGGCGAGTTCATACATCCTGGGCTATGGCATACCCACGATGATCTGGAACGCATCAGGTTGGGTGTTCAGAACGGGGTAGATCCCTGGAAATCAGCATACACCAATTTCAGTACCAACCAGTATTCCCAGTCTTCTGTACGCAGTACGCCTGCCTAGAATTCTCTTCAACTTTGTCTGACTTGACCATAGTATGTGATTCAAGGCCCGAAGAGCATCATATGCAGAGGCAGTTGTAACAACTACACTAGCTTGACCAACGATGCTCGTGCAGCTTATCAAAATTCTTTGATGTGGTATATTACCAAAAATCAGAGTCATTGGGACCGCGCCACCACCATTCTCGACGCATGGGGTACCAACCTGACGAGTGTCATTGGTGCCGACACATCGCTGCTGATAGGACTTGAAGGCGCCTTGCTTGCGAATGCCGCTGAGATAATGCGATGGGAAGGAGGCTGGATTGAGGCAGGAGCTAAAGCTATTGGATCCAGTGGCTTTTCCAATCAACTATATTGGCTATTAGCTAGGCAGTCCATCATAATTGGTCAAGCAAATTACGGCATGGTCAGCATCAAGGCTTTACTTGGTTATGCGGTCTACCTTGACGACGTTACTATGGTAAGTCTCATCACCCAACGTATCACATGCTTGCCCTTAACTATGAGTATAGTGGAATTACGCCATATATGCTTACCAAAACGATCCTTGTGCTGGCATATACGGTAACTTCGACCCTTCCACAGGGCAAGGTGCCGAGACAGGTAGAGACCAGGGCCACGCCCAGGGCGCTGTTGGCTGGTCCGCTGAATCTGCTCGAATAATTCAGTCTCAAGGCACCGACGTCTTCTCCCTAGGTGACAACATCTTACTAAAAGCTGGTGAGTATACCGCGAAATATAACCTTGGATTGGATGTTCCATATGATCCCAAATTCTATCGCTGTGAAGCCATTCTTGTCAATGGGCCGTGGAGTGGACCGTCACCTATCAGTCGTGGTGTACTTAGCAACACACCTCGCATATATGACGTAAGTCTCGTTTCACCGAACAAATCTAATGCTCAAGTTGTTCATGATTATAGATCCTGTATTACGAGTATGCAGTGAAGAAAGGGCTCAATGCTCCCTACATCACGAAGATCAAAGAAGCCCTTCAGACGACGAACGGTGGAGAAGTGCCTAATGGTAATTTTCAAGGATTTACACATGTGATAGAAGTCACTGACATTTTCCAATAGGTGCTGATCATCCCGGATGGGGCGATTTGATTTGGGCTTATCCTGGAAAAGGGAGTTTCACGAATAATGATAACCGGACGCTGTGGGGTGGCGGCACTATCGGGCAGAATGGTACTGGTAATCTAAACCTGCCATAAGTTGATCTTGTAATGAAATTTATTCGGTCTACACGGGAAGCTCTTGGTATCATAGTTCGAACTTCAACGCTGTCTGATAGCGTACGTTTCCTGCAATACTACTGTTAGTACCCGTCTTGAAAAGAAATTAAAGAAGAAGAAGAAGAAGTTAATGTCAACCTCTGGTAATAGATGGAAGCTTCCAGCATTGAGTACCAAATCTTGAATTTGATGACCTTAAGTTTCGCGAGATATCAAGTCTAAAGGTATTAGATGCTCATTACGCCAATACCGCCATGAGTGAAGGATGCGGTCAATTGTTATACTCAGTCCAAATGGGATTTTCACAAACATTTCCGCAACTGATCACGCAAATTCAAACCCTACTGTTATCAGCACATGGCATTAATGCAGTTTTTTACAAAACCGTTCTGTGTAACGGCCTTGATGTACAATCAGGAAGGGATTGAATACTCACTCTTGATGAGGCATTATCAGTCATCACATCAGGAGGGCATTCTTTTCGTGACATCTTACAGTTCAACTGGCTGGAGTTGGAAGATTTTTATCATACTTGGTTATTTTGGTCAAGCTAGAACCAACATCTGCTATGAAAAGACTAGAACTTTGGTCTCATGCGAACCTACATTGGCAAGAGTAATAGTTCCATTGGAAAAATCAATGAAAGTCTTTGCCCACACGTCCCTAACCTGTGCTTTTCCATGCACGTAATCCGCATAACGTGGCACTGCGTACAGTGGAATCGTGATGTCCTTGGTTGTTTCTTTCTCGTTGAAGGCAAGGATAACAAATTTAGAGCTACCGGATGTCAGAGGCCCGGCCCAAAGCTGGAAGCTGCCTTCGTTTGACAGTGCTGACGCGTAATCAACGGCAATTCCTGCGTCATCCTGATTGATTGCAATGATCTCCTTGTTAAGTAGGACCTCAAGGGATGATTGATTGATACTCGCGAGATTGGCGCCAATGATCAGCGGCGACTTCAACGCCGCCCAGAATGAGAAATGTGTCTGTTCTTCAAGCTCGGTCATATTCGCGTTGCCAATCTCGAGCATATCCATATCGGCTAGAATGTGGTTAGTCCGAAGGCTTCTATAACAAAACAAAATAGAACAGATTTTACATACCCCAAGCGCCAGGTTTCTGAAAATATGATAACTCTCGCATCTTTTTAATCATGGTCAAGACGCTCACCCCAGCATAACCGGTGTTCAGGCAATATGCAGTTTTGCACGCACCAGAATTATCAGAAGCAAAAGATGCATGGATATCCCCCGACATTCGATATGAGTCCGCAAGCTGATCAGCCCACAGCCATGGAAACTGGTGACCCCACTGACATAGAGAGAAAAAGATATCACGGTCTGTCATTCTAAGAGCGTGCGCCATGCGCCAAAATCGCTCTTGCGAAGAATAGATAGCAGCGTGGAACCCGCCACAGTTGTCGTACTTCAGGTAATCTATGCCCCATGAAGCAAAAGTGGCCGCGTCTAGCTCTTCGTACCCATAGCTTCCTGGTTTGAATGCGCATGTCTTGATACCTGCGTCACTACAGTATCATCAGTCTCATTAAACTTTTACTGCACGCAGAACCTACAACTAACCTGTATATCCCAACCTTGAGATTACGCTCATGAGCGTAGGTAGTTATTTTACCCACTCCATTGGGAAATCGTGTCGCATTGGCCTGTTGAAGCCCATTAATATCCCTCTCATCAGACCATCCTTCATCCATCAAAAGATATTCATAACCAGCAGCTGCAAGACCCGTACTAAGCAGTGCATCGGCAGTATCCAGAATGACACTTTCGTTTATAAAGCTTTTGAACGCATTCCAGGAGTTCCACCCTATAGTAGAGACTTAGACGGAGCTTTGAAAGCGGTAGTCGTTAGGATCATACTAACCCATTTGTGGTTTCTTGGCTACAACGCTGGCTAGGCATGACGGAGTAAGCAGCAAAAGCGGCAACATCAGGATATTCAACATGTTGTAGGTTTCCTAGTCTTTCATTCCCCGTCGAAATTTCATCCAAGTCAGTGTTCTTGTCTTCGTTCCGGCATACTTATGGGATGGGCCTTTTCGCGTGACTACATACCAATCCATGCCACAGCAGGAGCATCAACTAAACTGTTGCCGCTGCCGCCTCAATATGCTATGCACCAATGACTTGACTCGGGCCAAGTCGTATTGGTCTCCCGTCAGTTATAATTTGATCGGAGACTTGCCGATACTTCGCCCGTCTCCGAGGTGCTTGGCTAGGTGAATCGAATATGTGGAGTCTCCACGAAGAACCCCCAACCCGCTTTGCTTTTGGCCACACATTCATTACAACTGGAACATCGTCACCGCCAGGCCAGTCCCGGAACTTTCGTCCCATTATCCGTGGCACGACCAGATTGAGATGGATCCGTCGTAGACCACCATGGTGGTTGCCGGCATATATGGCCATGCCGCCGAGCTCGTATTTCCTTGGAACGAGGGGTACTTCATCATCCTGGTCTATCATCCTTTAGATGACAATAATTCATGTCTATTCGATAAAATTTCAGCATCATGAGACTTCGAAATTTTGTATGGAGCCTCTGGCCGGGCATTGCCTACTCATCAATCATTGACCGCCAACTGCTTGATTACGCACCTATACCTACCGACGCGTATACACCCTCCCTAGGTCCAGATACAGTGACTCTTTTGGACTTTATCAAGTCCCGGCCTGAGCTTTCTAGCCTCAAAAACATCCTGGAGCAGACTGCCGGTGAGATACACAAAATCTAGAGATTTATCTACATTCAACACTCCCCAATCCTGCCTCCTACAACATCCATCCTCCATATTCGAGTGTAAACTCTCATTGAGACGTCGGCCTATCACTATAAGGAACCATGAAGGAAGAATCATGTAATTTTCTATTTTCTTGTTTACAACTAGCATTGTGTACAGGTCTCTGCAAGCTTTGGGTGGTTCTATTTTACTGCTAGACTAGTAGATGGCCAAAGTGTTGTGCCCTCGGCTCTAACAAAATTCTCATAGGATTCACAGAAGCTTTTGGTACATCAACAAATTGGAATTTCACCTTCTTCGCGCCGTCCAACACAGCGTTTGAGAACACCGGCTACTATTTCGAAACCTTTGCCGTTACACCCAAGGGTAAATGGTGGCTTGGCAACTTGGTTCAGCACCACTATGTACCCAATACGGCTATGACGTCGAAATCCTTCAACACCACAGCTCTGAGGTTCCAGACGGGCTCTTACCTCTATGTTGGAGCCCAGCTTCAGAATGGTTATGTCAGGCTAAACAATGCGTCCACAGTGATCGAACCCGATATAGCCGTTACCAACGTGAGTTTGCCCAATAAGGACATTTCAAAGCATCGACGCCTTTTCTGAGCTAAGCCATAGGGAATTGTTCACATAATCGATCATATACTAGATCCAGCCGCTCAAATCTTTGAGGTCGACCTGCCGAAGGTGGCGCAGTCATTCATAGCCGGCAGCTGCTCCAATATAGCTCTACCATATTGTTAGTAGATTATAGTTCAACATATCGAACTCGACCAAACAAATGAAAACTGTTTTTTTTCTCGTGCTTAACCTCCTTAAAATTAGGCTGGATGATTCATTGAGACTGGCCTGGGGTAGATATTGTGCTTAATTTACTAAAATTACAACTCGAGACCACAAAATCAGCTTTTCGACCGATAGTTCAACCCTATGCCAAAGAACGATTGTGAGTAAAATTCAGGTGACAGGGTAGTCATTTTGAGCCCTTAGTAGAATCGAGACGTACACATACTAAGGTGTCTTTCGTGTGTAGCTCTATCCAAATCGCAGTTCACACCTATCAGCAAATAAGTACATATCATAGCAAACCGCAACTCGTCTATGAATGGATTCCGCAAAATTGTCCGAAATTTTTGCTTATCAATGAATCGAAATGAAAATCATCTTGCAGTCCCTACACATGTAGAATACACGCAGGAACAAAATATTCACAAAGGCCCGACATATGGGCCGGATGCGACATGGAGATGTCCTTTCCCGGCCGCGCTCGTCGTGTTTGGGAGACAGATTGGGCACGAACTACAAGTGTCGGCAGTGAATGTAACAGACGAGATACAATTGCAGAAGTTCAAAGAGGTACATGCACTCTGGCGCCTAGTATGAACGTGACAGCCTATCATGTTCCATATCATACTACTGACTTTCCATACAAAGTACCAATCAAATCCGATAAGTTTCCGAGCATCCCTTATCATGTCAGAAAAGACCACTAGACCTTGACTGCAGGTGAATAGCTACATTCTCTTCCCGGCAAGAGATCGACACTGAATTGTGTTGGGGAATGCGCTGCATGAATCTGCACCCCAGACTTCCCCAGACGCCACCATACAGATCCACTATAATAACACCTTGTGATTGGGGTACCTTGAACTACGGACGATGTCCCGGAACTAACTCCCTAAGTATAGCGGATACCATTTCGCACTACATGAGTCCTTCATTTGCTATAGGAGATTAAACGTCTCGACGAAAATGACTGGCATAATATAAGTAACAGTATTTTCACATTTTCCTTGATCGCGGATCCAACCATAAATTCAGACTTGAGGACCAATTGGCTAAACCACCTTCTCTCATCAACACCATGAAACTTGCACAAGCCTGCTGGCTCCTTCTCCAAGGTTGGCTCGTGTCAGCAGCATGCGTCGGGAAGCGCGCGTTCGTGCATCCCGGCCTGCTGCACACGCAAGCCGACTTCGCGCGCATCCAGGGCTTCGTCGACACCCAGGCCTCCCCCATGTACGCGGGATGGGAGAAGCTCGCGGCCCACGCCAACGAGAACTACACGGCGAGCCCCCAGGAGACCATATGCCGCGGCAGCGGCAGTGACTGCACCGAGAACTACGCATCGCTGTTCCGGGACGCGTCGGCAGCCTACGTCAACGCCGTGTACTGGAGGACGACGGGCTCAACTGCACACGCGGACGCGGCGGGCGGGATCCTGGACGCCTGGTCGTCGACGGCTAAATACATCAACGGCTCCTCGGACAAGTTCCTGGCCAGCGGGCTGTACGGGTACCAGCTGGCGAACGCGGGGGAGATCCTGCGGGACTATGAGGGCTGGTCGGGGCTGGCGGACTTGGTGGATATGCTGGGCGGCGTCTTCTACCCCATGAACCACGACTTCCTCGTCCGGCACAACGGTGCCGCGATTGACCACTACTGGGCCAACTGGGACCTCTGCAACCTGGTTTCCATGTACGCCATCGGCGTGCTCGCGGACAATTCGAGCATGGCTGACGAGGCCGTGGCCTATTTCAAGGGCGGGGAGGGCAACGGCGCCATCGAGAAGGCCATCTGGGTCACCTACGAAGAGGCCGGGAGCGGCAAGGTCCTGGGCCAGAACCAGGAGGCCGGCCGGGATCAGGGGCACGCGACGCTGGATTTCGCCCTGCTCGGCGCGTTAGCACAGCAGACCAAGAACCAGGGCGTTGATCTGTTCGGGTATCTCGACAACCTGATCTTAGCAGGGTAAGTTTTTTTTTCCCCTTCCTCTACAAAAATACAAGCGTTCTTCACGGCCGTAGTTTGACTTTTTTGCTCACCACGTTCCTTTGTCAGATCCGAATACATGGCCAAGTACAACCTGGACTATGACGTTCCGTATACTGAGTACGTGAACTCGGACGTCAACCAGACGGTCATCTCGGAAAGTAGCCGGGGAGAGGTGCGACCAATTGGTGAGCTGCTCTTCGCACACTACAGCTCAGCCAAGGGCCTGAATGCGTCGTGGACTGGCGCCTATCGCGACTATGTTCTCGAGCAGAGCGGTGGTGCCGAGGGCGGCGGAGGAGATTACGGTCCGAACAGCGGGGGTTACGACCAGCTTGGATTTGGCACAATTCTTTACCGTTTAAAATAGGGGTTGAAGGGTTCAGGGGTTGACGAGTACACATTATTACTACGAAGGTGGAGGTTCTGTTATCATCATGATGAAGCCTCTTATTTCTTCAATTGTCATTATTATCCATTCTTTTTAAATTTTCATTTTGGGACCTCCAGTTTCAAAGTATGTCATGGTAAAACTAATAGCCTGCATGTAAGACAGACAAAATTGGCTCAACAGTCTCTAGGAACTGTGCAAAGCTTTACACCACATGCTTGGAAGAAAAACACACACGAGGATTCATACCAACCTAAACCTCAAGCCTCGTGCGTTCAGCTCATTTGCTCTTTTGTTCATGGTGTAATCTGTCAGTCACTCTAGCAAACTCGTCGAAACCCTAATAGAGGTCGTTATCGAGAGTCACTCTTGTGGAGCCCATGTCGTGTCAACTATACTTGATACCTTCACCTGTTCTCATGGGGCTTATTGATCTTGCCGTGGTTCCCTAACCATCTCTTATTCTCCACTTGTTCGATCAAGACACAACGGGCTTGAGATCTATCATGGCTGATGCGTGGGCCGCGTGTAGCCGTCAAGATAAAATTTTGGTGTTAGGTTGGATGGAAACTAGACTAATGAGGTGGTACTGCCTCTATAAAATAATACCATGACAAGGGCGGCGCTTGGGAGTGTAGCGTGAACGTCGAAGTCGAGAGAAGATTCGATTCTGACAGTCGCTTATAGCAGTCAGACCGACGTCACTATAGCCACTCGAAAGATCATAGTGTTCTTCGTTAGATACGTTAAAGATGGTCTCCTCCGTATGGCTCGACACAGAATCTGGCACTCATCTATACCAGTGTGGAATGGGGTATATGCATTCAGCAGTGCTATCACAAACCAACAGAAAACATGGCAAACCATAGATGCTTTCAATACAGCTCTATTATTCTTGGGTGCTATGACCTGAAAATGCTACCATTGGGAATTTTCTTCAGTGGGATCGACCGCTCTGAACGAGAGACGAAACCAGTAACAAGAAAGCTGTAAAAACAATGCCAAAACACCGTGCTCTTTCATTTCCGCCGCGCGTATGCCAAATCATCAAACAGGATATCATCTCCTCGTTGCATTAGTTTGTCCCATGTACTACATGAAGACGGTATAGAATAGTCGCAGATGACCATTGCAGCTCTGTTGCAACCATGGGCATGGAACTCTTGGTCAGGTCGTGCGGGTAATCTCTTGCTCGCCAGGGGTATGTTTGTTCTTTCCACCAAGCCTAAACCGTCTCCTCTACTACAAGGCAAAGGCAAGCAGGCCAGCGACGGCAATGGCACCGTTGCTAAGGTGCTGAATGCCGGTGGGCATGGAACCGCCGGCGGAAGACGAGGTCGAAGTGGCGGATCCGCTGTTGGTAGCGGCGGTACCAGTGGCAGTGCCGGTGCTGCTGGTGGAGGCGGCCGAGGATGTGGTGGTAGCAGCGCTGGAAGCGTTCTTGGTACCACAGTTGTCTTGAATGCTGGTTGTGCAGTTGGCCTGGCCAGTTGCGCTGCCAACATTGGCGGCGATGCAGTTGGTGAAAGCTTGCTGGCAAATGTACTAAAAATTGTGGAATGCTGATTAGCGCCAGGTTCTAACGTCGAGGTCCACGTCCATGCCCGCGGGATCATTTTGGTGATCGGCGGTGGCATGAATGTAGCCATTGGTTATCATCGCGCCAGGACCAGGGAGACTTACGAAGGGCAGCGAGTTTGCGTACTCGTTCATATCGGGGCTGGTGCCGTCGTCGCAAGTACAGCTGTAGGATAGAGTGTTCTGGGGCCATTAGCACATAATCAAAAGCACGAACGGGCTCATTGTACTTACGACATCACAGTCGTTATCAGGAGCGTTACCGCAGATCTGAGTACAGGCATTTCTCTCAGATGTGCACCACGAAGCTGTCCAACATCGGCGTCAGTCAACTCTGCTTCCTAAGTTGTCAAATTCTGTCTCGTAGCAATAGACATACCTCTGAGGCTGAGAGTAACCGAGTTGGGATCAATGGTGAAGGTCGAGTTGCCAGCGGAGACAACGGTCAACGCCGACATGGCAACAATGGCAACCTTTTGGACGAACATTTTCGATGATGGTGGGGAGAGAAGTAAGGCGAAATGAATTCAGTCGTTGCAGAAATGATGCTATGGAGTGCAGCAGCGGAAGTTGTTGTGCTTTGCGATGCACAGGAAGCTGAGATGGAGACTGAGACTGGGACTGAGACTGGAGTACTTCTTGTTGTGGTTGGGAAGTTGAGTGCAAGAGAACGAACTATCTATGTAGAGAGCCCCACGACACGATTATGACCAAGAGTGATTGACTGACCGGAGTCTTCTTTTCCAATGCGTAATTACAGGTGAGAAAAGTGGAAGGAAGAGAGGAGGGAACTATTGTGATTATGAATCCCGGGTAGGTGCGAGGAGTTTAGGTCAATCAGAGGTCAATGGAAAAAATGTCCCGCAACCCGCACGCGTTATGCTTGCTGTAGGTACTGTATGTACGTATGTATGTATGCAGACAGATACAGATACAGAGACAAACAACCGGAGGCAAAATGGATGGAACGGATGGGGGAGGCGCGCCAGCGACGAGAGCTCTCACGATCTAACCTGGAAAATCAACTTCTGACCAGGGTCCGACGCACGCCGATGCACCTCAGTGCATTCCCGCCTGGCCCAACCCTGCTAGTCCAATGAGATATCTCTGCTAGACCCCCTACTAGCCCTCTCTGGACCCATGTATTCGCAACGACAAAGGACCGCCCAGTCCGCTATCGTCCGCTATCAAAGTTAAGCCCAAGACTTGCGAATGGCTGGTCAATTTCCAGAGCAGAAACGCCAATTCCAAGTGGTTGCTAGGTGCATTGCGAGAGGTCGGCCGGCAGGAGTAAGCATCAATTGACCAATGGTCGCCATGATTACGAGCCCGCTGCAGCTCCCCGGCCCATTCGCTACATACTGTAGTCTGCCTTGAGTGCTACCTGTCTTACGTCGACTTCAGATATGCGCGGCAAAGTATGTAGTTGGTGCTTCTGCTCATGGACAAGGTCGATAGTTGTGTGAGTAGTCGGGGAGTCCACGCGGCTTACCGTATTGGGAGACGCCAATCACTCTAACCCGTTAGTTTCTTCCAGTAGCGCTGGCGACAAAGACACAATGGAGCTTGGGAGAAAGCACCCCCTGGCACCCGACAACAACCACCGCGCGCGGTGCTGCTGCGTATCTACGACATCATTCAGCCCAATCGTTCGCGTAAGAACATCGTTAGCTACCAGACCAGCCCCAGTACTTCGCACAGCTGCGGAGACGGCACATGCAGAACCTGAGCTCTCGGGATTCGGATCGCTTCACATGATCGAGAATACGGCTGCGGATACGATACTGCGCCATACATGCCATACCTATGTGCGACCAGTGGCAATACTTTGGTGCCTAGAACTGCGATTGTTCTGGTACTCGTGCTACTCCGGTTGGTCAAAGTATGGAGTGCCAGTCCAGATAACGAGTGTCACATAAGAAGCCCTGACCACGGGATTGCAGTCGTCGCGAAATTGGGAATAATCTCACACTGACACCTTATCTAGCTTTTCATACCATACCAAGATCAAAATTTGACCATCAATTTCGGTTCAACGGTCCCATTTCGATTCCTTCTCCATCCTGTAGGTACCCGAGGCCCTGACACTAAGCCATAGTTGGACGTACGTGGATCTCACGAGTTGCAACAATTGGAGGACTCCAATCATCCCTTGCAGATCCGGTTCTTACCACCGAAAAGCTTGGCTTTTTCTGCCGATGGGAAATGGATAACGCTCCCTCATCTTATTAAGCCGGCTGGTTGGTGCGACCGCATCTCGTCAGGCTCTCACACATATGAAACCCGCCTGGTCACTAATCATCCAACCCATGCTCTCGTGGTTCGGCGAACCATGCGATTCTCTATTCAACCCGCTGGCGACGATCTCTTTTGAAACCAAAATGCACCATTCGGCAGATTTGTCGACGGTAAACACTTAGGCGGAGCGGTGTTCTCTACCCGCTCTGTTGCGCGCACCTGCCCATTATCGGACAAAGTTATGACAGCGAGTGGGACAGTCGTCGCAATGAGATGGGTTCTTGGAGAGACCAGCTGGACAAGGGTCCGTATGACCATGGCAGCACAGGAACCTCACGGGCCACTCTCTCTGGCTATCTTTCATTTGCCTCGGAATCAAGAAATTAACATCAGGTTGGCTGGATTTTACTTTCAATACATCAACCTTATCGGGTCAAATTTGAAGACATCGTCGTAGTGGGTAAAAACTGAGACTTGGCGGCTTGTTCTATACCTGCACCGCCTACTTACCAGCTGAGTCCCAGCCGAGTTCCAGCTGGCTCAGCTCCGCTGTTTAGCTCAATGCCTCGGTGCGACTGACATACAACGATCGTCGCCCGCCCTGAAATTATGGAGCGGCGGTCAATGAAAAGGGACGGTCACAACCGCAAAACAGAGGGAGTAATAATTCCGAAGTATCGTGAGTCCTTGTCAAGTATGATCCCCACCGGTAGTGATTTACCAACAACTTCCATCTTCTTCAGAGTCAGCTTCAGAATGTGGATTACCGCTTGACAACAACTACAGCTGTTCGACGAATCCGTTCTGTTCATATCACTCACGGAACAAATCCGGAACCCAGATCACGATCTGTGAAGGACCAATCAAGTATTAGATGCGTTCAACAACAACGCGAGTTTCGCACTGACGCTATATTATCAAATCGGGATAAATTATTATTACCAAACGCAATCTCAAAGGTATAATATAGGATGACATGGATTTCACCCATCAAGATAGACTAGTGGTGGTTGATGTGCAATTCTTTCAATGACTGCACGGCTTCTTCCATCTGTTGATTCACCAATGTGGAAATAACAGGATATGCAACTGGGTTGACAGAGTCCATGCCCAACACGACGATCTCACAATGATGTACAGGTCGCATTTGATATTTCCGGAAGTGTTGGATTGTAAAGTGACTTCAGGCCTATATGCTATCTATCCTAGCCGTTCGGGTTGCCCGCTCATCTTCTTCCCTGATCCGCACCAGCCAAGTCTTGGTGTCATCGTACGGTATCTGACAATCAGCTGATTTATTGGGTATATCCTGCTGCATAATGAAGTCGGGTGTCGATTAATGAAAGAAGGCGACTAACCTAGCGACGTAATCAGTGACTAAAAACTATGGAGCGAATTCGACCTTCACAGGTTAAACCGCACAGAGTGATGAAGAAGAAGCAATTGCACAGAGTTAACGAGAATCTGAGTGTGCACTGATTGGTCATTAAATGATGCGTCGTAGAGTCGTGTAATCTTTCTTGAAAAGTACCTTTTTGAACATTGATCGTGACATTGGTTGGCTAAACCCCAAGAAACAACATAGCCTAGCATAACCCAATTTCGCGACATACTGACTTGCTAGGTTAGGGACAAAACCAATTTAGCGTAACAAACAACAACGCTTATCTTCGCAACATCCTCAACAAGAACTCATAGCCGGGGCCAACTTGAGCATCCCACTCAACCGTTCCCGGTTTCAGCCCCAAGTCATGAATGTGCCCAACCCCTGAAAGTGCCAGAAACCCGCACTCGACGTTGGTCTCGCGCAAAGCGTGGAAGAAGTCCAGTGCCGATCGAAACGGCGCGATCTCATCCTGCGTGCCGTGAATCAGATAGGTCGGCGTCTTGTAGTCCCCGGAGCGCATGTGTGCCATCGGACTGACCGCTGCGATGCGCCCGGGCTCGGCCGGGTTTCGATACCATTGATCGCTGGTCCTGTCTTCGTTCAGCAGGAGCGAAAGTCCGTTCCCTTCTCTGAAAAGCGACAGGACAAGTTCGGATCTTGGGTCACCGGCATGCATCCAGCTTAACTCTGGGCTGCCCGTCGCGCCATTTCCGGGATCGTAGGATGTTATCTGGTTATATATGGGATCAGTGCTTTCCACAAGCATCCCGATCGGGCTTAGATTTGACTTACAGGTGTTGCTGTGACAGATTTTATCGCTTCTTCGAGAACAGACACTCCGCTAGAGACCTTATGATGTCGTGGTATGTCCAAGTCTATGCTTTCAGTCAGCAATTTGTAAAGGTGCGGAGGATGAACTCGCACGGAAAGTTCCTACCTCCAGATTCAAAGTCTACGGGCCCATAGAAGCAGAGGATCGCTGCTGGGGGGTTCGAGGCGAGCAGTCGAGTTGTCCACGCTGTTGACAGCGCCAAATGCCCTCCCGTAGACCATCCTATCACGGCAACCTTGGTGCAGTCGACTGTGATCCCGTGCTCCGAGAGCAGCATTGGTAACTTGCTCTGCATCCAAAGATATGCGTCTCGAATATCTTCAATCGGACCATCGATGAGATTGACTTCTGGGCAGAGTCGGTAATCGAAGCTGACTGGGAGAACACCATTATCCAGTAGGAATGATGTCTGTGCCGGACGAATGGCCTTTCTTGATAACATCATATGCCCGCCACCATGTATCATCATTGCTAGAAACATGGCAAAGTCAGCGAACAACAACTGTAGATCACTTAGGAGTTGGAGGTAATACCGAGGCTCATGATATCTCCAGTCGGGGCCTGGGGTAGATGAATGTCCGCTGGAATTGCGACTCCTTGCACTTCCTTATATACTACGGTCCTGACAGCTGTGCGGCTATGAACCTTGTGGATTGGCACATTCAGACTGTTCCTCGTTCCGACTATCAAGCTCTGAGAATTGAACTGCCGTATCGGGACATCTGATTGTGCCACTGTCTGAAAGCCCGCCTTCTTGAAGGACTGCACCCATCTTTCCGGTGGCTGCAATGGGTACGAGGAGTCTTTGCAAAGCCACCAACCATCGAGCAGGCCCCAAACAATGTCGTACCAGTCGACCACCTCGGTCACTTCCGAAAGAATCAGACAGCCATCAGGGTTCAGAAGCTGCCGGATGTTGCCAATTGTACTGACTTGATTTCTTGTCGCATGTGCGCAATTGGTGCCTATGGCTATGTCAAATTTTCCTTGTAGCCGGGAAGGCGGTGGCTCCTCGATATCAAGGGTATCGAACTTCATCCAGTTGTACTCCTCAAAAGTCCTGGAGGCCTGGTTGACGAGTGAAGATGCAATGTCCGTGAATGTATACTCGATTCTCTTTCCTAGAGTATTGAGCACCTGGGCTAGTCGTTTTGTGGTACCGCCCGCTAAGAGAGGTTAGGTTAGTCAGATGATATTAATTCTCTGAGGACTTGGGCTGAGGCAACTCACAACCGGCTCCTACTTCAATGATCCTCACCGCGTCCCCACCGCTTGCACCCACGCTGTGTGCCACCAGGCTTACCAGAAGCTCAGTAGAAGTTGCCAGTAACGGTGAAGTGGCGTAGTAGTTTGATAAAATCTGTCGCGCCTCTTTACTTGCGAAGAGCAAGGTCATCGGTGACACCTTTCCGGTCAGGCATTCGGCAAGCTTGGAGCCAGTAATTGCAATCATGTCGGTGTCAGGACGATACTCCGGGAATTCGCGGGTGAAGGTGGATACTAGATTGTCTGCAGAGATGTCTGGATAATCCAGAATGCTCCGGACGTACCCTTGGCCATCCGAGTCCACAAGCCCGTGTTTCTGTAGTATGTTGTAGTACCGTTTCACAACTTTGGAATGTGTAGGGATATGTGGAATGACTGGAACAGGGGAGCCTCCTTCCAGTTTCGAGATATCCACGCCGAGCTTTTGGAACGCCTCAAGAATATACATCGTCGTGATGACATCCAATTTTCGCCCCACGTCTACGGATGGGATATCGTGGCCGCGTGCCGGAAGAACTTTTGGCAGCTCTGCTTGCGCTAGTGCGAGTGCCTCGAAAGGGTTTCCGATCCTTGCTGTTAATTCGTTATCTACATCAACGTGCGTTGACATTTGCTCTCTCGTGTCAAATATCATAGTCGGCACGACGGATGCTTTTGTTGGCTCAAGTATTGTACTGTGTGTCGCGGTGGGACCAGAGCACCCCAAAAATTGAGCCATGTCACTCAAGCTCCAATCCAGGTCGATCTGTTCGCCCGGGACCTGTGTGGTAAAAGCAGTTTCAAGCTCATCTTTCAGTTCGATGGCAGCCAGCGAGTCAATACCTAGTTCCCTTAGTGTGATGCTTTCGGTGAGCTCAGTTGCTTCTATGCCACATGCGTAAGAAATAGACGTGGTCAATTTGCTGAACTGGCTATTACTCAAGGGAGACGTTGTGGACTGTGGTGTTGATATCAATAATTCATCCTCCAGGGAGGACATGAGGGAAGATGTGGGGGAAGCCTGCGGCATCCCACTGTGGGTTGACAGAGAGAACCCCGGCGTCCTCGACGGAAATTCTAACTGCTTCAAAAGCTCTGCAAAACTGTAGTCCAAAAGTTGACTGGAAGAAAGTTCTCTTCCAAAACGAGAATTGAGCTCTTCGGTCAGCTCGATTGATGCGAGCGAATCTATACCAAGTTCCGATATGGAAGTCTCACTGAAGATTAAGTTAGATTGCACACCAGTATAACTTGAGATTATGCTTCGCAAAACTTTCTCATCTTCCTCATCGGACGAATGGTACTGAGCGGGCTCTTCCAAAGTGTGTTTTACTCCTGTTGTTCCCGCTTGCGAGACAAATGGGGGAGGCAACTCTACTGTCTCTTGCGTCGGAAGCGGATTTGATGGATGAGGATTGCCCGTCTTGGTGTTTGCTCCATCAAGTATTCTCTCCAACGCAGGAATTGGTAGTTTCGTAAACGCAATACCCATGACTGAGAGCGTGATGAGATCATCCATTGATTGCACGAACACGTCTCCAACAGCATGACTCTTGCCTGTTGATGTGATGATAGCGTACACTTTCCACACCAAGTTTTGCGAGAATCTGAGCGTCGGCGGTAATTTGATATTCTCAATACCTGTGGCGACAAATACAGAATCTTGCTCACAAAGGTCGCTGCTATTGATAAGTAGCCCCGCGACTTGTATGAAGATGTCTATTGTGACTGCGTCGCACTGGTCCACCGCGGTGCTCTGCTCTTGGCCAGGTTGGCCAACAGGCACTTGTACTTCAGCCAAGGCTTGGTACCCGTCGATCAATATATTTCTTATTCCTGAAAGAAAGTAGGCATATGTCACGACTTTAGAGAATAACCTGTATGCTCGCGCTGACAGAAACTTCTCCATTTCTCGGCCACGTGATAGTCCTTCAATATGTTTTACCACTAGCCTCTGGTTGGACGAATTCTCCAAGTGACTGCTTTGCAAGCTCAGGGAACCCTTGGCGTGGACTGTTAGTTTTGATGCGCCATCGGCTGTATGACGACTTCCAAAATTAAATGTCCAGTTACTTTTGGAGTTGGCCACAGTGAGAACTAGTGTGAGCTCTCTGCCAAGATCAGTACCGAGGGGGCTTTCAAATGACAGTGCTTCAAAGCAAACAGCAGATTGGGAGAGATCCAAATCCATATTCTGTAAAGCCATGAAAATGCATTCCATGTACATCGATGCTGGGCATAGCGGTCGCTTGCGTACGACGTGACCACATACGATAGACTGAAACCGCTCAGACGCAATATTGACACTAAAACAGATTTCTCTGCCATGTACAATAGGCCCTGTAACAAGTTTAGACTTGACAGTAAGACTATTAGACGCATTTGTTGAGTTTTGACTAGCTTGTAACTTTTCTTGTAGCTCTGTCACGCGGTCGACATTATCGACCCATGATGAGCTTCCGACGAAAGTGTATGATGGCAGAGTGATCTGCCTGAATCCACAATCGGAGGCATTTAGAAAAGGCCAATATGAGAGATCCACTCCCTCATGGCACATGCTTACGATGGCTTTCGTAAGAACATCACTCTTCGCCATAGCCCCTTTGAAAGATATGGCTTGGAAAGTATGTGAAGTTGGATCCTCAACAGCCCTTTTGAGCAAAGAAATAATCGGAGAATCGAAGCCAGCTTCAAGCCATGTGCAAGAGCTCAAACGTTTTGTAATGCGCTGAACAGCAGCATCGAAATATACGGGATTTCTTAGGTGACTTGCGATATGGGACGACGTGATTGTGTTGTGTATGTCTACAGTACAAGTCTCCAGATTGAACCGGGGCTTGTGGTAGGATACAGTTGATCCCAAAGCGGCAAGATCACCTAACAGAGGATCAGCGAACTTGGAATGAAATCCGTGGCTGGTCTTGAGTCGCTGGAATCGCACGTCCTCATAGGTTAGGACAGATGCCAAGATCGTCTCTGCACGGTTAATTGAATCCATAGAACCTGCTATGACCTGTGAGGTATTTGAGTTGAAGCAGGCGATTTCGCAGTCTCCTACTTTCTCAACAAGACTGTGAACGAGTTTCTTTTTGGCATGAACTACCATCATGGAGCCACGTTCTGGTCCCCACGTAGATGCTATCAGAGCAGCCCGCGTCGCGACAATCCGAAGGCCATCTCGGAGCGTCCAGACCCCAGAAACAGTGATGGCAGTCAGTTCGCCCAAACTATGACCGATGACAGTGTCGACGACCAGTCCCGCCTCAATCAAACACTGCGCGAAAGAGTATTGCGCAGTAAAGATGGCAGTCTGCAGAATGGCCACATTCGAGATTGAAGTGGATTGAAAAATTGCCGGAATTACTGAAGGAAAGCCAAGTTCGACCAGAATTTCCGAGCACGTATTAATATGATGCCTTAACCGAGGGCACATCTCATATAGTCCCTTGTCAAGGCCGACGACTTGGTCATTTTGGCCTCCAAATGCCAACACCACTGGCCTTTTACTTGGGGGAATGTCGTGTACTTCTCTGCTTGTACGGAGCGCCATGCGAAGACCGTTAATATCCGACGCCACGGTCATCCAACGATAGCGGTGACGCATTCGGCGCTCGCTGAGTGTAAATGCCAAGTCCCCAAGACTCGGTTTCTGGTGTTCCAGGAACTTGCTGAGTTTATCAACATATCGACGCAGGCTCTCTTTCGAGTGAGCTGTAACTATGATTGGGAATGGTTGATTCTCGTTCGTATTTTCACATGTAGTGCTCACAGAGGTATATCCGCAGCATATTGCAGCGGCATTACTTCCAGCGGCTCCATAGCTATTGATGCATGCAGCATGGAATGATCCTAGCCATGGTTCAACTGATTGGGCGATGGCCATTTTACCTTTAGCCAGAGCCGGAATCTTAGGATTGAGTTTCGAAAAGTTTGCCAGCGGAGGTATTTTACCGGCTCGGAACATAGCGAGAACCTTAAGAAGGCCTGCAATTCCTGCAGCGGGCTCGCAGTGACCAATATTTCCTTTGACTGAACCAACATGCAAAGGAGAGTGGCGATCAACACTACCAAACACTTGCCTAATACTTTCCATTTCGATTGGGTCGCCTATTTTATATGATCAGCTTTAGTCCACTGGTTACACAAGCAGGTCAAAGCTTTACGACGACATTTGAAATGAGCATACCTGCCTGAGTTCCTGTTCCATGGGCTTCAACATACGAGACATGACGGGGAGACATGTGTGCCTGTTGCAGAACGCGATGATATAGCTCCTCCAATGAAGGTGCATGCGGCACTACAATTGATGAAGACATGCCTCCTTGATTTGTCGCAGTTCCTGTAATAACTCCAAGAATCTGATCCCCAGATGCCTCCGCATGCTTGAGTCTTTTCAGCACGACCAAGCCAGCTCCATCCGAACGACAATACCCATCGGCAGACACGTCAAATGGTTTGCATTGGCCAGTTGGACTCAAGAATCCTGCCTTAGACAGGTCAAGGTGATCAGATACACCAGTCATCAGGCTGACGCCGCCAGCCACCGCCACTGGACATTCACCTCCGAGAATAGCCCTGCATGCTCGGTGAATTGCGACCATGGAAGATGAACACGCAGTATCAACAACTTCCGCAGGTCCCTTCCAGCCGAAGTGGTAACTCAACCGGCCACAGAGGAAAGCGCGAATTGTACCCGTCGAGTTGAATGCTGTTGGCAGATGGCTACCAGTATTCTCCAAGTACTCGACAAACCCTCCACCAATGAAGCAGCCTACGTTATCGTTATCTTCACGTTTATGATGACGAAGGTATCCGCTGGAATCCATTGCCTGGTAGGCCAGCTCTAGGAGTAAACGCTGCTGTGGATCTATACAGGAAGCTTCCTTGGCCCCAATCCGAAAGAAACCATGGTCGAACTTGTCAACGTCATTGACGAAGTTACCATAGAACGTTCTTTCAGTTATTGAGTCCTTTCTCTGCGAATTTCTGAACGATTTCTCCAAAGGTACTCTGTCTTGTCTGATCCTCTCACAAGTTGATTGACAACGAGACATTAGCTCCCACAGCTCGTCGAGGTTGTTGGCGCCAGGCAGCCGACACGAAACACCGATTATTGCTATTGCATCGTCATTGAACTCATATTGATTGGAATCTGCTTCTATTAGAACTTTAGCGGCCTCGGATTTTGTGATATTGAGTTTGGCTTGATGGAAAGGAGAGAGAGGAACGCAATCGCCAAGTCCAAAGATCTCGAAGCTATGAAAGGAGTTGCCTCCGTCTTTGAGATCTTGCGCTACTTCCTGGAGTACTGTGTACCATTCGCATTTTGCTGTTAGCATGATAAGTACAGCCTCGTGGGTTAAAGAAAGCTTCTTGATACTCTTCCCGTCGTAGTTCGACTTAACCGGTATCAATAATTGCGTGGTTTTTGGCAGCTGCAGAGATGGACTCTTATCGCAAAGGCTACAAAGTTCTTGGGCAAGTTCAAGGTTCTCCGGGTTATGGACTAGCCCGCGAAGGTGCATTTCTTGTACGAGAAGTCCTTGATCCCGAACGTGCGCCAAAAGATGTGCCATGGCATCTACATGGCCGCTGATAGTAATGCTTTTTGGATCTGTCACAGCTGAGATGACACACTTCGCTTTTGAGTCAGCTACGTTTCCGAAGACTATAGCCAGCATAGGGAGTGCTTACACCTGGAAACTTCTGTACGATTTCTTCACCTTGCTCGGGATAACGAAGCCGTACAACAGCAGTTGTCGCGCCTTTGATATTTTCGTTATCACCGAGCTGACAGTACGCTCCAATCCCCAGTCCAATACGTATAGCAATCGTCGCCAAGTGGATGAGCTCATCCTCGTCCCGAGCGCAAGCGACAATAAAGGCTGGCAAAAGACCCCCACAATATCCCTGAATGCCGACCCTCTTGTCAAGGCTTCGAAGCAGCTGAGCATGGCTTACCCGTTGTAGCTGGATATACTGGAGGTATTGGCAAACTTGGATTATGACAAGCAATGGCATGGATATTATCCCAGACATGATTCCGATGATTGGGCCTGAGCTGTCGTTCGTGATCCAGTCAACTAGTAATGCGGCATATCTTGGGCCTTGAGAGAGACCTGCAATGTTTGCATTGTGAATTGCAAAAAAATTCCACGTTTGTTTCAGAGACAAGATTTCCTTGACCAACGGCTGGAGACGTTGGTCTGACAATAGGAATGAACGGAGGCTTGAGAGATAGCTTTGAGTGGGACACTTGCTTTGTGGACAGAATACTGCAACCGTGGGCAATTTATTAGATGCAGCAGCCATGTTTGTAACACTTGGATGTGACGTGCCTGATAAAAGCGAGGCTTGGCTTGAAGATATAACAAGTTCTCGAACACCTATAAAGATATGACTGTAGTGATGGTAGATGATGGGAGTGCTACGTTTCTATGCCCGGGATCTACAACAGCAAAGATATATATGCTTATAAAAACAACAAAAGGTTGCTAACTTTTAGTTACTCTTTCAGGAGTCACTAATCTGATCAGTTGCAAGACCTCGACCGTTCATATCGAAATTTCAAGCCGTAAAGACCACGGCGACGTTATCGGAAACCAGTATCACATCACTTAGTGCAATTGTTCTATTTGAATACAACTCGAAAAGCCTGAATTAGCATATTGTGTGTGAGCTTAGGCCGGTCCTAATTTTAGTGTACAAACTACGGCCAAGGCGTCGATCCTCTCCGTATAGATGCCCTGCATACTTACTGCATTAATTTAATACTGAAAATATTCGAGCGTATCAGTGGATGTATGATTCCTGAGTGAAAAGAGGATCAGACACTGTCTTGAAACTTGTCCGACCCATGTCGAAGACCCAGTTTGGGGCAAAATGATTCGGCCGGCACCCGGGCTTATGGCCGCAAGATAGGACATGAGCCAGTTGCTTTTTTCTAAAACTGATTCAAGTAGTAGTGGAGAGAAATTCAAGACCTGGAAAGCCGGACATGTAGTGCTGGTGTTGTATTACGTTTGCCTAGTTGAAACTAAACAATGATTGCTCCGCTGTGTACACCAATGTAACTCAAGTATAACTGCCACAGCAGAAACAATAGAATGTCCTCATTGAATCCTGTACACCGAGAAGACTGTTTTAAGGATCAGATTACTCGGTAGACTAACATCAGCATGGCAAATGAAATAGGCTGGATTTGCCTTTCCGCCAGGTCAGACTTTTGCACTGTTACAGTCATAGTATCGATGTTGCTGATGGTTGTAAGTTATACCCGTGTTTTACTCGTTGAAAGACGCTTATAAGTGTAGATTGTTTCTGCAGATATCATCCACTCGTTATACTTCCATCCACTAGCCAAGTTTCCCGGGCCTATGTTTGCGGCGGTATCGCGGCTTCCTTTTGCGTTCTCGGCCGTGACTGGTTCAACATACAAATGGCTGGATCGGCTCCATGCCCAATATGGAGAAGTCGTGCGAATTTCTCCCGGAGAGCTATCGACAATATCTCCAGGAGCATGGAAGGATATATATCTCACGCGTCCGCAATTGAAGAAGGATCCCTACAGTCAAACCCCGCCACTGAATGGAGCGCATTCCTTATTCACAGCTCATGGAGCTACACATGCTCGCATTCGAAGGCTATATGTCAATGCCTTTACTGACAAGGCACTCAAAGAGCAAAACCCAATTATTGAGTCGCATGTTCAGTTGCTCATGCAACGAATGAGACGTGATATCACAAGGGCCGATAACAATGTCATCGACATCGCCAAATATTACGGGTATGCCGCGCTCGACATTATTGCCGACCTGACATTCGGTGAGAGTTTCCATGGATTGGAAGGCGAGAATGAGCACCATATGATTGTCGGCATTTTCCTTGGGGCTAAATTTGGTGCGATCAGAAACAGCCTGAGCCACTTCTATCCGTTGGACCGTCTATTTGGCATGATCTTCCTCAGACTAACTGCCAGGAAGAGGAAGCAGAATTATGAGTTCAATGAGAAAGCTATCAACAAGCGGCTTGCCATGGGTGACTTGGGTTTTCAAAGGCAAGACTTTATGTCTGCTTTAATTGGAAATGTCAACCCAGGGAAAGAAAAGGGTATCACCCGGACAGAGCTTGACAGCAACTCGTTGGCCATCATTATCGCTGGCTGCCAGCTCACAACGGTGGCTTTAGCCACAGCAACGTATCTTTTGCTGAGAAATCCAGTAACCTATCAATGTCTTCGTGATGAGATTCGACAAACATTCCTCGATGAGAAGGAGATCGACATCACAAAAACACAGTCACTGCCGTACCTCTCTGCTGTCATAGATGAGACTCTTCGCATACACCATCCTACTCCAATTAATCTGCCAAGAATTGTGCCAGCAGGAGGGCTAACGATAGACGGAACTTGGATACCGGAGAAGGTGCGTCGGTAGTCACCATAATCGATCATTCAAGGTTGAACTACATGAACATTGCTGATACATTCCAGACCGTGATTGGCATTGCGCTTCAGACTTCCCAGACCACACCTCTCTACTGGGAGGATGCCTTGGGGTTTCATCCAGAACGCTTTCTTTCACCGAACGACGGTCGGTATGAATCTCGATTCAACAAAGACAATAAAGATGCATTCCACCCTTTCTCCATGGGCAACAGGAATTGCTTGGGCGGGAAGTGAGTCTAATCTTCATTGTGCTGGGCCCCAGATCACTGCATACTAATCCGTGGTTTGCAGGGTTTTTCTAGCAGAAGCTAAAGTTATCCTGGCAAAGACGATTTTTGCGTTTGATCTGTCGCTATCAAATCACGTGGCGAATGATTGGATGGACCAGAAAGCCTTTCTCGTATTCGAACCAAGCGAACTGTTGGTTCAGGTAAGAGAAAAGCAAGTTTTGTAAGGATGTTTGAGTGAGTCCTTCGGACGGATGAGGAGGGGAATGGCGGAGGCTAAGGATGGACGCACGGTGGCATGGTTTTTGGTTGTTTATGGTGGGATGAGTTTTTACTCCGGTAGGAGTATCTATAAATAGCTTCAAGTTTCCCTTGCATAGTTGCATTACTGATAACATTGGGCCACTGGTTTGAATCAATAGTCTCATGTGTAGCCTGATTGCAAGATCCCCGCGTGGCTCTTGCAGGCTATAGTGGCACGTCCAGGCTTTGGGTCCGATGTGAATCTAGAGGATGATTATCTAGCTAGCAAATTGTATTGCGGTGAAAGAAGAACGGTCTATAAATGGTCTTTTTTCTTATTTCCCTACTCATATTTTACCTTATTGGCGTGCTGTTAGGAGGACTCTATGAGTGATGTCCTTAATGGACTTTGTATTTGACAGTGGCGGTTTAGCGTGGAGCGAGACACTGCCACTGAACTTGTGTAGCACTTGTTCGTAAGTAGATCTAAATCTATTAATGATATGATTATTGACATGATCTCATCACGACACTGATAAGTCCTTAGTCTACTATGTTAGTTATGACTATTGCTACATCCCCTACCCCAAGATTCGCAGCCGCAGCGGTGCCTTGGAAAACCAAGTCAGACAGTGGAGGAGGCCTAGTTTGGTATGCACGGTGCTTTGTGTCAATCCAATTTATGGTACAAATTTTGCCTATCTGTTGGTGGAATGCATATGTGTGGCTCGGTAGGCGACTCGTGGCGTCATATAGCGGCTGATGCTCAGTCTCGGGTCCCGAGGTCTAGTTGTTGAGCAACTTCCAACGACTTACATGCAAGGCAACTCCGGCCGTTACACGGAACCTAAACTCTGGGGTTGCATCTGTCGGTTCCAGAAAATTCTGGCTTTTCCGGTGCATTTTCGACCTTGGAAAAGTTGATGCGAAGCGCGCGAGGCAGTACGTATCCGCTGCACGAGATTCTACCTCTTGGCAAACGTGGCATCATGTTGTCTCACCTCAAAGATGTCACAGCCAGCCTGTTGTTTGTGTTATTGGTGCTTTGCGCGCACACGACAGTGGATGCTGGTAAGTTTTAAACCAGGGCTTTCCCTTCTCAGCAGAGACAGGGGAAAGCGCCGTGTTGACCCCGGACTCATCTGGAGCAAACGCAAACAGAAATGGCTGACTCGCCTACAGCAGCTTGCCCGTCGACCATCTACAATTACTTGAAGCAAAACTTGTCGCCTAAGAGCGAAGTTTTTCTTCCGGATGCTTCCGATGAGACTATGGAGATAGTTCAGCGCTGGAACGCATACAATACGCCGCATTACATCGTTTTTGCAAAGCCTGCGACTAACAAAGATGTCCAAACCATTGTGCGTACAAACCCATGAGCCGGTCTGGCCTTGTTGATTAAATCATGCCATTATAGGTCAAGTACTCAAACGACAAAAACGTCCCATTCTTAGCAACTGGAGGTGGTAATGGGTATACCAACACCACCTCTGCGTTAAAAGGAGCGATTGACGTCGATCTGGGCTTCTTCCGTAGTGTTAGTGTTGACGCACCCAACAACCGGGTGACAGTCGGCGGGGCCGCAACTTTTGACGATATTTTCGGCCCAATATCTGCTGCAAAGAAAGAACTCCGTAGGTTTAGCAAATCGACTACTTTAAAGTCATAGCAGTACGAGACTGACAATTGGTGCCTTTTATAGAGACCGGCTCGTGTTCTTGCGTTGGCGTGGTCGGAGCAACCCTCGGAGGAGGGATTGGCCCTTACCAAGGGATTCATGGCTTGATTCTGGATGCCTTGATATCTGTAACTGTTGTCACTGGAAAAGGAGATATTGTCACGGCTTCTACGGGTGAGAACCAGGATCTTTTCTGGGGACTCCGTGGAGCTGGCTTCAACTATGGTGTCATCACTTCTGCAACTTACAGAATCCATGATCAGACAAACAACGGACTTGCTCTCAATGGAGACTTCATCTACCCAACTTCTGCAAAGGAGCATGTCTTCAATGTCGTCAAGACGTACGAGAATAATCAACCAAACGAGCTCTCTATCTTCGCGTCCATCATGCTCGACCCTGTCACGCAAGTTGTAAGCCATCCGCTTTAGTTTGCCTACTTACCATTACTGACTCCAAATGAATCGTAGACCGTCATCCTGATCTCAGCGATTTATATTGGCCCGGAGGAGGAAGGCTTAGCTTACATTCAACCACTGATCGACAGTAACCCAGTAAGGTCAAATATCAGCTCAATCCCGTGGAGCAGACTGGTAAAGGAAAATCGCTTCGGTGCGGACCAGTTCGCTTGTTTGAAGGGCGGTAATCACTCCGTCTTCGGTGGAAATTTGGCGACGTTCGACGTGTCTACTTATGTAAGCCTCGTGGATGAGTTCATTCAGTTCTACACCGAAAACCCTGCACTTGCGACAGCCATCCTCGTTGTTGAGATGTTTCCCAACGCTGTCACGAAGAGCATCCCAGATGATGCAACAGCATACCCATATAGAGACAGTTTTGCATATTTGTAAGTACGATTCTAGGTCATCTAATTATTCTGCTGACCATTCTAAGCTTCTTCTCCTTCGTCTTCTCGGATGTAGCGTCTGGGGCAATTGCTGAGAGGGCTGGGCTAACGTGGCGGAACAAACTCATGTCAACTGGCGGCAAGGACGGGAAGCTTGAGGTGTATGTCAACTATGCTCATGGTGATGAGGGTCGCGTCGCCTGGTACGCACCGAGAAAGATACCCAAGCTACTGGCAATAAAATCCAAGTGGGACCCTCAGAACCTCTTCAAATGGACGAACGGTCTAGTCTGAAGGGGCGGCTGGATAGAATAGTATGAGCTTGGTACAGAGATTGCACAATAGTTCATTGGTGGCATAAAATACAGGACTGGTAATTGTAATGTATTAGCTTTTATTACGAGAGACCTGCACCATGACGAGATCGATCACCATGTCGTCCCGACCTCTAGGTGCATGCGTGACACCGTGCATGGATCTAGACTGAGGGAAACGGCATTATACTATATAAATCTCTCGTTACAGTTACTAGTTGGCAGAAGACTCGTCCAACGGTTTCGCTGCGTACGAATGGTAGCCAGTCTACGGTCCTGCGTTCCTCATTACGTGCGGATGGTGAGCCTGGGGGTCTCGGTGGGGGTATACCGAGCAGTATGATACAAAACTTATGACCTTGAAGGGCCTCGTCCTGCTGTAAAAATCTCCGCTTTGTGCGCTAGATTGCTGTGTCATTTGCCTACATAGTACCCACCTTTGAGGTAATAGGTAATGCGCAGTATTCAATCAAACACCAAGATACTATTTATGTAGTCGAGCATGCAAAGCAATCTTACAAGCGGCGCAGGGCAGTCCTTGTTGCCAAGCCATTCGCGCAGTGCCCATCCACTGGTCGGCGTTCCCAGCTAAATTGCCTTCAATGCTGGTAGGAATTCAGCATTCAAAAGTCTCGTTTCGGTACCCAAACCCTTGTCGTTCATCATGCCAGCATGTAAAGCCGGCGGTTCAAGTGACAATCTAATTTGGAGCTAGGGTCCGTCATATTATGAGGGTCTACAAGATCTGAGTTTCCCGTAACGAGTATTCCCCTGTCGATTGACTACATACGGATTCCTACTAGAGAGACCAAGCATAACTTCCTCAAAATAATCAAGTTGCGTCCGCGGACAGCTGCAAGATTAGTTCTGCCTGCTATGTGTGGATATGAGATCAGCAACATATAAACTCGAAGTCCTAATCACTATGTGGTTGTGTGCTAATACTGATTCAAAACTAACGCAAGCTATTTAATAGGCGCGGAAAGAGCTTCAGAGCTGCACTATCAATGATTGATTGCCGAAAGTTTGGTTCCAGAGTGACATTGTTTAGCACATCCAACTGTCCCTGCACTGTCTTCTCCCGAGCGAAGGGAAAGTCGTTACCCCAGAGTATATGACCATGAGTTGCGAAATTAGAAAGAAGGCGAATAGGATCCTCATAGCTGGTCAATGCGAGATCAAAGTAGAACGATTTGGCCTCGGTCAAGAACTCTTCAGCCGTCTTAGAGATAAGCCCTACGTCCGCTGTTGCATTCGCAATCCTCGTAGCAACATAAGGCAACGTACCTCCACCGTGTGATAGGATAATCTTGCAATTAGGATTGTCGCGGATCGTATTGGACGTGATCAGATGCACCGCAGCTCTTGTAGTCTCGTGGGGGAAATCGATTATAGGAGGAGGGACCGCTAAATTGTGTGGTGGACCGGGGTTGATCACGGAGACGGGGTGGATGAATACGACTGCTGCGCGTCGGTTGAGCTCTTCCCAGAGTGGTTTGAAATACTCATGTCCGAGATACAGCCCTGCGTAACTTGTGAATAGCGTTACACCATCGGCCCCGAGTTCATCGAGCGCATATAGCAGCTCCTCAAAGCAGTCGTTCATGTTCTCCAATGGAAGTGTTGCGAAGAACCCGAACCTGTCCGGATGTGTCCTATGTATTTCCGCTGCGTAGTTATTGCAATCGCGGGCAAGATTCTTTGCCCGTTCTGGGGATCCAGCAATGCTAACCCCAGGAGCGCTTAAAGACAAGATGGCTGTCCGAATCCCCTGGCGGTCGAGAAATGACAAGTCCTCATCGACACTCCACGATGGTAATGCCAATCCGGATGGGATCTGGCCTGATTCCTGCCATGCTATTGCAGCGCTTTAGTAAATTACGTCATATCTGGGAAAGCGAGGGCATACCGTGGGCATATGCTGGTGGAAGAAAATGATGATGAACATCAATCATGTTCATTGTGAAAAACCAATTTGTGGAAGATTCGATATTAGATCAGACTAGATACGATAAGTGCACAGTTTCATTTCTCTTCGGTGGATCAACGCCCATTATTGTGGAAGTATTATCCATGCCACTCGGCTACCGACCAACGGTTGCCGATGTTTCTGTTTCTTTTCTTGGCAGCGCCATCCCGCTGGCGTTACCGGCAGTTTCCAGCATGTTGTGTGACCGAGATGTCTCGGATCTCATACTAATGATCATGCTCATCACTTGTATCGATGACCTGATATGGGTGACTGCTACTCAATTAACCCAGGTGCAGACGTTGTAATGTGGCATTGTATCCCAAGATTGCAAGAGTTTTGCCTCCTGACTGGCCCCCATATTGTGCCAAATTTCGACATTGATCTTTACCAGTACAATCTCTCCCTTCACTGATTGAATTCAAAGGATAGTGACAAGTCTCATACACGCAGATTGCATTCTGTTGATGCAATGGAGAGTAGTAGCCATGAACCTATCTCTGGCCCTGCCTCGGTCAAGGGCAAAGTATCAGCGACCTCAACTTCGCCAGAGGACAAGTATCCTGAAGGTGGAGCGGAAGCCTGGGGAGTAGCCATAGGCACATCTTTATCACTCTTCTGTACCTTGGGATATGTCAATTCTTTCGGGTAGGCGACGATGATCATCATTCCGCTCATTTTTACAACGACATAGAACCTCGTTAGACGGTCAGCTAACGACTATGCAGAGTTTATCAAGCATACTACATGCACAACCAGCTCAGCGATGAGGACCCCTCTCATGTATCGTGGATTGGTTCTCTTCAATTCTTCCTAGTTTTTGCGGTTAGCATCTTTGGCGGTCCACTGTTCGACCGATTTGGAGCTAAGGTAAGTATACAATTCGCTATCCATGCCCAATCTGGCGTAAGGTAGCACCTCATCTATCGCACAAGAAGAGTTGATGACGGATCAACGACTAGATTATCATCCCTAGCGCCATCGCATATGTCTTCTCGATCATGATGACAAGCCTTGCCCAAGACTATTACCAATTCATGCTTGCGCAAGGTATCCTTGGCGGGATAACTAGCGGCTTGGTCTTGAATCCCGCCATGGCCGCCACATCTCAATATTTTGACAAGAACCGTGGCGCTGCCATCGGTCTGGCAATTGCTGGATCTTCCTTAGGTGGTGTGGTTATTCCTTTGGCCTTAAGTCGCATGTTAGCAAATGAATCGCTTGGCTTTGGTTGGGCGGTCCGCATTATCGGTTTTATTTCTGTCGCGCTCCTCGCCGTTGCTTGCATCTTGGTCAAGGAGCGGTTACCACCACGCAAGAAGGAGTTCTTCCTGCTTAAGGCATTCGCCGAGAAGAAGTACATATGGGTCACGATATCGGGGTTCTTTCTTTTTCTCGGCATGTTTACTCCTTACTTCTTCCTCCCAGATTATGCGCTGAGCCGAGGTATGGATCCGCTCCAAGCCTCGTATCTAATCGCTATCCTCAATGGTACATCATTCCCCGGAAGGGTCATACCGGGCATACTCTCCGACAAGTTCGGTCGTTTCAATATGTATGCCATAGCCAGTGTGGCGACGTCTATTCTCCTTTTCTGCTGGACCCAATGCACTAGTCACTCAGCAATTTACGCTTTTACGGTCCTGTACGGATTCTTTTCCGGTGGAATCGTGTCCGGAAACTCTATCAGCTTGGCCTCCACGACAGATAATCCCACCAACATCGGCACATACATGGGCCAGGCTATGCCGATCATCTCTCTTGCAAGTTTGATCGGCCCTCCGATCAGTGGGGCTTTTTTGGCCGCATATCAAGGCTACCAGGAACTCGCCATCTTTAGTGGTGTCGCCTGCATCATTGGATTCCTATCCGTGCTGATGTCGAAGTCAACGACGCGAGAGGGGCTGCTAGGTCTAGCATGAAACATGGGTATCAGGGGTATACTATCACTGGTTTGAGGATGCACTACATAGGGAATGCTTTGTATTTTCTCCACAACGTTGATGTATGGTCACAATGCTTCATGTAATATGCGTAGCTCATTAGATGAACATAGTCATATTCTGAATATCGCTCTTGCGTATTCGATCCGGCCTTGCTCTATCGCTTTCGTTATCCTACGTCACTCGAGAATGGCAAGTTATTGATGCATATCATCTTCAAATGACTTATCTTTGCCACTGTAATTCATTTAGAAGTATTCTTCAATGGTTATGGAGCCGAAAAGAAACCATCTCCTTTGGCGCTGTAAGCCTCTGGACGAGCTAGTCGTATCGCCGCAGAAACCACTTTATGAGCAATAGAATGTGTCTGGGTCATCTTCTTCTCCACCAGCTTTTACCCGAACCTTCTGGGGAAAGGGGCAAATAACGCGCCTCTGTGCTTGCCCATGCCGCGGCACATCGATAGCGATGTTGTCCGGGGCTTTGCCATTTTCTACCCAATCCCGAAGTGCTTCGAATGCATGAGTCGGTTGGCCTCCATTGCCTCCGTAGCAATGCCCCAGACCGGGCACTTCGAAGTATCTAAAGAAGCCGTGCGCATCTGGCATTATCTTCAGTACTTCTTTGTAATAATGCTGGGTGTTTTTTGAAGGAGTGATATCATCGGACTGGGCTCACTTTTTAGCTGTGGCTGATACTGAAAGTGATACGGAAGTTCAGCGCTGCTTACCAAGCCATGATAGGTGATCATCTTTCCTCCTGCCTCCTGAAATAGTGATAGATCGGGATCTGCGGTGCCATATATCGAAGTGAACTCCTGAACCGCCAGTCGGAAAATGCGAGCATATTCTTTCCGCGTCACTCCGTCAAGGCTCCAGGAAGGATTTTTTGTGGCGAAGAATTTCATCCAGAAGAGCGAGAACATGAACGGTTTCCCGGTACATTTCTCATCTGTGCAATCTGTAGCAGCTAGCCCAGGAGTACCGAATATGGTCTGAGTAAGATTTGCACCCCAATGGGGCCCATACCAAAGGAACTCGCCATCGGGTCCATGGGCGCCTGCCTGATATGCCTGGGCGACTCTGGCGCCGGCATTGCTGATCTCATGGTCCCCTCCTGTCTCATTACAGTAGAACGGTGTGCCCACAAGTTCGAGTGGATCAAACTCACACGAGTCTGGATCCATTATGATGCCATCTACGATACCGTCGTCGGCGTCGCATTTGTTGATGACTGCCGACTGAAGGAAGTCCAGTTCGCACGTGCGAGGATATTCTCCCAGCTCGTTCATGACCAGCTGTGGCCAGAGCATTGCTTGGAAGAACTGTGGCCAATAAATGGCAGGCGTAGCAGCAGCAATTCCATCGTATGCATCCGGGTACCGCTGAGCTAGTTGGATGCCTTGACGCCCACCTTGAGAACAGCCGTTGAAATAGGAGAATTTGGGTGACTCGCCGTATAGACTCTTTGTGAGATGTTTACCTATGAGAGCCTACCAAGAACAATTAATGATAATTGTAGAGAGACACCGTATTTCTCTGGTTCATATTCCAATTTTTTGTGCTTTCGTGATGGGAACAATGATGCAAGGGGGTTGCATCTCACCTGCTCATTCAAGGAGACAGAAGCCAAGTTCTGTAGGGCGTTCAAATTGACAGTTCCAGGACTGTGTAAGGCCCAATTCATAGGAGCCTGTGAGGTGCCCAAGCCTGCATCCGTGGTAACCGTAGCATATCCAGCACCAACTGCTCCTGACATCATGGAATATGACAGTTGCGTACGACCGGCAGTCCAACCACCGCTGCCGACCGCTTGTAAGCGACCGTTCCAAGGTAATGGCAGCCATGCTTCAACAACAACAGTATCCTGTTGGCCTGGATGAGTATAGGTTACAGTGATGTTACAAAAAGTCACGTTTTCGACGAAGACCTCTGGATTGTGGAAGTACTCCTCATCGGAAACATAGCGGCTAAAGTTATCCACCCGTAAGGCCTCGAGAGCGAGGAACTTCACGCCAAATACATCAGGGGTTTCGAAAGTGCTCGCAGCACATAGAAGTGGTGAGATGGAGATCGATGTATTCATAATGTATGTTATTCAGGAAGACATCTACTCATCTACCATGTGTTTCGCCTACCAGTTTTATCTCCCAAAATTTGTGCGCGGAATGCTTAGCAGTTTGGAAGCTCCCATCGAGATTGCTAGACATTCAGGGCTCGAAAGACACCGGCAAGCATATCCATAACCAAGCGCTACGAGAGAAAGTCAGTGATACAAGGGGTTTTGGAGGCTTTCTTGGTTGGAAACCTTTTCCCCACAAGACTTGGTGTCTATTTCAAAGAGTTCAGGTACATTTATCCGCGTACCTAGACTGAGGCACGCGAATTCAGCGCCCGGAAAAAGAAAAGAAACGGAATTTACATGACGGCCAAAGATTTCTTCGCCAAGACAATAACTTGGTTCGGCTGATAGGGCGCTTTCGATAATCTTCGAAGGGATGACTCGCGGATCAACTTGAACTACACTATGACAGCGTAAAAGAAATGTGATTTGTAGAGACGAAAGACATTTTTCGGCTCAAGACAGATCCTTGAAAAATTTACAGTCGTCCAGATTCGTCGCGAATGGGCAAACCCTAGACCATGATTAGGATGCAAGACAGCCCTAGCTACAGGATGACCAGTGGGGAAGTGTTTTGCTGGTAGAAGGAACGGTCCGGGAGGTGGAGTCACTGTCGCCTGTCAGCTTCCTAAGCGAACGATCCATGCCCTGTAAGGCTCAAGACAGTCCCCCACATTCATTTGTGCTGACTGCAGATTGAACCAGCACTCGTCTTCTGCTCAACTATGAACAACTAGGTGGAATGTCATACGGACGTGTATGATGGTCAGGGGAAGTTACGAGGCGTGCTGAGGACGGAAAAGAAATGTCGATAAAGTTCAGTGGGTGTGTCACATTGTTTAAGACCAGGGTTCAGCCATATGGAAGCTGAGTCGCATCTTGGTGATCCCTGTTGTCTCATGCACCGGTAGTACAGCATCAAGAATATTGTAGCCGCAGTCCAGAGAATCGTGAGCTTACTGCCTCAAACCAGTCCCGTGGCACAGCGTTTTTGGTCTGGGTTTAATAGCAATCCTAGCCGAGTAACCACGCATCGAAGAGCTGCCAAACCAACGACTCCCATGTATGTCGACTCCGGTAGATGTGGGAGAGTTCTCGCGACGTAACATGTTTGAATGCATCCTGTCGATGAACTGAAGAGCAGTTTTCGTGACACGAAAAAATGGCATCAAAGTCGTTTTGATTGAGCATAACGTTGCTGAAGTCTGACCTGCCGGTAGACATGCGGAACCTTCCTTTCCTGACCTTTATTCGTAGACATATTATTGGTGTAACTGTCAATCTCAGATCGCAGATTCTACCAACACTCGTCTTTTCATCAATTTCGCGAGATGGCCGACCCGGGCAACGGCCCCCCGATTCTAGAAGGCGTGGACCTTTCGGCCGATAATAGTCAATGGGTCAGAGATATCACTACTGGAATGCTAGTCATGGCCTTCTTTTTCATAGCGTTGCGATTCCTGGCTCGCTCACTGAACAGACTCCCAATTGGTATTGATGATTGGGTATTAGTCGCTGGCGGGGTGAGTAGTCAATTATGATGTGGCATTATCCATTTAATCATAGAATGTATTGATAGTGGATAACTAATGATGCGACTTGTTCTGATAGGTTGTGCTTCTCGTTACCGGCGCGCTCAACTATGCGAGTACGATATCATATCTTCAGCTGTCAATGGCGAGATCGGCTAACGGAGTGTATACAGTGATCAAGAATGGCCTTGGACGACAGGCCATATCCGTCTCCCAAGGTGAACTGGAAATGTTCCTCAAAATTCTTGTTGTTTCTCAAATCATCTTCGTCACAGGCATAGCGCTGGTCAAGCTGTCTATATTGCTCATGTACCTTCGCATCTTTACATCGAAGGGGTTCAAGCTCGTCGTTTATATCGTCATCGTGGCCGTCGCAGCGTGGTGGGCCGCTATCACCCTCCTCAGCATATTTCAGTGCAAGCCGATAGAGAAGTCATTCCGACCTTGGATCGATGGACAGTGCATCACTTTGGAGGGTGCCTACTATGGTAGCTCAGTGCCTAGCATCGTTACGGATTTCATCATCTTGTGCCTACCAATTCACCAGGTGATCAAGTTGAAGACCACTAAGACCAACAGGGCGATAATATGCTTTTTCTTCGCCACGGGTGCCTTGTAAGTCTAACCCAACATTATTCATGTGCTCAGTTGTTGTACTGATTCGTGTGACGCGTTGTAGTGCCACATTCGCAAGTATCGAGCGATTTCTGGCTGTATTCCAGGTAGACCACTTGAATGGAACCTGTAAGTTCCCTGATAATTGATTGAAGACTCGTTAGACTCCGAGTAGTAGCTAGTGATGGGATCTGACCTACCATCTCACAGGGACACTCACAGTACCTTTGGGGTGGGCCATGATCGAGCAATCGAGCGCAGTCGTCAGCGCCTGCCTTCCGACCTTGCGACCGCTGCTCGTGACGTTTTACAAATGGAGCGGGCTCCAGAAGAGTATTTCCGAGAGATCGAGGGCCGTGAGAGCCAGTCGTCCTTCTAATATCGACTTGGTCACGATTGGAGGGGGGTCAGGGAGCGCGTCACAACGAAGAGACGGATCCGGGCAACAGCAAAGCAAAGATAGGGGAATATCGACATATATATCCAATTCAAGCTTCTCGCAGTCGAGGCCGAAGGTCAATGACGAGGAGCGCGCGGTTATGGTACAGCCTGATCACCAGAACGGCATACACGTTCAGGTGGAGCATTCCGCGCGCTGGAGTCTGCGCAGCACCGAGCAACTTGTACCTGACGACAACAGCATGACTCACGCTGACTAGTAATCTATCTATTTGCGGCTGAGTGTCGTAGAGATTACATTATGAGCTTATGCTGGAAAAAAGGCGAAGAAGATGTACATGACGGTGTAAACTATCTTGTGCTATACCTGCGTGTGATTTTATACCACGGAAAATAAGCATTTGCAGCACAGCGTAGGGGATTGTTCACATATCAGAGAATAGTTAACATACTCAAATTTTCTTTCATCTGAACGCCCACAAGATCAAATAATACATAAACGTATACAGTGATTTCAATAGTCATGTCACCCCACTGTGTTGCAGAACTGCCTGATGAGCAGCTTGAGCTCATCAATTCTTGAGTTAATAGATTTTTCAAACGCCAGATGTACACCGGGTGTGGAAGGTTGATGATCCTGCGCATGGCCGTCCTCTTTGCTTCCTTGTATGCCTACTATCTGCGCCACGACCGAGGATAAGGAATGTATTTCACAAGATAGGAGTTCGGCATTCATCCTGGTTTCCGCCTGGCGGCCGAGTGGAAAGTCCCCGAACTGCACGGGATCAAAAACTACGTTGCCAATCTTGTGCGCCGTGTTCTCATGGCTGTCGGCAGCCGACATTTGGTACCCAATAGGAGCCTGCGTCATGCTCCTATAGACAGACTGGTACCGATTGAGTACACCCGTACATACTGACTGAAGCAGCAGAACTGTTTCAAGCCCGGATAGACACACAGGGCTGCAGCGTCTCGAAACTAGTGCTTGCAAATGTTGCAAGGAACAACGATTGATTTTCATGATGTGATTGCTTGAAACGTTCTCGATGCTGCTACGGGTCTTCGATTGAAGTTTGGCCGTCTTGCAAGGAGGTTGGAATTGATGCTGGGGTTCCAGCAAGGCCATGATTATACGATGGCAATCTTGTTGAGCATAGGCTAATGGTGGATTCGCAAGTACTCCATTTGAACCGTGCAGTCTTTTGCCCACCTCCGGATATGTCTCCTCCATTCTGAACATGTTAGAGATTTCATTTTCGTCGGGCTGTGATGCTCCGTCTGTCACCAGCCCTTGCAAATCCATACCCAGCATATCAATAAAGCCGTCCACATCTTGCGTGTTATTCTGCCAGTCGGTATTTTGGATCGGACCAGTCTGCAGGTTTTCAAGGCCTATCGGACTAGAATGCGGCACCATTTGAGTGAAGGTCATTGATGACGAGCCTGGAAGAGCCCCGCCGGCTGACCGGTCCACCGGCTGTTCTCGCATGCCAGTGTGGTTTTGCTTAGGACCCGGTCGGCCCTTCCAACGGTATGGGGTATATGAACACTTTTCCATTGCTTTCGTGCATCTTTCACAACTCGGTCGTTGCTTGTTGCAGCGAACTTTGAGCAGTGAGCAGCGATCACAGGTCGATCGAAGTTTGTGCTTGTTAAGATCAATTGAGGATGAACGCTCCATTTGCCACGTTAAGATACAGTATTTCGACTAATTACGTCGATTTTGCCAAGTCAAAGATGCTGACCATCTTCGACATCGGGATTCTAAAACTTTTTCCTCGCGTTCCTTTGCACAACTCGCTTCTCACGTTGGCTGGAAATATTATAAGCAACCCCCGTCTTGAATCATTTGGCTTTGATCTGTGTCGGATTAGGCATGGCCGAACCTAGTCTAGTTGAAAAAGCAAGGGGATGGTGAATTTACTCTAACTAGGTTAGTCTAGTATAGTTAGTGTGTAACAACTGCATCCTACGTACATTATGTATGTACATATCTGCAACTCGTCCGGCATGCTAACCAACCAACGAGAGGACATTCATAATTGTGCTTCCAAGCTCGTCTACTTGAGTAAAAGAGCAAATGGTTTATACGGAAGCGCATCCAGCTTTTTGCGCTATTAGCTATCAGCTATATCCAACAACGAGAATTATGAGTCGTCAGTTGGTCCCAAGAAGAGGTCTCCTCTCCGATATCTGTGACCATAAGCAAACATCAATTGTTCAACCATGCAGCAAACAAATACGTTACTTTCCACAGTCGTGGGCTAAAGCTGTGCCTATAAAAGTCCAGGGAGCCACGCATGTCACACATCTGCTATCTCGATGATGGCCATCCATTTCGTATCATATTATGCCCCGAGCTTACCACTCGTAATGCGTTAAGATCCTATCGTATTATACTGTGTTCAGTGAACTTCATTCTAACCTAACTAACCTGAGACTAGTCACAGCCATCATAAACTTTGTGCCCACCCCTTGTAGGCCTTAAAAGCCTAATAGGGCGTCCTTCCTGTAGGGTGTGAGGCTCAAACAACTTTAGCACAACATCAGGAAAACACCCCCAATCATTTCAATGCCATGGTACCGCTTATGCTCTAGTTTACGCAACAAGCAGACCTTCAAGAGATCCAATGAAGAAACCGGGGCTCGATGGCGAACTAGTAAGGTAGAACGGCAGTATCCGCGAGGAACAACCTCCAAACTAATCCTAGTATGCCGACAAAGCGTTCCACCTGCATACACCGAGCCCTGGTATCTGCCAGGTAAGGATTGTCGAATGCACCCTCGTTTAGATGCGGCATGCTCCTATAGTACCATACATATGCGCGACGGCTGGCAGTTCGTGTACATCTATCCCATTGTTTAAGCGGGCACCGCTTGGACGATGTGGAAGCGCGACGCTTTATCTACAGAATGGTCTACCTGCCCGCTGCTGGAGTACGGCACAACTGCGACGTAGATATGACCTGGCGGAGGCCGTCCATCGGTTGTCCCGGTCTCTGCACGCCGAGATCCCTGCTAAGTTAGCTTGAGTGTATTGTAGTTACACATCGGTAGGCATGTTGACTCGGACTCGGCAGCCGGTAAGAAGAAGTATGACAGTCGGCATCCTGAAAACCCTGTAATGAAATGGTTGCTAACCTGTGGGTTCTTCCATTGACACACTGCCCGCTGGGGCGGGGGTGGACAGCTTTTAGGGGTCTTTAGCGGCTTGTAGCACTAAGCACACTCTACATGGCGAGCTACCGTAAGTTAGCTGGTTAACCTAGTCACTTCCAGGGGGCAAGCTCCCTGGCAGCCTGGTTGTGCGACTTAGAACTCTTGGAAGGTTGGCAGGGCGTATTTTGCAAGTCCAATCTCCAACTACGGCAAACGACTTCTATTTCCCATTGGAGGCATTGAGGTTGTACACATTATCTCTGTGTTCTATTTACTCTCAAATTCTTTGCTTAAATACGTATGGTAATGTAGTCATCTCAACAAATATGATTATCAGTTAGTGGGGCAAGTGGCAGAGAGTGGTGATAACAAGTATTGGATCCTGTTAGCGATGTTTAATTGTGTGACGCTACATAGGATCTCGTGTTATATGATTAACCGTCCCGCAATCTGAAAAAGGCGATGTCCTCGACGTTTGATAGATAAGAAGAATATTTCTATAGGTCTATATACACGCCGATGTTGTGCTTGTTTCCCGAATCTATTTAATACACTCGCGAAGGATCACCTGTGCCACTACCTAACAATGCCCACAGGCGATCCAACGCTGGAAAGAAACACCTAGGAATCGAAATGTCGCGACAGAAGGAAATGGAATCGCATTCTCTCCAAGCACGAATTGGTTCCTCCTCGCTGTATGGAATGACAGTCCGCCTTGGTCTCTCCATTATAATACGACAGAATAGCTAGCCACGCCTTATTGCCCAGGGAACATGCGCCGTCTGTTTGCGCAGCCACCGCATCGGCATTTACGTGAAAAGAAAATTTGAAAAAAGAAAACCCCCAAGATGTTGTGCTTGTACAACCGATACTGGCCAATGGCAAGTATAGCTGACACTACCACTTCTTGGTCTATTCTGTCATAGCTATACTCGTAAGGCTTTGGCAGAAGCAAACGTGTGAGGCAGTCAAATGGCTAGAAAAGACCGACTATGATGGAGTATTTGACGAGCCTGGAGGGCAGCCAGGACTACCAAGCGACGGAAACGGTGAGACAGACTCCACTTATGTCACTAAGATTGTCGAAGTAGACAGACAGGATCATTAAAACAATAATTGATCTATATCTATATCTCTAAACTTATAATCATGTCTACATCTTCGTCCCGATGAGCCGGCTCTCATGGCGAATCCGACTCGGAGTCCTTCTCCTGGTGGATGGCCTCGCCCTTGACGTCTGAGCGGAACTGCACCTCCTCCTCCCTGAGCTGTGCCTTGAGGGTCTCGTTAGCCCTCCAGACGGGCTTGATTTCGAACAGCCTGTCGATCTGCTCCAGGGGGACGCCGCTAGTTTCGGGGATGAGGAAGAAGGCGAAGAAGAAGGCGAGGAAGGACAGCGACGCGAAGAAGAAATACACGCCGTAGCCCATCGACGCAAACATCTGCTCCGTGAACCGCGAAACGAGGAAGTTGAACAGCCAATTGCTGGCCGTCGTCGCACCGCTGGCAAGGGAGCGGAAGTTAGGGTCGAAGAATTCCTGTACATGAAATATTAGTTATTGGCTGCCACAGCTGACTATGCAAACCATCGTCATTCAGGGAATTAACATACAGAGTTGATGACCCAAGGGGTACCGTTCCATGTAGGGGTATAGACAGCTGTCCAGAGGTAAAAGAAGACAATGGCTGCGATGCCGCTGCTGGTCAAGTGTTCGGTAGGGTTCTTTGTCGGCTCGACCACGCACACGTATGCGCCAATGATCCACATGCAGATTGAGCCAGTGATCGCACCACCGAGCAAGAGCTTCCTTCTTCCGAGCTGATCGACCAGGAAGAGCAGCCAGACAAAGGTCATGATAGCCTTGACCACCCCAAAGATACCGGTCATCAGATTCACCGTATTACCATCGACGCCGATACTCTGCGGGCACCACCATCGTTAGCAAACTAGGATCTGCCATGTTGGCGCAGACATGGAGAGTACTTTGACTTACGGAGAAAATTGTGGGCGAATAATAGTTGATCGCGTTGATGCCCGAGCCGTTTTGCCAGAAGAAAAGCATGCAGCCGAGGAACAATCGCCACTGCAAATACGGACGAGCGCCCAGCGCCTTGAAAGGCTGCCAGAACCCGAAGCCAACTGTAGACTTCTGCAGCTCGTAAATCTTGTCAATGCCTGCAATCTCCTCGGTGATGTACATGTCGTTAGGTTCCAACTGACGAATCCAGCACAAGTTCTCCATAGCCTGCTTGCGATGGTCCTTGAGAAACAGCCAGCGAGGGGACTCGCGAATCCAGAAGGAGCCGATCAAAAGTAAACCAGACGGTATCAGCTGAACAGCAAAGGGAATGATCCATTGTTCATGGCTCGACGGCATGGATTGTTCAATACCATACTATATAGTTTTGTCAGCAGCGGTGCAAATGAAGGGGATAAGCCATGAATCATGTCCACGACATACATTGATCCAGAAGCCCACCAGGCCACCAATCTGCCAGCCAAGCTCGTATAGTCCGACGAGACGTCCACGGATAGCTGGTGGTGCCAACTCCGAAATGTAAACGGGGATGATATTCTGAAGACCCCTTTGTTAGCATTCGTTGTTCATATGCATATCGTGCACTGATGTAGGGCAGGACAGTGGCTTGAAGATAGACCACAAGAGATAGTCCACCCGCATGACAATATACTCAGCAACAAAGAATATAGTGACTTACCGATGCGACACCAGTTCCCAACCCCGTCAGGACACGTCCGGCGTAGAGTATGCCCAGTCCGCGTGAACCGTTGGCACCACACGTCAGACCAGCTCCCACGGAAAACACGGTCGCTCCAATAGCGAGACACTGCTTACGCCCAATAAAATGACTGAGGCAGTAGGTGAACAGTGCGCCGAAAAATGCACCAGCAACAAAGATAGACACAATGTTCTCACTGATCAAATTTGTCTCTACCTTTGTCATCTTGTCGAGACCGAACTCACTCTTAAAGGAGTCGAGTCCAATAGTTGTGCCGATGAAGGCACTCGTGTATCCAATCATGCAGGACCCACATGATGCTATGATAGCAAGAACATAGACACGCCAGTTGTAGACCGACGGCGGCGTCGGCCGCTCTTCGACAATATGTAAGAGACCCATGGCTGAGGTTTTGTTGCAACCGCGGGGAGGGTGGTAGTCGCAAGAGGACAGAGGTCGAGGGATGAGATTTTTTGAGGATGAACGGTGACGAGAAGGGTGAAAAAGTCGAGGCTCCGTTGAACCCTAAGTATCTCCTCTCAGCGGAGCCGTTCCCCATAACCTATATCTTCAAGGCCCCATACTCCGGGGCAAGCAATCTGGGGCTCCCAACTCGAGATTTTGGGGGTACGTGGGCAATGGAGTATGCGATCATCAAATCAATGCCGGTGACTATGAAAGCTGTACTCCGCCATATCCGTCACTGTCCATCCAGGACGTTCCTGAAAAAAATATCATGGATCCACCGAGAGGCGATGGGGCGGAAGCTGTGGCCGGGGTTGCGTTTTTCCCCGTGGAGACACGCGGCCGGGTCGGCGAATGGGTGTCATTATATATCTCAGAGGAAGGAGATCCTCTACTTCATGCAAAAGGCCAGAATCGTGAATTGACACATTCCCATTAGACAGGGTATTCCCATTTCTGTAGACGTCTATCGGCATGTACGTTTTGTTCTATTCGGCTCCGATCGCGGCCAAGAGGCTAAAAACGCCCGAGCCGGGAATGAAGTGCATTTTGATTCAACCAAAGTCTGAAAAAGAATTAGCCAAGGTCGGCACCAGCGCTAGAAGACCAAGAGCGTAGCGGAAGATCTGTCTTGGTATCTCTGCATGTATACTGCATATGCAAGCCGGGTGAAATCGCAGGCTCAATAAGCCTTGACGGGTAATCAATCTTGACATTTCATGATTGAGAGGCGACAATAAACATCCCAACAATCGATCGCCTACGGATTCTGGGGTTCGAGATGTTGAACGGAAATCCCGTATGACGTCAAATCACTTCGCTGGACGAATTGGTAACCAGCAACTTAGTCATGTACCTACTAATGCAAGCCGGTGCAGGGGGGCCGGTACTACAGGGCAAAGAGAACACCCGCCAAGATCAGCCAGTGAAATTTGAGTATTTCCGCGTTTCGAGACGAGATTTCGGGTTTAACTTGCGAGCAAATGCCGTGGCCGGGATTGTCAGCCACCTGGCTGGTTAGAGCTGTTTGGTGATCCAACTATTGTAGTATACACATCGTGCTGAGATGGTCATGTTGCTGGTATTCTTCTATGTGTTGCCAAATGTTTGCGCGTTGTGCCAAAAGAATTTTTTTTTTTTTTTTGATACACAGATTTGAACATACCGATATAGATCGAACGGGTGAAAGCTGGTGCGACATTGAAGGAGATGCGGAACTTCACGTACAACCTCACAACAATGACTATCCATAACTATGCGAGTGATAGATATAATTTTACCTCCTTAGGCGTTTAACAGTCTAGGCTATCTACTTACACTCCTTGGTGTTTCCCGCAACTCTAGAAGGGGCGGCACATCAAGTATCTCAGGGCCTCCATATGGCCATGGTTTCACAGAATTAATGTCCTCTCCTGCTGTCCGAAGCATCGTCTCAGCCCTCATGTCCTTCGTCACATCACTGTCCTCGACCACACGGAACGAATCGGTGAACACCAAGCTCGGCGTAATCACCAAAACCGACACTTACGATACACGGCCTAGCTGCCCAGGTTGGCCGCATCACTCCACCACTTGTCCTCGAATTTTCCATCTCGAACGTTTCATAGCGCCAGATCTCGCATATATTGTTGACATAGTTCGACCTGCTCCTACTCATCTTGTATGTGTGGGGCAGAAAGGGGTCGAAGTCGAACGCAATCATAGCAGACTCGTCCAGTAGACAGCGGAGGCCGAACTCGTGCAGCGCACCCGTGAGCTCAGAATGGCCGACTGAGAAGACTTTCTGGACCCGGTCGAATGACTCCTTCAGCCGGAGCCGGCCCTTGATCATCTCGTATGCTATCGGCATGGTCATTAAAGGCATGGAGCCGGTGGTACATAGCGCGTGGAGCAACTGCCCCAAGGTTGAGATGGGGCGCCCAGGGGCCGAGCATTGAAGCAGTTTACGGGCACGGTGACGGCGCGAGGCCATAATTGTAGGCGGCAGGAGTCGTTAGGGCAAAACACTGTTCTGTAAATGCTATAACACATTTCGAGATAAGATATAATTTTTGTTGGTTTACTGGTAATATTTCGAAGTTCTGATGATGTGGAAGTGATTCTCTCTTTGTCTGAAATCTTCCTCTAGTATTTGTACACGGATGCTGGATAGTAGGGTTTACGGGTATTATACAGTTCAGATCTAGGTATTTTGACCGGCTGTGTCAATGCATCTAGAAACGACTTGTCATGTGCCCCTTTCTCTGAGAAATAGATTAATTATTCTAAATACAAAGGCATACACCTGATTAGTATACAACTCAAATGTATAGCGAGCCCCTACCAGTGCACAAACAAAGATATTATACTGATGAAGTAATGATTAGTGAGTAAAGAAGCTAAAGGTGAGAAGAAGTGTATCGTAGAGATACCTTGGCGTTTCGAACGTGTGATATGTTGGAAAAGAATGGTCGAGGAAGGACTGTTCAGTTAGGGGATACGGATATCCATTGAAGTACGAGCGGTCAACCACTATACTACTGTGAACTGTTGCTTCGTAGATTATTGGTTGAGATCGTGATATTCGACCTCGTATATCTTTTGGTTCTAATTGAATAGCTTGCCGTCACGTAAGAAACTAGCAATGGTAAAATTTGACTGTGTTGTTGTTGTTGTTGTTGTTGGTCGTTAGCGGTTGAGTAGGGCTGCGGGAATCCTTGGGTCGTGGGCACGCGTGACATCCAGTTGTCGACTCAACGAACAAAAGGGATTGTTCCAGAGGAGGTCTGTAATCAGTGGGAGGAGGATCGAACTTGGGGGTATAACAATTCATAACAACGCCGCCATTGCAAAGGCTAACCACCAAATGCTAACCGTGTCAACCAACTGATGCATCCCATAGCCCGCTAATGCTTAACAACCAAAGACCATCTCAAAATCTATACGTCTACGTGCTCAATGCTAGACACGCGTCTACTGCGAGGCCGACCCTGTTGCTTGATTTAGTCCTTGGTCTGAAAAACAACACGATTTGAGTTAGCTTACCTTCCCTCCTTCTGATAGACTACATCGCTAATAATATCTCGGTCGAGATCCGGGAACATGCCAGCTAGAGTTTCCACAACATTATTGTGTTCGGCTCTGGACAGACGCTGTGCCTCAGCCACTTCGGCGCTCGCTTGTCTTGCGGCGGATTCTTCGGCAGATAGCTGCTGCCTGACTTCTCTTGACGGGCGGCCGTCCGTGCTAGGGCGGGGCGACAGCCTAGGCGTATTGTCAGGTTGTGGGGTTCGCACAGGTGAGTGGCTAGGTCCTGGCTCATCCGAGAACATTCGCCCAATGGTGGAGAGAGGTTTCTGTATAGAACGAAGAAGTCCAGACATGGGTGCACTGTCGTCACCCTGATCGGATGACATCGACCGACGTGGTGTTCCCGAAGAGTCAACATCCAGTGACGGGCGTGCAGACGATTCAGCAGGGGAGTGGAAGCCAGACTTTTCAGAACGATGCTCTTGCCTGGGCGAGGAAAGCTCCAGCGAATGGCGATGTTTCTCCGCTATGGCAGAAACGGCGGTCTCGACATTTTTCTCAAACTCTTCATCAGTAATTGTGAGCGTGGTGCGATCCATGTTCTCAATGAATTGGATGGCTCCCATCTAGCTTCGGGTCAGCATAACACGACCTACCGGGCCTGTTTCACTTACAAGAGAGGATAAGTAGTAGCCAGCTTCCCCGCCGAGTTTCTCTTGGTTTCTGAAACGCAAGATATACTGCACATTAGAGACGAGATGATCGGGGTTGCTTTGCAGCACAACGTAAATCAAAAGCGGCATAAAGGAATCAGCGGACGTGTCTGATTTGGCATTTTTGAGAAGCCCTGTTGAATGTTAGTCCCGAGTCTCTGCCGGAATGACTATGTGCATACCAAAAATGACCTTGCAACAATTCAAAACGCAAATGATCTTGTCCCGAGGAGCTCGATATGACCGAATTTTAAGAAGTTCTGTTCTGGATTAGTAGTTGCATGAAGTGAAACACAACCGGAATGAACACAAACCTTGTTGGGCGAGGGTGAGAAACCGCTTTCCACTGTCACTGACAGGGGCTATATCCAAATGTGCTTCGCGAACCCAGCCGTAGATGTTGATCTTCTGCGTCAGAATCTCATCCCTTTCTACGTCCTCTTGATGTTGGCCCTTGCGGCCGGGACCCATAGGTTTGTCGGCTCTGTTCTTTCTCGACCTAGAGCCTGGAATTGGGTGCGGCGGAGGTATGGCTGGAGAAAAGGTTTGGGTGTAGAGGCGGTTCATGACGAGTTTCTCCATGCCTTCTCGGGCGTTATCGAACTCGGCATCGGACACTTCCCTCCACACATCGCATTGTGCCATCTTGTTGGCAATAAATGCAAGAAAGTCACTGATAATCTTGACTTGCTCATGTACCATCCATTGCCGCTTGGCGAACTCTTGCAGGAAGGACTTGAGGTACCGTGCGACAGGATCGGCCTTCTTGTTCTTAAGCTGTTCGAGAAAACGATGAAAGTCGAAAGGCAGCGCAGGCTCGGGTTCAGGCTCGGGAGGTGGTGGCCTATGCATTGTTGCAGGAGACTGAGGCTCAGCCGGGGCCTTCTCGTCTAATCCATCCTTGGGTGGGACTGGAGGTCTCTCGTCGTCGGTATCTGGCTCGTTGGCTTTCGGCCTCGTGCTTGTTGGCGAAGAGGACGAGATGCTCAGGCCTTGAATGTCCGAAATCTGCTGCGCTATACTAGTCGCCAGAGGTTCCAGGCTAGACTTTCTGGGGGGATGTTGGACCGGCGGACTCGCCAAGAACGGAGAAGCAATTTCTAGGCGCGGGCTCATGACTTCCTCCACGTCTGGGCCACCGCCGTCCTCTGGGAACTGTTCCATGATGCTCTGGATCTCGGACCTTGAGTTGCCCTCCTGCTCATCCTCGCTGGCATAGCGACGTTCGTCGTAGGCCACGTCGGAGCGTGTGGGGGAGGGCTCAGGACCGTGTCCCTTGGACCTGGCCGAGCTTGATCTCGAAGGCGGCTGCGAGCCAGACGGGGTCGGCGGGGTGGGGTCGACAAACGCTGGGGTTTCTATGGTCAAGAACTGAGGCTTCCTAGGTTTCAGTGTCGCAATGGAGTCCTCCATCCGTTCCTCCTCGGGTTGGGCTGCAACTTCTGGTCGCTTCCCCTTGTCCAGCGGGTCGTCCTTGGCTGGAGGCTTTGGGGGTTGTTCTTCTGGCTTTGCAGCGCCAGCAGCCGGGGCTAGGTCGATAAGTCGGGCTGACGGCAAAGACTTGGCCTCATCTCCAGCGGGGGTCACTCCCCCCGGAACGACCTCTTTCAGCTCGTGTTGGGCGTCCGGCTGGAACTCGAGCGCAGGGTCCGCGTCGACTTCGGCTTCGGCTTCTGTGGCGGTGACTGCCGTGGTCGCAATACCCTTGGGAGGCACGGTGATGTCTGGTTGCTTGGCCGGTGTAGGGTCAATCATGGCTGCGTCATGATGCAGCTTCTGACCAACCTCTGGTTGATCAGAAGAGCTGGTGGATTGGTTCGGGGTCTGGGGGACCTCGGGTGGAGGCATGCAGGGCGTGGAGAGAGCTGTGCCCGCTGCTCGAGGTAGCTGTGGTTGGTTTTCAAGATGATCGTGACCTCGATCTTGACCTCGACCTCGACCTCGATCTGGATCTGAAGTTACGCGGTACTACGATATCGTTTATCGCCGGGGCGGGGAGTTGAAGGGTCCAAGTCTGGGTGGAGTACCCAGTAGCTAACTAACTTGCAGTTGTCTGCTGCTAAAGATAGAGAGGCTGGCTGCCGTCTGCTGTGGCGCTAACTAACCCCCAAAAATAAAATCCCCATCAAATGCCAAGCCGCGACACAGTTCAGCACTCAACATCCAGCACTCGGTCGGATTCAAGATCACATAATTCTCACAGTTCGTTCAACTCAACTTGCCGTAAGTCGGGTGCCAGCAGTAAGCTGGCAAGCACATCCTCTGGTTGTCCACGTCAGACCCCGCTCATTCAAATACTTGCAGGCTGAACTGCTGTATCTAGTACGAATTACAGGTAGTCTAGTCCGTATCCTCGTGCCATGAGAGCCGTGTACAAAAGCCGACTAACCTCAGCATGTGACTCTGAGTCTCGGAGCAAATAGTGTCTGATGACACAGACCACTATTGTCGACATTTTGCTTTAAAAACAGTAGGCTCGACTTCAAGATTGTTGCCCTGAAATATTGAGACACTGCACGCTATACCATGTGCGTGATGCTGATAGTTTGGTGCCGGTGAGGAGGGAGAGAGGCTTCATGTTCTTGTGCCATCAGAGCCTCATTCCAATTTCTTATATATCTGCATGCACAAGTACAGCTCCCCTCCTGGCGCACCCACTCGAACGCAGTACTTTGCCCAGCCAGACCATCCAACTGCGCTCTATGGTAATCCAACAAGTAAGTCCCGCAGTTTCGGGAATTTTGGCGAACCAAGTCCAGACACCGGATCCCACCCTTCGCCTGTCTCAAAACCTTGTGTGCCGCAACCAGGATTGTGCCCTTCAGTGATCTGGTCCAAGTTTAGCTCAGAGTTGACGCCACCTGCGTGTTGCACTGGTTTGCTACTCACATCTGTGAAAACTTCCGGGTGCTGATACAATATCTGGTTCAGGAATCCTATCGGCTTCTTCCCTGCCAAAATGCGCTCGTCGTTGATCCTGCTGATCATGGCGGCGAACAGCGGAGCTGCTGCACTGGTACCTCCGCTCACCGTTATTTCCATCCCATCCGAGAGCGTGACGTTCGCACCCAGCATTGCAACATCGGGGAAAGCGCGTCCAGATGAGTTGTATGTTCCCTCGGGATACCGAGGATCATGCAGCCTTAGATAATCGGCAACGGCTTGCTGTTGATATTCCGGTTGGGCAAGGAGATTACTGAAGCCACCTGGCAATATTGTTAGAACGCAAAGCAAGACAGACGGTGTTTTGTTCTCACCTCCAGACCAATAGTTATGTTTCGGGTCGTCGACTGCAACTTCGTAAAAGTCAGATCCATCAAAATCGACCTGTGTCGCACCAACTGTCGTCACATACGGACAGCTGCCGGGAAAGAGAGGGTTGAACGCGGTCGCAGTGCTGTTTTGAGGGTTTAGCAAGCATCCAAAGTTCCCCTGAACTCCGCGATCACCAGCCGCTACGACGACCGTGACACCACGCAGAGCAAGCTTCATCCACTCGTTGCATTGACGCTGGACGTAATGTGCGCCCAGCCCCGATTCGTCTATCGCAAAAGATATTGAGACCACATTTGTGATGTTATAGGTGCCGCACATCGCGGGTCCTGGGTAACCTTGAAACACCGGGAATTTTGGGTCTAGGATCGGATCGTCGCCCCCATCGAAGTTGCAGTAATCCGGATCAACAGCATCTAGAAAGTCGTTACCGAGACCCCCAGCGTTGTTGTACGGGGTTTGGAATATTTGCACTTCCTGTGGATATGCGATAGGGTAAGCCATTTGCAGGTCAAGTAACTCCTCACCGTCGATTTCCGAGCCGGGCGCTTTGGCTCCGTTGATATTGTTGACAGTTGGTTCGGTTTCGTTCGGGATGAAACTGGCGTATTTGCTCCAGAAGTTGTTGAGATCCGCCTGGTTGTAGGCATCGCCGAATCCAAAGATACCAAGGGAGTTGTTTGGTGCAGCCCTAGTTCCAAGGGGAATACCATACAAATCTGCTTAACGTTAGCTAGGCTCAATCTTGGTAATGCGGAAGTGCAATTACCGCGGATACAAGTAGGAGTCCAGCTGAGACTGCAGTTGCGCAAGTCCACGGGGTCCTGTGTCTCATAGAGCGCCGGTGATAGTGCTTCTCGTGGATTGATGTTTCTTCTCATCTTCCTCGCGCCGGCCTGGAAAGACGGCGTTGTTGTAACAAAGTGCACATGATCCTCCAGCCCTCTTGGGATTTTGTGGCCTGAGCTGTCCAGCCGTTGCTCGCCCGTCTCTGAATGCCGGGTTACATGATACTTTGTCTTCAACAAGTCTTCCATCTGGCTGATGCTGGCGGGGAACTCCATACTGGCGGCTGCCTTTCGCAACCGTACAGAAGTCTTCGCGATGCCCGCACTTTCGAGCCAGTCTAACACCTTTCGTCGAGACTCTTTACTTGGAGTGAACAGATCTTCCTGGGCACAGTTAAGCGACCCCAGGCCGACGGTGGGACCGGGCAACTCACTATGGCTTGGCTATCGAGATATTGACCGAATTGATCGGAGGTAGGATCGGAAATTCTCATCAACAAAGACTGCGCCTCCTGTATTCTAAGTTGGTGGAAAACAACAGTACCTAAGACCAGATCTAAGCCCTCGGCCGGATTGACAATTTCCCATTCTGGCTGTATATCTCCAAAAGCCAACGGCGAGTTGAGAGCAGCGATCAAAGTCGCGAAAAAGGGTCTGCCTCGCATTGTATCCGACAAGTAATAATCAGAAATGGAAAGTGTCCAATTGATAGTGCAGCAAGAGCTGGAGATGGAAATGACGGAAAGTGAGAGACTCGGCGAAGTCGTTTACATATACCGGCGAATGATCTTCAACTAATCTCGTCTGGGGTGGTATGGTTCGTATTCTGCATTCTATACCTCGTATTCGCCCCACAAAACATGACCTGTTGGTGTTCTCCTTCCTGTTCAGCGATCCCCTGAAGATATCGCGGTAGCGCCTTGTCCCGATTACCTATTGAATTGGAACCTCGGCTGTCTGCCGGGAGCAATTCATGAAAGCATTCTCTTGAAATGAATATAATCGAAATTCCCACTAGTCACCCGTTTTCCTATTCGAGGCGGCGTAGCCGTGGGTTTTGCCTCGCTATAAACGCCAAGCGGATGAACTGCCGGAACGCTTCGTGATCCCCAGGACCCATACGGCCCACAGGCATGTTGTTGTCTGATAAAACTTTGCTCAACAGGGGACTCTACATCAACCATGCGAGCATCGGGTGAAATCTACTATATCGCTTCCCGATTAGCCGTCTTGGTCTTCTTTATGGTTCACTAGTTTAGCTTCTGTGCAGTGTCATGCTCTCCATGATTTGTGCCGTATTCAGTGCAGTAGCCCCACTATGAAGCCCTGTGGACAAGCTCATAACGACCATGACCAACTGAATCAATCTGTTTGTCGTCTCTTATATTTACAAATCCTCCTTCAACGACGGTTCAAACGCTTCGACCAACCTAGTCGAGAACCTTATATTTTCGCTTGAGTAGGGCTAACAAAAAAATCGAATTTCGACTTTAAGCCACTTGAAATTGTAACAAACGACCCGCGTGTACAAGATCGTCTTTCCCTCATCCTTCCTCTGTCGCAGAACTCAAGTCTGTTTAAACACGAGCACCGTGTGTCCCAAAACCTCACGATTGCTACAACCTTATTACACTTGAACACGACCTCCTTACCCGAGAAAATAGAGCGATCGGAATTCGTTCGAAGGATTAAAACTGTCGATTTATTTGTAGATCTCATGGGTACAGCCATTCCACCCACAGCAACCTGTGAAGCAAGAAACGCCTCGCCCCATGGTTTATCGGATAGCCAGAGCTGTGTGGTGAGTATTGAGTAGAAGTCGACACCTGGAACCGAAGGAGAGGATTATGTTAATATGCCGATCAAGTTCGTTATGACCAAGGATTCTAAGCGGGCAAGGGAATAGTTGAGAAGACGGCAGCTTCACCGGCGGTGTGTTTTATAGGCTACTACATGATGTTGTATAGTATCGCGGCTGGTGACTTTCCGTTCGCAAGAGGCGTTAATGCGCAAATCCCACTAGGACTGAAACCTGTCACTATTTTACGGACTTGGGCCCATTTCACATGGATGCAGGAGTACCTCTTTGATGCTATCTCATGGTCTACATGAATTCAAAAACATGTGCGCTTGCCTAATGCCGTATATCCCGCCGTAGACTTCGATTCGCTTCTAATAGCCGCGATTTTCCAGTCTCCGAAAAACCGTGCTGCCTGCATCTTGTGCACCGCTATGTTTCCTACCGATACATAGTATGCCTATGGACTATAAATCTCAGGTCCACCACTCAGCTTCAACTGAACGACATGCGCATAACTTTACACCCTACCGTGTAGCTCACATGTAATGCCAACTTCCAACCAGAAACCATAACCCTACTACGATCCAGCCACGGTTCCGACCAGAACTCAGCGGCGAGAGTGACGTGTTCCCCGGACATTCACTGTGTAATTGCGAGCGGAACCATTCCTCCATCTTGCAGAAATCATGCCCTGCCGCAATGTATCTACGAAGAAGTTAGAAAGGGTGTATCTGTGATTTTGGTGGGACAATGGAGCGCCCACTCATTGCAGAGTGTCTGGTCATAGGAGTAGGATATAAAACTGATTGGGTGCGTGACATGGTCGATCGAGAGCGATTGCGGAACGGTGATGGAGCAGAAGCTGGGGGTCTGTATTGTAGCAACAGGGGCCGAACCCCTTACTCGAGAAGCCATTTAATACGATGGAAGCTTCGGCTTGTTGGTATGCGCGTGCTCAGAGTGGTCTTGAAATTGATTGCGGTAGTGTTTGGAAAGGTGATCAGTTCAATAGGCAATTCGGGACCATGTGATTACTACAGATGCCAATACACGGTTGAGCATGCTTCAGAAAGTGCTTGGGTCATTAAATTCTTCACAATCTTCTCAAAATGGCACACTGTAGTAGTGGTTGAGGCTAGCCGTACAGACGCTTGAACGATGAACTCTACCAGGATCAAATGAAAGCTTCTATCATTGAGTGAGGGCACTTTTGTCATGACAGCTTGCTGTAACTTGCGCACCTTCAGGCTGAGCTTTGCGTATGGGCGTTCTGATTACCATCCTATGAAATAGCTACTACGTATAGAATAGGGGTTCGATCCCTCCCAAACCACTCAAGAGATCCACGGGCTCCAACTCTTCAGGTTCACATACCCAACGAACTTACGATCAACGGTACCGCACAAACAGCAACCCAACCACAAATGGAGGAAGAGCGATTTATTCTAATGGCAGAGTGTTCAAGGTTGTAGTTACAGCCGTCTTTATGTTCTGGAAATTGGGCAAGAATTCATGGGCTCATCGCACAAAAGCCATATCCTACTACTCCGTAATCGGATTCTCCGTTCATTCATAGTTCTATCTTTAACGTGGTAGCAAGCAATTTTATACGATAATCTCTATGGAGACGACTGCCAATCAAAGCGTCCACTCGCTTGAACACACTTTACATTCAAAGTTCGGCCATAAGCCACTTGCATGCGGATTAAATTTCTCGAGAATACAATATTTCGTATTGGCGTCTCATTGCGGCCCCGACCTTTACCGTTTTACTCCTTTTAACGCCAACGAAAATGTTCGCATCATGGCTACGATTCCAGTGACTCTTATACAAATACGTTATATCAAGATCCGTCACGCAGCCCGGTTGAAGGGGTGATCTTCGTTAAAATATAATAAAACACAGTTGTGCAAACTAAATTAGTTTCAACCCCGGTCTATAGTTATAATTCACGCATTTCTCTTCTCTTGCTATCAATTCCCGCTCTCCACCTTCCTGGCTTTTGGGCAGTCCAACCTTTATCGGTATTAATCACGCCAAACGAATAATCCCTTCGCATATAGTCCGGCCACAATCCCAACACCCCTCGCCCTGTCCCTCACTACCGATGCGCTCGACGGGTACTCCCACCCAGCATATATATGTTTGACCCCAGTCTCGGGCGTCCATTCGCTTGCCCACGACGCCGCGCTCAGGGTGGCGCACATTTCTTGAACCTTTGGCCCACCTTCCGCGAGTAGCTCTGGCCTGTTGCAGGCTTGCCGCGAGCGTGCAAATTTATTCAGGCTCGGCAAGTGCGGGTGCCCCGCGATGAGCAGCGCACCATCGCTTTTCGAGACGGCGAGATTATCCGGCAGGAAAGGTAGCCAGATGGTTTCCTGGAGTTTGAGGGTTGGATGAGTGGATTGGGTATCGCCGGTGGAAACGCCGTACAGATGGACAGTACGCTTGTTTGTGGCCGCCACTGCAAGAGTTGTATCATTGAGTAGGGCGATGCCGTTAGGATAGGACTGACGCGCAACTACAGCAGCGTCGAGGGTTCCGTCTTCCAAGACGCGCACATGAACGACGCTTGCAATTGGTGGTGCGACATATGTCTCAAACATCCAAAGCAGGCGAGGGTGATCCCGAGCCGTGAAGTGATGCTGATTAGTAACAAAGAGCTCAGACTCGCTGAGCGCCGTGATAGAGTTAGGACTGCGAATTAATGGGTGCGAAAGAGAGCGCACGTGTATGGCCGTGAGTGTATCGAGGTCCAAATGGAATTTCTCAATACGAGAGCCTAGGCGCTGGTGGTTCGTGACGAACAACGTGGAAGTAGGCTCATGGAACTCGAGGCCCAACGTCCGGAGCTCGGAGTCGAAGCCAATAATCTTGATGCGCACAAGAGAATGTGAGTCTGGCAGAGAATTGTCTATGTACTTGTAGGCATAGAGCTCAGCATTGGGGTCAGGCTCATCACTATCGACGAAATAACCCTATAGCTGGTCAGATTATTTTTCATACTAAGCAGAGGTGGTTCTCTCACCATGACGGTATTCCACGTCTCTCGGCCAGGGTCACATGCCAAAAGTGCAAGCCCCAACGTCTCAACGAGTAGCACATCTTCGCAATTACGGATCTGATCTGTGAACTTGACTTCGTAGGATGTGAAGTTTGCATGCCTGGCCATCCGATCTGGTGCGTTGAAGAAGGCCAGTGAAAGTACTCGGAGTCGCCCGGCCAGAAATGTGGCGAGCAACGTCCACAAAAGCACGACCTAGATCATTTCAGTCACTGGATTCTTGTAGGAACTGTGCAGCCTTACAATGCTCGTTCTCACGTTGAGACCCAGCATGGTGGAATGTTCAAAGTGTTTCTTGATCAAGTTGGACTGGAGTTCGCAAACACCGAAACTGAAGAGTTCACAAACGTGTAAACACACCGGACCCAGGAATACCCAGAGCTATCCGCAACTCGCAGAAGCCAACGGTCTGGTGTGTCTTCCCACAGGTGGACTCAACGGCCCCTAATCTTTCGGGTTGCACAACCTCGCCAAGCAGTATGTACGGGTGCGGCGAGAGCCAGTAAGATTGGCAGCAATCGCCCGCCCACTATGGCAAAGACGGAAAAGAATAAGGCGCTGAAAGCTGTGTAACACCCCATCACCACCGAGAGGAAATCGATTCCAACCAAACAGTATTTTTAGTACAATTAAGTAGCACATGGGGCTGGGAAGAAACTTGTAATTGCACCGCCCCGAGACAAATATTGAGAGAGGCTTGCACAACAATGTTGCATCACGAAAAGGCTGCAGCCTGTCCTTTTCAGCTTTCGCAGTTCAGTAAAATCCAGAACATTGAGTAATTGATACTACTCAAACAATCCCCTGTGAATGTGGCACAATTTCCATATAGAAGCACCCTTGCGCAACTTTTGACCCTGGCTATCTATCTCCCTTCCTAACCTTAGCCTCGACACAAACATTGAACCTTGGCGACTCTGACCCACAATGTCAGATCTTGCCGCTCTGGCGGCAGCTTTGCCTAAATGTGCTGTAAGTCGTGGTTATACCCGCTTACGTTTAACCATACCCAGTCACGCTTCGATTGCTTATACTATTGTGAAGGCAACATGCATGCTCGCCGCCGTTAAGGGATCGACTTGCGCTATCGCCAACCAAACTAACCAAGCGTGCGTGTGTCACAATGAAGACCTCAACGCCTACGCCACGGCCTGCATCACCGCGAGCTGTACCATTAGAGAGGCTCTATTTACCAAGAACTTGACCTCCACGTCATGCGGTATCGCACCAACCGTCGACCACATATACGTCACTACTTCAATCATCTTTGTCGCCCTGTCTGCGATTTGTATCTTGCTGCGCGTAACAGCGAGGCTCCAGGCAAAAATCCCAGTCTGGTGGGACGACTTCATCATTACTTTGTCTTTTGTTCGTGAGCTCCTCTCCGGTTCCCTGACAAAATAGGAGGTTGACCAGTATCTCTTCCCTTGGTATAGCTCGGCTGCATCGCATTCTCAGTGATCGGCTGGATATGTATGAGACTGTCCCTCCCTACCAACCACTATGTCTTGTTGACACCGATTTTACAGTGGCGTCGCATGGCTTGGGAAGTGACATTTGGGCGGTGTCGTTCGATGACATTACACTGAACCTCAAGGGACTCTACACACTCTTTATTCTCTACATTACGAGCCGCGACCTCGTGCGCCTGTCCATTCTCCTCTTCTACCTTCGCATCTTCGGCGAATCTCAGCAGGCACGGCGGCTGATCCAATTCACCTTTGTACTAATCCTTGCATGTTGCATAGCGTTCGACTTTGCAATCATATTTGGCTGCACCCCAATTAATCATTTCTGGACGTCATGGGACGGCCAGCATGAGGGCCGCTGTATCAGCACTAACGGTATATTCTGGGCTGGTGCCTTTGTCGTCATCGCGATAGATCTTTGGGTCATGCTGATCCCGCTGCCATTTATCGTGCGGCTGAATTTCTCGCTGAGGAAGAAGATCTTGTCGGCGATCATGTTCACTTTTGGAATCTTGTGAGTACAGTGAGCAGACAGGACTGCGTCTAGGGCAAAATTAATATATCAACCTAGCGTCATAATCGTCAGTCTTTATCGACTCAAGACTATCAACCGTTTCACTCTATCCAAAAACCCGACGTGTTAGTTTCCCTGTTCCACCATGGTATTTTATTACTTTGTTCTGTTCCTCGTCTTTGGCACCTGCTAATTCTTTTTACCACCGTAGTGGACTTCGTCGACGTTGGTGTCTGGTCCGGCCTTGAGCTTTACGTTGGCATTATCTGCGCCTGCCTGCCAAATTTCCATAGCCTCTTGAAGCCTGTCTTCGCATGGATGGATTCGAGGTTATCATCAAGGACCACGCCTTCAAATCATGACGTTGGAGCTGCTGGTGGTACCCGCTGGCGACACTCCCGCCTGGTTGACACAAAGTTTGACCCCGAGCCGACGATCCGTGCGACCACAACCGTCAATGTTGCGCACCATCATCCAGAGCTCCAAGGAAATCTACATAATTCGAGCACAGAAGACAATGCAGGGAGCATTGAGCACATTGAGCTTGGCCAGAAGAAAAACGGTGAAACGATTGCCAGCGTGTGGGTTTGAACGTGGAAATTTGTCACGGCAAACATCTGGCTACGGATTTTCTTAACCACTCGTGCAACACTGTCAGGTACTTGATCATTGCAGATGTTGAAATAAGAATCATCAGGTAATATCAGGCGTGGAGGTATAGAAGTAATTGGGCCTGTATTCGCGTATTCTCGTCTATAACTCTAAATCGCTTAAGATTAGTGGGGCCACTGTCACGGATGCTAAGGGTGTTTTGGCTTTGTCTTATGTACAGGAGCACTCTGGTCGATGCAGACCCGACGGATTCATGATAGACTCCTCACCTTCCCGGTTGTAATGTCAGTACATAGTGCCCCATGCAGATTCTCCAAAAACTGAAAGTGTCTGTCCATTCACTAGACGTCAGTTTCTACAGCCGCATCTCTTTTATGACAGGAAAGAGCTGTGGAATTGAGCCGACTCGCAAGCCTCGAGTTGGAATACTTCGTGACGAATGTTTCCTTTTAGGGCGGCAATCGAAAGAGTCGTTCAGCCATCCATCGCAGCAACGACTTCAAAGTAGTTGATAGCCGCCAGACTTCACCATTCTCGATTATTTGTGAGGGTCACTTTGTTCGGAGGTGTATCGGAGCAGCCTGTCTTGGAGAATACGATACTGGCAGACTGGGAGAAGTTCACAAGCAGGACAGAGGATGATGGAATTGTTACCCCCCCCCCCCCCCCCCAAACATTGCATACGAAAGCTGGCACATCCCTGGACTTATTGCCGACGGGCCACTTGTATGACACTATCTTAACAGGGAACAAGAATGACGACTTGTTGGAGTATAGAAATCCATTACGGTTTATTTGAAGACAGCCTATTGATATAAACCATAATGACATGGATATTCTATTTATGCCGGTATGGTAACCCGAGAGACTGCGCCAACTCTTTTATCCAGTCTGCCCACCTTCGGTGCATTAGGCCACTTTTTAGGAATAGTCGGTATGATCGGGGTCAGGACCCGAGATTACTCTTTTTTCTCAACCTGAGAGCCAAACCGAGATGCGTCCGTATATATAAAGCACGGAAAATTTTGCCGAGAACGATATCAACATAGGCTCGTTGCCTCGGAACACAGTGATTTTTTTCTCCCGTCGCATCGCCATTATCTTGAACAGCGTCCCTTTGATGATCGTGGTGGCTGGACCGCGAGACGCGGCCCACTGCCGACTCGCATAGCGTCAACGGTAGCGCTGGGGAAGAGACAATGATTGTTTGGATCACTTACCATTGGCAGGCACAAGAGAGATATCTGCCTTTTCTCCATACCCCCCACAAGAACCCCCGCACTCCGCCCACAGGTGCTGGATTCGCGGTCCACTTCATGGTGTGAGCCATGAGGAAGACAACCCCGAGTCGTTCAGGTATATAATAGGATGGCCGGGGTTGTTCTGGACATCGTACTCGAGAGCTTGAAGCGTGTCTCCTAGACGGTTGTCAAGATCTAAGCCTGTGGAAGAGAAATCACCAGGTCATACCATGTCTGTTAATGAAGGGAGCAAGTCGCAGGACCCAGACGTCCTGCAAGAGGCTTGCATCGAGGATGCTGGTCAATTGCAGAAAGATACGATCCAAGGCATCCGCCAGCCACACAGCGAGATCTACGCCGAGGCGCTTTTGCGATTTCCCACCGACGAGCACATCGATAAGCTAGAGGAAGCCCGTTTACGACGAAAGCTCGATCGCAGGATCTTACCATTGCTGGGTATCTGCTACTTCTTCTACGTGAGTCCTGTTGTGTTTCTCGGAATGCATCGAACATCGCTGCTAACTCGTCGCTGCTATAGTATGTCGATAAAACTACACTCTCGTATGCTGCCATTTTCGGTATCAAGACCGACTTGGCACTCGATGCCCAGGGTTACTCTTGGCTGTCCTCTCTGTTCTACTTCGGCTGGCTCTTCTGGGCCATACCGTCGAACTTGATTATGCAGCGTTGCCCGCCGGGTTGGTACTTGGCTGGGAACATATTCATGTGGGGAGCACTTCTGATGGCACAGGCTGGAGCGCAGAACTTCGGCGGCATTGCAGCTCTGAGGATCCTCTCCGGTGCCTTTGAGGCCATCGCTGACCCAGCATTCATGCTTATCACGAGCATGTACTACACAAGATCCGAGCAGCCGATCCGCATCGCCATTTGGTACTCATTCAATGGTATCGGTGTTGCTGGTGGTGGTCTAATAGGTACGTCGACACTCGCCTCTACGTGGTTCGATGTGAGACTAATACAAGGGAACGGTAAGGTTATGGTATCGGGCATATCAAGGGCGCGCTGCAGCCCTGGCGCTACGAGTTTCTCATCGTCGGGGCATTCTGCACCTTCTGGGCCATAATTCTTTTCATCTTGATACCAAACTCGCCTGTGACTTTCCGTGGTTTCAGCCACGATGAGCGTCTCATGATGATTGCACGTATGCGTCAAAACCAAACGGGCGTTGAACAGCGGCATATCAACTGGGGCCAGGTCAAGGAGGCTTATGGCGACTACAAGACCTGGCTCTTCTTCTTTTTGGGATTCGTGAGCAACGTTCCCAACGGAGGCATATCAAACTTCTCGACCCTCGTCATTCAGGGACTGGGCTTTGATACGCTACATACCGCACTGTTGGGTATCCCCCAGGGAGCACTGGTCGTGATCTGGATCGGCCTAGGCGCGATCTGCAACCACTACATGCCCAAGAATTGCCGCAGCCTCGTGAGCGCCCTTTTCATGCTGCCAACCATTGCAGGCGCGCTCGGATTTCTTCTCGCTCCATCGGATGCATACATCGGGAGGCTTATATGCTTGTAAGGAAACCACAGGATTGCAGGGTGTATGAGCTCTGATCGAAGGCTGACTTTTGCAATGTTAGTTATCTTACTGGTTCCTACCAGGCCTCTTTCGTCATTTCTCTGTCGCTTGCCATCGGAAACACCGGCGGCCAATCTAAGAAGATGATTGTGGCCGGTATGATGTGGTTCGGTGCCTGCGTCGGCAATATTGCAAGCCCGTTCTTCTACAAGTCTGAGCAGGCACCGAAGTACAGCCTGGGCATTGGATCGCTGCTGGTGTGCAACTTCATCGAACTTGGATTGTTTTTTGTCTTCAGGTACGCGTTCATGTGGGAGAACAAGCGCAAAGAGCAAATCAGGGAGCAGATGCGGCAGAATGGCGAACTTGAGGCTGTGAACCAGACTGCATTCATGGATCTTACCGACAAGGAGAACCCCAACTTCGAGTACATCTATTAATCTTAGTCATATGACAGCGTGGGGTGCATGTGGTCGACTGCAGCTCCATGGGTAGAACACATGCAACTGCAGCGCGACCATTTGTGGCTGTGACAGGTATGCGGAAGTAGTTGTCCAATGTTCGGTCCCTTGAATTCAAAGCTCTTGTTGCATAGTTGTAGACATGACAGGTGCCGATGTCGGTGCACCTTCATCTGGCATACACGATATTCGAACCGCGCACGGATGTAGTACAATTTGTATGTAGGACTGACACTAATGTCGACTTCCTGTCAATGAGACAAAACTAGGTTTCCTGAAGAGATGGCCGTGGCTTTGCAGCTAAGTTTAATCGCAGCAATCCAGTCCAAAGAACAAACCTTCGCATGCGTTTGCCGCGTCATGGTTGAAAGCCCGGAAGCCGTAATCGTGGGCAGGCGCCCGGCCGACAAAGCAGCAATGGCAAGATCACAGAACCTGACGGGCGACGTAGAGAGCATGCCAACATACATGCATACGTATATACATGCTTACTTAGATGGCTTGGGCGTGTTTACCAATAGCTTATCATTCACCGACGCCGCCGATTGTTAGGAGCAACAGGGCACTGTCGTAATTGATGAGCACTCGGAGCGAGTCGACCTTTCGGCTCGGTGGTGCTGACGCTCTGCAACACTTGCAGCACCTGCAGCACCTGCGGCACCTGCAATTTTGAGCATAGGGGGCGGGGTGCACTACGCAATGTTGCAGCGGACGAGCCAACCACGTGCAGGAAAACAAGGTTGCACAAGGTTACGAGTCGACATCTCCCACTAATCCCGTGGGCACAGGCCTGCATATCCACTAAAGCCCAGGATTCAGCCCTGGGCTTGCCCGGGATGCGGACATGGCATCCACTTTGGAAAGCCTTTTGAACCCAGAAGCAGCTTTGGTCGTGTCGCTCGTCGCCAAGAGAGATTGAGCAAGGCCAAGAGGGCCTGTGGGTTTGTCTGACTGATCGCTTCCTCCTCACTTTCCAATCTTTTCGTTGATGACTTTCGCAGTCGTCGTCCGTTCGCTATCTTGAGAGCATCGAGTAGGCCCAAGTTCTCGTGTGCATCCTCGTATCTATCTTTTCTGCCAAGCACAGCAGTCCACCCACATCGCTTCGCTTGCTTGCCTTGCGTCGCTTTGCTCTGCGCTGCGTTGCTTCGCGACGTACTCCGTAGGCGTAGGGTTGGTACTGTACTGCAAGCGTCAGATTTATTGATCGAGAGCCAAGAGACCCGCTCTTCGCGCATGAACCACCGAAATATTCCAGACTCCCCCGGGACTTCCGCCGTGCTTGTGACATGAACTTGTTGTCATGAGGTCAACTGTGTATGTTGAAGCGCATAATGGGCTTAGTCGGCAGTGATCTCAAGGATGAGGACGGGACCGAGAAGGGGAGTACCCTCGTCACGACGCGCAGCAGAATACGCCGCAGACACCACGAGATCCGAACCAAGGTCGACGCCCGAGTACTAGATTTCTACCAGAAGTACGTGATCGAGGGCCTTCTGCGACAGAAGCCTCTCCAACCGTCCAAGGATGGTCGCCATGTCCCACTGCAAATCGAGGACGAAACGCCCCTGATCGACGAGCGTCGCGGCCATGAATTCATATCCAACACGATCCGGACCTCGCGCTACAATGTTTGGAACTTCCTACCCAAGCAGTTGATATTTCAATTCACGCGATTGGCAAACTTCTATTTTCTTTGCGTCGGCATCCCTCAGACCATACCGGGGCTGAGTACTACTGGAAGTTACACTACTATTTTGCCTCTGCTCTTCTTCGTTTGCTTGACCATCTTCAAGGAGGGCTACGATGATTACAAGAGGCACAGGCTGGACAAGCTGGAAAATGCCAATATTACCACTGTTCTCGGGAAACCTCGGCCCCAAGCCACTCCGATTGTCAAATCACGAAAATGGTTCGGTTTGCGCCGAGCTGCTCCGAAAGAGCCAGCAGCTCCCCTCATTGTCGAGGAGGACGAATTCGAAACCGGCGACCAGACCGGCGATCTACAATGGAACAGGGTCTACTGGAGGGATGTGAAAGTTGGCGACATCGTAAAACTCGCTCGAGATGAGGACGTGCCCGCCGATCTGGTTCTGTTCAACTCGTCCGGAGAGAACGGTATCGCTTACGTGGACACGATGGCGCTGGATGGCGAGACAAACTTGAAGAGCAAGGAATCGCTTTCGGCATTCAAAGACTGCTGTTCGATATCTGCACTCCGATCTTGTCAGGCCGAGTTCGTGCTTGAAGACCCAAACCCGGATTTGTATCGTTTCGACGGCAAGGTCACGGTTGGCGAAAAGACACTACCATTGACACTGAATGAGGTTATCTACCGTGGTAGCACGATCCGGAACACCAAACGCGCTTTGGGAGTGGTTATAAACACCGGCGAAGAGTGCAAGTTACGAATGAATGCCAATCAACACCCCAAGGCTAAGAAACCAGCTCTGGAACAGGTCACGGACCGCATTGTCATCACTTTGGCTTTCTACGTTATTGTCTTGTCTGTCGGCTGTTCCATGGGTTATATCGTTTGGCGCCGGGCGACAGAGTCGAACTCGTGGTACCTTCAGGACGCCACGGTCGCTTTCAAGGAGATTATCATCGGCTTTGCAATCCAGTTCAACAACGTCATCCCACTTGCGCTATATGTCAGCTTGGAAATTGTTAAGCTAGGACAGATGTGGATGCTGAATGGCGATGTAGAGATGTACGACGAAGCTACTGATACTCCAGCCAGGTGCAACACCAACACCATTCTTGAAAATCTGGGTCAAGTCACGCATATCTTCTCGGACAAGACCGGAACGCTCACAGAAAATGTCATGAAATTTCGCAAGCTCAGTATTGCCGGCACTTCATGGCTGCACGAAATGGACTTGCACACTGAAGAGTCGACTGCCGATGACGTTGGCGTCAAGATGACTACAGTAGACACCATGCCACGGAAGTCAAGAGAGGTCACACGAGCCATCCCGGAAGATTATGAACCATCTTTAGCCTCTCCCGTCACTATTACTGTTACCTCTCCCATGGAACATACACTCAGCAGGATTTCTACCAGTCGTAATCGCAGATCATCTTCACAGTGGAGATCGACTGGTCGTCCCGATCGTCAACAACCGGATGTTACCACATATGATTTACTAGATTTCATCAGACTTCGGCCCGCTGCACCATTTGCAAGGAAGGCTCGTGATTACATCCTGAGTTTAGCCCTGTGCCACACCTGTCTACCAGAGATTGGTGAGGATGGCCAGATTGATTACCAGGCATCTTCTCCGGACGAACTTGCACTTGTACGCGCGGCTCAGGAACTCGGCTATCTGGTCATACATAGGTCGTCTCAGACTGTTACACTAAAGATTACTTCAGCGGATGGTGACGAGCGGACTGAAGTCTATGAGATCCTGGATGTCATCGAATTCAGCAGCAAACGCAAGCGCATGTCAATTATTGTTCGGTTCCCCGACGGGAGGGTCTGTCTTATCTGCAAAGGAGCCGATTCTATGATTCTTCCACGACTGAAGCTAGCCAACCTCGCTATGAAAAAGGTCAGCGAGGTTCGCAAGAGTGCCGAACTGGAACACGAGATGTTGCGCAGAAGCGAGCAATTGGAGCCGCGCAACAGTTTTGGCGGCCGCCCAAGCCTTACTCTAGCCCGGCGGAGTATGAGCGGCCAAGCACAGGCTGAATCATCAAACAAGCGGCCAGCGATCGAACGGAGCAGGTCGGTCGAGGCCTTGAATATGCGACGTTCCCAGGACAGACCAAGGCCATCCATGGGTGTTCGTACAGTATCCTTCGACATCACCAAAACGCTCTCAACACCCGGCCCGTTGCCGCCACCATCACCGGTAGATGATAGGTTCGACTTCCTTGATGACCCTGCGATTAACGATGATTCCATTGTCTTCACAAAGTGTTTCAAGCACTTGGACGAATTTGCAAGTGAAGGTCTCAGAACTCTCCTGTTTGCACGGAAATTCATTTCCGAGAAGGAATACCGTGGGTGGAAGAAGATATACAACAATGCCACAACAAGCCTCGTCAACCGCCAAGAAATGATTGAAACAGCTGGCGAGATGATTGAACAGTCATTGGACCTTGTCGGTGCCACTGCTATCGAGGATAAGCTTCAAGTCGGAGTACCGGAGACAATCGAGAAGCTGCGCCGTGCAAACATCAAGATATGGATGCTTACTGGTGATAAACGAGAGACAGCCATCAACATTGCTCATTCAGCGCGCATATGTCGCCCTGGCTCCGATATCTTCATTCTCGACTCCTCGAAAGGCGGACTCCAGGCGCAAATTCTCGGTATCGCAGAGGAAATCCAAGCCGGCTGCTTGCACAGCGTCGTGGTTATCGACGGTCACACTTTAGGGGAAGTCGAGCAGTCGCCAAACTTGAAAGCGTTGTTCTACACCCTGATCCCAACCATCGACTCTGTTATATGTTGTCGAGCTTCTCCAGCACAGAAGGCATCAATCGTTAAAGCGATCCGTAGCCGGTTGCCGAATGCGCTTACACTTGCCATTGGCGACGGTGCCAATGACCTAGCCATGATCTCTGCGTCCCATGTCGGTGTTGGTATCTCAGGAAAGGAAGGACTACAGGCCGCTCGCGTCGCCGACTATGCTATTGCACAATTCCGTTTCCTTCAACGCCTCCTTCTTGTTCATGGTAGGTGGAATTATATTCGCACAGCCAAGTTCGTGCTTGCAACTTTTTGGAAGGAAATGTTCTTCTACCTACCTACAGCGTTGTATCAACGATACAACGGCTACACTGGTACATCTCTGTACGAAAGCGCAAGTTTGACTGTTTTCAATACACTTTTCACATCACTGGCTGTTATCATTCCTGGCATCTGGGAACAGGATCTCAGCGCACAAACCTTATTAGCGGTTCCCGAACTATACGTCTACGGTCAACGAAATATGGGCCTCAATGTGAGGAAATATCTGATCTGGATGATCGCCGCCGCGAGTGAAGGCGTAGGCGTCTGGTTCGCAGTGTGGGCGGGCTATGGTGGCGTTTTTGGCGTGGTGAAAGACGAGAACTTGTATCCCGTGGGACAGCTCGCCTTCTCGGTCAACGTTCTGTGGATCAATTATAAGCTCTTGTAAGTCATATCTAAACCACCTGTCGCGTGACACCTCAGGACTAATCATGAAACAGCATCATCGAGACTCATAACAAATCCGCCATCGTCCTGGTCGGGTTTGGCATCACCGTTATTGGCTGGTGGCTCTGGAGTCTCATTTTGTCGGCCGTTTACAATCCGGGCGTTAGCACATATGCCGTTCGCAACGGTTTTACAAAGACTTTTGGCGGAGACTCGATATGGTGGCTTACGCTCATTATTATCCTTGCTATGCTGATATGTATTGAGCTTGGTTTCAAAGCGATCAAACGTAACTTGATCGTTGGCGGGCTGTGGCAGTGGCCGCCCTGGCAAAGGAGGGCTGCCGGCGGGGCTGCCGAGGAGTGGCACCTGGAGCTCTGGCAGGAGCTGGAGCAAGATCCTCTCATGAAAGAGAGGCTGAGGCAGGAGATTGACGGCAGAGACGAAGAACTTGGTATAGAAGAACTCGGGGACGCGGAGGAGATTGTCCATGTCGATATGCACAGGGTTTCCTAATTTTCCATCCATCACATAGACGCACGTATGGTGCGCGCATTGGGCTGGCGTTCGCGTATACCCCCTGACTGATTTGGCTTGGCTTCCAGTTGCTATAGAATGGGAAGGGAGGGTTGTTGATTTCTGTATTTTCGATGGGATTCTGGCTTTGGATACCCCCCATAAGTAGTCTACGACAGATAGTTGTTCATATGTTTCAATCTCGTATCTATGTTAATATCGTCAAGTATCATGCCGAAAAGGAGTTTCACTAACTTAGGTCTATCTTGAGTTGATATACCGTTTGCAAATGAAACAGGTTCGTTTCGAACCATCAAAAGTATCCTTTATGTATGCATTCAACCGCTGAGTGGCATCTCGAAATTGTAGTGCAAACATATCACAACTTGACAAGTCTTGGTGTTTGGTTACCCAAGTTGCTAACGCCCAAAGCAATGCTAGTTCAAGAGCAAATGCAAAACCACACCAATATACTACAGCACACATAGTGAACCGGTTAAGTGTTGGTAGCGAGGCAGTCGGATGCTAGCAAGACTATAGTGTTATCTTTGGCTTGATCAGTAACGAAGTCTATACTGTGACGTCTAGTGGGAGTCTGGGACTTGCGTCTTCGGGGCCATAGTTCCTTGTTCTTCAGGCTGCCGTGAGGACATGGTCTGAGCATGTACACGTTCCTTTCACCCTTCAATTCTTGAGCGGTCCGGCGTGCCGGTATGTCTTCTATCAAGCGACTTCTCAGCATCCCGTGATGGGCATGCGTTCGTCCTGGGTCATAACCCCCTTTTTTTTTTTTTTACAAGGAATTACTCTCCAGAGCAGAGGGACGTCATATTGTACTTGACAGAGAACATCATCCGTGGCTCGTCAAATTAATGGCCGAGATGCTATTAAAGATTTCCTGTACGCTTCCCAATCATTTGTCTAAGCTTTTTGACCCGAAGAGTTGCAGGTGATTCGTGCTAGCCCAATGTGCAACTGTATGCAAAGTTGTTCAAGCATGCTGATTGGTCCAAGGGAGGTTGTGGGAATATGAATTTCGCAATTGTTTGTTTGTCTACTCAATAGTTGCTTAGGGACTCAATCAACGTTACACATATTTAAGTGAGCTTCTCTGTGCTCTGAGAATTCTTTTCCTTCCACTACAAATCTCTTATTCCACACCAGCCTTTACCAAGCCTCTGGAGTCGTCCTTCTTGGTAACGCTGCACGGGTACCAGTGGGATTACAAATGGGCACAATCAATTTTAAGTCTATTTCTACTACTTTATCAAGTTCTCCAAAAGTGAGGCCATCTCCGAGCCTGTTATGCTCCCCAGTTCCACAAAGCGTGGCGTTCTCCTGCTGCGGGCCTAGCCCTGCCGACTACTGCAAGTTTCCAAGTCTCCAAGTCTGCTGCCCTTTGCGTCGGTAAAGATTGCAGTGAAGGTACCCGTGCTACTCCCACAATTTTTAGAAGGAATCGCAAGTTCACCAACTAAAGTTGGTGCTGACCACCTTTTGCGATGGGTTCCAGTGTTCTCTTATAGTAAGTTATAGGAACGCGCTGCTAGTGCCGCCACTGGCGAAACGAAGAGAACACTAACAGGATTTTGACAGCTCCTGCCAAAAAGCATCCAAAATACCCCTGTTCTGACCCTTTGAACGGGTTTCCGTTGTATGTGAAATACAGACATTTCACAGGTTTAAGCCATCCCCCAGCACAGTCAATCTACTATGCAGTGGACAGTGTAGTCCGGCCCTCGCTCTCGCTCAGACTTCCTTAACTGGTGCAACCAGTCCTGATAAGTCTCTAGTGTGTTCGTTGTCCATTTTTTGTGCATGCCCGTGGATTATGAGTGTTTGTTGCTTGCATGCACTTGTCAATGTGTGTTTATGGGTGCAGTTGTCAATGTTTGTAGTCTATTCTATTGACTATGTTTGTCTGGCACTCTTCACCTCACTGCGTTCGGCACAGGCCTTGCCTGTAACCGCCTTCACAGTCTTGGGCTCTCCTTACGGGGTTCAAGTAGGAGTCTTAGTGTCGGGCTGACGGTGTTCAATTGACAAAAACATGCGTTCTTCTATCACAACTAGTGTTCCTCCGCTCTCCTTGAAATACTGCGCTACTGCCTCATCCTTTAATGGGTTATTATCTGCATTTGCCGTGAATATAGCAGGTTTCCCCCAATCCATCATCTTCTCCTTTCTATACTTGCCATCGATGGCCACCTCCATCTGGCACCCCATGAAAACCCTCCAGTTTTCAAACTTACGCAGATCCATATCGTTCAGTACGATGTGAGTGCACTCAGACGTCATGAGGTCATACACAAACTTGCTCTGCATCACGATGGGCGACCCAAACGACTTGGCCCACTCCGTCTTCCCATACTTGGATGGTCCAACAATCAGTAGGCAACTCGGTCGCCCCATCTTCCTCCTCGAACCAATATTCCTGCGCAACCAGGAAACCAACTCTTTCGGGATCTTGAAGGGCTTGCGCTTGTATGCCCGTTTGACAGCGGGTTTTGCCCGGACCTTTTTAGTGCTCACAAACTTGGCCGCGGCATGAGGCTGGCATACATACTTGACAGGGAAGTGCTCTCTGAGAAAGGCATCAGTCTCATCCTGATAAACCAAATCCAATGCCTCCCGACACCAACCCTCCTCTTGCTGTCTCCATGTCTCTGTTGCACCCTGTGGTGGTTGAATGTATGTCCCAAACACATAATCGTTGTCGGCACCATACTCCTTGAGTATGTAACCCTGCACGCCTTCTAAGAAGCGCTTCGGATGCTCACCTGGATCCGGCTTTTCAATACGAATGGACGTGGCCACCTGGCGCAGTCCTCCGCCCTCCTCGAACTGCGCCGCAAATCGAGAGTAGGAATTCTTCCAGTGTACCCTCGTTTCAAAACGCATCACCACATGGTAATGAGGATGACCGTCTGCATGCAACTCTCTCGCACCAAATATCTCAACCTTGCTCCGCCTGTTGTTGTCACTCGACATACGGGGCATCCACTGCTCCATCCACGTGCGCAGATACTCGTAGAACTTGAGGTGGTCAGTGACGCAGCACTGGTTGTAGGTTAGCCAAACCATCTTGCCTTGAAACAAAAAGGGCTTCTCCTCAGTAAGCAGCGTCTCTGGCGGCGAGTGACCAAACTTGACACCGTCTTCGTCAGGCTCCGCCTCCCCTTCGGGCTTGTCCAAGTCCATGGCGTCCTTGGTATCCTCGGGCTCCCCATAAAGAAGCTGGGCCTCCATCTTGTCGTCCTTCTCATCCGCCATCTTCGCACTTGCTCAGCAGTAAAATTGGGAAGGAGAATGCACTCTGTGACAAAGGGGGGCCCTTTTCTAGTAACCCTTTGGGTGTGTAAACTGGTGTTTGCCCGTGTGCCCCACGAGCAACGGAGATGGCCCAATCCTGGGGCTCCAAAGGGCCGCCAAGCGGTTAGTGTGCGAACTAGGCAGTAAATGCCTCTCATTCGCTCTCGCTCATGGCCACCACAAGTGCTGGCTCCCATACTGGGGGGGACGGGGTTGGTGTTCTCTTACAGTAAAGTATAGGGACGCTCTGCTAGTGCCGCCGCTGGTGACACGAAGAAAACACTAACAACGTTTTGACAGCATCTGCCAAAAACAAGTCAAACAACCCCTGTTCCTACCCTTCGAACGGGTTTTCTTTGTATGGGAAATTCTCACCTTTTCTGAAAGTTGACCATCCCCTCTGACAGTATCCCACACTGCATTCGGCACGGGCGATGCCCGTACTATCTTCTACAGATCTAGCTCTCCTCCGGGGGTTATCTTGGAGTCTTAGTACTGGGCTACAGTGACAGTATTTAGTGTGTATCTGGTGGTGACAGTAATCAAGAGAGATTATATTCAAATACAACTATCTATGTTGAAGATATTTACAAATTTAATCTACTAATAGCATATTCAAACTTCAGTGTTTCTTTATTTCTTTATGTAGTTACTAGGTCTAAAGTTCTTCCATAAACCTTTTAAGCCTGTTTAACGTAGCGTTTGCAGTGTATACATCTCATTCAATGTTCTAACCTCGAGTCCAGAGTGACTTGGCCAACTGTCGTTGTCCCTAGCTACTTACTACACTCTTACTTGACTAAAAGTGGACGAGATGCGCAGGCAATAGACCACTCCGACGTAAGAACGAAAAAGTCGTATACGACAAACAACTCCCATGCTTAACGGGTACTGCCAACGTAAAAAAAAACCAGTCCTCCAACCCTGCTGGTTTCACATGTAGTGCTGCCACTTCCTCCGTTGTCATATCCAAGCCAAAGAACACATTATCTATAACACCAAATGCATTAGATTTATTTCCAGCCTCTTTACCAAAACAGGTTTCCCAGACCTTGCCCATCAGCTCCCGAGGGGCTGCAATCAGCACTGCATGGAATTGGCTTCTATCACTCCCTCCAGATTCTCGCCATACCGTTGAGCCCATGGTGACTGTACACGAATCGCCTTCGCCTATCTTCATGACTGCTTCAAAAAACTTCTTCCAGTTCCCAAGCTCACGAACTTGAAAGGCCAGCGCTGCGTGTGTCGCCCAACCCTCCACGTGGTCTCTCGCAGGCCACTCACCGATCCCGCCGTCCTGAAGCATTACACCAACACCAGCGCACGCAAGGCCCTCCAACCACCTTTTGAACGAGACTTCCCCTAGAATGTCCATTTCTAAGCTTGTCATCGTGGCCTCTGGCTTAGCCGCCTGAATTGCTTCCACTTTCGCAGGAATGTTTGTTTGCTTGCTCGCTTGCTGTCCGCCGCTGTCTTGCTTGTTCGTGTTCCTCTGTGTCACCCGAGTGGCTGCGGCTCCTGCCTCGTCGCTTGAATGAGTGTTTGCGTCTTCCCGACAGCAAGGTGTTCGTGTTGCTACCACGAGATGCGCTGCAGTAGAACGGACGACTGTGAACAAGTGCTTGTGCCTGGAAAGAAGAAAGAAGAGGGCCCCTCCTCTAGGGGAAGTGTGCCTGGAAAGAAGAAAGAAGAGGGCCCCTCCTGTTGGGGAACTGCCGCGTAAAGTGACGTTGGCTAGCGCCTCCCGGCCGCCAATCAACCAGCGCTCCTGCAGGTTGCCGCCTAGACCTCCCGTGGCTCCATTGGATTGGGTCGCTTCGCTTTTAGTGTGTCGAAGGAAGACACTGAATGTCTGTGCCCTCACCCTGTTCAGGTGCCCCCCCCCCAAGGGCGGGCTCCCATAGTAAAGGGGACGGGGTTGGGTGCTCTCTTATAGTAAATTATAGAGGCGCTCTGCTAGTGTCCACGTTGTGGACAAGAAGAGAACACTAACAGCCAAAAGGCAGAACCAGCCAAAAAATGGCCAGAAAGTACCGTCCCTACGCACTTCAAGCACTTTTCAGACAATGTCAGAAAAGGGCCGTCCCGGCTGACGGTGCCCCGCACTGTCTTCCACTGTCTTTCGACTGTACAGCCCTCGTTCCACTTCGGTCTTCCTTAACTGGTGCAACCAATCCTAGTGAGTGTTGTGCACTGGATTGTCAATGTTTGTGTATGCCTGTGAGTCTACATTGTTTGTTTCGGCATACACTTATCAGTATTTGTTCATGAACTAGATTCTGAGTGTGTCTATAACAGTTTCCCTCACTACGCTCGGCACGGGGTCCCCGTACGTTCTTCCACAGTCTTGCTTGGCCTCGGGCGGTGCTATTTAGTGTAGAGTGCTAGGCTATAGTGACAATTTAAAGTGTTCATACATATGTTTAAGTTCGAATGATGGCTCTAAGATTCCAGTTTAAATCACTTGCTTCGTTCATAACTATCTTTATTGTTTTCGTCGTGTCTTTCCACACTCCATTCATCCTATGAGTTACGTTATCATCACGTATTCAGGTCTTGATTACTTGACTGGTTCCACTTCCAATGCTGAATTATAAACTGCTAGCCTTGCTTTAAATTAACATTGCAGTGCACTCTGTAACAGCCTTAGACATGAAGGACTTGCCGTTTGACGTTTACCTGATAACTTCCTCAAAGTAAACCCAATCAACTCCCAATCAATTCGTACTCCATTACTTGACCGCTTGTCGATAGACTGTCATTCTATCCATTCATTTTCAAGCATTGCTATCTCCCACAGCCACTTCTTCCACTTCTTACGCAAGGCTCAAGCCTAGCCTTAGCCTGGCCAATCAACTGTCTGCACCGGTTCCGTAAACAGCTGCTTCACTGCGATTTTAACCCACACAGAGCAGATAAAGTCTTCCATCCTCACTCCAAGTCAACAAGCCACAGCTTCATAGAGTCCAGCCACCGAGCACTTGACTTCAACACCAATATTTGTATTGAACGACGACCACACACAGTCTTGTATGCACCGCGCATGAGCGCATGAATCAGACGGACAGCCTCTGGTCAAGAAACAAAAGAGGAACAGTTCTATCACGCACCCTTCCGTCAGAGAATCAACAATTGCCTCCTCAATAGGATCCCCAGTGTTCCCAACTGGCATTCCACAGCCCACAGTGTATGGAGCGATGATTCTTAATGTTCCGTTAATAAGGGAGCTGGCCTCATCTTAGGGCTTTAATGCCTCGCTTCGCTTTTGGTATACGAACAAGATGTACGGTAACTAATATTACTTGTTATAGTCTCCGCTTCGTTACGACTACGCTAGTCAATGTCTGTCTACGTCTTCTCCCTATTTAGCTGCCACTATAAGTACTACCTACAGTAAAGGGGACGGGGTCCGGTGTTCTCTTATAGTAAATTATAGTACCGCTCTGCTAGTACCGCCGGTGGAAGCGTATAGAGAACACTAACACATAATTTGGCATCCTGCCAAGAATCATGCAACATACCCCTGTTCCTATCTCTTGCAAGCATTTCATTTCAATGGCAATTCCAAGAATTTGACAGATCTGTCAGTACCCCTCAACGGTGCATACACCGTCTTCCAGTCCAGCCCTCCCTCCCGGTCGGACATGTCTATCCTTGTCTTTATGCCTTAGATTGTCCATGTTTGTGCATGCCCTTAGTTTGAGAGTGTTTATCTGGCATGCATTTGTCAATTAGTTGTTATAAGAGTTCACCTCATTGCGTTTGGCATAGCCTAGGCCTATGCCGAGTCTTTATAGTCTTGGCCCTCTCTCCGGGGGTGCTCTTTGATTCTTCGTGTTGGGTTACAGTGTATATTGACTATTTTCACAAAGTGGGTCTCGTGTATAGTGGGTTTAGTTGTTAGTGTGTGTTCAAAAGTGTAATTTAGAAAGCCAGACTAAAGAAAGCTAGCGGAACACTGACTCGACTATGTGCAATACTTCACGCTTGAAATAAAACCCACACATGCTTTACAGATACTCTGTCTCACGTACGCCTTCCATTACTATATTGCTCTCATATGGGCACTCTATCTACCTCTTCCGTCTACCGATATACGCGTCCCCGCCTCTTTAACTGGCACAACTGGCCGGCCAACCTCCTTACGAGACGTGACTGACCGGTCAACCTCTTCATATCATATAGTTGTTCCTAACGCCTTACTCTCTTTGCAGAACGATGACTGACGCTCGCTAACCACTCAAAGGCCTCCCCGCCCGCCTGTCTATATAGAAACATCATCTGGCGTTACACCCGCCTAAGCCACTTCTCACCCACCAATTTCTCTATAAGCGCTACAATGTACTGAGGCTTACCTAATGTTACACCCTCGTTACTCCTATCCTGTAACTAAAACCTTAGGCCCGCATTCGTCCACTATACAGCGCTCTCCAGCCGCATTATTACATAATACAACTCGTCCCCCATCCCTCGCCGAGGAGTAAGGCATTTGCGCCGCCATAGAATCTTGCAGCCTCTCGTAAAACCGCACAGCATCCAGCGGTCGACATCTGTCGTACACAAAAAATACATACCGGCCCTCAAAGTGGATACCATAAGTGCTGGCTCCCAAGCAAGCTGGCTTTCTCTAGGCGTTCCCATGTAGCAAAGAGCCAAGATTCGCCTCGATGGTAGAGTCGAGAATGCACCATATCGAGAACTCGAGGAGCTGGCCCTCAAGTGGTGCGCAGGTGATGATTTCACGGCGGAGGAGAGCCTACAGTTCGATCAACTAAAGGAGAAACTTGCTTGTGATACTATCCGCGACGCCGTGGCTATCTGTGCGACCGTCGATGGTGCAGCAGACAGCCATGTCACGCAAGCCTAAGGCAGCCGGGCAGACTTTTTGGTTCAGTGAACACAACCAAAAGCATGATGAAGTTGCTAGTCCTATGGTATTTGTGACGTCGAAGAGGTTCGAAAATGCCCAAGACCACAGCTCGCGGTTCTGCGACCGTTCTGGCGCTGCCATCCTCCACACATCTTCGAGACCCTTCTCAAAAAAGGCTTCAGCACTGCCAAGCCTGGTAAAATCGCCATCCTGACCCCTGACAGTGCTTCTCAGAAGCGCATCAAGTATGCGGTCAGCTACCTTGCAAAATACCATGGGTGTTTTCACCTGATAGGTTTATGACCAGACCTTTTCAAAATGGATGTAAGATGGAATCCGGTTTCGACCATCATGTACATGGGGAAGTTAGGATTTTGGACCAGCCTTTTCCAGATCTGATGGCGAGTATTTTAAAACTTTCATATAATTGATGAATATATGGCCCCAAAAATTGGTCTTGGCTGAATTGTGCGTCTGATATGAAGTAGCGTCCCTGTGCGCCGAATCATTGTCATGGTATATGGTGCACAACCGCGAGCAGGCAAAGCTACCTTGGAATATCTCAAGACCTCTTATAGTTGGTGCCACCTAAGCGCAAAAGCTGTTGTTGTGTTTCTGTTGGGATATACGTTACTACCTCACAGTCTAGAGCAAAACCCACCGTGCTGTACGTCTAAGGGGCTCTGTGCCATCACCCAATTGATCATGTATCTCTGTTAGAGTTGATTGAAGGAAACGCTCACGTCGTCTTGTATTCTGCCCCGAACGACCTGCTTCTCGACCCAGGCTTTGCCTCGACCACAAGAAACTTGAAGCCAGTCGAAAAAGAGGCCGCCATGGTTGGCTTTAACTGACATGCATCCGTACTCTTCCATACACCAGCCGAACGATACTTTGATGCCTGTCTTATGAGCTACAAAGTACCAAACCTTCTTCAATCCAACACATTGATGAATCCTTCAGTTCCAACTCTTTTGAAGGTATACGCTTGGGGGACGCGTTTCAGCGTTGAGTATGTCTCGGACTAAACAAATTACAGACCTCATCATTCGGACCCGGGACACCTCTAAACGTACAGAACAAAAACTAAGTCCCCTAACCCGAGTATGAATCCGTCATTTTGCTTTCAAGTATAGTGTCCCTTAAGCGCGTTATCTCCTCTCATCCTCCTCTTCGCTGTCAAACCCTTTTCCCTACGCCTCTAAATCAGAGTCCTAATGCCCACCCCATAGCCTTGCACAATACTCCATAGAAAGTTCCTTCCGCGGTGCCTCTCCTTCCCATTCCATCCCATACATATTGAAAACAAGAAATTGATGTCCCATTTGCTTCTCAGGGAGGGGTGAACCCAGGCCCCGGATCGGCACTTCCTCCACACCATCACCATCATCATCACTGCCATACCTAAGCCTCTCGCCAGTACACGAGCTTATGGCACGCCTCTCCGGGAATGCGCCGGTGCAGGCTTAAGGAATTACATTGATGAGGCTATACGGCGTTTTCTGGGACTTTGGTCGTCGCAGGAGATCATCGTCATTATCACCTGCATCATCATGACTATCGGGCCTGAGGCACGTGGTACAGGAACGGCGTGTGCGGCGGCCATCCCGGCAATAAATCGCTTCTTCCTCGCCCTCCGGGCCGGATGCTCGGGGGCGGCGCGGATAGAACTGGTTCGCCTGGCGGCAGGTGCTGATTCCTTTTCCCGTTCCCTGCCTGGGTCGGCGGGCCAGAGTGCGCTGCGCCTGGATGCTGAGGTCGTGGGGGTGTTTAATGGGATGCATCTATGAGAGAACAACCTTGATGCAACGATGCAATTCTTTTTCTAAGCGTTTTATTTTATTTTATTTATTTTATTACTTTTGTAAGTTCTTTTCATTCATGTTGTTAAATTCTTTTCTCTCATACATTCACGCCTGTCTTTGTATCGCGAGTCTGAACCTGTTTTCCAGTATGTACCGTGCACGGCAGGAATTATGCATATTCATCAGCCTTCAATGTCCAACGTAAGGAGATGTCTCTCGATTAGAAGAACATCGACGTTGTACTCCCCGTTAGAAAGACACGCTATACCGGAAGTATTTCAGGTTCCACAATCCGCTTCGCGACATGGAACCTTCATTTTCGTCCTCTTCATCATCAGCTGTTTGTTCAGTCTCTTAAAGAGCGCAGTGGATCAAGACTTTTCTTGTAAGAGGGGCGGCGGCGACGGTGTTGTGCTGCCGGCTGGTTATGGGCTGTTCTACTGTGGCATGTTCCTCCGCCTGTACCAGCTGATGTGGACGGAGGCTCTGGGGCTGCTGCTTTCACTTGTGCGTTTTAGCGATGGGGTGTCCATATGTTACGGGGGCTTCATCGTGAATACGCCGTTTTGTACTTGAGCCGAGTACTGCATTACTGAAGGGTCGGATTCCGAGATTGGGTGAATCGCGACTTAAATGCATAAGACTCAGAACTCCATCGGCAGCATCTGGACCTGAGGCATATCGTGGCTAGGATTGGGGCGGGGCAGGCCCGAAGTGGGGCGGATTCCAGCGAACGGAAATGTCGAAAAGAAGTCCCGAATTGACTTGGATTTGATCGAGTCATAGAGCAAATTCACGTAGCGCAAGCAATATCAGATGGGTGTCAATTTCTTTGATTCCAATTCATCTCAACTCCTATGAACCTGTGCTAGACTTTTGAGCACATGTAACCCCAGCCGTGGCCCATAGTGGATATTTCACCCGATTCGCAACAACGCCGTCATCATTTCGTTCATTTTGACTTGACAATATTTTAAACAGAGCCAGCCGTGTTGAAGTCCTTAAGGGCCTCGGAGACACGCTTGGTCATGGTCTTCTCACCCTCACGGACCCAGACACGGGGGTCGTAGTACTTCTTGTTGGGCTTGTCCTGGCCATCGGGGTTGCCGACGTGAGTCTTGAGGTAATCGTTCTTGGACACCATGTATTCCCGGATACCGGCGCAGTAAGCGAACTGCATGTCCGTGTCCATGTTGACCTTGACGACACCGTGGCTGATGGCGTCGAGGTACTCCTGCTTGGAAGAGCCAGAGCCACCGTGGAAGACAAAGTAGACGGGCTTCTTCTCATCGGGGCCCTTCTCGCCCTTCTTCTTAAGTTGCTCAGTAACGTACTCCTGGTGCTTGCCCAAGAGCTCGGGGTGCAACTTGACGTTGCCGGGCTTGTAGACACCGTGGACGTTGCCGAAACCAGCGGCAATGGAGAAGTAGGGGGAGATGGCGGAGAGGGTGGAGTAGATGTTCCAGATGTCCTCGGGCTGAGTGTAGAGAGAGTTGTTGTCAACATCCTCGTTGTTGACGCCATCTTCCTCACCACCAGTGATACCAATTTCCTGCAGAGCTCACGTTAGTTTCTGAGCGGGATTTTCGGGGTCTTTTGGATGCAAGCTTACCATCTCGAGCCACTGCTTCATGGGAGCAGCACGCTTGAGGTACTTGGCGGTGGTCTCAATGTTCCACTCGACGGGCTCCTCGGAGAGATCGATCATGTGGGAAGAGAAGAGGGGCTCGTTGTGCTCCTTGAAGTAGGCCTCGTCGGCATCGAGCATGCCATCCAACCAGGGCAGCAGCTTCTTGGCGCAGTGGTCGGTGTGCAGGACGACGGGGATGCCGTATGCGGGAGCAATGGCACGGATGTAGTGAGCGGCAGCGACGGAGCCCTGGATGGAGGCAAACTGGTCCTTGTTGTCAACGCCCTTTCCGGCGAAGAAGGCAGCACCACCTTGGGAGGTCTGCAGGATGATGGGAGACTTGGCATCGCGGGCGGCCTCGAGGGAGGCGACGACTGTGGATGAGGAGGTCACGTTGATGGCGGGGATGGCGAACTTGTGGTCGCGAGCGTAGTTGAAGAGAGCAGTGACATCGTCACCGACGATGACACCGGACTTGCGGGAGAGAACGTCTTGGACACCCATTTTGAGATGATGTGATAGGGCTCTTTTAGTCTTGATTGAATTCGTAGGATCGTGAGCAAAGCAGTTCAGTCGAATCTCAACTGACGAATAGTTTTGTTTCTGTTTGGTAGAGGGGTATCGAGTGTTTGTTGGAATAAAGTAAAACTGCAAGAAGCAAAGGTTGAGATATTAGCTTTTCGTTGGCGGGGTTTTTATTGCAGTCGGCAGCAGGAATCAAAGACCAGAGCCAGAGCCAGAGCCAGAGCCAGAGCAGAGCTTGACGCAAAATGGAGGGGTTTTTCTCCCAAGCTCTCTCGATATCCACGGGTATGTCATAGCCCACTATGCGTCGATAGGACAGGGCTAAGAGACAACAAGAGACGCCGCATCCTCTGGGCAGGGCCGAATCCGGTGGGGTTTCCAGCGTCTTCACGGTCCCTTCGTCAGGCTTCGTATTACGTTGGGTGGATAAGCATTGAATTGCCATGACACGGCCATGGTCTTACCTCGACTGTATTCAGTCTGCTCTCTGCCTCTGAAAATCGGGACGGGGCGGCTCCTGCCTCATTGCTGGCTCCAGGACCCAGAATAAAAGTCGATCCCCAATCACCATCGACGTAATCTGTAGTGCTAAATGCCGCTTTGCCTGGTTCAGATTGAGGGGGTGGGACCTGACTCTTTGTTGTAGAGCCAATTTCTCTCTCAGCTTTGACGCCAAGTCCTACGGTGTGGTATGGTATGGTATGGTATGGTATGGCATGTGTGTGGCCAGCAGGGCAACAGCAATTACATCCCGCGTCGGTCAAACAGATATGCAAGAATACCTAGGTATAGTATACATAAAATCTGCCTCTTGCATACCTTCGTTCGAGAGCTGTCCCGCATGGCTGGCTGGCTGGCTGGCTGGCTCTATGATTGCTCCTCTGCTCTGGCCCTTGCGCGACGAGTGGGATGACATGGCGGGGTAAAATGAGCGAAAAAAAGGAAACACAAAATCAACTACTTACACCGATTGCGGCCTCCAAAGGACTTGTAGTGACAAATTCAGGTTGGTAATCTGTTTGGCAGCAATGAAGCTATTCGGGTTTTCGATCTGTACACTGGCAGAGCAATTGAGATGGCAGTTTGTCGCAAATGGCTGGATAGAAAGGACGACGATAGCAATCAAGGTGGGGTTGGTCTTGTACTTAAATCGTCATCGTGCTTTCAGTTACCGAGAAAGCTTGAGGACTTTCCCCTCGCCCCCTTCCGTGACCCGCCGATATGGTCTTCGGGAAATACCTTTCCAAGGCCAATTGAGCCCTACCAGGTACGGAAACATGCGGAAAGATCAGTCTAGTCAGTCTTCTGCTCGTAGGAGCGGCATGGCTAATCCTGTCAATATGGTCTCTAAACACAACTCTTTTTGGAATTGATACCGTTGTTCTTGCCGAGCTAATAGCGCCCCAGCATAGGTGAATACTACACAATATCTGTGGCTACTTTTTGGCGGTCCGATAGGCACATGTTATTTTGCGTTCGAAACTGCATTGCGCCTTCTCTTGTACAAATGCAAGACTACCTATCCTTCGGGTAACTTGGAGATGTCCTAACGAATCCCGATGGTTTCCTATTGTAACCTCGGACTTGATGCTGGGTGGAGCCTTCACGATATTAGACTTGACATTGTCCGGCACTGGATTCGTGGAAATTCTAAAAGGTTCCGATCATGTTCGGTGTATTGTTGTCTCATTGGACGACATTATATACCAAGGCAGTTTATACTTGGACGACTTGCTGGTTCTGCTCGTCATTGTCCTACCGCCTCCACTTGAATAATTCGCATGTTTAGTTAGGGGCACAAGCAAGTGGTCTTGCTATGCGCTGTATACTCGTATTCGGCAATGCAACGACTATTCCATGTGAACACATCACGCTTCTACTGAACCAAATGCATTTATCCAGCCCATGCTTTCCAAGTATGCTCCGGGAATGCAGCCATAAAGCAAATGCAGGCATCTACAACGCCGGTGTCTGAGTTTTCTGGTTTTTCCTCAACGAAACAATCGTTGATCCCTTACGGCCATGGTTCAAGCAAGCTGTTGCTAATTCGCCGTCCAGCATGCGAATTTTCGACTTTTGGCCTTGGGCCATCCAGTCCAAACTTCTGCCATGAAATCTTATCCTGGGCGTGGTCTGCCTGGGGAATGGAAGCATAATAATGCATATCGCCATCGAACCCCATAGAGTCGTTCCACAAGTTTTTGAAATGTCGCTCAAGCCATCTCCAAGTGATGAGATAACCATGCTCAAATGCCCTCCACCAGTAACCGAAGAGATCGCGAAGTTTGACAAGATACCCACGCTTCTTCTCCCAGCTGTACTCATTTTCAACTCGGGATGCGATGGCCGCGCCTCGTATCCTATCGACCATACCGGCCAGGTTCCGCCTCAGCGCGAACTCATCCTAAGAGTCGGTCGGTTCTGGCTCAGAACGTTCGTCCAGCTCGTAAAACAGAAGATAAACCTCCCGCTGCATTCCTAGGACCTCACTCGTCTTGGCTTCTTTGGCCTTCTCGTCACTGATACGCCACCACTTCTCGACCTGCTTCCTCCGCTTGGTTTTACTGGCACTGGCCGCGGAGGCCATCGGGACAACTGGCGTGCCGTTCGAGTTGTGCACCGTGCCATTGGTAGAGCGCTTGCCAGCAGGGCTGCCCGAACGACTGCCTCTTGCCGACTGAGATATCCTGGACAATGTAGACTTTGCCGACGCAGCTACCGACTTCAAGCTCATGTCCGAGTCGCGCTTCTTTAGGGTGCGAGATGGTGAGCGGCCATTAATGCTCGGCACTGATCTCGGTATACTGTCTGCGGATGGTTGAGGCAGGTCTACAATAGAAGGATTCGGCGAGCCAGAAACTGATGTGGGAGACAAAAGATCTGGCGTCGAGACCGATGGACTTTCCACTTCAGGTCTGTGGATAGCACGGATCTGAGGGGTAACAGCCTGTGACGCAGCAGGGGTCGGTTGTGCCGACTTGGAGAATGCAGTCGATTGCTGGAAAGCGTTGGGTGTCGAGAACGGCAAAGCTACGTTCTGCCGCCGGAATGACTCGTAGTGGCCACTGTGGTGGTTGCCCTTATGTGTCACCGTTGCGAGCAGCTTGTATTTCTTTTGGTTGCGAAGACCACCCATGGGTAATTGCTCGGGGAAAGCCACCTTTGCTGAGTTCTTGGTTGACATACTAGAGTCGTAGATAGAACGCGATAGATGAATGGCCAATACTTTCGGGAAGCTGGTTAAGCGCGTATGCCGTGCGATCTTACGTTTGGGGGCATACCGCGAGTCTGGCAGCACTACATCTTCGGGCGTCCGCTCGGGGTCTGTGTCGATTGCATGCTGCAGCTCTTGGATGCTGTTCCTGGTCACAGTTTTGAAGTCTTCCGACGTGCTTTTAGCCAGGTCGGCTTCGAGGGCTTCCTTCGCATGAATCAGACGACATTTTTCACATTTGAAATCGTCGATGTACTCGGTTTTGAACAGACCATCCAGACAAGCATTCAACGAAGTAGAGCTTCCTTGTTGTGGGACATTCAATGTCAATGTGCAGAAGGTGCTCTCGGTCGGCCTAGGCTTGAAATGGCAGGTCTGGCACTCGACCTGACTTTCGTATTTGCCCTCCATAGGAAAGCCATCTTCGTCGTCGATGTCTAATTCTCCCTCGGCCTGTGTGTGGAGTTTTGGTAATTGCGATTCCGTCTCGTCCGACTCTTCACTCGTATCAACGTCCTTGTTCACATCGAGATTGGCTAATCGTTCGTCTACAGCGGTGGTGTCTATGGGCGCAGGTCCGTCGGTCGGTTTGGTGGACACGCCTTTCCTCCGCGCGTGCTGCCTTGCTCTCTTCCCGGCATGATATTCGTCGCAAAGCCTTTCGGCTACGACTTGTAGAAACTCTTGAGCATCTTGCTGCTGGCGGCTGATGCGTTGCTTGAAGGCAATCTCCAGTACCTTGACGAAGCCGGTGGCCGATATCGTTTTCTTATAAATGGGTCGCTCGTTGAGGGCGTCGAGGATGCTCTTAAGGCCTTGGGTAACGATGGCTGTCTGCAGTCCTTCGAGCTTCCACTTGGGCGCGTCCTTGCGATTCGGATCCGATACCGCTTCTTCGTAGACCCAGGGCTCGTCAATGTGCCTTCGGTGTGTTTCGCGGATCAGGTAGACGCGCAGGTCGGTCAAGCCTGCAAGTGCTTGCAACACCGAGTTGATGAAGCAGTCGTTGGCTGGGTTTTGTAGGCCAACCACGCCCTTCTTCCGCGCCGAGTTGGATTCGCTGTCTATGAAGTATGTCGGGGCGAAGACGTAGACCAGCGTTATGGCCGCCAGAGATGCGCCGGCCGCATATGTAGCGACAGTGAGCGGCTTCTCCGGCATGGTGGCCGCCGGGGGGAGTCGGTCAAGCGGTAAAACTGCTCAGGTGCTGCTATATGTGCAGAGAATGTGTAGCAATGTCGGTAATGAGCGATCAAGATTCTCTAAGTCGGAACCATTGAGTTCATAGCTGCATGTTCATATTCATGTTCATGTTCATGTTCATGTTCCGTTTGGCAAGAGACTTCGGTTGTGGGGAGCACTCTTGAGGTATGGAAATTGGTGACAGGGATAGCCTGACCTTGAAATTGAGCGGATCGTGAATTCGGAAGGTATTCAAACACCGAGCAGTCCGCCCGGCTCATCTGTGTCTGATTCTTGCAAAGACGGGGGCCCAGAGATACCGTCGCAATAGATTGCTCCTGATAAAAATCAAGTGTTGTACGGTTTGTCTACTGCGCGAGCAGGATCGTCCAGCGTAGCAACGTTGGAACTTATCAAGTCGATGAGACAATTAACTTGGTGACCAGCCAGCGCTATTTGACCGCAGAAGGCCGATGGCATTGATAGTTGCCTGGTCTTGGCTTGCGGAGAGATGAGTTACTATGTAGGTTAGATTACTCGAAATCCGATAAAGACATGTTGACACTTCTGTGCCCCAAGCAGGCGGGCCATGACCTTTGCAAGGTTGCATTCGCGATCTCATCCCGATGGAATTCTTCGTGATCACTTGTTACATCGAGCCAAGACGTGCGCTCCTGTACTTTGTACATACAGTTAGTTACCAGGAGGATTTGTAAAATCCCGCCGAAACGGGACCATTGGCTCCAGCGCCAGCGCCTAACTGGGGAAAGTCGTCGGTTGGAACTTTGGCGCTCCGCTGCGCGTTTTCGATACTGACCTGCTTCTTTCGGTAGAAAAGCAGGCTATTGCTGACAATCGTCATGCTAATTACTCCCTGAGGACCATTGGCGTTGTCGATATGAGTTGTCATCTTGCGTATCTTGTCAAATTCACCTCGTGTTTGCTTGTACCTCGGACAAACTGCAGGCAACCCCACGTTTTCCTCGATACTGTATTTTCACCTGGGCGGATGGGGGGCCATGAATCGGGGTTGCGGGGCATTGCGGGGCCAGCCACTGACAGTTGAGTTGCAGCATTGGAGACGCATACTCGGGATTAAGCGTTGAGAAGCCGTCGTTGTGCCAGTATGGCATCCCAGGTTGAAGGATAAAGTCCGAGATTTTTCATACGACTACTTGGGTGATGTCTGATACTAGACTAGGGGAAGAAATTGATGCGCCCTCCCTACAGAGCCAGTAATTTATTCTAGTTCCGCTACTTGTGGATGCGGAACCAACAGCTGAGGCGTTTCAATAAATCGCTGACCTTGAATATCCCACAGCTCGCCCGCAAGAGCTGTGCCCATCAACCACTCCGAGTTCGAGTCCAAGAAATTCTTTCTCGGTGGAATGCGTATTTTGTAAGCCATAAGTCTGATGCGGTCGTCTTCTTCGATCGAGCCGATAGACTCGGACGAGTTGTTGGTTGACGAAATCATGAACTCCCTAACCTCTGCGAGCACCAACGTAATCCTTGATGCTGGGCTGGCGCGCTGGGTGTACACTTCCCGAAATTCGCTCCCGCCGCCGAGGTTGCTCATCGCTCCAGCGAAGATAGCATGTTCCAGGTGAGGTAGATCTGCTAGACACTCCCAGAAATCGGTGTCACATAACGGTCTGTTCAATCCAAGGCGGCGAAGGTTTGGCCATCTGTATAGGATCGACTTTGAGCTCCCGTCTTCGTGACGTACACTAAGGCGTGCGGCATTGCGGGTGCAGACGAATTCTTCTAGCTTGCCAAGTCTCTCGAATCCCTCCAACAACACGGGCCCGACATTGAGGTGGTCATTCCATGGCGGTAAGCTGTCGAATGGCATATCCACAATCAATCGCTTCAGACTCTCACTTGTATACCCGAAAATATCGCGAATCCACATTGCTGTTGGTAGATTATCCATGACCAAGCCGAACGGCGCAAGATACATAGTGTGAATGTTGTGAAATACGGACGGGATATCGAATGGTTTCGGCCGTCGCGACAGCTCCAAGCATAACAAGAAGCGGCGAAGCTTATCGTCTGTGTCAAGCACTATACAGTGCTGTTGTATCTTGCGGACTGCGAACTCGCGAGTTACTCGGTTGACAGTACTAAAGTCCAGCAGGAGCTGTGTCGCATTGTCCGAAGTTGGTATCAACGTTGTCGGGTTCAGAGGAAGGTAGCATGCCATCACATTCAACATGAGCTCCCAAGGTAGTCGGAGAAGCTGGGTTTCTGCCATCATTTCCATCCTGCCGACCGCTTGGCAGGGCAAAACGTCTTGCTTCGTCTTTCAACAATCGTGGGAGATGATGGGCTTGACAGACGATCAGCGGAAACGTGTGGAGATAAAGCCGCACTAACCTGCTATGAACTCAATGCATTTAAGCGAGATCGTTGTACAACCACGGTGGAGATTTATAGTTGGCAGAGAATATAAAAGATAGAACAAGAACCCCGCAGCACTGCTTTGCCAAAGCGACCAGTACAAGAGATAAAAGGCCCCTGATTGCCCTGAAGTACAATATGTCCTTTTCTTATTTTTGTTTTTTAGAATTATCCATAGGGTAGCACTCACGCCGTTAAAAAGGAAGAAGACAGGCGAGGTAATCACCAAAGAAGATGTTATAGGACTTTGCCTCACATTGGTCCATCTTTACAATTTGTAGTATTAAGAGGTGTCCATGGAGTCTTCTGCTACGTTGTCTGGGACCTGACAATTATCCAAACACCGTCAGTGACCAAGATTATATTAAAGTTTGTATGAACATCAATTCGGTTTTAACAAGCAACGGCTTTTGCCCCGTCAAATGTACACGGAAGCACAAAATATCCCACTGAGCGTAGTCATGCAAGGTTGCACGAAGTTCTTTGCTTGCTTGTCTTCTTTTCATAGTCCTGGAGTAGTAGGTTTCATTCTCAGGCTCTGCCGTGTCATGTGTAAAGGCTCATGTCTATGCACGCAATTCGTGACTGATGCGCCACTGCGTGTCGACTATGGTCCTATGACCTCTAAAACTGTTTAGCTATATATTTTCCACCCTAGACTGCTCCATTCATGATATGAACAGATTCAAATCGACATCATCAAAACCCAGCTTTATCTGGCCACCAGAAGACTCGATTCAAATCAATCTAACCACCTCATCTACTCTTTAGCTCTTACATCAGCTTAGTCATGGGTGGCCAAACTTAATCATGCCTTTGCAAATCCCAAGGTGTTACCCCCAGCGGGAATGACATACTTTTTAGCCATAGTGAATATGCGTACGCATATACTGACGAAAAGAGTGAGAAAATAGACGCAAGATATAACTTCCAACGGTGCGAGCGATGCTGGCAAGTTATCTGGAACCAACTGGGGACTGGTCAGGAAACTTGCGGACCTTCGACGATCATGTCGAATTTTCCTCTCTCCTTCCCCAGGTGCCACGGTCAACACTGTTGAGCCCGTTTTGCCCCAGACCATTGCACTGGCGCTTACACTCAAGCACAAACTCAAGGATGGAAGGCATACCCAACATATCCGAATACCGCGAGATTTTGATTGGCCAAAAAGAAAGACAACGCCCATAATACTGGATACGTAGAGCTTGGGACTTCACCTTCCAGTTGTGGTTACAACGAGACTGACAAATCTTCCATTATCTCTTTTATTTATTTGTCACAATAATCATTCTTGGAGACATTGAACTCACATCTGGTGCCCAGCCCGTACATTGCTCACGTATGGTTTTTGTTCCTTCTGACAAATCCTTCACAGCCATATTAGTCTGAGACGTGTTTTCGTGATGGCTGATTCCGCTTATTATGGGCTTTGTTATGGTGTGCCTACATTGTAGGGTTGAGGTAGACAAGACACCAAATAAGGCACCAAGAAATATTTACCAGTAGCGCTTGTGGCATGTCCATGCCAGATCTGGAGTCCATGGTGAACTCATGCTGTCCAATGAAATTCATAAGCGCAATGAAATTTGACAGAGAATTCAAGAGTCTGCATTAGTCAAAAACGTATGCATGAGGTGCTCAGCCTCAACAAATTAGAACAAGCCGCGTTCCCGACGATGGTCATGAAAGCTGCCCATGCATATCATCTACGCAATTGCGCAAAACCATAAAGTGGAGTATTTGCCTTATTTTGCGAAGATTATGTCGTCTGGATGGGAGTTGTTTTTGACTTCAACATTGCTAAGTAATCCAGGTAAATATACACAAAACTCAAAGATTGGAGATATCAAAGTTGAGTAAAATAGCAGCCTGAACCTTAACGACAGGAATGTCAGGAGAGCGATCCAAGCGAGACTCAAGATATTTCGTAATATCGGAATCAGATACCGATTCTATAGCTTCTGGTAATACGGATAGTCGGCGTAAACCGCGTTGAATCGCAACATGCCACCGTGTCGCCGCCAATCCAGCCAAAGCCCAGTGTCAGTAATCCCGAGAATGAGCGCTCGGCCAAGGAGACAGCAGGCCGGGTTGCTAGTCCACTAATAGGAGATGCTAATACAGTTTCGATTCTAGAGCAAGGGCAACCCCCCTTCAGGCAAAGTGGCTCATCGTGTAACGACTTGATTCCTTCTGCCAAACCGCCTCATCATATCTCATCAATAGCATCCTACTGTGACCAAACGCACCGAGAACGCCGAAAGGAATCCTCCAAAGCGTATCCAAGAGAGCCCACGTCTGACTGTATGCAAATGGCAAGTATGCAAGCCCTATCCAAATTTTAGCATATGAGTACAGGCAAAGCAAGGCCCAAAACGTCCGTCAACCTCGTCGGCGATCCAGATACCTCTCGCACCGCGACGTCTACTGGAAGTAACACTAGCTGTGATTCCAACGATTTTCTAGGTTTCGATTAAGATAGTATGCCGCAATAAGAACTGTTGGTTCTAAATTGAGTTTCATGGGCGTATTACCGCCAGGAAATGCAACCATCATAAACATAAGCCGGATTCTGGGCCAGTGCTTTGCCGATGACAAACGTGCAACATTCGCGCAGAACGATTATGACAGGAGTCCAAGACGCTTGCAAGATGCGGATGCATCAGAACACCACTCTTCATCGTCTGATCACATAGGGTTTGCAACGTATTCAAGAGATGCAAGTTGTGTTGTTGTCGGTTCTACACCTGCAAGCCGAGAAAATCACGTACTGGACGTTGCTGGCAGGGGGACACCCACGGCCGCTAGAACCATCGAGGATCCCCTTGACGTTAGCGCGATGTGTAGTTCAGCGAGATGCTTTGGCAGCGGAAAGCTGAAAGCCTTAGTTCGCCAATCAATATTTAGCTCTTCACATAACTCAAAGTCCAGTAATTAGCGGTAAGCCGACAACCGCGCAAAACATGGGCCATCATTACCGTGTGATAAATTTAGTTCATGTATAGATCTTGGGAAGTTAGGCTCATCTTGAGGTTTCCCCAGAACTAATCATATTTTCCCACGTGCCTTTTTAAAATTAGATTTTGGGCAATGTGGCATTTGCGGTGGCAGACCACAAAACAACGAACGACCGATGATCATTGCATTAATAACCGAGGGCTCAAAGGCTCGAAGCGCCGAGTTGCCGAGCTGGGAAAAGCCACTTAAACGCACATTAGACGCGTCGCGTGTCATGATTTTGTCTTTGCTCTTTGTCTGTGCCTGAATGGTATACTGATTACGAATTCTCGCGGATACGGACCGCCATCTTCAGCATCCACGGGAACTTGTCACAAATGTGAGTGCATGCTCTTCAAGCTCCGGTGAATGCTTACGCCATCGTATTGGAGTATCGCCGCGGTGAGCAACGCTTCCCCATTCTGTTTTTGCGTCTGCAACAAGAGCTGCTGGATGTATATATATATCGAGAACGCGCTTGGTCGCATATTCAGGCCAAGTCGTGCCAGCGGCCCGCCAGCACGGTAATAAGTGCAGCAACAACATGGATAGTTATGGCCATAGTAGGTATTCTATTGTCTAGCAGCCACTAGAACATGATCGCTCATGTGTGTTATTTCCGTGGGGACTTCTAGTTCGAGTACTCTCTGCTATTGCTACAACGCCTGCAGTCACTTGCAGTGAATTTCACATCTCGTTTTATGCTTAGAAGTTGCAATTGCGAGCCTATTTACAGGGATAATAGACTTCAATCGGTTGCTACCGTTTGGCCTGCGATGATGAACATTGGCGGAGCAACACGAGCTCGAGATGCTGTACAGGTCCGCTCTAAGCCGAGCTCTGACGAGATTGTCACTATCATACAGTCATAGAACTGGCAAGGATTTCTCAGCCATTTTATAGATTACTCATATATCGTAATCATCAGGCCATCACAGCACTGTATGATACTCGTGATCTCCCCGCAATTCCATGCCTCATGATAGCAACGCATGATTAATATCTTCGGTAGATCCTTCACGTTGCGTTGTTGACAGAGCTATCATCAATAACACAGATTCTTGTCTAGAAGGCAGGTTGCTGTACATTCGGAAAATGTAAACATAGACTGGCGTTATCTTTGCTTCAAAGCCATGGGGTGGACTGTTCGAAAGAACTTCACTGTTGCCAATGTCGAGAAATTCCCACCGAGTATTTATTTTGTTGACTCTCAAATCCAGGAGCGCTGTCAAAACTCCATTGCTATCGTGATAAACCTGCAGCGTTGTCATCATTAACCAGTTTGCAGACGACGATGTCAAGCTGTTGTCTATGACGAACGGGAACTTTTCGGTCATGGCATCTTGAAACTCTCCAGGACGCCATCTGACCGTAATTGTTCACACAGGCCCATGACCATATGCAGAATGGCGGCTGAAAGTATATAACTGATAGCAATGATCGTTCGCTTGAGTTATATAATTCGTAAGCTTTACAATTGGCCTTATGCTTATAGATTTGACGAAGAATACAAATCATCGGGCCTCGTCTATCTGCGATTCGGAAAGATAAAAATATGGCAAGTACTTGATAGTGTAAGCCAGCATGGACTAAAATATCAGATAAATTTTTTTTTACCTCCGCTCGTTCGAATACGAGAGGGCTCGTTGAGAATTTCAGCGGCACGAAACTATGATGAGATGTCGAGATCTCAACCCTACCACTAGATGATGGGTGTTTCAGGTTGTCAGTAACGACGCAAAAGTGGAAATGTTGGATGTGAAGAGAGTCAGCCGGCTAAAATAGGCATGCAGGTCATGCATATGGCACCGAATGACCGCCGGAAATCAGTAAATCGCAAATGGACTCTCCGGGTCCCCCATCAAAGAAGAAATCCTTAAGCTTAATGTAATACGTAGCTCAGGACTCCATTCATCAGGTCTTATTTGCAATTTAGACTGGCACCGCCCCTTTGCTGGCGTGTTGGCCACGGAGTTTCCACAAAACACGCCCCATTCAAACGATTTGGTACGCATCAACCAAGACAGCGATAGCCATATCAAACAAAGATAAGATAAAGAGAGAGTCATTCGCTGTCAACCAAGTCTAGACTATATCTGAACAGCTCAACCCGGATGTTATTCCAAACCCGCCATCGCCTTTCCACCTCAGATGCTCACAAGGCTCATTGTTGGGTCAGTCTTGTTCAGGCACGGAGTGCGGCGGTGGATGCTTCGATAGGAGTCAGCCAGCCATCAGCCTGTCGTATTTGATAGTTCGTGTTGCAATGGCCCTCAGTCTAACCGCATAGGATCCACAACCGGTGCACCCACCAGCGCTACTGAAGCTACCATCTGTTTGGTACTGCACACTTTCTTACGCTTGACTAAAGCGCTCACCTTGTTGCCTGCTTCGACGTGACACATCTACGGGGATCCCTGCCAATGATGAAGACCGCTTGATGTTAATGTACATAGCCTATAGATCCTCCCAGCTCTTGTTGCTTGTGGAACCTGAATTCTTCAACAAAGCCATACCACTACGGAGCAGGGGTTTCTGGAAAGGGGATATCTGGGTAGTGTTCGTCCTAGCGCCGACAGGGGGTCCACATCGAGCCCCCAAAAAGTCAATCGCTCAGGCGCGTGGCGCCCAGACTCTGCCTATATTGGTCAAGCCCTGCAACCTTCCCCTGCAGTAGATCGTGACATTAAATTAATCATAGCGAGTCGATTGCCAGGATGTCCTGGTCCGTCCCGAGAGCCCAGAGAAACATGAGCATTTATTTATATAGCAGAATGCCGCGCGGGTAGTGCATGTGTTCTTCAACGCAAGGCACTCACGTCTTCGTTGTCACTCTTTTGAACCTTATAGGTTCTGTCACTCGTTAATTTTCTCTTTCACAAACTGTTGGGTTCATCTGCCTATTTACATCATGAGGTATTCAACGGCGTCATTATACGCCCTTTGCGGTGCAGCTGTAGTCTCTGCGAAACCGTGCAAGAAGGTCTATGATCCTCTCCCGCTCGAGCACTTCGGAAACTTCACTGTCATCACTTTGGAGGATGCTCAGGCAGGTGTATTGAGGTCGCACAATGGTACCACGTCCAAGGTCTCTGATTATCCTTCTGGAGGGTATCCTACGGGTTCTCCCAGTAGTGCCGTTTATTCTATTAAGCCTGGCTATTGGACTTCTCACCCCGAGGCTGCATCTGGGTACACATCTTCGCCAACGTCGACCGCCGCTGGGTACCCATCTTACCCTTCGTCGCCTGCTTCTGGTCATTCGTCTTCTCCTGCGTCCTCAGCCGGATCTTCGCCTTCTGGTGCGGCATCTTCACCTTCGTATACAAATTCGCACGTTCATCCGGCATCTTCGTCTGGATCTGGGTACTCTTCGCCCTCTTCGACTTCCCTCCCGGGCAATTCTTCCATCCCCGGCCATTCCTCGGGCTCGAGCTTGTCATCAGCTGCTCAATCATCGACCTTGTCCGCAGCCTCTCAATCTTCAACTGGGTCTGCATCTTCCCTGTCGCTGACCTCGGCTTCCCTGAGTGCTTCGCAAACTTTGTCGGTTAACATTCCATCTCTTACATCATCTACTGCGCCGGTGGTGTCTACCTCTGCTGCGGCTACTTGCGAGAAGCGCACTGAGTGGAGAAGCTATTCGGATGACGATAAGCACGCGTTCTCTGCAGCCATCAAGTGCCTGATCGACGCCCCTGCATCTGGCCAATTTTCGCACGCCAAGAACCGCTACGAGGATATCGTTCGTGTTCACCAGATGATGGTCGACACCATTCACGGTAACAACATTTTCCTCTTTTGGCACAGATACTACGTCTGGACTCTGCAGCAGATCATGAAGGATGAGTGTGGTTTCACCGGCGCTTTCCCTTGGTGGGACGAGACTCTGGATGCCGGTAACTTCGCTAGCTCTCCTATCTTCACGCCCGAGTTCTTCGGTTCTATGCCAAAGAGCAAGGGTAACAAAGGTAGTTGCATTACCGATGGCGTAAGTCCCAGCTCTCTGAATTACGTGTGTTCACCTATTGACTCAATAATTAACAGTACTTCGCCGACACGGTTTGCCATATCGGACCTGGCACTGGTTTCACAGACCACTGTCTTTCGCGTGCTGTTGATGAGACTTTGACTGCTCAGGCGAGCAAGGCATTTGTTACCGTAAGTCTACTGGACTGTTATGATTTCCCTTTTGTTATGTTGGCATGGGGATTATTGTATATTCTTTCCCCTAATGGGCATGCCAGCGTACTTTCAAACGACGCTTAGAGAATGGGGAACTAACACGCTTTGTGATACTAGACTTGCAATTCGCGTTCCAACTACCCCGATATGGAGAACTGCGCTGAGCTGGGTCCCCATGCTTATGGTCACAACGGTGTCGGATCCATCATGGCTGATGTTTCCGCATCCCCATCCGACCCTGTCTTCTTCCTCCACCACTTGTTCATCGACCGTAACTTCTGGGTATGGCAAAACAACGAGGATGCTGTTGCCCGTAACACCCAAATCAACGGCTGCATCGACGGCCAGACCCCTTGCACCCCACTTACGCTCGACACCGTTCTCAGCGTTGGGGGCCTCAGACCCGATGTCACTGTCCGTGATGTCATTGATACTACCAACGGCATCATGTGCTACTCCTACTCATACTAAGATCTAGGATCAATTGCGCCCTCTCTTACTGGAAATTGCAGCGCTACTCTGTTTGCATTATGTGAAAAGCTCCCGGATGGAGCGTCCAGGTCACGTGTATAATCTTAGAATCTAATATGTAGTTAATTTAATGATAGTAGCCGTAATTATGATTTGGTGCCGTTCGACGACTATGTCGCCGAGCGCTCTTTGTGGTGGCCAGTGTATATTCTAAACAACTCTAATTTTGTCATGCCGCATGCTATAGTCAAAGTCCAAGAATGCAAGATGGCTCAAGGAGCCCCATTTCTCTCCCAGGACTACGGCCATAATATAATTCGTTCAAGCAAGGTTTTTCCATGGGCAATCACAAAATAGAGTAGAGCCTCTTCGTTGTTTACCTGAGCCATACCGCAAATTCTGAATGGAGGGCTATTGTACCTGAGAGCTTCAACTGGGACTGTAGCTACAGGACAATATGGACCTGGTGTATCAGTTATACTATATACTTGAAAGTGTGCTCATTACAGAGGGCAAAGCATATCTGTGCCAGCTGCGAATGTGCCCAACGGTGAACCTGGAGGTCCTGTAATGAGATTAAGGTCATAGTTCTCAAACACCTTGTTCATCAGATTCACGGTCGACTTCCACGGCTTTGATGACAATTTGGAATTTGTTCCTCGTCGTCAGTGTTCGTGAGTATCTATAATAATACCGCACTGATTAGAGTATGCTATTTGATATCGACAATACAGTCTCACTTAGAATTCAAACGTACGTAGACAGTCTCTCGTTCTAGTACAGCTAGGCTCTAATGTTCATGTTCTCTCATGCCAAACAGATATATGTAAGTCATTACACTTGCGAATGCAAGTTTCTTTCCCATCGTTTTGATTGTTGTACATCCAATCATTGGGAAACAACCAAATCAGCATAAACGACTCTACACTGGGGAAGTTCTTCACCAGCTTCGGGATAGGACCTTTGGGTTTGAACGATCTAATCAACTGCCCACTTTGACTGCATGGCTTCAACGAAGGCAACGCAAAAAGCGGCGCTCGCTGCCGAGAAGAGCCATAGAGTTACCCGCATTTTAAAGTATGAACGCATGGAAAGTATTGGACGCACTCAGACCAGTCGTCTTCCGTGCACACCTCTCGCATATATTTAAACCGTAAAACTAGATGACTCTTTCAGAATCCAGTCTAGAACATACAGCCTATAAATTCTACATATTGTTAATTACCTGGCCCGCATAGAGTAAGATAGATCCTCATCCGGGGACAGCCTGCCATCAAGTTAGTGAACTTCGAACGAATCAGTGCTCCAGGACCTGACTACTATACCAGCTCGGTCTAGTTTGTGATCGCTTATGGAGTATTCAATTACTTGTTCAACCTCAACTCAAGATACCTACCCAACTGAGCTCACTATGTGTTGGCCTATTTTGGAGTATCAAAGCAGAGTCAAGCGCAGCAGTAATTAGAACTTGTGACTAGATTAATGTGTTTATGGCGGGCTCTACCATGATCATATTACGTTACGCACCTCATCGCAAACTATCTTCGCCCTCTTTTGGTGATCGACTTGAGAACAGCAAAATATGCCATTGTAGTTTACGGCTTCTATTTCCGGCAGTTTAACATAAACTTAAAGTTGAGAAATGCTTGCGGCTGCTCTATCGGCGTCACTGTGTCAATCACGATCTCTTGATGGTCAGATCCTACGTCCCTCACTATTTGGCATCAGCTCTTCATCCAGGTGAGGTAGAAAAGATCGTCTTCATATCACGCGTCATTGAAATAAATTCTAGATGGCATTTCTGAAATTATTGTAGCCATTGTTATTATCATTTTGTTATAACAACGAATGTTAAATACTTACCCAGTCTACCGTAATTGATCACGTGAAATGATTCCGGGGCAAACGACGCCATGAGGTCTGCAATCACAAGACGTGGGTTTCTTGCCGCAAAGGTGGATGAAACGTTCTCTCTGTTCGGCTGGACACAGATGGATGCGCCACTCAGCCGCATCTAATTCCGCAAGTACTGTACAAATGAACACGCCACTGATCTAATCCAAACGTTCCATTTGCGTCTACACGGATTTATATCTTATGAGATACTGCATCGTATGAAGGAAGAAGTATCATTATTCAGTGAAGTAAGGAAGTCACTCGTTCTGCTCGGCTATCGCCACTTGGACAACCCCTGATTTGGCCTAGAAACGCACTCCCTAACCTACGAATTCTCACGAAAGTTAGCTTTATTCTCGACACGAAGTTGAAGAATCCCTTTGGGAACTTATGAAGGACAGTAGCTAAATCAAAGTTCCCTCTACTAAGAATTTTCATCATGGAATCATCACCATACTTGGCTGCTTCATGTCAGACCCGCCCGTGCTGTTCACTTTTGAAAGATATACGAGAAATAGTACAAGCGCGCACCACGATCTTGACACGTTCTGGTATCGGCCAACCGCCTGCAGCAAATCTTTCTCGGAGAATCAAGTCTCTTGTTTGGTTATCATAGCATTGCCCATCCAGTTCAATCTAGGAGCCATACATACTTGATGGCAAAGGTGTGGCAACCGTGAAGCTCGCGGCGAGTACGCACATCGCCATCCAAGTTTGGGTCGGCAGCATTGTGTTGATATTTGCAGAAGTGGATTTCGAAGAGCAGAAGATGCGAGTTCAGTCTTTTAATCTTTTGTTGATCAAGTCAGAACAAAACCATGTATCGCAAATGGACAAGACTACTTATATACCTCACCTTCCCCGGCGCTAATGACCATCTTATGCAGTGCTTTTGGCCACCCTGGCACAGTGGGACACTTTGATCCCAGCATATATTGCTCATGTCCCATAAACTCGTCATAGCCTTATAACCGACACAGAACTCGAGATAACTAATAACGAGGTGTCAAAGGAGATCCGCTTCATGACTAAACTACGTCCGGAGTTGGTCTAGGACACCAGAAACACCTGTATAATAGTAAGTACGGCAGATTTTTTGAGTAAGTTATTATATTTCTCGTAATACCATGCCTTAAGATTACGATTAGGTCATTTACAAATGCAGGGGAAAATTCCATCATTCGACGTATTAGCAAGAAATATTTTACAAAAGTCCTTCCTAACCTCCTTCGGATCAATGTAATCTTGTCACTTCCGTATGCGCTAGTGTCCATGTATCTAATGTCTTAAGAGAAAAAATATAATCAGGGTGATAAGTCCCTAGGACAACCCGACGACGCCCCACACATTCCTGCATAAGACCGACGGCTTCCATATATCTGCTTTGACATTTCCATGTAAAAGCAAGATTAGCCATACTAGTCAGCGTGTGAGGATGGTCCGCTCCCAGTTTCTGTTTGCGAGTCTCTATTACTTCCAAAAATAACTTCTCCGCCGCGTCCAATCGACCTTGATTCCGATACGTCGACGCCAGGTTGGCCATACCAGTTAGCGTGTCAGGATGATCCGCTCCCAATTTCTGCTTGCGAGTCTCCATTACTTCCACATCTAGCTTCTCCGCCGCGTCCAATCGACCTTGACTCCAATACGTCGACGCCAGGTTGGCCATGCTAGTCAGCGTGGAAGGATGATCCGCCCCAAGAATTTCCTTCCTTAGACCTAATACTCTTTGGTGCCATTCTCCCGCTTCGACGCAATCTCCTTGAGATAGTAATGCCAAGCCTAGCTGATTCATACTTATCAATGTGTTTGTGTCTTTCGATCCGATTGTTCGTTCCCTACGCTTAAGCACATCTCGATGGGTTGAAACTGCATGGCTGTATTCCCCTAGAGAAAAATAGCAACGCCCGACATTATCGAGCAGTTCAACTGTTCGCTCTTCATTCACAATTTCCGGTATATCTGCTGTATACTGCCCATGGAGCAGGTACGGGGGGTACTCCTTAGCCTGCTCGTGCCCACCTGGTGGAATCAATTCCGTTAATCGCTTGATGACCTTTTGAGCAGTCCCTATCCATCTGCCCGTATCCCTCATTCGGTTTTGCATGACATGATGAACAAGATTATGGACGTCGTAATATCCCTTTCCTACACCTTCGTTCAGAAACGCGTAGGCCGTCAGTGTACCTAGGGCTTTGTCTTGTTCAACAGAGGATGTTGCTTGGGGAAATACGCTACGGGGAATGTCTTGTGGCGCGATGCAGGCGGAGAAGTCGAGGTATTCTGCGGCTAGCTGATATTCTCGTTTGATACGTTGGAAAGAGATCTGCCACGTGTGAACAATGGCGTTGCGAGACTGTTTATCGCGGTTTGGATCGTGGAAATCTTCATGTAGAAGTTCCATCATAGATTGACGAGTTTCTTTGAACAATTCCACGTATCTCTCAAGACAAGTTTCATTTGCTTTCATGAACGACAAGGCCTGGGTAATAGCCAGCGGAAGATAAGTAAGCATTTCTAGAAAAATGCTAACTGTCTTTTCTGAATATAGGCCTTGGTCTTCTTTTAATGCTTTGTTTAGTAAGTCTTCTGCTTCGGTTACCTTCATCTCGCCTAGATGGTGGCTCTGATTTTGTGCCAGATCGATGGCAATCTTACGGTTACGGGTTGTGAAAAGGACCACCCCATGCCGGCTGCGTGGAAGCTCATCATACAGTCGACGGCCGTTGGTTCCAGTATGAAAGAGGACATTTTTATCATCGACGTTATCGATGATCATTAACCATCGACCTTGATATTCTCCGCTTAGCTTTCTTCGCACTTGGCTAAGCATATCCCGTTCTAGATCATCGGCGCCAGGAATCTGTAAATGTATAGCAATCTCTCGATACGAATCTTTGAACCCGTCGATGTGAAATGAGGAGACCCAAAAGACGGCACATCCGGGGTTCTTCTCTCGCGTTCGATACGCGAGCTCGATAGCGACGGCGCTTTTGCCGCTGCCGCCGAGGCCGTAAATGGCTGCATACGAGTGATATTCCGGGTTTCGTAGACAGTGACAGAGACTTTCGAGTACATCGTTTCGGCCTGTAAACTGAGGATTCCTATTGAATGGCAATACCCATGGAGCTACCAAAACGCAATCTTAGTATTCATGCTCGTCTAATGAAGTTGTGATAAAATATAGAATCTAGGTTTATAATGTGCTTATATATTAAAACGAGTATAGAAAAGCTAATGAGAAAGCTGAAAGTATATAAAGGACTAGATTAAAGTAAATGAGTATAGGGGTAATAATAATATAATAATAATAACAATAATATAAAATAATTAAAAATGGAAAAAGAATTTATTAGCGCGCTAATAATTATGCCTCTGTAAGCCGCTAATGACTTGACTTGGGCTATTTTCTTTTCTCTTAGGGTTGTGGTTTACTTAAAGACAAGCTCGTCTTTCTATATCCTAGCGGAGGTGCTGAGTGGATAACATAAAGCGTACCTTTGATCGGCGCAAGATCTGCTACCTCCTTTCGTGATATGACTGAGAGAATCTCCTTCGCATATGCAGCCGCTGTTGCCGCTGCATACGGCTGCCACTTCTTGTTTTTGTGAGAATCGGCATAATAACAAATACCGCGGATTACAAGACACGGGAAATTGTTCATCAATCCGGCTGCCTCCATCTCAAAACAAAGAATCTTATTATCGAGACCTTGGGAGAGCCGGTCTCGTTCGACACCATCTTTGATAAGCGAGTTTGCTGAGGCGATGGTGCCATAATGGATTTGTACTTGCTCTTCTTCAGAGCGGTGAGATCTTTTGATTAGGCTCTGTGCATCACAACGTGTACAATCAGGACCTTCTACGGCATGGTGATAGTCCGATCGAAACAATCGGTCCGGTCCTGCTCTCTGTCGGCTGAACTTCGGTTTTGCCTCCAAGCTGGCGAGATAACCAACGAATGCGCTCTCGTCTAAATCATGGTTCTTTTGCACCTCAGCTAGCGCATTGAGTAATAGACGTGGGGGCTTGTCAAGGTGGCTAGTCTTTTCAAATTTGCCATTAGGCAGGCGCTTCCCCATATCGTACTGAAGCACACCACCATGGCCATGTTCAGGTTGGCTGACGACCACATCGCCTAGACGGATGTCCACGTGGTCGGACGGAACCCCGCCACCAACGCCGACCATCAGACCAATCTTGGCATTAGGAAACCGGGTTGATAGGAGTGTCGCGATATTTGCGGCTGAGGACATCCCAATAAGGCCAGCAGGGAGGCAGGCTATCACGACGTTATGGCCATGGATCTGCCCCAAGGTGTATAGAGTGTCATCGTTTCCTTGACGGTCTGGCGGTTCGTGCTGCTCATCAAGCATTGCAGTGGCAGCGGCATACTCGATAGGTAGAGCACTGATCCATCCAACGGTATATTCGCGCGAGTCAAGCCGAGGCCTCTTTTTCTCGGACGGAGTGGACATTGTCGTTGATAATCAGAAGCAATCGAAAAACATGTTTCAAAAGGAGATCATTCCCGAAGCTGTTATCATGTTAGCATATTGCTATAAGTTCCTACAATGAAACCAATGGGATGTCAGTACTTGAATGACCGAAAAAGTGCTGCACAACGACGTTTCACACAGTAATAGTTGATATTCTCCCGTGGGTAGTATATTATTTCAAATTCTTCCATGATTGACACAACAGAACTGGCGGAGGAAGAGGGGCCTCTAGAACTAATAGTTGGCGAGGTTGCGGAGACCTCGGCATCACGTCTTGCAATATAGCATAATCCCGGCATAGCCTGCATATGGGCCCACCAGGCAGCAGCAAATATGTTCTTGGAATGGATTTAGTTTCGTTCTTATGCACCTCTGTGCTGCGGTCCCCTCTTAGCGTTTGTCAAGGAGCTCGTCGGCGTCAAGGTCAGGAGGCCTGGCACGCTGTCTCCAAGACCAATTGGCACGGCAGACGACTTGCCGCTCATCACAACAACTGCGTACCGGTGGGCTGTGTAGGTCTCTGTGCGAGCCAGGGTGCACATCTTCCGCTGTGGCCTTTTTTTAGGCGAGTCCAGCCGTAGGCGTAATGCGTAACTTATCAGTCGCGCCATGGCTGTATCCAGACGCAGCTCACTCGATTTCGCTATTACGGGAGGTCTCCCAGTGGGCCTAACTAATCCCCGCTTCTCTAGGTTACTTCCTGGATACAAGAGATTGTGGCCGCATCAAAAGCGGCCAAGCGATAGCCCATACTTAAACGAGCTAGCCCCAGTGATACCCATATTAACCTAAAGCTTTTACACTTCTCATCTATCCTACAATCAAGTAACCCAGCAATTCACAAAACAAAAAAACATACAACAACGGGGACTCGCTGGTCATTGCCAAGTAGCTGCTAATCTAGCGCTTCTCAGACATCTAAGGTAGAGCGGATGGGGATGCCGAGTCTTCTAGGAGCTATGGTCATATGTGCTGATTGTGAAAGTTGCAAAATATATTGAGTCATCGTGGCCGTTGTCGCGAGTGTTGTATGTTGAATTGAATTGAACCATATCCTCCAACAAGATTGCGAATAGGCGATTGCTCAAGGATATCAACGAAACTAGACAACCCCAAATTTTTATTTTCCAAACTAGGAAAGATTAGGAGATTGGTCACAAACAAGAACGAGAACTGCTTACGGGCGACAGGCATAATCGTAAAACTTTTTTTTCTTTTCCCATCTACAGTCAATTCAGACACATCATGTACGTCGATAAGGCATATTGCAGCCAGGCATGGCTTTTTGATAGCTGCTATCGAAATGATCGACTTGTTCCGTTGCTATGATGACAATATTCGGACAGGTGATGATTCTGGACGTGGTAGATTTTCCAGAGGTGAAAGGAGGGACTATCAGTTACGGTTATATCGAAAAAACCAAAGCCAAGAGATTACCTCCCAGTCTGCAAGGGACAATTGGTGGTCCTGTGATGTTCGTCTCTGCTGTCCAAAGCCAAAAGGATAGAGGGTGGATAATAAGAGAGAAAGTGGTGCTTGCTACACAACGTACCCATTCATTTCGCCGTTACTTTGCTTTGCTTTGCTTTGCTAGGCCGATCTTACGTTAATATGAGCACTGAGTCTCGGGTGCTGAGCGACTGATATGGACAACCAGTTGCGTATGAAACTAAGAAAGGCTCCAAGGCCATAGTTGTCCTAGTACTGTCCGTATGTAGGCATCTAGTGCGGAATACTAACATGTCAACATCACTAGGGAAATAATCATACTAGCAATTGTTACTAGCTCCTATACTAGTTATATATAATGTGCATTCGACTTGACATCAATTGATGTTATGACTTATACATCTCAAACGGACGGAGACTTGCCGAATCAGTGAGTATCTCAAGAACGACCTATCGCGTGCGAGTAGAGGAACACCAGCAAATAGGTATAGACGACGTTGCTTTATCTATCGAAATCTTTTCCAACGACTGATATGATCTTTTATGGTACCAGTCACGAGGAAGATGATATAAATATATTAGACTTTTCACGGATTTGAGGCTCCCACTATCTGAATCACTGCGCTGAACTCTACTATCCTATTTCTACCAAGCCGATTCTTGTAGGGCCACCATTATCATCACAATCCGCCACATGTATCAATCCATTTTTATCTTCACTGCCGCCCCTGTCACGTTGACTCTTGGAGCAAAGGCATCAGTGTCGTCCGATATCTGAGACCTTTCTCATTTAGTTCCGGCTACATAACTATTGACTGCGAGTTGCCGCAACTTAGACAACCCCAATCACACTTGCAACAAGATGCAGAAAACCGATTTTGATGTCGCCATCTCATGTGATAGGGAGTGCAAATTGATAGTACACAAAGAAAGCTATGAGATTCTAGTCTTGCAGCAAAATCAAACAAAGATGGAGAAATGAACAGCCGGACGTGCCATGATGGGATGAACCAAGCTCATTGTACATTACTCTGATACTAGTTTATATCAACGTTCATAGACACAAAACTCAGTATGAAACTGAATAGCAATCGGGATTTTCCAGGGTTGAATTAGCAGACTTGGGTGGATGGATCTCAAGGTCTTTCACACAAACACGATACATCAAACTCCTCTTCTCACTTCCCAATTCTTTGAAGAACCTATACCAGCCACACTGGACTTCATTTATCACGATTCAACAGATTGATTGTTCGCAAGGCTGGTTAGTGACACTAAATTATAGCTGGCGAGGGAGCACATGGTCAACGCAATTTCCCTTGAATTGATACCCATAGTGTCGAGTCAAGCTAAAGTTAATATATGTATAAAGTTTTAAAGCCCTCAAATCTGAACTTCTTACATGTAACAGTCATATACAGGCGTCATGCATCAATTGAATCCTATTGTGCGGTTGATATCCGTTGATGGTGTCAACAGAAGACTTCCAGGCTCAGAATCCCTGTCCGTCAATATCACGTAATGCAATGTAGGCTGTTCGAAGAGCAATATATCCGCCAAAGAAACTGAGATGAACTGATACGTTTTGTATGCATGCTCTAGGACTTCAAGTTGGGTTGCGCTGCACAATACACGCAATGCGAACTTGTATTGCAGCCGTGAGATCAGGATGCGGATTAATAGTTCAGATCTCTACATCAAGCTATCATTAATCATCGGAGAACCTGAGACCTGCCGCATTTGATTTATATTACCCAAAAGATACGCAGATTAAAAGATCACAGGAGCTCTTGATTGGTGGTGCTAGAAGGTTATGCAATGCGTGTAGGGTTGAAACTAGATGAGGTACTCGCAAGGCCATTAGGTATACCATGCCGGAGCTCTTTTAGTAGAGCCTCCACCAATTAGAAGTCGCAGTAGGTACAACTGTAATAAAGAATTCTCAAGTCACGGGTGAATCACTGTTTTCATCCTTCAGTTGTTTGAGCCATCCTATCCGTATCGGTTTTATGCAGATAACTATCCCAGATATTTATCGAACCACAAATAATATGACGGGAGATGGTGGTGCGCTATGATTTGACCGCATTGAATGTGCCGACACCAGATTGATCTGCAGTATGCGTCTTATCGTTGTATTCGTCATTCATATCACAAGCGACTAATCCCGTGTTAATCCTGGCTTGCTGGGGTTGTTCATGCCCCAGGGACGGATAGACTGCTGAAATGGAACATTTGTGGAGATGCTTCCGGGGGCGAAATGAGCTATACGAGGTTCAAAGTCTTGGCCTTCTATGCCAGACAGGACAACACCACGATGTAAATGCTTTAAGTAGAAGAATATGCCACAATAACTATCGTTGTGCTCAAGTTGTTCGAGTTTGTGAACGGGCAATTAGGAAGTGCCGCATATCAAGATGTATGTGAAAAACATCGTTCTGTTTGCTTTGGCAGTTGCCTGCCAAACCACAGCGCAAAGCCTCCTCTTGCGCCAAGCGTCCAACTTCCCAGGTTCTAGTGATGTGACGCCGCGCCGCTATATCGTCGAGTTAAAGTCTCGCGACCACAGCGCTCACGTCGCAGAAAAGGTCGCCGGTATTCACGGCCTCAAGATTGTCAAGACTTTCGACCACGACATTTTTCCAGCTGTCAGCATCGAGTGCGACCACGCCTGTGATGCCACAACTGTGGCTGCGGCGTTGAATGACAACGAGGATGATAGTATAGTGGGCATGGTTTTCAAATCTACAACGATACAACTTGCGCCTACAATCGAGGGCGAGTCCTACAGCAACGATGCGGCAGCCTCCAACTACTCTGTCCATGGATTGACCGGTGTTGAAAAACTACATGAAGCAGGCATCATAGGCGTCGGTGCCACAGTAGCAATCGTCGACAGTGGTGTTCAATACACCCACCCTGCTGTGAGCAATTCGTCCTTGTTAGCTCCCGATTCTCGAAATTGATCAAAATTGTTGTAGCTTGGTGGCGGTATAGGTCCAAACTTCACTGTCGTTGGAGGCTATGACCTTGTTGGGAAGAGTAAGTCTGGTATGGCATTTATAATTGAATACATCTAATAATCCACCGTCAGATTGGCCTGATACTGCGCCTGACCCCGATGACGACCCAATGGACGAGTACGGCCACGGCACTCATGTTGCAGGAATCGTTGCTGGCAAAAGCGACCAGTAAGTTCTCTATGTTGCTCGGCGGTAGAATCTTTGACTGATCTCTTAGGTTTGTTGGAGTTGCTCCTGGCGCAAAGATCCTCTCCTTTAAGGTTTTCGGTGATAGCGGATATTCGAACGAAGAAACTGTGATTGAGGCATTTCTGAAAGCCTTTGACTCAGGAGTGAGTTCATCGACTGCAAGTGATCAACATATCTGGCATTGTGGATGCTAAAATATTGCTTTTTCTTAGGCCGATGTAATCACTGCGAGCCTTGGTGAGAAGAGCGGCTTCACATCCAATGCGTTGGCCGTCATCGCATCTCGAATGGTTGACCAAGGCGTCGTCGTGACTATTGCAGCCGGTAACGACGGACAGGATGGCGCCTTCGACATGAGCAACGGTGCTTCAGGTGCCCATGTTCTAACGATTGCAGCATCAGAGCCTGACGAGTTCCCTGCCCAAGAGTTCACTGCCAACTTTATCCTAGACGACAAGACGAATGCCACACAGCTTGGATATTACGGTGGCTCGAGCAACTTCCCTGTAACGGTAGTAGATTGGCCAATTGTACCCGTCACATTGAACGCATCGGTTGACGCTGATGCGTGTCTACCTCTTCCGGCCAACACACCCAACATGACGGGGAAGATTATGCTGATTCGATACGGCGGATGCTCTCTATACACAAAGCACAAGAATATTGCAGCGTTCGCACCCCAGTATATCCTGTTCTACGAAGATGACGGTGCGTTTCAATCACCAGTCACAGGCGTTACGCCAGGTCTCACGTCAGTGATCGAGGCACGTGCCGGGGAGGCTATCGTCAACACTATCATCGATGGCGGTAACGTGACAGCATCATTCGACATCTCGACGGGTCACTACGTAGGGCTTTATAACGCAGGTGGCGGACGTCCAGCACTGTATAGCACTTGGGGAAGTACCTTCGATCTAGCACTTAAGCCTGACATTGCCGCACCAGGAAGCAAGATACTCAGTACATACCCCACCAACGAGTATAAGGTACTTAGTGGAACCAGCATGGCCACACCTTATATTGCAGGAGTCGCAGCTCTCTACATCGGCAAGTTTGGTGGCCGGGCGGCACATGCCGACGACCCTGCTTGGGCTCAGCGTTTACATGCCAAGATTATGTCGACAGCGCATGCGGTAGCCTGGGCAGACTGGGCCACGACCGCTACAGACTACGGTTTCTATGCTCCGACCACTCAAGTTGGTGCTGGGTTCGTAGATGCCGCGAAGCTTTTTAACTATACTACAGAGTTGAGCTTCGATGGTCGCAAGTTTGAACTTAACGATACGGCCAACTTCCAAGGTGATCACTCGGTGTCCATCACCAACACAGGTAGCAGGGCAGTCACCTACACGTTTTCATTGCAGCCTGCGGGAGGCTATGAACCGTGGACACCCCTGGCCCCTGGCACCACTAAGTATGCAGCCCCAGGCCTCAAGCTATATGCCGAGATTAATCCCGTCGAGATGGTGCCAGCTGTAATCTTGCCGGAGGCTGTGACTATTGGAGAAGGTGACAGTGCAAACATTGAGTAAGATCAATAGAGGTCCCGAAAAAGTGTAGCATGGACTGACCACATTATAATAGCTTCAAGTTCACGGTGCCCCAAGGGCTCAATGTGTCCAACATCCCCGTATACAGCGGTAAGGTTTTGATCAGTGGTAACAATGGCGAGGAGCTCGGTATTCCTTATTTTGGTAAGCAACAATCATTGCCAACTGAGTACTAGATACTGACACAAACAGGTGTTGCGGCAAGTTTGACGGATGAAATTCAACACGTCTTTGATTATGGAAAATTGTTCCCCATTATGACAACTGGCGCCTCCCCCATTAGCATCTCTGTCAAGTCCAAGTAAGCGTAATATATTGTTTTATGACGTAATACTAAAAAGAATACCAGCTTTACTTTCAATCTCACTCGAGATTCGCAAGACTTTCCACACTTTTCGAATATGCTGGTTTGGGGCACGGAAGAGTTGCGTTGGGATGTAAGTAAATCTCAATTGGTTTAGATGAGGCAATTGCAATACAACTTTGGCTAACGGCCATTGCTCAGGTATTCGATGGCAACTATACGGAAGCAGACTGGACCTATCCTCCTGTAGCAGGCCAGAATGGCTTCATCGGTTCAGCGACGAGTTGGAACGGGACCAGCAAATCTGCGTGGTTTGACCCAGCAATAAATAGTGAGGATGACATCTTCTCCTTCCCGCTGCACACAGTACCGCGCAACACTCGAGCGGAGTATTACTGGCTAGGCAGATACGCGAATGGAACTCAGGCTCAACCTGGGGCTTACAAGTAGGTTTCGGATGGACACATGAAGACGTGAAACGAGATGTTAATGGACCTCGACAGATTCCGAATTGCAGCGCTCCGCCCATTCGGTGATCGACATGTTGCTGCAGACTGGGACGTTTATCCGACACCTGATCTTACATTTTTGCCGTTATAGGCTTTCCCGAGTACTGGCAAGGTTTTTACTATTCGTAGAGTTTGGATTCACGCATCAAGGCCCGTAAGTAGAGAACACACAAGATCTTCAAATACATAATCAACTCACTGTCGGAAGAAGAAAAGGCTCTGTGGCGTAGCTCAATAAGACAGAAGTACTATGGTGGTACATATGAACACTTCCAACGTGTCATTTTGGATTCTTTGTTAACAATATCACTCTGATACAATTTCTTCTCGTATTATCATGCTGGCATGTACAATTACTCTGACGTGGGTATCGTCACCAGTGAGTGCGGTACAACTACACCAGCGTTGCCAGAGTGAACGCCAATCCGTCAAAGCTACTGTCACGCTGCTATTATTGTTGCCCGAAATTTGTGAATTGTGAGCGAACTCTCTACTGTATGTGATATATGAAACCTGAACTGCATCCTCAATCCGCGATGTCTGAGTGCTAATATTCTTCCAGAAATAAATCGCCTAGCCGCCACAATGCCAATGCGATGCGTGGGCCGACGCTTCTCATCATGTACTCAGTTTCCAGCACGGCACTTGAATGGACTATAGTGATACTGTACAGCCAAATGTGCTATCATCAAATCCTTGAATCTGGTAAGGCGTGCATTCAGATGTGGTGGAATATGTACGAAAAAGCCCATCTACTCGATGAATATAGAAAGGGTCGGCCCAGGTGGGGTTTAGAACTTACGAGGTATTCTTATACACAAGGCAACCTTCGCCGCCCAGATTGACCATTAAGAAATAACAGAGATGGCAGGACTCGCCAATTTCAGGGAAAAGCAGGAAGTAAGGGAGTCGTTAGCGTGTGGCACTGGAATTCGGGCCTTGGATGATGTGAGCCACATGCCTCGGCTGGAATGCGGAATTCTACATAGCACTCCAGGATCAAGAAGATATTGCTGCAGTTGGCAAGGTGCCACAACGTTCACATTAGAAATTCTTAAAACAGCGGTTCCCAGAATGATTAGCGGCTGTCATTTGCGTCAGACTAAGAAGACCAACCACTGTAATCTGTACAGCCCATCATAGTTATGTGTAGCAATCCCGCCATACTCTCAACTGAAGTTGCGACATCTCAACGATGCCCAAGATGTTTAACGCGTTGTATTACACATATTACCGTCGCCGGTTTTGATCGTGGCAATTTTGGACACTATAACACACTTATCACTACTAAAACCATGTCTGATTAGCTCCTATTTGCCTACTTCCTAACATAACTCTCATGGCTAATTTTTAGTGAGTGCTATAAAATTCAAGATAATTCGCTCGCACTAAAAGGCCGGAATCAGCGATATAAGAAAATAATTGGTTGGGCATCTTTGGTATCGTACAAGTCAATAATAAAATCATTGTAATAAAAATATAACAGTACTTAATGGACGTCACTACTCTATGGGATCGTGATACTGATCGAATGTGTGTATATTGATCCTTAGTAGAGTGTTGTTTAGTGGCGTGGTTCCCCAACTATTCTGAAGGATCCCTAAAGGCTATCTATCAAGGGTGGACCGTACACCTCAGGCTTATGTACCACCGTATGTGAGCTGCCCCACGTTATCTGACCATGGCGCTAATACAGCTTAAGCGAACTACCCCGCGTTGCTTAATTTATAGCGCTAACACTATATAAGCGACACCGCTAATACTATATAAGCGAGAGCGCTAGCACTATATAAGCGACGCGCTAACAGTATGCTAAGCAGACTACCCCGCCAGCCCTCTTGACAATTAACTGTAAACATTTATTTGTTCCCTAGATCGTTCCTACCATTGTAGCCCAAATTTGACCTCATCATGGCGATTGTTGGCGATAAAATCTAAGTAAGTTACAATCGCAAATCCTGTTAGTATCATGCTGTGATAGCCATACATTGAAACAATCAGCGTCAGGGGTATTTAAGCGTGCCATTCCACGTTGACAAATTTTGCCAAGGTACCTCTCTCTTTCACCAACCCACCAAAGTCATCCCTCTCTTCACCAACCCACCAAGGTCATCCCTCCCTTCACCAACCCACCAAAGTCATCTCCCTCTTCATCAACCCACTTAAGTCTATCTTCCATCTGTCATTGCGCGAAGATCGCGATCGCACCTCACTCCGAAAAGCTCTTCCAACAAGCTCCCTGCCCAGCTTGATCCCTCCATCGCGTCAAGATACCGCGCCATTGGAGCATCACGTCCTTCGAACCCCTTACGTCTTCCGAGACCTCTTCGCAATCCGACTTCTGCTTTCGGGGTAATCTGACAAGCTTCCGCGACATCTTTACACTTTGTTGGCTCAACTCTTGACCTTCTGTTTGTGTGTACCAGCTTCGCTGACTGTAACGACCAACATCAGCGACTCTAACATCTGACCCCAGTAGCCCGAGCCCTAGCATCGGCTTTCCAACCGCTATCAGTTATCTGCGACCTCACCGACACTTGTGGTTCAACTCTTGGTCATCTGTGAGTTCCAGCTTCGCCAATCGTCACCAGCGACATCAGCTGTTCTAGTATTCGACCGCCCTGGCACCTCGTCACTGTCCGATTTCTACTCGCGGGGTACTTTGCCAATTTTCCGCGACCTCACCCACACTTGTGGCTCGACTTCGAACCATCTGTACCAGTTTCGCCGATTACCATTAGCGACATCAGCGACTCCAACATCTGACTGCTGTAGCCTGAGCTCCAGCCTCGGCTTTCAAACCGTTTTCAAGTCTCCATTCCTGGTCGTCAACAGCGTCTACTGTTCACCCAATACAGTTCAACAAAAGCGCAATCGGCAGTCCTATCACCGGTTTCACCAGTCTGGTGACGAAGACCGTTCTCGTTCCAACAGTCTACCCTGCCGAGTAAGTGAACTATTCCCTAGCTCTTATCACTGTTGCATGACTTGCCCATCGCAATTTCAATCATACCTTGCCGTAACTGCCTTCTTTTCTTGTGGCGAAGCTCAGAGGCTGGCATTGCTTGGCTCAGATTCAGTGACGATGCCATCGTGATCTGTGTTAGGACTTATTTGTTGAAGTCTCTGTGACTGAGTCTGTGAAAACTTATATACCAGAGCAAAAGGCGCTAAGGAGGGCGCTAGTCTAGCGCCCTCCTTAGCGCCTTCATAGCATGCTAGCGCTTCGCTTAGCATTAGCGTCTCGCTTGGCATACTAGCGCACATTGGCGCACTGACTAGCGCCTTGTTGTGCTTCCCTTCTTATTATAATGCGTCTTATGTTTCAGAACATGACTAATTCATTATCAAATTATAGGCATTTTCTAACAATACTTCATGATCTCACGTAAGTCTTTCACTATATTTCATCATGTTATTAGTTTTGAAATAAGTTTGATCACCGATCATACATCTTATTTCTTAGCTATCTTTATTATATAATGCCCCTTGAACTCCTCATGATTGTTTTCATCTTATTTACAACTCCAAGTCCTCTTCTCTTACGTTATCGATCCTAAAATCCAACATGCCATATTACCCTCAAGTACCATCTCTTATGACAATTTGTTATTAGCTATAATATAGCATAATACAAGCTAGAGATCACAGTCATATAACTACACCATTTACCCCCTTTCCGCCTATCATACGCATATCACAATCTCAACTCTGTCCCTCTACTAGCTTTCATATATACTAACTGACATACAGAACTTTCCTGGATTCGAAGACTCGCCGACTCAAACTTACTTTCCCAAGTATCCATACTCATCGACGAGCCGGTTGTTACTTACTCCAGTCATCGGCCAACATCAATGATCGCCGAGTGACTCATTAGGTTCCAGAGTTAGCAATCAAATAATTGTACTCACTCTCAAAACTTCCCATTCTTCGAAAATTCCTCGGTACTTTCCCAAAAGAAGGGCCAAAGCTTACAATCTGTTCTTCTCTAACAGCAAACAATCATTCCAATTCAACAATGGGTTCCCACTCCTCTTTAGCTGATCTTTCAGCAACTGCTGAAAACTCTACAGCTGTTCCTGTTAATGCTTCTACTCAGACTACCACGTCACATACTTCTGTGCAGGCTATTAGCGTCGATCCTACTCAGACTTTTGACTACAATAACGACGACGGTATTGCAACCCAGACGGCCTCGGCAAATGCATCTGTTCAGAATACTCCTGCTCAACCTGCAATCGGAGACAATTCCCACGTTTCTGACGACAACAGCGAAAACAACATTCCGACACCAGGTAGCGCTACCACCGCTCCCCTCAGAACTCATTCCGCTGAGGTCTCTGATGCTACTGCCCATCCCAACAATATCACGCATGATTCATCTGACCCGTCTCGTCCCGCTCAGCTGCTTGCTCGCTTCATGGCCATGAACTCAGCTCTCTTTCCTCAAGCTGTGGACGATTCCGATGAAACTCATGATGATGATGAAGTGTAAGTAACCTAAAGAAACGTCCAGAATCCTCAGATGATAACTAACCCTGGGTCTAGCATTGTCACCTTGCGAATTGACGGATTCGATATTATCATCCACCGTGAGATTACCGAGAAGTCCAAGATGCTTCGCACACGCCTGAACCCCAACTGGGACCCGGATTGTATCGCCGTGGTTATTTTGGATGGTGACTACAAGATCTGGCTCATTGTCGTCCTGGCCATGTACGGCTGTGTCGCCCTCCCCTTTGGTATCATCGAGGACAAGCCCGCCTGTGCTATCATTGAAGCTTTAGTCCACTCAGACTACCTCCTGGTCACCTATGATGTCCAAGTCTGCCTTTGCCGCATGATCACCGCCCGCTTTGCTGCGTTCAAGGACTGGAAGATAATTCCGTACAACAGCTTGACACAGCAGTTCCACACCAACAGGGCCATCGAGATCAATGAGACCCACAAGACCTGGAGCGCTCTCGACAATGGTATCTACACCCCGTTCCTGGAAGTTGGCTTCGCTCTCCTACTCAGTCACTACTGTCCCCTACCGGTCTACCACCAAGTCAGGCACCATTTCAGTCACGCCCTAGACGGACTTGGTCACACGGTTGGGATGCACCTTGCAAATGGGGACCGTCTTCTTATCGACTCCGCCTTTTGTCTATTCACCTTTCCGCCTCCCGGAGTGCTGTGAGATGGGGAGCATATGAGACATGAGAGATGAGACACCATCCAGAGATACAGTTTGCAGAAAGACACATCGCAGAGTTTTCAACTTGCTTTCAAAAAATACCGCAATGATACCCATACATAGCACATTCAGATGATTTGCCTGACGGTCAGCGTAGACGCGTACGAGGACCCCGGAATACACACAGATAGCACACGCAAATGGTTTGCTGGACGGTCAGCATAACTGTATGCCAAGACCCCAGAACACCCATAGATAGCAATAATAGCTTTGACATGCCTTCCATACTAAAGTCTTACAAGTTACTACTCGTGTCTGTTTTCTTAGATTGCCATCATAACGAAGTCGAGTCTTTTATACTACCTGTAATACCACCATTCCTTGGGTAATATCTCGGAGTCCCGTCCTTGCAACATATCATTTATATTCTGCAAGAGATTCAGGAATCAGAAAACTCCTTCTGTGAGAGACGGAGGAATCGCCGATTTTCTTATAGAATTACTCCAAAATAATAGAATCGTTACTTTTTATATAGAATCGCCGATTTCTATAGAGAACATCTTTTATCAAAAGAACGACTAACTCCTTCTCAAAGATGAACAAATGAAGCAAATGAGAATACTGTGGTATAAACATCAGAATAATTGACTGTTCTCATCCTCACACCAGTTGTCAAAGAGAGAAAAGTTTTCTAGTGATTTAATGAAAGACACAACCCATATGACCAACTAAAGAGCATTCGTTTAGCAATCGCCAGCGAGAATATTACTTAGATGATGGCGACTCGACATAGTGAATATTTGCATTTAGCACTTTGAGACAATATCGTGCACATGGAACACTTCAAGCGACAACGGCTGATAAGGACCCTGAGCAGGAGAATCTTTGACATGCGTCTACCGGCATATATACATATAATCCCCTCCTTATCTCAATACAATGTTGGTGATTTTCTTATCCACTTTGTGGGAGCTCTTTGTTTCAATGCAATCTGAGATGAAGTGAGGTGTTACCGTAGTGCCACCAAAGTCTCCACGGTTTTGCCTCGTGCGACGTTCATAGTCCGGCCCAAGGCAGCGGATTCACACTCCGCCGTAGTACAGCGGTATAAATTGACAATGGTGATGAAGGTCCCTAGCCCACGTGCGTCTGGTGAGACTGGACTTCTACTAGACAGTTGCCCAAGCCTCTCATCTGTCAAGAACATAGTCATCAACGTTTCAGCAACAAGGGGGGGGCGGGGGGCATCTCTTCAACTTTTCTCACGTAAATGTAAAGCGACGCTTCCCCAGGTTATTCAGACGAGCTAGCGTTATCGTTCCAGCTTCAAACGCAAGCTCGAACCAGGACACCATATAATTATGTTGAAGCTGATATTTAATATGGTATTGCTGGCTATCCCGATCTACCTAGATGTCGTCTTCAAGAGGGCTCAGTCCTTGAGCAGAACCAATGCGACTCTCAAAAAAGAACCTGAGTCTCTCGACCAATGCTCGGTCCGCCATGAACTTCTGGAAGCCGGCCGGGTTGGTCGCCGTCTCACTTTGAAGATCGGGGAATCCTGAAGGTGCCGGGATATCGCGTCGGATCGGCCAGGTGCCAAGTTGAGCCTGGTACTCGGGGCTGAGGATGAAGTTGTGGAGGAGCTTGGCTCCCTCAGGATGGGGTGCATCTTTCAGAATGGCACCTTGCTGAGCCCAAGAGACGTACTTGCCAGTCGTGGGATGCGTGAAGTTGAAGGGAGGGCTGGCGCCGAATCCTCCTCCAGCGGCGAAGTAGGCTGCTCGAGTGCTGTTGGCCTGGCCAGCGATTGTCGATGGTGTCGCGGTGCCACGCACCCACTGCGGGTTCTGCTCGAGCAGGGCATCGAACCAGGAAATGCCATACTGTTGTAAGCTTGGGGATGATAAGCGGCAATTCCCACAGACAAATCGCAAAGAACTTACATCAGGTTGAAGGCGAAAAGCACGGCGTCGTCGTCGTTGGGGTATGTCAGGACAAGCTTGTCCTTGAACTCTGGGCGCAACCAGTCTTCCCACTCGGTAGCTGCCTCGACTCCGGGAAGCTTCTGTGTATTAATGGCCCCGGACCAGAAGAAAAAGAAGAGACCATACCAGGCCGCATTGTCATCCTTGAAAGTACCATCAATCTCGTCGAAACCGTTGGGTGCGTAGTTTAACAGGGCGCCCTCTTGTGCCCATCGAGGGTAGTCGTGCAGGGTTTGAAGAATGACGCTATCCACGTACACAGCGTCACTGCCAGCTGCGAGCTGCTCGTCCAGCCTCACATCGTGGTACTTTGACAAGTCAACTGTGATGTTGAGGGTGATGCCTGGGAACCTCTCCTCAAACGCCCCTTTCAACCCGTCCTGCTGGTGCTTTTCGTCGCCGCCGTGCCAAACCGTGACGACGTCGCCCTCTGCTAGAGCAGCCTGGTAGATCTCATCAAGTGTACGGTTCTCGCGCTGCACGGCGCTGTTGAATCCGAGGACCTGGTCGTAACCAAACGCCCGATGTGCCAGTAAGGCCGCAAGTGTGGAGGTGCGCAACATGTCGATGAGATGGCTGGGTTGGCCAGGAGAAACGAGAGCGTTAGCGGCTTGGGTATCAGCAATGCGGTTGAGCAGCCATGAGATGTCAGTGCCACCGGCTCGAGTGCACTTTATACAAGCTCTGCAATTCCAAGCACATCCGGCAGCAATTAGGATCCGCAAGGTTTGTCAGATTTGTCATTGCAGCTGCTTAGGCATTGATTATGCGAGTATGGTGCGAGTGTCGGTGCAGATGGGTCCACTCCCATGGGACTGACAAAACCTTATTTCGTCCATCTTCATTTCATTTCATTTCGTATCGGCGGGATTAGCGCATACTTTAATGTCACGACATTCATGACACCATGCGACGAACCACCTTGCCCTGGTTATCCAGTTTTTCCCATGTTCTTTGACTATCCATTATAGCATGAATGAAGCTGTTTAGAAGTCCTCGCAGGTCGCATAATCGGTGTGGCGACAAGTGACAGCATTTCAGACACTTGACAAACATCACATCCTGTTTATTTGTCAACCGGACGCGTTTCTTAAACTGCGGCTCGCTCTCGCCATGGTTCTCCTTAGATAGCATGATGAATGAGAAATTAAGACGTGCAGATTGCGCTATTCCACATCTGATGACGAGTCAGGATCCTGGGAGATCCACTTGATTTGCACAGTTGACTGACATGCTGCTTCCTTGTATAAACAAGCCGTCTTCCGACCTAGACTAGGTCTAAAATGGAAAGTGAGTATGTTTTCAAAGAATAAACCTTGCAGGGTACGTACCAAGTGCATATTCCCAGGTGGTTCATGTGTCTGTCAATAAGACAAATGCAATTTCACAGCTGTACAAAATATTGTAGGACTAGGTGTGTTTTTGCTCCTTTGTCGGTCTGGTAGAACCATTCAAGCTTTTCCCCGGGGAAAGAGTGCAGAGCGGATAACAGTGGATTAGATTCATCTAAATGGCGGGAATTATAGTATGAGATTGTGCTTCAGGTGCCCATGCTAAGCGCCAAACTCATGGTCTAGCGTCGAGCACTTCCTTGTTATGAATAAGTTGGAACACGTTTTCTTGGCTTGTACAGACCTCACTTCCGGTGAAATGTTTTTGTGCATTAGCAAGACAACATCGATGAAGAACAAAACTCCAGGTCACCAGAGGTACCGAAGAGTCGAACTGATCTTGTAGGAAGCCTGACAAGTCAAGTGTCCCGTAACTTCCAGGTTCAAGTGGCTTCATTGAACACAACAACGGAGAGGGAGATGTGTTGCCCAACGGCTGTTAGTAGCTCTCTAGCTTCTCCGGTGATTTGGGGACAACGAAGGAAGTGTGTGCTCCTCAGAACCAAACTGTTCCATCTTGTTCGGAAGCTATATGAGGAATGCGCAGGTGTAGCTGTACGCATAATCGTGATTACGGAGGCTCGTCACTTTCTTGGCGATTTTGATAGCTCTGAACACTGAAATCTCAGGCCAAGTTATCTCAAACACCATATCGCTGGGGGAAAGTGCCAAGCATAGCAGTGACGTCCAGGATAGCCGCCATCCTGTCACAATTGAATGGCAAACGATCATTCGCCAATGCATCGCTTGTAGCTGGATGTACGTCGAAGTCCCACCAATCTTGAGAGCTGTTCGTATCGCTTCAAATAGGTGCCAGTCGCATGCATGAGTTGTTAAGATGCCGATGAGGCTCCAGCGAGGCTTTGGTTCCCATGGGATAATCCTGTATAAAAATTCCTTTTTCGTGGCACATTCAGACTCGGTGACAAAAATGAAACAAATTGATATTCTGATCTTCTGTTCCCTAGATCTGTGATTGGGGTTGGCTTTATTAAGCTGTAAGGGTCACTATTGTCATGGTTGTTGCGCTGGAGAGGAAAAACCAGCACACACATTCTACTGTGTACCATCTGCCCGAGTGTCTTAAGGCGCCGAAAATATCTCCACGCGACCTTCAAGAGGGCAGGTCCGACTCATTACCAAGTTTTCCATGGTCTATGAAATTATGGCGCTGCTGGCATAACTTAAGATTACAAGGTTACGGGTCGCCAACAAGGTTATGGATTATATTGGAACCCTATTGTGAAAATCCGGATACCCCCAGTAATTGCCCGCAACGCATCTTAAGAATAGCTGAAGCCGTTTAGATTCGAAGGAAGGAAGGTACCGCAGGGACTGGCGGAATATCTTCCAGTTCATCACCATCAACAGTAGGTTTCGAGGAGGTGAAGCCCAAAATGCCATGTGTAGAAACGCGGCGATTTGCTACTTAGAAATAACAATTGTCGAACAAAGCTCTGACGAATTTCATGACTTTCCGATGTGACTTGGAACCCTCGGGTGCTTGTATACAGTTTCATCGTCCCAAACTTGGAGCCTGAGATTCGTCGGCATACGTTTCTGAGTGAACTCTTTCCTGAGAAACTAAAACAAACAAAGCTTGTACAGTGTTGTTATGCTTATTGGTGCATAACGGATCAATGCAAGATACATGTGATCAACGAACTTTCACAAACCTCTGAGTGCTCATTGCAAATTAGTCATAATCGAATATGCATGCTCACCTAACACGAACAACCTCGGAGAATTTAGGCGGACCCCATTTGCACGATAGAATTATGTAAGGTAACTTTTCGTCGTTCTCCATCTCTTGTGATCCTCAGGCCATCCCAGTACACAATATCTCCTACCAACCACTGATAATTAACGGCACTTATGGCATCAGAGCTAGTGTCAGTATGGAGCAAGCGAGTCTGCCATGGATTGACAGGAATGGATTGATCAAGCTCCCGACTCACGATCAAGGTTGGATATTTCCGTGATATCGGCTGTGCTGGACGTAGAGGAGGCCAGGCTTTGCAATTTCATTGCAGTTGCCCCAGCTTTTCAACAACCATTGTGGTATGTCGATCGTGGAGCCATTGAAACAAAGATATCCTCACAGTAGCATGTTACAGACGACCAGCACACATCAGCGCCAACCAACATAATGACTTTACAATTCTGATTATGATGGAATATTCAGTAATAAATAATTGAACTGATTCTAGATTTATTTCCATCCAGTTTTCAATGCGGTTCATCGAAGCTGGCTTTCATTCTTGCTTCGCCTTCTTTGACCCCCTCTAAGACCTTGCGGCCTTGGACAGTCTAGCACCCTGTTCCATTGATCCATCATACTCTTCTGCGGCATAGATCAATACTTTCCGCTTCTGTAAAGCCGCGGGCGCCAGATGGCTGTATTCAATAAGATGGCATCCAGAGCCTCGTCTGCTAATGACAGACGATCATCCTGTGCCCATATCCAAAAATGTAAAATGTTGCTTGCGTAGCATTATAAGCGATCAAGAATCATGGAGATCAAGATATCGTATCGCCTGAACCATATAATTCTTAGGTCCCTCTTTTCGTGAAATAAGAGCTCCGCAATGCGGTTGTTCGATGTGATGCCATAGACAAAGTTGTCGGTCGCCGGGGGCCAATGTCGATCGCCTGCAGATGCAGTGCTTCATTCAACTTGTCGATAGCATTGAGCGAGGCGCCACCGCCAAACCCTCGGCAAATTGAACCAAGGTAGTATAGAGTTGCTCCGGCCCCCAGTTGGTCTTGACCTCACCTGGAAATGGACCCACACTCCTTTTTCCGTCGTATTGACCAGAAGCTCACTCAAGGTATCTTTTAGACTCCCCTAGATACTCGTGCGGGCTGTCTTTTGCGGCGTGGTGAACACCCCTTCGGAAGCCGCGCACGCCCGCGCTCCCCCAGAAGTACCCGCAAGTAGCATCTAGACTTGACTCCGAAACATCCCAGCCAGGTGTCTCATCTTGTTTCCCCGATATACGCCGCTATTTGTGCATAGTTTCCCAGATATATGGACTCGTAGCTCCGACTGACGAGCTACGGCGAGATTTTATCGAGAAGGCTCTTTCTCATAATTTCTTCACCCACAACCATTATATTCATGGGTGTTCATCAAAGTCCCTCTATAGCTTTCCGCTGGATTGTTGGTGGCTGGTGGGATACTGCTAGCTGCTTTGACTCGTCTGAAGTGAGTGACTACGTGATCTGACAAAGGCTTACTAGAAGAACGAAAGTCGAATCCGTTATCTTCTAGAACATTTGCGCGACAGATTTGAGAGCCTGGTCCAAACTTTGTGGGGCTTTTACTCGAATTTGTTGTGCCCATAATTATTAGAGAACTGAGAATACTTGAGGAATAGTCGTGCGATGGTGCTTCGTGGCTTCTGGCAACTCTGCGTTCTTTATCTCGTACATGGTTCATCCACCTACATAATATTTCACTGCTCCTCTTCTCCTCCAACACATAGTTTTATTTTATACTCCAAGGACACTGGAGTACTTGGTCTAATGCGGCCGTGTATTGTCGCTTTTCGTTAACGAGTGGAGTTCTGCTTAAGATGACCTTTCGTTGCATTTCTTTCTAACCTGATTCCCTGGTCTCTCGAGACTCTTCGATTAATCCGACACAGCGGTCCAGATATTTCGGTGGTGCTTTTTGGTCCTGTTTGGCTTCTCTGTCACCGATAACACGACGCCCTCCCGAAGCGTCGTTCGTTTGCGTTCGTAGCTGCACTTTTGTTCTTGGCGAGGTCCGCTGGCATGCGATGACGACCAGTGTATAAAATTTATGTAAATAATGGCAAAATCGAAGTTCGCAAACTGAAATGCCTGGGCCGAACTTGAAAGACACTGTTGGAAAATTGAGAAAGTTGGCGGGTGGTGATGCTCTGTTTGAGAAGACCCTAGAACACAGAGGAAAAGCTAGACCAAAAGCGCGATCTCAGGAATTTGCAGAGAATGCTACATCTTTGTATTCGACGATGACGCAGAAATTTCAGACGCACTTCTCACTCTCTCAGTTCACAGTGGTAGAGGTAAACTGGGAAAATACCAATCTTTAGAGAAGAACCTTTGTCCCAAAGGAATCCCGACAGAACTGCCACTATGAAGATGACGAGGCACACCCACTCAATGAGTTTAACTGAAGCAAGAATATTGCATTTTCTTTTTGGGATCAGGTGTCAATCGAGAGGAAAAGGTAAAAATCGCTTTCTGGAACGTGAGATGTCATGAGCGATGCATCGCAAAACGGGCAATCATTTTGGCAAACTTCGGCAATAAACCTGGGTAATAACCAAAGTTTGGTCTGAATAAAACATTACGGATCATATCTGGCATGTTACTCGAGCTTCCCTCGTCTGTAGGATAGAGACGCCGCCAGGAAGGACTGCCGAGGTTGGCTTCACGGCAACTGCATATTTTTCCAGTTTTAATATACATCCAGCATTCCCATCGCTAATACCGTAACCGCAAATCCACCGATAGCAGCATTTTGGAGTGACGGAGAGCTAAAGCGCGCCTTTGAGGGACGTAGCAAAGAACCGAAGCAAGACTGGGCCCATTCAGCAGAACCACCTAGTAGATACAGGATGAGAACGTTGATTACATATAGCACACAGATAACTATATTTGCGAATATTACATGCCTACCCGAAATCCAGGACTTCTCAAATATATTCGTACTACAAGGACATCCCCAACAAGAGCTGGGGGGATTCCGGAAGGTCGAGATCTGAGCCAGAATAACCGGAACAGGCAAAAGTTATCGAGAGGAGCTAATAGCTCGAAGGCTGCGTCAAAAAGACACGTCAAGTGGCTTCTTCTTCTTCTTCATTTTTGGTTCGCGCTGGCTTTAAATTTACAGATACTCGTAAACGGTACACATTCGAAAATATATTGGGCTTCAACGGTACTTCCTGAATTGTAACTTGATGAGCCTTATCGCTGTCGCCCTGCCATGTGACCGGCTCCTTGGCCAACGCTATTTCCAGTGTAATCCAGAATTGAGTTCATCATGGGTTATTCATGAGGTACTTGACCGCCTCTGTGGATAAACCCAAATGCCAGCGACATCATGCCTGTAGATATTATTTGTCACCAGCCATGGATATGAGATGGGTTTCCTCGTGATATCTTAATGATCAGCCGAAGACCAACGCTGATGTTCAAAAATAGTCGTATCTATGAGCACCTTCAGTAGTATACGGACGAGACTACGGCGAAATGCATCATATACCTCATAGAGATGTGTTAGTTTCATTGTTTTATTCGTCATGCGCGGCTGGCGCACGCTTGCTTCTTGGTGCATAGTATAACCAATACGTACACAATCATCTGAGTGTAGCGATCCCAGAAAGCCCGGCTCTTGCGTGCCGTAAGGCGCCCTAGTTGAAACTCACTACAAGAGCTCAGTCCAAGCCGTCGCTCTGCCGTTTCCCACTTCGAGACAAGTAGCTATCGTCATAGCCATTGTACAGAGCCAATGGCCTTTTGCCAGTCTCTTATCGCCCTTGATTCCCACGCAGTCGTACGTGGTCGTGGCTCATTAGAATCGCCGTCGCTGCAAAGCGCAAACCCCAGCCACGACTCCCAGGCCCGGGTATATCCGCACCCCCAACTTCTTCACCCTCAGCATGTCTGGGATATTTTTCCTAAGCAGCCAACTTCCAGAGCCCATCTCCAAGAAAATGCGCGTCCTCGATCACGGGGCCCTTGCCCTTGTCCTTGACATTCTTGGTGCCCTCGACCAGGAAGCCCACGGCACAGGCCTCCGTCTTGCCCTCGGCTGTGACCACAACCGGCTCGCCCTTCTCCAGCTCCCGACTCCAGTGGCCCTCCTCGTCCAGGCCCTCGGGTTCGCCGCCGTTGCCGCTGGGCAGTCTCCCGCCGGCGCTGGTGAGGCCGGGGGCCATGAGGGTGGCGCCAGAGAGGACAAAGCGGATGGCGCCTCGGTCGATACGTATCGATGGAAAGCCGGCGGGGAAGCGGTGGACGAGCTTGAGGTGGGGGAGCAGGGTGTTGGTGTCGACCTGGACGAAGAGGGGCTCGCCGTCGAGGACGTAGAGGGTGGCGCGGTCCGGCAGCTTCATGGACTCGAGCGAGCCCTTCTTGGGCAGGATCTCGTCGATGTAGGGGTTCAGAAGCGGGTAGGTCGTCAGCAGGGACTGGCGCAGGGAGCGCTGGACCGACGACTTCAGCTTCTGCTTGGGGGCGGCTTGGAGACTGTTCGGGAAAGAGGGCAGGTGTCAGTTTTCTGGTTGAAGGTGGAGAGGATACGGGAGAGGACATACTCTTTCTTGAACATCTTGGCGGGTTCACGGACTGGTCGCGTGAGATCTGGTAGGCAAGATGTCGGTGGTGGTGGTTGTGGTGTTGAATGAGGCTTGTGAAAGTTTGGAGGGGCATTTGGGAATTGATAGACATACAATAGTTACCTAGCAGATATGCCCCGCAAATGCCATGGGAAACGAGGGGCAGTGGGCAGTGGGCAGTGGGCGGAAATAGCGGGGACAATTCCGGCTTAATTCTTCTGTTGTACGTACGAAGAGAGTTCATATGCACGGAGAAGAAGGAGTCCCTTTGAAAACAGACAAGACATGTATGGCCCATCAGAGCAAAAATGGGACTAGGCAAGCACGTCAAGGTCATGGAACCATAGGTCTCATGTCATGCAGGTAAATGTATCATGTCTCATTGCTCGTTTCGTTCCAAGGCTAGTATAGTAACACAACGAGGGCTTGCTTGCCGTGAAGCAGTCTCTCTAATAACTACCTGCCGTTGGTCCTCCATTTGAACGGCATCAGCCGTGCTGGACGTGGCTGACGGTTCCGTCCTCCTTCAGGTGAACGTTGAGTCTGTTCTCGTTGAAGTCCTTGGTGACCATCTGGCCCGGCTCGATGACACGGCACTCTTGAGGCAAGTCCTTCTTGCAGAAGTTCTGGTCATGCATTAGTTGAGGATCAACCGTTCGCGTGTGTTTGTGTGTGTGCGTGTGTGTGTGTTCCAAATAGTAAACAGCAGCGCTGGAGGGTACATCACTCACAATCTCGTTGCTGGACGAATCCGAGAGCTTCTTGCCGACCAGCTTGTTGGTCCATTGCTCCGTCTTGTCACTAGAGTTGCCAGTGATTCCAGGGATGACGAGAGGCATTGTGAATGTATTTGGTAGGAACCTAAGTTTTGTGTGTGGCTGTTCTTGAATGTTTGATGTTTAATGCAAGTTGGCAATTGTTTTATGTGCAGAGATGCAACAGAATGTAGCGTTGTAGAGGCGTTTCTTATATTCCAACTGGGAGACAAACGTATGACGTATGCAGGTTGTCCACGCCAGGTTTCACGGGAGTCACGTTCAGGCATCCAGTTGATCGCGCTTACAAGCGGCGAGCGCGCTTCGTCATGTAAACGTATGTCCCATTATGTGCACTTTTCCAGCAAGATGAGATGACTATAGTATTTGGATTCATTCAAGAGTATACAATAGGCAGATGCCTGCAGTCACAATCCAGGGACCACTGACGATCAGGGAACCAAACCGACTCTTGATCGGCCGACTGAAATGGTCCAAGGCGTCGCATCCTACCTTGCTATTATGGCAGGACCTCCTTATTACAAGAAATGGCAGATGGCAACATACGACACCGGCATGGTTGCAGCTGAAAGTAGACAAATGATGCGAGTACAGTCTGCGCAAGATGTATAATGCATTTCGCGACGACTGTGTTGGCATCCGTCCACGTATGGACCCGTAGAGACGCTGAGAAGTGCCGACAATGCCAAACCCGGTTGTCCTGTGCCGGGATTCTTGTACTCGGTACTATGTAACGTCAGCAGCAGGGAAAGGGGCTGTCAAAAAATGAACAGCTTGCGACAGCTGCAACGTATCACGGAAGGCATTAACTTAGCCTATCTTTAGGGCGGGTTATTGTGGCAGCACCAATAAAAGTATACGATCGAGATGCCCTAACGATCATGGCTGCTTGTATGTTTTGACAGATCGTATCGATAAGTGACAATTGACATGTTGTCAGGGGATTTAAAAGATAAGAATAAGAATAAAAATAAAAATAAAAATAAAGGAAGGCAAAGAACAACATAGCGAACAATCCACTACTTAGAAAAAACTGAGAGGAAACGCATCATCACGTGAAAAAAGAATAAAAAAATAAAACAAAAAAATCGGCCAAGCTGCAGAATCCGGGTACAGCGATGACAGCTCAGCCACGATACCCTGGTGTGAGCTGTCCGCTAGAACCAATACCCACATGCTGACATTCCTACAGTAGACAGCCAAGGTAGCCCCTAACGGGACGTGGCTCTCCACATGCTTGGCGGGCACGCACGCAGCGCGCAGGGAAATATGACCTACTGTAACCTAGGGACAACGCGGTGTGCCTTTTTCCCCCCAAGCTTTGGCGACTTGAGACGATCCTGATCTGCTGCGTTGTTGCAGGCAGGGCAGGCAGGGGAGAGACAAGAAGGTTGGAGACCTAGCTCTATTGAGAGAATTGAATTGAATTGAATTGATTGACGGATGTTATCATACAACACGACGATTGATTGAACGATTCGAGGATTCAAAGTGTGAGATTTGGAGGAGAGCAAGGGGGTTGAGAAGGAGAAGCTGACGAACCACGAACCACTTTTGGTCCGCTGAGGCTTGCCCCATTGCACCGTTCGTCTATTTTGGGGCTTATGCGGGTCGAATGCTAAGCGCATGTACTCCGTACCACAGGCAGTTTTACTGGGAGCTGCAGGGCGCAAGACGCTGGCTTTTCCTGTTCGAGACAAGCCCATCTGAGCAGCGCCCAAGGGCAAGCAAGCAGAGCAAGGGTCTCGCATCGTGAAGTGGAAATGGAAGGGGAAGTGAGAGTGAGAGTATGCTTTGCTGCCGGGGGTCGCGTTTGCGTTGCGTTGGCTAGATAATGCTGCCCCGGGCGCAGGTGAGACCAGTGAGAAAAAAGTCTGGCGTCGTCTGCGAACCTCTTCCCCTAATCCTAATCTGAAGTCAAATCATCGACAGCCTCTTCTGTGCCCCCTTCAGCTGCAGTCTGTGGCTTGGCCTGCGCTGCTTCCTTTTCTGATTGCACCCTGTCTCGTCTTGTCCCGGCTCCCAGTGAGAGCTGACCTCTGCTCCCCTTCACCGTTTGTCGGATCGTACAATATATTACATTGCACTACACTGCACTGCACTACGATAGGATACCTCAAAAGCACAATTCCACTCCTGCACATACACTTGACCCAGAGTCATACCCATCTATCACAACAAAACAAACAAAATACACGGCTCTACTAGCAGGATTCGCAATCTCCCGAGACCCCAAGCCCGAGAACCCTGGGATTGGATCGACAGCAGCAGCCAATCCACTTGCAGCTCAAAGTTTCACGACCTCATCTTCACCTCCTGAACAGGCAACCTTGACAGACAACCTTCACACAGGTATCTGACGCAGATTGTGCAGCTCAACGACAGTTCTCTTTCCCAACTGTCGGTTCGTCCACGATTAACGACCATCTCCCATTGCTGCAGTCTACAAGACTAGCCACCAGAGTGATAACCACCCCCCCTTAAACACCCAAAATGCGCTCCTCAATTTCGATACCCATTCTCTCCCTGCTACTGCCTACTCTTGCCGCCTCCACTGCGACGTCAGAATGCTTGCGATCCAAGGCCGTGTCGCTTGCCATCGAATCACTATGTGGTGATAAGGAGACTATGGTCAGGTGCTTCAAGCAGGCTTCCGATGCCGACATCGTAACACTTGAGTCGTGCTTGAAGAATGCAGGATGTACGCCAAAGGCTGCTGCCAGTGAAGCCAGCTACTTGGTCACATTTTGCAACGGAGAGCCTAGCGACCTCAAGAGGAGAGAACGCGAGGGTGAGTCTTTGCTTTGCTTTACTTTGCTTGGCCTTGCTTTGCTATCGTCCCTCTCTGGCGACCGAGGAATATGAGCTTATTGCCGCTTACTCCAAAAGGAACTATACTGATGCTATTCTCTTACAGGTCTCGCCGCTCGTGCCACCGACAGCACAGCCTCAGCAGACTCGACCACGACGACAGATGCCTCAACCACTGCTACTACAACCGGTACCAGCGCCGTCAGCAAGCGCGAGACAACCGACACGACAGCCACAGCGACTACTACCGCAGCGACTACCGCGGCAACGACCGACACGACAGCAACTGGGTCCACCACAGTCTTCTCGGGTACCGCCTGCTCGAGCGCCAAGGCGACCGCAGTCAGTTCTTGCGACAGTAAAAACCAATACGATTGCTCCATAGTCACTACCACCACCTTGGTCTGCAGATCCAACTACTACTGCGACACGGATGCTTCTGGCAACAACCTCTGCATGGTACGACAGGACGGTATGACCCTCTCTGGCACCATTGTTGCCATCTTCCTCGCCATCGGTATGACCGGCATCATCGCTTCCGTCATCTTCTTGTGCTGCCAGGACCGCAAGGAACAAAAGCGCCAGCGTGCCCGCACTGAGGCTGCTGCCATCGCCAAGGCCAACTCTGTCTCCAGACCCGAGACCAGGTCTGCCAGCCAGCCAGTCCGTAGCATCTCTCAGTCTGATGCCGCCCACCAGCCCAACCCATTTGCTGGTTAGGCTCCAGAAATGAGAAGAGGCAGAGGTAGCGGTAGAGGCACCGGCAGACAATCGCGCTCTCGTCGGTCGGATCTCTACCGAGCTACTTCGGGCCAGACCATGATGACTGTGTCTGAGGCGGCCGTCTAAATCGGGAGCCGTGTGTCCTCCGATACGGGATCTTGAGCATCATCTTCGACTATTTTCGAAAATGCTATCATTTGCGAGCCATCGAATTTGCTCTTGGTAAAAAAAGGTGGAAAAAGAGAGCCATACATGTGCTGGAGTTTTATGTGTCGATAAAGTGCAAGAAAAACTTTCGAGTAGATACCTCCGTTCTGGATTAGGGACCGGTGTTCATAAGGGCATTAGGGGCAGCTGTAATTTTTTTGCTTTGCATCATCATGAATTCATACCAGAGTAACGCTGTTACGTAGCTTTTTCTTCTTCCTTCGTTTCCAAAAATGTGACGCCGTAACGTTAGATGAGTTGGGGGGGTGTGGAGAGGAAGACCCGGCCGGTTAGCGAGCCAGCCCAGCCAGCAGGCAAGCAAATAAAAGGGACCGGCAGATGCCCGACTCTTATATATGGCATCGCCTTCAGCATGAGACCTCTCGAAATATGTCAATGCCTTGTTTGGAGAAATAGCACGTTCCAGACCGTTCTCCCCGTTTTGCCATGTCTCGTATTATATCCTTTGTATTTTATTTTTTTGGGCGCCAGCGAAGAGGACAAACCCCCCGCTGGTCCCTGTGCTTCGAGCAGCTAAATCCGTATACGAGAGAGTAGGCAGAGAGTGAAAAAGGACCCTTGGACTCCACCAACAAAGATGGACTTTGTTTGCCATGTTTCGAGTAGATAGATGACATGTACTCTGGTCCAGATAGTCTGGCATGCGCTTTGGTTCAAGAACCTTTACGACACTCGAGAAAATATTACAGGAAAAAGAAATTGGAGAAAAAAAGGAAAAAAAAAAGGAAAAGAAAAAACCCCTTTTAGGTTCTTCTTTTTTTTTTATGAGGATTTTCAGTGGAAAAGGGAGTCACAGAACGTCCATGCTTGAACAAATTAGAGAGGATTATCCGGAGGGGGGGGGGAAACAGAAAGACTGCTGTGCAGATCTACGCAATACATATCACATAAAAAAAAGGATTAGCGTCAAGAGATCAAGGTCAATAGTATCAGTGATTGCACACTGCAATAGCTGCATCCCTGTATTGATACTTCGCTGTTCTTAAGAGATCCTTTCATTCTGAAGAAAGGAAGTGGCTCACGTCTATGGGCGTCCTCACCGACTTCCATTCAACGTGACCATCCCTTCCCCCAAGCTAAGCTGACCTCGCCTTCGCCCGCCACCCTCGAACGACCGGAAGAGTCAATGTACGCAACCAAAGTCCGGGGTTTGAGTCAGAGTAAATACCATCAAAGGAGGACATAAAAAAAAAGACAAAAGGTAAAAGCAGCACCGCTAGCACATGAACAATGTCTACGTAGCTGCATCACCCAGCGCGAATACATGTCCATGTGCAGCAGACAGAAGAGTAGAGAAGGAGGAGTTGGCACCATCATGGGGAATTCCCGAACATACCGGCGGCAAGCGCATCAGTGTAGTCCATAGCGTTCCCAATTGACCCCTAAGTTCGGTTGCTGAACGGACCGGAAGCACCAACGATGGGGCTACTTATTTGACCAGGAGCTCCGAGGTTTCGTGGGACCGACGATGGCATACCTCCAGCAGGGTTGTATTTGACCAAAGTCTTTCCAGACTTCTCGTTGATGTCGAAGCTGCCGTCGCCATTCTGTGGATTGCCCTCAGTCTCACACATGTCCAGCAATTCGGTTTCGGATATGGGCTCGGAAGTATTGATTGTGTCGACATGACCCTTAATGATTGAGATATCGATGAACCCATTTGCGTCAGTTGCGTGATTTTCCAGCTCCTTGCAAGCTTGAACGAGCATGAGACGGACTGTCACAGGTCGCGACAGTCTAGGCGCTGGAGGAGGAATTCCAAATGACGGATTGGATGGCCATACTGAACCGCCCAGTCCGGGAGGCGGAGCCGGGACGGGAGAGAACACGCTATGAGGACCGCCCCATCCCGAACCAAGAGGAGATCCGAATATGGGATCGACGAATGGCGCCGCTGTGAACGGAGGTCTGGTTCCCGGTGCCGCAGTATTACGGCGTTGTTGATTGATCATATCACCCAGTGGTTCGTCGCTATCATCCAGCAAAGCGCTGCTGCCCAGGTGATTGACATTGCCCGAGTCCAGGTGGTCGTTCCGGAAACCATGTGATATGCTGCCGGGCCTTCCAATTGGCGCAGGACGTGCGATGGGCTGGGCGGAAGTGCCAGACGTCTTCAGTTCCAAGGGACTACCATCAAAGCTTGCAGAAGCCTGCCGAGAGTGGGGCGACGGCTGGCCCGGTGCCATGTTCTCATGTAGTGGGAAAGACTGGCTTAAAGGAGGTAAGTTGTCCAATCCACCTGGGAAACCCGGGGGTGCACCAGGCGGCATTGGAAACCCACGGCCCATCGGACCACCGAGACCAGGGGGTGGAAACGGCATTCCACCAGGAGGAGGTCGGAAACTGCCAGGCATTGGTGGGAAAGCGTGATTCTGCATCGGATTGAACCCAGGGGCCATTGGCATGCCCGGAGGGGGAGGGGGAGGATATGGCATCCCCATTGGAGGCATACCCGGGAAGCCACCTTGCCCAAACCCAGGCGGGCTCTTGATGCCTGCATGCAACGGAGACATCGGCATGCCGGGATACGCATTGCCCAATCCAGCGGATGATGTTTTCCTGGGTAGCCCATGAGGGCTAGGGCTGGCATGTACCGGAGTCATGGAGTGAGGAGAAATATTCTGATTCATGCTTGATCCCGGATGAGCGGCTTGTGACATAGATCGGGGGATCTCCTGCGACGCCGTTCGTGGCTTCACAGGCACCGGAGCCTTTGGTAGGACGGGAGTTGCGACGGCAATCTGCGGTGAAGCATGTGCTGGAAGCTGCTGAGGTAGAGCTGGTATAGAGCCAAGATGCTGCTGCTTCTTGGGCTGGGTGGGAATCGGGATAGGAGCAACTAGAGCCGCCGCTTTCTGGGCTGCCTTCTCCTCTTGCTTCTGCTTCTCCTTAAGGTCGCGTTCTGCTTTGGCCTGTGCTGCCCGTTGCTCCTTATCCCGCTTGTCTTGCTCATGCTTTTCCCGGCGCTCACGGGTCTCGCGCTCCTTTTGCTCCCGAGCTTCCTTTTCCTTAGCCCGCTGCTCTTCTTTGGCCCTCTTCTCGCGATCTTTGGCCTCGCGAGCCTTTCGCTCCTGCTCAGCCTGCCGCTCTTTCGCTTCCAGGGCGCGCTTTTGTCGTTCGGCTTCCTTCCGTATCCGGTCTTCCTCCTCGGCCTTCCTCTGCTGCTCCTTCTTCCTACGCTTCTCTTCTGCTTTGGTCTTGGCCTCTTCGGCTTTCCGTTGCGCTTCAGCTAGCCGTTCAGCTTCGGCGGCAGCTTTCTCAGCATCCTTTCGAGCCTTCTCTTCGGCCAGAGCTTGCTTCTTCTGAAGGGACTTTTCTTTTCGCTTCTGGGCCTCCTTTGCCTTCTTGGCTTTCTTCTGGGCGTCTTGCCGACTTTCGTCCTCGAGCTCTTCCAGAAGCTTGGCCTGTCGTTCTCGCGCTACCTTTTCCTTGTAAGCGGTCAGGACCCTTTGCTCGAACATGCGTGCAGCGAAGATCTGAAACATGCGCCGACCCTCTTCCATGCGTTGCTCCTCGGTCATGGTGTCCTATCACGCGGTTTAGCATAATCTCCCTCCCCATGGCAGATATTCGTCATTACCTCTTCCTCATCATACTCCTCGTCCTCCTGAGAGTCGTACTCGTCGTCTTCCTCGTCCTCATCCTCGTACTCTTCATCATCGGGTGGAGGAGCATGATTGTGGGCGTTCAAGGAGTTGCCATTCGAGTGACCATAGGCGTAATGATCCTTTGCGTCTTCTTCCCTCGCCATCCGCCGTTCGGCGAGCTGTTCCATCATCTCGATGAACTTCTTGCCGTCGTTTTTGAGGAGGTCGTCGGCTACGGTGAGTATGCCACCTAGAGTGGTTATGCTTAAGTATTTTGCGTAAGCAAAGCAGGAGAGTAGGGACCTCATACCCTGTACAGTGAGACTCTGACCGAAATTGAAGAGGTCGAGCGCGTTGTCCTCAGGGATATCCTCGGGTTCCCCGTCGTCATCGTCATCTTCTTCCTCGTCGTCGTCTTCCTCGTCGTCTTCTTCTTCTTCCTCGTCCTCCTCATCCAGGTCGTCGCTGTACTCGTCCACATCATCTTCGTCCTCCTCCTCGTCGTCTTCATTATCGAACTGCTCTACTATGCGCGCGCGTGAGGGATGATGGTGGTTTGAGTAGTTGGTTGCGGGGAGGCTGCGAGGGGGGTGTAGGCCGGACATTTGACCAAGTCGGCGGGGGGTGCCCAGCATGGGAGGGCCATTCGGGTGATTCTGAGGCTGGTTCGCAAAAGATTCTAGCTCCTCATAGTAAGCATCATAGAGTCCCTCGAGCTCCTCCTCGATTGCCGTGCGCTTGCGCCCACAGACAGTGCAGCTGCACGTGTGCTTCTGCTGCTCCTTCATCTTCTTGAGCACGGCGTCCTTCTCGACTTTGACCAGAGACTTGCGTTCGTCCTCGCCCAAGCCAAGCCAAAACTGCTTGATGCGTTCCCGCTCCTCGGCCGAAGATGTGTTCCATATCTTCTCGTCGCGCGAGATGCCCGCACTGCGTTCTCCCATCTCCCTAGCGAATTCGTCGACCGTCGTGGCCAGGGCGCTCCTTTGCTTCTTCTTCTTCTTGGATGTGGGCGGCCGAGAATGAGCATGGGCTGCGGGGCCGTTTGTCCGGCTAGCGTAGAGCTGGTGGTCGTCGTCACTCTCAGTCTCATCATCGTCCCACGAATCGCCGTTGGGTGCGGGCGGATGTGAACGAGTGCCGGTCTGCTGGTGATGCGGAGCGTCCGGCCTGGGCGCGCTCATGGGGACACGCTGTGTGGGTGCGCTGATGGTAGAGGCGGGCGGGCTGGGCAGGCCGTTCAATCCGTGGGATGCTTCGGCGGCGGCAGCTGCTTTCGCGGCGGCCTTCTCGCGGCGTTTTTGCTTCTTCCTATTCACTGTGGGTGCGGGGGGTTCATTTGAAGCTGGGTTAGACAGTTTGGCGGTGGCGGGTGGCGGTCCCTTCGAGGAGGTTATCGTCGTGGGCGAGGGCTGAGCTGGCGGGGTAGAGGCGGAAGACTTGGGGATGGTGATGCTCTTGGTGCCATCCTTATTTGTGTACTTTGCGGTGGGAGGCTTCGGCGCCGGCGAGACAGGCATCTGGGCTACCTGCTGGCGTTTGTTGGCCGGCATGGCGACGGATGGTTCTCAGATAAGACTCCGAGTTATGACGCAGAGCGGGCTTCAATGGTGTTGAGCATGGATGCTGCGTGGTTCTCCAGCCTCAGCAGAAAGACAAGATGCAGGGTAGAAATGTCGCAAACTTGATCTTGGACTTGAACGAGTGTAGATGACCGATCTGTCGCTTCTACGGTCGGTTGGTGGGAAAAGACGGGAGGGGTTGCTCTGCCTGTTCTGTTCTCTCGAGTTGTGGGATTGATTTGAGGTTGTAGTAATGTAATGTAATAGCGCGAGGCAGGAAGGCACAAAGCACAAACACAAGCACAGGCGCAAGTTCAGGTTCAGGTTCAGGTTCAGGTTCGGGTTCAAACGCTCGTCGCTGCCCCTCTCACCCATTCGACTTGCGATTAGAATGATCTGGATTAAGTTCCAGTTCTAACGTCTGGTCTACTGTGCTGTCATGTCCCTGGGGAGAGAGAGAGAGAGAGCGAGAGGGAGAGAAGCAAAGACGGTGACTTGCAGCCTGCGCCGGTTGTCCTTGTCCTTGTCCTTGTTCTTCCTCTTCTTCTTCCCTCGTCACGTCACGTCAATTCAAGAGGGGCAATTATGTCCTGTCCTGTCTTGTGTTCAGTTGTTCTGTATAATTGCTCTCGTCTCCGTTTGAGGGCTTCCGCTGCCGCTGTGTCAAGGGTGGCTGAAATTGTGGGGGGTTCCTTAGCCTCTCTGCTACTGTAGGTCGGCGTTGTGGTTTGGCATGTCCCCGTTGTGCCCGGAGCCTAGATGGCAAGGGTCTTGGTACCGCTGTACTGGCTCCAATCGTCCCCAATTTCCAGTGCTCAGGTGCTCTTTTCGGGGCAGTATTCGTGCCTGTGATAGACATTGCTGGCCACTGATTGCAGCTGCTGAGCCTAACCTGAGGAGCTGAATGGCAAAATGCCTGGGCCGTGCTTCTGTTCAGTACCCACGTGACACTGTTTCTTCCTTGCGTGTTTGTTGCAATTAATGCTGGAATGCCATCTACGGACCCGTATTGATGGCCAAATATGTTTAATTCTAGACATGCATGTATGGACTGCATTCTTGGTACGTTCTCTGTCTATTTGATTAGTCAAGATCTCTATTGTTCCTGCCAACATGCATAAATTTTCAATAGCGCTGTCCCAAGGATGCGTCTCTGCTTCTCATATTTACTGAGCTGACAATCGGCATTATCTACGGTTCTGCTACCAGTGTCGCATGGGGCCTTTTAGTAAGCCGGCAACTGGCAACGAGCTTGGTTCATGTTCGCGGATAGCTCGCAAAACTTCGAGAACATATACGACTCCAGGATTCTTAACTCGTTTCGCGATCCCTCGTTACCTAGAACCTTTGGTCCCTATTGTTCTTTTATGCTGACGAAGCGCTTTCAGTCTTTTAGAAGCCTCACCCGTGCCCGCCACGTCCTTCCACTCTGCTGCCTTTGTGCTCCAATATCTAGATGCGGACGCGCTCTAGCACGACTCGGAACTGGCAACACACTCTATGCTTGACCGAAAAACATGTTTGACAAACCTTAACTGGGTGTTCCTGTTTCTCTGCCCTCAATCTTAACTTGTAGCGTTGTGGGGCTGCTGGATGAATCACTTTCTCGTCTATCATTGCCGTTACTTACAACAGCAGTGCAACCCACCACGGCAGCCTGCTTGTACAATTCTTTTGCAAAACCATTGCGACCTCGGCCGTCAATGATACTATTGAGTCCATTCGGATGTCAAGCATGCGATTCCACAAACAGCCATTGGCCGATTGTGGTGCATCTGACGGATCGCTCAACTGCCCCTTTTTGCCAAACATCATCTCGTCGAGCAAGAGCAGGCGTACAACTCTCTGCCGCAATTGATTAGACGCTTGGGATATGATCCTCGGCAAGCAAATACATGAAAATGCATAAAAATTTGAGACTTATGATCTGGAATTTCTACAAACACTCGTGGCCAATCTATATGGGATCTGCGTGTCTCACTCAGACTGACATCCAGGGAAATTGCTTGAAGCAGCGCCCTGACTCTCACAGTACCGATACGGATTACAGCCTCTGGCAAAGCATTTCTCTACGTGATATGTGAGCGCGCTGCGGAGCCGACAAACATCAAGGTCGAACATGAGAACCAATTTCGAGCAATTCGTGTCACAATGCTTGACACATGGGAACATAGTCTTGGTGGAGTTGCATCAGCCTCCACAAGCCTGCCATCCGGCAATCCCATGGGGCTTGCCTGTCTCTGTGCTAGTCACTGTCTCTGCAGTCTACGAGCCGCCAGCAGCTCTTTTTGATTGGGCCATGTTCGACGGGCTTGGCATTTCACAGCCTCGATGCATCAACCACAACAGCAGGCGATTCGCTATTGCAACGACGGCGAACGTCGAACAGTAGAAAGGTTGTAACGTGACAAATATTATGGAAACAAAACATCCGGTGGTTATCGCCTGGACCAAGCGGCATGTTTCAATGAGAGCTTGTCCCTGGACAAGGCTCTTCTACACAATCTACCAAAGTGCACAGATCAGCTTAGGCTTACCAATGGAGAGGACTGAGTCTTGTATTGCAGTCTCGGACAGTATTCTCTCTCTCTGGTGCCTCTTTTTTAGTAGGAGACGAAGCGCAAACTTGGAATTTTGGCCGTCCAGCTAGCGCGTTGCTCTCCTCGGCTTAAGACCATCCCGGGTCGATAAGAATTGCACCGCATGATTAGTCTGCTCTAACCTGGACCTTGGAGCTTTGGAGTATACATATAACTATCGGTAACCTTGAACCCCCCAAGCAACAGCTGAGCGCAACCGCAAGCGCAACATACCATAGTACCAACAACGCTGCGGGTCATTGCGGGAAGCAGGACTGGATTCGGATTCTCCTACCCTTAGTACTAGGCTCCTATTAAGGTATTACCTCAGCGCTGTGGCTGCACTAACCTTGGACGACTGGGATTCGCGGTCATCCTTTAGGCGTGTCTCTTTCCAATTCCCCCAGCGATACCCGGTTTTCGATCGTCAGATCATTACCCAAGATTGGATCGCCTCGTATTCGACAGGGACGTTTTTCTTGTCATCTTGAAACCCAACAACCCTCAATTCTCTTCCAAGAGTCCACATTTATCCGCAGCAACAACCTCGAGGGACGACGTAGTGATACGACATTCGATCCCAAAATACACAATTACGCAATTGACGGCATTCGGGCTCCTCGAAGCTAAGATACCATACCAATCATACCTCGGCGTGGAGGCCTCGAGTCCACCGACCTGCACTTAAGAATCAATCCAACGCTGCGTTCAGCTCGCCAGTGAGTGAGGCTGTAACCAGACTGCGGACCCTGATTTACTCTACTCTCTTTCGCTCTTCTCGTGTTCGATTGCGATCACGCACTTGTCGACAAACATGGCGAACGCGAACCCCGGCAATGTCATTAGGAGGTACGTCAGCTACGGGCGGTGCTGCCTGGAGAGAGTCATACATCAATTCCACACGCACAATCGCGATTGAGTCGAGGCATGCGAGACCCAACTTCCGCAGCGGCTTAAGTTGGAGCTTTGGCAAGTCAGGAACGCGACACTGACGATTCCCGACCCTCTTCACCCAACTGGACCTTGCAGATCTCCATACACACCATGCCACATGCACCCACGCGCAGCCCAGGAACTGACAGTGATTGTGTTTCCAGGAAGCTGGTCATCATTGGCGATGGCGCCTGCGGCAAGACTTCGCTGTTGAGCGTCTTTACGTTAGGGTACTTCCCGACAGTCAGTAGTTGTTGTATTTTCCTATTACATGTCGAGTAATCGCTAACAACTCACAGCACTACGTAAGCCGGCCTTCCACCAACCTCTCTCTCGACCCTCGAGGCGACAGACCTTTCGTTGCAACCTTTAGATCTAACGAGATGCACAGATCCCCACAGTATTCGAGAACTACGTTACAGATTGCAGGGTAGACGGCAAATCCGTACAATTAGCACTATGGGATACCGCTGGCCAGGAAGATTACGAGCGGCTGCGACCACTCGCCTATGCGAAGGCACATGTCATACTAATAGGATTCTCGATTGACTCGCCGGATTCACTGGACAACGTGAAGCATAAGGTCGGTACTTCTAAAAGAGAATTAACCCGCAAACACCAGTCGCTGACACGGAAGACAGTGGATAGAAGAGGCAACGGAACGATGTCCCGGCGTACCGCTCATACTTGTGGGATTGAAGAAGGATCTGCGAGACGACCCAGTAGCGATCGAGGAGATGCGCAAGAAGAGCCTCAAGTTCGTCACACAACGGCAAGGCGAGGCTATTGCACAAGAGGTCGGAGCCAGAAAATATCTCGAGTGTTCTAGTTTGAGCGGCGAAGGTGTAGATGATGTGTTCGAGGCGGCCACGAGGGCTGCACTGCTCACTTTTGAGAAGGGCGAAGGTGGTGGGTGCTGTGTCATTCTATGAAACCCCCAAAACCAGGAAGAACCCGATTTAATAAGGGGAAGAAGTCGATTGGGTATTTATCGACATGCCCCAACAAAAAAAAAAACCATGTCGGGATTGGGTCTTGCCGGCATCTAATACTGCAAACTTTAAGCAGAACATCTCGACTCGAAAGACTCACATACCATTTAACAATTGGGGGAGATAGGGGAAGATGTTACCAGGGAAAGTCGGTGCTCGGTACTCGGACCTATTGGTACACCTGACCTGGGAGGCATTTGTGTATAATTAGCACATAGAAGCGTTTGATCTTACCTGTCGTTTATTATTGATTTTAGAATACCAGTCCCAGAGATGACGAGGACAAGCATGTTGGTGAGAACTGCTCGTCACAGATATCTGCTGCTATTTGGGAAATGCAAAAAGAAACGGAATTTACTGAACACGCATAGCGCTGCAAACAATACAAAATGGTGACAAGGACGAATAATCTTGTCATGTGTTTTGGTCAATTTCATGTACAATTCCCATTCGGAACTCTTTCTCAGCCCATGTATCCAAGGGCTCCTATTTATACAGACGCAGTAGTACCCATTCGCGGACGTGGTAACTCCTTGATCGTACCCAAGACGTTGTTCAGCAGCAGTACGTATTCCGATGCAGTAATTTACATCCCGATAGTATTGTTGTCCCGTCAAGACTACAATATGGGCATGAAGCGTGGACCTTCTTCCATCCTACACGATGATGTACATTCTCCTTCTCTTATTCATGTCCTTTTAAGCTTGATTCAGCACAGTGACGTCAAAGAAGAAGAGAAACCCCTGGCCTTTTCATCGCTTCCACTCGTGATTCCAGGCAATCCTGGCGGGCGTCTCGGTCTGCGGCCTCGCGTACTCGATCGGGATGGCGTTGTGCCCGAACAGGCCCTTCTTCTCCATGGACACACGGTACAGATATCCCTCGTCCCTGGTTCCGGGCCCGGACGTGTGTCGGAGCTCCTCGCTGGCCGAGGCCATGGATTGGTACATCCTGTTGCTCTGTTAGCCTCATGGACCCGTGCCGCCTCTCCTCTCGTCGCCGCCGGTCCCTCCTCCCATAGAAAAGACATACCTCATCAGCTCCTTCTCCTCCCTCTCCCGCTCCTTCCGCTGCCACAGCAGCCACGCCCGGTGGATCGTCCAGTGCCGCAGGTGTCGGTTGCGCGCGAAGCGCAGCGGGGCCGGGGCCTTGCGCGGCATGCTGATCTTCAGGTTGCGGATGCGCGCGTCCGGCTCCTCGGCCTTGTTCTTCTTGCGCTTCTGGCCGGGCTTGCTGGTCTTGGCCGCGGCGTTCTTGGCCGCCTTGCTGGCCAGCACGCAGGGCGTCGTGCTCAGGGGTCTGGCGTTGAGGAGGAGTGACGTGGTAGTCGTTGCTGTGAATGGTGCCATGACTTGGGGTGTTGGCCGCGACAGGCGCAGGCCTGCGAACAGGCTCGTCAGGCTGTGGGAAACCATGGCTTGTTTGATTGCTTGCGTGTGGTGTGGAGGAAGAAGCGTTTGCTGGCGGAATCCCCAAAGTGCTGCGGGCTATCGATGGACCCTTTGGGTGATGCTGTATCGAAATAATTATTAGCTGCGATTGAACAGCCGTCGGCGGATTGAAAATGCGAGGGCCGACCTTCAGGGGAGTTGTCGGGGTTGTGGGGCTGGAGGTTCGATGTGGAGAGTTTGTTAGCTACCTGTGGAAGTTTAGAACGTACGCACTACATACAGTATGTACTATGTAGGTGCTAAGTTTATGTTCTAAGTATAGGTACTAAGTATACCTATATACTATGTGCATATTCCGTTTATGTAGCTCAGTTTAGTATTAGTAAATACTAAATTGAGTTCCAACCTCGACGGTTTGAACATCATAACAACCATTCTGTAATTATCCCTAGTATCTGCAGGCCGTCGTGCATGACTGGTTCAAACATGGTTCTGCACTCGTCCAATGGTATTCGAGCGTCTTGACGGGTGCGTATTCCCATCATGCATTAGCAGGGTACAGCCACGGGATGGGGCGTCATTCAGAGCCGTTGCGCAATTGCGCAAAACGCGGGTGTGGTGGTACAGCTGAGCCCGCCAGGCTTACTTACTTGGAAGAACCCCAAGATTCATCTTGAAAATGCGTTGCCTCAATCTGACTATCGCCTCACATTCCTCGTTGATTATTCGTGTGGCCTCTGTAGGACAATACATCTGAGCTGACGAAACAGCATTTCGGCGGCCTTTGTAAAACTTGTTTCTTATCCATAGTATGTGATGCTCAAGTATATGAAGACTAGTAGTTGACATTTGGCAGAAACACCACCTCAAGACCCGCGGCCAGCATCATGGCAGGGCACCATGGTCTTCGAGCGTCGTAAGACAAGTCTTTACTATTGCCGTCTTGCCAGTTGCTGATTGATTGAGCGTTAACAGTCTCCATCATAAGCTTGCCAAGTTGCGCAAATCAACTCACGGCAATGCTCAAGGCCAGACTCCAACACCAAATGATCATCACAATTCGACAAGCACTTCAGTACAAATCAAAAAGCATGATGGTCAAGTAGTACTGGCGACAGCTGATGGAACCAAGGGTCATAACCATGAGCACGCGAATCCCAGCACGCATAATGTGATAGTTGATGACAATGGATCCGAAGGAGCCCTCATTCATGATGGTAGGGGAGATATGTACCCGCCCAACACTGCTGAAAACAACTTAGATGGGCCTGACTCATATCCCGGAAATATTCTGACGGTGCCCTGGGATTCAAGAAAGGACGATGCGATTGAAAGTCTCACATGGAGTATGAAAGGCTTGACGCATGGTGAAGATTATGTGCCAAATTCCATGGCCACGGGGACACCAGACCAGCGCCAAACTGAAGGCAACGTTCCTCCCTATCCACTGCTAAATCCTCCAAAATGTGCTGGAGGTGGTCCTGTGGTTGATCGCTCAAGGTTTTCCACTGAAGTCCACAGGTTAATGCGCAAGAGAAAGTCGGCGTTTGCCAAGCTGCAACCAGTGACCCACTCTGTCTCTCAACACCGCGACTGCAAGATATACTACGACGATAATTTCTGTCCGAGCGTTCCGTTTTCATCATCCCTGCAGTCCCGTTCGGTTTATCGAAGTCATTTTGAATTTGCTGCTCCTTCGGTTCTCGATGAAGAACAGGACGAAGCTTTGTTATCGATGCGTTCGCCGTCGAACTTCTCCAGCTGGGAACTGGAAGACTCTGGCGAGATGTGTAGTCGCTCTAGTACAGTTCCGCCATCTACCGATAGTTCTACTGTATTGGTCAGTGATTACTCAGGTTCTCAACCACGAGCAATGTTCAATTATGATCAACAGCCTGCCCTTCATGCCCCTGTCCCACAAACCACCTCCAAGGATAAATTCGAAAGGGGAAATCGATCGAGGTCTAAGGATACCAAGTCAACGAGCCATTTATATAATCCTGACGAGAGGGGGTTGTCCAATGAGAGATACCTTTTTACATGTACAAGAGGATCGAAGTCCTCCGGGAAAAGAAAAGAGCCGTTCCAGGAAAGCGAAGATATTACTGATGCTACCACAACCGAGTCGATTGGCACTAAAGAGAAAAAGATAAAAACAGAACCCCACGGTCTCCGGTTAGCTTGCCCTTTCTTCAAGCACAACAGCCGAAGATACAGCAGCCAACAGAGTTGCACAGGCCCAGGCTGGGAAACTATCCATAGAGTCAAGTCAGTAGTCCATGGTTGAAATTCTTTTGCTTCAATCAACCACTGACATACTTAGGGAACATATCTATAGACGCCATACACAACACAAACACCAGTGTCATCGTTGCGGCGAAGTCTTTGAATCATCGCGATCACTTGTAAAGCATACTCGGAGCCAAATGGTTTGCAAACTCCAGGAAAGGGGTGATGCAGATGACATCGATCAAGATACGGTTGCGCGTCTCAAATCCAGAAAAAAAGGTCCTGAACAGACAGAGCCGGAACGATGGATCGCCTTGTACAAAATTTTGTTCCCCAATGACACAATTATCCCAGATCCCTGTAAGTTGATCATCTCCCACTCTACGGTGTAGTGGTATAAGCTAACGCCGTCAAGACTATCGTCATATTGATAGTGATGTCGGTTCTTTGACGATTGCTGGTAAGCTTGATGCTTATCGCCAACACGTTGGCCAGGAATTGCCAAACCTCGTGCGCCACGAATTTCAGACAGCCACCGACCGAGAGCTTCTGGATAAAATCTGCAATCGTCTCCCAGCATTGTTGAGATCACTGCATCCTACGTTTCGACTCGACCACGCAGGACCCTTGCAACAGGCCGATACTTCATCTACTAGAATTCCTGCTATCGCAGCTCTGACCGCTCCCATTACGAAGGAGCAGTACCCTGCCCGGGAAATGCCTACAGCTCTGCCAAGTTTAACATCGACGATTCCCAAAGAACAAAGTTTGAGCCCTATCAATAGCATGCAACAAGATAGGCCATTCACCGCTTCTGTTTTCAATTCAAACTCTAGTCAAATCCAGGAGTCGATGGATACTCCGGCAACGTCAATACATCCATTTGACTCTTACATGAATCCCGAAGAAAACTTATTAGAGTTAGGTTTTGGAGAATTCAATTTCAATGTCAACACTTTTTTCGGTACGAGCGACAACGAAGCCTGCCCCACAAGTACTTGGAACGACACATACGTACTTCAAGACGAGTTCAACCCTTGAGTCGCATAACTCAGAGCGCTTATGGGTAACTTGGTAATGAAAAGAGCCAAACGCATCTTGTACCCTGGCATACATTACACGACGGGATTATCAACCCGTCCCTTCATAAGCCCATTGGTTTCGTACGGGTCTAGCCTTTTGTGCTTTGTAGTTTCTCTAGGATAGAAGCTGAAATGACAAGTCGAACGCTATTAGTTGCCAAGGATGGTTTGGCCACTAAAACTGCAAGGTGTCCATTTAGCGTCCGGCATGCCGCATGTCCAATTGCCTTTTTAGGCTATTAGTGGAGAATAAACATTCTCATAGGATTTGGGACTGTAAGCTGACAACATGTTAGAACTTGCAGGCCTCTACTTAGTATAAACCTCTAATTTCCACTCTGTCTCAGTCTTGAACAGCTCAGATTTCCAGCTCCTAAAAAAAATCATTTTGACTCCCATTCCCAAGTGCACAACATCGTTTCTACACGGCTAGCGTCGTCAATATGGGAGACTTAAAGGATTTTACTATACCATCAGAATATCAAGACCAGCTGGAACTCGTCACCATCACAGACAAACGTTCCGACCAGGATATTCTCCAGGACCTCACACAATATGGACCTGTCACATCAGAGAAGAATATCTGGGCATTCTGGCATTCAGGTGTCATGAGCATGCCAGGATGGTGCCAGCGTAATATCACCGACTGGGTCCGCATCTGCAGCCCCAGCTGGACTGTCCGAATCCTGGACAATAATCCCGACTCGCCCAACTACGCACTGAAATATGTGTCTGCAGATCTCTTACCAGAAGCATTCGTGCTGAAGCAAATGGACGGCCCGTACGTAGGCCCCCACAGCGCGGACTTCCTGCGCGGTGCATGTCTGTATCAACATGGCGGCGTGTTCATAGATGTTGGATGTATCTTACTACGACACATGGATCGTATTGGCTGGGATAAGCTGGAGGATCCCAATTCACCTTATCAAGTTGCCGTCCCTCTCATGTATGGCCAGACGGTGGCAAATTCTTGGGTAGCTGCTCGAAAAGGTGATCCGTTCATCAAAAGATGGTAAGTGACACATGAAAACTACCAAACCAAAATGATGCAGGACTGGTCTAATCAAGCAAAAACAGGCACGACCTCTTCACTCATCTGTGGAAGGGCCACAAGAACCACGAAGGTCTGATCGAGAACCCCCTACTGGCCTTCGGCGCCGGCCAGGACTTTGACGAGTCCCGCGCCAGCAACTTCCACTGGGACTTTGCCGTGCCCGCCAGGACGGTGATGGAGTATATCACCCAGGTGCTGGCGTGGCAGCGGCTCACCATGCTCGAGGACGCCGGCGACGGGTTCTCGTGCGCCGACTACTGGCAGCGCAACGTCTACTGCTTCGACGTCCTCAAGGAGGCCTGGGCCGCCGAGGATGAGGTGGGATTCGGTGGACAGAAGCTGTTCGACGTGCTGACTATGAGACGCGAGGGTGGCGATAAGACTTCCGAGCAGTATAAGAAGGCCGAGCGGGCGATCTATAGAATGCTGAGCCAGGCCTCGTTCCAGAAGATCACACATGGGAAAGGCCTCACTAAGAGCTTGGCCGTGGGCGCCCTGTTCGACAAGCCCGAGAATGTGGACGCCGATCGAGCGTCGGGTACGTTTGCTGAGTTGCTCAGATATGGGTCGGTTCATTTCAGACAAAAGAGAGGAAATATTGTTCAGATGGAAGCAAAGAAACCCCCGCAGACATTGAAGAAGGGAGTATTGGAACCTTGACGGAAAAAATTATTGCTGGAGACTGGACTGTTGCACCACGGACTTGTCAGCCTTTTCAACGGTTTGGATGCTTCATCAACCGAGTGGAGTTCATAAAATCTCAAGACATTTATTGTGGAAAAAAAATTGCGGTTTACCACTATTGATCAATCACTCGTTGGATTTATGGTTTCTGTACTGTGATCTGATAGCCCAAAGCGCGCAAAGATTGAACAAACTACTGAATGAACCAACGATTGAGGAGGTTTGATCTGAAAGACAGCTATACAATCATGGAATGATCGCTCATGGCTCCAATGTGCATCTTAAAATGTCGAGGATCAGATTGTTGAGTCTTTAGCCACGCAAAAACGGCGTCGCGTCAGGACCACAGACTGTTTTGGTAGATCTTTCAATGGCGGACTATCTAATGGACGATAGAATTTTAGCTTTAACCCTGTATTTTATTTGGCAGTTCATAAAATAACTTGTAGTTAATAATGCCTGGTCCAAAGTCTAGAGTGTAAGATTCTTCATGTCTACCAAGTGTAACTCATCCAAACAACCCTTCACTGATGTACAAGTATCGATTTATTATCTGACATTGGGAATGCTCAAAAGTCACATTGCTACATACAGTTACTAACGAAACCAGCGTCCTCTGGTTGTTCTTTTATAGTCCTAGTTTAGAGCCCACTTTGACAAGGGTATAGCCTTAATCTTGTACCCCGTCACCTGTTCAAGTATCAAGCCTATTTTGGACCCCGCTAATGCCAGCTTTATATATGTATGAATGGGCTTCTGTTGTGCTTATGTATTGTATATTCTGCACTATACTCGACAGGTCAATAATCAGAGCTGCTTATTAATGACACTATTGACCTCAATCTCCATCCTATTTGTGGCATTCATGAGCAAACCTACAGGCGCTGATATGCCTGTACCAGCGTACGTAATCTCCAATTCTTGACTTCATCCTGACGCTTCATTATCATCCTCCGACATCTCTGATTTAGCTTCTAGTTGTCCATATGCATGAGCAAGCAGTTCTACTGAGACCTGACGATCGGGATCATCTTGGGCGTAAAGCTGACTTTCGATTGCCACGACGTGTTCCAAGAGGTTAATTGCCTCTTGCGCTAGCCCATCTTTGAGGTATGCTATGGCAAGCACATGCTCCGATGATAGTCGAAAATGATCTTTCTCATCTAGCGTCTTCGTCTGTACTGATAACACACGCTCTAGCATCTTGATCGCTTCTTTAATCCGCCGGTCGTCAAGGTATGCTCTGGCAAGCACTTGCTCCGATGATAGTCGAAAATGATCTTTCTCATCTAGCGTCTTCCTCCGCACCGATACCACATGCTCTAGTATCTTGATCGCTTCTTTAATCCGCCGGTCGGTAAGGTATGCTCTGGCAAGCTCGTGCTCCGATGATAGTCGAGAATGATCTTTCTCATCTAGCGTCTTCCTCCGCACCGATACCACATGCTCTAGCATCTCGATCGCTTCTTTAATCCGCCGGTCGTTAAGGTATGCTCCGGCAAGCACTTGCTCCGATGATAATCGAAAATGATCTTTCTCATCTAGCGTCTTCCTCCGCACCGATACCACATGCTCTAGTATCTCGATCGCTTCTTTAATCCGCCGGTCGTTAAGATATGCACTGCCAAGCCAGCTTTGAGATGTTACTTGAAAACTATTTCCGGCGAACTCTTCTTCCCCTTCCCACCCGCACATCTCTTCAAAGCACCGTACAGCTTCTTTGAATCTTCGGTCCGTAAGTAGACATCTTCCAGCACTACCCAAAAGATCGTATCGACATTCTTCTGCCTCGTACGCCTCGCTTCCATAAAGTAGTCGCAATGCATGAGGCATATAACTTCTCCACAAATCACGATTAACAGCGTTGTGGGAAGGGAAATTGTCTGCAAGATGGCTTGTCGCATCCTCCACCACTTGTGCCCTCCGACCTTGCTTCTCTGTCCATCCCCGCATTGCCATGTGCACAAGACTGTGCATGTCAAACATGTCGCTGTCTCCACGCCGGACCAGGAACGAGTACCCGCAAAGTATGCCGATTGCCCATTCGAGCTCTTCTGACTCTGATCCCGGCAGCATCGACTGAGGGATAGCCCTCGGCTCAATACATGACATGAATGATAACACTGCGACCGCGGTCTTGTTCGACTTTTCGATCTGATCAAACGACACCAGCCACGTCGTCGCTACCGCGTTTCGCGACTCCCGGTACCGAGTGTTATCTCTGAACTCTCTTCCTAGTACGTTGGTAGCATCCCTCTCGGCACCACGCAAAAGGCTTAGGTACTTGTGTATAGGCGCCTTAGTCTGGTTAAAATAAGCCGCCGCTTGCGTGATAGCCAGTGGGAGATAGGTAAGATAGGCGAGAAGCTCTATCACTAACACTTCGTCTTGGAGCATCTGCTTTTGAGTTAACGACTTCTCGAGAAGGTGCGTCGCCTCTTCGCAACCCATCTGCTCGACGTCGATTATGTCAGCTTGTGCAAACTCCTCGGCGACCTGCCTTGATCGTGTCGTCAACAAAATCAGTCCATAGTCGCTTTTAGGTAGAAATTCCTCAATGCCAGGTCCTTCAGTGGATCCAAACACCAGCTCTTGATTATCAGCGTTGTCCACAACCAGCAGCCATCTACCAGCCTCATCCGAGCTAAGATATTGGCAAACGAGCTCCTTGATATCCTCCTCGTCGCTCTTCTTCTGCACCCCAAGCTTCTTGGCCATCTCAATATAAGCCTGCTCCGCACTACTACCACTTACTATCGGCACCCAGAAGATCGAATACTCTGGCCGCTTCTCTTTGACTCCGTAGGCGAAATACAGGGCGATCTGCGTCTTGCCTACCCCGCCAAGTCCCACCAGCGCCGTCCTCTGGCATGGCTCTTGGCCAAAGAGCTTCTCTTCCAGTATGTCCAGCACGGCGGCGCGGCCAGTAAACCTAGGATTCTTGGCAAGTTGGATGTGATAGCATGATTGATGGGGACTCTCTATTTCATTATTAACAACCACCCAAGTAGAGACAGGCTTGTGCTGTAGTATCCATGTATTCTACTTACTATTCCATACGATGGCGTTCCAAACCGCTGTCTGCTCTAACGGATCTGACCGGCCCGAGTCATTCGGCGGGATCTCATCCAGCACTGCTTTGCCATACGCTGCCGCCATCGCCGCCGCATATGGCTGCCACTCCTTGTTCTTGTGCTTGTCCCCGTAGTCACATACCCCCCGGATCACACCCACGGGAATTCGATTCATCGTCCCTGCCGCCTCCATCTCCACACCGATTACCCCGTACCTATCTCTAAGCTCGTTCCTCTTTTGCGCGTTCTTTATAAGCTTCTCTCCCGACCCGATCGGTCCATACCACACTCGAGTGCGTCTTGCATCCGGTCGTCGAACGCGTTCGATGACTTGTTCTGTCCCGTTAGCTTGCACCAAGTACAACTTATCACGATCCTGACCCGGGTCGGCAAACGTGCCAGTCGCATGCTCGTTGTCGCGGATGGCTTCGTAGTAATGCAGAAAGACCTCTGCATCGTTCGGCGCCTCGAGCTTAATGCTGCCGATAGCTGCTCGGACAATCGGCTCGGTCACCGCGAGTGCGTGTCCGTGTTTGAGTAGTTCGAACCCGTCTTCCGTCTCCTTGCCGAGATCGTATGCGACCAGTCCTGCGCTCTCGCCGTCAGGAAGACCAACCAGCACGTCCCCCAGCCGGATGTCACGCGCCGGCCGTCGCGATAGATCAGGCAGCCCCATAGCGACGCCGACGAGCAGCCCGAACCAGAGCTTGGGGAAGAACTTCTTGACCTGGCTCGCCAGTGCAGCTGCCGACCCCGTCCCGTACTCCTGGCCCGCCGGCAGTGTCGCTATGACGACATTATGCCCTCGCATGTTGCCTGCGTGAAACACATAGTCATCGCCTCGGCTGACTTGGAACCGTCCGCGATGTCGCTCATCTAATAGGTTAAGGGCAGCCTGGGCCTCGATCTCGAGAGGGGCGATCCAGGCCACCGTGTAGTCGTGAGGGTCGAGGGTGGCTGTTCGTCTCGAGTGGTCTCTATGTGTTGCCTGCATGTCGCAATCATAGGCCTCGTCTCATAAACTACGAAGACCCGTCTTGTATAGGATGGCTTTGACGCTTATAACACTGCTACTGGCTTCGGTGGCTCGTGCGATTCGATCGAGCTGCTCATATTATCGTCGTCGGCGTCGCCTAGGAGGAGGACATGTCGAGAGCCTCGTGCGGCTGAAGAAGGCGCAGTCGCAAGTCAAGCAACCCAGGCAGGAGACTGCGAGTAGCAGGGTCCGATGTCCAATCATCCCGTCAGGGAGCTGCAGGTGACTTTTGCGACATTATCAAATCTGCCTTGTTGAATACCCCGGGAATTGATCTGTACCTAGGTTAATTTAGATTGGTCGAGGACCCACTTCTGGAAACAAAATTTTTAGCGTCTCTTCCCTATTGGCAGCAAACATAGCAAAAAGTCCTCGATATAGGTGCCACCTGTATCAGAGCTTCCCTTGCCATTCGCTTCTGCGTACACGTCATTTTAGCAAGTTACAGAATTCAAGTATAGGCAGGCATAGCAGGTTTCCTTGAACAACTATATCATTCCAATGAACATAGTTATTGCTTGCTAAACCATTCATCGTCCGCTATTTACGTTTCCACTAGTATGATGATATTCATAGCGACCGGCGGATCAAAGAAGCGATTGAGTTATTAGAGTACATGGTGGCGGTGCGGAGGAAGATGCTAGATGAGAAGTCGACTAGTATCGGAGCAAGTGCTTGTTAGAGTATGCCTTATTGATAGGCTAGCGTAGGAGGTGGTTAACCTATAACCCGTCATAGCAATCGAAAATCAGCTCTATGTCTAAGATGATCCCAATCGACAAGCCTTTATAGAGTTACTTACTAATACATATAAATAAATAGAAGCTCTATAAGAGACGTCGGAAGATAATAACAGAGCGTTAAGATATAATTAAGAATTAGAAAATTTGCTTATTAGTATAAGTATATTATTATTTATAGATATACTTATAAATATTATAAATAAAACGGAGATTTAAGCGAACAATATTATTAATAAGCAACTTGCAACGACCTGGCCAAGGTGCCAGCCTAGCGCTCGAGCAGCGTATGAAGTGCGCCCGTGCGTAGTCGGTGTAAAACCCCCGCTTCGTAACTAGCGATGGAGACATTCCTTTTACTCCTCCTGAAGAATAATTCTCTGAATATAATCGTTACGCCTAGGAGCTTGTCGCCTGGTGATCTTGTCGTAATTGTTACACAACTTTAGTCAAAGACTTGTCGAATATATCACAGAATATAAAATATATATATACGCATTAGGTTACTCTCTTTATGTATATATACAGATGTGGAATGGCTTCTCCATTCAATTCTTTCCGTACAGTGTGGGCGACAAATAGATCTATTCAGCGCTGTCGTACGAAGGAGAAGAAGGGATTCTTCCCCTCGTACGTGGTCTATAGATAGGGGTTTGGGGTTCACCCGTACGGCTGCTAGCTGCCGACAGCCACATCGTGGCTGTGGTGGCTTACTGCCAGCACGCCGGTGACTACCTATACTACGTAGTTAACCGTCGTACGAGACCGCGAATAATATATTCCAACAACAGATGATATTAACAGGTCTAGAACAAGATCTAGTACTTAAGTCGATATTAAAGTATATGTAATAAGGTTACACCCTAATTAAATTAGCTCTAAAGCAAGACTATGAGAGAATAAAAAGAGGATGCTGGTTTCGTTAGCGACTATAACATTACAAGAAAAAAGCGAAAAGCAAAAAGAAAAAAGCTGAGAAGTAATTCGCAACTCGAGGAGACTCTATGATTCCCACCGTTGATTAATGGAAATTTTATAGTGAGAAGGAGGGCACACCGCTGACCCCAAGATTCTTGTTTACACTAACCCGTCCTAATTTGAATCATGAGGAAAGTACAAACTGTCAAACAGGAATTGCAACAAGGTGCACATCTCAATCAAGAACTGTAACAGCTGTGTATGAGCTGCGTCTCAGGGCTCTGCCCCTAGGACGCATACTAAAACCGGGTCAACGGATCTGCAGTAACGTTTATTATGCGCAATACAAGCGCTGCATAAAGGAGGGTGGGCTAGCTGCTAGTTGGAGGAGCAGAGTTCAGTCTTTAACCTATCTATCCCACACTTATTGCCTATGTTGTGGTTGTGACTCTTCACTCTGCTGCCAACCCCGATTTGACACACACATAGGTACTAGGTCAATTTTGAAGACATTGAGTTCGGGGATGATTTCCACGAGGCTAATGTCAACCAAGTATTCTATAAGGTACTTCGTCCGGAGACACCATACACGGACGTACTCAATAAGCCTCTTAACAATTTGGATCAGCCTACCCGGATCCATGTGGAAGCAGACATCGACAAGTTCTTCTTGGAGGTCAGTAGGTCCACTACTCAGCCATGTCTTGCATGGAACAAAGCAATACATTAGTCAGAGTACTAGGAACGCCCAGGCGCTGAAGTTACGCATCCCATTCGACAGTTGCCAAGCAAAGGTAACGCTCCCCCAAAGCAACAGCAAATTCAATCATTAAAAACACCAAAAGCGGCCCAACTTTCCAATATATCTCCCTGCCCAATATATGCCTCGTATGACGCCAGCACATGACGAGGTCTACGTAATTGGGCATTCTGCCAAGACCAAAGTTTTGGACCGAGTAGTTTTTCTAGGTTGGGAGTAAATACGTGAACCATGGTCGGATCTACCTCGGAAAGATAGCGATGTACGCAATGGGTGCAGGCACCTGTCTTGCGTTCACGATGACGCATATTGGAGCCACAGTTTTCCGTTTCTTCGTCATCGATGGGAATGCTAGAATAGGGGTCCAGCAGCATACATTCCCTTGGTGTCCACAGTATGTGACCTCATCAGGAGAAAATGTAGTGTCGGGGATCAAAGCAATTTGGACGCTACTTGTCATGGCTTTGTCTTGGTGGTAGAGATACCAATTTCAGGAGCCGACTTTGTTCCCTGGAGGACTGGCCCCGGCTCTGATTATTTCATGCTGAGACAATGCTGCAAACGGTGCTTTGCATGGACAAATCTAGCTGACTGGACCGGAAAAGAAACCCAATATCTACTGAGACGTATTGAATAAAAATTTTTTTTTTAACAAATTATATTAATCTGGTATTTCATTCAAAGCAATTAACAAACGGGTGACGTGAAAGAGCAGCGACTCTGAGATGGCAAAATTGCCCAACGTGCCGGGACCTAAACTAGGCCAATTCGACACGCTTGTACAGCCGCTGAGAATCAACTTCAAGGAACTGTTTGGCGGCGGGCGCACATGCTCATGTCTGGAAAGTCTCCATCAACGATACACTGTACGCTTTGAAAATGGTAAGATGGCCGATGAGCGCTTCTGCGTGACAGCCATACGAATCTCGAATCCGAATTCCGACTGACAACTTCAAGTTCAATTTTGGAAAACATTTCACTTCGTCTTACTTTTGGGATATCACCTCGAACGACGAGGACCAATATCCTACATGCATCCTTTTTAATTGTGAATGTAGAGTGTATGTGCCACTCATGAATTTTGGCAAAGAAACAATTTCCATCCCCTGCTATGACCATATCATACTAGGAGATGACCTGCAAGCAGCTCTACGAGAGAAGGATAGGCTCGACTGGGGCGAGGATTGGGGCTGGTCAGACGAAGACAAAGGTGTACCGATCTCAGCTTTGGTAAATAAATTCGTTGAGTTAGAGAACGTGGAAGAAAAGAATATCCGCCCAGACGCGAATTACCGCAGGACAATCCAGGCAATCTATACTACTCAGACTGCCAAACGACTTGTGCAGACCATGAAGGTCATGCACCGTGTAGGCATTCTCAACCGGGATATCAACAGTACCAACATCGCTCAGGGGAAATTCATAGCGTTCAGCTGCACATGAACTGTACCTCATCCTTGCTTGTCTACAAAACTGATAAAATAAGCAAACCAACCCACTGGATCAACTTGGGAGCAGTGACGCATATGGTTTCGATGAGATAATCGAAGATTGGAACAGGGTTGTGGCGCGAACAGACACAATCTGGGATCGAGCCGGGCCAAATAGTAAACATAAAAAAAGAATGCGCTATTATCAGCATCCAGAGGACTGGTGCAAGCCCTGGAACTGGAATCGCGGATACAAGCTCCGCCCCGACGAGTTTACGTGGGAGAAGGCCCCGAGTAACCTGAAGAAACCCACTGCAAAAGACTCAAAGTCAAAGGATAGAGATGACCATAAACCTTCGTCAAGGAGCGTAAGCCAGCTACAAAGTAAAGTATGCGACAGACGTAGTGTGGTTCACTCTCAACAACGACACTCAAGAATTTGCTCCTAGACTAGTCTAACCTTAGAGCCTTAAGTTCATGTCTACATTGTACAATTACAGAAGTTGCACAAACAATCTGGATAAGAGAAGCAACAAATGATAATATCCCGCGTAGTATGAGATGCTTGAGGTATGTAGAGCGCAGGTAGAGTGTCGTGAAGCGTGCTAGTTGATGCCACCCTGTTCATTGTAGTCGTCAACTGCATAAAAGCACAAGTAGTGAGCCTATCCTTAGCGCATCTCATCCATACCAGCAATGCACGCCCTGTCGCCATTTTTGGTAGAGTTCAACGCTTTCTCATATTTTGGGTTCAACGGTCGCGATACCAAAATAGCACTTGCAAACGATAGTGGGCACGTCGTGGCTATACTGTAGGGCCGGAACTTTGGCAGCCACTGAAACGTTGCTGTCAGAGCGCGCTAACCTAGACGTTGCTGAATAACACCCCAAGGCGGTGTTGCCCTGGGTTCCGATTGGTCATTGTACCACATCCAGTAACTTAATACCGGACTCCAGCAAAACCAGCTGAAGATAGACCAAACTCTGTCTATGTAGTGTGTTATCTTGGAGCTGAAGTCGAAAGGCCGTCGCTAGCCCGGCTGATTACTCCGAGCCCACGTTACCCCCGGTGTTGGGCGAGGCGACTGAACAACCCAATGATGGCGTTCACTCCATTCAGCTGGATTAGCGCAGCCTCCGCCCAAATTGAGGCTGAGTGCTTCCTGATTGTACTAGACTAGCACAGAATATCAGGATGCAATGTTAATATAGATCAATTTCTGGTGTATATAATGGTATGTCGTTACGAAGTCGTTAACTCTGATTGAAGCTCATTCATTTCATATCCAGTTCCATATTCATATTCGTTTCCATATTCATTTCCTTTTCATTCTCCTCTCCATTTTCCTTTTCATTTCCAATTCCGGTTTCATCTCTACATTCATTTTCGTCTACTTCTCAAGTAAAACTTTTAATCAGTTACTCTTCTTGAAAACTACTAAGCACTTGTTTTAATCGAAATACTCTGTCAAGATGAGGTGCGCAGCCATTATCGCTTTGTTCGCAGCCAGCGGCACCATTGCCGCTCCTTCTCTGTCTTGGAAACATCGGTACACCAACAGCACAACGCCTTGCTACGGCAACAGCACAGTACCAACAAACACAACGACGCCCTCAAATTCGACAATACCCTCAAACACAACATATCCTATATCTTATACAGGGTTCATTTTGCCCACGCTTCTCAAGAACCATGACATCCCTACCAATGACAACGCTCTGGACCTCCAGACAGCCACCGTGCGTAATGGTGTGGCGGAGACATCAACACTCTACGAGATACCTGTACCGGCAGAGCTTGCCGGCAAAACGTGCAGCCTTGTCATCCAAGCTGGGCATCTCGGCCGTGGCGACAATATTCTGGGCACACAAGCTATGGACATCTTTAACAACAATATCGAATCCCATGCAACACTGGATTACGGCAACCACCGTAACAAACAGCTTGCACGTGTGCACTTTGATAGCACCACAGGATTATACGCGTTCGATGACACGGTCCTTCCACCCTTGATCAAGTCGTTTCCGTGCCCTGCCGGGAAGACACTTGAGTGGGAATCTGTCGCTGTTGGCGACTTTGATATCAATGTTATTCGGCAGGACTTTGAGGTCGATGGCAAACATATTCCCAATGGCTTGAGCATTGGCTATCACTAGAGAAGGCCCTTGCGTGTGATATTGATTCGTTCGGCATGAATGTGTATCAATTATAGATAGTAATGGTAGCTTGCGGGATAGAAGAGGACATTTTGGGATAGAATCGAGTAGGCTAGCATTTACCGTAACAGCCAAATATACAAGATTGCTCGCAATTTCATGAAAAATAAGAGTTACTAGGTGATCCACTCGGCTATTAGTCTTCTTCATTGTTGCCTGCTGTGTCGGATTGACCGGAGCCACGTACCACCCATTTCAAACAGATTTTAAACTTCCAAAGCATCGGCCCTCGCTTTTGGTGAAGTTTCCAGACGCAAGCGCAACTTCTTGGAGATGGGGCGAAATAGAAAATTTTGCTCTTGGAAAGAGTTGTGCTGGTCGCGCAACAGGTCGTTACGCTCGCGCTGATATGTCAGCAGTTGAGACTGGAAGTCGGCATCGTGCTTGCTGTTGTTGACATCCTCGCCCGGATTAGCTGCAAATCCCTCCTTCACAGCTTCCTGCTCAGCGTTTTTGCGTGCGGCTTTGATTTCACCAAATCTGACAAGGCAAGCGTCCACACATGCCATCCATTCAAAACAAGCTGCGACTATCAGTTATATGAATAGCGCATCACAAGCAAGAAGTACTTGACTCATCTTCTGGATCGTACTCATAGTACCCATCCATATCATCGACGAGATTCATCTTAATTACCTCCTTGCGCTTTGCATCCATCGCCTGCTCTAGCTCACAGAGATGTTCGTCCCAATCTAGAAACTCCCATGCATCGCCACTGACACAGGCGAATGTGCATTGGGTTCCTAGAAAAAGAATCACCAAAGATAGCTAGCTAACCCCGGGAATGACGTCCTATAAATTGTCTCGCGAACAATGAACGGGTGGTGCTTCCCCTCAATACGTTGATATTTCTAACACCTCACACAACGGGGGTTTACGCCGGTAAGAACACTAGCCTTTGTGAATTTCTCCTATATTTTGCCCATAGGCTTGCGGATTCTGAAGATGTTCCGGCCATAGCGTGTTGGGGTCACGTTAGGTGTGCATATCTCGGCAGGTCCCTTGCCACAGAATCCCTTGCTGCCAAACCTGTTGCCTAGCAAGGCATTGCCGCCAACGCTCTTATGAGGCTTCTATACTCTGCTATGGCGCCCAACCGAGGTAAATCAAGTGGCGGCTTTTTGTAAAACTTTAATGGAGTATGTAGCTGGCTAGCAGTTGGCCAGAAGTTGATAAAAGCTTGGTCAAAAGTTGATAGACATGTTACATACGATGGTCAATAGTAGTCTATTGATAGTGTGTGATGTAAGGGTGTGAGAAGAACAGAGCTGACTTCGCTCTCCTGAAGGCTAATGTGGTTTCCTGGGTAGATATAAGAGGCATCTATCAGAAATTCGTGCCTAATATTGATGGGGTTTACCAGGAATTGCGCAGGTTCGGGATAGAAGTTTCGACGCAAACCGACGCAACACGGGAGAGTTGCCCAAGAACAACTCCTGATGTAACGCTGTTCATTTGCCTCTACTCTAATTGCCGTTTCATGGCCAATCCGTCCCATTGAGGATACTTTGACATATAAAGGTTTCAAGTCAACATCATCCACCTCCGAAACACAAAAATCCTCCATCAGCTTCAAGATTTCATTGCTAATATTAAAAGCAAAAACAACAACGGAGGTCATATGAGTTCCATCACCCGTTTGCGTCCAACAATCTTTAGAAGATCAAAAATGGCAAGTCACGTGAAATCTCTTCCCAAAGTAACGTTAACTGCCTTTAACTCTACATATGCTAAAGCCACTCAATGTATCTTCGTTACCTCAGAAGAAGTCGCATGTTTGCCGATGTATGTCTTAGAGCGTGGGTTATTCTAAATATACGTATAAGGAGTAGAGAAACATTTGCTAGTATACCGCCATGCAAAGCCACGTGAAGACTTCATTAGAGAGAGAGCTCGTTAAGTTGCTCTTACGAACCGTCAATGGCGTAAAGATTGCAATGGTAATAACATTTTCCCACGCCGGCAAGGTAGGTTCAGATGCAGATACCACCATTGGCTAGTGTGCATTCCGCGTTATCTAGTAATTGTCCGAGAACCTATCTAATATGGCGAGCTTTTCTGAGCTCTCCCGGAGTTATAGCCAGTATACCGTTAGGAGCCACCTTGGTATGCTAAGTCATGTAAACACTGATTATCTCCTCTTGAAGACGACAGAAAGCCTTAGTGCGGCCTTCTCCATATAAAATAAGTATGTCCAAGTCGAAAATTCTGTGCAGGAAATAAGCTATATACTCTTCTAAAGTGATCTACCGTGTCGTAACGCATGCCGTTCTTGGGGCCATAGAATGCTTCGGAAGCTTGTCAGTGTCGAGTAGTAAATTCTGAGGAATGCCTATATATCACAGATATCTTTCCCGAAGACCATCTCCGCCCCCGCAAACCCAATGATAATAAAAAACAAACTTCATGGCTTTAAGGATAACTAATTCTTAGACTCTATAGCAACTCCCCTCTTTAGATCACTTTCCAGGGTACAGTGCGTTACTACCGACCGCTAATAGTAATCGAAAAGCATATGTAGTACAAAGTGGGCTGTCTAGTCTTAGAGATGCTAAAGCCATTTAACACCGAACGGAAAACACCGGGCTAAAACATTAAAATGTTTGAATTGCGAAAATATAACCACAGCGATCCTACTCAGCCACCCAGTCGAGGATCAATGCTATGCCAGGGGTAATTTTATGACTAGACCGTAAAAGAGGATGGAGTCTACCAATTATGAAGTTCAACTCAGTGAGTGGGTGATCCTTGTGAGTTGTAGAAATCAGAGTTTAAACATCCATAAAGGATGAGGTAATAGGCCTAGGCATTGTCAATGAAATTATATGCCCATGCGAAAAAGAAGACCAGACCAATTTTGCGGTTACGGAAAAGAAGCATCTCCATCATTGTCGTTACATACAAATCACGGTTTTCGTCATAGCGACATCTAAAAACTGGAGGATCTAGAATCAAGAGATGGCAGACCCTGTGCCAGAAATATCGCCCAAACAGACTTGGCGAGCGTGACTGAAATCCTCCCATTAGATCACAAGCTACCAATTTAACACCAGGCAATAACATATAAACCCTCTACAAACATTGTGAAATCATTCTGTTCGCCACTGCAAGTTCACCCATTCGTAGCCCGCCGAACGTAAGGATCTTTGCAACCCGCGACGCAGGCAAGTGCATATACGCAGATTATAAACCCTACCATTAAGAGCACACAAGACATAGGTAGCGGCCGTTCCATTACACGATAATACAACCAGGCAAACAGTTCCGCTACGATGTCCCGTAAAACGAAGGGTTGAATATAGACAGGCAATTTTCCCCTCGTACGCTTGAAGAAAGAGGGGGGCAGCTGAAAATAACCCTAATTTCGACGCTATGCCTAGGACTTCCGTCTGAATATGGTCGCCTCGATTGTGAACGGCAAGGTAGGTAGGGTTGAGACCATCGTCAGCCTGTATGGGACCGAAGCGCCCTATAAGGACTTTTAGGTATCGCATGATAACTTTTGCCGTTCGTGCGGGAATCGCTGCCTTGATTTGCTTGCTGGTAGATCTCCAACCTTTTTGTGAGTAGATGCGTAAATAAGCGATTGCTACGTGGTCCTCTGGAATCTAACATAGCAGAGTGCGCTATCTGGCACTTACCTCCACCGGTCACGACACTGCAGAAATCGAATTTTGCTTATATAGGTGTTTAATGTTGGGGAAGGTTATGATGAAAAGGTAAGAATTTATTCAGCAATAGAACGCATCAACTTTATGGCCAGGAATAAGCGAAACCACGTTGCTTGAGTGAGGACCAGTCAAACGTGAGTTGAACGCGTAAGATATCACCGTAAAGTGCACATGTTGCGAGGACTTCTGCGTGTACAAACTAAGTACAGGTATACTTGAACTCCGATCCTCTCCCATGTCGTTGCAACTAGATTAACTTTGGACCTGGCCCTGTACCATGATCCGTGAAATGGCTATTGGCCAGAATCAGAACATGATTATGTCGGTGTCCATTTCGGCTTTTTACTTAGTGACATGGCTAGTATCAATCAAAGCCTCACATCTCTACTATGCGGCCGGACTTAGTCAAATGCTTAGTTTCATATACGTAGAGACAACAAAATCGCATTTCTGTTGACGTGGTCTTGTGCCGCTTCAGCCTGATTGGCAGTAAGAAACATCAGAAATAACCCTACATGCTGATGGCCCCCTTGACTGTCGCAAGGTGGTCAATTGGATAGTTAATGGCCTCTAAAGTCCAGGAATTGCGGCAGGGAGAAATTATAAAAAGCTGGAAATAAAGAGGCTCGTATGATCTGCAACCTTAAAAATGAATAATAAAGGCCTCATTAAGTGTCCTAGGTAGGTAAACATCTCCAGGAAGGACTCAATTAACGAGGTTAGTTGGCATCTGTTCGTCCATGATGCTCGCGATTAAACCTATCAACGACTCGGTATTGGTCTTATAGCTTCGACAACTTCCTTTGAAGAACCAATAGTATATAGCGTGGCTATGATATTTACATCAATACTCACGCATCTATGTATAACGGCGATTCCAAGACTATCTTTTTATAGCTGAACCTTAGAATTCTACTAACTCTTTTAAGTATAACCTTGTTAAACTATGAGAGGCATCATAATCTATTTACACACTATAACCGTAACATCAAGCACCGAGAAACTGGTAGTTGAAGTTCGTTCGTATCTCTTCATTAAACTTTGTACCATTTCGCGAATAGTATTTAGCTTTGCGTTTCTCCACGCAGTTGGCTAATACGTGCACGATGCTCTTTAAGCTAGCGGCACTTTGTGAACTTGCGTGAGTAGCAATTATAGCGTAAGATGACTTATAATTTATAAGAAGTGGTGAAAAGGATGTGCAATGCAGTGGGAATCCGAAATAGGTATGTCGGGGCCGGAATAGCCTTATTCCGGACCTCTAACACATCTGACTGTTCGCCTTGTCGGGTTTGCCTCGTCAGGTTTGACACGTCATACACAAATTCGTAACACCAAGAACAACGATTTATCACATCTAACAAAGATGACTATAGTATCAAAATCACAATTAAAGTCGGGAGACGGACGATCGTCGCCATCGCCGATTTCGAATCGTGAGAAAATACAGCAGCGTCAAGCAGAGGGAACTGCAGAGCCAACCATGATCGTACCGAAGAAGGGAGACCAGGACCCCGAGAAACCTGTGCATACGCAAGGCGGTGTGGCAGAGAAAAATCTCAGGTCAACCGCCTCGAGAACCGCTGCGGCCTCACCAGAAATCGCTGCATATCGTACCCCGCAGGATGACTTTGGCAGGGAAGATGACGAGTACATCAGCGGATATAAGCTCTTCGCCGCCCTCTTTGGCATCGTATCTGTCTTCTTCATCGTTCTTTTGGATTTCAGCATCATCTCTACGGTTAGTATGGACAGCCCACAGAGTCACTGTGTGCCAAGAGACCATTCTTGTCGCCCCGATAACGGACATGATTAAGATATACTGGCCAAATGGCTGACGACTTTACCTCCTTGATTTCGTGGTTTAGGCTATCCCGTACATTACGAGTGATTTTCACAGGCTACAAGAGCATGTATATTTCAAACAGCTTCTTTCCGACTCTTTCTGGGGATCTTACCTAATCCCAGATCATACACTCGGTCGCTCTAAGATAGCACTGATATAAGGGCTTTGCTAATGTGGAGGTTGAACAGCGTCGGATGGTACGGAGGTGCTTATCAGCTTTCGAGGTAACTATCTGGCAATCTGACCCAAACCGCAACAACAGCAACAACAATGAAACATTTCTACTATAGCAGAATTAAGACTGATATGATCCCGACATTAGCGCCGCTTTGCAACCTCTTACTGGAAAACTCTACACCTACCTCAGCGCGAAGCGGACGTTCCTATTATTCGTTGCCATTTTCGAGATTGGCTCCTTGCTTTGCGCTGTCTCGACCTCGTCGACGTTCTTTATTCTCGGTCGTACCGTCGCCGGGCTGGGAACTGCGGGCCTGGAGAATGGCGCCTTGACTCTTATCGCAGGAGCAGTACCTTTACACAAACGGCCTTGTAAGTCGTAGACAGCTGAGCTGAACTTTCACCATTACCTTGAAATTATTGTTCTTACGACTTAAAATCTAACTTTGAAATGTGATATGTAGTGTATACTGGCATAGTATTTGCAAGTTCGTAAATATGGTCGATATTAAGAAATACTGTGAGCTGACGGTAGACTCTAGTCGGTCAGATCGGTATAGTCGTCGGACCGCTGATTGGTGGCGCCTTGACGCAATACTTGACCTGGCGATGGTGTGAGTGGTTACTTTCACCCTAACATCTCCGTACACTTTCCACTTCTCGGCTGACAGGTCTCAGGCTTCTACATCAATCTCCCCATCGGCGCGCTCTCCGGCCTGTTTCTGTTCTTCACGCACATCCCAGACGAGACGCTCAAGCCACCCTTCTCGTTCGCCCTGCTCCGTAGCATCATTCCAAATCTCGATCTAACAGGCTGCGCGCTGTTCGCGCCGGCCACCGTCATGTTCCTCCTCGCGCTGCAGTGGGGATCGGATGACTACGGGTGGAGCTCGCCCACCGTCCTCGGCTTATTCGCCGGCTCTGGCGCGACCGCAGTTTTGTTCTCCCTCTGGGAATGGCGTGTAGGCGATCAGGCCCTCATACCCTTTCATCTGGTAAAGAGACGGATCGTGTGGACGAGCACCATCCAGAACTCGTTTTTGTTCATCACCAATTTCGTCGGGGCCAACTACGTCCCCATCTACTTCCAGGCTGTCAAGGGCGTTGGTCCTTCGCTGAGCGGAGTTTACACGCTGCCATCCATCCTGACGCAGTTGCTCTCCATAGTCATCTCTGGCGCTCTTGGTAAGTCGATGACGCCTCTTGTCTAGACCTTGAATGGCACATGGCGCCATCTATGATCTCGTGATAGATGAAAGGGGGAAAAGTCAGAAGCTGACTCTGATCTGTGTTAGTGGGAAGGCTCGGTTACTATCTCCCATTCGGTGTTCTTGGAGGAGCGATAACTGCCGTTGCCTGCGGTCTGATATCGACCTGGAATCCGAATACTTCAACAGCAGAATGGATCGGATACCAAATACTATTCGGTTTACGGGGGATGGGACTACAAACAGTAAGTTCTCCATTTAATATACCAATAATCCATCTCAGGGTGTGATTTATGCCGGCTGCATCGAATTTTACTAATAAGGAATAAATCGAATGATTACAGGCTGTAATCTCGGTGCAACACGCAGTCACGCCGGCCCAGAACCCGGTCGCAATAGCCTTCCTAGTATTCGTGCAGAACCTACTGGCGGCCATCTTTAATATTGTGGGCAACACCATCTTCACGCAGACCCTATCGCGGGAGATCTCGGTCCTGGCACCGTCGGTGAGCCTAGAGGCGGCGCTCGCGGCAGGCGGAAGCGCGGAAGCGGTGCGGGTCCTGCTGCCCCCCGGGAGCCCGGAGCTTGAAGGTCTGCTGCTGGCATACTCAAAGAGCGTCAATGCGGTCTTCTACCTGTTGGTAGCGGTCGCCGTCGTGTGTTTCGCTGCGGCTTGGGGGATGGGCTGGGTGGATATTCGGAAGAAGGCATCGGAGGAAAATGAGGAATGAGATGACCCGTGCAGAGATATCCTTGTGCATCTTAGGGAAGAGAAAAGGTCGTAGATATCGGCATTTCGATGCAAGACTCGCATGCAGGATATTGCGTGTATATCATAATTCACGAGAAACCGCACATAAAAAGATTACAATGTCGATCAGTAGAGCGCTGCTCACATGAAATTCAATCACCACTGTGTTGGGTTCATCTTGTTGCTGTCAGATGAGATTCTGGTCCAAAATATCAAAGCAAGAACCTAATTGTGCTACTTCATGGCATGGTGTGCCAATGATCTTGTGAGAAATTGTGTAAACGCGGCCTTCACACAGGCATGAGTCTCGTGGATATCGAAGCTGTGTTGGCCTTCAGGGGCATTATACAGTAAGTTGAAGCTCAAATGCACTTCATCACCTCTTTGGCAGACTCATGGAAGTACTATATCTACAATTGATAGTGGTATGACAACGCCAAAAAATTGACCCGATATGTTCAATTAACCCGACACCACTAGCCTCTGCTTTAAAGAGCTTCGAGGCCCTGAAAAGGAGGAAGAATGAAGGGGGATTTCAGAAGCACGGTCAGACTTAAGAAGGCTTCTTGTTCCTTCTCTCTCGCAATTAGCGCTTCAGGGAATGTTACCTGTTCTGTAGCTTTTTTAGAGACTGTTACTCCTAAATCGGAGTAACGATTATGGGAGTCTGTTAGTGTACAGGAGGCGTCTTATCAGGCCAGCTTGCTTCCTCGACTCCCGAACGAACTTTGAGCTTTAGTATTGGGACATTCGACATTGTGAGCCTATTCGCAGCTACTGAAGTCTCTTCTACCTGGAGGGCCATTGCTTGAGATTGTCTAGTCAAAAAATATTTCTGGGCTCGAACCCTCACCAGGGACGGCGGCTACAGGACAGTTGCTGATGTATTTGATGAGATGACTCTATATTGTGCATACTGCCCTGTGGACAGTTCAGTGTTGAAGTTCCTGTCGGCTAATCCCCCAATAAAGCACTGTGGTGGTGTAGTAATACGTGGCCGACGCACGACGAAATTAGTGATTTGTAAGATCATCAATCATTACGTTGGTCCGCCCACGTCACTTCTACTGGTACCGTATAGTATAAAATAAATGCTTACGTGTATTACCAGCTCCAAACCGTGCAAAAGTTTTACCGTAGTGAGTCTTTAGTAAAAGTGTCACGTGTGAAAATGAAAAGACTTAGTCCTTTATGAAAGAGATACTTCTGTGAATGGATTGTTGAAGAAGAAGAAGCTGGAATGGCCCCCAGCAAGTATGAGCTACGTGCATACGCCGAATTCATCGTGAAGGTTGCCAGTGATTTCAACCGGATTGGTTAGAACTAGCCCGACGCATTCATACGTAGGAATCATTCAATTCGAAGTAAGCTCGGTCCGGGGCTCGAAGTAACAGGAGCTTAACACATACACCTATTGAGTTAGTTGCCGCGATAACAAAATTATGAAAGCTCAAGGAGACGATCCTTAGGAAGAAAGGCCGTCTAGCTCCTCAAATATCACAGCTGCTGACAGACACCCACCAAGAAAAAAGACAACAAGTTGTTCGCCCCTTTTCGACTGGGTCAGAACCTGGCATGGTCTTTTTGCAACTTACACCTCAGCGCTAGTGCTCTCAAGAAGGAATAACAATTCCCCGGGATTCACGTATAAGAAGCACAGTTCGGCCGGCACTTTGACCGGCACACAATGGCTTTCGGGGCGAACAAAGGCGTCGTATTTTGGTTAACCTTACCAGGGATACTCAGACGTTCTATAGTGTTAGAAAGTTCGTCTGTCATGCTATTGGCAAATATAGGGTTGAGAAGTTCGTAATGTCGGTTTTGCCTATAGATAAAAGTGCTAATTGGAAGGAATTTATAGGGACTTTCAAGGACTATTACGAGCTCGGTAAATGCCTTCACGACCTTTGGACAGGCGCTTTGCAGGATGACTTTCGTTTCATTTCAGCGATATACTTGTGCCTTTACTTAGAGTTGATAAGTTATGATATACCACCCTCCGATATACCACCCTCTGACATACCTAGACTTGAACTCGTTAATCCTGAAAACGACCTGTGCGCCAACGAGGATACCCGGCTCACAAATCAGCCATCATTTCATCGTTGCCCCTCGAAATCGACGCACCGGCTTCCCCATCAGGCATGGAGACGACCATCTCCAACCATTCCACCTCGCTCTTCCCTAGTTCCCTTCCCTCGCCCTGCCACTCGCCATCTTTGACCTCGCCATTTTTTGCCCAGCTCAAAACTCTGAACATATTTGAGATGTCGTCTCGTCACGCCCTCTTTACACTAAGATTCTCACGCGTCCAACTCCTACCACTACTGTTTGCATCGTCCGCACAATCGGGAGATGCGAGATGCGGCAACATGGTACGTAGCGACGTAGACAGCGTGTGGAGAGCCTGTGATTGCGGTAAAGTAAACGCCGTCGTTGCGCTAAACCGCTTGTCGGCGCTGGGATGTTTGAGCTGCGGAACCGTTTGGTGCAGAAATGAGAAAGAGCCCATGTTTTCCTCTGCAGTCGAGTCTTCATCTTTCACGTTGTCGTTCTCAACGCCCACTCGGGTGCGAAGATCTGAGATCAACCGCGCATTGCGTTCATGCTCTGCTTGTAAGAAGCGTTGAAGCGCTTGCTCTCGCTTAGTTTATTTCTGTGGTGGTTTATTGACTCAAGTGAAGGCTTGTCGCTATTTCATTCACTACCTGAGGGTCTGGAGAAGTCTAGTCCTCGTAGTGACGTAGGTGTATGTAGTCTAGGAGCTGTATAGGTTTTACAAATAGTACGTTTCTCAATACGTGGATCTTGAACTTGTCAAAGTCGGGATCAATGCTTGCGCAGAGCAGAGTTTCGAGCTGGCATGTCCTCGATCGACCTTGGTCCTCGCTTGCTTGTCCAGGTCTCGTGCATTTTCAAGGCTTTCTTGGAAATTTACAACCTAAAGATGCGGGAGGTAGATGCGGGAGGTGCTTTTCGATGGCATTAATGGCGCGTTCGACGAGGAGGATGTTGACACTGTTGATGATATCGTCAAGAAAACTATAGTCTAACCTAGACTAGTTCGTGTTGGGTGACAATGGCTTCAGTCGATTGGCCTCAGCTGAATTGAATGCGGAATTTGGCGGCTTACAACTGGAGAGTACTCAAAGTGCTCGGTCAAGAGGTTGGTCTCTAATTCTCTTGCTGTCGTCGTGGTTGTATCTTATGGAGTGCTTGTCGCAAAATGACGCGTCGCGATATCGCGAGTCATTCGCGTTTAGGGGAGGTTTACGGCATAAGTTGCTAAATGCCTTGTGTGTGTGAACACCCTGTCAAAAGCCGCAATATTATGACCATTCTGAAGGGCCAAATGGTACCTTATCCCACACTTCCGTAGGAACCGGATTAATCCTCCTCACTAATAGAAAAGCCTTGTAGGCCGCAGCGTCGGCCTCTTAGTATGCAAGCAGCTTACACCCCTCCTGGCCCATCTCTGAACTCAAGGACCCTTCGTCCTTGTGCCGACCCCTAGATTCGATCGTTCCAACCCCTACCTCCATTGTACCAATCAAATCACATGTCATTATCACCATCATTTCAATTTGCCCTAAAGCCGCCCACAATCCCTACTTAGGGCGGAACATCGACGTATGATACTAGCCTTCGAAACAACCGTTCCTTTCTTAGTATATGTTATTATAGACACACTGAATACTGTAACACTGTCAGTGGGCAGACCATTGTGCTAATTGTTAAAAGACTAGGTACATCGGCGACTGCCGATATGCCCAGTATTCCATTAAAAATACGCGCTATATAGCATTGTGATAGTATGGATGCGAGCGATGGATATTGTTAGAATTGACAATATTGGTGTGAGACTACAAGCCTTCAACATCACGAATTTTGAAATCTATTTGGGCTTGTAATGTCTTGACCAGGAAAACTATTCCATGCAGAGATTGAGATCTCTCTCTATATAGCTGTCAGAACGCACAGTAACATTTTGGGTACTGTAACAGTATACTTTAATTACAAAGTAAGACACATTTAGTGTTTTAGTAAATCTAATCATTAAAGTAGGCCAGGGTCGGGGTAAGCCTAGTAAGCAAGCACGGGTACCCGTGTAAACTAGATATACAGGTACTTATTGCGTCTAGTGTTTCCCTGCATGTTCATTGGCTATCAATGCTAGTTTAGTTCTCAGTATAGATTAGATTTAAACTTTTAAATCGCACCCTATTTTGGGCCTCGTACTGTGTAAGACGGAGCCGCCTAATTTATATGAGTTTATGCAACCGAAGCAATATACAATGCCCGGGTGAAGCTTGCAACACAACGTAAATCTACCAATTCTACGACTAGTTTCACGTCCTATTTTGATGATGAGGGAAGCCCTTCGGAAATATTCTGTTCCATCGTCCAGAGAGAGTCACGGCGGGAGAGAAGGTTAATTCAAGGTGCAAGAGCAGAAATGTATTCGAACCATCCCAGCCTTCTTACTGTGTATTTATTTAAAAAGCTTTATATGTCTGATGAGAAGCCAATAGTATAAGGCAGTCAGAAAGCAATACCGAATAGCGACGCCCGTTTACATCGTTCCAGTGATCCCGCCACTGACCGAAATCCACTGTGCAGTAATCCAGCGGCTCTTCTCTGACACTAGGAGTAGTGCTGCATCGGCCATATCGTCAACTGTCCCAATTCGAGCCCCAGCTCGTGTCTGCGCATGCATTGTGGTCTGGAGTTCGGATACGGATCCGTTAGGGGTCTTTAAGAAATCTTTTGACATGTCTGTCAGAATTGGCCCAGGGGCAAGCGTATTGACGGTAATTCCATGGCTTCGACCAAGCTGGTATTTGGTATTAGAAATTGTTTATTTGTAAGAATTGATTTTTATCAAAGAAGCTTACTTGGCCCGCCCAGGAAGCCGTGAGACTATCCTGCGCAGCTTTCGCGGCGCCGTACACTGCACTAAGTTCAAGACCAAGTTTCGAGGCGATAGAGCCGACGTTGATGATACGTCCGCCTCTGGGCATCTTCCCTACTCCAATAATCGCTTGGGTCAGATAAATCGAGGCATAGACGTTGATACCGAACTCATTTTCAAGCAGCTCTGGCGTCGCCTCTATGAGATGGGTAGCGGTCCCATATCCAGCATTATTCACTAGGCCATAGACCAATATTAGTCACGCCCAAGTCTGTTTTAACAGGATTTAGATTTCCTTGTACGTACCGAGAATGTCAATGTGGTCGACATCAAGTCCCTTTAGAGTTTCTTCGACTATCTTTGTCGCAGTGCTAGATTTCTCTAGCGGCCCTTGTACAACAGTTGTTTTGGTTCCAAACTCCCGATTAATGTTTGCGGCCACCTTCTCAGCCCGCTCTTTGGAATTCTCCGATACATAGTGGATTGCGACAGCTGCGCCGTTCCGGGCGAAAGCCCGGGCAATGGCAGCACCGATGCCATTTTCTCTGCCTGAGCCAGTAATCAAGGCGGTCTTGCCTGCCAGCGAGAGGGTTTCCGCGCCCATGTTGAGTTAATTTAAATGAAAGCTATCGATGCTGAGTATAAGGTATCAGTTTAGAAACTACTCAGATTGGTACTTGGGATATTAAATACAAAAAGATCGACACCGAAACAATGCTCGTGTATTACTCAGTGTGCATGCTTATAAATTGATTGTGCTATTCACGGGTCTCCGTGAATACTGGTGCTCGCCCATTCGTCGACAACATGGTGGAGTTCAGTTCTTACTGATCATAAAAGTTCGAGTGAACGGGCTAGTGAAATCATGAAACTATTACAAAGACTTTCACTGACCACGTATTATACAGCATCCGTTGGTGGATATCCAGAGCAAAATGGCCATTTGCCCCTCCGATTTGGCGTATCCCAATTATTATGGAGCTTCCAATATGGGAATTGATCGGCATAGGCTTCGTTGATACTTCACGCTAAAAGCATTACAAAGCAGCGGATCGCCAAGTTTCACGGATATCCATGAAGAGTCTGTCATAACCTGCCTTGATGACTGCTTATTTATTTACACGGATGTCCTTGAATATTTAAACTCTTTTGCAGAGCTGACTTCTTTGGGAAGCATGCTAACGCTGGATTCAATCGTCGTGTCTGTGGCCTTTACTCCATTGATAACGTTGTGATCTCCCATCTTCCTTGACCAAGCTTCATCCACCAGACCTAGGTTTATGGATAGACCTTTGAAGACGCGGGGATGCGAATCAAACCAAGCAAGAATGTACTACGTTAGCACACACCTACCATAAGCCCTGGGGGGATGACGCGGGACCCACCTGACCCAGTTCATGCTTTCCAAAATAGGCGGATACGTCGTGGGAAAGCAATATAGGATGTCGACAAATACCACACATACGTAAGCCAAAACGTTCAGTGGCCGGCTAAATTTCCCAAGGTCCGTTTGCCGAGTCGGTGAGACCTTGTTACGATCGCGCTAGGCAAGAATTTCTTATGGAACAATATAAAAAGTTGTTATGAATACGATGCTTGCGGCAACCTGCCGCGAGGGGGTTACCCTTTCACAAACATGGGCTCCACAATTCACTCCCAAGTATCCATAGAGGCTGTTGAGCATGCAATGTAACAACGCGAGGCTATCGTTGGGCCGTTCCGTAGAATTTGTTCTTTTAGTAAAAACGTTCTATGCCGACTGATAGTTTGGCGAGGCGCATGCAAGTAGTGATGTAAGAATTGCAAAAAGTAGGAGGAGAGAAAAGCACACTCGAGATGGAGTCAGAAAAGTCCGTAGTACATGTGCCATGGAGGAGTCATACTAACTTGGAAAGTTCTTCCATATGGGTAACAGCCGAGAGCGAAATATTTTCAACCCTGTGGCCATCCAAGTAACAAGGATAAAGGCGAGGTATGTGTGCTAGTTTTCAATGACATTATTTTTTTCAGCACAGCGACAGGCAGCCAAGGACCATGGAAGCGATGAAGTTGGTAGCACTACCCAGTCATAAGCACCATCCAAAGGTGCTTATGGACGCGGAACTGGTCAGCTCAATACCCCCCACCCCTGCTGGGTGGAATTAGGTGACAGTGTGGTGATGAGCTTACATGTAAGAAGCAAAGAGTGCCCACACTGGGATCGATACGACATAAGACTAGTAATACTGCGCACCAGCGACGGGACATGAAGATGCTAGATCTGCCATACCAGCGGCTGTGATAAAAGTTTTAGAACCGGAAATGAACAAGGTCCAGATAGATCCCGAGGACGCTGCCTCTGTAAAGCCAGTACCCAAGGCGCTGTCAAACCCGTTTCACGTGGCCTGCAATGCATAGCACATGCTCATGAGATTCAGTGTGTTGAACTGTCTGGGCATCTCGCGGGTGTAACCCTGGGCTTCGAGCTCCAGATCATCAATCGTGACATCGCCAGCTGCAGTCGGCTTCTTGGTGGTGAGTCATAGATGGACTTGCTGCCGAAAGAGACCCCAAAGAACTCAGAGCCAGTATTAATATTGAGTACACTCCAATTGGTCTTCGGCTTATATAATGGCAAGGTAGGTTTAATGTTCGCCTTTGCATGGTAGCCGTGGCCGATCAACGCTTATTGGGATCATTGAACACCAAAGGCGGCGGGGCCCGAGGGGGCCGTCCGCTTCATAGGAAGCAAAGGCACCATAACCTTTGAAGTCACTATCGTATGTTTATCTAGAATGACCTGCATAAAAATAGTGTTTTTCTTATGTAGCTAGTCTGAAACAGGTTCGACCGTTTTTATCACCCTTGCCGGCGAACCAACAGCTATTGAGTAATTTGGAATATCTTTGGTCACTACAGAGCTAGCACCAACTGTAACACCATCACCTATTGTCACACCTGGCATGATAACAGTATGTCCTCCAATCCAGCAGTCATTTCCGATTGTGACCGCTTTTGAATAGTCCGGGCTGTCTCGTCTCTCCTGCACGGACGTCGGGTGTGTTGCTGCGAAAATGCTGACACCTGGACCAAACTTTGTCCGATTCCCAATAGTGACGATGGCACAATCCAGGATCACCATACTATATTCAGACTATTAGCCTCGGGCCGCTAGGGGGCTCGTATACACCCAAGTGGCGACGTACCCAAAGTTGGCATAGAAGTTGTCTCCGATTGATATGTTACAGCCGTAGTCGACTCGGAAAGGAGGGTCAATATCGACCCCTTTACCAATGAGCCCGAGGAGCTTGTTAAGCATAACGCTGCGGTCTTTTGTTAGGGACTCGTCGGTCGCGTCGTCTGGTAGATGTTCGTTGTATTTTTTGACAATCTTACGTGCACGTAATCGGCCTGCACGCAATTCAGGAACAAACGAGTCGTAGCTATTACCTTTTTTAGTACACGTGCAGAAAGGAGGAGGGACATGTACAGACGGCATGCCCGAGATCATCTTCTCGTATTCGTCGCACCATGGTGTGTTCGTAAGCAGCTTGGCACGCGCAATCGCTCCTGCGTTTTTCTCTGTACTTGCCATGAGATTGTGGGTCTTTGCAGTATGAGTTAATCAAAAATATCCTCTCAAGTGTGAAGATCTAAGATGATGCCTTTATACCTCCGTTTTGTTGTCGGGCTTGTGACGCGTCTGCAACGTGGGGCGTGGACAAGCACATGGATAGCATCTAGTTCCTTTTATTCCGCTCTGGAGTAGATTAGATTGGTTAGCAGTAATACGGAATTAATCTTTTGAGGCTCGCTTTCCCAGAAAGATATAGCACGGTATCCTTGCCGGCGGAGCATAGCAGAAAGATTTAAGTACTAATCGGCTTAGCTACAATCCGTTACTAGACTAGGTTAGGTATTCATTATAAACAGCCGCCGCCTACTGAAAATGTGAGGTTAGGTCTATAAGACAGCTAAGGTTAAACCTCATTTGGATACTAAAACACCACGCTAATCAAAGACAATGCATTTCATTCAGTCTCTTTTAACCAGCATTAGTTTCATACAAAGCAAGCCCCTACGGATTCATATTGTATATACAGTCTTGAACTAATATTTTTTCGGGTTTCATTTTTCTCCTACCGTGTGAGTATCGCTAAAATGTACCTTTTCTTACAATCAGTCCAAGGACCGTTACTGAGCCGAATAACTAGAGCCTTCCTACGTCTCGATTTTGCATCCCCTGCCCCAAATCCAGGCGGCTCCATAACTCGTTGCAGCCTTGACCCAATATAGTAAGAGAGAGCTAAATCGGGGAAGTCAGGCATTGCTGCCGCGGCATTTTCCCATTATGACGCCCAATCACCAATGCTAATCCCCTTCCGTTGCATTTCTTCTTTGAGAGTGTTTGCTTCTCCCCTCTTCCCACGCGGGTCTCGCATTAGGCTCAAGTTACTCACTACCCTTGAGCTTGTGGGCTAGAGGTCGCAGCCACCCAAGGAGTCATGTCTCCTCCCACTTTGAATGGTCGCCGAACAAATTCCCTGGCATTTGCCAAAACGGATTGCCATACGTGCATTGCTACGCAGATTCAATGTGATAGGCAGCGGCCAAGATGTTCGGCCTGTTCTGCAAAAAAAATCGTCTGCGGCGGTTACCCTATGCAGCTGACATGGTCCAAGAGCAAACCACAGCATTCTGGCGCCGTGTTGCCCTCAGAGTACACAGATGATCCATTCTATATCGAGCCTTTGTCACGTCAAGCCTCTGTCCATTTGATGGGTAACGTCAGTCTGATTCAATCTCGCAAACGCCAGAAGTATACATTTGTCGCTGAGCACACCCCTGACCAAAAGCAAATTTCAACGGAGTGTAATGGAGCTTGTTCGGAGCAGAGCGGTGCCCACGTCGTGGAAGCAAAGTCACCTTCACCTGCGTTTATTCAACAGAGTAATGATATCGCAGCTGCCACGATAATTCATCCATATATGCTGGGTTGCCCTCCACTTGAAATTCTTGATAATGGAGTTGAGCGTAAGATGATCCTTTTCATGTTTCTATGGGTAATTGCGATATTGATACGTCAAGACACAGCTGCTAGCTCCGCCCTCGAACACGAATATAGACATAATTCCGAGCCGTGTCCAAATATCTTTCATATCAGTATTTACTCTGACCCCACCGCTCCATGGAAATGGTCTTCTCTCGAGCCTATAGCTATCGACAGTGCTGGAGGACTCGGCAATTCGGATAAGGAGTACAGCCTAGTCGAACCCTCGACTATCATCGAAGATGATGCAGCCAGGAACCAGAGAACCCCTGCTTCGAGACCTGAAGATTCGTGGCAAATCGTAACACCTTTGAGAGCACCTGTCCTGCATGAGAGCTTGTTTGACAAGTTCGCAGCTTTGCTTAATATGTGTAAGAGATGGGGTGTTGCAAGTTGGCCCACCTCCAAATATAGTACTAACTCTCGCTCGCAGATGACCAAGATTTCTGTGTCATGCCACTTAGCGGAGATGTTGCTAGCAATCCTTTTAGATGTAGATCAGAAACTTTCCGTGGATCGCGTCCCTTGTTACATGCCGTTATAGCCGTGTCTTCATACCATGCGGGCAGAATATCGACTACAGGCGACTACCCACCATTCTTCGATCATCAAAACACAGCTGTCAGGTTGTATCGCGATGCATTAGACACCTGCATAGAATCTACATCAGGATTACAGCTTCTTGATACGGCAATGGTAATATTTCTACTCAATGTTCGTGGTACACAAGCTCCATACATCATGTCTAGCGGCTAAAATCAAGCTAGGCAACACACGCTGCCTTTAACAATTGGGCTACTCAGATTTCTGATGCTTGGAAGCTTCTCCGGCTGTCTGGAGGGCCAGAGAGCTGGGTTGATAACCGAAGAATTCAAGCGCAGGTGGTCATGATTTTATGGTAATGTTTATTATCAGACTCGAAGAAATTCAGAATCGCTAACATTTACTCTAAGGTGGGATGCAACAATAGCCCTGGTCTCAAGACAAGGGCCTATACTCCCATATTCATATTTTCAAGCTCTCCTAACTCTGGAAGACGATAATCATTGGAGTTTTTTTAGTCTCATTGGGTGCCCTAGACAACTTGTTGTTCCCCTGATGCAGTTGGCACGTCTTGCCGAGGAAAATGAGAAGGCTGCATCAATGCACTGTGCACGATTTGACCCAACACTTGTCGACGAGATTCAGGCTTCCATAATCAACTGGGAAAATCCCAGCTTCGAGTTCGAAGACGATTTACCGGAAGAAAAAATACAGCAGCAACGAGACGAATGGAACTGCGTTGAGGCTTGGAGATATGGCCTCTTGATCTACATCATAAGGGTGTTTCAATGGGATCGAACCAGGAGTCCGCCTTCAAGACTCATCGGGTATGCAAGACATGTCTTTGAACATGTTTATTCTTGTCGGAAAACTGCCGTAGTGCAAAAACAGTTGCTCCTTCCACTCTTTTTCGGTGGCTGTGAAACCAAGGACCAGTATTTTCGAAGGAGTATTCGCGATTATTGCCGGTATTGGGACAAAGCCAGTGGTTATAACCTCTTTAGGACCGCGTCTTCCTTGCTTGAGGATATATGGCAAGAGCTAGACAGATCTCCTTATGACGACGTTTGGTGGGGCTCTGTCGTCGACAAGAAACAAGACCTCTACCAGTTTCCGTTGTATCCGATGCAATTTTGCTTTGGATAATCATTTTATTTCTCCAGGCACAACTCTTATAAAACTCCTTTCCATTCAGCAGTGTGTAATAATGACAGAGCACATAAATTCACGTTCCCAAGCGCCCGTTTGGTCCTGTCCCAATCTGGCTTCCCAACAAGGCTTCCAGTTATGAAAACAGCATTAATTATAGATCTGACACGCTTGATCTTGATCCGTCTTTGCCTCGTCTCGCGGCGTCTCGAATTTCGTTTCTTATGTGTTCGCCTTCACGATCACAATTTGTCCTCACTGCTTTCTTATAGGTACCGAATATAGCCGAGTCCGTAGCGAGGATGCTAAGGTCTATTTCCAGAAACATGCCGCAGTCTAACAGCGCGTCAAGATCCCCCTTTAGCGAGTCCGGAATGGCGTGCGCCGCCATGGCCTCGATCGTTATGCGAATTTAATCCACTTATTCGCTCGTGGGCGCCTTTCCGTTGGTAAACGAGCCAGGACTAGGGCTGGAGAGGCACTAAACGGCCAAGGTGGCGCTCCTCGGCTCATTGTTCTTTACCGTGTTATCGTACATAGCGTCATGGAACTATATCGTAGCTTCCATGACATCAAAATCGGCAACTACCACCCGATATTACTCTGAGAGCTTGAGCAAAGCCCAGAATGGCCAAGGTCATGATACAAGCGCCTAGATGGACTGTAGAGCACCGAGAGCTCTCCGTCGAGCTCGCTAGTGATGAAGGTCATTTCCTATCGACGAGCAAAGAGTACGCTAATAATGATGCAGTAAGGCGCTTGCCTCCTGCAAGAAGCCACTGTGGGCATTAATAGCGCTGGCTGCTGTCTAATAGCTAAAAGTTACATGAGTAAGCTAAGAAGGTAATCTAACTAGTCCAGAGCTAAGCGGCAGCTCGAGTCTTTACCTATTTAGAAATCGCCAGCTTGAGCGCAACGCGCCTTGGCATTATATGGCCCGAACCTAGGTTCAACGGTCACCCCAGGATCTCCTGCTCCTGCAGTCTTTATAATAAGCTAAAGGTCAGTCTGGTCCGTATGAAAGATCTTTCTTAGGTGAGCTATTTCAGCCAGGATTACAACGCCTCCCCAGCTAGCACTAGGATTATCTTAAGAGTGTGTCCACGAGATGAAGTACGGAAACTGAAAGCAAGATAAGACAGCTTCAAAGGGGACTGGTCAGACTTTGAAATTCTTCATTTAAGTGGCAGCAACGTATGAACTAGAAGAGGGTTTTTATGACTAGTGATATCTTGAAGTATAAAGCTCAAAAGCTATGGGTTATTCTCCAAAGATTTGATAATATCGAGAAGCCAAACTAGTCAAGTTATTGGCTGGAAGGGTTCAAAAAGAATTATGGCCAAGATTATATGCGATACATACAAGCTAGGTCTGCTGCAACTGATAACACTGACGATATTACACAAATTGAAGGAGTGGTAAAGCGCTCCTGTGGGTGAATTTGGCCTACCCGAACCAGCCAGAACGCCCATCGACGACTGTAATGCCTCACGAGACAGGCGTATATATGGTGTCGAACTTCTTATATCCCTCGCCCTGGACGAATGTCTGCATCCACGGGCCGTGCGCCTCGGCGTGGGCCAGCTCCCAGTAGAGATCCGCATGTGCGTTGCCGTCAATACGGTATTTGGGCGATCCATCCGCCTTCCGTTCGTCGGCATAGTAGAATCTTCACGATGTTAGTCTTCCAGGCGCGATTTACCAGAAGCGGATTGAGGGCTTACTTGTATCCACGATCTTTGTACGCCGCTGATGCCGCCCAGATCATGTGAGCGGCGCCTGACTTGCCGACGCCCTGGGAGAGAAATCTCGGAAGAATAGCGACGTTCAGAACATTGCCCGTGTAGATGAAGGTACGCGCAGCTGATGCCGGAAGCAGTGCAAAGCCCGAGACGGCCTGTTGCGCGGCGATGAAGGCACTGTGGATGTTGATAGTCGTGTCGCGACTAAAGTCAGCAAAAGGTAGGGCGAAGGGGTCATCGGCGGGGGTGAAGTTCACGGCGCTGACTGCGGCGCGTTAATCGGCAGGCGACGGCACCGTGGAGAACAAGCTGCTTACCATTATAGACGACGACACTGGGGATGCCGAACACCTTCTTCACTTTGGTAAAGGCATTGACCACATCGTCGGTCTTAGAAAAGTCGCTCGGGATGTTCAGTTGGTTGTCGGTGCTGTCGGCCTCCTTCAGTGACCGGGCGGCAAGGGCAACTTTGTAACCCTTAGAGGCGAATGTGCGGGCGACGGCTTGGCCGATATTGGGGCCTGCGCCCAGGATGAGGGCAACGGGAGATTTGGCGGCCATGATTTGATGCTGGGTTGATAATGAAAAAATTTATGTCGTGAGGATATGATACTTAGTCAGGCCTTAGAAAGAAGAAAAGCCAGGCGCAAGTTTTGTCAAGCACGAAGGCTTACGGCGACTATATATGGCCGAGTGCTTAGGTATAGTCGTATTTGTAGTACTTTGTACTCTTCTAGCAGTATGAGACTCGCATATTTATCTTCATAACGCCATGGCACGTCATTTCTGTCTTTAATACGAACGACAAAAGGACGCGTTATACTAGGCGACGTGAGGCGGCCGTAAAGCGAACGAATTGCTACCTGTTCCAGTCCGTGGTGTCAATTGCACCGCTCCTATTGGCCCAAGCTTAACCTACGGCGAACCAAAATCGCATGCTATCGCTCAAAAGCTACGACCTACACTAGGTTCAAGTCAAAGTCACTTGCCAACCCGAGGAATTTGTCAGCTTAATCGTCATGCGGTGAGTAAAAAAACATCTCCTCCAGGGGCTGAATAAAGCATTATAAGCAGTAGAGTGTGCGTTTAGTAGAAAAAATGTCACTAAAGTCTATTTCCGCTTTTAAACCCGAGTTCGGCGGGGCAAACTCTCATGCCAACTTATAATTAAGCAAGCACGGGTACCCGTGCGTCTAGTGATTCCCTGAACATGCAGCGTGCCTGACAAATGATAATTAATAAGCCAATTGTGAGACGGAACTCCGTGAAATGTTTTAGGAACGCAACAAGGCAACTCACGCTCCCCGGCATCTGAACTGACAGGATGAATCTGGTGAAGTGCCTTTCCGGATACCCAGACTAATGATCTGCAAGAATCCCAATCTAGCATCCATTGAATATAAATATGCGCAAGGAGCAAGAACAAATAACTTCGGGCAATCCCGCAGCAAGCCACCGTTGTCCATTATGTAAAAAAAGCTTCGCCCAAGGTACGGATATATTTAGACCACCCCAGAAAGCAGCCTGTTGTATTCCTGCCGACGAACGCTAATACTTATTTTGTCAGAGTCCACACACAAGCGGCACTATTACTATTGTCGCTCCAAACTTCCTGACACCGACACATCTCGCAGGCGATCTTGTGCCGCATGCGTTCGGGCAAAAGCCCGTTGCGTCTTGCCTGTTGGTAATAGCCTAGACGTTTGTGTCCGGTGCAGTGAGCGGGGTGCTAAATGCGACTTTGGTACAGCAGGAAACAGGGAGTATCGGGGAGGCGATTCGGGTTCGGCGCCTCATGCAGCTCACTTGAGGGGCAAGAAGTCGGAGCATCATGGGAGTAAAACCTCTCTGGCCCTCATCAGAGGGTCCAGCCGATCTAAAGACTCAAAAGACAGCTTATTTTCACCGACGTCTCTAAATTCGGCAACGCCCCTCGGATGGTCAACGGAGCACATCTGGGATGCTGAATTCAGTGAGATCGACACACTTGGGCTTGAAAGTCCACTTTTTGGTGATCAAGGTATCGAATCTCTGCTCTATCCTCTCAGTGAAGAGACCGGCATGATCGAAAGCGGCATATCTTCCTTGACACCATCCGCCATTCAGTTCTCTAGTCCCTCGCTCTTTAATCATCGTACCTTTACTAGACCAAACCAAGGCCCATTGGTATCCGTGGCAATACAGATATTGCGGTCCTATCCCTTTATGATGCTCCACAAAGGAGCGCTTCCGCCGTTTATTAGCCCTTTGCAATCCTCATGGGTTGAGACTGCAGTGGGGCCACCGCAACAGGTCAGTTGATTCGCTTCCTCGCTCCATATCTTTACACGTTTGTTCTATAGTATAACAGAGTGGCACTTCGGAGATATAACCACTTTAGTTCATTCGTTGGGTGTTCCAAGCATTTCTCTTATCAGTGGTCTTTTTACTAATCTTCCCTTGATGAGCAGTCTCTACTTACGTGCATGGGCCTTGTCCACTTATTCAAATCTCGAACCGACTCAAATAGGAATCTTATATGGAGGCTGATCATGCTTGAACAAGAAAAAATACTGTCCAAAGTATGTGCGAGTTGGTCTTATTGCGAAACCATGAATAACAGTTGTTAGCATACGGAGTTCGATAAATGGGAGCTTCTGGCTGCTTTCCAAGCCCTGCTTATCTACTGTTTGGTGCGCCTCCAGGAGGTTCCAGTTGGTTATGACGGTTTTGAAGCCGCTCTTCTAACCACAGTCAATGTAAGTGGGCGGTAAACCAGCTTCTCCGACAGTAAATCGTGCGCTATATGGCTAACAACAACGGAAGCTTATTTTCAACGCGCTAGCATCGTTAGCCGGTGGAATCATCAAGATGCAGCTTCCCGATGACCCCGGCTTGTCCTGGATGGACTGGAGCTACAACGAAGCAAGGAGACGGTAAGCACTGTTGACAATGAATTGTAGATGCTTGATTACAATCCATGCTGATTCTCCAGGAAGGACGGTGCTTATTTTTCAGATCCTTAACACTCTAATCGAGATGTCCACGGAGGCTTCTTCCTATCCCACTTGCGGGTTTGTTCTTATACCTCTAGCAAGCAGCGCAACTCTGTGGAATTCAAATAACATCGAGGAGTGGCGGACAGAATTTAACCTCTGCAACAAGGAGCAAAAAATAGTCGGACTCTCCCAAACTGGGGTGTTGACAAAGCTGCATTTGACTGATGCCTGCGTCGTACTTAGCTCCCTGGAGTGGGAAGAATGGAGGGCTGAGGTTGGTGAGATAGGGACACTCGTGATGATTGTAGGGGCCTTGTTATAGAACCATGGCCGCTCTAAGAGAATCTAATCAAACTTTGTTCGCTGGTATCTACTGACAGTGGTGATTGATTGCGTTGGGTGGGATTCCAAGCACAGGCTGAACAACGTCATGTTGAATGATAGTATTTAGACACGAAAATGAAACTAAAACGCTCATCCAACTCAAGTTGCTTTATCAATTCTCATTGAAGCCCGCTATTGAATTAATATTAACAGACTTACGGAGAGTATCTAGCAACTCTTTTTAGATAATAGCTCTGAAGATAATAAGTGATAATGCTACTCCCGCTCGGAGTTGTTAACTTCCGTGCCCTCCAGTTTCACGAAGAACCATTGGCTGCATTACCTTACTCGAATACTTTGAGTTTTTCAACAGCAGTATACGCATCAGCTTCTATATCAAAATCAAGAATCCAACTCTCTCTCCTCAAATGAAGGGACTGGATCCTTCTAAATCGCATCCTAGTCTGCCTGATGCCAACTGCTTCGTGTTGTAACGCCGGTGGCTTGCACCTCGCGTACGCGGCTCGTATCGGATCTTCTAGTAGTTTTGCACAGCTTTTTTGATATTATCTTGACCACCATTCTCGAGGCAGAAGGTAGCCACTACTCCATCTTCTATAGTCTGACTTGCTCCTTGTATCGATGTTAGGAAAAAAGGGTAGTCGGAATCCGTATTCAATATTATTCGATTCTTGGTGAGATAAATATCGCTAAGAGGTTGCGAATACAAGCTTATAGTTAAAGTGGCGATCCGGCGGCGTCGCCTTAACGATCTCTACAACTACGGGGTCCTAACTTTCTACCGCTGTAAGTATAGCCTTGATTTTTCTAAGGAGTTGCCAGTTCCACTCAATATCACTATCATCCTTCTGTATATATGCGCAGCTGGAATCTTAATCCCATTTAAGTCTAGTAGCAAGAAAATATACATTGTAGCTAGTCCAGCTATTGTGTGTGTCCTTTTCTACTGGATATTCAGTCTTTTTGTTCATTATTAATATGTCTGTAGGAAATCACGATTGGAAAATGGTGTAGCTGGATGACTGTGGTCTACTATTAAAGCTAAGGACGATGTTTTGCTATCGTGATCGCGCCTTCTTTTTTTTTTCTTCTGCTGATATTATGTCAGTTGTAGCTCGAGCTCTACGTCGGCCTTGTTATCCGTCTCAAAATAGTTTACAATATTATGGTCTAGTTGGATATCGATTCTTCGATTAATGGTATGCTAGTAGATGCTCTGGTGAAACTGCTACAGTGGTTATTGATTATAGGTCTCTATTACTTATTTTTCTTTTTTCTTTTTTCGGAAAAGGATTGTGTAAAGATTTACTTACTTTGCTTATCAAAAACTTTGACGGCGCCGGCTTTGTGAATGGTGGGATCCAACAGCTTTCCGGTGCCTGGCCATTTGGCGAAGATGTAGAAGGAATTTATCCGAAACCGATGATATCTCCTAGCGGAATGAGGTTGCTGCTCTTCCTAAGAGTGTGATAGAACAACCCTTGCGATTATATTTAATGGCAGTTATGAGTTGGTGAATCCTGTCCCGGCGATAATAACCTTGATACGGCTCGGCGGAAGTCACGCATAGGCGGTTATTGGGGTAGAATGAGGGCTCTAAAATGGATACTGGGAATCAATGTACAAGTCTAGTAGTGGTTGTGGTTGCAATCTGTAGCGGTGTTACTATTTTTCTCAAAGCCGACTTAGATACGTCTGAAGCTTGCTACTTTATATGATAGGGGAACGGCCGACTAAGGTTAGTATTAAATGATCGTAACAAAGTCTATGGTTGAAGAAACCTGAGGCATGACCTTGAAGGGAGGAAGGATAGGGCAAGATTACTGGCATCGTTGTATCACCCACTTAAATGCCCAGGCACTATTTGGAGGAATATTGGATAATATTTTGTAGGGTGAAAAAATTCTATAAGATGGGAGCGCACCTTGTTGGTCAGCGAATAGATGATGGCAATAGTCCAGATTGGAAATTTAATACCCTGGCAGATGGTTGAAATAATTAAATATTTTTTCATGCTTAAAGCCTGAGTTTCGTCGTGCTGGCGGGCGTTGGGCGTGTTTTCTATTTCCCCATTTCTTGGCCCCGTCTGCTCTCTTAGTTGTATTTTGCATTCTCAATCTATTCTCTACTTAATTTATTCCTCCACTTGACCCTCGGTTGACTCTCCCCTTCTTTCCATGTTGTAGAAAGTATATTGTCGTCTCTATGACGCTGTTCGGGATCTTGGAGTGTAGAAAGATGGAGGTCCTGCCAGGCATGGGTAAGTGGAGAGAGCCCCCCCCCCCCCCCCCCCCCCCCCCCCCCCCCCCCCCCCCCGACTCCATCCCCATATCCCTGGATTTTAACTAAGGAGGAGAAGCAAGGCATCTAATGCAGCATGATCGAGGGCGATACAATGACGTTAGTGTAGTACCGCGCCTGTCCTATAGTCCTAATGACCCGTTAAATTTAAGTCGCTGAGAATCCTCAAGTTGTAAGGATCCGTAAAAATGGCTAACAACGTCTTAGAATGGACACAATGATTTGTCTTTCTTCTTGTGATGACTTTGGGAGCCGCAGTATACTAATAAAACGGGTAAACGGTTAGGAAGAAGGAGACAACCCTAATCATTGTATCGCTATCTGCTCTTGTGGTTGGTGCTTACAGTCCCATGCTAACGTCTGGTTTGGTGCAGGTATTATAGGATTTGAATATTTGTATGGAAGCATTCTTGCAGTCTACTGCTTGTCTTTCTTGGCTATTGGGCTCGGCTTCTTATCACGAACCCGCTCGCCACTATCATTGGCAAGCGGCCCGTGTACATCTTTGCAGTGTGTGTTATGTTTGCAACAAGTATCTAGAGCGCCTCAGTATTAAGCTATAGCTCGTTCTTGCCAAGCTGCATCGTCGCGGGTATTAGTATGGCGCCCTATGAGACCCTGGTCTAGACTAGTGTACTATCACTGACTTGTACTTTGTGTATGAGTGTGCTACTTTTATCGGTGATGGAATCTGTTCTTTCTCACAGGTATTAGTAGCGGCTCTTTGATTTTAGGTCAGATTGTTGAGTACGATAGTTACCAGTGGATATCTGGTGTCTTGCTATCTTCTTCAGGATCTTGATAGTTGCTGTCTTGCTCTTAGTCCTGGAGACTGTGTACCGAAGAGACTTGATTGTTCCTGTATCGGTTAAAGATTTCGATGACCCCGAATTTATAGTATATATGAAATTTGCCTACGATATAAAACGAATCTAGTGAGTAAAAAGGTGCTGTATAATTTGAAGCTGATTGCGACTAAGCTCCCAAAGACCTTTGTCTAGTCCATAGGTATCTTTATTAGAACTTATGGGAGTACTCTGATCTAGAAGGTATTCTTCTGTCTAGTGGTACTTCTGTTTTTTGTAGGAAGTCTGGTGTGGCCTAGCAGTGACCGCTAATTTTGCTGACGGGGTGTTTTCGAACTTAGGAACCACAATCACCTAGATTATTATCTTTCTAGTATTGAATAGCATCCTCTTTATCCAAGTGTTATCTAACTTCTCTATGAGCTAGATGGGCTTATCAGTTGTCGCTGTTCATTACGACCATTATTGGCGAGCTCATCTGGGGCCCGCTTAACGATTGGATCTGTGTGTACCTTTTATGCAAGAAAAAGGGCATCTACAACCCTTAGTTCTACATTCTGCTTATGATTGTTACTATTATGACTGTATAGTGGATTTCTTCGGCTTTGGTGCGAGTCTCTATTACCAGACGCACTGGACCAGGCCAGAACTTTGGTTCGGACTTGCTAATAGCATTCTATTGCTTGTAGCAATATGTGTCTATGGATACATTGCAGACGTGTACTGTGCGCTTAATGAGGAGGTATTTGTTGTTATTAACGCGTGCAATCTGCTAAATTTCGGCTCCATCTACTTTGTTGACGACTGGTTGGTCAAGTAGCAGTTGCTGGTGATCTTCTGCATTATGTGTTCCTTGTTCCTTGTTTATTAGCTTCTTATTACCTTTCAAAGTATCAGACTAAAAGCTTAAGCAAAATCAAAGCATTTTGATATCCTAATGGGACTGTCCAAATTCGATACAGTGTCGAAACATGCAATTCCAGCCATAGTGGCGCCTTCTATTGTCCCAGTGCAACAGCTCTTATCTTCTTTTGCCCTATTTCATTTTGGTAGGAAAACTGGAGATACAGCGAAGGGATTTGGGGTGAAAGTGCCGTGAGGATCAGCTCTGGCCCTCGATCTGCCCAGCTTTTCGTACTTTTCCTTGTCTTCGTAATAGCACCTCCAAACATTCTCGCTTCCTAGGTTCCAGTCTCCGTATGAACCCCACAGTAGGCGCCTATCCTGCTTACTGAAGGGGCTTTGTGGTCCTACCATAATAGAGTCATTCTTTGCCTGCCAAGCCTCGGCGTAGGACTTGGCGTCACTGTCCGGGTTGTGGAAGCAGTCTATAACCTGCATGACAGTGGTGTCTCTCCAGCTGTAGGAGGTCCCATTGTACTTGTTGGTGTTGAAACGAGACTGTCTGCCGCCGAAGCACTGTACTTGTACGGAGAGCTTACAGCTGAGGTAGCGCTCGTAGTTCTTCTCGCCTGGTTTACCCTCAAGGTACTGGCTTGGGTTATAAATCAGATCCACGCGGCCAACCAAGGCATCAACCCATTTGTCCTTAATCAGAGTCCCAGAGTCTGTAGAGTACGTCCGCTTGACGTAGGGTAGGTCAAATTCGCGCTCTTTTGGGAAGATCCATTCACCTGTCATCTGAGACATGTCTTCCTCGAGCGTGGTCAGCTGCAGTGTTTCATCTGTGAAGAAATTATCGAGATCACGGAACGTCTGGAACCACTTATCAACGTTTGTGTCGTACTTGTCATCCTTGTTGGTTGGACACCACTGTGCGAACAGGACGATGACTGCGGGAAACCGTCCATTGAGCCAGTCGAGAAACTCGTGCGCCAAGAGTTTCTTGATCTTATTCTGCAGCTGTTGCCATAAATTGGCGTTGTTCAATTCCGGGAACAGATTGGTGATTGGGAAATCCGTACTCAACACGCTAACGCATAGATCGTAGCCGCGTGGAAAGTCTGGCTCGTCGGCCATTTCGGCAACAGCCGTTATGAGTTTCTTTAACACTTTTGGGGAGTAGATCCAGAGCCCTTTGAGGCCATATGGTCCTTTAATGTTGTGTGGACCGGCAACAGTTCCAATATAGTCGGCAGCCCGGTACACTTCGACTACGTAGTGAGTGATGATGCCAAAGTTGCCCGGGCTGCCTCCTAGTATGGCATAAAACAGGTCATTATCATTGGCCTTGGTGACGACTCGAATGATACCGTCGTGGTCAACCATACGAATCGCCCTAACGTGATCGCCAAACAGTCCAAAACTTCGACCAAGTTGACCGTATCCTCCTGTCTGAGCATGGCCACCAACACAAACATAAGCACATTGACCGTGAGGAACAAAAAGGCCGTTGTGTCTGAGATATGCGTTCAAGTCCTTGATGAAATTGCTTACGCCGACAAAGACATGCGTTTTATCATTGTCAGCAGGGTTGGAAGGCGGCACAACCATCAAATCTCTATACGTATTTGAAAGATCGATCTGGATATTTCTGCCGCTTGTGGACGAGGCACCGCTGTACTGATGACCACCACTTTTTACAGCAACGGCAATTTCGTTATCACTGGCCCAGTTTACAATCTTCACAACGTCGTTGTCTCCCTTCGGTTGAATAATGAGATCCGGATACATATCATGGTCTTCCCGATAGGTTGAGGTCGCGTATTGCTGGTTGAAGTAGGCGTAATCCAACTGCTCAGCGCTAGTGCCCTTCCGAGAATACTATGCAATACTGGAGTCAGCCTTTTCATCTACGAATATATCTGGCAAATTATCGGAAGTCAATGGTTGTGCCTCAAGAGAAAAGACACTAGATCGGTAGATCTCCATTTTCAAAACAGCCTATAAAGGATAGGGAATAACCATGAGTTCTTACCTGCATACCCTCGATACCTTGAATTTGGACCATATTGTCGTGTGATGATATCTAGGGCTCAGAATCACGGAGATCACATACTATGGATAAGTAGTAATGGTTATATATACATATGCTAGTGTCTTATAACCCTACGACACTGGAGTTGTGGCTCTTAACCGTAACTGACTTCTAAATTATTATCCGTTAACCTAAACTATTACGAGCGACTAACACATGCTGAATGTAATAAAGATACACAGGATTATAATTAGCAATATAACTTTAAAAGTCTAAAAGAAAAACAGTTTTATTCCGTTACAACCTGTATTCGTTTAGTGCAGTCCTTCTCGTTCTAGCCTCGGAGCTTTTACGCCAAATCGCGCCAGTATTAGAACGTCGACCGAGACACATGTTAACCACGGGGAAAGGTTTTCCACAGGCATAGTTTAGAAAACCCGACAAATGTTTTAAGTTGTGGATAGAAATTATATTCAGAGTCCGGGAAGCTAAATTTGTGATCTCAATTGCATTCACCAGGCTCATTTGCAAGTAGAGCGGTGATTCTCTACCGATCTAAGACAAAATAACTTCATTTCCTATGCTTTTTCCGTCGTTCCAGCTTTTCTATCACGACGAGGCGTCACAATCTAGCTGGTTTTTCCTGTTGATGCTGTTCGAATCAAAAATATATTTGCAGGTCATGTGCTCTGCTAGACTAGACACGAAATTAAAGGTTTGCGCCACCCAATGCTGTGTCAGCCTTGATAGTGGAACCGTCAATCTTTTGGGCATTTCCTGCGTGCTATTCTGAAGTAATGATAAATCGAATGCTCCTTTAGAATACTTGACGTCAAAAACCGTGTGATTACCGGAGTAAGTGAAGCATCAATCCGTAACGATCTGGTAGATTGACTGTGGCTGATAGCCCGTCGTACTGAGTGCTAGAGCAGCTATAGCCCAGACGGCTGACACTAGGATGCTAGATCTTATCTTATTCACATACCCCACACAATACACCGCATAAAGATCGACTTAAACCATGCATGATACGCAACGTAAGCAACGGCTGTGGTTTGACGCCTCTTGTTATAATCTAAGGTTATGTGGCTACGGGTCACCGATAGGGTTATGGGTCATATTAAAAACCCCATTGATAGAATTTCGGATACCCCACCAATAACCCGAAACGCACCTTCAGAATAGCTGAAGCACCGTAGATTCGAAGGAGCCAGGCTTTAGCGCATTGGCCAATTCGCCCATATATCACTACTATCACTTTAAACCGTCCGTAAATGCACGATTATCCAGGATAAAGGACTGGAATGTGTTCCGTTTTCTCCACTTACAATCAGAAAGGACAAGATCATCTTTTGTGCTCTAGTATTAGCATTGATCTCACTCCAGCGAATCTGGATACAGCGATGCACAATCTGTCTAACTGCGCGTGCTATGCATGTTTAGTACTCGTACATACTAAATGTATCGTGATAATATCATGACAATATGCTGTTCTCCATATCGGCTTCAATCGCTCACGTTGATCAGCAACAATATGCAGACGTCCAGGACCCATGACGTGAAGTAAGTCAGCATCTGCGATCCTGGAGGTCGCTATGCTATGAAAGTCGATAGAATTCCTGCACTCAAGTTTGAACAATTCTCATTGTCACAATACTTCAAATTATGCTTGCAAAACCAAAGAAATGCGTGAAAGGACATGGCACTCCACATCGATGACCCGACGAGAAACCTTTCGTAATATTTTGGAAAGAGCCCTATGTAGCTTTAACAGAAGCAAATATATATGATGATTACATGTTGAAGTAGGCTTTGAAGTTCAGACAAGGTAAGTTCTTGGCTATGCACGGTTCTTGGGGTAATCTTAGGATTGTGGAAAGATACTGGGCTGAACATCTTACAGGTGGTTGATAATTGTGTATCACATCGGCATGTTTTGCAGAAGCGGTAATTAAGGGTGTTAGAGAATAGCGAATAGCAGTTGCTACTAGGCCAGAGACGCCTATCCTTATTTTTTGGAATCAATCTCATTATGACCTCAACTGTTTCAACGTTATTCTGCGCTATACACAGTGTTATTCGGTGCTTGTTACGATAGTGCCATGGACTGCGCTAATTTTGGATGATCGTAAGCTAGAAACTGCCTGTATTTGGTGGAAAATGTGTTATTGTTCGGCAGATTTTATAGAATACTTGGTGGCTCCTGAGATCATAGAACACCACTGTTTTATCAATCACAACGTGTAGCGGAACTGCTCGCAAATTAGAACCGACATCGCTTTTGGGTGACTGGTTCAGGAGCAACTTACATAAGGGTTCTCGAAATCCGTGTAGTCCTGCTCTCCCAGAGTCTTGCCCTGATTGACTTGCTCTTCCTTGGAAATCCCGTCGTTCTGCATCTGTAGGTCCCGACGCCTATTTCTAATGACATATAGCGTGCGCCAACTCAGGATGAGTAAGAACTGTAGACCAAAACATACTGCACATGCCGTCGTACCCGAAACATATCTTGGCTGCCCTCAAATAATTAGTTCGGACAATCAGCATGTAAAGAATCGAATGCCGTACCGCATCTTCGGTCTTGAAGATCTGACTGCCAGTCATGTTGCCCACACAATAGCCCACGAAAGTGAAAGACGAGGTTAGCGTTCTTTTTGTACGACCGGCGGTGTTTGAGGGGATGAGTGTCCAAGCCAAGAAAAGCGAGATGACGAAGGGAACAGTCATGAAGTAGCCTCCCCACTTGACCCATTTGTAGTGTGCCTCATTCGGAAGCAGAGCCATCATCAGAAAGCCACAGAATGGGGGGATTGTAGAAAACATCATAAACCACCTAATCGACAATCAGCTTCAGAGAAATATTATGATATCAACATTTCTTGGACCTACATGCGCAGGTTCTTTTTCCTACTGGTCATAATGCCAATCAATATGAAGTATAGAACCGAAAGAACACTACGTGGAATATCCAAAAGAATGACTTGAAGATTAGTAAATCCGAACGAAGTATTGATAATGGACCCGAATGTGGTCAAGCCGCCGTTGGGGACCGAACTGAGAAATGCATTTGCCCCTGCAAACCAAAAACAGGGATCGGCCAAGCATTCCTTAGCTTGTTTCCAATTCCACTTCTTGACTCCAGTTCGGTCGTGTCCCGTATTGTTGCTAAGTATGCGAGTATTGGCCATCTTCTTCTCCTCCGGAGATAACCAATGGACCTCAGACGGTGTTCCAAGTAGAAAGAGGCAAAGGAAGCCGGCCAGCAGTGTGAGCCCACCAAGGAAGTAGGACATATAGCGCCATGCCTGAGACTCAGGGTCGCGATACTCAACAGTACCGATACCGTAAAGGACTAAACTGGAGATAATGCCGAAGCCAGCATTGGCGCTCTGGAACACGAGCGCCCGTGACGCATGCTCGCGTGTAGTGTACCAACTACCAACGACAAGAATGAAACCGGGGCTAATACAGCACTCGAACATTCCCTGGAGCGCGCGAAGGGTGACTAGTTGAGTAAAGTTCTTAGCAAAGCCAATGCAAAGCACCACAATTCCCCAGCAGATCATATAAATAGACAAGGTGCGGCCCATCTTGTAGCGTTGTAAAAGGATATTTGAGGGGAATTCGAAACACAAATAAGTAATGTAGAAAACAGTGGTAAGCCATGCATATTGCTGTCCAACGAGGCCGGTGTCTGTGCGGAGACCAAAGGTTGCTTGCGTGCCGATAGATGTCTTGTCTGTTTGCTGAATACCGTAGCAGAGCCACATCAGAGGAAGCAGATATCGGTCAACTTTGCGCTTCAACTTTTTATACTGCTCTTCTGAATATATCGGAACTGTCGTTGACTCAGTATAATGGCACTCGTATTAATGAGCAGATTGACACTGACGTTCACCATCGTCTACTTGTGCCGCAGCAATACTACTGGCCTCACTGTTCCCAAGACCCACTTCTTTCTTCTCAAGGTCCCGGCCGAGGGCAAGGGTGGATTTGAGTTCGGCCGGAAGCGTCGTGACATCGGATACAGTTGCCATTGTGAAGTTAAATACCAAAAGCAGCACTCATATGTAGCGTGTTGAACAACCGCATTTCTAAACTGCAAACCTGAGCTTATATATTTCCCGATGGTCTCCGTTGACCTGGGTTGCATTGGATAATCTTGCAGGTACAGGTGCCACTGATAACATATCTACAAAGTAGCCAAGTGCCGCCCATTTCGGACCTAATGGCATCGGAGAATCCATAAGCCTTTGCGTGGCCTTGTTTGCTTGGCGGCATGGATCTTGTGGCATTCCTTGGATTGACCTCCCGCTGCTGCTGGTGAGCTCAAAGCGAACAGGGATACGTTACGATGCCCCCCGCATTTTCAGATGGGCTTATCACTGAATGGGTCCACTCCCACAGCACTCTCAGACGCTTACATACGAAATGGATAATGCTGGTACCTAAACTTTAGATAGGGCCTATACATCTCGATTGGTAAGAACGAGTGTATCTTGTCGGGAAAGGCCGAAGTAGATAACATCGTAAATGCTACTCCCGGTCTACTAATCTATACATATCGCATGGTCTTATCTAAAGAACTAAACACTCACAGTAGTTTCTGCCACTTGAGGTGTATGTTCTCGTACGACCAATCAGTCTCGACTCACATGGGCATGGGTGGTCGTGGGGTAGATAAATGGGTAGAACACTAATCCATAGGTGGAGGATGTGGTTATCAGTGGCGCGATAAGAAGTCCAGCAGTGATATGCTGGCTGTTCCAAAAGGTTTTCTTTTGTACAAACCGACCGAATGGAAAATATGGCAAGTTGAGACCGTCTTTCTCGGCGCCGTCTGATTTCAGTTGCGGCAAGTTGGTCCACTGTATATAAAGCAAGTCAGCAATTTGTACGTCTGTAAGGCGCATCAGCTTGGTGACTGGCTCCCCTTTCAGAGGCGGTTGCATACATTACCGGCAAGGTACGAATGCTTAACAAGTCCTCGTAGTGATGCAAGTGAGTTTATCCAGAGTTTGCTGGACCTTGGCTTCGTCAGCCTTGCCGCAGCCCATGACACTCTTACGCATGTCTCCAGTCATTTATTATATCATACAATTTCGGGATTGATAGTCACCTTTTGAAAGATAGCTTTTTAACTAACCTCTTCATTTAAGAGTCGAAGTGGGGATAATCCAAGCTGATTGCTTGTTCAGATGACCCAAAACAAGCAAGGCTTTTGTGTGTGATGGATACAAGCACGCCAGGCCATACACCACCGAACTTCTCAACCAAAATACCGAATAATTGCGCGGAGCTCAAATAGCTTCACCAATCCATCGCACAACACGGGATCAGGCCGAAGGGGTACTCGTCGTAGATGAAGGCAATATCTTACTCATATATAATATATCGATTGTTTACTTTCACTATGACGAAACTGATCACGTTGTGCACTCCTTCCATCATGTGTTTCTTGAGGCTGCCTTGTGCCAAGTATAAAGAAATAGAGCACAAAAATCTGTGAAATTCTAATTACTATCAATAGAATAGACCGTCAAAGTTATCAATATGGCTGTTTCTACTGAATATATCAAACAAAGTTTTCAAGGGTCCACTGTCCCCACACTGTTTGCAGAATCACCTTCAGATATGAGCAAACGGTTGTAAAATATATAGTGTGAGTCTAACACAACTGTACAGACTGAAGATATTGTTAGTTAACTTGCAACTGTGCACCAATAATGCTTCGATGTAGAGATGATGATACAAAATCATCCAACACTTAACATCGTGCGAAATTCAGGGACACAGTAATTCAGGTGCTGGGGAGAAATTCGAATCCAGACAGGAGTGCAAGGCCACCACCGCCGCTGAACAGACTCAAGCCTTCTTCAAGTCGCTGATGCGCTTGATCGGATCTCCAGGGAATGAACATAAGCGTTCAATTCAGTACATATTGCCACAGCACCTCAATAAATCTCTTAGGTACTTCGCAGTGCCTCAGCCGTCTTCCATGGCAGTACTTACAGCTAAGGAGATCACTGAGAAACTCACTCAGTGGGATCTTGAGCTCTCCGCAATCTACAAGGATCATAAGAGACATGGCAGCCCCATTGAGGACTCATACAACCCAAAGAAGCTGCAAAGGGCTACCGCTTATTTGAGGCTCTCAAGACGCACGCTCGGAAAGTTCTTGTCATAGACTGTTACAGGTAGATCACTCGAATTGATGTTTTAGTTAACATGTCTGGGCTTTTAAGTTCTCAGTGAGGTTCGTTGTTCGTAACTGGCCTTAGTTCAATGTTGGCGTAAATCTTTTGATCAAAGCTATCGTGGACGCCTAGAAATCACATGAGACATGATGTTCACATTTGACGGCATAGATACCCTCCAAAATGAATCAGCCTAACTAAATTTATTCATTCATGTCCTGTGCTATTCAAATCCTTTCACTGTGTAACAATTCCATAAAGCCCTTTCCCAATGGACTAACAGACAAAGAATTTCCAAATAGCACTTGTCCCTTGGACATGAAGAGCGTTTCACATATATAAATAAAGACCCAAAGATATTTTGGTTACATGGTTTTACAATAGTGCAAGAAGAATATTATAATAGTTATATTCACAGATATTTCACAGATCACAGATATTTCACGATCACAAAGATTTCGCAAATCAAGATGGCTCAGGACTCTTTTGCAGCACAATACAATCTCAGGGACGACATGCGAGACCTCATGCAAACGATAATGGAGCACTATAACCATTATCATCACCTCGGCAACAACAAGCATACACCATGTGTCGGCAAGACAAACAATGACAAAGCTCTTTATTTTCTGGATAAACTATTGGCTATGGATTGGGGTAACATCTCAGAGGCCCAAATAAAGCGTATCCGATGTCTCATAACGAGATTGGAAACAATCCACTACTATGACGTTGTTGCTAGTCATTGTCATCCAGACTTGGCCAACGTACACGAGGCTTCTCATGAGCGGGGGGCCAATGCTGATGCACACCAACGCGAAGTTATGATTGGGGCCGAAGGACATCGCGATAAAGAATTAGAGAAAGCTTTCAAGCATCTTGAAAAAGTCGGAGATAACATCAAACAAAAGTTCGAGGAGGGTAAACAGCAAGTTGAGGAGGCCGCTATTATCATGAGATCAGCCAAAGTCAATTCCGAAAAGTTGAAAGAGATCTTAGCTCTTTTCAACTCAGACACTGAGTGAGATAAAAAGATTTTTGAGTAATTACGGCTTTCAATCCATTTATGGATCAGCATGAGTGTTGTCATGCTCTGCATTTATATTGAATGCCAGACCTTCGATGTAGTATCTAGCGCATTAAGTGCCGTATTGATAACCAGCAAACCGAAGCTTTTTTCTTATACCAGCACGACGACCCATTTTTGAAACACCTTAATAATGTGAAAGTTGAATGACAAAGAATCATGTACTACTCAATGCGCTGTACGTCGCAGGTCTTAGGCAGATATTCAATGAACCAAGATTTAAACACACCTAAACCTTCTGATGAACTTGGTGATGGGCGAATTCTATTTCAATGCAATTCTAAATTCCATTCCATCATTCATACCACCGCCCTTGATAATATTTTAAATAGTAATAGACAGATTGGAAGTTTTCGCTTATTTGCTCATGCAGTGATCATTGTGACTACGCGTCTCGGCCCTATTGGATGCTATATGGCTGTAACATTACATGACAGTTGTCGGGCCCCGCATTTGTCCAGTTGGACTGAAACTGTCATAATTTTCAAACACGTTGCGGCCAAAATCTAGATATTATATACAGTGCTCTATTATGCTACAGTCTTGTTGTTTTCTGCCATTGGTTGTCCCTGCGACCTGCTGACAGCTCGGTGCCGCTATCATTATTATTGTTGTTCTGCCACCATTATTGCCTTAATTCGTGGTTGACTTCCTATTCGGTCGGGACGAACTCGAAGTTGGCTCCTCGCTTTGGGTAACGTAGAAGTCGGGCTTGTTGTTGACTTCGTTCGCTTTAGCGGCGTTGTATTTCTTGAAAGCTACCTCGACAAGCAGTCCGACCTCTCTCTTATCTTTTCCTATCACACCAACTGCCAGCAACGCTTCGGTCTCTTCGATCCAATCTTGAAGCCTTCTATAGCCAATTTGATCTTTACCAAGACGCTGCGGCTGTCCCGACCCTTTGATGAGCGCCAGTACGCCAGCAACGATGGTATTGACGGCGCCTAACACTGTGATTTGCCTCGTGTAATTGGCCGCATTGGGGCCGAGTGCCGTCAATGCGGCCCCAATGACAACCTGTGAGAAGTACAACACATATAGCAACGCTGTCAATAGATCATATTGAATACGTTTCTTGGTCTGTGCATCAATGACGGATTTGTATATGCCACCGGCGGTCTTTCTGCCCTCTTCCAGCGACGCACCGTCGGCTGTGCTTTTGGCCCAGTTGATACCTAATGCTTTGCGAAAAATAATGAGGGCCTCGTCGGTCTCTTTGCGGACACCAAGACCCAAAGGCGTGCCCCATGACATATTCGTATCCGCTTTTCGAGGGCCAAGGTCTGGTGTTTGGGGGGTCGTGAGTCTAGGAGGACTGCGCCTTTGATCGGTCAGGGTTTCCATGGTCGAAGTTGAAGCCCGCGGATCCGCGTAGTCGGCTGTGGCTGTTGTAAAATGGACTTGTGCAGTGTTTGGGGTTTTGGTGATTGGACTGAGAAGTGGCGAATTGACGTCTTTCTCTTTCTTGAATGCCGACATGATGTTGGGTGCTAGAATTAAAAATGGGGTATTCGGTACTCTGTATTCTTATAGACAGTCTACGAGAATGTCATAGGCTAATCTCCCAAGCTTGAGTATATGGTGCTACTATGATAGCTACGACTGATCTGATAGTCATAATTATCCAACAGCAGTGATAAGTCTTGCGTGAGGTTTCTCATATTTATATCGACTCGTTGGAACCGCTGATGAATCCCAGAATAGCTCCATAGCCTGCCAAGTCTACGGTCAGTCTCGGTCAGCAGTCCTGGGGGGTTTGTCTGAGCTCAGCCCACACCCCTGTTCGCACCCCGATTAGGCAGTCGATCTCACGCACCATTCGCTCATTTTGGTGGGATCTTTCTAAAACAACACCTCAATGGCAGATGCGACGGCAATCTGATTGGTTGTGCTGCGCCGCCTCGTGGGATCTGCTTCCCCCTGGCGCGGCGTACATGTATGCATGCAGTCTGCAAGCCGTATTTGCGGCTGCATAGGCCGTATGCACAAAGGTCAAGGGAATCAGGACTCACGACCCGTGACAGGAAAAAGTAGCCTTGTACGACGTGTGACCTGGAGTCCATGAGGGCAGCTTTGCGGCTTGAACAGTCACACGTAGGCTTGGTGTGGTGATACAAATTAGGAACATAGCTAAACACTACTGGAAAAGCAGCGCCGAACGCGCTTGAACCTCATCAAAGTCCTCGCTAACTACTATGTTGGCTACGTTATGTTATGAAGAATTGCTTGGACATAAAGCACAAAATTTAGCCACAGCTGAGACAGGTTACTAGTGCATTTCCTTGACACAATATGGAGGATTGATTGATCCTAAGACCTTGGCAAATGTTACATATTGGAAGTCAGGGTTGAGATACAGGACAGCCCTGAGACATGACATCGAAACGCCCCTTAAATTGACTCACGCGGAACATGGTGTGCGACAGTGTATGTAAGCAGTGTGTAACGGCACTTCTGGCTACGTCAGAAACCTGTGATGCCAGCACACAAATGCACCGATGCTTCCCGCGTGCCACGCCTGAGGTTCGCGCAAGATAAGTCTGCAGATTTACATATTCTGATTAAGCAAAATTCATGAAGAACATGATAATGAGAATTATCCGGATTAGGTTACGTATCAAAGCGTAATTTTAGCATATTGCAGTAAGAATCAATAATAGTCGCCCCATATTAATAACTAGGTTAGATAAGCTTGGTCCAGGCTAGTTAGTCGAAGTTTATGATTACATGAACTTTTACACGTACGGCTTCAATGTAAGTTGCAACGTGATGGGCGTCACTACTCTGTAGGGTTATGATACTGATTAGATGTGTGTATATTGATCCTTAGTCGAGTGTTGTTTAGTGGCGTGGTTCCCCAGCTATTCTGGGGGATTCCTGAAGGCTATCTATCAAGGGTGGACTGTGTACCTCAGGCATCTACCCAACTGGTGGCACTAGGCAACCATTACAGCACATTTAATTCATCGGCTGACAAAAACGTACGGTGTTTTTTGAAACTTCCAATCCATATACAGGTATACTCAAAACTCAACCGTTGCATGAAAACAAAAGCATGCTTATGGGCCATCCTGGTAGATGCAAGGTCCGCCGTTCTTGAACCAAAACCCACTATCACTCTAGTGCTGGCATATTCGGTGTATGTACGAGCAACCGTTGGACTTCCATGTCCGGTGACGCTCACAAATTTCGCAAGACCTAAGAGCAGCCTGTGATATAGAAATAGAAACACTAAGTTGAGTAAATTTTGCAAGAAGTGTGCGTCACTTACGTTGATCACTTCAGTCTCTATGTCAGTGTCAGTCGTGACAGTTATGAGCTCAGCAACCGGCTCAGGTAGGGCCAGATTACCAGTAGAGGCCATTACAACGGCAATCAGTGCTACGATACTTTGGGTCGACTTCATTGATAATGTTGTAAATATGGTAGACGGACTTCATTGTTGGAAGAGTAGCATGTTTTGAATTGAGGCTTGATGGTGATGTTCTGATGCTGTTGTGTCGTTGGTCATGATGATGATCGTAATCAGAAAGAAAAACGCGGAAGAGTTCAACATAACGTATCATTAATATCTGTACTTATTCTGCGAATTCACCGCATTTATAATAGACTACGCAGTCAACTCACAGTGCCTCGCTATGTAAGACTATTTCTATGAAATGAGGACATATACGAGCAGAGCCGTAGTCCCAAAGTCCAGGTATTTCTATATATATCGTGATATTTAACTTTATATATCATTACTATCATAGCGAGGGTCACTAATAGCGTGTTTGGGGGTTTTAACAACGCGCATAACCTGAAAGCCTAGCTGGTAAATGATCCACTTATCGGGATACCCGGCAAAGAAGCGGCCGCATATTCCTCACACACGCCGACAAGATGAGCTATTCGGTTAAATCCGTCTGCCCAAATACCAAAAATATGTATCCATGGTCAAGAGGCGGAGTTTGGGCCCATTCCATACGAGGGCTACAGAACTGCCAATTCCGACAATGGGATCTGGACGAAGCATATAAGGGCTACACCCTTGCGCTTGCTTTCACTAGATTTCGCCTTTCTGCCATATCCACAAGCTGTACGGTCGACTTGGAGATAAGAGGGTAAAGTAAGGCTAGCGCACCCGATTGATTTTGATAAACGCGGTCTTATTTTTAGCATGATGTTGTCCCTGAATGAATATTTGTATACAAAGAAACGATGGCCGTTCGACACACCAAAGATTGACAATAGATTACAATTCACAAGCGTAACATGGAGAATAAGCCAGAATCGGGTTTGGACTTCGGCCAATTTATGGGCGATATAATCTCCGAGAGGTTTGATTATTCATCTAGAATGCCCAACTGCGTTTGCCCTGTTGGAGTTGTGACTGGAAGTCTCTTCATCGTGCCCCAGCTTGTACTACATACGGATGACGGGTTCCGCCATGGCGATTTCTATCACTAGAGTTTTGGGATGAGAAAATGGCAGACCTTATGCTGAAATGAACGCATGACTTCAGCCCCACAGCCATGTTCAAAACGGCGCCTGCTAGAAATAACCCATTTCCAGTTGTTTATTTTAAACAACGGATTTCAGAGGCACATCCGTAACTAATTTGCATCACTTTGTTCTACACCCTAAAGGTATGCACTTAGTATAACGACTAGGGCGTCAAGTGGTAACTGATAGCGATCTGCCAGTGACACCCACTCTTGTTACACTTTCTCCTGATTAGCCCGGTCGGAGTAAGTGAATGTTCGGTAAAAGACGCCTCCGGCTCCGTCTGGTCTAGGGACATAGGGTGCCTTTATTTCGCCGCAAATTGCGGACTTGTCTGGTTTTCTTTTTCATTTCTCAGTCGATAAAATACCACCCTGAAATTCCTGGCCAGAACGCTTCCCTGGTGAAGACGCGGTTGTGCCAAATATTGAAATTTTCATTGGCAGCGGCCAGAGTCAGCGCTACCCACTCCGCCATGTATCCTGCACAAGTCAGCAATGCCCATCAACAGTTGTTTACTGGATTCAACGTACCAGTAATTAGTGCGCTACTCATGGAGAGATGTGACTGCCATGAAACAGGAGCGCATTATACGTGAGAGGTTCTTCGATTTCTGCACAAATGGTTGCGTAGAGAGCAGTGGATATGCGAGACTCATAGAAGCATCCGGGGCAGCGCCCAATATGGTGCCTGACATAAGAATGTTCCACCAACATTCTTGGGGCGACAATATTCAGTCAAAACATCTTCCTGTGGATAGTAAAAGTTGGGTTCGAGCCCCACTCTGAGAACATTCTCTTCCTGAGGCAGCTTGGTTAGGCCCAAGTGCACACCGTAATCATTTGTGTCTGTTTGTAGTGAGGAACTTTTAGGCATGATGTTAGCTAGTTTCAATATACCAATAAAGTTTCTCAAGAGCGACTTGTTGACTTTCACCATCTCGTCTACATCCGACCACAGGCGACACTTTTCTATTCGCTTGGGTTGTAAATAGGCATAGAAGAAGACGTAGTCAGCCTGAATATTTCCTTCCTTCAGGGTGTTGGCAGTCTTCTCGGGGCTTCTCAAGAAATCCAAGGGTGTATGCTCGACGCTCTTAGGCAAGCCATACTTCACATAATAGGGTTCTCCTGCTCATGCGGTAGATGTTTTACCATCTTTGCGGAGATTGAGCAACTGCTTGAAGGATATGATATCCGGACAGGCCACTGATTCCTGTAATGATAGCTTTCCGCACATCAATATGATCCGGGTAGACGGGGAGGCCATGGAAGATATCTAGAGCCTGAATCTGCTGGATCTGTTGAGTCAACATTCCTGCTTGACATCATGTCAAGAATATTGTCATGGTTCACAACCGCACGTTTGGCCGCCGAAGGCATAATGGCCTTTACTATTCTGAAGTTTTAATGATGCCACGGAGCAAAGCTTGTGTCAAGCGACCGCGAAAAGATTTCCATAGACGGTTAGTGGCTCTACCGGGCGACTTAACGACGTTTGAAACGCTGATCAGCGATAGTTCTGGAGAGCTCTACAGTATTTGGTCGTTGTATCGATTTATAAGATCCTGGCCCAACTGGTTGCAGGTTTACTGGTTCAGATGGTCAACATATGGTTGTATTTTCTTTTTGGTGTACCTCCATGAATCCCGAGGGGTCGATAACTTGAGTGTACTAGGTCTAAATCTAATGAATGAAGTTTCTCCGACTGGTACCAACAGGGTAATCATCTGGTCTTGGTGTAGGCTGTTCGCTATCGCTATATGCACGTGGGCCTGTCCAGGTTCGTAACAGCGTGATTGAGCCCAAGGTTCGGTGGAAGCAGATATTCTTTTGAGGACACAGGCATGTTGGCGGGCGCCTCGGAGCTTAAATATATTTGTAACAAGTAACAACGTCTTGTCAGAAGACTACGGAAATCAGCAAATGTGACCTTTTGCAATGAAGAACTGACACCCAGCAAGCCAGAGACAGTCAAGCACAAGGGCCTAGTAGAAAGCGCATACGCCCATAGACCTCCTAAGCCAACAGATAATACCAACAATGAAGTCAAGGTGGTTACTAGTGAAATGCGGTAATGCCAACTCAAATCGTTGAGTGGGATTGATGGTGATCTACGAATCTAGGGGGGGGGGGGGGGGGGGGGTTCGAGGGGTTCATCTGGAATTTTCTCGACTTATGACGGGTGTCACATTACTCGGACGAAATGTTTATTCTTCGCACTTTCCGGCAGGGAGTCTTCGGAGGTGCAGTGGGCACAGTTGGTTTTGGGACCAAGCGGGTCAAATGGGTCGATGGAGGCTTGATACTCTATACCTAATCTATGTACAAAGTAATTAATACAGTAGTACGGTTTTATCAGCCCCCCTTCTGCTGCTCTGTTCAAAAGGTCTCTGACACGTGGACACTAGTTGGCGACGGTGTTTCACTATCAATAGGAGGGCAGGATGGTGATGATAAAGCCAGATGCGACGAGGGAAAACCAAATGTTGATACAAAAACCTGGAGTCTATAATAAATAGCAGGCCCCGGCAGCCTATTCAGGCTGGGTATAGATGCTAATACGTGTGATGATATGATAATTATCAAGTTCGAGTTGTGTATATACCTAACCAGGATAACGTGTGTTGTTATGTTCCTCATGGATATGTATTCCAACAGCTTTAGTGGAGACACATTCTGTGGCGAATGTGGTACGACATACCTTCCCCCATCAACACGACCAAATCTAGTATATTCATCCGCCACAGAGGTCTGGAGTTCTATGCTCAAATTGCTTCGATTGCATCAAGTCGATCTTATCTCGAACGTGGAGGGGCTCAAGGACTTGGGGTCGCGGAAAGAGAGTGTTCGGGAGTTGGGTGCAATACGCGTGAGAGGTGAGCATAGTCAGAAGGGTAATGACACTGCGGATAGCCAAAACTTTTCGATCGCGTGTGCTGTTATCGACATACTACCACGATTGCTGTGTTCGCAATGTGGTCCCTACGAACCGCAGAGTAACGAGGCCAGCCCAGGCAAAAGTCGTGAGAACCTATACTGAGCTCTGTCAGTGCCTGGACCCAGGAGTATCTCTTTTTAAATATAGACCAAAGTATGGTTGCTGAGTGTGGGTATCATTTGTTCAACTCCATTCTGAGATATACATTAGAAGCGTTTGAACTGAGCGCCTTGTACTGTACATACCATCCCATGGAAACTGCAGTCGTTGAAGATTCAACGGTCCAATAAGTCGGCATTGGAACTTTGTGATTACAGTCGTCCTGACTGCCTTGCAGACCACAGGCCTACACCTACCGGCGTCCCGGCAAACCAGGCACGCCCACGTATCGCTCTTCTCTTTCTGTCATGAACATGACCTGAACCCAGAACTCCTTCAGATCCTTATCCCACCAGGTCCAGTATCTCTCACCGCTCCTGTCTATCTCTCTCGCCTGCAGCTTAAAAGCACAGGTCTCGTAGGGTTCGGCAGCCACCAACATGTACTGAAAGTTCTTGTCCGGAGGCTCCTCGACCCGCTGCTCGAAGGCACTCATGAATCGGACCTTGGGGATGACGTCGCTGGTGATCTCTGGGTATTGCAGTTGGAATAACAAGCCCTGCTGCCTCGTGACCGGGTCCCGAACCTTGGTAATCTTGTATCCGGGCCGCCCAATCTTGACCACGTTCCTCTTGACACCACCGAGGCCCAGGGCGGCAAAGCCTGCACCGACCACACCGACGGGCAAGCCGGTCTGGGGATCGATCTGTCCTTTGCCCTCCTTCTGCTCTTTTGCTGCGCGGCGGGCAAGGTTGGTCTGATGCTTCTTTCCTTGGGTGTGAGCGAGGTAGGAGCCATCGTTTTGGTGGACAGTCAGACACAGGCGACACTCGAAGGAGCCGACGTGGTTCTTGAAGAAGTAGGGGTCTTTGTCCAGGTCGATGGTCTCCAGTGCCAGTTTGCGAAGACGTTCGCGGCGATCGGCGTTGGTGGCGCTTTGAGAGGCGACACCACCACCGCCGAATTTGGAACCGGCGCGGTTTTGATAATCCATGTTGAGCTATGTTGCGCACTGTTGGAAGGTTCCGAGTCTGGGTGTTGGAAGATTGGGTTCCTTGAATCGAATGAGTCGATCGTCGTGGGGAAGCGCGCAATTGGCAGGATGGTGATCTATGTTTGCGTCGTTGGCGTCGGCGCGAAAGTAATCTGAATAGGCGGCGGCGGCCATTGTAATCGCTCCTTGGCCTGCAAAAGATGAGATAAGAGGAGATAAGAGCTTGGACAGCTGCTCAGCGGGTGTGCCACCTGGCTGCCGGCTCATCTCGATTTACCCAGAGCAAGAGCAAGAAGCAAGAGCAAGAAGCAAGCGCAAGTCTCCCGTGAATTGCATGAAGTAAGCAAGTTAGACATGAGGCCATGACAACAAGAGGGTTCATGCAACAGCAGCAATTCTCAAAAGTCTCCCTTGTCTACTACGAACCTGCCGCCTGTGTGGGATGCGAGGATCACCACATCTTGACTCTTTGACACTTGAGCACAGAAACTACATGCAGCATTCGTTATAGCAACAAAGGGATCTCGCTACTGTGTATCCGTAGGTGCTTCCATCTCCACTACCCGACGGTTTCTCGTTCCAAATGCATCTGATTCACGCACGCAAAGAAGACGCAGGAGGCTTCCCGACCGCAAACATGAACCAATAGTCCTGATCATACGGGAGTACGTACTGCGAGATGTGAGACTGTAGCTAAATGGCGGCACAGGCCAAATGGCTCTAACCTAGACAAAGGCTAGGCTAGTCTAGGTCCTAGCGTTGCGCTTTGGGCCGCCAAGTTGAGCGTAGTGCGTTGCGAGTACAGACAAAACAAAAGCCCGACGGGTCGCAGAACAGGCGCCGGCAGCTGACAGGCGCCCGCAGAAGTGTCTCTGGTCTCCTTTTCTCGGGCCCAGGACCCCACTGTGCCGCCAGGGATCTTCACCCTTCAGGGGGTTCTCTCCCCACCAGACTTCAGACTCGAGGGTGACGAGACGAGACGAGACGAGACGGTGAACAACCACATGAGTTTTGTGTTCCTCGTTCGAGTCTCGTTTCCCGGCCGTCACTACGACTCTCTCCAACGCCTCCCGAGACCTCGTTTTGCCCAGGGAAACCAGATCAGGGCCCATCGTCTTCCGACTGCAGGCCGCTTAGAGCTTGACTTGCAACTATCAACGGCCCGCAATCCAGTCCCCGTCTCTTGATCCCCTCCTCGGGACCCTGCCACCGACCCTGTCCCTATCCCTATCCCTATTCCTGTCCCCATCCTTCACTTCAGCACTTGACCGAGCTGAAGGTTCTGATCACAGCCTCAAGACCTGTTTTCGAGTCGATGCTGGCATAACCGCATTGCGCATCCCTTGCTTCAAGTTCTAGCTCGAGACTGCCAGCAACGGGGCTGCTGTCTCTAATCGCCGTCTGTGCCCTGTTCAACCTCGTGCCGCATCGCATCAACTAGAAGAAAAAAGAAGAAGAAGAAGAAGAAGCAGAAGCTTGACCACCCGTGGCAGTAAGACCGTCATTCGGCTTTCGACGACATGGATCCCAACAACCCCAACAGCCGCCTCTACCTCAACATTGGCAACAACGGCGACCGTCTCCCAGCCGCCGATCGAACCTATCCCACAACCCCTTCTAGCTTCCCTCAACCTGTCTACCCTAACCAGCAGCAAGGCATGGCCCAACAACCTCAGGCCCCTTCGCAGCAATACGGCGCCGGCTACCCCGCCCAAGGTGGCAACTACTTCCAACAGGGCCAATACCAACAATACCAGCCCCAGGGTGGTGCCGACTATAGTCAGGCCCAGTACGGCGGGGCTGGTGCCGGTGCTGGTGCTTCGGGCTACGCACCCAGGTCCAACACTCCGGGCACTAACGATCCCAATGTCGGTCTGGCTCATCAGTTCTCCCACCAGAACCTCGGTGGCGCCGGCCGCGCTTCTCCCTACGGTGCCCGGGGAGCCTCTCCCGCTCAACGGCCTCGCACCGCCGGCTCCAACTCCCAGCAGCAGCGCGATGCATACAACAACAACCACAACAGCAACCCGATGCCTTCCCAGTCTGTCGCACCGGGCCCCGTTTTCCAGCCCGCCCCCGAACGGAACCCCGAGAAATACGGCCATAATGCCAACAACAACCAGAAGAAGTGCTCCCAGTTGGCTGCCGACTTCTTCAAGGACAGCGTCAAGCGTGCCCGTGAACGCAATCTCCGACAGAGCGAGATGGAACAGAAGCTGAACGACCCCAACCAGACCCCGTCGAGGCGCGAGCAGATCTGGCAGAACGGAGGCAAGAAAGAGGCCAGATACCTGCGTTTCTTGCGTACCAAGGACAAGCCAGAGAACTACAGCACCATCAAGATTATCGGTAAAGGTGCCTTCGGCGAAGTCAAGCTGGTGCAGAAGAGAGCCGACAACCAGGTCTATGCTATGAAGTCTCTGATCAAGACTGAGATGTTCAAGAAGGACCAGCTGGCTCACGTCCGTGCTGAACGTGACATTCTGGCCGAGTCTGACAGTCCTTGGGTGGTCAAACTCTTCACCACCTTCCAGGACGCCAGCTTCTTGTATATGTTGATGGAATTCCTGCCTGGTGGTGACTTGATGACTATGCTTATCAAATACGAGATCTTTTCCGAGGACATCACAAGGTTTTATATTGCAGAGATCGTGCTAGCGATCGAGGCTGTCCATAAACTGGGCTTTATTCATCGGTATGGTCATTCTTTCCCACCGAGGAAAAAGAAGAAGAAGAAGAACCCTCAAAAGGTTTGCTAACCTGGAATGCAGTGATATTAAGCCGGACAATATTCTCCTGGACCGGGGTGGCCACGTCAAGTTGACAGACTTTGGCCTGTCGACCGGTTTCCACAAGCTACACGATAACAACTACTACCAGCAGCTTCTCCAGGGCAAATCAAACCGCCCCAGAGACAGAAGCTCCATCGCCATCGATCAGATCAACCTTACTGTCTCTAACAGAGCGCAGATCAACGACTGGAGACGATCGCGTAGATTGATGGCCTACTCGACTGTCGGTACACCCGATTACATTGCCCCAGAGATTTTCACCGGTCAAGGTTATTCATTCGATTGCGATTGGTGGTCACTGGGAACCATCATGTTCGAGTGTTTGGTGGGTTGGCCGCCGTTCTGCGCCGAGGACAGCCACGACACGTACCGCAAGATCGTCAACTGGAGGCAGTCTCTATACTTCCCCGACGACATCACCCTCGGCCGCGAAGCTGAGGACCTCATCCGAAAGTATGTCCCCCTTCGCCATGCTTGTTTTGCAAACAATTTCATACTAACCTCGCAACAGTCTCATTTGCAACACTGAAAACCGTCTGGGTCGTGGCGGTGCGCAGGAGCTCAAGACGCATCGATTCTTCCAGGGAGTCGAGTTCGATAGCCTCAGACGCATCCGAGCGCCATTCGAGCCGCGTCTCACCTCAGCGATTGACACAACCTACTTCCCGACCGACGAGATTGATCAGACTGACAATGCCACTGTCCTCAGGGCTCAAGTTATTGCTTCTGGCAAACTACCCGAAGATACCCCCGAAATGAGCTTGCCGTTTATTGGCTACACATTCAAGCGTTTTGATAACAACTTTCGATGATCACAACCACTCAAGCTGGCTATCGATGGCATGATCATAGTATCTACTGCAAAATGCCATTGGTCTGGATACCCGCGGTCGATACGCCGCTTTTGCCTTAGATTACGCAGTACTTTGGCTTGAGCTCTTTCACGATCAATCTCGACTTTCGGTTCTGGTGTCATCTTAGAACCCCTGGCCGGACGGTCGAAAGCTGTTCATATCCAGAATTGTTGAACACCATGGAAAGGGGATCGGTCGCTCACATTCCATGTTGATGTCCAGGAGTTGAGTCCTGCGAGTATCCACGCATCATGGTAAACGAAACAGGACGCGTATAGGCTTGCGCTGAATGATTGTATGCCAATAGCACTGGCTGCAAGTGGCATACGTCGCATCTGATGTGCTTGTAAACGTTGAATGTAGAGTTACAGGTCCCAACATATATATACACAAGAACAATGCAATGTGGTGAAACCAAGCGGGTTGTTGAATAAGTCCTTGCGTGAATGAGGTAGTGCCCCCCCCCCCCAATAATCACCACGGCAAAACCTGACGGAGAACGAAGCTATCATAATTGAATGTCGACCCGTCCACCTAAGTTTGCTTTCCATTTGTAGTGAGGATGCACTGCCGCATTCGTACACTGCTCGCTCTGCCATTGGTCACCAGCGGACCTTCCGGGATGGGCCGTTAGCATGGCGCAATAGCAAACCCAAAGTGTCGATCAGGTCCTGCCATCACGGGTACGCAGAGCGATCTTGATCGTCTCAAGACAGCTGTCGAAACGCTGGACTGCGGACAACAAAATGTGGTACCGTTGGCGTGTGACGTTACGTCGCAGGGTTCGGTCAACGCGGCAGTCACCTTTCTTGAGAAGGACTCGGGGCATATCGATTGTCTTGTCAACAATGCTGGACGGGCGAGTCCTTTTTCATGATCCTACGTCAGCGCATAACATCGACGACTTCTCTCATGGCTTACTTTGTGCCCACGAAGCCACCCAAGATGTATTGCACACCAACACTGCAAGTGTTATTGGCGTGTCTGCAGCTTTCCTGCCGTTGCTCCATCGAGGAAACATAAAGAGAGGCTGGCCGGCGGAGAAGCTTTTCGACAACTCCACCAATCGACAACAGCGTGACAAAGCTGTCGATATTGATGCAAATGATTTCTGCGCGAGCCAGATCATGACAGTTTCCTCTATCTCTGGCATTGAACGTCATGCACTGACGGGATTGGTATATTCGGCGAGTAAAGCGGCAGCGGCACATGTCGGCAAAGTGTTATGCACTATGCTAATTTCATGGAATATTTGCAGCAATGTTATTATTCCTGGCCTATATCCGAGCGAGATGACGGCGTTTCTGCCAATGGATCATATTACTGTATCTAATACCCCAGCGGGTAGGGCCGGTTCCACCTCAGACATTGCTGGTGTAGTACTCTATCTGCTTGGCAAAGCTGGCGCCTTCGTTCGATGGTAGCTTATTGCTCACTGATGGAGGCAGGCTTTCGATTGAAACCAGCTCCTATTATTTTATCTTCAAACACAGGACTCATAAGGATAGGGTTTGAAGACGCGTTGTAATGTAACTTAGGATTTACAAAATAGCTTTATTTTCACAATATAGCGCACCGCAGTACTGAGACAAAATGCAATACTGATTTATCCGAGGCCATGTTTAATAAGCAGAGCTCAGCAAACCTGAAGTTATTGACACGTTTGTATACCTACCAGAATTTTAGAAATGTCTGGTTTGGCGAATAGGTTGTTCTCTCCTCAAACAATCACTGAATGAAAACAAGTTCGCACGAAGGCAATTGCCACATTAATTTTGTCGTTGCCCACAGTCGAAGCTCATGCCCGGTGCTCACCATGCATGATGTTTGAAGATCAAAAATCCGCTGAACTCATTGAGGAAGATTGATACACATGTATCGTAATGGTTGAATGAGAAGCATGAAACTCAGTCCCTTGGTCTCTCTTATAAGTAATCTTGCTCGAAGATTCCAATCTAGCTATTATTTTCACGCTGGATGTTCGGTGGCATCTCCTGGCTCGATTCTGACACTGCAGCGGAGTAGTGATTACACTGAAATGGAGCTGAGCCAGACGCATCTTCTATTCCAGACATTTCTATTCTTTCCTTTTCTCTTGGTGTAATCACCATTTAGCAACCTTCCATGCTGTAAAAAGTGTTACTCAATTACACCTTCAAGAAACTCGTCGAGAAGAAGAGAAGAGAAATACAGTGATGCCAATAAAACCTAGAGCAACTGTTTTGTTTTCCTGTGTGGAAGGACCCATCCTTTGCCAGCAAGACGTCTTCCATTGGTGCACCTCTAAGCGGTAACGCGTCCGCGTTAATTCCATCCGTTTCTACTCAGGCTCTACTCAGTCATGGTCCGAGGTTTTAACTTGATTTTTAGAGGGCCTTTGTCCCAGATGACGAAGACTAACTGAGATGTGTGCCAGTCATCTTGACTTTCCGCTATTTCGTAATCGAAGCGAAAAAGAATCCGAGAGATGATGAGGCGCATTTCAGAATAAGCTAGCTTCTTCCCAATACAATCGCGGGTGCCGGCGCTAAAAGGTTTAAAGGCAGATCGATTATCATTGTCGAACCGTACATCGTGCAGTGGATGCGATGTTGGCAACCAACGTTCAGGCCTAAAAGAGTCCGGATCCCTAAAATTTTGAGGGTTGCGAAAAGTAGACCATTGATAGACAGAGAGGATAGTCTGCAGTATCAAAATCAGCTGCCAGGTACCTTGCAAATTGAAATAAAACGGAATAAGGAAGACGGAAAGGGGGGCTTGTTTACACCAGAGGAAACGTAGCGCCCATCAATCTCACCACCTGGAGAGACTCGCGGTGGAGTTTCGGCCGACGGTGGATAACACCGGAGGGTTTCTTCAATGCAGCCCTGCAGATATTGGAGCGATGATGTGCTGCGCAAATTGATCTCATCCTCATTTCTGAATGCGGAACGAATCTCTTTCGTCAAATAATCGTATGCTGATGGTGTCTGGACCAAGTAGAAAAAGAATCCTGAGAGAGCTGTGGCTGTGGTCTCGCTCCCTGCTGTGATAAGAATTGGCGAATTCATCTCAATCTCGTTAGTTGTCAATCCCTTCTCACCACTGCGAGTGTCCCTGAGCATGTACGTCATGAAATCACGACGACCTGGTTCTGCGCCGGCTGCCATACGAGCCCTTGCCTTCTCCTTCGAAAATATCTGGTGTTCTTGGAGTTTCTTGATCCTATCTGCTCCCATTGACAGCACCACAAGAGGCCGTACGATTGGATACGCGGCGAAAAAGCGCCCCATAGCGCTTCCCTTGATGGTCTCAAAGATAGTGAGAACCCAAGGATGATATTCGCTGTTGTCGAGACTATGGAACGACTCGCCAAAAGTCAGGTCCCCGATTATATCAAAAGTCGTAAAGTTCAACCACTTCACTATATCTATAAGCTCATTGTTCTCAGCCCGCTTAGCAAGTTGCTGGACCAGCAAACTAACATAATGGCAAATAAGGGGTTCGTGCTCGATTAGGGCTCCATCGCTAAAAGCATGTGCTAGTTGCCGACGTTGACGTCGATGGACGTCGCGGGGTGCCGCAATTATGGCTTCGTGGTCCCCCGGAAACAGAAATCCACGGACTTTAGCATACTCGTCCTGGTTAGCACCACGGTGAGCAAAAACCTGGGGCCAGCCGATGGAGCCGTCAAGAGCGAGACGATTCGGTGCGATGCGGACAACGGGTCCGTACTTTCGGTGTAGTCCCACCATATCACGGACCCAGTCACCTTTTAGATGATTTCGATACAGATATGGGAGTTCCGTGGCCGCCAGATAGCGGGGTCCAGGAAATTTGCGGAGTGGATGAAAATATAGGCGGTAGACAGAAATGCCGATGCGGTGAACCACCAGCTATTGAAGGTAAGACATGGCAATCTCTAACGGTGAGTTGGGAGATAAGTACCAGAATCACGAATAGGCTGACTGTTGTCGCAATATGATTATCGGTATCGATTTGACCGAGAAGTATCGGGGTACGCTCAGGGTTCGGTTGTTTCATATTGTAGAATACGAGGGGCTGTTTGACTGCTCATGAAGTAAATGAAAATGAGGATTCGATCATGTAGCGAAAGCAGACGTTGGTGGCTATATACCTGGACTAGATTCGTGATCGACTCTACTACGGTCTGATACACTGACATAGGAGATTATCTCAAAACTTTCGTAGTCGCACCATCTCGAGTCCGAGTATCGACCTGTTACGTCACCTGAAGACGGATATTTCCTAAGCCCCGAGAGCGCCTTAATGCGGAGTTATCCGTACTGAAAAGAGGCCGCTAACCTAACGATGAAGATCTTACCTGATATGACTGCGATAGCACCGAATTTATGTAGCAACGAATACAGGGGTATGTATTTCATAGTTGTGATACGGTTATGGCACAAATTTACTCGGTCCACAACAGATTTCCTTCCAGCGCCTCCAGGGCACAATCAGCTTGATCAAGATATTGTACACGCGGCACAACTATAATAAATATGAAAGTACATCTTTCTTATAAGTTAGCTTTGATTCTTAAGATTAAGACATATGGGGTAGAATCAATATATAACTTTTAAAGCATATTTTTTTTAATCTAATCTTTAAATATTTTTATGACAATACGTGTGCGTACCGCTCGGCGAAGGCGCCAAAAGTGTATGTCGCGGAGGTTGTCTACAATAATGCAATTACACTACACGATAGAAGGGCGTCGCACCTATACTATAACAATTATTTAAAAATATTTTACTATTACAATTAAGAATCTTTAAAATACACGATAATTAATTATTTTAATTAATAATGATCTCATTATCAATAAATTTTATGTTATTATTTTTTAATCAATAGGGGTGGTATTTTTGCAAGATGGCCCATCATTAACTGACAAATATAAGCTGGACCGAGTACATTTGCGCCCCCACTCAAGTCTAGATGTATCCTCGCATCAAGTGCGGCTGGTGTGTGAAAGATCATCGTGTTCTAGCGCGCATGAGTTTCAACTTGCTCTTACATGGTATGGCGGGTTAGAGAGAGCAGTGGGGGAAGTACCGGTTCAAAATTAGAGGTTTTGTGAACGTTGCCTGGCTTGCGGCCGGGGTCACTCGCAGGGCAGCTTCAATATGTGAGTCCTTTTGCTGCAATAGTACCGCCAACACTCACTACTTCAACATACTGAAATATTCGTAATGATTTAAATGAAGTGGTAAAAAGTAGTTATAGAAAGATTAGCAAGATTCTCTAGGTCGATTTAAGTAATTATTAACTTACTATTAACTTCCCTTTTTTATTACTTTATTCTTAACTCTTTCTTTATTAACAAATATAAAGCTATCTCTGGGCTAGCAGGAACATTACTGAAGACAATTATTTATGGCCATATTTAAGACTATATTACGGCTTACGGAGATATAAAAAATAAAACTCTTATATAAGGAATAAGCTCTGATAACTGAAAAGATTAGAATTTTACCGCTAATGGTTATAGAATTCTAAAGCATATTCTCCAACGCAGCACATCGGATCCGCCAGTATGGACCGAGCTGAGCAAGATCTGGCCGCCCATTTCGCTGGGGGAAGGCGAGCTAAACTGCACAGAGGATGGCACAGCAAAGAACAAGGTTCGAGGTGCCGTTATCACCTTGAATAGGCAGACTATGGGACTCTTTGCCGTCTCGGATTCTCTATTCATGGTCTCGTCAAAAACAGGTCCAAGTCCTGGCCACAACAGTGCAATACTGAATAGTCGACACAGACTAAGAAATGTCTTACTGCTCAAAAGGTTACTCAAGCAGAGTTAGCTCACAGTATCGCAGCAAGAGGAGGATCACTTATCAACAATACCCCAAAGCCCTCAGTCTTTGGCTTTCTTAGTAGACCAAATATTAAGGAACCGGGGATACTTTCATTAGAAACTCCTCCTCGGCCATTATAAGGACCCCAATTAATACTGCAACCTGTAGCTTTGCCTACACGAAGCAATAAACGTCTGAGAGGAACTAGTAATATGCAGGTCTACAAGCGATTGGTTGAATTTAGCTAGATATCAACATAACACCACAAATTATCGCCACTATTGCAATTACTATGAAAACGCGACCCCGTTCGGATTCACGACAGGCGGGAATCACAGAAGACTTCACCTAAAATTAGCATGTGGGCATTTAGTGGATCCGATGCTAAAGTACTGTTCTTTGTAAGTAAACACCTTAGAAAGTGTGAGTCAGCTAACAGCCGCTTTAGGCTTAGAGACCTTCTTCGTATCAAAAAGGTCCTTCTTCCTAGCCGCTCCGATATAATGTCATTGTATAACCATGGATAACCTCCCTGTTACACACTTTTGGCGCCTTCGCCGAGCGGTACAAACGTACTGCCGCAATGACCCACAACCGGATAATGCTTGGCCGCTCTACAGCTAGAAGCTTGGGCCTTCTAACTCAACGGGGACTATCGAGTGCCCAGAATCTTGCAAACCTCTTTTCACCAAGTTCCTACACAGCTAACCTAGGGTGCCAAAAGTTCACTAGTTGGGTGAAGAGACAAACTCCACTTACTCATTGAGAAGTTTCGTTAATCCTCCAATACCCGCGACAGCAGTAAGCCATGCCAGTACTCACGGTTTCAGCTTCCCGACAGGCTTTATTTGACTAATAACATTTACATAGCATATCATACCGTATACCTGAGTACATGTTTTCACCTATCTTGGCATAGCGCTGAATCAGCACGACGGGCTGCTAGTGACATAACAGTGGGTGCGCTGAGCCCCCGAGAGGAAACCGGAGGATGGTGATGCCTGCTTGCGTTGAAAGGCCATTAGTAGCAATTCCCATATAAGAGCGGTGATCTCGGGTTGGAATTCTGCCTTTGCACGTAAACAACTTGTGGTCGTATAAAACGAACAACAAAACATAACCGATTTGGGCAAAGCAGAAGAAGCAGGGCACCAATATACAACTGAGGATGATGGCGCACCACCACCACCTGCATACTCGGAAAGCACCTCCAACACCACACCATTGGCGCAGCCATACCAACAAGAACAACAACAACAACAACAACAACAACAACAAGCAGCGGGAGCCGCGGCACCACCGTCACATCCATCACACATCAAGGTAGCACCCCACACAAGCCGCCAGTTCCCGCCCTCCTTCAACATCTATTACCAGTGGAAGTTCAGCATGACCTTCCACCTGGGCGAGTCGCGCGACCGGTCTCTCTAAGCCGTACGCACTCACAACCGCTGGTCGGGCAGCCTCGGGATCGTGCTGCACAGCAGGCCCTCAGACACGGACCCGCTGCCGCTGGGGCTGGGCCAGGAGAGCTCCAGCGAGTTCATGCGCACCAACGTCGCCTGGAAGACGGTCACGTACCCGTTCTCCGTCGAGGTGGCCGCCGCCGGCGGGAGGAGGGAGAACTTCGAGTGGCGCCAGAGCCGCGGCGGCGAGGTCAGGGAGATGGACGAGCACCGCCGCGGCTGGAAGCTGGTGCGCCTTGGTGCCCAAGGCGAGGGCCCACGGCGCCACCAGCGATGGCCGGGAGGTCGTGGCCGCCTGGGTCTGGCACTCCGGGTGGAGCCTCACCAAGTCGTTCAAGTTCCAGTTCCTCGGCAGTGGCCTCTCCGGGGAGCCCGGCGAGAGGTGAGCCGTCATGGCCGTGGTTACCGCGTTGAGGATCTGGTATCTGCATTTTGCTGGTGTGGGGAGTAACAACAACGCTGCTGCTGCCGCGGCGGGGAGTAGTTCGGCTGCTGCCGCGACTGCTTCGATGTAGAATAGGGCTGTTGGTACTTGGGCGCGTCAAGGCAAAGTTAGGAAGGACGTCACGGGGTGGGTACGATATAGGATAACAGCATGTGTTCTCACTGGTAAGAGGCTGTTGTGACCACGGGACTCCTGTCGATTATGCACAAAAGTGTAGACACCCATGTTGTGACTTTTTACAGACGATGTGTTTTTATTGTTCAGGATTTCAGACGAAGTGGACGAGGTCCCAAATCATAAACATCCCAACACGACCAACTGGAGCTCCACCGCCTGCCTATCGCCCTGCTCCGATCAGATGGCGAAGATGGGACTGATCTAATCGTCCTGCTCTACATCCTGAACCTTGACCCCAGGCATCTTCTTGAGCTCGTCGATGGCCTTGGAAGACATGGGCCTTTTCCCGTGCAAGAACACGAGCAGTCAGCTACAACGTACATAGTGTGAAATATGTAGAGAGAGTGGGGGGGGGGGGGAGGGACGGCAAATGCAATCGAGCATCACTTACGGGGGATGTTCGAAGGGAGGGAGCGACCTGGTAGCGATCCAGTTCTCCGTGCCGGTGTCATCCTGGATGAGTCTGGACAAGGGCCATCACGTTAGATGCACTGCTTCTGGAGGCTCTTTGAGAATCAATGATGACGACTTACTTTCTGACCTTGTCTCCGAGGTCAAAATACTCCTGAGGACCATTGTAGGTGAAAGAAACTCTCTGTAGCAGGCAGTGATGTCAGAATTTTGTCTGTCGTGTGGGAAGTGGGAAACAATGTCATTCATTGACTTACTCTTCTCGAGTCAGCCATGTTGAAGCGTCTGCGTGATTGTAGTTGAGTGGAAATACTGATTGTTGGTAAGATGGTGAAGGACAATTCTCCAGGATAATCTGGGGACGGTCGAAGTTGGGTATTTATAGACATTGGTCGCGAGGCTTGATACTGAACCAAGAGAGTATGCTTATTGAGGGTCTATGTGGCAGCGGAACTATCCGAGCTGGAGTTTGTAGTTTTATAATGGCGTAAGAACCTTAATTATGTTCATGCCCGTCGGCCATAAGTTGGAATTAAAAACAAGATGCGGGGTGCTCAAAGTTACTTGCTCTTGTGATTATTCATCTGCCTGCATCACAGCACTTTGCAACTGGCTTGATAAATTAGCTCATCCTAATGAAAGTTCCTTGGTGCCGTACATTATCGAATGTGTATGGAGTCAACAGTTGCGACTTCTTATTACCTCTATAACGACTACGTGACCATTGGTTAGGTATAGCAAGCCGGTAATCCGGGATTAGAGTACAATAGAGACAGATCTTTCCTCTTCAGCGCATAAACACATAAGATTGTGATCGCTTACAACCTCATCGTCTAAGTCGTGCCTATCACATTGCTTGCATAGGACAACAAGCTTGCATGGCTACTAGCACATATTATTGGCGGGCCCGGGCAAGCAAGAACGGCCCGTGAATAACAGTTGAGGCGGATTTAACTTTCAGGTTGGATGCGGCTAAGTCGATCTAGGTAATCTTGATTCGATCTCGGTTGCGCAAGACGAAAGTATAAGATCGGGGTCGATAGATCATTAGTAGTTGAGCCAATGATAGACCATAAGTAACATCTAACACGTGGTAAGCGGGGTCTTGTAGCTATCATAATAGCTAGCTTAAGAGCCCGCAATGGGGCAAGTACCACGTTATACATAAATACGTCTGAGCATTACCATACTTATATTAAATGATTTCTTGTCTTATATTGAGTAATTCTTGCTCGAATTACTCAACTTCATGAAGGCGCGTTATCATGCTGTTGTTGACAGACAGGATAACCATATTAGATATTGAAATTTTAACATACTATGTAATTCAATTGACTCACACTAACTGAAGTCTCTCAAGAGGCTATTGTCTTGCGATGGTGGTGTGGAGACCTGAGTTGGCGTGATACAAGCCTCGGTGCAGTTACTGATACTCTCCATACCATGATGGTGGATATAGATTATGGTTCTCGGTACGGCGATTCCAAGACTAGAGGCTCTGGAAATAAGAGCTATTATACTCTGTGCTAGATGAAGGGCAAAAAGTCCTTGGCGCACGTGAAGCCAAAACAGAGGGTTCACGCATGTTATACCAGTTTCTGCTAAGGTTATTTGATGCAAACCAGGACTGGCAAACATGCAGTTTTAAGTAGTCTAACTATTTAATTGTTCTTACAAAAGTTTACGTATAACGCTTAGACAGTACAACGAACGCTTCAAGCACAAAATCGGATCAATTACTTCGCCCGAGTCAGGACCCATGACATACAGTTCGGGTCAACGCGATAACACAACCCTCATACTACAACAAGTATTGGAAGTAAAGGTTCTCCTTGTCCGTCATATCTTGTAGACCCAGTTCGCCGTGGATCTCGGAGCCGGCCTCGTGAAACGCGTCATCCATAGAGTAGTCGATAAAGTCTCTTGGAAGACCAGCTGCTTCGCGCTGGTCCTGCTTTTTCTTCTGCATCCACGTGATGAGGACGACTTGGAGAATAACGACGCCCCAGAGGACGCACCAAATAGCCAAAATGCCTTTGAGGGCATTGACCTAGATAATGTCAGCTATAAGCTTACATCAACAAATTCAACGCATGTACTTACGTATTGTGGAGCAAACTTCGAGTCGAAGATGTAAGGAGTAATGATGTTACCGATGGAGTTGCCAGCGTTGAATGAGGTGTAGTAGATGGCTTTCTTGGTCTGACCGGCACAATTGGCACCCATCCAGGAGATGAGCAAAGGGTTAATGGCGAAGACAAATGCTATCAAATAGTAGCCGACGAGAAGACCACCCTTGTTCGCTGCGGTCTTGGGGAGACCGACAAGCAAAGCGACTCCAACAATTACAATGGTGACGAGTGCGAGCAAAAAAGGGGACTTGCGCTTGAAGCGGTATGCCAACCACGACGCGCCGAGAATGGAAATAAACTGGAGTGCGCCAAAGGGCATGTTGAGAAGGACGGCTTGATCAGCAGTGTAACCAGCCAAACTCTGAAGAATGATGGACCCAAAGACTGAAGAGACGGAAGCTCCGGCGTTCACGGCAATGACCATGATCATGTACAGCCAGTACTTGGGTTCAGATACAGCCTCGCCGACTTGCTTCCAATTGAACTTGTGCGAAACAATACCTTGCTGGTTGGCCTTCAAACGATCAACAGCCTTGAGACGGTCCGTAGTGGACAAGTAACGGGCTTCTCCGGGGCTGTCATGAGCCCACCAGTATGTGGTAAAGCCAATGACGATGGTCAAGAGTCCAAAGAAGAGATAGACTATCTGATACCGGTAGAGAGTGGAGGATTTGACCTGACCAAAACCATAAACGATTGGGGAGCTGAGTAGGGTGCTAAGCCCATAACAGCTGTACCAGCAAGCGACTCTAAAGGGCTGCTCTGAGCGTCGGTAGAAGGCGATCGTGATGATCGAGAAAAGAGGAATAACGGCAGCCTCAAAGGCTCCAAGAAAGAATCTGGATGCCAGGAGGCCGGCGTAGCTGCGCGAACCACCAAGACCACCGGCAACCGATATTCCCCAGCAGATGATAATGACGGGCAAGACTTGGCGGTATCGAAGCTTGACGAGCGCCCAGGCCGCCAAGGGCTGGACACCTAATTGGGCATAGTAACCGATGTTACCAATATTGGAATAGTCGTTGCCAACAAGGTTTGCATCCGTTTTCAAACCGTAGACGGCCGTCAAACCGATGATTCCCTTGTCTGCCGACTGGAGGAAGTAGACCATGCAAAGAAGTGAGAGCATGTAGATATCGGTTCTGCGCAGAATGCGCTTGTTGTCCTCTTCGGTGCAGAGGTGAGCGGCACTGAGGCCGGGGTCTTTGCCCTGCTCAAAAGCGGCGGCAAGCCCAGATGCATTGTCGGATGGTGCATCAGATGTGTCTTCGATGCGATCGACGCCGACCTTCTCGACCGTTGAGGCCATACTGCTGGACGACTCGTGTGGAGAGAGAGAAATCCGGGGCAGAAATGGGGTAGAGATGGGGTAACAGGGCTTGGCTGGGGTAAGCAGCGGGGAGAAAACATTTTGGAGCACGCTTGGCTCAGTTATATGTATTTAGCCAAGATCACATGATTTGTCCTCGTTTCGTATATTATTCCTCTTTGGGGACAATATCCGGTGCTATTAGGCGGCTAACTTGCTTAGAAACAAGTGTCCCATACGCGAAGGACATTGGGCGGAAGATTTCGAGTACAGGCTTCCTAGGAGCGCACGCGTCGCAGGCTCTAGACCACATGGGCTTTTAACCGGAACAAGCAGTTTCCACCAATAAGCAGTCATCTCATTAGCGACCATGTAAAACAACTAGTCTTATCGTTAGGAGATTGATAGCCTTAACTTCATATGTCATGGTATGCACACGCGCCATACCAACGGGCAACGACAATTTGTTCACGGAGATAATTTCAATATCTACGATCATGCTCTACCCAAGCGTAATCTCAGTGGCACTACAAGAAACCTCATTTCTCCAGAATTTGCCATACTTTTACTTGATCGCAAGAGAAGAGCAGTGATCGAAGTGGTGGTGGTGGTGGTACTCTACATACTGCATTGGTACGTGTTGCAGCCGAGAAGTAGACTAAGTCTTGTGCCATCACACTCTCTGGCCCCTACATGGAGAAAATATGATTTGGATGGTCCGCTTTTTCTACATCGATAGCCGAACAACATTCCTGACGACTAGTCATTTCACAATCCTTAATCAATAACCACAAAGTCAAGTGACTTTGTCAGAGCGTAGTACCATCAGAAAACGGCATTCATTGTTCGATGCGGGTAATTTGCGAACGGTTGCTGGCCCTGTAGGGAGCTTTTTTCTGCCTCACGTACTGTTGATGACAATGTAACAGAAAGCCAATATCCAGCAATGTGCAAGCCTAGAATCAATTCTTCAAAAGGAATGGCAAAAGCCCACCTGTCTTTTGCTTTTTTTGATTCACACGTTTATATTGATATCAACCAGTCAATCTTCTCAGATGTGAGATCAGATGTGCAACTGTCGGTCAACAAGTTATCCGGGTCCCACTATTGATGCCATATTCGGTCAGTCACCGGAAGCATTACAGATGAGAAGAATTGTGATCCAAGCTCAGTTCGACGTCATAATGTTTGCAACTTCGAAACACGTCTTGAATTCTGCTCTGCGATCGGGCCTATTTTCTTTTGAGTGATCAACTAAAGGTACGTTTTGGGAATCAATGGAAACACACCGAAATAAATTTTCCTAGGCGTAATGGTCAAGTAAACATAAGAGATTTAACCTGGTCATTTAGAGACTCGAAGCATAGGGCGGTTCTCATATCTACACTAGTTAGGGAAAAAAGCATTAGCCGGATAATCCGGGAGTCATTACATCGTTTCAACGGATCTTTTGGTTAAATGTGCCATGACATTGGATGGATAAGTAGGGATCAAACAACGCATCAAAGATTACCATCGTATGAAATATGATTTAATTCAGAATACTTCAAGCATCTTATGTTCTATCTAAAGGAATCTTTTTGAAATAAATACCTCGGGTTGAAACAGTTACATTATAGTTAAGAACGATACGTGGTTATTAGTATAACGCTGGCTGAAGTTTAATTTTAACCTTCTACGCAACCAAATGGGGAAGCACACGGCGATTGAGTGCAAATTCCGTGACATGTTCCTTACCCGAAAGTGATATTTGACGACTCTTACTGACTTGTTCGTACCGATTCTCGCTCTTTCGGCATTTCTAAAAAGAAAAGAATAATAAAACCCGACTGGCATTCGGTAATTACTAAATTCCATAACATAGTAATTTTTGTAGATTGCACGTGTTTCTTGCACGATGAACTTTTCCCACCCCATCTAGAACTTCCGAATGAGAAGTGACCCAATAACCCTTAGCTCATGCTACGCCATCGTAATATATGTATCGCAAGTCGCAGAGGCGCAGAGATGCAAAGGCGCAGAGCTGCTCCGGGGTTCCGGATACCTCGGTCCGAGAAACTCGCTTCGTTCCTGGTGAATGTCAATCCAACGTTCAAACCCAGCGAAGCATTCTTCCTCGACCATGAAAAGACACGTCCCTCAAGGCTAAGGTTGAAGAGATTTTGAGTCCAAGAAGGAGGCCAAGACTCCGTCGTTTCCTCTGTGAATCTATATACATATTCCTATGCCACCTTCGTTTTGTCATCATCGACGTTTTCTGGTTCGCTACAAATATGCTCTACCAATCAGCTGTCCATTCCGCCGGAACTATACATGGCAATTCTTTGGGCACTCAACCGATGTCAGTTCCGCCTGGGCCCTCCAGGTATTTACTATTTAGTAGAACCATCAAGCGCGCCTTACTTGGAACAATATGCTGAGTACGAGATGACTCTGAGAGTCAAGTCAGAGTTCACAACACTCCGTCGAACAGTTGCCGACAAGGCCTCGGCGAGGATTAGTATGAAGGATGGTTGTGAGTGTCTTATTCCCGCACTACTTTGTATGGCAACTGACCGTATTTTCATTACTTTGGAGTGAGATTGCTCCGGAATTTCACACCTGTAAGTCATCTAGAACATGTTTTGCAAGTACCATGTTAGCCTCATAGCGCACTGAATTGATTTGATTCGCCTCTCGCTGCAATTTTACGCCAACTTGAGCCTTATTCCACAATGGACGTATAGACGTTACTAAGTTTTGGAGTTCATTTCACAGCCACAAGACCCTGTGGCAAGATGTGAGTGATGTACTTTCCAAAACGATCTCCAGTGATCGCGGCAGGCCACAAAACTGGCTATCTAGTCAAGTTCGAGCATGCTCGAGCCCAACATCATGTTATAGGTGTAGGGTTTGCGTGATCATGGCGTACACATGGTCATATTTTTCGAGACAGTCAATCCTGGCAACCAACGTGACTCTGATGCTAAGGAGGAGCATATATGTGGAGGGCACCACATCCTAAATCCATTCTCTTTCAGTACGCATGTAATTCTAAATAAGGGCCATGATGTCGGATCTGCTAAGAAAACAGCTTGCCCTGCGGATAACTCATCATTAGTAGAATAGAACTCAAGACCTCTCGAGATATTTCTCGGACCCCCAAGCTTTTTAAACTATCCTGATGCTATCATCAGTGGAACGCGACTATTGTGGAGTTACCAAGGCCGTATTTGGACAATTTGGAAATAGAGTCGCTGGTTTTGAATTGGCATGAGAGTGCTATATGCATTTCCTTTGAGGCCCAACTTAGTAAATTGAATGTTTACATATCTGCCGTATAGCTTAAGTCTCACGAGTCTGACAGTTATACCAGATCAAAACCTAAAATAAACCCCGGTAAATATTATTTACTGTGTCAACTATTCAAAATTCCAATTATATTGCGTCTTTAAGGACTCAGACTATATTATCGAGATTCTGATAGAATCGGTATTCCAACGTAGTATCTTTTGTGTTACATAGTTGTCCCTAAATGGCTGCATGCTTAAGGGATGTAGCTGCGTTGCCGAATCAACCATGGAACCTTTTAATATGATAGTGTGTAAGGCAGTTTACTATTTTGACTTGAGACGCAAACTAATGTGATAAAGCACTGGTTTCCTCTACATGCTTGGGATTTTACCAGCGAGATGACTGCTTGCGCCATTATAGTGGCTGTAGTTTTCCTCAAAGGCCTGTTTATTTCGTGTCTCAACCTCAGGCGACGGCTGTGTCAAAAACCCTTAATGCGTACCTCCGGACTGGTTGAAGATGATGAATTCGATGAATGGGGTGTATGTGCACATTTGAGCGCCTGCATTGTTTGTACACATTATAGGGCAAATTTTGGACTAGAAACTCATGCGTTTCTCTTTTTGCCTTTTTCCAGGATCCCGCACAGCTCGTAAATGCCGCCTTGGTGGGTTGTTGAAACTACTGCCTGAAAACATCAAAGGTAAATCAAAGGAAGTGGTTATGCGAATATAGTTTGCATGCTTATTCGGTACCTTTGAGAGAACGCATCGACGAGTTTTGAAAGATTCGTCAAGCACCAAACTCATCCTAGTAAGGGAACTCTTCACCAAGCAAGTCAAATGAAAACGTTGGCATGCGAAGTATATCAACGCAAAAGGACCTCCCACCGTTTGCACTATTCCCAGCGCACCAGGTGCATAGGCAGAGTCGTGACGGAGCCTGTGGTTGAACACATCGGGACGGTTGTAAGAGAGGAAAACATCATTCATGATTCAGTGTGGCGCCACATCGAATGTATATCTCTTCAATACATCTACAGTAGAGGCCTTAACAATAAAATTCTCGAAATGGGAACTTGGGGGCAATGACAAGATCTATGCATTTGGATGGCTTGTTCGGCTGGCCTTGGCCAAGCTCGGTTTCAAACGCCAAGCTCGGCTTACAAATGACAAAGCTCGGCTCACGAATGACAACTTCGGCTCAAGCATGAATTGTACACCGTCAGAAACATGAGAATGCGAAGCAATGAAGTCAGTCATAAGATTGCGTGCTTTGACATTGAGACTGGGTTATTTTCCGGAGACTTTCCGGGTTTTCAATTGGCCCGGCTGACGTAACAGCCCTGCACAACACATCTGAGAGCTACCATGATATAATATCAATACTACATATTAACCTGCGTACAGCAATTAAACAATAAAACAAGAGGCACAACCGCGAATAAGTTCCGCCCAAACCACCGAGCATAAAGACTGGAACAAAAGAACAACACTTACCATGGTGCCTAAGAAACAAGACCGTCAATATGGAATCGTCCTCGTCGGCGCCACTGGTTATACTGGCGCCTTGACAGCGGAGCATATTGTCCAACACCTGCCTACAAATCTTCGGTGGGCAATTGCGGGCAGATCGAAGGAAAAGCTTGATGGCCTTGCAGCGAGATTGAGGGAGTTGGCACCGGACAGGGTCCAGCCTGGTGAGGATCTGCATTGACTAATGAATGTGCATAGTCGCTATCTGCTTACGGTACATAGCGATTGAGATTGTCTCACTAGATCGTCACGATCAACTCAATACTGTTCTACTAAAATCGAACGTCTGTATCAGCGTTGTGTCCTATGGGCGTGTAGGAACCCAGGTGATAGAAGCTTGCATCGAGAACAGGACGGACTATATAGATACGTAGGTTGAACCACTCACCGAATGGGAACGTCCCACCCTGGCATAAGAGTTACTGACAGCATGAGGTGTGAAGTTTTAGTGGTATCGCGCAGCTCAAGCAATGGGTTTCACAGTACCAGAAAAGAGCGGAAGCCGCTGGCGTTGCTGCAAGTCACAAACATCCAATCTCCTCCCTGTGCCAGACGGGAAATCACTGACACCGACAAACAGCTCATTCATAGCTGCGGTGCATTCAGCGCACCACAGGATCTATTGACCTGGCTTGCTGTCCGTGCATTGAAACAGCAAACCGGGCTACCCACGAAGGAAGTCATTTTATCTTTCAAGAAAATGACACTCAGCCCCAGCGGCGGGACCGCGAATGCGATTCTCAGCAAGCCAAATTTCGATGCGAAAACTATTGCGGAATCACATGACCCGTGGTACCTGTCGCCTGTCCGGGGTACTGCCATCCAGAACCCGATTAACTTCTTTGGAATTAGGAAAGAGCCCTATCTTGGTGTTCTCGTTGCAAGCGCGTACGGTGCTAGAGGTGATCGTGCTGTTGTGCATAGGACATGGGGCCTATTGCAAGGCGGAAAGGAATATGGAGCTAACTTCCACTTCAACGAGTATAACAGCGCATCTTCAACTTTGCACGGCTTATGGAAAATGCTGAATGTTGTTTTGCTCGGCTTGCTTCTGTCGGTGAAGCCCTTAGCAAGGCTGTTTCTCCCTCAAGAGGGGGATGGGCCGGATCTGGAGGCTACTAGGCATGCGCCGGCAGAGCTGGAGGCTGTGGCTATCGCGGATGGGGACGAGACCAAGAAGGCATTCGCGCGCTTCAAATTTCTGGGCGGTTCGTATTACGTGACAGGTGCGGTTCTGGCGCAGGGTGCTGCAAGTCTGTTGTACACAAGGCATTTAGAAGGTGGGTATGAGGGAGGGAATTTAACGCCAGCGTTCTTGGGAGAGGACTTCGCGGAGAGATTGAGAGGGGCCGGGGCAGAGATCGAGGTAGGACTTCTGTGACGGGCTAACAGATAGACTCTACCACAGTACGATAATCTGTTGCTTGTAACTTTCAGAAAGCCAGTTTAAATCTCACGCTGTTGAGTACTGTACATTGGTGCGGAAGAAGCTTGATTGGAAAGTCAAAAACATACTTGTAGAGCACGAGTCGGTTACGTGCGGGGATCGTAAAGCATGTTCTCTTGCAGCTTGTAGCGCCAAATAGCTTAAACACAAGAGAATGCCGTCGAGGAGAAATTGAGCCGGCACATTGGATATAAAGACCACTTCCACTCAAGATGAATCGAGCAGGGACGGAATGGGCCCCATCCAACGGCGGTGGCCGCTATGTAAGCCACACCAGTCGGGAGGATTCCAACATAGTATTATGTACGGTACTTAATGTGTGCAGGTGCAGCCAAGAGTCAGCCTTCCGTCCGGAGGGAAAGCTTATTAGTTATCAGGATATGACGAGCTAGTACTGGGGATGTTTCGAAGAAGCGTACAAATCACAACACCCGCACGCAGGAACTAATTCCTCCACTCAAAGACCGAGCCGCAAGCCAGCAAGGCTAGAACATGGTCGAAAGCGTATCTTGTTTTACACTAGGATGTATTAGCCCTCGGCAAGGAGCGTGGCACATGACAGGCGGTAAATCAGTTACACGCCAGGGACACTCGGGGTGGGACGCTCTACAGTACTTTTTCCAAACTCTATGCAGTGAGCCGCTATAATCTGATCGCATGACATGCAGATGTCATGATGAATTACAAAGGTTAGAATTTCAAATCGGGGACGGGTCATTGACCCGTCGATCTGCGTGCATCATCAGAAAGGAAGTGACAGGATTAAGCTTCCAATCTCGAGATACAATCTGGAGAAGTTGGGGGAAATTTGGGGATTGTCCACAGTTGTTCAGTCGGTGAGGAGAAGATGGTAGCGCCCAGCCGATAAACAAGCCAACCCCGCACTCACGTTTGCGCTAATCATGCACTCCATGTGGGATACGCGGCCATGCTAACCCTATAAGCCTCTAGCTCATGCCTTAGCGTCATCCTTCAATGAACTAAGACATAAGCTCTGACAAGCAATGCTCAAGCGGCCTGAGTGGTGCCCAGAGACTGCCCAGAAGATGCCTAGAAAGATGCCCAGAAATCACAAGAGATGCATAGTCTTCACCAAATATTCGGCCCGTAAAGATGAACTACATGGTGCAATACTTGTATATTATGCTGTCAGTCCGTCATAAATTATTGAATTCCGCCTATGAAAGGTTTGTTTACTTCGAAGCTCGTCATTCAGACAAACAGTGGGTGGTTGTAGGGCAGGCATATGCTCTGAGCCGGCTTTCCTGCTTCTCCTATACCTCATTGGTCTTCTTCCCGATCTTTGGAAAAGACCCCGGGCTAGCCTCTCGTCGTACTGTACCAGCTCGGGGTCCGATAGATCGGATTCGAGCACGCGGAGGGTGAACCGTTCTTTTTCCCATGCGCACCTATCATTACCCCGGGTTTACACAGGGAAACGTCGTTGATTGCATGGAAAATGATGCGGTATCACACGGACACCAATGCAACATAGAGTACGCAGCTAGTAACAGCCAACATTAGCCCGAGATGCGCAAAAGTAACACAAGACATAAGAACCCTGATACACCTTTTGCCATTTTCTGTCTTTCCCTTCTCTTCGTCAGCTGTCTCTGTTCTCTTTCCCTTAAGCATTGACACGGTAACTTCGTGAACAATTCAAAATGTCGTCAGGCGAAATCAATCCGAAGGATGAGTTGCGTTATGGCGACAACATAGACGTCCAGCAGTCCGAGAAGGTTGAGGTCTTGGCCAATGAGGATCTCCTACACGATGCCTTCGATGGCGAGAACCGCGAGCACGAGGAAGGCGTGTGGGAGGCAGCGAAGGGTCACCCATGGGCCTGCTTTTGGGCGTTCATTATGTGCTTCACAATTGTGAGTCTATATCTTTTCTTCATTCGGGCTCGCCTCCAAGTGCCTGGAACCCAGATTGCGAGGATCAGCCCCGCTTATGCACAACAATCACTAATGCTTGATAGGTCATGGAATCATTCGACATGTTCTTGAACGGTAACTTTGTAGCACTCGGCGCTTTCCAAGAAAGGTACGGTGTCTGGGTTGAAGGATCCGGTTGGACGATCGAAACCAAATGGCAGAGTGCCCTGTTCCAAGCCGGTCAATGTGGTGCTTTCGTTGGTGTCTTCCTAGCTGGACCCGTCACCAACCGCCTCGGATATCGCTGGACTACCATCTTGGCCTTGATTCTCATGAACGCCACGATTTTTATTTCGTTTTTTGTAAGTCTCCTCGTACTATTGTCAGGTCTTTCGCCTGACCAAAACTACTCAGGCCGATTCGCTTGCTGTTCTCACAGTTGGACAAGCATTGGAAGGTATTCCATGGGGTTTCTTCATTGCAAACGCCCCTGCATACGCCAGTGAGGTTGTTCCACTCGCCCTTCGAGGTGCCTGCACAGCTACTCTGCAGATGAGTTGGTCTATCGGTTCAATTATCGTCGCTGGTGCCACCTATGGCTACAACAAGCGTACCGATGAATGGGCTTGGCGAGTACCTCTCGCCCTGCAATGGCTTTTCCCTGTAAGTTTCTTCTGCCAAATTTTCAAGTTCAATAGCTGACTCGCCTAGACCCCTCTCTTGATTCTGGTCTTCCTTGCTCCCGAGTCACCTTGGTGGCTCATTCGTCGTGGACGCAAAGAAGAGGCCCTTCGATCCATTGAGCGTCTCGGAAATAAGAAAGCAGGAAATTCTCAACAGGCACTTGCCATGATGGAGCGAACTGTTGAGATTGAAAGGAAAATGGGTGGCACCCCCACACTTCTCGACCTTGTCAAAGGTACCGACTTGAGGCGAACAATCATCACTTGTTTGATGTACGCGTCACAGAACTTTGCCGGTAACTTGATTGCCAACCAAGCAACTTTCTTCTTTGAGCGTGAGTAGCTCTTCTCCTGGAAGCTTCAAAGCTTAGTCACTAACTTCCCATCTAGAAGCTGGAATCTCGCCCGACAAGGCTTTCCAGCTTAACTTGATCAATTCGTGTCTGCAATTCGTTGCCAACATACTCTCTTTGCCCTTGACGGCTTGGTTCGGTCGTCGAACCATCTACCTCTGGGGAACAGTCACCAACATCACTTTTCTCATAATTCTTGGCATCTGTGCCTCCATCCAACAGTCCACGGCGACCAACTACGCCCAGGCCGTCCTAGGAATAATCATCTCCTTCGTATATGCCGGAGCCCTTGGCCCAGTTTCATATACCATCATTTCCGAGACGTCTTCCGTTCGTCTCCGTGCTCTGAGCACTGGTGTCGGCCGTGCCGCGTACTACGTCGCGGAAATCCCCATGATCTACCTAGCTTCCCAGATGCTCAACCCGACGGGATGGAACCTTGCAGGCAAGTGCGGCTATATCTGGGGAGGTACGGCCGTCGTCTGCGCTGTATCGGCGTACTTTGGCCTTCCTGAGCTCAAGCACCGCTCATACCGTGAAAGTGACATCCTGTTCAACCGCAAGATCTCCGCCAGGAAATTCAAGTCGACTGTCATCGACGTCAAGGACAATGAGTAAGGCATGGCGATCAACCGGAGGGAATGATTATTATGTGAGACCTACCTTGAGATATGGGTCGACAGGGATCTTCCCAGATGGCTATAGTTATGTATTTAGATTATTTCATGGTCGTCATTGGGTCAGATATCTTCAGTCAATACGACACACGAGTTCCACACTCTAAATTTGCTGGCCCTCCTGCTGCTTAATGGTTGACGTTGGATGCTCTGAGCTAATTCAAGTCAGATAACTGCGAAAACTCAGATATCTTCCGCATCGATAGAGTTCATGGGTATCAGGGGAACTTAGTCATCAATGCCTCGTGGCGAGACATGTTCCCCAGATTGAGTCTAGAGCTTACGCCACATTCTGTGGATTACCAGGTGCATTGACGAAACATGGTAAAAAGGGCATGCCTGATGTCCGGTGGATCATCCATCACTCCGCCATTTTCTCGCGAAGCGTGACATTCTCGTAGCGAGACAAGACGAACACTTCCAGACTTCGGTTTGTTGTTCCGGGCAAAAGTTTATGTCATTTCGCTCTACTCGTAGGAACTCCTAGGAAACTCGCAGTGAAATCATAGAGTGTATGTGTTCCCTGGTGCACATGTTTTGGAGAAAAAGTGGAATATTATGGGTTTTCTTTGAATAAGCACACTGCATATATTGTTCTGTTGGTTAGGTTGCGTCCTTTTTCATGTGAGCGTACCTATTTTCGTCTTAGGACAGGAATTCTTCCCTTGTGCCATGAGCCACTGTTCGAGTTGCCGTCTTTGCTTCGAGATTAGAATCATTAGATGTTTCAGTCATGATTCTTAAACAATTAGTCTTAAGTGAAAGCTGCATGGGCTATTATATCACCTGACGTCCAACCCTACTCTGAATGGTCAGACATAAAGACCACGGGGCATTATCCACATCCATCGACATAGAGTTGAGCCTTTCTACTATTCTGCTAGCACGGGACCTTTCGGCTTTGCAAACAACGACAGCCAATCAGCTTACGAGGAGATCCCTATGCTCATACATCCAGACCCGGTGTCGATCAACTGCAAAAGACTGTTTACCTATTCGTGTCTAACAAGAAGCCCGGTTCCTCACTGAAACCTATAACTTACCTCGATTACAATAGCTGCTCGTGTTAGGAAACAGTTTTGCTTGTGAATTTTGGACTGTTCGATTGCATGTGAAATGTCGTTTAGTACCGCTTGAAATTTCTTGTTGAGCCTGGATTCCCTCAGCGGAGAAAGCAGCTGTCCATTTCACTTGCATTTTAGGCAGTCTTGTATGGTTAATCGAAGGTTCTCCAGTAGACTTCTGCCACTGCGGAGAGTTCTATTTGCCTACTCCTGGATTTCATTTTTTGTCAAATGCTGACAGTTAACATATTTGACTTTTTCTCCTAGATGAGGTTTGCAATGCTTTACAAGGCTTTGTTTATCTTAGAGTTTTCATCTTGTTAGTCTCTCTACGATATAGATCTATGTTGGTAATTCTGCGCAGTGTGGCTACCACAATTTCGGATTCCTGCGCCCCTGCGCCTATCTGTAGGGCACCAGACGTCCTTAACGTTACTAGCATCGCCATTTGACAAACGGAAATGGCTGGGATCTCATATGCATGTCTCACTCACTCTTGAAGAGAAAGGTATGGCGATGGACGTCACAAATAGACGAGCTACATGGTTCCAGTCATTGGACTTATATTTGGCATATCAACCTGACTCTCTTGCTTTAATTGCTAATATATCTAATTAATTCGTACACCGGATTAACGTCATAATGTATAATGCCCTGGAAATACGAAAGGGCGCCGTTTCTTCCGTTTACCTCGATATCCACGATTCGACTCAGCAATGCGGCGATCTCAGGCGCAAGCTTGACATAATCCATGTCTAACTGCTGATGTCGCTCGACATTTCCAACGGCATCTTTCCAAAACATCAACCACCGCCTTAGAGCCCTCTGAAATATGGTAGACCAGGTCCATGCAGGAGCTGAACTACGTATATTGAAGAACGTGGAGTGGACACCTGTGAGCATATCTGTTTAGCATCATAGTTGGCCAACCAAGAGAAAACAACTTACCCCAAATCAAAACGAAAAGATGATCCACACTCATTTTGCCCAACTCGTCCCTGACCCCGGTCGGTGAATCTTCTCCAATCAGATACCATATGGCTTTCTTCAACGTCGGTGATTCCATTTTTGGAACCTGGGAAGTCCACACAAGCTTGAAGTCTGGCTCACTTTTGGCAGTCCAGAGCAAATCATTGCATGGAAGATCGCAAATCATCTCAACAGTCGTCAAAGAGGGCGGATGACAGCAAATTAGCGTGAATAACGCATCCTGAAGGAACGTCCAAGTGACAATCCTGATACAAGACTCGCGGCACAAGAACTCCCTCCAAGTGGGCACTTCGGGACTTCGTGGGTGAAACTGAGCTGCTATGTTTAGAATCCTGATCGCAGCAACTAAGATGGGAAGTCGTTTAATTAGTAGCCTTCGCTTTGTAGCATTGTCATCAATACCGCTCTCGACAGCCATCACCAAGAGTGCAGCCTGACAAGCTTCGATGAGAGGAGTATCAAGCTGCGAGTGATCGTGAAAGGTCATGGCAGTCTCTAGACAGTCAAAGACGTAGGTCTCTACAATCTCGTAGAACATGTTATCCAACCCACAAATAGTGTTCAGTCTGCCTTGAACTTCAACCAATACTGCGCCGCCTAAACCCAGGGCCAATAGTAGAGGGTAAGATATCTTCTCTAGGCATATTGTTGGCCAGTGGATGATAGACCATTGCCATTGCCGGTAATCTGAGACAGTTGGGATGAATAACGAATAAGTTGCGCAAGTAAAGAATGCCGCATACTTCATTAGGCTCTTGATACTTGTCGATTGTACTTCAGCAAACATGAAATTGAGTCGAGTTTGAAGCATCTCGAGCATCGTGACAGATTGAGGTTTCGAGATGCTGGAACACAGGGGATCTGAACTCATAAAGCGCTGGAGCCCACCATGATGAATCTTGTGTGGGATTTCTGAGAGTTTCATAATATTATGATCGGGGCCTGCGCATGGATGATGTGGCCGACAGAATGTAGTCATACGCGACACACCCGAATAGCTTCCATTTGATATGGTCTCGCTTGGCCCCATATGAAGGGCGACAGACTGATATGCAGGGTTGGTAACATGTAGAAGAAAAGATAATGCCGTTGGCTCTGCAGAGGTGATTAAGCTGTCATCCAATCGAGACACCGCAGAAGTCTCATTACCGGCGAACCGGTAGGTACATTTCAGATCACGAGCAGAGCAGCGCCGGCAAGGCGACTTGTGATCGCAAGATAGTTTTGCCTCAGAGCAGGGTTCGCACGCAATTGGCTTCCTTCCTCGCTTCTGCCCCCTAATGTTTTGGCCCTTCCGGTGTGGACAGGTCACGGAGTGCCGCCGGGCTACGTCTCGTCTTGAGAATCGCTTGGGACAAAATTGACATGGGTAATTGACTGAACTATGCTCATTTTCATGTCGTCGTAAATGGCAATTCCGTCGGAACTCACGGCCGCACAAGGAGCACACAAGTTCTTGCGTCGGCATATTCGTCTGTCTAGTTAATATAAGCAGCACAATCAACTCGCATCGAATCCAGCCGGTGGTGGGACAACCTCTCAAGCTCACAAGCGGGCCAACCGATCTTCCGCAGGTCCGCTAAATATGGAGCCACCAAAGCGGTACCCCATCATACTTGTGGGTTTACTCCGACTCAATTAAGTGCTGAACTGACACTAGTGGGTTTATACCGAGTCCCATCGTTTGCCTTACAACTCAACTGCCATCTTGTTTTACAGCGCTATGTTTTCCTCCTTTCTCTGTCAATACTTTTTATTCATCACCTTTAATGCTTTTCTTTCACAATTCCCTTATTATTTCCCTCTGGTCAGAGTAACACATCATGTTTTCAGTCTGTAAGACATCGTTGATCAGAGCACGTCTCCCGCCGCTTCTTGGTGCTAGAATCAATAGGTTACCTCAAGGTCTGATAGGCGATCGCCTCCTTAGTACCAAAAACAAGGTACACAAGGAGTATCAATCAACAATCGGCAAGCATCGAAATACTGCCCTGTCTACTGAACGTAGGCCTTCGAGCATTGCTCAGCACGTGCTGTAAGTAATGTTCAAGGACACTTTTACTCAGAGCTCTTGATTAGCCATGCCCTCATCTTCTCGAACTATACAAACTCTCCCTATTTAAGCTATATACAGCGATTGACATGTGTAGCATGCTCGCTGAAGGTTCTCCTAAATAGCCACTAATTGATAAAACATTTTAAGGACTTCACTGGATCAGGTCGTAAGTTGGGCTCGAAATGGATCACTTTGGCCTTTGAGCTTCGGACTAGCCTGTTGCGCTCTCGAAATGATGCACGTTTCCATGCCTAGGTATGATCAAGATCGCCTGGGAATTATCTTCCGAGCCTCCCCCCGCCAAGCCGACGTGATGATTGTGGCTGGGACAGTAACGAACAAAATGGGCCCTGCCTTACGACAATGCTACGATCAGATGCCGGAACCGAGATGGGTCATCAGCATGGGCAGTTGTGCCAATGGGGGCGGATACTATCACTATAGCTATAGTGTTGTTCGAGGCGTTGACCGAATTGTTCCTGTTGATGTTTACATTCCGGGATGCCCGCCTACCGCCGAAGCCACTCTTTACGGTATCTTCCAACTGCAGAGAAAGATACGCCGGACGAAGGTTACAAGGATGTGGTACAGGAAGTAGTTTTTTGAAAGTATGGTGAAGAACATATTCTCACGAAAAGAGATATACCAAATAGCTGATTGCATGTATTACTTTTATTCAATTATCTATCATCTGTATTTGCCCCTTTAACAATGTGTAAAAGAGCCAGGACAATCTTCTTCTGAAGGACTTAGTTCATAGCTCTTCAATTACCAGAAACAGCAAAGCAGATGAAGTGTTCGACCGATAGGAGGACTGCTGAAAATGTGCCAAAATCACACAGACGATACAAAAACCCTCGCAATCGTTATCGGGAACTAGTAAGCACAACTTCCTGAATTATGGCCCACAAAGTATTCTCGATCAAACGTCTGAAAATCATTAGACGAAGAACCTAGCATTCATGATTTTGCCGTAGCGGCTACTAATCTGTAGGGACTCAATGACTCGCACTTCGTCAATACTAACATGCCAGTGTCGGTAAAACTCATGTAGATATTGGTCATCGAACTATTCATGTCAGTGATCCAACTTATAGCGAGCCAAGATCCCGTTCATCTGCTGAGGTAGGTGTAAACGTCGTAAAGCGTGCAGTGGGTTAGATATAGAATTAGGCTCCCCGATCCGGCGACTATCTCATCCCGCACACAAACCGCAGCTCCTAGCCTTGGAAGAACCCCCCGGTCGCAACCCAATAAGCAGTGCCAATTCGTCAGCCAATGAGTTCGGCCTCACTGTCTCGAGTATGCCCCCCTTCCTAGCACATCGGTGTATTATGGTGGAGAGAAAAGTTTCAGCGGGGGTTGCCTGTACTCAAACGTGTGCACGGACTTAGAGAGGACGATGACAAAAGACCTATGCTCGTGTAGTTTCAGTGTGTAGCGTTCTTATTCGGTTACGTCTCAAACCCCATCAACAATGTAGTGAAGCTGACGGAGGGGGTATCACGGTCATGACTATGAAGTACCGCCTTGGCAGGTTAGAGTTTCAGGCGCATCTGGGGCTCGGCGCTGAATTGGACCACGGCACCGGGAAACTGCGTTATCATGGGTCAGATTGTGGCGCTGGAATGGCTACAGAAAGATATTAAAGCGTTCGGGAGACATCTGAACAACGTGATAATAGCGGTGCCTCCGTTGGTGGTGGCAGCGTACACATTTGTCGGTCCTCAACCTTCGCAAAAGACCTGTTTTCCAAGGCAGTTTGTTAGAGCGGACCGGACTTGACACCAGCAGAAGACGGACCTGGTCATGTTGCGTCAAATGAGTTGCCCTTTTCCTCGGCGCAACCCTGCAAGAATATCTACGGATTACAGTCAAAGCAAACGAAAACTTTTGTCAAGTCAGAAGCCATTTTATGACCACGGTGACCATACCAATATTGGGCACGAGCAAGATCCCAACAAGTATGCTACGGCAGCCAGGATTCATCGTTATGTCTTCAGCACCCAGGTTCGACACATCTAGGACCATACCTCATATCATCAACACTGACAAATTCGTTTGAAGAATGTTTTTGTAAAGTCTAGCTGATAGAACATACGAATATGGCATTGAACTTCAGTCTTACTACCACCTTCAGGTGAGTATATCGTATCATGGTATAGTGTTAGCCACTGAGAAGTGTAATTTGCGGCCCCCCTACCTAAATCGATCGTTTAAGCAATAACAAAGTCTTGGCCTGAGTATACATACAGCTTCAAGACTAATAGGTGGTAAAACCTTAGCTAATCTATTTGAGCTTGCCCGCAATCACCTGATTTACATGTAAGCACTAACTGCCGTATGTTATAATCCATGCTCCATCGATCAAAGTCTAGCATAGTCACAATGAAGCATCAAATTCTTTTGATGGCCATTGTTGCGCTTTCGCGTGAAATTAAGACAAATAGGTACAACATGATATCAATCAAATCTTCAATGGCGAAAAAGCGTCCTAACTGATAAATTGTATACCACCCAATCATCAAGATGGCTATCAGCGCTGGTAATCACTTTAATAGATGTTGGGGCCGAATGACTTGAACCCTCCGCTCTTCCGGAAAATCCAATTTTGTTTCTTTCCAACCATGAGATTGACGTTGGCTGTGACGTGATGAAGATTTTGATGGTGTCTTCGCAGTATTCCTGTCCGTTCTGAATCATGGACGATGGAATCGTAGCTCTTAGCTTTCTCCTACTTATGCCGGAGAAACCCTGCTCAGTATCTTGAATGGGTATCGTTTCATATGTCTTTCGAAGTATGTTCGTTATTTCCCAGTATGGGCCCAGGGAATATAGGTGAAGATATAGAGGATGGTTCCCCTGGTTCTCTAACTCAATTATGATCCAGTCGTTATGATATCGTTGGATGTTTTCTTGGATATTTAACTTCGTCCAGGACCTCCCGGCCTGGTCCATAATTTTGATACTGAATGAATTCAGAAACTGCATGGAGGGAGTTGTATTTTCTATAGATCTGACGTGATGATACCAAGCAAGCTGCTCGATTGTATTCACAACCTCTTGGAGACAATCTTCGCCTGGCGGTATGCGAGGTCGCTCAAATGATCTCTGCAGATTTGCGTCGCGAACTTCGTAACTATTAGTGTCTCCAACAATGACAGTGAAGGCTGCCGAGGGATCAGCTACTTCGCTGAACGTCGCATTCAGCGACAACCGGTGGCTGCATGCCTCAATCCAAGTAGCCTGCTGCGTGCTAGTAACCTGGAAATGAGTCCGATATCGAAGAAGTGATGGCTGGTTCTTTGGCATCGCGATCCAGCCCGCTCGAAAAGCCTTCGTGTCAGGTGGCCCATCAATCACTTCGATTTCTGACGTAAGACCTTTCGCATTGATGATACGGCCGAACGTGGAACCAGCCGTCTGAAAATCCTTTGACTTATCTGTACGATGACAGGAGACAAGGACAAAGACATCACCATTACTCAGGCCATGTGCCTGCCCGCCGTTCAGGTAAAGCCTCGAAGCCGTAGTGCCAATAACAGCAATACTCTTCACGAGGGTTCCTGCCATGCTAGAGTCAAAGAACCTTAAACTCTGCTTCCCAAAAAGCACAGGACTCTGCTGGCGAAAGTTTTGTCTAAAACTTGCCAGTAGCTGGCCGTACACGTCATCTATGCTTCCTTCCTTGATGCCATTTGAATTTAGTAACTTCAGAAGAAAGTAGGAAAGAGCACCATGTCTGGTTCTATCTCTGAGCTCAATCTCCCGAGCGACTTCATGGGGCCCACAAGCCGCCAGTATGTTATACTTGTCCGGATTGATAATCCACTCAGGTAATAACGAGGTATTGCGACCAGCGCGCATGTAGGCCCTTGCGCCGGCAGATGGGCGAGGGGAAGCCATGTCAATACCGATATCGTAAACGAGAGACCTACCACCATCGTCATTGTCGTGGCGAGATACCCCTCCCGAGAAACAGCAGTCTAAAACGACAGTTGCTTCACACCCAATCGATACAATCTTGTTGATTAAGTAGGCCAATTCGAATCCATGTAGATAGTTGACTCGCTGGCCACGGTCTCCTGCTAGCAGAGCCAAAGCCACATCGCCTGAGTTCCCGTTGAACTCTGAGGGAGGAATCCGCGTACCGTGGCCGGAATAATGAATGTAGACGAAGTCACCGGGTTTTGCCTCTGTGGCGATTAGTTTCAAAGTAGAATGAATGTTATCATATGTCGGCCAGTCACTTGGGTTTTCCACCAGTTGGCGTGGATCTGCATTTTCCGCGCAGGTAGCAGTCATCATAAACACCTTGACACCAGGGGACCTTTGCTCGAGACAGATCTTGACCTCCTGGACATCGTGGACACAACCTTTCAAGGGATTATGTGCATAAGAATTTATTCCAATCAAAAGTGCGTAACGCATGATGGCCGCTCGAGGTCCAGCTAGGGCGGAGCCAGTAATGCTGCTGACACGATGTGCGATATACAGATACAGCCTATCTTGTTTTGGGAACGAGCCGACGTTTAACTCGGGGTATGTATGCGAGATGCAAAGATGGGGCAGGGGTTAAAGAAGAAGGGTGTAGGACATCAATATATCAGGGATGAAGTATCGGGTAGCAAGGTAACGATCACGAATTTGCAGCCCAACTGTGCGGCCTTAGCAGCTGAATGTAGTCCCGAGCGTCCCGCCCGCGCCCGTGGCGATCCGTGCCATGGCAAGCCAGTTCATTTTTAGGTACTCTATCAGAGAAAGCACTACAATCATGTGATTGTTGACGTCGCCGATACCTCAGGCTCATGAGAGGAGTGGGGTAATAATACCCTGTATGCACCCCTCAAGCCCAACAGAACTCGACAGTGGACTTTCAATTTCAAAAAAAAAAAAAAAAGGCCGACACGAATAGTATGAGTTAAATAGCACGGTTCAGGCGAAGTCTATACAGTCCTTGCATGACATGTCAATCAACAATCGATCACTATTTCCTCTATATACCGCACTAAGCCAGTAACGGCGCCTCCGATAATATGCAGTCGTGCAAGCAATAAAATGTAGGTAGTAGAGGCAGCATTGAGGCAACTAGGCGTCCGTGGCGGATTACGGCGCTTGAAGGATGATACATAGCCGCTAAAATACCCATCCAATAACGCATCATCGCCAACTTCCCCAGCGGTAACTTGGCAATATGCCTGAGGCTGAACCGTGGCTGCCTTGGATGAGAGTGAGATTGAGTCATCTGGTTACCGCCTCTTTTCCCTCCCTTTTATCTGCTTGATATAGTGTACCAATGGCAATCAGACAAGGCACTGCTCCGGAACCTCTTTCGAACTTCTTTCCCTTTTGTATCTGAGGACACGATCAACATTCAACCAGTACCCTTCTCATATTGTAGACCGTGAATAATGACGCAGAAAAAGGCTTTGCTGATCGCTAGCAGCTACAATGGCCTTAGCGGTCCGTCCAACGATGTGAGGAACATGGCACTCTTACTTGGAGAGCTCGGATTCATTTCAACTCAATGTTGCGAACATCAAGCAACTCGGGATGGCATCCGAGCTGCTTGGAATCGTTTCATCGAGAGTCTTTCTTTGCACGATACTGTTGTGGTCTATTATTCCGGTCATGGCGGAATGGTCGAGTCTACAAGTCCAGTCAGTCGGGATACCCCATGGAGGCATCAGTTCCTTGTCCCATTCGACTTCGTCTCGAACGCGCACCATTTCAACGGCATCACAGATAGAGAGATATCTTACTGGCTCAAGCGCATGACCGATAAGGCGGACAATGTCACCATCATCCTAGATTGCTGTTTTGCGGGCCGCATGGCTCGTGATCCCAGCCACGGGGACAATGCGAAACCCAGAGGTCTCAGCATGGTTCGTTTTGAAGATATTGCAGCCCACGTCAGTATTTTGGAAACCGTTAGGGAACTTCGACTTGACGCTTTCCCTGAGGAAAACCCGTCCGCAGTTCGTATAGCAGCCGCTTCTCCCACGGAATCAGCATGGGAGTACTGCAACAGCAACGGGGAATGGTGTGGAGTGTTGACAGAATCACTTATACTCGTTCTTAGGGACATTGTAGGTTCCAACCGAACTATACCTTGGCGGTCTGCCATGATACGTGTATCAGAACTTGTTCAAGCGGAATTCCCTCAGCAACATCCTCGTGTGGAAGGTCGTGGGAACCGACACCCGTTCTCCAGGAGGGAAACCATTACGGGAGAATTCCCCGCAGATAAAAATGCGACCGATCTGCTCATCCAAGGTGGTCGCGTGTCCGGCATCCACCAAGGTAGCCTGTACAAGCTGATGCACTCAGGCAATCAGATCGCAGAAGCACGCGTCATGACCTCTGATGCATTCCAAGCCCGGGCCAGTCTTGAACCATGGGACCAGACACAGTTTCAGCTTCTCCCTAGCTCCCATTTGACGGTGGTACTCCGTGAAAATACCTTCCATAAGTTACCAATTGTGGTGCATCCTTCTACCCCAGAGTTGGAAAACGTGATGCGAACATCGAGATTCATTCAACCAGCTACTCGTCGGACGCCTGGTCCTCTGGCTACACTCTCTAGACAAGGCCAAAGCATCACTGTTTCCAACCACTTCGGCATAAGAATCTTTGAAGTGTCTTGGCCTGCCAATCCTACCCAAGTGGCGGATTTGATCAGGCGGTTAGAGCAACTGGGCCGTGCACACCATCTCCTGGGTCTACGGCCGGAACCCTATGAGCAACTTCGACACGGTGTGACTGTTGAGGTCAATTGGTTTGGAAATACTAATCGTCCGCCGTTCCGGAAAGACGGCACCGATTATCTGACTGTCAACGACCGAATCACAATCGGCTTACGCAATTCTGGAAGCGAGCAAGTGTATGCTTGGGTGTTTGCCATTAATGGTCTCGGCAGAGTGTCGTTGCCGAGGGCATCAAGTATCGATCTGCCAGCTGGTAGGGAAGAGGTAATCGGAAACCGAGGAAGAGGACTCCCAATCACATGGCCAACGGATTGCCCCTACAATGGCGCTTTGCCCGAGGCGATCATCGTCGTTCTTACCAACTCTCGCTTTGTGGATCTAGGGCATCTGAAAGATCCTGTGGGCACGAAGCATCATCGCCGTGGGGGTCTTTCCAAATTGGAGCAGTGGACTTGGAAGATTGCCGAGAATCGAACCATTGGAGATGAAACCGGCGATGATGTGTGCTTTGAGAGTATATATATTCCATACCTCTTGCGACGCTGAACCTGAGATGCTTGCCAATTTTCCGGAGAGTTTTACAATGATCGAATTGAGCAAAGCAAATGTTTTTGGGGGTTTGCGGTGGCTTAACGACGCTGTAGACTAGTGCTAAGATGCGGAGTATTGGCGCCATGATTGCGGTTGGAAATCGCTAATAGCAGTGGCTGAAAGATTATCATAGGGATTTTGCCTACCCACCCATCAGCTGGGTGTTTCAATCGCTACAACATTGTCCGGAGCTAGATTACTGTGCATTCGTGCAATTTCATAATTGAATTTTACCTCATACGTCCGTATTTGTACACTGCAAAATGCAAGATACTTGGAGTTCTGATTTTGCGCTACAACATTCGCAGTCCTATCTGCAAGTACAGTGGCTAGCCTGAAAAAGAAAAGAAAATACCAAACCTTGGACACCCAACTGCGATACTGGAATTTATTGAGTGCTACCTAGAGATATGACTCGAGGTAGCTGAATACATATAGCAGTGCTCAGTATGGAATCCGGGTTTGAGCTGGTCACTTCGACAAAGCGCCAAGCCGTACATGGTCATGGCTATTCTCAACTCAGCATCCCCAACGTGCCACATTATGTAGGCCCGATTACGACCAGTACATGATCCCACACTGGTGCAACCGAGAACCAATGTAAGCTTTAGATTGTATCAGTATCAGATCCTGCCTGCAGGAGGCGCAAGCAGTGCGACATGGTCTAAAGTCAGCCGTAAGGCATACTGGCAGCCACTGTTGAGATATCTCCTAAAGTTCTGATGCATCGGTAATTACCTCACATTTCGGTGAGCGGGTCAGCCTGGCTTCTATATATTGTGAGTCCAGATGGTAACCCCGCACCTGACGACGAATGTGTTCGTTTATGATTGGAATTGCCTGTACGTTACGTAATCGTACGTGGTTCGCTCGCGACAAGTGCTGTCTGCAGCATGAGACATGCTGGAAATTCTGAGTACATCCCTCCCTGGTGTTGGTCATCAGTGCCTATTTGGATCCCGGGTTTGCAAGGCTTACTCCTATACTTGCCACATTTGCCGGAGGCTGTTCAGGGACAGCTTGGACCTCAGGTACTAATGAACGCTATTGCGGCATGTTGTTAACATGTACGAATACGAAGTCTTGCTCACGAACGAGGGGGGAGAAAGCGTTACTAAAGCTAGTAGTGCGGAACCTGACGAAGATGGGATGTTTGTAGAGTTGGTAGACTTGCAGGATGCAGAGTTTGAGGAAACCTGGCAGTTCAACAAGGAACTGAATGCCAGATCACTAAGCAGTACATACGACGCCACAGAAATCACAATGCCTAGGTATATGGACGTACGCGATGTGCAGCAATCCGTTGGATCACGCAAGGGCTCTTCTCGACATAGAGACGCAATCAAGGATCTTAGCGACCTGCCAACTATTGGAGTGAGATATTTAGATACGAACGCTAGGTCTGACCTCGACGAGGATATAGATACTGGGCGGGATATCATAAAAGAGGCATCAGATTTGCATCCGCAGAAGCCTTCGCGACTGGTGAGCCTTGGGACTCTACTCAGTGAAAGGTTTTCGAGAGCAGGAGCAATAGCTGATCTCGACGAAGCTGTCTTTGTAGTACGAGAAGCTGTTGATGGAGCTCCCAAGATGTCCCCTAACCACGCAAGATATCTTGATTGTCTTGCGATTACCCTGCATACACGATTTTGCGTAATGGGTTCAACAGCGGATCTTTCGGATTCAATCTGGGCTGCAGAGGAAGCAACGAGTATAATGATAGAGGACAAATCTGATTATTTGGCATATCGGAACACACTAGCGATAACACTCAGAAGCCGGTACTTGAGATCAGGTGTGACGGATGATCTCAACGAAGTCATCCGCATTCGGCAAGAGGTCATCTCCAAAACGCCAGAAGAACATTTACGCCGACCAGTGTACTTGACTGAAAGCGGGCTCGAACTCTTCTACCGATATCTGCTTCACAAAGATGAAACGGACTTAGACGATGCTATTGAACGTGCGCGGGAGGCCATTAGACTGGCTCCATCAGGTGTAGCTGCGCCAGTCGATCAATCATATTGCCTCGCGTTTCTACTTGGAGAGAAGTATGCGGTGAGCAATATGGCGACTCATCTCGATGAGGCGATACGAGTTTCACAAGATGTCGTCGATCAAGTGCTGGAAGAAGATCACAACCGTGCAAGCTATCTTAATATGCTTGGTACCATGTTACATAGTCGGTACAAAAAGAAAGGAGCGGTAGTTGACCTCGAGGAAGCTATCTTGAACCACAAACGTGCCCTAGCTCATGCCGTTTCGCCGGCCGCAGTACGAATAACGGCAGGCATGAAGATTCTCGAGTACAGCGCTGTAATCGCTGACTGGCAGCACGCCTACGAGGCCTCCGAGGCTACTATAGGCCTGTTTCCAGAGCTGTTGCCGTGGTTAATCAACGATTCAGATAAGCAGCACGTACTGGAACCAGTCATCGGCTTCGCATCCGATGCAGCAGCCGCAGCACTGCATGCGGGTCAAACCCCTTCGGTTGCGCTTCGACTGCTGGAGCAAGGACGAGCGCTCTTTGCCACATCCGTGGAGAACCTGAGGCCAGACATGCAAGAGCTGGAAGAGAAACACCCCGAGTTGGCAGAAAAATTTGTTTATTTCGCAAAGGAGTTCGATCGGCCCGTTTTACAAAATCATTTTCAGGACCCCCAACATAAGCACCTGTTCTGGCAATCGCAAAACAGGCGGAGCTTCGAAGCGAGCAGTGGACTGAGGAAGGTCATCACACACATTCGAAAGCTTCCTGATTTTGAAGGCTTTCTGAAATGCCCGAGCGCGGAGAGACTGCAGAGTGCTGCAAGAGACGGCCCAATCGTTCTCGTGAATGTCAGCAGCTATCGCTGTGACGCAATAATGGTAGAGCTGCATCGGATACGCTCTTTGCATTTGCAAGCGATGGATGTCGAGTGGCTGCGGCAGAAAGTTTTGAGGAAAAACGTGGTCAGTCCTGTTATACTCGGTTGGCTCTGGGATGTTCTAGCAGAGCCTACGCTGAATGCTTTAGGCTTCTCGCAGGCGCCCTTTCAAAATGCTTGGCCACGTGTGTGGTGGATACCCACGGGAATCTTGACGCAAATCCCTATTCATGCCGCAGGACACCACGTCGGAGGGTCGTCGGAGACGGTACTTGACAGGGTCATATCATCATATGCCACATCTGTCAAGTCAATATTGAACAGTCATCGACACGAAACCCCGAATCTGCTTTCGAATGATGCGGTCCTTATCGCTATGGAAGAGACTCCAGGATACTCTAGCTTACCCTCTGCTGGGAGAGAAGTGGCTACCATCCGGGATTTATGCAAAGAGATGGGCCTGAACCCTCTCGAGCCTCGACATGTATTCGGCAACGTGTTGTCAGCCATGGCGCGGTGCAGGTTGTTTCATTTCGCCGGCCACGGGTTTACAGACGCCCGAGATCCGTCAAAAAGCTGCCTAGTTTTAGGTTCCGAACCGAGTAGGTTATCCATATCAAGTGTACGCAAAATGAATATTGGGAACCGGCAACCATTCCTCGCCTTCCTTTCAGCTTGCGGTACTGCCAGAGTCAGGAATTCGAGTTTTGTCGACGAAGGTATCCATTTGATCAGTGGATACCAGCTGATGGGTTTTCGTCATGTGATTGGCACTCTGTGGGAAGTTGACGATGGACTTTGTGCTGAAGTAGCTAAGGTCACCTACGAAGTAATGCGCGATGGGGCTTTGGGTGATGTGTCGGTAAGCCTTGGTCTTCATAAAGCCACAAGGGAGCTCCGGGATCGTTCGCTGCATGGGCTACAGGGCTACAGAAGCAGGGGAGGAGATATCACAGGAGTAGAGATGCCATTAGCAGGAGGTCATATGAGTGACACGGTCTCACACGATAAAGTTCAAACGACTGAAAAATGGAGGGACATTGGCGAATCTGACTCGGAAAATGAGGCTGATGAGCAGAAAGGTTGTTGGGAATGGGTACCTTACGTCCATTTTGGGGTATGACCATCGGTGGAAGCCCGGTGTAACATGTAAAGCTGGCTCTTGACCATAGCATTACTGACATCTCGCCCGTAAACAAGTATGAACAGCAATCATAAATGCGGCTAGCCTAGAGGCAAATTGGAGCGAAAGATCAAGACAGACATATCCTGCCACGAAACAGTCGTACACTTTGAATGAGAAGTTGACTTGCGAAGTGATGGGACTCTCGAAACCACGATGTGAGAAATTCAACGAGATCAACGACAAATGAGGTAACCTTGTTTTGCACAGGTGCCTAGAGGTCGAAAAGCAAGGGAGGGGATAAAGAGAAAGAAATGCGAGAGCGCCAGTGCCGCCCGGTGCTTGCATGTGGGGATAATGCCATACATTTTTAAGCTTTAAAAGCCTTTTAGAAAAGAAACTGTAATTAGTAAGGCTGTGATATAATACTACTTTATACTGTTTGTGATACTAGTATGGGGTCAAAGAAGAACGAGTTGCATTGGTGGGATGTTTGGGCAGAGGAGCTAAATGAACAGAGTCTGAAGGGCTGGTACGTTGGAGCGGCTGTAGTGTAGTATTAAGTGCGTTCGCAAGGTCTAAGAACATCTTCATACAGAATCAGTTGGACATTAGTTAGGACAAAGTTTTGAATGGAATAAGATGAAATAAAATGGATTAGAGTTTCTACCTAGGAGTTTGTGTCTTCTTTGTGTTCGTTTCATTACATTGCATCTATGACAAAAAACGCTGCTACGGTGCCTCGGCGTGATGAAGAGATTCTAAATACTATGCATTGCGGTATTATTGAGAGTATTTGTATGACTATAGACTAGACTACCCGTAGGTTAGACTTTACCATAATAACTTGACTGGTTGAACAGACTCCGTAGCCCTCCCATAATTGGCCCCACATCCAGGATGAGCTTCCCCAGATTTTAGCTGCTGGAGCTTTTGCGACAAGGAGCTATTTTGGAAGCGATCACGAATCCCATCCCAATATACTGAACAAACTGCGACATTTAACGAACCCCAAGTTCGCAAGCCATTTTCACCCCGAAGTACTCGACACTACAGCACCTGGCCTCAGCCGGTCAAAGTCCGGCCACCTGACGATGTCCTCCCGCTTCGTCTCCGGCGGCACCATCGCCGGCGACGCCAGTTCCCCCACCACCAACACCGACAGCACGCCCGCGCCCGCGCCCTCCACAGCGACGACCTCGCAATCCAGCGCGGCTTGGGAAAAGGCGCAAGCCCAGCTCGAATCGGACCGGCGCGCCCGCGAAGCTGCGCGCAAGGCCGCCGTGGAGTCGAGCTCGGGACAGTCGCTGTACGAGGTGCTGCAGGCCAACAAGGCGGCCAAGCAGGCGGCATTCGAGGAGTCCAACAAGATCCGGAACCAGTTCCGGGCGCTGGACGACGACGAGGTCGACTTCCTAGAGGAGGTGGAGGCGCGGGAGAGGAGGGAGGCCGAGGAGCAGAAACACGCCGAGGAGGTCGGGCTGAGGGAGTTCCGGGACGCGCAGAAGAAGCTGGAGGGCGCGACGGCGAGTGTGGATGCCGCGGAGGAGGGCCAGGAATTGGTCCCAGAGGTCGATGCGGCGACGTTAGACGAGTGGAGCACCGGAGCCGCAAGGAAAAGGAAGAGGGAGAAAGAGCCCGTGATCAAGGGGATCAAGAGGAGGGCCAGCGAGAATGCTAAAGACGGCTCCGAAAAGAATATCGCCATGAAAGATGAGCGACCACCGGCTTCCAGTCCCTCCTCAAAGGCCGGAACCACCAACTCGGGAATCACGAAAGATCAATCGCCAGAGACTGCACGGCTAGCAGCTACTGCCAAGTCAAAAATGGGTCTTGTTGACTACGGTTCCGACGAGGATGATGACGACTGAGAGATACGATAGAACGCATCGGAGCCAAGTGAACGTACGGGAAGACCACTGCACGACAGGGTGAAATCGGCTCTCTAAATTGTTACGGCCGTGTAGCTTGGGAGCTCTCAGACACAGCAAGCCACTCTATTGAAAGGAAGACCAAGTTGCTACTGCTCATTGCCCCTGTTATCAAAGCTATATCCGCTCGGGGTGGGACATGTGCACCTCATCCGTGGTGCGACGAGCAACCTGGATGAGCCGACTCTGTGATCAAGGGCCGGGCCATGAGCATTGAAAGGTCAAGGGGTTGCTGGTGAGCATAAGTAAGAGGAATCGGCACCATACTTTATCGTGGTCTTAGAAGTAGAGTCGTGATCGATTGTACAAATATGGCGCAATGATGCCGCCAAAGGTGGGAATTATGCCAGTTCTATCTACAGCCAGCCAGACCACAGCTCGTCTATAAACCCAACCAAAGAGGCCAAGATATTGTACAGCCAGCGCGCCTTGTAAATGCGTGAGATGGTATCTCGTAATTATACATGATTATTCCGACAAGGGATGGAAATATAGCCAACCTCGTTCAACTTTGCCTGGCTCATTCGTCGTCGTCTGAGGAGTACATTCTTGGCGGAGCAGGCGAAACCGCCCACCGGTATAGACTTCTGAAGCTGCCCTTGAGCCAGCCTTCAACATCTTCTTCTGGTACCACGATCTCTCGTGCGCGGGCCTCATCCTCGGGCGATAATTCAAAACGTCGCATACGCTGCGATAACCTCGAGTCAACGACAATGGGACTGATCCAGATCTTCTCAGGAGCGGGCGTCGCACCGACTACTTCACCCTCCTTGGGCTTCTCCTCCTTCCATACAGACTTATGCCAGTCCTTCTCCTCGTGCTCCAATACAGCTTTCAGTTCGGGCTCTTCACCGACTGCATCTTCGCGGTACTCTCTGGCATGTCCCAGGCAGACGGCAGCGACTTCACGTCCGACCTCGTCAGCCAGGTGACGACGATTCAGGAATCGGCCGAGGCGAATAAATGTATTTGTGAATCCAAGAAGATGAGGGAAAGCAATCGGTACTGAAGGTGAGAACTCGGAAGGTATTTGTCTGGGGAGGCTTGAAGTGTCGTAGTCGTTTGTGGTGTTGTATGGTAAAGGTTGCGGTGGCCTTTCGGGCTTCTTTTCCTCCTCTGTCTTTTCCTCCTCCTTCTTTTCCCCTTCCTTCGTCTCTTCGGTGCCGTCACTAGACTCGACAGGCTTCTCAAGCTTGGCCACCTCCGGAACGGGAGGAGCTGTTAACGGTCCCAGCCAGCCTTCATGTAGACCTCGGATGTATTCTTTCCACGTATGCCGGCCGACGACAATATCGCCGTTGATGCCGGCCCACTCCGGCGTCGCGTTCCTTTCCCTTATGCCTTTGACTATCTCTTCGCCGGTCGGCTCTTGGCCCTCATCGCTGATGACGCCTTCTTGTAGTCGTCGCGTGCGCCTTATCTTCTCGGCAACAGCCGCCCTGACGTCGCCTTCCTTGCGACCCTGGATGAACTCCCAGTCGAGGCCAGAGGCAGCCAGGATGGGCTTCATGTACTCGGTGAAGTGGTCCTGAGCGACCCTCAATCCATCGTTGGGCGGGCTTTCAAGGAGGATGGTGAGTTTCCTGGGGAGTTGTGTCGGGCTGTGAACGGGCTCCTTGGCCAAGTGCGATACGGCTCTGCTCCACCTCGCAGTGGCGCGCTTCTTCTCCCTCTTGTCGTATATGATGGCGGCCGAGAACGAGCCTGTAATGGCCCAGAAGATCAACCAATTGCGCGATGGAAGTTTCTTGGGCAACATTCCAAAGCCCATCATCTGCAGAGCAGGGTTGGGGGGAGCGGCTTTGTAGTTGGCAGCTGCGGAGGTTGCTGCTGCGGAGGTTGCTGCTGCGGCCGCTGAGGCAGCGGCGGGCGCCCCAGGGGGCTTGGTGTCGGCCATGGTGTTGGAGATTGGGATGTGTTGTAAATTTCGGAATGGAGTTGTTGTCACGATCGCAGTGCGATGCTGATCCACGGGATATCCAGGAGTTCCTCAGCCAACTTAAGTTATTAGCACTAGACTAACCAAAATTTTGGGACGGATGCGTTATCGCAGCTCTTATCAACCCACTAGCCCCATCTCCAGGAAGCGCTGCTCACTCCAGCGACGGACCGGTGCAGCTGTTGCGCCAACTCTACTCAGAAGCGAAAGCAAACACGAGTGATCGAACACACAACGTCAAGGCATGAGTAGGTATTCTGTCCATTCCCAAAAGTGCAAAGGCAAAGTTCGCACACTTGGCGATTCAGTTCTTTGGACCTTTCAAACATGTGTCTCCTTGGCATCTCGGGCTCAATATTGTCACCAATGAGTTACAAATTTGACTGCCAAAGTCTTACAGGAGAGCCGCATCATGCTAGAAAAGGAGAGTAGGTGCCAGTTTCCTCGCTTCTCTGGGCTTCCATCTTGCACAACATACTTCATGCACGGCCTCAATAATATGTCATGGAGTATGCACCCGAGACGTAGTTCTCATCAACTACCCGCTTAGGCATTCATGTGCTACCACCTAGTACTCAACCGCCCATTTACCGTTGCACTGTCTCTTACGTATTTTTGAGAGCGTACCTGCTGCATGTTGCCATGGCCACATGATGCCAATCAAGTTATTGAGTGATGGGTATATATGGCATCAAGCGGTATCAAACTTGATGGGTATCATCGCGTTTGTTTTCTCACTAAATATGCAGACTTCCAAACTGAGTCAGCCCACAATTGCTGTGAAGCTCGCCGTGTACCTAACCGGCGGTGGAATTGTCTCAGCAATATCAACTATTGTCCACCAGATCAGAGCTGGTCCTGAGTTGACTTCGATCCTGAAAGCATCACAGCGTCCTGAGGTGATGTTCTAGAGTTTCACTTCCATGCAAGGAATCACAGTGTTGCTGCGGGTGATTACTACAGCGTATGCCGATTTCCTACGCTTGGTGGTTTCTTCTCTGGCAATGTACCAGCTTCCGGAGACTTTGAAGCGGTAAGAAATCTGAACACCTTTCAGGTCATGGCAGCATCCTGATACAGCTCTAGAGTCAGATATTTCGAGTCGGTGTTCATGACACGAACCCCCTCTGGTTCTATTGCACGCAAGGTAGTGAATGCCGAGACAAAATGGTGGGCGTCGTCAACCCGCCTGCTGTCTCATTTGACGGTACCCTAGAAGCCTACAGGAGTAAGTCCGCGGCCTTTACTGGCAAGGCAGACGACGCCGCAAATGCATTTGGTGGACAGCTCATTTTTGCGGGCTCCGTCGATAGCGGTTCTACTGCGGCCCCATACTCCACGGCAACCTTGACAACTAGCAAATCCTCTCCGTCCATCCCAAACAGTACGACTGGATCGAGGGCTGCTAAAATCAGCGTTCTGTTGGGCGGACTGGGAATGGCGATATGGGTGTTGCTGTAGCCTAGTTGGACAATTTCGCATTAATGCATTTTGGCGCACGAGTCTAGATTCTAACAGTTTGTCTTCAACATGTGGTTCGGAGACACCCCCAAAGTGCTGGTCTATATCCACATTGAGAACATGTGTATGTATAAGCATTGTCTTTCATTATTTTGTGATACTCAACATTACAAATTAGGCTCATGAACATTAAATCGTCAATGTGCCACTAAGTGGCAGATCTCGGCTACTCCTTCCCACGAAGATGTTGTAGCTTCCCTCCTGCAGTTGCCACTTCTGTGCCACCACATCCCAGACACTCAGATCCTTCCTCGTCAAGCCGAACTGCACAGTCGCGGTCTCACCAGCCTGGATCAACACCTTCTCAAAGCCTCGCAGTTGTCGCACAGGTGCGTCACCGCCGGGAATACCAACATACAGCTGTGCGACCTCCTTGCCGTCGCAGTCGCCCTTGTTCTCAACAATGACAGTGACGTTAGCGATGACGTCCCAGAGGTCGGCCTGGCCACCCTCCACGATGTTGCCACTGGGGTACTCGTCAATAGTGGCATCGGTCTTGGCCACCGCGAGGTCCGAGTACTCAAAGGTTGTGTAGCTTAGACCAAAGCCGAACTCATACCGCGGCGTGATGTTGTAGGCGTCGAAATGGCGATAGTCCACGAGGACACCTTCGCTGAAGTTAGACTGCGGATACACTTGATACGTGCCGTTAAGGGTCAGGTGCGGCTTCTGAAGGTCGCCGTAGTCGGTCTCGTTGCGGGCTACGGTATACGGCAGGCGGCCCGACGGGTTGGTCTGGCCGTACAGCAGCGAGACGAGGGCCCTTCCGCTATCCTGGCCCGGAAGGTGGGCGAAGATGATGGCGGTCACATTGGGGTGGTCCACAAAGACGTCAACAAGCCTGGTTCCAGCGTTGTGGAACACCACGATGGTGTTTGCGCACTGGTCCGCCACGTTCAAGATCAGCCCGTCCGTGAAGTCGTCTCGCAGCGCCGGCCGATCGTATCCCTCGGTTGCCCAGGCGTTGCCCATCACAATGCATGCGTCGGACGTCGGGTTCACGAGCGGCGAGCCGGACTCGAAGTCCCAGTAAAGCGCCGTGCCGTCCTCGTAGGCCTGCGCCACGAGCGCGTCGTAGGGAGCGCTCATCAGATTCTGTGCCGTGGCGCCAGAGCCTCCGCCTGAGACCATGGTTCCATTAAGCGCTATGGCGGACTTCAGAAGTTCGATGTTACCAAAAAAGCCGTCGTTCAATTCAGTAATGTTGGCGGGCTCCGCGCCGATGGACCACGAGCCAAAGTAGTCACCCTCGGCAGCTTCTTCGTAATTATTTCTGTTTGGCGCTTTGGCAGAGTAGCCAAAAAGTGAGATCAACTTTGTCTGGGTGGAGTTCAGCGGTAGGGCGCCATTGGTGTTCTTCACAAGCACATGACCCTCGGCAGCGCCGTCGAACAGCGTTGACCTGGCGGTAGGATCCCTGGCGTCGACGACCTCGTGCGGGGCGGACAGATCGGCGGGCATACCGATGCCCGGGCTCGTGAAATCGGTGTCTTGCTTCATCTGGAACCAAGATGCAAGAATTCGCGTGGCCATGTTATCGAGCTGGCTCTCAGGCACAGAGCCGTTGTTGACAGCCAGAGTTAGGTTGCCTGCCCACAGACCGTCACCGTTAGGCATAGCTACGTCCAAGCCAGCCAGGGCTGAGCTCACTCCGGACTTCTGGGCACCCCAGTCGGACACAACCCATCCCTGGAAACCGAGCTCTCCTTTGAGAACTCCGTTCTGCAACTTGCTATTTTGGCAGGAGTAAGAGTTGTTGACACGCGCGTAAGAGCACATGATATTTCCAGTACCAGCACGGACTGCCTCGGAAAATGGCCTATTATCATGGAGTAAGCAATTGCCCAATGTAAATAGTGGAAGGAAACGGCATACCATAGATAAAGCTCATGCAGAGTCTTATCGTCAATGTTGCTGGAAACAGCCTCAGCAAAAGCACCAGAGCTAGTCGACAGACGATGCGTCTCCTGCTCTTGTCCGATGAAGTGCTTCGTGCTTGTTATCACGCCAGTGCTTTGAACACCGTCCACGGTCTCGTATACGAGGCTACCGGACAAGTACGGGTCGATGGAGAAGGACTCCCAGTTGCGACCTCCCTCGACGACACGTCCGGCTGGACCAATAACTGGGCCGAGTAATACGTTGACGCCTTTCAACCTTGCTTCGTTGCCGAGGCCCACTGCACGGGCATGCGTCAGGTCCTTGTTCCAGCTAGAGCATCATGTTGTCAGTCTGGAATGCGTCTTCCCGGAATCATGTATGAATGCTTACCTTGCGCCGACGTGGATGCCCGATGGCCATGCACTGACATAGTCTGTGTTCCGAACACCATTTCCTGCGTCAGCAAGACACAACCCGGGGAAGCCTAGGCGGTCAATGGCAGGGATGAAGCCCGAACAGCCCGTGGTGGACGTGACGCCGCCAGTCAAATTGACCTTCTCCTCGATCGTGAGTTGGCTCACGAGAGCTGCAGCCTTGCTGATGGCGTCGGTCCAGGCTCCGGTCTCAGTCAACTCGGGTGTGGGGTATACCGGCTCGGACTGGCCATAGAAGTATGTGTCGCTGGTGATCACATCTTGAGCGAGGGCATATTGCGTCAATGCCGCCAACACAGGCAGACTCTTGATCGGGGATGGCACCATCGTGACCAGACAGTTGACTTTCTGGCGGGCTTAAGGGGTCGCTGTGATGAGGATGGATAATAGATCACACTTTGCGCGCGGGATGGAGGTCTATTATGTCTGCACATCGTCTTCTCAATCCACAGCTTACAAACTTCTTTCACATCAACCACGACCAGACTTCGCCATGGGCCTCGCCTGTCAAATGGTGAGGCCAAGACTATTTGCTAGTCAGATGAGGTAAGGCGTACCGCCGCCAGTAAGGTTCAGTTTACGAATAGTCGGAAATTCCACTCCCCAAACCCCATCAGTGCGGGGATTGGGGATGAAAAACTTGGAGAGAAGCCTGCCGGCAGGACAAGAAATGTATGAATCGACACTAGCCGGCAATCATTGCAGTGCCATCGACCGTAGCCTGGTATTAACTCGAGATATTCTATGTAAGCCAAATGGGTGTGACACTTCCTCAGAATGATGAAGGATATCAAACAGGTGGTCGGTAGTCATGGTTAGTTTTCTGAGCTGTTTCGTGGTATATCTGTCCAGGTAATTCATCAACGAGACTCTCTACACCTCCATGGCTGTGTTTCTCGTAATTCCTCTGAAAATATTCCGGTGATGCGCGATCTTTCCCCGTGAACGCACGACTAAGCCGGGAAAACATCGGTGGGAGATCCATAGGCCGCTATATAGTATTCGGGCCGTTTCTTCGTCATCCAATCACTAAAAGTCCCGCCATCCAATGTTGTTGTAGGAGAGAAAGCGTCCCGCAGCGGAGCCCGTAACCACGTGCATTGTCTTCCAGAGCCGGCGCCATGGGAATTGACTTCTACACCCGGCTAGATGCAGAAGCGAATTGCGGGGAGAAGCATGGGGTGGAATGTGGAGGGGGCCTGGAGAAAGAAAACCTTGCCGGATTGTGGGGACATGCACTTGATCACGGGCTATTGGGGAAATTTGGCTCCCCAGCCAAGAATTCTCTTTCGGCAGTCATCGGCAGAAAATATCCCCCGATGAGCTGCATTGGAGAAATTGATCACGGAACAAGCGGTGAGGTCATTAAAGAAAAAGAAACAATGGCATGACGAGTTGACCGGCCTGGATCGCGTCGTACAAGGAGGGTCTACTGGGCTACCACATGTTGAAAACTTTCAGTGGCGTGCTAGCAGTTAGCTAACTACGTATTCATGCCATGAGCCTTTCTTGGTCTGATACCACTTGCGGGACCGAAACAGTTATTAATGTCGCGGCGAACGACCGTTGACCTCGGTTGTATCGGGGCAAAACCGGCCGCCTCCTGACTTGGGCATCACTGACCATGCCTGTGGCTCTGGGCAAAGCATCTATGATCCACATGGTCTGCCTTTCATGACCCTCGGGGAAGCACATCTTGCGGAAGACGATAGTGTAATTGTACAGCATGCCGCGCCATGCTCAACCCGAGTTGAGTCAACCTTGTTGGGGAATGGCAGTCAGGGCCTACGAATTTAAAGTAAATCCAATCAGCAAGAACCGCAATGGGCCAAGTGGAGCAGTCCTTGGTACTAGCAATGTATCCTCAAACTTTTTGTTTAGCATGTTGCTTTACAATCGTTGACGACCCCGTAGGTTAGATGCTTTGCATGTTCTCAACCCTGCCTCCGTAAGTCATCCTGACTGGTGCTCAGCCTCAAAACATAGCCCAGCCGCACTGCGAGATTGAATCATTAATTATCATGAGGTTTGACTAGGTATTTGGTTCTGGCCTTATCAGTGACCCGTGCCCATACACACTTGTGTACGGGCCGTCTGCTTCTAATGATTAGGGCTGGGTCGATCAACATGATAGACGCGTACTAGTTCTACATAACGAATCTTCGCGGGAAGCCTGGTGGGAGAGAAAACGCAATTTGAATGCGGTTCTTCCATGTCCTCGCTAGGGCCATCTCTCAAGCTTGGGACATTCGGGTTGGCAGTCATACTAGCTCATTGAGCGTCAGGCTATATAATGCACAATGGATCTGTGCCGACTGTTGGAGCAACAATCCAGAGAGCATTAAACGGCGTAGTATCACAAGGAATGGCTAATATTCAAGAGGCTCAGCGATTCAGGCAACGTTGCGTACTCCGTACTCTCTGCTGCATCGTGGTGGTGATACCTTGGGGGGAAAAGTAAGACATGGCGTTTGGCGAGAGCGGTAGCAAACGTGAACTAGCCATGTTCCGCCAATCAATCCTGTTAGATCATCAAGGTCAACGCACCAACTTTAGAGACACTTATTGATTAGCTTCAGCTTTTACTTTTATGCACAGTTGTTTCATACCCTCAAATGCCGCTGAATTGCAACATATGTTGTCATTTCTTGAGAAGCTATTGCCACCCTAAATCCTCCAGCAATTATAGGCCGAATTTTGGAACTGCATTTTGCACCGTATTATACTACTGTCGTTCTCTGTGATCATCTAACAACACTTGAGTCGTTCTGGCGCTCTTCTTCATACTTAGCATTCCTGTCTAGCAGGAACCTCACCGCCGTGTTGATCTCGGCTGAATACCGTTCTTGGTGCACCTCCAAGTCTTGTTTCTGCTGTATTTATTTTATTGGACCACAGGTATTCAGACTGTTCCAGTACCCGATGCTAACCACAGGACTTATTTGTGCCAAGCTCTCTTGACTTACATGACCTGTTTGAGGATTATGAGAATTATATGTTCCAGCATTGGTTGGATAAAAAAAAAAGGAATGTCTTAGGTGTCAGTCGATTCGTAGTCCTTGGCTATTGATTGACGTTCACAAATGTAGGTGGAAATAGGGTTGACCTACAAAGGGTCCATACTAGCCCAATACATGATGGTGTCAAGAAAAAGAAATCCCATAACTCATCAACATACATGGAGACCGGTCGAATTTGAGGCCCCATTGGTTGGTTTGTGAGAAGTGGCAACATCTTAACCAATTCGCCAAGTAAACAGAAATCGGGAGGTAGGTGACACCGCATCAATCTAGCTAGATATCATTTGCGGAATTCAAAGAATATAGGACAGAGCTAATTCATGCTTAGCAATGATCATCAGTGGCTCATTTTTATGCCCTCCAGGCCGTTTGGATCACACCAAGCTTGCATACGTGTACATCTCGTGACTCTTGGCCAAGTGTAGGATAAAAGGAGTAGAAGTTTCCGCAAATCGAGAATTAAAGTAAGACCAAATTTCACATTATCAATACCATTACACAAGCACTCAATTTGCCCATCACGGTTCTATTAGAATTTGCCTACCAACATGCAGTTCCACCACCTCCTGACTGCCCTGTCTGCAGGCCTGGCTTTTGCAGCACCTGCCCCGGAGGAGTTTGTTGCCGTTGACGCTGAACTTGTGGCTCCTGCCGCATGCCTTCCGGCCTCTTGCGCTTCTTTCGGTGTATGTATTCATCCTCTTCAAACCACAACCTGACATGAATGGCGAGCTGACGAACTCTTTAATTGTAGTGCTGTTCAGGAAATTGTGGATACTGGTGTGTAAGTTGCGGCCCCTGGCTCCGAGTAGCAACATTTTCCCTTGAAAATCGAAAGCTGACGCTGTACGAATAGCGAGCTTGCAGCATCAAGTATACCTGTTAAAGGAGCACAGAGTTGTGTGCTCTCTCGCCCTGACAGACTCTCTACAGAATGATTTCAGATGAGTTCGTGGCGCGTATCAAAAGTGGGAGGAGGATTGGGTCCGATGTTTTATTCCATGCTCCTATATGTATGTCTTTTTCAAATGTTGCTAGGACTTTGAAGATGCATCTTCACCAAGAGGGCTACCTGAGTCCGCGATGGTATTAATGGTCGAGGATGTAGAACAGTCGTGGGAACAAGTTAGCGATGCACCGGTAATCACTCTTTCAGAATTCTCGTATAATCAATAACCAGTTTGGTTTCCTGAACATAAAAATCTACATCTTTCCATCCTCGAGTCTTGCGGCCCGAAACCCATGGACTACCGTCGGCGTTCGGCTAGGTGGGGCATTCGCAATTTGACGCCGAAGCCGACGCCAAACTAATATCTCGAGTCAACGATTGCCTAAGCCTCAAGACAACACACATATTCACTCGTCATCACCACCAAAACCTGTGATAACCATAGTCACAATGACCAAGACCAAACGGCAATGGCTGCGAGCTCTTCCCAAGGCTGAGCTTCACCTGCACCTCGAAGGGACGGTGACGCCGGAGACGCTAGTGGTGCTATCAGCACGGCATGATGCGAAACCGCTGACTCTGGAGGAGGCGCGCGCGCTGTACGTGTTCCAGGACTTCCTACACTTCCTACGGACGTTCAAACTAGTGCTAGACCGGCTGCAGACGCCCGAGGATTACGCGCTGATCACGCGCGAGATGATGCGCGGCCTGCATCACCAGGGCGTCGTCCATGCCGAGGTCTACGTCGCCTGGGGCAATATCCTGCACTGGAAGAGCGCCCATCTCAAGATATATGACGTCATGACCGCCATGGAGGACGCGAGGCTCGAGGTGGAACGCGAGCTCGGGGGGCCCTCCGTTCTTTGGATCGCTGATGCCACGAGACAGTTTGGCGCCGAGGAGACCGGCCGGGTCTTCCGGCTGGCCGCAGAACTCAAGGAACAATTCCCTACTATTATTGGTGTCGGAATTGGAGGCGACGAGGTGGGCGGACCGATCGAATGGTTCCAGGATATCTACGCCGAGGCGAAGAAGGCGGGCTTAAGACTCACAGCACATGCCGGTGAGGCGACTGGCCCCGTGCATGGTCCATTGCAGATGCGCGCAGCGCTGGCGATGGGAATTGAGAGGATTGGTCATGGGCTTGCTGCCCAACATGATGACGAGCTCATGGACATGTTAGCCAAGCAGCAGGTTCCGCTGGAAATCAATGTCACGTCAAATGTTCTGACTAGCTGTTGTCCCTCAGTCGAGGATCATCCATTGCCGCAATTTCTGAGTAAAGGCGTGCTGTGCACATTGAACTCAGACGATCCGGCCATGTTCGGGTCTGATTGCCTCGACGAGTATGTCCTAGTCAACGACGTGTTCAAGTTTGATCTCCAACAGATGAAGGATTTGGCTCGTAACTCGATTCATGCGAGTTTCCTACCAGAAAAGAGAAAAGAGCAGATAAGAAAGTCGATAGATGCATACAAATGATGAACAGCCAGAATGAAATTAGTTACAACACCTTAACTGTCGTGATTCCATCTGTGGGAAGCTGTGTGCGCTATTAACTGGTTGAACCGTGTCCCAGGATAAAATTATCATTTAGAAACGGGCAGACAGGATGAACTCTTTGGAAACACCTTGTATGCTATTCAAAATACTCCTAACTACGTAGTCTGCGAGTTCCTCCGCAATGATATCTGACTTCTAATTGAGTGTCCCGACGATCCTACCGCCATATTTACTACGGGAGTTATTGCTTGAATGGTTTCTGGTGCTACACACACGATAGAAGATATCTAAGAGCACTAATCAGTGTGCTCTAGCGATTAAAGCTTGCAGCGAGAAAAGTGCTGTATTATGACAAGCGTGGTATGGGAGGGTGCCTTCCTGAACATGTTCATCGTAAGCCGCTTTGCACGCCAACGCGCCTTTCTAAATCTACTTAAATTAAAGCACGCTCAATATCTTGGCTTACATACAGTGATTATTTATGTAATAGCAATATTCAGGACCAGAAAATTCAAGTTTTAATGTTATAACAGCCCATTATTATCTGTTAGCTGTATATTACCATAATCTCCTCAGCTCTTGAGTCGCCGTGGTGAGGCCGAGACTATCGCTGTCGCAGTACTCACCGCCGGTGGTCGGGAAGTAGTGCCCGTTTACTGGAGTGAGGCCGTTAAGCTAGTCGACGCTTTCGGGCCAAGATAAACAACTTATTAGATAAGAGCGGATGAACAATCTTTGGAATACACGCTATGCACGAAATAGGCGTTAAAATATACCGTTGACCTTTCGGATCGTCGCCTGGGCGGCCGCCCAAACTGATTTACACACGTGTTTTCAAGTCATACAAGGCTGTGTAGTACCAAGTTTAGCGAGAATGAACCGAGAGTATCGGCTCAATATTGTCGTCGTCGATATTTACGCCTCTAGCATATATGTTATATTTGGCCACTAGTAAACAGAGAAATTTATTTCAGCCACGGCTCGCATTTGAGATGATATACGTTCGACAGAGTGGTACACCAATTACATTTGTTGACGCACAGCTCATGGGTTTAGCCTTCATATTAGCAAGGGCATTTAAGTACACAATGTAAAAATACGTGCTAAGAATTTACTGAACAACCAAGCATTTCTCTCATCGAGTATTACACTAAGCACGCTGGAAATATTTTGGAGAGCAGTTGGTGGTGACCACGGCGAGATGTCAGTCCAGTCAAGAAAAGAAGAAGAAAACTCCCCGAGAGCGACGTCAAGTAGTGAAAACTAGGTATTTGCGACATACTATAAGCGGTTATCCGCTGATCTTTCTACGAATACTTCGTGAGAGTCTGTGTATTGCTGTTTAAAGGTATGGACACGGGCATACGAGAATCTTCACCACGCAAGCTGGAGAGATCACCGTCCGCATGCTTCCACTAGAAACTGGTACGTGAACAAAACCTAACTGACGCAATTCGAAATTTTGAAGTCCGCTAAATTATCCCAAGTTCTGCCTGTAGCAATTCCCAATTTGAGATCTACCATGGCAATGATAAACTTATATTTTACGAGCTCCGTGATTCGCCCCTCGTATACCTTAATAGATGGTTGGCACGTGACAGGGACCGGTGCAACGTGATTGGCAGTAGATAACATCAGAGACAAACAAGGACCTTCCACAGAGAATAAAGCTCCCTGCGACTTTCCCATGGGACATTCGTATGCTCCACACCTGCTAATCCATACCACCTAATACACCATAATATGCCCATATATACGGATTAGGTATCATCAATGCTGGTGTTAATGGACCCTACTTAGCCCTTTTGCGATGGAGGAAATAATTCTGTTAGAGCTAGCAGCGACCTACAGTGTAACTGAACAGCCATGAATAGCCACTGAACGCCGCCGACCTCCACCCACCCATGCTGATTTCTTCCAACCTGGTTTCGTCGACTTATGTATTGAAATTTTCCGTTTATTGGGCTGCTGGATGAGACTCCATATGACAAATTCGGAAAGCTGTTCTTCGGAATCCTACATGCAGGCACCAACTCAAAAACGTCGCTAGTTTAACAAGAGACCATCCACACCACGCTTAGACGCTAAGCCTTGCCCCCCGGAGATAATCCCCGGGCTATTACTTGACATTTAATTCGATAACTACAGGGTCTGCCATGACCAAATCTTGCCAGGATTTTATAAGCGATATAGGCAACAAAAGCCACATTGAATTTACAGGATTTATGTGATTACCAACAACCACACGCAATGTTTGCTTATAAATTATTTCAATCAGAAATTTTTTAAACTCAGGACTCGGCTTGGGCGATATGAATGGAACCCTTCAGGTTAAATGTGACTGTACTACCGGACACTTACACGTCAATTGCGCCGCACAAATGGTGGGTCGATGCAGAGCTGAGTGAGTACGCAACGTGATGGAAGTTGTGGCGTATACCAAATTTGACCTGTCATTGGACGCCCGCCGCTCACCGACGATGGCTGACAGTTGACCTTTCGTCTTCCAAGGGTACTCTGCTCAAATCTGACTGGGGACCGAACGAATCCTGCGGCATCTTACCTCAGCGCCCACTTCAAATCCCTGCGAGCGTTGAAAAAGCAAGCAATTAGAGAGAAAAGGGTTAGGCGAGGAATATTAGTGATAACTCGTAATTGACCAATGTTTGCAATATCCCGATGGTCCCTTGGAAGGCGCAGTCAATAATACGGGATTCTCGTGCAGATGGCCGTAGTCGTAGAGGGAAACGAACTGGAAGCCACTATGGATGGTTCGACGAACAATGTTCAGCCGACTGATTGAATCACACGTTACTAATTCTCATAGGATTAGAATTTTGAGCTTGTCGTATAAATAGCGACCATATCGCAGTCGTAAGATATATTTGTTTTCGTGCCTGATTTACATACACCATTACACAATCAATCCAAGACACAGAACCCGCACTTACAGGCATTGCTTCGTTAACTCTATCTTTCCTGCAACCCTCCAGCAAAATGCACAGTTCAGGAATCCTGACATCTGTCCTTGCCGTCGTTCCTCTGGCTCTCTCGCACCCTCTCAACACTCGCGATGCCCAGGACTTCACCATCACGAGCCTAAGCGCCACCTTCCCCTACCCATATCCTCCTTATGGCCTGGATTCCGTCGACTCCTTCGTGAGCATCGCGGTAAGCTACCCGGATGTCTCGTCGACGAGCGGCGGTACCCTGAGCACGACATGCAGAGTTGACTGGCCCGCCGGCACCAGCCCCGGGTCAACAAACTGGACCACATGTGGGGACGGAGCGTTGCAGTTCCGTCTGCCGGCAGATGGGTGGACCAGTACCACAAACTTCGGTGTTGAACTATTTGAAACCGTGAGCGCTGATGGGTAAGTAAAAAAAAAAAAAAAAAGCTTCTAAGAAACTGTCTCTACGCTTATTCATCTCTTTTTATGAACACTCTTTACTAACGAGGTCTTGTCGTCGCAGATCGGGTCTAGATGCCTCGCATATCCTCACGTCAAACCCTGGTAACCCCAGCGATCCGAACGCCTTCATGTTTTGCCTGCAAAAGGGCAAGTTTAACCCCCTGACTTGCACCCTAACTGGTCCATACGGTGTATCGGCGAGGACAGTCGTTCTGACCGCCACCGAGGAAAGTGTGAGGCCGAACTAGACTGATAGATGGCGAACTCGATTCTGGAAAAGGGCAATGATTATGGGATATGTATAGACTTAGGGTTGTTTATAGAGTTGGATAGACGGCCTACTGGATTGTATTTCGCATCGAGAGCGCAAAGGAATAACAGATTGATGCTACTGTGTTTTTTGTTGCGTTATAATCAACTTCGACTTGTTTCCCATGCAGTTTCATAGTCTGCGCAGCAGTGAAGAAGTCCATGTACCCCAACGATTTTATGCCAATTTCGAGCTGGCCTATCTGTGTCAATTGATCAGTGAGAATTTAACTGCGCCTCGACGCCTGCCCACCCCCTCAAGAGCTGCATCTCTGCTGTACCTGGCTTGATCTCGTCCTCGACGATGTACACCACTTCTGCAGCCGGCCTTTCCACAACCCACTTATTACGTCCCTGCCACTGTTTTCCACCAAAGTCATCCGCTTCAAGACCTTTGACGAGCACAAAATCCTTCAACGCTTCAGGGTAATATGGTGTTCTACCCATATTTGCGTAATCATCCGCACGGCTCGCCACGGCCGCACCTTTCTGCTCAATCCTGTATCGCACGGATGGGTGGATGAACTCGCAAGTCTTGACCAGGCGCCGAGGCAGTATGACTCCGGTATTCGCGTCCGTAGCATGATACTCACCGGGGGTGCGAACCGTACGGCCCGTAATGGGCACATCCCAGCCCAGATCGGAAGGCGCCAACAAGCCCAGGCCCCACGAGTACACCGGATTCGGCGGACTGCTTACCTCATAGAATTGAACGTTCTGCTCCCGCTGGCGCGCAATGTACGAAATGTCAAAGTCGAGGAATGGTGACAGCTGTGTGATCATCCATGCAAGCGTGATATCGGCCGAGGAAGTGTCAGGATAGCCACCGCCAACTCCCTTGTGCACGCCCGGAAACCAAGTCTGTTTGAGTTCTTGCAGGATAGCGCCAGAGCCGTCCGCGGGTTTCTCCCAGACGGGTGGTGCGAAGGGCGTTCGTCGCTCGTCGATTGCTAGCGCTTGATAAGCGTGCTCAACGTTTCGTGGCACTTCGGTATTGGTGAAGGCGTACTCCCGCGTCGAATGCGTGTGGATTGGAAATCCCAAGATCTTAATGGTCGGCACGCCGAGTGAGCCAGCTGTGTCAAACACGCCGACAGCTTTTATGGGTGGTATATCGGGGCGTGTCAGCTTGGATTCCACGAGTTTTGCCCGGTACGCATCGTCTCCTTCCTTGAAGGGCGGACGGTTTTGGAGAGGCCATGAACGTGTCTCGAGTGTTCGATTATACCCAGGTACGTTTTGGCTTTCCCAGTCCTTGAATATGGGGTAGAACGCGCCAAGCCCTTGCTTCGTCAAGATGCCAACGCTGGAGATCAGCCCCGCTATGCTGCGGGCGATGAAAGCTCCTCGAGAGAAGCCGATCAGGAAGATTTCGTCACCCTCATCATAATTCTGTAGTTGTTTTAGATAATGATATCAACAAGTAATTGAAGACCAAGCCTTACATTGCACAGGAAAGCATAAGCTTCCCTGATGTTCTCACCAATACCAGCCCCCACAAACCCACCCAGGAAGCTCCATATACTGCCTGCACTGCCCAGACCAGATTGATAATACACAATCTGCTGGATACCAGCGCTCGACTCTGGCAACAGCGCCCGGCATATGCGAGTAATGTTGGATGGAGTGACTAGCTTTCCGCTACGGTCAATGCCATCATTGCTGTTTAGCCAGGTCCCGTCACATGCAATGATTAATCGCTTGTGGGCAGACATGATATCGAGTGGCACGATTGATTTTCTGAAAGAAATGCTGGCCTTCATGAACAATGGAACGGTAGGGCATAACCGAATGGGCCAGGTCGCATCATATATGGATACATCTTGATCAGCATACATGAGCTAGATGCCCAGTTGAAGATTGTGAAGCCTCTCTTTTCAGAAAACATTGCATACGTACTTGAGCTTTTAAGCTGAAAGCTGAAGGAAGGTTGCCGCACCAGGCTGTTCTGGCCCTCAATCAAGTATTGATAGCGCATTTCCCAATGCCTGAATGGTGTTAGCGAGTACCGTTCCAGGCAGAGGCTTGGGCTGAACCAGCTGGAAAGGGCCTCAATTTGGAAGATTGACATGCGGGCACTAGCCTAGCCAAGACCACCCTAGCAACTTTCTGTCAACATGGGTCGCCGTACTGATCCGTACTGACCCGTACTGACACACTCAACAAGCACCGTTTCACGATGACGGTTCGATGCTAAGGTAGAAGTTGTGCTAAGGAACTTCACGTCGTCGCTCTTGCGTATAATTAATGTTAGTAAGCCTGTCACCGTTGATGCGGCAAGGATAGCACTGGTTGCTTAGAATAGCGAAATAGGTTTATCATGAGTTTATTCGAAGACATCCCTATATGCTACATAACCTAGAAACAAATCTAACCGTAGTCTAGTGTTGGTTCCGTAACATTGCGTTAGGTTCCCAGCGGCTTTTTACCACAATAGTATGCACAGTTTAGAGTCTTTTTTTTTTCTTTTTTTTTTCTTTTCCTTTTTTAATAATCATTCAGGGGATTAGCCAGAACCAAAACCAAGCTAAAGCTGCATCACAGAATCAAAGATCAAGCGCCGAATCTGCGCAATCTCCACAGCCTGCGAAAGGTTTTACACACCACGTAGTCGCACTCAACAAGCTGATTTAAGCTCTTCCGCAAAGAAAAAAGCGACGGCAGCTTACCTGACCAATGACATGCAGCCAAAACTGCTGTTGCTACTGTCAACATCAATCTACCTTTGAAAGCCATCTAGAGGAAACAGAAGTCGATCCTTGTGATAAAAATTTCACCTGAGCAACCCAGATGTCAGCCTTCTGCTTTAGGTCAAACTTTGTGCAACTGCTGGTGATCGTTGAGATGACAGGAATCAGTAGACACATAGCAATACCTGCCAACAAATTTAGTCTGATCTATTGATTTTTTGACTGCGTGTCACATCCCAATCTCCCGAGCCCTCAGATTGATGAAGTGTGCATCATGAACAGCATAAAGAGGAACGATTGAAGTGAAAAATAGACTCATTCTGCCTCACGTATTCCAAGCACTACAAAATCGAGACACAATACATAAGTATCCCTCTGCTTTCTTCTGTTCTTTATTATATCCAAAGGCAGTTCCACTTCCCATCACTTATCTTTGCTAATTGAATGATAAATTTGCTGTTTAACCACCCAAACAAACAGCTCTATTGCGCGGCAGGTGTTGTGGAGGATTCTTCTTTAGAAAAATGAACAGTGTATTCCTATGGCAATGACTTACCTTCCAGACGGCGAGATGGACCAAACTATTAGCTGCCTTTGGATTTTCATCGCTCTGCTTTTTTTAATCCGCTTAACGGTGCACAATGAATCTTTCGCGCAACCATCAGTCTCATATCGGAACCAGCCAATCCCAAATTATCGTGCATTGCACGATGATGATGAAAGGCGAGCAATCAGACTTTCATATGTCTTTCTCAAGCTGTTTATCCATCTACAGCGCTCTCCGTTGAACATTGACCAGATATGGTACGATTCGATCAACTGTATTAAAAGGGCTGGATTTACACAGAGTTCGGCTTCTATGCACTCATAGACATCACTGCGCTTCGGTACGTCCATTTCAACATTGTTATCGGCCTCCAGATTGATGGTAATTTCAACAACGGTTGCTTCATGTCGCAGCCGAGGTCGACGCTAGCTTACTCGATGAACCGGACACAATGGCATACATTCGATGGTGGCTGTCTGACAAACTCTGAGAGCTGCTCACACGAATCGCTGAGAGACTCGTCGGTGGAGGGTTTCATGTTGGACGGCTTGACTATGGCTCCTCAGGGGTGGGACGACGACGACCATCAAAGCAAATACGAGCAGGAGGAAAAGAGTGTCCCATTGTTTCCGCGACTGACTGACCCGACGGAGGATCCTATCGAGAGATGGGAGAATAAGGTCAAATGTCCGGCGTGGGAGCTGGACTTTAGCTCCACCTATTTCTTGCACGGTTTCAGTCGTGGGATCCCAGATGGAGTTTCCGTCAAGTATATTTAAAAGCGCTTCCCAAATCTGAAACTTTTAAGGCATTCTATGCTACATTGATCTTTAGTGAAAACTATTGAGAATTAATATTAGCTTCCGTGACCATGTTCAAGCGCTACTTTCATGGAGTAAACCGCCTCAATGCAACGTCTAAACCAAGCCAAGAGGGCCTTAAATGATGTGCTCCAGCTAGCATGTGGTTTCAATGACGAGTGCGGGGATCAAAATGATGCACTGACGGAACCCCGGCCTGGGGATCTTGATTTGTCATGAGAACTAGGGTGCTATAAATTGTACTCCTCACATCGCTTAAAGAAACCAGCCCAAGTTTTAAGAAAGCGAGAGATAGTCGTTCGATCGTGACCAAATGGCTTCTGCAACTTCATTCCGCGAGATCATTGGCGCCACTCCGTCCACGGCGTCGACTAGCGATAGCACTCTCATCATCATTGACGCGCAGAATGAGTATGCCGAGGGCAAGCTCAAGGTCGATCATGTCGATTCGTCAAGGAAAGTTATCGCAGAATTGCTGAAGAAATACCGCGAATCGAAAGGGAGCATTGTACATGTTTTACATGCCACTCCGGAAGGAGCTCCAGTTTTCACACCGAACACCAAATTAGCCGAGGAGTTCGATGAACTCAAGCCTAAGGACGGCGAGAAGGTTGTGCACAAGAAATATGCCGGCTCATTCGCGGAGACAGACCTTCAAGCGCATCTTGAGAAAGTCGGAAGCAAAAAGGTGGTCCTAACCGGCTATATGGTAAGTCGCATGGTGGTAAACCATGCCACAGTGGTCGAGATATGCTTATAATAGCCATAGGCGCATGTTTGTGTATCCACTACAGCTCGGCAGGCTGCCCAACGAGGCTACGACGTACTCATTGCCGAGGACGCTGTTGGCGACAGAGACATCCCTGGTGTGACTGCGGAGCAGCTGACGAAGGTCGCATTAAGCGAGATCGGGGATGCGTTTGGTACTATCATCCAGAGCAAGAACATCTCGTGAGGCATCCAGAGAACAAGAATTGGAGTGCCATGCTTAGTATATCAACTACAACACACGGTCCATAGGGAAACATAATCAATACGGGTATTTGCACCGTGGCTCAGCTTCATATGTGCTGAATTTAGCGGCGCGATACGCTATAAAATACGCTGAAAATCGGTGCCGAGAAAAGCCATAGGAGGCCCAGAGCGCCGACAGTTAGGCGGGACATTAATGACAGCCACATCAGACAAACAATGTAAATAGAATAACATAGTATCGTTGCAAGAAAGATTATGATCTCAGCCTTTTATTTACTCGATACCGCTTCGTAGTAATTTTAATACTCGGCTTTAGCCGAATTTACTGATTGAGCGTTTTGTTACTAGACTAGTTCCCGAAATCACCCGTCTCCCATCCGAAAAGTGCGACGCAGTAGTGAAGCAATGCTTGATCAACTAATATACACTGAAGCGGTCTTGTATTGCACCAGTGAAGAACCGCACCCTTGTGGTCTCGACGTCCTGTGATTCGACTGCGGGCGCAATGTCTCTCACCTCAAGAGAAGCACGGAAGCACTCTCCAACCCTTGACCGTCTTCTCAAATCCCGACTCGCTCCGATTCGCGAAGCAGCACTACTCAAAGCAGCAGTAGGCGAAGAAAAGCCTGGTAAACCAGCAGCTGGTGACTGTTGTGGAAGCAGTTGCAACCCATGCGTCATGGATCTTTATCGGGAGGAATTGAACATCTGGAAAGAGTGTGTCGAGTACCGGAGACAAGTCAACAGTCCAAAAGTCGCTCCCTCAGATTCAGAGCCTTGGTCGACGATGGAAACATGTAGGCGAAAGGACCTCCAAAAGATACCTGGGTCTTATGATTGGTGATGATTCGAAGTTTCTGTGATATACTTCATGGGCTCTCCGAAGAACAAACATCTGGCAAAAGCCCGTGTATTTTCTTTTCTCTAGAAAGCTGCTTCGTTCATACTTCAGCATGCCAGTAGATAAAGAGTCAGTACAAGAGCTGAAAATCTCCATGGTATGCTGATTGCGTGGCTGCTTGCAGAAGTTACATGGCGATGGGGGAAGAAGCCAACGATGATGGGGAAATTAGGGAACGGTCAATCGGTGTTGATGGAAAGTATAGTGCCAGGTTTTCCTGATAATATACACAACCACGAGCAGTCAGAGACGCAGGGGTATAACATACTCCCATCACCCGACATAGCATATAAAAGGACCCTCTTTGTGAAAGATAATGTGCGGTAGCAAACAGCAGCACGACCGTGGAAGCATATTAGGCCCTTGTGCGTTTATTAATCGTATGATCATTCATTCAAGGCGATCTAACCACTAAGAGATGAGCTCACCGCCTTTGAAACCTTTGAAGTAAGCTGCTCCAATAGGTATTTGGCAATTCCCGCTTTTCAATTGCGCCTTCTGGATTGTCAACCATTCTTGCCATCATAATAATTCTTTCATGATGCAATGTGCTGTCACCCGATGCGATTTTCCATTCTGGACGTCCCAATTTGATCTCCAATATATTGCCTACACGTTTGAAAACGAAGGAAACATAGCCCCCTTTAATAAGTATAATCTCATATCTGTGTTTGGTGCACTCATTTGGCCTGATTTTATTTCAGTCTATTATGGCGCCTTCGTACCTGCCAATTCGTATCGTATCCGATTGTTACCATATATATAGTTGGAAGGAGCAAACAAATAAGATAGGGCCGATATATAGTCAAGGCCAATTTCACGCATGCGTCCAGAGCCAGATTATGTTCTCTCTATCATCTCACTAACAGCCCACAGGAGAGCAACAAAAGCCACAACATGCCCTCTCCGGTTTCTGCTGCTCCCATCGCTGGCTGGGCCAGCCTACTCTCACTAGCTATGGCCGCCAACTCCTCTTCTTCCTCCTTTACCTACCCTCCCACCACCGAGATCTCCCCATGCTGCGCCGCCACAACTATCCCTGGATGTAACTATGGTCGGGTGGGCGCTTCTTTGGGCGTCATTGTTGTTGTTGTCTTCGCCTTCTTTTGTGGCTGCCGACTCACCTGCGATCAGGCCTGGGAGGCCGGCCACACCGCTGGCATGGTGGAGGTGCTCTTGAAGCACCAACTGCAGAAACAACAGCCACAACAACAGCAACAGACACAGCAGCTAACACCAGCACCGGCACCGGTACCAGCAGCGGAGCCAGAGACAGAGCCAAAGATAGCGCCAGCAGCAGCGCCGGTACCAGTACCCGCCTCAGCATCAGAGCCGGAGGCACTGTTGGTGCAGGTGACACATGAGCCAGTCCAGAGGGGGTTCGCATATGGCCTGGGCATTTTGATGAGCAGCATCGCGCCTAAGGTCGTCCAAGAGTTCGCAAGGGGTGTTTTCGAGAAAGATTAGCATATTTATCCAATAATTTGTCCGGCGGAGCCAAGCACAAGCATCAGTATATATTAACATAAGGAGATGAAGTGAGTTCCCTCGAACAACAGCAATTGTCCTCATAAGCACTCTGTTTGTTGACTTGTTCAAATCCTTTAATCATATAGTAACTCAAAGTACACTCATAGTCACATGTCATCCATTGTATTGGGATTTGAGGCTCGATTGTTTTAACTTTGAAACCTTATAATCCGGAAACTTTTGTATAACGACTGGTAACCTTCTCTGCGACAATATACGTGAGCAGATCTTCGTTCGTTTCTGGAGGAAAAAGAAAACCGATTAATGTTGCCAGCAGGAGGTTTGAAGCGTGCAGCGAGCGCGAGTTTCCACTTCTACGTTTTCTCAACATTGAATCGTAGCCCTGTTTTTCAATTCTCACTACGCCTTTTACTTTTGTGGAAGGCTCAGTACTTTCTGACATTCCAGTGGAATGAGAAAAGTCTCTTCTTCTTACGTCCTATCTGAAAGCTTCCAGCGGCGATAGCCCTTGCCTTCCGGCCCTCTATCGTTTCTGCGTACCCAATAGTCTCCCACTCTTCGCCGCTGCAATCCTCACCTTCGGGGCTTGTATCAATAGCTTTTTGCGGCTCCGCGGAACCTTTGCCTGCCATGTCAGTTAGCAAACTGTCGCGAGGGTAGAGGCCTGAGAAGGCACTTTGCGTTTTCTGCCGGCTTCTGTCAGCAGCGTCCGGCTTGCTGCTTTCTGCCGTAGAAATGTGAGCGGAGGCCGACATCGTAGCGATTCTTTTTTCCAGCTCTCTCCGATTTCGATCTTCTGATCTGGATAGATTTCCAAGTGGTGACAATTGATTTCTCGCTGCTAATAGATGCTGTGACGTGCAGAAGATAATAAAAAGTTAAAACAATTATAGCTAGATGACAGGATGAGGGGCATTGAATAGCTGAAAGAGGGATTAATGACATGTCAGCTCTGGTGGCAAGAAATGCAATTACCGAATTATGCGATATTGCAGCCGAGGGCACCTCACGGAGCACCTTACATGTATTAACTAATAAGAGCTAACTCATAGTATTTCGATAAAAGTGACGATGAATTAATCACAGCTCACTAATCCTAGATAGACAACTTGACTAGATGGCATTCTTAAACTTGTCATTTACTTGTTCTTTTATTAGTCAACATAGAATTCTTAAAAGGAAAGCGTCAAGTTGTATGCAACTCTTGTCTTGCATTAGATAGTTCTAATGACTTTATCGCCCTTCGATATAAATCAAGATGGCTTGAAATGCCGACACCTAAATGCTGTCCAGCATTGGGCTCGGGAGTACACTTAGGATGACTACGAACACTACCTGCATAATTCTGGGTTGCGTGTGACGGTAACTAGGTCTGTATCTACCCACTCTTTCTCGATCAGCAGAAATATCCCGGCCCCACATAGCATATAAGCACCGCTGCCATGATTGTGGAGTAGGCTACAGGACGTTTGTAATGAAATATTAGATTTGTGAAGCAGGCCGAAGTCCCCAACACGCATTCCCCCGTTGGAAAGATTCACAGGCAGAGTTCGTCTAAAGAAGCTCAACTCATGATGCCAGGGTGTTCTATATATTCAATCGTAACGATCTCATCCTGGACCAATGACTTGGTGTATAGTGTCTCGGTATCATTGCGGTAAACAGCTGTCATTGCATTGAGGGTGATGTTCTCTCCTGACACAGGAGAGAAGCAGGCATCATCGGCACTATAGCACGCCTTTGCAGCGAGGAAAGTCGCATTATGCCAGTCGGGGAAGACATACTGCGGGCCATTAATATAAGTGCCGGCTTCCATGATCCACTCGGCCGTGTTGCCTAGTGCGGGAAATGTTGGGCCACGCCAAGCTGTCGGTGCTGCCTGGCTATACGAGAATGTCTGACTTGTGTTGACATTGGTCATAAACACGGACCCATACATTCCATTGTCTGCAGTTGTGAGGATTACTTGAAGATGATCACCGACCGATATATCGAGTTCAGTCGAGTTCAGCAGAATAGGATCGTTCGGAACCCTATCATTGTCAGTCTGTTATTTCCAGGTGTCCACAACAGCAGTGGTTTCTCACCATTCGTAGAACCCTTTATATTCTGTAGAGCCATTATTCCAGATACTCATTATTATCCCAGCCTGCCATAATCCCGAGACTGTTGACGACGATAAAAACCCGCCGAAACCAATCCAAAAGGCGGCTGTGTATTCGTCAGACTGCTTATTTGGCTTTTCTGGAATGCTGAGTTGCGGCATTACGAGGGTTGCCTCCACGCGGTCAAAGCCTCCCGCTGTTCCATTGAACCGTTCCGCTATTCGTATCGGTCCAGCCCAGGTTGTGTCGTAGAATATTTCTTCGGCCAAGCCGTAAGCCCCCAGAGCGGCTGCGCACAGCAACGTACTCAATCTCATGATATCGAGAGACTTGAATTTAACTCGATGAGAACAAGTCGTAAAGGAAAGACAGTGACTGCGAAGACTTTTAAAAGTTATTTTCGGCCCAGGTCGTGAATACGAGTTTCTACCACTCCACCAGTTCCACAGTGGGTCGTTCATGGCTTCTTCCACCAACCAAGGTTGCTTCCGAGGCTTCCAGTTCTGGCCAGTATCGTGAATCCTCTCTCGAACGGAATCTTGCGCAACTTACGAAATGCCATGTGCTAAAAAGCCTTCATACCGAGGCTAGGTTAATGAAGCACAGTGATTATTGAACAACAACATTTCTATATCTTATAATTCGAGGCTCATATGGCGGCAGCCTGATATACCTAACACTACATTAGGTAGTAGACCTCAGGAGCCGTCAACTTTATGTATGTGGCCACCTAGGGGGCGTCCACAGGCACCTTGCCTTGGGCCGCAGCGCCGTCCGCTTTGGCGTAGATCCTTGGAAGTTTAGCGCGTAGGGACTCTGGGATAAGCTGCTGGCAATTGCTCCAGTGGATGTATGCTAAAACACTACCATCCTTTACTTAACCTAACCTTAGTCTAAACTAGTCTAGTGCTAAAACTTTCGAGGCGGGATATTGGCTCAGGACTTGGCAGCAACTATCTCGGAAATCACTGGGGTCATAACATCGTCGAATTACTACTCAACTCTTGACACCTCGGTAGGTCTCTAGTTATGGGTGCCCTAGTCAGCCTTCCCCGCCGGCTCTTGGTTGGTTATATTTTCATTAGAGAAGTAACAACTGCGATCATGAAGATATATTCACCGTTCCTCCGCCGAAGAGTTCGCAAGGCATGCAGTATCCGTCCTTGTCAAATGAAAATCTCCACCACACATCATGCATGTATTGATCCTTTAATACCAAATGCTCTCCACAACCAGACACGAAGTACTATTCCTCGCCTCCCTGAAGAGCTTTTGTTGGACATAATGGACATTCTCGAGCTGGGGCATCCAGTTGCAAATCAATATCTCCGACAGACTTGTAATTTATTTCTTTGTCTCTGTTCTTCATTGGCTTTTAAGGAAAGTCATGCTATATACAACACAACGACAATTCCTTTTAGGCCTTAGTCTGAACCCAAGGACAGGATCAGCTCATCAGGTCCATGGGTTTTTCCATGTGAACGAGAAACCGAAGGATATTGTACAAATTGCCGGGCAGCCCGTTTACCTGACACTTGGGCCAATAAAACAATCTGGATACTGCCTGGAAAATTCAATTATGGATGGATTAGAGACAGATTAGCCAGCAAATATCTTCACAGCTCCGTCTGCAAAACTGATCGTCCTCCTCTTTTATTTCTCATTGAAGAAAGATCACTGTAACACCCTCCATAAGCAAAATTCTGTTTGTTTCGGTCAAAGAGGGCATGTGCGGCTTTGTGAGCACAGAAGAATCCAATGGGTGAATATGGCCAATATTCTTTCGAATTTCGCAAAGTTCGACACAGGTATCGCAGCCACCAATGTCGAACTCTGTGTATGCTCATCTTTAGCAATGTTGACCCATGTCCTAGTGGATCTTGTTTAATAGTCAGGTGTCGTCGTACAATAACCATATTGCCCAACGGGCAAGAGCCAGGACGTATTACGATGGGGTGGTAGCGGGCTATTGAGCCAGAGTCATATTATTTGTTTTATGACTGGGTTACTCGTTATCTCCTGTGGTGGCAGGAAAAACAGTATAGAAAACATTTTCGGTACTAAAAACCATCCATGTTCCTTCTCATCTTGGACACAAAATGTGTTCCTCTCAGTGCAATCATAAAAAAACGAAGTTGTAATCCAACTGCCATCTACCCATACCGGGGATATATTCACCTAAGAGCTACTTTGAGGGCCTATAGAAGCAAAATGGTATTAAGAGGTTAAAATACCTCAAGACTAAAACTCCGGCTTGACCCTCTACTATTATAGCTTTATACACTATAGAATTATGATGGTATGGTGAGGGTCGCACTAGAGCTCTATCAAATTTGAGACGTGAATATATGGGGTTAATTCAGCTATATTCTTTGAGATAGGCTCATGTTGAATCCTGCGTTGTCGTTCTTCCACGGAAGACAAAAATGCCATGTCAACATTAATATCGGTTAAATTCAATGTAGTTCTAGTAACAAAAGAAAAGAAATCTAGTATTTCTTTTATCAATCGCGTGTTTATGACCGCCTTTCATAAATGGCACCGTCCAATGCAAAGATAAACCATTCAACCAAGTTGCAAGGAAAATTGAGAGGCATGTAAGGAAATTTGGATGAAATATATACTTACAAGGCTATCCATTACATATGGTTGAACGGACCATTGTCCCTAAAGTTCCGTGGGTGGATGTGAAGGCTATACACCAATAAGTTCATCCTAGTGTTACCAGTCTTGCGGTTGCCAATGTATTGCTCTCTAGTTAGCTTTTTTGGAACAATTTTAAATTTTTGATCTGTCTCTATAACGATTGGCTTCAACTCACGACATTCAGTTCTCAGGATCTAAGTGCTTTCATCACGGTACGATACTAGTCCAACAACTTCCGAATCAGACTCCTCTATGGGTCAGGCATGAGATGGGGCAAAGTTGGTCATTTCGGCCAGGAGAGGACCCGTTCCCAGATTTCATTTAGTCTAGCTTCATTTTACTTTCCAAATATACAATGCCTAGTGGGCAACACTAATCCGCATGGAGACAGAGGAAGACGAAGCGGCGATAGGTATGATACGGCTGCATAAAGAAAATGCTACCATGGCGATATCAACCCGATATTACATGAGCAAATACCTCAAGTTACCGCCTGGCAATAAAACAGCCGGATATTTAATTAATTCGTTGGTGAAACGCAATTGATACAATCGTAATAAGTACTGAGACCCATGGAAGCTGTGTCGTGTCAGGTAGTATGTCCTTAGGTAGGCATTTGTCAGAGCCCGTTGGACTCGGGGTAATATTGGCTTCTCATTGGAGATTCCGCCCCGAAATCCGCTTATAGGACTGGGCCGCCTAACAATCGAACCTCAATTTCATAACTAACAATTGAAATTGTTGTATAAAAGAAACCCAGGTTTTTTTTTTTGGCCCATCCATATTTCCATGGTGTCCTGCTTTCAGTCGCCACTCCTATCGCTTTTACTTTTCCTTGAGCTGTCGTTACCCGAGTGCTGCTGCATTGCTGTAAGCACCACACACTATTTGATTACATTTCGCCCATACTCTCTCGTTTCTTCCATTTCCTCTTTATCAACCTCTTCAAGTCAGAATTCGATCACGATATCGTAATATACGTGGATATTCCATCAATTGTCTCAGCCGCTGCGATCATCCGACTTGTCTTAACCATGATTAGCACAGACAACGCCGGGAATACCACCCCCATAGGGATGCACGATTTGAAGATTGATCTGGAGAAGGCTGTAAAGCCAGAGTCTGATCTCGGTGGCAAGACTAAGCGGAACACTAGAGGGCCAATGACCGGCGACACTGGGCTAGGCAATGCCACAAAGCTGAAAGACGATGACCCCACTGATGGCGGCGCCGCCGCATGGCTGGTTGTATTGGGAGCGTGGTGCTGCTCCTTCTCTAGCTCGGGCTGGATAAACAGTGCGCATTTTCCCTCTGTCCGGTGCTCTCCTAGATCCCCACTACGTAGCATCTAGCATCAACGCGATAATCTGACAGCAATGCTCTTCCTTCAGGTGTGGGCAGCTTCCAACAGTATTACGAGGTCGGACCTCTGAGAACCTACTCCAGCAGCACCATTGCCTGGATCCCTTCGCTCCAGATATTCTTCCTGTTCGCCTTGGGACCTATCGTCGGCATATTATTCGACAGGTACGGGCCGAGGCCGCTGATAATTGGCGGGACGATTCTTCACGTCTTTGGGCTTATGATGGCCTCGTTGGCAACAACGTACTATCAGTTCATCTTGTCCCAGGGAGTGTGTAGTGCCATGGGCGTTGCGTGTTTATACTCACCAGGCAAGTTTCACCTACTCCCCTTCCATGAGTATTCCATGCTGACTGAGTCCTGGACGGTAAAGCGCTGGCCTGCATCACAACCTGGTTCTCCAAGAAGCGTGGAGCGGCCATGGGCATCATGGTGACAGGATCGTCAGTCGGCGGTGTCATATTCCCCATCATGATCAGTCGTATGATCCAGAGTACCGGATATCCCTGGGCCATGAGGACTGCGGCCTTTCTTATACTCGGCCTGCAGATCATTGCAATCTTTACAGTACGCCCGAAAGCAATTCCCGTACCCAAGAAGATGCCCGTTGGCCGCTTGGCTGCACCCTTTAAAGAGTTCCCGTTTCTCATGTTGTTGCTGGGTATTTTCGTCCTGACTTATGGCATATTCATCCCTATCGACTATTTGGCTGTGCAGGGTTTTCAGGAAGCACACATGTCAGAGGATATGGCTCAATACTTGGTGTCTATCTTTAACGCCGCAAGGTAGGTCGAAAGATAGCTCTGTTGCTGCTTCCCGCACCCTAAATGTCGCGGAACGCTGACGCTCTTCCTCCAAGTCTCTTCGGCCGTCTGGCCGCTGGTTATGGCGCCGACGTAATCGGACGATGGAATATGTTCATTATCGCCTGTGCTCTTTCTGGGATCTCCGAGTTCGCCGTCTGGATCCCCGCTAAGAGCTCATCCATTACAATTGGCTTCGCGATCATGTTCGGCTTCGCGTCAGGAGCCTTTATAGGTCTTTCCGGCGCCCTTCCTGTCTCCGTGTCCCCACTGCCAGAAATCGGCTACCGGCTAGGAATAGTCTTTCTCGCCATTGCAATCCCAGCCCTCACTATGGCACCAATCGGTGGAGCCATTTTGCAAAATTCGACCAACGGCTGGCTGGACGTGAAGATCTTTGGCGGTGTCATGTGCCTCGTGGGGTCAGCGATTATTCTACTATCGAGGTTACTCTATACCGAGAAACGAATTCTCAAGGTGTTTTAAGTGTGGAGGTAACACATTTATCAAGTTGACGGAACATATTCAAGGGCCCGCGGACTGATCTGGGGCGGTATGTTTCGACCTACAATTAGAGATACTTTGGTTCTTAGAAGAATCATTTTCATCGGGTAACCGAAACGTTTGGTCTTGACTACGGTGTATTATTACTTACTAGAAGCCTTCTTGACTATAACACGACTCAGTGATGTATGTACGGAACCTCGACAATTTGTTGGGGGCCTTGCCCCGTCTCTGGAGCTCTCAACTGATCTGCCTAATGGAACTGAGCATACGAAGGTATATGTGATTGTATATGCACAAGTCACACTCTGTACGAACACCGAGATGTTATCAAAGTGTTCCTTTAGTAGCTGTGTCTCCAGCCACAGGGGTAAATTGAGTACTTACACATTCACAAGCTACTAGAAACTGTAACATTATAAGCTTGTTATTTTATATTATTATTATTAGCCCTTATAACTTAGTGTCATTCGCACTTATACTCTTGTAATGATAATTACATTTAAAGACTTAATTTAAAAAAAAACCCCCCGTTTATTATTATTAAAGTAATTGTAACGACCTAGCCAAGGTGCCAACCTAGCGCTCGAGCAGCGTACGAAGTACGCCCGTGCGTAGTCAGCGTAAAACCCCGCTTCGTAACTAGCGATGGAGACATTCCTTCTCTCCTCCTTAAGAATAAGTCTCTGAATATAATCGCTACGCCTAGGAGCTTATCGCCTGGTGATCTTATCGTAGTTGTTACAGTTTCGATCTAGATTTGCCCAAAACACAAGATTAGCTACTATACAGACGAACCGGCTTCCTCTGTTTGTTTTCAGACCTAATTGTTCGCTACATAGACACTTACCAGTGAACGCCCAGATATGTAAGTCAGCTTATCTTACCTATTAGTTTTATAGCCCATCGATCCAAGAACGGCTCTCATGAGAACCAAATGCTTATTATCACAACTATAAAACACATGTAGACAATAAATTCTGAATCTTCTGGGACAGTATCACTATGACGATTGTGACAACTCTAAGCTAGAGCCCAAATGTTGTACATCAATCATTATGAGAGCGGCTGCGACGTTCGGCCTCGAGTTGCTCGAAGCATTTTGAAGCAAAGTCGCAGGTCCAGATGGCATGGCAGTGGGTGACTGACCGATCATTTATTTGATAGTATAATCTCAGGACATTGAAGGCTATTCATCTATGACGACTCGTGAACATGCGAAGGGGCAATGTGATAATACAGGAATGAAGGCAACGCGCTTGGGTTGTTTTCAAACTGTTGTCGAATATTCAAAGTTAACCAAGACTGGCTTCGACAAGTACATATGGACTCAGTATCCGCTTACGATTCAGTTACCAGCTCCTCCTTCATTCACATTAGCCGTGCTGCTGCCATTGGAGGTATAATGCTCAACGAGAAGACGAGTGTATGCGTTCATCCAGTTGTCGTTGGCATGCTTTTGGAGGCCTTTGTACAGGTTCAAGCCCTGGACAACTCGCGCACCATTAGAGAACATGACTTCCCAAAGTTTGCGGCTTGACGACTGAGAGCTTTGCTCGATTTCTTTGATCATGCCGTGGTATTCTCTTATCAGTGGTTCTGTCCTCTTGATTCGCTCAAGGGCAAATGGTTTGGTCTCAACGTGGCCAGGCGGCTCAGGGTCCAGCCCTGCCAGGACAGGGAATTGAGCAGCTACATGAATTGGGGCCGCCATCAAACCATCCAGGTCGATCAGTCCGACTATACGAAACTCTTCGTCCACAAGGAGATTGTGAGGGCCCAAGTCTCTGTTTGTAAGACAGAAAGGTGCTGCTGGGTCTCCACCAGAACCACCGTCGCTGGTGAATACGTTCATCAAGCGCTCGAAGACGATTGGCAATGCGAATGATGCGCTGTCCAGGACCTCGGGCGCTGCATTGTTGACACATACCTGGAGGCAATGTTGGGCGATATCGGCAAAATAGTCCGACGAACGCGTCCAAGGGCCTTTGTTTGTCTCAAAATCCGGGCCTATATAGAATTCCCCCGTGGCTAGATCTTGATACACGCTCCCTATGTGGTCGAATGTGAAAGTTGCAAGGACGGCCTGAATTGTGGCCATCTCACGCCTGAAGTTATGGTCTTGCTCTGGGGTGCCATAACGACCAAGGGCACAGTCTTTCGCAAGCCGCAGCTCGGATGCCACGGTGCCGTGGATATAATCCATCAAGATATACGGAGCGCCTACGGCGTTGTGCTGCTCAGTGTTGTATGTGTGAACTGCAGGCACTGGCAAATCGGTTTTGGCCCTAGGATCTCATTTAGCTCTAGTCCAAGCAGTGCGTGTTACTCTATGCCTAGCACCTTGTGACGCCGATACCAAGGAAAAAGAAACAATGTAAACTTGCCTGATGAACTTCATGCCTGCCACCTCAATATCAATGACCGTTGCAACACTTGCAGCTTCTCTGTCCGTGGGCACTGCGGAGACAGGCGGCATTCTGAGCCTGGCGACCCAGCTCACTTCGTCGTCGAAGATGATTCGCCGCACCATATTGAATTGGCCTACAGAGAATTTATCGCTGATCTTGCATGGCATCCCAGACCTGAGATGCGATGCAATGGATAGGAGAGCATCCCAGTTGACCGTAGCAACAAACGAGGCCGCTCTCTCGTGAAACACACTGTCGGGCTGCGTTGCGTCGGCTCCAATCCATGCCTCACTCCCCATAACTGAACCCACAACCTCCATGGCTTGCTGCGAGTGGAGAGAATGCCAAGGGGAGAACCAAGCCTAGATGACAAATTCCCGAGTGGGTTCCAGGTGCTAAAAAGCGTGCCGGGAATTAGAATAGCGTGAGGCCGTAGTGTACAAATCTGGAGTATGATGTTGAAGTGTGAGCCTGGAAGTGGAGATTTGGCAGGTGCTTTCCGGGACGAGGTTGATCCGCAGCCAACGGATCTGCAGTCTTCGCTCGGATAAACTTACCGAGTATGTGCGTGCGGCTTGCCATGTTCTGTCTACAGTCTCCAACAAGCGGAACCGCAATTCAAGGATTTCTTATTCCGGATTCCAGCTTTATATGTCGAGAATCCCAGCATGATAGGCTTGCTAAAATTGACTTTATCCTAGTTCCTATTCAACGCTGCTTCCTAGTGGCTCACGGAACAGTGCGACGTCAAGTTGTACCGAGTGCTCAGCCTTGAAGCTGGATGTTCAGGTACATATGTACCGGTACATAGACGTGCGAATGACTTGCAAGAAGTTGGTTTTCATCACAAGGATCATACATCCCTAGTCGCATAACTTTGGAAGCATAGATGTAGAGTGTCGCTCAATCATTCGTCCTTGATGCATCAACTTCGGCCACTGTGTTGTGCCCAGCTCTAGACGGCAACCTTTTTCAACTTTCCTTCAAACTGGGCATGCAACTGGTCAAAAGCTTCGACAACTCTGACCAAGCCTCTAACGCCGTAGTACCAGTTATCATCATCATCATCATCCTCATCCTCATCATCGCCGGGTGTGTTCTCCTTTCTTGGTTTATCAGCACTAGGGCGGCTATGATTCTCGTCAGTCCCCCTAACAATTTTGGTCTCTTTTTGCCTCCCAAGTATTTTTCGATTCCGCTGCGCTCTGAAACCTTGTATTCCGCCCTGGGCCTGGTCTTGACCTGGTGCAGGCATCAATCTCGCCATTCTGCCAAGACCGACAACAATTGTGCGTAAAATCGTGCAAAAGTCTTGAATAGGTTAGTCATAGGTTCCATACACACCACCAGGCTTGTCACTCAGGCCAGCATACCGTTCAAACGAGACTGAATCTCCGACGCGTGAATCTTGTTCATTCGTTCAATCGTCTGTAAATCACCATTATTGAAGAAATCGAGTAGGTACGCATTCAGAGGTGGGTCCGATGCCTCAAGTGACAGCTGTAGATACGGTACTATCGCTTCTTCCAAGGGGATCCCGGAGCGGACAGTGTTACATAACTCAGAAATGGTCGAGAACTCGTCGCCGTGGCCAGAGAGCGCTACGAATGGGGAACGGATGACTGGTGGCAGTGTGGATGGTAGGCCCAACATCACTTCAGATCCCACACGATACCGCGTGAGTGGAAGCTCGTCGACTTTATGGTGTAAGTACTGCTCGATAAATGTCTTGGCGTAAATCTTGAACACAGAAAGAGTTTCGGCATTGTATGTGCTGAGTGCTTCCTTTGCATCATCGGGCAGCGATGGTAGGAATACAACAGACGAAGAATGCTTGAGGGCATCATCGATAAATTCGATGTCTGACCTCTTGCACGTTTGACGCTCGAAGATGCTTGACATGACCAACATCAGTGTCAGCATAACACGCTCCGGGTTGACCTCGATGTCTTTACAGACTTTGTGGAAGTAGCCTCTGCTCAGTAAAGCATGGAAAGCCCAAACAGAATTTCCGGTGTAGTCCAAAGTGGAGACGCACTCTGCAAAATTGATAGGAGCACCATTCACATTAAGTAAAGACTGGCGACGAAGGTATTCAATGGAGAATCGGAGGTGATGTTTGACTACCATCTTGGATTCTAGCAGACGGAGATATAAATGTGGTCGTAAGAATATGGACTTGATAGCCTGGAGGGCGAACGGTGAGTTATTGGAACCATGCAGAAGTATTGCCTGGCGGAGGATGAGAGATGTGTTTATGGGGTATCTCGTTGTCAGGTCCGGCAACCGAGAGCTTAGTAAACGAAGCACCTTGACTTTGGGAATTCCGACAAAGACTACATTTCCAAGCACATCAAAACCGCGGCGACCGGCGCGACCAGCTGCCTGGCGGAAGTTGAGGGCTGTTAAGGATATCGAATCACCGGCAAATATTACCGTTCTGCAAGGCATGTTGATACCTAATGCAAGTGTGCCGGTCGCCAAAACCACTCTCAGAAAGCCTCTGCGAAAGAGCACTTCGACGACCTGGAGATATCTGCGGTTCATTCCCGAGTGATGGACACCAACTCCACGTTCCAACCCGCGAACTAGCCACTCTGGCACATTGCAGCCACGCAGAGACGACTGAAATTCATCCAGTTCTGAAGTGGCCAGCTTAGTGACGTCCGCAAAATGGAAACCATCAATAGGCGCGTCCGGATTGAAATTAGCCAACGCGCAGATGTCAGCATTCGCCTGTTCGCGAATACGCTCGGCTCGTGAGATTTTCTCGACATCATCTGCTTCACCTCGTTTGGCTTTCTTCTTAGGCACAATTCGTGAGGCCTTGTCCGCGCGGGCGCGAGCGATTTCTAGTTCTTTTTTATATTGGTCGAAATCAGCCATCTTCTTCTGCCAAGATGGCTTGGACGCCTTCCATGCGTTCTCTTTCTTGCCAAGCTCATCAAGAATCGAGTGTGCAAGCGTCTCGCACATGTTACAATCGTAGTTGAAGATGAGGCACGGCATGGCGTCTTTAGCATGCAGGTCAACCAGAACGGGCAACATCATGGTAGATAGGCTGTTAGGATCTATCTTCATATTAATGCAATCATTGCTGCAGCCGGCCTTTGTGTTCAAAGTATCACGAGCCATAACATATTGGAGTTTGCCGCTCAGGTCCTGACGAAGTCTTTCAAACGGCGAACCATCATCAAGCATCCACTGACGAAGCATCACCTTGAGTTGAGTCTCCCAGTTGATCACATCTATTTTCTTGACGAGTTCGGGCAGAAACTGGTCTGGGTGTAGTGAATGAGCAACATAATGCTTCCCAGTGGCATGTTGAGACATAACACGCCAAAGCCGGAGGCAATCGCGAGGCTCAAGGTTGAAATCGCTTGGCATTCCTTTCTCTTTTTCAACCAGACCCGAGACAGGATGCACAAAGTGAAAAGCGTCGCTTTCATCCAGGCCGGGGATATAGATGTCAGGCAGAGCAGGTAGTCCGGAGAAGCAGAATTCTTTTGGCGGCAGGTAGATGTAGTTTCGCAGATTTGAGTAGCGATAGTGATAGTGAACCGTAACAAGCTCGTTACCGTTAGCTCTTTCAGTTGACGATAACCAGTCGCTCAACTCTTTGGGGTTCCCAACCGTAGCGGAAAGAGCAATGATAGGACACGGTGATTGCAGAATGAGCTGCTCCCAAATCATGCCGTCCTCTGCTTGGCCGATACAGTGGATCTCATCGAAGATGATTCGCCTGATACGCGTGGACCACGAATTCTCTTTTTCCGCGTGGGCTGGCGCAAGCAGCATATTCTGGAGCATATGGGGGACGGTGACCAGTATTTGACAGCCAGTGGAATTGTTAATGCTGTAACCGGTGGTATGAATAGCCCAAACTGATCGGCCGGCATGTTTGTAATTCTTGGAAAAGCGGCCATGTATCTCGGCTGCAATCTGGTTGACTAGAGCGGTAGTCGGCGCGACATATACAAGCACACCATCATCATCCGCCCGCAAAACCTTTTCCATCGCATAGAATGAGATGAACGTCTTTCCCGCAGAGGTAGGCGCCGTGACGAATAGGCTATTGCCTTCGTCAATTGCATCAAGAACGTGTCGCTGCCAGCCATCAGGCTCAAAGCGAACACGAGGGTCTGGCGTCGAGTCAATGGCTCGATCGAGGTACGGACCGCAATGCTCGAGTTGGAATTCAATTGAGCTACCAGGAAAAGAGAGCTGATGTTTTTGGAGAGTCTTCGGGTGAAGACATGCAAAGCTTAGGGGTCGTGACGCCGCATTGATCTTGACGTCGATTCCAGAGAAACCAAACGCTTTGATGACATGCTCGAGCGCGGCTGCAACTTCTGGGGTTATACCAGATATTGCGTGGCTTAAGCGGTGAACATGATCCCATATTATAGCGGTAATACTCGATTTGTCCACGCATGCTTCCTCGCTGACAATGACGCGCAAAAGGCAGTTTACCGTAAAGAGCTGAATCTCGGGGCCCAGCTCATCATTCTTTCCCAAACTCTGAAGATATCGCATGCTTAGTTTATAACGAACACTTACGTCATTCTCTTTCAAAATCTCTCTACACTTGACATTCCATAAATTGGCCTTTATGTCGCTTTTTGGTTTTGTGGCGGTAGCCCTGAGCTGTGCAGCAGCTTCGAGTGCGGCCGCCCTGCCGCCTTTTTTGTTGGGGTTACCTGGGTCGTTGCCTTGTCTTGAGGCCTCGGAAGACTTTTTCTGTTTGACTGGCTTGTGGGTGGCTGTCTTTCGATCCTGTCTTGTAGAACCAGCAACAATGATCTGTGGCTCCAGAATCTTCCCGTAGGCATTGGTTAGGCTAGCAGCATACTCCTGGATTTCCTTCTGCACATTTTGATCCTGAGTAATGGCGTCTCTTTTGGCTTGTAGTTCTTGTTGAACATATGAACCCTTAGCGGCAAATGCGTTTTTCTGACCGTGACCATATGAAAGCGCTTTGGAGACTTGATTGCAACTGAACATTGGCACTATGGAGTCACTAACTATGCTCATCTGAATGGGGTCAAAATGTGCTTCAAATGCGGAATTTTGGAAGGATAACATGACGCTATCGCTGACGAGACGCTCTGTTGCAATTGTGTTAAGCTTTGGGGAGTTGTATAGCTCGGCTTCAAGGCTTAGAGAAACGCCAGCGATTTGGAGAAATGTTACACATAATGAGTCAAACTTCTGCTTTATGCTCTCCTCGCTCAGCAGACCTGAGCGAAACTCGTGGTCGGCAATTATTGTAGCAAGTAAGCGACCATCAACAAGATCAACGAGGTTGCATGGTATGTCTGAGGTATTGACGCGGTTGGCGTACGCCGAATTGGAGAGAATTGAAAGCGCTGACTCTGTGAAAGCGTCTATAGTATTTTTGAAATGTTCTGTATTCCTGAACGTTGGGAAATAGCGGTGCTGAAGAGGAAGAATGGACAATGCTGCAGTATGTAGAAGGAACAGGCTGGCGTGATGTTTGGAAATCTGATTAGTTGCTACCAAGCTTTGGAGAGCTTGGAGCGTGACTAGATCAGCCTCAGAAAAGATGCCGTACGCTTCGAGGGCTTGAGGCATGACATATGTTGGTGGCGGTGGCGGTGGCGGTTGTTGTAAATTCGCACCACTAGAGAGTTCAGGTATGGGCACTGACAACACCTTGAGGTCGGCATATTGGAGGATATGGGTAAAAACCTTGAGGAAATAAAAATCAATAGAGGAACAGGATCGGGGGCCTGGGGTTGCAGTACCTTGCTATCCAAAAACTGCATCTCGTTGATAAGGGCAACGTTGAACTCGTTCATTAAAAAAAAGGCAATCATGGCCCGCAACCAGAAACTATTTTTCATGGCGGAAAAGGGTGCTTCATAGTCAGGCCGCAAAGCGGGTTCAGCATCTCGAGTCGTTGTCATCACTTTCGGAATGATTGGATCGCGGGGTCTGAAATTCTTTGCTCCAGCGCCATCATGGATCATGACAAAGTAGGCATCCGTCGCGGCAAGAAACCTCGGAAATTGTTCGTCGTGAAGCGATTCAAATCGATGGAATTCAATCGCACAGCAAACGGAAACATTGACCAAGATGTGACGCATAATCACTGCGCGAGCCAAGCGGAACTTGGGTATCTCGTCATCCTTGGCTGTAGCAGGAATGCACAGAAGCTCGTGCTGATGGAAGCAAATTATTTGGAAGCGAGATTTGCGACGCACGAGATCACTGAGGAGCTTTTCAACCACAAAAACAGCGTGCAGAAGCTGAAACCCATCTGTTGCGATAGGTGAGTCTCGTCTATGTAGTATTGAATGTACTTACTGCCGAAATCAATCTGGGACGCAGAGAAGCACCGGAGAAGTAGTGAATCAAACTCGATTAAAAACAATTCATTACCGGCGAAGTCGTCAAACAAATTGATGCGTCTCGATGGCAAGGCATGATACCAGTCGAGGAACATGACAGCGTCATGGTCAAGGTTGGCCGGCATGACGACGTTGAGAGGGAAACAAGTGCCGGTGTGATCATAAGCCAGTGTTTGCCAGCGTTCGATTGCCCAGATCTCGAGTAGAGTAACGTCTCCGTACTTACGTGCTTAAATTATGACGAGCGGGTCGAAAATGGATTTGTGTGCAGCTGCACGGACCATAATCACGTGATACTTACATATCTATGTATATTGCCTAGGTAAATAGATCTTAAGGAAAGATTCTCCTAAGATTATTCATTATAATAACGAGATATAATATAAACTATTAAGGGCTTAAGAAGTTGTAACGACCTGGCCAAGGTGCCAGCCTAGCGCTCGAGCAGCGTACGAAGTACGCCCGTGCGTAGCCAGTGTAAAACCCCCGCTTCGTAACTAGCGATGGAGACATTCCATTTCCCCCCTCTTCAAGAATAAGTCTCTGAATATAACCGTTACGCCTGGGAGCTTATCACCTGGTGACTTTATCGAAATTGTTACAAATATTTACTTAAGTATTTATATAAACTTATAATAATCATTTATTTATTTTCTTAAGTTATATTTAACAAGTAAAAAAGACGGATTTTAAACCCTTTTAAACAGTATAATTATAATGAATGTTATCTACCGCAGTTTATCTTTAACACTTTGTAAAAATGATCGACGAAATCACCGCGATATTAAACCAGGACCACTGTCTTGTCCCGTAGTTATAAGCCTCACGATGAGCTCCCTGGCTCACTCGTAGACTGATCAATAAGTAATGAGTGGAAATGATGAGTTCGACAACCAAAATAGTATTAATTAGGGACAATGAGCCATTCTCGTTGTCTTCCGTATGCACTGCTGCAAAAACCAACGGCTGACTGTGCAAAAGTGTGAAAAGCGTGATGAAGAAAGCTATCTACAAGTCCCATCTCTCAGACCTTATAATGATCAGGCCGAGAACAACTCCGACAAAGGCTGTATGACCCAATTAGCCTTCCTGCTGTAATAGTACAGCCAACACTCACTACTTCAATGTTTACTCGCCCTAACACTTCTGCTAACCGACTTTCCAGGACATCCCTGTCGCAACGAGTGATCTCTGCTAAAGGCTACGAATTTCAGTTCTTTGCTTCACGCACTCGCATCAATAATTTGCACGAACACTTACATATAAAAATAATCACGATCATCTAGATAGCAGCCTTGTTCACAGTGATGTGGGCGTTTGTGATCATTAGGTTTGGTCACAATGTGGGCATTTGTGGCCGTTAGGCTTGGTCCCGTTACAGTGTGAACATGTAACGTTATAGGTGAGTTGGATGAGAGGTTGGAAGACCACGTTCTCCTCGAGAGCTGAGGCTGTGTCCACGAGTCCAGAAGTGTGAGGGACCATGTTTGGGATTGGTGTTGTACTTCAACGGAGAATTGACAAGCTTGTGTGGTATACGAGAAGTGGAACAAAAGTTGATACTCGATACCTATGTGAGGGAAGATGACGACAGATATATATACTGTTCCGTGGCTCATTTCTTTACCACACTTGAAGCTCACATTGTGACTTGGAGTATCTTGCTTTGAGTGCAGCACCCACATGTTGTCCAACGGGGGCACTGCACGTTGCGTAGGCGGCAGGAGCAACCTATCGTTTCCATGGCCATGCGGAGTGTGACGTCCAATCCAGCCACGATCCGATGAGAACAAAAGGGAGACGGGTAACATATGAGACATTCGGTGCCCTGTTGGACAAGAGACAACCTTACGGCAGGGCAGCATGGTCGGGAAAGTAGAGCCTCGCCTTGTTGATGCTGCATGAATGCACCGAGGAGAACGAGGGCAACGGAGTGAAGACTTTCATGGTTAGCTTACTACATGTACATCCCAGCTCGTGCAGACTTATCCTTGTAACAATCACACCTCATCGAGCCTCTGCCGCGGAGTATGAGCCAAGGCTGACTTGGTTGGCAAACATATCGCAGAGCCGCAAAATTCAGGGTCTTTGGCATGCCCCACAATTTTCTGACAAACAGTACGGATGCCGCTACCAGAAGTCTTCGCCCGCCAAGACATTTTGTACGTACCTTAACGGCTGCAGGGCGGATTGATTTAAGGTGACCCAGCTGGTGCTAGAGTCGTCTGCTGAATGTGAATTTTAGAGGGGCTTGCTTAATGGATTTAGCGCTCCGTAGTGGTCCCTATTTAGTGAGACTCTAGCGGATTTAGCGCTAAGTACCTTAAGATAGTTCTACTTTCAGCTAGAAGCGGACCGTTTCAGCTAGGTGTACAGAATCAAGTAGGCAAAGACTTTTGGTAGCGACATCCGTACCCATGGCGGATCACCCTTTTGGAGGCCCCACCCTTTCGGATTAACAAAAATCTCGAGTTAAACCAAAAACACTATAACTTTACTTATACCGTTTTAGCAGGTTTTTAAAGCTATTGCGATCGTTTTTATAATTGTAAATAGGAAATTTCTTAGTGTTTAATATTTATAAAATAACAGTTTTTACAGTTATTGAAATACTGTTATAGTGAACGATTGATTTGAGGAAAGAGGTCAAACCCCCATGCGACTTCCGCGTTTGGGTCTGCGTCTTGGGCGAGGACCCGTTCGATCAATCCTTCATCACATAGCACATAGCTACGTCAACATGATTATGAATTAAAACATTATAGATAAACGAGACTATGTAGAAGTACGTACCCGAGAGGGCCGAGAGAGAGGGCAGAGAGAGAGGGCAGAGAGAGAGGGCAGGCCAAATCCTCCAAGGGCGCGCTGATGTTGAAATACCCGTGGTCGACGAAGACCTGTGCTGTGCCACATGGTCATCGCGCACTTGTACCTGTTGGCTAGCTATGCTGCTGAACGGCCTATTTAAGTTCTTTTAATCTTTCAAGCTGCCCCAGTAAGCCCAACTATAAGGCGGCTCATGTCACGCTGAATCGGTACAAAGAGGAAACGCGACACGTAGAATCAAGCAATTATTTGCAAACGCAATTCTACACGCTGCGCAGAGCTATTCACTGTGACAGCTCATCCCGCCTCCGTTAGTTGGAAGGGATTCAACGGCAGCGTCAACACAAGCATTTTAGCCATTGCTTGTCTGATCTTACCCTAGAATAGCCCGGAAGCTAGCAGGGATCCAAGTGATGCATCCACCGTTTACCGCACGCATCCATCCGGCCGAGATCGTCTCTTATGGGTCGTCTCGTCCCACCTGAATGCAATAAGATGAAATCCTCCCTTTTAATACCAGGAAAAAAGGTAGGCATTTTTTCACTTGTGATACCGTTATTAAGTCAACTGTTATTTGTATGTTCCTGACAATTATTGATAACTCAATGCATCCCAGCTAAGGCAAGTAGTGTGCTTATTCCACTTGATCCTTCCATCAAACATTACCATCCTACATGACGGACTCTCCAAGCCTCTACAACTTTCTGACACCCTCTCAACTCTTTAACATTTGACTCAGATACCAAATCATATAAGAAGTTGTTGTTACCGACTGTGACTTAAACATTTGCTATCTACAAATCAAGCCATCTATCTCATCTTGACACCTCAACTCTCGAAGCCTCTTCATCTTTACGAGCCTCTCAACTCTTCGACGTTTGCAACCAGCAAAGCAAATCAGCCCAAAATATCCGGTCACTCTCGTTTCACTTACTTCGTTTCTTTCCTGGCGCTACTAGGCTCTGCTGTGGCTGCCAATTACTGCTGCCAATTACTACCGTATGGATTTTCGCTCGCCTGAGAAGCTCAAAGCTAATGGGGGCCTCGTCAACGAGAACCGTAATGGGAGCGGCTCCGTCATTGACCATGTCAAGAATACCTTGGGAGACGATGATCCTTAGGTGTTGACCACGAGCGATTTGCAATTCGCTGAATCAGGTGCCACATCCCCTGGCAACGCCTACGTTTACTTCATCAACCCACAGGGCCTCGATATGGTTGACACTATCAAAGCGTTCAGGGACGCGAACGAAGCACACCCTCATCTTGGGGAGAAGGAATAGTCAGTAAAGGGCTCTATCCCTTGGGACAACATCGTCGAATGGAAAACATTTAAGAGGTCGAAGAAGATCGCGACCACAACCAGGGAACAATACGAGAAGAGTGGAGGTGCTAAGAAACGTTCGATCCGATCACGCGATCTGGGGTTGCTTTTTTATTATTTGTTTTCTTAACACCAGATGCGTAGGGCCTCATTTGTGGCTGATATCACGCAAAAACCACATCGGTTGCACCAAGCAAGAAGAAGTCAATAAGGGATTAAACCCGGTCCCAACACTGGCCTAGAGTAAGACTCATAATCCTGTTTTTCGAGTATACATTAATTGCGCCGCCAAGCGATTATACATCTCTGATGGTGACCTTTATATATGCCACCTATCCTTTAAAGTCGAACTTACATCCCATTGTAACCCTTCTAATCCCTTCTATTTATTATTCCCCCTTCAGCTTTTAGCATCGAAAGCATTTTTATAACCGCGGCACTACAATTTTTCTTTCGTTGACAGTTCACAGCCCATTCGAAATACGGATTTTTGATTACCTTCCTGGCGCTTGAAAGAACTGGTAAGGATTGCCTCCAGATACGTCGTAACAGGCGCGGTCACGTTGGGGCCAATTATCATCTGCAAGCTCAGTGAGTAACAGGCAACGAAGAGCACTTCTTGGTACTTTCAATCTGCATCTTGATATATGGAGGTTGCAACATACGTGCACTCTCAGAGCCTTGCGGAATTTCTGATGATTCCGAGCTGCTTTGCCGCACCCGAAAATTTTAGCCAATCGTAGAAAAAATCAAGATCGGCTTAACATTAAGATTACTCCTCGTTGGCCCTGGTTGATTGGTCACACCAAGCACTTATGTTTCTTGGGATTTGATGTTAACATTTCGCTCTCAGATCCTTGTCGAGGCTGCCTTTGGGCTGAGACTTCACGGGGCCGGAGGATATGCATGAGAATCGGCTTCAAGGCTGAAAATGCCACGATATTACACATCGAAGGCGAAGTGAGCGAAGAAATTCAGGCAAGCAGAGAGCCTATATTGTAACTAACCATACATCCGACGCTCTTGATAGCTTATGGAGTGTGCTTCATCATAATTGAATTTTGTTACTAACTAGGAGGGTACAGAAGTATAGAATTTGTTCAAAAAAGTTCCTTCAAGTTCCTTTAATTTGTTACTGCTCGACGAGACCATGGATAAGTAGTCACGATCGAGGCAAGGGGAGCAAACTGATTCGGAGCAGGGTGGGAAGTGAACTAAGGGACAAGAAATAGGCCCCATGGGACGTGGGGTGCATGAGCGAACTCCACTGAGGTGCCTGGCAGCTTTCAGACGGGGGCGGGTGTAGCGCAGGCACTTAGGTTAAGTTAGTGGGTATCTAGCTAGTTAGGAACTATCACGTAACTAACCTAAAGAGGAACGGTCAATCTTATAACCTAACCTAGGTTAGTGAAATCTTTTGTACCGAAAACAAAGAGGTAACTAGACTAAATATAACAACCAATTATATGCGGCATATCGGCTATCTAGCAGTTCATAGCCTCTATTGCCTCGCCACGCCGTTGCTACTTAAGTAGACCTCGATCTCTTTCTCCTTTGCGCAACAGCTTCATCCCAATACGTCCTAAATCCTCTACCCGAGTCAATCAACGCATCCACCACCAACTGCCGCGATTGTCTAACGACAGGTACGTACAGATTTCCAATCATGATCCTCGGTGATTAATACTCATCACAGTCAATACATTCTGCGACGCAGATTGCTAGATGACGTCGCACAGCAATGCGGAACAGGAGGAGCCTACAACGGCGCTTCCGACGACGGACAGCAAATCCGATGTGGAAGAGGATGTGCACAGCGATGTGGACGAAGAGGAGATGAAGAAGTGGCTTTCGACGACGTACGAGCGCGGCTCGAGAAAGCCCATGAAGGAGCCTCTCACAGCACCTTGGGGTCTGTCGATCAGCGATGCAGATGTGGAAAAGCTCAAAGTTGGGTTCAAATCTCGAAGCATGGACGACAAATGGGACATGCTGATCGAGGATCCGGACGAAAACGGCAACATATCTCTCCACATCCTTCGAAACTGGCTACAGGAGGAGTGCTATATACTTCATATTGTTCCGAAACCAAGCAACGATGATGGCGGGAGTGCAAAGATCCAAAGCATCACCTGGGAAGGGAACAAGGCGGGGTTGCAATGCGATGCAGAGCAGGCTAAGAAGGAAGCAGTGATTCTGTCCAGAGGTCACCTCCACTGCGAGTTTGAGACGCTCCCGCACTACCTGTCCTCGGTATTTTGGGATCCTCGTGCCTATACGAAGCTGGACGCGGAATAGGTTGCTAACCGCCCCCCCTTCCAGAAGGCCATCCGGCAAGCATGGAGGATTTGTCTCATGTTAGAGTTGGTTTCCGGGACCTTTAGCTAAAATGTTAGTCGATCTTTCCTGATATACTATGGCTGGTTCTCAATACCCAATGATATCGCAACAATTACAACCCCGGTCAGTCAAGGCACCCTCGATAAGCTCCGACTCCGAAACACCTGCCGCAGGGAGCCCTTCATCACAGAGACGCTCTCGCTCTGCATTGTCCTCGAAGTCCAGACGAGAGACCTCTGCTTCGCTCCTTGATTTCAACTGACGTTTCTGCTTCCTCAGACAAAGAAGCTTATCAAGCTTATTGGAAGACTCCTGCTGCAGATGAGCTATCTCGCGCTAAACCGCAAGAAGTTCCTCCTGATTCTCCAGCTCCTTCGCCACAATCTTCCTCTTGTCCTAAGTCAACCAACCCACTATTAAGAGTCAGCTGCTAAAGAAGCAACCCAAACGCCAGAGAGAGAGAAAAAAGGTCATTGAATGACTACACCAGCAAATTCAACATAGTGATTTTGTGACATATTGGATATCGGGCGACTCGCAGTACATTTCTATCACATCATTGGTAGAAGACACTCCGTGCCCCTGCGATTTCATTGGTATCAACTACAGCAGTTAAACATGAGTCGAATAGAAGCATTGCCGCATGCCAACTCTCTTTTTTTAGGCACAAATAGCTTAGACTAAACTACAATCTATCTCTGCCTATGTAGTTACCAAAGATAGAGCATCTTCCACAAATTTTATCATCCATTATATTTCCGTGAACCAGCGTATCATGAAAAACACCGAAACTCTTCACATCACAACTGATTCAATGTCTGATCCGGGATGGGTTTCGCGATGTTCGTTTACACAACTGGGGAAGGCTTCAAAGAACGTAGTTGATAGTGGTACGGCACTCGTTATTGTTGCCCCAGTTCTTGGTTCCACAGATATTACAGCCGTGTGAACGGATATCTTGATAGTCGTACCAGATAGAATTGCCGGATTTCGAGCATGCAGCCGGACCGGCCACGAACACCTTGCAGTGACCACGCTGGGCGCCGTCAACACTCTTTCCGGAGCTGGTAATCAAGTTAGTATCCGCCCATAATTTAGAGGGATGTGGTTATCATCACGACTTACTCCGAAGAACCGTAGTTGATGTCGTCGTTGCGGACCAGCATATCATTGACGGCAATATCGCAGTCCCGCTTCAAGTTCGGAGAAGTAGCGCAAAGACCAGAGCCTTGGCAGTTGTAGGCATCGCGGGCAAAGATGGGTGCCGCCTTGGGGCTCTGCTCAGGTTGAGCAACGGCGGCAGCAGAGGCCAAACCGGCGAGGAGCGAGGTAGCAATGACGGCGAACTGCATCTTGACAGACAGGGAGTTAATCAAACACTAACTGTTGACTTGAATGAAAATAAGAGAGGATGAGAACAGTAACAAAGAAGAATGTTTCTACAGGGTGACAAGTCTTCGCCTTTATAGCTAGATGTCCTGTCACATCTTCCGTGAAACGGAAGTGGCTGCCTATAGAGGCTACGGCGAAGCCGTACAGATTACACAATAGCCATTCACGCAGAAGTACAACACTGAAGGAGTTCGGCGTAATCAGCTGATATTTGATATGAGATTAAAGCATAATACCATACTCGACAATCAGTTATGAGAAGAAGTCCCCATAGTTAGGCGGGTTAGCTTAGCGTAGGATTCATCCTGTCCCTGGCCCAGTTTGTCGATGTACTAGCGGCGAAGTGAGTAAATGTGCCGTGGCTTAAGCATAACAATACTCGTGCTTGGCAGGACAGCTGCACAAGAGATGCATGAAGTCCCCGAGCAGATAATACTGGGTTCCTTGACCCAACAAACTTCAACTTGTAGATTTAAGGAACGCTTTTGATTATGAATTACCACAAGACTTTAGACTGGTAATTTCAGTGTATGACGTTGAATTACAAGTCTCTGTAGACTACTGATTGAGCGCTGTGGCTAGAAAATGGTCACGCCAAAAAGTCGCATTTTGCACAGGACCTGTTACATCACTGCCTGTACAGTCATATGAGGAAGTCCCACCAGGTAAGAGGCTAACTTCTCGTAGGTTTGACTCCGTGTCTAACTTAATTGATTTATGTAATGTGATAATAAGCAAACTGGGCTTGACGGGTGGCGATTTAAGCATAACACCAAAGTTGTGATGGATCATCTTCAGAACTCCACCCATAGGAGCAAGAAGCTTAGCGTAGGATCTGTCCCATATCTACATAATAGCGCGGCCGCTCGGCTGCGTGAGCCGCGGGTGGATGATCAAGGGATTGTGACCCATCATATTAGTATCGCGCTTAAAACTATTTCCGACAATTACTTATAATAAGAGTTTCAATGAGCACGTTCGCCAAGATTCCAGTACCATAACACAGGATCTTCAATATCTAATGATACTTGGATATTATCATGTTTTATGACCACAGGATACCATTCCATATTTACTCTGTTCGATGTCGTTCTCAGCCACCTAGACGCGTAGTAGATTCATTCAATGGCAATGTGGGAGCAAGTTTGTCACTAGATACTTTTGTTACTAACCATTCGACTTTTCTAATACGAGGTTTTGTGGGTTGCCTCCATAGGATAGTGGCGATCTCGAAACCGTGCGAGGATGAACGATGGTCCATTCAATATCCACTATAGATTTACTTACACTTATATGGAGCAAGAGTTACCTAATTGGAAAAAAGGTATCACTGACGGAATTTTATGATCCCGATAAGGCGTTGGTGGTCGAGCTAAGCAGTAAAGCCTACTTACGGCACCAGGATAATCTCAATTCATCTCCTGTTTTACAAAATTTCCTCTTTTCTGGTAGAAGATGTTGTAATCTTGTGTGCAGCTCAAATGTTGTCATATTACGAACAACATAGGACGGTAGCCCTAGATGGAGTTGCCTTCTGCCGCGCACCGTTTCATCGGAGAGCAAAACAAATTCCCTCTCATTGAATTTTCTCAAGACAGTTCAAATAATTCGAAGCTATAGAAAGCCGACAAGATGCACATATCGCGCAGTTTGACCGTTAACAACGTACACGCATATACAGCCACGGCAAGAATCATCAGTAAAGTAAAATTATTTATAAGAATTACGACTTATTCCCAAAATTAATCATCAAAAAAAATATACTCATTTTTTTCCGTTTTGCGAAAACGATTGCAACCAGAAGCTCGCCTTAGATTGGTCAATGACCTGTGGCAAACGAGTTGCTTTTTATGCAGTACATTAGGCTTCCAGTGGGTTCATGATTGCGCAAAAAAGAAAACGGTAGGAGTTAATTGAATAATTCCACCTAAAGCATGTGCTTTGTGACGTCTCCATCACACGGACAATATCAATAATAAGTCTATTGATGGTGTTTGTGAAGCCGAAGAGGAATAAGGCTATTCTCTATTCCTGGTGAAGGCTACCTAACCGACCTTATATCCATATCCTCGGTGGATCCTTAGGTGGATACCTAAGGATCCATTAACATGCAACCCCACCACGTCCCAAGTGGAAGAGGCGTAAGCCGGCGAGTGTTGATATGGCTTGGATTTGTAAGCTGCAAGCTAGCCGTTTCTCATATACTCGCCACTAACATCGTCCTAGCCGAAGTGCACTCTTAACAATTAATGAAGTATCCACACGAGAAGTTGTTAGTTGACCTGATTATTGAGATAGGGTCATGAAGTACCGTTCATCTTGCGACTGCTGTCAGCGCACGAAAGTGAAATGCAGTCAAACGAAACCGGCTTGCCATCGGTGCGCTAAGAAAGGGCTCCATTGTGTCTACAGTCCGTTAAGAAATATTGGAAGACCTAGAAAACGGCTTGCACCAGAGACTGGAAAGGATGACGGAATGCTGGGGGTAGGGTTGCTTCCTGAAGAGCAACACGACAAACCTCATATTCCAGCTACCACGGGATCAGACTTTCGAACAGATCACATCCTGGAAGGGGCCCTATCATCACCGCCAACTCTCTGCAGCATGGCCAGTGTTTCTGAAGTTTCAAGCGGTACTCCTGACCTCTTGACAAATCTAATATCAGTGGATGGACGCAGCACAGAAGGGAATCCAGAACTCGGCACAGCTAGGGCGATTGAGCCTCTCGCTGTTCTTTTGGGAAACACCCCAAGCTCAGATCTGGTGTTTTCTGGCGAGCGAAGTATCCATCCGACATCGTATTGCGCAGAAAGCTGGTTGGAACCTCGCCATCTGGAGCAGCACATTCCGTGCCCTTGGGGGCCTGAGAATGCGTATGCCGAAAAGCTAAACAGGACTGGCCAATTTCCATGGGCTTCCAAGAATACCGTCACTGATCCTGTAGTGGATCATGTGTATCATAACGACAGTGCCAGATCATCAGAAGCCCTGAATAGTCACCAACTTACAATCACGTCAGACGTATTGGGTTCCCACATGGACTGCTATGTCATCCTCCTAAGCTATCTTGCCCAACTAGAAAGCTCCTTGGCGTTGCAGTCGCCTAGGCATCCAATTCCAATCGACTTCACACTACGAGCAGACAGTGATCTGCGAAAACTGAAAGAACGTATATTCACGTGTCAAGGTCATGGCACCTCGGACACCATGGAAGCCGGAGCAGGTAATTCCGTCTCCTGTATGGCGTCTCCTCGCCCCGTTCTCCTGGTCCTTTGCCTTCTTGCCGAGCGCGTCGTGCATGCACTGGAAGACCTGTTTCGACGCGCCACAGTCCTCGTTCACCCTGTCGGCGAAACGTCACAAGTGTCTTCTTATCCTAATGCGAAACGCACAGATCGCACTTTGCGCAGTTTGCTGGACTATACCTCTACATGCGCTTTCCCAGAAGCAAACAGACAGCTGTATATTGGGAGCTTTGAAGTCTACGAAGAAGTCAAAACGCGATCGCTGCGTCGGATCTTGAGAGGCCGGATGTACCGGTTATTAGACATGATCGGGGATATGAAGCGTGTGATAGGATCAAGGCGAAAGGAAATCTTGCGATCTCAGGCACAGGGATATGTGCTCGGTCTAAATGAAAATAGTGCAGGGACGAACGAGGCTCAAGGAAACTCTGTTGATCAATTATATCTACGGGTTGAATCGCTGCTGGGTAGGGTACATCTCACAGGCTAACGGTCGTAAAACTAAACGAGAAAGGGTTTTCCTGTGCACCATTCTGTACGATGAAGTGGCGCAGCATTACCTGTATTATCATCTTGGAACTCGTCCAAGCAGTCTTAGCATCAGCTCCCGTGCCCTTTTGACTTCCCCGAGGAGATCAACTTGGCTTCCGCTTGGATCCATTCTCACTTGTCTATCTTCCTCCTCAATGTCCTTCAACATCTCACCTAGCCTGGAAATCATGTAGCGCAATGCTTCTTGGGCTACTATACGTGCCTCCTCGTCGTCGAGCTCCAGTTCACCCAGAGAAGTCGGTACGGCAGTGACTTGGAACCGTGAAGACGAAGGATAATTTCCTCGCGATGATGGTGAAGCATTGTCAGAAGGGGAGGTCGCACGAGACTGCCGATGGGACTTTGTACTCTCCAATCCTACTTCGTATAGTTTCAGTACTCTCTCAATTGCATTCGCTACAGTCAGCAGAGCGCCTGGATCCAGATGCTCCTCCACATTGAAACACCCATTGATGCGCTCCCACTGGAGCGTGAGACGATGACCAAGAAGCAGCGCGCAGTCTATAGAAATAGAATGTGGTTGTGCTGGGGGCGGTACCGTGGTCAGTCCTCCAGAGGCTCGATCTATGTCGTCCATGAGAAGAGACCCCATGTTCTGGCAATCGCAGAATTGATTGTTATCCCTGCTCAGAGGGAAAGTTGCCATGTCGATTTGGTGTCTACCTATCGAATGGCTACAATGTCCGCAGGTATCACGTAGATGGATTGTTAGCCAGTCGTGAAATTTCGTGATATGTTGGTGTAAGCTTCCATTCAATCTGCGTGTCGGCACTCAGAGAGGAGCGTCGGTGATGAAAACTGTATGAATGTTGTCACAAATTCGCGATTGGGAGTCGCGGGTACCGATTGAGTGGCTCATCGGGTCCTTTTTGGCGACCGCCCAAGGTACATGCGTCGGGTACTTTTCTTCCAGGGGATTTGCCAAGCAAATGGTGGAAACGGCCCCGTCTTAGGCTAAGACTATGGAGTCTAATGATTAGAGTCTAATTTGTAGATCCTTTAAGAAGAAAACAAATACCCGACAAGCTTAGCTATTCTGTATGCAGCAGATGTAATTGGACGATCTGTCATCGAATGATATTTGGAGTCTTAATGTGCGACGTAGGCTGTATCGGGTACTATAATGACCTTTTTTCTTGTGTATCAATTGTCCCATCTGTGGCTCAATTTAGGTAATATTGAAAATCGTTGGCTTCGAACAACTCAAAGAATAGTGTCAAATCCAGAATCGTCATGAAGTCCAGACAGAGTTTGAAAAGAAGAAAGTGCCGACGCTACTGACCTATTTTACAAGAAAGACCCGATAGTCATACTTATGTATTACCAATCTTTGAGCAACACGTGGTTCAAGTGTAAAGATTCATTATTCTAAAGCTCTCTAGCTGCTCATAAAGTCGTTACATACATCCGAACATTCTCTATTGGCAAGACTAACACAACTAATTTGGCATTGAGGGTTTCCAACTACTACTAGAGTAAACAAGTGTTTGAGTTTAGAATTACCATTTCGCTCCCTCATTTCCCAAGTGCCACCAAGAGCGACGATGGCACCAGAGCCGACCATACCGTCCAGTTACCAGAACTCAAGCCAAGAGACTGCGATACTGGAGAAAAGACAGAGAATTGTTGGAAAAGAACAAAATTCCCAACAGGGACCTGCCGATATCGAGTATCCAACAGGCTTTAGATTCTACATGATTCTCATCGGCCTTGTACTTTCTTTCTTTTTGGTAAGTCCGATATCTCGTACATATACTACTGACGCAAGTCGTTCGCTAACTTTGATCTCAGAGCGCTCTCGACATGGTATGACCCTGATCTTTATTTCTATTTTGCATTTCCCCACTCCAGTCTCAATGTATTACGATGTGCCTTGAATTAACGCGTCGCCATTCGCTTCTTAGAGTATTATAGGTACAGCTGCGCCTAGCATAACCACCGAATTCCACTCCACTCCCGATGTCGGCTGGTACGGATCCTCCTTTCTGCTCACATTGGCCGCTTTCCAATCTCATTGGGGCAAAGCCTACCTCTATTTTCCATTGAAATGGTCGTTTCTCTGCTCTGTGGCTGTCTTCGAAATAGGATCCCTCGTCTGCGGCGTCGCACCTAGCTCCATTGCCCTCATCGTTGGACGCGCGGTCCAGGGCGCAGGTGCCGCCGGGATCACGGGAGGATGCTACACCATTGCCAGTTTCATAACCCCGCCATCCAAAGTGCCAGCCCTTATCGGTATGTTGGGAAGTGTGTTCACGATAGCGAGTGTAGCCGGCCCGTTACTGGGCGGTGCATTCACAAGTACCATGTCCTGGCGGTGGTGCTTTTACATCAACTTACCCATTGGAGGATTAGCTTTCGCCTGCTTGCTGTTCTTCTTCCACACTCCTCCCCATTCAAGAGGCATGATTGGGAAGTTGCCTTGGGGACAGATTGCTTTGCAATTCGACCCTGTGGGAACCGTACTACTGATTGCTTCGTTGGTCTGTTTCATCCTAGCGATGCAGTATGGAGGTATTTCGAAGGCATGGAACTCATCTGACGTTATTGGACTACTGGTGGGGTGGTGTATTATGTCTATCGCATTTGCTATCAACGAGTGGTACCAGGGGGACAAGGCCCTGGTTGTCTATCGTATTTTGAGAAACAGGTCTATTGCGGCGTGTTGTGGTTTCATATTTTTGTGAGCTCCCCCATTTCTACTGCATTCTGACTTGGTTGACTCTGACTAATGTAGCATGATGTGTGGCAATTTGTCCCTTTATTATAGCCTACCCATATATTTCCAGGCTATAGCTGGAGACACTCCCATGGCAAGTGGATTGAAGTTCATTCCTACAATTCTCTGTACCTGTAAGCTACTCTCTACAGCAAAGCTTGTGAAGTGACTAATTCATTGATTGAGCCATCACTACGTTCCTCACTACTGTGTTTGTTGGCAAAACTGGTATGTTCCAACCATTTATAATGGCTGGGGCTATTCTTCAGACGCTTGGTGTAGGCTTATATTACACGTTCGGGTTGGACACAGGGCTAGGACCGATCATTGGATATCAGATTATCTACGGAATAGGATGCGGCCTAGGCATCCAAACTGCAATTGTCGTCGGCCAAACTCTGAGCCCCGTTGAGGATATGTCCATGACATTGGCAACGATCATCTGTAGGTGTCCATAATTTTTATTCTGGTACCTGGTATTTATCGGATCAACTAACAGTTCGGCACAGTCTTCCAGTTTGTTTCTGGGGCATATGGTGTCTCTTCAACGAATTCTGTTCTTGACAATATTCTCATCAAGAAAGTGGTGGAATACGCGCCGGATATCAGCCCTGTAGCTGTGCTCGAGATGGGCGCTACAGGTATCAGGGAGGCTTATCATAACGAGACCTTTGCCAGCATTCGCCAAGCATTCCTCGAAGGAGTACGTGCTAGTCTCATTTTGAGTTGTGCATTCCTTGGTGTGAGTATTCTCTGGACCTTGGCGCCGAAGTGGCCGGGAAGATTGAGTAGGCCTAGTCAGATAAGCGACGATACTGACACAACGTAAGTATCTGAAGGAGAAAGTGTAGGCTACGAGAGCATCACTAATTCTATCTCTTTAGGCCATCGAACAAAGCGGCGGAGGCGGTATTACTTGGCGAGGGTGTTACTTCGTACAAGGCGAAATTGTGAAGAAAGTACGGCATATTACAACTCCACTAGACTAGAGGAAAACCTAATTTATTTCTATATCTTGGTTCGCCTTTCCTCCACCATTCAAATATTGGTCTTGTGTTCATAGAACAAGACATTCTAGCCTACTTCAACATATGTACAACATTGAGCTTTCTGTGCCCATCTCAAATTCATTGTGTCACGATGGTGGATGGCATCAGACACGGTTTCAAGTACTGTCAAACGCTAGATTACTTCAAAATCAAATAGCTGGTCATACGAAAATCACTGTCCGCACTATCCTCCATAGCTCATCTTTTCAGTGCATTACAATAACTCCAACAACATTGTCATCGCGTACCACATCTGATGCATCCTTCCAACCCTCTTCACTAACATCACGAGCTACCAGAGCATTTTCGAGGATAGAGCTTCCAATACTATTGAGTAAATGCCAAATCATGCTATATACAGAGTCATCAGTCTTGAAGTTTCGGCGCTGAAGGCTCAAGGCACAGGTCACCGACGACGACGTCTGCTCTCTGATAATGGATGACGACCTGCCTACTGCTTCCGAGAGAAGGATGATTTTTACTTCTGGATTGGCTGTACGAACTTGATTGATTACTGGGACGAGCACAAAGACAAGTCCAAGCAAAAATCGGAAGAGATGGTTGAATATGTTCGCTAAATGGCTCAAAAGATTTGTACTATTGTCAAAGATTCAATGGGCTCTTTTCTCGGTCTCGGAGGCAAATTGCTAGCTCGCTACGAGTCCTGAGATTTGTGTTATTGTAATCTGCCGCCATTCCTTGCCCAGCGTCATCCTACTCTCCAGGGCATCTTCTAGAGGTTTACTTAGACCCTCAATTCGAGGCCAGAAATCGTGCATAACCCACGGCCGCAGCCGACAGTTTGCTGCCGACTGAACATTGTTCTCGAATTCGCGTAGGGGTAGCTTACCCGTGTTCAGGGCTTCTTGATCAACCAGTGTCCACGGCCCAGTCAAGGCCGGAAAGACAAGGTTGCCCATAAGAGTCATAGCTATGTTGTTAAAATCGGCCTTCTCGACATAACGCCACATCAGGGAATTCTCGCTCGGCACAGGCGCCGCCGGTCCATTGCGCAACTGAATGACGGCGCTTGTGCAGCTCAGTGCGCTCTCCTGGAAGTGATCGCTAAGAGCCTCTGGTTCTTCTGCAACTCGTGTGCGTGAATCTCAGAGCATGTCCAGCAGGTGATGCCTACTTCGAGAAACTGCTGCAAGCCCTTGTGTTATAAACGGTGCTTCCGCCTGACGTCGCTAGCTGGCCGCCATTCGTTCTTCTGACATGGCTGCCTAGCGCGAAGGAAAGGGCTGGCGATTTGCGGAGTCACAGCTCGCCACCAAAAAATGATTTCCATTTCTCTAATTACAACATTGTGTACATTCTAATACGTTCTCTGGGTTAGACTCTCAGCACAATGTTTCGACCATTCGAGAAAACGGTCCTCAGTACAATTGCGCTGTATGCCGCTATTCTTTGTGGTGGGGTTCATGCATGTGGGGATTGGTCAAATAATTCCTGGACGGTGCAACTGCCTACAGCAACGACTCCAATCCGCAACGAGTTTGCAGCAAGTATTACTGGATTCAGTGACGATGGTGCATACTCCATCGGCGTAATCGATAATGCGGGCAGCATCACTTGGAACAATCGAACGACTCAGGTCATTATAAGAGATCAGATCCCGTATGGCGGGCATCTTGTGCTATACAGCTTGATAGGAACCAACGCGGACGAAATTCTTGAAGGCTGGGCGTATTGTACTGGAGGTGCGCTGACATCACTGTTCATGGAAACCACTGGCGGGATCTCAGGTTTTATCAATAGTACCATATCAGGCACATGCAATGTCAAAGCGGAAGCAACGAGTGTGAACCTGAAGACAAGTTCAGAGTGTCTCAGGGTGACACTGCCCTCCAAAGTGCCAACGATAGATGGCGGCAACCTACTCTCCCTCCCACACGGCGAGGCTGGCAATGTTACGCTCGGGACGCAAGAGTTCAATCTGATACCGTTTGCAATTGTCGATTGCACTAATTGTTCAGACGCGGGTCCAAGCGGAGGTTGGATTGAAATCCATACTGTGCTAACAAGCAAAGCCTCCGCCGATGTCTGCTTGGGTATATTCTATTTATATTTGGCATGCGCCGGCACGGTCAGTGTTCAATATGTACAGTGTTTCGAGGGCGATGCTACAAGCCGCACTTTCTACGCAGGCTACGATCTGAGCGATCTTATTGGAAGCTCCATAGAAGGAGTAAACACATCTTGTGAAGCAAGCTCAAGTTTTGGGACAACCAATTCAGACAACATTTCGGATGCGCTGGGACGAATTGTTCCAGTGGGTCAGCTTGTAGCCTTAGCGACCGTTTTGGCCTTCTTCATGGCTTCTTGACAGGATATCATAATTCAACTTGTCGTCGTTGACTGAGTCGCAAGAAGGTTTGCTTCTATAGTACGGATCTGATATTCAAAAAGGGCGTGGTCGCCGTGATAAGTGTCAAGCCACTTTTGACTGGCTCAAGTATCTAGTAAGAAATACAATTACCTGGCATACAGAAAGACATGGCACCAATCACACAATTGAACCAACATAATGATATCGATGTAATAGAAGGTTGTCAGGCACTTCGTGTAGTTGAAAGGAAAGGGCCTGTAGAGTCTCTAAGGAAAAAGGCGTCGCTAAGACCACAAATCGAGTCCGCAACTTAATGATCAACCGCCCAAGGCAAAGTCATATAGTGAAACCCTTATTGGTGAAGCAGTCGTGACCTGTCTTCATCTTAGCCACGCTGGACTTCGTGTCCACCAGGAAGGCTAGTCAACCCTGGAGAATTACCAGTGTCAGCTTCGTATCATGTACAATTGTCAATTTTGGATAGCTTACAGCCGTCAATGTCCTCATCCACCACGGCATTCTGCTTGCACTTATTCATAACACTCGTGGACTGTGTCTTAGCCCCGGCACAATTGACGACGCAGGGGGTGTCCAGTATCTTCTGCAGCGCGTCGCCCTTCCAGCCAAAAACGTAGTCGGCGTGGTTGGCGTAGCCCGTAGCATCGCCGAACGACCACACGAACGGCTGGCTGCCGTCCGCGGGCCAGTCGGCCTTGTTGTTGAACTTCCGCGTGTCCCAGACTACCTCAAACAGCACCTGCGCGGTGCGGACCGGGTGCGAGGCTGGGCAGGGCCCACCGCTCTCGAAAGTACCGCTCTCCGGATATGCCATGTGAGCCATGTGGTCCGGCGAGTCTAAGTTCACGCCGTCCCAGCACGTCGGGAAGCGCGCGTTGACCATGATGCCTACCGGGCAGGACCGCTTGGGGAAGTCGAGCGTCTCTGGAGCGCGCGTCCCCTCGTTGTCCATGCAGGTGTAGGTCAGCTGTCGGAAGCGTGTGACCTCCTCTCTGGTTCGCGCGTTGACGTCGCCGACGAACATGCGGAAGCCCTGCGGCCGATAGTCAGATACTGTGAGAGCAACACTTGAGTTCTGGAACCTACGGGTTGGAACGCCTTGACCTTGGACTTTTGGACCGTATCATAGAGGGCGTCTTGCATGTAATAAACCGTGATCCCACCCTGACCTCCGCTGATCTGGGAGGTCTGGGGAACACGTTTGAAGGTTCCGTTCCTGGCGCGGAAGTAGAGGACAGCGGTCCAGTAATTGGAAAAGTCCTCACTGAACGAGCAAGTCGTGCATGTGGACTCACCGGGCATGTCCTTCGCAGGGTCCATACTGGCGTTGAAAGAGTTCTACACCATGTGATCAGTAAATGGCCACATCTGGAAGCGATGTGTTTACGTACTCCGCCAACGATCTGATGGACATGGGCAGATGGAATCATCCCGGGGTTTACAAGGGGATCAAGCCTCTGCACCACGAGCTGAGAGCATTGAAATCGTATCAATGCATTGCTGAGCGTAGCAATCGCCACCGCTAAGAGCAAAAGCCTTTGCATTTTATTAGCTTGTATGAACCAAGGCCACTCTGCACGGAAGAATATGAGTTCACGACTGATTTCGACTTCACATAGGATGATTGACGGGGACCGGAAAATAGTCGATATAGTTATCGTCCACGAACACAACAGTTTCAGGTCGGCTTGCTTGAGCATTGATGAACTGCCGGAGATTGAGTGACGGCATTAGAGCAGCTGGTCTCTGAGACCTCTTCGATAGGCTGTGTCAAGAATTTACAATATGTACGACTCGTTAATCAGCCCTATCAGAAATTTAGGTTAATCTGGCTAGGATCATTAATAAAGTCGCCGTCCAATTATTTGAGTACACCTGACAAGGACGAGGTATCGGTGTAGAAATGTGAACCATGTGCCAGTGGTGGGTGCATCAACTCGGGTAATGTCGAAGATTTACATTTCTTCACTTCTCATATATTCAAGAAACATATAACTATAGCTTTTCGGACCTTACACCGATTTGAGGCCTTGTTGGGTTGTGTTAGATCACACTGCTCAAGTGCCGGACCTCAAGCGGGGCCGACGGGGCTTTCTACCGCATCAAGCATTTATCCAAAGTGCACAAAGAAACACACCAGGTAGTTCAAAACACGTCAGGCTCACCTTGAAATTTTAGTAGCACTTTAAATGTGGCATTGGTCCGTCCTGCTGAATGCATTGACTGGATACAGGTTCTACCAAAATTTGTAATCATCACAAATCGAAAATATTTGTTTTCCACTTCGAGATCATGCATATCTCGTTGTACCTCTTCTCATTACTGTTCTGTTCCGTGTTGGCCGATGGGCCTTGCGATGTTATGAGCGACTCTTGCAGATCCGTCATTAACGCGAGTGCCTGCTTCAACGAGTTTCTGGCGGGTGGAGGAAACAAGGATCCTGTGCTTAACTGTCTTGTGGGCACAGATGGGTCGGATACTCCAGAGCAGAAGGTGCGATTGGATTCATTTCCACCCAGTTATGAGGTTGTTCTGTACTGACAGGGTGAAATTAGATGTGTGCATGCACTGGCTGTCTTGGTCCTGCAATGTTGAACTGGATATCCAAGGTCAAAATTTGCACTTAGCAAGGCGGAGAAGTTGGACGGCACAAGAGATATTCACACAAGAGCATCATTGATCCAGAGTCTATTTATATTCAAATGGAAGGATTACAGATGCCAGCGTTTCTGCAATGATATACCAAATCCGGACTTGCCATTTTCCCGATCCTACATCTAACGCGGAAGTGGGTCATGTTTGAATCCATCCTACGAGTAAAAATGCCCGTATATTATAAAAATAGTCAATTATCCTTATGTTTACTTGTATAAGAAAGCAAATCAAAGCAGTGAAAAGTGAGTCACAATCCACACTGCGTCACAACATCAATAGAAGATTGATTAATGACGCCCAAGTATGTGCTAAACAAGGGCATCCTCAGCTAAGGTCTGCTTACATCACAACATGTCTAAGACATGCACTTAGGCACCCTGTCTGAGTACTCCGTACTACATGAGGCAACGAAATGGGCTCAAGTTCATAACAACTTGATTGTTCTATCCCGGTATGTATTTAAATGCTGTCAAAAATACACGACCGAATATGACTGAGATCATGAAGGACTCAGAAGCAACGCCAGGCTCCACAGTAACAGAATTTCATGCCTAGTTGTCACCTCAATGCCTCCTAGCGTTGAAGGAAAAGCTTTACGCCGCTGCTCGTGACTGCAGTGCGAGCTTTCACACAAGCTCCTCGCCAGAATGCTAAAACCTTCTATAGGAACATATGTCGGCTTTCGGCATCCTTTCGCGAAGCACCGGGCGCGGTGTAATCAATACCACTCAAGCTTGTCAGATCCTTCTCAAACGTGGCCTGGATCTTTGTGACTTGCTGCAATGTCTTGAGGCCCAGTTTGATCTTGTCGAAGATTGCTAGACTCTCCGCAGCCTTGATGACATTCTTGATCTGTCGACCGTTCAAGTCGTGCTCCGCAAGGATAGCAATGCCAATGTCGTCGATATCGACGCCACCGGGCACCATCTTGCAGAAGTTGCGCCAGATCTGCATCCGCGACTCGATTGAAAGATCGGTGTACCTGATCGGGATGTGAATACGTGATTTGAAGGCATCGTCAAAAGTGTTCACCCGATTCGTCGTCAGGAATAGAATACCAGAGTAGTACTCCAAGACACGCAGAAAAACGCTGACCATGGCATTGCGGTGGAGATCGTGAAGCGATCGTCGCTCAAGAAACACGTCGGCCTCGTCAATAAGCAATACCGCACGCCAGGTTGATGTCATATCCATGATTTGCGTCAGTTTGCGGTCAAGTTCCCCACTAGAGACTCCGAGATCTCCGGATGAGACCATGTACAATGGTCGTCGAACGTATTCAGCCACGCATTCTGCTTCGGTGTCAGTACTCTTTGGATTATAACAATAACATAGTTCTTTCATAGGCCTTACCGGCTGTCAATGTCTTTCCGACTCCTGGCGGCCCATGCAACACACAAACAAGACCTTGACCCTTGCCTTTAACGATGTCGTCAAATGCCTCGCGCTTCTCAGCGTGTGTTGATACAAGTGCCTGTACAGTCTTCTTGGTTTCCGCGTCTAGCACGAGATCGTCAAAGCATCGTGTATTCCACTCAATAGGTGATATTTTGTCCGCAAAGAATTCGAGGAACTTTTTGGCAGTGAAGGAGTAGCCCCGAACAGTGGCGTTGCAAAGCATGATATCCTCATCAGATAGCTTGTCGTGTACAATTTCATCGGAAACAAACGAGGTATTGCCCATAGCCCGCTTGCGTGCCTTTTCACGCTTCGAGGCTTCGTCGTTAGACATTTCTCTGACGCTGAATGAATCGTTAGGCTCAATCCGATGGTAGGTTTTGCAGTCAATCATGACACGACCAGTAACATTAAAGCGCGCATAGCCTCTCTCCACCTTCTTCAACGCGATTCCATTGTACTGAACAAAGTGCTGTCCAATATATCCCTCGAACTTCTTCCCGCGGTCTGTGATTTCTTGACGGACTTCATTGGCATCTTGTAAGAGGTCGAGAGGCATGGTTGGAAGTTCGCTAATATCCTGCGTGCCACCATACTTCGGAATGAACAGCTCCATCTTGCGAGTGCCAACGCGCTGGCCGTCGAAGTCGATGAATTTGACCTTCATACCTAGCCCGGGCAGCTCGCCGACATCATACCAGGTATTAACGACGCGAAAAGCTCGGTGTTGTTCAAGTATTTCGCTATAGATGATGGTTCCAGGAGCAAACAGTGTCCACAGGTAGTCATAACCGATAGCTTTCACATCACCGGTGATACACCGCCTATATGCTGAGGTGTCTGACTCGAAATGTGTGTCAACCCAATTAAGTAGGAGTTTGAGTTGCGCCAGCGACTCTACGTCCTCCTCCTCCTCCTCGAAACGCTTGACACCTTCCGTTTCAAGCTTTTCTCGGTAGTAAAAAAGTGAATAGTATGGAGCTTCAATCTGAACGTCGTCCACATCGATTGGATCCGACGGGAAGTTACCGATGACATCGTAAAGTAGTTGCCTGATTGGTTGTGGATTTACATAGAGGCGAGTGTGACTCAACTCGTTATCTGAGTCGTAATGTCTAACGAGACAAAATGCAAATAATCGCCACCAATCCTTCTGCTGAGGCTTCTCCAGGTCAGTCTTGCGCTCATCGAAGTATGTCTCGTCCTTCTCGTCATAGCGACGATCAAGGTGCTTGATTTCGCACTTCATGACCTGGTCTTGTGGTTCCTCTTCAGTTGGGGGTTTCTTGTTTATCTCATCCGTTTCCTCTGTCTCAGTCTTAACTTCGCCAGTCTTGGCAGGAGCTTCACTATTTGCAGGGTCCTCTTTCTTTCCGTTGACATGCCCATTGAGAATCGGAATCAGAATAGCCTTGTTGTTGCGCAGAATTGAGATCAACTCATCGCTGGCATCGTCTGCCAACACCCCAGGCGCCATGATGAGCAGTGATATGATGGGAATGCGATTTGGAAAGATGTGGATGGGATGTTACGAGTGGTGGTGGGAGAGGACGTGGTGGTTGCTCTCCCAGTGAACAAGGCCGGAATAAATAAGAAGTCTTAAAATGATACGAGAGCGATGAACGAGAACAAGACATTTTTGTCTTTAATGCAGGTTTCCCGAACGTTATAACATTGACCAAACATCACCATAGCTGCTTGTGTGACTCTTACCGACCAATGGCCGTTCAGCCACCATCCCTCCACATTTCTTTTACCAGGCAGCACAACGATCGGCCAAATGCGCCATCATGTTGACTTATCGAACACTTGCAAAGATCGCATGGCACGCGCCTAGTTGCCTTGTCCTTGCATGAGATGGGCGTCGACTCATCGGAAGCTGTTGTGCCTCACGGTGTTTTTGATTGGCCTTTAATGCGACATGTCAGGCAGCATCGCGGCTGAGTTGATAAGCAACAGTTTAAAAGCGCAGACGTGCAGAGAGGCTAGCAACGTGGAGGCACCGAGCCTCGTTGCTATCTACTGGGCGGAATCCTGCCATTAGAACTGTATTCCATCAAGAAAATATGTGATGTATATAGTCAAGGCCAGTCAGTTATGTTCTGTGTGCATATTATTGCAGCGTCTGTCAAGACAGCGTTGAGGTCAAGAAAAGTAGCAGGACTCGGGAACAAACGCACAGGTGTGCAATTGAAGTGTTGGCTTTTTACACCTGGTGCCTTGTCAACAGTGCCCCCAGGCCCACGCCTAGAACCGAAGCGTCCGGGGATGGGAGGTCCCTTAGGTAGCGATCTACCCCGCTGATGGGGCCATGGAGACTACCTTGGCGTTGTTGCACTACAGGTCTTCAAGCAGCCTCAAATGGGACAACAAAGAAAGTTCATCACAGCCTGATGGGTCCATGTCTTAAGAAATCAGTGGAATAAATCTATCTGAGCGTTTAAGGTCAATTTACTCTATGGTTCGCTAGGTACATGTCTCAGCCAGTCATTAGCACCTAGGTTAACTACATATAGGGCGCTATATACAGGTGATCTAGTATTCTGGGTGAAGGAAGGGAAACCCTGAACAGTGGCTCGAACACTGGGTTGCCTAAATCCTCTTGAACCCGATAGAGTTCTATTAACTCATATACTTGATGATTTGGCCCGGCGTCTTATTGCTCATACTCAAGAACCACTCTCAAATACCGGCGGATGGGATACTTGCCTGCGTTGTTCGTGACCTGCAACAGCAGATGGAAATCCGACAAGAGTCCAGTTTTCGTGTTCCTCTGTACCTGCGGCGCTGTGATCTGAATATCCCTAGCGACCGTCACATTTGTGAACCCGGCATCGTTCACCAAAACCATATCCCCCACGCCGGGCGTACCATTGGCCTGCATCTGAACGTCGCCGTAGTCTGTGTTCCAACCGGTCGGCTCGCCGTACACCGTCCACTCGTAAGATAGCTTGCTGTTGTCCGCCGGGCTGTCCGGATCGTAGGTCAAGCTTGCGTTGAACTTGTAGGTCTGGTTGGGCGCGATCTTGACGAACAGCGGCTCCGGCCCTTGGTGTCCGTTCACGTTGACCACGGGCGGGTGGCTGGCATTGGTGAAATCTGCCGCCAGGGTCCACTGCATGCGGGCTGCAAAATCGTCCTGGTAAGCCGCTCGCCAACGCCAAATGGTGGCCCGGTGATCCGTGTAGGAGCCTCCATCCGCACCGATGACGGTCTCGACCGTGTTCACGAATTGGTTCGTGTCGAGACCGCCAAGTTGATTGACTGCAGCCACAGGCCGGTTATATCGCCCTCCCCATGTACCCCAATCGATGCGGTCTTGGTAGACGAGGCCATTCTGGACTAGCCAGAGGAAACTAGGCGTGTCACCTTCCATGCCGTACATTACCTGTGGATATTGAGATCCAAGAGGCCCCAAGCGGATGTTGGCATCGAGCCAGGGATTGAGCACCGTCTGGTTGTCCACACATGCGCAGGTGGCCAGATTGATGCCTGTCCAAGTAGCTTGGCTGTAGTCGTTCCAGCCGTGGATGGATACAATGTAGAAAAGGTCTGGATATCGGGCCCGGATCCAAGCACCGGTATCGTCCTGGTCAGAGATGGTATAGAGTCGGATGCGCGATCGCAAGTCCTTGGCTTCTGACGCTGACAATGTTTGGTCCATGTATAGCAGTGCCTGAGCGAGTGTGTTAGTACCACCCCAAGCACCAATATAGAGTGGTTCTTCCGACTCTTGGAGAGCGGCAATGAGGTGTTGTGCGCCTTCGCTAATCATCTCATTCAAGGCAGCTCGTCCGTACGTCTAAATCATTCAGCCTATGGAGACTCGGTTCATGCTGGAATCAAGCAGAACTTACCGCTGGCCCGGAGGTGACAAGTTCAAGTAATTCATCGGGATTCTGATACGAAGCGCTTGGGTGGACATGGTTATTCAGGTTGTCCACCACCTCTCCATATGCCTTGATGATAGTGCGCATCTGCTCGGGGTGAGTGGCATTCTGAAGCCACCAAGATGTTGTAGCACAAATACCTCTTGTATCGAACTCATTTGAGTAAAGGAGATATCGCACAAGGGACATTGAGTCGTCGGGCTCGTTCAGAATATCCGACAGGATGAAAATTCGGGGTTTGTACCTGAAGGATTGCAGCGTATCCTGAATGTCGGTAGCATTGTACCCGCTGTTAACGGACACAGCAAAGATCGTTTGCACCGAAAAGCAGAGGGTTATCAAACGTGTGATGAAGCCGTAGCGAGCCATCTTCGAGGTTGAGTGCAAACGAACTGGTAGCACAGGTATTTCGCAACCACTTTCGTTAACATTTCGATGGCGTGGCTACCCATATTGCCTAATTTATAGTAGCTACAACCAAGGAAAGCGGGGTGTATACTATATGTCATATTAGTAGGCTACCGGAAAGCTTGATATCTTTTGGCAGAGCACGAAAACATCAGTTCATTGTTCATAGCCGGGGTGAGTCGTCGCTAAGGACTGCCATTATAGTCAGGGGGTTAGTGCGTGGTTGCATTTGCCCTTTTGGGCTGCCAGATGGTCCAGGATATGCAAGCCATCTCCCAGTGATCGCGAAAATTGCGGAAAATCCGGCTTGGACTAAGTTGCATTGAGATCTGCTATTCATTCCTCGCACCTGTGCAGTAGTCAAGCCCCTTGACCAGTAGGACTGTGGTGTTCATAGATTAGATCAACGTTAAGAGGACATGGAACCCTTCCGTAGTCAGTCCCGTAAAGTGTCTAGGTTCGGTACTCGGGACATTGTATGTAAAATAGACAAGCGTCGAAGCAGGATTTGATGCCATCATTCAAAAATAAATTTCGCGGCTCCAGCAAAAGATGGGGTAACTACTTATGGGGAAACGCGGAGATCTTTAGCGATTGTGGGGTCATCGGCAGTGCGAGATCTCAATTTTACCGGGCTAATGGGCTCATGGATGCTACGCTCTGTTTCATGGAGATCGCATGGAGGATGCGCTTGGATTTGAGGTCGACTGCGCAATGGGTCAGTATAGACACACAGGTTCACACAGTTGGCTTCTTTCGGCGCGACTACAACGACTCACGTTCCCTTTTACTGGAGGTTTTCTGCACTAGAGGCCAATAAAATCCATGAATCTTTGGGCAACTCAATGTCATGTTAGTGACGAGGCGGGGCAATGGCATCACAACGTGGTCAAAATCTGGTTCCATTGACTCAGTACTCTATGGGCTGCATACAAATTCTGAACCCATGGGTTCGCCAGGAACCAAACAAACGGACCCTGCAGCATGCCAATTTATGCCCAAAAAATCATCGCGATCTATACCATATGAAAACCGTTTTCAGATCAAACAAATGGTGAGGGGCAATTTCGCTTTCTTGACGAAGGCCAAGTATTCGCTAGTGAATAATTATGCTGGAGTATTACGTCGAGCAAAAACAAAATGCTGTTGGCGCCAGCTCTATTATCTCAAGAGCATGTATGCGCAACTGCAAGATTTCATATTTCGGGGTACCAAGAGAGCAAAGAACGCTTCAGGGCGAAGAGTCTTTTCCGGCATACAGCCAATGGAACCACCCTAATGGCTTGAATGCGGTGTTGTGACTTGATCAGCAGGGACATTCGACGGAAATTGAGACTGATTGTTGATGATGAAATGATGGCCCAAGAAATGCTGAAGATTTTGAGACTTCTTAGCAGCGTTCTTCCTGGCCCTCAATCCTAACAAGTCCTAATTGCTCGGGAGTTTGGCCATGTTACCCGGGCCTTCAGGCTTCAGCCATGATTTCTCGATGAGTTCATCCTTGGCTTGGTAGAGATACTTGTATGCGGTCTTGATGGTACCATCACTTACACCCGCAGCTGTGGCAATATCACGCGACGGGCGAGGATCGTCCAACAAGTTGCAGATCATGTAGATACATGCAGCTGCGACCGAGAGAGGTGAGCGACCAGCGAGATCCTTGACCGAGGTACTCTTGCGTGCCAATGCTTTCGCGTACTTCTCGACCTGATGCGGGTTGAGGAAGTCAAGCTGACTACAGTAACGACCACAAAGCTCCTCGGCACCCGTAGAATTGGTGTTCTCGTACTCGTTGAGAGAGTAGAGATTGGCGTTGGCTGAATCGTGCTCGCGTTGAGTCATGAGAAACTTCTCGAGCTGTTTGAATGTCCTCCCAATCTCCTTCTTGGAGACATTCGTAAGGCCGTGGATCTCCTTGAAAGTACGACCGAGACGAGCCTGACGACATGCAATGAAGATGCAACCGGCAATGATAGACTCTTGAGACTTGCCCTTGAAGAGTTTGGCGTCGTCAGTCATCTTGTAGATATGCTTTGCGCTCTCCTGCACTGTCTTGGGAATGTGGACGGCGTCGCAGAGGGAACTGATGTCACCATAGGCAGCAAGAAGACCCTTGGTCGCCTTATCCAGCTGAGAGCGGTTCTGAGCACGGTGCAGTTCTCTGGCCCGACCGCCTTCGCCGAATGCAATGCTGGTCTCAAGCTGGGAGCCGTTGAGCAGCGGGTTCATGGCGTCACCAACACGCGAGGGGTCATCGTTGTTCTCATCGTTCGCAAAGGTACGCCATTCGGATCGAGTATCGATGATGCGATCACCTAGAACCAGGCCGCAGGTAGCACAGACGAGATCGCCGCTGGAGAATTCCTCGCTGTCGCAAATCAACGTTAGTACAAATGCTGGAGAAAATGCGCGGGGAGGGGGAATACGTACGTCAAGTTGGGAGGGTCTTCCTTGCACTCACCACACATCAAGCGCGCGTTGAGGTTCTCACGGTACTCGGCCTTCTTCTTCTTGTCATCTTGAAGCTGCTCCTGCTGCTGCTGCTTGTAAGCAGCGAAGGGATCGACGGAGGCCATGATGAAAGACGCAGGCGCAGGTGCAGGCGCGGGCGCGACAGAGGAGGGCTGATGAGCTCGAGCAACAAGGAGGAATTCGTCCTTGACAGCCTGAGGTACAAAACCAGTCTCAGCGGTGATAAGTGCGGCAGGGATGCGTATCGACGACGTGGTCAGCGACGTGGTAGGAAGGAAGAAAGGTGCTTGCATGCGATTGAGGCTGACGGTGCTGAAATGGGTTGCTTGGTTGCCTGAGGCAAGAGATAAGTCAGCAATCTGCTTAGAAACGCCACTTTTTTGCTACGACAGAAAGAAAGTGCTCGAAGGTGGGGTCCAGGTTTAGCTCAAGCGCAGTGTGGCTGTGCAGTTTTCTGGGGTCTTCCCGTCCACAGGTAGGTCGTACCTGGCAGCTAGGCGCCGGAATGCTTGGGAACAAAATGTGATGTGATCTGATCTGATCTGATCTGATCTAATGGTTGGAGATAAAATCAAAAGTATCGCCGAGTACGTACGCAGTGCAGTGCGTACGAGTGAAGTCGACGTTTCGGGTTGCAGCTTGCCAAGCTGGGTACGAAGTGTGAAGTGAAGATTAACGTTGGTATCAAATAAGTGACGCTGTGAGTTATGAAGAAAAATGGTGCTTTGATGAGTTCTGTGAATGAATTTTATGAAAGGTGCTTGTTGTTGACCATTGGGTGGGACAATCGAATGTTAAAACCACTGGCAATTAAATCCATTGACAGCCAACAGCATTGAGTCTTGACAATCGACAGGGACAATCAAGATTTAACAAAGATTATCAAGCACAGCGAATCAGCTAGTTAAAAGTCAGTAACTTAGCAGCCTTTCTTTACAATTAATGCGCAAACTCGCTTTGGTTTTCTGTTATATTCCAGCTACGCACACTTTCTGCTAGCTGCCATTACTAGGAACACAGCAAGTTCTGATAACCGAAACTCATAAACTCAGAATAGCCATAAAACCCATTGAACTGTAGTATGTGTATAGAGTGGAAGGTCAGTGGTAAAATACAGGATACAATCAAGATCACATGTGAACCAGTTCGGCTTAGCATACAAACATACGTAATTTTATTTGTGTCGCTTTATCGTGATACTGATAGGATATTGCTCATTCATCAAGGCTATCTTTCGGTCAATCCTTCCCCACCATGCCTCTCGTGTGAGTGCTTTCTTTTCAGAATCATCTAACTCCTCATACCTCATACTAATGCCATAGAGGTTGTATCCAATATCAATGCCGCAAATCAAATGCTTGTATGTCATCCGAAAACGCCTATGACCCCGTGGTGTCGTTTCTTGTTCGAAACATAACTGCAAAACTCCAAGACGCCGTCCCACACACCGGTTTTGTTACACATGATTACACCCACTCCCTGTTAATGGCATTCGGTCTTCTCGATGTCCCCTGATAGGGGGGTGGCGGTGGAGAATGGAGTGGTGGAAGGGGTAGCTTCTCTCGTGGTCCTTTGGCATCGCCCGATGGGAATGCCACTCTTGCTTGTCTTGGTATGGGCAGGTCTTGCAACTCGCGTGACAGGGCGGGATGTTGTGTTCGTCCACCACCCATGGCCAGTTCTTCCAGTCTCGAGTGCCTCCTCTCCGTCTGGGCTCGGACCTCCCACTCCTTCCAGTCATCCTTGGCCTCGCTGTCTCCTGTCTCATCCGCCGTCTCGAAGGGGTTGTGATTGAGAATGCTCGAGCTCCTGGCGCTGTGTAGCACCTGCGAGTCACGTGAACCAATGGTGCTGAACGTCGAGCGGCTGGCCAACGACTTGCGGATCATCAGACTCCTTTCCATTTCTTCGGCTTGCTTGCGGTCTGCCGCACTAATCTTCCTCCTTCTCCCCGTGGTCTGGAGCCGATCACCGATGACAGGTAGTTGTTGATTTGCCTCGGCGAGTCGCTTCTTCCTCAAGAAGTAGAGGACGACAAACACGATTATCATCGCAATGACCAAGGCACTTAGAATGATTGCCACTAATATCCATGGCGATTTTGTTATTGAGTTCGACGACCCAAAGGCGTCTTCCCTTTTCGACATGAGATGTGGTGCCATGGTGAGAGCCAGTATATATTCAAGCAAAAGAGATGTCACCTTGCAGCCATATCATATGTAAGCAACACAGAGTGGAAATGCACGGGTAAGTGAGGTCAAAGTCTCAGCTAGGATGCGGGAGATGCTGTCAACTTATCTTTATGCCCCGCACCTCCCAGAGTTGCACGCGGTTTTGGACCATTGCTCTTGAAGCCACCGCATACGAGACATACCTCTGCACCAACACGATAGGCCCAGCTGGGCCGGGCCCGAGTAGGCAACCCCATGTGCTGCACATCCATGCAACAATCCTAAAAGTGGTGTGGTTGCACATGCATCCACTACTCAAGGGCATGTCTCGGGGCGGGTCAGCCCATTCGTTAGGTGTGGAGGGAGAGTGCAAGTCAAGGTGAAAGTCTAAAAAGATGGGGTCGAGCCACTGTTGCGTTTTCTATAATTGGCTTCGGCATGATTTCTCCGTACGCGAACTGCTCGTGTTGGAATGCCCTTGAATGCCATAGTAAACGGGCCCACCCCTGTAGTTATGTAGTGTCGTGCATGCCAACGAGGGCCGCTCTCGCCGCTAAGGGCGTAAACGGGAGGGCTACGGGAAGGAATTGGGCCCCATTGGGGCGGTGCTTACTGCGTACAACGTGAGTGAAGGACATCTGCCTTCCATTGTCAACTGCAGTGACGCACCTGATAAAGTCTTCAAGCCAAGCGGGGAAAGCTGTCTGTTCCTCGGGCGGGACGGTCCTGAAGCGCATAGAGGCTCAGCTGTTGGATGATCAGATCAGTTTGTTGCCTTTTGCAGTCGCACGAGAATCATAGCCCCGAGATGTTTGCTGAAGAGCTGTACAGTGCACAATTAGCGCCGGACTCTGACCGAAGTTGTTTGTTCAAAAACGGTGCCCAGCAGCACCTCATGCCTCCATGCAGGCAGGGCTAAATTTACCACAGGCCTTTGTCCATATTTTCTTTCCCTGCGCAATGCTAAGGTGCATATCTACGTACAAACTGCCAGCCTGCGTTATGTTCAGGTCTGCATCTACCGCGCGTGCCACACGTCACTACAGTCAGTGCTACAAGGGATTGATCCTTCGTTGCTAACATTACAGTGATGTGCATCGCAAAGGATTTTACAGTGATCAGCTCGACGTCATTACTAGCCAACCCACACCACACCATCAATGGGTTTACGCCGTCAATCTGTTGAGCATTATCTTATCGCGCCTTTATCCTTCAATCCTGCGATATCATCCTTCGCAAATCCTAGCACCTCCATCAGGACTTCATCGGTATGCTGACCGAGAGTTGGTGGTGGGCTCCGAATCCGCGGCTCACTTTCGCTATACTTGACTGGTGTATTGACCATCTTGATTGGACCGCACTCCCCATGCTCCATCTCGACCACCATGTTTCTGGCAATGGTATGTTCGTGCTGGAGTGTGCCCTGCACGTCGTTGACTGCAGCATACGGCATACCCTTCCCTTCGAATATGTCAAGCCATTCCTGTGTTGTCCGCTGTTTTGTGATTGTTTCAATTTTATCTTCGAGGTCAACTCGGTTCGCAACGCGCTGGGCATTGACTGAGTACTTGGGGTCCGTTTTCCACTCTGGCCTTCCAACGCCATCACACAGTATTCCAAAGAGGCGGTCATTGCCACCCCCAAGAAGAATGTCGCCGTCTTTGGTCTTGAAGGACTTGTAAGGCACAATCGACGCTATAAGGGTCAGTAACCTGCTACCACATCAAGTCGGCCCTCAACGAGCATGCGGGTTTGTTACTCACGATGCGCTGTGCCCCATCTGCCAGAATCCTTCTTTCCACTGACGAGACAACTACTCGCGATATTCGCTAATGTCGCAGTCTGGCAATCGCTGAGCGCAACGTCTATGTGCTGTCCTCTTCCCGTCTTGGCTCTTGCAAGTAGAGCAGCCATAATAGAATTACTCGTGTACAGTCCCGTAGTCAGGTCTGTGACCGCAACTCCTACCTTTACAGGCGGGCCATCCCGGCTTCCTGTGATGTGCATCAAGCCGAACTCTGCCTCAACCATTACATCATACCCGGCGCGACTAGAGTAAGGACCAGTCTGGCCATATCCTGTGATACTTGCATAGATCAAGCCGGGATTAATCTCGCGCAGACTGGCATAGTCCATCTTGTACTTGGCAAGGCTGCCAGGCAGGTAGTTTTCAACCAAGATGTCACATTTTGCGGCCAACCGGTGTAGGATCTGAACTCCTTCGGGATGTTGGAATGAGAGACCCAGTGACTTCTTGTTCCGATTGACCGCCAAGAAATATGCTGACTCACCCGGCCCCGAAAGAATGGAGTCAGCAGTATAAGATGCATACGGTGGCCCCCAGGCTCGGGTGTCATCTCCCCGCGTCGGGTGCTCAATCTTGATCACTTCTGCCCTTGTAGTGTGTGAGCATGGCGCCTCACGTGTAGCTCCAACAGGAAGTCGACTTACCCAAGATCACCCAGAATTTGTGTGCAGTAAGGCTGCAAGAGTCTATGTCAGCATGTCTTTTTCGAGCCAGTGGCATGTCGCGCCCGCCGCGTTTGAACCCTGAACAAAGGTTCTATTCTCCCCGCCTGAGGTCACTTGGATCCAGAAGTTGTAGTATAGCCACTCACCCCAGCCAAGACCCTTGTCATATCCAACACGCGATAACCGGCCAGTGGAAGATTCGAAACTCCGTCATCGATTGCCATTGAGTAGCAGCGCCGAGGCCTTATTGCGAAAGCTCCATGTCTTGGCAAGTGTCTCAGTATCGCCGACGGGACGGCTCGACATAAGGTGCGAGATTGCATCTTTATGCACTTATCTTTGTCCTGTCAGCTCGTCTTTGTGCGCGTGATGTCTAGCTCCGAAGCTTGCGTGACGTCAAGCAAGCCACCGGATGTCCGGGTGGGTGGTTTGTCTGAGGTCTCGTCCGTAGTGACAGCGGCGGTCAGTAAGACTTTGTCGCAATGCCTGGGATACTGAGAAGTTTTGTAGGCTTGCAGTGGTATGTCAGGGCGAGAGACATCATGACCGCTCCCCCCTGCTGGCATGGGTTCCTTGGAGATGCGGGCCATTGTTCTGGTGATGGGTCACTGTGGAGGGGCGGCTCCACAACGGCATAGCGCTTTGCCGAGGCTGAGACGTGTGGGATCAGGAAACAACATCATCAACAACGGCATTACATGTCGTCGCGAGATGCTGATGCTTCAGTCACCAAGAATTAGCATATATCAGGATACCAGAAGCAATTGATGGTTATGGGCTAGAAAGGGGTGGTTTCTGCCTCCACAGGCGTGCTCATACCAATTACAGCTGTCGGGAAGGTATATCCATTCGGACTCAAACGCAACTTGAAGCTACATTGGCCCTTGAACCCTCAGCTCTGTTATGTCGTAGAAAGTAGTGTGACCCATAGAGTCAGGCCATTGAGTTTCGACCTGCTTGATCTCCTCATAAGCTCCTATGATAACCTGGTACTCCTCATCTGTCAGCTCCACACAAAGACTACCCAGATTCTCTCGTAGTCTTCCAATTTCGTGTTCTTAAAATCGGAGTAACAACACCGCCGCCGGTCTATCATCGCAGTCAGGAAGGCACCACTCGAGCTTACGTTACTTAATCCCCAAAGCGCGACTATGCCTATATTATAAGAGGATTAATATACTCTACATATTGAAGTAGTGAGTGTTGGCTGTACTATTATAGCAAGGGGGCTAAGTGGGTCGTACGACCTTCGTCGGAGTTGTTCTCGGCCTGATCACTATAAGGTCTAAGGGATGGAACTTGCAGATAGTCTCTTGGGGCACGCTTTTTACCCCTCTGCACAGTTAAGTCGTTGGTTTTTGCAGCAGTGCATTCGGAAGACAACGAGAATGGCTCGTTGTCGCTAATTAATACTATTTCGGTCACCAAGTTCATTCTTTCCATTCATTTCTCAGTGATCAGCCCGCGAGTGAACCAGCGAGTTCGTCGTGAGGCTTATAACCAAGGGGACAAGACAGTGGTCCTGGTTCAATATCCCATATTCTTATTGAACTTTTTCTCTTAAAATACTAGTCAAGTTAATCAAAAATATCAATCAAGAAGTCTTCTCAGTTCAAGTTTAAATACTCTTATTCTTTTATAAGATATGAAAAAAACTAGAAATTACACGGGTTAGGGCCGGGTCTGTAAGGCGTCTCAATTATTATAAAAGTAAAAAGAATTCATTGAATATAACATTTATTAAAACAAGATTCGAGTTTTTTCTATAAAAAAATTGTACAGTAAAATAAAGACAAGTATTTTTGTAAAAGAATTATGAAAAAGTGATAATTATAATGAACGGAGAGAGTGCTTATTAAATAATAATTACTTCCGCATTTTTTATCTTTTTAATAACAGGAAGTATATTACAAGGAGGTGTGATACTACAACTCTAATAGAGCGGTGGTTAGGTTTCGGACTCGTAATGGTGCCCGTAAGTAAAATTATATTTCTCAACCGGAGTCTTTCCATCGATTCGGTGACAACTGGAACATGTCGATATACTCAGTGTTCAATTTTCGGAGACTTTACTTCAGAGCCTCCAGAACATAGTTTGGGTCGTTTTTTACTATGATGTTCTCAGGTCATCTACTCAGCTCAACCGCGAACTTTGTTACCGTGGAAATATCCTTATGTTTCTCAGGATTGCGCTTGAGCTACTATCCGATGACCTCTTAAGAATCAAAATATATGTCTGCCGTGTCCCAGTGTCGACTGCCGAAAGTATTTAGGCCGTCGAGATATTTGTGACATGTTTCTGTATCTCTTGCATCGCCATGCGCGTGACCGAGGAACATCACACCCCGTGCCAACCGCTTCGACTAAATGACCATCGCCGCCAAACGTAATCATTGGGATAGAAGTCGTGATTGAAGTTGATAACGCTGTGAGTGTGGATTGCAGTCCAATCACACTGAGCCTCGCATTCATGCGTTGTGATGTTGCAATCAGCAAAGAATTCCAGTCTCTGTAGCTCGTACTCCCTATCGACCTTGGCTCTCGATGTTGAGTGACCATCATCTTTGTATTCCCAACCATGACTACACTCCTTCGAGAACATGTTTTTATCGTAGTGTGTTCGAGCTTTCCTCGGCTACTGTAGAAGACCTGCCTCTATGGTCACGCCGCTTTGGGGTGTTCATATCTGTTGGAATACTCGTCCTCCATTGCCAAGTGTGCTCTATCAAATTCTAATAACTTGATCCAAACTCTTACAAGATAAGGTATAACCAGGGAAGAAAGTGTCTTGAGTACCTGCTTGGTACATCAAGGTATGTAAGTCAGTGGAGAGTATTCATACTGAAAAGTGACCGAAGAGTGAGCGTGGGTTGACCCCGGACACATTTTCTCGGCTGGTAGTAGCTTACAGAGTAGGTTAGTGATCTGTCGCGTTTTCGGCAGCTACGAACACGCTAGAGTCAACACTAAACAACTATCATGCAAAGTTCGAAACTTCCACAAAGATTATCCCGTTAACTCCGCATTGCGGGTATGCGAAAATGTCCGTTCATTATCGTTGAATGTACTGTCAGGAGTGCCTTCATTAGAGTTTCGGGAATAGTGGCTATATATCCGCACCCACGTCCTGCGGATTCTCTTTGGCATCCTCCATGATCACTACGTCAGTGGCATAAGAGCTTCTTGAAGTAGACTTTCGGAGTCAATGGATGATCGTTGCCTGTCGATTGCGACGGTTTACAGCTGAATCTGTTGCATTTTCGTTTTAGGCTTAGCGGTTACTACAACTACAGGTAGTGTGTTTGCCAAAGTGCTGCTATAACCCCATAATAATTTCCGGTTTTCTAACTCTTTTAACTTGTTATTAACCGAATTCATGAAACCTAGTTAATCGTTCTATCAAAAAGAACAACCTGATAAACCTCATTCAAAGGTGAACTAACCAGGTACAAAAATGAGATTGTCAAGTACAAGCCCCACTCGCTAAGCGTGGCTTTCCGTAAGGACATATAAAGTAACGCTAGTTATATATGCTAAGTACAGCACTATATGCGCTGGAAATATAGCGCTAGGTGTACTGGAAATACAGCACTACGTGCGCTGAGAATATAGCGCTAGGTACGTTAGAAATATAACGCTTAATATCCTAGAAATTGAGTCGATATATGTCGAACATATGTCTAGTATATAATATATATAAGTTGTGTCATTTTGCATCTTTATAGAACTTTTGCGAAGCCGCGCTTAACGAGTAACCCTTGTACTTGACCACCTTATTTTTGTACCTGGTTAGTTCACCTTTGAGTGAGGTTTATCAGGTTGTTCTTTTCGATATAACGATTAATTATGTTTTATAAACTAGGTTAGTAATAGTTAGAAAACCGAAAATTATTACTGGGTCGCTGTAAACTTTGCAAGTAGGTAGGGTAGGTCTAACAAGGCACTAAACCCAAAAAGCGAAAATGCAACAGTTACAGTTGTGAACCGTCGTAGTCGATAGCATCGAATGTTCTTGTAGCAACACTGTATCCACTGATCTCACTGCGCCGTTAACTACCTTAACACTTGGGTAGTTGTTACGATTGTGTCCGATCAATTCGAGGACATGTTTATATAGCCAACTGCTTCCATGTTACCTTGATATCCTTCGAGTTTGTATCTTAAGACTGAATTTCAGGACTTTGCTGCCGGTGACACGTAAACCCATCTTCTCTCTCCATGATGTTAAAGGTTCACTTTTAAAGAGAGCTTACGAAGCAATTTCGCCTAGAACTAGCGCAATCCTTCCAAGCAAGCACAGCCATACGGAATTGAGGGCCGTTCGCACGAACGCAGGTAAGCTCGTATTCTTAAGACAATCACACGGCGGCATCCGGCAACGATATATAGTCTTCTGTCTGTTCAGCTCGATACACTGGTCGTGTGCAGTCTTAATTGCAGCTCCGAGCTATTTGCAAGATGGTTCATTTAAATTCAATTTTCGTCCACAGCGTTATCGCTGTAGCAGCCACGGCTTATAAACTGCCGTAAGCTAGCTCCAAAATCATATATTACCCTTTTAGGCATGTTTATGAAACCTACATTGCCTATCTGCACCAATTGAGCCCTAGTAATTGTTTCGCAAAGCTCTCAAACACTCCACAGCTTATCATAAAGAAGTACTGGCTGACTCCAAGTGCTGTAGTGAACTTTCGGGTCCATATGCCGTGGGAACGGAGACCCTCGATCTGACAGATTACTCACGCCTCGACCCGCTTGCACCTAGTACACCGCAGCTTCGAGAGCTCATGGTGACAATTTTCTATCCCACCTCTAATGACACACTCCAAAACGGCAATCACACTTTTGCGCCCGATTTCACGCCCACGGCAGCGACGTACGTGGACGCCTATTTCGGTCTCCCAAGCGGAACCGCGGCTGAGATCGAAACACGATCCATCCCTCATGCGCCCATCTTGAACAAGAAATTCCCCATCCTACTCTTTGGGCACGGCTTCGGCGGTACACGTGTCATTTACACTGCCCAACTGGAAGATCTTGCGAGCCGCGGATGGATCATTGCTTCTATAGACCATACGTATGATGCCAGCTATGTCGAGTTCTCAGACGGCCGTGTGGTGCCCACGCCATACACGAATTCGAGCCAGCTTCCTGGCGGCGTCGAGGGCGCAGTTAAAGTAAGAGTGGATGATCTCAACTTCGTTGCGGATGCACTCCGCAATGTCACAGTCTTGTCGAGAATCCCAGGGCTCAACTCATCTAGCTGCCGACCACAGCTCCACACCGATCAGATCGGCGTCTTTGGTCACTCGTTGGGAGGAAATGCAGCAGCGACGGCAATGGCCAATAACACCAGGTTCCGGTGCGGCGCCAACTTCGACGGGACCATATTTGGGTCTGTCGCCCAGACCGGCTTGGATCGACCTTTTCTCCAGATGGCTGCGCAAGACCACAATCAGACAAACGATGCATCGTGGGCCGAGTTCTGGGACAACCTGAGAGGATTTCGTCGTGAATACACCGTCAAGAACACGGTACATCTGTCTTTCACAGACAGTCCGATCATTCGGGACTCGGTCGGCGATGCGTTTCCTGCCGGCCAAGATGCCATCTATGGGTCGATCTCCGGGGATAGAGTACTGCGGATCGAAACTGCATATATTGATGCATTCTTCGGGTATTGCTTGAAAAATAAGCCAGCAGCAGATCTCGATGCCCTATCCGGGATTCAATTTCCGGAAGTCTCAGTGGGTCATTGACATCGTCATGACAAGTTTACTAAGGTTACAATTTCATATTCAAGAAAAGTAGAAATCAAGTGTGACACTTACGGTCAGAGACCCATTTAGTGATATTGTAATACATTCAGTATATCTAATTCAGGTTGTTATCATATGTTGTTCACGGTAGTGCAGAGGAAGTGTATACACTCCCAGGTATAAATCTTGATATGTTGGCAAGTTGAATACTAATCTGATGAGAGGTAAGAAATTAAGCCGAATTTATCCCTATTTCCCATTCGGGCATACTAGCTGGCGTCCCAGCACGAGCCAGTTCGTTTCTCAAAAACAAAAGCCTCCGATTCGATCTTATGCACTTAAGCGGTAAAGTCGATCGGAAGAGTTGCACCACCTGACCTGGTGATCAAGTTGGGAATTATTTCACTCAGGCATACAAGGGCTACTGATTTGTCGATACTCGCAGTCGATGGGATACTTCCCAAAGCGGTAGTCAAGGACTGTCCAATTATCAGTACGGTTCACCATGCAAGATTTGGACAAGGCGAACTCACACTGACGACAGATGCTAATATAACGTTAAACAGGGGAACAAACAAGCTGGAGGGGAATGGTAGACTTGGAAGCTGTGCCTCGATGCTCTTGATTTGAGGGCAGATGGTACTGGCAATCTGGTCCACAAAGGCCTGACCACCATCAGGAAGGCTGGGTACACCGCTAATCCCGCCCTGTAACGCTGCAACATCTCTTGTGAGAGCTGCGATAGCTTTTCGAATCGCCTGTCGCGATGCCATTAGCTCTGTGTCTCTTCGCCTGAATACGTGCACTTACGTCAACAGCTACGGCGGAGTCGCCTGGCGTGCTAAGCAGTGTCCTGATAAAAGCCAAGATATCCGCAGCCAAGGCCGAAAATCCTGCCGGAAGGGATGGGACAGGGACTGGAAGAATGGTCGGGGTAGGAATAATACCCGTTGGAAAGGGGGTTGATGGAAGCTGAGGAAGCTGAGCAAATACGACAGAGCCGCAAGCAAGAGTTGACAGGACAGTTGAAAAATGCATCTTGGGAGATGCAAGGTGTTTTTGACTGGGACTGAGAGAGTCCTATGATGGGGAATCGCTTTATACTTTACGGTTGAGAGTAAGCAAGAGTAAACACTTGCTGTTTGTGATGTTGAAAAAGTTTAACCATATGTGAGATGCGTGTGGTATTTATATCTAGCTGATGGCTTGTTGCTCTGCTGAAAAGGTCGACCATCAAGTTAAAGTTCCGTTTCAAGAGAATCATATTTATATAGGTCATTTCTTTCTGTCAACGGTTTCCTAAAGAAACCTCGAACATCAAGATTCTAACACAGACTTTGAACTTAACCCCACCGATTACAGTAGTGGCTGTTGAGACGGGAGCCAAATGCTAATCTTGCATTTTGACTCTACACATCCTAATTGCAGCCAATAAAAGAGTCATGAGACATGGCATATGAGCCTTGTCGTGCTACCGTCTTACCACTTTAGTGAAGCCGGCCCGCTGAAGCACTGCACGTGACGCAGGACTCAGGGGTATCGAGCGGAAATTTCATAACGGTTATTGCTTAGAGTATTGAACGTGCAAGTGTAGCTTATGCAAAAGCACATAATATTCTGTAAGGTTTACTGGACTGACCGTATTTTATGGTCATGACACGATCCCGTGGTTAGTCGCCGTTGAAATGCATTGCGCCTTGAAGATTTGACACCGCAGCATCTGTGGTTTCTAAGTCTAAGGAAGCAACCATAGGCATCTTCAACCGCAGCTAATGGTTATTTACAAATGCTTTGTACCAGGATCTTATCACACGTAAAGAGCGTAACTTGACAGCTCAGGTTTCTAGTCTGTGCGACGCGGAGCAAATAGCTATCAGACTGACGTCGTTATAACTAACATTTATGTTCCCATTCAGCGTCAGCCAGCTTGCTTCTGGTCATAACTTTCTTTTTCTCTTGAACACTGTTTTCACTGGAAAGATGACAATCGTTTTCTCTGGACGGACATGACGGCACTACCCGTGCCGCATGTCTCAGCCCCCTGTGTGTGAGTCTCTATGTGGATATCATTCGTTGTCACAGGCTGCCCTTTTGAGAGGTGTTCCGGAACACCGACTGCATCGTCATCGAGATTGACCCCCTGAGCGGTGCTTAAGCCATTTTGCAATAACAATATCCTGGTCTGCCGTGGACAAGACATTCCTCGTCGAAGCAGCTTAGCCTCGAAAGCAAAGGGCTAGGAGCCTGTCACTACGATGACTACTATTCGGGAGAGGTTTGAGTGATAGATATAAACTCTCGGGCTCGGTTTCCTCGGCCGACGGGAGGTCAAGCCAACTTCGTACCGTACTTTCGGAAGCAAGCAAGAACAATTACTGCCTGTGCAAATGTTTTGTAAGGGGAAATCTACAAGATTCACTGCTTTGCAGTCCTTTCGCGTGTTTGCAATACCTAGCGTGGTCGTCTTGACTTTGGCATGGGACGTATTAATCATGGCTCTCATGTGTACAATGGGACAGATTCATATCAAGCTTGCAATAGGCAGCAAAACTGTTTGTCATAAACATTGGTGAATTTCTGACCTGCCGCCCGAATGTCTTGAGCCACCAAAGACACGTGTGCGATTCATCCGAGAACTTGATATTTGTTTTGAAAATTTATTTATTATTAGTGTGGTTTTCATTACTACTATTACCATTTCTTTCGTTGGTATTTGTTTCAATCGAAGACGAACTAGCCGAAATGTGATTTGCGGTCGTTTCTTTTAGCAAGGTTACCGTTTGACCTCATGAGCATCGTCCCTCGATAACGAAACCTCTACGGTTCTCGTGATGCCGGTTAACTCGATAGGATCCATGCCTGGTTGTGTTTGTAGATAATCGAATGGCGCGGTGGACTTCTTCGGACCAGCGGCGGTTGCTGTGGTTGTTCCATCGCCTGGTCGCAGGTTGGACGTCGAATGTTCGTCGGTCTTCATGTAACCACGAGAAGGGGCCCAAGGCAAACTTTGGCTCAACTGGTATGTCTGTGATAGCCCAAGCTTCCCCATAATAAAATGTAGCACGGGCCTCAAAGTTGCTATAGAAGTTGCGATAATCCCAACACCTGGCTCGACGGTGCTCCAAATTGCGAAGTTTGTTGTGGCCCCTGAAGAAAGAAGTGTTAATGAACCTATCGCATCCAGCAATGCAGGGCGCAACTCACACAGGAAGTCCTGTCCGTTAAGCATGTCAGGAATATAGAACAGGCGGACTATCGTTGCGGTGCTTCCACTATGATATTGATCAGTCTCGCTAGTCGGTGACGCAAGTCGCGGGCTGATGACTCACATAGCAGCAAAACCAAGGATACACATGACGATGATCCTCGACCTTTTCTTCATGTTCAGGGACCACACTATGAACATTGGCAATATGCCAAAGGCCCAATCTGCGAGGCAGTTCATGACTGATGCAACATATGTAGTGATCGCAACAGGGTTATTCTCCAAGCACTTTCCCGCAGTGCCGGGTGCCTCTTCCCAGAACGTGCTTATAGGTCTGCATTGGAACAAAACAACAAACAAATATGCCGTTCCCAACACAACACTCGCAACCATAAGGATACGGAGGAACCAGATGTGATATTTCACAACGGATAGGCGAATCAAGAAGATGCCGACGGTGACCTTGAGGAACGTGGCGGTAAGGACGTAAAATACTTCACAAATAAACCAGAACTGTGACCGTGTTAACAGGTAACTCATTTGCACGCTAGTCTAGTTGGCACCTACTTTTAGAGCACTGGTGTTGTTCTCCGGGGTAAGATCCGTCCTGTGCCTACCGGTACCATGATACCATCCCCCAAGCTGGGCGGAGAGATAAACGGTAAAGAGTGCCTACAATTGAAATCAATTAGAACGTTGATCATTCCCTGCTGAAATGTGGCGACATACCTGTGTTAAAATCAACAACGCGTCGTCCCGGCCGAATGAGTTGGTCACGACAGTTCGTACGTAGATGCGAAGCGGGACCATGATCCATGTTAGAACAAGGAAGGTCACCGCAACAGCGAGCACGCTTGCGCTTCGATCATCGTCACTCATGGCGTTGAGGTGAAATGGTTATTAGCCGACATCACATTCGACAACTCAGAAAAAGGACGAGCGAAGAGATGTTTTTAGTGGGTAGACCGATTGCCTTTAACTAAGAATCATTCCGAGTCATGGCTCCATTGCCCCCTATAAGATCTACACTGGTGTTGGATTTCCACCTAAGTCCAGCGGGTTAGGTCAAAGCACTCTTCCGGCTGTGCAGTTCCGCGGACAAGCGGGACCTTCTGATACTGTCACTGTCGGGACGTCGGCGCTTGGCCTGTGAGTCTAGTCTAGCGCACTGCCACCCGAGTATAAGATTGAACAGCACGACCCTTAACACACTGCCTCGAATCACCCGCTATTCGGACGGGCCTATGGAGGAGAGGAAGAAGAAGAAGAAGAAGTAAAAGAAAAAAGAGGATACAGAAGTACGATTAGGAGATGATTCTTCGGCTTGGTCCCAAGAGTTTTCCTTACCTATTTGGAAAGATAAGGTTCACGAAATGCGATAGTGGGTTGTAGTCTGATACGCCGCTAAAACACCAAGTGGGGATATCTCGGAGCTACTACTATAGTGCTGTCTGCAGTAGCGCTTAGTGGGAGCCCCGGAACCTTGCTCACCTGTCGGCTCGAACAAGAGATCGGACGCGTCCATTGCATCTGATGTGATGCATTGGGACGCTACGACTCATGAGCATTTGGTCTAGCTCTCCGGCCAAGCAGATGAATGCGCTGTCGACACTGCCGAAGACTGCCGGTGAACTGCCGCAAAGTTCAACCTCCTGCAACTGTCAGCCCTATCCTTACGACCCTAAATTGAAAGAAGATCACAATCTTTACCTCCCAAACCGGCCGGTACCTCTTCGCAGCTTTGCCGGCTGGTCAGGCTTCGTGAGGCCGTCCTCCTATGTGCAAGGCCATAACTCCCGTTGGTGTGTCTTGGTTTCGACGTTTGCTCTGTAGTTGATTCAGATATTTACATTCCATCTATCCCTTCACATGTTTGTCTGATATTGCACTGTATAGCTAAGAAGGCATCTCGACCGTTATTCCAGGTGCCTGATGATAGGACGCTGATATATGTGAGAAGACTATCCAGGGCAACAAAATAGCAAATTTTTAGTATTTCTTTGCATCTAGACTAGGATTCCCTTGACCTACTTGTAGACGGCCTAGTCTAATAACGTGGTTTAATTTGTTTTCCCCGGGCAAGCCAAGCCTACATAGCACTAGCACCTACCGCAATGCGGGACATTGCCAGATTGCTGTGTACTATGGTAGTAGTCATTACTACTACTTGGTATGTAAATGTTGCTCTAGTCCAGCTTGGGTTCGTCGGAACCTGCCGATCTTTCTCTACAAGTACAAGCAACCGTTTTTTCATATGTTGGCTCCACATCTAATTGCCAGGATGTATTCAGCTGCGACGAACTATTTGCACCCTTACCAATGCTTACGTTACATATCTTCGTCAACCCACTCATCGACCCCCTTCCCCTTTGCCAGAGCGGAGGTTGTCAAGACCCATTGCTGCAATACATAGGACACTAGATACGCAAAGCGGAAATAAAGCCAGTATTCTGCCCTTTCAACTCTTCCTAGAGTTCGAAACTTATTGACACATCTTCTGGCATATCGACGGGTCATAGTCTCTGTGCTATAATTCTTCGAGGACCCATAAATTCATGGCAGTGTAGTCATTTCTGGTTTCAGTTCACCTTTGCGAACACTATGCCAAACAGGGGCAAGCAAACAATTTTGTATTAGGAAGAACCTGATGACTACCTACCCAATTCGTATAAAATACTCAGTCGATCAAATCAAGGGGTGTAGCCAGCTCGACACAACTTCCGTGGGCTCAACAGAAACGAGCCAAGAGCAATACGGCAAAGCTCAACAGAAACAATAATATTCAGAGACTGTCTTCACAAGGCAGCATATTTCGTCCCGGCGTAGTGACGGTGTTCTAATCCTTCTTCACAACTTCAGGTGGGAGGACCAGTTCCCTCGCGCAGGAGACAGCTTTATAGCGTGAACAATATTCTCGTAGCCTGAAGCGATGCTCTGGAGACGAGCCTGGGGCACCCAGCAACAGAACCAAAGGATGGGATCGATACATTTCCAACGTGGTGTGAACGGCTAACAACTATGCTAACCTAACCTGAAACTACGTCACGTAGTAGTAGTCACTTGGGGAAGGCGGCCGATACATTACACAACGAAGACCTCGTAACACAAGGCATAGTAAACAGCACACAGTAATCTGTCAATTAATAGTGCCGGCCACCAGTCAGCAGAGTCATGAGCAAGATTACTAGCATCATTCATGCCTTATCAAATGAATGAAACTGGAGAGATTGCGAAACCCCTCCCCCTTTTCATGGATTGCAGGGACCTGAATACTCTCGTAGAAGACTTTTTAGGTAGACAAGTAAGTCTCACCCGTCCGTCTTTTGCAAATTCTTTATATTACAGCTGGCACATTCGAACCCTTTCCGCCCACGGCCTCTCGAGGAACAAACAGAAGATAAATGATGATCGAACCGTTCTATAACTACGAAAATTCTAGAGAATTCTAGTTAGCATGTGGATCTCGTTTGCCCAGTGTCCTATTCCGCCCGTGATTAACAACCTTCTCGAGTGGTAAGATAACAAACCACTTACAGAGATAAACAAATGAATCTGGACATTTCACATTTTGGTCACACTTGTATGACTGGATTGATTTTGCTCGCAGCTAATAAAGGTAAGATACGTCCTTCTGATAGACTTTCAAGCTATTTCGTGGGCATCGCACGATTCATCACGGCTTATACCTGAATCTTCGCGTTGCGTGCAAAGACAGACCACCTGTGTAACATAATGATATTATTGACTGGGAGACAAATATGCAATAATAACTTATTTACAGCGCTTAGTACTATGCGAGCTGTGACTAAGTTATCATAGTCAATAACGCCAGACGTATCTCTACTGTGTCCCGGTAGTCTCGCCACACGACGACTTCTGGGATGTAGAAACGCATTTTTACTCATCTGAAACACTAGTATGCCGTTTCCCGCTTGGTCCAAGTAGTGGAAGGAGATAGATTGACGTCGCCGCGTCCTGTTGCAATCGCCTCACCAGCAACAAGCTCGATATTTTCCAGCTTGCCGCCTTCCCCATTCAGTCCCCACATGCTGACAGTAAGCCAATTCTGTCCATGATAGTCCCAAATGCCCTCAGGGACAGGGAAGACCTTCTGTGGACCAATGTTCGACACGTACTTGCCATATTGCCACCCGTTCACGTACAGTTGAACGCGAACAGCCGAAGTCGAATTTCCATTTGACAGACGAATAGATAATGGGATGTCGTAGTCTTTTGGAATGTCCAAACTGAAAGAGGTCGTGAAGAACCCGACCCCAGCGGCTTTTATTCCATCGACTGGACTGAGCCCTTTTTGCCACGCATCAACCGGAGGATTTGGAAGATGGTAGCCTTGTCTCTCTGCCCACAATCCTCCTTCGTTTAAAGGGCCCCTTGCATGATCAGCATAGTCCTCTCCACCTAGATTGCCCGTGAGCTTCCATTTAACATCACTTTGAGAGTGCCCAGCCAGATCATAGTCGAGGAGACCACGTGGCGCTTTCATAGTATTACTACCAACTGTCCATTCTTCGTCAAGGCCCAAGTTGTCAACCACAACCGTGAAGACATGCGTTTCATTAGGTCTCAGTTGTGGTAAAGAAAATGTCGCATTAGATGATGCCGCGGATTTGCTGCCGTTCGTGCTTCCGAGAAAGAAACTGTCAATAAATGCAGAAGAACCATAAGCGGTTCCGCCTTGGGTTAGAAAGCGGACCGTAGTCTCATTGCCCGTGGCTATGAAATTGCCGCGGTAGAGCACGACCCCCGCGTGATAGCCATAGTCGCTAGCGTAAAGACTGGTCGGCGTGGTAAGCGGGCGATTGGTGTTGTTAGTTGATGGAAGCGTTGCCGATGCCCAAAGACTATCATTGTAGCTTCCGCGAGTCTCAGGAAGGGAGTCAATATAGTACCACTCTAAGTCTTTGAGGGCAGGAAGGTTGAGTTGTGGCGATGTATATGCGAGGTGAGCTGATATGGTGCCATTCGAGTGCTTGGCAAAATCTACCGGAGCTCCATTGAAAGATAAGCCAGTTAAACGTGTAGGTGCGCCACCAAATATGGTTAGAGAAGTGGTGGCGTTGAGATCTCCTTGAATTTCGAGTTGTCCTTGATTTATCGATGCCCTACGGACAAGATATCCAGCTTTGACAATCAAGTTTGATTTCTCTGTTTTTGTATACAGATCGCCTTCAGGTCCGGGGATGGGTACTACCCAGAAATTGTATGCTGAATTGCGGTCTAAAAGTTTCAGTCAGACAAACTTTCGGACAGCATGAATAAAACCAACATACCGACAGCATAGATTCGTAGATCACCGACCTGGACATATTGATCTGTTGATGTGGTTTTCCAGTTCACAATCACTGATGTTGATGTAACCTGAATCCGTAATGCCGCTGAAGAAGAGATCACCGGTCCGCTTGCGGCATTTCGTGTAACGGCTAACTCATGTTGTTCACCAGGGCCACCGTAAACCACAAGCACAGCACCGCCGTCATACTTCTGCCTGCATGCTATCGTCAGCATGTTAGGTTTATAATACGAACAATTTTTCTACCATGTGAAGATCTCGGCCGTCGAGTATAATAACTTCGTTCCGCCAAGATCATAATCCGAAACGTGAATCTTGGAGTCCCGTCCATTAAGAGAAAGACTACCGTCGAGTTGAGGAACTGTGATGTTGCCAAGGCTAGCGCTATTGAGCGTTAACTTGTACGTTGTCGTACTGGTTGAATTAAATACGTTGTGCCTAATTAAGGCAACATCATGTCAGATTCATTGACTCAGCCTTTAGACAAGCGATGGGTATTTACCGAATAACATAAAACTGGGTCTGATTGCTCTTCAGCGGCGTAACGTAGAGGTCAGAAGAAGTGGTATATAGCGTAGTGCTCGGCGTATCTGGGACTGCGGTCAAGTAATCTGTAGATGCGACGATGAAGTTGGCTTGCAATTTTAGTTCACTGTATTTCTCCCGAGTGATACTTCCGTCTTCAGCGATTGCAGCACCATAATCGTACGAGGTGTATCCACCAGGGTGCCCGAGGTTGCCCCAGTTGGTACCTCCAAATACCATGTAGAGGTTGTAGATGGAAACGCCAAAACCGTAGTTGTTCTTGTAGTATACCCTCTCAAATTCTGTATTCACAAGTGAAAGGCACTTGTCGAAACCTACACCGCCCCATGGGTCGAAAGCACCTCCTTGGAACTCAATGATGGAATATGGGGTCGTTGGACTTTGTTGCAGATGCAGTGTGCGCCAATTCGTGCTAAGTCCTTTCCAAGCTTCAGGATTGCTGCAGTCAAAGCCAACAGGATAACCATCATGACCATAAATATCTACTGGTGCCGGTTGACTAGGTGCATTGTATCCGTGCGGGGAAGCATCATTGCTGATCAACGGAACAACAATCCCATTTTTGCGGAATTGGTTTTCAACGTAGCTCATATATGCTGCATTGGGAAAAGATACGCCAGAAATAGCTTGGCTATATTCGTTCTCGGGCTGAACAAGAATTATCGGGCCTCCATTTGTGATCTGTGCTCCGGCTATGGTCTGAATGACCGAGGTCATATAACTGTCATCTGTGAGCCACAACACCCAATAGGCTCTCAAGCGAACAAACTCACTTCTCCGTTGCCGCAAGATAATCGCTCGCATTAGTTCGGAGGGTGCCTTCAATTCGCTGAAGCCACCCAGGAAATCCTCCACCAGAAACCTCAGCATTTATGTATGGACCAGGACGCTATAGTTTGGAGTTAGAGTGGCCCGAAAAAGAATCTAACATGACTTACCGCCAAGAGATATAGCCCTGCGGCCTTGGCAGCTTCAAAGAATGGTTCAAGGGCAAAGACACCTTCTGCTGAGTAGTTGCCTGGTTTACCTTCTAATAACGCCCAATCGACGTAGAAGGAAACACCCGTGAAGCCTGCAGAGCGTATCTTTTGGAATATGTCAAGCCATAAGCTCGGTACTGGAAGTCTATAGTCGAGTAGAGCTGCGTGAGTAAAGAATATTATGAGTTGCCTTATTGAGAAACCAACCTGAATGGATGAAATTCTCCGCTGAAGAAGACCACTCTCTCGCCACGGATGAAGATGGAGTGCTCATCCCAGGTAACCTGAGTTTCCGATTAAACAAATTTCAGAGTGCTTTGACAGGAAGGCGTTCTTACAATGTCCTGCAGAGGTGAGCTTCTGTAAGGAGTGATTTTAAATTCTGCCTGAGTACCACTGGCAAAGGCATCAAATGAATCAAGACAGCTCAGGAAAAGAGCGAGAACAAAGATGATACCACTGAGGAGAGGCATATTGACGCATGAGCACTGCGTATAACATAAGGTGGAATCAACACTTGGAGGGCGGTTGACGGTATTCCGGCTAAAGCTAACTTCGAAACACTCGACCACTAAGAATGTTCCGACTGTTGACTCGAAGGTGTGATTTCAACAACAATTATTGATTCTAGCATAAGTTGATGTAGTACTGTCGACAACAAAAGATAGAGCTTGCTGTAGGAGACTGTAGTTGTATTTGTCACCGCAAGTGTACCAGGTTGTCAATGATAGCTTAGAGCAGGTTGTCTTCGCGTCAAAGGCATCCGAATTCATGGCCATGACGACTAATGTGTGACACCATGCATCTTCGTCATTTTAAAGCCCTGCTGCAAGAGCAGGGTATGCACTTGCCTGGCGAAGTCTTCTTTTGTGGGCCGACGCGATATTCCGACTGGTGCGTGTAGCAGCTGCAATACCTGAACCCGCAGAGTGGCGGTAGTTCCTGTCCTCTAATTGCATCAGCGGTGCTAGATCTGCAATCTCGATAATGTCTATGGGGAGTATCCTGCAAAGCATTTTAAGGAAACTCTGACGTGGGATGACTTGCTGTCTTTGCTACTTACTGTCGTGTGAAAGATGATAATACTTCCGTACCGCCTTTGCAAACACCTCCGCTAAGAAACCACCTTTGGTGCAACCATACTTCCACGCTAAGCCGACTGACGAAATGCCAGCTCTCTAAGATTAGGGAAGGAACGGATAATTTAACGCACGCTTAAATGATTCCATGGCAACGCCATCTCCATATCCATATTGGTCATCATATTTGCTTCTAAATGATGGAAATTCTCCTCCCGCATGCAAGGAAGGCAATTAATGCAAGAACCGGTCCGCACCGGCCCGGATTCCGGGCAAAGACGAGGTGCGCTGCATTGTGTCGCCTCGGAGTAAGTAGGTTTATACTGTAGCACCCAGCACTATAGCGCGCAGGAAAGGCGGGGCTAAGGTTAGTGTACTCCCTAAGTGCGGGGAAAGCATGTGCAGGGTATGGCCGTTGGACCGCCTCTAATAAATAAAGTAGAGAGACAGGCGACAGACTATCAATAATGAACGATGACTGACGGCATCTTCCAACTATTGATGGTTTACGAACGAAAATCTGCCTGGCCCGCGCAAGCCGGCGTGTCAACACGAGCCCTTTCAGAATATGCCGATCCAGCATTTAGTCTAACCTAGGCTGGTGTTCTCGGGTGGATAAGTGGATTCACATGGCACGCACGACTTCGTCACCGCGGCTCGTTGATCGCAAGTCCCTCATCTGAGCCCAAGCCTCATCGATGCCTTTTGCAAATCAAAAGATTACTTTTGGCATACACCCATTCAATCGACAGTCGTCATCAGCACGTTAGAACAGATTGTAGATTCCTATAGAGATGACATCGTGCCCGGATGGCGTTTAACATTCATCTTGAACCGTGATGACTTCTGACGACCCAAGGGTCGTATTCGTCCCATAAGCATCCACGCGTACGTATGATGCGACCGATGCAAGTACAGCAGATGTCTCAAATCCAGTCCTGGCGACCTCAGTGGCTACGCTCAGGGCCGATTCGGACGCCCCGGAGTACACCTTCCACGACGTGTACTCGGTCGCACCGTTCCAGCTCATGTAAACCTCGGTCTGGTTGCCAGTCCGTCCCCTGCAGGCAACGACTTTTGGCAGAGTGTTAGGTCGGCCAACCCAAGGAAGACGGTAGGCGCGATAGGAGAAGATTTTGCCATTGCCGGGTCCGAACTTGGCCGACATGGCCACAGAACCGTTGGAGTAGTACTCCTTGATCCTGGGCGTCGAGCCGTAGCCCATGATCGAGTGCCCGTCGTCAAGGACCTGGAGGTTTCCTTGCGAGGCAGCGTAGATTGTGTCATTTGGGTCAGTGAGCTCTTGCACGAGAGTTGCGGTCCATTCCTCGGTATCTAGACGTAGGAAGAGGCCAGTCGTCTGATTGACACCATAGTTGTCGGCGTTGTTGTCGTTGTTGAACAAGCTGACATCGATGATGCTATCATCCACATTTCGGACTCTGATATCGTGCTGGTAGCAGAAGCTGATGCCTGAATCCAGGGTGAAGTCGCCACCAGTGCGTCCCTACAACTGTCAGTACATGTGAAAAAGTAGCAAGGGCGAGTTACGTACGTTCAATGTCCATGCGACCGACCCATCAGGGTTGACCATGAAGATGGAGCAATATTGTCGAGAAGAAATCAGGTAAGAACCATCATCCAACTTGTTGACTGTGTTGATGTGAAAAGGGCCCCAGGGGTTAGACTGATTGGTACCGAAATATGATAGCGGGTAGTATGGAACAGCATCAGCGAGAGGAATCTGGTCCTGGTGAGCCAAGGCGCTCCATTCAAAGAGCACTGTGTCGGTTTTGACATCAATCTCATAGAATAGGCAATCAGCGATCCAGCCGTCTTCCTGTCCTCCAACCGAGGTCAAGTTGGCTTGACTGACGTTATAAGCAGTCGTTAACATGGTGCCCTCCAGAGTGATGCGATCCTCGTGCATATCTAGCCATGACTCAAAGCCGCTAGAGTCGGCATCGGCCAAGGTTTGGAGAAGCGAGCCATTGAGAGTGACGTTGTAGATGCTCTGGTAAGTATCGTCCAGGACCTCAATAAGACCATATCCCCATCCGTAAGGCTCTGACCATGTGACACCATTGAAAAAGGTGATGACTGGTTTGCCGTCAAGCGTTTGGGCCTTGAAAGCACTGAAGTCACCATAACCACCTTGCCAAATAAGGTCTCCCTCGTCGGTCATGATGAAAAGACTATAGTTGTGGGCATAGTTGCCATTTTGGTCGAAGAAGAGGTACCCGGGAGAAGTTGTGCCGTACTTGGTGATGTCTAATACTGGTGGCTGTAAGCTTGGTTCTGACTTGAATGACTGCCAAGGCCAGTATGTGTCGTTGTCTCCTTTTACGGGGAGTGCTCCGAAGAGCGAAACCAAGGACGCGACGGCGGGCAGAGAAGAGCGCATTGTTATACACAATTGGAAAAATGATTTGACCTTCACTGTTGGAGAATTTCCTATTGCAACGCAGACACGATCGCACCTTTATCTACTGCAGCTGGCCAGGCAAGACATCCGGCGTCGGGACATGATTGTCAAATTACTTCTGGCGAATCTTACGAACAGCCAAGATTTTACCGTGTGAAGAGTACTAGGTTTGTCAGAGAGCGGTATTATTTACATCGAATATCCAATGAGCCAGCCTCTTTGCATTGGAAAACCGGGCCAGAGTCTCCCAGGATATATGTAAGTGATGGATCAGATAAGATAAAATTTTGATCTATGTGGGTCGCATTGAATTAAGAACCGGCAGTCCTCCACATTCCTCTCTACCTTAGCCTCGTAAGGCAATGATCCACGGACCTGTTGATCAAGAAGCAGGGTCGTGGCCGCATCGGCATTTATCATGCAGAAGCAATGGTTCAGAAAGCTACGTAGCAGGAATAATTGCTTATTCAATGATGGTCCTTTTGCAAACAACCAAAAGAACTATCTCGCTGGCAGTTGAGTAAAATCGTTGCACCAGTTAACCGAGGGAGACGTAGTTTGGCTATTGAGGTCAGAACAACGGACAACACAGATATAATATATATCGGGACGTCATTTTTCAACTAGCCGCATCCATCTTCACATCGGTTCCTTGTAGTTTGTGCGCTGATTGTAGGTCTTGCCGGCGACCGTCATCGGAGTGTTCAGACGATGGATCCACATGGTCAGAAGGGCGGCTCGGTGCTCGGTATCGGTCGAATTGCTCGGAAGTCGGTCTAATGCTGTTTCCCATTTCTCAACGTTGACCACAGTTAGGAACGGTAGTACGTGAAAAGCAGGTGGATAATGGCCACTGATGCTAAAAGCCTGGGGGCTAAAGTGAGCTTTGTATACCAAGTCTTCCATTACCGCGTTGCACAGCGCCATGTTCTTGAACGATGGGGTTCACAACTGTCGTACCTGGCATTTGAAAAATAAAGCAATAGAGCAATGATGCCACCATTCGTTCTCGCTCGAACTTGTATGAACAAAACCTTTACATTAAGAACCACCACCTCACAACTTTCATAAACGGGTCTAGTACAAGCCTTCTCAGAATACCAGGTCGAGCCTTACCATTTAATTGTCACCTGCACGCCGACTTGAACGCGTCGTTTCCATCTTCGTCTAGAACGTCGCCGTGGCGGGGGAGGATACGTTGAATGTCCCATTCAGTGGCCCTTTTCTTGTCTTGATGCGTTAATGCCTGGTCAACGCTAGCGACGTAGTACATTAAGCATTGGAACTAGAATGACCATGGGTGAGCATGCTCGACAAAGCCTCGTGATAGAACGCCTTGGTTTGCCGAAGAAGGATTGTACTATTCAGTACAAGGTGGATTCAGCAACAAACCCGACTGGACCAACGTTTTTGTGGACTTGTGATGCCACGCAACTGTGTAGGTAGAAAAAAAAAACCCCCCTTCAAACAATACCGACTCCACATCTTGTGTGAAACTGTATTCATCCTCATGCTTCCTCCTGGCGTCGCAGTAGATCAAGTCCCTTGTGATGTCTTTCCGTTTACGGTCCAGGCCTGGCACTCCAATAGTTTTTGAGTTCGGTCAAGCCTCTTGATAGTCCTTAAACATACATATGATGGCCTGAATCAGCGACAATGAAGTTCACACCACGGAGCTTATTCAGCTTTCGTCGAACTGAAGGATCCAATGGTAACGGGTAGAGCACGAGGATACGGTTGTCGTGTAGCTTGATGGCAGTCCCCAGGTTATCTACGGCAACACCCTTGCGATAGCCTAGTGGTGCGAAGCGATTGAATGGTATCGTAAATGTCGTAATGTCAGGCAAAAGATCACGGATCACGGTATTGGCGGAGGTGGTCTTCGAATGTAGCCTTTGGATGGTATTGAGCGATGGTTTTGCACCTTGTTCTTCAACGTGGTTCAAAGCTATGTCGTCTCAGATAGAGTTGTAGTTGAGATTCGCGTATGTAGCATGCTGAGGTCGCAAGATGCACTGAGTACCGCACGTTGCCCAGCGGCATGGTTCAAGATGTCGTCACGACAGCAAATCCGACTTTGCTCGACCTTGACTACATTTGACCTCATCGATAATGCGAACGAATATACAAGGAGAGATGGACCGACTGGATACGCTTTAGTTCATGTCTATCAAAACACACGAAACACTTGCGTCGCACGTTTCTTGGTGCAGATCGCGTGTACTCTGGTTCGTGGTGGCTAGAAACTGTCGGACGCCATTGCGGGCGCGGTCTTTCAAGATGCCCCCTTCAACCCAATAGGATGACTTGATTTGGTTCAGCCAGGACTTTACCTCCAAATATACCAAAACGAGAGAGTTTTTTGTCGGTTGACTTGCGCCCGGTAAGTCAAGTCATGTTAGAACAGATAAATCTGCAAGACATTTGCTCGTGCCTGCAAGTATGATGGTGTCCAGCAACAATCATTGTACGGAATTTGCTGCGACCAAGTCTGTGAGATGGAAACTTTACGTCGTGGTTGGTGTAACAAGTGCTACGTCGCAAAGCTGTTTTCGGCGATTAATCTGCATGAGCTCAACAAAAAACATGGGGGTAATAATTCGTGGTACCGTCCGAAATTACTCTCGTCTGTTCATTACATCAGAATCGGATGAGCTTAGCTCTTCCCCGTAATCTGTTCTCATGCAGGCAATTCGTTGTCCCGTAAATTGAGGAGGGGATGCCGAATCATTCTCGTTGGCGCTTGAATCCGGGGCAGCATCAGAGTGGGCAGTGGGTCGGAGCCTGCCGATAGTCGACCCAGACGGCCTACACATCAGCCCACTCTGATGCCGTCCTGGCGTATAGCCAACAAAGGCATTCGTGTTTCGTTTTCGTGAGCCCCTGAGCCACGAAATGGTGCGGAAGGCTGTGTCAGGACAAGTGGATGATTGAACGTATATATGGGCTTGAGTAGAGGCTTTCTCTGCCCCAATATTCAATCATAACACCACCACCAATCACAACGATACAACCTCATTCAGAGCCCACTGCTCAAATCACTACAAAGCCCCCAACACCACACAACCAAGACTATTTATTATGAACAACCCGACATACTACGCTAGACGATACAGAACTCTGTACTCGCCCGACGCACTCAACTTTGCGACGCGCCAGCCGCGACCTGCATTAGCCGCGGTCTACTCGCCTGCTCCTACAGGGATCCATTGCGGGCTACCCAAAGCCGTTTCTTCAGCAAGGAATCCCCGAGTGTTGTTGACACTTCTGCTTCCAATTGCCCTGGGTAAGTCATCCGACTACTGCAGCCGTTTGCATGCGTTCTAATTTATCATCTCTAGCAACTGGTGCAGTTACACTCCTCGAAGGTCGCCTGAACTCAACTCAGGGCTTGGCACACGAGCGCATCGTCGATCAAGCCCCCGGTGCCCAGGAGGTGAAAAGAAAAAGATTGCTCGACGCATATGGTGACCGGGAAAGCTTGGAGAGACTTGCGGAAGTAACTGCGATTTACGAAGCCACCACCTATTAAGGGTTCAGCTTCCGGTTCATTACAACGGCTTAAAGGGCTACGGCGTAAAGGGCTTGGCCTATCGCCAAAGACATACCCGACAGGGCTTATACCCTTGTCTTGGCGCTGTTTTCTTGGGTTCGAGGCGTTTTTGCACTGCAACCACTTTAAAGTGGTCAGCATTATCACGGCGTTATCAGGTCAACTTCTCGTATGGCGAATTGGATGGCATTACATACATGGTACCTAGATACCACATTGAAGATTCAACGATATTCCTGCTCCAAGATGACCCTTGTGATTCGTGAAGCGCGATGCGCTAAGGTTAGTCGAATGACTTAAGGACTCGCAGTGATCTTGCGATCTTTCGAACATATTGATATGAACTATGATTGTCGCATTGTAAGTTGTTGAATACTTCGATGTGGTTGCTGCTGGAACGAGAGTTGAAGATTGGCAGAGTTTTTTCGTTTTTTTTTGTTTTTTTTATTTCGTCTTCTTTCGTTCTTGTTACACTGGTCGATGGGTGCGTGTTGTGGCTATAGCGGATGACGCAATTGGAGGGTCGGATTGCTACAAGGCCGATGGTTATTCCCGACTCCTCAGTCTCAACATAACACTTTTAAACGGTTGAGCAAAAAGAAGTTGTGATTTTCCTTGATTAAACTAACCATATTTCTTTTATTTAAACATTATGGCAACGACGACTACGACGGTGACCGAGGCTCGCACAGGACCTGTGGGCCAGCCAGACATATCCTACGTTCCAGGTAAGACTTCAATTTTCGCATACGCAGCTCACGCGTTGATTATTTTTTTTTAATTTAACAGCCATCCACAGATCATTCCAAGTGGCAGGCCCGTACCGCAAGTCGGGTCAATGCAGGCGGTTTGCCGAAGACGGTGCCAGACGGGTTTCCGGAACAGCTCAAAGGAGACCTAGTATGGGAAGGGGATACTGTCGGCAAGACCTATGACTGGACATTCGTCCTGAACGAAGACCAGTTGGATGAGGTTGACCACGCAGTGAAGCATTTTAAATGTGAATTCTCGGAGCGGTGACATTCTGCATGTTTGATTGCTGACTTACCTAAGCTCTCGGTGTACCAATTGGGTATATTTCAACGGAGACCTTCCCGCTGCCAGCACTACATGTAGAACTACGGCGTCTGTCTAATGAGCTCCACAGTGGCCATGGCTTCTTCGTCATCCGCGGTCTGCGCGTTGAGCAGTATACCCGCGAGGAGAATCTTATCATCTATGCGGGTGTATCCTCTCATATCGCACCCCAGCTTGGTCGTCAGGACCACAAGTTCAATGGAGAACCTGCTGATGTTGTCTTGGCTCATATCAAAGACCTGAGCTCAACGCAGAATGGCCAAATAGGCAGCCCTGCGTATACCACTGATAAACAGGTGTTTCACACCGACTCCGGTGACATTGTTTCCCTTTTCGCCCTGGCAACAGCTGCTGAAGGAGGTGCCAGCAAACTAGCCAGCACGTGGCGTGTATATAATGAGATTGCGAAGACTAGGCCGGATCTCATTCATACCCTTTCGCAGGATTGGGATCAGGAAGTGTAAGTAACTCGGTTGTTTGAAAAGGTACATGTTCCATGAGCAGCGCTCACGTCAATCAGTTTCGAGAAGGCCGATAAGCAATGGACCAAGCGACCGCTTTTGTTCAACTTCCCTCCCACCAACACAACTCCTCAACGCGTCACGCTGCAGTACGGAAGGCGGTACTTTGTCGGTTACGGCGCACTTCCAAGGAGTTCAGACATCCCACCAATCACTGAAGCACAGGCAGAAGCTCTTGACACTCTGCACTTCCTGGGCGACAAATTCTGTGTGAACACAAACTTCCAGAAAGGTGATATTCAGTACATCAATAATCTGGCCATCTTTCACGCGAGAGACGGATATACTGATACGGAAGACAAGAAGTAAGTTATGATTAGCAAGCAGAAGTCAAAATATCAGGCAGGACAATCTGACTAATGAATAAAAAGGCGGCACTTGCTGAGATTGTGGTTGCGAGACCCTGAAAATGCATGGGAAACGCCTGACGTGTTGAAAAAACGATGGTCGGCGCTTTACGATGGCGTGGAAGCAGAGTCGAAAGTCTTTCCGCTAGAGCCATACATCCGCAGCGCCGGTAACAAGGGACGTTGATGTCCGTCGTATCTCGTCAGTCAGTAGCAATGGGGTATGAACGCCGGATCAAAAGCAGGCGGGTCGCAGTCAGGGGATATCGCATCAGCACAGTAGCAGCAGACTAGCAGCAACGAAATCATAGCAATTGAGTAGTGATCACGGGATCGTAGAATCGCAAAGAAGAGGTGCAATCAACTGGCAGTAACCATCTGGGGTATTGTGGACAACATAAGTACAACCACAACGATCGGCCTTCCCTTTCCCCTTCATTCTTCCCTCGCGAGTGCACGCCAGGAACTAAACACGAGGGCCGCACTTCCAATGCAATGCTGTAAAACCTTCCACTTCCTTCCTGTTTCGTCGGGGCTACACGCCCAGACAGCGTATCCGTCAGCTGCGTAGGCAATACCCAGGAGTCCGAGCAGGCTCATGATTGCATGCTGATCGTTGCGCCATTGCAGGTAGGCAAAGAGGACACCAAACGTCAAGTCTCGCCCCGCTTTTGATATGAAGTATGCATGTTCCGGCGACCGGCCGATGGGTAGGCCAAATGGTCTGAATGGTTCTGATTTCTCCTGGTAATCCGGCCTCTCGTCGGTGGCTGCGGGGTATCCTCTCTTCGGCTGCAAGTGTACGCCGAAGCTCCGCTGCGCGCGCTCGGGGAAGAGAAGAGAACAGAACGCTATGCCGGCGAAACAGGTGCCAAGAGCATACCCGGGCGCACTGGTAGTGTATACTTGAAGACGCATTATAAAACGATGATGTGAGAGTGAAAGGAGTAAAGAGGGTCAACCAGGGCCACCACAGCGTCATGAAGTTAAAGTAAAGATTCAGGGGATAGACTCGCCACCTGACCTGTAAGAAAGGCATGTCTTTACGCCGCAGCACTCGTGCATACGGATTTGCAAGCATTGTTCGAAACTATCAAACATAACAACTGCCCAACCATTCGGTGTACATCATTTACAAGCATTCGTCTTCTGCAAAATCCAATAGGCGTTTCTAGCCTTGGTTTTCTAAACAATATTATACTTCCCTCCAAGGTTAGTGCCAGCGCATGATTCTCAGGGTTCAGTTGAGCCTATGGGGGGGGGGGGCTCTACTATCTACGGGATCATACATAACAGATCAGGCAATCTTTGTAGTTAGGCTGCTGTGGGAGTATGTTCAGGGCTCTTTGGGACCCTTGGGCGCCTAATCCGTGCTTGTAGTCACGTAATATAGCTTCAAAGCAGGTATGCCACTATCTCCTACGACCGTCCTACCTTCAAGACTTCTCATAGAAATCATATCTTGGGGTCTAAATGTGCCGTGAGGTCCCTGAGGTTGTTATCCAGAACGCTTGCCCATCGACGTGAAACGAGCATTACAGAACAGGTGCGTTAATCAACATTGAACACCCAATGGAGTAAAGATGATGCGCTCTATTGTCGAGCGGGCCGTTGTTAACAGCCGCCAGACCTCGCATGCCGCCCGTCACGGATATCAAGCTAACCTTAGAGCTTTGGTGTAAGTGAAAGATGGATCGGCTTGTGCTTAATAAAGGACGATAACTAGAATATGATCGGCCTTAAACCGAAATTGGCCAGCTCAAACCACGGGTGTCGAGGTAGCCTACCCATCAACTACTGAACTTAACTTCGCTAACAGAAAAGCGGAAGGGTACAAGTTTCGCTAGCCGACTTCATAACGCCTTGTCCTTAGTTGGGCACTTCTGCACTATTGTTGATACATATGTATCCTCGCATCTTGAGATCGCTGCTTTGATTTGGGGTAGTGTAAAATTAACGATCTTGGTAAATATATGAGCCCATCCTGGCCTATGTTCAGTACCCTAATAATTGTGTTGCTTAGATTATTGTGAACTTCACGTCATACTTCGAGGCGACTTCAAATCTCTTTATCAGGCTAGGCAACTTGTGTCCACTGTTTTCTGAACATTAAATATTATATTCCAACGTTACAAAGCTACGGAAGTCGGTAGACGAGTTTTATGCATTAATCGTCTACTACTAAAAACATCTCGTAGAAACATCTCGTAGAGGTAATTCAACGTCCTTGTATATATGCCTAATTCCTACGTCTAGAGTTTTATCTAATACGGGTAAGAGCATAACCAGCTTTACAAAGCTCTTCGAACATCATTTGACACGGAATTTGAGCCCGATTTGAACAAAATTCAGAGGTGTAATACTATGGTTAAGGACGAAATGAATCTTGCTAAAGCGTAAGCCGACGCCCAGGACTAGTAGCTTTGGGCAAAAGAACGATAAGAAGCATTAAATAATAGGTCTGCAATAAGAAGCTTCCTCTTACGCGCAGATTACGGCTTGGGTAAGTTTCAGGATATGCAAATATAGAGTGATGAGCGAAAATCACGTAAGTGCGCCCAATTTCCTTATATCTAATGCTAAGCTATACATGTAAACGGAGGACATAGATCTTAGAATCCCTCTCTACATACGATCATTTGAGAGTATTCAAGCAGAGTTGTCGAAAACGGTATGGTAATACTACAAGATGGATATATAAGACGCCGTAATTGTAAGAATGGCTTGATAGGGATTGTTCTGTCTTTTAGTGTTCTAGCCAAAGTGAGTTTTCATATCAATTTATGAACGGTCTATAAAGTCTAAGTATTAGTAGTTAGGTTAGGCAAAACCATTGCCACGTATGTCTCACCGGAATTGGATACTAAAGGCACCTATAAATCACAGTGTACGGAGCTAGCGCTATCCAACATATTTTAAAATCCTATAGCCCTTAAGCTTTCACTACCTCCTTCTTTGCTTAGTCAGGTGATAGCAAGTCTTTAGATGCCGATGTTATTCTTAGATCTCTTATAAAGGCTTGACGGAACGAATATCGAGAGCGAGAGATGGTGAATGTATTACAAAAGATAGTCTTGTCATCTACTTGCAAAGTCGTCGAGCTACTTTGCAACTTGATGCCCACCCCGCAAAAATCATTTATCCTGATAGACGAGTTCGACGAATGCAGCAAAGGAGATCGCAAAGAGTTACTAATGACGTTGTCGGCGCTAGATTCTTCGGGTGAGAACATTCGCTTGTACCTTTCAAAACAAAACAACCCCCCCCCCCCAGGATGTTATACGAGCCTGGATGGTAAGTATATGTTACCTCTGCGAGAGTGATGTGGTGTTAATCAACCATATCCTAGTATCAGCACCCCGAGTGTCGGTTGTCAAATCAAACAAGGGAGATGTATCCAACTCGGAAAAAAAACCGTGCGTTATGATGGTTTCTGCAATGATAAGGTCTAAGTCGATGTTTACAAAAACTGCTGCGTCTCGTAAGGCGTCAAGTGCTGGTGGTTCTCTCGATCTGTGCCAGAGTCATGTGCTGATCACATGCAAGGGGCTCAGCATTACAGGACTACCGCAAGTATTATTATTAAACACCGTCGTTCCCCAGCAACCGGCAGGGGGTCTCATCTGAGCTCAGCCTGACGCTGTTCGTCTAATACTTCATTTTCAAGGATTAATTTTGCCAAAATACATGGCCCCTGATTGGCGACACGATGTTTCGGTGGCACACCCTCCTTGAACGGAATCTGGAGAGCCACCGACGGCTGGTCCGATGGGTAATCGGTGTAATGACCGACCCCTTGAGTATCCATAGCGATGATGACGCCATCCTCTCCGTTTCCGATCCACAACTCATCGTCGCCACCCGGCAAGGTGATGTGCGCTGCTCCCGAAACGAGGACAAAGAACCTGTATGAATTCGGTCATTCTGCGCCAACGTACTGTACCTCCAAAGCGCACTGGGTCTCACATTGGATGGGGTGGTTTATGGAGGCCCTCGGCGGATCTGGGAGGGAGCACCACGTATGAGATATTGGAAACATCCGCAAGGCCCGTGACGGCGGTGCCTACCGTTGGGTAGTCTGCGAACGGGGTGTCTATCTCCCAGCACTCGAATGCGGCGTCTTGGTTCTTGTCTGATATGAGCGCTGTCAATCGGAGGCGTGTTGGAGAGGCGCTCAAGACGCCTACACTGGCGAAAATGGCGAGCGGCAAATACCGAGAGAAGATCATTGTCTGGTCTAAAGTAGTTTCATGTACACCGTGCTCTCTGATGCATTGATTCGACGGTAAAAAGTCCAGACATCTGTGGAACAGCAGGCATCGGAGTGTTATACGCTTAAGACAGGTCGGAAGTTGAGGTCTCGGCGTGGTCGGCATGTTCGGCGTGGGGTGCTTGCAGTGGGTCGCTACCCAGAGAAGCGTCCGGGCTACCCGCTTTTTTACACACCGGCTGTGATGCCAACAAATGTGTTATATTTTATAGGGTAAGAACAATCATAATTTCCTCCTGATATGGCCTATCCCTTGCCATAGAACTTCAGTTTGAAGCAAAATACTCATTTCGCACGCCGACTCGGCTGATGACTGTGCTATTGGCACAAAAACCCCGTTACCGGTCAATGACTCTTGTGGGGTTACCGTATGCGATCATAGGGCGCGCTTCAAGTCGTATAGAACGCCCGTTCGCTACTTCATGAGTGTGACCTCCTTTCCGTAACAGTCCCTACGCGAGATTTAACAGCCGAATCCAAGACCGTTCTCATTTAGTGTCGGATGAGTTGATCATAGCAGCGTAATTGATCATAATACCTTGCATCCTTTCACAAACGAACGAATGGATCCGTGGTTTCCGTCTCAGTCTCTATTGCCCCTGGTAGCATTGCTGCCAACAGCGATACTCGTCGTCCGCGCACTCCGAGAGATATACGATCTCCGGGCCAAACAACAGCTCCAACAAACCCGACAATGGAAACTAAACCATCCGCCACAGGACAGCCGAACGGCGATGAAAGCGCGTGCACAATCACACCCGTAAACACACCAGCCGATCTCCACGACATTGTCGCCCTCTTCCACGAGTACGTGGCCTCGCTGAAAATCGACCTCAGTTTCCAGGACTTCGCCACCGAGGTCTCCAGCCTACCAGGAAAATACAGCCCTCCCACCGGATGTCTGCTGCTGGCACGCTCGCGCACCACTGGACAGGCGATCGGCTGCGTCGCACTCCGGCCTCTCGAGCCCAAGGTCTGCGAGATGAAGCGCCTCTACGTCTCGCCCCTTGGCAGGGGGGCCGGGCTCGGCAAGGCACTGGCGTTGCGGGCGCTGGAGCAGGCGAGGCAGCTGGGGTACGAGAGGGCGAGGCTGGACACGCTGGCGAATATGGGAAGCGCCAGGGCCCTGTATGGGAAATTGGGGTTCGTGGAGGTGGAGCCTTATTACAACAGCCCCATGAAAGACACGAAGTTCTTGGAGTTGACATTGGGGTTGAGGGACAAAGACGAAACGGGGGCGTCGATGATGTGATACCATTGAAATGTAAAACTGGACAAAGAATGATGACTCCGAAAGCCGAGCCTGCTCCGCTTGTATATGCTAGAAATGTGCTAAAAAATATGTTACATATGATGCATCACGGTGAAACTCCGATGTAAACGAAAAAAGAAAAGAAGAAAAAAACATCCTTTCGACGTGAACCTCGCCTAACTTCATCGGCAATCTGCCCACCATTCACTGGCAGATACACACTTGTATGGAGCCCTGCATTGTGTCGGCCCAGTGTATCCCCTGCCACCGCATTGCTGCCACTGGTTGACCGCTGCGACTGTACCCGCGGCGGATGCTTGCGAAACAGACGTTGCCGTCGTCCTCGTGGATACACTTGAGGTAGTTGATGTGGCTGGTGTGGTCGACGTCCTCGCTGTACTCGTATTTGTCAGTGCTGTAGGTGCAGACGTCGTGAAGACTGTTGCGGTCACTGTGACGATCGTTTGGAGTGGACAGTTACATATTCCTGAAGTGCCTGGTAACGTGCTTGGCTGTTCCGGCGAGTTGGTAGAGGCGATCAACCTCGAGGTGCTTGTCGACGTTGAAGCGCCAGGTGCTCTGGTAGTTGTTGTCGTGGTTGTTCGTCTCGTTGTAGACGTAACCACTGACCCGGAGTTCGCGGTTGTTGAGGATGAAGACCCTACTTGAATGATGGTTGAGCCTGAGGCGGCGGCCCTAGATAGCGCAGCGTATACGCCATCAAGAAAACCGACATTTGCTACCATTTGGCTCATATCCCACATCATGACCCCGCCGAAACTGCTGAACTGCTTGCAGTAATTGATCACAGGCGTCAATTCAGTGGCGCTTAGATATCCTGCTCCAGCACCCGTGTTCGCCGGAACGCCCAGCAAGATCTTCACTTTGTCATTTTTGCTCGTTGATCTGGCCCACGTATCCCACCTTTCCATATTGAAGTTGTCCTGGGTTACAACGTCTGTATCGAATGATAAAGCGCCGCAGTAGTTATTATAGAACTGTACCATGACAAAATCTAATTTGACATTGAGTAGTATTTCTTCTTGCGCCAAGTCTGGGTATGGGCATTGTGGTGCCGCCGTCAGGTAATACTTCTTGTTATGAGCGGCGTCCATCAGATCCCGCAGCTTTTGTGCGAAGGGTGCAGCGTTCTGCGTACTAGCTTCGAAGTCAAAGTCAAAGCCGTCCACGACAGCAGATCCGAAGGGACGGTTGGCAGCACCATTGTTCGGCCCGAACAGATCCCATACGTTCGCCGCCGCGGTCTGCGCGGCAGTTGGTGAGGAAAAGCCACCTTCGCTGTAGGTTGCACCACCTAGCGAGAGAATGATTGTCTTTTGATAGGTGTTTTGACATAATATGATGTCCTGTCTGTGAGTGATCATGGTTAGCTTTTCATGGTTCATGGTTGATTTTGGCGTGGACAGACATACTCCAGCTGTGGGCAATTTAACAACTGAGTACCACTATATACAGTGCAGTTGTCTCCAGCATTGGCGAAATTTGTGATGGGTGTCGAGATGCCATTCATGAAGGCCAATGGGATGATATTGAACTTGGAGTCTGCTTGGGCGTTAGCATGATTGCTGCCAGGCGCAACCCTTGGGCGACTAACCGGAACAATAAGCGCTCAAACGTTGTTGAGAGCCTTTCTTCCCCAATGAGTTTTGACCATAGTAAACGGCAATATTGGACTGGGAGCCAAGGATGAAGCCTGCGTGTGCTATCTCGGGCAGGGCAAGGCATGCGGTCAGCAATGTCAACGAGGTTGTCAGCATTGTGAAAGTCTGGATGGAGATGCTGGTGTCATTCCTACCAGTAACCAGAGACGATCGTTGGTTATATAACAACTTTATTAAGAACTACGAGTCAGCATCAACGTGTTGGGCTGGGGGTAGGCAAACCCCTGTGCTACGCATGTTGCTGGCCAGCCCGTTCAATAGTTAGGAGGCCCGATTATCCGCGGCACGTAGTCATGGGACTACTCAGCCAGATGTAGGAATCCCATTTCTGGTAAGTTTGAAGGGTTCGAGGCTTACACCCACACGTGCTTGACAGCGCACTAGCAGCTCACGAAAGGGGTCGAGATGGACGTGAACATTCCAAGGTCTGAGACACTCATCTCGGCTCGGCTGAGTAGAGCGAATGGCTGACATTTGTGCTGCGCCTCATATCAGAATTGAGCGTACTGAAGCTGGTGGCCGGTCCTCAAACGAATGGGGAAGGCTATAGGATTCTGAGTCAGGAAAGACTTCAGGTTGCCTTCGACGCCTCCCCCTGATATCTGAACCAACACAAACTCTGTGATGGTCTGTCGAGTCACGGCTACAACTCTGGTGGGAAGTCGATGCCAATAACCCCGAGTTCGAGCCGCACATAGCGGCCACGAACGCCAGCTTTGTAGTGGTATATCGGATTTGTGAGCTTCTGGGGTCAAATCTAGTGCAGGTCAGAGCTGCCACAGCTTGAAGCTGGCGGGGGAATGTAGTTGGCACAACTTGATGTTGGTTGGTGCAACTGGCACCAAATCCGGAAGACCCACCCTTCAGATACTTAAGCGATGCATTTTACATTCTTCAAAAGGAGTTTTCTTGGTTGGCCTCCCAAACTGGTTGGTATCACGAGTCATCGTTGAGAAAGTTGTATAGCGAGGTGGTAATCGTTAGCATGTGCGTAGATGAACGAGAACGAGTTTCGAAATGTCTCGGTTCGGAGATGGAGAACGATGTGGGTAATTCAAGATGGTTGCGATGGGTGTACAGCAACACATGGTGGCCGAGATTGGGCTCCATAGGATAGGCAATCTACTGTGAAATCTAGGGATGGCTTTGTGACGTAGACGTTTGCCAACATCAATGACCTTGGAGTGTGAAGATTGATGGTCAGGAAGAGACGGTATAACGGCAGGGGGGAGAGGTTACTATATGCCCAGGCCATGACACTGTAAGTAGTGCACACTGTACGTACTGTAGGTGCAGACTACAGATAGCACAGACTGGGAAATTCTAGTTTATTTTTTATTCAAATTTTCTAAATTCTGCTTCGAGGCAAATGTCACAAATACAAATGACCAGGCACGTAGCTTGGTTATCGATAGCTGCAGCACTTGGGATGGCGGCGTAGTACAGACGAGATTGAATTCCTACATATAGACACTGTACTGTAGTTACCCTTTCAATGTTTTGGCCAAAAAGAACTGGAGCCCGTGCGCTCTCTCTAAACTCAGTAGACTAACGTCAAAGCTAGGTTAGACTAACTGAACAAAACATTGAACTCTGCGCATGCTGCAAGGGCGCAGGTTTTAACTTGACCAACGTCACAAGAATCAAAGTTAAGACGAGATCTGATCGCACCTGCGTCGGAATTTGTGGCTCGCCGAGAACCCAAGGTTAGCAATAGACTTACGGTTGGACTAATCCAACACAACAAATATTATTAAGCTAGACTAACCTGAGGTAGGTTGGATAGTAGTTAGCAGTCGCATCAGCGCAAGCAGCTGGCAGCAAGAGCTCTCTCTGATTAGACTAACCTAAGGCTAGTACTAACCTAGGCTAGACTAGCTCTAGCTCTAGCCTGGCCGCGTTAGTGTCCAGTTCTCCATAGCCCACCCTCAATTGCAGGTCTGTCACTGCAACTCACACCACTACAGCAGACTACACCAAAAAGTGGCATCGCCAATCTCGTCCGCTGGATACGCATACGCATAAGTCGCATCAAATCCGCAACACCTCACGACCCAACATGCCTGGCCGTCGCTCAGGTCGCGCGGCCGCCAAGCGCGCTGCTGAAAAGCTAGGTAAGGACCTCATCCCGCCTGTCTCCTTGTTTCCACCGTTTGCGCCTCCCTTGTCTTGCGACCGCCCTGGCGCAACACCTCGCGTCGCGTCGTCTCGTCTCGTTTCGCATCCGTTCCCAACACATCTGCCAGTCGCTAAACAACCCACCCAGAGAGCACCCCTCGCACATTCGATGACCTCGAGGACGAGGCCATGCCCGACGTCGATGTAGACGCATCCGACGCCGAAGCTCAGCCAGAGCCCGAGGACAACGACGATGGCTCCGACGCTGAGCCTCAAGAGGAAGAAGAAGAGAAGGAGGACCCCGACTCGGACGCGGCTTCTCCCAAGTCCCCATCACCTCCCCCACAACCTGTCATAAGACGAAGACGTCTTGGTCGCCCCCCCAAGAACAGACCTGCCGATTGGGACACCCTCCCCATTGAACCTCCCAACCGGGATCCCAACGAGACCCCTCGACGCCGCGGTCGGGGTGGCTGGCGAGGACGTGGTGGTCGCAAGGGCCAGTCCTTCAAGCCCACTCAGCAAGCCATCGATGCAGACGGCACCATGGCCGACATCGTGGACGACGAGCTTGCCTTACCAGAAGATCCCGAGGGTGAGACCAAGGTCGACAAGCTCGGCAACCTGAAGGACGGGCGCGACTACCGATGCCGTACTTTCACCGTCCAGGGCCGCGGCGACAGACTCTACATGTTGTCAACCGAGCCTGCGCGGTGCGTCGGTTTCCGAGATTCCTATCTCTTTTTTACCAAGCACAAGCGTCTTTACAAGATCATCGTCGACGACGACGAGAAACGCGATATGATTGAGCGCGAGATCATCCCCCATTCATACAAGGGTCGGTCGATAGGTATCGTCACTGCCCGCTCCGTTTTCCGCGAGTTCGGTGCCGGCATCATCGTCGGTGGCCGGCGCATCATTGACGATTATGAGGTGGCCGCTCGCCGGGCAGAGGGTGCTGTTGAGGGCGAAATTGCCGATCCCAATGACAGATTCGTCGAGGGCGATGTGTACAACAAGAACCAGTATGTTGCATGGCACGGTGCAAGTGCTGTCTACCACACCAGCGGGCCAACCGTCCCTGTTGTCAACGGGAAGGTCGAGGTCAAGAAGAAGCGCGTCCCTCTCACAGACACCAATTGGCAACTTGAGCATGCTCGTGCCTCTGCGTAGGTCACTCTCCTTCAAACAAGAATTGCTTTTCGTTATACTGACCATTCCCTAGCCAATTCAATGCCGAGATTGGCGCCATCCGTCGTCACAACAACGCCGGCGTTTATGATATTCATACTAATGTTCTCCAAATCCCTGCCAGCATGCAGCCAACCCATGCGCGCGTTGAGCAAGTCCATCATTCTCCTGCGGCCACCAACAGCAAAGTTTTCCCGCCCATCAACCCAGTAATACCGCGTAACTTCAAGGTCATTGATACGATCATGGAGACGCCCCCTGCTAGTATGTCCAGCGCTGCATACCAGCAGAACTACAATGCGCCCGACTTCTTGGCACCATTTCATGGCCTCGGCGCTATACCCGACGAAATCAAAGATCTATTGCCTCCTGAATGCCGCACGGCTTTCGATGAGGCAGTAGCCAAGGAGAATGAATGGCAGGCAAGGTGGGGTCCTGAGGCGGAAACCGCACATCGCCAACCGCCTACCATCGATGCCGCAATCGTGCCATACAGCAAGATGTAGGGCCTCATGCCTATTAAGCATCGATTACGCAGTGGTGGTCATGTACATCTTATTGATCAAGCCCACAGAGTGCTTGTAAATCAGCAGGAGCAGGAAAAGCAAAAATTCTATCACAGGGCCAAAACACTAAAACCTTGGAATCACGAGGAGACGAATCGATATCGGAGCAGACAGGAAGTAAAGCAAAGCAGCAAGCAGAGGGTAGAGCTCAGCTACACTCCTGTCATATTGTGTAGGCTGCACGAGACGATACCAACAGCGCAAGGCCTCGAATCGTCATATCCGAGAACATCACCAAAAACAGATTAGGAGTTTTAAACCACAACAGAACAGCAAGCAAAAGATGCATACCGAATCCATATCTGTACATTCGACAGTTATGGGCGGAGCAAGCAGTGGTTCCAGCTATTGTCAACTTCTTCACTTCATTTGCAAGATATGCGCAAGGTGTATGAAGTTGCCAGCAAGGAAATGGTTGAGACGCAAGCTTGAGCAAGCAATTGATTACTGGCTTGCTTACGTGAGCCGGTCGAAAGGAGTACCGCTGTTAGGTTGTTTTCTCGCTACCTGTAGGGTTTCAACTTGATTGAATCTTGCTCGCCAAACGTTGAGTCGGTTTGTACTGTACACTAGAGAGGCGTTCAGGGGGGTTTCAACGGTTCCGGCGTTTCTAGAGTATCATCTCGACATCTGTCGCACATGACGAACTTGAATGGTGGTGGGGAAACAGTCTTTTATATTGACATTAAAAGCCATGCTTGATTCGTCGCGAAGTGCGTGGGTTTCAAAATAAACGGTATCATCATAATATCCCATCCCATGTGTGTTAAAAACTATCGGGCCTAATGTTTGTCTCGGCCGCTTGCCTCTCGCACCACGGCGTTCTATGTCCGAAGCAAATCAGTCCTGGGGCTTTGATGCTTGCCCGTGTGCTCTTCTCTCGTCCTCGTAGTGCCAACAGTAAACCCCGATCTTGTATGATTTCAAGCCCTGGCCTTGCTAAAGAGTGTGAAGAATTCCAACATGAAGAGAGCCCCTGCCAAAGATTCAAGGTTTAGTAGATAAGTTTCGCGCATCCTCGCTCAACCTGTGGAGCGCAGGGCGACAAAGCGTGACCAATGACTAAAAACGGCATAGGTGTATGGGTAGCCCAACTCCTGGATGACATACTCAGCTAGACGGTAAAATAACGAGATTCAATCAACCCAGAATTCGCCCGGCAGTCTTGGGGAATGAACGAACCAGCAAGCATCGGGGCGGCTTGAGACCTTGATGATTATTCCAGAAATCAATCTTATCCGCAACCTCAGGGACTATCTAGCTGGCAAGTGCCGGAGATTCATGTCTTTCAGAACACTTCAGGGTCGTAAGGTATACCTTTCTCCACCTTAAACGCGCCGTAGAGGTTGTCTACGAAATCGTCCGGTTCATGGTCTCAAAGCGCAATGAAGTCCACTCGCATCACATCAATGATGTAACAGTGCCCCAGGCTTTTTTCCTCAACGTCCGAGAACAATGCATCCGGCATTCATCTTCAGCAGGCAGCAAAACTTCTAATTGCAATACTCTTGTGGCGGGCAATTGCCCGACGACCCAGCGCTCCGTGCAATCACTTTGTGCGCGTCCCTTGTTCATTGGAGTCCGTTTCTGGAGCACAGTCATGAATATAGATATGCTGCGGTGTAGCAGAACCGAGCCAAGCCTTGTGAGTAAAAGACGATAGGGGATGTCGAGATCCGCGTTCGCGTGCTACCCTGGCTGAGACGACAGGTGCCACCACAGACGACAAACACGTTTGGCCATGACTATATGGATGTTTTTGTATCTTGATGGTAGACGACGCAAAATTACATGGGTCTACATGGCGTATAATGGTGTTGGAATGTTTAAAGCGTCCAGACAGGAACAAACTATTAAAGACGGCCCCGTCGTAAAGGCCTACGACCGAATGTCGTACGCTCATATTGGGATATCCTTTTTCCTTTCCAGTAAAGTGGTAACCTAGTAATATCTTATCTCTTTCGAAGTGATCATCAGCATTTGCAACGAGCGGTACTTCTATGGCCGTGTTCTGTCCGCTCCTTGCAAAGGTCGCGAACGGCAACTTCACTGGGCCTCCCGCAAAATGGAACACTGAGACGGTGCCGTTGCTCGCGATTCTGTCCTCATCACGCGTTTAGAAATCTTAGCACCTGGAGACTAGCCAGCCTCTATCGAAAAGATAGTCCTAGACCCCTGAAGCTTCGGTAGGAGTTGACCATCCGTTGGGATGCGGCCAGAATTCGTCAAAATTGGTTCAATATATTATTGCTGGTTAAGATCGGGTGTTCCGAATCAATACATGGCGTGAAATCCCCGTCGCCAACGCGATGTCCAATGCGTTAATTCATGGTAGTATAGAGGCTGGAACATAGGAAGCGAAGTCGTAAGTTCTTGGTCGAATAGCAACTCATTGCGTATCTTGTGTACCCTCCTGTAGCGTGGTCCCCCATGGCCTCTTTGATGAGCCCCGTGTCTGCCTGTACAGCCTCCAAGGCCAACAATTAAGGCGGACAGTTTGACTTGCCGTTTCGAAAGATTCGATCGGGCGCACCTGTTGGGAGGACTCGATAGCGTGATCTTCAGCCACGCTGCCTCCCGCGATTTGCGGTCGCAATCGAGAGCCACCCGGCTCGGCCTCCTCGATATCTTCGGTCAACTGGGCCAGCCCCGATATTCCACCGCAGCGGCCTCCTGGGCTGTATCGAGGGCTGAGCTGTGGCCGCCTTGTTTCGGTGGCCTCTGTTACAACGTGGTGACGCCGTGAGGCTCCGGGGTATGCCATGTTGCGCTGGACTCTTCGCAGCCTTACTCGGCCTCCCATCGATTATTGGTTGAAACGCTTCGTGATTGGCTCTCTTTCTGCATCTCAGTAGATGCGTAAACCCGGTTGTCCAATCAAGTTCTGGCTTCCGTGGCATCTCACTACGCCTCTGTACAGGAGGCTATGCTTTTGGTGGAGGCGTAATGACACGCATACATTTGATTCTGGGAGAGGCCCGGCGTCTGAACCGGTCTACCTGTCATCCACGGTAATTTAAATTCCGTTCTCTGTCCGCGTCTAAAGTTTTCAAATCTCCTACTTGGTCACAGACTTTTTCCCATCGTCCCTCACACATACAAAACAATACCTACTATAGACCAATTCAAACTATAAATCGATTTGAACTAGAGACCGATTCTTACTATTCTCAGTAGTCTAATTGAGAGGCCGAAGCAAGGACTTCGGAGTAACGATTTGTGTTGTCCATGGCAGTTGTCCTGCTTCAGCTTGTCTCTGTAGCACGTCGTCCTTCTGATATATTTCTGCCATGCCTAAGTATGATTTACCATGAAACTCGTCATCCCCCGTATTATTTTCTTGAACATTTTGATGTACTTGTGCATCAATGACTCAGTTATATAATCTCAAATGCCCCAAGGCTTGTATTCATTCTCTTGCTCTTGCTCCTGTCATGGATATGACCATACTTCCGGCAACGAAGTATTGTCTTTACCGTGGCAAAGACGGGGATACCGTGATTTTCATGGTTTACAGTGCTATGATGTCTCGCCCGACCATCTGATCTCGTCTTCAGGGGGGCTGGTGCGTACAACACCGGCCAACATAGGCAAGAGTGCCATGGCGCTGCGGGAGCACCGCTTGTGCGAACAATTCCATGTTGCAACAGAGCATTCGCACTCACCAGTCCCAAGATCAATGTGTTCATACTAATGACATGACTCCGGGTTTGGTGGGTGTTCCCGTCTAGTACTTCTCCCGCCAATCATCTCTTCGGCGTGCTGATATTACTATAGGATGGCTGGCTACCGCTCAGTACAGTCCATAGTCCAAATATCTGTAACCGTACATCCAATGCTTCTTCAGATACTTGGAGTGTCCCAAGCGGGCCAGGCTTTGCACCACCAATTCTCTATGAACATTCCATCCATGCAACTCCATGGGACTTGCAACAAAAACAACAGGACGATCCTTGTTCCAGCAACATTTTGGATGATTACCTTCGCACGAGGCTTCCAACTGAGCCCACCGTAAGACCTTCTCTTTTCTTGCAATCTTGCCTCCTACCCGAACCGTTGACTTAGTTCGACTAGAATCATGTCGCCCGTATCCCGCAACACGCACCATACATGGTTGGTTCTCAACGCAACCAGATACACCAAGACCTACTCCTCGGTGGAACGGATGTGGAATGGGGTCCGTTCTTTATTCCCGAGAATAACAGCCTCTTAAGGTCGATACCACCACACACGATACCACCTCCAGAGCTGGATCTTGACGTGCTCTCATGGTCAGAAGCAGAGTCCCAATCTTCCGCGTCCGACGCGACAGAACTTGCCCTCCCACAGGAGGACCTCTACTTCGATCATCCAACCACGAGCATCTCCGAAGAAGACCGCGGTCCGCACGCCAAGCGTTTCAAGTGCCATCATTCCGACTGTACGTATGCGACGCACTGTCAGCGAGACCTTCAGCGTCATCTTCGGTGCAAGAAGCACAGAGACGCCAGCGCAGCTGCACCGGACAACCTGTTCCACTGCGAATTCAGTACGTGCAAATTCTTCGTCGAAGGCTTCACAAGGCGGGATAACCTCTGGCGTCATAGGAGGAATGCTCATGGTATCAAGGTCTAGCAGATAGAAACAGGCAGTAGCAAAAAGAGAAGGACACTAACCAGCTGACATGTAACGGGACAACAGTGGACGGTTTGGTGTTTAGAGTTGTGGTAGTCAATTTAATTTCCTTTTTCGATCCCGGTCTGGCCCACGTTTTCAAGTTCCCTTATGAACGCGGCATGTTTCTCGTCGCCACGACTTTCCTTCGCCCGCTGCATCTCTCGCTTCCAACTCCGCGCAGACCGGAGTCGCCATGTGGCTCTTCAAGGGAGTCGCAGGCAGCTCTGCCGGCCCGCGATCCGAAGAAAGCATGTGGAATGCATGGCGCGGCCGGAGCTCTCCATCAGCATCCAGCTCTGCCTTCATGAACTGACGTTGGGACGCACGCTTGGTTTTTAATTTTCTGCCATGTTTCCGACGAAGGATGAAAATCGATGCCATAACGAGCAGTATGGCCAGCAGGCCACCCAAAACAGCTGCGGCGATCATGGCCTTTGTCTCTGCCGTCACTGGGCTGGAAGCCTCGGCTGCTGATGAGTTCGACGTCAAAGCGGACGTGGAAGAACTCCGAGCGGGGACATCTGAACTGAGGATCGGCGTCGTGATACCCGTAGGTGCTGTTGCTGATGCCTTAGCTGACTGTGTGGGTGTTCCTGATGGGGTTATCTCCGTGCCCGTTCTGGACGCCTCCAGACTTATAGCTGCACGTACTGCGGTATCGTTGAGACCGATGCCGCAATTCTGCGCGCTGTCGCACCCATATCCCCACGGACAGCACTTTTCTTCGCACTCAGGAAGACTCCCAGCCAAAAGCAATGTTTTGATGAGGGCTTCGGGATTATTTGCAGAGTTTTGTAGTGTCAGATCACAAGAGATTGGGGCGATTAGGTTGCAATCGCCACCCGACGGGCAACACAACAACGTCGTGTTCTCGGCGAGCCATTCGCATTCAGTATCCGACTGACAGCAGAAAGAATCTGGTATTTCAACAAGTGGGACAAATGCTGATGGTATGCCGCTCGGTTTGTTGAGGCATGTGACATAACCTTCGGCGCAAGAAGCCATCCTCTTGTCTCGTAGTTGTCTACGTCAAGTGCTGATTTGTGTCCGCGCCAGAAACGTATTTAAAGCGATGTCTCGTGAGAACAACGCGGAAACGATGTAGGTTTTCATTTGAAGAAGAAAAAACCCCCCAAATAAAAATAAAAATAAAGATAAAGATAAACAACAGCTATTCGCTTAAGGAAGCAGCATACGCTCTGTTAAACGGTTAAGCGCCCAGGAGCTTCTTAGCCGCCGAAGGATCGCAGTTGATACAATGTTGAATACCTGCATTTTCAAGAGGGATTGGCCTTCATAATGCGCTTTGGAACTGCGCAGACGATATCAAGCCGTCGTTTACCAATCATTACAAGTTCGAAAGCAGTCTCGGAATCATTCTGTAACAAATTCTTCTTCTATGCCAGATCCTGCCGCTGATGGACGATTCAGGACACACTATTTGCAACCAGTATCCCATGCAAGATATCCGGCGCAGCGACGAACACGGCCTCGGGAGGAAGACGCTCTCGACGCCAATTCTGGGCGAACATGTCGTCTTGCGATGGCCACTGGCACGGGGCCCTCTGGACAGCACCTTTGAAGACTGGGAATACCGAAATCATACAGGCCATCACTTGAAGTACAGCGTTGTGAACGTTGAACATAAATAGTATTCGTTCTGTCAGATTGTCTTCACGGCAAAAAGGCCCTTTACAGTTTTGATACTATTCCCGGCATCTTGTACCAGTGAAAAGGTCATTCTTTGAGGTTTCTATTGTTGACTCTATGAGGGTTTCTCAGCCATGTTCAAGTGCATCATGGTTGTGTATGCAATCACAATCGAGATTTTGCGCGATTGAGGTTGTGAATAGCTTCACAATGCTCGATGCAATTCAAGCGACCAAGCCCGATCTGATATCTGCATGATCAAGATCTAGCCCCAAGGTTCCCCTCACTACCCGAGTGTGAGGGGCTATGCATGTGGACTGGCTGCATTGCAAACAAGTGACGGCAGGCTGAAATCCTCTGACAGATTCTGCACGCCTGTGTCACAGTTGGGGACGAATCGCAAGGGGAGCCCACGGCTATTGCGCAGATCTCTGACATGAAAAGCAAGGCCTAAAACGGCATGCACAAGCCGCAAAATGATACAGGCTAGAAGTGACTGGTTCGGCTTTGCGAGCTTGGCTCGCCCGCTTCGATGTGTTCCATCTTGCCAGCTTCTCGAAAACTCTATGGACTGGACTTTGGGCATCATTGCATCATGGGATGAAAAAATCTATCCCTAGGAGCTTGGGGTTGTTGCAGGACGCTACATCATCGGGACAGAAAAGCGCGGTAGTGCCGCGGCGCGGGGGTTTTAGGAGCAGAGAGGACTTCTTCCATGACTGATAATAGGTGATCAGCGTATGCGTGTGTGGCTTCTCTTTAATACGCTTTGCGATCCTTGGCCTTGGACACTCATCAGCGATCCAATCCTATGAACCCGATGGTAGCGTGCATGGGGGAAAACCCTCTTGACGTCTTCGTCGGCGAAGAGGCGGGTTATTTAGTGGGCTCCTGCAGATGGGGTTTGTTTGGAACAGCTAGGGGCCAGTCCAGCCATGGATGGGATCGCCAGAGCGCGAGGACATGTTTGTAATACACCACGCCGTCATGCCCATCCACAATGAAAGAAGTGTAGGATCGTCGTCCAAAGGGAAACGCCGGCTGGCATGTTCCAGGACGGAAAATACTATGGTACTCATGGCTCAAGTGATTGGTTCGGTCCATCGTGAAGACCCTACCACAGTAGCGACCCAACGCGGTCACGCCTAGACCACGCTACTGCACGCTCTCTAAGTCGCGCTCTCTTTCTTCGATCTGAAGAGAGTCTGGCTGCAGTTTTCTGGAAGGATTCATCCCCCACAGCTTCATACATGCTATGGTACGCAAGTAATGGTGCTGTTTTGTCGTACAATTCCAATCGATGCACACGGTATATCGGGGTCAAGTTAGAATAAAATTGTTGCTGCAGCTAAATCGACGAACCAAGGAATGAAGTTCGACTAGAAATCAGAGAGGCATGTCATGAAGTTAATAAATTTTTTTTTTTAAAAATAATAAATAAAAAGTGCAATTGTTTTTTCTTTCAAACATGAAATGCAACGGAGGTAGCGCCTTCGAAAACCGTCGCACCGGTGTCTTAGCAGTGAGCACGAGGCCGAATTGGTACAAGAAACAACTGATTGAGATATGCATCGTTTTTCCTCGGGTCGATGCACATGGAAGTTGACTGGAGAATACTATGAGAATTATGACTTGCGATTCTATGTTAGCGGCAATTCGCTGCTGTGCGGCGTGCACCCTCGACTGGCAAGTCCCGAGTCATGCAATTCGGAGGATGCCTATTGCACCTATACATATTCCGTAACACTTCGATTTATTAGCGATCTAGCAGGTATTTTCGGATCACTGGTGAGTTGTAACCACACAGATGCAGACGGGTTCGTGGTGAGCCCAGCGGCTGTATTTACGTAGTGCCGCCGATAGTCTGTGGTGGATGCGTCCCAGTGAGCGTTATGTGGTTCTTTAGAACATCGTCTGGTGGGCGCCTGCATTACTCCCACTCTAAACTACTGCCCTTATGTACCGCGAGTAGGGCGTGGAGTAGGAAAGACCGAAAAAGTAGGTGCCTGGATCGGTGCATGCCGTGTTGGATGGCTAAAAGCCTAGTCATAGCTGCAAAGTGATGAGGAGTTTGCATGAGGGGAGCGCAGATGGCACAGGCCTGTACCCAGTCAAAGCTCCAGTGAGCCTCGTGATCTTCAATGCTACAGGCGATGGCGGTGTGTATAACAGTATATCCGAAGTACGGCGAGACAGAAGAAAAGGCCTGCAAGTCCTTCCCCGCAAATTGAACTTTGTGTCGCGAACGACCGCCATTGATTGGCGTCCACCGGGCAGTGCTTAGTAGCGTTCTGATCTGTCAGTTCCTCGTTGCCCCGTCAGACGAGTTGACGCGGGTTTACGCTGATACTCGATTACCTCGTTAGAAGCGGCTCAGATGCTTTGAAGTTTTGAAAGTGGTGGTTCAACAATCCTGTTGCCTATGCCTTACAAAAGATGTCTGACACGGTCGTTGTCATCGTCTCAATTACGACAACTATGTTCCTGCAGCATCCCAATGCAATTGGACTGCCGTCCATAATACCCCTCACAAAGATGCAACGTGCGGCCAAACCCCATCACGCCAACAGCAGCGATGCAGCAGGTCTTGATAGAGGCATTTTTAACAGCCAAACGGCTAGTCGTGAGGGTTTGTCATGCATGTGGGTTAAAATGCTTTTGTCTAGACCGGTTGTAGTGAAATTTGGCACACGTTTTAGTCGAAATGCGAGAGCCGACACTGCAGATATCGGTGGGGGGCTTGCATGTAGACTTGGGACGATTGATCATGGCCAACCAAGGATGTCTGTATGCAGCGTTGTGTGATGCGGATGCAGTGGTCAAACGACAGGCTTGTTGAATACTATGGTATGGTGCCAAAGCGGGATGACACAGATGACGCCAGAGAAACAGTTGTCGATATCCTGATGCCATGAAACTGCATTCATTCATAGGTGTGGATGGATATCTAAAAAGTCGAGTTGCCAGATCAGTCGTAATTCGGTAGCCTTATTCAAGACCGACCGAAATAGACCCAGCCTTGGTTAGAGGTTAGGAGGGCAGGCGATTATTCTTAGTAACAGGTGGATCCCAAATGCCATTGGCTGGGGGGCTCATCAGACGGTCCAGCCGAGGGAGCGAGGATGTTTGGGTGCTTGGTCAAAACCGAATTGCCACCAAGGACACCAATGGTGATGATGACACTGGGACGATGAGCATCGCCGTGATCAGCTGCTAAAACAAGGTCAGGAACGAAGCGTCCGCAATAGTCAGCACAAGCGGACACGGAGCGATGGAAGCGTACGAGTACAACAGTAGATGCTGGTGGTGGGTAAGCTTGCAAATGACACGGGCTTTGCGCTTCGCCATATGGATTTCAGGGTCTTGTGTTCGCCCGCAAGTCCGTCAACCAGAGCGACAAACGCCAAGCAGAAAAGACGCATGTGTGGACACCAAAGAAAGTTAGAGCAACGCTAAACCGTGTGGAGATGAACCGCATCGCATGGCAACTCGCAATTTGTGTGATGCAAAGAAAATTTCCTCGGGCAAGTTCTGGAAATGTTTTAGGACAGCCGGTAACGGGCTCAATAGAGTTCGTTTCACGAAATCCTCAGCCTCCGATTGGGTTAGTTGTCTTCCAATCCAAAAGTATTCCTGCCCCATTCGTGCTAAGTGACGATCCTGCAAGAACGATAATTTCAACGTCGATGCCCCTGGTAATTAGTTGTGTTTATTGTTCGTGGCTGTGGACCTAATTAACATGTGCAGATTGCATTATTATTTATATTTATTTGAGAAAAGTATCTGGGTATCTGGCACATGGGCAACTACTGTGTAGATGAATGTCAAAGCGCGTTGCGATTCCACTAGTAGACTGCGCTTGTTCTATACAGCAGACCAAGCATGGGTCAACACTCGGAGCAAAGCCGAATATCATACCAAGATTGATGATTAGCATTGACATAAAAAGAGCAAATCAATGAAATATTATTTCAGCGTCATAATACGTGGGCCAGCTTCTGGCTCAAAAGCGGTAACGGGATGGAACCTTGTAGCAGGACTTCATTCTGTAATGACACGTTTTAAAACAATATATATAACTTTCTGCTCATGTTTCGCGAATGTGTAGAGTCGGCAGGCAGACTATGTAGTACTGGAGTTAAGTCTTGCTAGATTATTGCAGACGGAATGCCTCACCGTTTCAGATGGGGTTGGTAATGATCGGCGTTCAACGGGCATGCACGAACAACAAGGATATCTGAGCTCGTTACCACCTGCGTTCCAAGTCCATTACAGGCGTGGCAGAAGGTGGTATGACACGGCTTCAATGACCAATCTGTCATAATGTGCATTCGTGGCCAAAGAAAGTGTGCCGACCAGGCCTTCTTATTACAGGCAACTGCTATTTGAAAGGAGTATGTATGCCTTTTTCGAAAATGACATCGAGTCTTTGCGAGCTCGCCAGTTCGTGTCTTTCACGTGGCAACCCTGGCCGATGGCCCTTTGAACCCACAGCCTTCGGCCTCGACCGCCCTAACGTGCCGCTGATTCCAGGACCCCTGAGTTCGTTGCGACGGTTAGGGATCTTCCAAGCATCTTGGGCACTTGAACACTATACGGGGACCACACCTCCGCAATCAAAGAAAGACAACAGGCATCAAACCTATTTCGCTTCGCGAGAATGTCTAATATCTCTCAAACGGACGCAACCACGTGAGAAGCGCCTCATTTGCGTAAGTGGCGTGGGTGACAACGCGTTTCTCAGCTGTGCCTGCGCCATACGAGTACATTACATAGGCAAGGGAGGCACTTACAAATGAGATTTGCAACACAAGGCATCATTGAGTATCTTTGAGCGACGGAAACGCATAAGCGTTTGAGACCCTGCAAACGTAATCAGCACTTCTGGAGGTCGGCCTAACCTCCTTCAACGCCAATCGTATTACAGTATGACATAGGTGATCACACAGCCGCCGGGAGTTTGTCCAGATTGTGGTATGTCTGGCGTAGCGTTCATTTTGCTGCCCACCTCTAATACTGTAACAATGCTGCGCTACAGTGGGAATAGATGGAGCCAAAGAAGGTATGTGCGAATCAATTTCCAAGATGACCGAAGGTAGACGCCTTCCACGAATGAATGGTTATGTTACTTTGTATTGCCGACAGGAGTCTACTCCGTGATATATTCGATAATGTGCTATTCGTGCCGAAAATAGAGAACACACCCCGAGTTCCGGCAACTCAAAGAGGATACGGACCTACAATAGCGCTCAAATGTGACATTTCTATGGAAAGGACGTGGATATGGCTGGCTTGAAGCCGACTACTGAAGCATGCAACCGCACGAGGCATTATTTATGAGAGTGATGTAGGCTGAGGTGGAATCTGCCATACTACCTCATCCAATGTGGCAATTTCGATTTTACTCAAGCGAGGCGTGGTTGTTACGCACATGCTCCATTCTCTAGGTAAACATGGGATACACGCCGTTTTCGTGGATTGACAGTGCTTCAAAAGGCGGAAAGAAAAATTTACTTTCTGCAACAACAAGAAATAAAAGGCTTGAAAGCGAGCGATTCGGCAGCAGTATGCCATTCCTAAACGGGCCAACCTTTTGTTGTCCTTAGCCTTCCTGGTCGTAGACTCGTTCTCAAGCGAAAATTGATTCAGAGATTTTGTCACCGTCCCGCAAATCTTTTGGGGTAGACTCTGTAACGGCGTCACAGCCACTCTGGAAGGAATATGCACTATTGGATCATCGGGTCCATTCACCCGTATTGTCATTGCCATGATTACGACCGTCACCATACCAATCTCGCCCAAACTGGCGCCTGTGTTCGCCAAAGTGCTTAGCTTGGCAAAGCCTGTCGCCCGCCACACACTCACTTTAATTGGCGTAATGAATGAGCAGGCCTCTCTCTGATATCCATTGGATGTGGTGATGAGACCAGCTGGGAAATCCAAGGATCGATCATATGTAATTGGAACAAAGTGTTCATGTCTGATTGCTCACTCAGCTGTGGTTCCACGCCACTTGAACTATGTTGTGATGACCTCTCGTAAGTCAGATGCTCGCACGGGATAACTCCCACAAGACAAGAAGCAGATCACTGTCGAAAAGATGCAAAACTGGTTCTGAGGGAAGCGGTGCAGCTGCAAGGACGACTGAGTCCACTTTGCCTTGCAGGGTGGGTGGTGCGTCAAATACGATGCCGTAATGCTGTGTACTGTAGATTAGGAGCCGTTCCCACCTATACCCGTAGTTACTGGTGGCAGCAGATTCTGTCGGGTACAACAAGATGTTCTTGTTCAGAGCAGCACATGACAGAATTCCAGGTGGCCACCGGCGAACGATTCACATTCAAAATAGGAGGGGACGGGTACGGTGGTAACGAGTAGGCGAGACTCAAGCGAGTAACCAAGACAAATATGGTTTAATATGTTTTCGGCTTCAACTTGTATCTTGTCCGTTGCTGGAACGCATGCGTGAACCTCGTTTCCATGAAATTTATGTTACAGAGTATGGGAGGCATGCAGTAGTGCACAGGTACAGGGGACTGTACTGTGTACTGTGACTGGCTGTGCTGGCCAAGTGTGCTGGCTGTACGTACCTCCCTTGGTTAGGTTGCGAACGATGTGGGCGGCTTTTTTTTCCCTCGCTGCTTGGGTCATTCCTCCACTCCCAGTGGCAGGCTTCAGGCTTGCAGATTGGCAGACTACCCGCTAGCGACTCCTCTTTGGTCCGTTCCCAGCGACTTCTGGACTTCGACCTCTCCGCCGGGTTCAGCAGCTGGCCCTGCCGTTGCTTGAACTTTGGACCAGGGGGGTGGCAGCCACTGGGCCCTGGGCACTGAGCAGTGGATGGATGGATGGGACCTTGGGACCTTGGGACCTTGGGACCCATCCGACACGACCATGAGCGTCAACACAACCTCTTTTTCTCCCTCCCCCCCGGCCGTTCTCTTTCCCGCCCAGACATAATCTCTCTTCCCAAACTCCCCCCGTCTCTACTCTCCTCCACCTCGACATCCGCGACTCGCCTTTTGATAATAAAACGACCTCAACATTGGAGATCTGCCAATCACCAGAGGTCGTCGACGTCGGGATTCAGGTTTCTTGTGCTTTTTACTCGATCGAAATCTTACGCCAGCCCAGCCCAGGACAGGACAAAAGCCGAGCAGGACAAAAAGGCAAACGAGACCCAAGGTTCAAACTGCGACTTAGCCAGTTGCTGTGCAGTCTGTGCTGAAGCGAAGCCCCGATTGTGGCCAACCCTCTAGACGACCACGACCACGCCTACGCCTACCACAGCTTCGTCGACCGCTTGAAGATTCATCCATCCATCTGGACTTCACCAGTCGGGTCCAAACTTCGACGACGCTTGCACAGCGATTCTTCGCCCGTTGACCTTTATTCTTCCTGCATTGTTCCTGGTGTTTTGACTTGAGGTGAGTCTACATATTCCTTCTCAGTACAGCCGACCCATCTCCTCCTTGTGTGTGTGTGTGTGTGTGTCTTGGTCTCTCAACAACTCGACAATCCTTAACAACACTATGCAATTTGCAATCGATTCTTTTCTTTTGGGACCATCATCTTCTCAGCTTCATGACACGGTCAAAACCCGCAAAACCTCTCAACCATCCCCCTCTGCCGCGGGTCATGAAAAGGTGCTCACGACGGGCTCTTTTTATCAATTCCCCAGCAAACCACAAGGGCGCTACATTACAACAGCCATTGAAGCTGCATTTTGCGATACCCGACATCGATTCTTTGTCCGTCTCATTCCAACGCCCCCATTATTCATTCTGGCAAAGGTTTGCGCACGGCTGGCAACTTTCCGTTCATTGACTCGCTCAATCGAGTCTCCGTGTATCAGACCAGGACACACAGACATTTACTGCACTTGACCTTTTGTTTCATTCACTTTCTCGACCGTTGAACAATGGTGGCTGACTCGGAGACAACGACGGTAGTGCTTTAGAGATTTCCTCGCCGTTATCACCCTATCACCGAATACCATTTTGCCTCTGCACCGGTAGTCTACATAATAGGGTATTCAGAACACAACTCGAAAGACTTGACTGTCACCTTCGACTTTTTACAGCTACCTATATATTCAAGGCTTAACTGCACTTGAATCCTAGCAACGCTCAAGCGGCCACTCATCCGCCTTTTGCCTGCCACCTCGACGACGACATCGAGTGATTTACACCTACTGTACTGTTTGGCACCTCGATTTCGTGATTCACCACGACTCCACCAACCCTCGTCGACAGCGACATCTTGAACCATATTTGGACTCTGCACAGATTCAACAAACATATGGCTAGAGTTTCGCACTAAGGTTCCTTTAGACCTTTTTTCTTTCTTTTTTTTCCTTTTCCAAGTGTCTTATCCTCTCTTCGACTTTGGGCATTATTCTTCAGTATTCAGTAGTCTCACTCGTGTGACTCCTGTCCTGAAAATCCTCAACAGCTTGAAGCAGTACGCGTCACCTCTTTTCTCCGACAAAGGTCCCATCACGATCTTTGACGGAGACTCTCCAATACCGACAATATGCCAGGCGGAGTATGCGCAGTCCTCGACTACGAGGTTGAGATGATGGCCGAGTACGTTGCCGACATGTCGATGCGTGTCGTTATGCCCAACGCCTCTGTTACTGGTGCTTTCAGGAAGTTTGTGTCCCAAGTTCTCACTTCAACACGCCTTCCCAGCACGACCATCCTCCTGGGTCTTAACTATTTGGCAAAGCGTGTCAACACGCTCCAAGCTGCCGGTGTCTGGAAGACCAACGAGGGGCAGGTTTGGCGAATGCTCACGGTATCACTCTTGCTTGGAAGCAAGTTCCTTGACGACAACACATTCCAAAACCGATCATGGTCCGAGGTCAGTGGCATCGCCGTGCAGGAGCTTAACACTATGGAGAATGAGTGGCTGCGTCACATCGATTGGTCTCTGTATGTCAACCTTGACAAGAGTGGAGACTACAATGCCTGGTTACAGAACTGGAAAGACTGGGAAGCGAACAAAAAGCGCGAGTTGCTGGCCCACAAACAACAACAGGCCGCAGCCGCTCGCGAGAGACTTGCACCTCTTGTCACCACCAATATTCGTACCAACACACAGCATCACCCATTATCTTACGAAGGATGGACTCCTGAGGAGATCTCCGACTATGAGCGTGGACGTCTTGCACGTGCACCTGGCAAGTCGTACCGCTCTCGTGAGAACTCCTGGGCCCAGGCTCAACAGTACCAGAATGGTTGGTCTGCGCCTCTCACCCCTCCCGATTCCGGATATGGTACTCCCGAGTACATGAATTCGGCTGCTTCGCTCAGCACAAGATACAATGATTGGTTCAGCTCAGCGATTCCCAATTCTGGGTACAGAGGTTATCAGACCGCAGCACCCACCCTTCACTCGAACTACAACAGAAATGGTTACCAGCAACAAACGCACTACAATCATTATGGTAGCCAGGGTATATGGGATGCCAACGTAGCTGAATGCAACTGCTCCCAGTGCATGGCGACGTTGCACAAGCCTACCCACTACTTCCAGCACCACGCGTATGGCCAGCCTGTTATGGGTTAATTCTTCCACCCCCCCAAACCTGGTGGCTTGACATCAGCGTTTCTCTTGCTGATGCCTTCCGGCATAATTTCTCCGCCCTGTGCTCGAGATTAGTGCCATTTGGCTCTTCTCTTGCCTTTTCGGCAATTTCATGGACATATGTTTGTTTTTAGATACCCTTGGAGTACCCATGGATAGGCATAAGAACTCAACACCACGTTGTGGAGCTGTTGGCTTGCAACCGTCTGATTCGCCAGATCACACTTGCATCCGGCGCGGTTCAGACACTCGCAGGCTGCCATTCTCCACGGTTGAAATTTCGCCGTCCCCTTGGGAACTCTTTCTTTGTTTTTGTCTTGTTTTGTGTTTTCTCATGATTCTTTCACCTGTTAATTTTTCTAATGGGCGCTCATTCGGCTCGGTACTTGCGAGGTTGCTCGGAGTTTTCATTTCCAATAGAACATGGCTTTCGGTTCGCATTCCTATGTGAAAGGGAGGAAAATTGCGATTACACTGGCGTTCAAAAAGAGGTGACTTCTTACAAAGTTTCCAGTTTCGACTACACATCAGAGGCTTCGAGAGAGCTGGTCGTGGACATGATAGTCACACCCTCGTCGATGTGTCCTTGAAAACTTGTCACTGGGAGAAGCTGTCACCAGAAACTCATTTTCATTTCGACTCACGACTTATAACACGACTTCGCCTCCGGCTTATTGGTGGCCGGTCATGCATTTTGGATGTCGCGCCTTCCTCAGATCAGTTCTTCGGTTCTTCTTGACGATCACGAATCTTCACATTTGGAACATTCGAGGATCTGCCTCATCCTTGATATTTTGGTTTCACGAAATTGGTACAAAAAGTGGCTCTGTCACAAAGCATTGCATTTTATTTTATTTTTCGCATACGGATATGGGTACGGTTTAAAATCAGGCTGTGTTTTTATAACCGCCCGACTCGTCACAGTGTTTGGTTGACTGGAGTCGTCGAGATTGATACAGACTGGAGTCATGGACTCATATCTTTCTTGATGGGTGACACCACTACTTCGTGGGCCCCTGGCGGAGATTAGATTTCCTTTCGGTTTTGCATGCAGTAGAGGGGGGAGGTGATTGGCTGTAAATTGCGTCACTGATTTGATTGCCGGAGGTGGTTTGGCTTTTTATTGTTCCCGGCCAGAAGTTGGTCTTTTCAGTTATCATTCACGACGGACATGACGTGCCCAGGGCAAGGCATAGGATATTGCCGCTCTTTAAAAAGGGAGAGAAGCAAGATACACATAGTAACTCAATGTACAGCAGACCAAAATCAACGAGGCACAGTTGCGAGGAGCAAGACGTCACAGCTGCTTCCTCAGTCAGTTTGTGTTACAGGTTCTAGAGCATGATGGCATACGTTGTCATTATGCTGGCCTTGCTGCTGTGTAAGCAAAACAACATAACATAATAAATAAAAAAGAATAAGCAAGCATTCAACAATTGTGGGCTGTTGTGACTTCTTACATAACTCATGTCAGATACCCCAGTGTCAGACATACACGACATAGTCCGCTCGAGAACTAATATTGTGCCTGGTATTCCTGGCGCCACATGCAAGCTCCAACGGCACCATTACCAGAATATGCGAGCGACCACAACCGCTTTAGTGAGACAAACAGCGACCTAAGCCCACTATGAGGGAGTGCTACTCCAGTATAGGCCAAATTCCGTTGTTGAGGTTGCTGCTCGTCAAGCAATGTTTCCCGCCCTCTCCTCAGAGCTGTAAACGCTCCAGCGTGTGCTGATACTAATTTGTCCTTAGCTGGACATGTCTTATTGATTTTCAATTTCATTTTTTCCTTATTTCCAGGCCATCCCTACTACTAGTGTTCAAATCCAACTCCCAAGATACTCTGTTCAGATCATGGGAGTCTCCTCGAAAACTACCAATACTATCCCTCTTCACCCCATCGACTGAGTCTTTGACCTTGGCGTAACGTGTTGTTTTTCTTTTGGGGGGGTGGGTTTGGGCGTTGAAGTCAAAGGGGAGAAAGGTTTTCCAAAAATAAAAAGATTGAATTTATTTATCAACTTCGTACGCGCTGGTGGAGGGTGTACCTGCTCCCAGCCCAGCGTGGTGTACGACCTCGACGACCACCGCCGGCCGGGCGAGGGGACCGGTGGTTACTTCGATGCCCTCTCTCGATCTGGGAATATACTGGACATAGTGAATCGTACCTTTTCAATGGTATGAGTTGAGCTAGCCTGTTGTCATGCTTTTAATGCGGACCAAATGCATGAATAGAGACTGCAATATACATGCATGTCCTTCGCTACGGTCAGCTTGGAGACTCTGGCCGATATCAATCGGGCTGGCTATCGCTCACCATTCGATAATACAAATTTATTTCCTACAAAATAGTTTTAATGCCGGTGAGAATAATATTTCATGACATTTTTATAGAAGGCAATGCCGCTAGCGGCAATACTCATGGCAGAACTACGAGCAAGCATAGTTAGCCTGCAGCTGTGTGGCTTTGGGTACCGGAAGACTCACCTAAGGTTAGAATCGCTCGTATAAGTCTGCAATGTATGCTCTGAAGACCTTAAGAATGAGGTCATATAGGCCGGCAACGCTCGTAACGGTGTCTATAGACTTGGTGACCGGCTTTTACCAGGGAAATTTAGGTGGCATCCTCATAGAACTCTTGTGATTGAGCCATATTGGTAGAAGGGGGTACTATCATACAATAACGATGGGTAGCGCTGAAGGATATGACTATGTTTTGCTATAAGAAGAACAGCAGGACGAAAAGAAGACCAAGGCTACGCAGCTTCATTTCAACTCTGTAAAACAAACGCCCTATTACATATTTACTCTTTACCAATTAGTCACGTCAGGACTGTGAGATCCGAATAGATAATCAACCCACGATCATTAACAGCAGCATGATCATGAAGTTCCTCTCATTATTTCTCTTGGCACAAGACAAATGAACAGTCTAGGCGATTTGCAGTCTTTATGTCTGCAGCAGTCCTGTCAAGTACATTCGGTGGTCTGCTTGGAGGTGCAATCACCCGAAGGTCTTGAAAAAGCCCATGGTCTTCGACCTGGAGATAAGTCCTAACTTGTTGCTGCAAATACCTTACTCATGTTTCAACAGCCCCAGAGCTCGGAACCTTCTAACATGCTTTTTATTGTTCTTACCACAGCTGGTTTTTTATAGTCGAAGGTGCCGTCGCAATAAGCTGGGCCGTTGACAGAACTAACTATGCCGAGATAGCAAGACCACGCAGGTGAGGCTTTTCGTCCAAACGCCAACTGCTAGTTATAGCGTATACGATCGTTTCGTTGTAGGCTGGGACCTTAGACCGGTCTTAGCGGGAAACCGATACTTTTTTCTCCCCTCCTCGGGTTGATCTGACTCATTGTCATATACTGCGCCTGTGCAGTGCTCGTATTGACCTGGCCATTGAGCTCAGAGTCGAGGATCCTACGATACCCTATTCGAGTGAGACTTCTGTTCCTTTTTCCTTCTTCTCTTCCTTTTTTAAACATACGAACATTAAATGACCATGAATCCAACCATGAAAGCCAAGGTTGTCCAGGCACTAAGAGCATTTTTGACTGAATAAATATGTCCCACCTTTGTAGTTTCATTGTTGACTCGAACATTCCCGATTTGTAATCGAGCAATCTCAATGTTTCGTTCGCGTTGTGTAAGCTTATAGCTATCCGCAGGAAAATCGAGGAGAATGAACATCGCGTAGATGGCGACTGCCTTCGCTGCATGCTTGTTTATTACTTTGAGCAATGCGCCAATGTATATATTGGGAATTGATGTCATCTCCGGCATGTTGGGGTTTGGGTGTAAGCTTTAATATCATGCTATAGTTTGTGCTCTGAAGAAGATTGCGGTCTGGGCCGAATTCATTTGCGCAGCGCTATGCTATGAATTTCGGGAGTAACTTGGGACTGCGCCGGACATCACGAAGATGTACTAGTCTAAGCGAAAGACACAAATTCGGGTGATTTCGAAACACTACAGGGAGCGGAAATAGATACATAGCATAAAACCACAATTACTATTCCATTTCGTTACCACATTTTTTATTGTAAGCTCTTATGCGTTGTTGGGACAATTGCGGGCATATACATAGTGATTTCCGAGTACTAGTTAGGTATACGATGCGTTTAGCTCTATTCAACACTCTATGTTGTCTTGTCTCAGAAATTCACCTACTTGGTGGTCGGTAGACAGCAGAGAACTCCGTGCGCTATCAATCACACCCCAACAGATTCATGAAGGCCGTGCTCTTCCAATATATGCGGAAAAGACGTGCGAATCTACAGCCATCTAGGGGATTGCGACGGTGATATTACCCGATCGTTGCTCGATGTGGCCCGATTCCCGGAAAGGACGAATAGGAGCAAGCCAAGGGATAGAGTGAGCCTATCATCTGCTGCAGTTATCCACAAAGGCATGGTCTCGATCAGACTATTCCATTTATCACCAATGGCCAGACAAGTCCATGCCAAATGCCCCACCTCGATAACCCCGCGGGGTAATTTACGAACGGTGGAGATTTACACATGTGATGTGCCTCGATGCGAGACGTCTCAGCCCATAGCAACGAGAGATTATGTTGTGATCAAGAAGTGGCGGGAAATAGATAAGGAATCAGGTACCCGGGTTGTCCCATAAAATGGCATCCGCCTCCTTGTCGTCTGTGTCGTGGGGATAGTGCTCAAGGACCAGCCCTATACATCCATCATTCCCTAACTTTTGCCATTTCTGACGAGTGCGATCATGGACTATCTCACCTTCTTACCAACCGAGCTTCTGCATAGCATCTGCACGTTCCATGGCAACACACGACTCAGGGGTTCTTGGCTTCTGAATCTAAAGGATCTGACGTTCTTGATGCGCACACACAAACGGCTGTACGATATTGTTCTACCAATACTCTATAAATACAACCGTGACATAGATGGATCAACGGCGGTGCTCTGGGCAGCACAGAATGGACGCATCGACACTTTGGAAAGAGCTTTAGAGTTCGGCTTGAATCTCGAGGTGAAGCGACCGTTACGAGCCGATGTGCGGCGGGGCATGGGGCTTTGGCGGACTAGCATCCATCACGCCATCGAACATGGCCATATCGATGCAGTGGCATGGCTCGTGAACCATGGCGCCCAGGTAGTGGGATTCACAGGGAGCAAGGTTTTCAGGGCCGGCGTCCGAGGTTCCTCGGCTTTCCATACATCACTGGAGTTAGGCCGACCTGAGATTGCACTCCTACTTATCGAAAAAGGTGCGGCCCCGTCTGTCTCCTCATCTAATCACAATGAGCTATTGCCACTCGTGGCAGCCCGCGAGATGTCGATAGCAAGGAGCGCCGTCCAGGCTTTGGGCAACCTGGATCCACTGGCGTCACCAGACGTTGTAGAGTGGAATTGTCGACTGCTTATTGAAAGACTTACGGTTGACTTTAAGGGGCAGACTACTTGTCGACAGGAGGTGCGCAGCGGAATCGTAGAAGGAATGGACCTGCCGAATGAAGCAACAGTGATTCAGCAAAAGCCTCTGGTTCCTATCAGAATCAGAGGAGACGTAGTAATGGTGTAATGACATGTACTAGCCAACTATAAGTTACAATCAAGTGATCGCGTCGCTCCTTCGTTCCATATGATCGTGCCTCATTCGTGGGGCCGGTTTTTGCCATGGCATGCCGCCAATCTTTGCTGTGCTTGCCATGAGACCTCGGTCTGCGACAGGCGCTCTGAGTAAATCTAAGTTGCCTCGAAAAGCAGCAGTAGAACTCATGAATGCACATCGACTGTACTCTTAAATGGTGCATTTTTAGCTAGCCTTGATTCATGCAGTGTTGCTTCTGAATTTACCGATGTAATAAAAGCAGGTTGACATTGGGTCACAACAGGAACGAGCCCACGGAATGCAGGGTGGAGCAATACCGAAGTGTCACGTGTGAGTCACGTGCATTCAGCGCCAATTTTACTCATTTCCACGGGTCATGCCATATGCAATCCGGAATTGATTATCAGCACAAAATTGCGAAGCCAAACCGTTGACTTACTCTCAGTCTATAGTTTAGAATTTCCATAATTTGAAGTAAGTGCTGATGTGGCTTAATTCTCGTGCCCCTATACTAATTCCGTGACAGCCACCTTAGTCAATGTTAACAACCCGCACTTACGGGCAACATGGACGAACCTACAGTAGGCACAAGTCAAGACATGCCTGCAGCTCCTGCTGCGGCAACTATCCCAGCAGGAATATCGTGGAGCCCACAAGCTCGACCTCATTACACACCTCAGTTCTCCGCAACGACGCAAATGATCTTGAAGCGTATCAAGGGAGAGCCCAGTAGTCAACCCAAGAATCTGAGCTCTGTGATATCATCCGCCTCAGCAGCCGGAACCATAAACCAATCCTCGTATGAGGATGCTAAGCGGCGCCTGGTAATGACCATGAACACACAGATCTCACTTCCCATGCCGTCTCCAGCACAAGCACCCGTACAACGGCCCTCACCAGCAGTCGTACTCCCTAAGATAGAACCGAATCAATCGCCAGTAATAATGCCTCCACCAAGAGGACGAGGAAGGCCTCCGAAGTTGGACAAGAAAGGCAAGCCACCACGTGGGACGAAGCGGAAGCGCGTTGGAAAGGATGAAGACGATGGTTCATCGGCTCTCAGTGATCCTCCGGATAGTGGAGAGGACGATGAGTATGCGAACCCTACCATGACAAAGTCCGGCCGCCAAGTATCCAAACCCACTCAGTTTAACCCTGTTACGGCACCAGGTACAAACAAGCGCAAGCAATACGGCAAGCGGACTGAGGAGCAGGCACTCTGCAAAGTGTGCACTCGTGGTCTAAGCACACCAAAAAATCCAGTTGTATTTTGTAATGGATGCAACAACTGTTGGCATCAGATGTGCCATGAACCCTGTATTGATGATGAGTTCATCAAGGACGAATCACAGGAATGGTTTTGTCGAGGCTGCGTGGCCAAGAAAGAAAGGTCAATCGCCAAAAAGAAGGCTATTGACTGGCACAAGGGTGTAAGCTGGTCAAATAAATCTGCAGAACAGGTATGTTATACTTAAGACGCGCTAAACTCCCATTCTGACACACCACAAGAAACGTTCATACCTCACTGGTCTTTCTAAAGATCAGCTAGTCAACACTATTATGTACACTCTTGAGTTACACCCTGATCTCGCATTGTTCCCCGAGGGCAACGGAGCCAAGCGAGGACGCCCTCCTGCCGGGTCCCACGTTTCGTCGTTGCCTGCAAGTCCTACTCCTCTTAATTTTGCACAATCCATCTCGACACCACCGATGAACGGTATACAGAGCAACGAGGGAAGTGGACGAAACGCTCGCGCAAATTCCGAAGACGTCCCTCCATCTTGGCCCAGGCAGGGGTCAGGTGCCTTGGTTAAGATGAGAATGAACGAAGACGATTTCGATGATAGGAACGACTCTGCTTCTTTCAGTGTCATTACTTACGATGCCAAATCGGGTAACAAATTGGTCGAGAACGGAATCCCAGTCTTGGGTCAGAACATATCAGCCTAGGGAGCGAGCAACTTCATAGAGGTTGAGATGAAGGTTGATACAGAAAAAGCCGACGAGTACACGGTATTCCAGGAACTTATCAAAAGAAGTGCATCGCTCTCTGGTCAACTCAGGTCGGGAAAACAACGGGACAACTGAAACTCGGTGACGTTAGATGGAAGCAGGCGTTTAAGTAAGCCTCAAGTCACTTACAATTTTCACCGGAAGATTCCATTCACATAACACACCAACACACAATATCATAGCGAGTCACGGGCGTTGAATCACAACATAATTGCTTGAGCATTGTGTGATTATGAATACATATATACAAGTGAGTTTGAACGCCTCTATATGCTAATTCCTATGGTATGATGCGCCGTCTTGAACCAAAAATAACCCAAATATGCCAAGCTTTTATGTGAGCTGTTTAGCAGGAGAGGTCGTAGAGGGGCTCAAGGGTAGAGAGATCACCAGCACCGTAGACACCGAAGTCGGGGTTGGCATCGCCGTACTGGGACTCCTGCAGATCGTACCACCAAACGTTGATGTTGGAGTCGATCAAAGAGCAAGCAATGGATTGCCAGTACTTGCGAGCGTTCTCCACGGAAGCGATAGCCTCGTTCTCGTCATCACCAACAGTAGGCCAGCCAGTCTCAGTAACGTAGACGGGCTTGCCGTTGGCGAGAGCAACAGTCTTGTTGTATCCAGAGTAGAAACGCTCGCTGGCGTTGTCAATGCTGTTGGGGAGGGCCTTCTCCCAGAAGGGGTAGCCGTCAAAGCCAATGAAGTCAAGAGAGTCGATGACCTTGGTGTTGGTGGCGTTCTCGAATGAGTCGTAGGTGTCGACGTGGCCGACAGGGACGGCGGACAGGCCGGTATCGGCAATGGCGCTGCGGACCTTGGAGATGCTGTCCAACAAGTAGTCGGCGGTGGTGCCAACCTGGTTGTTGGCGTCACGGTACAAGTCCTCGCTACCGACGGAGATACCAACGACAAGGTCAGTGAAGGCGGTGCCGTAGGTGCCGATGGCGGACTCGAGGGCGGCCAACTCGTTGGTGAGGGCCTGGGTGCCACCGGAGATCCAGAGACCGAGCAAGAGGGTGGTCTTGGTGGCAATGGCAGCGGGGATGGCCTGGATGGGGTCACTAGCAGTACCCCACTGGATCATGGTGTACAGACGAGCGCTGTTGAAGCCCGAGGTGGTGGGCAGGTTTTGTTGGCGGCTGAACTCGGCCTCGAAGTCGGCCTGAGTCTTGGCCTGCTGGTTGAGGAAGAAAGCACCATAGTTGAAACCCTTGATACCGGATTGGGCAGCAGTAGCAGTGCTTGCGGACTTGACGCTGCCTGCGGAAGATGTGGCGGCAGCAGCAGAAGAAGAAGAAGCGACAGCAGAGCTGGCGGCGGACTTGGTAGCGGCAGCGGCAGCGGTAGCGGCAGCAGCAGAAGAAACACTGCTGTAGGCGGAAGAACCGGCGGAACCAGAAGAGCCTCCAACAGGGTATCCGGAAGCAGCAGCAGCGGATTCAGATGAAGCAGCGTCAGAAGGACGGCCGCCGCAGCTGGCGTTGGCGGCAACGGCAGCGAGGCCGGTAAGAGCGAGAGACAAACGCATTTTGTATGAATAGAATTAAAATATAATACTGTTGTAGCGAGTGACAGTAAGACCGGAAAGAAATACTAGGAGAGTAGATATGGTTAGGAAAAGACTGTTTTGAATCTAGAGAGATCCTTTGATGATGTAGAAGAGCAGAAACAAACAGAATAACAAGATCGATACGAGGAAAAGTATCCCGTCTTGAAGAATGATCCGCAGTTCTAGACTCTCGCGCAAAGACGATGCGGGTCAGGGATCAAAGCCTGCTTCCATGGTTTCCTGAGTCCCAATCGATCCAACAGAGTCCATAAAACAGGGGGCTATAGCCAGGGTCAAGCGGTGCCTCGATTCGCTCTTCTGGAAACGAAGCGTCGTTAGCCCTGGCTAGGAGAGCGTCTACGGCTCCACTGCCGGCGCTATAACCACACGAGGTCTCCTCCCCAAACGCCTCGTATTTGGGGGAGAATGCCGGCCCGCTGGCGGCTCAGCCTCGGTGGGACCGCCCAAAATCTCAACTAATGACGTGGACAGTTAGCATCCGTGGACTCTTCCCCAGAAGCAATTTCATGCTGCTCGTTCAAAAGATTAATGATGCCCACGCGGGACATTAAAGGCTGGTCAAGGGTCAGTTCACAGCCTGCCAACGCCCAATTTGCTTGACTTCCAAAATAGCATCGATAGTTTGTTGGTTGGAAATCGCAATCACGAAGAGCTCGGCCGTCTCCTGAGTTACTCAAGGCATCATTCAGGGGCAAACCGGCTCGATCGGAGTCAAATCTGGCCCGAGTTCTCTTTAGTCAGGTACCAACAGCGCACTGCTGCAGCACGACAACACGAATGGTTTAGTCCTTGAGACTTTCATTTTTGCGCGAGTTTCTCTGAGTGGGAAGGGGGGAGGGTTTTTTGTTCAGCCCCATAGTGACGGATTGGCCGCTCAAGGCATTTCTTGCAGTGATGTCAGCTCTTGCGCAGTTTTTACGCGTTGATCAGCATTGTGTTGTCTCACTACGGACAATTCGTCCGATGGTTAGTTATTGTGCGGAACACAATTAGGTGCTGACGAGCCCTCAAGATCGTGGAGGGCACGTCGGAACTCGGCGTTCCGATCACCAAATTTTCATCAACAGAGTCATGCTAGCCACACTCCAGTTGTTGGCTTTTGTTCATTTAGAACAAAACTTGTGAAATCTTTGTCGCCACTGCATCGACACATGAATATGAAGTCGCATGTCGGCTGGACCAAAGCGAGGAATGGTCTATATTTGGACCAGCGGTTCTGCAACCATTTAAAGCACGTGGGTTCCGGCCGTTGATTTGAGGCTCTCATCAGATCCGCCCAGCTAAAAACGCCATCCGATCTGCAGCGGCTGGCGTTTTTAGCCCGACAAACACGAGCTGAATCAACGGCTTTCGTTCAGAAAAAAAGCTCAGCTCATGCCACTCCGAGTTTTGATAATACGAAAGAGTCGCTTCTCGTTTTCTGCATGGCGACTTACGATTATCGGACGATTTTGCCCTATTTGGGAGGATTTTTTGAACAACAAACCCCGCCCAAGCTATTGACACTGCTTCATAAAACGAAACATTTGCTGGTCTGACTACATATGTGTGCCCATACTACCCCATTTGTATTGCTGCCTTTCTCCCTCAAGCATATGTCGAACTTGGTAGCTTTTGGAATTCTTCACTGCATTCGTAAAAGTCCACTGAAAATTGACTATAGCCACCACCACGAAGTTTCATATGCGCTATTTGTCCTCTATCTATATAAAAATTACTTGGTAGTGGCTGTTGCTTTCGTGGTTGTCCTCTCGCTTTCGCTCTTGTTCTCTCTCATCCTGTTAAGGATACTCATCTCCATCTCATCAAATTTCTCATATTGATTTCGCGAGGGGTGGCCAAATTTCCTCTGGCTGGCGTCATGCGCACTGGGTAAAGCCTTGGAGTTGTCGCCAGAGCTGCCAATCAATTTAGGGCCAAAGTGCTTGAAGAACTTCCGCAGCGTGGGCATGGATCCGCAAATGATAAAAAGGATAACCTCAAGAAACCAGTGGAGAAAATCTGATGTCAGCGATAACAAGCTCTCATGTCGTTGTAGCTCCCAGAGAAATTACTTGCGCCCAAATGTTCGCAGGTGCTGCTACCAGGGAATATCATTGGTCGGGAGTAGGGACGGCAAATAGCTTAGGCGGAGGGTGGAGGTTGTGACTGTTCTGTCGAGTCGCGCGTCAGAAAGATGACACGACGGACGTGCGTGTACGTCGTCAGCATCGAGGGATTTACTTACATGGATGCAATACCAAACAAGGTGATGGCTCCGATCTTCTGCACTATGCCCATTTTCAAGTTGATAACTGTTCGTATGGGTATCAGGAATAGTATGATATCGGAAACAATGTTTGATACTGCGATGGCCATGTACAGAACACTTGCATTGAGGCAAGTACCCTTTGTGTATAGATCCCACATAGCTCTTGTTGGACTACATCCAAAAAGCAGCATACAGGTAATGGCAATGGTATAACAAACCACCATACTGAAGGTAGCCCAGATTGACCATTTGAACCATTTATGCGGCGAAATATTGAGGTAGAAGGCTAACAATGACATCTTGGTGAAACCATTGCACAAGATGAAGCAAGGAGCCGAAACGTACGAACTCTTGAAATGTCAAGTTGGATTATGCAGTGAGTCTGTGACTACTACCAGCATGTGGTTTTCGTAAACGGTTATTGGCATCTCCCAGGGCGTGGTGGCACAATCCCTCGATGGTAATGGACCCTTTGGTATAATTAGGTTAGTATTGCGATATGTTAATCTGGTTGTATCGTTCTTACATGTCTGTGTTGATTGCAACCCGATCGAAAAAATCTGCTAGGTTAGCGATATAGGAACAGAACATATACACATCATAACCAACCCAAGCCAAACACATAAACGCTGTATTCAACATTAGCGAGATGTTTTTGCTTATGCATATCGTTGGATGCTGAACCCTACCATCGTCAATTCTGAGACCCGTTGATAGATGCATTTTCGTGTACAGTCTTTGAAATAGCGCGGTGAAGGCAAGTGAGCCCATGAGTCCGAAAATCAAGTAGTGTGCAACTGCATGTTGCTGTCTTGGGTGCAGGAAATTCACCTTGTAGCCGGCTGGAGGTCCAATGACTGTTGTGACGCCATTGGTTATAGGAAATTCGGCCATATTGTCTGAGGAGTATACAGCATGAAACGGGTTTTTACAATGAATGTTTGTCACACGGGTTTTCTTGTCTTACGCGAAAAAGGGACTTCCCAGTGTTGTGTTCAAGGCGGGCAAGCTGATACACGTTCCCAAGTCATTGGAAAGCATATAATGCCGAGGCATTGAAGTGAGTTGGTCCCGAGTCTCTTGCCAGTGGCCTAAAAACTGAGACAATCGTTTTAATATCCTTGCTTTGTAATTATCTCGTCTTTAGCGATATATTGGCACACTTCCTGCAAAATTATTACTAACAGCGTTGCCTGATCAAGATCGCATCACCACATCACAGCGGGCGGGGATATTGAAACGGCGAGACTTGTGCTGAAAATTGTAGCTAAACTCATTTATCCGCAGGGAGATGAAAATTTCTATCCCAGAAGTATATGCTGATTTGTTGAAATTGGGCCTCTGGCCCGGAACATCGGTTTCCGCCAAATAAGGTCCCTGTTCTTGGCACTATCGGTATAATACTGAAGTCAATCATCGCTTCAGGATCGACCCGAAAACTCGGCACCAGATATTAGGTGCACCATGTAGCAAACGAAATTGTGTCTGTGATTCGTTTCGCTATCACCTTGATCATGCGCAGTTCAGGGTTGCTTGTGAAGGAGTTATTCAACATGGCATTAAGAGCTCGGAGAACCAGAGAAGATCTCATCTAAAGCCATCACTTTGCTGCGCAACGTCGGTCAAAACATAGTTAGGAATGGTTGTGTTCATTCCGAATGTCCCGGTTTTCAGTGTGTGCATCCTAGCCGCGGGCCGACATATCGGTGAGTTGAGAACGGCTTCCAAGACACCAAAAAAAAAACCCCCGATGGCGCCCCGGTCAAGACCGTTGTTCATTTGACCGCCGCATGGTACCCTTGTGCTGGGGCGTGTTACATTTTGAGTGATTTCTGTGGGAACACCCCCGTCTATCACATATCTATATAAATATCGATAAATCTCTCAAGTGCTTTTATTTGCAGGTCTCATGTCGTATCTCACCATATACCAACAGCAAACGAAACCATTAATATGGCCGGTCGCTCGGTAGTCTTGGCAGTTGCATGCGCCTTGCTTGCTTTCGGCACTCACTGCGCTGCGTACGTGGCTTCATCTCTCTACCCTCGGTCGTTACGTACCCCAGCTGCGAACTGCACGTCCCCTGAATCCGAGACGGGACACTTACAAATGATCACTTATGTCAAGCGCAAGTCTTCTTTCACGCGGGAAGAGTTCTGTGACTACTGGGAGACACAACACGCGCCAAAAGTAGCACCACTGGCGGAAGCCTTCAATGTTCGACGGTATCAGCAGGTTTGTTACTCCTTTCAGACAATACACCGATATTTCTGCCTCCAAAGCGTGAAATTTTATATCGCGATGACCTTTCAGCTGACTCTCGCTTAAGGTTCAAGTAGGCGGCCAGATTCTGCCCACACTCAATGGTGCGGAACCGGCCTCCTCGGAACTTGTTGAGTTCGACGGCATCGCCATGTTTCTCTCGCCATCGAGCGATACACTAGTGCAGATGCTAGCACACCCATATTACCTCGAGGTGGTAGCGGTTGATGAGGCTGTCTTTATTGATAAGGAAGCCTACAATAGTAGCATGGTAGCCACTTTTTCAGGGAGACATGTTGATGTTGTAGAGAATGATGCCGATGTTTGGGTGGGCAATGAGACAGTCAGAGAAAAGTATAGGGAATTGTTCGCTGACTATGATACTTGAGGCTATTTGGAAAGTCCGGACTTATAGTCGGTATTGATCCATGTGTCATATAACCTCTACTTGGACACATCATTGCCCCGCAAAACACGAACTGCCTCATCCAAGTCCATAGTATGACCAGTCATCGGAATGACATGATCCATCACAGTATTGTGAACCTCCATATCGCGATCCCAGCAGGCATCTGGCACAACTGTGATTACAAAGCCCTCATCTGCACCATTTCTCGCGGTGCTCAACACACATCCGCTCGAAACGAAGCCGCAGAGGACTAAGCTCTTGATTTCGAGCTTCTCCTGTAACAGCTCCATGATACCTTCTGAATTCAGGGCCGAGACGCGGCCGGCCAGTCTGTTGAAAGAATATTCCGTCTTTGAGTCCTTGTCAACCGCAACGTCAGACATTTGCACGGCAAATTCTGGGTTCCCTGCAAAAGCGGGTTTGTACTGCTCCGCCCAGCGATCAGCCAGTTTGCTGGTGGGTAAAGGGTCGCGGGAGGCGTCGATCAGACAGTGTAGGATAGGTGTCTTGCTTTCGCGTGCTGCGGCCAGGAGTGCTTGGGTCGAGTTGATGAGCTTTTCTCTCTCTGCGGCTTCTTGGATGAAACCGCTAAACATGTTGTGAAAGTCTAGGAGAAGTAGAGCGGTTTCGGATGGCCCATAGGACGAAGGGTGATTCGGGCTGGATGTTGACACCATTGTAATGATGGTTGGATACTTGATTTCTAGGTTATGATTGCCGTAGTATTGTTCAGCTATGGTTATCAGCCAACATACCAACTTTAGTTGACCACATCGTTGCTATTGTCTTATATATCGCGGGGACTGTGAATCGTAAACTGTGTTGTAGTATAGTGCTGATGAGATATGCGGTTCGGCTCCGAAGACAATCTGATAATATGCAACGAAAATAAGATCTTATTTCCAGCCGGAGATAAATATGCCAACGAGCAGATAACAACACTAGGAATAGAGGTCATGTCGTCCCTTGTCACATTTTAACCAATAAGCGCTTTGAATGTTGTCTATCGATATGACATGGTTGTAGTTTCATGGTCGTTGAGAGCCGGAACTATACCCGCAACTGCTCAAAGACTCGCACTATTCGGATTTAAACACGGACATAAATGTAACATCACAAGTCGCATAACATTAGAAGTTGTACATATTCAACTACGTACGTCTAAACCACGACACCTGACGGGGGAGAAAAAAAATTGATTTTGAGATAGATGCTGGAGACGTAATGCACAAGGCAAAAAAATTACTCAAGTCCCTCGAACCGGATTTGAACCGGTGACCTGTGGATAGTCTGAATTCTTCAGTTACGATTACAGTCCATCGCTCTGCCAACTGAGCTATCAAGGGATTTTCACTTTGAGTTATTCTGTCAACCGAGCTGCCAGCTGTCAATGATTGTCAAATTCACTTCGTATTGTAGACTATGTAGGGATTAAAACTACAAATTGCGAGAATTGCATAGTCAGCTTGCTGATTGGACAAAGTCGCGACAGGATCCACCTTCGAAATTGTAGGAGACACCAAAATTCGCCCAGTTACCTATATTCTCCGTATGTAGTACGAAGGTGCAGAGTTTAGCCTTGCCATGGATCCGAGCAACCCAAGTTACACGGCGTTGTGCCTCAAACCAGCGTTCAGGACTTCAGACTGCTGGTGTAATTTCTACTATACTATTTAAAACACAACTCTTCCTGACTCCTACAGTTTGTGACTCAGCAACTAGCTGATATGAGCTATAGTCTTGTGAATGCAAGTACATTGGGTCAAACTAGTATACTGTGTATACTCAGAAAGTACTTCACTGTGTATACCCCACTTGAAAAAAAAACCCCCCCATGTTCAGATCGTTAGCATTCGTTTGATACTTCTTCCCCCCTCCGATTTTCTGTATCGTTTCTAAAACGATATTTTCATTCATAACCCTTGATAGCTCAGTTGGCAGAGCGATGGACTGTAATTGTTTACTTCTGGCATCTCCAGACTATCCACAGGTCACCGGTTCAAATCCGGTTCGAGGGACTCGCTCTTTAAGTCTTTTTGTTACTCCTTGACAAATACTTCTGTTGTCGTCTAGTTTACTCACGTCTGTTTTTATCCAGAGGCGGATAAAGCAAATGTAAGCCTTATGGAAAAATCGGTGGCCGCCTTCGTTAATTAGGTATAATGGTATGTTTGTAATGACCTAGAATCCTGATTACTGTTATATTTTTTAGACCGATCATCCCCTTAGAACGAATTGCTTCGTTAATATATCATGGGCTCTCTAGTAGCACTCGTGATGCGGTGGCGGCGTGTGGTAATGATAGTTTACCTGTAGTACGTGAACCATGAGCTAAACTCGTTGATAATAACAAGTCAATATTGTGTGAAAGTGTTGCCAGCCCCTAATCCACAAGATAGCTTGTTGCCTCCTTCACAAGTAAATCCAGCGCAATCGGCCGAGGACTCACATCCTATATTATCGAGAGGCGGTTTAAGGGTTTGGGTTCGTGGTGATTGTGTAGTCCTTATCGAAGACGAAATTTTCGTCGAGATGAAGATGAAGATGCTTCCCGCTTCCTAACGACGTAGGAATTAGTTGTGCATTGGACATAAGGCGTGAATTGGAAGTCATACCATTCAATTGATGTATCATTCGAAGTACTGATCATCATCGAGAACGCCTCGTCGCACGTCTTCTTACATGCTTCTCTGCCTTTCCTTAGCTCAACCTTCAAGTCGATCTAGGTTTTATACTGATCTTGACCAGGAAGTGCGTTTCATAACGGCTTTACTATAAATCTCGACTGTGATTTCAAGACGACTTGTTGGCGTCAGGATCCTTGCGAAAAATCACCATGTACTTGGTCGGCTGTTCTAGAAAGAATATTGAATAGAAAATCACTTTCTTCGCCGGTGCCGTATTGTGCCTCATGACATGTCAATCAATTTTGATGAATGCATTAAACTATCACCCGTGCCATATATAACTATTCCTTCTTCTAGACTAGGGCACATTCGATGCACCTTCGTACCTTACCGGGGTCTGAAATTGTAGATCTCCAAAGCGAACTTATTGAATCGTATTGGTAGGTGTATTGGAATATTCTCGCTGCTCCGTGGTCATTTTATGGGCTTTTCTAGCATAACGTCACAAGGTAGTGATACATGACCACCATGACACATGATGTCCACTCAAATCCAACCAATAAAGCTCAAGATAAGGCTTGAATTCTAGCCTTTGAATCTAAATAGAAATTCTGCGCATGAGATTTATTTGACCTGCCTAGATTCAGTGGTAACAGAGGCCGCACACATACAGCTCGTCCTACACTCATGGAAATATGACACCATTCGTGCATCGAGGGGGCTGTTTCTTCCGGAAACAGGTCTACCGTTAAACAGGTTCCTAGTAATTCGTCCTAAAAAAGAAAACCCAAAAGCCGGAGCATATCTTACATCTTTCCCTACTAGCTGCAATGAAACATTTCTATAAATGAGCATATATTAAGTAAACCCTGACCCTTTTACTATTGCGGTCAATGTTTCCATACAGGCTTAAACACGCCTGAAAGTTGGACTTCAAAGCTGATCAATGAGGCGAAGCAGCCAGACTTATACCATCCAAGTAAATCCTTCCACCTGCATGTACAGCTCTAGCGTTAGGAAGAAAACAGGGAACCCTGCAATTGCGCCTTCTTACTCAAATACGTCTCAATCACATTCGGATAACTCTTTGATAAATTTTGGAGGTGCTTTATCTAATCTCACCTTGATCATTGCCGTTAATACGGTCAATATTGCTCCCTTGATAACCTGTCTCTTATTACATCAAGTTTGATCATTACAACCACCCTGCCCATGTACATTTCGTTGCATCATTGACGAATCTGCGACAACTTTAGTACACCATGGTGAGCCGCCCAGGTCGTCCGGCCCCACCGCCGCCGCCGGACCATACGTCCCAACAGGCACCACGTATCGAAGTGACAGCAACGAATATCAGTGTGTTTGGCTACCCGTCTAGCGGAGAGCCTGTAATAGCTCTTGAGGATGTTTCAGTCGCAGACATTGATTATCTCCAACTGGACCGCTTGAAGATTCCCAAGTATCGTCTGCAGGACCAGGGCGCCGAGGACAACTTCTGCCGCCGCCTTTTACATCTTGGTGGACGGCGATGGCCCACGCTCGACCGTTTCCGCCTTCTCCTGGATGCTATCGCGGGCAACGACGTTGTAATCGAGTGGATTCTAGATGGTACAGAGCCTTGTCCTTCTTCCGCTGAACGTCGTTGGATCTCGGTAGCGCGGCCCTCAGGAGGAGGTGTATGTGTGGCAGATGTACCGAGATGGATTCCCGAAGTGGTGGATGGAGGCGAAGTTTCCGTTGAAGAAAATGCAATGCTTGAACGCAGGGCGTTATTGAAGCTCGCAGTTGACATGGACGAGAAGGCCAGGTTGTTGGTAGACGAGTTCAAGGGTAAACACTATGAAAAGGCGAATGCATATGATGGAGGAACATTGACAAAAGATGACTTATGTTGAACACGATCAGTATATTGACCATGCGATAGTAGGCGCCACGCTGCCCTTGGTGCCACAGCAAGGTGTATCACAATTCGTTCTTAGTCAATTAAATTAACCTGTCCTCTTGCCTATCTTCTGATATTGCGATATATGTGTTGTGATTTTCAAAAAGGTGGCAATTACATGCAATGCCTTAACAGTCGTCCTCCATGGACACACTGGACAATCCCTGCATACAAAAGTTCTCGGTCGTACCGCAGATCACATCGATGCTGATATGAGCAGCAACCGGTTCGTACCTCGAACTTCAAAGACAGAATTGACACAGCTTTCGCTTTGCCTGGTATACCCTGAAATAGCTGCCCTTCCTAACCAAGTTAGAGTCCGCTTTGCCTGGTATAGTCAGGCATGGTTTCCCTCTCTTAGCTCAGCTCACCATCATTTGTTCTCATGTGGTCCGGCATCTTCTGCCTTTGCATCCGGTTCGACAGCCGCTTTGCCTTGTAATTGGCTTCTGGCGTCTGTTGTCAGTATGTTGTATATGACACCAACGCTGTGGACAATGTTCTTTGCGAATTCTCGGTTATTATACTCGCATCAAGACCATCATTATTAGCATTGTTACCGCAACTACTAGGTTGGCCCATTACTAGAAACTGTGATTGTTTAACCATGAGAAACCACAAAGCTTAATTCACATGATTCGTCTCGAAGTCATAGTTCATCACGGCCGAGGGACTGGAGTTTCACCATGAAGCTGTCCATCCTCAGATACTCAGCTGTCAAGTGTGTTATTACTGTCACTTGTGCTGCCTCAATATCGCTGGACGATGGCTTTTCGTCGCCATTGCGCACGAGAGCAAATCGGAGAGAGCGTATGACACAGAACACCAGGGTGATGCTTATTGTCGCAAGGTTCAGCACGAGTTTTGCCCTATCCATCAAACCTGATGATCACGACGCTGTTTGCAGCTTGTTGGGAGGACTAAAATGCGGGGCTCTGAGCCAACGTGGGCGAATCATCTGCTCCACTTCCGTCTACTTCGGCAATCCTGCGCGAATTAGATACTTTCCACAAGCTCAATTATGGCTATCAAATATATCTGGCATTTCTTAGCAAATCGTTCACCCCACTACAAGCTGATTCCCAGCTAGCAGTAGGTGCAGAAGCCCTTGATAGCTCAGTTGGCAGAGCGATGGACTGTAATCGTAACTGAAGAATTCAGAATATCCACAGGTCGCCGGTTCAAATCCGGCTCGAGGGAGCATCTTTTTGCTGTTCATTTTTTACCATCTTTTCTTCTATTCCACCGTACTCTATAGATACATTATCTTTGCTTAGGTGGTAAATAAAGTATCTCGCACCGCTATAGTCCAGCTCCCTAACCATACGTGGGAGACGCTATGTTCTTGCTCTCTTCACACCATCATCGTCTTATTGGTATCGGGAACGGCAGCACCAGAGTTCATGAAAATCAAGTGAGCAACCGTTTTACTGTGATAACAATCATCCATCCCTATGCTATTTTTGGGGGGTAGAGGAGTTGATCTGCATAATCCACAAGATTTCAGGCCAGTCTTCAACGACGGGCCGAGCTCACTCAGACAGACCTACGCGCATTGTGACACAAATCTGACAGGCATCACACAAGTCAAGCCCACAGCCCAATCTGGCAATCGGAACTACGAATAAACACTCTCTCATCTCTGCGACTCGACCAGACATCTCTCGGGAGATCCTGCGCCACATGGACGCCGTGAAGCGCCTTCTCCAGACCGTCGCAACGTGAGGATTGCCGGGTCCGAGAAGCTCGATGGGTGCTGCTCAGGGACTCGGATGAGAAGCCAACGTGCCCCAGCCACCTGGCACGGCGGGATGAAGGTGCCTGATAGAACTCATCTATCTATCGTCTTTGCCACATTTTTTTTAGAACCATAAATACGGTTATTGTTTGTTGACGAGGCGTGTAAAGCTCGCTGCTGGAAGGACACGATCTTGGTCAGCGGCGATGACGCTTAACCTGCAACCGTTTGACGAAGGCACCAAAAGGTCCGTGGAGATGTGATTTGTATGTAGTGTCTAGTAGTAAGTAGTATGGGCTTGACCGAGATTTCGACAGACCCACAAAGTGAGGATGACTTCCTTCGAGTGGTAGGAAGACTTCGTACGAGAGCAGCTCGTAACGTGCTAAGGAAATCTAGTTGCATATTACACGAGACAAGAGATTCGCTGGCTGCTCGCAAACGCTCAGGTGAATCACATCATGGTGTTTGTTTTACGATCCAGCATGGCTTTTATTCAAGCTCACAATGCAGCTTAGGAGAAGTGCGTGTACTGATGATAAAGAAGCCAGGTTGGTGACTTATGCCAGCTAGTATTACATTTGTCACTTCGTCTATCATCACAAATTCTATGTCTTGCCTTCGCCCACGATGTGTCTGAAATTATGCATAGAAGTTGACCGTCTGGGATCGTGGTTAGCCTTGTAGGTGCAAAATGAGGGCAAAGGTCAGTACTCACATCCTTCTTCTTGGCCTGGACTTCGGTGATGGCGTCCACGTAGTGCTCGTGGCCGATTTTGTTCTTCCCCAACCGCAGAGCAATCATACCAGCCTCTACACACACCGCCTTCAACATGGCACCACCGAACTCATCGGTACTTCGGGCCAACTCGTTCCAGTTCACACCATCAGAGACCTTCATCTTACGCGAGTGGATCTTGAGAATCTGTGCACGAGCCTCCTCATTGGGTAGAGGGAACTCGATCTTCCTGTCGAGACGTCCTGACCGAAGCAAAGCGGGATCCAACACATCGACTCTGTTGGTAGCGGCAAGAACCTTGATCCTGTCATCGGATGCAAAACCGTCGAGCTGATTCAGAAGTTCCAACATGGTTCTCTGCACTTCACGGTCACCGCTCTTCTCCGAGTCGAAACGTTTCGTACCGACGGCATCCAACTCGTCGATGAAGATGATGGCTGGTGCCTTCTCCTTGGCGAGGGCGAAGCAGTCTCGCACAAGCTTGGCACCATCACCGATGAACATTTGTACGAGTTGAGGACCGGCGAGCTTCAGGAATGTGGCATCGGTTTGAGCGGCGCAGGCTCGAGCGAGGAGAGTCTTTCCGGTTCCGGGAGGGCCGTACATCAGCGCACCTGACGAAGAGTTAGCTTGGGTGATAAGAGGTATGAGCGGAAATGTGAAGCAGGACATACCCTTGGGGGCCTTGATGCCGATCTTCTTGAAGCGTTCAGCCTCCTTCATGGGCCAGACAATGGCCTCTACTAGCTCCTCTATTTGCTTGTCGAGACCACCCACATCACTGTACTTCTCGGTGGGCTTCTCATCGACCTCCATAGCCTTGACCCTGCTGTCGTACTCAGCAGGTAAGGTGTCGAGGATGAGGTATGAGTCCTTGTTTACACCAATCAGGTCGCCGGGCTTCAGGTTCTCTGGGTCGACGAGGCCGATGAGGGGGAGGAAGATGGTTTGCCGCGTGGAGGTCTTGATGACTGCGGACTTGCCGACTCTAGTCGCATCGAGATCGATGTTGGCGCCTTCTTCTGAGGACTCGGCGGTGGGGTCAAGATCCAGAAGCTCAACCACGTTACCGACCAGGTAGGGTAATTGTCTTGTAGGTAGGCAGTGTCAGTACGTTCGCACGGCACCGGGACAGGTGTGCATGTGCATGTGTGTGCATTGCACCGGCGAGGGGAAAGGGGAGAGAAGCGTACCTGTTGTTTGCAATCTTCTCCATGTTCTCCTTGATCTTCTCGGCCATGGTTGCCTTCTCGTGCGACAGCCGTTGATACTCGCTCTTCATGATGCGGGCGTCGTTCTCGAGAAGTCGTTTCCGTGTTTGCAGGTCCTGGGTGCTGAGACTGAGGACCTCCTCATCTAGGATATCATCGTCGTCCTCGGCGTCGTCCATCTCGGCATCACCATCGTTGTTGGGCTTCTTGTTCTGGTCCTGCTCCTTGTCGCCGTCACCGCTGCCGCCCTGCTTCTTGTCCTGGGGCTCGCGATGTGTGACGCCCTCCATATCCTGTGCGCTAGACATGGTGGAGTGTGCTGCTTGAATAATGCTGGGATGAGCGGGGAAAGGTGCGCGTGAGGCAGGGAATGGAAGAGGAAGAAGAAGATGAAGAAGTACTGGTCCTCAAATGATGGTGGGTTTGTTCGGGTGGGTGGTGTTGTTTTGGGTATGTAGCTGGTTTGGATGGAAGCTCTCCGACCTACAATTACAGCAGAGCCCCCAGCGCGGAACTTTGACGTTGGACTGCAGCTGCACGCTGTCAAGTCAATCGCACACAGGCAGGCAGGCGCTGCTGTCGCGTAATCACAGCCTGATGCAACAAGAGGGGCACTAAAGTCCAAGCTCTACAAGCCGACCATAGCCTCTGGGCCTCTCTTCTCTGCCTTTGCCTCTACGGGGGCACGTAGTGAGTGCCCAAGTACCTACGGTCAAGGTTCACGCATGCTCCGTAATCATCCCGCCCTGCCTTGCTCCATACTGTAATCCGTACGCATTAGCATGCCAGAAGCTACAGTATGCAACTAAGCCCCTGTAGCGGGGGGGCAAGAGAGCTTGGGCTGTTACTTTCGCAACTACGGACTTGATTACATACATGGTACTTACTGTACACACCGGGCAGACACGCAGTAGCACAGTTAATCCAAGGTTAGTTCATGGGCTCAACTCGTCATACTTTCGCGACACCTCGAGCCTTTACTTTTTAGTCAACCAAGACGTTGGCCGTGGCCCTTCAACATCGTGCGACTAGATTCCCCCTCGACGATTTATGCTTGGTGGCTTTATTTGGAACCCATCTCGTGTCCGTCATTATTATTTATTATTTTAATTCTCACAGTCATACCCCTGGCGATCGTCACGCTGGCAGGCTTTCTTTGGTCCAAACACCCGGCTCCTTCCACGGACGCCACTAAACCCGCTACTCCCCCCGAGATCATGAGCGACCTACCTGGATCGCCTGGATTAACTCCCCAGTTCTGCTTCAACATCACAGCTCTGAGAGGTGCGCAAACGTGAACCGCGAGTCCGCCCGAGACCCAGCCATGTCTGACACGTATCAGATTTCCTAAGAATATCGAGAGGCGCCGTAGACGACTCCATCACCCAGAATCTCAATGCCCTCGTGACACCAGCCAGGAAGGGCTTCGACCCGAACTCTACCACGGTCAGAACGCCCTCGTCTCGACGAGAAATAGACCCTCAGTCATGTCATGCATTCAAAGAGCAGGTTCTTTTCCCATCGTGGCAGTCCAGATCCGACGTCCTGACATACTGCGCCTACGTCGCAACAAGCCCAGACCCCAATGATCCGGAAACCGCCCTGAGGGAGGCAGAGTCGCTCAAGGAGAGGGAACGCATCGTCAACGAGCGACTTGACCCGTACTCAGCAAGATACTTCCCAACCGAACCGCGCACGCAACAGCTGGCCCAGCTACTCCGACAGGAGAGGAGCGTCGAGACCATCGTGCGAGCTCGGACGTGGGGCTTGGTGAGGGAGAGGTGCAGCGATTCCGCCGATAGTTCAGACCAGGCTTTGAACCAGTGGAGGGAACGGCAAGCCTCAGCAACAACGAGGACAAGCTGAGCGGGCGCGCCGCCCTGCCCGCGTGCTTGGGAGGACCTAGTGTAATATGTAGATAGATGTATAAACTCGCCGCTGTATGAAAAAAATAAATGAATGCCATTCACATTCCAGGTTTGACGTCAAGGCGACTTTATTCCCGCTATTCACTGCTGACTCCCGCCAACGAAAGAACCGACGTTGGTAGAAACGCGCTGTTCTTCAGTTGCCTATACCCATCTCACATTGTTGTTCCCGGGCAAATTGCATACAATTGAATATCGAGTCCTGGGAAAGAGGCAGATGCAAAAAGAGAAAAAAAATGAAAAAAATGAAAAAGAGAAAAAGAGACAGAGAAAAAGAGAAAAAGAGACAGGGAAAAAGAGACAAAGAGAGTATTCCCTTCCATTCAAGCCGAGTTGTAAGCAGGAGAAGGAAAGGCCTATTAACATGCCAGGTTGCTTGTATTGCTTGCGCAGTAGCTCACTTGACCTACCGTGGTATTGTTTACACGGAGCAACCTAACCTAGTATATACTATGTAAAGACTATGCAAAGGCTATGTGAAGACCATGTCCTGTAGTCTAGGTTAGTTAACACAACAATGTACAGGTGAGAGAGATATCGGATAATTTTCGGCCATGGAGCTCCATTTTCTCGGGACATCCCACGCCCCGGCGGGACAGGCTGAGCAATGAATATGAATGGGCAGAGCACACGCTGCCATGAGCAGTTGCACGGTTCGCTACAGTACGTTTACCGGGAGAGGACCCTCCAAGGCTCACCCGCACCACACATCAAAAGCTTCACGCCTGGAGCACGTCAACACTTTTCAGTTCGTATTGCCAAGTCAATCCTTTATTGATACAGTACCTACTGTAGTGTCCAGATATAGAACAGCACTGACTGTGTCTATTTTCCTGTTCTGCCTTTTTTTTTCTTTTTTTTTCTTCCCCTTCTCGTTCCGACCCCTCGGACACCGTCACTGCACCCCCCCAACTCGAAAGCTTGCCCACCGACTTGGACGTACGGCTTGCTTGATTAAGCACACTCCTCCGCTGCGCGAAACATTCACTGCCCAGTAGCCAGAACGCTTCCCTCGACATACGGCCCAGCAGTCCCCAACGGCCCACGTGCCGAAGCTCTCTCTCTCACCATGCCGCAAGCGCTCACCTCGAAAGAGAATGCCCTCTTTCGCCAAGTCATCCGACTCTATGAAGACAAGCAGTACAAGCGGGGCCTCAAGGCCGCCGAGCAGATCCTTAAGAAGAACCCCAAGCATGGCGACACGATGGCGATGAAGGCTTTGATTATGAACCAGCAGGGCAAGACAGACGAGGCCTTCGCTCTCGGCAAGGAGGCTCTCATGGCCGACATGAAGTCTCACATCTGCTGGCACGTCTACGGCCTGCTCTACAGATCGCAAAAGAACTTCGAAGAGGCCATCAAGGCCTACAAGTCCGCCCTGAAGCTTGAACCCGACTCCGTCCAAATCCAAAGAGACCTGGCCTTCCTGCAGGTCCAAATGCGCGACTACCAAGGCTACATCCAGAGCAGAGCTTCCATGCTCCAGGCCAGACCCCAAGTCCGCCAGAACTGGACCGCCCTCGCCGTCGCACATCACCTCTCCGGCGATTTGGCGCAGGCCGAGACGGTTCTCACCGCATATGAGGACTCGCTCAAGAGCCCACCCTCCAAGACCGACTACGAGAACTCGGAAGCTCTCATGTACAAGAACTCCATTATTGCCGAGCAGGGCGACTACGAACGCGCCCTCGAACACCTGCGGACCATCGCCAAGCACAACCTCGATCGCCTCGCTGTCATGGAACTGCGCGCTGAGTACCTCAAGCAACTAGGCAGGAAGGAGGACGCCGTCAAGGCATATAGGGCCCTGCTCGACCGAAACTCAGAACACCCCGACTACTACCTAGGCCTTCTCGACGTCTCCGACATCTCTCCGGATGACCAGAAAGCGAAGAAGGCCATCTACGACGAGTACGCCACCAAATATCCCCGTTCAGATGCTGCCAAGCGCTTACCCCTCGACTTCCTGACCGGTACGTATTCTTCGCTTGACACATCGACGCGTGGCTAACCATCCTTCAGGCGATGAGTTCCAAGAAGCCGCAAAGACTTACCTCACGCTGATGCTGGACAGAGGTGTCCCATCCACTTTTGCCAACCTGAAGCACCTATACACTGATCCGGCCAAGCGGGATACGCTTGGCGCATTGGCTCAAGAATACCTGAACTCTGACAGCGAGAGCTCGGGCAACAATGACGCTTTGAAGGGCGATGCGGCAGCTCTGTACTACCTTGCTCAACACTACAACTACCACTTGAGCCGTGACCTCGAAAAGGCACTGGAATATGTCAACAGGGGTATCGAGGTCGCTCCCAAGGAAGTCGAGTTCTACATGACCAAGGCCAGAATATACAAGCACTCCGGTAACACGGAAAAGGCCGCCGCGACTATGGACGAAGCCCGCAACCTCGATTTGAGAGACCGATACATCAACACAAAGGCAGCCAAGTACCAACTTCGCAATGATGAAACCGAAAGGGCGCTTGAGTTGATGGGTTTGTTCACGAGACCTGACTCGACAGTCGGGCCCCTCAATGATCTGATTGATATGCAGTGTGTCTGGTACATGACCGAAGACGGAGAGGCCAACGTGCGAAAAGGAAACATCGGCCTCGCTCTCAAGCGATTTCATGCTGTCTACGGCTTCTTCGACGTCTGGGTGGAAGACCAGTTCGACTTCCATAGCTTCTCGTTACGGAAAGGACAAATCCGCGCCTACGTCGACATGGTCAGGTGGGAGGACAAGCTTCGCGAACATCCTTTCTATACTCGTGCTGCCCTATCAGCCGTCAACCTGTACATTAGCATGTTTGATGGTAAGTCGTTGCCGAATGGTGTCAATGGGGATGTCAACGGCGACGATGCCGCCGAACGAAAGAAGGCAGCGAAGAAGGCCAGACAGGCCGTGCAGAAGGCCGAGCGAGAGGCTGCGGAGAAAGCTGCGAAACAAGACCCCAATAAGCCCAAAAAGGCAGGCAGCGAGGAGCCCAAGAAGGTGGACGAGGATCCTAACGGCCTCAAGCTCGCTGCAACCAACGAGCCCTTGGTGGAAGCTACCAAGTTCCTAGCTCACCTGCTCCAAAACAGTCCCAAGCTCGTTGATGCGCAACTCGCTGGCTTCGAGGTGTACACCCGAAGAGGTAAGCCATATCCTAGACCAACCACAAAAAGTGTCATTGACTCTTCACTTACTATTGCCACAGAGAAATACATTCTTGCGCTCAAATGTCTGAAGAATGCAATTGCCTTGGACTCGAACCACCCGCAGGTCCATGAGCAGTTAGTGCACTTCCGCCACTTGCTCAACACAAAGCTGGACTCGCTACCCGCCAAGGCACAAGAAGTCATCAAAGCCGAGTTTGATACTTTGGACGCTTCAACAGACTTGAAGAAGTACAACGCAGATTTCGAGGCAAAGCACAAGGAAAGCGCCTCCCATGTGATCGCTGCCGTCAAGGCAAAGAAGCACCTGGGCGAGGATCAAAGCAAGGTGGAGAAGGAGCTCTCCGAAGTTCTCAACGTGAAAGACATAACCTTTGAACAAGCCACAGAAGTGCTGGATCTGTTGAGAGGTTGGAGGAGTAAGGAAGTCGACGACTTCAAGAAGAAGGCAGCCGGAAAGTGGCCAGAAGTCACTGCTTTCGCATAGGAGGCCAGAAAGCATGATGCCTCGCAACCAGGTAGAAACTCGCCAAAGGGCTCAGGATTGGGGAGCAATGAGCCCTCCAACTATCTTGCCAGCATGGCCAGTGAACGATGGTTTGTTAGTGCACTGGAGCATTTAATTGATTTAGCGCATTACCGCGCCGTGGTCAAAGCCAATGTGGATTGGCAAAAGGGCATAAGAAGGTAAAAAAAGGTACAGGAGTTTGTGCCGGCAGTGCATCACCAGTGTCTTTCTGGTATCGAAGGAGTTGGAAAAGAAGAAGAAAAAGTTGTAGACTACATAGGTTTGCCTGCATAGAATCAGCGTCGTGTTGAAGCGCTTTGATCCCTACCTCGTCTTTCTTGTTGTGTAGTACCACACCAGGCCGGCGTGTTTGCGCACCCTCCTCCCAGACGAAAGAGGCGGTCTGGTGATATTCCTGATCAATCAACGAGTGGAAGTACGGTGTTTCCGGAAATGAACGTCATAGGAACCAGCGTTCAGACTCTCGCGCATGTCTTGGCGGTCTTGGGGCCCATCACTGGTATCGTCCCGATGGCAAACACATTTAAACATGCGAGCAGAGCGATGCCCTCCTGTCCAACACAGGGCCTGGTGATCTGGGTGCTCGCCCTCTTCGAGGCCCGGCATGCCACGCCTGTCGGGTCTCCGCGGTAGATACATCCCGGAGTGCCGACGAAGTCTCAAGGCCCTAGCCCGAGGTGCAAAGATGCAGAGCTCAGATCTAGGGGTATGGGGTCCAGTTTGTTGTAAGCCGCTGGGATGCGTGAGTTTTCTTTTTCTTTTTTTCTCTCTGGCTCGGTATCGTTTGGGGGTTGGTAGGGAAACGAAGTGGTTGGTTGGGGGGGAAAGAGCCTGAGGGTGGTTGGGTATGTAATCTCATGAGTGGTTAGACATATCAAACATATGACTCTTTGTGTGTGTGTGTGTATGCTTAGCATGCACCGTACAGCATCTTGGATAACACAAGAGGAACAAGAACCTATAGACAGACAATTATCTCGGCTGGGTTTGAAAGGTCACATCTGGAATGGTAGTTCACATGGTTTGCGCAGTGATACGCGATGAGTCGAGGAAATTGGGTGCTGGACCCAAGAATTTAAATATCTGATATCGTATACACATGTTGCCTTTTATGTAACAGCTCCCCCAAAAGCCATGCACTCGTACTGTTCAACCCCGAGGCTGATGTCTTTTAAGAAAAAACCCGTTTCTCTCTATCTCTCATGACTGGTTCGTTCCCAGGGTTGTCACTTTCGATGAAGGACGCTCCCTGTCATATTATACAATCCTCCTTCCAAAGCTTGATAGAGTTCTAGAAGATGATAAGTCAGCGATGGGGTTCTCGAATAGTGTAGATCAGATAGTGAAGGCTGTCAAGGTTCACACATACGATTTAAACATCAACGCCGGTAGGGGTTTGGCAGAGGAGGTCGACGATCCCGGCGACGGGGATGGTGCAGCAGCGGGCGCGCTGGCCGCCGGCGGCGCACACGGACTGGAATTGTGTGGCGTCGGTCAGGACCTCGGATGGGTTCTGGCAGTCGAGGTCGGCCAGACCGGCGACGTCAGTAGCGCAGCACTGGGCGTTGCTGTACAGACCCGAGCAGGCAGTGTAGGTCTGACGCTCCATCATGGAGGGGGCAGCGAGGGCACTGGTGAAGAGAGCGGCGAGGGTGAAGAACTGCATTTTGAGATATGTATTTGAGGTGTTGGGTGTAGTAAAGGGGTTTACTGGTATTTTGTTGGTAATGGTAAGAGTAGATTGATGTTTGATGTCTGAATGATTAAGAATATTGTCCTCGACTCGGAGGAGACAAGATATCTTTATACACGAAAGATATCGTAACTCTGGCTGCCTCCGAGCTTGACGTTCGTCAGTGGCTTTCAACTTCCCTGGAGACGATGACGCTGTTGTGCCATTCTACGCGTATTTCCTTTCTCGAAGGCCCTTACCAAGATACAACCAGGTTCCAAGACCCCTGACCATGATTGCTGGAAGCCTTGAAGAGATTTGATGGAGTCATCGAGTTAATGCCCGATAAAATATTCATGGTGTTGTCACAATAGTACACTCATATGTCGATCTCTCACATGGTCCTCGATGCGATGTAGGGGTCAAGCGCGACGATATGGACCTACTGGACGAATTGAGAAGCGAACGTGGACCAGTGAAGACGTCCCTTGCAATTCCAGTAACTGGGCTCGCCGGGTTGTGTTGTCCGTTCGGTGTTGGCCCTGTGGTCACTGGGTGATTCTCCTGAAGATCGCATCGCTTAGAGCTTCGAAGCCACAGCGTCGCGCGCCGTTGCATTATGGCTTGGGCATTATGTAACTGCGCTAACGCCTATGACCTTGATATCGCCTACCAGTAGCTTTTGCTTTCTGGCCGAACGACGACATAGACAGCGGAGTAGCGAATCATGGTGCGGTCAGAGCCCCCGGCTCGGCCTCGTTATAACAGGGGACCCGATAACACGGCACCTTAGATTAACGTCACGACGGGAAATCGATGCGCACCTGCAGGGGGGGCTTGTCGAATGACATGGGGCCCGGATCACAATAGCCAAGACCACAACGCCTGTCGGACAGGGAGGACGGCAGACCCGGCACCACAGTATCGTGCGTTGACTCGCGTATGGGGGCCCCTTTAATGGCATTCTGAGATGACGATGGCAAATTCAGATATTTGTGTCTTCGTGTTAAAGGTAGTAACGCGGTGATCGCCTCGGGAATACTTGCCGATCGTTTGTTTAGAGGGCGTTGAAGGCTGACTATATCCCCAAAATCTCAAATTGTTCTAACGGCTCGGTGTGATACCTACCAACAAACTTTGCTTTTACCTTATAATAATCTCTGTGCTGCATGTGGAAATGCTGCCTATGTGCTGAGGCATTCTATTTTCAAGAGACAATAAATATTTTCCTGTCATTGCCTCGACTGCCAGACTGCGTGTCAAAATGCAGGACTGGCCCTGGCGAAATGAGACCCATTTCCCCAGTTTATGCTTCTGGTCTAGGCTCTGTTGGCGGAGCGCACAAACTCTCCGAAATGGTCGGTAAGAGTTCCCCTTCCGACATGCCCACTTACCGCAATAGAACGAGTGAAACCAATGGCAGGCTCCAAACAAGCCTCCGCGACAAGTCGCTGTCAAGGCTCAGGGCTGATCATAACCTCAATTGGGACAAGGCAAAGCCGTTGAGATCCTGGGATGCGGATATAATTGAAGCCAATGCGCAATGGGCTTTGTAGCCGAAAAGGAGGGCACTCAGGTACTGAAAACAAGGAAATTTACTGATCGCCATCGAAACACCTGCAGCGGAGTAGTGAAGATGTGGATTTTACCTTCGTTGCGGCTCGTATCAAGCGTTCAATGGGCAGCAAAGAATGTAAGATCGAGTTCATAATGATAATCTCGAAGTGCTGGAAGATCAAGCTGTGATGCGCAGCGTATTCACATTGGAGTTCTAGGTTAGGAAACCGTTGGGTTGTGCATCCTTCCCGCAATCAAACTATCTACAGCGGGCTTCTACTGAATGAAGACTGTCAGACGCCCGTCGTGGAAAACACATACTTGACCTGTGCAAAAAGAAGAACCCGATAGGTTACAATCTGTTGGACTCGTTCGCGCCTAAGACAATAAAGGGTCTAGTTGGCGGTTTCCAAACTGTCTCTGACACATACAGGAGTGAGGGCCTTACACGGAAGTCGGTCGATGATCGCATCGTCTAAAATATTTCAATCCACTAACTTCTCCGAGCGGCCCTATATCACGGCCAGGGTCCAGTGCTATTGCCTTCGTCATCCCAGCGCACAGGGCTTCAACCGCCCCAAACAAGTAACCTCGATCAGGCTTTGCAACCCATTTTCGTCGAAGAAAGGTCCCCAGCGGCTACGATCAATCAGTTTTCGGATCTCGTAGATTGCAGCTTCGCACCTTCGTGTACGCTCCTTGCATAATGGCACTGCGTCACCACCGAGCCGTTGCGTTGGTACAGTGTAACTCTAGCTGTATGTTTGAGGGCACGACTGGAATAGAAACCGGTAGTCGGTCATTTAAGGCCGTTCAGGCTAAAACCGAAGAACTTATGTATGCTGCGCACCAAGATCGACGTTACTGGTAGCGAATCTCGCGTATGGAGTACTTATGTACAAACTCAATCATACAAAAAAACAATTTAGAAAGAAAATTAGGCATTGCATTTGCATGCTGCTTATTGCTCCTTCCTCTAGTCTTGTAGCTAACGTTAATTGTTCGTTAGGGTCAGGAGATCTTGATCAGCTTATGAGTTTCATTTTGTTACTACATAGGAGTGGATCCGGTGACCGTCATACTTTCTTCCGTAATTTCTTGACTACATGTAGCATTACATATGTCTAATCTGTCCCGAGGCAGTTGCGGTCGCAGGGAAAAGCTTGGGATGGGTTGGTGACTTGTTCTTCCCCTGTGGCGGGAGAGTTTATGTGACTCGGGATATTTTCTGTCTACTGTATCTACAATCGCCATAGCTTCCACGTTCATATTGCTGGCGCTCTTCACACAAATTCGCCACAACACCCTCGTGTCCTACGTATACAAGCTTCGTCGCTGTGATGAGCCCTGCTGCCCTGCCACCTGCCCTTGCCCAGTTACCTAAGCGTCGCCTAGACTAGAGCTTGGCGGCAGTGTGACCCTGAACGGCGGCAGCTACTCATTCGGCAATGATCAGCAGCGGTCAACTTACCAGTCAGAACCCTGCGAACCCATTTAGGACGTATTGAACTTTGATGACCATGACGACATCCAGGTACCGGCAACCCAAGCATGGTGCTCCCAACCTGTCAAGCTTTTTCATGTTGTCAAAAATGTAGCGAGATATTGCACGCAACTCAACTACCGGACTGTGTGTGGCTGAGCATAGCCTATTTTGACTAATGGTGTAAGCCCTGCATACACTGCCATCCTGCATCAAGGGTCCTTCTCAGCAGCAAGGGATCTCTTTTTACTTGGACTGCTTAAATCACATCTTTCGAGAGGCAAACACCACACTACCACGATCTTCCAAATGCCAGCCGCTGCCTCAATGATAGATCATAAAAGAGAGGCCTCACTTTAGCACACCCACCAAAACCATAGGAGGCAATGATGTGTAATTATTAGCGAAGTATATCTAACCTAATTATTGATCCACTGTACGCACAATAGCATCTTCGATGCAATGGCCGAGCTCCAATCTTACAGTTGGAGGCCTCGAGCATGGCTCTTCAGGGTGTTTGATGATTGTAAATGGCTATCATTGATATTCGCATCAAACGGCATTGTTCTGAGTGTGAGTGAGAATTCAAGAAAAGTGCTAAAATGTTATTCACGACATTTGAGGTGGAGTTTACCCTCATGGCTTTAGGGAGTATTGACGCTGAAACTGGATGAACACTACGAACAGAACTAGTTGTTGAAACTCACTGTGATGTTGCTCTCCTGAACCCCTGCAAAGATGCAAGCACATCTGCCTGTGTGACGGATACGCATATGTGGAATTACTGCTGATGATTGAAGTTTTAGACCGCGAATTTATTGATAAGATCCCTGAAGATTCCACCGAGTGAGAAGACCTCCGTGCTTGCTATGCCTCCAAGGATTTCGTAATAGCGAACATTAGCCCATTATATTTTCACTGGTGATATTGACAGAATGTCTGCCCAGTCTCTATTACTGAGTTGATGCTCAATTGGAATGCGGAAACCATTGTGATGTCAAAACTGAGCGATTAGATATGCGAAAATTCATGCACAGGTTGTGATGACGCTTTGCTTAGAGCCACACATACATTGAAGATTAGCATTGTGAAATATCATGGCCAGGTGAGTTAATTGACATTTGATGATTTACGAACAACCAAGAATTTTTGTTTTCATTGCGCGCCAGCCAAGGACAGTGTAGCCTTTGTCATGGCGTCGTATACTACTGTTTTCAGACACTTGACCCTTCTGTATTGACACCAGTTCTTTGTTATCCGTATGTAGAGGCATCCATTGATACGAACCGTGAAGCAACCAACACCTCGCCCTGAACTCCATCCCTGTTGACTATCAGAGAATTCGTTAGCAGATACGTTTCTATATTGTCTGCTAACTATACGCTGTAAACATGGATGGCGGAAGCCAGTCTCTCAGGCGCACCAACCGCTTCAATGGGGCCGATATGGCCACTGCAAGAGACGAGCCTGTCGATACGCTGCCACGAAGTTCAATATCACGAGAAACTGGAGGCATCAATCCTATAGTTTCAACTCCAACTGGAATATCGCGAATTAAGCAAGCGGGAGCATCCGCAATTCCACGACCAGGAGCACGATCTTCGATTCCACGACCAGGAGTACAATCTTCAATTTCACGTCCAGAAGCAGCATCCTCGAGTCCACGTTCAAAAGCACTATCCTCGAGTCCACGTTCAAAAGCACTATCCTCGAGTCCACGTTCAAAAGCACTATCCTCGACTTCACGGCGAAAAGCACTATCCTCGACTTCACGACCAAAAGCACTATCTTCGACTCAACAACCAGGAGCACTATCCCCAACTACCAGTCCTACATTTAAGCTTCCCAAACCCCAAATTCCACGACCAGGTGCATCATCACCAATTCAGCGACCGGGAGTATCGTCCTCAACGGCCAGTTCTAGGAAACAACGGGGACCGCCGATAAGCAAACCTAAGAATGAAGAAACCCATGCGATAGTAGAAGCAAATGTTGTGTCTTCGTCGGCAGCTCGACGATTCGATCCACTTATAATGACGCCGAGCTTGGAAAACATCAGATCTAACTATGAGCGGTCCAGCCCAATCCAAGACAACCCCAGGGCTAATGCCAAGACAACCGTACATTCTACTCACGTAAAAGCCGCTCGAAGTGAAGTTGACATAAATGAAGATGAGAGCGATGCCGGTCTAAACCAAGCTGAACCTCATCGACCTGATAGCACGACTCCTACAGCCGACGCAAAAATACCAGGGCGTGCTGGACAAGCTGATTACTCGCCTTGGGAAAACGTCCAACTCGTCGGATATAGCACTGGATTCACCGAGTCATACGATGATTACGTCAAGCGCGGTTTCTATCCAGCGAAGATAGGAGAAATAATCAAGGAAAGATTCAAGATAGTGCACAAGTTAGGTAGCGGTGATATCAGCACTGTCTGGCTCGTGTACGACCTCCTACTAACTAAATGGCGTACACTGAAAATCGTGGGCGCTGATTATCCGGATGTAGAGGTTTCTGAAGAGAATTTCAAGGGCATCATGTCGGAGCAAGATGTGTCAACACAAATGGCCAATAAGATGCATATCCTTACCACTTGCGAAACGCCTTTTAAAATTGCTGGACCTGGCGGTCGCCAAACTCTCTGTCTTGTCTATCCACTATTAGGACCGAACTTGTACTCAATACTATCCTGGTCGGATATAGAAATCCGCCAAGTATTTCGTGAAGTCGGAGAGGGTCTACAATTCCTCCATCAGCTCGGAATCTGTCATGCAGATTTTCGTACGGACAACTTGCTACTGTGCTTAGATCAGGATGAACTCGAAAAGATTGACGAGGCGGAGATGATAAAGCGTCTTGGCCCTCCGCAGGTCATGGACATATCTTTCATCACCAAGTCTGCAGACTACTCAAAGTTGCCGCCATACATTGTGAAACGTGCAAACATTGACCATCTTCAGGTCAAGTACACCGGCCATGCAATGATCACGGATTTTGGGGCAGCATTCAAAATACCTAATACTTCAACCCATGCACCCATTCCAGCTGTGTGGGCAGCACCGGAGGCATATTTCGGGCTTGAGTTTGGGCTCGCTGCCGATGTGTGGTCACTGGCTGTCACCATCATGGAGATCTATGCCTGTACGCATATTTTCAATAATATCCGTGGTGACCACAAGAAGGTAGTCGCTGAGTATGAGTTCGTCATGGGTACAATGCCTGAAAAATACCGCTCTAGCTACCTCGCACTCGTTCACGAAGACAAGGACCAGGAACCGGGGGGACAAAATGCAGATAACTTGGGCAAGCAAGATCCCGACCTGAACAAATACGTATCTTGGATACACCCAGAAAGCGGGAAATCAATGAACGACATGGAAATTCGAAAGAAGTTTTGCGACGAATACAAGCAACCAAACGTTCTGCGAGCACTTGTCAGCCGCTATCGAAATCAATATGTTTTTGACCCCTGGCTCAACTTCGAGTTCGTCTTGGACGAGACAGCTAGTAAGAAGTCGAAGCAGCGTCGGACCAAGCCAAAAGGACGTTTACCGCCGAGAGATATTAGTCTCCTGGGTAACCTATTGAATAAGGTTTTCAGATGGGAACCTGCCGATCGGATTGACATTAGTACTGTCCTGAAACACGAATGGTTTGGCCCTCAAGATAGCAGCGAAGACACAGACGAGGAAACAGACACAGAAATCATCGTCGGTTGGCACGAGGAACCTCCTGAGCCAGAAATCAGCATCTCCAAATTGATTACTACCTTCGAGGAAGAGCCAGACGAGACGGAAGACCCCCAAAGACCGGGGCTCAGTATTTCCAAAGTGCTTACTACCTTCGAGGAGGAGCCAGAGGAGCTCGAGCTGACTACCACCGGCCCAATTACAGTTGTTGACGTTGAGCCTATTTTACAACAGCTGGGTATTTCGGGTCCCATGACTACTATTGACACCACACCTGTTGCACAGGAGCTCGGCGTCTCCAAACCGATGGCGGTTGTCGACGTGCCGCCGGTAGCGCAAGAGCTTGCTATTTCTGGATTGATTATTGTAGCTGATGTGGATCCCATAATAACACCGGTGCCCGAGCCCATCCAGTTCTACTTCTCCGATATCTTGACTACTATTGACGAGGAGCCTGAAGGTGACATAAGAGATCCAGAACTGGTCGACCAGGAGCTTGAGCATGCCAGGGCGTCCTTAGAGGCTGTCACGAAAGAGCGCGATGATCTCAAAGCACAGCACGATAGCGCTTTGGAAGAATTAGGGGCTGTGCGCGGTCGAAAGGAGCAGCTTGACACACAGCTAGTGGATGCTCAAAGTCAATGCCAAGGTTTGAAAGCCGAGCTTGAGGAAGCTCAGAGAAACATCGAAGAGCATTTAAGTGATGGTAAGACCATTCGTGGCAGAACTACGGACCTTGAGAGTTCCCTGAAAGAAGCCGAAGGAAATACCGAGAACCTTCGAGAAGAGCTAGAGAAAGTGAAGAGGGAGTTTCAGAATCTTCAGAGTAAGTATGCCAGTAAGCGCAAGGAGAACGCCGAGCGTGCAGAACAGCTCAAGGCAGCCACTGTTCGGGCTGACAATCAGGACGAAACCGTCCAAACAAACGAAAATGAAATCAAACGTTTAGAAGGGGAGCTTGCAGAGAGTACAGATCGGGTTGGTGACCATGAGAAAACACTGAAAATAAAGTATGAGGAAGTTGAACGTATTAAGGGGGAGCTCAAGGTAGCCACGGAGAGGTCTGACAGTGAAGTGAGGGCCCTGAGGAGAAAGGAGAATGAGGTTGAACATCTAAAGGGGGAGCTCAAGGATACATCAGACCGGTTAAAACACCACGAGAAAACTCTGAAGACAGAGGAGGAAGAGGCTAAACGGTTACGAGGGGAGCTCGAGGATAACAAAGATCAGGTTGAAAATCAGAAAAGAACACTTACGAGTAAGGAAGTTGAGATTGAACGTTTAATTGAGGCTCTAAGAGTAGCCACAGATCAAGTTAATAATCACGAAAAAGACATCAAGAAAAAGGAGAAAGAGGTCAAACATCTAGAGGAGGCACTAAAAGAAGCAGAGGAAAAAAGCAGAACCCTGGACGAAGAGCTCGGGAAGGTTGAAGCAGCAACAAACAGAACTAAAAAGGAGCTGGTAGAAACTCAAGACCACCACGATATTGTTATGGACAAGCTTACAGCAGCTGAATGTCAAGCCCAAAGCTTGAATAAAAAGCTCACGGACGTGGAACAGGAATTGCAAGAGCGCACAAATGAAGTTGAACGAGTGAGGCGAAAGTTTAGAGAGGCTGGCTTCCGTGCCGAATCCAAGATCCAGGCATTGAGCACCAAACTCGAAGATTTGAGCAAAGAACGCGATGGCATTGTCAACAGTTTAACCAAATCCAAACGGAGAACTGTTGGACATATTCAGGTGTTGGAATATAAGATTCTGGATCTTGAGCGCAAGATCAAATTATCGACTGATGAGACTGAGGATCTTAAGAACCACAACGGAGAGCTCGAGGATCAAAACGAGGAGTCAGTATCTAAGATCCGTGAACTCGAACACAATGCAAAAACCTCAACCGACGAGATTGAGAATCTCAAGGATCGGAATGGAAAGCTGAAGCATCAAAGCGGGGAGCTGACGACTAAGATTCGGGATCTTGAACACAGTATCAAAGCCTCCAATGTCAAGATTGAGAACCTCAAGACTCAGAATGGAAAACTTAACGGTCAAAATGAGAAGTTTTTGCTTCTGGATGGGCAGCTTAAAGGCCAGAAGGAGGAATTCTTTCGTCAGAACAAAGAACTCAAGGGTCAAAACGCAGAGTTTTTGCTTCAGAATGGAAAATTCAAGAGTCAAAACGAAGAATACTTGCAACATAATGCACAGCTCACAGGTCAAAATGAGCGGCTATTACATGAGAATGAAGAGCTTAAGGGCCAAAACGATGAGCTCTTGTATCAGAACGGAGAGCTCAAGGGTAAAAACGAAGGGCTTTTACACCAGAACAAAGAGCTTAAACGTCAGAGCGAGATGCTCTTACATCAGGTTGAAGACCTCAAGAAACGCCTACGCGCTTGGGATAGGCGCCGCGGAGAACTGGGTCTCTCGGATATTGCTACTATAGTTGATGAAGAGCCTGTCGAGCCCATTCAAGATGAGTTCTCAGCCCGTCGTGGTTATGCGCAGACGGGCCCGCGAGAACAGACTGATAATGTTGGTAATCAGCAGCCCTTCGCAAAGACGGGTAAACATTTCTTCATTACCATCGTTGTGCCGATCAGCTCGGGTATAATCTTGGCAGTCGGCATATGGATAGCCATATTCATGTTCGCCATCTGTGCTGAAGCTGGAAAACAGCCACGAGACTGGAATGTCAACATTTCGTTCGCGAGCGACCCAATGCTGCGCTCATCAGAATATCTGATATAACATGACCACTCAGTATGAGTTGTCGGTATTTACTATAGTATTTCAGCTTTTTGTTACATACCATATATATGCTCTTCTTATCGACATAGTCCTAATAGTCGGACGGGACCTCTGTCTAAGTTGATTAACCTGTTTGCTCAATTGTAATAGCTAAGCTTAAGAGTTTCCCTCCAGACCCACCACCGTCGTCTCGGCATGGCTAAATTTTCTGATCCCTGTCCGTATGATCTTGAGCTGAGACTTGCAATTGGGATCTGGACAGGCAATCATTGCATCTGTGCTCATCCAGTCATGCGCGTGTGTCATTCGCTGCTTAGCAGCCAGTAATGGCAGAACCGCAGCTTGGAGAAAGTCATCAGAACAGAAATGTTGCTTACCGCTGGAGCAGAAAAGTTGACTCACATAGACTGTATATGCTTATCCCTTGATTCGGCGGCAAATACATCATTTCGCCCTCCAGAGTGAAATGGTCGCCTTTCTTGGCACCACATATCATCTTCTCGCCCTCGGGATGATTCTCCGGACACACCACCTCCACACGCAAGTCGTAGAGCTCGAAACTGTCGTCAGACATGATGACAATTATGGCGGGGATGGTAGCGACCAAAACTTTGTGTTGTCCACGTCGATGTATTGGGTTTCCTGTCCAAAACTTTGGTGCGGCGACGATTGGCAGTCGCTTAAGAGTCCCGACTTCGCTTGGGCCATTGCTTGTTACTAGCGCTGCTGCCGCCTGCACACTTCAAGGCCTATACTTAGTACGCGGTGGCCTTCTATTTCGGGTGTAATGGGGAGTGCCGGATCTCGGATGTATAGGCGCTGTGGGGGCAGTTCAGAAATCGATTTGATGAGAAAGCTATACCCGGCATGTTGGGGTCAGCGAAGAACTCCTGGAACCGGAACTTCGGCTCTGCTGATAGTAGTATGCCTCTTGAAAAAGAAAGATTCCTAGATACGCTAGCGATCCATGGAGTTCCATCAATCTTAAACAGTGACTGGCGTATTGCCACAAGCCGGGTGGTATTCTGAGATTGCAGGGTTGCTAGCAGATCTACCCACGCAGCCCACTAAGTTAAGCCTGTCGCTAAGCCAGCCTGACGCAAGCGTATCGGCACCCATCCGATGGTCGATATCGAGCAACCCTAGCGGTTGTTGTCGCCGGCCGGGTTATTGTCACTAGATTAGACTAGAGTTGGCTTTGCATGTCAACGAACACGGATTGTAGTATTTGAGCTTCGCATATCATCCAGGTCATACCGCTTGACCGGTGCTATTCACTTGGCTATCGCAAATCGACGACGAGGGATTAACGAAACATTATCAATTATAGACCCACTCAAGATGGGCGGACACGTGTGAGTTATCTGACCCTAAGTCGATGAGTGTCCACTGAGCATGGTCATAGGAACATGATGGACGATGTACTGATCTCCAATTGTGAGTTGACCTGCAAATGGGGTGGTATCATCAAACTGACTGGTGCATAACTCAGTGCCGCCGGAGCTTTTGAGGTCAGCCATGAGGGTGCTGGTATCTCAAGGTTCTGTGACTCAGAAGCCATTCGTAAATCATATCCGAGAACGCTTTACGGATACCCCACCAAAGCTGGCAGCCCCCGAGGACTTGTTTCCAAGTGTCAATCATGTCTCACTACAATGCAGTCGATATATGGCTCTGACGAGATGTTTATTCTCATGCAAGTTGGCAGCAGAATCCCTGAGATAGTAAGTGCCCAGAAATCCTGTGAATTGGTAGCGACTAACCAAAGCAGTCTGATACATTTCATTGAATCAATACAGCTTGGGGGTGCTCGGTGGGAAAGTGATTCTGACCTTGAAGCTGTGCTTGAAAAGTTCGGTGGCGATGTTGTCCAGGCCGTGCAGGCTTTAAAGGAATCAAAACCGGAACCTACAGAAGCCCTCGAAGATCAGCTTCTAAAACTCTGGACGGCGTTGAAAGACTGCCAGACATATTGCGAGAACACGAAACCCGAGCCCCTTATCTACCCACTCACCCGCGCAGAAAGACAAGTGAAAGATGTCATTGGGTTTCTGTTCCCGAACGGCACAAGTCTCTCTTTACTCATAGATACATTGAGCAGCCAGATTCTCGTTGATCTCTCCAAGCAGGGTGATACTGAGATGTTTGCCCTTGGCCCCTATCAGGTACCGCGCTTATTCAATGGGCTATGGCAATTGTCATCTCCTGCATGGGGCTCAGGGACCGCCGAGAAACAAGCCGCCGCATTGAAACATTTAGTTGAATACGGACTGACGTCAACCGATATGGCAGACCACTATGTAAGCGATGAGCTATTACATTAAACAATCACTGACATAGTTTACAGGGTGACGCTGAGTTGATATACGGTGAGTTCCGGAATCGACTAGCACCTGACGTCCGTGAGCAAGTGTACGCCGCAACGAAGTGGTGCGTTTTTGGTCCGATCAATCAACCTGTCACCAATGACTTTGTGCTGTCTGCGGTTAAGGAGCGGTGCAGGCGATTAGGCGGTAGGGTTGAGCTGCTGCAGTTCCACTGGTATGATGTAAGTCAAATTGCCCGCTTCGAAAATGGCACATCTTTTGACATCAAGATGTAGTATGAAGAAAAAGAATACCTCGAAATACTGGCAGAGCTAGTCAATATCACGAGAACACACTCCGGCCTAGTTTCAACGATTGGGCTGTGCAACTTTGACTCCAAGCACACGAAGGAAGTTTGCGAGTATCTCTTGGCAAAGCAGGGCGCTGTTGGTATAGTCTCAAACCAGATTCAAGCAAGTAGCTTCCTCAGCAGTGAATAAACTAAGGGGCTTGCGCTAACTGGTCCAGTTCTCCTTATTCGACTCGCGGCCACTTCAACAAATGTGCACCGTTTGCACGGAATATGGCCTGAAACTACTGACGTATGGATCATTCGTTAGTGAACAAGCGTCCTTACATAAGGCTTTACTAACTATCTCAGTGTGGAGGTTTCTTGTCGCAGAAGTGGTTTAATCAACCTGTCCCGGAGATTTATGCCGAGAATAACCAGTTAACACCATCTCAAAGAAAAGTAGGCGCTCCTGCGGTAGTATACGGGCGCTACTAATCATTATCTAACAGTACTTCGACATGATTGGTAATTGGGGAACTTGGGCAGAGTTTCAAGCATTGCTTGGTGTTCTGTTGTCGACTGCAGATAAGTACGGCGTAAGCTTGACGAACGTAGCAACAAGGTGGGTTCTTCAGCAACCTGCTGTCGGCGCCGTCATTGTGGGTACCCGGCTCGGTGTATCTGCTCACGGTGACGAGAACCTCAAGGTCTTCGATTTCACCTTGAACGATGATGACATGGAATCCATCAATAACGCCGCACTGGGCGGAGGCGGCGAAAAGTCGCTGACGATCTTTCAAAAACTTGGAGACTGTGGTAACGAATACCGCGCAATGCATTAAACAGAGTATGCAGACTATGTCAGTCACAATCTAGAAGTCTCAATTGTTTTCAATGATCCGACTTTCAGATACCTTGTGGAGACAATGTTCTCGAACAGCAGGTATCGAAACCTTCCCTTATTAGACGCAGCGCTCATTAATATTCAGACAATACATTAACTATACTATTTATACTAGTTCTATAATTCTAACAGGCTAACAAACATATTTTAATCTTCATTCCTTCATTCCTTCATTTCAGTGGCGTACTGTTCATTAAATACTGGCTTAGTAGGTGTAAACCTGCTCGGTGATGTTTCCGTACTGGCCGGATCCGAAGGGGTTGGAAGAAGTAACCTCCTGCTCGTTGACATTAGCCACACCGAACCAAGCCAGTTCCTTGCCCTCAACGACGGTAAGGACAGCGAAGGAAGGGGCGGGGTTGGTGATGTATCCCCAAGAGGCGGTGAACTTGGACCCATCCGTGCAAGGCTGGTTGGACCAGCTCTCGGTGGCAGCATCGGAACCAGGCATGCGGATGACGGTACAACGCTCAGTCTTTCCGTCAGCCACGATGGCAAAGTTGTAGTCACAGCCCGTGTTGCCCTCACCGCAGTAGCGGGTCAGGTCCTGGACAGTCCAGGTCTTTCCACTCACGGGGGTGGGGTCGGTATAGGTCGTGGCGCCCTGCGAGGGTGCAGCTGTTGGAGCCACGGTAGGTGTGACAGAAACAGTGGTGGAGAAGTAGGATGAAGGGCAAGAGCCGGGGTGTGCCGGGTTGCATCCACCGGGGATACCGGCAATGGAGGTGAATGTGGGAACGGCTGTCGAAGTTGCAGTTGTGCTGAAGTAGGATGATGGGCACGAGCCAGGATGAGCCGGGTTACATCCACCAGGAATACCGGAGACGGAAGTGAAGGCGGCTGAAGTCGTTGTGGTCGCCGATGTGCTGAAGTAAGACGACGGACAGGATCCCGGGTGGGCTGGGTTGCATCCACCGGGGATGCTGGTGCTGGTAGGCTGCGCCAATGATGCCGTTGCGGTTGCACAGAAGTCGCGGATGCGAGCGCTGTCTTCTCCCAAACAGCTGGTCAAGGTGCAAGAGCATGCGACCTCTGCTGTTCCGGCAGAGATGCACTGCTTGTAAGCATCCTGGCAGGCGTCTTGACGGCGGACAGCCGGTGCAGCAGCGACAACCGACACCAAGGCCAAGGTAATGGCAGAACCCTTGTAAATCATGATTATATGAGGTTGTGTTAAGATTGTCTTAGTTGAGTTGTAAAGAGGAAGTGTCCGGGTATCTTATGATTTACTGTCTTACGGATTGAATATTCCTCGAGATACTGTCTCATCCTTATATAGCCATTCAACCGTGTCTCTTTATTGATAAAATCATACCATATGATGCCTAACCATGAGCTAGAACAGAAGTCTCGATGGCTTGTGAGAGCCACTTGATTCCTGTGCCAACATGTTACGAGTGACTAGAAGTGGACTTTGAAATTATTGATTGGTCGAAGCATGTTACCGTCCCTTTCTAGAAGAAACCCAGCCATTCAACTTTAGAATTTTCGCCATTAAAACTGTTCATCCAGAGGCTGGGACGTCTCCATCTCCTTACCGCCTTGCGGATTGGGACGTTCCAGTGGTTATACGAGACTCCATGACGTGACGGACGTCTATACATGGGAGGAATTATGGGGATCACGTCCGTCAATGACGCCACGTCATAAAGAGATAAAATCAATAGTCTTAAAGCTAAAGAAACACTACGCAGATGTCAAACGAATTGACAGAACTTGGCCTTGCCGATTTCCGCTTTACCTGTATCGTAGATCTAGGATCCACAATCACGAAAGCTTAAGTTCAACACTACCTACGGAGTACGGAGTACGGGGTGTGAAGACTCTCTTAGTCTAGCCGAAAGCAATACCAGATATGATTTCATAGATGGCATGACTGCAATCAAAGCTTGATCATATAGTATCCGCGTAATATGCTGTTCTACGCATAGATCACTACACGTCACTGGCCATGGAGAAAGCCAAGATCCACCCTCTTTGTTTTAAGCTTAAAGTGTTTCGTTTTGGAGGGGGGGGGGACCCAGAAACCTCGGCATCTTCACAACCACGCCAATTAAGCGGGTGCTGCCACTCCTGTGGTGTTGGCCACCGCGCCAGTTCAACTTTTTATATAGTATAAAAGAGATCGGCTAAACCCCTGGGGGGCCTTGCACACCACTTCTCCGGTGTCATTTGGGGGCGCTTGCCGGCTTATAAACATCAGCTTTTCCAGCCTGTTTCCGCCCGTCTGGGGTCGCGCGACGGGTTGCAAGACCTGTTCTTTTCGGTGGTCCTCGGTAGGGGGTTTCGGGTCTTGTGTACAAGGACTGGGGAATGGCAAGAGTAAATGGTAACATAATATCCCCTATAACGTGTTTGTACCGAATGATCCTGCGATATTGACATAGATATAGAAGACTAGTAAAGGTACATATTGACTCATGGCGTTTGAAGTGGCAGTTGCCCAGTGGATTTCCTGGGCCCGAGAACTCGTCGCTGCATCATCTTCAAGAATTGGTATCAGGTGGGTAGTTTATGTCACTACTGATTGTGTGAGCGTTGGCATTGCAATGCTCGACTCTATAATCAACGCAGCAAGAATGCCCATGCCGCTGAAACGAGTTAGTAAGCATGAGTGACAACAAATAAGACGAATAACTGACTATTGTCTGAGCGTGAATCTCAATCCAGGACCCTCTCCCCCAATAGTCTACGGCTTGCTTCATCGAAAACTCAGAAGTCCTGAAGCGGCCTGGGGTTCCTACATGAATTCCACTTTAGCTGCGACAGAGCCTCGATTGCAAGAAAAAGAACGCTGTACGACAAAGAGTCGAGATGAAAGCGACAGCAGTGTTCAAGGCAACTCCATGAGGCCAGTCCGGAACTGGTTCATTCTCGGATCGATACAGCATCCCAATCAAAGCTAGAATGCATGAGACTCTGATCATAGGCTATAGGATCTATTTCCATAACCAATGAAGACCCGGGATGCTAGGCCCGGACTAGGTGCTACTGAGCATGCTCCAGGCTGGTTCGTTGCAAAAGTGCTGGTAGCAACTAACTGGTACCTTTTTCCTGTTACTTTATTACTGGCATATAGGTCGGCGTCATGGGATGTGCCATCATAATAAGGAACAGGACTCTGGCCATCGCGGCCGAAGAGGTGAAAATGTGGGTATTTCCCAATCCAATGAAACATGCTCAGCAGAGTGCAGAGTGCTATCGGGAACGTATGCAGAGTTTGAGAAGTCGTCCTTGCGGTGTTCGAAATCTTGATTAGGATCAGCCATTTTGGCAAGCAGATCTTCTCATACACGCTGGGCTCTCGCAATTATAGTAAGTTAGAATCGCTGCGTTAGAGAGCTGATCACCAAGTAACTTGACAAGTATGCGATGGCTATGTTATGCACTGGTCATAGCACGAACTTATGGTTGACACAGCCGATTTAGCCGATTTTCCACCTCAATTTGCAAGAATCATTCATTCCACAATGCGAGTGTGCATGACCGACGCTATATATGTCAGAACGAAATGATTAGGAATTTTAAGAACAGTAGAACATAATCTTTTTATTCTTAGAGGAGTTTAGGTGACCCCCCCCCCCCCCCCCCCCCCCCCCCCCCCCCAACACACACACACACACACAAGACTTTTCTCTCAAACTTCTAGATAATGATATGCTGAAAGTTATTGGATCGGTTGTAAAGATGAATGACAAAAGCTCAAGGACCACTCGGTCATTGCGATGGCAGAATACGTATTCCCTGCTTTATTTACACAGGTAGGAAGAAAATAATCTGTCAGCGCTGGAATACTAGTGATACCTGAGGTCGCGAAAGCTGTTCATTGCAAGAACTGGCAAGAGTGGCGATAGCCTCAATATTGCCCGATCAGACATGATAGAAGTGTGAGTAAGACTGCCTTTCCACTTGAAAACCTGTTCAAGTTGCGAGGCTTTATTTACTTCACGAGCCAGTTCAGAGCATATCATCGTTTCATTGGCTGTAGTAAAGTAGCAAGGCATTGCGTAGGGCAAAACACTGCATTTCAATATTGATTAACTCAAACGGGACCTGCATACAGATTGACGACTAACATTGGGACTCTTGATTGCTGTGGGTCTTCCGAGCTGACGGCAATACTACCCTACGATGTAGGTGACCGTCAGTTCCAAGCGAGACACATTCCGAGGACTTGGCAACGCCTGTCAAGAGACTTCGCTTTTGTGTTCTCAAACTTCTTGGGCATTGAAAGTCTAATACCAGGCATCATCGCATAGGAAGTTGACCTTTCTAGCAACCAAGATGTTGAATGTGTGTACCCTGTGCATCTCCTTGTGGTACCTTTTCGGCCTATTGCAGCCGCTTCAGGCCATTGCTATACCCCGCTATGCGACTCTGGTTAGCCAGCAGGCTGCGAATACGTCGTACGACTTCATTATAGCAGGTGCAGGACCCTCAGGCTTGACAGTTGCAGATAGGCTCACAGAGGACCCCTCCGGTAAGAAGCATTGATGCTGTGATACCAACTTTACAGACTAACACACAAGTAAAGTGTCTGTGTTAGTGATTGAGGCTGGTCCATTCGATCAGGGAGAAGACAATGTCTTGATCCCTGGGGATTTCCCGCCGTTCCAATACTTCTGGCCTGGATTAAACAGTGAACCACAGACTGGGTTGAATAACATCTCGTATTCGTCAATATGTGGTCGTGTGGTCGGCGGTGGGTCTGCTGTTAATGCGATGGTATACCTTCGAGGCGGTACAGATGACTTCAGTAATTGGGAGTCTCTGGGCAGTGAAGGCTGGGGATGGGATGGAATGATTTCTTATTTCAAAAAGGTATGGAGGTCAGATGATATCACTCGATGTCTAGGTCGCTAATTTCTTGACAGAGCGAGAATTTCACGGTTCCTGACGCAGCTTATGCGGCCGAGGCAAACATTTCCTATATCGACGAAGTCCACGGCCATGCAGGACCTGTCCAGGGAAGCTATCCACCATATTTCTTCCCGGGTAGTGGTGAGTTTGCCCTTAGAATGATTCACTTGAAATACTAGTGGCCAGTCTGATGCGAATCAAAACCGTACAGGCAAATGGTGGCAAGCTGCCTTGGATTCAGGAATCAAGGAATCCTCGGACCCGAATGGTGGTGACAACACCGGCATATTCTTCTTTCCTACCCTCCTGGACCCAGTTAACGGAACTAGAAGTTACGCACGTATTAATCATTTTGAAAGAGTCAAGGAATCGCGGCCTAACTACCACATTCTTGCAGAGCACACAGTAGGTAAGGTGTTGTTCAGCGGAACGAGGGCTGTTGGTGTCGAGTATCTGCCTAGCGCAGGAGGCAGCATTTCGCAAGTTTCAGCAGCGAAGGAAGTCTTATTAGCAGCAGGAGGGGTGCACACACCGCAAATTCTTCAGTTGTCCGGCATTGGATCCAGCAATGTCCTTGAGTCACTGGGTATCTCAACAGTGTCAAATCTTCCTGGAGTTGGTCAAAACTTCCAGGATCACGCAACTCTGACCATATCATATAACTGTAAGCAAGAAACAACAGGCACATTGACGCAAGCAAGCATAGTAACTTTTCAGTCACGGACAACGTGACGCCTAATCAAGGATCGCTCGACACCGATGCCATATACCGTGCAGAGCAACTCGAGCTATATGAAGAGAAGCATAAGGGTGCTTTCACTATCGTCCATCCTTTGAGCACTAACATTGCGTCTATTTCGCTGTGCAATGCGACCAGTAATTGTCAGACTATAATCGATGGGCTGGCCAATCAAGATGCTGAACAATATTTACCAGCGGGTACTGACCTGACAGTCCTCAAAGGGTATGAGAGGCAGCGTGAACTTTCCCTAGAGAGCTTGCAAAGATTTTCTTCGCCCATTGGACAGATACACTGGAGTACAACAACCACCGCGACGCTATACTTCGTCAAGCCATTCAGTCGTGGCACTATCAACATTAACAACACAGACCCTCTTGCTAATCCTGTCATTGACTGGCGCTCGATGACGAATCCCTCTGACTTGGATCTCGTTCTAGCTCTTTTCCGCAAACATCGCGACATCTTCTCTCAACCTTCCATGCAAGCCTTAGGGCCAATTGAACTTGCTCCTTTCGGCGATGAATTGCAGACCGATGAGGAACTCAAGGCAGCTCTCCGTGGATCGATCAACCCCAGTAATGCACACCAGTGCTGCACAGCAGCTATGCTGCCGCAACAGCTAGGAGGTGTAGTCGATGATCGCCTCAAAGTATATGGAGTCCAGGGGCTACGGGTTATTGATATTAGCATATGGCCAATGATCACTTCTGCCGCGCCCACAGCCACTATGTATGGCCAGGGTGAGAAGGTGAGTACAATCTTGAAATCATGTCGAAGGTCTTGCCGTTCCTGACAACCCCCATAGATAGCAGATATCATAAAGGCACAGTACTCGATTGTTTAACAGCATTGCCAAGACACACGACCACGCGCAAATAACCATGAATACATGGTTGGATGTTACCGACTTCTTCTTCTTCTCAGTTTCAAGGTCATTACCGCTGAGCTCTCCGGCAACGACATAGAATAAGAGTTGAATCGAATGGACGTGGTAAAATAAATTTAGTCGTTAAGTGCGAATTTAGTTTGTATAAAGTCCAACAGTCGTCTTGATCAGACCATGAACTAAGACAGCCGATAAGTCGCAATCGGAAAGGGGGCTGCTTAGAGAAATAGGGCACTCAGAACCACAGTCTAGGAAGCTACTTCAATTCATATACTCCAATTGCTTTGAGATATTGTAGAGCACATGGGACCAGTTACCAACAAATTCCATTCAGCTCGTGGAAGTCCAAATATGGGGAAGTATCTCGTGCTCTATATGATCGTTGACTATTTGTAAAGTACAGATCATATACAACTCAGGGTAATATGCATAACAAAGGATTTACACCCAGCCGCTAACGATGCGTAGGTATAGTTGTTGTGGGCCGTTCCATAGCAGGCGGTACGACGTATTGCTGCAATGACTGCGGTCGGTTTTCCCAATGGTTATGCCCGATGGATGTTCCCTCCACAAACAGAGCTCCTCGGTCTCGCCTTTTTCTTTTCTTCTTCTTCTCAACAAGAGCATACAAACCCCCATAGCTGTCACGTTGACCCAAGAATGCCGGTGCGTCAATTTAGAGAAGATACAGCAAAATGGTTGCCATTAACATTGCCTACACTGCGCCAACGCAAGTATGGGCCGGACTGGAGCGCAAAGTCCGCCGCGCACAAGACTTCGTGCCTATCATCATTTCCTGTGATCTCCTGTCAGAAGAGCAGACCGAGAAGGGGTTCACTATAACACGCAAGGTCAAATTCAAGGGTGCAGGGCCCAAGGGTGATGGATCGTCTGTCACAGAAGTCTGCGCGCATTATGCGCCATCGCGCGTAGACTTTGAGCAGGACAACGGCAGTTTTATCAGCAATATCGTCAGTAAAGGTCCAGATGGTGAATTGTTGATGACTTATTCCTTTGCGTGGCTCCATCCCGACGTTGCGGAAGGAAGCAATGAAGTGGAGAAGTCAGAGGCAGAGCATTGGAAGGTAAGAGCAAATTTTTTTTTAATGATAGCAAGAGGTCTTGAAACATACTGATTGAATTTTCAACAGACGGCTAAGATGGCAGTTCACGGCAGTATTGACACAATTCGACGACTGGTTAAAGATGGGGTGGTCAACTGAGGCGACTAACTTGAGGCTGTACAGTATTCGGGTATTGTTCAATCGTCCGTTCTAAGGTATAGAGTCGCGCTAAGAAGGGTTTGTTCAACAACAAGCTCGGCTAGCTCAGTTGGTTAGAGCGTCGTACTAATATTACTCATGAGTAATATCAAGTTAATGCGAAGGTCCTCAGTTCAATCCTGTGGCTGAGCAATATTTTGCATTTTGCTGCATTGTGTTGATTGTATTCATATTCGCATGGTGAACCATGTTTTTGGACCATCAAACATTTCTAACATCTCTGGCTCGAGTCATTGCTCCTTGTTCACCCAAACCTCAGCCTCGTTGGACAATCATGCCTAATAATGAAATCTGAGAGGTTAACTTACGACAAGCAAGACATATTGCCAATTAACAATGCATATATATAGAATGGTATGTAAACGAGAATACTCGTATCGGTTACTGATCACTTGCCTTCGTCGCATGTCGTCACATGTCAGGACACATCATTGAGTAACACATATGTGATATGAAGTGGACGGTTCCAGATATGCTGCCAGCAGAACTACCCGAAATTGATGGTGCATGCCTTTGTATATGGCAAGTCCCATGGGCTCACCTGATTGTTGTAATGAGTGCCGCGTGTTCACCGGTCGTCCCCATCGAGCTGCTATTAGACACATGAATAACAACAGCGAGATTATTGTGCATCATCATCGCTGCTATCACCATCACATCACATACCAATTATCCAAGACATCGCAGAAAGCACAGTTAAGTCCTGTACACCAACAAATAGGGTTATGACATCCCCATGGCATTGTAAATACCACAGTGGTTATTCCACAAGGCATATCGTCGATGCCTATTTTCTTTAACCCGGGAGTTCTTCGAAGCATCATCGTCTCATCCAGAGCAAAGCTCCGTCGCGTAACTCTCCTCCCTGTTTCTCTTGTATGTTGGGGCAAAAGTCCTGTTACAATTCCACGCATCTGATCTCTTACAGCAATCATTGATTCTGATCATCTGGTCTTTGCCACATCAATTGAGTACGTCAGAACAAGCTTGTAACTAAAACAATTTTTCTCCTCAACAATCTGCAAGCGCGGATTGCAATCCTTCAGCATCACACCTTCAATCCCACACATCGCCCAGCAGGACATCATCATCCACAATGCCATCTGATGTGGAGAACGCCATGGTTTTGTGCCAGGTGCTTGCCAACTCTACCATTCAGCTCAAACTGGGCGATCTAGCCTCAATCCTTGGTGTTCATCAAGGAAGCACGTAAGTCACACGTTACCTGGAGACTCTCTTGTCAAGCACCACTTGTACTCGATACAAACACCAGATATTATTATACCTCATTACACTAGTACTGCATATTACCTTATCGGACTTTTCCCTTCTTTCTTTCCCCTTCTTGTTTGAGCATACTGGTGGAATTGTGTCACAATAATACCTCAATTTCTGCAGACCACTAAATATAAAGTTTACTTAGCTCTCGTAAGATCAATGCAGCCGTCAAGCCTTATGGCTTCGAGTTCAAGGAAGGAAAGGTCGTCAAGGTCAACGGTTCCACAAATGTCAATGCTGGCAACGGCAACAACAGCAGCAGCAACATCAACAACAATGATGAGGCCTCCGCTGCCACCTCCAAGAAGCCAGCCCGTGGTCGCAAGCGAGCTAACCACGCCATGACCAAGGCTCCTGTCGTCTCCAAGAAGCAGAAGTCCAAGGAGGAACAGGACGGTGCTGAAGTCGACGTCGAGGATGGCATTGATGAGGGTGCGGCCTGATCGGCATTTTCCACCTGTTTCCGATCTCACTTGCTCTGGTTTATTGATCCTGTAAGTCGTCCCATATCTGAACCCACATATATGTGTAGGTTTGGTGCATTAACAAAATATTAGCATTTAGGCAGCACAGGTCTGTCGGATCTAGAGAGGAAACTTTAGGAACTGATGCATGATACCTAGAATTCGTTTGGTACTGCTTGAACGATTGGTCACTTCTTAGGTATAGCACTAGCCTATGGTAGTCACCTTGATGAAAATGAGATAAGAAATTTCAATATGAACTCTTTACAACTCGGAGGCACAGAACGTGAAGTCTCAATTAGTTGCACCATCACGATCTGAGCTAGTCATGCGTTCCAAGCTACTTGGATGCCTAAAGAAATTACATGTTGTGATCCCATTGTCGTTATGAGCATCGTCTAAAGATGATAGATATGAATGTCTTTGGCTCAAGAAACTACAAGCATGGGAGAGTCAAACCTGTGGACTAAATAAGCCAGGGCCACTTAGATACCTACTGCAGGCTGTGGACAAATGGTGCATTTCGATGACCAGTATACAAGATACAGTTGTTGCTGGCTGAAAACTGGTTCATTAGTAGCAATAATAAGTCAAATGGTCTCTGTAATCAACAAAATTCGCATAGATTCATGATTCGTGAAAATAATAACAATGATGAAGACACAGCTGCCCAAGGTAACCCTACCGGACGACCTTGCTGAACAATTCTGGCTCAATAATGGGATTAACTGAATGACTGTATGAGAAATCACCGGCAATTTTGTGCCTGACTGGAGTGCGAGCGAGATTGCGTCAACGAAGGTGAGAGACGCAACAATAATCCAAGGTAAACAATGCCTAAGATTTCTTCTATGAGCTCCCCCACTGTGAGCTTTATCAATGCCTGGCTGAGAGCTCCTCCGAAAGCTTTCCCAACATCCAACAACACCTCACCGAACAAACCTCCAACCCCCAAAAAATATCACTTCAACCTCATGAGCTCCCCAAACCTCAACCACGTAACATTACACACACACACACACACACACACACACACAAACCCATAATTTACTACACAACGTCACCATGGCACCAAAGACTCCTAAGTCCGAGGGCAGGGCCGCCGATGATGGTGCAAATATCATCGCTTTGTGCCATCTCATCATGGCCTGCGAGGACTTCCATGCCGATAACGCTACGCTTGCTCCCATTCTCAACCTCGCTCAAGCCAAGAATGTGTCAGTATTGTATTCTCTTCTTCTTTTTCTCTTTCGTTTGAATTAATTTGAATGTCATTCACATTGGCGAGTACCGACTTAACTCGATTTGTCTTCTGTAGTCCCCGAAAAATCAATACCATTGTCGGTCCCTACGGCTTCGAGTTCAAGGGAGGCAAGATCATCAAGAAGGGCGATGGTGGCGCCGACGGCCCATCTGAGCCTGCCACACCCGCTGCCGCTCCTTCGGGCGAGCAGATTGCCGTGGCTGTCACACCTCCTGCCAAGAAAAAGAGCAAGAAGCCCGCTGCCACTCCGACCAAGAAGCGCAAGCTTGACGAGGCGGTTGCTGTCGCCGCCGACGATGATCTCGATGAATATGAAGTCTGATTTTCAAGTCGTACGTGAGACTGAGACTGAACCTCGTTGTTTCCAGCGCATGCTAATATTTTTCGGCACCAGATTTCTTATTCTTAGTATGCATACACCGCATCAACAAGAAAATCGTGAATCAGTATCCGGAAGAGGGCTTTCCTCGACACAATCGACGTATGTGTTCATACAAGCGCGTCTTTGCTTCACAAGCCGAATGACTTTGGTTTGGCGTACGTGAGCCCGCACCATACTTCCATACACAAGTCAGCTGACCATATCAGGAACATTCGTCGCCCGACACCGCCATGGTTTGCAGGGATTTCGGAATGGTTTGGAGACTGTCTACCCAGCTTAGAACCTTCAGATTCGTTACGATAGTTCTGTCAGTTTGCAAATAGATTCAGCGCAGCGGTTGGCGTGCTGGACATAGTTTCTTTGCACTGGTTGAGCCTATAATAAACAATGGATTTCCTCAAACTCACGCATGCACACAACATTGCATTCCAACAGTAGTAAGCTCATCGCCGAGCTCACAGGCCCCCATGTAGCCCTGACCTGACATCCACGGTTCTCCGCAATTTCGTACTTCTGTTTAATGAGCAGTGGAGCCTAACATCAGCACTTGTAGGACCACGCTCACATTGTGAGCCAATCAAGGCATATGTTCCAAATGACCGCCATGATGCCATAAATGGCACCCTCCGCAGCATACACAGTGCGCCGAAACGGATGAGGCTCGGAATTCGAAATATATCCCCGGTTGGTGGGCCGAAAGAGCGGCGCATGGTGGGACTTTGTCAGCGCAGTAGATCGCAGCATTACTCATAGTCATGGCAACCACCGAAGACGGCAATGTGGTTTGAGCAGCTGCGCGATACGGTGACTCGAAGAAGTAGGGGGTCATGAGTGGTATTCAACATTTATACTCTGTTCTAAATTCAAGTGGTATCTCTGGGGCGATCTCATCGCGCTTTTCCACCTCAATATTCTATCCTGTCTGGCATAGACTTCACACCATATAGACACTAGCAAATAAGAAAATAACTTGTAATCTTTACAAATCATTAAAACGCCTGTTCTTCAAAAACTTCATGAACGCACAACTACCTGTGGGAGGATATATCGCTGCCAGGTGCTTCGTGGACCTCACGAGGGGTTTGTAAGGTGGTCGGCATCTCATTCTGTTGTGTCTGGTAATTCGTTGGCAGCTCTTGCGGCGCGGCGCTCATGCCACCGGGTAGTTCAGCAGTGTATTGTTGTTGCGGGTATCCTTGTTGCACATAGCCCTGCTGATAGCCACCGCTATGTTGAGGTGGGATATAACTCCCTTGCGAAGGATCGTACGTGCCGTTCGAGGAAGCTTGGTACACCGAGGCATGTTGTTGGTGGGGGCTGTAGATAGTTGGCTGCGTCATGTTAGGAGAGGCCGGGTTTTTGACCGGCTCATAGTAACCGTGCTGCGGTGTCTGACTGTTGATGGCGCCAGGGTAGGCTGGGTTGCTCGGGGAAGAGGAGGCGCTTGCTTCCTTAGCTGCTGCTCGGCGTCGGCGGAGAAAGAAGAATAGCAGGGCACCCAAGCCGGCGAGGGCTGCCAAGCCGACACCTACACCAATACCTGCTTGTGCTCCGGTAGATAGGCCGCTCGAAGTCGAACCGATGCCGCCGGTATCAGAAGAAGCAGTGGAAGTTGCAGCACCGATGGTAGCAGATGGGCTGACCTCGGCAGGAGTCAGAGCTTTCCAGGATCCAGACCAAGACTGCTTCCAGTCGTTGGCACTAGCTTCGATGGTCTTGTCGCCACTGGCGAGAGTAATGATGTTCGGCGACGGAACGTTGGGGCCAGGTGCTTGTGCTACAAACCAGGTCTTGCTGCCCCAGTTGGCTCCAATGAAAGCATCCTGGAGGAAGGCACGGCCAAGTGTGTATTGCTTCGAGGGACCGCTGTAGCAAGGAAAGTACTGTGTTTTCGAGGATACGAGCGGTGCTTCCAGGGTCAAATTGAGATGGCGGAATGGTACGGCGATTGTGACCTGGTCGGTGTTTGAAGTGCCGCTAAACGTGAAGTTGAGGGCTGATGCTGAGTTGACAATTTGGGTATATTTGGCGTCGTCCGTGTTCCAGATGTACAGCCCCAAATCCTCATTCAAGGTTACCGGCAGATGGGCGGCGATAGCCTTGCATGTCGATGTGGGCAAAGTCAAGTAGGGGGAACAGCCGTCGATGCGTGTCTTGAGGCCACCCGAGATTGATGAGTTGCCCTCGGCCAAGAGCCCGGTCTGAGAGGTACCAAAATCCCACGGAGAAGACCCATCGATGACTGAAATAGAGATGTCGTTCAGCGTAAGCTCGTTGCCGATGTCGCCCGTTCCACCCATCGTCAAAATCTCTCCCACAATTCTGTTTTGGTCGTATCCACCATAATACAACGACCCAGCCATCTTCGGGTTAGCCGACCCAATGTGCATTCCGAACGAGTTCGAGGCAATCTTTTTTTGTGATGAGAGATAGCCAGGAATCAGACTGGCATTGATAGCGGGGCCTCCACCTGTTGAGAAACTCTGATTCACAGTATCTGGAGCACCAATGCCCAAGCAACCCACGCTTAAGGGATACCAGGAGCCGCCTGGGTACGAGGCGTACGCGTTCGAGATCAGTGCCATTGAGACGTTGGGAATAGTCGTGCTCAACCCATCTTGAAGATCCATATAGTCGATCCATGATGTTGCAGACGCACCAGTTACATTCAATCCAGCCACTAGCAAAATGTCGTTAGTCTTCTTCTGATGACCCCTCACAGCCTGGAACAAAGTAAGTACATACTATAATCGGGCCCTGGGGTGAACTGGATTTCTCCTGCAGATCCTGTATTATCAAGCATGGACTGTGCTGAATTGTATAGACCCGCTTGACTGGCATAACACGGCAACGAGCTGTTGTGTGTGCAATAATCACTCGTCAATAGAAAGCTCTGGTATTCGTGTCCAGGATACAGGGCAATCTTCTGAGCGTCTCCCACAACAAGCTCGACAGCTGGCCAGGGACCATCGGGACCAAACGTCTGATCTGACCATTTTGCTGCAATAGGGTCCACTGCTGCATGGACTGATGTTAGGAGTGATAAGTATGAAAGCAAAGACGCTGGCAAAGATAATGATAAAGGCGCCATGGTGGAGGGCATCATTTCTTAAGTGAGCAATACAACCATTCAGTCAGCCAACACAGAGGATGTCGGGAAACGAAACAGAAGAAATCTCAAACTAGAGGAACATATGGGAAGAAGGAAGGAGATCCTCAAAATAGTCCTGAGCTCGGTGCTCACGCGATAGAAGAGGATCCAGCAGATTGGGCTGGTCTCCACAAAGTGCAGAAAGTCCCTAGCCATCAACAACAGAGTGTGGTACGGATCCGTACATATGGTGCAGAAAGATGCCCCCTGCCATCACATTCGACCTAGTCTATCTCTCGGGTTCATGAAGAGCCTGGGCGATCTGGTCTCAGAGTGGCTACGACACAGTAAACAGCCAGCGCCTAAACGAAAGGTCCACTCCGCCATCGAGCGCCAACCAAATGACCCAAGTAGAGGCCATGACGGGGGTTGACATGTTGTGGCAGTGAGGCGCAATTCTGTGTTACAGTGTGACCGTCGGTTGCGATGCATTGTTGAAGGATTCGAATGCCTGGAATCTCTAAACAAAATACAGAAAAGCGCCGTGCCCCAAAGCCTGGGGGGTCCCTGTCTCAGAGCCGCACCAGCACCGTTTTATTTCCACTAGTCTAGTCTAACGTTAGTATCGCTAACCTTCAAATTTAAGCCTATCTTATGCTTCAAGAAGAAGAAGAAGAGGTCCAAGTGTTCGTGGTCAGGCAGATATCAACAAAGCCGGTTTGGAATATAAAGAGCGAATAGGTGTGTTTTCATGATGTGTTCAATGCTAGCTTTCGTGACTCTAGATGTCCGGCCGGTCCGCTTCTCAAGGCCCTTTGGAAGATCGGATGCTTGTCGACACACTTGACGAAAATACCCGACGTGAAGGAGGGCTGTACCCGACCTTTAGGAGGTATGAGGGCTGACACTCGTTGCTAATCGAATCCGGTTAACGGGGACTTTAATACATACATTTCAGCGTAGCGTTCTTTATCATAACTACAGTACATATGAAGGCCACCGTGGCCATCATCGTAGCTGTTATCGTGGGTGTTATCGTTGTTATTATCGTGATTATCTTCTCATCGGGTCCTTTTCTTTGTATGTTATGTCACCATTATACTGAACCATCTGTGTCAAATATAATGCGCCCCCTTCCGGAAAATGCAGGCTCGCTGCATAGTACACGGATGGCTCGTTGTGCGGAGCACCCTCCAATGAGCTAACCGTGATATTCTATTTTTGGCAACCCTTTCGAAGGAAGCTGGTTAAAATTACAGGTTGATCGCTGCTCCTTCCGAGCAACCACGGCGTAGCCCTACAAGGTTTACATTCCTTGGCTGAGCGAATCTTTCGGCCGCTAGTGGGTGGAGTTCATCTCGCGCCATGATCAAATGTGGCTTTTGTACCTCATGAAGAACGCTTGTCTTGACGCCTGTGCTGCATAACATGTAATCGTATCATCATCGAGAGACAACGACGTCGAGGTTGACATGCACTGTTCTGCTTTGTCCAAGTGTTATGCACGGTTATGTGTGTGTTAGCCTTGCGGACGCTGCTCAACAGGCACCTAGAATGGGAATATTGTCATGGGCTTTAGCACAGCAGACAACCGCTAATGGCTTTCCACGAGCTCGAGCCACCTATTTCTTGCGAGAAGGATCAAGCTAGCTCGCTAGACCATATATAGCGGGATAGTGATGAGAGCGCTTGGCCTCTGGTAAGAGCCTGCAACAATCCTTCAGACTTCTCGGTACACCGCTTGCATTGAGTTCCTTGGAAGGGGCCATGAGACAATGCCGCATTGTCCGACCCTGTGGGACAGGGGGGGCCAAATGAATAAGAACAGCTGTGTCGTGTCGGCTTGCTCTCACAAAAGAGCCACATGCAAGAGAGACGGGAGAGGCGCTGGCCCAAGATTGTGGAACGTGGAGAATGGCAAGCTGCCTACAATGTACACTTTACTCCATACTTGTGCTGCCTGCACCTTAAATTAGTCCTAAGTTCGGTCACTTTTAGCTATAGTCGTTTCGAAGCACAGTGCTCTGGTGCCCCCGAGATCTTGTCTTGTACTGTGAGGGCTCCCCAGACTGTCGGAACAACTGCATATGCAACGGCTGGCTATAGCTGAGTTGCAGCGATGTCACCTTGGTCGCTGTCCAGCAGCTTCCGCCGGATACCAGCCAGCCAGCAGCCAGCAGCCAGCAACCAGCGTGACCCCAGCTATTCGACTCCACTAAATTAAATGATCAGAGACCAGACAGTACTTGGTATGAGCGGCAGCGCTTGTAACTTATGGAGTAGTTACCACTGCCCGCTGCCCACTGCCCGCTGCCTGACTTAAGTTGTTGCTTTGCGACCCGTCAGCCGCCAGCCCCCATTTTCATTTCCATGCTTACCTTTTAGAGACAGTACAACATTAACTAACACATTGCAACAACTGCGCATTCTCAACGCTGATCCGGACCCGGTCGCCTCAATGCGATTGACAGCATCATCAGTTCACGGTTCTCCATAATCCAAACTCAACCGAATCATTCGGGCACAAGATCTGCGGCGCAACCCGCCCCCGACCACATCCAAAATGGCTCCGCTCTGGAGTTCCTTGTCCTCGTTATATCAGCAATACAGCCCACTGCCCACGGGCGAGTCCTCGAATGGCACACCCGATTCTTCTCTCAACTCCCTCAAAGTCCGCCCCAGTATAGGCCAGATCCTCATGTCCAAGAGAGTGCGGTACGCCGGAACAGCCATTGCGGCGCTCGGGCTCTTCGTCCTGGCCTTCAGAAACTACGACTCCCTGCCCTCCCTCGAGACACTCAAGTCAGGCTACGGTGCCGTTGCCTCGAACCCCAACTCAGATTGCCCCGTGGCATCCATACCTGCCTCTTATGACGATAGCCATATCAACTGGCACAGATACGCCTACACACAATATGTCACAAACCAGGCCTATCTGTGCAACTCGGTCATGATCTTCGAGACCCTCCAGAGGCTGAAGAGCAAGGCCGACCGTGTCATGATGTACCCCGAAACCATGATGGATCCCAAGGCCACAAGTGGAGCGACCGAGGAGCAGAGGCTCTTGATCAAGGCCCGCGACAAGTACCAGGTCAAGCTACAGCCGGTCGCTGTCCAGAAGCGAATGGGTGGTGACTGTAAGAACATGACAATCCGGACCCCCAAACACCTCTGAGCATTGTACTAACCACGTGTCTGCACAGCGACTTGGGCCGAGTCCTTCACCAAGCTCCTCGCCTTCAACCAAACCCAATACGAAAGAGTCCTGAACATGGACTCGGACGGTACAGTTCTCCAACACATGGACGAGCTATTCCTTTTGCCCCCGTGCCCTGTAGCCATGCCCAGAGCATACTGGCTGTTCCCCGACTCCAAGATCCTGTCTTCGCAACTCATGCTGGTTCAGCCCAGCGCCGTCGAGATGGACCGCATCATGAAGAAGATGGACGAAGCAGGCAAGAACGACTACGACATGGAGATTGTCAACCAGCTCTATCTGGATCAAGCGATGATCCTGCCTCATCGTCCCTACGATCTGTTGACTGGCGAGTTCCGGGGTAGCAACCACGAAAAGTATCTAGGCACAGATAGAGAAGAGTGGGACCCCCTCAAAATCTACAATGAGGCCAAGTTCTTGCACTTCTCCGATTGGCCTGTGCCGAAGCCCTGGATCCCAATGCAGGACAGCATGCGCAAGGACAAGCAACCAGAGTGCGTGCAGAAGGATGGAGCCGAGGACTGTACGGCCAGGCAGCTTTGGAATGATTTCTACAACGACTTTGCTAAGCGGCGCAAGGTAAGTTCCATCTCTAGAAAGGAACACACAAGGACTGTCGGATTGCTAATCACCGCACAGGACGTATGTAACACCAAGCCTTCCAGGAGGTAAATCGGATAGTGCTCTTTGCCTGCGATATCATCATGAGAGCGATCATTCAAAAACGTGTATATTTAATGTGGCATGATATGATTAGATACCAAGAAGCCAGTATGTTTTTGTGGCATACATATAGCAACTTTTTTTGTTCAGGAGCCCTCTCCAAAGATCTCATAACTACAATTCATCATTGCCATGCTCTGTCAATGCACCACTAAAATTGAAAAACCTTTTCTCACAACACGCCGAAATCTATCCTTGAGATCTAGTAGAGCTACCTTCTTTGCAGAAGATGCGACTAGAATTTGGAACACAGCCCAATACTTTATAAGGGCCTGCGAGCGTGGAGACGGATAGATACAGCAAGGGGTTCGCATCTAGAAAAGGCACAATGCAGCAAATCATGCATGCCGTCTGCCGACTTGCACCTGCTGTTACCTCGGCCCGTCCTGGCAGCCACCAAAGGGGACGATGCATATCGATTTGCCCCTCCTTTCGTCGCATTATTTTCAGGCGTCCGTCTCGCTTTCTTTCCGCCATGACCTGCTCGAACGCTGCTAGGGAAGAGTAGCCGTTTTTCGGCATTAGAGCTCGTTGCAGCAAGTCTGAATCTCACCTATGGAGACCGGCAGGCTTCTCGGCGACCTTATGCAAGTGGTATCCCACTAAGGTTAGCTGTTTCTGTGATTTGGCAGCTTTCGCAGATTTGGCGAGTGCATGGTCTCGTCAACTTTCATGGTGTGAAGAGCGTACAACGAACTTTGAGCACATGCCCACTAAAATCTATCTATCATGGACCTGTCCTCCGCAGTTAGTTTGGCTGGCACTGTTGTCTGACTCTGATAGCCTCAATGAGCTTGTGTCGGATTGTTCAGATCTCTCCGATGATTTACTTGACGTCTCAAAGGCCTTTCAGGCTAAGACACCCTCAAGGCGCGAGGCTTCCAAGGTGGTGCTGAAGCACTTCTGTGAGGCCGACGAGATCGAGCACATGCTAACTTGGTTGAGCGAACAGAGTGCCTTGCTTGATCGGCGAGCTCAACATGTCTACCTTTCTGATATCAGGCAAAAGCTTGACGTTCAATGCAGAGGTGCGAGATCACAGAGCGCAGCAATCTAAACGCTTGCAAGCAAATATGAAAGCTCTGTGACATGACGTTCATGCAGTATCACTTGATATCGAGATTTCGACACAACTCAAGCAACTCTTCACGCTGTCCAATGACATAATTACAACGCACGAGAGAGGATTATACGCGAGCGCCTCAGGCTGAGAGAATCGATGATCACTACGAGCAAGGTCGCACTCACCTCCGAACACATCATCGAGTGGAATTTGAGCCGGGCGATGCAGTTACCGCAGAATACCTTGAACATTTAAGGCCGAGGCACGCCACAGCTTAGAAGTTTGGCATATGGTTCAAAGGGTGCCCAATTCAGTCTCCCACGTACTTGGCAAGCCCGGCAGCACAAAGTCGATACTGACGAAGCACCCTTTCGAGTCACGAGAAAATGAGATTACCGTAGGGTTTCAAGAGTGAGTTGCCAAAAGAGCTCTTGTGTTATGCATTTCATTTTTAAAGGCTGGAATTATGATGCAAAGGTCTGTTGATGGTCTGGTTCGTTCGGTAAATTATTCAATCATGGTGGGTAATCTGGAACTTATATACATGATGATTGAACCGCATTCTATACGTTTTGAGGGACGAACAGTCTAGAGGGTGTTCGAAATGATCATTGATCAATAGAAGTTGGACGACCACTGCTTCGAATTGGATTTTGTAGACGGTCTAGACGAGTTCGACCCGTGATTGCCCAGTCTTTGAGGAGAATATTGCAACTTACCCACGTCTGCGCCTTCAGCAAGTCGCACAGGCATGACTCTTCGCGTTCGGTTGATGAACATTTTGAAGATAGATTCACTTGCTGAAAGACTGCTAAACAGTGAGGCCAAAATGCGGAGTCGAAAAGCGCTATTTTCGAGAAATCGGTCGGGGTGTCTCTTTGGGTGGCATTAGTGTGTTGTAATATCGAAGCAGAGCTCGTGAATGGAGATACTTATAAAAACCTAGAGGTGAGAGTATGAGCCTACGGACGGAACTTGAGGAATTGTCCACAGAGCTCCTACTTCGTGTCAAGCATTTCGATCAACAGTATCGCTACGGATCCTTCGACTTCTTTCGGAAACTAGGGGAATGGTCTCTTACACCGCCCTCGAGTTCTTGTTCATTGACAACGCCATAGGCGGTTGAATTGATCCACTCTTTCCAGGTACAAAAGCCCCGAGATTGAAGTTGAAGCTTGGGTAGAGCAGCAGTTCGCAAGTTTACGCAGGCGAGGTCAAGGTCACTTCTTGGGCCTCCGATATGATTTTTTCTACTGCTAAAAAGCGCACGTCTCTGAATTACAGGACTCCTGCAATTCACTCAACGTTCAGTCGCAAACTTTCTTATATCCAAAATTGCAACAAGCATCCTTAGCAATCTGCATACCAGCTTCAACTGGTACACGGCTTTGTATGTTGCAATTAACAAATGGCGTATCGTTTCTGAGACACCCAAATACCTTACGCCTCCATACCGTTTAGCGCCATGCCTCCACAGGGTCTACTGGCTTCAATGATGGGAACGGCTCCATCTTCTTCGTAAATGACAAGGAGTCTACCATCAGCATCCTCCGATGGTGTCCATTCTCTTGCACAAGCGGAGTAGAGAACCCTACGTGCGCAGCGCCCTACATGACTGCTTCGTGAAGATTTGCCGAAGTTGTGCGCATATTTGCTGGCGCTGGGATTCATCAGAACGTATTCTGGTATTCCTACTTAACGAGCAGCTTCACAGGTTGTAGTACCGCTAAATGGGATGATTCGTTATTTTTGACGACTCTACGGGGCCGATAAACGTCGAAAATGCTCCCGGTTGAACGATGACAGCCACAGCTGAAATGGGAAAAATTAATTGCTGCTTCTGTTGATGGGATTGATACAGCAGGCTCTGTTATTGCGACTACAACAGCCACTGAAACGGCTGTCATCAAAGCCATCTAGGTTGTCGCAGTTGTGGCGCCTTGGAGCAGCTGTGATGAACTCTGCCTCTGATCCCGCTACACAGGCATGCCATATTCAGTCATCCCTGTTGAAACCCGCACATATGAAGGAATGTCTTCTGCAGTAGGCCATGTTGAAAGACCTGATCTTTCGTTCATTGCTATCGTGGAGATCGGCTTATATTTCCTATTATTCGATATTGTGCAGCCAAAAGAAAAAGAAAAGAGAAAAGGACGAACAGGGAGTAGCAAAGTCTATGGTATCACAGCTGTAACGCAATAGAAGTAAGTCCATACTCCAATGTCTGCAAACTTGATAACAGATAATATGTTAATCAACTCTAGCGCTGCAATAAAACACGACTTGAAGAAAGCCTACGGTGTGCCGCGTGGCTCGGTCATACTTGGCATAAACTTGTTGACTCAAGTTGCTTCTAAGTGGTTCGGGTTTCTCGCGTTCTTCGTTAAGTCTTGGGCCGCGAACTCGAATATGGTAGAATATGGGGGGCACTAAAAGGCAGGTGGAGCACGACTGCGCCTTGTGCTTCGGTGCTATGCGATTTTTCGTATTTATACGAAAAGTGCACCTGTCGCATCCGATTTCAATAATCGTAGAAGTAGTTGGATGGATATCCAAGTTGCTGGGTTAAACGACTCATTAATCTTGGTTATATCCTGCATACCTTTTGTCGACTGCCACGGTGCTATGGCATTGGCATTCTATATTGCACAACTGATGATGCACTTAGTATGCTCTGCTTAGTCTTCCTTCCCAGTACTAGCAACGCGCATCTTTAAGAGACGATCGATACTGCCAAACAATTATATCCGAAATGACCATGAGCAAGACGGAACATAGATTCTTGGAAATCCCAAATATATTCTCGACATCTCACCAGCCGTATCGCGAGGACCTCGACCTATTTGAGCCAGACCCGAGGCTCTCATCGACGCAATCTATAGCACCCTCGTCCATCTGCAGCAGTAATGACTCCCGGCGTCGATTGCTCATAGTATACATCCACGGTTTCATCGGAAACGACAGCTCTTTTCAGTCTTTTCCTGTCCACGTACACAGATATCTCAGGATACACCTCGCCGCGACGCATGTAGTACACTCCAAGATATATCCAAGGTACAAGACATACAAAGCTTTCCATCTGGCCCGGGATAATTTCAGCCGATGGCTCAGTGCTCACGAGTCTCCTGACACGGATGTTGTCCTGGCTGGCCACTCAATGGGGGGTTTAGTGGCCGCGGATGTTGTTCTGATGGTGAGCAGCTTGCCTTCGTTCCCAAATATCGTACCATATCACTGAACAAGGAAATCAGCGAGAGCGGAGAGCAGATGGCAGCTGGGCCCCCAGGCACCGGATACTCGGTACAGTCAACTTGGATGTGCCGTTTGTGGGAGTAGATAACGGTGTGATCCTGACTGGCATCCTCAGCCCCTTTCGGACCAAGACCCCAAGGCCAGAAAATACTGGAGCCTCAGATACTCTAACACTAACATCGAGTTCCCAACCGTCAGGCACCAACACGCCAGCGATCTCGATCCGCCAGTCTGAGTCATCGTGGTCCATCTACCAATCCTCGAGCATCTCCTCTAGCGTACTCTCGCTCAAGTCCCGGGGCACCATGGACCCCCATTTCAACCCGCGCTTCCCCAACGACGTCCGCATCCAAGACCGTGGCTGGTGGCAGAACCTCGTGCACTTCGCACAGAAGCACAGGCCGGAGGGCTTGATGAATGCGACCGTTCGGCACTTCCGGGACCATTTCGAGTTCGGGAGCTGCCTGCTCGACTCGCGGCGGCTGAACCAGCGGTACCGGGACCTGCGAAAGCTCGAGGACATCGGGTGCTTAGAGGACGGCGCGAGCGGCCAACCGAGGCCTGACCAGCGGACGCGGTTCGTTCAGTTCTACACGGTCTGTTATAAGCGGAGGGACAGCAACGTTGACCTAGCCCAGCCAAGGCCATCGGAGGATAGGGATACGGGACTTTTGGCACGCGACGAAGAAGAGGACAAATATACACGCACCGAGCCAAGAACGGATGCAGTTAACAATATACGGGCAAGCCCGAAGAGCCACAGGTACAAGGAGCGATTATTCTGCAGACTGGCGCGCGCGGACAACGTCGGGCAGATCGATCCGCTGTGGAAGAAAGTGTCTATGGGCATCACCGACGAGATCAGCGCGCACACGAGTCTGTTCTTGCCTGGGCCCCATTACGAAGAACTCGTTTGTGAAGTAGGAGAAGCGGTCGTTGAGTGGGTTACAGCAAGCAGCATTCGATAACACTCCACCGCCGTGGTCTGGAAAACAGTCATTAAAGTTGCGACCAAGTCTAGTTTCACCCACTCAGTGAAGCAGAAGGAGCATGAGCGTGAGCGTGAGCATGAATACGAAGCCGCTTACTCAGGAGAAGATTGGTAATCTGTTCCGCCTTCTTACACGGTGCTGTGAACATCCAGCTCGGCAACTCCACCAGGATTGGCCTCAAAGTCAATCCTCCGCAAGGAACAACAGCGGTATAGTTATTACGTACCGCAAGTACCGCCTTCTGTTCGTTGTTGCCCAACTCGGCCCCGGAACTTATAAGCCAAGAAACGCCTCCAAGTCGAATGCGACACATTTAGCTCATGTGTGTTGGTCGCGTGGCCTTAACGTACGAGTCCTTTTCCCTTTCATTCTTGAGAGGCAAACCTAGACAATCGCCAAACCCAAAAGTATCCTGACTCCTAAGCCCACTCCTATAGCCATCTTCGCAACTTGGCTTGAGCCTACCTGAGGGCTGATGCGCCTGAGCTTTCAGGTGAGCTCGTACGGCTTGACGCAGTGGCAAGCAACGACGCTTCAATCAAGCGTCGACGCGACGACATGTCGGTAGGGAAAAGACTCGGATCTGCGTCTCGCCACAGAACCGTTATTGCTTGATGTAATCCCCACTGCACTAGATACTCTGGTATAATGCTTCGTGGTAGACATATCGGGGCGCGACTAGCACAGTCGTTGCAGTGGAGATGATTGACGAGCAACCATCTGAAGTCCCACGAAAATTCACTTCAATTCATCTAAGTATCAACTCAAATAATTTTTTCAGTCTTTAGCAGATACGCACATTTGACACCATCCCTCGGTAAAGTCACCTCCGCTGAAACCAAGACAAATAGATGTCACGTAACCTGGGCACATACCAGGGCTGTAGATTGTGGTTGATAAATGCGGTGTATTTAAGGTCTAGTGAACCACTCGAAACCACGGGGCCTGTAGTTATAGTAATAATATAGTTGCGGCCAATACAGGATGACGGCGGTATAAATGTTGTAGTAAAAGGCACACTTAGTGCGACAGTAGTGGTTGATGATATTATGACAGTTATCGTTGAGCTAGGCTAGGACGAAATTATTTCTATTATTATAATAGTACAGGTACTAGTTGATGTAAATGGTGATGATCTTATTATCGCTGTGGATGATGTGTGGGCGCCCGCTGGGTCGCCAATCGTCATATTTTCCATGGTGGCTAGGCCCGAATGTAGGTAACAAACTGCGACCAGCAATTCATATTCTCGTTGTTATTTTCAAAGGCGCGCCTTTCGTAACATTTCTGGAATGGCGGCGACCGACCACACCCGCTATGTGTCTCGTGACAGGATAGTGAGTCGAGTTCTTCTGTAACCGAAAGTTCGCAGGCCATGGTGGAGGAGAACAGCATGTCGTTAGCTGCAATGAAATCGTCGGCAAAGACATTGGGCCAAGCTTCGCAGAACATCGTCCATTAACAGGAGCTCTCCGCAATTTCGGATTTGCAGGAAACAGAAACGCCTGCGCACAATCTGTTGACTCGTCAGGCATATCAGTACAACCCAAAGCTTCTTCACAATTCCTCTTGTGGCGTGATGAAACACCAGTCTAGAATGGTTTAGCAGATGATGGAAGTTTGTTTGCAGACGTCCTCCTCAACCACGACAAGAGCGAGTGCCTCACGCGTTCATCGATCAAAGATCTCGCAAGCTGTATTAACGTGCTTTCCCCCGACAGGCCCTAGGATTTTCACTCTATTGCCAGCCTACCCGAAAGTTCACCAGCGACTTGCTTGGCCTACCTCGTCGTATCTCGTGTTCATTGTTCTGTTGATTGTGCTCAGCTTCATGCCGTACCAAGGACCTGGATTGTCTAGGAATCTGTTGAAGGCTTTTCGCAGTCATTTGTAGTTCAGCAGATGCTTCGATCATCGCAGCTTGTGCTTACTTGACCGTGAGCAGCGCCTTGTAACTCCACGTCAGGGCTTCCTTTGCGCTGAGACTATTGGGCGAGTTTGTAGAGCTCCCTATCTCTCGTAGTTTTGTACACCATGTCCGTCATGTTAGCCATCGACTTTCCGTCGTTCATTATCAGAGATATGCTTAAAAGAATTTCCCAATTAACGTGTCTGTTCACGTCAACATAGTCAGTTGACATGCTCTGCGCCAGTCCCACTCGTTCGTATGTTCGCTTTTGTCCAGCATCTCGCTAGAAGCTTATCAAGAGTGGTACATTCGGCTGCTCCGGTTGGAATCGTGTCAAAAGTCGCATGGTTTGTAAATGTTTATAAGTTACAAGGTCATAGTAAAAATAATGTTTTTTTTTAACTTGGATATAAGATGATTGAATGTAGAAAGGGTTACTTTATTAAAAAGAAAAACGCATTTCATAAAATCAAAGTATTTTCACATTTTAATACAATGAATCACGTATGGAATGTAGAAAAGTAATTCTGGCGTAATAAAACAGGCTATTATTAAGCTCGCGAACTACCGAGAAAAGCAGAACAAGTGGTATCATTCCCGACACCTTACAGGGATTCACCTGTCCATTTTCAACCATATGAGTACAGTGTCTTTTTGTCATAACATTCATTCCGCGTCGTAACCTTCCATCCTAGTTGACCGCAGTGCAGGTCGATGATATGGTAACCGAATAGGGTATTACAACTCTTTCTTGGCCTCGTTGGCCTTCTTCTGGGCAGCAGCGCCGCCGGCACCAACCTGGTCGAGGACCCACTGAGCACCACCCTTAACAGCGGCAGTGAGCTTGGCGAAGGCAGTATCGGCAGGGCCGCTAGTACCGTACTTGAAGTAAGTTGACTGCTTGCGGGCGTAGGCCTTGAGCTCCTCGAGCTTGGACCCCTGGGGAACGGGGATACCGTAGCTGTCGAGGTAAGCCTTGATCTCGCTGTCGGTCCACGTGTCGAAGGTGTTCTGCTTGACGGCACCGGTAGCCTGAGCAAGAAGGCTGGTGGCCGAAGCATAGGTATCTCCACCAGCAGAAGAGGCAGAAGCGTAAGCCGAGTTAGCGGCAGAGACAAGCTCCTCGCGGGTAGCACCGGCCTTGTTGGCAGCGCTCTGTGCAGTGGCATCACTGCTGCTCTTGAGGTACTCCTTCAAGTTCTCAGTAGAGAGATCATCCCATGTCCAGGCGTTGTAACCAGTAGCAGCCTTGTGGGAGTTTTTGCGGACGAGTGCGCGGAGCTCGTCAGACTTGGAGCCGTGGGGAACGGGGACACCACGAGCATCAAGGAAGGCCTTGAGACGGCTCTCGGTCCAGGTACCGACAGCTCCGTTGAAAGCTTCCTGAGCGGCAAGGCTGGCGCTGTCAGTGGCCTTGGCATACTGGTTTCCGGCGCTGCTGGTTGCGGCACCGAAAGCGCTAGCTGCAGAAGCGGAGGCGCTAGCAGCTGAAGCAGAAGCAGAGTCGCCAAGAATCTGAGCACGGTGCTTGCGGACGAGGGCACGGAGCTCGTTGGTCTTGGAGCCCTGGGGAACAGGAATGTTGTTCTTGTCAGCGAACTCCTTGAGCTGAGACTCACCCCACGCGTCAATGATCTTGTCCGTGAGGGTTGCATACGCAGCGTTGGCCTTGGCAGAAGCAGAGGCAGCCTGGTCCTGAGCTTTCAATGAGGCAAGACGGGAGTTGCGGCGAACGGAGGCGATAAGCTTGTCACGAGACGAGGGCTGAGGAGCAGGGACACCGTGGGTATCTAGCCACTCCTTCAAATCCGACTCCGACCAGGTCTCGTACAGCCAGTTACCAGGGTAGGCAGCAGTCTCACCAGCCTTCTTGGCGATAGACTCGTAGTTGGAGCGAGCCTTCTCGAGAAGGGTATCACGCTTGCGGGGTTGGGGAACTTCGAGGGCTCTGTTAGTGGTGCTTCAGTTCATTCGGAAACAATGTATCATGCTTACCAGGGATGCCGTGCTTGTCACAGAAGGCCTTGAGCTGGCTATCAGTCCAGCTGTCCAGGATCCAGTCCTTGGTGCTGCTCCAGGCGGTCTGAGCCTTGTCCTCGGTCTCGTACCAAGAGTTCTGAACCTGTGTGAAGAGGGAGTCCTTGGTAGATCCAGCGCCCTCCTTGGTCTCAACACCCTTTTGCTTCAGGTATGCACTCAGCTTGTCCGAGTCCCAGTTCTTGTAGGGCGAGACGGCGTTGTTCTCCCAGTTCTTCTGAATGAGGTTCTCGAGGTCCTTGCGGTCGGAGGGAGTGGGGTATGGGACATCGTGATCCGAGAGCCAGCGCTCAAGCTCTGTCTCGTGCCATTTGTTGTAGGCTGTGGGAATGCAGGCAATTAATAAAAACGGGACATGCATATTAGTGTGATATGGACATGTAACGTACCAGCTTTGCTGAACCAGCTGCTGCTCATGGCGGAACCCGCCAGAGCCAGCGTTGCGAGACCAAGTGAAAGTCTCATGGTGCGTGGATATCGAGGTCGTGATAGAAGACGATATCTGTTCTTCGGTGGTTTATTGCTGCAACGATATGCAGAACCAGTTTGATGAAGGTGAGATCGAGGCCAACAGTTGTGGAATGAGGAGTGAGGGATGTGGCTGGTTTTGTTCGTGTGGCCTGGGAGGAGAGGACGGTACGGTGAATGAAGTCAAGGTTGGGGGAAATTGGCAGGGACTCAGAAATGCATCACGTCACTCTTGCCCTTTGTTTACGCGGGACTGATGGACAAGGTGGTGCGTCACGGCTTTCCTCAACGGACCAGTAATCACCTAATTTTTCAAAGAACCCGCCTTAAGATGCCAGCCAAAACACATGTGTTTCGTGAACACAGTACATACATAAATTCTATGCAATTCGTTGCCTAGCTGGAGCTGAGTTGGAGCCCTTACACAAGCGACTGGCTTATTTGTTGCATATTATGTATCACTATGACGTTTGGCTAGCTGCTCCTCGGCAAGCACACACTGTACCCAGTATGACAATCGCCCTCTGGGGCGGTGGAAGCTCATGGGGGGAACATGTGCACGCTTCATCAGGCCAGTATTTCATCATTAAGAATCTCGATCTGCTGCTTTTGTGGCTTATGCTTCACAGCACAATTCGTCAAATCGACTTCACAGCTCCAGAAAGCTTCAGCACAAGCAGGGCATGGACGGAGGACCAAAAGCTCCGATTACGTCACTCTCCGGCAGAGCTCCATGCACAAGACTCCGCTAACTCATAAATGGCTAGGTTGTCAATTGACAGATAGGTCGGGTGTCCAGCACTGGGCCGGCCTGTGGGGTCGACTATGGGGAAGCTTGAGCTCAAGCCAACGCACTCTACAGGGCTGCTGGCCAATTCTATAGCTTCATTCGTTTGTGTAGGACAATTCCTTTCAGGTGTGGCAAGTTTGTATGTATAGTATTCTAACCGGTTGGATCATGGGGTCCCTAGCAATACGTCAAAGGTATGCTCTGCTTACGTAGCCAGATCTCACCAGCCTCAATCCGTCCAGTTGTGGCTTCCGTGTCTTGATGGCTGCCTCAGCTCCCTGCCAAATGCACATGGCCCTGTTCCAGAATCATCTACATGTGTATAATAACATGGCTCAAAGCAAGATATTAGAAGCAATTGTGCTAGCACTTGGATTGATGCAATCACGGTTATTATTACCACGCAATTTCCTAATCCTCCGTATTGCAGGGCGTTGATCCCCTTTGCGAAGTGAGGAATCAACGAGATCACCGGTCGCTGCCTACACTAGCACAGTCCTTCCTGTGTCTTTCCATGTCCCAAGAATCGGGCCGTAGACTCGTGGATTGCGGAAGTAGAGGCGGATAAGTCTGCGACTGAGCTACGTCGGGGTTTTCGTCTTGGCCGACCTTTTCGACATGACGGGCTGGCTGGCTGGGATATCGAGCACCCATCCGTAACCGAGGAATTTTGATATTGCTTAACTAAATCGTCTACCAACCTGCATGTGCTCCTGTACTGTGGTACTGTGTATACGCAGGGCTGGAGTTCAACGCTTGATTGGCCGAGTAGAGTTTGGCTTTAGACTACCTGACGTTACCGGATAAAGGCTGTTTTTAAGTTCGCGCACTTCGCTTGGATGCTGTGTTCAATTTATGCATCTGTTGCTGAAGCTGTTGCCCCGTCTTGAGAAACATATCAGCCGTCTGGACAGCCAGTGAGTCTTACATACAATAAAATAAGCAATTGCGCTTTGCATTGGCGGCCCAAACTTTGTCACACATCGTGCACGCATTTCAAATCCAACTTGGTCAAAAAAATGCCACAGCTTTACAAGTCTAATCCTCCACAATGACCTTGTTTCTTTCCTGTCTTTTCGCTATGTAATGGCAGATTACTTGGCGCACTAGAACATATATCCGAATTGCAATATTAGACCCATGGTTTTGTGCAGGCATTGGTCCATCTTTTAGATCGATTCTGTTCATTTATCTTATAGTTTCTCAAGTACAACCGACCCGTGTCCGACCTAGCCCCACCTTCTCCCCATTTAGTTTCTGATAAAACAGAATCATGGAGGAGATCGACCCCTATATAATAGGGCGCATAAACTCCTAATTCAAATACTTATCGCTCTCAAATGCTCACAAAATGCTCATTTCATAACCAAACCCGGCCGAACACACAGTGATCGGCCATAAAATCTAAAAGCAGAGTATACTGTAATGATGAAATCACAAGCTTCCGAGTACCTTGTCGAATGCGCCGATCAGAGTCGGGACTGTTGCGCCGTTAGCTGATATGAACAGAAGTGCGGACACGAGACGGGGGAACTTACTGTGCTTCTCCTCGAAGATGAGCATAGGTCGTAGTCTGACAGTCTGGAGGCCACACGTGCCAGTAAGGACGCCCAAGCTCTTCATGGACTTCACGAGACCGGCGGCATCCTGGGTGTCGAAGGCAATGTAAGTGCCCTGGCCCTTGCCACGGAGGTTCATCACGTGTTCAGGGTACTTCTGGGCGAGCTTCTCCATCTCGGCGTACAGAGCGTCGCCAACGCGGGCGCATTGTGCCACAAGGTCCTTGTCGAGAACCTCGTTGATGATGGCCTTGCTCATGATGACGCGGGCGGCATCGCCGATCCATCTGTTGGTGTTGTTAATAACGCGCGAGCCGAGGAAGGATGGAGTGGGCATGCTTACGTGTTGAATTGGCGGTATGCCTTATCAGGGACCAACGCACGGTCGCCGAAATAGTAACCGGCGGTCTGAGCCTTCTTGGAGAAGGTGACCATGTCAGGAGGTGAGGTCAAGTTGAAGTGCTCATGGCCCCAGAACTTGCCGGTGGCACCGAAACCTTGAAAAAGTTAGGACTAATTGAGACCAAGTCGGTAGAGGCTTGAGGGAAGTGCTTACCTGTTTGAACCTCATCAACGATCATGACTACTCCGTGCTTCTTGGTGAGATCTCGCAGTCCCTGGAAGAATGCAGGAGAGGCGTGGTTATCACCACCCTCGCTCTGAATGGGCTCAACAATGAGAGCCGCAACGGGACAGTGCCTAATCGAAGTCAGTACATTTGCTATCGTGGAGCAAGGGTCAGAATCGTAGCATACCAGGATGTAATAAGGTTCTCAACAGCCTGCAGGCATCGCTGCTCCTCAGCCTCGTTCTCAGCCTCATACTTCTCCAGAGGGTATTTCCGGGCGGGGAAAGGAGCCTGAGGCCAGTTGAAAGCAGGGATATCGAGCTTGTGAACTGCCTTGGATCGCGTGCAGGACAAACTGCCAAAGCCACGGCCGTGGAACGAGTTCTCGAAACTCAGCACGGCCAGGTCCGGGGAACCGGGCTTGGAGTTGTTGAGGCAAGACTTGATCTCCTCCTCAGTCCACTCGACGCCCTCACCGCGCTCCTTGCGTCTGTAGAGCATAAAGGCAGCCTTGAAAGCCAGTTCGTTGGCCTCAGAGCCAGACTGTGCGGTGAAGATCTTGTCCAGACCCTTGGGGGCTACCTTGAGCAGGCCATTCTGGAGGATGTCTCCCCAGACTTTCGACGGGAAGTTTCCAATGGCGGGACGGTTGACAAGTGCCGAGATCATCTCCGGCGATTGCGCGGCGGCGATTGCCGCTGGGTGGTTGTATCCGATAGGGATAGATGCGATTTGAGAGTAAACATCGAGAAAGCGATTGCCGTCAACGTCAACAATGCTGCAGAAACGTAAGTCAGGTTCGCTCGCACAGCAAGCACTGCGAGGATACTTACTATGTTCCCTCGCTCTTGTCGTAGTCTACGACGAAGTGCACTGCACGTGCATCGAAGACTTGGTCCAGCTGCTTCGCAGCGGCCTTGGACAAGGGGCCGGGGACCTCCGTCGCTACTGAGTTTTCAAGAACACCAGGCATATTGTCAAAATTTGTCTGAATACGAATAAAAACCTAAGTCTAAGTAATGATATGTGGTTTCAGTGTCCTCAAACTGGACTCCCACGTCGTGGTTTCTCCTGGTTTTATAGGACTTCTGGAGAGGGCGATACGTGACTCGGTTGGCCCTTCCCAATCAGGCAAGTACAATGCTATAGAGGGGCGGTTGTCGATAGACCGGTCGCGAATCCGGCGCATGAGATTTTTTGTTATTCATCGCAATAGAGTTCAGACTGATAGCAGCTGATCAAACTAGCCAGTCAACGCTGTTTGACTATTCATTTTGTCACGCATTTCATTAGCCTATCACTCCTCCAAAGTCCGACACAACCCGTGTTCGCATGCTGGTGTGCAATGCCACATCCCGAGCTTCGGACCGGCAGAGAACTGCCTTCCCCGCGTTCATACTTCGGCAACGCGCCAAGTGTAATACAGAAATGTTGCCGCGCCTGATGCAAACATGCATGCACTGCGACTGATTATATAAGCGCCTTGTATCTCATACAATAGATCGTGTTTCACTTGGCGAGTTTGTCATTTGCTGGCACGATTCGATTTCACCCCGGCAGAGCGAGACAGATCGGTGACATCTCAACCGACCGACTCAACAGTATATGGCTTTTAGCTGTTCAGTGGCATATGCTCGACAAGATATATTCCGCAGCAATCTATAAGTACTACGTTGTTCTCGGAGGGCCCGCAGACAGCGGTAAGAACTAAAGCTTTCAGTAAAGAACACTTTGGCTGTTGAAGAGGCAGGTTTACGGGCTATCTATGCCAAATCACAGCAATCTTGACCCTATCTGGTAAATGCGCAAACATAATCGTCGTCAACTTATCAAAGCATGTGATCCCAAAAAGAAAATGATCTACTAGTCGCGAAGGCTAAACCTCATGGGGTAAAATGCAAAAACAGAGAGCCAAGAACTGTGCTTGACTCGTGAGGGCCCGAACCCGGGATCGAACCGGGGACCTCTCGCAAACTGGTTAGGGTTGACCCTAAGCGAGAATTATACCACTAAACCATCCGGGCGAATGTCCTGTTGTTGGAAAGTCGTGTTGAAAGTCAGTACTTGACAGGAAGGGTCTGGGCATTGTATTTTGAAGGGTAGGCGACGAGATTTGTGATATGCAAATCACATGTGGGATAGTAACGATCTATAGGACTAATCCTTGTCCAATATAGAGGAGTCTTCATTCGGCACTATACTAGTAGCGAAACATAGATTGTTCGCCCACGATATAGATTGCCTTCGGTTTTTTGTCCACTCTATACTGCAACAATCACTTTGAGAATATGGAATTGCCGGCAAGTATTGTCTTCTACTTAGGTAAAATTGGCTTGGAACGAGTTCGTTCGAGTATAGAGACCTAAATTCTGAACTCGATCCTGTCTCCAACTCGAACACTGATGTTGATTGACCGATTAGTCTAGTGGCAGTATGATGAGGTTGAAGCACTGGAAAAATGTTGAACCAATATCTTCGCATCATAATCTGGTGGGTGGGACACCAACATGTGGTGAAGACGATGAGAGGTGCTCCACGCGCCGTTCAGGCGGTAAAGATCCTGAATGACTATAGCACTATCCAGGTATAGCTTTGAAAAAGGGACGAGGAAGGGGGGGGGGACACTTTTGACTCGTAATTCAAGTGTATATTAGCACAGAGATTTGGGATCCGAACGTTCAATGCCAAACAGACAGCCTTCATATATGGTGGCTTACGAAACGCACTTCTCAACGCTTCCTTTCAGTGGACAGTCGCGTCGTGGAGCGAAGCAAATTGCCATATGCTGATACCTTAGAATTCAAGATCGTGAAGCATCGGAGAGTGCAAGTCAGTCAACGGCATTATTTTCCTGCTTTTAAATAGACATTGTTGTGCACTGGCCGAGTCTTGACTGATGCTGGAATTGCAACAATCAAATGCTCTCTAGGCAGTCTACTACTACCAACTCTATAATACTTAGCGTGCCACTCAATTGCCTTGATTGAGTTATTTAATGTGGCGGTTGCGCCGCTCTGAACTCGCAGCAGTGGCTGCCGAACCTACATAACAAGTCAGGAGTCACTCCTTTACGGACAAGCGGGCCCGTCGGATACGGCACTGCCGTAAAATCCGACGATATCATTAGTTGCGTCGCTTAACCTTGGTGGAAGAGATCCCACAAGCAACGAGTCGGGTTTTGAGCGTAGATCCTAATCTGGCATGCGTGCTCTTTGTACGAATGAGTCTGACCCAACGATGCAGAGAAGACGTTCTCGTGACATCGATAATGATTTGGCCAACATGAAGTTCGTGAGGTGAAGGTGTAGTCCGATATCCTCAAGGAGACCTCGTTCATATTTTCCTCCACACGTGTACCGGCCTAGAGAAGCCTTCTTCTTCCCTTTCTACCTCCAGGATTCTTTCAAAACCTTGGGCCGTTAGTTCGTCGTAAAACGGGGGCTGGATTTTGATCGTCTTGAATGTTTCCCTCAATTCCTTGTTCTTTTTTGAAGCTCTTTGGTAGTTGCTCATGGGCTGAGGCTCGACGACTAAATGGCCACCATCGCTGAGTATGCTGTGTATCTGCGCGAACAACGACAGCATGCCGGCGTCGCCATTGTTAAGGTGTATCCACTTCGTCACGGAGAGAAGGAGAACGGCGTCGAACTTGCCGAGGGCCGTGCCAGTATAGGCGGTCGTCTCCACGAAATCGAAATGTTCGAATGTACACGGCCCGTCTGGGTATGCCGCTTTCGCCTGCTCAACCAGCCAGGGGTCGATGTCCACACCCACTGACGCGGTCGCGCCGCAATGGGCGATCGCTTCATAAGTAATTTTGCCGGCATTGCAGCCAAGATCGAGGACGCGCGCATTGCGAAGGACGTTGGGAGGAAGGATGGAGAGGCGGTCGTCAGGGACCGTCTGGGCACGGAATTTTGTGTAATATTGATGATAATTTCCGTGTCGCGCCAGCAGGTGGGTCTCCTTGTAGCGCTGCCTTCTTGCCAGTTGCTCTTCAGTAACGACGGGAGAAGTCGTGAGAGGACTGGAATTATCTTCTAACATGTTGGCCTGCTCGTCGAAAAGGTGTGCGTTCAGCGATATTGAAATTTGAGTTTGTATGCGATTGTTTCGTACTTGGGGAACAAAAACAATTCCAGCGACGTCGCTGCAGGGTCCCGGGTTTAGTGGCAAGGGTTGAGCCAATAAGGTCGCTAACTAGTGGTGATTATAGACAGGTTCATAGGCGCATTTCCCCTAGTTGTACAACACTACTTGTATCTTGCACTATGTATGCAGCTTTTACCGACTTCTTGCTGGAAATTGACTCCTGTATATATCGGGGCAAACTGATTGCTGCACGGTTATTCATTGGCTTAGCCTGGTAAGCTGACGGCAAAGTCACATATGTATGTTTAGGACTCGGATCGCATGTCTGAGGAATGCCCCCAATCTCCAAGTAGGCATATAGAGAAGATTGAGACGCGGTTAAGAATGAGGTGTGGTTAGTTTGGTTATGGATGGCCAACGCAACTTGGAACCCAAAGCTTATGTCGACACCATTTAGGCTGTGCGATTCGCCTTTCATCGTCCACATACGTGAAAAGATGCAGGAGAACCTTACTCGAACAGTTAAGCATGGAACCCAATCTGGCGATCAATATCGGCGCTTCGAAAAGAAACATGATCGATGCCGCCTGTAGTCTTGCGTTCTTCTTTGTCATACTCCCCCCCCCCCCCCCCAACCTATTGGCATCTAAAACTCCCAGCACCACGTTCATGCGGCCTATAAAGAACCGCAGATCCAGCCTCCTAATAATGTCTTGGGAATGCCGCGCTCAGCATGATCACCCCAGTTGGTCCCTAACCCGTACGCCTGCTTTGCAGTCCATTTCGCGCATAGACGCTGTAGTCGGAAATGCACCGGCGGAATTTCCGGACCGAGACCGCATTTGATGGCATTCATCTGAGAGCGACCTTTGGCAGTCAAACAATTACGGCGGCTACATCTCGAAATAAAGATGGTAGTGTCTCGAGCAACCAGGATTGAACTCCGCCTTACAAGTTGTGCAAGCAGAGCCAGATGTCAAATACTCAGCAATAGTCAACTCGTGGCGACAATTCCCACAGAGCACCGCTTTGGTCTCACGCTCGGTCTTAGGCCAAACTGCAGTAGCATGGTCGACCAATGCCGCATGGCAACTGATGCAGGCATAATAATCGCCACAGCATTTATGGCGGATCGCAATAATATCGCGTCGTGAGTGCCAGTGCAAGCACTGCGTCAATGTCGTAACATCCAGGCCCTTAACGGTCTGACTCGTCTCATCCATAGCCCTCAGCGATCCTTGAACAGGGGGAGGTTTTTTCTTTCCCTTTCCTTTCTTTCGAGCTTGCAGGATAACGTCAATGTTGGACGCGCTTGGTTGGAGTGTGCGGCGAGAGGCTGGAAACGGATCAAGACCGTTAAGAAAAAGCAATATCTGTACTTCAAAATCGATGCACGCCACTAGGTCTTCTGGCAGGCGCAATTTGATGGAATTATTTATGGAGCCGGCCGCATAAACGGGCGCCTGCCAGCAGAAACAACAAGGTTAGGCATGATAGCTTAGCCGAACTGGAAAAAACAAAGGGCTTCGCTCATCGTGCGCTAGCTTAAGCAAAACACACAGAGCGAAAGCAATTGCGCATCGAGTTACGGCTTCATAAGCCGGAAGTCTATTGTTGTCATTTTGCAGAGTGTGTCTAGCCTCCATTGGGCTATTGGCAATACTCCGCGTTGGGTGGTCAGAAATTGGTTAGCACTAAATTGTCAGACATGGTTGGCAAAGTTGGGGTTTTTGTTGGGAAGCATTACTGGACATGATGAGGCAGAAGTGAGGCAGAAACTTGTGCGCAATGTGGCATGATGGATCAAATGATTCTCCCTCTTGGAAGATGAAGATCTAGACGTCTTCTGAACCTCTTTGCCAGTCCTTCTCGTCTAAAGCTTGACTCACGACCCTGACCGACCTCTCCTGCAAGATATACGTCCCACTTGCATCGTCATCGTCCAACCGATTTGACTCCGCTCCTCCCTGTACATATGCTGAACTTATGCCTTTCCCTCTCGGTGTGAGACCCTCAAGCGGAGAGACCACGCTAAAAGGACTTCCTCCAATCGTGTGGCTGCCAATCTTATGATTATTCGGAGTCGAAGATCTGAAGGTTTCTCCAAAATATCTCTTGAAGAGTTTACCCAGTGGCGGAAGAGACCCGGCTATGAGACCGATTCCACCTTCAATATTCGACCAGAGGGCGATGCCACCCATATTATCTAGTCAGTGTGAGAGAACGGTTTAGAAATGTGCTGCGGAATTTGGACCATCGAAGGCACGATTGGCCAAGGAGTTCTTACAGAGCTGTTGGGCAGAGTTCCTATAAGCCTCGAAGTATGGTGCGCGAACTATTGTGCCAGCACTTGCGAACACCCCCAAACCGAGGATTATTATGAGGGCGTATTTCGCCGTTCTCCTCATCGGAAGGCCTCGCAAGAGAAAATATGGGATAATCGCGCAGGCAAAATCCATGACTGGACCGACCACCGTCATGGCGTAGCTGGCCACTAGGGTGATTGTGTAAGAACCGCAAGTGCCCAAGGCCGGATTCCATGTTGCAGCAACCGGCCTGCACATTGCCAGTACTGCTATCACACCACCAACAGCGACGGCTGTTGAGGTAATGATGATAGCCCAGAGAGAAAGGCGGTATCGAGTTTCGATCGTGAGTCGTAGCAGGGCAATGGCTATTGAGGCTTTTGCGAACATAAGTAACAGCATATAGCTAATTTGCCAATACAGATTGTATTCAATTCCTCGAATCTTGATGAATTCGTTCAAATACTCGTCTGGGGCCCCAACGCCGTGTCGTGCGGCATAATATGTGAACACCGTTGTTGGTACAAACATAACCTTGACACTGTCAGAAAGATATGCAATCATGACTGAAATGAAAGGAGCATCTGACTCACGTATCCACAAAGCGCCAATGTATCATCCATCCCCCATACTTTTCTAGCTTTCAGGAACCAAGTCCGCACATAGACTCGCAGGCCTACGGTAATTGTTGCTAGACCAAAGAGGGCTGAGGTGATCCAAACTACGACAAGGCCAAGTCCTTCGAGCTTGATGGGCGTTTCCGCGTAAGCTCTCGTGGCTCTCTCATTCCCTGTCATGTTGGAGAAAGCCATTCTCTCGGGATATCTGGGGGAATCGCATTGAGATTTTGGTCCACACGTTGGTGAGGAGCTCAAGCCTCTGCCGCTGGCACTCCCGGATTGTTATATGCCGGAAACTATAGGCGAGCTGGTTTCCCGATTTATATTACAGGTATTCCTTTTTTTTTTTTCATGAACGTGGCAATGGCATCAGGGTGTTTGACGTTTACGATTTAAACTTTTGGTACATGCTGGAGCCGGGCATAAGCAGAGTGGCATTGCATGATCTGCCCAACAACTCCAACACCTGAAAGCAAACATGACAACCAGTGAATTGCAATTATATCATAACGGTATTTAATAGTTATGCAACCTAAATAAGAGCTTAATTAGTTCTTAGCCTTAGTTATAAGGTAGATAAGACGAGGCCTTATGAACGTACTCTACTTAGCCAACACCTTCGCTCTTCGCACTATTCCCTTGACGCCGCAAGTCAAGCAAACTTATGTTCTGTACGTGCATTAGTCGCGCTTTGTTTTTGGTGATACGCAATGTTCGAGACTGTTTGACCTCGCTAAGATTTCAGCTGCAATGCAAGGAGTATTATCACAGCCTGACCCCTGGCCACTCCACACCCATATGCACGTCACGACGAATTCGGACAGGTCGCATAACGCATGCAGCTGGGCCTGTTCCGAGCGTTTATACAGCATGAGCACCATGTTTCTTTTCCCTCGCGCATTTCTTTTTTCCCCAACAGACATTCTCATAGGCTGCTGATTGAGTTCTGTCATATTTGAGTGATACCCAGATGACGAGATGGACCTGAGACTATGTGTCGTCCTTGCGATACTCGAAACATTGCTTATTACTGCCATTGATTGCAACGTGGGAATTTCCGTAGGCGAATGCAAGGCAACTGTAACGTTCTGGACGTTGTTCCTTGCCCAAATTCTGGCAATCAAGTTCTATCGCATCTTTCTATATCACCGATACTTCTCGCCACTCCGTCACTTGCCAACTCCGAAGGTCTGCTATGATTTGACTAATCATGTAGGTTATAAGCTGACTTGGGTATCAGGGCAATCATTTTTTCTTTGGTCAGGCATTGAACTTAATCAAAGCAGACTCCCCAACCACGCTTCATGTGCAATGGATGAAGCAATTTCCTGGCGCGCCCCTCATTCGATTCTTGACGTTTGGTAATAATGAGGTTCTCCTGGTCAATAGTCTGAATGCACACAAGGACATGTTTCAGACAAAATGTTATTCATTTCGCAAGCCGGATAGATGGTCGCGCATGATGAAAGACATAACTGTAAGCGTCTTATTAGGTTGACTATAGCGCATCTCATTGACGGAGACGTTAGGGTATCGGACTGGCAACTCTAGAAGGCGAAGAGCACAGGGCTCATAGAAAAATGTTGTCCAGCACATTTTCTCCCGGCAGCATTCGCAGGCTTCAGCCAGTATTCCAGGCCAAAGCAAGAGAGGTGTGCGAGCTTTTTGACCGCGCGATCGCTATCTCCGGGTACGAGAATGTTGGAGCTATCGACTGCACTGACACTTTCTCCAAGGCAACCTTGGATATCATGAGCCTCACAACTCTTGGTGTCGGCTTGTCTCATATGGCTTCTATAGGCTCTGCAGAGACACTGCAGGCCAGAGGTGAACTGGCGAAGTCTCCTTACACTTTCCATGAAGCATATAGCACTATCTTCGGCCCTGACACAATTGGAAAGCTGCTGATGTTCGGTAACATGTTTTTGCCCACTCGATGGCTGCCACTCGAAGCCAATCATAGGTTCAAGTTTGCGACAACTTGGCTTCACGACACGTTGTCGCGGCTTGTGCATCAGAGGTTTCGAGACGTCAAAGTCACATCTTCTGAAGGCAAGTACTCAGCAAAAGGCTCTCAAGACATCTTGTCTTTCATCGTAGAAGAGAGTATGCCGGGCGGTGTCGCATCAGGCATAACGAAAGACTTGGTCAAAGGACATGTAGGTCGACCCTTATTTTGTCCGATTCTTGCATCCCGCTTGTGGCACACGTTGCTTTCTCGAGACTAACAGTGAGTCAAATGTAGTTACTGCAGTTTCTGGGTGCTGGGCATGACACCTCGGCGAACTCAATCTCCTGGTGCATGCATACACTGGCGACACGGCAGGATTGCCAAGCCAAGTTGCGAGACGAGATCTGCCAATTGACCAATCGCGTACCCTCACCGGGTTTCTCTGATCTAGATAACTTGCCGTATCTGAACCAGTTCGTGAAAGAAGTCCTCCGAGTATATCCACCAGGTAAACAAAGTAACCCAAATACGTCTTGCGGCGGTGACTGATCTCTGCAAATAGCGTCCATTATTTATCGTCAAGCGAATGAGGGCATAATTATTGACGGTGTGGAAGTACCTAAGGACACCTGCTTCGAGGTTGTTGCAGCTGTGACATCTATGAATCCATACATCTGGGGTGAGAATGCGGAAATGTTCGATCCGTCGCGCTGGGACTGTTTGACAGAAGTGCAAGCGTCGCCTTATGCTTTTGCAGCATTCTCCAATGGGCCACGCATCTGCATTGGCCGCCAATTCGCCCTCTATGAAATCAAGACGATCTTGGTGGAGATCATCCGCAGTTTCGAGGTTCTCGATGATATGGAGCCCTTCACAATCGAGAATCCAGGGCTGACGTTGCGCCCTCATGGCATGAAGGTTCGTTTCAGAAGGACAGATTAGGTGCAAAATACAACAAAGTGAAAGGATATGAATGAAATTGCACTCAAATGCCTGAAGTTTATTGAGACTTGAACTATCAGCCAATCACGACCGCAGAACCTGTAGCAACGCCCTGTGCAGGGAGTTCGGCTTCAATGATGCTCTCAGCAGCTTCCGGATGACTGTAGATATAGCGAACCTTTAGCCCCGCTTTCTCAAGTAGGCTTTTCCAGTGTCCTTCAGTGCGTTCTAGGGATCCGCAGTTTGTCATCATGAGGATATCCAGGGTGCTTCCTGAGAGTGACGGGTTCTCATCAGAGATCGCGATTTCATTGATCAATACACGCGAGTAACCCGGCTTCAAAGCTGGCTTTATATTCTCCAGGATCCTGAGGCTGTCTTCATCGTTCCAATTGTGGAGGATCGAGTGCAAGTAATAGGCTCTGGCACCCTTGACAGGCTGAGGCTTGAAGAAGTCGTGGGCGCAGATCTCGAACGGGAGCGTTTTCTCTGTATCTACAGCTGAAAGTACAGCATCCAAATCCTCCAGGACCAGTTTTCCCGGATGCTCCGAGTGATGTTCTACGAAGCGTCTCAGTTCGTCACCACGATTGCCACCAATATCCACAAGCAATGCTTCGCCATTGTCTTCGTCGAAACCATTGACAAGACGCTCCGCTACAGGGTAGTATCCTGGCATGAACCAATCTGGCTTGCCAGCGCGGAATGATGACATGAGCGATTTGTGCAATTTTTCATATTGCGGCGTGGCATCCTTCCAATCGTAAAAGGATCGAGTTGTTTTGAAATGATGCTGGAAAGGGCCATCTGTCGCTGATAATGGCTCTCTATAGCTCGTAGACCTTAAATACTCTGGTAACTGATTAAACAGCGGTCGTGAAATGTCGTCAACCCATACAATGCTGTCCCTGTATTTCTCTTCAGAGAGGCCGTTGCTGAGGGTCGTGCAGTGAAGCTTCCCATCAGTAATTGTCAAAACTTTCGTAGAGACGAGATGCCTCATGAGACGTTCGATAAGACCTAACTGACTCCCTGTCATAGCCGCGAGCTCTTCGAAATCTAGGCCTGCTTTTCCAGCGTCTTCGAGGTATTGGAATATATTCAAATCCACTGCGATGCGGCAGATGGCTGATTTCGCAGGCTTTGGAGTGTTAAAAGAAATACTGACTATATCACTCCTGAGGATATTTAACAGTGATGATAACTCACCTCAGCCCAGAAAGAGCGCTGCATGAATTCGCTTGGCATTTCAAGGCGCGCGATCAAAGCATGGCTCAGGGCAAGAAGAGACTCGCGGGCTCCTGTGTCACCTTGCTCGTAAGCATTTCCAGCAGCAACAATGCTTTCTATCAATGAATACGCATGTGGTTCGGACATTTTGGGGCAGTATAGATGATAGAACATGTATTCTGATGGAATGAAAGGGCGGGCACCGCTGATGTTGGTATTGCTGGCCCGGAGGTCCGTTGGCAAACTTGCGTTTGGGCCATTGATCTGCCGTGTCAGCTAAATGCGCCAGTCAATCATACACAATGTTAGTTTGCTTATTCCGTTGCAAGCGTGAAACTTGGGCCAGAGAATTTCTAAATCCAATTACTGTAGAGCGATTATAAGTGGTTGGTTTGTTACACACATCCCACGAGACTCTCAGTACAATGTCTGTGTATCAAGTATGCTTCATCACTTGCAACCTGCATCAACGTGTTCGATTCCTTTACAGTTGAATAAGCGACACGCTTCTTTACCACGTCTCTCAGGTGCACACTGGTTAGAGTCTTTCATGGGTACTAAAATAAGAACGGTCCACCTGTGTTGACACAAACTCCAGTATCTTACAGAGGTTGGAAATCCATGACAATATTTCATGCGAAGACCCGCTTCAGATCATCTCCCGTGTCTTAGGATGTAGCAACCAATCTGCCATTGACCTGGGTTTATTAGCATCGGAGTGACTCATCCGGCGAGAATCCAGGCAACGATATATACAAAGACAGACTTGTCAGTTTTACCAACACAACCGAACGGCCAGGTGGCTTAATTGGCAAAGCATTCTAGTTTAACCAGAAAATATTCTGGTTGGAGCTCCAGTCCTGCTTTGCAATCAACTTAGTGGTTTCATCTAGAAAAATGTTGGTTCAAAACCAACTCTGGTCATCAATCTTACTTTTTGCATACTCTAAGTATATATTGTCCTTTTCTGAGTCAGCCAGCAATGTCAAGTGTTTCCTGTGCATAACGTATTGCCTATCATGAATTTTTCACCTGAATCTCGAGTCAAGATTGTACAAGCACAGATTTTCATGTCTACTTTGACTTTCCACAATAATTGGGATTGCATCTATGATGTGTCTGTTTCCGTTGCAAGACTTTCTGGCCACAAAGCTTAGTAGTGATTACCGAGTGACTCATATGGCTACAATATAGGCGACCAACGGAAGCGCAAACCTATATGAGCATGTTTACAAGGATCCGAAAATAACAGTAAAAGGCCAGGTAGCTTAACAGTCAAAGCATTTGGTAGCATTCATATTTGAAATGAAAGATGTTGGTTCAAGTCCAATCCTGGTCCTCCATATTCCTTTTTGTTTGTGATGAGTATTCGTCCCCTGTTCCAAGAAAAACGAAAACCATTTTGCCTTTTTGATTGCTCCCATGAATCATGGTGCATGCTGGAGCCTTAATTATTGTTCGTTTTACGGTGAGCAGTGTTGACATCTGCGGCTTGGTAGCCCGCATCATAGCAGGTCTGGAGGTTTGTTCTACACTCGCAGCAATTACATGAAATAACATCGCTGTGCTCTTTGCATACATATAAACAGGAACACTGTCACCCTTACATTCTCTTAAGTGAGCACAGCTGCGTGCTAGTGCAAAGCTTACCCCTGCCATTGTATGCAGGCAGCCGTAGGCATCTATATACAAGTGCAACTTATGGTCAAAGACCGCACAAAGAATGTAAGCACATAAGACATATTAGAGTGAACCCATCAACAAATACTCGTTCCTGGCCAGGTAGCTTAATGGTTAAAGCATAAGAATGTTGCATCCTTAGCTTAATAGCTAACGCTCAAGAATGTTGCACTGATGATGTTGGTTCAAGACCGACCCTGGTCCTTTCTTTCATTTTTGGCAAATATGATACTCACGAACTCGCAGTGTCCAGCCAGTGCGTAATCAAATACATGGTAGTGAAAAGATGCCCGAAATGTTTCCCAGTTAACGTCATTCACTTTTCCCTTGGTCCAACCTACTACGAATTGCGGCTCAGGATGCTCTTGTTCCAAGACTGGCCAGCGTGCGTAGAGCAGAAAGACATGCAAGATAGTCTGTAGACACATCATATACTGCCTCTTGTTGTTGGCAGTTTTGTCTCTGGTCTTTCGTACTCATATATGTTCATGTCGCACATGATGACTGCCTTTCTGTTCGCAAATGTTGGCGCTAGTTTTATGACGTGGGTACTGAGCACTTGGGTAGGGGTGTTTTACCTTTGACATCGAAATAGGGTTGATCAGGTGGCATGAATCTAAAATATTAACTTAGTCCCTTCTGTAACGCATAGACAATTGATTGATCGCACTATATAGCGTAAATAGTGGACACCACAAGATTTCCCCCCTTGTGGCTTCTATGGTTTCTTCAATTCAGACGAGTAGGCTGCGCCGATGTTGGTAGCGCTTATCTACTGCCATCAGCTAAGTAGCGAATGCAACTAACTAAAAGCTGGGGTTGCACTTGCATCAGGGGTTGGAGAGCGCTAACAGGAAGATCTTCGATGCGGCCTCGGGATCCATGGAGCCCGAACCAGATGGGAAACCCCCCAAAGCTTTGTTTACAGCTAGATTCGACTAGGATTCCACCTCTTCGTTTGTCAGCATTTAATATTGAGAGCAGAGCATAGTCTTGTGCTTGGTACCTCCTCTTCGGTTGCTTTGTGGCTCATTTACTTCTTGTCGCTCGCTGTATATCTTGTCCATCTTACTATCGCTATTGACGCGCCTCTAGACTTGGGGGCCCATTGGCTACCGACTATCATACTGCAGTATACGAACAACAAGGCGCGGGGACCCTCGTCAGCATAGCACAGGTAAACGCGTGGCGATATTGGTTGGATCGGCAATAACAACAATAATAATAATTGAGGCGACTGCGTCAGTTCTCGTGTCTGCTGCCTGACAAACCTGAAGCTAGCCCGCCGAAAGTGCCCGCGAATCGAGGATCCGATCTCTCAAATCACAATGCCAACCGCCGAGCCACGAGCTTCAGAGTCGGCCCCGATGCTCAATGCCTCCGGAGCACCCGAGGTACCCATGTCCCAAGAGAACAGCGTCGAGATCTCTGCGGCCACGGACGTGTTGAATCTTGGAAAGGGCCTCTCGCTACACTTTCAGGGCGACGCCTTAGTTGTGAAGGATAAGAGAGCAATAAAGCGCGATCGGTCCAAGAGGGTTTGCGGCGTCTCAGTTGGATCCTCGAAACCCGAGTTCACGATACCGTTTTATCACATCATTTGGGCGGAATCGGGTGACGAACTCTCTATCGACTACGTACTTGTGAACAAGGAGAAAGTCACCCTGAAAAAGCTCGTCTGCACCGTATACGACCCCTTGCAACCCGTCGCGAACGCCTGGAAGGAAGAGCTTCTGACCCGTGCCTACGGGCAGTCGCAGCGAGGCAAGCGTGCCAAAGTCCTGGTGAACCCTCACGCCGGGCCCGGTGATGCCGACAAGATCTGGGAGCATGAGGTCAAGCCGCTTTTCGTTGCAGCACGCATGCCACTGGACATTGTCCGGACAAAGTACACGGGCGAGGCGATTGAGATCTGCGAGAATCTGGACATCGAATCGTACGATATCGTCATACCGTGCTCGGGAGACGGACTGCCCTATGAAGTCTTCAATGGGCTGGGAAAGAGGCCCGATGCGCAACGCGCTTTGAAGCGGCTTGCAGTGGCGCACATACCCTGCGGAAGCGGGAATGGGCTGAGCTGTAACATCAATGGGAGTTTCAAGGCGGGGCCGGCCGCGCTGGCAATCATCAAGGGTGTGAGAACGCCCATGGACTTGATGAGTGTCACTCAAGGTGACAAGCGGTTGTTGAGTTTTTTGAGCCAGTCCTTTGGTATCGTCGCTGAATGCGACTTGGGCACAGAGAACATGCGTTGGATGGGCGCCAAGCGTTTCGATGTTGGTGTGGTGCAGAGAATATTCACCAAGAGGACATGGCCAGCCGAGATCTCTGTCAAGACGGTCATGTCGGACAAAAATGAGATCAAAACACATTACAAACAAACTCGGAGCGAGGACTTCTCGGTTCGAAAGGAGAAAGAAGTCGTCGGCGGCTCTTCAGTCAATGGAGGGTCCGTGTCGAGCCAAACAGATGCGGCCGAAGGGCTGCCACCTCTGAAGTATGGTACCGTCAATGACAAGCTGCCCTCAGACTGGGAAACCACTACCCACGATAAACTTGGCAACTTCTATTGCGGCAACATGGGCTATATGGCCCCAAACGCCAATTTCTTCCCTGCGGCATTGCCAAACGACGGATTGATGGACTTGGTGGTCAACGACGGCAACATTTCTGCCTTGAAATACATAGACCTAATGACCTCGATCGAGAGTGGTCACTTCTACGGCAATCCTCTAATCTCGTACCGAAAGATCGTAGCATACCGCCTCACACCGAAGCAGAATGATGGTTACGTCAGCATCGACGGTGAGCGCATCGAGTTCAAGCCTTTCCAGGTCGAAATACATCAGGGACTAGCTACTGTATTGACGAAAAACGGACGCTATGAAGCGCCTGGGCCCCTAGGCTGGGACACTGGCTCGCTATGAACCAGCCGATTTGGTGAGCCCGAAAGCCATGATAGCCTCGACTATCAACTGCAGATACTTCGCCAGTGTACTGCGGATACATCTCGAAATTTACCAGATCTTAGTTGTTATTACGAGTAAAAATACGGCGATGTAATACAGGATGAAACCGATGGCGACATTCAAGGGGGCAGATATATGATCTGATTGATTGCGTGGCATTCTGCAGGACGGCCTGACAGGTGTTACGCCGTCAGCATTTCAGCGTCAAAGATGGGACAAGGGTTGGACAACCAAACGGTAAGGAACTGTGGAGAATGATTAAGCGATTGATAAGACGGCAAGGAGCCTTGGAAGCAGGTCGAGCGAGACGCATAATACCCATATAGACTACAAGGAAGCGATTAATAATTCTCACTGTACAGTCGCCGAACCCAAATAAGAATTATCAGGAAACCAAAATGCTTGTTTTACCATGCTATGGATATCTAGACCTGTGACCTGAGCCGGAACGCCTGAACTCCACCCAACGCAAATGGTGCTTCAAATCATACATGGATGAGATTACTCAATCGTCAAAGCCGCCAAATTCGTCATCTTGCTCGCCACCAGCATCAGTCATCTCGTCGTCCTCCTCCTCGTCGCTCTCTCCCTCGGTCTCTTGATTCCAAGGTAGTCTCTCATCCAGTCGACTTTCCTTGGCCTTGGGCTTGACCGGCTCCACAGTATTCTTGATCATCTCGTCCAGGATTTCCTTGAAGTCGGTCAAAAACACGACGTCCTTCTCGGTGGCCTCGTCTCCGATAAGTCCTGCCTTCTCGGCCTCGTCCACCCAGATATCCAGGACATGTAGTCTCAAGCCGACGGGCACCCTCCTCAGATCGCCGGTGGTCTCGAGCGGCCAGTCCACGAACATGGCCAGCAGGTCATCTTTCCTCTTCTCGCCCTTCTTGCCCTTGCCCTCCCTGACCCACAAAAGACTCTTGCCGAGCACCCGCCTCACCAGCAGGAGGAACTTCTCCATGCGCAGCACGTCGATGCCGGTCCACTCACGACTCATGACGTCCCAGAACCCGACCAGCCAGGGTATCACGGCCTCGTCGGGCAGGGCGTCGAGCAGGCCCGCCAGGTCGGCGCAGAGGTTCTGCTGCGGGATCGGCCGGTCCTGCATGTACAGGGAGTAGAACAGGCCCTTCCAGAGCTTGAGGTTGTCGAGCTTCGAGAGGGAGCGCGAGGTCGTCGAGGCGGTCAGGAAGGTGCGCAGGGTCCCGAGGGCCTTCTCTCTGGTCTTGCGATCTGTCGTATCGTTAGAAAGGCAAGTCCATGCAACCGTTGGAAACGATTGGGTTCAGATCGCAATACGTACCACTTGACGCCAAGTTCTTTATGAACGGCATGCTCCTTTCTTCGCCTGACATGTTTGCGGTGTCTGACTTGCGCTTCCGTGGGGGAATAGATACGTGTGTACGATTCCGTAATGGGTTACTCGGAAAACGCAGCTGACATGAACAATCGCGGATTGGCAAATTTGTGGTCGAGATTTATCTTAACAAAGTACTTGCTAATGCAGTTCCCTGAAGCCATTGGCGCTTCCCCCAGAATACAAAAATTTTGGCCCCGCGGTCAGCAAAAAACGGAAACGTTTCCGCTCCCCGCGCTCCATAACTTACTTAGCTTGGGGCTCGGAAGGATAATGAAGAAAAAGAAAGAAAATGAGAAAGCAAAACTCCAAAGTTGCACTGCACCTTCAACCATGACAAACGCAATCACACATTATCTTGTACCCGGCCAAGTTTTACGATGTGCTGTCATACAAAATGCGCTCTTGAATGCAGGGTGGGAGAAGTTGGCTGGAAGATTAGGGTCCCCCGCGACACCAACAATTCCCTGGGACGATACGTCTAATCGGCCATCTTAAACTATTCACCTGTTTATCTGGATCTCATCTCGTTCGCGACGAAGCAGTAACCAGAAAATTGGGCATGCCAGGTCGGTTGCTTTCCCAACCAAGGCCTGATCTATGACCTACGCTACCATCTGCTGTTAGGTAGGTCGCCACTCCATGAACTCCCCATAGTCTGGCCCAGATCCACGGAGCATCCATCCGGCGCGAAGGGCCTTCGTGCAACCTCTTTCAGCCGGCAAAAGCAATTTCGGTATACCGGAGGGGTTCCGGTATGCTCTCTGGAAGATGCTGTGCGTGATTCCCCAATGTTTGTTTCCTGGTCCAGGCAATGGGTGGATGATGATACCAACATCTACAATCATACAGTCGGGTAGGCATGCGGTGACAGCTTCATGCGCGGATTATTACAGGGCCGGCACATCGAGTAGAAGTGTTGACGCCTATTTCAGCCACATTCCGAGTCAATGATCCTTCCGGTATTTTGTGGCCAGGCCACCACCATCATCCTTAGGCCCAGCCATGCTCCAAGAGACTGGACTCCGATGACCTCGTCTGCGCGACGGCTGTGCGAACGATCATTTCTAGTGCTATCTATGCTTTTTCGCCGTCTCTTGGATCTGCTGTCAATTATTGGAGGACAATGGATTCCTCATCTCGCAGTGTCATGTGGTTGGAGGATCAGCCTCGTCAGATCCACAATGCGAGCATACAAATCAGCACTGAGGAATACCATCCCAGCATAACACTACAGTTGCATTAATGCTTGCGAATTGCTTTACATCATGTAGACCTATGGATGCTCAGCCCTATATCGATCAAATCAGAATGCTGCACTGCTCACTCCCACTTGGATTGTGGCGTGGGCTGTGCTTAGAAGGACGCTGCTTCAATGTCTGCCTAACGCCATGACGCGGCTGAAGCATGTGTGTCTGCAATCTCGCTCACCGAAACAATAGAAACAACAGGGTCCATACGAGCTAACCACTCTACAAGCCGGACTATGTTGCCGGCATCACTAATTTTCCATGTGCTGGCCCAGCGATAAGGTTGCATCTTTGGGATGCCAGCTTCACGATCGCGATTAGGTTCTCGTGGCTATATTGCTAAGCCGAACCAGGGGATGACTAACGATAAATTTTGCACAGAATCTAGCTACAATCGTCTCGCACGGTAAGCATGAAGATGGAATGAAGAGTTTCGTCATCCATATTTGATCCATATACGTATGTATACGAATTACTAACCCAAAAAACCGTGGTAGAGACGTGGTCGAGAGGGCGCTTATATTCGGGTTTCGGTAGGCTAGTAGAGCGAGACAGCATCTAAAGCTCGTCAGCTCCACGGGGTGGATCGTAAACCAAGCCTTGTCAGGCTAGCTGATCGCTGGCCGCAGGTGTTTCATAAGCTTGGAGTCTTCCGGTTCTGTCATCTCGTAGACTAACCCAAAAACTGGTAAGATCCAGCTTACACGTTCCATCTATCCAGGCATATTCTGCACCTTATACCATCAATCTCTCTGCTAAGCCAAGGCTGAGGCGCAGCTTGAACTTGGCCATTAACGATTGTCCGACGGCACGAGAGAGCGATGCCCGAGCGCTGTGTCCCTCGGACTGTGGGTCTGGGAATTCTTTTAATGGATGGGTTGGCCGCATTGTAGTCGTCTACTTCCCTTGGACTCTTGGAATCAGATCAGTCAAATAATAAAGGCATTGTCACTTGGAACGTTCTCAATGCAGGTCTTGTTGATATAACATACTTGCATAATTTCCAACCCAGCCCAACACTTGACCTTCGCGTACAGCACCGTATGCTTTGAATCTTAGTCCAGCGATTACCGAGTATCACATACAAACGCACATTTTCGAAGCCAGAGCCTATTCACTCGTGACGAAATGTCGGGAACGAACAGCACCTTCACAAAGGAACTATTTCACCATTGCAAAGATTTGGTCGACGTCTATCCCGAATACTGTAGGTATGATGATTCATACTATGAGTACCGACTCTGGATAGTACCCAACGCCCTCTTTCTAGGCCTCTTTTCTATATCATTCCTGGGCTATGGAGGTGTTTGGGGGTTGACCCGTTTCCATAATGCCAAATTCTCGGTTGTGATGATGTTGGGAGTGCTGTGCGAGATCTTGGGCTACACGGGCCGTGTCATGAGCTGGCTGGATCAATGGGACGAGAACGGATTCCTAATCCAGATCTGCTGCTTGACCATCGGTCCTGCCTTTATGGCAGCAGGTATCTACTTCTGCCTCCGAAATATTGTCGTGATATTCGGAGCGGAGAATTCGCGGCTCAAGCCTGGATGGTATCCTCGCATCGTGAGTTTCTCCATCCGCTCACGCCTATTCTCAAAGCTGGTACTCATATATCATATAGTTCATCCCTTGCGACGTTATTTCGTTGATACTGCAAGCTGTTGGTGGCGCCATGGCGTCCATCGCAAGTCACAATAACACCAACGTCAAGCCGGGAAACAACATCATGATCGCTGGCTTGGCCTTCCAAGTCTTTACATTGTTCGTCTTCATCATCCTCGTTGTGGACTTCGCCATTCGGACTCTCCGGAACCAGTCAAGGCTCAATACGAATCCTGCCTTGGTATCCCTGAGAACTTCGACACGCTTCCGGCTGTTCCTCGGCGCACTCAGCGTGAGCACCATCTGCGTATTCTGGCGGTGCGTGTTCAGAGTTGCCGAGCTGAGTGAAGGCTGGTCCGGTCCGATCATGAAGCAGCAGAACCTGTTCGTCGGCTTCGAGGGCATCATGATCGTCGTTGCCGTGCTGGTCCTGAATGTGTGGCACCCCAATCTGTGCTTCAGAGGTATGGAGGACCACGTCAAGACAAACGGTACTACAAGTGATGTCGGCGTCACCGAGGAGGCAAAGGGGCCGTCGCTGCCAACGTCGTTGGCGACGAGCGTCGACGAGCACCAACGGTATTGACGGACAGGGTGCATGGTGGTTATGGGGGGAGTTCTGGGTATACCCGGGTAAAAAACAATTTCACCTGAGTACTTTCTGTTGGGTTTCTTCATGTCTGGATCGGAGTCAGAGTAGGTAATGGACAAAAACGGAGTTTTAGGCAGGCTGATATTAAGTAGACTGTATAACATGATACTAGTCAGATAATCGTGCACAATAATGTAGACAACTTTATAGTAAACACTAATATCTTTCATGTTTTATACAATGACCTCGTCCCTTTCGATGATTACCACGAGTCTTCTTATGCGTACCATTTCCAATGAACAGTTATGGTTGAACCTGTTGCCATGCTCAATGTTAACCAACATATTCATGACCCCCTTCATGTTGGAGAAAAAGTGTGTGGATAAATCAACCTCACCTTCTCAAATTAATATTAGTTTCTTTTCCGAACAGTGACTCTAGGACGACAGGTCAAACAAAATGATCATCCAACCCACCTTTCAGCGTGCACACCCGCATTTTCATGCCGCAGTTCCGTGGGCTATGACACTGGCTAAATTTGCATCCTCTCACCGCGCGGGTCCGACAAATCCTTCCAGACAAGTCAATTGGTTGGATGAAGCTCACAGCTCAGAGTTTTTTTGGGGGGGAATTTTTTTTTTTCAGTTTCAAAAGTGTAGAAAGCTCAAGTCGAGTTGGGTGACGAGGCCAACGTAATTAGACCAAGCCACCCCAACTCACTTCTCGGCCAATGGTTCTTCTGTGAGCACACATCCGCCGCCTGCTCCTTCTCCAGCACAGCCAGTCACCGGTTGATAGGAATTGCATATCTTGGGTGCTTACCTTCCCCTGTCATGGTGAGATGCACATGTACGCCCCTGTCAGACTCCAGCAATGGGAGCGTATATGGTTGGCTACCAGTGGAGAAATGATTTCTTCGTATAGTGCATTGAAATATAAGAGCCGTTAATAGTATTCAATATTGTCATTAAGCCCCAGGCCAAGTCAGCAACCCTTGATCTTGGATACCGAGAGTGGTTTACTCCTCCAGTCGATCACCGCCAAGAATATCCGGTGATGTCTATCGATATAAGTTTAGATGCCGAGGGTATGGGAGCGAACCAAAGCCCAAATGACTAATCTAGATGTGTGAAGGCTCTCTGCATTGGATCCGGGGAAGACCGTAACAATTCATGCCGACTGCCGATCCTGAAAAGGCTATTGCCAAGTTCCCCGGTAAACGGGGGACTGAACGCTGGAAAACCAGCACAGGAAATGACATGACATTAAAGCCAATGCAAATATAATATATTCTCTATTTTGAAACTACTGCCTAACGTGTGTTCGGGTACTGTGTTGAGGCACGCCAGAGGTCACACAGAATAATGGTAAATCTGCAGCGGATCTTCACACCAGAAGCGCAGCGTCAAATGAGAAAGTATCCATCAAATATAATCCGGGCTTTCGAGATAGAGTGTAATGCTGCATTCGCATAATCTATAGAATTATAGAAACTCCCACGTGGACATGTACGAAATTGAAAGTGTTACTCATATAAACATTGATTCAAGAGTTATGTAATAGAGGTCAAGACTAGTCTGCATAGATCCCACCTGGCTTGCCACCAAACAGTCTGATCACTGAGATAGGCGTCTCTCGTTCAGCTTGAATTAGGATGGCGGGAACCGAGACAACCCAGGAAGTGGATTGCTTGCGTCATATACATCCGTAACCGCCCTTTTGCCCAACCAGATCCAAAAAGGATCATATCAGCATCTCGATTAGTATAGTGGTCAGTATGCCAGCTTGTCAATCTTCAAGGAAGAACAACTCGCTGGAGACCGGGGTTCAATTCCCCGATCGAGAGATCTTTTGCTGTTCCGTGAATATAACTTTATTCAGTATGTAGGCGATCACGTTGTCATTTTATACCAACACAATTTTTTATTATTATTTTGACGCTTTCTAGCATGAGGTCATATCTGCAGCGTCGCACTGATTGTCTGAAAAATGGCATCTGATTGTTTGTATACTTGATTCGCTCGCAACACCAAGTCAGAGTTTTTTCATGTGGGTTCATAACTCTCGTTTTCTTGATATTATGGTTAAGTGCATGTTATTGAGCTTTGCTCGCATAAATCACATTCTTTCTCACAGAGCATTATGACTTGAAGAGAAAGTTAAATGAACATACTGATTACAGTTCATGTTATGTATGTATTGAATTATTTAACATTATAGTACGGCTCATATAGTTGGTATTACAGGCCATTTGATTCTTGTAAGCTTCCTTGCTACCCACATTCCTACTACACTATATAGTTTTACACTAGCACTAAAGTAAGCAATATTATTCATCCAGACACGGCGTTCTGTTTTGATGGTCCCCAAAAAAGATTATACAAGAAACGACGGGCTTGATAATGCCCGGGGTGTAAAAAGTCAGAAAACCCAAAGGCTGTGTATGCCAACGCCGTTGCACCTCATCCTGTGGGACTGCTGCACTAGCTTTGAATGCCCCACGGATGCCCAAAGCCCGTAAATGCGTAGGTAGAATTAAAGACGGCCATATCATGCCTCTCGATCAGGTGAGGGGTCTCCTATGATTGCAAGCTCTTGAATCGCCCTTCAAAGGCCTTGACCTTCTCGGCCGTCAGCTCCCTCTCCAGTCTTCTAGTCTGGCTCATGACGGCTTCACGCTCTTCCTGCAACTGCAGAACCTCAATCTGTGCCGCGTTCATGCGACCAACGACCTCTTCCATGTCAGAATCGGCTTGAGTGAGCGCCGTCTCGAGCTCGGCCACTTTCGCCTTGAGAGCTGCGACCTGGGTCTCCTCAGCGACGCTCATGGCTGGTCCAGTGCGTGTGATGCTAAGGCGCGGTGATCGCGAGGCCGGGGTGGCAAAGAACGGTGACAATGGTGACTTTGAGGGGAAGGCACGAGGTGATCGAAGACCATTGCTAAGGCGGGACAGCTGCCTGCTATGGCCTTCCTTCATGGCGGTTATTTCGTCTTCGTGACGAGTGACGCGCTCCTCCGAGGCCGTCTGAGCAGCAACGACTTGCTCTTCTAGAGTAGCTAAACGATTCTGCATCGCAGCGATTCGCACTGCGTTGGCTTTCTGCTCTGCCTCGCCCCTGGCAACAGTATCTGTGAGACGTTGACGCAGATTTTGATTGGTAGCTAATTGCTGGCGAACCTGTGTGGAAAGCTCTTCGACGCGTCGAGCAGACTCTGTAAGCTCGTCAGCAAGAGCCTTCTCGCTCTCCATATAGACCCGCTCGCCAGCCTTCAAGGTGTCGAGCTGCGTCTTATAAGAGGATACGTCTTGCATGGCATAGTCTCGCTCCGAGACAGCCAAAGAAAGACTCTGCTCAAGCTTCTCAAGAGCAAGTTTAGTCTTCTCATCTTGAGGCGTGGAACCTAGCTCAAGCTCTTTGACGCGGTCGAGAGCAGAGGAATACGCGCCTTGCAATTCAGAGTAAGCTGTGACAAGAGATTCAGAGGTAACAGGTGCGCGGTATTGGCCGTCACTGCTGGCACTGGAGCGAGCAAGCGCCTCTGGAATGAGGATATCCTTCTCCTGAAGCAGACTGCGCAGGGATGATATTTCCTGCTCAGCACGGTCAAGATCCATTTTCAGGCCTGCAAGACCTTTTTCGACTTGCCACTTCTGTTCAAGGGCCTCCTCAGATCTGCGACGCAAGACGTTGATCTCCTCACGGAGGTTCGACACCTCTTTGACAAAACCAGCCTTCTGCGGCGACCCACTCATGACACGATCACGTTCCATTTCGAGAGCCTTAATCTTCTTCTCATTTTCTCGGTTCTGGCACTCTTGACGCTCTAGAAGAGCCTTCAACGCCCTATGAAGGGCATCTCGTTGTTCTTCTACGTCCTTCAGTCGGTCCGAGAGCATCTGCCGCGACTCATTTGTGTCACGTGATTCTGTCATCTTAACCGACTTGGATCTCGACAATCCAGATGGAGGCCGTGAAGAGGACTTGAACGCGGAGGGCGGACCTGTGATCGAGCTGGAACGGGACATTCTAGAGCTTATCGCCTGGAAACTCGATTCCTCCGCAATACTGCCCATTGATGATTGGGCGTGCTTCAGTGATATGTTTTCGTTTTTCAGAGCCTGCAACTCCTGTTGCATTTTGGTGGACTCGTAGGTCATTTTCTCCAGATCAGTTGCTTGACCTTCTAGACCTTCGACACGAGCTCGAAGTTGAGGAACAATTTCATCTCGAAGGTTGTCACGCTCGTTGGCGGCATTCTGGAGCTCACCTTTGAGTGCAGAGAGCAGGTCTTCGAAGTTATCCTTGACCTGTCTTTCCTCAGATAGCTTCCTTCGCAGAGTGTCACAAGTCGACTCCAGATCCTTGATTCTGCCAGTCGCGTCCATGCTGTTCATCTGCACGAGGTCGATTTGCGAGGCCCTCTCGGAAAGTTCCTTGATCTGCGAGTCCAACTCGGCTCTCTTCGACCTCTCTTCTTGTACCTTACTAGTCAGATCCAGCCTGATCTGAGCCTTCTCTTGTTCCGACCTCCTCTGTATTTTCTCAATCTCTTCCTTTTGTTGGTCGTATTCACTGAACCTGGCTGAACTATATCCAGAGTCCGAGAAGTAATCACTAGTCCTCTTGTTTCCGATAGTCGTTGGGTTGTCCTTTTCCGCTTGTAGTCTATCGACGAGGTCTTCCAAGTCCATTTCGCGCCGAATAGACGCCGCCAACTCGGACGAGATGGCCTTTAATTCGTCCTCCATTTCTTCGATCTCTGCCGTAGCTGTAGCTGAAAGTGCCGTGGGTGTGGCGAGATAGGAGTCAACGTAGTCCCGAGAGTTCCCGGAACTGAATGAAGCTCTGGGGGCTTCAAGAAGAGATGTGGGCCTGAGTGTGGTAACGGGGGATGCATCTGGTTGAGTATTCGATCTGGTGAATCCAAAGGGCGACGGTATAGGTGAGACGCTTCCTTTATCGGAGAACTCTGGCGTGGAAGGTGACGCGGAACCCCAGCCAAAGAAAGAACTAAGCTTTGAGGAGCCTGGTGATTTGGGGAGTGGTTTATTTGTATCTGGTGTTTTGACCTCGGTATCACTTAATGCTGAGGTAGCTCTAGTGTCTGCATCGACATCTGCTAGACTAAGGTGTGGTGGTGCTGGTTTCCGAGTGGCATACAGGGACATATTAGAATGATTAGAATTAGAGTTATAGGACGAATCACTGTTATATCCGTCGAGCACGCTCAAAGGGTCCTCGTCAGACCCGGTGCCAGCCACCGAACCTTGACGGGAAGATTGCTCGCTATGTTGTGACAGCCCAGCTGTCAGGATTGTTTGAGGAGCTGCAAGGTTGTGGTGGTCTGCCAAGATGGGTTGTTTGACCTCTGCCGCTATGACAGCCGACTCGGACGTCATGAGCGGAGGCGAAAAAGGTGACCGTAGCAGAGCTGCCTTGTTATGTGGAATGTTCCTAAGTAATCTCGAGTTGGCATTTTGAATTTCTCGAGATTGACATAATAACTGGAGACCGGATTGCAGAACAATGAGACAATGACTTACCCTACGTCGCTGTTGGGCGACTCGGGCTCAGTTGGCGCAGCCGCTTTAGCCTTTGGGAATTCCAAGCCCGCAATTGTTTCTATAGATGCGAGAGGTTGGAACTCATAAACGGTAGGACTGTCAACCGAAAACGACCGTGAGTACCTCTGCTCGGGTCGCGGTAGACCATGGGCAATGGTGAGATAGTCTCCGGATGAGTACCTGGTAGCGATTGGCGATGCGGTCGACGACAGCGGTTTGCGTCGAATCAAATGCGTCGCTGGCGGCGGGCGGGCTATGGTGCTGTTGATGGTGAGTTTTCTTGTGTTTCTCGAAGATGGCGGCAGAGCAGGGACCGTCTCCAGGGAAGTGTCTTGTAATGGAGGGAAAGGTAGAGAGGGAGAAACATCAGATGAAGCATCGGGAGTCTCAGATCCAGATGTCATGGTGGAGGTGTGCTCGTGCTCCCCTTGCGACTGCAGTTGGCGATTCATCTCCATTGCTGAAAGGTACGAAGTAACCTCCCCCTTGTCTAGCGGTTTGTGACTGGCTAGAGTCTAGATTAAACAAATAGCCAAATAGGAAAATGGAATGTGGAGGCAGACTATTCCCTTGCTGAAGAGCCAAGATACAGTGGAATTTGGTCTCCTTGCTTTAAGAGGTAAAGAATGGGATCGTCTTTGGCACGCGAAAGGACGGTTGAGCGAGCGCAACGCCGCGAAAGAGACGTTGAACGGAAAGTAGAAGACCAGCAGGTCGCGCTTCTCTCAATCTGCTGACAATTGTCTAGAGGGTTGGACAGGGGACCTAATTGGCAGAGCCAGACAGGCCAGAGTTCGCAATCCGTCATTTCATCCACTGATAGGCCCTTGGTCTTGATGGATCTGATGGAGATTCCTTTTGCTCCAGAGTCCAAAGCCGCCCCCCCGAAAGAGGACTCCGCGCGCCTGTGGGCAGTGGGCACTTTTAGAAGAGACCGGGGGGAGGTTACCAAGGGCCTCGCCAGGAACGTCGAAGTGGCAGCTCTAGCGTGGGTGTAGGCGGTAATCCCCTGCAATGGCTTGCAGGCGTGGCTGTCCGTTGAGAAGCTTGAGTGGTTCGTCTCTGGTAGCGCCGAGTGCTGTGGCCTGTATGTTGGTCTGCTCTAGGTCTGCTCGTGGCCGTTTTGAGAAATTGCAATTTCACTTATCGTCTTCCCCTGCGTCCAAAGCCCGGACCATCTGTTGTCTCCTGAGCTTATGGTGGGTGTTCGTTGGGATCGTGCATAACGACCCCAGAGACTGCTGCAAGGCACAACGGGGTCTGAGATGTGACCAACACAAATTCGAGTAAAGATCATCCTTTTTCACGGACGGATTCGTGGGCGATCTGACAATCCGCTCGAGCTTGCGTTGTACTACTACTGTATGTAGCTGATCCTCACAGAATGGCACTTGATTGCCGTGATCACTTGATCTTGCCAAAAACAAAGAAACGCGCAATTTTGTTTCCGTCCCTGTCTTCATCGGCACACTCTATCCGCTTGGGAGCGCCCCCCTTACCTCGCTTGGTGGCTCGTACAATTGATTAACTTACAAGGCCTGCCTCGCCTGCCTATGCGAGAAAGCACAAAGAAAGGAGCCAATGAAAGCGCCTCGTGTGCCCAGTGCAGTGGTCCCCTAAAAGCAATGACCACGGGTTGGACCATTGGAAGTTTCAGGAGACCGTGCTGAAGAATGGCCTAACTTTGGAGGTTGGCCTATGGCGCGCGGCAACGCTACTAGCTTTAGTCTGGTCGAGGTTAGTCTAGTCTAGACTAGTGCTAAATCCGTCCTCCGCTTGACGATTTGATGATCATAGATTGATTACTTTTTGGTATAGAAAAGCAAAGTGCGACGTGCACATGATCTGCGAATCTAGATAAGCGAAATGGCTCGTGTTATCGTGATAGACCAGACCGTTTGTGGGTGTGGCTATGGCAGTTTGCAAAAGTCCTTTAAATCAATGTTCCTGGTGCCTCTGGAATTGGACGCATGGTATTTCCGCATTATCAAGTGGGATGGTACATGGTATGCGTACAGGGGGTCCAGCACTGGGATCCAGGCCTGCGGATAATGGCCGCGGACTTGGATCGGTACCAGCTTTTTGGCTCTGCTTGAAATTGTAGAACATCAATACACACAGTAAGTTGGTACCACAATTTCCCATTAGCATTGCCTGAGCCTCTCGGTACCAATTAAACATTGAAATGATTGCAACATAGCCGCGGTAATCAATCTAAATGCGCCTCAGCCACTCACGATACTCTACAAGTAGCGTTGCTCTCCGGCATTTAGCCTTGGGTCTTTGATTGCTTGAGGCTCAGGAGGCTCTAAAGGAAAGTCATGTGCATCTCCATCTTAAAATGACATGCCTTGCCGCTGTCGAAACTCGAGAGCGCAGCCAGCCAATGACAGCGGCGTGCTTTCAAGATCTGAGACCGGTACTTTCTCTGGTGGCTCTCTAGACGCCGCAATCGAAGTGGTTTAGCGTCAGGTACGTTGCAGATGGGGTGTGTCGTCTGAGCGTATGTGGACGACGTTTCAACGTCTCAGGTCCCTCTCCGCTGCACACACCAGAACCATACGATGCTCACGTTTGGCAGTCTGGTGCACTAGTCGCTGGAAGCTCATCCCTGGCAGAAACGTATCCCTCTTGCAGGATTGGTGAATTGTTTCAATATCCATCTGAAGTATCGCAGCCCAACTTGGGGCAAATAGTTAATACGCTGGCGTTGAGTTTAATCATGCCACGGCGCCGGTTTGGCAGTGGTTGTGGAGATTTATATCTGACGAAGTTTCCAAGGGGCGATACGCCCTGTTATGACGCCGTCTCATAGCAACAAAAAGCAGAATCTTGCTTTCTCGCGTGTTGGAATCCATTGGGTTGTCTCACACACAGTTGCAAATATCTCGACGATGGCGATCACGGCATAACTTGAAGTTTGAACCACGGAAACCATTATTAGAGCAGTTTCGTCATAAATCTACGAAGAAAAAATTCAAGGGAGAAATGAGGCTCTCGTCTTATATGCAGAGAATCAATCGATAGTCGTAATTCCATCTGGAAGTCCACGAATAACAGTGTCCATGATAATGTAGACTCTTCCTTTGGTGCCCTGTTTGCTATTCGTTCCTTTGGTCTCTGCACGTATAGTCATAGATTAGATATCCTAAAATGGCAACGGGCAATAGTGAGCTTTAAAATATCCGAATATCTATAATTCATTATTTGGGTTAATCGCAAAAACCACGTCTCTCGGGTGACAACCACAGAAGTCACTTCGAATTGCGAAACCTAAAAGAGAGATGAAAAATGATGTTAGTTTGGCGTTCATCGAGTCATGGGTTTACCTTTACTCGCATTTGGTGACGTATATAGTTCGTCGCCTCGTGCTTTGGGGTTCTTAAAGCATCGAGAACTTTCTGTTTTTAATTCCGTATTTCGCCTCTGCCCCAATCGTACAGGTTTTCTTCCGTAAGATGGAATGCCTTGTTCTCCTGAAGCCCTTCCCAATGTTTCTGTCTCGGTCAACGTTGTGTTAGGCCTGCGTAATGGTGCCAAGCAAGATATGAACAAATTCGTGACAGCTCTCGAGCTCGTACGGATACAAGTGATTGAAATCGAGTCTTAAATCCGGTATCGTATGAGCTTGCGTACATATCGGGCATTCCGGGGTAGCAATCCCATGCCAAGAGTATATTCCCTTCGGCGACCGCTTTTGACATGGGGAAGTCAGCGACGAAGCGCTGGAAGGATTGTACGTTTCCTAGTTGGAGAGCATGTTGTAACGCGGGGGCGTGACGACACAGCGCTGTTGCTCCTACTAGATCTAGCAACGATCTCCATCATGGCTGAGAGTAAACTCAATTGGAATCGTGCATAACAAGTATCATGATCAGATTACCATCGTGCATTCAGGATTCCAACAGTGGATAGTCTTGTGTTACACACCGGTCTTTGAAGTAAGCAGATATCCCAAACACGAAGTCCGAATTGGCGAGTCTAGTATATAATGGGACTGGCGGCACGACCCTCCGGCTGTCGATTGGTAACCTTCGCTGACTAAATGCAATCGATCCGTCGATGGTTACATGGTATGCGAAATATACAGAACAAACTCCATGGACAAGGGCAGTAACAATTAGAATCTGACGGACTTGAGTCATACTTTGTTATCCAAACAGGGCTGCGAAGCTGACAATCATGGAATCAATCGAGTCATGCTACATTGCTTACAGTATAATTACAACTCGGTTCCCCGAGCGATCCATGATATCAGATATCATGAGATGTCATATACAATCGCGTAGCCATTGCTATTGAACAAGTAATCACACCGAAAAGTATCGAGGGGCCCCTTAAACCTGAAGATGTCTAGCAGCAGCAGCAATGCCGTCTCTGCGCGCCGGCGGGTCTGCACCTCCTGCCAGGCCACGAAGCGGCGCTGCGACCAGCGGCTGCCGCGGTGCAGCCGATGCACCCAGCGGAACCAGGACTGCGTGTATCCATCGCTGGCCAACCGCCCACGCGATTCCAGCGCGCCGCCGATGCCGTCACCCGATCGCGCCCCGGCGGCGACGACGACGGTAGAGCTCCACGTGCCGCTCTCACACTTCAGCAGCGTCCTGCCGGGCTCCCCGCCCACCATCGAGCCCGTGCCCGTGATCACCGGGGCCGCGGAGCTCTGGCCCCTGTTCTTCAACGCCTCGGGCCCCGCCAAGACGGCCATCTCGCGGGCCGCTATGGAGTGGAACATCTACCGGACCACCAGCCTCCCCCTGCAGTGGGTGTCGCAGGGCCACTGCCCCTTCATCAACCTCTCACTGTACGATTCCTCCGGCTCCTCCCCTTCCGCGGATTCACCGCTACCCACGCTGCGCGACGCCTTCGCGGTCTGCGCCGCCTACGCCATGAAGAACGACCTGAACGCGCCGCTGGTTCTGGGCATCGTGGAGTCCAAGGCACGTGGCCTGGTCTACGACCCGCTGCAGCCGTCCTGGACCCCGCTGCAGCAGCTCGCGGCCCTGCAGGCCCTGGCCATGTACCAGCTGATCCGGTGGTTCGACGGGGACATACGGCAGCGGGCGCTCGCGGACGAGGACGAGGCGGTGCTGGACTCCTGGACCGAGGCGCTGCAGGCGAGGGTCGGGCAGCGGCTGTTCGAGCGGGGCCAGGAGGGGAGTTTGCTGGTTGTTCCGCCACCGCAGGAGTTAGGAGGTGCGGGTAGTGGTGGTGTGATGATGGGACAACCACAGAGCAATATCAATGGCCCGGCCCTGGATGACGAATATGGTATGGCTGGAGGAGTCTACGCGAGCTCCGAGACCGTGGCGGAATGGCGACAGTTTCTTTTTGCTGAGTCGTGCCGGCGAACGGTAGTCTTCATCTACACACTCCGTAGCATGTATGCCATGGCGAGTAAGGGGTACTGCCACATCGGCCACCATATAGTTCAAATGTCGTATATGGCCGGCTCGGCAATCTGGAACGCCAACACTGCTGGTCGATGGAACAATGCTCGAGCGTCCAGGTCAAATATTTGGGTCGAGCGCATGGATTTTGCGCCGATGCTCACGTCAGCTAGCCCGGATGAGGTGGACTCACTCAGTCTACTTCTGGCAGTGTCTTACAAAGGCACAGATGTGATCGAGGATTGGATGTCAAGAAGAGGCAATCCTCAACCGGCAATGGACATGGGTTTTGGTGTTACAATGGCTTGACGAAGACGTAACTGAACAAAGACAAACTTAGAACAAGATAGAACACAACCTGACAACGAGTAAAACATGAGATAACTTCCCTCCACCGGAATCGATCAATCTCTGATATTGTGAATTATATTGTAATACTTGTAATCTTGCCGTATGCCTTGGCATTGCCATATGCAAACCCGAATCCTTCAGGTATATCCATCATCAATGCGTAGTGTTCATATGCTCATATATCCCAGACGCCTGTAGCACAATGCCGGCGCGACAAAAGAAAGCAAGACCTGATCTAGCCGTATGTCCACCCATCTCCTATCTGCTATTGCCCCTGAGCTGTGAAGCAAGAGTAGCTTTCGCGATCTGGAACATAACACCGCTGCTCCTGTCTCTCTTCTCATCCTTTCGAACGGTCTTATGGTCTCTTGGGCGAGTGCTCTTTTTTGCCTCTACCACAACCATATCCTGTAGCAAGCCTGAGCTTGCGGACCTTTTCATAATAGCGCTCTCCATGTCAGGCTCAAGGGGGCTGCGCTCGTTTCCATGAGAACTAGCCGGGCGTCTCATTAGCAAGGCTGCCTTTTCCCCGCCCTGACGCTTCATGCTACTCAACAAAGACATCGCCGTCGTCGGCGAGCCTCCCATACCTCTGATCATCGGTATCATCAACGCCCTACGCCACCCAACGTCGATTAGCCGGGGTTCACCAACACGAATACCGAGGAGCCCGGCACTTCCGAAAGACCTTCTTTGGCGGGTTCGGGAGAATAGTGGCGGACATACCAGGCTCGATGATAGGGATCGTGGTATCATTAGTTTGTTAGTATTGTTGTCTCCAGAATCTTCGGCATCGTCATCGATGGCATTGTCCAGATTGGCATAGAAGGCTGAATAACTTGCCTCACTGTAAGGTGACGAAGCGGACCAGGGCGACGAGAAGTCAAAATCCAGTTCCTGGCGGGTCTGTGCGAACCCGTCCGATGGAGTTCGAATATCCCATCGGCCACGATCTGTAGGTGTTCGAAGACCCTCGGTCAAATCAAACTCTCCAGGAAGGTCAACACTCTGCTCCGCCTGTTCATTTGGGGCGTGCAGGTCTCCTTGAGGACCCGGCTGTTCGCCGATGTTCTCATTTTGTGTCATAGGTGGCAGTTCGGGCGAAGAAACTTCTCTCACAGACTCGTCGATCGTCGCATCAGAGCTGGGCTCAGGGACTGTCGCGTACTTCTCATGGGCTTCATAATTTCCCAAGACAGTTTCTGCGCTACTGGAGTTGCTTCCCGGGGTTACACCCAGTCCTTGGCCACTGTGTTCAGGCTCCGTATTGGAAATCGGGTTGCTGCTGTCGTTATTCGATACATCTGCGGCGGCAGAGATCGTTTCGTCGCTCATAGGTTCCTCCTGCTGTAGTGGGGATGGAGAAGGTTTGTTCTCTGATGAGCTCGAACCCCTAGACGAAGGAGGTGATGTAGCTTCAACAGGGCGTGGAAACTTTTGAACAGTACCAATTTCAGTGTACTCGTGGTAATCGTCGTGACTATCCGAAGTGCCAGAAGCGAGAATAACATCCACATCTCGGTCTGGGCGAGTGCCCTGAATCTGGGGAGTGTACAAGTACACACTGCTTCTAGTAGAATGACCACTGCCATAGACAAGACTTGGCGTGGAGGGTGCTAAAGAGATCTCCTCTGGGTCACTATATTTACGATTGTCCAGTGTGCGTAGCGATGCACGCCTTTGTTCCGGCTCGACAACATCACTGGCATGAGCTGAGCTTTGCAGGCTTTTCGTAGGAGCAGAATCGTTATGACTTTGCTGAATCACGAGCGTAGATTTTGATATCTCCGTATCTGTCGGGTTTGTTGGTTGGGTTTCACTCTTGGTAGTCGAATCAAAGTTTCCGGATTTCGCTTCTGCAGCCTCATTCGAAGCACGATTCAATGGTCGATCAGCGTTTTGCTCTGAAGACGCTGGCGCAGCCATTTCGGTGAATCCATACGAGCTTGCAAGCGGAACCAGGGGAAAGGCTCTACCTCCATTTTTCAGGTAGGTAAAGGATCTTGGCTTGGGGCGTTCCTGGTGACTACCACTGATCGACGGCGCATCTTCACGTCCGCGTGTCGATGACTGAGGCCTTTGGACATCGTGTGAGGCTGGGACTGATGCGTGTATTTCAGCAGCTTTCCATAGCATCGTATTTGGCCCTGGTGATGGTGTCGACGGTAAAGGTACTTTGACAGCTTCGAATTCTGATTGGCCAAGGACGTCCACTTTGCTGGGTAAGTACCTGATCGTCGTTGGCTCCTTCTCGTCCAGGTTGTCAAGTGAACATGTGTCTTTACATATCATGTCAATATCTTGGTGTACCCTGCGCCTGAGGTTATCTACAACCTTGGCTTTGTTTCTTGAAGGGATGCTCCATGCGCTGGGACCGGCATTGGGGTCTCGGGGAGCGAGAAGAGTCTTGTCCAAGATATAGTGACCACGCTTGGCTGCTGACATCCGGACCGTAGCTACGTTTCCTCTAAGAACATCAGCTACGCCGGCCTGCACACGATCCAAGATGGCCTGAACACTTCGCCGTGAGTAGGAATCTGCTGGCCCCAGAGTGAAGACTAGCGGCTCGTCTATATTCCAACCCCGACCTCTCAGCTCAACTATCCGGAACTCAAAGTCGTTGGTTTCACTGATGGTATGATCAGCAGTGTCACGTGCATCTCCCAACGCACGCTCGATGTTGTTGAAGAAATCGGTGCTTTCATGAGAATCGATGTCGCTGAACAGAACAAGCTTGCCGGCGACTGTGCGGTGAAGGTGGTCAAACTGCGGCCCAAGATTGTTTGTGACACGAAGCTCCATGCTTGTAGCATTTTCCTCATAATGCTGGCAGATAGGGCTTATGAACCCACAAGTTTGGCGGTGTCTGTCCTCAACCGTTCTCCTTTTTTGCCTGAGTGCTGCCTCCAAGGCATATGATGCATTGGAAAATAGTGCTTCCGCAACAGCAAGGTTCAGAGGTGTGGTCTGGTTGCTTTCGATTTCAATAGTCCTAACACCTTCCGGAGGCTTGCGACGTTGCGACCTGCTCGTTATTGACAGCTCGATCTTGAAGCCCGGTATGGCCTCGAAAGCCTGTGTCTTCTCGAGGAATCTTGACCGTGGGATGCAGGTCATGGGCTGAAGGCCACCAACGCGGTAGGGTGATGTCTCCGGTCCCTCAGGTAGCTCATCACGAATCGGCCCATCCCTCCACGCAAAATGAGGGTCATGTCTTCTCAGGAACAGGCCGATCAAACGATGAGACGAAAGCACGACCTCTTTGACAGAATTTGCGTTCATGGCGTCTTTCTGGTATGATGTGTACGTTCTCGTCGCCCATACAGAGCCTTTTTGGCTGATCTGAAAGGACATCTCGAACCTCTTCGGCTTTAGCCTCCCGTCACCTCTGGTTGCTGCAGTAGCGACGGGGTCTTTTCGGGTAATGAGTTCGAAAGAGCCATGGTCGATTCTTCGCAGAAGCCCTCTCAGGAGGCGTTCGCTGGGCTCAAAGTCTGCCGAACTATTATAACACCGGTTACAGGAGAACTCCAGTGGATCCTCAAAACTCAGGGACAGCTGCACAGAAATGCCCGCCTTGTGCTCGGGATGCTCCTCGGGACAGTCAAAGTCGCTTGCTATGGACCATGCCTGCTCCGACTCGGTCACGAAGGATGCCACTGATTTGGCACGCGAATGCCCGCTTGACGGTCTCTTCAGACTTGCTACATCTCGCACTAAGGTCTTAATCTTGTTGGACATAGGAAAGACCGTAGTCTTGCTTTTCGGGGTTTCCCATGCCATGTCTGCTGGACTGCATTAATCTCTCTCTAAAAATAAAAATAAAAGATGGGGTATCGCATAAAGTCAATGCTTTGAGGTTTTAACGGTAGGATAAAAAGCTGGGGTAGGGTGGTATAATAATAGGCGAATGTCTAGTTTTATGGACTAGGATAAGGTGAGCAACCAAGCTGGGGAGGAGTGGACTAAAAGAAAACTGGGCTCAGACATTTGCTTGTGAATGCCGCCTTCCGATTACTCGGGCATCGATTAAAAAAAAGAATTCCCTCCCAGTGCCAACGCAAATGGCTGGGGGAAGCCTGGTCCCAGCTACGTCGAGTTCAATCGTGAGTTGGTACCAACTGGGGATAGAGTTAAGCCAATGGGCGGCAGACACACCATCGGAGATGATCGTAAACCTACATGACAATACGTGGGACTTTGCGGATCTTCGCAATAGTGCGCTGTCGGGTACCGAGTGAGCGAGCTCTCAAGCGGGATTCGCCGGTGTGTGGGCTCAAGTTTGTCGCAGGTCAGCTGCGAATTGAGGCACATAAGTTACAGACAAGGGCGAGCGTGAGTCTCGTGGTTGTGGTGTTGTTTAGGCGCCATCAATTAAGGCCAAGAATGCGCGAATCGCGTTGAGACCAATTGTTTCGCGCGCAGAAGCTGACATTTCGATGACACCAGATCGTGGTCAGAGCGTCTGCCGATTTGCGGGTTCCTGACCTCAAAAACCGGCTTCGGGTTCCTGTTGACAAGGTCGTCATGCGGGTTTTCCAACCCCCCTGGTACTCATGCGGAGCTCCTTCGGTTGAAGTTCCCGGATAGGATGTCAATTGAACGTGGCAGAGTGGACCCTAAGCATGATGCAAACATCACCGAATTTTCAATATTTGACATTCCCAAACGCATTGAGCGAGGCAGACACTACGAATATATGGAAACGAATGCGCCGCGAATTCGCGGAATGTCTCATGGGCAATGCCATCATTGCTGGTCACGCACCACGCTGCATTTAGATGATATTTTCCAAGTATTGAAAATTCATTTTACGACCCAATGGCAGGCTGGAATAACACGTCCCTGCGTCTTTTCACTATTACGATCATCTAGAAATTTTTTTAAACAAAACCCCCCAACAATACAGCATGACCGCCTGCTCCGACGCAATGCTTGGTGCAAACAATGGCGCATAAAAACTTTTCTATACCGCTGTTAGTCCCCCCAAACGCCGAAATGCTCAATTAGGATGTGTGGTGGAAGCCCCAGCAACAGCAACGGGCAACGAAGACCGTGTTGCGTAAGCACACCAAAGAAGTAGTAGATGCACTCGCCAGCGTCCCGGGCGCCATAGTCGTTCTCCGACCATCTTGAATTCACCAGCTGCTCTTAGTTGGCATTTGCCAGAGTATAGTTGGTCATGGCGTTCATCCGCTCGGTCGTGAGCTTCAACGAAATGCTGAGCAGCTCTTGGTAAACGTCGTTCTGGTCCTTGCGCAATTTCTCCCAACTCTCCGTGTCCATGACCCACGCGGTACAGTCCTTGACAGCAATGACGGTCGCTGTGCGGTCTGTCTGGGAGAAAAACGGTAATTCGCCGCAGGTCGTTCCCTGAACGATTGGTTCCGAAAGCTTGCCTTGAGGTGTCTCATAGTCGGCGCGCAGCTCGCCCATTTCCAGAAGATAGAAGCCCTTAGCTGGCTCTCCTCTGTGGTATAGTACAGTTCCTGCCGGGTATTCCCTCTGTACAAAGTACGGCTTTGCCCGGAACCAGAAGTCTTCATTTTTGTCGCTAAGGTCGTGGAAGATTTGGAGCATAAGACGCAGCGGCTCATTAATATTTCGCCACCTTGAAGCACGCTTGAGTTCATGCTCTATCAACACATTCTTTGCAACTTCATGCTGGTAATGCCCTCTGGGAGATTGAGACAGGTACTGCGGCTCAAAAGGCTGAACTGATTTCTGCTGACTTGGCACATCGAGGTTCTTCGAAGAGGTGGGACGTGTTACCCTACGCAGTGCCTCCTGCTGTTTATAGAACGTCTTCAGCTGTTCATTTTCGCAACTCTCGAGAGCAGAGTTGAGATCGGGCATGAACATAACCTCCGGGCCGTCGTTTCCGAGACCTACGGCGCGCAAATCTCTGCCAACCGTGCTTTCGGCATCCTTGCCACTAATGAGGAGGACAATACCTTTCTTATTCAGTAGCCGATTGATCGTCATGAAACCCTCGGCTGCAGAATAATCGATGCCTGTGACTTGTGATAGATCAATGATCAAGTACTTGATGGGATGTTCGGCGAAGTCATCATCAGCAATCAAAGTTCGTATCTTCTCCTGCACTCCAACAATGGTACCAAAGAAAAGATTTCCAAGGAGCTTGATGATGTACGTTTGGCGGCCTACTCCCTGCAAGTAATGATGCTGAGATGGGTTTCTCCGAACCATCGAACCGACTTGATCGCCGGTATAGCAAGCCCGGATTGCAGAAACTCTCGACTGATTCACTACCACAGAGACGAATGCGAGGATAATCCCAAGGAAGATACCTGCAACGAAGTCATAAATCCCCATGGTAAGTACAATCGCAATGATCTAATTGATTGTCAATAACGAGTTTCCATGACAACGGTGAACACGACTTACTGTTATGTATTCAAGCACCTTGAGCTTGTGCCTTGGTGCTACGAGCGAGTCCGCTATGAGTTCAAACCCAAGCACAAAAATAAGTGTGCCGACCATCATGACTGGAATGAAGCCTATAAGACTCGGTCCAATGACCAGGACAACAGCGGTCAACGAAGCGAGCATATATCCAGCTAGTCTACTGTTACCGCCAGACCTTATGAAAAATAAAGTGTTGGCGTACACCAAGTAGTTCTGGATACTACCGGCACATCCAGAAAGGAAGTTGGAATAGCCATGGAGCTTGAGTTCATGGTTCAAGTCGGCATTGTCCTCTCCAGTGCTCTGTGCCAAGGCGGGGACGTTGATCGGCACATGTAAAAGACTGAAGAAGGTAAGCGCGAACATGGCGCCTGTGCATTCAAAGATAGCACCCCAGTGAATAAGATGAAATTCTGATTGTTGTATAAGTAAGGCATCTCGATTGATAGTGAAGGGGGCATTCAAACTTACTGTAGAGTGTCCAGAAATGATACCAGGCCTCGCCTTCATTGGGTGCCTCGAATATCCAACCATGCTCTCGCAGATTTTCCGGCACAAGCTCGTCGATTGTAAGTACAAAGAAATAAAACACGAAGGGTATCAAAAGGATATAGACGGATAGGAAATATTGAGAAGTGATTTTCCTCTGGAGAACAAAGAGGATGATTGCGAGGGCTAGTGGGATGATCCAAAGAGGCAACGCATTGGCTTGTCCGAGCCTGTGGAGGGTGTCCAAGTCATAGTGGAACTCGTCCAAACGGGCTGAAACCTCGAAGCCAGTCTGGATCAAGAACCAGCCCACTCCACCAATACAGCCGATGAGGATGTGACGTGGAATGAAGCCAATGATGTAGCCTAACTTGAACTTTCCCATTAGCCAGAAGATTAGACCGGTCAGCATGGAGCTGAGGGCATAGGATGTAATTGTGGTCGCAATGACAGCATCCGGATTATCTTCGCCAACTATCGATGTGATTGTAGCAGCCATGTTATGGAAGAACGGCACAACTTCGATCTGTGCTGGTTAGCGGGTTGAGTATTCACATATCACCAAAATTCACTTACCAGCTCAGATCCTACGCCGCCTTTGAAAATGCTTCCTGTAGAGAAGACGAGCTGCGAAACAATCGTGCTCACGTAGAAAATGGAAATTCCGGCCGGTCCAAGGCTTGCAAATATCGGGTTTCCGAGAGGAAACAGAATCATGCCTACAAGTAATTAGCACGATTTCTCAGTCCCATCGTTACAAAGTTTACCGTATGAGAGGGCGTCCAAAATATTAAGCAGTAATCCAACGACGACGGACGGCAAGCAGCTAAGAGGATCCATGACAGCGCTCTGCCAAATGACGTGTCGATCCCATGTCTTGGGATTGATCAAATGGGAAACGACGCGAACTCTGTTCTTGGCCCTCTCTCTGATGCTTCCATATCCACGGTACGATTGGTCCAGCCTTGGTTTCTGACTCTCAACATCGCTCAAATCGTCCCCTTCGCTCAGACTAGGGCTGTCAGGAGGAGGTCGAGAATAGCTCGAGAAGGATCGAATCAACAGAGCTGTGCTTTCTGATGCGCCATCCATGTTGGCTGCGTCTGCTCTTGAAGTGCCACGACCAGTCCTAGGTGCTTGTGTTTCGACATCTATCTTGCTAGAGCCTTCGTGCTCGGTCGACACACTTTCTCTGGAGGTCTGCGCATTGCTTGACTTCGGTGACTGCTTGAGCATGCTCGCCAACATGGAAGGGCCTTCGTCGGGGTCGTCTTCGATGGCGGTTTCTGGCGAGGACGGTTCTGAAGCTTCGGCTATGCTTTCGTCATAGGCGGCCTGGTGATCTGACCTGTGCAACGAAGAGGCTTCGCGATCAGTGTAAGGGGCTCCGGACGTATCCCGCCTCAAGAAAGACGCCCGCCTCTTTTCCTTCTTATCCGCGAGAACATAGGATGCGAGTTCGGCAGTGTCCTCGCGAACACTCCGTGCATAGCTAGCACTATCGATCGGGGCTGCACATGCATATTAGTGGTTGTGACTACAGAGGCATTATAGACCGGCCACTTGCATAAATGGTCCCGTGCTGAACCTGGTATGAAAGACCTTGTTGGCTCTCTATGGTTAGTAGAAGTGACGGAAGAGGACAGCAGCCTGGCGTCGGGGTAGGGCGCTCGCGCATGTGTGCTCGAGCTGTTCGTCTGGTTGGGAATATCCTCGGGGCCAGTATGAGAGACAAGAGAGGGAGATCTCCTCCTCCAAGAGGAGAAGTCAAACGGGGAAGAGGACATTTCGAAAGAGAGTAGAGAATAGAGCGCTAGCTCAGTTGGTTCGCAGAGTGCCGTGCATGTAGCAAAGTCTGTGGCGATGGGATCTGAGTGCGAATGCCATGTACTCTGTAGATGGTGAAATGACGCTCTGGCAGAGGCGTGATGCGTATGGTCCGATAAGCAGCTCAAGCCAGGACGTAAGTGCACTAAAGGAAGTACATAATGAGACAAAGAGAAAGAGAAGAGTAGCTCGTTGCTAGCACAAAACCTGAAGATAACTACTGTTTGAGTGGGACTGCTGCCATCTCTCGCTGGGAACCTTGATCGTGGTGAATTTGTTAGCTCCGAAGCAGGCCCAAGACCTGCTTGACGTAGCACGATGTACTGCAGGGAGATGGGAGAATATGCGAAGGTGCCGCAAAAGTGCCCCCGCGATCCATCTGCAGCGCAGCGTCGGAATTGACCAAAGAAATTTGCGCCTGGAGGCCCACGGGCTGTTCTCAGAAGCCGTCTTCACGGTTCCGGAAAGGTGTGGAATGAGACTTTGGTAGACAAAAGGCCAGGCCCAGCGCCAGAGTGCGGGCTGCGAGCTCTAGAAAGATGCGCCAAGACCAGCGCCATTGGCAGGGATGCAGCTTTTATCGGCGCCGACAATACGGATCCCGTACAAACTTTGAATAGTCCAAGCCATATTTAGAAAGGACACCCGGGCAAAACTACCGTACAAGGGAACGATACTGCATCACATCGTGTCCTTGTTGTAAAATTCTTCTCTGCACGTTATCTGCCGCATGACATGCAGTCAAATCAGTTTGCCCTCTCTCGTCGTGCTACAGCACCTTGGCTGCTTGGGGGTCACATGGGGGGAACTCCCGAATGTGTCCTTGGATGCACTGAATCAAAATTCTCGAGTGTGCTGGTGATGTCTGCATGTATGATGGATGTACCAAGAGTCGCAGAGCTACTGTGCAACATTGGATATGATCAGCAGACTCTGTTCTTGACTATGTAGACAACACGGTTGTCGAGCAGGTTTTCTGCTACAGAACAGGGCAATGTGGGCGATGATGATTGAGCTGGTACAAAGTAATGAGACATGATTGATGGGCTTCTCTTGCTGAACTGCCTCGACAAAATCATGCAGCATATAGACGTTCATCGGTAGCCGGCACCTCACATATCTCTCTTCTCATGTGTTGTGTATTGCATCTCCTTGGACAACCAGGAGATACTCGTGTCGTCGTACACAGACGAGGAGGCTGAATAGCTTTGCCGTTGATCTGCAAATTGAGAAGCAAACACCCCTCCCTCGTGCTTCGAAAAGTGGGTGCATACTGCATACCGGAACCCTGGCCGCAGGTGCGCACCATGTACTGTAGGGAGGCTACATAAAGGCTCGCCTGCATAGGACGCGGGGCTTGCAGTTGGAGACGGCATGGATTGCGAGCTCGGAGAATTATGGGCAATAATTGAGTTTTCGAAAGTTTGTAACGAACTTTTCGTCATCATGGCAGAATATGTCATGACCACTAAATCATTACAACATTCAGAAACACAAAGGTTACAGGTGTTTGTCCGATGAGTATGCGCGTAAATAGTGCCTTGGCACTTTCCTATGGGAAACACCTAACCTAGCGATTTTGCAAAAAATCCAATGCACATTTGAAATGGAGTTTCCGGTGACCAAAGGCCGCGAAAACCCTCCACACTACTACATGGCAGCTCCCCATATTCGCAATATCCCAGTCGACTTTACGTACAAGTACGATATTTCATTCGTCCATCTATACATGGCCATGGCCCCCAAGCCTCCATCGGGACGGGCCATAGGAAACTAAAGGAGCCTCTGCAATGTAACAACCAACAGTCTTTCCACATCAGATGTTCAGACGTGTTCAATGGTCGCATTGTTGAAGCCGGCAAAGCGGCTTCAATGCCAGCACAAGCGGCTTTGCTGAATTGTGCTAATGCTTTCGTGCGTTCTCGGTCCGCGTGGGGGCTTCTTACAAACCTTGCATCCGGAAACTCGCCCGGTTCGAAGACACAGCCCTCAGATGGATGATTCTCCTTGAAACAGCGAAGCTATGCATACAAGACTTTAGCCACCACGTAACTTGAACGTCTATTGGTGTGACTGTGCCCCTCTGCGTTGTCCCCGTTATCCTAGCGGCTTTCTACTATTAATAACTGGTGAGGTCTAGTGGCCTTCGAGGTTGTTGCATATTTCACCTGTGAAGCTCACTAGCCGCCGTGGGCCTTTGCGGCCACCACTTGGCATAGTTGCATATACTTGCCGTACAGACTTGGTGCGTTGTGGTCCAATGGGCAGACCACGGACCAGGAATCTGTTTGGACAGCTAACGGCGCCGGACGTGAGAGCGCTTGCCGGGGGATCTCCGCGTTTGTGGCCTGGGGTCATTTTGCCGTTGAAATTGCCAGGGTTGCATCGTTGCCCGGGTGCAGCTTTCCTAGGGTGGTGGTCGGGTGTATGCACGCTCGTGGCCATAGGATCTGCCCTCGGGAATAGCTCTGTACGTGCTCCATCGCGTGCTCAGCTTAGCTTCTGAAGATATCCCTGGGCTATCAAGCGTTCAACATCACCTTGCCTGACGTAGAACTGACTGTTCTTAGTCAATGTGATGGCACTGTTGAAAGATCAGCGTGGTTGCTCCCGGGTCTGTCGCACATGCATCCGTCACTTACCCATACTCTGTTTGAATCTCACCCGCATCTTTCAGGACCCTAACATCAATGAAGAGGTCCCGAGGCGGCTCAAGACTACCAGTGAGGTCAATGTCAGTCCATTGACCTTTGTACGCCGCCAGTAGGTCACTATATTGCCTGACATAATCCTCCTCTTGCGGACTCAAGCTACTTGAGCCAGTGTCGCCGAGCCCTTGATTGGCTGAGACCTGTTGTCCGGGTAGATCTACAACGTCCTCGCCTTTCCAAACCAGCTCCTCGAGCTTGTCGGTCCGCGTACGGTGGTAGGCAAGCAGGCACCGCTTGTCCCTCCGCATGGAGAGGTGATTCACCAGCATGGTGCATGACTTGGCTTCATCGGCGTGTGGCTCAAAGCTGCCCTGGAAGGAGTCCAACATAGAGGAGAGGTCCTTGTCTAAATCGCGTACTTCGCGTGTCACGGCTCGTACCAACTCTGTTTGATATGGCGGCAGGTGTGCCAAGTGTTGCGCTCGTTTCGCATGGTGAACCTAAGGAATGGAAGGACGAGTAAGCAGAGTGCGCGGACGAGTAGTAGTGATGGTTTGGTAACAGGCGTGCCCTACGAGTTTGTTTCCCGCGTCCCCGTACATTGAGACGAGAGTGCCGCCGAGAGATTATCCTTCAAGCCTTTCTTGCTTTGCTGCTTCGCGGAGTGCTGAATGTGACGGACTGGTTGCTTCTATGGCATTTATTTGGGCATGGAGTGGTCACGAACGCGTGGGCTAGACCGGGGTTAGCACGTTGGGTTAGCAGATTCAAGGCGCGTGTCGTACTGGAGGTCTGGGACGATGGCGGGGCAAACCAGCAATTGAATTTGAATTCAGATCAGTCATGATAACAACTTGCAGGTACTGTAGCGGCCCCCGACTCCTCTCCTATCAAGCGCTACCAAGTGCTTGACACAAGCTGTTTCAGCCCAATGAGTGACACCATTTCTCTAGCGGACCAAGACCCCGTCGGGGCTCCAATCAGCGCCCATGGATAACTCAAAACGGGCAGAGGAACCACTGAGGAAGGAAAAAAAAAAAAACCAGACACAGTACTATTTAGTTGCCCCGCGATTCAGACCCCTGCCGACCATTGAAATTTGAAAAAAAGTTCCTCCTCCGATCAGCTCCTACCCCGCCAACATCATCATAGGAGCAGAGCCATTAAATCCGTCTGAGCTCCAACAGAACGCAGATTTCCCTGCAAACTTTCTGCCCATCGCTCAATTCTATCATCCGTTTCCCCCCCTTCTCTTGAGTACTGTTCTCTACATCTTCAGTAAAGGCTCAAGATGGCTCAAAGAATTGCCATTGTCTCTGTCTATGACAAGACAGGTCTGTTGGACCTGGCTAAAGGTCTTGTCCAGCAGAATGTTCGCATTCTCGCTTCTGGTGGCACAGCCAAGATGATCAGAGAGTCCGGCTTCGCTGTTGAGTAAGGCACACCATTGTTTTGCTATTATTCCCGATCGTCATGGTCGTTATGCAGGTGTGATAAAGCGGCGATATACTTACACAAATCTCAAGGGATATCTCCGCCATCACCAAAGCACCTGAGATGCTTGCAGGCCGTGTCAAGACTCTTCACCCCGCTGTCCACGCCGGTATCTTGGCTCGCAACCTTGCCTCTGACGAGAAAGACCTTGCAGAGCAACACATTGATAAGGTCGACTACGTCGTCTGCAACCTCTACCCATTCAAGGAGACCATTGCGAAGCCCAATGTCACAGTCCCTGAGGCTGTTGAAGAGATCGATATCGGTGGTGTCACACTTATCCGCGCCGCTGCCAAGAACCACTCACGCGTCACCATTCTCAGTGACCCCAACGACTACGCCGAGTTCCTCAAGGAGCTCGGCGCCGGCGAGATCAAGGAGTCTAGCCGAAACCGATACGCCCTCAAGGCATTCGAGCACACGGCCGATTACGACGCTAATATCTCATCTTTCTTCCGTTCTCGATATGCAGGAAATGGAGACCAATACGCCCAACTCCGTTACGGTGCCAACCCCCACCAGAAGCCTGCTTCTGCATTTGTGAAGTCTGCCAGCCTCCCATTCAAGACTCTCAATGGCTCTCCTGGCTATATCAACCTGCTGGATGCTCTGAACAGCTGGCCCTTGGTCAAGGAGCTTAAGGCTGCTCTTGGAAAGCCTGCTGCAGCCAGCTTCAAGCACGTCTCCCCTGCCGGTGCCGCTATCGGTGTGCCTTTGAGCGCCGAGGAGCGCAAGGTGTACTTCGTCGACGACATCCAAGGCATCGAGTCCTCCGCTCTTGCCCAAGCTTACGCCAGAGCGCGTGGTGCCGACCGCATGAGCAGCTTTGGTGACATGATCGCCCTGAGCGACATCGTTGATGTGCCTACTGCCAGCATCATCTCCAAGGAGGTGTCGGACGGTGTCATTGCACCTGGCTACGAGGATGCTGCTCTAGAGATTCTCAAGAAGAAGAAGGGTGGCAAGTACCTTGTCCTGCAGATCGACCCTGACTACACCCCCGAATCTACGGAAACGAGAACCGTTTACGGTGTCACGTTGCAGCAGCACCGGAACGATGTTGAGATCACCCCCAGCTCCTTCAGCCGAACCATTACACCCAAGGACTTCTCCTTGCCCGAGTCTGCTACTCGCGATCTCACAGTTGCGACCATTGCTCTGAAGTACACTCAGAGCAACTCAGTCTGCTATGCCAAGAACGGTCAAGTCGTTGGTCTCGGCGCAGGCCAACAGTCCCGCATCCACTGCACGCGGCTTGCTGGTGACAAGGCCGACAACCTGTGGTTCCGCTTCCACCCCAAGGTTCTTGGAATCAAGTGGAAGAAGGGCACCAAGCGCCCTGACAAGAGCAATGCTATTGATCTGTTGGTAAGCGGCGAGCTGCCCAAGTCTGGACCTGAGCGCGAGCAGTTCGAGGCCTTCTTTGACGAGGTTCCTGCGGCCTTCACCGAGGAGGAACGCGAGGAGTGGTCTGCTAAGCAGAGCGACGTCGTTGTCTCCAGTGATGCCTTTGTGAGTACCACTACAACCAATTATGATGGACACTGCGCTGACTATTCAATCAAGTTCCCCTTCATTGACAATGTTTACCGCGCACACCGGTCCGGAGTCAAGTACATCGCTGCCCCTGCCGGTAGCCAGAATGATGGTGCCGTCTTCGAGACAGCGGAAAAGCTTAACATGGTGTTCGTGGAACAGAACACCAGACTGTTCCACCACTGAGGTAATTGCACCACATGAATGCAGGATACTTCCTTCGAAAGGTGAGACAAAAAGAGAAAGTTCACTGCTAGAATGATACCCGGAAGTAGGTACGGCAAATCATTTGGAATCGGAAAAGTTACGAATTGAATGATGTACGATACCGTGGCTTCCCAACTGAAGAAAGTTTTAGAGAAGTCTCAACACTTCGCAATAACATAAAATTGAACAACAGACCTTTTGCTTCCATGTGTGCTTTGCAAGCTTTGCCCTTGGTTCCAAAACATGATATCAACTGGCTCAATCATAACGAAGTAGCTGATAAGGAACTTGAGGCATTCCCACCCCTTAGATGTAAATACTTATGCAATGAATCAATTCGTTATGCGTCACTCAGTTCGTGGAATGCCCACCGCAACAGGCGAACCTAGGGACCAAGTTAATCGACCTAAACAGATCCGGCCTGCTCCTCATATTCCGCATCCACCACCTGTCTCTCGGACGCGCCCTCCAGAGGCTCCAGCATGGGTTCAACTGTGCCGTCCGCCGAATGGTCTTGATGTCGTGCACAACGGCGGAGTTTGGGCGCCGGTTGATATCAGGCGAAAGCCGGCGTGTCTGGTCTCGGTGTTGATGCCAGAGCCATCTCGGCTCGAGCACGGGGGCTGGGGGAGCGGGTGCGGGAAAGGGTGGAACGCCATAGTCGTGTGGCTTCCGGTCGAGGGAGATACTGTTGTTACGGCAGTGGTGGTGGTGTCGGCTTCTCCTGTTGCTGGGGTCCTTCTGTGGCTGTTGTTGATGCTGCGCGTCCCGGCGAAGGTCTGTCACAAGTGTGAGCGAGACAAGAGTTCGACGGGCCCCATCCAGGAAGTATGTGGGGGCTCCGAAGAGCTGATGAAGCAACGTCGAGAGGATTTAGCAGAGCAGCTTAGTGAGGATGAGGCCAGGTATATATTTGAGATGAGCTGGGTCCGCGGCCTGGTCGAGGAAGTTGTTCAACTTGGTGTGCATGACCACGAGTATCGATATGTAGACGGCCGGGTCGACGAGTTAGCAGATGAGATCCGAGTTGAGACCTAGGTAGGCGGGTTCGGTTACGGCGCGGTGAAGCTGTTCTAGGATTACGATGATAAGATTCGAGACCAGTCGTGGCACGATGGGCAGTTGGCAGGTGATCGAGTCGGCATGTGTCTGTTTTCCAGAGCAATAGTTGGTGGGTAAAATATAGCAAAAGGCGGCATTGGCACAACTGGATAATTATATCTATGAGTGTTTATTCATAAGTGAAGGTATACAGATAGGGGTGCATTAGGCACACTCTTGCGGCGTATTGGATTTCTTTGACTTTCTCCTATGATTCTTATGAGCAAAACCGATCATAGTGTCAAAGAATCAAGTCAACGCATATCCTCGCTCAGTTTTGGGTTTTAATGCAGAAGTGTCTTTGGCCACCTGGCCATTTGTGCAAATCACGGAGCCTTCTCTTATGACCACAGCCATGGGTGATGAGGCATTGATGCATACATCAGAAGCGCCAGCCTTCAAAGACGAAGAGGTACGGCTTTGCTTTTACTTGCATGCAAGCCCAATGGTGAATCTGTGGCTGCCTTATCGTCTTCACTGGATGGCTAAGAAGGGTTGGAGAGAAGGTCGCATGCATATCGGCGTTTGTCCCCGGGAGCACGAACATCCAACCAGATCTTTCCACATATCAGGGGTCCGCAGTGAGGCGAATCACACAGGCGACTCGTCTTGATATTGAGTTTGAGGCGCTTGTAGCAATTAATCATGTATAAGAGGTTCTGAGCCCCCAGACAGGGACGCGCCTTCACCGAAGCATTGAATCGACTTTGATCTCTAAGAAAGAGTCATTCAACAAGGGCTCAGGCTGGATTCGTCTCGCACTCTTCTGTCATGTCTCGAAAGAAGAACCCCATCAAAGCATCGGAAATCAGAATTGAGCCCAAGAAGCCGCCCAAGAAAGCCAAAGTGGTCATTGCCTGGGATGACTATTTTGGAAACGGAGACTTGGAGGACTGGCAACGCCTGATGCGCGATTTGGGCTTCCAGCAGGAATTCCCCAGTAAGCAGAGATGCCGCAGAGTGAGTTTTATTTATTCGTTTGTTTGTTTGACGCTATGTGGTGCTTCTTTCCGGCCAGCAACTCCTGACAAATGGCTTTGTGTAAAGACTCTGAGGAAGGTCTGGGTGAACATTCCCGATTTCCTTCGCGCGGTCGCATCGAAACAGCCGGTCTACCGGTTCTCGACACAGCACGAGCTCTCGGAGTACACCTTAAAGAACAAGAAACTGTTTCCAAAGGACCAAATCCCGGATGGCAGTCCACTCAGGAAACTCCTCGCACATATTCGATTTCCCAAGATACAAGAGAGTGTAGTTACTAGAGACGGAATCGCACAAACCCAGCAACGCAAGGTACAAAAGAATGCAGTCGCTCAAGACGAAATCGACGCCATGATCGAGAGACTAGGAGGGGTGAGGATCTAAACATGGCTGTTTGAGACGTGGGGGAGCAGAAATCTGATAGACTTGTGACGTCTTCATCGCAACTTGGCATTGACTAGCTCCTAATCTCCCATAATCTAATCTTCCCGGTATCATTGCCGACTGCCAGCGTATCACTCTTGCTACCAAACGCAATGGCTGTAATTCGTCCGAGAGGCGTTTGCGCAGTAGGCCAATTCCTGTAGACCGTACAGCTGGGCAAGTGTGCCAGCCGTAGAGCATCCTTCTTGTGCGTGCTTCCGAAAGCCAAGATCTGCCCGTCAGGGCTGAACTTCAAGAATGTGATGGGCGTTGTCATCTGCTCGAACCTTCGCGCAGGTTCGGGTCGCTCCTTGATCTCCAACTCATCGTCACCCGTGGGCAGAATCAAGTCGTCCCGGTTGTAGACGTTCATTACGCCGCTGTTGGATCCGATGGCCACCCACTTGTGGCCACCCAGGACCTTGGGCCCATTGCGCCCACCCAGCGCAATGACGGTGCCGCCTATTGAGCCTTCGTCGTTCCATATGGCCAGGAACCGTTTGGTAGCCATGCTCCACTCGCCGACTTGGCCTCCCTTTCCAAGGACTGTCAAACCGTTGCCGTTGCTCCACCACTGGAAATCTGCGATACCTCCTCGGCTGTCTAAGCGGGCAGCAGCAATCCATTGCATAGTATTGACATTGACAATGTTGATTTCACCGCCTCCTTTCCGTGTGGAGGCAATCATTCCTAGCCAGCGCCCACATGGACTAAGGTTGAAGCGCTCCCATGTTCTTTGCTCCAAGTTATGTCCCTGAAGTTTTTGAGTCTTTTGGATCACACCTGTCGGCAGGTCCCAGGAGTGAATGAATCGCCGCCGACCAGCAAAGAATATCTTGTCACCGCTCGGGAAGAGGAACTCAGCATGCCTGACTGGAACTTGCTTGATTTGCACAGAGGTCAAGAGCGGGTTTGGTGTGGGATGAGCGGTGGGCGCAATGTGGTGAAGATAGAGCAGCGTTGAAGTGCTGGCTGATAGGAGCACGGGGTATTCAGGATGGAAGCAAAGCGACGTGACTTCATCCTTGTGGCTATCGGCCATATCTCTAGATCTTTGTATGTCGATAACCTCAGGGCGTAGCTTCTTCGACTTGGTGCCGTCCTCGCTGAGCGAAGTGGCATCTCGCAGGAATTTGTCAAGTGGCAGAGCAGACGCCTCGTCATCGCTACCGCTGACATCGGAGGCCTGGGAGTCGTCGGATGCAGCAGAGGACCTCCGGCGACGCTTGGCCGGACGCTCCTCTGCCTCCTTTGCCCAAGCAGGAACAGGGTTGAGTCGCAGGTATTGTTGCCGTAACCTCCTGGTATATTCCGTACCAGTCACGACGTCGTCCTCTTCAGTGATACGTAGCTTTCGCAGCTGAGTGGCGCTGGCAAGGGACACGGTCAGCCGCTCGTCATCGCTGTCTTCCCAGGCGGGCGCATTCTTTTGGTCCTTCTGCGAAGCAGCCAGGACACTGGTGGGTGTCACTACCAGGTCCTTGTTACCGGCGGGCGGCGCATCAAGGAAGAACAACTGCGCGTCGTCCAGATCCTCGACATTGTCGTCGCCATCCTGATCAGCCTCCTCTGCATAGCCTTCAAAGTCGGAGCCAATGTCTTCTTGGTAGTCTCCCTTGAACAGGTTTTCGCGGAAGTTGGAGCTGTCGCCTAGAACCAAACGCTCGAGCTCTTCTTCGTCGGAGTCCTTCTCGAGGACTGGATTTCGCTGAGGCTTCTTGGGGACTTGTGGTTCCTCTCCGCTCTCGTAGTCTGATGAGTCGTCATGCTCGGAGAAAGAGGCAAAGTCGTCCTCGTCGGGCACTTCCTTGTTCTGCTTGGGGGGCATCTTGGCGATCGTGCGTGTCGGATGGGATGTTCACGCGTGAGTACACAAGATCCGACAATTCCATGCGACTCGACTGCTCCTGCTTGGAAACTTTTTTACTGGGGTCTGTTATAGCCTTGCATGGCAGCTAGTCTAGCAGGGATTTGGGCGCTGTGTTTTTTGGCCCTTTGCGGTTTGCCCCTCTTTTATCCATCGCAAGCGCATTGTCCCGGCTCATGGCATCGACATGCTTACATCCGCCGATATTCATATACCGAGACTCGGTCGGCTGCCTGCGAGATCTATGCTAGACTAGTCGTTTGCCTGCTGTCCGGAGCAGAGAGGAGCTCTGGCTCATCGAAACGTATATTCTTCTTTTTCTTTTGATTCTTCTTTTTATCCGCCGCTAAGTGACTATCGACTTATGTCCTAGAGGCAGCCGAGAGTTCCTTGGTCAGAGAGTCCAGGTTGTCACTGACTGACTCAGAGCTTCTCAGTGTCATGATTGCCCCCTTTTGCGCCACATGCATCAGATCCTCAATATTTCCTCCCTGAGCGAGACCAGCAACGAGAACCCCTAAGAAGGTATCGCCAACGCCGTTTACAGAGACGACATCTTGCACCATCTCGGCAACTGGAAATAGCCTCAGGTAGACGCCTCCAATATCCGGGTGATTGTGGAAGGACCTGGACAATATGAAAGGCTCGAAAGCCATGTCCATCAGTCGGGGATCGTCCTTCCGAAGGATCGTTGCCAACAAGGCACCCTGATCTCCTAGCTTCGTGATAATTGTTGGAATGTAAGGTAGCAGCTGAATCGCTTGTTGTGGGATACCAGCATCCGTCATGGCCGCCGAAGTCATCCTCACGAATCGGTCCCTTGCACCCGTCATTCCAAGAGCATCAATCACCTCCCACCAATGCTGATCTTCGAGGTACCCGTTCTCTTGTGCCGCAGCATGCATCGCTGCCAGCTCGTACTGGTTTGGCGTAGCCAAGTCGACGCTGTGTTTAGGGTATATCCCTAGCTGCTCCAGGTTCTTGGCACGGCAGAACAGACGAGCTGACTTGGCATTAGAGACGGGCTCGAAAGCCACCTGCGAGCCATTCCGCTTGCCAGCTCGTATCCATGATCTTATGCTCTGTTCTGACCAGTTGCCATCAACAATGAGCCACTTGGGCTTGGCTGTGGCCACTTCAGCGTTCCACTCGGACGGGAAAGAATGAGTTGTAAATAGATCCATATCAGCCATGGCCATCACGAGACCCTTATTTGCATCGTTCACGGCGACATACTGTGCTGTTCTACCAGATGCTTCGCTAATTTTCCTGACAGATTGCGTGCTCATGCCTGCAGCGTTGAGGGAAGCCAAAACGGTCGAGCCAGCTCTGTTCTTGTCAGGCCATGCTCTCCACAAAGTGTCAAGGTAAAGACTTACATATCATTGCCGACCATACTACAGAGTCTGACAGTCATGTCACCTCTGACCTTGTGTGCAGCCAGTGCTACATTGCGACCCACGCCGCCTATGGATTGACTGATGCGGGCGGGGTTTGACGTCTTGAGTTGGGGAGTTGGGTTGGTCGCACTGTTGGGCCCAGCATAGTCGCAGTTTAGGTCTATCGCAACGGAACCAGCTACCATAATATCTGCTGCCTCTGTCTATCATGGAAGTTAGATATGTGATTTACGCATCGAGATGACTATTGCACGGGAATGATTTATGATGGTTATACAAGATATCTTGTATAAATGCTTACTTCCGGTACTTCATGTTTAACTTCCTTGTTGTTACTCATAACTGGTTTGCTCACGGAGTGTCGCGATGCCGCTTGCTGTTTTGGTGTAAATCTGTAACCGTTAGGAGTCTACTCTCTCCCGGATTTGAACCTGCCCTCACCCTTGCACGGGTATCGCTATGTCCCCTGAAATCATCTGAGAGACCGCAACTGCTATCTTTGCAGCGCGCTCCACATTGGCCTGGACAAGTGCCACATTAGCAGGCACGCTGCGGCCATTCGTAAGCTCTCGGATTCGCGTGAGGATGAAAGGAGTGTTCTCGCTGCCCGAAGCCCCTTGTTCCAGTGACTCGCGGACGGCCTGTTCAATGACCTTGTTCATCTCGTCTGTCGGAATAGAGGACTTTTCTGGAATTGGGTTCGCAAACAGCAAGCCCGATTCAAGTCCCAAGGTCTCTTGTGCCAGGATCATGGCTGCTGCCTCCTCTTCACTCTGTACAATCGACGGGCTCTTAACGCCGCTATCCCGAGCCCAAAAGGCTGGGAAATCGACCTTGCCAGCTCGGCCATCTGCAAAAGTTGATACGAGGACGCCTTGTGTCTCAAGATATTCAAGCGTTCTCGGTATGTCTAGGAAGCCCTTACACCCACTGCTGACAACAGCCATTCTGGTGCGACCAAGTTCTGTCAGATCAGCCGAGATGTCTAGCGTATCGTGCCCGCCTCGATGAACGCCTCCAAGACCACCTGTACCGAAAACCCGGATCCCAGCAAGCCTACCCAGAATCATGGTACCAGCTATAGTTGTGCCTCCGTTGATCTTGTTTCCCATCATGCCCTAGTGGAACCGTTAGCGGTGCGCGGCCAGGTGCCTAATCAACATACCATGCCGGTGAGGAAAGCAATATCTCTTCTGGACACCTTTCGCGGCGAGTTCTCGATCATGTGAGTGATTTCTTCAGGTAGAAGACCAACAGTTGGAACACCCTCCAAGATACCACAAACAGCCGGTACTCCACCATTGCGACGCACGATACCCTCTAAGTCGAGGTCATCGCCCAACGCTCCATGAGTATATATTGTAGACTCGAGCGCTACCACGGGCTTGTTGGTAGCTAGAGCGTCCTCAACTTCTTCGGATACCCTGAGTAGCTTCCGCAGGCCTCCCAAACTGCTCGTGCTGCCTGATGTGAATGCAGCTGACGTCGACCATGATCTGCTCTGGTTCGTGAAAGGAGTGCTCTTCTGGCGGAGACAATGTCTTCCGACAGAGTTCCACGAGCTCCTCATTGTCTTCATGATTTCTACACCACCACACGATCGGATAGGTAGTGCTATTTTTTATTTGTGAGAGGGTTCGTGTGCAAAAAGAGAGTTCTTGTCCAAAAATTTCGTTCGAAGGACCCCTTATATCTCTGAACACCGCTCAGAGCCTTCGCTATCGGTTTCTTATCGAAGCCGCTCAAGGACTGAGTCACCTTGTGCCTTCGGCCAATGAGAGACCAGTGCTACAATAGTGGTTTCTGGTGCGCCTTACCAGGGATCTGGAACTGTCGACAACGAACCGTATTAACGCGCTTTGTGATTGAAAGGGCGTGTCTGTACAGCCTCGGCTGACTCCGAACCCAGGAGGAGCCACCACAATTGCGGCGTGCCGTCTTGCCTAGCGTGCCCCGCCGATTAAGATTATCTTGATCTGGCTCGTGCTCGGGAACTCTAAACTTGAAACCTGGACTGCAAGAGAGGAGGATTCATCGCATTAAAAATAACACCCCTAGATTCCTATGTTGAGACTCTCGCTTTCCAAATGTTCGGCGCAAAATTGAGTGCAAATATATCAGTTGCAGGAGTCTGTGAGATTTTCAACGACGTCCCTGTCGAATAGTTGAACACACAATCACTCGCTTAGCAATATCGCATCCAATATGAGTAGAGCATCACGGAATCCTATGCCGTCACATCCCCCCTCGGTCATCATGCAGCCGAACCGCAACGCATGAAAATCGTGCCAAGATGACCAAACCAGGGCCCTGAGCCCACCTTCCCATGTCCTTGGGCCTGCCAATTTATGTACCCGAAATGGCTTTGCACCCTTCATCGTTTTCAATCACTGGCAAGTCCGTGTATTGATAAGAATGGGGATCAACTAGGCAGACTTTTCTCTTCTCACTCTTCTTCTCCTTTCTGGCGATGCAACCAGGATAACAAAATATCATATTACGGTTCTCGGCCTTCGCATATTGAGCGTTATAAACTACAAGCAGATTACTATCGTTCAGCATACTACAAGTCGCAAGTTGGAGCACAAATAGTGTCATGGCATCGAAAATGCTTGCGGCAGCTTTGGCCGGTTTTGTGGCCAGGTCCGCCGCGCTCAATTTCACAATTTCCAATGGGCAGATCTTCACACCGGGTTTTGCTGTCCTCGATTCGCCACAACCCGGAACGCCTCTCGGTGGTGGTAAGTAGCTGTACTAGCTACGTACACTGCTGGGACAACAAACATCTGACAATACGTTACATAGACACCATTGAGGTAGCGCTTGATGTCTCTGCCAACGGGAAACTCAACTTGCCTCCTTATGCCGACGATAGTCCAAGCCAGATCTATAATATCACAATTTTTCTGTATAGTTACGACACAGGGAGAAACTTTACCATCACGAATGGCACTGCAACGGCAAACAATGCCAGCCTAGGAGACATTATGTTGTCGGAGTCCGGCAGCACCGTAAAGCATGTCAAGTGGAGGTGGCCAGACTGCCTGGTTGGAAATGGACAACCAACATCAACAGACAGCGACCGCGGTGTTTATAATGTAAGAACTGACTCTTCATGCACGTCGCGCTTTTTCAATGAAGCTCACAGCGTGGTAGATATCCATCCGCCAGAACTTCCGCCTCAACGGGGACGACCACTACACCATTTTCGACGTTCCTATCAACGTCACAAACAGCATCGAGGCTTCCGACGACAGGCCTTCATGTGATGCCCTGGACAACCCACTGCTAACGTACGACGAAATCGACGCGACGGCGGCGAACAGCGTTGGCGTTCTCTTCGCGCCGGGTGATGCAACTCAGGTGGAGCAATCAGGCTCCGGCTCCGGCTCCGGTTCCACGGGCGGTCTAGGCGCCGCGGCTACCTTGCACTGGAGCGCTGCTGCCGGGTGGTTGGCGATGCTGTCAGTTTCGGCGGTCTTCTTTCTCTAGCGATACCCCTGGAGCGTTTGGTAGTTTCTCGAAATCTAATTATCCTGTCCAATGAATGTTCAATCTTAGCAGCCTTCGTGACGTGGGCCTGTGAACCATGGGATGTCTTCCGCGAGTTGAAGCTGCGCTTCGCTGTATTCAGCCCTTCTCCAAGAATTGACGCTCCTCCTATGGTTCGATGATATGTGCTTCATGTGGGTTGCTATTTGTTCTTCTGGCTTTGCGTAGCTTGTCATATCATGGCGTGAGTGTGCTGCTGTGGGCGTTGACGAGGTACCGTGGTTTGATAAGAACTCCAATCACCTATATCATACCCATCTAGAAGCCACAGCCATGTTTCATCCCTTTGGATCTCACATTAGTCAAAGTTCTTTGCTTATACAGCCGGGGGTATCTTTAGTATAACTGTTCCATGAGCTAAGGCTGCGCTTTGGAAAATGTCTGCACATGAGAGACAAGTATTCAATGACCAGGGCGTTTGAAGCCGGATTTTGGACTGTTCTTTAAAGCCCAACTTACACATGAACCTATTTGACGAACCATCACTCCACCCGAACCTGGGGAAATGGAGTAAGTTGGGGGCAATGTGCATTAGCACATCCCAAAGCAGGAACGAGGTCGCGAGCTTCCCCCAGTCATCCCCGCACCTACATTGGTGATACTCCGATTTCATTCGCTCAGAGAGTGCCTCGGTACCTTGGCATGCCAGTCCTCCTCTATGCAAACTTGCAGATTGCGCATTAGCTGTTAGACTGTTAGATGTGAGGAGGGACTATTTAGTAGACTCCGGCCCCTTGCGCTTAGACATCATACAAAATCGCTGCTTGCACGAATTACACATGTGGCTGCAGCACCTTTCAGAGCAACATACAACTTCCCCATCTATAAGCCCGGCGTGATATAGAAGTCTTGCTTTGGTCAAGACTGCACGACGAAAATGCCGTTCCATAATGGTTGGCTTCCTCGCGAGGGCTTCACGGCCGATCCGGTCCTAAGCCTTATCGGCAAGACCGCCTTCAACCCTGCGCTCCTGCTGCCCCTTCTGCTGGCTGCGCAGTTCACCAAGAAGGGCGAGGATCTGTCGATTCTACATCCCCTGGCGTTTTCTAGGGTCAAGACGTTCTTTTATCTCGGGCTGGCGAAGTGGCTGAGCGCGTACTACTCTGAGGGTGTCGTCAACAACTGGACCAGTGATCCGTATGATTGGCCGAGTGAGGTCGTGGTCGTCACTGGTGGTGCCGGCGGCATTGGAGGACATGTGGTGAAGCTCTTGGCAGAGCGTGGCGTCAAGGTCGTGGTTCTGGATATCCAGCCATTGACATATGAGGCTGGTATGTGGTGGATTGCATACCAATCTTTTTCAATTTCTGTTTGAATATATATACATCTATATATGTCTTATCATGAGGTTGTGGCACTAATATGAATGCAGGCCCGAACGTCCACTACTACAAGTGCGATCTGACCAGCACATCGGACATCAAGGCAGTCGCCGCCAAGGTGCGATCCGAGGTGGGCGACCCCACGATCCTCGTAAACAACGCCGGCATCGCGCGCGGCAAAACCATCCTCGAGACCTCGGAGAAAGACCTGAAGTTCACCTTCGACGTCAACACCTTCGCGCACTTCTACACGGTCAAGGAGTTCCTCCCGGCCATGGTCAGGCGCAACCACGGCATGATCGTCACGGTCGCCTCTTACGCCGCCTGGCTGACCGTCCCCAACATGGTCGACTACGGGGCGTCCAAGGCCGCTGCGGCGTCCTTCCACGAGGGCCTCACGGCCGAGCTGAAGACGAGGTACAACGCGCCCAAGGTGCGCACTGTCGTGGTGAACCAGGGGTATACCAAGACCGCGCTGTTCACCGGCTACCACAATGACAGCCCATTTTTGGTGCCCACGCTCGAGCCCGAGAGTGTTGCCGAGTCCATCGTCAGGCAGATACTGACCGGGAAGAGCGGAGAGGTCGTCACCCCCAAGTTTGGAACGACCCTGAAGGCGCTCAGGGCAATGCCGCATTGGTACAGTTATGGCCTCCGGGCCAAGGCACAGAATATCATGACCAACTTCAGCGGTAGGCAGGTCGTCAAGGACTTGGATAAGCATTACGAGGCTAGGGAGCCGCAGAAGAGCGAGGTTGAGGACAGCACAGTGCTCGTGCCAGAAGCCAACTAAGGGCAAGGTCGAGTGAACGGGCGTGACAAGGCTTCATTGAGGGAAATAACAAGGGAAATCGTTTGGATATGATGATGTGGTGACAATGTGACCCACGTGCAGTGGGTGGAGGGTGAAATTAATCAACATTCCAAGCTTGAAGGCTCCCATAATCTACGTGGCACGGCTAGACGCATTATCCTAATGGTAGTCGCAAAAGACACAGATAATATGCAATAAGTGTACCTGCTTCCAACCAGTCCCCAGCGTGGGATCACTGAAAGTCCTGGGGCCTGGGGTCCCTTTCATCGTGGCTCAGTGGTAGTTCGGGGTGCTTCAGCACCCATTAGACGGCTCCTGGCAGGGTTTCAATTCCCAAAGGTGCCCGGTTCAACTGGGGAGACCACCTTTTGGAAAAAAAAAAATTGAATTTTTTTTTTTTTCTGTTCTTTCCTCTCCGCCCTTCCTCTTCACAAGCTGGATGGTGGCAACCGATTCCATGTTCCGTACAATAAATAGCGCCATTATGTCTTCCACGCAATATACTTGATAAAATGTTTACTACAAGTCTTCATGCCAATATATGCCGATACAATGCTTCTTCATGTGCCAGAATGTGTGATGCATGGACAACGCGTCCAACTGTTGAAGTGCTGCACAATTGTAGTGGAAAATTGTAGAGTTCTACATTATCATCATTGTACTGGATTGAAGATACGCTAAAGAGTATATACGACTGAGAGAGACAGTGTTCTGGAATCGTAGCGTCTCATAGCTTAGACTTCTCTTTCCTCCCCGTCTTGACATTCTTCGAGAACTCGCCCGTGAACAAGAAGTTCGGATATTGCAGTGATTCGTCCATTCCAACGCCCGCAGCGGTCTTCAACCTCCAATTGGCTCCATCAACCACAAGAACCTCACCATTGACGTAATTACCAGCATCACTGAACAAATAAACGGTTGCGTCAGCGATGTCGCGAATCGTTCCCCAACGTGCGAGCGGGACACTTGCAGCTATCGCCGCCTTGTCGTTGCCAGCTCCGTGTAGTCTGAGCATGCCTTCTGTGTTCTCGATACCACCCGGCGCAATGACGTTGGAGGTTATCCCAAAGGGTCCGTACTCGAGACTGACGGACGCCATAAGCGAGTCTATGGCGGCCTTGGCGGCAGACACATGTGCCTGCATCGGCATACCGGTATAGTGGAAGGATGCTGAGACATATATGATTCTTCCGCCTGTCAGACCATCGTTGCTTGGGTTCGGGTTTCGCTTTGCCGACTCGATCAAGTAGGGTGCCGTCGCCTTGATGGTGTTAAACGTGCCCAGGACGTCAATGTCCATGACCGACTTGAACCCATTCGAGGTCAACCCGGAGATGGGGGCGACGAAGTTTCCGGCGGCGCCGGCAATGACGAAGTCGATGGCGCCGAGCTCCTTGACACATTGCTCGGCCGCTTTCCTGAGACTCTCGGGATCCCGTACGTCGCAGCCGCCGATCCCGATCACCCTGGCGCCTTTCCGGGCTGTGGCAATGTCTTGTGCGACTTTTTCCGTCTTTTCGACGTTGCGGCCGATGATGCAGGCATTTGCGCCTAGATAGACCAGGGCGCGGGTTTGCGCGCTGCAGATTGTGCCGGCGCCTCCGGTCACGAATGCCACGCGGCCGTCTGGGGTATATTGTCAGCAGCTGCGCTTTGAACATGTGAATGTGTGACTCACTGAAGATGCCATCCTTCCAGACATTGCTAAGATACTCGGACCTCTCAAGCGGCATCTTGGATGAGTTGCACGAATAGATGTGATGAGAAAGATGCCAGAGTGGCGGTGTTTAGATTCAAAGTTGCAGAGAAGGGATGTGTAGCTGGAACGACAAAAGTCTAAGAGTACGTATTTTATCAAAGGACGCTTGCGCAAGCATAAAGGTATGGGGGAAAAAAAGGAAAATTGTTGGAAGTCGGGAATATCATATTGAATCAATCCTATTCTCCAGTCGCTTTGCTCAATCTCAAACCGGCAATCTGGGGTAGAGCTAATGACTAACCATTCCAGGAGCCTCGGCTCTTGGTGGAGAATGCAGATGGCGATGGGGCTCCCTAGTTATCGCTTATCTTAATTTATCTACATAGTGTACATACATAGGAGAGCACATCTCTGCATTAGTGTTTTCATAAAAACATTGCCGTTGTCCTCAATGGAGTACGGATCCGTACTCCGCGCAGAGCACGCTCAAATGGAAGTGCTCTGATTGGCATAACCCCAGATGCTAACAGGAACATGACAGCGATGTGGTGGGGTTTGCTTGGAACCTACGGATCCGCATGTCAGTTACGGTACCCGCCCACCTTTGAGGGGCAGCATGAGGCATCGCTCACGTTGAGCACCCTAAGTTAAGTTGGGTGAGTTGAACCTGATGGATCGCTGATGGATCGCTGACGCATTGCCACTCTGCCACTGCAGCTGGGGCATTCATTGGCGGTAATCCACAACATGACATGAGCCCACCAGCAAGCCACTCACCCCCCGCCAGTGCCCAGCAGAGAGGCCCAGCAGCAGCCTAAGCTTGACTTCTAGCCTTTATCCTTACCTAACATAACATACCATAACAACACACTTGCACTGGAGTTCATGCGACAACCTTCATCCTCTTCTAAATACCGGTAACTTGGACTCCTTCGCAACTTCTCTCCGACCAGCTTGGTCATCCTGCATCATGGCGTCCAAGAAGGTGTCCATTCTCAAGTTCGTCGGGACCGTCTCCCTCGGTCTCTTCACAGTGAGTAACCTCCCAGCAATGACGTCCCTCTCAAAGCCCATCATCACCAACCACCTCCCCCGCCTGGTTTCGTGGAACGCCCACCCGCCTCGCCAGCTCTCACGATACTCGGGCAATGCTTGCGAGTTTCGCATCCATAGTGGCATGCGATAGTGCGCATCATACATCTAGCCGGTTGTACTGACTCTGGCCAGGGCGCATCATATACCCTTTCGACCTTCACCATCCCCCAACTCCTCGATCTTCCCTCCGCCTCAAGCGCCGCCAAGGCCTTCCGCTCCATCAGCAACACCGCGACAACTCACCTCAATGCTCTGAGCGGTGCCACCGCTTCCGCATTCCTTCTCGCCTTCGCTCTCTCCCCGCGCGGCTTCAGACACCCCTACCTGCTCTACACGTCGCTGTTCGTACTCGGTACCCGCCTCACCGGCTACGTCACACCCGCTATCTTCGGGCCGCCTAGCGACTTCTCTCAGAAGAGAGCCGCGGCAGCCAAGGCCAACAAGGAGAAATTGGCTGCAAGACGCATGGATCAGAGCTACGAGTTGCTAGGCGACACACATGACGACGAGGGCCTGAGTGGCGTAGACGACGAGGAAGAGATCAACGGTGAGGAGGTCCGCAGCGAGGTCGAGTTCTTCGTCAAGAACCAGTTGGTACAGACTGCGCTGGCCGGCATTGGCTTTGCCATGGCTGTCGTTGGTATCTGGGGAGACGGTGTTTTTGATTCTGTGACCGAGACCGTGGTGGTTGCCATATGAGAGCATTTGTGAGACATGTCAAAAAGGAATTGCTGAAAGGCGTCCACCTGACGAAGCCAAACCTGTTGAAATTCTTCCAGCATCATCCACATTCCTTACTGCTGAAAGGCAGCGAATCTTTGAGAGCAGTTGTATCGGAGTTCAGGCGGCTATTATTATATCAGTAAACAGGGCATTGAAGTTCAAGTTGGGTTCTCTAATTAAATTGAGAAACATCAGGCCTCTCACCATCGTAGAAAATCTCGACTTATATAATCAGTCTGCATTTCTCGATCTCCTGTCCCCGTACTAGAGAACGTTATTAAAAAAAAAAAAAAAACCTATCAATTCAGCTTCGGGCGTAAATCATGGGCGACTTCTTAATCAGCAAAGAGGTACTACATGGATTGTCAGTGCGGCACTGACACGATGCGACATTGCCTTACAGGCTAACAGGTGGTATTCCGACTGTGAGTGATAAACGGATATGACTTACACCGGTCAGAGCATGGTTGTTGATGAAGGATGACATGTTGTTAACAACAAAGTCAGGTGACTCTGCTAAAGGGAACTCAATCTACCACTATCACGAACGGCTGCCAGCGTTCAAGGGCATCTCAACATCCATTTCTTACCAGGGATTCTGTCCTTTTCCTTGAAACCAAATGCTCGTAACCACATATAACACCTACACAAGTTCTTCCCAACGGCAATGTTTTTTTGTGATAGTCTGAGCCATCCTCATGCTTTCCTCAACAATATCACCACCAGTTCATGCGCTGAGATTCAAGGTGGCTTGTGAGGTTATCATCTTCCTATGCAACTTATACACCATCGAGATGCGGGATGGCCCGGACCACGGCATCCTCAGTGTGGGAAGGTTGATGATCCTTTGGAAGACCATTCCTTCTTTCGCCCAGCCACGGTGGAGGACTTGGATGACGACTCGGGGCTGTTTGAGGAGCATTTCCAAGCGATGGAAGAGGACTGGGAGCTGAACGGTACTGATCTGTTTTACGAAATGACCGATCTGGCCCAGTTCGTGGCCTTGCAGTTTCAGATTGTGAACGATCATACACGGTTTACCAGAGCGACTGTCTCCGATGCTTTTGGTCCAACCGAAAATGGTCCGAGTTGAAATCACTGGTATGTCACGCACAAAGCATCTATTACGGCAAGATAGCAAGTTGGAATTGAGGAAAGGTGTGGTCCGACTGGGGCAGTAGTAACCACTACCTCAGGGAAGCACAAATAAACTTAAATTCGGAATTATATGGTGATGGAGACAAATAAGTGAGGGTTCTGATTGCTAACGGAAACGTGAAATTCTGCGCAGGCAAATGGACAAAACCAAAAATCAACCCATTTTCGAGGTTTTCTTTTCATACCATTTCGTATGCTCCACTATATACTGATACCTGAAATTGTGGGCTAATTGTTTCTATAAACCCAAATCATATTTGCAAATGTCCTTTGTGATTTTATTTCTTGATAATTTCAAAATACCCCTTGCAACATAACAGCCTCCCTCGTTCTTCTCACGTACAACCCCAAACCTAAATATTTTTCCAGTCTTATCTCAATTGCCATATATACTAGGTGCAGGGACGTTATTAGAGACGGTGACGTTGACCAACTTTGTCAAAAACATGAAGGATGAACTCTGGTGCCTGGGTAGGCGGCCGGTCGTCATTAGCCAGAAGATGGTTGTGACGCAAAAGGGTGCATCTCGGATGATGTTATCTCGACCATTGATACTGTAGAATGGAGTTGACTAAGGCAAAGGCACATATAGTGTCTCGTTAGGATAACTTCACGGCTATATCTAGACAGTAGAAAATGTAAATGAGTGCGAAGGGGCGGACCCATATGATTATATTCTGAAGCCTCTTTCTTTTATGGAATCTTTTCTTCTGGCGCTGTTGTTACTTACGGGTTAATGTATATAGACAGGCAATACAGATTTTAATTCTCATGATTCCAGCAGGTCCTGAACCAAAGAAACACCCAAAGATTTCATAAAAAAGTGAAGCAAACAACAAGGTGGTCTAGAAATTGACATGTCGCTGACATTGCTTACATGAGCGCAGTGGCTAAAGGCTGCATATAAAGATGTACTTTTACTACACAAACTCGCGTACTTAAGCAGCGGGAGAAATGTAGCGCAGATCTAGTACTAATCGAACCCTTGCTTCTCGTATTCTGTTCAACTTCTGGATACCTTGATGGCGATTGTGCTTATTGTAGCACTTTAATTTCGGTCGTTCACGCGCCATGGACGAGTCAAAGGGCTGGAAGCTACTGTCTATATTTATGGAATGACACCTGTCTTCTGTAAACAGGAAAATAAGGTAGAGACACCCGAGTGCTACATTAAAAGGGGTAAGATTTGACCGCAAGAAACCTCGAGGAGACCGCAACAAATAGAGTATCGTAATCGTAAGACCGCTTATCGAGTCCTTGGTGTAAGTACTCACGAGAATCTGAGCCATAAAATTGCACCTCCCCCGATCCGTGAACTTAAGCATTGTAAAGAATAGTGCCATCTAGAATAAAAGTGACCTTCCAACGTATTATTCTACTTGTTGTTCTTGCTTTTCGACGTGCTGCTCTGGGCCGGCGTCTGGACGTTTCGAGACCTCTCCTGCAGCACCCTTTCCTTGGCCCTTCTCGCCCTCTTCTCTTGACCCTTGCTCAACGGCATGGTATTAATGGTTTGCTGAGGCGGAGACACAACCATTGCTTTCTCCTTGCTTTTATTACTAGTCTGGGCTGGTGCGGCAGCTTTCTTCTTCTTCTTCTGCTGCTGCTGTTTCTGCTGTTTCTGCTGTTGCTGCTGCTTCTGCTGCTGCTTCTGCTTCTGCTTCTGCTTCTGCTGCTGCTGCTGCTGCTGCTGCTGCTTCGAGGACCCCGGCTGTACGTTCGAGCTGCTGGCACTGCTTGAGGCGTTTTGATGTACACTGGGTTGATTTCGGTTGGTAAGATCGACCAGGAGGTTGCTTTCAACCAGAGTCAGGACTTGTGATGATTGTTCTATGGTTGTGGTCGCCTTCTCCTTGCCTTTGGTCTGTGCAGACTGTGCTGCGCAGGAGCTACAAATACTGCATGCGGCGGTTCGATTTATCTCAGTGTCATCGTGAGCGTTCATAACAAATTGCAGTCTTGGTCGGTCGGATGTATTCCCTTGTGATTGCTGTATCGCGTTTCGCGGATCACTCTTCGTAGCTCCAATAGTCAGTAACCTAGATGCGTGGTTCCCGCCGGCGCAAGTCGGCGCCTCTCCGGTATGGCTTGGTCACAGTTTACTCACCTGTTGCATCACGAACTTCACACCGTCAGAGTCACTCTCTAGGCGAATTGAAAAATAAGGCCTGCTCAGAAGCAATGGCGTATTTGCGACTTTTCTCCAAGGTTGTGGATTGTAAGCTTCATTCCCATATTTATCGATCCATGTTTGCGTATTGTTCTTTGGCCACACCTGATAACGATACTCTATGGCGCTTTTGACATCGGGATGAACCATATAGACGTCCAAGGAAGCGTTTTCTATTGCTCGCCTGAGAATTGGTAGCTCATTCGCTTGGAAATTGGTCCCATGCTTCGGGTTGAACCTATCGGGTGGTGGCTGACATATGATTGTGACTTCACTGCCCAGTGTTATGAACCAGGTGAAGAGGGCACCAGCTCCTTTCATGAAAGTGCTCACTCGAGATTTGGGCATATTGGCTCTCAGACACTTTGGATGACCTGGTTCCGCCAGTGGGCCTAATGCGATAGTGAGTGTCTGCATGTCATGATCCCTGGCCCATTGCTCGACAAGGGGATGACGGACACTTTCCCAAAGCACTTGACGATTGGGTCGCCATGAATCCCCGCTGAACTGCTCGCTTATATGATTGGCCTCTTCGTCTGTCAGGAAGCTCTGAACTGCCTGCTGCACAGATAAGAAGCTCGAGTCAAGCAGGAGATCCATTGGATTGTTTCATTCGAGATGAGCTGACGGCCAAGCTCGTCAGCTCTGAGATGTTTGAAGAATGGCATATATTTTCTATGAGACAAGAATGAGTATCTACGGTCGAGGAAAATGCATTGGAATATTCGTTGCGGGGAAAGGCCATTTGGCAGTGGCGCAAACGCAAGACTGAAGGTTATTGGTCTGTAGTCTGGAAGCTCGCAGAACGACATGTTACACAACTGCTGCCGAACCGATCGATACTCGACCTCGCGGCCTCATTGCCAGTCGATGGCTGCCAAGAACAGCGTGGAGAAGTGTATCCCAACAACTTGCCTCGACATGACCTGGATATCTAGAAATGTACTCGCTACTGGACTTCTCGTTGCATAATTGGAGTTTTCGGTATCGGTCCTGTCATACGCGCGAGTTATCTAAGTTGGGCCTGATATTATCCTTTTGAATTTACCTAATCTTGCGCACTCCTCGGTCGGGTATTTAGATACAATGGCTTCATAGCGCTCGGCAATGCGGATTCTTGAGATTGACGTGTTTTCCCTCCAATACCACCCAAGTACTGGGCTATTTTGTCCTTATCTTGTGTCGTCGAGAGTATAGCGTAAACGTCTAGGGTGTGTTTACATCATTTCGAGAGCAACGCCGAACTCCAATAGAACCAAGATGAAGATCTCCCATGCCATGCTCACGGATGGCCTCATTGCTTGCTCTTCTTGGGCTTCTCCTCATCAGATCCACCATCCACCATCACCTCGTTGTGGGGGTCTCGACTTCTCTTTAAGCCCTTCATTTTCCTGGTTTGTAAGTCGCCCAGGTCTTGTCTGCCCAAGTGAATTCTGCCGAGCTTGTCACCCATCGTATCTGTGTTGATGTTCTTCTTGGTCTTCTCCTCGCTGGTCTTGGGCTTCTTCATGGCCTCCTTGAGCATAGCCGCGTCAGGTTCTTGTACTCTTCCGACTCTAAAGTCCATGCGCGGGCCCATCTCCTCAACCTCAATACGGGGCATCTTCTCGCCGCTTCGCTTCGTCTCGATCAGGTAGACTCGGAGGTGTATGACTGGCTTGGCGTCATCGTCATTGACGGGTTCCTCAGCTGGCGTTGTTGGTCAATACTCATTGTCAAGCAAAAGGCTGGCGCTACTGGACACTCACCAGATATAGAGACTATGTACTGTAGTCCCTCAACATCGATCTTGTCGGAGCCTTCTCCCTTGAAGAAATCTAGGAAGAAGGACTTGGCCTGCGTGTACTCATTGGGGATTGGGGACTCGAAGGCGGTTCCGGCAAAGACTATCATGGGCCTATCGAACAAGTCAAGTCAGTTGTTGTGGTCGTGAGGACTGTTGGATAGATTCATGCTGCGACATACCTCAGACCAATGGCCGTCTTTCGACCCTTGAACTGGCTCAAGGTTCTGTGGGTCTCGGGGTCGAGGTGCAATTCCAGCAAATCGAGTGTTTTGTGTCCGAACATTCTAACCATGGTGATTGTGTGTGGCCTTTTCTTGGAACTGGAACCGAAGCACATGAGACTTGCGTCGTTCTTCAGGCTAAAGAATTCCAGGCTGTCTGTTCCTTCAAATGGATGGATGGGGTTCTTCTTAGCTGCAATCAAAAGACGCCGGTTAGTTGGGGTTTCCGCGATGAGAAGAAATATACTTGGGGTTCTGTGCTGGCTTGACTGAGACAACCGGTAATCTCTCCAAGGACACAGGCAGTTTGATGTGTTGTATACGTACTGAACTTCTTGGCGTGTGGTACCCTGATGGCTGAGTTAGCATTTCTTTCGTCTCCTCGTTGGCTACGTCTCATACCTCAGCGAATACAAGTCCGTGAGCGCATCTTGTACGACCTGTGAACAAGTGGTTCCGCGTAGAAAGAGGCAGGTCTTGGGATTCTCAACGGCCTTGGGTGCCTGCTTTTCGAGGGCGCGCTTTGAACGCGCATTGCGAGGCTTGACTTGGCGCAACATTTTGTCTGCGGGATGTGGTTGAATTGGCGTATGCGATTCGATTCGGACGCTGGATCTCGACCTTGACCTTGACCTTGACCTTGGACACAGCTGGAGGGTTCTTCTTTCCAGACTTTTTTGAAACTAATCGCGATAGCGCTAAGCGATAAGCGATATCCCGTATCAGTGGGGCAACATCGCGGGGCTACTGCACTTGTCCACGGGCACTGAGATTTTGGTGGTTCGTAGTCAAGCAACCGCTTCATCTCCATCATGTTCCGGATGAGCACGGCTTTCGATTGCCTTATGTCTCACTATCGTAACGTAACATCATATCGAGTAGCAGGAGGGACAGAATTTTGCCTCGAGCGCTCGTAAGTTAGAATGTCGTTTAAGTTTGCTATCGCAAGCAGCTTTAACACTTTCGGCGTTATGCCCCTGTAACACCTGAAAATGCAGAGACAAGCCTATGTAAGTCATCTAGCTTTTCGGATATATCCAACGGCTCGCGGCAGACTGGAGAATTAATTTTTGGAACACGTTCTCGTGAGGACTATACGGCTCGGGTTACTTTCGGCATCTGCTTAGGTGGGCTTGGCTTGGCTTAGCTCAACAACTTCTGCGCATATGGGCGTTGCAGTCGAGCGAGTGGGAGCATTTGCTCCGTTCAACAGTTTTGATCTATACATTCCGAGGAGAAAACCTGTATGTTTAGATATTACAAGCCCGAGATCATGTGAATTCGTATTACTCGTCGAGGCTGAAACCTCATCTGAAGGGCAACCTCTACGTCACCTTGACGACTACTCATGGAAACCGCTCGGAATGACTCCACTCAGTTATCCATACTCCCCATACATTGTACCACTCCAGTACTTGTTTAGCAATCTGACGAATCGAAGTGTCACTGTTGTCAGCGGGTCTTGGCTCTGAAAACGGGTCAGTCTGACCTCATTAGAAGCCGTTGCATGCGAAGATGGTAGTATTAAAGGAGCCGGACCACGGCGTGGTATTGCGACGATGCACTGGTTCTCTGTAGCTAACATACACGTCTACTACTAAAACATGTCTCAAGTGAGTATTGGACCTGTGTTCTGACACGTCGGTCGACTGACAATGATTATAGTCAACCGAACCACCGGTCTACACTCTCGCCGAAGGTCGTCCTGTTCAGGACCCGACCTCTCAGGTCACTCTACGTGGATCCAAGATCCGTGGCGGAGCTCTTGGTCTATTACAGGATACCCAGCTTATCGAGACATTGGCACACTTCCCACGAGAGAGAATACCCGAACGGTATGCTCAAACCACCCGAAGATATAAATCGTCTTGCTAACTGACCATGCAGTGTAGTACATGCTAAAGCTGCTGGTGCGTGGGGCGAATTCGAAGTCACCCACGACATTACAGATTGGTGTTCTGCAGACCTCTTCAGCAATGTTGGCAAGAAGACCGAGGTCTTAGCTCGCATCTCGACAGTAGCTGGCGAGAAGGGATCGTCCGACACCGCTCGTGACATCCGCGGTTTCGCCTTGAAGTTCAAGACCGAAGAGGGCAACTGGGACTTTGTCGGAAATGACTTGCCAGTCTTCTTTATCCGCGACCCAATCAAGTTCCCTTCATTGAACAGATCTCACAAGCGCCACCCTCAGACGGCTGTTGCTGACAGCAGCATGTTCTGGGACTTCCACAACCGCAACCAAGAGGGAGCGCACACTCTCATGCAGCTCTTTGGCCCACGTGGTGTGCCTGAGTCGTTGCGCATGGTCAACGGCTTCGGAAACCACACTTTCAAGTTTGGCAAACCTGAAGATGGCACATTTAAATACGTCAAGATCCATTTTAAACCAACCGCCGGCATCAAGACTCTAAGTCAGGAAGACGCCGTGCGCTTGGCTGGCGAGGAGCCTGACTACCATGTTAAGGATATGTACAACGCCATTGAGGCTGGCGACTATCCTTCATGGACGATGATGCTTCAGGTCATGGATCCCAAGGAGGCTGAGACATACAGATGGAACATTTTCGACATTACCAAGATTTGGCCTCACAAGGATTACCCCTTGATTCCTGTCGGAAAGTTGACCCTTACCAAGAACCCCGCCAACCACTTTGCAGAGATTGAGCAGGCTGCCTTCTCGCCTTCGAATCTGGTTCCTGGCATTGGGCCATCTGCGGATATCATGCTACACGCTCGTATGTTCAGTTATCCCGATGCTGCACGATACCGTGTCGGCCCCAACTACCAACAACTGCCTTGCAATGCTGCCAAGAATGTCTACTCGCCCTACCAAAGAGACGGCCCCATGAGAATGGATGGAAATTATGGCTCAGACCCAGACTACAGTAAGTGTTCATGCCACGCAAAAAGCATCCTGAAATCCTCTCGAGAACTTACCGACTAATATATTGCAGCACGCTCCTCTTTCAGAAAGATTAAAAGTGGTCCCGCGGATCTCGTCCACGACGAGTGGGTCGGCACAGTCCAAGAATACTCATCCGACGTCACAGACGAGGACTGGGAGCAGCCTAAGATGCTATGGAAGCTCTGGAAGGAGAATAAGAGTGGCGACGACGAGGCATTCATCCACAACCTGTCTGGCCACCTCAGCAAGGCGCTGCCCGAAGTCCAGAAGGAGACCGTGGAGATGTGGGCTAAGGTGGATGAGGAGATTCGAAAGCGCCTCCAGGAAGCGCTCGACAAGAGCGGTGCAAGTGCAGATCACAGCAAGATACCTCCTAGTCAGCGAGCTCTGGCTACCCACAGGAAGTGACCTTACCACGAACTAGATGAAGGCACCACAATGAGACATGAGTAGAGCTGACGCCTTGCACAGTAGAATATTTTAGAGATTTAATGAATGATAAAATGCCAGCATTGCTGTGATGGCTGATCTATTTTCAATCAAACATATCTGCGGTACCTTTGAGGGCTCAGATTGGCGATCTACTCTGTGGCCTTCGTTCTGCACTTGCAGACTCGTTTGCCTCCACTCCATTTCCGCAATTCGTCCCTTATGGTAGTCTCAGACAGACTTGCCGGGATGGCGATGTGGCCTGAAGACAGAGCCGGAAAATTCTCCCCAGACCACCTATACAGACAAGAAATATGCTCTGATCCTGACAATGCACCTCAGCCAGGCTGCCCCCATGCCCCGCGTTGCTGGCGCATATGCAAGAATCGCAGTCGCTGCCCGTCCCAGAACACCCACCCTCGCGACCTCAACATATCGATATCTACCGGACAGTCGCGGGATCCATCCCGTCCAGGCGTCCTCTTTCGCCCATCGCCCAGGCCCGATTCGGCGCCAGGGCGTCGTTCTCGACGAAAGGCAGTGCGACCTTGGGCGGGTGGATCGTCTTCCTCACGCTCCCGTAGTATTACTCAAACGTCAGGTTGTCGGCGGCGATCCCGCCGACGACGGGATGTGGACGTTCCACCTGGTCGCGCGTGAGGAGGAAGAATTCCCCGAAGACACCCCTGGCCGATCGCAGCATCTCGCGCAGGAAGTGCAGGCCGAAGGTGTCGAGTCTCCAGAAGTACTGGAGCTTGTGCTGGATGAAACTGCGGTAACGCCCTCTCCGTCTGCACGTCCCGCGACTCGGAGGTGTATTGTCTGAGGCGGGCGGGCCCGGTAACGTGGTCGCTGGTATGCTGGTTGGTCGGCACCTGGGTTATACAACGAGCCGTTTCTTGGTACGGTGTTGGTCAGACTCTCCCACAGCATTGCGGTATACCGGCTTGCGCACACGAACTCCTCGTGCTGATGCTACGGTGAGCTTTCCGGCCAGTCCAGTGGTTGGATGCCTCCGTTCAGATGCCTGATATGGCTCCGGTCTCTGGTTGCACATGACCAAAACTCGATGGAAGAGAGAGCTCTTTGAAGACGAGCCATCTCGACTCCTGATAACATAGGAGCTCTTGTTTCACGCCATTGCTGTCGGTTTCCATGTGTCGAGTGAGCCTATGTAGGAACCCAACGGTGACCATTTGTTGGATTCACACAAGTGGCTTTCATCTTGAAATCAGCTCAACGAGGGCGGTCAGTCTAGTTAAAAGCGTTAACTCTGCTGAGCTGCACTCTTCAAGCTCCGTGGAGGTGGCCAATGGATCCTGTGCCGATCGACCGTGGCCCTAGAGGGATGTTATTATTGCGCCTGAGGTATGGCCTGTCGTGTCAGGCGCGTCGATATGCAGTTTTACTACTGCGATGGTTGTATCTAGCACTTCTGATACGATGGATTTACTGAGAATTGAGCGGATAATTTGCCTCTTTCCTCTATTATATGTTGGCCATGCGTCCGGTACGGCGGTGATGTAGTTCCTAAGCGCCTGAGCTGAATTAATTCTGATGAGGCGATGAGGACCTGAAAGTGTATCTCGTCCGGCAACCTTGAAGTATTTCTTTGTGTCGAGTTCACCATGGTATCGGGGAAGTGAAGACTGGACATACGAAGACCAATAGCTGGAAAAGATCGTACTTCAACTCAGAATCAGCTAGGTCCAGAAGATTGAGATGCAACCGTCGGCCAGTGGAGAATTTTATGGTACTTATAGTTTCATAGCTTGGTATTTTTCGTTTTGTTTCGTACATGTTGAAGTTAAGGTCACGGGGAGAGCATCAGTATGCACGAAGCCTTCTACATGGTATGGGAACCCATGACCTTTGCGACCTGACCTCGAAATTTCATCATTCAAGCTCTTGGTCTCATCGCAGTACTTTGCTTGTAAAATCGGGGTTCGTCGCCATTATACCATGCGGTATATAGTGCATTTCTGGTAAGGAGCAGTCACGTCCATGCAGTCGCAAATTTTACTTCACTGGCGCGGTGATAGTGAACGATGTCATGTCAGATTATACTGTTGATCTCCCTTTCGATGACCTTAGTTCATACATATGAGATTGAATAAATATAATCACTAATACCACACTATGATGAAGATAGTGCACTGGGAATAATTCTAGATGCATAATTACTTGCGTTCACTAGTTCGTGGGGACGTTTTGTCATAAGCGAGCCCGTACTCATGGATGACTCCATCCATACCCGACAGCTCAGCTAACCGTTGAAGATCGACAGAGGATTGACAGTCTAGAAGCTCCATGGAAATCTCGCCGTTATCAATTCTTGATTTTTGTCTGTCGTAGTACGGAACTGTTGTCAGCCGAATCAAATCGAGGCAATTCGACCCTTTGATGAATTACTAGAGTAAACAGAGACTGGCGAGGCGTGCTGACTAGCCGTTCGATGAGCAATGCATACAGTTCCTTGTCGGATATGCCATAAAAGTTCGCTAATCCTTCCACCATGCGTCCGTCGTACAGTCACTCAACCGCAGTTGCGGCAATTGACGTCACGTATGAGCGGACAGCTGCTGGAGCCCGAATTCCAGTTTTTACCTAACTTTTGTGAAATGTTTCGGATGTATCCATACATTATTGACCCAGTTTTTACGTCGGGTCTTTTGCTCATAATCATAATTCAGTTTACAAAAGAACAAACGAGCCAATAGCGGACCAACAGGGCCATTGCCCCCCAGGATTTAGAGTCGTAAAATTGCACACCAAAACGGAAGTCTCAGCCGGAGAGCTGAAGTTGAAGTGTCAGCCCTCTCGCCTTGCGCACCTGAGTCACCCGAACGTGCCTGCATAAGCGGCGGGGTATCAATCTATGACCCCTGTTCCTGGCCTGTAATTTCGCAAAGGACCCGGGAGATCATTCCAGGGTCGTGCCAACGAATTCCTTCTTCTGCATTGCTGTTCCTCTTTATTGGGTGATTCGTAAGCTGCAGAACGTCCCGTGAGCTGATTGTCTTGTTGCAAAACAATGAAAACGCTGTGCTTACGACTACATTCTCGCTATGCAATCAACACTTGCTTGGGACCAGCTCTGGTATATATGCTTACCTCTGCTTGCTCTGCTCTAGGTTAGGGCGCTGGGCTAGTTCAGGCAAGTGCTGCACCATTGAAGCCACATCGATAGTTGCATTGAAAACCTTATTCCTCGATTGAGTGACAGGTCTGGCAAACACGCCGCCACGCTTTTTATGCAATAGCCTCGATGACACTCTCTCTGCCGCTCCTGAGTTACTTTATTCTTGACCGTGACGTGATGGAAAAGTAAACATCAGGACCCTCTTCCCGCGACATGTTCCAGATGTGCTGTCTCAACCACTGCAACGGTGTCGGTTAGGGCGCTGATTGCCCCGGCTCACAGAGCTGCCTTGTGAGACCTGCGTGTAGAGCGATATCTTCTTTGGCCAACTATGGAGCGCATGTACTAGATGGACTTCAAGGTTGATGATGATATTGAGATTGGAATGAGATTCAAGCGGTGTGGCCGATGAAAGCGCTCTCCTGTATCTTGTATTCCAGACCAGAACTAGTTCGACGCAATTTCCCAGCTCCAATACTTTCTGAAAGAGAATAAAGATGAGAATGCCACTACCCGAACAGGTATCGCATAAAGTGGCATGGATAGTATGGCGTTAGGCTCCAGTGGGCCGAAGCGCTCTAAACATCTAAGTTAGCCCTGCCTTCCGATTTGACAGCTTCTACGTTAATTGCCCATTCTCCCAAAATCTGTACCCTCTCATTGTTTCCGTTATGACTGGGGAAATGGTATTAAGGTGATATAGTATATCCTTATTCAATTGATTCGACAGCATTGCCGAGTGCGAGCGTGAAGTGTGTTTCTAAAGCCAGCGCACAAGTGACGTTCTGCATGGTCATCAATACATAAGTCCACCAGGAGCGCACCTGGGTTTGCTTCCGTATGTGCATGCAAGGCATGCTACTTTTCATCACCTTAAATCGTGGTATTGTGCATGCTTATTACGTCCACTGTGCAGTGCAGCATGTAACAAACAGTGTTGTTCGAAACCCTATGTATTGTACTGTACTGTACCCCCTTTCGCTTGCAGTTGAAAGGTGATTGACTGCAAATCATTCCCTTTTCCTATGTTGAGGCCGCAGTTTGTTGCATCATGATTAGCGTTCATCCCAAGACACTCAGCCGCCCCCCAATCTAAGAATCTGGGGCTTAATATATACCTGACCGCGGTTCGAAAGTAACGATGATGCTCGTCACAGCAGTCACATATCGATACACGATCTTGATCCCGAACTTCGGTCCTTGACGCAACTAGAACTGTGCTTGTGACCCAAGATACGACGGAGCGGCCTCGACATTGGACGAAACTCTTGTCGGCGAGCTTTTCCACACGGCTAAGTCTGGGTCCATCCCATCTTTAGTGGCAGCATCGCGATGCTTGAAACCACCCAATACGACTTACCCACATCGCCTCTTCCAGTGCGCTCAGCCCACCCTCGGCCATCTAGATCCCCGTCTTGGACAAAATTTCGTTAGATTGTATAAGACTGTCTGTAATTTCTTCGCCTCGCTTCCTAGCCACGTAAACTTATACGACGAGTTGGTGGTTCTCATGCGAAGATCATACTTTTCCGTTCACTGGTAGGATCGAATCCTAATAATAAAGCGCCCCTCGTCTGTTCAGTAGCCACCTTGAAACATAGCCCCGTTCGCACCATAACGACAGCAGATTGGTACAGCACAAGTCAGCTCATACCTTACTACGCAACAGACCCACGTGTTGGTACTCAAAATCTCAGATCCCCGGCCATGAGATGAGTGGCCCAACTCTGGCTCTGACGGCATCCCCAACCGCCGTCAAGTCAAAGTCGTTCGCATTCCAGCACATACATTCCAATTCTGGTTGTGTGCAAGTACATGCACAGCCGCATTTGCAGACGAGCCTCACGACGAAATCAAGCTCCAGCCTTCAGCAAACCCACCCTGTGACTGTGAGCACAAAGACAAAGGCAAAGGGTCAGGGTCTACCGAATGTGTCCACTTTCGACATCGAATTCTCCTCTTTCGATTTCGATGGCCTGAATTTCGATCCCACTCTACCAGTGAGCAAGACATTGAAGTTTAGCTCCAATGAGAAACTCGCTCACGACATTACGAACCGCGAGGGCCCGAGGCCCCGGAACGAAAAGATGGGGAGTCGGAGGAAGTCGATTCTAGGTCGCCCGCAGTCATGGGTGTCGACGTCGAAAAACGCACCCGAAATCCGGCAGCCTACGGAGGAGGAGCCAGCCAGACTCGACGACATAGAGAATGACAAAAAGGAAGCCGACGGTTCTGGCCTGTTGCAGCCACCAGAGAGGACTAGTTCATTCGCATCTCTTACAAGACGCTCATGGATGTCCACATCGCGAACCCCGTCGCCTTCCGCGAATGCACCAGAGGCTGCAGACTACCTTTCCCATGAAACCCGCGAGCGCTCTTCGAGTGTCTCCTCCGCCAAACTGAAGAAGTTTTCTCGCAAACGCCCCATGTCAACCATCGAAAGCGACGGCAACAAGTCCTCCGAATCGCTCGGAAAACTCAGCACGTTTGTGGGAAAGATGAAGCACCGCCCTCAAAGCGGCCTCTTCAAAGGCGCAACGCCCGACGATGCAGATAGTGCCGCATCTTCAGTCGCTAGCATCGCTCCAGCATCAACTTCTACCAGGCCTTCGAACGCAGCTTCCGACAATACCGTCCCTTCGGTTACCGACGATGTCGCACAACCATACGCATCACCGCAAGCTCGCGATCCGCTCTGGACCGTCTTCAAGAGCCTGGACTCGGAGCACGCCAAGTTTCAGGCGAGGAAGCCCGCTGAAAGAATGAAGCAAGTCCGGATTGTGCTGATACCTTTCTTGCGGAGCTATGCTTCTCATCCGTCCAACAAGAAGCTTGGCGCAGAGCATGTCGAGCAGAGAGCGAACATCCTCAACAAATGGTGGACCGGATTGCTAGATTTGCTCGATGGACCCGCGCAATCATCCTTGCCTGGAGCAGATCGGCCGTTACTACACGAGGTAACGTCACTACTCATGATGCGACCGGAATGGCGCATGAATACAGCAGTTTTTCGACCTCTGGCAGATCGGGATCTTCAGGAGCGGGTGAGCAGGAAAGGGCGAGCACGATCCGAGACCTCGAACGATTCGGGAAGTCCGACAGACTCTGACTTCATAAGAGAGTCGGCAGAACACAACGTCAGAACCATGTTTACGACGAACTTAGTGCGCCAGATGGCATTCGTGGTGGAAAAGATGGCGCAACGACACATGCCTTTGAGTTTGGTGAACTTTGCTGGCAAAGCTTGCGCATATGCATTTTTCTTCGTACCGGGAATTGGTGAAGTTTTGGTGAGACTGTGGGCTCTGACAGCTAGCTTGATCCGTCGGGTGGCTGATGAGTTTCGATTGCCCCGGCGCAGCAAAGGCGAGAGCGATGACATTGTTGCTCTTTTCCCGCCCAATATGGGCGATCTTGGCTGGACTGCTGTCAAGCACATGACGAGTACCTTGAGGCTGCCTACGAAGCTCCCTCTGGCTGCCGCAAAAATTGGATGGCACGGTCCCTGGCTTTCGAGATGGCGAGGTCGAGACACTGATCTGTTCTTCATCTTCTGCAAGTACTACTTCATTCTGGCAGAGGAATTTGTACCTTCAGAGCTCCCATTAGTTGAGAAGGGTCGGGCTCCAGCATTCGTACTGGTCAACGCCCAAATTCTGTCGACGTTGGACTCGACGGTGCATCGCCAGGCAGCCTTCAACGCCGTGGCGTACCCAGCCGCAGATGGAATCGATGCCAGTGCCACAGCTTTACCCTTCGCACCGAACAACAACGTCATGAAAGGCATGGCCGAAAACCGCTTGATTGTTCTGCTTAAAGATTTTCTATCTGCAAGCTCAGTTGCCTTCATGCCCGCGCGGCATACCTTCGCGGAAGCATTTATGGCGTTGATGAAAGCAGCCGTGAAACGAACCTTGCAATTTGACCAGCAGGCATGCTTCACACTTTGCGACTTCCTGGAAGAATCACTTGTCGCTTATGACGGGTATGTCGATGTTGAAAGGCCCACTCTGGAGTACATCGATTGGCCATTTTGGTTCGACGTTTTCAAGAAGATCATGGATACCAGTAACGCTGGGTCTGAAATTAGAGTCTTGTCGCTGATCTTTTCAATTTGGGATACGATCGCTAGCAATCAGAGCCGAAAAGAGTCCATCTGCTTGGGCTGGCTGTTGAAAGAAGACGTTTTCTATCAATGGTTCAACAACTGGTGCCCTATGGTCAGAGCATACTACATGCGTCTCCTCTGCTGGCGGATCTGTCGAGACGCCGGCAGTGCAAATGAATTGGATGCGTAAGTTGATGTTTCGCATTGTGCTCAGGAGACGCTAGCTAATTATGATTATAGCAAGATTTTTGTGACCGTTAATAATCGGTTGAAGAACGTTTGGTCCCATTATCTGTGGCAGAAGCATGAGGCTGAGCTGCAAAGAAAGCTCCCGCCGTGTACAGCTCCATCATGGCCCACCCCTGGGAAACGTTTCATGATCATTCGTACAGAGGTTCCTGCTACCCAAGGCGGACTCATGATGGGCTTCGATACATTTTCGACACCCATGGGCCCTCTCGAGCCCACCGTAACACCAGCCAGTCCCAGAGGCTCTGCAGAAATGCAACTCACCGAGCCTGCCGCGTACAAGAAGAAATGGAACCTTTTTGGCAAGGTGCTTTCATTTGGCAACCCCAGTGGCATGCAAGACCTCGAAGCCATGAGGCGGGAGACGGCTGCCTCTCGCAAGCCTGTACCTCCCCCGAAGTCTAGCAGTACACCTACACCCCCAGCATCCGACTCAGATAGCCTTGGCTCTTCACCAACGTATGAAGCACTTCAATATGTCTTCCGCTTCACCCTCCAGTGGAACAATGCTGGAACTATGGCGCCCCCAGCTAGGATCTTGATACGACCTCGACTTCCGGCACCAGCTCAATCCTGGGTAAGCGCCAAGATGAGGAACACTGACGGTACCCCCGCTCCACCAGCGGCTGGCAGACCGGCCGCCACGAGAGCGGTGTCGGGCAGCGCAAGCAAGGGACTCATTGAAGCTGCTAAGAACGCGGATCCCGAGGCAGTGTCGCCTACAACACAGACTGCGCCTAGGATATCGCTCAATTTCGATACTCACGATAACTTTAATTCACTTGGTCCTGTCGAGACTAGAGTTAGTGACGAGCAAGTCCGTGCTCCGGCTCCTATGGCGCCCAACGCAGAGCCCGTCGTCTTGCCTGTGAAACCCACGGGTTTCTACACACAATCGTCGACCTACGCAGGACGCGCTCTTGCTGAATGGGGCTTAGTAGTTGCTGAGTGCAACAACTTCGTCGATAGGCGACGTGAAGAAGGTGTGCTTGGCCTCAGCGAGATTGAAGTCCCGTCCCTAGGTGTCGAAGGGTTCCGAAAGATAGGCTAGAAACCTCGATCACCCGTCCGCCCTGCTAGCTCCAGGGTGGATCAACACAGAAGGCAGGCTTCAAATCAGCACGAAGGAAATCCTGGCAGGAACGAGGAATCTGAGCCGCCTCGACAACCTTTACGAGAGCCATCGGTGTTTTGCAGTTGCATCCCAACAACGAGAGATCCCGAGAACGGGGTCCTCCAACGTATATTCCTTTCTATTTCGAGTCTTTGAGAGAATTTTTGAAGTTGCATTTGTGAGCGTTGCCACATCATCACCATCGGCGTTTCCGGCGAAATCTCCTCGACTGTATCCGAGGAAAGCATTTGAGTTCATGATCTCATTTTCACGACTATAGAAAAGCTCTCAGGAAATGGTTTTGCACAGGGTCGATGGATAAATCAGGATGGTTTACATAGGAAAGGAACGGTATATAAGGGTGAATCTGGACTGGAACAAGAGCAATCGAGGGGGATATACCCGGCTTTTGTGAGCTGTATTATATTCGAATAGAATAGTCGAGCAAACTCGGCTTGAAAACTAAAGTGTTGGCTACATCATGCTCTGTCACAATTTATTACTACACATCGCATCGCTTTTCCACCTTCAGATGAAATTAGATGTGATCGCAATGTTATTTACAATATCTGCGATTGAATATCATTCAATTGATTTGAGAATAATCTTGAATTTGCGGCCCATGTTTGAAGCATTGCGTCTCCAAACTCCCATGGACAAATGGGCATACACGACTACTTATAAAGTCTGGTTGTTCACTTTAGCATATGTCTCTAACACCACTTCCCGATTTTCGTCCAGGTAGTTTCTGAATGTCTTCAAGTCGAAAGGCAAGTTAAGGTCCTTAGCGGGAGGGCCGCCTAAGGAGTCCGTTTTGATTCTGATCATCATGCCCTTGACAAGTGGATTCTCCTTTGACAACTTCTCTGCCTCCTGTTCCGTGTAGGTGTGAATTCTCAGCTGCTTGCCACTGACCTCGCTCAAGAGACGTATGACTTCCTTGAGGGGCAGCGTTTCCGCAATCAGCTCGACCTCCCTGCCGTGCCAACCTTCCGGATCCTGCATCGCCACAGCTGCGATCCGACCCACATCTTCGGTATCGATCAGAGGCATGGGGAAGTCCGACGAGAACGCCGTGTGCCAGACCCCCTCACTGATCAGGTCGGGAGTCTGGAAAGAGGTCCACGGCGCCAGCCAGTTGCTCATGAACCCGCAAGGACGCAGGATAGTGTACCTCAGCCCGCCGTCCGCCCACCTCCTCACCGCCTCCTCGCCCTCGACCTTGGAGAGGAAGTACTGCGCCATGAACGCGTTGTCGTCCCAGCCCTCGACCCTGCGCACCTGTTCGAAGCGCGCCACGATCGACACCGTGCTGTACACCACGTGCCCGACCGTCCCGCTGCTCGCCGCGGCCGCCAGTATGTTGCCGGCCCAGCGCCCCTCGGCCTCGGACTCCGTGAATGACGGCATCGAGGGAAAGAAGACGGCGCTGCAGCCCGCCACCGCCGCCTCCAGCGACTCTGCCGAGTCCCAGTCGCCCTCGAAGAGCGTGGCGCCCAGGCGTGCCAGCGACTCTGCCGCTGTGGATGCGCGGTCACGCACGTACGCGTTGACCTCGTGCCCCGAGGCCAGCAGCGCTCGTGCTGTTGCGCCGCCTTGCTTCCCTGTAGCTCCTGCCACGAAGAATCTGGTCATGTTGTAATATTTTTTTAGGTTGAGGTGAACGGTTGGTGATCTTTGAAGTGGTTGCAAGTGAAGTACGGAAACCTGTGTATATTAATGGGAAAGGAAGTCCTAGGGGTAAACTATCTTTGAGCAGGAGAGCTGTGTGGTCATGTAAAAGATCTCAATATTAACCTGACAATCAGAACGGCGGTGACGGTTTATATATTCATGTATATACATGAGCCCATTGCAGTTTGTCGCAGCCTAAACCAAACTCACCCTTGCCATCAAGTGGGTTTCCGACGGGGTTTGGACCTTCCGAAAACCATGCAGGCAGGCAGAAGGAGCTTATTCTCAGTGAGTCCAACTTGGAGACGACTGCATTCCAATGGTCCCCAGAGGTTTCGCGATGCCATGGGCAGGAATGGCGTGATCACATTGGCCAAGCGTAAGCCTCTCAATGTGTGCGCACTTGAAGTTATGCCGCCGCAGAAAAGTCTCCGAGGCCAGCACGGAAACTACTGGCTCTGGAGCTTTTCGCGGGTGTTCCATGACGCCGAAAAGATATAATCCTAGCAAGTGACTTGGCGCCGGGGAGAATGATGTTCAAAAGGAAGATAGGGGTAAAAGAAATTGAACAAACGAATATTAAAACAATTTAGCCGAAGCACTTCTCTACAGAGAAATACCCGAGCGTCCAAACTTCTGAGCGTCTTAGGCCCGCGCCCTTTCGATCTAGTAGACCATACTCTTCAGTACCTCGACGGAGAGGAAGATGACCAATCCTATGGCGACTGTAACCATCATGCTCACAGCAATCCTCTCGCCGAGCGGGGGCCCAGTTCGCCACGGCGTCAGGCTCGAGTCGGACAATGAGGCGGAATCTAACGCCGAGAACGTCTGATACGAGTGTGCCTCACTTTGCTCGACCGAGCCGAGAAATGTTTCTTAGAGATTACTTTGGTTAGCAGTAGAGTCTCGTAGGGTGAGGAATGAGTCATATCATGGCTCACAGTCGAGGAATAGCCCGCGTTAATGCGATCTGGAAGGGTAGGAAGCTGGCTTGTTTCTGTTGTATCGTTCTCCATTTCCGTTGTTGAATTTGTGGTGGAAGTGTTTTGCTGGGAAAGAGAGTACCGCTGAGTGACGAAATACAATGTTTTTGGAAACCTTCCAGCGTTGAATCTAACTTAAGGACGAAAGTGTTGTAACTGAAAACTTGTCATTATCTCGCAGTGACCGTGACTGAAGCATGATCACACAAACACAGCACATACTAATCTAGATGAAAAGCACAAATCATACCGGTCATAATTAGACTGAATTATTATTTTCTTCCTTTGGGATATTACTTGTAGAAGTTGACCGACTTGCGTGAGTAGCCAGTCGTCTCAGGCCACTTGCTGTAGTCGGGATAGAACAACAACGCATCCGTGCAGTTGCTCCCGAGGGACGTGTTGTTCAACCAGGTCGGCTCCCAGTACCAAACACCCTGTCCGAGCCCCTTGGGCACGCTCTGTACCACATCGATGACCTTGCCCATCCACTCGACCTGTCCGTCCACGTTGTACGGGATCTCCGGCTCCGAAGACTCCGGGATCGGGTTGTACTGCCCGTCGCAGATAGCCGGGTAGTCCGTCTCGGCCACCTGAACCGGCTTGCCGTACTTCTTGGCCAGCGTGTTCAGGCTGTCGCGCAGGTTGTCAAGCGTGGCCGAGGTGCCATAGAACGGGTAGAAGCTGACGCCGAAGGCATCGACGTCAGAGGTCTTGACGCCGTTGTCGAAGAGCGCAGAGTACCAGCGGGTCTGGAACGTGGTGTTCCAGCCGTTGTCGAGGTGGATCATGATCTGCTTGGGCCTGTTGAAGCCCTTGGCCACCGCGTCGTCGACGCCGGCCCGCGCGGCCTTGTACAGCGTCGCCACGTTGGTGAAGTTCTTGACCAGGGCGTGGTAGGGCTGGATGTCGATGTCGACGTAGCCCGTGGGCCACAGGAAGCCGTGGCGGATCTCGTTGCCCAGCGACACGATATCGAGATTGATACCAGCCTTCTTGAAAGCGATCAGAGTGTCGCGGACGTACTTCCTCAGTGTCTGTGACAGCGGCTTCAGCTCTGTCGGCCATGCGGCCGGGATAGGCTGTTTCTGCGGGTCCGCCCAACTGTCGGCGAAGTGGAAGTCGAGATAGAGGCGGTATCCCTTGCTCTGGAACCGCTTGGCCAGGTTGAGGTTGTAGTCTAATCCGTAGACGCCGTCGGAGGGGTTGACCCAGAGGCGGAGGCGGACTCCGTTCATGCCACCATCGCCGAGGATGTCATCTGCGGCCCGTGTCACGTTGTTACGGGCTGTATCGACATAATGGAAGTTCCCGGCATCCTCCAGAAGCTTAAGCGAGCTCAAATCATGGCCTTTGTAAAAATAAGCATCTCTAAAATCCCACAATTAGTTTAATGATGAGAGGCAAGGTCGTCCATGGAACCCACTTTGAGCCACCACTCTTAGAGGGGGCGGCCGCCGTGAAGGCGAGCAGTGACAGAAGCGTGGTTAGAATAAACATTATCACCAATTACCAACTACACTTGGGCAGCCTGACGTTCCAATCAAGGCCACCAACGACGGAAGTCATCGTGTTTATATGCGTACAAAGCGGCATTGCTTTTGCATATATCCAAGCGAAGGACCGGGGTGTAAAAAGTCTCCAAGAAAAAGTCTCCAAAAAATGATCTCAACGAGTCTGCTTTAGCTTCTGTGCATTTTGCGCGATGTTACCTTCTCCAAATTCTCTGTGGTGGAAAATATGGAAAATATTTAGGACATGCGGGGCTCCGTGCGGAGAATCCCCGCGACTATAGATGCTAGCCCGCGGAGTACTGCCTATTATTACCACTGAGCCGTCGGCTCGCTTGTAAGCTTGATTATAGCGTGGTTGGAAACTTTATTTGACCGCTCGACCCTTATGTAATCGACATGTTTCCCGGTATAGACAACCTGATGCCTCGGGATGGCCGGCGGTAATTTTGATTGTCTAAGTCTTGTGATCAAACTTTTTGGAAAAACCGACCCATGATGTGATGTTCGCTTAACTGGCTTATTTTTTTTAGGACATCATACCCCGCTACTGGCTGTTACGAGAGAAAAGTTCTGTATGTGCGGACGTTCATAAAATATTATGCGGACGACGTCATTATTTGGTAAAAGCTCAACATCTCTGAAGCCGTTGCACCGTCAAAGAGGATTGTCATTCGCAGTTTATGGTATCTGACTTCGACAAAAGCTGCACCACTTGCACCTCGATCTTGAGAGAGGAGTCTGCTAAGCATGAACCACCATCATCTGTTTAAAAAAAAATCAAAAAAAATCTTATGAGTGATTCTTTGCAGCCTTGAGCTGCTCGTCTCGCCACTTCGTCATTTCTCATTGACTTCTCTAGTTTGCTTCCTGTATCTCAGCTCGGACCGACGATTCAAATGCACACCGTGGGACAGGCACGACGTGAAAGTGTAACGACTACATTAGGCGAGCAAGTCCTAGAATCGGTCGGAAGTATAGTTGGGTAATCTATCGTGTGGTTATATTTCCTGCTACCTTATTCGGAGACATTAATAATCAGCAGTTCGAGCAAATTCCAGCCTTGCCGCGACTTGTGACGTTTCTTTACCCTTTCGTGTCCCTTGAACTGGAATCGGCGACAACGTGCTTAATCTAGATCTAGTTTCTATGTCTTTAGCTATCGCGGTACCAGTGCTCGCTAATTTGATGGATTTGTTTGGCGTATCGCCCAAGAACAGGCCCTTCTTTTCGCTCGTGGGCCGAGAGAAGGCATTCATGGATGAAGGTAATCTGGGCCGAGCGAGCAATCGTGATACTCATTTCGAAATGTCAAATCGCATGGGCGAATACTAGGCCCCCTTTACTTTCCAGTCTTGCTAGTTATCGACCAAGTCGGCAAGCCTGACAGATACCCATCAGGGTTTCCGACCCGGCAGAGAAGTCCACAGTTCTAGTGAACGACGTCCTTGACTGGGATCGCACCATGCCGTAGAAGCGGCCTATTACCCGAATGCCCGTGATATGACTGCCGCTTAAGATTGAAGACGAAATAAAGCTGAAGGAACAGACGGCAAGTATGCCCGAAGCGGTTGTTTGCATGCCGGATCTTTCGAGCTCGAGAAATTGCTTGGTATCCATCACGAGCTCCAGAGGGAGACGAAAAAGAGCACCTTACGTCTGGTTCTGAAGAGCAGTGATATCGAACTAATGGATCCACGCCTGCAGAGTACTCGTTTAAGGATGCGTACCGAGAGGTCCTCACGTGGCTGATTTCATGAAGCTCGGATGCAAACCCGTATTTGTGGATAGGTAGTTTTCTCCATTGAATGCGAATCCATTAAGGAAGGCGTCCCTGGATTTGTGGATGCTCCATTACTTTGAGTTTTGAACATAGTGGTTTCTGAAAGCAGTCAGACCTAGAGATGGTTCTCTTCAAATCAACCTTGGTGGGTGGGCCTTCATAGTGTCTCAATAGAAAACCCCGATTTCTCAGTGCAATTATCAGCCTACGCGGTTACCTATGAGGGCGTCCATCGCCCGAACCAATAATTCACAAATACCGTAGGAACCATTCCATTTTCAACTTCTTTTTCCCAGGCTTACCGTCTTTAACGCCAAAAAACGCTGAAAATGCTCTTGGATGCGAGGTCGCATTGCGATGGCATTTCAATGCCAGATAGGCAAGAGTGACTGGTGTAAATATCGACAATCGGTTTAGTTTTCTTCGTTGTAATAGCCGCATGATATTCTCACTTAGTACCGATTCTCAAGACATTGCATTCCCTTTTATGACGGCATAACGATAGGCTATCGGGCCGTACATGACAAGTATAGAAGAGCATTTCCAGCTGTTGCAAGTTACCACGAGAGGTGGCTACAGCTTTGGGGCAGGACTGAGCTTTTGTAGCTGCCCCTATGTTGAAAAAGGAACGACATTATCTCTCCTGGACCGAAGCTTAGCGTTGGTATACCTTCTATCGACGCATTCTGAACCTTGCCTGCGACCATTGTTGACAAAGAAACTCAGTATTGGCTTCCAAGACAGGCCTGTTTGCAATTAATCAGGTTTACCGACTTATTGGCGCCTACCATTAGCGACGATCGGAAAAGAAAACGCCTAGCTAGCCGCTAAAGTGGGTTTGAACATCGCTGGGTCAGGAATGGACCTGCATTAAAGCGCCGTTGTTGATTGGGGTGTCCCTCGTCCTGGCATTGCCAGAATAAGGCGTATGGCTATCCGATGCCGAATTTTGACGCGAGAGTCTCCTCTACTCGTAACTATTTGTTCGGGGAAGGTGGATGGGCTTATGTGAGTTATGTTCGATTTTATCACAATTGGTCGCTAGCTAACCTTGTAGACGCGACTTTTCCGTGAGATCTTAAAAATTCTTGCTAAGGCGATCGAATCTCTGGTGCCGGCGGATCTAAAAAGGCCCTCGAATGACTTTTCTGATATGCTCAATTTGGCTTTGTAGGACAATAGGATGCTACGGTACTCAAGAAACCTATAATGGTATTATTTCATCTACCGTCTATCCAAGCCACCAGCTAAGTCAGCTTCTAAACCGCCGGTCTCATTCTGGTACTCCTGTGGCCTAGGATCGTCGCTCGTCCACTGCTGTTGGCCACTTGGTAGCGGGACTTGGCCTGGCTGTGCCGGTAGTCTAGCGCCTTGTCCACTAGCTCCTGAAGGAGCAGTCCTGACTTGCTGTCGGAAGCGGTAGACTTCGTCCAAGATCAAATTGCGCATATCACCTACTTCATCGACAATTTCGAAATCAAAGTTGAATGTCGTCGGACAATCAGGCTCGTCTGTCTCGTCGTGCCAGATCTTGAGGTAAGGGTGTTGAAGAGCCTCCTCCACAGAGATACGGGAAGAAGGATCGAAAGCGAGCATGCGGTCGAGGAGGTCGAGAGCGTCGAGGTTCGCATTCGGGAAAAGGGTTTGGAAGTGCTTCTTGGCCATGAATGGCAAGTTGCGCACATACTCTTGGGCACGCGAAGAACCGATTCGGGATAACGTCTCCTCGTCGGGCGTGCCGAGGATGTGCAAAATTTGGTTCAACTGATCGACGTAGTCCCTGCCCTTGAAGAAGGGACGACCATCAAGCAGCTCGGCGAGGATACAACCGACAGACCACACATCAACTAAACGCTTTAATTAGCAAGAGTTGGCAGGACAATGATTTCCACAAGTTATGGCGCAGGAGAGCTAAAGATACATACTCGCTTTTGTGTAACTCTGGAAGCTCAACATGATTTCCGGTGCTCTGTACCATCTTGTGGCTACATACTCGGTCATGTATCCAGCATTCTCCTCTGGATCAACGGAGAAACCTCTCGCAAGACCGAAATCGCAAATCTTTAACTCGCAGTCAGCATTAACAAGCAGGTTAGCAGGCTTCAGATCACGATGTAGCACATTCGCCGAATGGATGTACTTGAGGCCGCAGAGGATCTGGTAAATGAATGATTGGAAGTGAGCGTCGGTGAGTGGTTGGCCAGAACGGATGATGGCGGCAAGATCGCTTTCCATGAGCTCTACATTGCAAAACAATAGGCGTCAGCAGATATCACCAGCCCTTGAGTGGGGGAAAATCGCCGGCAAAAGGCTTACCTTCATACAGGTATGTTTCATTGAAGTTGTCAGGTCGTGGGATGTCCATGTCGTATAGACATGTTATCTGGATAGCCAAGGGAGGCTCCGTATCAGTATAATGTCCTTTATATGACTGCCGTAATCAAGGAGTGCACGCCATCGTGTGCGATCGCGAGGTTCGAGTTGCTGGGTAAGGGTAGCCGGGCTTGCTCACGTTGCGATGGCCTCGGAAATGTTGAAGCAATTTTATTTCGCGCAGGGCGCGTTTGGCGAGGATCTTCTTGCTGAAGACATTGGTGACTTTTTTGATAGCGACTCCTTCGTTCGACTGATTGTTAACAGCCGCACTGTAGGGAAGAATCTCATGGTTAGCAACCGTTGTGATGACTCTCTCATCAATGGTATGGAGGGGTAAGTCGCTCGATAAGCCGGCCGCCTTTAGCAGCACAGCGCACGTACCAAACGATACCATAAGCTCCTTGGCCTAGTTCCTTGGTAACTGTATACCGATCGTCTACAACGAAGTCCTGGTTGAAGACCTTGAATACCTTACGTCCTTGCAAGTCGGCCATAACGTCTATGATTGCGGTATTGAAATAGATATGCCCCTTTTGCTGATACTCGAAGTGGGAAGTTTGCGACAAAGATATCAGATCTGGTCGGAGAATATATGCTGGTTAAGGAATTCACCCCGCTGACAAGCTGTGCAGGCTAGGACTTATGGTGTCCTTAGAATGCTACGTACAGATATGGCGCAAATTTACTCGGTCTACCCCGATATTTCCTACAGGGCCTTTAGGGCTTACACAACTTCACTTATACGTTTTTCGGTCAATTTAATCGCAATTAATATGGGAGTACATGCATTTTGAAGTCCTGAAGACGGCGATTAAAAGCTGGTATAGTATCCCCGTGCGCGATGCACGGCGTACATCCGTTTTTCCATACTTAGTACAATCTTTACGATATACTGGTCGGGAATCGCCTTCCACGCCGCGATTAAGCAAGTCTTATCGAGCTGGTTTTGCTTTAGGCCCTATAGGTCAGGATACATCTTACGTAAATTATGTTTCAAAGCAACTTATATGTATTTGATCGGGTTAAGGTCGGGGCTATAAGGCGGCTAGTCCTCGAATATACAAGTTCCACTTTTTATAAACCAGTCTTATATGTCTTTAAATATACATATTGTACCAGGACTACTGTCTTGTCCCTTGGTTATAGGCCTCACGATAAGCTCGCAGGCTCTTTCGTGGACTGATCAATAAGTAAAGAGTGGAAAGGATGAGTTCGACAACCAAAATATTATTATTAAGCGACAACGAGCCATTCTCGTTGTCTTCGAATACATCGCTGCCAAACCCAACGACTGACTGTACAAAAGTGTGAAAGCATGCAAAAGAAAGTTATCTAAAAGTCCCATCTCTCAGACCTTATAATGATCAGGCCGGGAACAACTCCGGTAAAGGCCGACATGATCCACCTAGCCTTCCCGCTGTAATGGTACAGCCAACACTCACTACTTCATTATTCAAATTAGTTATATATAACGCTAACGAGTGTCCAACTTTACCACGATATATGCGGTTAACACTTTGTTTATAAATAAGTTAAACCTCATTTGCCGAAGTTTATACGGCCTTTCGCATCCTTTCTTGTTAAAGGGATTCGTTTCTAGGCCCTCTATTTACCGAATTTGTACTCTTAGATGACTCGCTTGACCATACGCTTGGAGACGGGCCATGGTATCGCTTTGAGGACTTCTAGTCATAGCGTATAGCGGTTTCTTTTATAGACAGCGTACATTTACTTCTTCTAACGCTTGGTATAGCCTATCCTACCTTTGCCCAGAGGTTTTTCGAAAGAACCGTAGTCTTATAGCAGTTTTACCCAGCGTTATATACTGGATCGCCCGGTCTTGAGTTTCAGCGCGACGCGACGTTAGGATTGACCACGATAATACAATCCCAATGCGAAGGCTTTCTGCTTCGGGGAGAACTCCTGACCGTTTTCATGATCTTCTAGCAATATCCCCAAATTTCGTCTAATTCAGAGTCCATTTGGGTGGTGGTGCAGTGGGATGAAAAGGAAGGGTTGATTGCGCACTATGCGCGGAACGCGAAAAGTCGCGTGGCTTGACCGAGTACATTTGCGCTCCCACTGGGTAGGTTAATTAGTAGCTTGTGAACTGTGGACCCGAGTGACAGGCTTTTTATTTTTATTTTTATTTTGTTTTTTTGCTGCGACAAGGCCAAGGTTGCGGCGGGGAAATTGCTTGGATATTGGGTGCTCCGAAACTCGTGCGGTCGATCGTGGGAAGGCGGTCAGGGGTTGGAAGAGGTGCTGCCATACCGGACAAATAGAGTGCTGGTAGATCATGATCCGTAGCTGGACGATGCATAAGGTTCCCATACGAGTAGGTTGGAGTTTTTGGGTCAACGTAAACTGCAGGTGTCATAGGGTTAGACGTATGTCGGTAACTGGGAACCAGTTGAACCGGCTCTTGGCTCATGTATGGGTAAGAAGAGTAAGTTACGCCGTAGTCATCCTCACCATATGTGCTCGCGCCCCAGTCTGAGACTTCAGATCTATAGCCTTTGCTGCTCTATGGATATTTGCTCTGTCGGTAGGTGACCATGTCTGCAGTGGATATGTCAGTCGTATATGCGGAACAGTGCTGTGTGGCGACATGGCTCCCCGAGTATGACAGGCACGGGCGGTCTCGACATTGTATCCAAAATCAGACGGTCCATCTCGCAGAGGGTTCCAGTCGAAGACACCTGCAGCACTTGGGGGCCAGCGGCATAACAAAGAAGAATCAAAGTCGTGTCGTGGTAACATACCTGAAGAAATAGACATGACTCATGACCTGTATTCTTGCAGTTTTGAACATGGGCCACCGTCGTGGTGAGAAGGATGATGGTATCGACGATCGGAGTAGATAGATTATGGCGGGCAAACACGGCTATATCGTCGGCCTGCTTCGCTTGATACATATGCAGCCGGAGTTACCATTATTCTGTTGCCAACCGTAACTTAGGCTTTGTTTCAAGGTGTGTTAGGACAACAACAAAATCTCCGTCTGCCGTACTATGTTCGACAATCGTAAGTCTGCAGGGCTACGTCGTCTTCTGCAACCGTAGCCATAGAGTGACGACAAGGAAAGACAACAAGAATGGCTTCCGGGCGAAAGGTGCAGGGGCTCAATGTTAGACAAGCTGGCTGTCGACATTGCAGCCCTTGTGTGAGAACCGAGAGTGATCAAGAGTGGTAAGCGACAATAGGCATAGGATTGAATAACAGCTAAAGCCTGGCCTGTAAGAACAAGGTCAGGCATCGACCCTATATAGTAGCTACATCGTTACGTGGCTAGGGAGGATAAGACCCCTTCGGGACTTATAATCTGCTAGTCCGAACCTTGCTATAAGATATCTGTACTGGTCCTGACAGGAATCCTCCTTCCTAAACGAACTCGTCTCAAGGTCGCTTCGGAGTAAAACGTGCTTGCTAGATAGAAACCATAAAGTTACTATCACGCTTAGTTGCCATTACGGCGTAGTTACTGATTATCGTAGCTAAAATCAGTCAATTGCAGTTTTTGGTTGTCGTCCATAATCAGTAAATGGCAATTACTGATTATGACTAACTTCACTTCTTAGCTGCCTGATTACTGATTCGTTGCCTTGTCGCAGACTCATACATATCTCGGGATCTCCCCAGAGATTTCGGATTTTCTTCTTCTTCAATCTTCTCACAATTTGTCAGTGCCCCCCTAAGTTCGATGCCACATCGCAACGAGCTCGATCGTGGTTCGTAGACGTACATTCCCGGAGAGTACTCCTTACTAACCCGTAGCACTCTTGTTCCCCCCTAATTTTGGTCAATTCTCTTAAAGTGGCCGACTCGGTCGATTCGACTCCTTGACAAGTTCGCGCTAATCGCGCCTGCGTCCTCTCTGCAAGCTTTCTTATGCGTTATTAACGAACTAGGCGCGACCGCGATTCCCCTTGTGTTCGTGACACGATCCGAGCCAGCAACGACATCTCTGCGACGTGTCGTTGGAACAAGAACTCCATGGTCCAGAATCAGAAGTGTGAAACTTCTGTTAACGGTGGCAAGCCAGTCGTCGATGCGAGTTCCTTCCTACCCCTATGCTGCCTCGTTGTTAACTCGTCGATAGATGCCCGAGGATCTTTAGGAAGTGGCCGATACGGTCTAGAAGAGTGTTCGTGTCGTCTTCGCTGCGAACGATATTTCAACCAAGTCTAAGTGTGGCAAGAAGTTCTCTACTGCCTTGCAGACTGTATGTATCTTTTCTCGTTTCGCCCTCGTAACGTGTTCGTACTACTTCGCAACGTAGGCTCAGAACGCCTGGACCGAAGCCGCTGCTGATTGGTCGTCCACATATCATGACTACAAGATCATCCATGGCAATCTCTTGTCTGCTGCCCCTCTTCGCACTCGTGGCGAGGCCGTTACTGATGAGGAGCCAATGCTCACATCTGATGAGCGTCGTCAGGTCCGCGAACTGTTGCGTCGATTAGGGAGTCCTAAGGCCTCTGTGAGTGCGCTACCTCTTCGTTACTGCTTCTCTTCTAACTCGTTTCTAGGACTCTCCTGCCCCAGGTTCTGCTGAGATAGTTGATGAGGAAATGGGCTCTGCTGAGGATACTGGTTTGGAGGGCACACGCGACGAGGTCGTAACGTGTTCGCAATGACTTCGTGAATGGGCACCTAGGTTTCCCTGGGTAGAGCTGTGATAGCTACCACTTCGGTGGTCTGAGCCGAAAACGCTGCTATGTCGTAGATAGGTCGCAACTGAACCGATACTGGCCTACTCCTTCCTTTTTCTGTGATTTGCCTATATCCACTCCGGCGATGTTTCTTCCGTAGCTATTGTCTTGTGTGTAGTAGTCGAGCTCGTTGTCCGCGAAGACCGTGCCCAGGAAGGCGAATAAAGGCTAAAGGACTCAAACTGATCGCTCAGCCTGTCAATAGAGGCTGATTCCCGCCATATACGAGACGTAGTAGAAGTCATCGTGTCGCATGATCCCCTTGCCGCTCGCTGCCTCATAGCCCGCTCGGCGTCTCTCATCCTCCCCATTGACAAGTCAGAAGACCGGATCGATGAAGCCATCGTCAGCATGTAGTTTCCGTGTGACTCTGTTTGGCCGGCCGAAAGTCCTGGAGCCTTTTGGTACGGGCCCAGCAATAATGAAATCTCATTCATTTGTTCCATCCTGTCATAGAGTCGACGGAGGTAGGTGTCCACTAAGTCCTCACTCATTAGTCCTGTGATGTGTTCTACTCCATACTGAATGATTAGCTCCGAGCAAATATGTAGATGCTCGGCGACGGAGATTCCAAGATTTGGACTCGGTTGGTTTGATGGGAAGTCAGTCTCCCACTGTTTCCAGAGACGCTCAAATAACCGCATACTTAAAGTCGCTTCGTCAACTCGTGTACCCGGATTGGAACCGCCTTGGGTTTGCGAGTTTTCCCAAGGTGGCGGAGTCATGATGCCAAGTTGCGTTGGCTTGATGCAGTCTGGCATCTTCCATAGTATGGATAGATTCCGGTGTTGTTTTACTGTTTCAAGGCACCAAGTGAAAGACTCTTCCATTAGACCCGCAAGAACCTTTCCATCATGCCATATATCAATCTTGTGCTCAAACGACTGCTCTGGTTGTAAGAACAACCGAAGAATCTTAAAATCATGGTGGCTAATCGGTGTTGTCTCCACGGATCTCAGGGTCTTGGTGTTTGATGGGTCTGTTTTCAGTAAGGTGGGATCGAGAAATGTGGCCGTGGCGCTCACAGAATGGAGGCGCTTGTAGTGTATATAGACAAGGATGTCCATGGAGTGATGTAACAAACAATCTCCCATCTCAGCGATATCATCTGCAAAGCGCTGGGCGGCACCGATATTGCGGGTGCCCTGAATACGGTTTCCCTGCCGCGCGAACATCTTAGCCTTGAGAATGTGCGCCAGGAATCTTTCGGCCGCAAGGACACCTCGGACTGTGAACCAACTTAATCGTTTCGATAGAATGTTTTGCACAATGTCATACTGCGCTGACGTCCGTGCCGATCGTGCACACATGATTAGGTAGTACGTCAAGAGTTTACCGGAACTGAAGCCCGACTGCTCGTCCAGAAGAAGAAGTATGTAGAGGTTGGCAGCTTCTTTGAAATATCCCAGGGCGAAAAGGTAATCGGCGATTTTCCTCAGGCTGGTTCCCATATCCTCCCGTAGCTTTGTGCTAGGCTTTGAGCCGCTACGGACACAGACCTCAGCATCCTGTGCGACGATTACGCATCTTTTCAGGGATATGGTCTTGAGAAATTCGTCTGTTGTAATGGTTCGCCATCGACCTAAGAACGAATCTGCTAGGGGTTCTGGCAATGACTGGCTGGGGGGCCATGGTGGTTGACTCTTGGTTTGGATGACTGAAATAGGTCGAGAGGAGTCTGTACGCAGGCTGGAATTCCCACTGGCTTCGGATACAGCAGAGCCGGTTGTCAGGACACAATCATTGCCTTTTTCACACTCCGGGGAAGAGTCAGCTACGACCTGCTGACCTGTCTTGCTCTTCTTATTTTTCGACAGTTCGGATACCGAGGGCAGACTGTCTCGATTACCAACGTCCTGTGCGCTTCTTCGTCGTTTTGGAGCATCCACAGCTGGGCGCTGGGCGTCTATCAGAGCAATGCCGCACTGGTCGGGCGATGATTCACTAAACTCTGAAGATTCATTGTCGGAAACAGTTGGCTTGGTCTTGTATTTCTTCAAACCCCAACCTTCTAAGCGCGTGGAGTACTGGCGCGGTCTAGCACAAACACGTTTAGTGCAACTGGCGACAAAGTGGGACAGCCGGATGGCTCAACTCACGTGGCTTCAAATCCGTGCAACATCTTCATGTTGGCTATAAGTTGATCCAATGTCATGACCCCAAACATTTCGCGGATATTCTCTTCATGTTCCTGCCATGTCTCGTCCGAGATCTTCTTGGCCTTTTGGCGCTTCGGGCCCATCACCCATTGTAAATCCATATTTGTCCGAATGTGACACCTTGGTTCACCGGGGCGGCAGATATCTAAAGTTTCCGAGTATTATCACTAGGTTAGTCTAGTGACGGGCGATGGTATAGAGGCAGGTCCACAGCCTTGGCGTTGCCAAGCAAGCGTTATGCTGACTTGGGCTTATGCGTTTCTGATTCTGTTCATAAACGATACTGAGTAGGTCCCCTCCCTTGGAGCTCGGTAGGTTGAAATGCAGCTACGGTTTGGTTTGATGAACGGCAGAGGTCACATACGAACACGGTCAGGCATTGCACTTGGTCATTGAGAGTAAGGCCGTAGTTGACGAGCTGAGGTCGACGTTGAGGCGCCAGAAGGAGCGGGAGTCATGGTGGATTCCCAATGACCACTCCAGGACTAGCGCGGCGTCGAGACTGAAAGGCCGAACGGTTGCACAGAGTATACGCACATTTATTGGTCAAATCTAAACTGTCCACTATGCCACATTCGGTGTTTGTGAAATCCTAGGCTCTATGGTATATGCCACAAAACGATCGCCAAGCCTCGTAAAACAGGCGTTGTTTTTAAGCAGTTTCCAGAACAGATGTTGTGTTTTGTACAACTTTACGGGTCCATGAAAAGAGGAGCCTATAGACCGCTTCCATTGCACTCAACGAAACAACAATGACCTATTCTGGCAGGTGGATACTCATTGCATAGAACGTTTCCTTTCTACTTGACCTAAACTCGATTCCGCCTTTGTAAATGCGCTGCCACGATTTCCAACCATGAAATGTCGTGGATTGGCACATACAGTTCGGTGAGCCCAGGCCATCAATGAAAACATTATGCTAGAGGTAGTGAAATCTCTATATAACCACGAGAACCTCGCAACCATCTAGAAAGCAGCAACTAGCCAGCAGCTGACAGGCCGCTCTGATAGCCATCAGATAGAGATCTATAACTTTCTAAAAAACAAAAAAAGCACGTTCTTTTCTCAGGACGTTACTGCCACTCCAAGGTCGCCAAGTCAAGCGTCATCAAATATAAACCGCTGTCCGCACCCATCACAATGCCAAACAACAGTAGCCATTGGCAGTCAAGCGAGGCACCCAAGGCTCATCCTGACGACATGTTAGCATACGTAGGTTCTTGGACTAGCGACTCGTACTCCGCCGAGACGGTCAGTCAAACTCGAAATAACATTGGTCGAAATTGTTTACTGATACCGATTCGTCAAAGTACCAGAAAGCTGCAGGTCATGTCACGGCGGCAAGAGGTCATGCTAGTAGCGCGTTGGCATCTACTCACATAGCGGGGAGTACTGTCAAGAACGGCCAGCAAGGTTACCATATGACACGATGGGAGGAGGAATCAGGAAAGGAGGAACCTTGGAGAATAATCAACGTTGTTGCCGAGACGAAACGCAAAGCGAAGGATCACGGTGCCATGAAATAAGTGATCAAATACAGAGTAGTAGTAACGTCTCATCATGATAATTCTCTGCTCTGTTATATGGCTCTCAGCGGTAATATGTGCTGTACTAAGCATTCTCGTCTACAGAGTGGGCACTCTGGTTTCTCCCTCACCCAATCACCTATACACTCCCAGCAAAACACATGGCCACACTGTGTAGCTGACGGGTCTTTGAGCTCCTCTAAGCACAACGTACATTTCCGTTGCTGGGCGCCTTTGATCCAGCCCATGGTCTTCTCATCCGCCAGGTCATACCTTGGTTGGCCCAGTATCGGCGTATGTGTCGCGGTGGCGAGGTCGAGGTGCGTCTGGGCCTTGCCTGCTGCCGCCGAGGCCAGCAGGGCATTATTACTGCTGTAGGCGTGCTCGTTCAAGGAGACGTCCGGGCCTGAGTAGCTCAACCGCTCGCGTCCCTGCTGCTCGCTTTCCGCACTCGAAAGTGTCGACTTGAGATGTAAATACCCTTGTACGGCAAACTGGAGGACGAGAAGCACACCCAAAACCTCGTATCCGACGCGATCCGTGTTTTCGTCTATCTTGTGCGTAAAAATGTAGCGCAGGCCGGTCATGCGCTTTGCGATCTCGTAATATGATCCGCTGAAATAGAACAGCGCGAGGCTCAAGGCATATAGCGGCGACGGACTTGTGATGGCCGACAAGTGGGTATGGATGTAGGACTGGATCTTGAAGTTCCACGAGTTCAGCTTCTTTTCTCCTTGCATCCGCAACCTGGCCAGGTTCCGTTCCAGCCGCAGCCTGATCTTGGCCCTCAGTCTCGGCAGGATGCGCGACAATGTGTACGGCAGCAATATGCTGCTTGATATGTATGCGGCCCTTTTCGAGAGCGTGGGTAATGCGCCGCTATCCCCTTCAACCTGTACCACGTTGCAGTATTCCTCGCCTAGTGTGCGGTTTCCGATGAGCGTGGTGAGACATAGGTATAGCAGGTCGGCAATGGTCTTGGACTCGGCGGTCCAGGCATGCGCCGATCGCGCTCCCAATAGATGCCGATGCAGGTCGGCCAGTTGGGTTGTGAGAACACCCTGGAAGTATGCATCCTTTTGGTGGGAGCGGATGATGTCGGGCGCAAACGCATAGGGGTATGGCGATGATGGCAGTGTCGCAGCAGGCGGGACACTGCTGACCACGGCAGCCATTTCGTCGTGTGGTTTTGTCGGGTGCGGCTTTATAGAAGACGCGCACCGTTCAGGACAAGTTCGCGGTCAAGGACACCGTTCCCACTGGTCAGTAATGCGACACATGCGTAGCGGGCTGCAGGTCGCTCGTGAAGAAATGAAGTCGCAGGTGTTGGTCGCCGATGGAGTCCCGGCCGAGCAAGCGGACGATGAAGAGCGACGACGTTGGACCTCGGCGCAAGCTTTAGTCTAACCTAGCCTGAAGTGCTGAGCTCGCGCCTGAGCTCGCGCCTGAGCTTGAGCTTTCAGCTGCCGTCCGATGCCCGACGCGGAGCACTGGTTATGCTGGCTACAGTGGCTACACTGGCTCGCCTTACCCGGCTGACAGGCGTTGGCCCCCCCCCCCTAGCTAGCGCACATTAGCGCTACAGGGGTGTCTGACGTCGGCATCCACCCCTAAGGTTAGTTAGTACTACATCTGCGAAATGAACATGGCCGACGTGACACGCAAGCTGCAGTGGCATTTTTCTACCGAGCAACTACATCCGCAGCCGCTCCTTCACTTAGGCGAGCGCACGCGAGCAATTCACTTCGCCTCAACTCGGCTTCAGTCGCAACTGTCGCTGGCAACCAGCGACTTCATGTTGGGCTTCGCAATCCTGAACAATGGACGGTGACCCGGCAGTTGAGCCCGAGCTCGACTCCTTTAGCTTGACCTTTCCCCTGCCGTATCGCGTGGCCTTCATAGTCGTCCTGGGTACGTTGCAACTCCCAGCCAATCTCTGCCTCTCGTGCTCAGCAGCTGAAGCCCCTGCTAACGCGAACAAACAAATGAACAGCCACCTGGCTCTGGGGAATCAATCTGCACTACCTCGCTCGTCTCAAAATCGACGTTCCTTCATTAATTCGCTACCCATCACGGACTTCACCACTGCAACCACCGCACCACCTTTCAGCCTATCGCCTGGCCACCGTGCTCTCTGCCATATATGCCTTCTCGCTCCTGGTCTTCTGGGTCTTCACCCACCGCAACCCGGCTCTCGTGCTTGCCTGGGACTGGCTGCCGCTCACATACCTCGTCGTTCTGATCGGCGTCTTTCTCGCGCCCCTCAAAAACCTCTCTTCTTCCGGACGACAGCGGTTCCTACACACGCTGAAACGGGTCAGCATCGGGGGCATCGCCGAGGCGAAAGATGGGAAGTTCGGCGACATCCTCCTGGCCGACGTCCTGACCTCGTACGCCAAGGTATTTGGCGACCTCTACGTGGCGCTGTGCATGTTCCTGCACACAGACGGCTCGGCGACGGCGCGGCCGGACCGCAGCTGCGGCGGCACCGTCGCCGTGCCGCTGATCATGGCCATCCCGAGCATGATCCGGCTGCGCCAGTGCCTGATCGAGTACGGGCGGGTGCGCAGGGGCCGCATGGACGAGAAGACGGGCTGGGGCGGCCAGCACCTCGCCAACGCCCTCAAGTATAGCACCGCCTTCCCCGTCATCATCTTCTCCGCCCTGCAGCGGAGCTGGGGTCCCTCGCCCGCCCTGTACCGGGCCTGGCTGGCCGCCTGCGTCCTCAACAGCCTCTACTCCTTCTACTGGGACGTGACCAAGGACTGGGACCTGACGCTCTTCTCGCCGGCGCGCGAGCGCAACGCCCCAGACCACGCATTTGGGCTCAGGCGGAGGCTGCACGTCGGACGGCCGGGCACGTACTACGCCGTCATCGCGCTCGACCTCATGCTGAGGTGCACGTGGAGCCTGAAGCTCAGCCCGCACCTGGACCACATTGCCGACTTTGAGAGCTCCATCTTCGTCATCGAGTTCCTCGAGGTCTTCCGCCGCTGGGTCTGGATATTCTTCCGGGTCGAGACCGAGTGGATACGGAACAGCGCCGGCAACGCGCTGCCGATCCTGGGACAGGACGACATCGGGCAGGGCATACTGCTGGGGGATTACGGAAATGGGGCGTCCCACTACAAAGATGAGGAGAGTGACTAGTGCCTTGCGAGGCAGGTATCCTAGATGGCCATGTAAACAATGAACCAAGGTCGGGGGAACTTGGCCAACAGGGCGGTGGAGGGAGACTCTCCCCGATACTCCCCAGTCCCTCGTATGAGAACTGTATGATTACGACGACATTTACAGGCGTTATTTTTTTATTTTGTTTTTCATTTTATTTAACCTTACCAACATGATAGAGGAAAGACACAAGCGACATATATAAATCTTCGTATTGTCGTTGCCCCCTTTGGCGGCCGCAATAGCTTCTTTTAGTATTAAAATAAACGCTCATGCCCAGCCATGATGGGTTCTTCGTATGGGTATCTAAACGTGTGTACTTCCGTTTATACAACTCTACACGACACCAATGCCATGAGAGAATAAATAAAAATAAAAATAAAAACTCCCAAACAATGCCCGAGTTAACCACCCCGATTCTTTTTTCCTTCCCCTGGGGGTTATGATGCACACATAAGAACACCTCGGCAGATGCAAGCCGCCCGTCCGCCCACCCGCCCATAATAGAGCCAAAAGAAGAGCCAAAAGAAGAGCTATCAGGGTATTTTTCTCTGTTCTTTTCTTTAAATTCTTTTTTTGGACAAGTAGCCAGCCCCTGGTCGCCTCTCTGTTTATAAGAACCAGGTCAGCCACGGCCGCTTCGTGCTCGTGGGCTGCTTGAGCTTGTTTAGGCAGTAGCCCTCGTGGTTCCGCGTCTTGCGGCCGTCGCACTGGCACCGGCAGCCGATGCCCCCCTCGATCTCGGGCGCCCAGGTCTGGTCCGTACCCAGGGCGGCGGACTCCGGGAGCTGGCCGCCCGGCGCGTTGGCCGGGCACTGGTAGAGCTGGTCGTGCCGGTAGCCGAAGTCCTCGAAGTGGTGCACCCGCGTCGGGTCGACGAACATGGCTACGGCGAGGGAGTGGACGGCTGCGTCGCCCCACTATGTCGTATCAGAGTCAGTATGGCAGGATCTGGGATTTCTTTCAAAAGGGAGGGGGGAAGGAGATGTATATGATGCGGTGATGGTGGCTTACCCGCTCGAAATAGAAGCCGCCTGTCCTGTCAAGATGCTCAAATAAGTCCTGGTACGCCTGGCCACGAAACAGGTCCATGTCGGCAATCTCGAAGTTGCTCCAGTAATGACACAGACTCCAGGGGTCGCCATGCCTGTCCCTGGAGGCGAGGAAGTTCAGGAACCTGCGGAAGGGGAAGGGCATCCAGCTGGCCTGGACCATGGCGCGCCAGAGGTTGTTGGTCGGGAGGCTGTGCATCTCCTTCCAGTCGGCGACCTCGCGGAACAGCGAGGGGCAGGTGGAGCCGACCTCCCACAGCGAGATGGTGAAGCCGTAGACCTTGTCGTGCCGGGCCATCTCGACGAAGGGGTCGTAGGTGATGGCGCAGGCGAAGTCCACGTCGGGCTCGAGGCGCCAGTACCACTTGTACTTCCTCAGCGCCTCGAGCTGGTAGAACTTGCCCGAGTAGAACCGGCACATGTGGTGGTAGCCCTCCTGGCCGGCGTGCGGCAGCCCCCGGTCGCCCTGCTCCTTGATGCTCATCTTGGCGGCCTCCTCGTTGACGTGCTCGGGGAAGCTCCAGGTGTCGTGGGGGATGACCTCGAAGGTCGCGAGGCCCCTGCTCGTCTTGTTGAGCTCGTCGATGAACTTCTGGTCCCACGCCTCGTCGTTCATGAAGACAATAGGGTAGTTGAACCACCGGTTGAAGGCGCCGTCGATGCTCGCGATGGTCTTGTTGGCCTGCGTGAGCTCCGAGTTGCGGGCCAGCATGACGAGGACGGCGTTCTCGCGCTTCTCGTCGACCTTGGGCTCCTGGCACGACGTGTGGAAGGGCGGGTCGAGGTCGTGGGCCGGGGGCGACACGTGGTAGCTGTAGATGTGGTGGCCGACCTCGAGCAGGAAGGCCGCCATGATGGGCAGGACCAGCCAGAGCGGGACCCGGCGCGTGGGCCGCAAGAGGATGCGAGGAAACATCATGGGTTGTCTGCCGTCGTCCGTCGTTCGCTGTCGGTCTCGTTGCCCTATTTGTGCCTGCTCGTTCGCGTCGCAACTTGTTTGTCGGCGGGTGGACGATTATGGGGGGCGCAGGCCTTGGGGGCAAATGGCATCCCCCACTGCCAAAGGTTTCTGAGCGAGCTAATTGCTTCACTACCGCCGCATTGAGATAGTTTTTGGAGGATGTAGCAACTTGGGAAGAGCAATCGCGGGCGACAGTGCTACTGGGCGCAAGTTGTTCTGCAGCGCGGACCGGATGGGGCAGAATAACTTTTTGTATTCTTTCGCCTTTAGGTCTTGTAAGGATTGCAGATGTCCTCGAGTTTATCAAAGTACAGGCACAGTAGGGCGGGCCGTCAATCTGGTGCATGGGGGACGGAGGCTCTAAAATGGCAGCCTACAGCGACCCACGCATCTGGGGTAGCTGGCGAAACACAGAGAATAGGGGCCCGACTAAGTTAACTTAGCGGATGCACCTCTCGCATGTCACTTGCTGAGGGGTGCTAAACTGGGTCAATACAAAACACCTGGTTGCACAGCTGATTGGTCAATGGGTCAAATGTCCTCTGAAAAGGAGAAAGTAGGAGAAAAGAAAAAGGGTAACGACTGGCGCAGCAGCTTATAACAGCTCGATAATCAATATACATGGTGACCACACTAATGGAGCCAATCATGCTCGCTCTTATTTGCTACAATATGATCGATCCCCATAACTGGACGGGCGGCCGGGTTCAGTGCTGTCATGCCAATCGGCTTCTGCTGGCCGCATGCTCGCAACCGCAAAGCGCTGTCCGGCCTGGTCCATTAGGCCAGCAGGGCCAGCTGAGGAATAGAAATCCGTTGGTGGCTTGTTGAAGCTGGGTTTCGTACATGAACCGGGCAGCAGTCGCAAGATCGGATTCCAGCATGGGTGTCGGACTAGGTATAGTTGAAGATACGTTGATGGTGGGCGAGTAGCGGCATCCGGCGAGATCTGGAATGAGATATGTATGAGGAGAGTCATCCACGGTAAATAAGGGAATGGAAAGTCAGGTTCTCTCTTCTTCTACCGGAATGGCGTCATGTGAATTGCAGGGTATATAGGCATCTAAGGTTGCACTCTTCAAGACTCTTTGCAGTTGCCAGACATACGAGCTCATCATCGCGGTTAAATATGAACTTGTGACGCATGTATTCTTCCGTCGATGGAAAGAAACATTGTTGTCCCATTAGCCAACCCATTTTAATCGCATCATTGAGCTTGGCAGAATGCTCAATTCTTGGAGGGAGTGGTCTGGATTGCACTTCTGTCTCCTGTGAAGTCCAAGACCAGTTCCCCAACTTCTAACGTTGGGACCTCTTTACTTATGGCACATCACTTATGGTACTACATGAATTTCACAGTGCATACTTGTACTAGACTAGGTTAGACCAGACCGATAATAAAAACTGGACCCAGCCCGCCATCAGCCTAGCGCACAGGCCACTATACATACTATGTGCCCCGTAGCTTCCGAGCAAACAACCCCACTTCGTTCCGGGCTGACGACTTTGACTTAAATCAATGCGACGCCATAAACTCCGGCTCCATCCTCTTCACCACTCCAGCCCATCTTCAAGAGGAACCGTCAGCACATAATCGCACTGCCATTCATCGCGACAATGGACTACGTCAACCACCATGTCGCCCACGAGGCTAGCAAAGATCCCCAAGCCGCCTTGTGAGCTCTCCCTCGTGTTCTCACCCCTCAGTCCCTCCCGCAAGCTAACCTGAACCTCCCTCCGTAAGCACCGGCCTCGTCACACCCCTCAACATCATCCTGGCCGCCATCACCCTCTACACCACATACCTGCTCTACAAGCCCTCGGCGCCCACCGTCCTGCCGCGTGAGCCGCCCGCGACCGTCTTTAGGACCTTCACGCCCCGGACCCTGCTGCCCAACAACGGCATGAACGGCGCCCCCGTCTACCTCGCCGTGCGTGGACGGGTGTTCGACGTGACCGCCGGGCGCAACTTCTACGGACCAGGCGGTCCCTACGAGAACTTTGCCGGAAGGGACGCGAGCAGGGGATTGGCGTGCCACAGCTTTGACGAGGATATGCTGACCAAGGATTTGGACGGACCGCTGGACAAGCTCGACGGGTTGGGCGAGGAGGAGTTTGAGAGTCTGAGAGGCTGGGAGGAGAGGTTCGAGAGCAAGTACTTGGTCGTGGGTAAGCTGGTGGCCGCTGGGGAGAAATAGGCTATACGACGCGGAGAGATAAAGAAGGGGAAGGAACTGAAATTAATCGGACCGGCATGACGTTCAGACCACCTGGGGACTGTTGACGACAATGAGAAGGGAGATATATTTTCAACTGAAGACCTGTATCGGGAGAAGACAAATGAAAACCTATCATGTTCCCCAGACATTAATTCGACGACACCAGAACTGACTTCTTTCACCAAACGATCGCTCCACGACTACTTCTTAGACTCTGCTTCAGCTACAACGCTCCACGACTACTTCTTAGACTCTGCTTCAGCTACAACGCTCGACGTTGCCAGTTCATATTCGGCACTAGCTTGGTTAGATGCCGATTGAGGGGCCCGGATTTGTGTGATATTGTTCCACGGCTCATCTCCGCGTGTCTGTGCCTGCCATCGATCCATGGGGCTTGAGGGGGTATGGCCGTTGGTGGATGAAATGTTCTTCTCCCAAGGGCGCGAGACCACATGCACTTGGGTGTCTTGGTGGCTAGGCTGAGATCTGAGCGCGCAAGAATACCACGTTAGCGCACCGTTTTCACAGACATCCTGTTCTGCACCAACGCAGTGCTGAGTGGAGTACCTGGAAGTCATTGCTGGATACTGCTGTACACTAGGAGGGCTATAGTCTAGGGACACTATTGATAAAGTGCTTGCAAGTCCGATTTATTAAAGCAAAGCTTTGGAGGAAAAAAACAAAAGGTAGCAGCAGAAGTTACTATGAGTGGGAGTTGCTGGAGGCTCTTAAAAGAAGACAAACTCGGATGCTGAAGTAATACTTCCCATATATGTACTCAAACTTACCGAACATCCCAACGTGCGCATCCATCGAGGCCGTATGCCGCAACAAATCAACTTTATCATCCGCTGATGCACTGGCTGGCTGACTTATCCCAAACTGATGCTATCCTTATTTTAGCTCCATATTATTGACGTTAGTCCAGGGCCCGACAATTCGCAGCAAACGCTTATCGAGTTAGGAGGTGGGGGAGAGACCGCAAGTGGTCAAATTTAAGACAGCCCCTCCATTGCATTACCAGAATGCCAGCGGGAAAGAGCGGGTCCATTTACCTCAGTCATTTCGGTAAGTCCAACATTGAAGTGGACTTTGCGGTACTGTTCGCTGCCACGTCGTCTACCAGGATAGCCTTCTAGGATTGGACTACGAAAACGGTAAGTATAAGTAAAGCTACTCGTTATTCGGATGTCAAAAGCCCGCGAAACGAGGGACTGGCAGGTCAGAAGCCCTCGGCACGAGGGATTGGGGGTGGTTCAAAAGCCCGCGGCACGAGGGACTGGCGAATAGAAAGTCTCCTCGGATTTAGCGAACGGGTGAAAGGTGTGCGAGGGACGTGAGTATTTTGGCCTTTGGGATGTGATGAAACGGCCCAGAATCAACGGTTCACAAAGCGAAAGCCAAGCCGCGCCGACTCCTGCTCTTACCAAGTGATCGTGGACCCCCAGTCAGACCCATGCGACAAATTAGTATTGGCCTCATGTTTCAATGCAGGACGTCTTTATTCACGCCTCCGGGTTCGCTCATTTCCAGGATGACCAGCTCTTGCTAGTAGCGTTTCCTGGCATCTGGAAGATATAGTACGTATCCTGTACCAAGTAGGCGTTTACAGAACCACATTTTTAAGTTCATCCTGTCTGCCTGTCTGCCTGTCAACAAACCTAAATGTTAAACTACGGGGCTTCCCGCACTGCACCGTTATACTTACATCCCCGCTTTTTGGCGCTGCCTACTCGAGCACCGTAGAAAGCTGCAGACTCCCCTGTTACCGTAGGAACATGCGGTCCCAAGGGATAAAATCCTGATAATACAGGTATATCAGCGTCACATTCTCTTCAATCAGCAATCGTTACTGATCTCAAGCAAGAAAAATAAGTAGAAACAAGCATAGGGCCGGTATCACAATATACAGTAGCTCATTTTGATTTGCTGGAACGCAACGTCTTTTGCACAATGATCTTGACCCACACGGCTTCGATTATTAGCGTGCTAATAATTGAGTAACACATTTTATACAGCTTGCTTCCCTCCATGGCTGACATATCTTGGGGATGCTTCTTGGTCGGTCTGAGGTGATTAAGCAGGGGAGCCTTCCGACAATCTTCCCAGGGCTCCAACAGCCGGAAGTTACAATATTAATACTGCTACGAGTTTTTGTCAGTTACGCATAGTCCATTTCTTCACCCGACCTCCATACACTAACACAGCATAGAATATATGTAGGTTCACTACTGGTGTCTTTACTTCAATGTGCCCAACATGATTGCTATAGTTCCTATTCTGGTCGCTCCCTGCCCAGGCTCCACACTGGCTCTGGCCCTTCCAGTTATCATATCCGTTTGATTTTGCTGGCAAGGACATGCCACCAGCGGACTGCTTCCAAGATCGAGTCACGAAAGTCTTGTGCGCCAATATGGGGTGTGTGGGGAATGGTAAGTTATTTATTTGCCATCTTCCTTCCTCCTGAAAGGCAGGCCGCACGAGCGTCACCCATGAATACGATCAAGTGGCCTGCTAATAAAGCAAAAACACTTGGATAACATGTTGCGGTGGCATTTTATCTGAATTACTTCGATTACGTGTGTAATGTGCCCCATGAGTTTCTTTACTTTATAAACTGTTACCGAACGGACAGTTTCCCACCCGCAGAACCACAAACGCTTTCAAGACTAGATGTCGTTTCTCCGATGGTGGCGGCTCCATGAGTCGATGTCTTCTGATGGCCACAGGAGAACAGGTTGTTCCATGGTTCGTCTTCGGCCAGCTAGGTCTGCCACCGATCCATGGAGCCAAGGTCGAAAGGGTTATGAGTGGACTTGGAACTAGTCGTCCATGAGCGCAAGACCTAGTGCATGCCCCCTTTATTGCCAGTATTCGACCTGCAAGCCAAAGAATATGTGTCAGTTCCTTATATGTATGTGCATGGGTGTCCATAGTACACCAGGATACGTACTGATAGGGGGAAGAGGCAGGAGACATCGTGTTGGGGTGGAAGGGATCGGTTTGGGAAAAGGGGGATATTACTAGACTATCCACCAGGCGTATCTCAGCATTGAGGTATATAGACTGGGGCCGGATTTTAAGTCTTGATATCTATCATACATTGTAATAGATATAAAGATACAGGACATGAAATCACAAGAACGGGACGGCGTCTCTTTATATGGTATTTTGTCCGGCGACCATCCAAACAAGACACACTGTTCAAAAACTCTCTAGTCAAAGTTTTTCAGTCATGTCCCTTGGTAGTTGTGACATTCGACAGCGCTATGCTGGCATAATACGGCGACAGGCTGGCCCGAAAATGGCCAAGAAGTCGACGTATGTTTGACAGGGATTAGGTGCATGGATGCTTAACTGCTATATATGGCCCTCTCGTAAGCGGTAGCCGCCTGAGCTATGGTATCAGGGCCAGAAAAGAACAATGATGCGAGTTCTTTCGCAGGAAAGGTATAACTGGCTATGAGTAGCAATCGACCCGGTACCCGCCCCGTTGCCTTCTCTGACCCTCTGTGCCGTATCAAGATATTAAGCTGTCGAATTGTCATTGTGTCATAATGAAGAGAACACGAGGAATGGCATTAAGACAGCAAGACGTATTGACCGCTGACGCGGTCAGCGCGATGACTTTTCTGTCACCGACCTGTGTAGGAATGAGCAATCGGGCTAGTCCTTGTCACCAGCACAACGTGGCTGCCTTGCGAGCAAGATGCAGTTGCACACCCTCGGTTTTGTAGGAGAGGGTTCTATGGAAAATGGCCATGTGGGGGTCGAGGTGATCAATTGAGTGACGGTACTCCGTAGACATGCCGGGAAACCACCCGAGATGGACCCATATTGTGGGGCTGCGGTTAACTATGGGCCCAAAGGATCCGAGTCTGTGCCAACCTGCAGAACCAAAGACACATCTCAGATAGACCTGACTGTGCATTCGAATGTAGCTTTTGAACTCACATGACAGGTCGGTCTCAAAACTAGTGTGGCTCTCATCTACGTTGGTACCAGAGGTTTGGCACTCAGCTTTCCATTTCTCTCTCTCTGTTTCTCTCTCTTTCTTCTTTCTTCTACATAGTACACATGGCTTCCCAAGGAGCCCCTAGCAACTCTTGCTAATAATAACTTCTGCTATTGCTCTCTTTCTTCTTCTTTCCTCTTCTTTTTTCTTTCTATTTTTTTTAGTACTAAGTTTTGTTATGATAATAATTAAAGTACAAATAAATCGCGTTACATCGCGTATTAATGGGTGGATGGTACCCTAGACTAGGAAATAGGTATCTTATCTTAGGGCTCAATCAAGAACCACCCATTACATCAGCTCCTCGTTGAGATCCAAGGTCCAACGAAGATCCAAAGCATGGGAATAACAACAGTTGTTGTTCGAGATGACGCGCCACGTATGTATATGTTTCATCAATCACAACCCGGATAACGGGTATACCTACAGTGCGAACGGATCCATGACATGGTCGATTCATCCAGATCCGCCCATTGCACTCCGCTGGTCAGTGGATGGAGTATAGTGTTTGAGGGTCCTGCCAAACGGCAAAATCGAATACGTTGCCAATTCTAAACCCTCGAATGTTGCAAGTAAACATGACAGTTTGTCTGGCTTTACTCGAAAAGGGACTGGCTAAGTGAAGTTGCCTTTCAAATGCTGTGGTCCCGTTCTGTGTTTTGCAATGGCGACAGCCACATGATGTATGCGACCTATGCACCGCTTTGTCCATCATTTGGACGGATACTGATGTGAACCTGTGCTCTCGAGGCGCTGAAATTTAGAATTTGGATTAGTCTGGGCAAATGCAGTTTCTCATCACTTCAACACACCCCTCGACCGACCGATCCGTTTCATAGAATTTAGTTCTTTTATGGCTATGCCAAAAATTCAAGTGCGCCTGATATCCAGTGAAGGTGAACCGAGATATATCACAGCATTTCTTTGCGTATTCAAGAAACCCTCTCTCACAACCAAGGATAAGAGTAAGCCTACAGGGCGATGAGTCCATCTTCGGAAAGCCAAGTGAGAAAACACTAGACGAAGTTGAGATACATATCCTTGTCTTCTCCGTTTAAGGTACCAGCAACCCAACTGAAATTCTTTCCAGAAGGCGAAGGGACAGGACCTATCCACTGGCCAGATTTAACTGTTAGGAGTCAAGCCAGCAAGCAGAGGTAGTGAGGGTGATTCCGAAGATCTGCTTCAGGTGCTGATGCTTACCGTCTTCATTCCAAAACTTACTTGTTCGACTACCCCTCCTAAGAAACTCGGGTAGTGGTAGGCCGAGGAGGACCGTCATAGCTGCAAGTTGGTGTGCGTCATTCTGCTCTTGAGAATTCTAGTCGTAAGCATGGAAGAGAGAAAGTATGATAGAAAAAGATATCGTTAAGAAGGATGAAGAGGTAATATACCAGGAATCCCACGCTCTAAACATTGACAGGACTGCCCATGCCATGTCTAGAATAGCCTTAAGTGCTCGATTCTGCATTGGCATAGCAATTCCGTGGTGTTCCTTGCCAAAGCGCGCCTGCCCTCAATCACAAATAGTGAGCGGGCCGGTATCCCCCCCGGGATGAATCGAGAGACGTAAGTGGTATGATTGTCGATCCTCTTCCGCGCTGATGGTCTGTTGACCACGTTTGCCTCCACTATAAAAAGGATTGAACCGTCCGTGAGAGCCACAAGTAGATTGTGCAAATGAAGGCCTGTTTTGTTATAAGCTACGACTCAGTTATAGTCTGCTGCTAATACTCGAAGTCTTTGAGCTTACCAGTATGCATTCCGTCCACGTCATGAACGAAGCTCAAGCCGAGTAGTACCTGGGTGAAAGCTCTCACGACGTAGCCCTTTAGAAAAGTTTCCATCTTTCTGTGCCTCTTGCAAAGCTCTCAAACTCATTCCTAAAAGGATCATAACGAAAACTTCATGTTAACCGTTAGGACCGTTAAACTCGAACGTAGGCAACAGCGACGGTGAGATTAGTTATGACTTGACTCTAGCAGAGACTTATGCCTGTCACAGCTACAAATTGTAGCGCTAAGTTGAACGGTGCTTGTCTAATGAAGATTCCAACTTGACAGCCATGCCTTGGCGGCCATGTAATCTGAGATACTCTCATCTTCAAGCCAACAACGAATTTGGCCACCCTACGAGTACTGCTTACCCCGTTTCAGATAGCGGCCATCGAATTTAAGTAAGCTCCACGATAGTTAGACCCGGAAGATTTTTCATCTGATATAATACCGGCCTCCCTTCCATAGCCGGATCCATTCCTCAATGATTCAAAATGTAACACTGCCCATAAGCTAGAGGCTTCGCCCGCAAACAACGTGAAGGCCTTTCCCGCATTGATGCTCCATTGATAGGTTGCAGTAATATGGCCGTAATAGTTAATGCTAAACATACTTATGACCTTATCGCTATTAAAAGCCGGTTTAATAGACTTATCCACGAGAATAATCTGTCCATTGACGGTTATGAACGTTTTTAAAACATAGACGAATCTGGTTTTCTGGTAGCACATAATAGAAATTGATTCCCGGAAAACTGCATGAGTGTTGGTTATGGTGCAGATGGATAGGCAGACGGAAAGGGAGGAGTTTGTGTCTCATACATATACGCCATGTGGGACACTTCTAACTTTGATCTGAGAGGCTAAACTTACGATAGTTACCCGGTCGATTGTTGCTCGTGAGCATTCCAGAAGAAGCTGTCTATCAGTTCTGCTAAGATCTAGAAGCAAGTCTACTTAGTCCGGTGCAATCTTGTAGCATCTATCATTATGTGCCATTTGATCTTGTCGCTTTCTACAAACTCTCTAGGAAAACAACGACAGAATGAGAAGGAGGTATTGAGAAACCAGAGGCCGCTGAGTTCACTGGTGATGGGTTCAAAAGATAGGCGTATGGTACAATTGCAAGAATATATTCAGACATATGGATAGTGTGCGAGATTCATAATGTCGCAGCGTAACTCGCGCCAGTGCGTTTATGTAGCGGATAGAAGAGTTCCTAAGATACTAACACACAACACTAGTGCGCCAATACATATATATATATATAACTACGCCACTATATATGTAAATCTTATTCGATCGATAAAGCAGTTAGCCCAGACGAATCTGGACTCTCGAGCTAAGTATGGGGTTTTTGTAATTATGGCGGCAACTTGGCAATTTGTTCAAACATTCTGCCTCACGAAAAGAACTATGTTAAAAAATGGATTTCACCCCTAGTTTAGGATCAAGCATCACGTTGGCTCGTTACTACATATATGTATATATGGGTAGGCCATCGGTTCTCAGCATATGCATGCATGAAGCGATGGTTTTGGCTTGACATGATCCCGTCCAATCATCGGTGGTAGGGTTTCCAATGGGTTCTACACTTCTGCATGCCATACCCCAAAGGCTGCAAAGGCTGCAGCTCGGTTATTTGCCTCGAAAGCGTAAACCCCCTCCCTTCTTGGCCAAAAAGTTCCATTTATTCCATGAACTATGGGCTGGTCGCTGCTACCGTCATGACTCATCGTGCTTTGCACCGCGATCAACAAGTGCAAGAAGAGCACTACTACCCTCTTGCCTATCTCACTGCCAACGTGACTTGAGGATCAACAGTGCGTTCTGCTGTGCATATTCGGCTCGGTGGCAGTTTCCTGCAAAGGTTGGATATCAGAGGCGGCATGACCGATGAGGCAAGTCCGCTGGAGGCTAAGATTTGCCACTAATTAAGGTTGCCCAACGTTGCGCAACTTGAAAGTCGTGGCAGGCTGTACATCTGGCTGTAACAGATGATCGAGTTAAGTGTGAACAAACGTGCAGCCCGACACAGTCACGTAGATACGGAATAATACGAAGCTGAACGGAGGTCTTCCCCCTCCAACGTAACAAAAGATAAGATCGGAACCATTATAGAGCATTCGAGTAAAGAATCGCCGGTACTAATTTGAGGCCATCATTACTCCTGCTGTAGGCAAGTAGATGATCTGGTGTAATATGAGTTGCATTAGTTCTGATGTTTTTCTTGAATTGTACGAGCCCTCCGCAACGACCTTCGGTCGTTTTCTTCGGGCTTCTAAGAGATCGATACAGGTAATTATTGAATAGCGGGTTGTAAGGGTCTGTTTCAAGGTGGCCGTTCGCGTTTAGATATGAATAGTCGTCCCCGACCTAAGCAATCGAGCTCAATCATTTATCGATGTCGATCGTGTTATAACCCGGGCGTAAATATTAGCCCGCCTGATTTTATTATGAATAACCCGGATCTAAACGTGAAAGTAAAATGTTAATTAAGGCTTAGGTAAGGTTGGTAAGCACATGATAGATCGTACAAAGTATATAGGGCTATACGCTGGTCTTCCCCATAGCATGACGAAGTGGAGAATGTCTCCAACCCCGCCGAGGAACACCAAAACGAACAGCTCTCGCTCCCCGTCGCGCGACCCAAAACAAGCGTAAAAAGCCAGGAAAAGCTGGTATCTATCATTAAGCCGGTCAGGGATTCTGAAAGATACCGGGGAAGGGGCATGCGAGTCCCCAGGGAGCCAAGCTGAACTTTTTAATACTATACAATACTACACAATACTATACAATACTACACAATACTATACAATACTACACAATACTACACAATACTACACAATACTACACAATACTACACAATACTACACAATACTACACAATACTACACAATACTACACAATACTACACAATACTACACAATACTACACAATACTACACAATACTACACAATACTAACAAATTTCCATCTATACCCAGATCCACATTATGATTAGTCTTGCCGCTTTCAGCATGTTGCCATGTGAGGCGGGCACGAGAGTATCTTAGCTACCGAGCGGATGCATGTGCGTGAGACACATATGCAGCGGACCTCTTGACAAGAAACTGGTATACTACGGCCAAGTGCTTTGTCGGTTAATTGGATTGACACACTAATGTAACTACCTACTGTACCTCAGGAACCAAGGTGGTATGTGGATCGCCATGACGGAGCAGGCCTATCAGGCAAGGTTTCTAAACGCGGCGCTTCCGACCCAATTCATGCACCATACTGTACATATGAGCCACCTAGCTAGCGAGCGGTGTCCGCTTCTCCCCGAACCGCAACAAACCCCCACCCCCCGATATTCGAAGCACACTTGCAGACTGCACTGGAAGAATGAGCAACTCGCGACGAATGGGATCAAGGCCTCTATCCTTTTTAAGATCCACGTAATTCCGCCGCCCCCAAACGTCTTTATGTTCGGTGTGGGACGGCAGGAGGAATATGAACCGGACGCATAGATCAAACAATAGCGAACTAAGATCCAAAAGAAAGGCAAATATGTACCATCCGTATAAATTTTCTCAACATAGAGCATTTTGCTTCTTCGCTACACTATTTCGTGTCGACTGAGCCCGCAATACCATCACAACTCGATGCCTGTCCAGCCCCGCTGCCTGTTGTGCCCGAGGATCTTCGTGTTACATCGACGCTCATGATGTTATTCCATGGCTCCTCCCTGATTGCTTGTGCTTGCCAACGTTCCAAGGGACTCATGCTCGAATGGGCGTTAGCCGTGGAAGGAATAGTATTGGCATTCTGATGTTGTGAGGTCGGTTGTGCTTGCGCATCATGGTCACTGGCCTTCCTTCGAAAGTGTAAAAATATGGTTAGTGAAATGCCACTAACATGTTTCTCGTTCGGAAACCAACTGTTCTGGGCCCGATCCCGCGGACATTTTGCAGTCGACCTAGCCTTATAAATTTGAGGACGACCACGGTGACCGGGTGATAGAAAGTGCTATCAAGTATAGCAAAGCTTTGTTCAACTACCAATGAAAGTAGACTTTCTTAGAGCATATATGATGGTTGTTTATGAGAACATAAAGGAACCACATTTGAAGTCGGGACGCCATTCCTTATAAATAAAAGATTGTAGAAACAGCCAGACACGATTTTTTACAAGCTGCAGAGTAATGTTCGATGTTCATGTGCGACATCCTCTTTTCTGGGAGAGATTTCTTGTCTAGCAACGTCTGTCGAGGTTTACCACATCATATGATGGGCGGTGGCTTGCATATGCCGCGACCAATCGGCACAGGTCTAAACTAGCATTAACAAGGATACCTCCAAGAAAACCACAGTGTTCTGGCCCTGGCTCGTGGTGGCAGAAGCTGTATCGAAAAAAGAACGACAGCAACAGACTGCGCCAGTGACTCCAATTCAGGGTTTGGAGCAACAGTTCCTGCTCATCGATCGATATCTAGCCGCATAAGTCGCATTGCAATGACCCATGAAAATCGAGTGGGCCACGTCCCATCCATCTGCGAAGCCGGGCGTGCATAGGTAGGTACCAAATATGCCATGCAGAAAGCAGGCGCTTTACAACTTCGAATTATCCAATAGTACATTGTTCCGGTCACATTCTATAATAGCGACGTTGCCCTGCATATCTGCGGTCTTACGTGGGGGGCGCTATGCTAAATCGGGAGGCTAGTTGACTAGCCCCTTAATTCAGCTAGCTTCGGGGACATTCGACACAGATGCACGCCAAGCATTACTGTCCGCTGGTGTGAAATTTCGTCACCGCGACCAGATTGCCAATACCCATCTTCGTTCGGTCTTATAACATCAGTCTTGAGAGGCATAAATGTTAGTAGAACTGTTCGGGCCAGGAAAACTCATCACAACAAGCCCAATTCCCAAGAGGCTGGCACGTTGTGATGAGCGGACACGTAGTAGTGATGACCAGACCTCACGCTGATAGTGGAACTGCCTGGAATACTTTTCAATATACGTATACGAAAGTGGTACCACGACGAGAGAAGAAAGATGGAAAAGTCGATATGTGGGTATAGAATTGTATTTACCAATACTGGAGCTAATCATAACATCGTTTGCTGTCATGCCGTAACTGCCTTCAAAACTCCCCGTTCTGCCATATCCCATGCTCTCGGCTTTGTCTTGAGCCCCTCTAAAAGTCTCTTTTCTTTAGTCCATTGGTGTGAGTCTCTATGATTGTGCGTCCCGAGCACGAGACTAACCCTCCTTGGTATACTCCGCAGCATCCATGTACAGATCGATCAAGCAACCCGCACTCCAGGCTTGTGTAGGACTCGAGTCACCACAATATTCGCCATTCTTCTGAGTTAACTCTTGCAGACCCGCCCAAGGGCTGCTCTGGATCATTTCCTTGCAGCCTTGAAGACGTCTTGTCACCTGCTGGAAGGCCTCGACCCGGCCTTCTTGGCTATCCTTACGTCGCTTGAGGTCGAATTTCAGCAATGCACGGAGGAAGAACCCAGTAGGCCAGATCCACTCCGGACCTTGATGATAATTTCTGCCCTTCGACGTAGCAAAGTCCTCGCTATCCTCACTGTTGACATAGTAGGGGCGATAGTTGAGATCAGCAGGGTCCAGGGTGGCCATTCCAGTGGGACCGCGCAGAGCCTTGTCTGCAAGAATCAAGCAACCCCAAGCATGTTCTGCGTCAAACAAGTCGGGTGCAACAGTCATGGCGATGGCAAAGTTAGGCCGGAGCTGGTAGTCTTCGTATTCCTTTCCAGAACGGAAAAGATCCTTGTAGATGCCTCTGCGGTTAACAACCTGCGAGTTGACAATATACTTGCTGTCCTCAGACGGGTCGCTCGGCACATAGTAACTGTGTTCGAAGCTGGACTTGATCAAGTCGGCCCAATCAGAGAAAGAGATTTCCGAGCCGTCGGGCTTCTTGACACCCTTGTAAGGATATTTGCCCTCTGAGCTCAGCTTGGCAACCCATCTCAGTGTGCTGTAGAGGAGTCCAGTGATCTCAATGGCAGCACCGTCTCTTGGTGTTCCCGGGACACCCTTTGAGCCAGCGCGCTCACTCTCTCCCATCTTATCCATCCAGGTTCCGCAATTGTCTTGGTTACCACCGAAGATGATACCGTTGGACCAATCAACATTGATTTCTTGGTTGAAGCCGTTGTCTTTCATTTGGGAGTCAATGCTAGGGCCAGCATTGGCTTCTCGGAACTTCATGCCAGAAGCGTGACGCTGCAAAGCTTCTTGGATAACATCTTGGATAAGGCTCTCCTTTGAGTAGGCTCGAGAGTCGTCCGAGGGGAACCAAGTGTCATCGTAGGGTAAGAATCGACGCTTCACCTTTCGCTTCAAGAAGTCAACGCCATTAGGGGCGAAGCGAGTGTAGTCCTGGATTGTTTGTAGGAAGAACCAGACGGAATCTCTGCTGTTATACCTCGGCAGGTTTCCGCTACTGAGCAGGTTCGGGATCATGCCGTGCTTGAGGACGCTTGCAAATGCAAAGATATGCTCGGCAGCTTCATCGAAACGACCTGTGCCCAAGTACAATCCACGAAGTGAGATGAAAACATCACGACCCCAGCAGCGGGCCCATTCTACGGCAAAATGTGGTAGACCAGCAGCTAGCGAGGGTACCAGCTTTGTTGGCCACAAGGATCCCGACTTCACAAGGCCGGTCTGCTGCACGCTAACCATGGCTAGACTCTGGAGGAACCACTGGCCATCACGTGTATTCTCGTTCATGAGATCCATACCTCTCTCCCATGCCGCCTTGTACGCTGTTCTGACCACCAGCGCAAAGTACCTTGGCAGTAAAAAGCTCGGGATTTTCCGAATGGCGTCGAAGCGCTCACTGAGCCACGCCGCTGGCTTGGCAAGATTTGACCAGTGGGACTGTTGACTTGCCCGTTCCAGGCGCCCCTGCGTGTAGTCCAGGGCCCACTGTCCATCACGTAGGTTCTGGCAAAGTGCGTGGCCGAGGTTGTTGTCTTTGATAACGTCCTTGAGTATACTCCACCAGCCCTGCAGACCAGCATACACTATCTTGCCGTATCCAGGGATATCGTAAGTCCCGTCTTTACCTTCACTTCCATCACGCTCCTCTTCCTCGCAGCGGTAAAGTAAGAAGTTCAGATCCACCAAATCAAGCTCGGCCATCGCATCCTTGGCTCCGGAAGTCACATAGTTGTCCAGGCCGGCCGAATGCTCAGCAGCTGGGATCCAGGTCTCGAAAAGCGCAATAGAGCCAGGAGGGAACTTATCACGAACAGTGATGGTAGTTTCATCGCCCTTGACCTCCATCCGGATTCCGGGCACATCGACAACGCGGCTGGGAAGTCCTCTCAGGAACTTCTTGTCTTGGATGACCTCCTTTTGAGCCTCATCACCGGCCTCCACCTCAAGCATCCAGCTTCCGAGGTGTCGAGCTTTCGTGCCTGTGAGATGCACAGCATTGAAGGCGCCGTTTCCATTGCCATAGCCAGGATAAGCCGTATGTGCGATCAGGAAGTATCCTTTTCTCGATTCGGGATGAACCCTGTGAACTGTAATGTACTGATCTTCGTGATGAATATGAGTCTCATCATAGCCATCCTTGCCCATGAGCGTGTGGATTTGGTTGAGTAGCTTCTTGACTCCTCCGATGCCTCCTTTACCGCCACCCACTTTCACAGCCTTATCTGAAGATTCCGATGTGTAAAGTCTAGTCTCGTTCACCAGGTCCACAAGTTTCGGATAGATTTCATCATAGCCCATCACACTACCGGTAGCGCTGGAGCACATGCTCACTAACGCCGCATTCGGCAGAGTATCACGCGCATCTCTCTTCTGTGCCGGCACCTCATTGTCATGAGTACAATCCATAAACAGTGCTTGAATAGGAACTGGCTGGATTCGTCGAATGATTTCACGCGTCGTCAGACCATCAGTGCCGTTAGCGCCAGGGCTGGTCGGTGGGCTGCCAAGACCTTGAGAGTTGGCTTTGGATACATCATCAACTTCGAAGCTGCCGATAGGGCGACCACCATGGCGATGAACAAGCCTGCTCATTTCGCCAGTACTCCATGCCTGCATAGCTTCTCGGATCAACGCACTGATTCCCAATCTCTTCACAAAAACGTAGTCCATCTCTTCCGACCCAGTGAAAAGTTCAGCAACCACGTAGAGGTTCGATCGGACACGGCGAGCTTCATCAAGAATGTGCTCGGCAACGTGGATCGGGGTAGAATGGCAGTTGTCAATGCGGAACCCGGCAAAATATTTGGCAAGTGTACGAGCATATTTGGTCATGTACTCCCAAAGCCATGGACTGTCCTGAGGTCCACTGCCATACCGAAGCTTGACGCAATCTCCCCATACGATCACTTCACGACGCAGGTACACTCTGGATTGCGGACCGGCGTTGTCTACCAAGGCGTTTCCAGCCCAGACCCAACCATTGTTGGCCAATACCAAATCCTCTTTCTTGTGTCTCGCTGTGACTTCATTCTGTGGTAACCGTGTGAAGTAAGACTCAATAAGAGGGTTCTCGTCGGTAATGGGGCCTAGCTTTGGACCGTGATCCTCAATCCGCATGTATTTGGTTCGGTCAAAGAGTTGCTGCAAGATGTCTCCAATCTCCTTGTCATACTCTTCGTAGAACCTAACATTGGCAGTATCAAGGATTTGAACGAGCTTAGAGCGGATTGTGGCTTCGTCGGCTTCACCGCGGTATTTTCCGAATACTGTAGCGAGCAATGCCGCGGAAAGCGTTGGGTTGATCCGTCTCCGGAAACGTTCGCCCAACCGATCGTTGTTCAACAATCCGTTCTCAACCAAGTAATCTGCTTGATCCTTGACGCTAGCATCCTTGAGGTGGTCCAAATCGCCGCCAACCGAGCCGTCGGGAACAGAAGTCTTGCCAGCTGCCCACGACTCAACGGCAGCATCGACGTCACGATCGACGTTGAGCGCATAGTATTCCCAGAGACGAATCTCGGCCACAACGTGCTTCTTGACTCCATCCATGACTTTGACAAGATCGTCCACGGATTTGAACTCGTTAGGGTAACCTAACTCTTGAAGTTGTGAGCTAAATTCAAGGAGCTTGGTATCCAGCACGTAGGCTGATTCCAGCCACGGCGCGGTTGTCAAGTTGTAGCCTGCCTCGGGGTGCTCTTGGAGCCATTTGGTGTTGTCTGCAGTATGGTTGAGAACGATATCCGTCAGACTGAGAAGCCCGTGGTTCTGCTCAAGACTCGCCACCATCTTCTGGACATCTGCCTCGCCTTTCGGGAAACAATCAGGATCCCATCCCAACTGGTCATACAAACTGTATGGAGAGTTTGAGGCCCCACGGACTTGAAGTGGCGTGAAATGAATCATGTTGTAGCCCCTGTCGCTGATTCCGCGCAAGTGCCTTTCCCAGTCCGTGGGATACTTACCCATGAACTTGCTGATTACAGAGAATATGGACAATGCTGGAAGTGGCAGTGGACTGCCCTCGAGGGATAGCCTCGGGGCGACATCGATATAATAGAGTTGGGACTTCTTCTTTTCAGAAGAGGTCAACTTGTTGGAATCGAGCTCGGTCGTGAGTTGGGGTAGCTCAGCGTAGGTGACATAGTAGGCGAATGCACCCGCGTCGTATATAGGGATTGATATCTCGAGCGTTCGGTTGAAATCAGGATCAAGCCTTACATAAGGGTCAGTTTGGGTGTACAAGACTGGCAAGACCGAAGGGATTTATCGCACTTGTACTCCCTGAAAGAGTTCCTCTGAAACTCAGAACCATGTTCTGGGATGTTGACCCATAAGCTTCCCTGCCGGCATATCGAAGATGTGCCTTCAATCGCGAAGCGAATGGTGATTGGGTCCGAAGTCTTGGTTGCCAGATAAATGTACTCGCCAGGAACATCTGGCGCGCCATTGTCCTTCAACGGAAGGACATAGACCTCGTTTGAAGTCATGGTCTTGGGGGCCATGGCTAGACCAAGTTCTACACGGGGAGGGCAAGGATTTACTCGAGCCAGAAAGGGATGCCCAACACCTCGTATAAGTAAATCAAGAGAATGAAGATACCAATGGGCAGGCGATGTATAAGGCCGTCTGAATGAAGGAATCGGTGCTCGAAAGGAGAGTCAATACGAGAGAAGGGGAAGCAGCGACGATACGGGTGTTGCGGCGGAGGGCAGCACACAGGAACTTTATTGCAGCGCTTCGCGGCTCGTCATCGACGATGAGATGGCCCGCCAAGTAAGCGACAGGTACAGACCAGGGGGTGTTCACAACTTGCGCTAGTTCGACGATATCTATGCCCCTGCGTATTTGGCTTCAGGTTTGAATCGTGAGCGGGAATTATGACCTTGCAATGGTTTTTCTGGATGGGTCCTCGAACTGCAGGAAGCAGATTGATAAAGCCAATGGCAATGGCAGCCGAAAGGACTAGCGGCTGTGGTCAAGCTGCAAGGTGTAAGCAACTCCTTCGGCCTCCATGAATGGCATGGATGTCTCGACGAGGAGAAAAACCCCTCCGGCACGATTCCAGCCAATTGCTGAGCTTAGAACTCTGGTTCAAAGCTCTGTCGTAGAGGAGGAGGTAAACCTCCACGCGGGGCATTTGGGGGGCCTAGAGCCAGCTCGAAAAGCACTGTTCCGCTATATTGACGTCATCAGATAAATCCCACGGGGAATTGCCCATGGGCCGGCACCATCAAGCGCCCGGTTGCTAGGCCAAACTTGACACTAGCCCGCAGTGGCCCGGTAAGTTTTATAGCAGTTTGGGGGTAAGCGCAGCTCTAGAGCAGTCAAATCTGTGGAAGTTCTGGGAGTCGTTGAGGAGCATGGCCCCTGGCTCGAGCCCAGTCAAGCCCAGTTTTGCATGGTTCCTGAAAATCATCCAGGCTTGCCGGGATGGAAACTTGATTGACGGGCTTGTTGAGACGGAAAGAGAGGAGGCTCTTTCAGTGCACGAGGTGTGTGCGCGTCCTTTCTAGCCAAGAATGCTGTTGAAGCACAAACGGATTTCGGAGTTTGGCACTCGTATGATGGAAAATGCTACCACTCTGGAGTCAGGTCACATGCAGCAACGTGGACCTTATATATGTCGATCGGTTGACAGCAAATTATTCGGTTTCTGCTCCGTACTTTCACATGCAACAAACAACACAGTCGCAAGCGATACCTCGATCCTCGTATCTTTGTTTCTTCTGTGGCTCGTGAGCAGGCGAGTGTGGAAATCATCGACAATTCCTCGGCACGTGTCGGACATTGCCGCTGCCCATCCATGCCTGAACCAGCCTGCTGGATCTCAGCTCAGCTGACACGGCAGGCGGTCAAGCTTTCTGCCCCCAAACAGAAACAGCGTCATACCTAGCTCAGCTAGGTAACTGGCATCATTTCCAACACATGCAAGCCACAGAGTGGTGGGATGTGCCGTGGTAGGTGCCAAGTCCGGCGCACGGTAGGTGAAGCGTGTGGTGGGATAGCCAAAGTGCCACAAGCTTCAGTGTTCCCTCGGCCAGCCTCACGATAAGAAGATATTCGTACTGTAGCTCGGAAAAGAATAACCTTGACTGCTGCCCTTGACTCCGAAGTTAACCTTCTTTGTGCCACAAATACTTCACATTTATGGGCGTGTTTGTCTGCCGTAGAACCGTCGTAGCAGCCACATCCCTTCTTTCTCGTAATCTTGTCTCCAAAACAACAACCCAACAGCACCACCACGAGCAAATCCGGACCATAGCAGTCTCATCATACAAGATGTCGCCTGGATTTCTGAACCCGGGGAGTGCTGACAAGCATGAGAAGCGACACAGGGTCACCGTCGTCGGCTCCGGCAACTGGGGTTCCACAATTGCAAAGATCGTGGCCGAGAACACCAAGGAGCGCTCCGACATCTTCGAGGAGGAGGTGCAAATGTGGGTGTATGAGGAGGAGGTTACCATTCCCAAGGACTCGCCGCATTACGACCCGTCTGTCGGAGATGGTCCGCAGAAGCTAACGGATGTCATCAACAAGTGCCACGAGAACGTCAAATACCTGCCCGGCATCAAGTTGCCTGCCAACCTCATCGCCAACCCATCTGTCGTCGACGCCGCCAAGGACTCCTCAATCCTCATCTTCAACCTGCCTCATCAGTTCATTCACAGAGTGTCTAGCCAGCTCAAGGGGCACATCCTACCGTTCGCCCGTGGTATATCATGCATCAAGGGAGTAGAGGTCTCCGACGAGGGTGTTGCTCTCTTCTCGGAGTGGATCGGCGAGGGACTGGGGATATACTGCGGTGCCCTGAGTGGTGCCAATATTGCATCTGAGATCGCAGCTGAAAAGTGGTGCGGCACCACGATCGCTTACGATCCCCCTCCGATGGACAACTCCCGAAACGCAACTCCTCGAACCCAAACTCCCAGTGGCGGCTCGCCCCGAAGCACTGCTGCCGACCTCAGCATCACCCCGCTGGCCGACATGGAACACAAGGATGCTCGTGGCCGAACAAGCAAGACGAAGCTGACTCCTGTGCCGCCAGAGTACCCGGCGCTCGACCACGCCGTGTTCAAGACCCTGTTCCAGCGACCCTACTTCCGAGTACACATGGTGTCTGACGTTGCTGGTACATCCCTGGGTGGTGCCTTGAAAAACATTGTTGCCCTGGCGGCCGGATTTGTCGTGGGCCAGGGCCTCGGAGACAACGCCAAGTCAGAGATCATCCGAATTGGTCTCTGCGAGATGTTGAAGTTCGGCGAGGAGTTCTTCAAGGAGACGGTACAGCGTGAAACCTTCACAGTGGAAAGTGCCGGTGTCGCAGATTTGATCACAAGCTGTAGCAGCGGAAGAAACTTCAGATGCGCAAAGATGGCGGTCGAGCAAGGGGTTTCCGTCGCAGAAATCGAGGAGAAGGAGCTTAATGGTCAGAAGCTGCAGGGCACCTCCACTGCTCTGGAGGTCTACAGTTTCCTCAAGACTAGGGGACTGGAGAGGGAATACCCCCTGTTCACAGCGGTCAGGGACATCATTGAGGGCAAGTTCGCTACGACTGACCTCATTTCCCTGATTCAAGACGATTGACGTGGAGGCCCCCGCGTACAGCGCAAGTTGAAGTTGTGATGGATGGTCTGAAACCGGTTTCCCTTATTTTCCTTTCAACGACTCTTAGGGGGCGGGGCTCGGTTTTGGGAATAGATATGGATAGGAACTACTTTTAGAGGATTTATTTCAAAGATGATATCACACTTCGCACAAAGAGACCACGGCTTGCATCTGGGTTGAGCACATTGCAGATTTGAGATATATGCTACCCGCCTATTACCAATCATTCAGTAGCCTGTTCTTCTCACTCATCCCCGCGTGATTGCCACGCCACCAACTTCGTCTCTTTGAAATCGTGTCATCGTCGTCTTCTTCCACGGTTCTCTCTCCATCACCAAACCTGCTCTTGAACACAACGTCGTAGCTCAGCCAGATGGTGTTGAACAGAACAGCCACCACAATCGCCAACCATCTGGGAAATTTCCCTCCATCTTTACTGGAGAAGACCTTGGCGAGCAACCAGAACAGCAAGAAGAACGGCGACCAGAAGAGCATGAACAGAAACTTGCCCAGCTCCTGCCGCCGCGTCGTAACCCGGTAGTGCTCCAGCCTCTGCAGGTACTCCTGGTACTCCAGCGGCAGGAAGTGCTCGGCGGCGCCCTCCCGCAGCAGGCCGAGGTACCTGAGGCTGGGCTGGGCGTAGTCGGCCTCGGCGCGCCGCACGGGAAGCAGGAACCGCTGCCACCAGTGCTCGGTCGGGGGCTCCTCGGGCAGCCGCGGCGCGAACAGGGTGCGCGCGAGGAACGGCCTCAGCTCCGGGACCACGGGCTGCTCCGGCACGTGGATCGCGGGGGGCAGCGCGATGCACAGCGCCGCCACGTCCGCGTACGACGAGCCCCCGCCCTCCGTCGCGATGATCTTGCTGTAATCCGACGCCGTCACCTCGTACACCACGCCGTACAGGCCCTTGGTCCAGGTCGGGCGGCGGATGGGCAGCGCGGGGAAGGAGATGGACGGGACGCCATCGCCGCCGGACCGTCTCTTCTCGTCGCTGCTGGGGAACGTCTCGGTGTGTGAAGGGGGAAGGTTGATCGGCGGCTTCGTCGGGGGGTGGCCCGGCAGAGGGATCGCGGGGATCTTCCGCGGTGCCGTGTTCGCGAAGCACGGCTCTCGGTACGGCAGGCCTGGCAGATCAAAGGTCAGGTCGAGCGCGGGCGCAGAGACGTTGATCGAGGAGATGGGCCGGATGCCCCGCGCGCCCAGGAAGGTGCGCGCGCTCAGGTTCGACCCGTAGGCGAGGTAGAGCGTCGTTGAGGATGTCTTTGGGCCATGGTAGTCGGGCGAGGCCTGGGCAAGACGGTCGGCCGAGGTTCGTGGAATACTGGAGATGGGAGGGTAATCGGCTGTGGATTTGGAGGATGTTGCAAAGATGCGGTTCATGCTCTGCTGCGCTTGAACGCGCCAGCAGGTTGCTGTGTCGGCTCCCTCCAATGCCGCCATGCTTCGTGGTGCGCCGTCAATCGATCGATAGATTGGATTCTACGGTATAGCGGATAGTGTGGCTATAACGTCCTGGTTCGATTTCTCAACGATGAATTGCTCCTCAAGGATGAGAAACGAATCCAAACCTGATGATTTGGGTTATATCGCCTCGAGAGAACCTCCTTCAAGCAGTTATGGTGATGATAAAGGATGAAGCAGTGTGACGGCACGGCGATTTGTCGCAAGATTCCAGGCAATGCTTATCATGACGCTGATTAATTGGCCCGTCTAGTCCCAAATCCCTGCCGTCATAGCGGCGGTTTGTAGTATCAAGCGGAGATAATAGTCCCTTCTCGGAGACATTTGTATACATGAGCCGAAGGACTTTGCCAAAAGCTAGTCTGAATGCTCTCAAACACCTGTTCGGGGTAACGCTTGGAGTAAGGCCGTAGACAACGACATCCCAGCCGAGAATTGCCCCTCCACAAAGTTTACCGGACAATCCGCAGCCATTAAATTTTACCAGTATTTAATTATTGAGACTATGTTTGTGCCAATGAACTGTGACTTATATTTAGACTTCTAAACAAGTTCGTGCCCTCAATGCCACGCGCGATACTAGTGAGATTGATACATGAAGACACACACTAGTCTTAGTCCAAGCCTATATCCAGCCTTATGAAGTCGCGTTCTGGGTCCGAACATGCTGTGTACAACATGTCGTTTTAACAAAAACGTGGAGTATGAAGTCGGTACGGCCGCAGTATGCTATCAAATATATGATGGGAGAGGCATAGGTTCATTGGTAGATGCCGTGAAGATAACGGACGGCATTGACTAGCCCTATGAGACTTGGGCCTGCAGAGGCGACCTTACTCTGGCTTGAACACTAGAACAGACGGCGTCTGCCATATAAACACGACAGACGCTGGAGCTCTTGGGAAACAGAACAAGGGCTGCTCTGTCAACTAACGAAGACCCCACGGCACGCTTCAAGCCCGTTTCATCCGGCGATAATTGCTATTTTCTGGGCATGATTTTGTTGTGTCGAGGCTGGTCTGCCTCATCTTCGTATGCCTATTGCAAGCACTGCACATATCATACAGTAGTAGATAACGAAGATAACTAGGACCAACTATCAATGTATTTCATCAATCGTTGTACTCGTATACTTCTACAGGTCTTTCACAGCAGACGTATCGCATTAAGATATACGTCATAAGCCGTTCGTTCCAAGTTGCCCAAGTTCGACATAGTCTGAAAGTGGACGCAACGCTTTCATAAGCAGAAACCAAAATATGGTCGATTTTTCGGTGTCGTATGTCTTTCGAGGCTTTGAATTGATTTCTATTTCCGTGAATCGGAAATGTACCAAGAAGTTGCCATAAATTTCTACCAGGGTGCTTCTCTTGGTATATCCTACTGAAGTGAAAGAATGAACTAACGGTTTAGACCGATAGATTTTTTTTTCTAATGGTAAAGTCATTTTATCTTTTCTTTTCGAAGCAAACTTCTAAGGTCATGACTTCATCATACATTTAGATCATTATGGGTCAAATCGAGGCGCCAAATTTCGAGCATCCACGTGAAGTAGAAATTGCGCTCTGGTACATCTGGAACTTGAACCTCAAACTAAGATGAAATTTGATGGCCCCTTACATGACCGTCAAGCCAACTTGTTATTGGGCCAATGCTCGTTGAGGAATGTATACATTAACTTTCTCAGCTAAATCCGCAACTATCAGCTCGTATCCCTTGCTTCGCGGCTTTTGTATTACGGTGTTGCCATTTTCAAACATCTAGCAGAAATCGTATGCTCCCTTTTCTGCCTTTGAACTTTCGACAATGCTAGTTGGTTTGCAACTATCTTTGTCTCTGGCTTGCCTGTCAACCTCTTTCCCGAACACGCTGCGGCCATACTACACTGCCAACTAACTCAATCTGGTGGCCCGTAACATTCTAGCATAAGGAAATCCATATTTATATCAATCTACGACGATCATGAAAACAGTAGCTGTCTTGAGTTCTCATGGGTCATTGGCTTATCTTGCTTTTTTGGCATTCGCATATGAGGCTTGCAAAGCATTATTTAGTAATTATAGGTCTTCTTTCTTAAAAGTAAATATTAATAACTCGTCAGTATAATCAACTTTTCGAGCTCTGGTACCGGTTGGCAGGTCTACTATTTGAGAAAGTCCATGAAGTATTCTAGAGGCTCTACCTGCTAACGCTACTTATGTTAGGGCCCGGTGCGATCTGACCAACGCAAAGACGTCGTTATTATGGTCAGGAATGACTACCAACCCAACACAAAGTTACAAAACACACACTCTGCACGTCACTATGCCATTACTTTTTGTATCACGGGTTGATTAGTTCCTATTTCTCAACATGTGACTCGCAGACCATAGATACGTTTGTTCAAGTTACCAAGTCTGCTCTGTACATACAACCAGATCCCGTTATCCTTTAAACAAAACGAAACGTTGAACTCTGGAAACCAAGAATATAAATATCATGATTCCTAGCATGTTTATGACAGAGATGTGCTGTCATCCTTCTTCAGCATATGTACATATACGAACATAGAGGTTAGCAAGTCCACAACAGAAACCTCACACACAACTCTTGCCAGTACGCCGACGTGCTCGATCATAGCAACGAGAGGCTTTGCGTCCGGGAACTCAAGTTTCAACCAGACTTGCCACCGAATACCTATACCTGATGCTGACCTTTATCGGTCGGCTGGATTTATACACTATTCACCCCCTCAAAACATGTGCATAGTATGGCTTAACTGGAAGTTAGCCTGCGGGCATACAGTCGACGGATTCTTTTATGAACTTTGCTCCTATGGAATATTGGATAATCAAGGCAATCTTATCAGTTGCCCATGTCAAATCAATCAGTCTGATAAACTGAACATGAGTTCAGGTTGCAGATCGTGTGCCAGACATGCCACATTAGAGATCCATTTCTATTACAGACGCTCCGAACAGAACCTACCTGCAGATCAGAAAGCTGTTTTCAAGCAGCAACACGAGAAACTCAAGTCGGATAGCTACATAGTGTTGTATGCAGCAACTGTCAGGCGTCTGGCGCTTGTCCAGGTTTATGAACAGCTTACCACCGATGAAGGTCACACGATTGACTTAGATCAAATTTGTGACAACGTTGCTGCACAAGGTTCTCGAAGTCGGTGATCAAAGAGGGATTGACACCGTATTTTGCAACGGCTTCTTGTCTATGAGGCTGTCTAGGGCAAATGTCTGTCATGTGGGTCGGAAAGGAGTGCATATCATTTTACCTCGAAGTCTGCACTGTCTGTCTTTTTTCCAGGAATTCAAGCATTGGTAGCTACTATCATTCCCCATCGGCAATCCTTATATTGACTTGTATGAGACACACGGGACTCTTTTCTCTCGATTGCTTTGGCGCAATTTGTCTTATCTGGGTATGGCTTTGTCAACATTCAGCTCGCTTCCGTCTTTGTTCACTGCAGTCACTCGCTAGTACTGAGCCAGGTGCACAAGCTCGACCGTTCATGCTATTAGCTGTTTTTGCCTAGTCGTATCAATTGGGTTGCGGTTTTGGACCGCTATAAGTCAATCTGTTCAATGATGGTTATTGTATGGAAATTTGTCGTAAGCTCGCACACTCGATTCGCCTTGCAAGGCCATTGGATGTCTCTGGCTTTCGTATATAGCCAACACCGTTAAATCCATAAATCTTCAACGAGCTAGCAGTTTTATCTATTGACTCAATGGTGTGTAGAATTACAAGTATTTTCGGCCAGTGTGTCCACATAACTGGCTCGCCGAGAGAATAAGGAGCAGCCGCCGCGTAACTTACCACACAACCACACAACCACGAACGATTAGAGCTTTCCATGTCGTCTCCTGAAACGAGCCAGAAATCTGCCAGGTAGCGTTATAGGTACTTTTCCTTACAAAAATATAAAATGAGAAAAATATATAAAGGAAAAGCAACAACCAGTAAATCTTCCACTAACACGACTTATCATCTTGGCCTTGTGGCAAGGGTGGGCATGAGGCCACATCCCTAAGTAGTCCTGGCGCAAGCAGTTCAGAACCTTCCCCGGATTTTTACTGGTATATTGTATGCTTATCATCATTTCAGCGTTCAGAAGCAAGAACAACATCGTCGACGCAGCGTACGACGGACCACTGAATAGCATGTGCCGCCCTTTAGAAGATGATATTTTGTCCTTCTTTCTTTCTTCTTAAATTATTCCTTGTGATGTTTGTGAAATAATTTTGTGATCTCCTGCGGATTGCATACGTTGATCGATCATGTCTTGTGCTCATTGTGAGACAATGCGTTATTACTGGTGACCTAAGTGTGGTCGTACCGCATCGTGTGCTGTCTCATGCCCATCCTCCGGCAGACAAAGGATTGATGAAAACGAAGAAAAACTTTGGTTCGCAGGACTTCGGGGTTGATTGCTCTCTCCAACATGTTGACAATAATCATCAGACATTTCTGGCGCAAAAGTCAAATCTGATCGAAATGCTCAACAGTTTTCATTCTCCGCCACAACTCGCTATATACAGTTGACTACCTAATGGGTCAGTCGCCAAATATTCAAACTCTGAACGCCATTTGCCGAAAAAATGATGCTGATGCCAGACTGCAAAACACTTTTTGAGTCCCTGTCCGTTACACACCGCCGTGACGTGAATCATGTTTCACGCGCGACTGGAGAAATAGAAGAAGGAAAAAGTCGCTATGACACATGCTTCCACCGCCCATTTTGATGACCACCATTAACCCATACTATTTGACTTATTCCAGCTCGTTATTGCCACTTTTCATGAGGTATCTTGCACAAACTTGCGCATCACCTACGAGGTCACTGCTTTAGCTGTGCAGACCACCGGTACGCTCCTTCATCATCGCTCTCCTCTTCTTGTCCTTATCACTGTCCCACACCAAGAACTCATGTAGACCGCTTCCAGCGGGTACCATGGGGAGGACAGGCACCTTCTTGTCCGTCATGACCTCAAGCAGCGCCGGGCCATCAGTCTCGATCAGCCACTTCAGAGCTTCAACGGTCTCCTCAGGCTTGATGAGTCTTCGGTGCTGCACTCCCATAGCGTCGGCGAGCTTCATGAAGTCGGGGTTCTGCTGGTGCGTGTGGGCATAACGATCCTCGTAGAAGAGGTTCTGCCATTGGGTTACCATGCCTTGCTCCTCGTTGTTCAGGACGATGACCTTGACACCGATGTTGAATTGTGCTGCCGTGCTCAGCTCGGTCAGAGTCATGTTAAATGAGGCATCACCATCAATATCGACAACAAGCGCCTCAGGTCGGCCCACCTTGGCACCAATGGCGGCAGGAAGGCCAAAACCCATCGTACCCAAGCCACCGGAGGTGACCATTGTTCGGGGGTGTCGCCATCTGAAGTGTTGAGCGGTCCACATTTGATGCTGACCGACACCTGTAGAGATAATGACTTCGTGCTTGCGGTCCTTTGTCAAGTTGCTGAGCTCCTCGATCAGGGTCTGCGGCTTGATGAGCCCCTTTCTCTCGGCCTTCTCGTAGTTGTTAAGGGGCCACTTTGCCTTCCAACCGTTGATCTTGTCGAACCATGCCTTGCGATCAGCCATGCTCCGCTTCTCGACGTTTGGCAGGAGCTGTGCCAAGCTCTCTGCAACATCACCCTCAACAGCCTCGGTGGCCTGGACGACCTTGTTAATGTTCTTGGGCATAATCTCGAAGTGGACAATTCCTCCGCGGCCCTCGGCAGCAGCAGCCTTGGCACCAGGAGCGAACTTGTTAATGTTCAGGGTCACACGATCGTCGAAACGAGCGCCGAGAGCAATGATCAAATCCGACTCCTGAATAGACATATTGGCGTACGCGGAACCGTGCATACCGAGCATGTGGAGAGACTTCTCGTCAAGCTCATCAAAAGCTCCCAAACCGTGGAGAGTAGTGGTGACAGGGATAGAAGCCTTCTCAGAGAGCTCCTTGAGAAGAGCGGGACCATCTGGTGAAGAAATGATACCTTGTCCGGCATAGATGACGGGCTGCTTGGCAATGTTGATCAGATCGGCAACACGGCGGATCGAGTTGGTGGTCTGGCGGCGGAAGTTCTCGCTGGCAGCACGCGAAGCAGCGCTGGGAAGAGCTGGGAGAGACGACTCAGTAGGAATAGCTCTTCTGAGGACAGCAGCGGTGACATCTTTGGGAAGATCAACGAGGACAGGTCCGGGTCGGCCACTGGTGGCAATGTCGAAGGCCTCGTTGATTCTGCGAGGGAGCTCGGCGACGTTCTTGACCATGACGTTCCACTTGGTACAAGCGCGAGAGATACCAATGATATCTGCTTCTTGGAAAGCATCGCTTCCAATAGCGCTAGTAACGACCTGACCAGTAAAGACAACCATGGGCGTACCATCAGACATGGCATCCTGCATGGGAGTAATCACGTTGGTAGCGCCCGGACCTGAGGTGACCAGAACAACACCAGGCTTGCCAGTTGCTCTGGCATAGCCCTCGGCCATGTGTCCCGCACCCTGTTCGTGCTTCGGTAGGATGAATTCGAACTGTTTCGAGTTGTAGATGGCGTCAAAGACGGGCAGGATAGCACCGCCAGGGTATCCGAAGATGTGCTTGACGCCTCTCCTCAGCATCATCTCGTGGAAGATCTCTCCGCCGGTCATGCCAATGAAAGACTCGTCCATGTCTGGCGTTTTGCGCTTGACCAGGGGTTGCACATGGGCCTTGTCTTTCGTGGCAGCTGTGTTGAAAGCCGGCGAGGGTTCTTCTCTCGGAAGACTGTCAAAGATAACATGTCAGCAATCCACTGCGTTGTCCCATATCACTCCAGACAATCCAATGCAATTCAATGCAATCCAATGCAATCCAATGCAGTCCAATGCAATTTAGTGGTAGACCTCGGGTAAAATTCGAACATGGCATATTGGACGGGAGCGGTGTCGGAGCTACTTACGCTGCAGACGTCGCTTGATTCCTGACTCCAGAGGCAGGCGCCTTCTTGGCCGTCTTGACAGCAGCCGCGGGCGACGAGGTTAGAGATCGCGACTGGCATCGTGAGGTCTGAGCCAAGGCCTTGACGGCGCGGCTTGCTTGCCGGGTACGGAGCATGTCGGCGGAAGGTTAGGAGACGGAAAGGACGAAACGAAAAAAAAAGGTATCTCAATAAAACAAATGCAGTTGGAACTCGACTGTCGACTGGAACAATCGAGAATATCTGTCTCCCAATGAGTCTCCCGGGCCTTGCAAGGAAGGAAAAGAACAAGGGGTCAGCAAGGAACAGAATTCACAAGCTTTCTGTAACTTGGGATAAATGAGTTCGATGTGGTCGGGTAGGTACGTGAACTTAACTTCAAGAAAGACTTGGGACCCATCAAAGTTCCTTTCCGCCTGCCGGGAATCGGGGGCCCTCCAGTCACAGTTCACTCAATGAGACTCAATGAACACCACGAAAAAAATTGAGGCACCTGGGCGATTGTGGGGTCGAGGTTCGAGAGGGAAAGCTACGGGGGCGTGCAGGCCAATGACAGCGGCTGCAGGGTCGCAAAAGTGGCGATATCGGCTGCAAACTTTACAAGGGTCTCGCCATCTGCCCTTCTCGCCATTGGCCGCCCCCGCCCTCTCTCCATCCATCATGCAGGATCCCATATTCCAGCTGTTCCCCGTCGAGCACGTTATAGCGGTCTAGCCAAACAGACAAAAGAGCTCTACAACTGCAAATACAAGTGTTCAATACACATGGCATCGCCCTCGACGATACCCTAACCCGGGACAACCTGTAACCCAGCTAAGTCGTCATACGACGTGCCTCAAACCACGCCACATCACCCCCCAAGCAGTTCCATATGAGGCATCTGAAGCCGGAAAGTCCTCGCCATGACCGTTTCGATACTTCGATTTAGCTGCCAGACCGCAGCCCCACACGTCCTTCTGGCCGAAACAGGACGCGGCAATTTGAATCGCCTGGACCCTCATTCTGCGAAACTGCAGCTCATCCAAGTTTGAGATCAGTCTATCTATAGACATAGCATCATGTCTTTGGTCTATAAGCCCGGGCAACGCAGCAGCAAGCACGCACGTCGTTTCTGTAATTGTCCAAACTCGGTCGTTCGATCATGTATCCTGTATACTTTGACTCACTCTTTGACCGGTACAGTAATCCATACCGGCCTCCGATGTGGGTCCATGTCATCACATCAACACATACAGTATCGGCCTCGGAGGTGGGTTCAAGTCATCACGTCAATACATACAGTCTTACAGTACGCCATTGCACAGAACATGGATTTGATCTCGGCAATTCGCGTAGTCCAAGGGCCAGTGTGTACATGCGAGTAGTCCACCTCCACCTACGACCCTATGGCGTAGGCGTTCTGAGCTCTAAAGGAACATTGCACCCGCGCTCACCCAGTTCGCCATCCCATCACGCGGTACCTTTGTCGTATCCCCATGCCAGGGTAGCCTTTTCTCTCGGTACAGGTCTTGATGCTATGCTCAGCGCGCAATGAAAATCATCGCCCTTATCCTCACCCCCAAGTATAACTTTCTCAGCATTGATGCACTCCCAGTGGCCACTTACACTCATCGTCAGAACAGGTACACTTGTTCCGGGGCCGCATCTACTTAGACCATGTTTAGCCCATGCGTTACATGAAATTGCCCGTATAGCTTCCGAAGTCGGTTGTTGCTACAATCACAAAACGTCGACGGTAGATCCTTTACAGTTGTCTGGAGCGCTCAATAGATATACAACGGGCAACCGAGTACGTTCCGCATGTTACACGAATACAGTGCGTCGTCTGCTTTGTAGATGGCTCATCGGCATGTAGCAGACGTCACACTCGTACAGTATGTGAGAACAGTCGTGTGTCTTTAACGGAAATGGTCTTGTGCTGCCTACCAGTGTGCAGCGCGTCCGGGATATAGAACTCTTCAACAACACTGGACAATATACTGTCATTGTTGGCAGCAGCCAGTTGACTTTAACCATCTCATGCAATATATGGTATCTAACTGACTAACACAATACCCGCATCATAATCGACCCAAATGAGAACCGCCACAAACCCCAGGTATCACCTCGTCGGTTTCTGCCCTTTTTACAGCAATACTTGACCTCCACACCTTTTATATCATATGTACAGCGTATACTGGTCACGCCAGTCAAAAGGATCATCCACGCCCCCCATCAATTTTGCTTTGCCATGTTGTAGAGTAGGCATTCTACATCACCTCGCAGTCTGTGCAGTACCTCATTTCTCGTTGTCGACTCCTTCGGTATCAGCGCTTCGTTGTGTTGTCTTGTGTATGCTGCAAAGACGATGCCTCGGTTCTTTGCAGATTTCAAGATATTCGTATCCATGCTTTGCTGTCCGAGTGGGACAAAGTCGCTATTGAAAGAGCAAGTCCAGCCGTGGCTGAAAGGGGCGTTTGCATCATCGTACTCACTCCAGCTTTCTGATCGAAGGGTTTTGAGTAGGACCTTTTGCTCTATCTGGAAAGGCTCGCCCATCTGGATCTGTTCCAAGCCAAATGCTGCGAGGTACCGACCCGTAAGCTTGGATCTAGGGCCGGCATATATTGACCCTCCTGTCATAGGAGATTGTTGTGGTGTTTGCGATGCGCGTGGCAATGATGGATCAAGGTGGGCTCCAGCTCCACTAGGCCATAAGCTGACAAGGTAGATTAGATCGAAGTTGTACTTCCGTGCAATGCGGGCAGCCATGATGGCACCAAACGCCTTGGCCGAATGGCGTGTAGGCATGGGTATCAAGAAACTTGAATCTATTGGCGTTTCTGGTGGAGTGAGCTCCCCACTTTGAGGATTGACAGCATAGATACGCTGCGGTTGTTGCGGTTGTACGGTGTTGTATGGCTGCGCACGAGGTCGCATTCGCGCTGGTAGGTCATCCTTCGGCGGGACTGGAGGTGGCAAGTCAGGTGCTGGTGTAAATGGTCTTGCCTCAAAGATATCCTCATCACTCAAGGTGTAAATGTCGTTGATGGTGGGCTCCTGGAGTATGTGCTCTTGTCTGATTTTCGAGTTCACCGTAGACAGGGTGGCAGTGCTTTGAGTCTTCGGGAAACGTGAGCGAGGCATAGGGCTCTCCTTTGACTTGGAGCGACCATGTTTGGGATCGTCTTGCCTTGCGCCCCACGTTTCTCGTGTGAAAGTCTTTCCATAACCTGAGTGAAAGCGAGTCTGCCTCGTTTTCACGATTGACTTGGGTGAGGAATCAGCGCTAAAGCTAGTAGGCGTGAAGCGTTTACTCGCTAGTCCGGTATGGTCTGAAATGGGTGTAGAACACTCGTCTTCACTATCTGACAATGGGGGTGAATAAGTCCCACTAGTTACCGAACTGATGACCGAGTATTGTTTGGGAAATTCTGAGAACCCCCAGTTCTGGATCCCGGACGAGAGCCTGTGATGAGGTGTTGGTGGACATCTCGAAGGTTTCTCTCGTAGTGGTGATTTCGGTGGGGGCATCAGTGGCGGAGTGAACATAGGCGAGGGCATGAGGATCATAGATTCCGGCGCATCATCTATAAGGTTCAGCCCAAGGTGCTCGTTCATCGAGGGCAAATCTCCAGGTTTGAATAGCAAGGAAATATGCTTAGGCGACCAGCCGAGGAGGTTATGTTCCAGTATTTCCTGCTTGGGTGTTTCCAACGATGCTTCATCCAGTATGATATGACGCGGAGATGTATTAGCGGATGCGCAGGGGGTTTCAAAGGAACGAAATAGAACATCTTCCGGGAAGCCAGAGGTAGGCGTCACGGGTGTCCTCGGTGGCTCTTCAGTGAAAGGCGGACGACTGGAGCCATAACTTCGCGTCTTCCTCTCGATTTCTAGCGAATTGAACGTTGATGACTGGCTTCGGAAAGATTTCTTGACGTCAGGAAGGCTGCGCGACCGGCCCTTGTCCCTTACGACTTGATCCTCGACTTCTTCTTTTTCGTATAGAGGACCTCTTGCATACATTCGTGTCGAAGTAGGCTTCATGAAAGAAGGCGGTGGAAACAAACAGGTCTCGTATGTACCAGATCCCGAATACGAGATGTGCGTTGATCTAGTTGTCCTGGAGGCAGCAGCATTTTCTCGTGAGCCCTTATCCTTCTTCCTAGATGAGCTGAAAAATTTCTCCAGCCGCTCGAACCCGCTGGCCATCCTCACGGTATCTGTTGAGCAACTATAGAATACCGGGATCAGTATGCTTGTCACTTTATAAGACTCTGTGGGGTGTTATGAAATCAAAACCATTGACTTACTGTGAACAATTGATTTCGGTATAGAAACTGATGGTAGTGCGATTACTGTAATATAATAATCGTCAAGTAATGGCTTAGATCGAGACACCTTTGTCTAAGATTCAGCGCGAATGTGTACGGTGCCTAATCGTAAATAGAGTTGCCAGATCCCCAAGGCGATGGCTCGTGCGCGGAATGGTAGGCAGTGAATCAGCTATGAGAACAAGTTCAGTTGCGCGCAGTTAGTGATGAATCGTATCACAGGTTGCAGACACAAGCGGGACAATAATTCGAGATACCAGGAGCATTACACGGCGGGCGGCATTCGGTAGGCGATGGTAATACGGACTTGTCGAGTACCCGTTTCTTGAAGACGAGTGAGCACAACCAGGGTGTGATGTTTCTCTGATGTCCCACAGGTACTGACTTGGCGATATATGTGGAAAAGAACAGGTCCGGATCTATGCTGTCTTGGACAAAACCTGGCAAGGGAAAAGTGAGAGTATAAGCTCTCAGATAAGCTTTACTGTAGCATTTGAACAAGCGGCTCGTGGCGTCTAGGTTGATGCTCCCAATTGGCAAGCCGTGGCTGCTTCCCCACCTGGAGATGTCTGTCCTCTTTGGTATAGTCGATGACACGGGGTTGTATCTGTGGATGAATGGCTGGACCTCGCATCCGGGAGTCAAAGCCGAGCAAGGCGTGCAGCGAACATTCAGATCTGAAGGAGGAGGAGGACAAGTTCAATGAATTAGATGGTCCGTGACTTGCGACGGGATACATGTGTGATGCATGGTGGATTTTCCAAAGAACAAAAAACAATCCCTGAAATTTTTAGATGCATCAACTCCATGATATGTACATTTGCAACGGGGAACGGGAATGTCAAGCTGCGAGGAAGCTCTCACTTGAGTTGGCTGACAGGTTTAGGTACATGTCGTCCGCCGAATCAGATGCCAGCGCCCCAGGTTGGGGTGTCATGTCATTGGCCAGAAGTCGCCCAAAATGTCCATTTAGGAATGTGCAGCCCCGGTTGTGGCTGCCAACATGAAAGAGACCAGGGACACATTGAAACGTTGGTGCAAGGCATAAAAGATAAAAGAGTTGCCACAATACTGTGCTATTGACGTGCTCTCTTTCGTCCATCACCGTCCATGGCTCCGTTTTTGTTCAGCCTCATCATCCCAACAACATCGTCCACCTCATTCCAGTCTCTGTGATACGTTTCCGTCGTTGTGCTCTATGAATCCGGACAATCAAGACAGTAGGGCGGAATTTTCCATCGACTACTGCCGATGCGCCCGCATTGGCAAAATAAATAATAATCAAGTCAACGGCTCGCAAGATACATGCTTTGATTATTCTCCAGAAATAGCAAAGCAACTTCGTCCTGTTGCCATTTGGGTGCATCTAGCGAAAGCCCACGTTTGGTGGGGTTTTGATAGTATCAGGTTAGCCACAACCCTGGGGAGGCTTCAAAAGCAACGCAGTTTGGGATAGCGAGTCACCTCCAAAATATGATTCAGACCAGGGTACCCAAGACGAGTGTATGGAGTACTACGCGTGAGTATGATAGGCAGGAGTCTTGAAGAAGGAGCAAAATGAGCAAGCGACCAGCTACCTCCTCACCACATTGCATTTTGCAAGGCGCTTCAACATATTGTTTTGAAGATACATGAAACGACAAATCTGAGGGAATTTCACCCCTTGGGTAGTTATTGCCGGGCTATGTTAACCGCCACATACCGGTTGGCAGAGGACTTTCCAGCTCCAGGCCATCGCTAGATATGAATTTGTTCTGCGCAACTCAAACAGAAGCTGGAAGCTTGAAAAAACAAACAAATGCGCTGCACTGAAATCGCAAATGGGTCGACGACGGGCAATCAGAAACTACTGCACACGTCCCACGAGCCACTAGTAAAAACTGTACGTGATCCAGGCCCAAATCCACGCTTCGGCCGACAGCAGCATTGGTGAGCTTTGAACACATTGTAATGGCAACAAACGGCTTGAGCGACCGTTATGGTAACGGTATAAGTCACTAGGTTAACCTTAGAGCTCACTTAGACCCACGAACCCAATTCGAGAGTCTCTTTCCAATAAGACTTGCCACCCCCTGAACGGCCCAAACATAGTCCGAACGATTGGACAAACCCTAAGCCAGCCCGCCAATATCAGAGTATTAACGTTCGGGTTTACGACCATAAAGTCTTCATTGACTGGTTTCCACGAACATTTGTGCTGTTGATGCTGTTGTTTGTGGCACTTGGTCCGTGCAGGCATCTGGGCGTATCACGTAGCGTCCTTTGCTGGCCGTCTTTGCACTCAGCCGTATCTGCCTGACCCGTACTGTACATAGTGGTGAATGGAAACTTCAGCTGACCTTGGCACAGTATCATCTACAAGTGTGCCCTGCTGCGTTGCTCTCACGTAATAGAAGTCATTACAGTATGGGGGCTTGAACTGCGCCCCGAGTGCATGTCTTAAACAAAAGTTTCGCGTTCAAGACTTACCTTAACTTGTCTGCTTGCATCCCTTCCGGATGGGAAGCAAGCATGGGGACCCCCATCGGAAGTCTCTCTCTTTTCTTATTCTCTACCCCACCGGCAGGGCCATGACTTGATCGCCCGCCTCGACAGCACTTCAATGGCCTCATCATTACATGTGCGATTCAGAAAGCAATTCTATGCATGGTGCAGGTAAATCGCTGCTCTTTTGTCGCGCAGAGATCGTTTACACACCATCAAATCCGATAGGACACAGTTTGAGTTTAGGAAGCATTCTTGCTACTTACCCGAAGACATCATGCAAACATGGGCACGCATATGCATATTGCATCAAGTGCCCGTCCTGCGCGCAGAGATTTCATCATATTTTCGAAAGAGCCTAAGCTGAGCCGGGAGTTCGTAGGAGCTGTCATCATGGGGTGGCTAGCATGGAGTGATACGTCAAATGCCTAGGAATCTGGCTTTCAAAGCCTGCAGCGATTTGAGAAGTCCAAATCGAGGTTGCCAGCTTATGATCGCCCCCAAGGTTTCCATTCGCAAACTCTGTCGAGTTACGTCGCCTCACTTTTACCATTACCATGCGACACCAGTGTGTTGCTCGAGACATGCTGCGTTAATGACTCGTAGAGTGTAAAGATCAGTGTTACACATCGCTGGGGCAAATCTGTGTGGGCTGGTACTTGGAGCATCTTCTGTCTTCTATCTGGATGTCTTGGGTCATTCCCAGCCACAAAATCTTGCGGACGGCTTATGGTAGCCACTATTGTCTCCCTTTGTCGACTATTACATCGGTGTTGATGTCCGTAGGGTACCACTTCGGTAGCTGGGACGCCTACGGTTGTCGTCGATGCGCAACCTCGTCCATTTCCCGCGTCGAGTGATGCTCGAATCTGACGTCTCCACAGGTGACGAGTAATTTAAGAGAGGTGAACAGTTCTTTTGGGTGCTACCTATTTGATCGGCACGAAATGGGATACGATCTTGCAGAACCATCCGGCCGGGACTGATCTTGTCACCATATCACATGAGTCCAGTCCTATCACGTTGCCACACTGGGGACCTAACAATCATTTCGGCGTAAAAGCTGACGATGTGACGCGGCACAGCGATTGTGATCTTTCCGACTCTCGCCTCAGCAGATTCTGTCACCCGGTGATACCGATCCGGCAATCTGTATTGGTGTACTCTTAGGCATTAAATACCAGCCAATCGCTCGGCAGCTGAACCGAGAGCAGCAACCTAACACCACGCAGCGGAAGCCGACTGGCCCGCTTGGCTGTCACCATCGATCGTTACATTTAACAGATGATTGATGGCCACAGGGATTTAAGCCGCACATGCGCCGCAAGATTATTGTGGTCGTCGACTTTGTTGACTGAACAGATTTTGCAGCTTCGGTATTAATTGCCAAGATGAAGGGCCGTAAAGATGCACGCTCCCGGTGTCAATGAACCTTCTGAAATGCTGCATGCATAACAATAACATTAGATGGGGCCGATAATTGTTAATCTCCAATGATTAGTATTATTTCTCGAATCGTTGACTCTGCGACGACGGTGGAACCCAATCACCAAGGAACGTCCTTCCCGATGTAATGTTCATGCAGCTTCGAGCTGACGTTACTAATCGGATGGACCTCTTTGTACTCTAGCGTCAATATACTCTGTGCACATTACGCTGGCATCATCAAAAATGGGCGAAGCCCAGAAATCCAACTTTCGACACTTGTGCCTGCATCTCAAAAACGGCACCACGGCTGCATAGCACAGAAGACCCGGCGGTGTTGGCCCCTCTCTGGTATCGAAGTATGTGTGTACAACCATAAAAACAAACAGCCTTCCTCCCTTACATGAAGCAGAGCAAGCAACATGGATACACAACACGGCAGGACTCGACATAATATATGAGGGCCGGTCATCTTGCGCCCACAAGCATGCAAGAAAGATGGCCCGTGTATTTCGCGGGCCTGTCAACCGCAGAAAACTTACCGTCGCTCATTTCAACTGTGCATGATGCAGCCTGCGGCAAATTTTTCTAGATGCGCACAGAAAAAAAAAAAGTCTAGTAGTGCATCCGACGACGTCGACGTGCACAAAATATTGAGGTTTGGCCTCTATTCTACTGGTTTAGCGCCGCGAAACAATAATAGGCGCAGTAAAGACCACAAGCAAGCCATGTCTTCTGGAATGGCGCCGCGAAAACAGCGGACCACCACATTGTCAAGCTGATGTTGTGACAAGAGAATAAAACATCGACTCCCAGAGATGAATGCATTTTTAGTATCATTCACTTGTTCCAATAATACCGTAGAGAGCGAGTTTTATCCCATGGGCATAATAATATCATTCTTGGCGGTCAGTGTGTCCAAGGCTTCTTTCTGTACTTTGGTATGCCCTGCAGTAGTGACATGCAAAAGAAAAGAAAGAAAGTAAACGCTCTCCATATCATGCAACTAGGGCTATGGTGAACTGCCAAACTATAAAGTCAATTTCTCATCACGACGATCATCAACACTGACATCCTATGAAATCTCAAAAAGGCTGATGCGACAAAACTATATGTATAAGTAGGCATCCATAAAAATAAAAAATTAATAAAAACATGGCAAATCACCAGCCATCAGTACATGATCCTCCAGATCTGGACCCATCAAACCCCAAGAAATGTCAGAGAAGCCAGCGAAATTCTCATGTAACAAGTGCAATTTCATCTACTTCCCGGGGCTGCCCTTGCACAGGTTTTGTATGCCGCTGTCTGTTTAGAAAAAGGATTGCAGCAGCAGCTGCTGTACGACCCTCTCCCAAAGCAACTATGCAGACACATAAATAACATGACATACATACATACAATGGAGCTATGTTAGCTTGAGTGCTACAAGGGAAAAAAAAAAAAAAAAAAAAAAAAAAGGCGTGAGCGGTTCCTGCTGTGTTACATGAAGGACCCAAACCGCCCGCGGCAGTTCTTTTATGGCTTGAGACGGGGATAAGTTGTATTGGATAGACAGGAGCAATGGTATAATATGGTTCACTGGATTTATGGTTCAGTAATGATTGTTTACTTCCATACGTTCATGTGAGGCGATCAGTGGAAGGCCGTCTTAAACAGTTATCTTCTCATGATATAGAATCGTATGTTTCTATCGCGATTGACACAGCTATCAAACAAAGATGGAAAGAATATGATTAGGTAATCTATAACGGTTGGAATATTATCTTGCTTCATCACGTCGTGGCAGTTTTTGTGCAATTTACGTGAAGTTACATTTATAATATTGAGACGTCATGCTCAAATCATGCTCCAGCCATACTACCAGTTATATGATTACAGCTATCATCTCCTCACTAATCAGATTTGTGATCTTTATAACTTAGCATCAGGCTCGCTCTCGCCAAACAATGTCAGGAAAGAAGGGTGAACTTCCTCGGTCAAATCGCTGGCCTGTAAGCTGCGGCCCTTCTTCTGGAAGGCCCTTCTCGAGCATTCCTATGGCGAAATCAGCATATTACAGATTTTAACAGTGTACTCGAATGGACAATAACTCACCCTTGTGACGCAAGCACCGCCAAAGGCCGCCAATCTGAGAGTCTCCTTCTCGTCGAGCTTGTTGCCATGGTCCCATAGCCCCTCCAAGTAGGCGTTACGCCACGCCAGGAACGTAGCAATACTACCTGTGAGAGTGTCACCCTGTCCACCGCTTCTCTTCAGGCCACCTTCCAGATCAACGACCAGCGTCTCCTCGCCATTGGAGATGAAGTCCTTGCCGCCCTTCTGAACAATTGTGACACCGTCGAGGGCCTTGCTTAGCGCCTCGATTTTGGCCGTCTCAGACTTGCCCTCAAACTCCTTGTCGTCGATCTTGAGTGCCTTCTGCAGACGTCCGAACTCGACCACGTTGGGCGTGAGCACAACCTCCTTCCAGCCGATGACGAGCTCTGGGTTTGATTGCACGAGGCCAAGCGAGTCAGCGTCCATGACCACGGGCATCTTCTTCTTGCGGGCCTCGGCAAGAACCTTAGCCAAAGTCTGATGCATGAGCGGGTCGCGACCCAGGCCGGGACCGACCACCAGGACATGCAGACGGTCGAGCATGTCGATGATCTCCTTGGAAATCTCACCAGGATCCGTCTCCGAGGCTGGAAGGTCTTTGGCGTGGGGTGGTGGTGATTGTCGCATTAGCGGGTGCACCATCAGGTTAGGGCTGTAAGTCTTAATGACAGATGCTGCACCGGGCGTGCAGATTACGTGGGACTTTTTCTTTTGTGAGTATATCGTGCCATGTTGATGTTGCGGGGTCAACGTACCATATCACATCCCAACTTAGCACTGGCCATGGCAGAGAAGTACGGAGCGCCTGTGTAGTCTACGCTTCCACCGATCACAGCGACTCGACCAAGCTGACCTGCGACATTCCTTGAGCATCCGAATCTATTTCAGTTGCTGATGGACTTACCCTTGTGGAATTCCTTGAGCATAGGCGGCACCATCTGGCGCACCTTGCTTAAAATTTCACGTGTAGCAGAAGACATTTCGAGAGACTCGGAACTCATTTGGAAGAATAAGTTGGCTTGGAGCCAGGCAGAAGAACTGTAAGTGTGTTGTTATCCCTTGGGACCAGCTGTTCTTTGAGATGTTCGGAAGCAGTGGGATTTCAAAGCCTAAGCTGTATGATAGTGAGATGATGTTCTTCCGTGATCGGACAGTGGCTTCTCTTTCGCAAGTATCGCAGAGGGAGGATTATCAGTTTATAGACTTTCACCAATATGGTGTCTCTTTTCCTGAGAAGTATTTATCAAATTGTCATAGCTGTCGTGAGCTTAGTTGACAGATGGAGCATTTGATCCGTTTACTGAGTTTCATCAAGATGACATCACTAGCTTAGCCAGCTCCATTGAAAACAGCTCTAACAAAAGTTGTTACATGCCAGCACATAAACACGCAGAACAAAAGCATTAAAGAAGTGCAAATGCATGTGTATAAATACATCACTATTGCAGAGTAGGTGGAAGACAGGTTCAAAAATCATATAACAGACAAAGGGAATCGAGTGCTCTTGAGTTTTTGGCTCTATTTTACAATGGCTGAACCGGGGTATTTTTTCCCTCAACTCAACCCACTCCTCACTTTCCAGCACCCGACGACGTACACACCTCGCCTCTATGAGAAACAGGTTCCACCAATTAATGACTCAAGTATCGACAGATTTCCCCCTGCTCTCTCTACTGATCATTATCTAGTGGTTGCTACACACTACACCTATAGGCGGTGTATTTACGAGGTGAAGCTCTTGGTGAAGCTCACGACGACATCACGCAGTTTTTGCTCGAGTTCCTTGCTGAGCGCACCCTCCTTGTCAATGGTGGCAAGGAGATCAGACTCGTTGGTCTTCAGGTGGGAGAGGAAGTCAGACTCCCACTGGAGGATCTTGGCGACGGGGACGGAGTCGAGGTAACCGTTGACACCAGCGAAGATAAGGGGAACCATCTCGTTGACGGCCATGGGAGAGTACTGCTTCTGCTTGAGGAGCTCGGTCAACTGTAGGCAGCATAATTAGTAACTTGAATCAGAAATAATTCGGGACAATGGGTTTTAAAACTTACGCGCTCACCACGGCTCAGGGTCTGCTTGGTGGCAGCATCCAAATCGGAACCGAACTGGGCGAAGGCAGCGACCTCACGGTACTGGGCCAAGAAGAGCTTGAGCGAACCAGCGACTTGCTTCATGGCCTTAAGCTGGGCAGCGGAACCGACACGGGAGACAGACAGACCGACGTTGATGGCGGGACGGATACCCTTGTAGAACAACTCAGACTCCAAGAAGATCTGACCATCAGTGATGGAAATGACGTTGGTGGGAATGTAGGCAGAGACATCACCACCCTGGGTCTCAATGATGGGCAGGGCAGTCATGGAACCTCCACCGAGCTTGTCGTTCATCTTGGCGGCACGCTCGAGGAGACGAGAGTGGAGGTAGAAGACGTCACCGGGGTAGGCCTCACGTCCAGGGGGGCGACGGAGGAGCAGAGACATTTGACGGTAGGCAACGGCCTGCTTGGACAGATCGTCGTAGATGACGAGAGAGTGCTTGCCGTTGTCACGGAACCACTCACCGATGGAGGCACCAGTGAAGGGAGCAATGTACTGCAGGGGAGCGGCCTCGGAGGCGGTGGCAGCGACAATGATGGAGTACTTCATGGCGTCGTTCTCCTCAAGGGTCTTGACGAGCTGGGCGACGGTGGATCGCTTCTGGCCAACGGCGACGTAGACACAGTAGAGCTTCTTGGTCTCGTCGTTGGAGTTGTTCCATCGCTTCTGGTTAAGGATGGCATCAAGAGCGACGGCAGTCTTTCCGGTCTGACGATCACCAATGATCAACTCACGCTGACCACGGCCGATGGGAACCATGGCGTCGATGGACTTGAGACCAGTCTGTACGGGCTGGTTGACGGACTTTCGGGGCAGAATACCAGGGGCCTTGAGCTGAGCACGGCGCTTCTCCTTGGTGTTGAGGGGACCCTTTCCATCGATGGGGTTACCGAGAGCGTCGACGACACGGCCGAGCAGCTCAGGACCAACGGGAACATCCACCTGGTCATCTTGTGAGCCAACACTCGACTAAAAATGTTCGCACGCGAGGTTAGGGAGTGACGATGACTTACAATTTCACCGGTACGCTTGACGGTCTCACCCTCCTTGACCAGACGATCGGAACCGAACAACACAACACCGACTTGGCCGGCCTCGAGGTTCATGCACATACCCTTGACACCGGAGGCGAACCTGTAAAGAAAAAGAAAAAGGGTCAATTAGGCCGTGCTGAAGTTGTTGGGCGCAATGATAATACGTACTCGACAAGCTCCTCAGCCTGGACGTTGGCCATACCGTGCACACGGGCGATACCATCTCTGTGGGAGGCAAGTTAGCGAACCACGTCCAATTGGAAATACCCAAGCTCAAATCTGTATCGGCAGCCATGATGACAATGATTGTTGACAGGGATAACATGATGATGGTGATGATGACGATGATGATAATGATATGCGACAAAGATGTTTTTGTTGTTGTTGTTTGGTGCCATGAAAAATCCCGACTCCGGGCTCCACTTGTACAGTTTGGCAGCAAATAGTGTATTGTAGTGTGATGGTGGTTTCGACATACCCGACAGAGAGAACACGGCCAGTCTCGGCCAAGTTGGACTCCTCAGAGACGCCACGGATCCTTTGCTCGAGGATGGACGAGACCTCGGTGGGAGAGGCCTTGTCGGCGTATGATCGGGTCTGGAGGTTGAAGGCGGCGGGTGCGGCATTTCGTGCCTATGAAAAACAACAAGCTTGACGTTAGCCGAATGCCCGAGAGACAAGATGGACGACAACAGCTCCAAGCAAAGCTTTGCAAGCTCCCGAATGAGCCGGCAGAGAATCCCAAGAGCTCAATTGAGCTGCGGGATGGCCGTGGAGATGGATTGAGGCCGGTCGCATCGGTGTTTCGATGATGGAAGGGAGCTGTCCCGGTTCATGGAACTCGAGGAACTCTGGAGTCAGGACTTACCGCAAGCACTCTGCCCGACGCAGAGATGGCGCTCACGGCGCGCGTGGACTGACGAACGGCGTTGCGGAACATATTTACGAGGTATATATGATCCTCTGGGGGAAGGGAGAATCAATTGCAGTAGGGTGCAATTGATAGGGAGAGGAGATTGGGGGATGGGTGGAATGGACTTGAGGTTTTGCAATTGGGACTTTTCTCGGGCGAAGTTGCAAGTTTCTCACGAAGCACCAAGGGGAATGGGAGAATGTGGATCCGATCTTGGATCTAAACCCGAAATGTTCCTTTCCTGCCTCCTCTTCTAGTCAGAGCAAGTCAGAGACGAGACGCCGTGGTCTGTGCTTTTTCCCTCTTTCTTTTTGCTTGTTCATCATCTCTGGTGCCCTTCTTTTTGGACGCGACTTCAGTAATTCTCAAAGACCGGTGTTGCCATAATTAATTAAATACCTCACAATCTCTACCATCTCTAGGGAGCGCACCTCTCTCTCATACAAAATCCCGCCCAAGTCGCTCTTCTGCTGCTACTGCTCCTGCTCCCAAAACTATCTGCTCCAATTTATTCCGAGATTACCACTAAACCGTCCGTGCTTGCGACTGTGGCAGGCACGGTGCATCCACTTCAGCTTCATCGGCCTCGACCCCAAGTGGACTGCTCGAGCATGGCTTTATTCCTACAGCACAGCTTGACCTTTGCCGGCTCGGGCTCCGGTGTCATGTACTTTGTCAAAAGGCTTCAATTGTAGGTATTGCCAATTGTGTGTGGTGCCCACACTCCTGTCGTAATGGCTAAGAGCAACTGGGGCAATCTCGAACAACAGTATTTTAAAACCGACGTCGAAAATCAGCACAAGTCTCATCGCTGGTTCGGTCATGTCCCATGTTGTTCAAAAGACCATTTATATTATGAGATTACGTATCAGCACGAGTGATCTTGAACTATGCAACGTCCAGTCTGCTAATTGACCACACTTTTTCTATCTCCTTATGTCTTCGGATCTCCAGGGTGCGGAAAAGTACTTTGAAATTACTGTATCCACGCAAAAGAAAGAATAGAATCGTTTGCGGCGAGGAATCCAACTCATAAGTTGTATAGGCCTGCCCATAAGAGCTAACAGCCCATTAGCACGTACACGTACGCCTTCTCGCAGCAAGCGACTCTGCATTTGGTATGAAGGCAAGATCTACCATCCTGCAACAAACCGCTACAAATCACCGGATGGTGCCTCAAGTCATTGTTTGTAAAGCACTCACAACAACTCCATGTGACGATGGTCCTTCTGCATGGCCTCAACTCTGTAACCCAATCCGGTCTACATTTTGGGGAGCCGGCTGCGGGTAACATAATAACGGCGGGTACCTTATTACGGACTTTGAAATCCGCCAGTAATGCAGGGGAACCACTTGAAGAAACAAAACGAACTTATTCTCGGATATATATACATCATCGAATGAGCTGCCCATTCTGATTCTGCCCCATGGATGCAAGAACTTGAGGACTTTTTACTAAGGGCATACTTTCTTGCAATGCAGCAAGGAATAACAACGTCATGAAAGCAACATTCTTTTTCATTGTTTTGTCAGTTCGCGTTCTGGACATTAGAGACAAAGAATACTTTACTTTGAAAAAGCTCGTTTCCCAAGGTCTATCCGAAATTGTTATGAACGATAACATTCGGAGGGAGGACAAGAGCCTAAAACATAGAGGCCGACGAATCATGAACTGATGCATTCGTCTTACTGGAGGTATGTTGATGCCATGCCATTCCTCATATCGACCAAGGGTTTTAATTTTACCCGGAGTGGCCATCTGGTCGTTGTACCACCATCAAAAGTCGGGTCTGCAACAATATGCTTGGTATTCTCATAAGAAAATTCAATCTTACATGCGCTTGTGGTTACACAAAGACACAGCCGGTAAGAAAGAGATCCTCCGAGTAAGCACACCATTCCCTTTCAGTGCTTTTGATTACTTTTGCAACTGCACGTTACGGCAATCATTGAAAGCCACAGGATTGCTGGCCATGATTGGATTTGGTACTGCCATGGGGCAGTGTTTGATGCCATAAGAACTGCTTGGCGGCGGCCGCTCAAAAATATAACCACCAGGAACATGAGCAAGAAGCTCTCCGATCTGCATTCACTTATTTTTCCTCATCACCAACGTCTGCCTGAACAGCACCATGCTGGAGAAATTCTGGCAACCATTTTTGTACAATGGCCACAGCAACCTCATCCTCGGCTTCCTCGCACACCAGGAGCAATCTTGGTCCGCTTACCACCACATTCACAGCGCCAAGCTATTGTGGCAACGTCATTGCCGAATGCGACTCGTGCGATAATGGATGGGTTGCCCAAACGTGTATAAATAATGCTGAATATGCCGCGGATGATACCGCATGCTGGCCGTATACAACAAGCGCAGCTCCGAAAGCTAACCCCCCTTTCAAGGGATGGGGATTCTATTCCCCAGGTATCGCCTGCCCAAGTGGCTACAAGCCGGCTTGTTCTTATTCAGTCGGTCAGGAAGGAGGATTCGATTTCCAATTTCAAATAACAGCATCAGAAATAGCAGTAGGCTGCTGCCCAACGTATGACCTTCCGGACTGGCATGTAATGAATTCTGACGGCTTGAACTGATTTTCAGACAGTGGCTACACCTGTGGGAACGGCTATGCTCAGACCTGTCGCTCTGTGGCTAGTTCTACGTCACTATTGACCGGAATTTGCCCAGGAGGCGGAAGTGCCATCAACTACGCCTTCAAAACGATACCGTTCCCCGTTGGTAGTTCCATCGTGGCCAACTATACAATACAAGCACCACTTTTCCAGCTCGTATACCAGCCTTCAGATCTAACGTCCACTCCTCCGGGGTTCCCTATGGCGACAGCAGCACCGACAAGTTCTCCCAGCTCCACGGATGTCCAGAACAGCACGATAATTTCCGCGAATAGCACAGGCACTCGTCTATCAGCAGGAGCGGCTGCTGGAATCGGCGTAGGTGGAGCGGTGGCCGTGATGATTGTTGCAATATTGTCTTACCTCTTATGGCGGTCGAAACGGAAGAGCAAGACGCTGCCCACGGTTATTAACAGCACGACCACACCAATGACGCCGTACTCGTACTACTCGCAGCCGTACGAAGGCGCACACACACCTGCGCCGAGCTACGTTTATTCAGAACTGTCGCCGGAAGATAGTAGGAAACCACAAGAATTTTCTAGTTCCACCACGGCTCCTGTCGAATTATCTGCTGCTGATTCGAACTGGGTGCAATCGCAAGCGCCGGGTGCCCAACTGCCTTCAGAGCTTGAGCACGTTTCCAGAGACCATCAGAAAGTGTTAGGTCTTGGAGGCATCGGACGAACGGCTGGCCAATAACAGTTGGTTGACGGGTCGTGGGCAGTAAATAAGGGGTTTCGCATTGATGTCTATAGTTGTATATGCCGAGCGGGTCTTGAAAGGATACATAATATTGTTAAGTCGGGTTATAGATTTTCTGGATCTTGTTATTGGATCTCTCCGCCAAGAGTGGAGAGGGGATGGATTTTTGTGAGCAAATTTGCGTAAACAGTAACTAGTATGAATATTGTTACTCTATGTATATAATGCCAGCCATTTCCTCCTAAACCATGCAGCTATCTCCTCTTGTGGGCAGGATGAGATGGTACGGTGTGAGATTGGCGAGAACTAGGTGTCCTCTGTACTTCAAGGACGAGGCGACGGTACCGCAATGAGGACAGAAACCATGACGAGTCGACGGAGCTGACTGATGTCCCTTGAACAAACGATCGCTAGACGACAACTCCTCCATCGTGGGAGCCGGCGCAGCTGGAAGAGCAGGGAACGCTCCTCGTACAACCCATTTTTCTTTCTGCTCACGTGTATATCGTGATTGAAAGGGGGACACCTCAATCATTGTAGCTGACGGACGAGTCCAGCGCAACATACCGTGCCAGGTATTCTGGATGCGCGACATCAGCATATCTGGCCCCTTCGAACAAGAAGATAAAGACGGCGGCGGAAAAAAGGTGGAGGAATCAGCCGTGAAAGCTAATAGCGGCATCAACTCTTGGTGATCCTGGTCGAAATCGTCATGTACCAACTCCGTGCTCATAGGTCCGTCGGCAATATCACCTGAATTATCATTCAAATTCTCCAAGTTCAGGTCCCAGTTTACGTCTTTGTTTTCAAAGTAAGTATACTTTTCGCTGAAAGTTTCCATGTTCTGCAATACTATATCTGGTCCGGTGATAGTGAGACCAGTCTTCGCGCCGAAAGGCGTTCTCAAGGCGTTTTCATCAAGAGGCGAATCTTATCAGACTTTCTGTACACTAACAGCATTGGAGTTTGATTTATCGTTTCATTGATAGTCGTATTTTCTTATCCTGTGGAAATATTTCATTGGTGGTTTCTTTTATACATGCTTAAGCCATATGCTCACATTGGCGCATGATTCCACTTCTTTCAGCGAATCTTGCTCAATCATGTCATAGAACGAGACGAAGACAAATAATAAAGCCATAACCACCATTATGCTGTAAAATCACCTGAAAGTAGATATTGTGTAGATATCGAAGTGAACCAAGTATTTCTCTGTAAATACTCCGCGTGCCTGGGTGCAGTATAAGAGTTCGAAGGAGCTTTGATTGCTAGCCATTGGGTGGCTTGTGTATATTCCAATCGAAGTTCGGATACAAATAGCGCACAGCTGTTCTACAAACTGTTGTTGATCTCAAACAGTAAACGAAGAACTTTTCCACAATTTTCGAAGTAAAAGTGTATAAGTTTGAATACGTGGCATAATATTGTGTATCTAAGGGGAAGAGTTTCATGGCCTTGCCTCAAACCACATTGATACACTAACAAAAGCCACCTCACATAACGAAAAAGGAGGAACTGAAGATCGTTTCGCCTATCCAACTTCGATTACAGCAAGCCGATTCAGCTACGATATTCCCGTACCTCCACTCTCCAGCTGCCGAAGGATTGGGGGTGCTTATCACAGCTCCACTCCCCCACGGTCTCCGCAGCATGTAGCGGCTGTCCAACGGAAATGATTGCCTTATGGTAGTCTTGAATAAGACCATAATCAGGCCCCAGCTTTTCTTCAACTAGCAATTCTGATCGAGCCAAGTATTAATACTTCTATCTCGGTATCAAACGTCTGGTTTTGCTTAACAAACTATTGACAAGGTGGTAATCTTTCATCCATACTTCACTATACCTTAGGACGTATCTAGCGCCGATTCCCCAAACCCCAATATCTGACTGAATATCTTGGAGATACCGAGCCTACTCATCACAATGGCGACGATGACTACAGCATACACTACCCTCGAGTTACTGACACCTCATGGGCCTGTCTTTCGCCAAGTCAGCACAGCGCCCCCCCGCCCACCTACAGCAGAAGAGATGCCGCTAATTGACTTGAGCTCTATTGACGGTGAACTCGAAGCTAGGAGGGCTCTGGCAACGAAGATCAAAGCAGCCGCGGAAACCACGGGGTTTTTCTACATTAACAATCACGGAATACCCGATAGGCTCATCGAGGATGCTCTAACACAAGTACAAAGGTTTTTCGAGCAGCCACTGAGCGAAAAAGAGAAAGTCTCATTCAGGTATACGGGTCAGTCGAATGGGTACCATGGCGTCGGAGCTAGTCAGATTAACAAAACCGAATCTCGAGGTATGAATCTTTCCCAGGTGGTTCATTATAGTAGTAGACTGAAGTACTCAGTGGCGTAACATCAAACAACAACGAAAGAATACACGGTGTCATTACTGATTCAACGCATAGACAAGAAGGAAACTTTCTCCATGCGATATGATCCACGCCATGACCCGGCCGGTGGTAACTCACTGAGTGCTGATGATATTGCGAAGAAGTCCGATGATTTTATCTGGGATAAAACAAATCACATCGAAGGGTATCGTTCTGTTTTGGTTGAATTTTGGCAACGCCGTCTACAACTGGCTCGGAAACTCATTCGCTTGTTTGCGCTCGCGCTCGATCTGCCAGAGGACTATTTCGACGCCATCGTGACTCACCCAGGCGCCGACGCGGTGCACATCCACTATCCTGGGCTAATCGATGCTTCCAAAGCAGCAGATGTTGATGTCGGCATCGGGTCGCATACCGATATCCAATGCATCACACTATTATGGCAGGACAATTCCGGAGGTCTCCAGGTATTGTCGCTCGGTGGTGAGTGGCTAGACGCCAAGCCGATCGAAGGGACTTTCGTCGTGAATATTGGCGACTTCATGCAGCGCCTCTCGAACAACAAGTTCAGATCTACTGTGCACAGGGTATACAACCGTCGGACGGAGTCGCGATACGCGATGCCCTTCTTCCTGGGGTTCAACCCTGAAGCCATCTGCGAAGTTGTCCCCACGTGCATTGATGAAGACCACCCTGCTTTGTACGAGCCTATATCATGCGGAAAGGTATGTGGAATCTAAGCGTTGATGCTTGGCGACTTGCTAATTCATGATGTAGTGGCATCGGGATCGACTCACACTGGCGCAAAGAGGCAGTCTCTAATCAAGGTCTGTCAAATGTGTGCCAGGAGGATGAGATTGTGTATGGCTGAGCTATGCCAAGATATGGAGCAGAGCAGATTCATGTGGGCACCCAGTATACCTCATGTTTCCCTTGTTAGTCTATTGGAGACTATGCCGTAGTATGTGATTCACCTCGAGTGGAAATTGCATTGTAGTTATACGCGCCTCGAAATTATACGAACAGACGTTGTTAGGATTGCACCGTAAAGCGAGGTCTAATGCTTATACACAGAGTGTTTTCAATATGATACCTGCAATGAATTCCCAGCTGCTGCAGCGGACATTGAGAATGGTTGGTGCCAAGTCACACTAAATATTGACTACAGACGCTAGGGAAGTGCAGGGTTCGGCGACCGCAGATCTCCGACAACATGGATTCGGAAGTTATCACTTGGGATTCTTTCAAGTTGCACTCTTGACTCTGGATCGGATGTCTATCCTACAGCTATGTGTAGATAGGATCATACGATACAATGTCGGATGATCAATCTAGACCACCCAAACGATCCTCGCACAACGCTAGCACGGAGGATGGCGCTTCGACCGAGTCGCAAAGGAAGCGGCGCCGGCGAGTTATTTCGTGTCAGTCATGTCAGAGGTCTAAGACCCGATGTGAACTTGCCCCTGGAGTGCAAAGTTGCAGACGTTGTCAGAACCTAAGGTTGGCCCCCAAATTCTACGCATCATGCTTTTAGACCTGTGGGTTAACAATAAGCATTTTCAGACTAATTTGTTCCTTGCGCGAAAATAATTTTGTGCCAGAGTCCACTGTGGCTGATAATCGAACTCAGTCTCTCGAACAGAGGCAAGTCATACATCAGGTCGTTCGTAATATAATCTACTTCGCTAACTACGTAGGCCTGAAGACTGCATAATCAAGAGGAAAGATTACTAGAACTTATGGACCTTGTAAAAGACTTACAAAAAGGTATAACCCAATCTCAGTCGGTATCGGACATATCCAACTTGAGTAGGTCCAAGAGATTTGATTACCGACTAAGCACCGAACCACGAGATGTTGAGGAGATATCGGATCTTGCTACTTTGGTGTCCCATTCGTCCCCAATAGTAGTGTTGCGTGAGATAGGGCAACGATATTACGGCAGCCGTCGGCAGGCTTTGGATAGCGCCACTCTTAATCTGGTATCTAGTGGGATGATTGATAGGAAATTCGAGGAGGACATGGTTGCTCTGTAAGGGAAAAAAAATTCCGGAGAAGCGAGCTCTTCAGAGGTCCTATGGCTAAAATCTTGTGCTAGATTCTTCACCACCCACAGCCAATCACGTCTGCTTCATGAGAAACAAGATTTGGCAACACGCAGAGATGTGTGTGATTCCCTGTTTCTTCGAGCTGTTTGCTTTTTGAGAGGAATGGCCTGTCATGAAGAAATGCGTGACACTACACTTTATCGAGAAGTGTACTCCCGAGTTCGCAATGCCATGGGATCGGCGCTTCTGTCGAGTCCGCTAACTCTAGAGCAAACCTACGGGATACTGCTGATGACGGATGGCATGGTGGAACCGGCAACAGTAAACAAGACACCCCTCAGAACAATGGATACCTTTAACTCAGATTGCCAGGAGAAGAATGAGTCGGAATATATTGACAGCTGGCTACTAACTGGGTTCTGCGCACAACAAGCGATCCTTGCTATCCACTTTTCGAAGATTGTTTCCAATATCAGTCAAGATGAAGCCACATCCGTGGACCATAGGGCCATTCGGCTCTGGTCTATCATATGCTTGCAGCACCTTCAGTAAGGGTTCATAAAGCTTTCCAACTCCTCTCTACCATGCATACTAACGGAGAGCGACAGTTGGGCTACTGCGACTGGGAAACCGTCAGTCATCGATGATGTGTACCTGAATCAATGCAACAATCTTGTGAGCTTTTACAACGCTTCGTTACAAGATAGTATGTTGCTTGCAGAAATCCAGCTATACTCGGTTCTGGTCCAGGCTCTCCGACGGTGCTCGTCCAGTAACAATGCCGTTGAGGCTGAACAATTTGCGTCTTGGAGAAAAAAATGGAGCCATCTTTTATGTAAGTTAAATGATATCCACGCGATCTCGCCACTGTGTCAGCCAATACTCACGTCTGCCCGAAGCAATGCCTACAGCATCAAATCTCAAGTTAGGGTATTTCATTGCTTGTCTCACTCTCGTGCGGCAGCAACTCGAAGCCATCGGAGAAAATCTTCAGTCTCGAACCTTTATGGGCGACAGCATTCTTGGTGACACCCGTCCGAGCACAACTCACCCGGATGGAGCAGTGGATACAACCGAAGACCTGAAGCGTGACCTCAGGAAAAGTTGCTCCGAGCTTGCAGAAAACATCCTCCGCCTCTTCTTGGAGTTGCGGCCCATCTCGAGAAGATCCATGACGACAGACATCCATCTTTGTGTGGCTTATTGTGTTCTGATCGTCGCACATTACGATGAGTCTCAATCAGGCCTTTCCGATGAACACCGCTTGGATTTGGTTCTGCGCATCGACGATTACTATCGCAAGTTTCGAGAATTTTCGAGGATAACCAAATTCCCAAAGCTTGCGCAGCGGCGACTACAAATTCGCATGAAAAAGGGGCATAATACTAATCATGAAGACATTACAGAAAACTCCCAGTTGAACTTCACCAAACCTACAGCACCTATACAGGAGCCGGTGGGTATCGAGAATGAACTAGCAGCGGATTGCCCCATAAGCCCAGGTGACTTGGTCTCACCGTTTGAGATCCCGAGTATGCAAGACTTCTTTGGAGGAGCATTTCTTGATTTCCTGCAACCATCTTTTGGGGAGCAGTTTTAACTTCGGCACCATCGGCGGGACAGGTCCGGTTCAAGTACCGACTAGATTTTCACATCTAATCACCTATTCAACATCATTAACAGTATCAGTCGGAGTTTACATAGAGACGGAAAACATGGTCGGATTTCGCGAACAACCTTGAGATTTATATAACTTACTAGTCCGTTGCTGAAAACGGATATACGCTAGGTGGGCGAGCACTGATGTGGTCTGATCCAAAACTTCAACAGTTGTGTCAAACAGACGTCTTGTTATACTCGAGGTTTTCTGTGAATGCGTGCCTGGTCAAACCAGACATGTTGTACCACAGCGTCAGCTGTATGGCGCGTATGCAAATCATACGACAGCGTTTGCTTTATTAGGTCGCCAATTTGTGTGACCTGCTTCTCTGGTACTTGCCAGACGATCGATCCCGGCTTGTTTTTGTCGTCTGCAGCTAATAGGCCCTTCAATGACTGCTTTCGCGACATTGCCAGTTCCTTGAGAAGGCAATCTGCGTTCCTCGTATGCTTCTTGATCTCGCTAATAACATCGGAACGCCATGTCAGATACTCTGTGTTTCCCTCGGGATGCAGCATCTCCTCTGGGTAGACCCGCGACCATGTCCTCTGCAACGGCTTCGGCAGAGGACCTAGGAGGAGTTCCATGCTCTGCATGATCTCAAAAGGCGCTGTTCCAAACACCGAGCCCGTTTGCATCTCGAGCAAAGTGCATCCTAGTGCCCAGACATCACTATGGGTGCTGGGCGGCAGTCGAAGAAGGAGCTGTGGCGATGCGTAGGGCAAATCAACCGACGATGTTTTTGGTGGCTTTGTTATCTCAAAAGCCAAGCTTAGCCCAATGACTGCGATTTGGCACGTGATGAAGTCGGCAAATATATCCGTGTTCAACGAATGTACAAGATAACGAGGGGAGATAGAGCCGGGTTCTTCCCCGAAGTCTGTCTCCACAACAATTTTGGTGACCTCTCCGATCAATGCAAGCATATCACCTTTGCTTAGATCGTTGATACGGGCAGAATCAAGCCTGAATAGAAGATTGCCCGTCCGGAAATCGCCATGACATATTCCCTTTCGGTGCATATATGCCAAGCCATCAGCAGCTTGCATGGATACTTCTCGCAAAGCTTCTAGGTCCATGGTCTGGTGTTTGCTGCTGACGGATGGGCCTAGTGGTGGCATGACAAGACAAACATGGCGCCCGTTTGGACCTACAAGCCAAAAATGATCCGTGGGCAGTGCTACCAGGTCGCTTCTAGACAGTTGTAGCTGGAATTTCAGCTCAGGGCGGTCGTCTGAAGAGTGCGAAGCCCCAATGATCTTAATGGCTTTCCACGCAGACGTCTGGGTATCGAAGCAGAGCCAAACAGTCGCAGACGTGCCATGGCCTAGTTTGTGTAAGACCTCGTATCTATTATTGAGAACATCACCTAGGTGTACTGGGTGAAGCCCGTTCTTCCTGTACAGCTCCAGTTCTTCGACATGTTCATCGGATAGTTTCTGGTAGCAAGATTTTTGAGCTGCACCATCTTGTTGGTGTTCAGGGATCTGTAAAGTTCGAGAATCAGATGTCATGACTTCGACGAAATCCTGAAGATGAATCATCAAAGCTAAAATATGCCAACTGCTTGTTACTATAACCGTGAAATAACTCACTACAGCTCAGGAAATCTCTGTTAGCAGATACCGATCCCTGCAGGCATTCAAAAGACATTTAAGTATCTTTAACAAGTTCTTGTCATGAATCTGTGTTTTATTCAGCATTTCTGTCAATGGTTGTCTTCTTTGTTTTGTTCTTCCTTGACAATGGCATATTCACGTAGCACATACAAAGATTTCTGGATGGCTACATTCAAACTCCAATAATCTCATGTGAAGTATGCGACAATAATCGCATTTCTTGACTATTCTTACTAATCGTTTTGTTGTTGCTTAATGCACACGAGCTACGATTAACTACAATGCAAAGCTGCTACGGTTCAAGAGGTGGGTCACCCACGGCTATCCTAAGACATTCAAATTTACAATCACTACTATGTATCGATATATCTGGTACCCATTTGCGCTTACATGGAACAATATGCTGCACACTTGGTGTGGGTTTCTAGGGGTATGGCACAAAACTCAGAGACCTATTCACACAGATCATATAGACGACAAGCATTAGTGCCTCTAGAGTATTTTCCTTTCTTGGAAGCTGTAGTAGTGACCTTACTAGTATTAAATTGCCCTAAAGCTGAACCCATTTGAAACCAAAGATTTAATCAGTCGTCGAAAATATATCATGTTATTTCATTTGTCCACCTTAAGCATGGAGTAATAGACGGTCTGATCTTGGTATCACTGCCTAGAGTAAACTTGAATTATTACAACGGAACAACCCCCAAAGAAGCTGCACATCGGTCTTGAGAAAAGATATCACTCTATCCTACTTGCATCACCAAACTTCATTACAGCTCATCATTCCCATCATGCCCATTGCAAGAAATCGTATTATAGCATTTTAAGCGACGACGTCCTCCAGCTTTCTAACGCTGTGCGTCGTGGAGTGAGATCACAGAATTGGTCTGCGCCGTGATCATGGGCAGGAGATCCCTGTCAAAGACAGCACGCGACTTCCAGGTGACGCATAATGTTATTAAGGAAAAAGCGCCCCTGATCAAGCAGCTTTCGGTCAGCATTCTAAGTAAATACTTGTATCCCTGTGTCTCAAAACTTTTTATATCGAATCTAATAGCTCCATAGATGATTTTGTACAGCACAAGGGTCGACAAAGAAATTTATGGCATCAATGTGGCACGATCTGCCCAGGCGTGTCAAAAACATAATTCGGTGCAGAAATAGTGCCTGTAACAACGCAGCCGATTTTTGTACTTCCGCTCACTGAAAGATATTAGAAGCCTCTGGCCGATGGAGAAGCAGGAGCGTAACCTACTAGACAATTTCTTAGACAAGTTCACAAAGTTTGAGTACAATGTAAATGAAGATACAAGTGTTCAAAAGGTCTGCGCTGGGCATCGCTTAGTCACACGAGGCCGAGAGATTAACGCCATTGTGTAGGGCATGGTTGAAAAACTTAGAGGCTATTTCGAATGTCTCTGTCCAGATTGCATCAAGTTCAGCGAACTGGAATATTTCGACGACGACTACTGGAATCATCTCGCGATTGGTGATTGTAGTCACAACTGTAGCTGGCTACATGGACAACCCACTTGGTACTTTTCCTTTCTAGCTTGTCCTGATATTCATGAAAACTCAAAAAGGCACACAAAGAGAAGGAGGAGGAGGAGAAAGAGGAGAAGCAAGAAGTAGCGAAACTCGCCGCGCTTTCACTCTTGTCAATCAAAGATCAATTACAAGAATACCAAAATGAAGAGAATGATTCGGAATTCGCTCAGACGGTACCTATTCTCTTTGGATGATTTGGTCATTCGACAACTCTGCGAAGGTTGAGCAAGCAGAGTTTTTACAAAACGGGAAAAGGAAACTAGACTAGACATGAATTGAGTAACTGTGCCTCTGATTCCACGTAGACGGACGTCAGATAAGAACGCCTGTATCACTAAATATTCAACGCAGTCTACATCTGGAAACATCAAAGTAAGATCGCACAATACGGAATCCAGTGCCAACGCTGTTGAACAATGATGGGGTATCTTTCAGGACTCCAGGCTGCGAAGAGTGTTCGAAATAAGTCGAACATTGTTTACAATCAGCATGTCTATCCCCTCGACTGCTTGTTTCTGCGCCATAATCTGTCAGCAAGTTTCCTCTACAATACACAAAATGATCGTTGCATGACATACCGTAGCAAATTCTGGGATATCATTCAAGGAACCGTACGAACCACAGACCAAACCCTGGTCTCTGACATGTTTAATGAGCTTAGGTGCTGCGACGAAAGGCTCAGCTGCCATAACAATGCCTTGCAAGCCCCACTGTCGTGCGAAGCGCATTGCTTGCTGCAGCGAAACTGCGCGCTGATCACCTGCCGGTCCGCTGACCATCGAGTCGTTAAGAAATACGACGGGATAAGCCTTTTGCTTCATAGACAGAAGAATACAAACCTCTGGGTTGAAGCAGGTGAAGAAAATGGAGCGGTTGCCTGCCAGCTCAAATACGGTATCCAAAGTTGTGTCGATATACTCGTTCATTTCTGTCCAGTATGGTTCCATCTCCCAATACGGGCATTCCCACAACATAGGATACTCTGCTTTATACATTAGGAATCGCAGATCTCTAAAACATTAAAATGGTCCGAGACTTACTCAGCTCAATGTCGAAGTTTACGTCTTCGGGAAATTTCTTGAAAAGCTCGCGAAGTGTTGTAAAAGCGTCGTGAATACAGTCCCCTCGAATATTGCCCTTATTATGATTTCTGGCATACTCTACAGTATGTTTCATGCGTTCTGTCATCGCCCTTCGCGAGTGATCCGGATGAGCGCACAAGGACTTGGAGTCTCGCCGGGGCGGCGCGCTTGGGCGCGCCCTTTCGTCCCAGGGCAGGCGACCTCTTGGTGTGTCATGATGGTCGTTCGTCTGCGACTCACTTATAGCCATCCACTGGGTTGTGTAAGTCACCGAACGATGTGGCCATCCTTGATGAACATACCTGCTTATAAGTCATTGCATGGATTGGTATGTCAAGCCCTGTTTCCGAGACCTGCCAATCATGGTAGATGACAGGAACGCGATCGCGTGTAATCTGAACGTCGAACTCTATGAGATCTGCTCCTTGATCAAGAGCACTCTGCAGAGACTGGACGGTGTGCTCCCCAATTTGCATACGGCCAAGCCCAGTCATGTTCCAGCCTAGTCCGCGGTGACCAACGACTTGGGTTGTTTCTAAAAGACGCATCTTTTGGACGGGCTTGGGCAACCCAGGAGCTTCGTAGGGCTTGCATACAAGATGTGTAAATGTGATGGTACCTGCGAAATCACCTTTGGGTGTGTTCAGTACAACAGTTGAGTCCCGCTTCAGGCTTTGACGTTCTGGGCGAAACCAGCCTTTGATGGATCCTAGCAGTGCAATACCCGTGGCTAGTAAGCGCTTGCATGGCATTGCGTCGTTAAAAGTTTCAATAAGCTTGAAACTGAGTTGTAGATTGTCTGGTTCAGTTGTCGAGAAGACACATGTAATCTCGGATACATCACCTAGTAGGGGCAGCATGAATTCGTATGGTTGCTCATGACAGTGTATCCCAGCGACCTCAAGAATCATTTGGCTCGATATACTGGTAGCAACCCTACCGAGAACTGAAGTCGCAATATTTAGTATCAAGCCATTTGAATTTATGTCGAAGGATCCTAGGCTGAAGACAACAGAAGTGAATGATGCATCCTCAATATGAGCAGAGCTTTCTTTAGAGAAGTATGTTGGCCGTTGTATCTGAATTGGTTTAATATCACGCGATTGCACCAAGACTTTCTCTAGGTGATTTTCTGGTTCTCTGACAGGCAATGCGTGTTGGAGGGCATCGACAATAGTCATGTGCGCTCTGTAGGACGCGTTTTCAAGAGCAGACCAGCCTCGGTGATCTTTGGTCATTGGGTCTGCTCCGGCTTCGAGGAGAAGTTTCACTATTTCATAATGACCCCGAGAAGAGGCTACTATGAGCGGTGACCAGCCGTACGAAGTCTCGACGTGGTTAAGAAACAATCCGTCTGGCACAGTCAGTAGGGCTTGAACCATCTCCACTTGGCCTTGATCAGCAGCATAGTATAAAGGAGTGCGACCGAACTTATCCCGCAAATCTAGACCTTGGTTAAGGCTCAACAAACATTCAGTAATAGCGACGGACCGTGCTTGAATTGCCATGAGTAACAATCTTCTAGTGGTTTCACCAGCTATCATGCACCGGACAGCATTCACTGCGAGAAACAGTCTTACTACGCCCAGATGGCCACCACTGACAGCAAGATGGAGCGGCGTTAGCCCCGAAGCATCTTGTTCCAGGACTGCTGTCGGCTCCATGAATTTAAGAATGTGCTTGCAGAGATTGACCGGGCCGTGTTCTGCAGCATAGTGAAGTGGATAGCGCTGTCTCCAGTCCTTCACTAACAGCATATGATGTTGATAGGGAGAAAGCTCACGGAATATCCCCACAGCATCGTCTATCACAGCTAGTTCTGGCTGAAATCGATATGACTTAATGATGAGTCGATGTAAAGCGTCCAAATGACCGCACGAAACATCTTCCAAAGGTGCCGTGATCTCCTCAAGCAAGGATCGGGTGCACATTGAAGCGCGACAAGTAATCGCGACCTGCAGGACAGAGTAAAGCATAGCTTGATTCTCCAGGTAAGATACAGATGAAGCCAATACTACCATCAGTTCTGCGGAATTATCAACACCGATGCTGCGATGGACTTCATCGCTTGTGCAGCCCAGAGCGATGGGGCTTACTCGCTGTAGTAGGAGGGAATGTGTTCTCGGGTCATCCTGGTGAAGGCTTTGGGCGCGACTCGCCAGATCATGGAGATTTCTCAAACGAGCAGCTGTGTTGAGCCAGGGACTTGCAAAGAGCAGGCCGCCATGTTCAAGGCTGCCCTCCACCACGGCCTCGGTGACTCGGCTGCGCTTGATGAACAACTTTTGGATTGCATCTTTGTTGAGCTTCGCAAATACCTCGAGTTGTGACGCAAATTCTAGGACGTCCTCAAGGCAGTCACATAGATCGTGAAGCTCGGCAGGCGCGACCTGCGCCAGGTCCTTAAGCTCTAAAGATAGTGCTGTAAGCGAGAATCGCGAAAGCGTCGCCTCGATCCAGCCATAAAGGAAGTTGAGCTGTTGCTGCAAAAAGCAGTTTACTTGCTTAATCTCAAATTCAAGGCGACTCTCAAAGTCTAAAGGAAGTAGTGATTGTCAGCAAACTCTCAGGAAGAAAAAGAATCGAGGATTATCGTTGCCGTGTAGTGACGTACAGCCAAGACAATTCGATTGCTGCTTTGCAATGTGTTTTAAATTATCGTAGTCAATATAGGCCTCTTTCCATACAGGAAGCTGAAGTCGTTGGTAGTCGCGACCAAATTTCATCCTTGTTGTCCGCTGCAGAGTTATGAATTGGAGGACTGGTCTGTATTGTGGTTCATAGCACTTAGATAAAATATGGAGTTGCAGGCTGCCAACCCCTGCTGCTCACTGACAGACCTGGTTGGAGTGGCGAATAGGATAACATAACCTTGTTTGCTTTTTACTTGGCTTATCTCTTCACCGCCAATCAGTCCTAGTTGAACAAACTCTAATTGGAGCCGGTTGGTTTCCGTTGATAAGAAATGTGTCAATCTATCTGTGTCAGAGATTGTGGTGCAGGAGAAAACTTTGCTTGTGTCTCGTGGTACACTGCACAGATGACGACGCTGGCATTTTGCGATGATAATTATTGGAATTGCCAAAGACACAAAATTCAATTTAGTAACGTTGAGAATCGTGCGAGAAGGACTGGCTTCTGTGACCCAGCTGAATGACACAGAAGTTGATTCAGTGCAGCCATCATGATATCTTGGCCAATTCAGAATTCTTTGTCCCTACTCAAGACCTCTGCTGTTGCTTCTAATCGCCTATGTAAAACCTTTACTCAAGTTATGAATCTGTAACAACAATGTCGAGAGTCCATGTGGTTTGAGTGTGCGGGTCTGTTATACCAGAGACAAAAAGCACCTCATAAGTTTCGTGCCTGCCACGGGATTGTCTTGACCATAAAGATCATGCGACATTCATAGATGCCTATTTTCCGGTGTCAAATAGGAGGCTCTGGCGGTTGCTTATAAGATAATGGCGCATTGGTTCATCTGGAGCTAGGGCAGGCTTAACACGATATTGCCTGTGATGCGAACATTGTGAGAAAGCATTTCTACTTTCAGTATCCCTCGAGCATAAGAGAAGTGGTGTACGTACATGCCAGCGCGACTTTCCCGAATAATTTCAGCAACCGCGATAGAACGGGCTTCTTTTATTAATGTTTCCACAGCAGAAGTACTCTTGTTCAAACGCGGTATACATTGTGCCGAACCGTCTTCTACTAATGTGCCACGAAGAGGGCGGCTTGTGATATGGTGTGTTGGGAATTGCATCAGCAACATCTGGTTGGGCAATGGTGGGACGGCAATGTAGGTTGTATACAATTGGCGTGGTCGTTTATGTTGGCTTAGTGGTGTCCTCTGGACATGCACCAGGCCTTTGTTGTCCATATGAGGCGGCTTCCTCTATTATCTCCATGCTCAAAGACAGGAGTTGACCACTTTGCTCATATGACTGTTAAATGGCCCTTTGAAGAGTGATTAATGTCAAAGAACTTGTTTTTTTTCTCTCTCTCTGTGATGCGGTAGGGTGAATAGGATTGTTTCTTTCATGCTTTCGTGCTGAAATGTTCGTCTTTTTGCAAAGCACCGATTGACTGAACTGTAGTTGTGAGTCGGAGAATCCAGCCGGGGCACATTTCCACTGGACACCTGCACTAAGGTTAAGTCCTTGCTGCAGCGGAAGAAGGCCCAGAGCCAATTGGGGCATAGCGAGGCCCTGTAACAATAATTTAGGCCCGACAGCTCCAGAGAATAAACTTTACATTATTACGATCCCATACTCTATTTAAGCCCCAAACTACAGACGTTGGTTTTGATCTTTTATGGTTCAAAGCTTCAAAGCACCACATTTTCTTTCTCAATATTGTTCTATTAGTCGGACAGCGCCGAACTTGTTTGAAGTAAATCAGGCAAGTTAAAAGCTATGACCTGTTGCTGGCTGGCTAGGGATGGCTGCCGCAATTCCCATCTGATATTTGAGACAACCGGTTGGACTTGGCAGAGCATTCCATCGTCTCCAATGCAACCTGCTGAATTGTGAAGTGAAATACCAGGCCTCATGGTCGAACCCAGCAGCTACAGATATGGCTGGCACCGCAAGAGCTGATCAAAAGACAAAGTAAGCACAGGTGATGACACAGTAAGTCAGCACCGATATATCTTTTTCTTTTCTTTTTCCACTCTTCATTTTTCTCTTTAAAGAGCAGAGCGGTGGATGGTACCGAATATGGAGACTGCCAACAGGATATGCATCTAGAATCAAGGCTACCATGATGCAGCACTTCCTACATTTGGTGCCGTCTTCGATGCGCCGGCCTAAACGTGACGAGTTGTTGCTCTGCAGCTCTTCAATGAGCGGTACCGTGATCCCTTGGCACGAGTCATCAATTTGGTGCACGAAAAACACAAACTCGAGTGCTTCCCTAAACGCCAGGAGAACCACGATAAGTTCGACGAGTGTCATGGACAAGCGGTTCACTGTCAGACCCGCCAAGAGCATACGCAATGGTCCCACATAAATTTTCCGCATTCAGTCCACAGGGTCCAGTGGTCTGTCACTTCTCGCCAAGAGACCGTTTCATGTATTTTTGGTTTCACGTTCGTCTGTCCTGGACATTATTCAGGTCAAGCCTTCCAGTACCAGGAATGATGGCATCTCGTATCTTCCCGGCCAGCTGCAAGGTAAAATTAGGAGATTGGGACCAATTTGGGAGGTCAAGTCTGCGCGGGGGTCCCTTGAGTGTCACGTTCACACCAGACGAAGTTAGGGGATAGAGCCGCAAGTCTGGTTTCTGATCACCCTGGTCCTCCCTATCATGCAACGCTTTAATTAATTTCTATTTTCCTTTGTTTTTGATTGGTTCTCACAGCCCATCCAGGCTTTGCGTCCAAAGCCACAATCCACTATGCGATATCCATGCATTACGCCAAACCCAACCTGTCTCTACATTTAGTCCAGCAAGACGGCTCGAAACATTACACCGGACAATGCGATGCGAAGTCGTCTTCGGCTTGTGTCATCCAATAATTATGGACATTATCGTTTGGGATGATCAATTAGGGCAAGCATGTGCGTCACCCCCGAGCCACGGCGGGATCTACGTGATCTACGGAAATAACCGAGTTCTATGCTAAACCACAGACATGATCTCCGAAGTACTTCGAGATTTTCAGAGGACAAGACATTGGCATGCTATATTATTTCATCTATTTAGTCTCGGCACTCGACTTAGTCTCTCGGGACGCTGCCGGTACTGGCTAGATTGCATCTAGGCATGCCACCCTGGCAGCCTAGCAAGCCTAGCTACTGTACTTGTGGGTATTGAGCAGTGGCATGTGGCCTTGTTTCAGTCTATCAGTGTTCGTCTACATGGGGTGGAATGCTGTGGGAATCATCGAAGACGGAGGAAAATACTTGAGGGCAATCACATGGAGACGCGCAACATTACGATCCACTCTCCACCACTCCCATACCACCCAAACCTGGCATTAATCAATATCAACCAATTTTGGTTTCCACTGCCACCGCTGTCCTTCTATGGACTCAGCCGCATTGTCTTTGCAGTAGTGCAGCCCTATGCTTATGATGTGAGTTCAGATATATATGAAGCTCCTGTTCCTCTTTGTTATGGTGTCTCCTGTTGTGCCTCTCTTGGCATTCTTGCCTTCGTTTCTTAACTTCCCTTACCGAGTTTGGGTTTCCTTTCTTTCTGTGCCGGCATATACTTGTTTTATATTTTTCTTCTTTATTTCTGCATAGACTATAGACCTGCCTTCGAAAATCTCATTATGTCTCTTCATCCTTCCGCTGCGGCAGGAAGAGCGAACCGGATGACGATATGGCCCACCCCAAACGGAGACGATATTGAGCTTGACGCACCATGGCCTGGCCGATTCACAACACAGCAGGTTAACAAAAGATGGACTGCCGCTTTTGACACGGAGGCCCGTGCCAATCGCTTGAGCTATATGGTTGGCAACTCTCTCCTGCCATCCGCTCCTCGTGTTCAGCAGGTGTGGCCGGGCCATGCTAGAGGCAATCGCACTACATGGATTGATGACCGAGCATATCAAGGCGACCAAAAGCTATGGGATGGAGCCTTTGACGTGGAAAAGCGAGATTCTTGGATCACTAGGAATTCTGAGCGATGGTCGGACGACTTCGGCATTGACAAAGAAAAAGCAAAGTGGAAGGAACCCTTGACACAAGAACAGCTCGATCAAGCTGATTCAGCCCTTGTATCATTGGATGTTCTGAACTACGACTTCCCAGGTTATGGAACTCCGGATGACCCTTACCTTGTGAGATGGATCGAGAATGACCCGGCGAACCCCATGCTTTTTCCAAGGGTTAAAAAATGGACCAACGCAATGGTGCTTGCGTTCGCCGTTTTCATGGTCTCGATAGCTTCATCCGGGTTTTCTCAAGGTGAGTGAGACTTGTGTCAAATCAATGGGATTGTTCTAACAGGTGCCAGGCACCACTGATATCAAGACTGAGTTCAATGTCGGTCAGACCGTTGCACTGCTCATGACATCTCTCTTCGTGCTTGGCTTTGCAATTGGAGCTCTAGTGCTGTCGCCTATGAGCGAAGTGTACGGTCGCCGTGACCTTTATGTTTGGACCTTTGCAGCATTCGTCATCACGTCCGGCGTGATTGGGCTAGCTCCTTCAATAACCTTCGTCCTCACTTTACGAATACTGGGTGGTTTGGCCGGCTCCTTCACCCAGGCAGTTGCCCCAGCCGTCATTGCCGACATGTTTCAAGCCCAGGAGAGAGGATTCGTTCTGAGTATTTTCACCCTGGCTGGTCTCATGGGCCAGATGCTTGGCCCCATCGCTTGCGGTTTCCTCGATAAGGCTTATGGTTGGCGGTCGTTGTCCGTTTTGATCGCTGGCGCATCCTTCCCTACGTGGGTTGTGCTCACAATCACCTTCCCGGAGACATATGCTCCAGTGCTCTTAAAGCGTCGTGCAGAGAAACTATCCAAGATCACAGGCAAGGTACATGTTGTTGATGGCGTGGAACCTAAGAGCATCGCAACCCAACTCCGCGTCGGAGCTCTTCGACCATGGGTCATTCTCATTTACGAGCCCATTGTCACTCTCCTCAGCCTCTTCTTGTCTGTTGTTCACGGAACACTCTTTCTGCTTTTCGCCGCATACCCTATTGTCTACCAGCAAGTCCGCGGTTGGCCCCAAGGAGTCGCATCTCTACCTTTTCTTGCTATCGCTCTTGGAATCATTATCTCACTTTTCTATGTTGCCCTCTTCGATCAGAAGCGTTATGCCAAACTCGTCGACAAGTACCAGGGTATGGTTCCTCCTGAAGCTCGCCTTCCTCCAGCCATGCTCGGTTCGGCTGCGCTTCCCATTGGTCTTTTCTGGTTCGCGTGGACGAACGACCCCGACACATTTTGGCTCATCTCTGTCAGCGCTGGTGTCTTGTTTGGCTTCGGATTGGTCCTGCTTTACATGAGTCTTACGAACTATATCGTCGACGCCTATTTAGGTTATGCTGCATCGGCACTTGCTGCAAGCACAGTGCTGCGATCGATTGCTGGCGCCGTCTTTCCCCTCTTCACTGCACAACTATATGATTCATTAGGTATGTTCGGAATTCTTGGGTAAATTCATGGTCAGAAATAATGCTAATTCAATTGTAGGCATTCATTGGGCTTCCAGCGTTCCTGGCTTCCTCGCCTTGATCTTTATCCCTTGTTTGATCGCATTCTACAAGTTTGGACATATCATCCGCAGCAAAACCAAGTTTGGACAAGAAGCCGCCAAATTGGCAGCTATGATGGATGGCAGAAAATGAGGTGGCATCTCGAAATACCAGTCGCTGTTACATAACAGCCACATTCCAACAAGTGGGCTCAGTAACCTAAGTGGCAGTAGAAACGCGACTGTAGGACCGTTAGGCTGTGCCTAGGACACAGCCTCGCGATGAACTTTATTAACACGATGATATTGTAAATAATGCGGCCACGCGTATGGTACAATAGACTGTAGATCAAATACCGACATAGAGAAATACATAGAATCAAAACAAGGCATGACTTACTTCGAGGTAAAGTTTAAGGTGATTGGGAAGTAATATGCTCCCCAAGATGTTCAAAATTTGCACTGTTATTGAGGTACATTAGCAAGTGTTGTTCGTTTTCTACCCCTCCCCAATCCACCATCTGGCCGCTATAGCGACCAGCCTATCCTAGTTATAGCGCGCGCTGCTCTAGTGGATAACGAGGTCCATATTTCCGTCGGTACCTTTCCTCAGCATGACAGCATCATACTCCAGTTGGATTTTGTCTCCCCACATCGACCAATATATATTCACTGGATCAGAGTCACAACGACTACGAGCTTCCATTGACGGACAACATAAAAATCATAGTGCGTATTTCGAATTGCACAATTCCAAGATGGGCTCAAACAGCTTCTCGCTGGCCAGCAAGGTCAAGGTGGGTACCCCGCAGAGACGCCCTTTCCGGACGACAGAGGGCTCAACACAGTCTTTAGCTCCCATCGGGCCACCTCATCCCACAGATCCAGCTTGGGCTCTACATGATGTCCGGACGCGAGGTCCTCTCCGCCGTGCCCTGGGGCTTGGCGGCGGGGTATCGCGGCTTCGACAGCGCACAAATGTACCACAACGAGACTGAGGCTGGGAAGGCTATTCGGACTTTCCTGTCTTCGCCCGACAACTCCGAAGGCCTCAAACGGGAGGATATCTGGTACACCTCCAAGCTCGCCAGCAACAGTGAGTCGTATACCGCCGTAAGGCGAAGTATCAAGAAAAGTGTCGATGCTTGTGGGCTCGGCTACATCGATTTGTTCTTATTGCACAGTCCTTATGGCGGTTCCGAGGCACGATTGACGAGCTGGAGGGCTGTTGAGGACGCAATCACAGACGGCGAGGTCAGGAGTGGTGGCGTCAGCAATTTCGGAGTCAGACACGTGAGTTTATCGTTAGGCATCGTTACAGGTGACACGCTAAACCTCCCGCAGATCGAGGAGTTGATGGCTTCAAACCCCAGAATCAAGCCTTCTATCAACCAAATTGAGGTCCATCCTTTCAATACACAAGAAGATATTCGTGAAGTGTGCAAGAAGCATGGTATCGTTATTGAGGCGTACGGTCCGCTTGCTAGAGCGATGCGCATGAAGAACGCTACGATTGTTGCACTTGCTAAGAAGTACTCCTGCACGCCAGCGCAATTGATGGTGCGGTGAGTAATCAGTGATCAAGATCTATCAAAATAATACTAATTCCCCTGTAGGTGGTCATTACAACATGGCCTGGTACCGCTGCCCAAGAGCGCAAGAAAGGAACGCCTCATCGATAATGTGAAAGTTGGAGGCTTCGAAATCTCCGACGAGGACATGTCAAAAATGGACGGGTTAGATGAGCATCTCGTGACGGACTGGTAAGTCGTTCTCCTTCAGCAGCCATGCGACCCTTCCATTAACTGTGACAGGGACCCAACGGATGCTCCGTAAACATCGCCGCCTGCTGAGGTGGAAGTAGCAGGCTACCAACGCCATCGCATGAAGTATGGGGCATGATCTTCTGTACCATGAGTGTCTACTAGTGTACGATCCCTGTTGGCCATTCTGGTTTTTCTGACACTGCCCTCCATTTCACAAATGCACCAGAATCTCATCCATCAATCTACTGGTGGAGCTGTTGCGTGTTATTGTTGGGAAGCGTATTGTGCATACTCTGGGAATATAGATCCATGTTATTATGCTGTTGACGTCGTTTCAAGTCTCTGGTTAGCCGTGCGGTCTAGCAGTCCTATCACGGCCGTCGACGACCCAAGTAATCCTCAACACTCTCCCTTTCTATGATGTATATACGGGCGCAATGACCGCTCAGGGCTACCAAACCCTCCACATCGCGGCATTATATGCCATGTTTGTGTCGCGAATCTCAACAACAACTGCAACAGCAAAATACGCCCGGATGGTTTAGTGGTATAATTCTCGCTTAGGGTACACCCAAGCAATCTGCGAGAGGTCCCCGGTTCGATCCCGGGTTCGGGCCCAATTTCCTCAATGAGTAATCATTGGCGACACCTTTTTGCCGTTTGTTGACATTCGTATCATGTTCTTATGGCTAATGATGAACAAAGTGTTGACCTAGTTGTATACATACACAAACACACGTATAGGGAGGGGGCCTATCAGCGAGCTGATATGACGCGGCTCCACTATTTTGTTAGTCTATGCTATAGTATCAATCCTTAGAAAGGGCAGTGGGGAGAGTCCTTTCGCAGCAAGGTGCAACTGGCTCAGAGCTCGACATCGGCGGGGGGAAGGATAGCCCTCCTCTATATGCAATCGATCCGGCACCTGCCCCATTGCCCTCTCTGACCCTCCATACCATGCATAGTAGGTGCGCAACGCGGTACACCGTACTTCGAATTCTCTCCAACCTCCCGATCCCAACATGAACTCAAACGCCCGCAACTCCTCACCCTCCTCACCTCCCCATCCTCTCCATATCCCTCTGCACCGCCCAAAATTCCGCCCTCTTGACCGCCCTCACCATCTCCCCCACACCGGCCTGACCCAACTCCTCCTAGGCCCGCCGGGGCCACTCGTACCAATCCAACTCGGGCCCTACATGCCCATACCGCGCCCTCCTCTCATCTCTGGCCCTCCGCCTGAGCTCGTCCTCCCAGTCTGCGCCTGCTCACCTGTGTACATGGGTCATGATCTGATCTCGCGTCCTCCTTTTGAGCCAGGGCCAACACCGTCCGGCGACGAGGAAGAAGACGGCGAGGACGGCGAGGGTTACGAGACAGCCGGTTAGGATCTGGGCGGTATTCTCGTTCAAATTTTTCTTCCTTTCATGCGTTTGCGTTTCTGGGCTGTGTGCTTATTACATAGTTGGGGAGAAGGTTTGAAAAAATCGGACGTTACGTAGTTGGCAGGCGGTTTATGTAAGGACAACAAGAATAAGCACCACAACAGTGGCAACGGACTAATTCATGACGTTTTTCCTTGAAGTGTGTGTATCAATCGGACTTAGCAGACCTTAGGTGATTTGGCCGTCCGGCTACCTAGTCTCTAAATTATGCCAGTCTAACCACATTTTGTGTCTGATGGTAAACAAGTTGTCAAACTGTGCCTACGATCTGCCCCGTGTCCTATAATACTCTTCCACCGATGATGGATGAAAATCCAACAAGGTTGTGCTCATAGGCACTCCACACAAATGCAATATAACGCGACGCAGACGCGCTTGGGTATATCCTCCGTGACCTCATTCAAACAAGCCAAACACCCATGTCCAATCAAAATGTTCACCGCTATTGGATTCCTTATCACTTTGCATCAATTCTGACCTCATTGCCAATAGGAATGGCGATCACAGACTGATCCACGTTCTACTCGGCCGCCTGCGACAGTGACACCATTTGAGAAGGCGGTATAACGACTTCTTCTTCTTCACCCAGAAGCATCTTTTTGCGACATTCCTCCTCAAGATTTTCCTCATCCTCGACAGCGCGCTCCACAGAAGCAGCTAACGTCAGCTTCTTTACGCACGAATTATAGATTAAGGTCTCGACGGTCTTTTTGGTGACTAGCCGGATGACTTCAACTTCGCGGGTCTGACCAATTCGGTGAGCTCGGTTGGAAGCTTGTACGTCGTCTTGAGGGTTATCCGACTGGTCGAACAGGATGATTTTGTTCGCTGCAGTCAAGTTCAAGCCAGTGCCACCGGCTCCGGTTGTCAGGAGGAAGACGGGAATATCCGGGTTGTTGTTGAAACGTTCGATTTCCGGAAATCTCTCAGAAACATTGGATCTGCCAGTCAACTCGCAGTATTTGATGCCGGCGAAATGCATGGTGTCTCTAAGTATGTCGATAACCATCTCGTACCTTGAGAAGACGAGACAGCGGTCCCCGTTTGCTTGGTACTGTCTCACCAATTTCAGTAGGGCCTCGACTTTAGGAGCCTCTTCCCACGATCGGTCAGGAACGTCAAATCTGCCAATGTACTTGGGAAATTCCTTGCATAGGAGATGCAAACTGAAGTCGTAATCATTTAGCAGACTATCACGGTACATGATTTTGTGTCGATCCGCTTTGCTTTGGACATTGAGCTCGATTTCTGAGCACTTCTTCCAGAGAATGTCCGTCATCTCAGTGACTATCTCATCTGTGAAATGTCGTCTGAACAGCTGTGGGTGGATGGCTGCCTTGCGGAGCTGCTGCCACAGGTTGCCTCTGTCTTTCGTGGCTTTGCTCCTGCTCTTGCCTGCGAGGAAGTTGTTTTTGATCTCCTCATAGAGCACCTTCTGGCTCCCAGTCAGCTCGATCTGTGTGACAACATCAACCCTCCTAGGCAGACCGAGAACCTCGTCTTTTCGGCGTTGCAAGATGAACGGAGCCATAATGGTGCGCGCGTTGCTGACTCGTTCCTTGGCTAGGGCAGCGAAGTTCAGAACTTCTTTGTTCGGAACCTTGGTTTCGAAAATCGTCTGCATCTGCTCCATCGTGCCGTCTTCGAAAAGACCAGGCTCCACAAAGCTCAGCAAACCGAGGAGCTCCTTTAAGTTGTTTTGGACCGGGGTACCAGTGAGGACCAGTCGCCATTTTGATGGGAGGACAGACAGGTTCTTGTAGACTTGAGTGTTGGGATTCTTGAGCTTGTGGCCCTCGTCAAATATGGCAGCATATGGATCCAACTTGGAAAGCCACTGGATATCCTCGAAATTCCTTTCCACCATCGAATAAGAAGTGAGAACGACATCATACTCGCTAGCTATATCACGGGGCCTGAATTGCTTGCGGTCGCTGCCTATGTGTTGTTTAGTAAGCAGGCCTCAGGTGTTTGGGGGTCCACGGTCTGAGCTTACCCTGGTATAGATGGACCTTGACGCCTGGTGCGAAACGCATGAACTCATTAGCCCAGTTTTCGAGGGTACTGGGTGGTACGACAATGACATGAGGTTTCGCACTTGGTTTGGTTTGGACAAGGTGCGAGACGAATGAGATGACTTGGCATGTCTTTCCGAGACCCATATCATCTGCAAGGATCGCGCTATATCCAAGCTTATGTAAAAGGTTCATCCAGTTCAGACCAAATAGCTGGTACGTTTTGAGTTCGATGTCATCAGCCATAGGAGCGGGACGTTCGGGAATAGGCAACTGCCTGAATTTACCATCGGCGTCCTTCATCCGACCAGTCCTATCCATCTCCCACTTAGCCATGATGGAGTCTAGTTCGCGACCTCTATCGGCGCAGTTCTTGATGACTGTCGTGACTGCTTCGAAGGCATTGAACCAAGTGTTGAGTTTATCGATCATATTAGAGCCAATATCGCCCTGCTTTGACCTAGCCTTGGTGCCCTTGGTCTTAATCTTCTCAACCTCAGTGATGCTTTCGAATGGTCGTTTGGATATAACCAGCTGAGAGTCCTTCACCGAGCTTCCGGTCATACGAGCGAGAGCTTCAGGCGTACAATTGTTGAGATACTGAAGAACACTACTGTGCTCCTTCCGAACATGATGGACTTGAATATCGCGACCTGATTCATCTGATTCGTCATCTTGATTCACAAATCTTTCTTCGTCATCTGGGAGATTGACCACTTCCAGCTCGTTTTTGAGCTCTTTTCGAGCTTTGATGACAAGCTTCTCGCCACGGGTTACTAATCTGCCGCGTTTCTTAACTTCGTAGGATTCAGCAGCTGCTTTGCGCTTCCTGTTTGCAATCATATTGAGACTAGGAAGATCACCGTCCGATTCCGAATCAATCGTAATGACTTCAGATCTCATAACTGGTTGGAGCTTCTTGGAACCCTGGAGTAGTAGTCTTCGTCGACTGGTAGTATTTTGCGATTGGAAATCAGCAGGAATGACTGCAGCGACGGCCATCTTTTCGGGCGACGACCTATTGGGTGAAGTCGCCGCTGATGAGCTTGCATGCGATGACGAGACGGAAAAAACCTTGTCGGGGGAAGGCGAGCGGTTCTTGCGGCCCATAATCAAACGCCTGCGTGGTGCGACGTTCTTAGCGAGTTCAGGCGAAGGTGGCGGTGAGCTCGAAGCAGCTCGGGGTTTTGGTGGAATGGGAAGTTTTGTTTGATTGTAGATCTTGGGCTGGTGATTCCCGATTGTTCTCCGCGACAATGCGTTTTGTGAGTCCGATCTTGAATCAGTGGAAGCGGCCGGAACTGTGCGTGTCTCGCCCAGAAGTGTCTGTGTGGCAGATTCCATGCTCATGCCATTGTTCTGCAACTCGTCTCGGCATTGCCGATACATGATCGAAGGCTTGCTCTTTATAACGCACTTGTGCACCTGCTTCGTCAGATATCGCAGTCTTAGATTCGGGATTTCGTTCGGGTCTATATCTTTGTCCTCCATCTGATACCTGGGTTTCGCGACCGGTACTGGCGATTGCGGCTTCCTGACGAAGGTTGATGGTTGGATTTCGTTTCTCATGGGCCGGCCGCTGTCGTCGTCGTCAGAGCTATCGTCGTGCTTGTAATCATTGGCCAGGTCATCATCCGAATTGATGGTGCTGAGGAATTGTTTCTTGATGGCTGGTTGAGGACGACGAGGTAGTGGGACGGGAGCTCGAAAGGCAGTGCCGGCGGGCGCCATCATGGAGGCTATTCGGCTGCCTGCTGGGCCTGAACCAAGCCCTGCTCTCGAAGACTGGGAATTCATGGCACCTGCCAATCTTCTCTGCTGAGAGTGAACCTGAAAAGGCGAAGAGGCAGGAACCTCGATTACGCTTCCCGGAGTATCAGGTATTGGTGGTGACGATCGTTGCAGAGTTGTCCGCCTCTCGACAACCTGGGTTGGCTGTGTAGCTCTGCTCAAGACCTGAGTGGGCTGTGTGGTCCTATTCGCAATCTGGGTAGGTTGCGTGGTTGGGTTGGCGATTTGTGTGGGTTGGGTGAAGTAGGGAGAGGAATCAGGAATGCTAACGGCAAGCTCGTCGAGATCTTCGTCCTCTATTTCGAACCGAGTTCTCTTGGTGCCTGGGGTTCCTGGCAGTGAAGGAGAGCTGGTCCGAAGGCCCGGGAGATTGCGTGACATGTTTCCGTCCTGCACTATGCTAAACTAACCAACCGACTACGAAATTGGTCGCGTATCCGCTGGTCTTCTGGATCAGAGCAGGAGTGTGGGCGAGGGGCTCTCGGCTCTCCTTGCGGCGTGTGAAGTTTGCCGGGCCGCGCCTCTGGTGGATTCGAGAATTGGCAGGTCAATACCGAGATGCAATGGTCATAAGCTGCCAATAATGAGTGTAAAATGTGCTCCCTTCCGGCGTGGATGAACGAATGGCAGCAGACTTGTTGGCAAGAAGGGGGACGGGGGACGGAGCGCGACGACGACAGGGAGGGCCAGAGGCTGGCGGGCTGCTAACCGTCGAAATTTTGGCGTCGAAAGACGAGACGAACGCGCTTTCCGTGAACGCGGTGGAGCGCGGAGTCAGCTGATTTTAATTGGCAGCGGGAGGACTTGGACTTCTTGATGTTAGAGATGAACTGATATCCATGCCAATGCATTGTATCTTCACTGCAAGTACATCTTTGTTTGACCACTCGCCTCTACTTGATCAATTGTGTTTCTAAACTAATTATCTTACATTCTCCATCTGAACCTGTTCCGTGAGCATACACCAAGTACAGGCGTCAACTAGTCTAGGCCGGGGAATTTCGTCGACAGAAAGCGGCGCGCTACAGAGCATAGACCAAGCACTCACTCAGTCACTCACTCTACCAAGTCCGGCGCCCGCCTCCAGTCAACCTAAGCTCTACAGCAAACACACAGTCATCCAGAAGTTCTTATTCGACTGGATCCCTTCCAGCATGGCCACCCGCCGCATCGTCTCGACCGAAAAGTCAATTCTTGAGAAAGATGACAACATCGGCTCTAGTCCCGCCGCCAACGAAAAGTCCAACATCTCACCGGCCGTGCCCGCGTGCGTCTGCTGTACCTTCTTCCAAAACTCCAAAACCCAGCAGCTAATTAGTACTAGTCATGTGATTCTAAAGCTTCTAGCTTTCACACTTGCCATGATCGTGGTTCCTATCGGATCCTACTATGTTACAGTGAACACACTATTCAGAGGCACGTGTAGTTCCTTCTCAGGAGCCATGTTCACAGTGTGCGCGAAGACATAACTGACTCTGAAACAGGCAATTCGACGTATGCAGGAGCATTGGCTGCAATTATGGCAAATGTGGTACTCATTGGCTATGTCATCGTGGCTTATACCGAAGATCAGTCGGACCAGCTGGAGGAGGAGAAGAAAGAGAACAAGAAACAACGTTGACAGCTTTCTGGTCAATCCCCACGAGCGTAGAAATTCGTGGCATTGCAAGATGCCATGCAATGCTGAATTACAGGAGACTGCAAATGCAAAATCATAATCGTTTTGATTTTGACGCCAACCCCCACGTGAGATTGATTCTATAGATGCGCATTTCCTTTGCGCATTGAAGTACTATCGAGAGTTGATTATGGGGAACGGGAGTTCACTGCCCAACTTGCTCACCAGGACTGTGTCTGTCAAGGCCACTGTTGAGGTACTGGGGATATGAACATATTAATGTAGTAGAGGATGTGTCGTAGACCATGCCAAGCAAAAGGTCTTCCTCCTATTTTTGTACGATGCAATTCCAACATCATGAAAATAATTCTAGCCCTCCACCCTAGCGAACAACCAGCCCAAAAATGCCACGTCTCAAAACCACACTCGGAAGCGCAAATCCTAGCCTCCTTTGTACTCAAATCGAACATCGACCATCGTGAAAACATTTCGTCGCGTAATGCAAAATTGAGAGAAACCTTCCTCTCCATAATGATGTGCATGTTGATGTTGCAAATGCTTTTTTCGAGCACATAGAGCTGCCAACAGCCACCATCATGCCACAGACTCTGCCGACCTCAAGACTAGCATCGCTCTTCAAGATATGGTAGGTGGTGACCAAAGGGAGCCGGTGTGACGTATCGTCAGAAGTTTCTGCAGAGCTTTGGGTATCTTTAATTGAAATCGGCAAAAAGAAAAAACAGGAGAAAAAAACTCCGTCACACCTGAAATCGTTCGTCATGCGCAAGAACCACGAACTTAGGAGCTCTTGCCAAAAAGTCGAGAAAGTCGACTCTTTCGTTTCTCTCCCATGTCAGGTCTCTGTGGTGCTGCCGCGGAGCCTTTTTTCAAGAGGGTGCCCGAGCCCTTCGGCGGTGGCGCAGGTGCATGAGAGTTGTCTGGCATCGTTCTAGGATGTGACGCATCTGGGCCTAGTGAAGGGGGTTGGTAGCTTGGGGTTTGGCCAAAGCTAATGCCGTAATCGTTTCGCGGCTCCTGGTATCTCTTTGGCGGTGATGCGCGGCGATTAATCGAGCTGTTCTCACTGCTAGTGGGATCAGTTTGATAGCCAGACGGCTCTCCGTAACTGGCGCTACCCGAACCAGAGGCTACCGTCTCGTAAGACTTGTGATTGTTGGGACTCTGAAAAACACCTCGATTGACTGCAGGATGAGTGCTCATTGACGGATCCGCCTGCACGCGTGCGTTCCTGTTTCGTGGGCCGTTACCGCCATTTCGGCCGTTGGCTGCCCCGTCAAAACCCTCAAAATACTCATCTCCTCTCGGACCGCCCATGGCCGGGCCACGGGGATCCAACATGGCACTCTCGCGTGCAAGGTTCGTGTTCGAGCGTGCCCCATAGTAACTCTCGTGAGGGAAACGAGGACCGTTGGAGTCTGGGTTCATACGTTTAGTATGTGCAGCAGGATTGCGGGAACTCCCGCCTGGCTTACTGCCATAGTAGCTGCTCCTCCTGTTCCAGTTCGCTACCGAGTCTGAATCTGATCTGTAAACAGATTGACGACTACTGGAACCGCCATCATAAGCAGCCTCGAAGCTGCGGATTGTGTCTAATGGCCGTTCCCATTTGCTTCGTGTAGGATTCGACCGGTCGGGCTCGGCTGGAATGCGGGTCAGTTTAGTTGGAGGGCAATTGAGGAACGTGAGCGCGCCACTCACTGATTACAACTCCGGTGGCATCTTTGTGCTGAAGCGCTGAAAGCGGTGGTTTTTCGTCAAAGTTGATGGCAGCTCGAGCGACAGCAGCTGAAATGCACAGTCAATACACGTCCACTGGTTGAGTCCACCGCCTGGAATCCCACTTACACGGCTCCAATTCATTCATTGCCAATGTCGGATCAGCCTTTGTAGCGAGCCTATTTTGCTCCTTCTCGGCGTGTGTTTCGTGTAGTGCTCCACTCGAAATTTTGTAGGCGTGCCCTTTGCCTTCACTCTTCTCGGTCTTGTGCGACTTGTCGGAGCGGAAACTGAAACCTCTCGATCTAGGGCGCTGGCGTTCGGGCTTCTGGGGTTGCTGCGACTGCTCTTGCTGTGAGTATGACGACTGCTGCTGTCGCGGTTGGTATTGCTGAGCTGCCTGAGGTCGTTGAGGAAGCGGCGACTGGTCGTATGATATGTGCGTGTACTGCTGCTCTTGCGACGGCGGAGCGGGCAGTGGATGGCGAGTATATTCGTGGGACGCCATGGTCACTAAACGGGCCAGCGGTTATGCTTTATTACACTGGGATCCTGGAAGGAACCTGGGAGGAAACGACTAGGCAGTGGAGTTGCGATCAGGAAAGTGGACTGTGGATCAGCACTCGAGTAGGAAACAGTGGGCGATGGATTGATAGCGCCAGGAGCGATCGTGGGATTGCAGTAAGATATCCGTACCCAGCTTTCTGGGAACTCGACTCTTGGAAGTAAAGAGACCGACGAAACACCTGCCGATGGTCTTATCGTGGAATGGCCCGAGCGACAACTCCTAGTGGCCTGCGAAAGTTGATGGGCTGGCAGTCCCAAAATACGACAGAGGACGGCGTGTAATGGGGGGCTCAATCAGTTGGAATGTACCTTTACGTGCAGTTCCCTGCGAAAAGTGACCTTTGGCTCCTGGATCTCGATATGGAGAAAGGATCCGTTGCTATGGTGCTTGAATGGTGCAACGATGCAACGCACTGTCCGGGGGTCTCTTTTGGGAAACAGCCGTAGTGCGCTATCAACATAGATGGGCCAGACAACCTGGTGTAGATCCCCTGTCCTCGTCGTCTCAGGAATAGCAGATTTCAGGGAAATGTCGTTTCGCGTGGTTGGGATAGAGCACCCGTTGGTTATCAATTAGAAGAAGAGTTGTCGCCAGACTTCCTAGAGGTTTGATTGATTGATTGATTCAAAATAAAATGAACCGACTGGTAAACTAAATTGATGGGTGGTGGCCAAACTCTGCTTTGGTGGTTCGTCAGGTTCTCGGGCCTGTGATTCCTAACTTGTAAGTCTTGAGATTGGTGAGATTCTGGCGCCTGCGACTTCCAAAAGACTATTGTAATTAAGTCAATTCAGCTGACTCAGTTTTGACCGTAAGACTCAATTTTCCACTTGAGAGAGACCGGCGCTGCTAGGAGCCGGAGAGCGAACGTAGACTGTTTGAGTGACGTCAAAAGTTGGTGCTGGTCATAAGAGGTGATGCACTTCTAGTTATTGGTGATCGGTGTTTCAGGAGTACCGGTCTTTTTTGAGGTTTTGAGTTTCCGCGCTTCCGTGATTGATAGAGGGATGACTGAGAGATGAGCGTGAGGGATTCTGTTGCCAATCAGGTCAATGAACAGGGACGGCCTTGTTTTCCTCTTTCTTTTGAGTGAGGGAGCCAGCACACGCCAATACGATGCGGCGCAGATGCTGCTTGCTGATGGGCGGACGCGAGTGCCGAATAGGTCAAGTCAGGACTCGTAAGCGTCAGAGATGTCGTGTCCCGCTGTGACTGCAAACTCAAAGAAATTCGCAAAAGTCCGCCAGCGATCCGAGGTGCTCGACTCGATACTAACTACTATATTCTTGAACCAGTGGAACGTGACAGTACAGGGTCCAAATGGAAATGAGGACCTTGAAAAGTCAAACGATGGTTCGACGATGGAAGTACCGGCAAGCAATCATGCCACCACGAGACTTGCTTTCGGGTTTCCAGGCGATGCCGACCCGAGGCGCAACTTCTCACTTTGATTAATGAGACTGTTGCGGGAGTCCTGCTGTCGCCTATTCTATTAAGGTTTTACGTGGTTAAGATTGTTCGACGTGACGCAACAGGCTCACTAATAGATATTTCCCGTGGCGAGCCTTGATATTGTGTTGCTGGACGGGTAGAGGGAATCTACTTTTCATTCCGAGTTGCTTGGAGCTATTTGCCATATATTCGTCCGGTCCAGCTTCGAAATTGTAGAGTTAGTCTAGAGACGAAGACGACGACGACGGCAATGACAACGTGTATTTCTCCAGTTCTACATATGGTATCATGAGCAATAGCATTCAGGTGTGGGGACAGCATTCATCTAGAACACCCCCAAGTTTGGACAAGGTCCACAGCAAAAGAGTTGCGGAGCAGATACATACAAAGTGTTACTACAAATCACACAATATGCGGCATCTGACAGAACGGATATCCCATACGAACATGGCCCAGTCTTTGTCCCTGGGCTGCCGGCGAGCTGGGATGTTGTTGCCTTGCTCCATGTGCAGCAACTTGCATTGTGGCATCCCGACCATTCCACCATGCAAGACCGACTTTTCGATAAACCCCATGCTAAACTGCACACCAATTATCCGGCGCTCTGATGAGGGATCCGCATTCACAGATGGATAATCGGCTTGGCTGGCCTCCTGAAAGTCGCTGCATTCATCAACCGATCTTGCTGTCATGGGCTGTGACCTGGACTTGGTGCCGTCACAGGGATCAGGCGTTAGATGGATTGCTTTACATTTTAGCCTTTGACAAGTGTTTCCGGATTTGTGCAGTCTGGCAATTTGTCTCGACCAGCGTCCAGCCCTGCTTGCGCGTAAGCGACACTGAGCGGCCAAAATATTTGAAATAGGTGGCGCCGTCCCGTCTTCAAGAGGTCCGGTTCTTCTTGTCTCGAGTCAGCTAATGCCCGACAGACGAGTTCTAGGTGCAAGACTTGTTCTCGATATGCAAGCGTCAGAACTAGTTTCGTTGTCTAGGTACTATTTACTGCACGCTTGCAGCTCCGTCTGTTTTCCTTGGTTCCGACCTCAGCATAAACCCGCCGGATCTCCACAGTCACGCAGTGATCACTCCGTACCAGAATCATCAGGTTCAAAGACAAAGTCGTTAAACCGGCTGAAAACATGCCACGAAACTGGCTGGCTGGTGCATAGTGCCTTCCAGAGCACTAATACGCATGCTGAAATCCCAAAAAACCTAGCACTTGGGAACTGTCAGGAACATTGCAATATGCATACACAGCCCACTAACTGGAATCCAATGATAGGTTATGTGTGACAATATGTTTGATAAGGTTAACAAGAGGACATCCATCTACATGGTCTCTACCCATAACTCGCAGCATGAAAGAAACGATTCAAGATCAATATGCAGACACACTCTAGCTGGTGTCAATGCTGAAAGCTATGCAAGCTACGGTGTGCTAGAACAAACGACATGCCGACATGAAGCTCCGTGAGGATGGTTCATCGCTAGTCAAGGCTGTTCTGCCAATAAGCGCCCTCCAAATGCCAGGGTGCCTTCCAGAAAAGGCTAGTGAGGGGCTGGCGGAATGCGGGAATGTCCAGAGGGCTCCAAACTCCAGAACTCTAAGGCTCGGGTTTCTTTCAATTCAGACAGATACGACCTAGAATCCGAATTTTTCGAACGATGGCGCAGTTTTGCCAGCAAGTGCATCTCGGTAGAGGGAATACGATCCACACCAACCAATCTGACGAAAGATTCCAGGCTCTACAGCAAATAGTAGCACTATACATACTATAGACGTTCGCCACCCCATGTCGTATTCCTGACTTGTGGGCACCCACTGATCTACGGTGCAATTGCACAGCCTTAAAACACGACGCGGCATGATGACGGGACGTGACGAAATTCGTAGTTTTTGACCATGCCCACTCAAATGTACTGGATGGATAATCGGTCCCAACACGAACGATATCCCAACAACAGCATGCAATGGACATGCAAGGGCATGCAAGACGGTCTAATAGTGGCATGGGACTAATAGCCAATCGTTTGACCGCTGCCTAGAGATGCCTCCACGTTTCCATCAAGGGCCCTGTTGCAGAGCATGCGCAAATCCCGTCCGATCCGACAAGCAATCAAACGTGTTCTCAGGCTCAACCTTCAGTGTGCCGCTCTTTGGGGAGGGTTTGAGTCTTTTCAAACTGCCAGTTCATGCCGAGCCTTGTGCTGAGATGGGGAAATCATGTTCTTGCTCTACGGGGGGTGAACTTTAAAAGTCACAGGGCGATCAATAAATAAACGTTCCGTCTCCATCCCGCCCCTAAGCATGTAACTTTGGCTTTATGAACCCTTTTCCCACGCCGTCGTGGCTTGACCCATGTCATGCCGACAAGCCACTTACCGTGATCTGCAGCTTCCCCCAGATGAAATGGTTCGACTTAAATAGTAGAGTTTCACCAAAAACAGAACCACGAGCGTGTGATGAGCATTCTCGTAGATAGCCCAAAATCACAGAGATCGTCAAGTTTCAGATCCAATCGTGATGATGATCTCCATCCTGTCTCGGACTGCTTTCTAGCCATCCCGTCAACGCATGACACTATCAAATGTGATATTTGCCCCAGTCTCGCCCTCACATGCCATATTAAGCGGTTCATGCAGAAGTCTCCGAAATTTCGAGATGTGCGGTAACCCAGAAACCTAGATTGTTGATACGCTGGGTTTCAATACCGTTATCGAGTACTGCTATACTAGTGCCCAAGTCCACTGCGAAGAACTTCTAGCAAGGTCAAAAACAAAAGAGTCAAGCTTCACCAAGTGACAATGCCCGGTGAAGTCCACGAAGCATGGCGCTCATGCTGTATGCTCTGAAAGTCCTACTTCTGCAACTCATCCAGTATTGGGGGCCTACCAAACCGAATGGTACTATCTGTTTATTATGAAAGCTGTTGGGAAACAGCGGTTGCTACGTGTGCAGATCCCTTCCATGTTGAATTATACAAAATGATTCCGTTTCCAACGGCTGAGTTTGGAGTGCTTCGCCATTCTTGGTTCCATGAATACAGCAAAGCACTCGCCAGTAAAACCAAAGAATTTATATGCTTTAGGCCGTCAGATCCATAAGACAACACCTCATAAAAGTATCACAATAACACCATATCTTTTAATGCGGTCGGGAAAGAGCCTTACATACCCATCACCAGTTCTCGCAAAACAACATTAGTCAATAGACCATATTTGTTGCCCGCTTCTTAAAAGACTCCATCCAATCGGGCCCCCAACCGGGTTTTCTGCCGCCATTTAGCAGGCTAGTCAAAAAGTATAGAGCTGCTGTGAAATATCGGCCGGATATATAGAATCTATATTCAGTCTTAACACTGCAATTATAATGTCTAGAAACTACGATAGCTCCTAAATTGTTCTAGAGACGTCGGCAGCGGGCAAATTTTCGACTTGGCCATTGACTTAAACGATCTCAAGGAACCGCTTGGGATCCGCAGGTGACCGCTGCAGACTTAGAATATGCGACTTCCGGGACTGTCCAGATCCCATCAGTCCCCGTGGTCCTATATTATGATACAAGAGAAACGAGAGGCGTATTCATGCAGAGAAAGAGGTATACAACGCAACTCTATGCCATATAACTACCTTTGTGGATATACAGCGACTGCTCACCGTTCACCTGTCCCGTGTACCCGAACCTCCTCGGAGCATCACAAAGTTTAATTATTCTAAACATATAAAACCCACCGGGTGAACATGGGGACCTGCTCTTGAACACCCACCCAACAGTAGGAAATAGCTTCAGGTAGGGAGTTTCCAGAACACGAATCCGTTTGAAGCTGTTATAGCTCGATCTACACGACGATAAGATCCGCAGGCTCTCTAGGCTGGAGATTGAGTAGTCGGATCCGGCCAAGGTCAAGTTCTCGATGCCGATGTGTCATCTTACGGATTTATCAGAGAGAAATTAGAGCGAACCCGAACTGGAATCGCGAGAGTGGACGAGGGGAGCCGAGCGATAGATCTATGTGACTGCCTTGAACTCTGGCACCAACTCAGCCAGTGGAGGACGCTTCGTGAGGAGGCCAGCTGTCACTGGGCTGTAAAAGCCCTGCAACCTAGATTGTGTTGGGTCTCTGTGGAGAAAGAGAGAGGGAGAAGAAGAGAAGCCACACAGCTGCCGCCGCGATAAGCACCTCACGGTTCATGGTTAGAGTCTAGAAAGGGTCAGCGCCAGAGGACTAGTGGGTCTTCTATTCAGATATACTCCTCGGTCAAATTCAGTTTTGATTACTGCGCGTGATAACCTTCCTTGTCAGCAATTTTTGCCAATATTCTATGCTTCTCATGTGCGATCGATCAGTATGGCACAGGGAACGCCTAAAGGGAGTATGTTGTTGAGTGATGAATTATTATTTTACATGAGACCGGAAGGGGTATATGATGTTGTATGGACTAATAAATAATGCTACCCTGGCATATACCCACCAGTTCTCTAAAACCGACCGCGTTTTGTGACCCTTTCCAGAGTGTGCTTTAACCAAGGCGTAGCAAGTCAAACCCCGTGTGCCCTATTATTACTGAATATATGAACCGCAATTCAAATCCGAACATTTTCTCCCACCCTATGTACCATCCAAGGCTGTTGCCAGAAAAAGTGCCGTACCCCTACACACAACACTGACTACTGTCACTGTAGGGGTACGGCACTTTTTTTTGTCAACCCGTTGCCCATCTTATTACCGATCCAAGGCTTGACTTTGGCACTGCGAGATAAGGTTAGTAATTAAGGTCGCAAAGCAGCATTGAGAAAACTAAAAAGAAACGGGGGTGAGTTGAGACCTACCATATGCCAATAGACGCCCTTCTTCTTCAACAACTCGTGATGATTTCCCTGCTCAAGGACCTTCCCCTCGCCCAGGACGAAAATGACGTCAGCGTTCTGCACCGTTGCAAGCCGGTGCGCGACGACGACCATGGTGCGGCCGGTAGCGGCCCGCTCAAAGGCTTTCTGAACGAGCTTCTCGCTCTCCGAGTCCAGCGAGCTCGTCGCCTCGTCCAGGAGGAGCACGTTCGGCTGCCGGATCAACGCCCGCGCGATGGAGACGCGCTGTTTCTGCCCACCGGAGAGGCTGACTCCCCGAGATCCGACCTGCGTGTTGTACCCGTCGGGCAGCGACGATATGAAGTCGTGGATACTGGCATCACGGCAAACAGCGTGGAGTTGTTCGTCGGTAACAGAGTCTGGTTCGACACCCAAAAGTATGTTGTCTCGTAGCGAGCCCTGGAATATGTTTGGCTCTTGCGCCACGAGCGACAAATGCTTGCGGTATTGATACACGTTGATATCCTGAATATCGGTACCGTTTGCGAGAATCTGGCCCTTTTGGGGATCATAGAAACGTTCCAGAAGGGAGACAATTGAGGTCTTACCACAACCTGAGGCGCCCACGAGTGCGGCGAATTGACCTTTCCCAATGGAAAGATTGAGACCCTTGAAGATAGAGACATTACGTGTTGGGTATTTGAAATGCACGTTTTTGAGCTCAATCTGAATACCGCCATCTGTGTCAGGGATATTGGCCGGATCTTTGCTGTCTCTGTTGTCTGGCGACCCACGAATACTCAGAATTCGGTTGGCAGCTGCAGAAGCTTGGGCAGCATTTGGACCGAAGCTGAAGCCGTTACCGGCAGCTTCAGCGCCCTGAATGACAGCCATGTAGCAGACGAAGAACTGCGTTGGATCATACTCTCTAGTAGCCATGAGCCGGCCGCCATACCAGAAGATCAAGGCCTGGCAACCAAGGCTGATGCTATCGGAAAAAGCAAAAATTAGAGTCGTCCAGCGCGCTTTCTTGTAGGCCGTGACAACATGACCGTTGAGTAGCTTGTCGTATCGGTCCGTGATGGTATCCTCAAGAGTCATAGACGCAACGGTTCTGAACGCACCAATAGCCTCAGCGGCGAACTTGCTACTTTCTGCAAAGACGGCTCCGTACATCCTGTCAAACTCCAACTCATATTTGAGTCGGAAGTAGCCAGCCGAGAGACCGAGTGGCATTGTAACACACAGTGCCACAAGAGCGAGCTTCCAGCCATACGCAAATGATATGGATAGGGCTCCAACGAGTGTGAAAATGGAGTTGTAGACCATGGCCATATTCATACCCAACATCTCCTCAAGTTGCTTTGGATCACCCCCAACTCGTGCAGTCAGTGTTCCTGTAGAATTGTCCTCCTCGTCAAAGAAGGAAGTCTTCTGGTACAGCAGGCCTTCGAAGTACTGCTTCCTGTACGTGGCCGAGATATAATACGCCAAATGTGTAGAAACGAACCCGACAAAGAACCAGGAAATACCGACACCTATAGCCAATACAACCCACATGAGCGACCAGAAATTGGCCTCACTAGTGAATTGGGCAGATTGTGGGTCATATTGGAAAATGACAATAATCTTGGCAAATAGGTAAGCCTGCAGCGGCGATGCCGCAGCTGTACATGCCGCGAAGAATATTGTCAGGCCGTAAGATACGAAGCGAGTCCTCTGCTCATAAAGCAAACGGCCGAAACTGCCAAAAAGCCCCTTACGCTTGTATCCAGCTTTGGTCCGCACTTCATCGTTTTCCGATAAAGCGGCGCTTTTCTCGCGATCGAGAACAGCGCCCAGATCTTCTTCTTCTTCTGGGCTGTCCGACCCGCTAGCCTCGGTCGGTTCGCCCAGAGAAAGCTGCTGGGCATACACGAGTCCGTGATAGACACCCTTCTCATTTTGTAGCAGACCATCGTGTGTTCCTTGTTCAACAACTCGCCCCTTCTGAATCACGGCGATGGTATCCGCTTTCTTAATGGTCGAGAGGCGGTGAGCGATAGTCACAGTCGTCCTGCCTTGCGAAACTTTATCCAAAGCAGCTTGTACAATGCGTTCGCCGCGAACATCAATGGCAGAGGTCGCCTCGTCGAGAATTAATATCTTGGGCTTCTTGATGACGGCTCGTGCAATGCTGATACGTTGTCTTTGGCCTCCAGATAACTTTGTTCCACTATCACCAACCATTGTGTCGTAGCCGTCTGGCAGTCGATCGATGAACTCATCGGCGAATGATTCCTTGCAAGCCTCGACGACAAGTTTCCTCTTTTGTTCTTCAGTTACGTTCTCGAATTCCGACCCTATCAGTCCGTAGGCAACGTTCTCATATATCGTCTGATTGAACAAGAAGGGCTCCTGCTGAACGAGACCAATCTGAGAGCGCCACCATTTGAGCTCGATTTCGCCCAGTTGATGACCAGAAGTTGAAATTGAGCCTTTGAGCTCCACCGGGGTTCCAGACTCCTCATCACTGGCGCCAGCTTTTTCCCCATCCACGTCGTCATCGTCTTTTTTGCCCTTTTTCTTTTTCTTCTGTTTTGCTTTCTCCTGTTGAGGATCAACGGCTTTAGCAATGATGTGCTGGTCACTTAGCGTATACCATCTTTCGATCAGTCCCACAATGGTTGACTTGCCAGATCCGGACGGACCAACGATCGCGGTAAGCTTGCCGGCTTCAATCCTCAAGTTCAACCGATCCAGGACCTTGACATGAGGTCGGCTGGGATAGGCGAATTCCACATCTTCAAACACAATATCATCGGTAGCCGAAACATCAGGCGCTTTCAGGCTGCCACGATCTGGCTTCGGCGCATCAATAACGATAAAGAACTCGCAAGCCGCCACCATGGCTTTCCCGACTGCAATTAGCGGTGTCGCTATCCGTTCGAGCGAGACCACCATCATCATGACGGACATGAGAACAACGACTATGTCACCTACACTGCCCACACGATGTTCTGTGACAGACTTCGCGCCGTACCAAAAGGACAGACCAAAGGCGGCGTAAAGCGAGAAGAAGACGAGACCAAATTGCAGCGCCATCATCGGCGACGTCTTCTGTCCATGTTTCTTAGCAGTGTCTGCCCAGACATTAAAGCGCCTAGCCACTTGTGTTTCTGCACCACAAGCCGTGATCATACGAATACTGCTAAAAGCTTCACTGGCCACAGATGAGGATTTGGTTTCTGCAATAGCCTGTCGACCCTGTCCCTTGACGATGAAGGGGAGCAGGATGCTAACAACGATTAGAATAAAAAGGATGACAGAAGCGGTTACAAGGGTCAGCTGCCAGCTCTTAACGAATGCCACGATCAAGGCTGCCACGATAGAACCTGTGAACTCGAGAAAGGTGGCGAGTTTCTCCGAGATACCAAGCTGCAGAGTATTGGCTGTAGTCGTAATTGTTCCAGCAGCGGCACCCGGCGCCATGGAGTCAAGGACATGGATTGTCTGTCCGAAAAGGCTTTGCAAGTAGTGCAATCTTATTGCAGCAGACATGCGGATACCTATTATTCGGAAGGAGAACTGAAAGTATATGAGTATCAGCAAAAAGATTTCAGAATCTTGACTCACCTTGTTCATATAAGTCAAGCCAAACTTGGCGACAAAGAGGGCAAAAATATACAATCTAAAGTGAAGAAGTCAGTAATATGGTCTCTCCCAAGGAGGTTACCCGCATGAAGGAAGAAGGGAAGTATTACGCATTGCGGTTGAGTGCGCTTTCAAAAGCTGCCTGTGATACGTTGCCGGATGTGGGGTTGAAGTAATCCACAAATTGCGTTGTGAGCGCGCCTTAAGCAAGATGAGTAGGTTATTGATCCTTTTAAAAGCAATATCGGTGATAACATACCAAACACTACGTTCATCAAAGGCATGGTCACGCCAGCAGCTATGGAAGCAAAGCCCGCTAGGGCCATGAGTGGGTAGTCCCACGCCTTTGCGTATGAAAAGATGCGCTGAGATAGACAACGTTAGCGTCATTTGTACAGTAGTGTTCGGTCTTCACCTATGTCAAGGTAGTTTCCATTCTCTTTGGGGTTCAGAGGCTCTTCAAAGTCGCTTACATAGTAGTCGCTGAACTTCGCCTCCCTCTCGGGCCTCAGCTTGGCAGCCTCTTTGGCATGCTGCTCGTCCTGGCCGTCCTGAGCATTTTTGGTATCTATCGCAACATGACTTTTATCCGGTAGACCCTCAGGACCAATCGTCCCTGGTTCCAACACCGCCTCTTGGGTTGTGGTCATTGTTTACTAGCAGAAAAAGAAGAGCCTCTGTTGCTACTGACTATCCATGAGGGATGAAGGTGGAATGTTGAGGTGTTAAGAAGGAGAAGTACGTATATGACCTCGAAAGGTGAATGTGGTATTGGAGCAGCCTGAACTAGCTCAAGAGGCGGTTGCCTGGCGCGTCTCAGCTACCGTAACGAAAGACTCAGTTTGTTGTTAATAGACCGGAATGCTGCTATGAAAGTCGTTCTTGTAATATGTCAAGATCGTGAAGGAGTATGAAATGGGTATTGCACTGTTGCTATCATACAAGTAAGAGCCCTGACCGAAGTGTTGTCAGAAATGATGGACGTCAAGAAGTTCGAAGCGCGATCAGTGAGATTGTTTAAAATCCCCAGGCGAATAGGAGCGACCCCTGCGAAGATCATTAAAGGCTCCGGGACCCCATGTAAGACGGTTAAGTTACTGTTGAGCCAAAAATCTGCCTAACATCAGCGCTTTACCTAGGTTAGTGAAGCTCGCCGCAAAACCAAAACTCACAATGGTACCGAATACTTGCTATTTCCTAATCAGTAATCTCGTGCTCCGTATTTCCTACGATGAACGCGTTGAGGATTTGTGCGACCACTACTAGACTTCTGCAAAGATCTACACACTGTATCAGACGTATGATCATTGTGAATCATCGCTAAGTCACAGTTGTCAGATTGCGGCCTTTCGGACAGTTCAACACTCCGACCACTCCCCAGCGCCGCCACTGCGGGAGGCCAACGCACCCCGCTAACGACCGCAACTTTCGTCAGAAGTTTATTTCAGCCTTGGTGTTGCACAGATCCGTTTTCTTCTATACAGACCACGTTTGCTACACCGAATTGGGCGATTTTCTCCCGAGTTTGGACGACCTTTTTGACGCTGCGCACCAAGGACAATACATGGAGGGCAAGTATAGGCAGAAGGACTGATTGTTCGGCCCTGCATGGCCCTTGATTGCTGGGCAACGAATGACCAGAGCACTCTAGAAGCAATTGGCTGCAACGCAATGCCGCATCCTCACTCTTGTGGTCATACACTAGTGTAGGTAGGTCTCAACGTTCATACACAAGGGCACGCAAGTACCTGGTCTCTATGTGTCTAGAAAACCCTTGCTTTTACGCTATCCTCAATGATTTCTTGCCACTGAGATAAACATACGCGGAAAGCAAAAAGTACCGGCGAACCTATATATGCCTCAAATGCGCTACGCCGCCTCGAAAATAGTTCGCCCTTTTCATTCATCATGACCCAGACCGAAAAGTAGTAAGTTTCTATAGTGTAGATATCATCGTAATGCCGGATCAGCTATGGAACATGTCAGTGTCCGTCTGATTGTTTCTGGTCTCAAGGATTGCTGACATGATCCGCCCAAAGTACCAAGTTAATGGTTACTTACAACTTGTTAGGAGGAACTGCCGATGTGGTTGGCCATTGGTATCCTGAAGCATCGCTGAACTTGTATCCGTAGCTGGCTGTAAAGTCATCCAAGACAGCCGGACCTCTTGAGCCTGAGCGGGGATTAGCAGATCTTCAAAAATGGCAGGGGGGGACGCTGATGGACTAACCATAAGGATACTCCATGGGGACAATCTCCTTGTTGTCATCGAGGTAGTGCAGAAGGGGGGTGAAGATTCTCCAGCTGGCATCCAACTCGTCGTCACGAACGAAGTTGGAGTGGTCGCCCTTGAGGCAGTCCAGAATCAAGGATTCGTAGGCCTCGGGGATCTTAAGGTCAGAGAAACGGCGGCGGTAGGTAAGATCGAGCTCGGTGAGCACAGTTTGCATGCTAAGACCGGGCAGCTTGGAGTTCATCTTCAGGTAAACACTCTCGTTGGGTTGGATGCGCAGGACAAGCTCGTTTCTGGGGATATCCTTGAAGATACCGCTGGTGACGTCCTTGAACTGAATTCTGATCTCGGTCTTCTGCTCGTTCAAGGCCTTGCCAGCCTTCATGATGAAAGGCACACCGTCCCATCGCTCGTTCTTAATGTATGCGACCAGAGCGCAGAAGGTAGGGCATCGCGACTCCTTGGGGACAGTGTCGTCTTCCTTGTACGAGGGCTTGCTACCGTCGAGCGACTTTCCGTATTGGCCAATGATGACGTTCTTGGGCTCGATGGCTGGGATTCCTCTGAGAACGCGAACCTTCTCGTCACGAATGTCCTCAGCGGAGAAGGAGATGGGACGTTCCATGGCCAACAGGGTCAAGACCTGCAGCAAGTGGTTCTGCATGACATCGCGGATGATGCCGAACTCGTCGAAGTAACCACCCCGACCTTCGGTACCGAAAGGCTCCTTGAATGTGATCTGGACGTTGTCGATATGGTGTCTGTTCCAGGTGGCGCCGAAGAATTCGTTTCCAAAGCGCAGAATGAGAATGTTTTTGACCATCTCCTTTCCGAGGTAGTGGTCGATTCGGAAAAGCTCATCCTCGCTCCAGTCGGGCTCCAATGACTTTTGCAGCTCACGAGACGAGGCAAGATCCTTGCCGAATGGCTTCTCGACCTGTTGGGTGTTGTATGAGTAACTGGGCTGTCAAACGTGGCCAAGGGCAGACTCACAATAACCCGAGCAATGCCATTGGTAGGGTAGCAGCACTTCTTGAGGTGCTGCGAGACGATTGTAAAAACGCTTGGTGGAAGCGCCATGTAGAAGAGACGGTGCGCCTCCTTACGTCCCTGCTCAAGCTCTTTCAGGTGGCTGTCGAGGTTCTGGAAGGAATCGTCACGATCATATTGGCCAGAGACATAGGAGCAAAGCTCGCAGAACTCGTCGAGTTGTCTCTCAATATCCTTGGTAGGGGTCTTGATGTATGATCGAACGCGCTTGATGTATTCGGGGTGATCCATCTTCGTCCGGGCATATCCGACGATCTTGATGTTTTGAGGCAGGAACTGGTTGCGGTACTTTTCAAAAGGAGTTAGACTTTGGATATAACAAGTCACGATCAATCGGAAAAATTGCTTACAAGTCCAAAGAGGGCAGGGAACTGTGCCATGTTAGCAATTGGCGTCGCGTTGATTGGGACTTATCAGCAAGGCTTACAGTCTTCTTCTTGGCCAGATCTCCCGAGGCACCAAGGACCACGATAACCGTGTTGTCCTTGAGCTCCATTGAACTATGTCAGACACGTTAGCTCGGCAAAAATACCCATCACAGACCTAGAAGGACTCGTCACGCCCGCGAGACTCTACAAGACTACAAGGCTGCAAGTCTTGTCGCGAACAGCAGTGTGCGATTTCGCCGTCGAGCCCTTCGTCATGATGAAATAGCGGGGTTGGCGGGGCTGACTTACGCTGCGGCAGAGTCCATTTTGCTGGTCTGAACGAGAACAGTCGAGTCAGCAAGAGTGCGTATGGTCGATGGGAAGTTTCTCGGACTCGAGGAACAGTATTCAGGATCAAGCCACAACTGTCAAACGTGCAGTGAAGAAGTCGGACTGAGTGCAGAGTGATTGTTCGTGAAAGATGTTGGAGAAGCTCTCGGGCAGATTGATAATGTTGGGTGCGGAAGTGGGGAGCTTACTCAGGGGGGCCCTTGTCGCTGTCCGTCGCTTCCTGGGTGTGCTAGCAGGTGTTTCGTGGTAGCCGTGAGTAAAACGACGCCGAGCACCTCTTGGGGGGGATCGTGACGAGCTTTTCCGGTTGTTTGCTTCACTTCGATTTCGGTTTCGGAGTGCTGGGTGCTGAGTAGTGAGCAGTGCTTCGTTCTCGCTCGGTTTATTTGTTTGTTATACGGGTAAAACGTGTCAAAACAGGTCAGACCTTGGATCTGCAGGGAAATCTTTTCTGGCGGAGCAAGCTTGTTACAAAGCAAAAAGCAAACTCCGAGAGTATGTCCTGGATCTTAGCGAATTCGGAAGCGTCGGGCTTAGATCCACCGTATCAATGTGGGCTTTGACGTCGATGGCAAGGCTTTCAAGGCTTTCAAGGCTTTTTTTCAGGGTCTCGTGAGTGATTAAGTCCGTCACCACAATTCCGCGTGGTAATTATCAGTCGAGAAGCAGTATACATATGTTCGCCAGCACCGGTGTCATGTACGCGTTCTTATCTACCACCTCAAATGAGGAGGCTGTCAATTCCTCCTCTGCATCCGCGCAACCAAGCAAGTGTGGCAAGTTGTTCAGCAGTAAGGCGGGGAGTTGCCATGGCTTGTGCTATGTGACAACCACAGCAACCTATTATGCACCGACACAGCGGCTCCGGAATTGGTGTTTCAGGCTCCCGCCGTGTGAAGTGCTTGTTTCTACTTGGCCGCCAAACCAGCCGACTCTGCCGGTGCGGTTCAGGCGGTTTTATCGGTATTGTATGAGAGGCGCGAGCTGTCGCTGTCCGAGAAAGATCTCTCCATGTAAAATGCGTGCCTATGCGCAGCTATATGCGCCGCTTACTTGATTGGCTGTCATCTCCAAGCTATAGTATGTCGTGGTGGGGTCAAGGCAGAGCTTGATAGAGCTCCTGAGGGATCTTTAGATAAATTGCCGCAGTGCGAGCGACAATGACGTTGCAGACCGCTTCTACATGGTTGCATGATGATTATTGATGGGTACTACATCAATAGCCAATTGATAGTGGAATCGGCCGTCAACCATGCACATGCACACCTGCTATCTTACCTAAGGTTCTAGACATGGCCATGAGACGCGGGAATGTGAGACGCAAGAGATTCCTTCAGATTCCTTCAGGATTCCCAATACCATGCCAGGCTCTCTCCGTGAATGCCGCTTCACACAAGACCCACCAGACATGGACGTGTCACAGAGCGCATTTGGGGTTCTCCGGTGTCCGGTGGTCCGCCTCATGTTTTTACGACATCAAGGCGGCATGACCAGAGCGGAGCACCGATGACAAAACAATTTAAGTCGGTTTTAGGACGTGGAGCGGAATATCTGCGCGATGCTGAAAAGTGGTATCTTGCACAGATCTTTCAGCAGCTTGCTGCACCATGATCCGCGAGATGAGAATCACACAGTATGGTAGATGCCCATGGCCTCCCAAAAATTTGGACAAAAACTCCGAATCAAATATGCAGAGCTCGGACAGTGTTACAAACACGGAAACAATCATGTCAGAAATCGCGCAAGAGGCTGACTGACATGCAACCATTGGTGGATGAAAGGTATGCTGGAAAGCTGCTTCGATTTTGGCTGTAAGACGATAAGACAATACCCGCCGCAGGTAGTATGCGTCATGGTTATCTCGATCAAGACATGTAGATTAGAGGATCGATCTAACTAAGGAGTATGGGAAATGAAAATCCTTATCTCCGAATCAGAAACTCCGCCGGCTGTCAAGAGCTGCCGGCTGGCAATGCTGGCTGCAGGACCGCCCCAGGTGCAACCTCACCTGGGCAGCCCTCTAGGGGAGACCCCACTTCAAATCGTGGCTTGACCGGGACTCACTAGCCACTTCTAAGAAAAATTGCATTGGGTTTTGTGGAGGGTGCAGAAGCCCTCGCGGATTAGACCCGATTTTGCAGAACACTCTATCGAAGCCTCCCTACCACGGAACACGACAACGCCAAAAGACAACGACGCCTATCGACAGCCATACCATACCTTTCGGATCTTCACCCCCATAGATTTCGAGAGCGGTGGAATAACACAGTCAAGATGCCTTCCGAAGCTGGTCACAGATGTGAGTATTTCCCTGCATTCCATGACAGTCCAAGTTCGATCTGGCTCCGTAGCGATGCGCCGAACAGTATCGCAGCAACCACTGAGATACGGCGCATTGCTGTTGGTCCTGGCCTGAAAATGCACATTGGACTTGCCCAGAATACCCGCTGACCTGTTATTCCTTTTTAGTATACGTCAAGTAAGTCATTCAACCACTCCCGATCTCTCCACCAAAAAATTGGCAATCCCGAACGGCCAGTGCGAAATGCTACGACGGAATCGACGGACGACAACCATGCTTCTACCGGAGATCGGAGGACCTGATTGAACGAGATTGATATGAATTGGATACTGACATGCTTCCTTTCAGGGGTCGTCACCTGAGCTACCAGCGTGGCCGCCACACCATCCACCCTTCGACCAGTCTGGTCAAGATCGAGGGTGTTGATGACACAGCCGCTGCCAAGTACGTTACACAACCGACATCCAACGACTGGGAACCGGGAATCAGAAACTGACTTGGAGTACAGCTTCTACCTCGGCAAGAAGGTCGCCTACGTCTACAAGGGCCAGAAGGAGATCCGCGGCACCAAGATCCGCGTCATCTGGGGCAAGGTCACCCGCCCTCACGGTAACTACTGCGCCCATCTTGTCAACATCTTGGACCAGTTCATACTGACTCGGTTTCTTTCTAGGAAACTCTGGTGTCGTCCGTGCCAAGTTCACCAGCCCCCTCCCCTCCAAGTCTTTCGGTGCCTCTGTTCGTATCATGCTGTACCCCTCTTCGATATAAGTGCAGAAGGGTTCTGGCCGGAGTTGGTAGTGTGGAATGGTTCATTTCATGAATTGGCAGCATTGGGTTTAGGGCAATGGATGCATGGAAAATGAATCGGCTGCAGCCTTGCGTCTAGCATCACAAAATCAAGAACAATACCAACAACACGACGACATTTTTCGAGAGCGATCAAATAGAGTGCTACGGCGATGGACGGACTCACATTCGGGAGATCGAGCCATGCTTGGCCATTAGAAAGACGCAATGAGAAATGCTTGTGATGAACAATCTACTTGGGAAGCATCGTGACGACTAGTGGATATTGACATCTAGGAAGGATTGACGATGGTCCAGTTGATCTTGTGACCGTCACCCACAGAAGCCGAGCCAAGATGTCTGAAAGTTCCTTGATCGTCCATCTGTCTCTAAATTCTCGCGAACACTTGCAACCGCCTCCGGGGCATTTCCATCGAGCAGAGGTATCACCCAACCGGCCTAGGACGATTCCATTCATATGCAGCACAGTTCTGTTTTTCGTTCTTCAAGAATCCTCGCTGGAGTTTATAGCACGTCCTACGCAAAGGCCAATAATCAAACGAGGCCTATGGTTTCGTTCTTTCTTTTTTCTTGCAGAACGTAGGAAACCTTTCTTCCAAGCACTACAATTCAATAATGTCCATCCTCAAATGTAGCTCTGAGAGGCATTGAGTCATCCCCAAACCCTGTGTTGAAACTAGGGACAATAATATTCGCCAATGGCGTGGAAGAGGAGAAAGGTAGTTACCTACGCTCACTTGGCTTTTTGGGCAAGGTTGAGTCTATACTGCTTCAACGGTTGCTGGGAAATCACTAGCAAGCTACTACGTGTAACAAGGGATTTCCGGACGTATTCTTGTCGAACGCATATAGAGCTCGACCCAATTGTTCACAACATGAATCTATCATGTTAATTTGAATTTCTTCTCCTTCTTTTCTTTGAGTTATGTATATATATAATCTTTGAGTTCCTTGCTCTTCTCTTCTTTTAGTAACATATATATATGTACATATATTCTTCCCAATTACAAGTATGCATGCCTGTGTTAAGTGAAGTACCTGCATGACCACCTTGTTGTTGAAGAGTATTCCCAACATTTTGATCGTGGCTGTTGTGCTAGTGTTGTGATAGTTGGATTCGGAGCTTCGGGACTCTGTCTCCAATCTCATCAAGTCGTCATCTCTTGGCCAATAACGGTAGCAGTGTCTGAAAAAGAAAAAGAAAAAGACTCTGGGCCTAGGCCGGTACTGTTTCTGTTGGCCTTTACCAGTGTCACGACGTGAAAAGCCTTGGAATCGGGACAGTCGACCAATCCCGCCAAAAAACTCCCTGGAGGGAATATTTTACACCGGAAACACAGATTTCCTCCATGATCCCCTATCTCGAAAAGTCAATTAGATACATGGGATACACGTATAGTACTTGTCATACGACAGACGACCATCCGTCTAAGGCGCTCCGAGTTTGACCTTTCGAAATTCCTCCGTTGTCCCTTTGATGGCCTTCTCCGTAGGTAACCTCTCCATACTACTCGCCCCAAAGAAACCCTGAATGCCTTTCGTTCGGCTGAGCACGTATTCCGCGTCCTCGGGGTTCGCAATGGGACCGCCATGACACAGCACGATAACATCATCCCTGACCTTGACAGCCGCCTCCCTGATGTCCTGGATCTTCTTGACGCTGTCATCTAGAGTAATGCCCGTCTTAGCGCCGATGCTGCCACTGGTCGTAAGGCCCATGTGCGCGACGATGACGTCGCTACCCGCCTCGGTCATCTTGACCGCGTCCTCGGGGCTGAAGACGTAGGAGCACGTGAACAGGTCGAGCGAGCGCGCGGTGCGGATCATGTCCACCTCGAGGTCGTACCCCATGCCCGTCTCCTCCAGGTTCTGCCGAAACACCGAGTCCGCGTCGATCAGGCCGACGGTGGGGAAGTTCTGCACCCCGCTGAACCCGATGGCCTTGAGCTGGGACAGGAAGTACGGCATCTCCCGGAACGGATCCGTACCGCAGACGCCCGCGAGCACGGGCGTGTGCTTCACGATGGGGAGGACTTCTGAGGCCTAGCCCACGATGATGTCAGTCTAAAGGCAAGGGGAAGGAGAGTAAAAGAAGAAGAAAAAACCAGGCCGCGGGGGAGAGGTACCATTTCCACAACGATCTTGTTCGCATCGCCATATGGCATCAGACCCGCCAAGCTGCCGCGCCCCGCCATCCGGAACCGGCCGGAGTTATATATGATAATGAGATGCCCACCTCCGCTCTCGACACACTTCGCACTCAGACCCGTGCCGGCGCCGGCGCCGACGATGGCGTCGCCGCGGGAGACGGCTGCTCGGAGGTGGTCGAGGACCTCCTTGCGTGTAGTCGGTCTTGGCATTTTCGGGATAGGTGTGTGTGATCAGCCCACACCGGGTCTTGCAAAGAACTTTGTGGTAAAGAAGAAACAGGACTTATGGTCTATTATAGTATCGCCGATATACACTTTTTACAAATTTCGCGGATGATCAGCTATCGGCTATGTGTATAGAAGAAAACAAATGCGTTTGGAAAAATGGCCGTCTATATGCGGCATGACGCAAATGGGCGCCTCTTCCCCACTTCGTTCTGCTCTGTCTGTCTTACATGAGAACATCGCAAAGCTAGGTTTCATTGTCAAGGTTAGGTTTCGCGATTTCAAAGATGGTCAGGTACATCCTATAAGCTAGCCTTACTCTGCAAGTTTCTTGTTCGAAACTTTTATTTTGGAAGGCACAGATGGTAAAGATAGGCTCGGCGACTCAGGAGATATTTATACTTAAGTTACGCTAACATCATTGTGTCTATGACCAAAACCAAAGAATTATATTTACAGCCCTTACAAAACCATCAACGATATGACGCTCCCAGAGGAAGTTGGCGGCGGTCCCCGCATTCTCCTGCTGGCGACATGTGACACCAAGCTGGAGGAGATCACCTACGTGCACGACCGGCTCACACAACTGAACCCCAAAAGCAACCTGATCCTGATGGACGTCGGGCGCAGCGAGCAGAAAACCCCCAGCCAAGGACTCATCAAAGTCAACCAGACAATGTTGTTCGCGCACGATCATCCGCCCAGGGCGAAGAACCTGCCCCAGATGTCGCGGGACGAGTACTCCACGGCCATGATCTCGGCGGGCACGCGCTACGTGCGGCGGCTACACGCCGGTGGCCCGCTGCACGGGGTGCTGGGGGTAGGCGGCAGCACAGGATCGTCGATCGTGGCGGCGCTCATGCGGGGCGGGGTGCCCATCGGGGTGCCCAAGCTGCTTGTCAGCACCATGGCGAGCGGCGACGTGGGCCCCCTCGTCGGCGGCGCGGACCTGACGCTCATGTACAGCGTGACGGACATCGCCGGGCTCAACTTCCTGTCCGAGAGGATCCTGGGTAACGCCGCCGCAGCCATTAGCGGGATGGCGGGCGCACGCTTCGATGTGGAGGGCCGGGCCAGAAATCATCACGACGGTGACAGGTAAGTGTTGAGGACAAGAGCAACGCATAAATGCCGTGATATTTTTAATCCGCCGACTAGGATTGTCACGTCTGACACGGAAGACCTTTTGTCATCGAGAAATCGAATGCGGGGTACTGACTTATTTGTGACATCTAGAAACAACACAAAAGAGTCCGGGGAGAAACACAGAAAAAATAGGATAGCAATAACCATGTTCGGCGTCACAACGCCGGGCGTGGACGCCATCCGCTCCATCCTGACCCAGTCACCACACAACGCAGAAGTCATCGTCTTCCACGCCACGGGCGCCGGGGGAAAAGCAATGGAGGCGCTGATAAGGGAGGGCTCATTTGACGCCATCGTCGACCTGACCACGACTGAGGTCGCCGACGAGATCGGCGGCGGCGTCCTGTCTGCCGGGCCCGAACGGCTGCTTGCGGGCGCCGAGGCCGGCGTCCCGATGGTTGTCAGCGTCGGGGCCTGTGACATGGTGAATTTCGGGCCGAAGGAGACCATGAGGGCGGAACACCTAGATGCAGCCGAGAGGGGGGAGAGGAAGCTGTATGTGCACAACCCGATGGTGACGCTGTTGAGGACGACGAAGGACGAGAACAGGCGGATAGCCGAGTTCATGGTCGAGAAGCTGAGGAGGGCGCAGCGGAAAGACTTGGTCAAGGTCATCATACCGATGGGGGCCGTGAGTATGATATCAGGGAAAGGCGGGCCCTTCGAGGATCGCGAGGCGGACGAAGAGCTATTCAGCGGAATTGAGAAGGGACTTCGAGGGAGCGGTATCGAGGTTCTCCGAGTTGACGAACTAGAGATCAATGATGAGCAGTTCGCACAGAAGGTAGTAGATGTGTTAGTCGAGTTGCAGAACACCTAGCTGCGCAACGAGCCATTTTCCTAACTGATTCAAGATATCTTGGAACAGGACTATTCTATAGCTGTAAGATGAACCATATTCCAGGGGTTTCATGTACTGCAAAACGCACCATGCTGATTTCCAAGCATCGACAAATCTGAATATAATATGAATGTCATATCTTTAGTGTTGTCCCACGTTGTTTAGGTGCCACTACCTTCCGTGAAGCCTTTTCATCGTATAGTATCTGCCTAATTAGTAAACACGACCTGTTCCCTCTAGGCATTTCTGTACTGGCCTCTAACCCTGGTCTAGTTCTTCTCGTCGTCGCTTGCCCGCATCTGCTCCAACCTTTCGGCACGGCCACGTGACAATCCTGGCGTCTTGAAGAGCTCATCAGTGTCAACCGTCCAATTACCATCGTCGTCTAAGAACCTCTCATTCTCCCTGGTCCACTCCTTGAACCAAAGATTCTCAGCCGGCATCTCACCGATCTGCGACGTTTGATTCTCAGTCGCCCATTCTAGGCCTGTGGTTCCCACATGATCCAGAGGCATTTGTACGGCGATGCCTAGCTCCTTCTCGGCGCGTTCAAGCATTTCAAAATGCCAGTTCCACATTCCTAACCCCTTTTCCGAGCGCTGGAACCAAGGTTGGCCATGGCCCCTTGCAATACGCATAGCTGCATCATATCCGGCACGCATAGATCCGATCGCGCCAACAGTAGTGTAACTAGGCCCTGCGACAGTCAGCTTACCCTGAAAGGCGGAGGATAGCTCGTAGTGCGCTCTGCGTAGACGGTCAACGTGGCCAACATTATGCTGTGGAAGACAGTTGCGGCACATCTTCGCACTAGTTGTTACCGGCTCTTCTGGGGATATTCCCAGATGCCGCTCAACAACGGCCATGGCCATGGCGGTGGACGTCTCCTTGTCCGGGAGAATGGACCAATCATTCCAATAGTGACCACCGAGCATGACAGTGAGTTTGGTGCCCTGGACATCCTTGCCCATTTCGATATCTGAATCAAACAGCACGCCAAGAGCACACTCAGGATTCTCCTCCGGAGGGACAGATTGAGGAATCAGATAACCGAACCCTGGATTCTCCTTGAGCAGATCTGGGTTAGGGTAGTACAGGTTGACGACCATGATAGAAACGGCCTCAGTAGCAGCAAGCGACGGGAGTGAGTTTGCCGGCTTTGCTAGTTCGGCAACGTCCCCTGAGAACAACGTGCTCAATACCTGGTCGTATTTGCCAGAACCTGGACCGGCATCGACAGCGACCTTGTTGTCTTGGAGTTCGAGAGCCGTGATAGGGGTGTTCTGCTTAATGGTAACGTTCTTCATGGCTCTCAGGTCGGCTTCAAAGGCTTCAACGAGGGTCACAAGTCCGTCACTGAAGGCAAGCAGGTTATGGTTTCTGGCCTTTTCGGCCATCTCGATGACAGCAAGCCTGTTGGGTCCATCTAGGATATCGTATTGCAAAAAAAACTCCTTTCGTGCAATCCAGGAAAGGCCCTGATGCAAGGGGAACATGTCCTGTTGCCAGAAATTTTCAAAGATGGTATGCTTAGCACTGAGCTTGTGTACGTCGCCGCCGTATATTCCATGAAGCATAGCAGAGACGATATTTGTGATAGGAGGCGAGTTCTTGTTGCCGAAGACTCGCCCAAGGAAATCGGCAACAGACTCGTCCTTGTCAAACACGGTGCGCGTATCCTTGATGGCCTTTCTCCTCTGTTCTACCAATGCAGGATTGCGGGTGAAGTGCCTGCTCCAGCGGGCAGCAGCACTGAAACATCCGGTCCATAAGGGCTCTGTCAAAATGGAGCGTATGGTCTTGATGATGTTTTCGAACGATAGCTTCTTCGAAGGAAGCTGAACGAGGTGGTCGGGGTAGTAGATGTAACGCGACTCGGCGGCTCCCTTGGGATATAATACTTTGTCTTGAAGATTCAGGTTTGCTACCTATAAGCCACGGCATTAGCATGTGCTGCGGAAAAGTCACAAGGTAGAGCAGAGTATCTGCAGTACTTACAACATCGTAGAAGACCAAATCTTCGTACTTGTTTGATGTAGCCCCCGACCTCAGCATGCGCGCTCCACGTTGCATCAGTACCTCTTCTCCGTCGCCGCCTGATACTCGAACGCGCTTGCCATCGATCCAGCCACCCAGCCTGTTGTCTCCCTCGTAGAGAGTAATGTGAGCATTCGTCGCGTGTCTGGCCAGGTAGTGCGCCGCCGTAAGACCGGTGAGCCCGCCTCCGAGGACGGCGATCTGGCGCGGCGGCTGTGACTTGTCCTCGTCGTGGGCTTTAGCGACAGTAGCATAGGCTCGGGGGTTGCCGCCGACGGCAGATAAACGCTGCACCTGTGCAAGTCTGAGAGGTTGAGTGCGACCCAGTGCAAGGCAGCTCAGGCCCCTTCCGGCCCTGTGAAGCTTGGATAGAGGAGCGGACCGCCGCCTCATTGCGCCGTGGCAGGCATGGCTGTAGGTGGACCTTAAAAGAGCTATGAAGAGCTCCTCAGGGTGTTTTGAAGTCATTGCTCGATGACAATGACAATTTGCCGTGTAATTGGCATGTCTGAAATGTGGTGATGTCTTCCGAGAGTAGCGGGACGCGAGATGTCAAATGAATGGATTATGAATGAATACTTTCAATAAGCCGATCCACGATGCGCCTCGGCCGCTAAAATGTCGGCGCGTCATGGGCATGGATATGGGCATGGGCATCGCATGACCTCACATCGCTGCACTGGGGGGGCCATTCATTCATGGACGCACTTTTTTATCGTCCATGTATCAGACCACGACTGACAAATCTCGAACGAGCCTGGCGAATCGATAATGTATTAACTTGACTCGGCTCTTTCTTTTTCATTCTTCATTCTTCATTCTCCGGTCCCAGTGCCGTTGCTTCGAGTCACTGTCCCATAAATACACGTAAAATACAAATAAACAATAAGTCTTTGATTTGAATCACAGAAAGAATGCACATTGGGTATATTTTGGTATCACGATGAAATCAACTGTTCCCGACTTTTCCTGTAGCCATATAAACGCCTGTATGATCTATTGCATTTCCCAATGCCTCGACGCCCGCTGCCTGCTGTGAGCGCGCAGCCATGCATGCCACCCTCGGCTTCTCTGACCTATAATACAAAGCTCACGTCCTGCTTTTGGGCTTTCTGCTTTCTGACTTTCCCTCCTCAGCCAGGCCTGGTCCATTCATCGTAGACTGTCATCATTCTGTTTGCTTCTCCATTAATGATCCTTTGATCCTCAAAAACCAACGCTTCATAGTTTGTCGAATTGCTTTCCTCAAAACCACAGGGAATATCTTCCAGTGCTGACACGGTACGTGGAAGCCGTAGCATTGCGGGGCCCAGAATGCTGGGAGGAGACGTCCATCAATCTATGCAACCTCCGCATCCATAGCAGCGTTCTCTGCCCCCGGGATAAGCTTCTCCTCGGCTTCGTTGCTTGTGAACTGCCTGTCGCTGACGTGGCCGTTACTGCCACCATTGGCTGTCCACACCTTGTCCTCGAAAGTACCGCGCTGGCCTTCCTCGTGCTTGTATGGACAGAATCGGTTGGTGCAGGGGTTGAACTTGCATTGAGTCTGAAGATGAGTAAACTTGCAGCCCTCGGTCTTGCAGTCGCCTCCATTTCGGCACACAGGCATTTCCGGATGCCTGAAGGGACACCTTGGGTTGGTGCAGTTTGGGTAGAACTTGCATTCCTGTTCACTTTGATGCGCGCGCTTGGTAGCTGGCGAAGGATGTCTGGCGACACACTTGAAGTTCTTGCAAGCTACGCCGTAAGTGCACACGTCGTTGACATCGACTGTGATGCCGGGGGGTGCGGCCGGCGACTGGTGGGCAAACTTGCAGTCCTTGTTGGTGCAAGCCAAGTTGTACTTGCAGATGGTAGTCTCTGGGTTTGGTGGTTGACGCTCACCACCCATTTCGACGTCGTCACCTTCGGCCCCTCCATTAGCTGCCTCGTCTTGGCGTGCGTGGTGTCCGTTGCCTTGATGGCCGCCCCTGCGGTTACCTCGGCCACGCTCTGTGCGATCGAACAACGACCTCCCACCGCGACCGCGACCTCCCTGCTGGTTTTGCCTCTGCGACTCAGCCAGTTGTTGTGATAGGGCTGCCATCATCTGATTTTGTTGTTGCAGAAGAGAGAAGATATCGCCCTGTCCGTTCGGGTTGGGGTTCGGGTTGGCCGCCATCATGAAATTGGGATCGTTCATGTTCATGCCGGGCATGCCGGGCATGCCTTGCATTTGCGCAGCCATGCCGTGTGCAATGTTGTTCGCCCTGTTGTTCATGGCACGGTTGTTTCCCATGCGACCAGCGCCGCGCGGGCCGGTCGGTGGCTGTCTGTTATGCGCGTTGATCCTTTCGTTGCCGCCACCTCTCACGCGGTGAAGGACAGAGTCATGGGATCGATCCATAGCACGGTTCACCTGGCCTAGAATGTTGCGCTTTCCCCGTCCTCCTCGAGCGTCACCATTTCTCATGGACCTGGGTCCTGTGGGACTTCTGAAGGTTAGCGGCAAGAATCAACTTCGAGGGAATTGAGATACATACGCATTAAGCTCGGCCATGGGATCGTTTGTGCCAATTTCCATGTCCTGGTCCATCGGCGCATCGGCTCCTTCTTGTGAGACATAGCCTGTAGAAACGCCACCGCCATTTATTTGCGCATTGTAAGAAGCAATCTGCTCAAAGAGCCATTGCACGAACTGGGCAACGACGGGATCGTCGGGACCAAGGCCGAGAAGATCACTAGCCAACTCGGCGGCGATCTCGTCTTGTGTCTTGCCGTTAACCAGCATAAGGAGAATGTATTCGGAAAGTGGAGAGTCGTCACCACCGTCTGAAGCCCATCCATTTTCGACGAGCTTGGGTCGGATCGCCGAGTTGAGGGCGTCGGCCAGTGGCGTACCCATGGTTATTTCTACAGCCATATTGAGGGATATCTATATCGAATCGAAGAAACTCGAGACGAGAGGTTCCCACGTTGACGTGAACTTGAAAGGAAGCGACGGGCTGTAGGAGGACGTCCGACAGAAGTGTTGGTGATCGACTACTACAGACGGCTGTCGCGTGCTGAGACCTGGCCAGGCTGCAGCTGAGAAAGCGGGATGTCGCGACAAAAAATCGAAGTCGGTCGTGGCAGGGTCGCGGAGAATACCAGCGATAATTATGTACTCCGGTTCCTTATGCAGCGGAAATTGCGTTTTGCAAAATGTATGGAGTGGGAGGATTGCTGAAACTGCTCAGGCCTGATAAGGAAATGGGGGTTTGGTCGTGAGCAGGATGTTATTGTATTGGATTGAATTGTATTGCATCGTTGCAGATGCGTGATGACAGAAAGGCTTGTGTGGGTCCCTTTCCCATTCATGAGGCGTCGTGGCTTGGATAAAGGTTAGTCCGAGAATCTCGAGAGTGTTTAGTTGACATTTTGCGCAGATTTGAGTTGAGTTGAGATGAACCGATTGTTAATCAGCCACAGAATGCTGATTGCTTCTGCCGCCTTCCGGAATCAGCCACAAGCTCATATCCCCCGCTAGTGATTACTATAGTACGCAGTAGGACTAACTTACGGCGTACTCCCTACAGTATGTAATTATCTAGGTCCATGGCCCAAGTACATAGCTCACAAGCTTAGCACGGACTTTATTCCCCCTCGAAGCAGCTCAACCAATTCCATGGGTGCTCCTACAAAAGCCCATTCCCTCATCTTCATCGTTCCAACTCCGAATCACCTCTGCCGACAACCATCATAGGCAAGCGTAACGAACAAGGTTGGGTCAACTGTCTACACAGAATCTGACAACCTGAGGTTGCACGTAACACATCCAACTTTTGTTTCGCATTTGTTTGTCTTTCAACTCTGTCTCATTGGCCCGGAGAAGAAGCAACCCTAAGAAGCAACCCCTAAACAATGCACTCACTCTATCCTCTATCCCCCAACCTGTGCTTAGTCATGGGCTTGAGTCACAATACCTGCAATATTTGGCTGCGATGACCGCAGGTTGCTGCAAGCTGTCCAATCTCAATTGCCAATTCCCTGCCGATACACATCTGTTAGATTTGACGATCGCTGTGAATTGATAAGACAAGCTTAGTACTCAGGGCTCGCAGCACGCTGTACCTGTTTGGCTTGTAGTGCCTGTGGTGTTGACCGACATAGCTTTGATGCGTGCGACCAATCCGGATTACATACAGAGAGTCAAGTATTAGCCGTCAAATGTTCGTCTGTGCTATGTGAGCTCGGCGCTTTGGTGGTCTTACCCGCTCGACTCAGCCTCAACATGTGGCCGAAAATAGGATCTGTTCGATACCCGCGCCTGCCGTCATCTGTACTTTAGTATGTACTATGCAAATCACTGCCGTCTTGGAGCCCCGCCATTCACCCCCATGCAAGTCACCCTTGGAACCATAGCCGAGTGGCCTGACGAATACATCCAAAATTCCTAGGTCATCATTCTGCATTCTCATTACGACCTTGCAATGTCATCTACCTGATTTCATTACAGCCCCAGCAAACGAATCCATCGTCTACGACGAAATTCACGGAGTGATCGGTTCGGGAATCGCATGTTCTTATTGTCACCGGGTCCTTCTATTCATCCTATCAACGCCCTGTAATGTTGCAACACGGACAGCCACATCTACCGTAATTCGTTCGAATGTCCCAAGAAGCACCTTAATTGGAACTCAACCTTAAAAAGCAGCTTACCCCACACGCCACTGGGGTTCATCGCCTTGATTGGCATCCCCTGTCGCCAACCAGCAAACTACCGCACCTCCCAAGGGGGCCTCTAAGTAACGTTGCCCTGCAGCTACGAGATCCAGATCCGAAAGCCTGAGCTACACACGTTTTCGCCAGAAGATCTTTGTTCTGTTCTCTCCATAATTTCTAGACTAGAGAATCTCTACCATCGTTTTCGCTAGCCTAGAAACAAAGAGGGACACATGAGTTCGAGGCTCTCACCTGACATCTCTGCATCCTTTGGTCGATCCTCATTCGGGGGCTAGTGGGTCTGCTGGAAGCTGAACCAACAACTTTGAACTTAAAAAGGCTTGGAGCCAACATCATACATACCGTCCACCCGTTGGCTTTAAAGTCCAGCTTTGGCACCGCCGATCCGTTAATCTTCATTTTCTGGGGACTGAAAGCTTTCTCACCTACTTGCCCATCATGAGGGTTTCGGACCTTGTCTTGAGCCTGCTCATTGGCATCACCCCAGCACTGGCCATATGGCCGATACCCAAGACCATCAGCACTGGCGATCAAACTTTGTGGATAGAGCATAACATCCAAGTCACTTATAACGGAGGAATAGTACGCTGGTCTTCCATGTCCAATCCCTCATCTCACTATGATGCAATGCATACTAATGAAATCGTGGTGCACCAACAGCTTCCTTGGTATGATGATGACTCTTCATCGCAAGCTACCACAGTTTCTAGCAAGGAAATTGTGCTTGGAGGAGTTTGCAGGGCTTTGAGCACCATCTTGGACAAGAGTTTCGTTCCCTGGAAGTTATACGCTCGTAATGCCGTTAAGCAGACGGAACCCAGCGCAGATAGGGCCAAGACGTGTATCACGGAGCTTGTGATTACGAAGACCGGCAACGATTCCACAGATACATGGAAGCCTTTGGATGGCACAGTTGATGAATCTTATAGCCTATCAGTTGGTCTTGATGGTAGCGCAAAGATCGAGGCTGTCTCGGCAGTGGGCATCTTACATGCTCTTGAGACCTTCACTCAGCTCTTCTACAAGCATTCCACAAGTGGCATTTACACAACTTTGGCCCCGGTCGATATCAAGGATGCGCCCAAATTTCCCCATCGGGGTATTTTGTTTGACGTGGCTAGAGACTTCTACCCTGTACCGAGCATCCTGAAAACTCTGGATGCCATGGCGCAGAATAAGCTGAATCGACTTCACATCCACGCAACCGACTCGCAGTCATGGCCTTTGGAAATTCCATCTATGCCCGAGCTGACCGAAAAGGGAGCATATGCATCCGTCGCTGTCTACTCAGCGGACGACATCGCCCACATCCAGCAATATGCAGTCCAGCGCGGAATTGAAGTCATCATCGAAATCGATACCCCGGGTCACATAGGTATCGTGGCCGAAGCATACCCTGACCTTATCACGGGATGGGGTTCCGCTCCATGGACAAGCTACTGTGCTGAGCCACCTTGCGGACAGTTCCGACTCAATGAACCCAAGGTAGACGACTTCCTCGATAAGTTGATGGACGACCTACTGCCAAGACTTTCTCCTTACAGCGCATATTTCCACACTGGAGGCGATGAGGTCAACTTCAACGTGTACTGGCTTGACCCTTCCGTGGGCACTAATGATTCAGCAGTAATCACGCCGCTTCTGCAAAAGTTCACAGACAACAACCATGCTCGAGTCAGAAAAGCAGGCTTAGTCCCGTTTGTATGGGAAGAGATCCCTGTGAAATACAACGTCACGATTGGTGATGACGTTATTGTACAAAGCTGGCTTGGCGCCGATGCTGTTGCGTCGCTCACGGCCAACGGCCACAAGGTCATTGACAGCAACTACAACTTCTGGGTGAGTGTCCCATAACGCCGGATATCATGATTTGACCTCTGATCATACTGACTTGGACTAATAGTACCTTGACTGTGGACGCGGACAATTCATCACTTTTGAGAACGGAGCTCCGGTCGACGCATACTATCCTTTCAACGATTGGTGCGGCCCTACCAAGAGCTGGCAGCTTATCTACAGTCACGATCCTGTTGCGAACTTGACAGAGGAACAGGCCAAACTCGTGCTTGGCGGCGAAGTAGCTGTGTGGGCCGAACTTATCGACGATCAGAACTTCGACAGTATCGTCTGGCCACGCGCGAGTGCCATGGGTGAGGTTCTCTGGAGCGGGCGGCTCGACGACACTGGTACGAACCGTAGTGCTGTTGAGGCGGCTCCCAGATTGGCGGACTTGAGAGAGCGCATGGTTGCGAGAGGCATCGGTGCTTCCCCTCTCCATATGGTATTCTGCACACAAGGAGGTAATGGATCGACTTGCGAGTGGCCGGAGTCAGCAGCAGTGTAATTCATTTGGGGGTAGGGGGGATTTGTGTAATCTCAATAAATTGCCGTGGTGCCTAATCACTCATGTCAGCTATGGTGAGGACGTGGAGGGATTGTTTCTTTGTACATACTTTACTCTATGATCTTCGTAAGGATTTCTGTGGGATTTTTCAGTCTCTGATTCCAACAACTTTTGAATCTAAATTCTACAGCCGCGCAAGTAATGTTCGCCTGGTCGTGATTAAATCTAGCTTTCGTTTGCTTGATGGTGTACCGCGTGCGGTCAGCTCCTGACGGTCATTTGTACAACTGTGTACACTTGCCAGCATGGGTTTTATGGATCTTTAGGTAGTATGCATCTTGCAGACAGAAAGAGAGAGATGGAGGGAGGGAAATCCTTTATTGATTTCCATTTGGTGACTTGTTCGGAGCTAGTGTATCAAGCGTTAAGTTGTATAGGGATAGATGACTGCACTCTGGTAGCTCACATTTCACGAGGCAGCTTTGTCAGCCATTGCTTATTATAGCAAGCTTCCCAAGTTCCAAGCTTGCAACGTTCACATGTGCTCAGCTGAGGGGAAATCTATCAAATATGGTGTCTCCAAGAACAGGGGTGTGCATATTACCATGTGCAAATGCTAGGACTCGTTTAGCAGTAATGGCACATCCAATGACTTTTGGCGCTCAGCTCTACCCCACACTCGGGGGATGCGAAGTACATCATGAGGATTGCCAACTCTGGTTCTGCAATAGGTATTGTGCAGAACATCTTCGGCGCCTCGGGTTGACGTGAGGGGTATCCATGCAAAACCTCCAGAATCATGTCCCATCTTCAACTGAATTTCTTCGGTAATGTTTGTGTTGACATGAAGTTCAGTATTTCCAGATATAAGTATCACTATATAATTAGAATGTAGCGCTCTAAGACAATAGGCATCGCAAATGCACTATTACGAGTTCCACTGTTCTGCTAACCAGATCGGGAATGCGATTCGGCATATGTACCATTTAATAACGTCAGAACTTTTTGGTTGGAAGATACATCTGGCACACGGATACAGCCACCCGAGCACCAAAGCTTTTTTCTACTGGAGTAAACTGGGATTTGACATGCGTTCACACTTGTATCGAGCTTTTCGACGAATACAGGTGTCAAGTACTTGAGAAATGGTGACATGGCTAGAACGGTATAGTAAAGCCCATAACTGATAGCTATATAAATTGGAAACTGCCACACCTATCTACATGCACCAACCCGCTGTCGCATAGCAGAAAAGATCGACAAACTGTAACTTTCACTCGGGACACTAAACCTAGCACGCTGCAAAACTTCCGTGCTGTAGAAGCAGAAAACGATACCCCACAATGTGCATCGCCGTGAGCACCTCGGTACTGCTCTTCTGGGACAACCGTCGTTCTCTTGTCGTCACCAAGAAGGTCTGCCAGGCGTTGCATTTTCGATGATGCTTTTTCTGTGACGGCCGCGGCATATTGCAGATCCTGCATCACCGTACACATCTGGACAATGTTTTGGTTTTGTACTCCATTTGGATAGTGTGTCCCAGCCTACATAATAAGAACCATCCCCGGAACGAAATACCCACAGTACCAGAGACCCCTGTGGACCGGGCTCGCGGCCCACCAACCATCCGAATTAGCACTCATCCAAGCACTTCGTTCATGGAACTGGCAAAGACGGAAGTTGTCGCCCCAATCAGATTCTTCCTATTATATACAAACTACAGTAGGCTCCCCTGAGAAAGACATGATCCCTGATCTCACAGGCCTGTTCTAGCTTGATTCTCCAACCCGAAACCCGAACAATGCATCGGTTCTCAACCGTCGGAATCGTCCCGTAGATCCAAAGCTTGGGTTGGCACCCGTGACAGCTCAAGAAATTGTACTTTAACGAACCTCGTCGCCGCTACGAGAATTCTACATACATTAACCAACACAAACAGTTGCCCACGCTAGCACTAGCAAGGTTGATTGTCTTAATCGGCATCGTTATTTCGATACTCAGGTTTGAGGGATACTCAAAGCAACAATTGTAAATCCTTGCAATTGAATGTTCAAAAACATAGCTTTCAAATCCGAGGTCGAACCGGTGAACTCATTCCATCATGGGTATCATTGAACTTTTTCTGGAGCACCTCTCTGTCAAGGGACTCTTGGTTTTCATCAGCGCCAGCTTAGTTCTCTACAGGATTGTCAGCGCTGTCAATAAGAGGCAACGATTAGGTCGTCTACCTGGTGCTCCAGCCCCTCGGTTCAAGGATAAATGGCCTTTGGGTGAGTTCGGTTCAAAGCCTGGTTGGCTTCCAATTTCTCATGATGTGCTGTAGGTCTCGGTGTTGTCGCAGGTCAAGTAGATGCGACCATCAACCACAAAAATCTCGAAAACTGGTATCATCTGATGAAAGATGTCCCTGGCAACACCGCCGAAACCAATGTAGTCGGGCGCCGCTTAGTGTTCACTTCCGATCCTGAGAACATCAAGGCTATATTAGCCGCACAGTTCGCCGACTATGGTAAAGGCGCACCATTCCACCGTGATTGGTCCGAATTCTTGGGTGATAGTATCTTCACTACTGACGGGCAGAAGTGGCATGACAGCAGACAGCTGATCCGACCGCAGTTTGTCAAGGAGCGTATTAGTGACCTGGATTGCTTCGAGTCGCATCTTGATACCCTGTTCAGGGCTATTGCCAATGGGCAAGCGCTCAGCAGCGTAGGGCAGCACGTCGACATCGAAGCTGGGAACGGAAAGACAGTGGAAATCAGCGACCTCTTTTTCAGATATACATTGGATGTTGCGACAGACTTTTTACTAGGTCTAGACGTTCAGTCTCTCACGTAAGCAGTGTCGCCCAATCATAGGATATTGGCTTGAGCTCAACGAACTAACGCATAACCTAAGTACGCCACGTCAGGAATTCGCCGATGCCTTCAATGAGGTGCAAAGAGTACAAAACATCAAAGCAAGGGCCGGTCCTCTCCAGGCTCTTGTGCCTTCAAAGACGTTCCGTGCCGGCCTCAAAGTTATCAACAAGCTTTGCGAGACCTATATTGATCGGGCATTGCGACTAAGCCCTGAAGAGCTCGCCAGCAAGACCAAATCGGATGAAGGGTACACCTTTTTGCATGAACTCGCCTCCTTCACTCGCGATCGCACCGTAATTCGCGATCAGCTCGTTGCCGTTCTGCTCGCTGGCCGGGACACGACCGCTGCAACTCTGTCCTGGACCATCTACGAGCTTGCGCGTCACCCAGAATGTGTCCGCAAGCTCCGCGATGAGATCATCGACCAAGTCGGCCTCGAGCGTGCGCCCACCTACCACGATCTCAAGAGCATGAAATACCTCCAGAACGTCATGAACGAGACCCTACGTCTTTACCCCGTCGTGCCCTTCAATGTGCGTCTTGCTCTCAAGGACTGCACTCTGCCTCGTGGCGGTGGTCCGGATGGCACCCAGCCCATCCCGGTTCTGAAGGATACGCCCATCGGTTACAGTACCATCGCCATGCAGCGTGACGAGTCGCTCTACCCGCCACCCAGCGAGAAGTTCAAGCCAGTCCTGGAGTACAGCCCTGAACGGTGGTACAACTGGCAGCCGAAGCCATGGCAGTACATCCCATTCAACGGTGGCCCGCGTATCTGTATTGGACAGCAGTTTGCGCTTACAGAGATGGGATATGTGCTTGTAAGGTTGTTCCAGAGGTTCGAAAGGGTCGAGAGTTTCATGCAGCAGGTTGATGGTGGAAACCCGAGGCTGAAGGCCGAGATCGTGTTACAGCCTGCTGACGGCGTAAAAGTCGCTTTCTGGCAGGCTAAGAAATAAGGAATGAGAGGATCCGGACTGAGGGTATGTATCATACAACGGATGGCATTTTATACGTTCTCGTTTCACCTGTAGTTGATCAACACATCGAGGCCAATCACCTGGCATGGTACCAGCGCCAGCTTAGTACCATTTAAAGCTGAGAAATGCAATTCAGCATAGTTGCTGGTCTGATTTTATTTAATACTCCATGGATGTATTATTACCCGTAATATATCTAGGACTGGGCAGGCATCGCAACATGCTGCGGCTCCTAAGTTTGGAATATAATCCTTGTCTCTTCAATAATCTCAAAGTGAACTATAACAATTTTCCAAAACAATTATCAAAAATTTTCTACTTCAAACGGAACATCAGAGTATCTAGAAGTCCAGGTGCTCGAATGGGAGGAAGAGATCTATTACCTTTTTCATATTGCATTTCCCTCGAGTCAAAATCTAGCAATTATTACCATAAGTTGAACGCACCATTGTAATATTATGTTCGCAATCCATAAATTGTGAATTTGGATGACTTCATGTTACTGGTGGACACAAATCTCACTTTTCTAACGTGATCATAATCAGAACGGCATGAAATTATTATTGCTATTAGCTAATCTATCAGCGTAATTCTGAGACGGAATCTTTACTGATTTGACCTTCCTAAACCATACCGCCACTCATGCAATAACTCATCCTTGCCAATTATGGATCAGTCAAAATTGCTGCTAACCGACGAATCGTCTGTATCTCATATGCAACGGTGTGACTTTAGATGCCAAGCTGCTTCTGATCCAACAGATCAACTGGCCAAAATCTTGGCATGTTAGCAACACGCTCACGAACCCATGCCTTGCTTGATTCTTCGTTTGGCCAGATCTCCGTGTCCCCGCATACCAGCCAGTCGCATCCTTTATCATCATACCTGGTCGTCATGGGAGACAGCGACAGGAGATGTGCCTGCATCCACTGATGCTCCATGCATCGCCTGGCCCGAGTCCATTTGCCCTTCAATAAATTCCACGGCTTCCGGCCATTCTTACCGACACGTATGACGCCACAGTCCTTCAGATTCGGAAACTGCACGAAAGGCGAGTTGAAGCCGATCATCCATGTAACACCTTCGTCAAAGTCTACCGTCCATTCCGCTTGGAAGATAAGATGCTCCACATCGCGGCTCAGAGGGCGGATGGAAGGAAGATAGCTCGGTTCCACCGGGCTGCCCTCCAGGAGCACCCTGTCGCGGCTGGGGTCGAACCAGGTGTTGAGGTTGATGTCTGTGAGCCTTCGAGGACGGCCATGTTTGAGAGCGACGTCGCGAGCCTCCTTGCAGACGTGAGAGATTGTAGGAGGCCTGCCCAACGGAGAGGTTAGCGGTACACTATGGAATGTGATATCGTATCATAACGATGAGATGATGATTAAATCACTTGGGGGCCGCCGGGTGGGGGTCTGGGTTTTTTTTTTGGAGGGGTTGAGCCATTCAGCAGGATCACTGGATAGCTGGCTCGAAATATCCAGGCTGAAAGCAAAACGGGTGGTGACAACATGTGTTGCGGGCAGAAAAGCAACCTACAGAATCGCACGGTTTGCCACCATGCTATACCATTGCTGACAGCCGATGACGAGAGTTCGGCCCGAAGGCAAAGCGCATTCCCAAACGACCAGGCGCAACTCAAGTGGCAAGCTGTTCCAGGTAGTCGTCGGTTGGGAACTAGTCTTGGGTCTTGATGACTTGCTTGAAGACATGTTGGCTGACAGGTGAGTTCACGATCAGTTGTTCCAGTGATTCCGAGGTGACCGAGAGAGCCGTAAACAAGTTTAATGATGGGCCGATGATGGGTTGATGATGAGGTGTGAAAGAAAAGTGTTGCTGCAGCTTTCTCGATCGTTGGCAAAGAACCGGAATCTGACTTGCTTTGTGAACAACAGGAACCAGAAGTCACGATCCAGTGGGACCGGAAGCAAAGTTTTATTACCCCCCATCGGCGACATACCTTCCAAACACAATAGCTCAGTTCTATGTCCAGAGATGAGATGTCATTAGTAGACCCCTCATCGGCGACATGCCCATTAGAAGTTGTAACTCAGTTCTGCTGACGGTAGACTCACTTAGAGGTTTAACATAAGGGGTTTCATAGCATGACTGCACAAGAGGCTTAGAAAATTATGTATCTTCCAATTCAGGGGCTCTCGTATGTGTATAGGCTTAGTCTACTATCAGCTAATTGTTGCCTTTCATCGTTATCTAATTAACAGAAGCAGACATGACACTGCTCATCTGCCAACCTCACAAAGGTGGTCTTTGAGGTACCAATCCTCAGTCACACCTAAATCATCTCAGATTCGTAAGCCTAGAAGTGGATAGCCTTAAGTTCTTCAACTCTCTAACATCCCCCTAAAGATTTCCACCGAGAATAAGTTACTCCCAGTAAAACGCTTCTAGTATATAGTAGAGCATGGGCTTACTCTAGTATACTTGATGCACTCATGGATGGCTATGACTGGGAGTCTTGCCACCTTCGTCATCGACGATCCCCAGGGCCTGGTTGAAGGTATTATCATCATCATAACCCATCGCATGGAGAGTATCTATGAGCTGGTCCATAATCCAATCCATTGCCCAGGTTCTCTTGGATCACCTGCAAAAGTCTGTGGTCCTCTTGCCACAGAGCACGGAAGGCGGTCGTTCCGACTTCAAGTCCATGAGAATATCTTCAGTTCGGGAAAACGACAAGGGGAGGTTGGACCAAAATATATCACCCATAATCAAAGGTGTATGGATGATAACATGCTGCACTTCAAGGCTTAGGGGGCCGAAATTAGGGACGTCGTTATAAACCCAATTCTTAGCTGTATATTCGTACCCCATCGCAACTTGCACCAAACTATGTAGTTGCATTTTGTCTCTATCATATCACAAGTATAGAGCGTCCAGCGCACCCAGCCTCAGTTGAAAGAATAATCATTTTCTAATAGGACAAATAGTCCTCCGAGAATTGCTCACGTCTGCCAGGAGGCTCAGGCTGCTGCTTTATAGCACAGCTGTCCTCGATCAAATGGACACATGGTTTGACTTGTCGCCTGCACTAATCGAACTTGAGACCTCGACCATCTAGTAATACTAATCCCCAGATCACAAGTCAAAGCTCAGTGGGTAGCTGGTTCACCTGAAAGAGCTCCAGCGAGGTAGCTAAATGGCCGACTTGACAGAAACGCTTGATGCTACAGAGCCCATTATTATTTGAGACGATGTAAAAGGATGGGCGATAGAGTAGTAAACTGTGTTATAGCAGTTGAAGTTATAATTATGGGGAAAGCCGCTAAGACCAAAAAATATAAGGAAAGCTTGAGTGCGACAGGTGCTTATTTGTTGAGGTTGGGAGTTTTATAAACAAACGGACTAACCTAGATAGATAGTGTATAGCCAGAGAAGGCGTTAAGGAAGAACGAAAGGCAGGTAAGACTGGTCGGTATCTTCAAAGGCAGAGAGAAAACGAATCCGGAAATTATCTTAACACCGTCGTTCAGTATCCAGCAAACAACGAAGACGTCATTTAAGGACACGAAAATCTTGAAATTATGGCAGTTATGCCACGGTCGGAATCTATCAATTGGTGAACAAAAGAACTTGGTCTAATCAGGCTATCGACATGATATTTTGTCACCTGCTATATGCCCAGCACCGTCATTTTTCGTAAACTTCCCAACCCCCAAAAATGGCAGTCGTTCGACCGGTGCTCGATTTATTCACGTCAGCCATACTGAGCCGACCACAATCTCAAAGGCACCACTCCTACGAACAGTATGTGGAAGAGGACCAGCCCGCATGACAGTGTCCTGGCCGCCCCCACGGCTTATGTTCAAGGTCGTGGCTTGATAAAAGAGAAGGTAGGATAAACCTTAGCTGCAGCTCTGCATGAACCTTCCCGACGCCGATCCCCAGAATATTGAATGCTCCTAAATTCCCATGCCGTGATTATTTTCCAGACCGTTGTGGAATATGAGTCTTGACGGTACATCCTGATCAATGCCGTGCCATTTCGTTGTTCGATTCCTCATGGGGAAATTTCTACTTTTCCAACGATGACGCCTTATTCTTAACAACGCCGGCATCTCAGAAATGTATGTTCAGTGTGCTTGTAGACTTACCGCTTTGAGACGGTGTCAATGGCGTGTCATGAGCTTTCTAGCGCGTCTGTAGACTGCCCCAATTATGACAACATTCAAGAACCTTCTGCGTTCGAACTCAATGTGCCGCTGTCAAACTGTGCAGGAACTTCAACCTCCTGCTGCGCCAAAGTTATATCTTCGTAGCCGTCAGGTTTGCGTCAAATGCAATGACGTGCTGATCTTTGTTAGTTGTAGCCTGTCAGCTTGAAACAATTTGAACCCTGACCCCGGCAGTTCGGGGCAAGACATTGCACCACATGTATCAATGAATCGAGTAGTCACGAAAGAAAGAATGCTTTGTTGAAGCCAAATACATGATGATATTCGTTGATGGCGACTTGATATTGTGCGCCAAATAATAACACGCTGACATACATGATTGGGTCAACAGGATATACGGGTCTCCTCCAGACACGTTATACAAATGGCCCAGATTCAGGTAGTGGCGCGAGTTCCCTTAAATACCAATATACCCTTCTAAACAATCGCAGGTGCTGTTCTTGACCTTTGGTAATCGAGTTGTAAAAGCAATCCATTCCCAAACGCCGGGGGTCATGCCAGACCCCAAGATGCCTACCAGTCCTCGGACTGTAACTCTCCTGAAATGGAGTGTGAATGTCATAATGGGCATGGGGTATAAATGAACCCGTCTTCTCTTTTTCTTGAAAACCGCAAAAGTCCATGCCTCGTGTCGTACGCCAAGCCATGAGTTTCTAATATCACAAGGTGAACTGGTGGTCAAAATTCGTGTTCGCTGACCAGGATATAAACACCCCCAGGACCTCGTCCATAATGGAGTATGGAGCGGTGGCCAAGGGAGTTCCATGCTTAGGAATGAAGTTAACATGCTGATGATGCATATGTTGACCTTGTTGTCAACGTGAAAGTTTGATGGATGTATGTGAGAACCCAAGAGACCGCGTAGACGTCGTGATGTTTACATGGCCTCGGATCGATCACGGTAGAGCGACAATTGACGAAACTCTTCCCATAAAGGCGACGAGCACTCATTTTCTGCCCCGAGTGCCTGTAGCAGTGATTTTTGAGGTGCTCATCAGGTCGCCAATATACTTTTGCAGGAACTTGTTGTTGTTGTCCAGCTTGTCGTGCTCTTCTTTGACGGCTTCGATACGGGAGAAGATCATTAGCAGGGAATCTTGCAGTGCCTTTGCGTGCCTAGGAAGTAGTTAGTACGCGAGATGGCATAACGCTTGATCAATGCTTACCGGTGCAGTTCTTCTCTAGCCTCTCGTCCCATGTTCTCCAGGTCCTCGCTTGTTCTCCTGGGACTCATGGCTCTGACATCGCCGGGTCCAAGTTGCGGAGGGTTTGGACCAACTTGGTCCGAGTCCCGGGGGACGATAAGAGTGCCGCTGCTTTTGCGGCTGGTCAGTGGCGGCCTGGTAGGGATCGGCATTTGTATCTCGTGCTCCCCAATCGAAGATCCAGACGAGGAGTCGGATCTCTCTGGTCGTGGTGGCATTGGTGTGTCCTCCATCTTGATGTGATTTGAGTTGAGAAAAGGGGTTGGTATGCTGAGGTGGCTCGGGACCTCTCGAGTGAAATTGTTGCACAGATTATGAATTATGTTGGTGAGCTGCTGCGGAGGGCCTCGTATAGTTGTCCCAGGTTCGGTATTAGGATGGTCCTGAGCGGATAGAGTCGACGTCAGGCAGGCGATGGACGGTCCTCAATTAGACTACCCGACTTGTTGCAGGCGTTGGCGCAACGCTGTTATGCGAATTAAGCTGAACAGGGGCAAGGCAATCTTGCAGTGCAATGCGAAGCGCGGCGACAGCTGAAGAATAGAATGGAATTACTGGTCGTGCCGTTCGTATGTTATGTTACGTTATGGTGTACTCGGCGAGGACTGAGAAGGTGAAGTAAAGGTGAGAAGCCCCTCTGCGCGGGTGGTGCAAGGTGCAAGATGTGGTGCAGATAGAGAAGAAGGCTGGCGCGGGTGGTTTGTCTTGGCTTGTCTGTTTCTCGTATAGCCTGGGGGTCCTGAGGTCCTGAGGTCCTGAGGTCCTGAGGTTCTAAGTGGAATGCATCTGCGTCTGCGTCTGCGTCTGCTACTACGTCTGACAATGTTCCTCGCGTGGGATGGAACGGTGGCGTAGGATTTGGACTGGGACTTGGGACTTGGATTTGGATATCCCACTATGTATGCAGTCAAGATTTAAACTTGGACTGGAAGGGAACGCAGCAGCTCGGGATGTTCCAACCATAAAAAGGGAAGCCAAGAAATGCTAGTTAGAAGAGGCAACAGACGCAGGAAGGGTTCGCCGGCCCAAGGGTCAGTAGCGCGTAGCCACTAACACCAGGGACTGTGTGGCTCCTTTGGAGAGATTGTCAGGCAATTTTGGGGCAGGCGGAGCTACTCCCCTAGGTGTCGTAGCGATCGTCATCCAAGTCGACAGTTGACCAGGGTCGCGATTACTTGGGCCTGTTAAAAGTGCACCGCTCCAGTAAATGTCGGGTACTACCCAGGGAGATTGAGGTTAGGGGTCTTTCTTTGTGACTCGTGGGCCGGCGTTGATCGGCGCTGAGCATTGTCAAAGCCTCTGCAACTGAACACTCAAGAGCCACTCAAAATGGCCCCCCTAGTATCCCCTAGTATTCCGTACGGAGAGAGAGAGGGAGAGTGAGGTCAAGGACGAAAAGACTGCGCCAACCGTTACGCTGTCAAGTGACGACGATAGCCGCCCATCGCCTGCTTTCACCTTGATCCTCACCATACCATTCAATTTCACATGACCCATCGAGGGTCTACACGAGCATTCTTTACCGTGGTTACGCAAAACCTTGTACAAAAGTCTACAAGAGAAATGCTGGCCAAGTTTCCCCGTCTCCTGACGACTACAGTACGACAACTTTAACGTTAGTGCAAACCCGAGCACCAAGTAGGGGTCCCCTCCAGCGCGTTAAGCTTACTACCGGACACACACTACCACCAATAACCCCCCCAGCCTTACAGCACCTATCATCTCTGCAGGGTCGCAATAATAACAATGATGGGAACAACGGCCATCTGTACGCTGTACGCACAGAAGCCTGTACTTGCCTGTAGTCCCGAGGGTCCTGAAACGTGTGAGACCCTGGCGAAGCAAGCAGCTGAATATTATGTACTTCCTGCATTGGGAAAGGCTCCTCCCGAACGAAGTCGACTCAAGAATTCCCCGACCGCCACAATTAAATACTATGTACACCAAGATGGTGCACGACAAAGGAAACAGTACAAGCTGCAAACAGTGGATGATCGACGCTTGTGACGCCACTAAATCGCTTATGATTGGCGTTGCCATGGTCCCTGCGAGCTTGCAGTGGGATTCTCAAAACCTCTTTGATCCGGACATGGGGGAAATCATTGACGCTTGTGGGCTCAAACATGGAATTTCGTATGGATCATGGCCATCCTAATGGCGAATAGCAGTCCATCCTTTTTCAGCACCGACTCCTTTTTCTTTTCAAGCCTTCAATCCCCCGGCAATTCAAGGCCGGTTTACAGGGAGTGTCGCGATTGCTTCACTTCATTCATTCAGGTAAAAGATTGACAGTCGCCCGTCACATCATGGAGCCATTGCCGAAACCATGACGATGTTAGAACAGCCATGCGCTCCATTTGACCAGCGCTTGCAACAAAAGTAAGCTCGCCGGCTTTTGCATTGCCGTTTGGGAACATCGATACGCTATCATAAAGGTTCGTCTACCGGCGGAAATCCGGTGCATAAAGTCTGCTATGCCATTCTCGAGAACATCTTCTAGCTTTCCGGGTTGCAGCACATACCTACTCTGTACTCGAGATGCTTAAACCAGGAGACTATTTGGTAACGAAAAGTTGCATCCCCCCCCCATTTCACCAAGAAAGGACACCCTGGTCGTTCCCACCGAGGCTTCGCAACCACTACCCAGGGACTTTGAGTGCCACCTCGTGTGTGTTCATCCCACCGTAATTATGCGGGATGGACCCTGAAATCTCACGGATGTCGGCGGCATTGTGAAGAAACAACGCATCACATTTTTACCAGTACGGTGGTTTCACGCTTCACCCCATCTTGACCTCGCACATCAATAAAGACTTTGTGTATCCAAATCTGTTTTGGGGAACTCAAGTTGAATATGACATCACCCTAACAAGCAAAGGCTTTTGGCGGTTTGGGAACATGTACACAAATCTAAATGCCGGATACGTGAGTATTACTGTACGTAGTTCTCAAGCATGGTTGTCACTTGACACACCGAGAAGTCTCCACACATCACCGACATACAACCATGTTCCATGGTACAATGATGTCACGATCAGCACTCAGGTACTTGGCACAGTGCCCAAGCCCTATGCAGCACGATGAGGACGTCCCTATGTTGAAATGTCCACAGGCGCTGTTACAAGGCGCCTTACAGCGCTGTATGGGATAATTCATTCTCGAAACGACGACAGCCTCAAAACAGTGTGAAGTAACATACGAAACTGTACCCTCTTGTCCAGCTTGCTCATCTCACTCACACTGCCATGTCTAGGAGATTTTGAGACATTTTTCTGCAGCCAATCGTCGAATCATTTCCTCCAGCGGCAGGTATAATAGCAATCCTCATCACAGCGCATACTGAAGAGTAAGAAGCTTATTCTCTTCGACAGTGGATGCTCATTCCCGAATGTGTACTCCACAAGGAACAGGATTGCCCGTTGGTTGTCGCCTTCATATGCATAGTATTGTCTACACCCCCTGACCCCCTTCCCTTTCAACTGACCAAGTTTCTTCCTCGAGGTTTCGGTGAGGCGATTCTGAACTTCTAATCGTGCCGGGAAACTATGTTCCAGTTTCCACGAGGCGGACAGGGACCGGAATGACGACATCGGCTGACTGTAGGTACCTAAAATGCAGTGGCACTTGGCGGCAGACAAGGAGCAGAAGCCTTTACTACTTACTGTATGCTGTGCTACATCAAAATACCAGCATTTGGGCTATCGACAAGGTCAGAAGTAACGTGTTCTATGCCGCAAGCAGACACCCGGCGGCACGAGTGCATGAATGCCTGTAGTGACATCATTAATCTCACTCCAGAGCTCTTATGGGAATGATTTTGAGACAATACAAATTCTCCCCACAACGCCTCAGCTCTCTCGGGCTTTTGGCAACCTGGGATACCTGAAACTCCAACCCTGATCCACGGGCCGAAGCTGCAAGGCTCACTCTGCGAAAGTTCAAGTGGACTCGGTGCAGCTTTGTCATTTTGTTCGGGCACTACAAACCTTGTCAAGCACCGTTGCAGCTTACAGCTACATATGGTGTCCGTCCGATGCAGGAACCTAACAAGTTTTGTTCTAGCAAATTCCTCATTTTGCGGAGTCACCATCCCGGAAACACGAAGCCGGACACACAGTAACTCAACTATCAGACCGCTTGTTGGGCAATCTACGTGCATGTCAGCATGCTCGGCGTTGGAGTGCAGCAGATCGTCGTCTTTTAATCCATTGATTAGACGTTCGCTCAGCGTTTCTTCTCGTGCTGCCGATCCCCATGATTCCCAGGTGGCACCAGCCATTTTTGTTATTGAGCCAAGCTGGAATCAGTAATTCCAGGAATGAGGGTTCGGGATCGGAAATAACATTCCTCAAAAAAACGCTGCCAGAGGTAGTTCACAACTTAGAGCCCCTCAACCAACTATCTTGACTAAGGGCACTAATAAGATATGCCAAAACAGCTGGGTCAGGTTCATTTACTACTACGATAGCGTCAGTCTGGTGGTGGATATCCCATGAATTACTTTCTAGCTGCACAATATGAGCTCCGCCGCTTGACTAGTGGCCATTTCCGCTTTGAGCGAGCTACTGGGGTTGTAATTGTCCACTTTGACCCTTTGAGGGTTGAGGACCCATACAGTTTCCGCGCATACTGTAAGTCAGCAGGACCTAATAATTAGGTGCGCACAGAATGCGAAGTTGGTCTCCCTCTCCAGCGGATAACGATGGCCATGATAACTGCTCCATTCATCGGGGCTTCTTTGGTGGTATTGTGGCCCAAGAAAATGTTGACAACCATTGAGGCCTTACAATGGCTTGCTGTTCGTCTCAGAGTTCTCAACCTTGACAGGTTGTTATGACTCGGGTATCTACTCAGAAACCTTACGGGATTCACATGCCCGTACAAACTCTGATGAAGAGCAGAAAGTCTTTCTCTAGTCGAAGAACGAGGATCCTATATTCAGATACTAGTAACATAAATAAGTCTAACGATTTCTGTATTGAATGTAAATGTTCATGGCATTTCTGTAAAACTCGGGCCACGGACAGTAGGAACCTTGTGAACCCCGTTACGAAGGCAACTCGGAAAGCTGCCCAACATCGTGAACCCCGGCAATCGGGTCCATTTCTTTGGACAGCTGATTAAATCGTTCACGGACACGTGAACAACCTGTGACTCCCGAGACTCCGTAGCAATATTGCCATCCATCTCACGATGGCAAGAGATTCTCGGCTGTGCCACCTCGTATAGGAAAGATCATATCGTGAGGTGGTGACGCGTTCACGAGGATAGCGTCGCGCAACTCCGAAGAAATGTCTTATGCAATGCTTTCAAGACTGCGGTCTTCCCGCTCATAATGGGGTTGCCACAAATGATGGGATGGGTATTGAGATGGCAGCAACAACAATGATTACAAACGGGCTTGCCGCGAGTACTTCGTGAATCCTGTTGGAAAGTTCTAGGACACTGGAACGTCCCGGCTCAACTGCCTTGTACGGGACGTCTGCCCGAGCGAATGGTCAACGTTGAACCGGTTATGTGCTTATCACAATCGGTAGTCGGCACAGATATGTTATGATCGTCCATACACAAACTTGGACACAAACCAGGTTCAATGTCTCAATGCTCATCGCTATTCAGGATTGTGACCATTATTGGCCATCTATTGTCGCAAAGTGCTAGCAACTAAAAGAATGAGTATTTGTGCAAACTGCAAAAGATAATGCTCATATCAGAGCCAGGTTACACTCCGAATCGGGGAATCGAACCCCGAGCTCCGCGGTATTATGATCTTGAAGAAGAATCATGAAAACGCGAAATGTTGACCGTTACACCAATTCGGATGAGTTGGTTGTTGTTCGTTGAAAAACCTCGGCTTAATTCGGCCTATACTAACACTTCTCCAGCCGGGGGCTTCGCTCCTTAACCACACCAACACTAGGAACCGGAGACGAACATAAAGAAACTGTTTCGTTCAATTCCAGAAAAACATTCTAACTTTACGAATCATCATGTTGTAAAAGGTATGTGAGATCACAATGAGTTGTCTTATGGGCCTATACGAGGTAGTTATAATTGAACTCGAATTGTTGTTTGCCAAAAGAGGCTTGTATATGGTTTAACTGGTACCCTAACCGGTGTCTTAGCACGATTCAGGGTTGTTGAGCAGGTTACCAGCCACTAGTAATGGCCGCCAGGAATGGAGTCGGCTTACACAGAATTCTTTACACGTATTATCGTTGGTGAAAGCATAACCCTAGCTAAGAGCTTGATCTTGAAAATTCGCTTTCAATACAATACTTTAGAAAATCACTCAAGTCTTTCTATGTCTCTACTTAGCAAATGTCTCCACACAAGATAGTCAAGGTAGCGGGCATGTTAATTACACCTTTATTAACAACGAACTACCGATATGACATAATTTGAGAAGTCCCCGGGGTAAGACTCGACATTCCTTTTTTGAAGAAATGAGCTTAGGCTATAGAATGTAAGTTAGGTGGATGGTATATTCGTGGTGGTAACCGTTTGGCTGTAGACGACTACGCGAATCTTCTGGCAGTCACTTGGCTATGTCTGGAAACGCTAGTGGTCATTGTGTAAGAGAAGTCTCTATCACCGATAGTATGATCCTTAGCGTTATTAATCACAAGTCTGTTTATAACCTGGCCACTACATCTTGGACCATAGGTTCTACTGTTTGGGCGTCCTCCTTGACGACAGTACGAAAGATATATGTAATGTGTGTGATGGCAGATAGCACCCAAGTAACAACTCCGAGGATGGCGTCCTTTTTGGACATTTCTAATCCACTAAACATTCGTATGTACGTTATCAGCCGTATATGGAACAGTATGGACTCGTAGAAGCAGGACAGATGCAGTTGTGCAAAGATGGTTCTTTTGAATTTCAAAACTCCGAGCAAGTGACAAATGTCTTTGTTCCTAGACGATTTGCGCATAACATCTGCAAAGGGGTAGATTATTAAAATTGTTTCTGACTGTCCCGGCCTTTATCTAGAGTATATTCGTCCGCCGACATCGCAGGCCAGATAGTACTACTGACTCCAACCACATTCGCCCAATAGAAAGCCGACAGTGTCTTGTATTACTCGTAGACTTGAGACTATGTGAAACTCAGCCTCGACCGGCGGCTCCGAGGGTGCGGCATCGCTAGGCGATTTAGTAGATCAGCCACAAAATCTGGATGTTGCATCACTTATATCACAAAGTCGGTCCTATTGAGTATTGTGAATCTTGAAGTGGTGACATATTCAATCAAGAGGTTGCGCGGTATGATGTACGGAGGAGCATCCACGGTATAGATAATTTCTATAAATGCGAAAGAATATCTATCTGTGTTGGCGTTGCTCTAGAACTCACTCTCTGCCGGAGTCCCCGAGCATCTCGGTCGAAATTTCGAACTCTAGAATGTAGCTTCCGCCCGACGTGTCGCTGTTTAACTCTGATTAGTAAACAAGGAATTGGACAATATGAAAGACACGAAATGTATTTCTCTTGTTACTGGCACGGCATTATTTTAATGGTTTAATTAGATTATGTATGATAACATGTCATGCCTAACAGCCTTATCATTCAGGTGACCATCCAAAGACTTTGCTGCAAGGATCTTCCGTTATTTATTAAAGAACTTTGATTGATCACAGTCTTGTAATCATATGGTTTCGAGTCAGCGCTAACAATCTTTCAGGGTAATGATTTCGTGTACCAATTACAAAGCTTCATCTCATATTGCCGTAGACAGCCAAAGCACAAGATCAACAAAGATATGCTATGATATTGGAAGAAACCACGATGCCCGAAAGAACAGTTTAAAGTATTTCAAGAGGAATCAACGAGATAGAATGACGACTGATGCAGATCTAAGAGATATAGGCTGAGTGAAAGACATGCGACATGCTACTCAGACTCCAGAAATAGCAAGATGTGATTCAGTAATACAGATTCCGACGATATTGACTTTACAAACTCACAATTTGCCAAGCATGCCGCCTTTGAACACTACGGCGAAGTTACCAGTACAACCTTTTTACTATACACGTTGCTATAATGATTTTCTATCAAAGTTTAACTGCGGAAACGTGATCAAACTATGGTTTTGACCAAAACTCGTTGTGCAGAATATACATCTACTCGGGTCGCTTAAGGGAATTTAAAGGCATTAAGGAGCACGATATATATACAATGTTACTCGTTTCGATTGATACACGGGCTTTCATGGCAAGAAGTGTATTTAGAAAGTTATTTGATTAATCATTGAGTATATCACACTCTGGTATCTTATCATTGAACGAATTTGGAGAACATAACCCATCAAAGACGTGCGTCTTCCTTCTCATTACAATCCCATAACCCAAATAGTTTTACCTAAACCATTTAAACCTGAGGGCGTTCAGCCTGGTGGATCTCGGCTCCATTTTTGTCGTGGTGGACAGCAATGTTGGCGTGGTGGGCATCGGTAACACCCATAATGTTTCCTCCTTTCTCTACATGGTTCTGACCACCAAAAAGAACATCAATCTCTTCAAGCAATATTCCTTTGGTTTCGGGGATCAGGAAATAAACGAAGATGATAAGAACGATGTTCATAGCCATGAAGAAGAACAGACACTTGAGACCCGTGTTCTTGAGGAAGATGGGGAAGAATTGGGAAAAGATAGTATTGGCGACGTTCTGCATCTGCGAACACATACCAACAGCCTGGGCACGAACGTTCACGGAGAAAATCTCAGCGGTCCAAATCCAGACAGTGGCACCCCAGGTTGGCTTGTAGCAGAAGGTGAAGACGAAGAACAGGAAGGTCATGGCGATGGCAACCGAATTTGACTTGCTACCACCAGCCTCGTCAGGCGTGAGAAGGCCAACAAGAGGGATAATCAACATGCAGATTGCCATTCCAATGCCACCGGCAATAAGCAGGAAACGACGTCCGTATCTGTCGGCAGTCCAGGCGGCGTTCAGGGTGAAGAGAATACCGCAAGTGGCGTTGAGAGCATTGATAAGGTTGATGGTATCGGTGTTAGGGTAGATGATCTTGTACAACGAGCTCGAGTATCTATCATATAACTATTAGTATTTGACGTAAGGGTTTGTAGAGTTTAGCACGACTTACGAGTTGAGAGTGCCCTGACCGGTAAGTTGCTGACCCGCATTGATAACGAAAGCAAGAAAGAGACGCTTGCGGACGGAGGGGTCTTTGAACAGAGCGCTATAGTTGCTGCTGACAGCTTCTTTCTCATACTCAATGGCCTCCTGGATAGCAAGTAGTTCATCTTCGGCCTCCTGCTCAGTAGCACGAATTCTCAAAAGCACACTTCGGGCAGCATCAACGTTGTTGTGGCGCTTGATGTACCAACGGGGAGAGTCGGGCTGGAGTGGCAAAAGGATGAGAATGATGATTGGAACCAACATTTGGAAAATGACGACCATCTTCCAGTCCCAGTCACCAAGAGTAGCCTTGTGCTTGCCAGTGGCGAATGCAATCCAGTAAGCGATGAAGGAACCAACTGAGTAGTTGAGTTGCCAGAAGGTCATAATAGTACCACGAATCTCGGCAGGGGCCAATTCGTTGATGTAGACGGGACCGGCGGTCAGAGCAATACCTTGACCAATACCGATAAGAACACGGCCACCAATAAAGCAGCCGAGGTTGTGGTAGGGAGCGAATGTTTGCAGGAAGGTTGCGATGATGGTTACGAAGCAACCTACACCCATACCGACACGACGACCGAAGTAATCAGCCTGCAAAGAATTAGAGCTGTAACATCGATCCGCAAGACGTGATTAGACTCACAATGGGACCACCCATAAACCAACCCGCTACAATAGCACCAATGGTGTACGCAGTATTCACGAGGCCGATCAAGTAAGAATCTCTCTTAGCGTCGAGGTTGAACCAATCCAACCAGTGCTGGGAGTTCTGTGCTGCGTTGAAGACTGAAGCATCGTATCCGTAAAGCACCATGCACATGGATGCAACCATACATATGTACCAGTTGTAGACTCTCCCTGGTTGAGGCATAATGGCGGTGGTGGCGGGATCACACTTATCTTTGGAACCAACTGATGAACTTGAGGAAGGATAGTAGACGATGCGATCTCCTGAGTACTGGACGAACAAGCAGACTGCTGCGGTCGTAGTCCTGAGCCGTCGAGGGGGAAGAGAGAGTCTGCAGACAAGAGAATGAGGTGCGCATGCGAAATATAAATGTCCATGCAGGTTGCTTGTCCCATGTGATTGGGTCCCCAGATGGAACCAATAATCGAGGACTATGTCCGGGGTTGACACATTGATTTTTGGCGACCGTATGTGTGGAACCACTCAGGTCAGTCAAGCAGCGAATAGGCTTACGCAGCACATTGCCTAGGGATGAAAAGGACAGCCTTTCGAAGTGTCTGGCCTGTCTCGCTTGCAAGATGGTTCGATGAGCTGGAATTTGGAAATTCTGCCCCAGCTGGGGAACCCTCATGTAATTCGCGGAGGACAAGCATCTCCGCGAAGTTGCGAAGCAATAGATTGCTGCAAAATGGGGACCCCACGACTCCATCCCTCGAACTGGCCGATGCTTCATCCACTATTGTGGGATAGCGTAAAAGTAACTGGAGCCATAATGATTTGTTATCGCTGCAAGGCAAGATGTTTACAGGGTATACTGTTCGTGTCATCAAATAAGAGCCAATCTCGGATGGCCTCCCCATATTCGAGGACAGTGGAACTGGGCCAGGTCCTGTCGCCGGGATCACATCCTCCCCCAAATCGACCGGGTTCTCCAGATTCCACCAATTGCAATTGCCCCGTTTTGAGAGCTAGACTGGAAGCGGCGGAAGGCTTGCAAAGCGGCTTGGCGAGTTTCGGCTCACTTGACCGCTCGCTCTTGTTCTGAGCGTATGAAGTAGACAACAAGCTTTTTCTGTCTTGGAGCTCGAAGCTTCAAGCGACACAAGCAGCGACGAGCCGGGTCAGTAAGCCACGCCAAGTCGTCAAGATTCGTGTGTCGATTGTCCCTGCGTTCTGATCAAACATTCATGAGTCGTGCCGATCCATCCGATCTCCCGCAAAGTTTCAGCAGCATTTTCGAGAGCTCCTTCGCTAGAAAGCCGATGGAAGCAGTCGCATGACAAGTCGTTGCCTCAGTCGTCCCGCAAACATTCAGCTGGAAACCTCCTCCCCATGACCTAGGCCTCAGCCCAGACAATTACCCCAGATCTGTACAGATAACCTGGAAATGGGTCCAGAATGAGATTCTCCCAACTAGTCTCATCGAGCGTATTGTAAAATATCCCGCCTGCTTTTCGCTTCTTGGTTGAGACGAGCTTTGTTACTAGGTTTACAAGCTATCCGACTAGCCGATGACAGACACGTGCAAAATAGACGGTATTACCACTGTTAAAGCTCGTCGCCACAGCATTCCAAGTAATCCTGTCCGTGAAACATGCATGATTAGGGCCCAGCAGCATGGTTCCTACTGTTCCCATATAGCGGGATGCATGCGTAGCGTGACTATGAAGTAGCATGATCCCCCCTACCCCCCTTTTTTTTGTCCTTTTTCCCAGCAATCAGAGTGGTACCCGAGCGCCACATTTATATGAAAACTAATTTATGCGATTCGAAGAACATGGCCCAATCTCATGCATAGTTGACCGGAAAAAAATGAAGCGTCTCTGGTGCGCTTTTTTTTTTTTTTTTTTTTGGCTCAGACACTACTCTGGTATTAACTAGGCTTTTAAAAAGGGCAGTGGGGTGAGTTCTCTCGCTAGGGAGGTATAACTGGCTCGGAACCCGACATCGCAGAGAAACACATACACAATCGACTTTAGGCTGGACTCGTTGCCCTCTCTGACCCTCTATACCATAATAAGAAGTTCCAGAGTTTGGGGAACCCAAGGACTGTCTCCAGCTTTGAGTTCTAATGGTTCAATATCGACCATACGTCAACCCATCTGAACTATTGTGTTGGCGTCTAATTCAGGGCAAAACCCCGGAGAGTGTGACACGTTTGATCGAGCTGTAAAATCATCACAACTACGAAGCCACAATACCTGATTATTGATCGTAGTTAGTTCACCATACTCTGACGCCACCTCGCCATGTGACTAGAAGGTCGTGTGTTAAACAGTCACTATCAGCTATCAAGGTTCAGACAGCAAACCTTTAGGGGAATGGATTATGTGGTCATCACCGAGTTGATCCCTTCACAGTCCATAGATCCCTCATTAGAGGTATGTACCAAATTAACTTTTTAAGAGAGACTGTCGACGGCTCGATACGAAATGCCTCGGGCTCTCAATAGATTCAAGACAATCGTTCCATCGAACTGACGAGAAGAAATCTGTCTGTAGGCGAACATAAAGTTCTACCCTGAGATCACCATGGCTGAGATGGTTGGTGAACCATAGTCTGTCCTCGAAAAGCTTTTGTTAGTACTCATGTACCAACTGCGTCGTTGTTTCACCAATTCACCCGCGCAGTTTCGATCGTGATATGTTTCGAACAGATAATTGCAGAATTTGCTAGCGCCAAAGGAGTCTTGGTGCCATTGCGATGTTACGAAAACGCGCACACCTGCAAGTTTTCTGTTGCAATACGGTACCGCCCTGAGAACGGCATCGCAACCATCTCCAAAAAGGAAGAGAGAAACCCCCCCTGTATTTGACGACTATAACACTGTCGTATCAAGGGATCTAGAAAGTATGTACGGCGCCCATCCCTTTACGGAGTGACATTGTCATTTGTATTCAACTGAAAGACACCACGAATACGGCGGCTATTTTCATGATCATACACAGTAAGACGAATAAAAATTCCGATTTGTGGAATTGCTTTCCTATGTCCTATTCATAAGATTAAAGTCAAAGAAGTAGAGAACTTATATGGGGGGGAGATCGGGGTTTGGTCAACTCATTGTTTCTGGCTCCATTCTAGCCCATTTTGTTCCATGCAACGGTTCTCACGACAGCATTTTTGGGCTTCCATCCTTCAGGGACATTTCTCTAAGCAGAAGTGGTCATGATCATCATCGATGTTGGTTAGCACATGCCGTCCCGAAGCTTGTCCATCATCATAACTATCGACCCCTGGCACGTTCTTACAGACAGTGGGATAGGCCGCAAGAACAATAAGAGCGTTAGGAGCAAGAAACCGATCAACAGAGATGCCGAACCCAAACTCATAAACGAAGGTGTTAATATAACACGAATAGATTTGCATTGATGAATTGTTATGAGTACTCCAAAAAAATATTCCGACGGGTATATTGCTGCCAAGAGGTGTCTCTAGCAAATGTGTACGTTACTTACAGATGTGTTCTCGGTTCTTTCGGTTCAATTGTCTCCAACTATAAACCAATCCATCCACCAACCACGAGGCCATACGTCCTCGCATGTTCAATGACTTGCTTAAGTTGTTCACTTCTCGTGATAAACACCAAAATCAAATTATGAGACTTACGCGCATTATTATTTTGGGAATTGCCATCCTTGACAGCGCTAAAGCGTGCGAGACTGACGATGATTGTAGTCTCAATGGTATTTGCGGCGCGGCGCGCATACAACCCAGAGGATCCAAGGCTGGAGCATACAACGCTACTAGAGAGTGCAATTGTGATCCCGGTTGGTTTGGCGATGACTGTGGAAGACTAGACCTCGTGCCCGCGACAAGAGGAACTGGTTATAACTGGACGACTGTCAAGAACGATGGCGATTTTGGCTCTTACGGCAACTCATCATGGTGTGGTGCGATCATCCAGGATCCGAAGGAGAAGGGGCTGTTCCACATTTTCACGTCCCAGTTTGCGCACGGGTGCGGCTTGTCCGGCTGGCGACCATCGTCCTTCATCGTGAGGGCGGAGTCGAGGACCGGGCCACAAGGACCGTACCACTACGCAGATGCTATCTCGAAGCCTTTTCGTCACAACACCTATGCCTTCTACAGCCCCGCGGATGAGAAGTACCTCCTCTACTCTATCGGAGTCGATGCACCGGAGGCAACGAAGTGCCAGTCGCTCTCATACAAGCAGTGGCCAAACAACATCTCCGTGTCCAGCGCAGATGATCCTCGTGGGCCATGGACGCCGTTTGAGATGATTCTCAGCTCACTTGACCCTCAATCCACGAACCCGGCGCCTTGGCCACTGTGGACTCCAGAAGACCCCACGAATGAGATCGCCTTGGGAATCGAGGATGATGCAATTTTTCTCGCCAGCCAGTGGAACGGCAGCTACGAGCTTCTCCATACCCAACATTGGAACACGAGTGAGTATAGCCCGACGTGGACCGAAGATCCATTTCTCTGGCGTGACAAACGTGGCAACTGGCATTTTCTCGCCCATTATATGATCGACCTCGTCGAACATAGTGGGCAGCAATGGCCTCGGGTTGGAGCCCACATGTTTGCCAGGGACCTCACGGGTCCTTGGACATTCAAGCAACAAGAGGCTTTCAACTCGTCGGTCAATTTCACGGATGGGTCAACACAAGTCTTCAAGCGCCGCGAGAGACCTAAGTTGTTCTTTAGTGATGATGGGGAAATGATACCCTTGTATCTGGTCACGGGAGTACAAGAGATGAATAAGTCGGGTCCGAGTTACACGCTGGTGCAGCCGGTCGGAACGAAGTGGCAAGAGTTTGAGAAAGAATTGGGCTTCTGAAATAGCTAGCCCACCTCGAAGGAACCTGTTTAGTTTATTGTCGGCGTGGCGACTTAGTCAGAGAGTAACGACACTCAGCCTACCAAGAGGTGAAGCCATGCTGCTCCCGTGTCATTAAGTTCTGCTTGGAATAATCAATTCACTCGGAATCTTTTCATCATGAGGTTGTGATAGTCACACTTCAACTTGTACCACTTTGACGGAGGTACAAAATGTAACTGAAATCGATGAGAGAACGAGTTCTGGGGCGAGCGGTTCGTCTTGTTGGCTTTATTTCAGTTTATAGACAAGACGTCTTCCTGAGGGTCACCATGGCTTCACACACACGATACATGTTTTCTTTCTTTCTTTTGTAATGACAACCTCGTCGAATAGTGACTTTGAAGTGTGCAAATCTGTCTATTGGCAGTGATGTGATGATCTCTATTTAGAGGACAAATGTTTGTATATTACATGATTGTGTTAGGAGAGGGAGTCATTGAAAGCTAATCAGGAGTTCCTATAGGTTTGGTGAGAATGGCTCAGTAGTGTGACATGTGTAACAAGCATCACAAATGTATTAGCCGGCAAGCACGAATGGAACGGCAGCTCATGGCAGCCGCCTGGTAGCTAACGATAATGCAGGAGAGTAGCTGATGGTACGTGACGAGAGTGATTAGGATTTATAATTAAGAGTGTGCATCAATTACTGGCTAGTTGAACTGCCCTGGGTATCTTCATAGACGTTACACAGCTGAATTCAGAGGCAACCCACTCCCACTGGGTCTACTTCCGGATATAATCCTGCTTCTGAATCCATTGCCTAACCACATTGGCAATCTCCAAGTTATTCAGCTCCAGATGTCCAAAGTGACCGTTACCGGTGATACCAATGTCGCCGAGCTTGATCCAGTCGGTCTTGACACCAGCCTGGTTCAAGTAGTTGATAACGCAGTGATCGTACGTGGCGTGAACACTGGCCTGACCAGTAGTGCATAGGTAAGGCACCTTGGCGATGTTGGGAAGCTGACGAGCGGGCTCAGTCTGCATGTAGCATCTCCGGAGAGCCAGAGTGTCGTTGCCAACCCATTCCTTGCTGATCTCGGTGTAGTTCGAGGCCGGGGGGTCGTAGGTCAAGGGAGTATTCGCCAGACCCCAAGGACGGATGGAAGAGCCTGAGTTGAGAGTGGTGCCATAGTTCCAGAAGGGCTGGGTCGAGTGCTCCAGGTTGATGTTACCGGCGACAAGGTCAGGGCAGTCGTTGGACAGGAGAACAGGGTATTGAGCACCAGATGAGTGGGAGATCAAGTAAGAGGGGCCGATCAATGAGAGCAGGTCACAGCCAGAAGCACGCATGGAGAGCTCGCCCATGGTCCAGTTGCTGGTGAAGGGGATGACACCCTTTCTGAATTGGTCGAAGTAAGGGTCGCCCTTTTGGCCAGTGCCAGGCCATTGCGTGTGGAGTACAGCCTGAGGGTAGGTCGGTTTCAACTCCGGAGCAGTGAAGCCTGCCTGGACCGACTCGACACCGGTGGCGTTCCAGAGGGTATACTCTGAAGTGTCCTCTTGAGAAGAGCGACCAACTCCAGTGTGATCCAGAAGGTAGACCTGATATCCTTTCTCGAGAAAATAAGAGGCGAAGCCCTTTCTCCCATCGGGAGTGTTCAGCCACGTGACGCCTGAGACAGCACCACCATGAAAGAAGACGAGAGGGTGACGATGTTGTACACCACAGCTAGGGGTGAGCTTCTCAACATAGAGTCTAAATTTGGTATATTAGTACTGGGTCTGAAAGAAGCTTGATTACGTAAATATTGTTTAACATGCAGGTAGGTGCATAAACCCAAAATTGTCTAAACTGTTTGTATAGATTACGACGGAAAAGCGGCAGACTCACTGATCGGCTGTGATGTTAGCAGTACCGGTGTTAATGATACGACCGCCAACATAGTACACATCGCGTGTGTACTGGACTTCATTAGAACGGCACCAAGGTGAGATGGCAGCAACACCGGTGCAATCCACAGCATTGCGCTCCTCTGGCACGGCAGCTGCTGAAACAACAGCGCCGGCCACGGCAAGCAAAGAGAGAACGAATGAACGGACCATGATGACCACTGCGCCAAGGATGCAACCGAAGATTAAAAGAGTGACAGGTTGAGTGGTAAGACCAGGTTGGAAGAAAGTCAAAAAGGCGACCACATGGTCGCCACCTACGTACTAATAACAACGGTCGGCTGCAGCCGGGCTCCTAGCCGATGCCACAGTGACTTCGGCGTGTGGAACTGGCGAGGGTTGCCGGATATTACTTGCAATAGTGAACCGGGTGCCCCGTCCAAGGCACTATCGACCGTTGGAATAACTTCGCTTAGAGCGCTCTTCAAGATTTCATTTGCAGGGAACGGCAGTTACCTATCGACACTGCACGTGACCATGAGGCATGAAACTGAACCCTGAAACCAACCAAGAAATGGGCATGATCATATTCATTTCAAAACGGCCATGCTGCTTAGAATGCAGCTTCACTCAACCCAGAGTTGTTTGGCGTCCGGGGTAGCCCGCGAAATCTAAATAGACTAGCGGGCCTATGGACCTGAGGTGCAAATTGTTGATATCCACATATCAGCAATGGGTTCCGTCCGCCGGAATCCTTGTGTGTTGAAAAAAGGGCAACGCTTCGTGGCTCATGGATACACATCGTCCCATTAAAGGAAGTCCAGATCCTTGAGTCAGTACCTAGACCCATAGTTTTGTGGAAGGCATAACAGGGCGGCCAACAAAGAGGATAATGTAAAGTATTCAAATGCGTGAGAGGATCTGGTGGATTTTAAAGAGTAATAAATCACTCAACTAAGATAAAGCTCCGGTGGAATTACAATGTAAGACTCGGCCGAAACCTCAATGTTCGGTGTCTAATATCAGGCATCGTGCAATTTCAGTTTGCAGGACATGGGATTCCGCTGCCCCTTCGTGTTCGAGTATTTCAACATGCAGTTGCCCAGCTTTGTACCCTGTCCAGTTGAACTTGAACAGGGTTCATCGGAGAAGTGGGAGACAATATAGCATCGACAAATGACGCGACTTGGGCAAACGCTCCTACTGTACTCAGTTCAGTCAAAGCGACAGTAGATCTCGTCACGGTCACCTTTCCGATCATCTTGGTTGATCGATCTACACACGAGATCGGAATCCGTTTTTGAACTCCGAGGCGCGCTTTTGTCGGAATCTTGGGGTTTTCAGCTGCGCTACTGCTCGGGTTTTGTGTGAAGCAGGAATTGATCGTCCCGGTGGGCAATGATCCGAGGCGACAGCCGTTCTTGTGCTGTGCTGGCTTCATCGCTTATGCCCTTTGGAGGATTTTCCCTTCAATAAAATTCGAGATGGCAACTCCACATGCTCAAGTCGTCCCAGGGTGGTGGAGTTGACCAGTCTGTTTTTGCACAGGTTTGCGAGCGCTAGACAAACCCAATTTTACGAATTAAGCATACCTGTCACCGACGTTTCAATCATGAATTGGAAATCAGTGACCTGAAATGTTAACGCTATTTTGGGTGGCAGGGAACTGGATAACTTCAGATCAGGCAATTCAATCAGTGCGGATAAGTAACTCCCAATCATCAGTGATCCGAGGCAAATGAGGCTCCGGCAATTTAGGTCTTTGTGTACGGATCTGAGGCAATAGTATAGCTGCCGGGATAATCCCTACTCATGCGTAAGCTGTTCAACAGGGGCACCACAACAAACTTCCGACACGTTCCATAGTCCCAGCTGTCTTCCACAACTCACATGCATGGCATGATGCAGAACGCAATCTGCAGCAACCTGGTTCCTCCTATTCATGGTTCCCAAGGTATTGGCACCGGTATTATACTTCTTGATAACATCTCCCCCACGCTGATTGATACGAACCGACTCGACGTTTGGTTGACGATATGTTGTTGTCATTAATACCTAGCAATATCAATCAGACAATTCCATGAATCGGTAGCTGCGATTTTCGCAATGAATACATATGTAATTCATACGCCTCAACTAGGAGTAGGGGTCCATTGTCCCGTGTGTATCATCATGCAACTATCCTTTTGACAAGGATATTTATGGAGATTTTATCCTTAGTACCCTGATGGTAGAGGCAAATTACTCATGGAGAAATCAACGGTTGTCTCGAGTATGTAGACATTCCGCTCGTAGCCCCCGGAACTGCCAGGGAGCCAAGTTCCATCCGCAATGTGGTTGCAACCAAGCAAGTGTGGTCCTGACAACCCCGGGATCTACTCCCGTGGATGGGGTTCATATCAATAGGATTTCACTGCGTCGTTCGACGGTTCGACAGAACCCGTCGTACTGACCCAAGTCAAACAAGTCTTGGCTTGCATTCTTGAAGCACAATATTTCTCTCCCGAGAACCGGTCTTCAAGTCTGGACCACTCTCCAAGGATTCAATCCTGGCTGTCGACCAAGACAGCATACCTGAGGGCCAAGGCGCCCACACCCTATAACTCCAGTCAGTCCCGATCTAACGAAGATCTCTTCTGGCGATCGCCACACTTACGACCATCGCCAGTCATGCCGAACTTGACCTGGACTCCGAGTTCCAACTCGACTTCGGCCTTTGTAGGCCAGCCGCCCAATACTCAAAGGGATTATTACATCGTCAGAGGATTCTTGCGTGGAGTTGGGCTGGGCAAGACCGATGCAGCACTAGGTTACACGCGTGCATCAAAACCGCCATACGATGGTTACACATATACCTGGAAAACACCAGGGATCATTACTGGTCTTAGTATTGTCATCGCAGCCATTGTAGCCGTGACCAGTACCAGGCTGTTCTTGAGAGCCTCGATGTCCCAGATGCGCTTCGGTGCTGATGACTGGGCAACGATTGCTGCTGCTGTAAGTTTCCTTGTCTTGCTGCTGATTTGATTTCTCCATGAGCCGCATAGTATGGAAATTTTTAAATGCAATGCCACCAATAGCTAGAGAAACATACTAACCATCGAATAGGCCATGGGAATTACGTACACAGTCTGCCAAATAATCATGGCAACGAGAGGTGGTGGAAGACACATATGGGACTTGACCTACGAAGACTACAACGTGTTCAACTACTACGGCGTCATCGACAAACCGATTTTCTACGTGACCGTGGGGCTCGTCAAAATTTCCCTAACTTTGTTTATTCGGCGCTTGGCTGATCGATCACACAAGGCTTGGAGGTGGTTCTGCGATTTCTTCCTCGTCACGCTCGTCCTCTACATCGCCGCCGCCATATTCTGGGAACTCTTCACCTGCAATCCAGCCTCTGCGCAGTGGGACAAACTCTACGCCGGCAGTCTCGACACCGCCGCTGTATGTCTACCAACGCTTACCCAGGGCAAAGTGCTCAACATCACGCACGTTGTGCAGGGTGTAATCCTCTTATGCTCGCCTATGGTGATCCTATGGACTGTTCGCATGGACCGACACAAAAAGACACGGCTCTTCGTTATGTGGGGTGTAGGACTTATCGCAGTGCTATGCGGGCTGATGCGGCATCTGAGGGCCGATTTCACCGCCGACGTTATGTGGGATTATACCGAGCTGCTGATCTGGACTGCCCTAGATGTGTGCATAGGTGTCATTGTCATCTCGCTGCCGGTCATGGATGCCTATATAGCGGGGGCCTGGCGTAGCGCCGTCACGAGGCTGGGCGGACGCACCTATGGCGGTTCTAAGTACGGCAGCAGCTCGAACCAAAAGACGCCTGCGGCCAGCAGATATGCACACGGGACGGCGACTAGCTCGACAGCGCCCAAAAAGTTCTCGGACTCGGAATCGATCGAGCAGATAATCCAAAAGGGCCACAACAGTGGTGGCAACGACACGGAGTTAAACACAATCGTGAGGACAGACGAGTACAACGTGCAATACTCGTCTGCTAGGGACAGTCTGGATAACGAGGAACAAGCACTGAAAAAGGTGTACAACAAGCAGCTGTCGAGAACTTTCAGCACGACCTGAGAGAGACGACTCGGATACTTGATGTTAAGTGACGATTGACGTGGCGTCTTTTTGACATTCTTTTGTATATATTTTACTTCATGCCGTACTTAGCAATGATACCCTGATAGAGCATATTCTGTTTATATCATTCAAAATTCTGTCTTCATACGTGCCATTAAACTGGTGAATATCGCATTCGGAGGTCAGAAGGATTTGGAGAGTAACAACGACTCTGCGAAGTCTCTAGATACCTCATCATTTGGACCGATCTTTCTACGCCAAGACGAGCCGGACCTGGCATGTCGGTGACATGCTTCTCGAAGGTTTTAAGATCTCTGGCCATACACGTAGAGAAATTCGTTGGCCGCGCCTCTAATCTCCACAATGCGGGAGGCTTCTAAAATTGAATCCTACGCTAGGATCCCTTGCACTAGTGGTTGCACTATGAAACTAGTATGCAGACCGGCTCTCGCTTGCTTGTTGTTGGTGGCGCTCAAGCAACTGCCGTCTTTAGCGATATCTTTAAGAGAAGCGAGGCGTTTGCAATTTATCAATGCCACTTGACCACTTGCCTAAGTGGTACTCCAAACGGACTTGCCGCCTACTTGACGAGGGCGCTAATTTCGGTTTGCGGTGAGACTGAACATCCTTCGTCCGTGTTCATAACATGACAAAAACAATCCCTGAGTACGTAAGCATTATGGTGAGTTTTGTGTGATACTGGTATCAACGCGAGACATCGGCTCGGATCAGGCGAATGGGGAACGCTTTTTGGAAGAACTTCGGCCCTGTTGTACCATCGGGGCACGTCTATGTTGTGACTCTATCTAGGTTGAAAATGCAACAGTCGGCAATCCTATGTCTCCCGTTCGAGACGTCTCAAACACCATGGCCTTGACCTATTCCATCACACCGATATTCGCAGTGATTCGTCCCAGCAGGTCTCCCGCCAACATATGAAGAGTGGTCAACCCCACATATTTGGTCTGTCATAGATGACCTGGGCGTTCTTCTCCCTACACAATGCTCACCAGCCGTTGAAATAGTATTGCGGATATCGAGGATCGGACTTGTGGCCATCTAAAAGTGAAGGATGTCAGCTTTCGGACTAATGTGACAATTTCGTGGTGCACTGGTGCAATTTGATCGTCAAGTTGAATGGCAGTCGACCTGACACGGCAAAAATACGCGCGGTGGGATAAAGTCCAGCTAAGGGGAGCCAGCCGTGGTGTGGAAACATTTGTACTTACATGGGTCGGCGTTAAAGGCAGCACGTTGGGCCTCCCAATCATTGCCATTCTCTGAGTTGGGTACCTTGTTGGCGCGGTGGTCTCCATGGCCATTTGCCTGTCCGTTAAGTCGAGACGATGGCTCTCTCTTGGGTCGGTCTGAGACTAATTCGAGCTTTGTTAGCTGTAAACTCTTCTGAGGACTGTTTTTTTGATCCTCGATCGCTGCAGTGTGGCACTTCTCTCTGATCTCTCGATCATGTGCGACTGGGTCGCTGCTTAACTTCTGCCAGGCTGCCTTACGAGCGCCGATTGTTGAGAGCTCTCCGTTCTCCAACTCATCGTGCATGCTAGCGATATCGTCCTTGACTTTGTCGACATCGTCTTGTACGGCTGGCTGGTCACGCTCACCACGAGGTCGAAGGTGTAGACCAGTTCGATTTGACACGAATTCATCATTAAAAACCGTATCCCATGCATTGATAGGCTCCTTGATACCGATTCCTTCGGATCCGAGGCCGGAACCAGGGTTCCATCCCATGTTCAACAGGAGTTTGGAACCGATGCCATAGTTCTTCATAAGCACGTCTCGGGATGTCGTGGCCTCGTTTATCCATCGCTTGGGCAGGTGTGTCTGCATAACCTCTCCTGTGGTGAAGGGCGTTGTAGATTTCACGAACTGTTGCTCGAAAGTTCTGGCAGATAGTCTATTCAAGTGAATACCGCCATATCGGGCAGTCTTCGTGTCCCATGTCTCATCTGTACCGGGGCTCAGACGGTTAACGCCTATAGTAACGCTGCTAATGTGCTGCACAGTAATCGGGTTAACCTGACTGGTGGAGTTGGGATGTGATGCGACAACGGTAAGAACTCCACGAGCGTGAGGAGGCACATAAGTTCCATTGCCACTAGAGGCAACAAGAAAACAATCGGTTGCAGTTTCATGCAGACCACCAACTGTGGTTTCCCGAACTGGAAGAACCTTAGGAGAAGCCGGACTATGAATATTAGTAACATATTCGTAAATGAAATAGTATACATACACAGTTCCTTCGCCTCTCATAAGGCTCTCTGCGGCCCCGTTGCCCAGTGTAGCACCGTCGAATGTTTCGTTGATGTGGCTCATGATGGTAGAACCTTCAGCCTGACCTGATGATGCAATGGCGGCTTCCTTGTCCTCGGAAACCGCGATGTGTTCACCTGCTGGGAGTTTCGTCATCGTACCGAGAAGCTTCTTAAGAACAGTTTTGTCCAGGGTGGTCAACATGGCCTGAGTCTCGTAGTACTCAATGAGCTACTCGAGTGTAAGAATCAGGTCATTATTTTCATTATTCCTTTGACGAAGCTTACAGAGCGCAGTACACGACGTGCAAGCTCATCATCCTGAGATATGTCATGGGTGGCACCGATAACTTCCTTGAACGCAACCTGATCCGAAACCTCGAGATCACTCGTCTCGAGCAAGGCTCGCAGAATGCTGCCAGATAGTGCAGACATGGTTGGCAGCGGGATCTTTTGGTCGAGTTCACGTCAGTATCAAATCTGAAAAGAATGTGTTTGATTGAAAGGTGCAGGTGAGGTTCGCAGATTCAGCGATTTGAAGTAGATTGCATGCTTATATTGGCAGTGGGAAGGTCGGCAATGTGTAAATATTAGCGGGATAATCGCCGAATAACAAGTCCAAGATCAGGACGAAGAATGGAATGACGGCCAGATAATCAGACTGGAAACATCTAAAATAAGGAATGTGTGAAGATGGACATCGTCGAATAGATAGAAATAAGAAAAATGTCAAGGTTGAGCCAAAGGGGATGATCACCAAAAAGCCTGAAGTGATTGGAATAGCGGCGAACATGAATCCTAGACGGTAGGTATGTCCAGGTGAATATTGGAAAGAATATCTGCAGCTGGAATCACAGAGGAGCCCTGAATGGAAACCGACCAAACGGAATTCCTCCTAGAATTCTCCTTGGGACCAATGGTTCAAGGATATTCATGACCAAAACGAATAAAATCCGATTAAACCGAACCTTCTGTAAGATTTCTCTGCGAGATAAAGAGTAGGGCCATATACGAAGAAATGAAAAGCTTACTCACTGTGATCTCTGAGATGGTACTGCCAGACAAGGTTCTTCAAGGTGGGTGGGTTGGGAGGAGTAAGAGAAGGAAGAGGAGGACGAGGAGAAGCACTCAGCTTTGTGGGTGTCAAAACAAAATCTTTCATCTCACCAGCTGCGCGGCTGAGGCAATCCAATACGTGGGGGATGGTGCATATGAAGCCATCTCAACCATGTGGCTGTGCGTTGGGAGCCCAGCAATAGTGATTTTATCACTGTTCAAAAGTTATCAACCATAGCAGGAGTTATAAAGCATGTCGCCGATGATGGCCCAAGAAAGGATAAAAGCCTCACAGTTTTTTTCAAGCTCTATGAGACGTAGGTCAGTGAGATATGGACTCCTTGTCATAATTTTTTTTTAAAAGGGACAATACACCTATGTTTATAACATGTATTACAGGACACTTTTAGACCTCTCAAACTCCTAAATCTCAATTCAACTCACGGATGCCTTATACCGATAAATAAATTGTAGTTATTTGATGAGTAATAGACACGTATATGTACCAACCCCCTTGACTCACCACCCCTTGTACGTAAGAAAATACCAGAAATGTTTATAACCAAACTCCTTGTATGCAGCCTAATTTGAATGCTCCAAGGGTTGAGCTACTTGATCTACTTAGGTTGGCGATTTGCGCACAATGTTCTGGTAATATGCAAAATAAGGCGTCAGCCTTAATACCATAGTCGTGTAGGTGGCCTGGCAAGTGCCAGAAGCTACATTACACTAGTAAAACAAGAGAGCGATGATTGCAGCTCCTACGTCCAAATGCATAGCCTGCTGCGTTATAACAGGCCAATAAGACAAATAAATAACCTGCCTATCAGATACCAGAATCAACCAGGCCGGCGGTGACTATTGTAGTTGATAATAGTATCGGCAGAACAGCCTTGGTCTGCCTTATCTTGAATATGTTTTAGATGAACCATCTGCGTGAAGGTATAGATGTTTCGATGTTAGATTGAGTACCAGATTGGTGGTGTTAGAAATGATGCAAACTTATCTGCAAGAGTTATTCGAGAATATCTCAAAAACACTCCTTATAAGCAGAGAAATTCCCAAGCAATCTCAGCAAGCCACGATGTTTAAGGTACAGATGACATGCCAAAATCGCCCCACTTAGCTCATAAGGGGTTTCCATGACCACAAAGATATTCGCAAGCTTGACATCTCAACGCGCCATTTGCAGGTTATCATGAAGATGTCTCGGCGACTTAGGTATTTGATAGCCTATCTTGTACACGTGTCATTGAGGTAAATCAGCGACATAGTTGTGATTATCGAAAGTACGGATACAACGCTCCATGATCATATGTTATTCGTCTTGGCCAATATGTATAAAGTCATACTTACTTCTAGTGATCTTTGTTAGATTACCTCGGCCGCGAGGCCCGGGACTATACGAAGACTTGCTGAAACGCAAAGCGTCAAATCCATCTTCTCTTACTCGTCATGTTGTGCTAATAAACTTGATAATCGTCTCCACTGGCTTTCGATATTGCTCAAGAAAGAAAAAAGTCTATGCCTTTTCGTACATAGTCCCCAATTCGCCAGTCAAGAATGTCTGGGTTGTAACTTATAATTTGAAAGGCACAAACTGAATCATTGAGTCAGAGGCAGGAAATTGACAGGCAGGAAATTGACAGGCAGCAAGAAAACTCAAATAAATGTCTCCAAGACCAGGTGACTATCGCTGATAGGTGGCAGTTGTCAGCATGCTCAATATACTGCAAAAGGCGCCAGGGGCAAATATATATAGATACTTATCGGATGAGATCATTATGTTGTTAGCCCAAAAATAATTACTAAAACATGAACAGTGATCAAGGTTCGGATAAATTAGCAGATTCAAGATTCCAACACCGGTAATTACCTACCTGGACGTGACAGCCACACTCAATTCTGTGTGAACCCCGGCATTGAGATTTACATCTAACCGTTTGATAAACTTAGCCAGACTAAGACAGAGCACGAGTTCTGTAAATATTGTTTAATTGTGTTAATCATTAATATAAATATTATCATTTACGCCGTCCTCAATCCAATCATCGAGACTCTATAATCATGTATGTTTCATATTTTCCCTTAATCCACATGCGTGAACCTAGTGACGTCCAAGAATACCCTTCAGCCAATCTATCCAAGAGCCTAAGAGTCCTGTAATTAGCATGTTAGTTATGACTAGACAATTCATAACAAAATACATAAGAATATCGTGGATGATGAGGTGATGCGACACAAGATGAAGGATGTGGAAGGTTTCACGACATACCGGAGGACGAGGATGATGACGAGCCCGTGCTGGTTGGGGTAGAAGCAGTGGAGGTAGTGCTAGTAGTTCTTGCAGTGGTGGTTGTGGAGCGTACTGTGCTTGTGATAATACTGCTGAGGGTTGAGGAGGCAGCGGTAGTAGAGGTAGTGGCAGCGCTGCGAACAGTGCTAATGGCTGTTGCCGCGCCGGTAGAAGTAGAAGCAGCTGTGGTAGAACTTACGCTCGAGATCAAGCTCGTTGCCGAGTCAATCCGATACCAATTTTCTGCTGGGTCGTTAAGACACTCACCCACGGTCACAGCCGTGTAGTTCAGAGTTTGCAGCTCCTTGAGCATATACTCAGTGAGGTTGTATACGGTTTGATAATGAATGTCGTGGCCAATAGAAAGAGCGTCAAACTCGGACGGGTTCTTGCCGGCGAAAAAGTTGTCGACGATATCTTTTGAGGTTTGAATTTGTGTAGGGTCATCGTGAAGGTAATCCTGGGTGTCCAGGTCAAAGTATACAACGTGGTATCCCAGGTCAGACATGTCCGACTCGCAACCACTATCAGCAGTACAAGAACTATAGGGAGGTCGCATGTAAGTCGGAATGAATCCGAGAATGTTGCGAAGAGCCATCTCATTCTTAACCATCTCGTTCTTTCGTTGAAGTGAAGTGATGTTGCTAAGGTCGGGATGAGACCATGTGTGCGAAGCAATCTGGTGTCCGGAGGAATGCTGGCGCTGGATAATTGATGGCCAGGCGAGGCTGGTGTTATCAATCTCACCCTTACCATTGTTGTTACCAGTGATGAAGAAGGTAGCCTTAGCATTGTACTTGGCGAGAAGGTCAAGCAAGTCGCTAGTATAGCCACTGGGGCCGTCATCATAAGTCAAAGCAACGGTGCCAGCTTTCTCACAACTGTAGATACCTGCACCGCCATAGGCAATACTGCCGATCTTGGACCGCGTCAGTGTGGTGGTGTTCGTTCCTGATGGAGTCTTGTTGGCATCACAAGCCGGTCCGTAGTTGAATAAGCAGTCTGGAGCTTTGCAGTGATCAGACGTCGTACCGCAGTATCCTGCAGCAGAACAGCACTCATTCGAAGCACATACTGCACCACCATTATTGGGACCACAAAGCCCAGTGCTGGAACCGGCATCGCTACCAGCGTCTCCATCTTCGGTGCAAGCATCGCCGAAGGATTTCTGGCACCCGTTGCTAGAGCTGCAATAGTCGGTGCCATTACCACAATAACCATAGGCAGAGCAGCACATGCCGGTCTGGCAAGTGTAGCCAGCAGTGCCGGCACCCGTTGTTCCACATGTCAGATCTGGAGAAACTGTGTCGGTTGCAGAAGAAGAGACTACGTCAGTCGTAGAGGATGCGGAATCGTCTCCGCTTGTAAGTGTGCATACACCGAAGGTGCTCTGACAGCCGCTGGTGCAGTAATCGGTTGTGTTGCCACAGTATCCACTATACCTGTCGTTAGATCTCTTACTATATCTCGCTCGACAGAGGACTAACTATTGCGAGCAGCAAGTGCCTGTAGGGCAAGTATAACCGGATGATCCCGCTCCGGTATTGCCGCATGTATCGTCAGGAGAAACGTCACGTATGAAAACAGGGAGGGATGAAGCAGAGGCAACGGCAAGGCTGCTTGCGAAAGTAAAAGACATTAACATAAAGGTACGCATGATGAATCTATAGCGTGAAGTGAATGTATATGGACATAAACGAATGTAATAGCCAGTAGCACCAGGGCCTTGGAGGATGATGAACAGGAAGAGAAATCATACGTACGAGGCATCCTGGGTTTATAGATTCCAAGATGTCGGTAACAGACTAACTATGTCTAGGATGTATAGACTTGCCTGGACGCTTGACAAGGAGTATGAGGATCCCCTAGTCATTGCTACCGCTGTTCGAGGGGCATGTTGGAATACTGTTGAGCACAGATGAGAATTGACCATGTCGACAAGGGTACCGGAGCATCCACAGGAACGTATGCCATCATTTTAGCAACAATCGGATCTGGAACTCTACGTTGATTGGCTAAAGGACAATATACCAGGCTCTAGAGTTCTCGTCCCTTGGAGACTATCCTAGTTTGGGTGTGTTGGACAGAGAATAAGTCGAAACGTTGGTTAGTTCAACAATACGAAAGACCCACAGATCTCTTGAGCTCAGATCTTCCCGCCCAGGTTTCTTTCTGGGGCAATGGAGCCTCACGGAAGCCGGTGCGGCAGCTAGAGATGTTTATTCCGGAATTGGAGTCGATTACAGAATCCAAAACGCTGGTTGACTGTGGACTGACCGAGGATCAGCAAAGTTTTTGAAATGTTGTTATCGGACCCCTTGCTTTGACCATCCTTACCGGACCACACAAATCAGGTGAGAAGACCAAAGATTGGACCATGGCTTTCGTGGCGGTCTCGTATCAGTGAACTCGACTGCTTCGTTTTTTTGTTCGTTTGTTCGTATGATATCGCGTCACGGTCATATGGAAGTGCGTATGTTATTTGAAGGGGTGCCTCGACTATCGAGTCGACGTGTGCTATTAAAAAGCACTAGTTTCTGGGCAAAACTGAAGTGTAGCACGGTGTGTACGACTGAAGCTGGCTGCATCTCAAGCCTGGCCTGCCTTGCTAGTTTCAGTTACGGGAAGCTGCATTCGCCATATTCCCAATGCTCTATTCCCGGCGTCGACGATATTTTCCTTCGAGGTTATTGTACTGTACCAGTAATGAATTCCGATATCATCAGTCATGAACGAAGATGACAGCGTGAGCCATTTGACACTGGAAGTGTGCTGGCATTTTTATGTAGCTTGTATAATAACTCGGTATCGGCGCATATTCAGTAGGCAATTTAACTACAGTCGAATACTGATCAAATCATGTCACGTATAAATGGCTTCGTCCTCAGCCTATTTTTGAGAGGTGCAGATCTCATCAGCATACATACTGTAGGTTCGTAAGTCATGCCAAACAATAGAGGCAGACTACAGCCCCTTTGCAAAATGACGCACAATAACCCGCTGAGAAGCTGCCGGGTGAGGCTAGCAGGCTTAGTCTAGGTTAGAATCTTCAATCGGGAGATGTGCTACAGGGGATCCGGGACTCATAGGGCGGTGCACAGTCCGCAACTTGACAGCGCTATTCAGACTTTCCAGGTCTCAGGTGAGGCACGGTATTTGAAAGCCCCGGTTTTCAATCTCAACAGAGATGAAAAAAAACATCAGCTCAGTTGCCAAGATGCCAAGGGACTCACACTGTCTCCTCGAATTACCTTCAGGATTGGCTTAACTGGCGGGAGTAGTTCGGTGTCTGAGAGGAGTGCGCTGGTTACATTTGCTAGTTTGATCTACTCGGACAAATTCAAATGTTACTCGGTAGGTGAGCTCAGTACAGGATGCCGCTGGAAAGAAAATGCGGCACCGAAATCAAGACCTGAACACATGCACAACTTCCAGGGGGATTTGGTTTTTAAATCAAACATCATTGCTTGACAACTTCGAAACAGATGATACATCACTCTGGCTCTTTGAGTAGTGCTGAGTCTTCACGACGTGCCAATCCTGCTTCGCCTGTCACTTTCAATTCAGCACGTTGGCGGCGAGAACGGATTGGCACGACAGTCTTAAAACCGGACACTCATCGCAGCTCGCAATCGTCACTTTACGGATTACGCATCCAACATGGCTCAGTCGCTTGGCTTTAACGGTTTGGATTCAGGAATGAAGCTCAAGCCGCTGTTCTGAGCCACATCTCTCGTCATGTTGCCTCGTGCTGACGGATTCAATAGTGCCAGGTAATGCACACAAGAATTGGCGCAGTCCGCCTTGAGTCGTGCTATTACCCGCACAACCAGAATTGCCCAAGTGCATTATGAGTGTCAAGTCTCTTTTGATAACTCTACAATGCCTACTAGACTCCAGCAACTTGTTGTTCTTGTTCCGTATCATGATAGTAGGTATGTATGTATGTATCCCGATCATGTGGGCGACATGTCAAGGGCGAGCGCCCGTTATATTGGGCGCCTTTTTTGTCAAGTAACTTAATGCCCATCTCGCCTTAAAGTTTGTTAGCAGTGGCCATAAGCGCGGGCACAGCCACTGACGGCATGTGCATTTCGGCTTCATGGCAATCTTTATTTCACGGCACGTCCACTCACCACGCGGCGTTCAGTGGCTCAGGGTCCTGGGCAGGCGTCGGCTAGACAGCCAAGCTCGAAACCCCTTTCCCAAATTGTCTCAAGTCCCATAGTTCAGGGCGCAGTGAACGTTATGTCAGCTCTTCCGTTTTTTCCTTCCGCCAGTGAGGTTCTCAAGTGAAAGGGGGTTCGTGCCATCGGCCTTTTCATCTTTGTTCTTTTCGGATGGGGAACAGTGTATTCGGCAAATCTATGATACCAATCTCTTCTCGGAACTCTGCGTGTTTCTCCGCTTGTTGCAGCTTTCCACCCCTTTGTCTCTCGTGTTGGTTGCGCTTCGGTTAGTGGGTGCACCAAAGAAGCTGAGCGCTATTGATTGCCTAGAAGAGGAGGGCAGACACGACCCCAGAAAAGTTTATTGAAATGCCAGAGGATAGCCACCGCAATCCCCTCCACGCCATTTCACCACTGCTGCCATACCAATCGTATCGCAAAATGTCTGATATTGATTCACAGTTGCCGTCGCGACCCAAACAGCGCAAACACGTGTGGGTGTTGATAGCCTCTTATGCCACCGACTGGCTCTGCTTAATAGCTGCCGGCGTGGTGGGGACAGTATTGGGCTCAATCACACCAAATAAGCGACCATTTCGGCTGGATGATGCCAACATTGCGTAGGTCTATGACGCGCTGAGCGCAACCACGGATTGATAACGTGAATTTCTCACTGACTGATTCTAGGTTTCCATTCACTGAGCATGAGATTATCCCCTCGTGGTTGCTGCTTGTTTGCAATGCGGTCATTCCTATCGTCGTGATTTTGGTTGTAACCTTAATCTTCGTTCCGGGACCTACAGTACCTAAGGGTACGCCCCAAGCACTAATATGGAAGCGCAAACTCTGGGAGCTGCATGTCGGATGGATTGGGTTGGCTCTCTCGCTATGCGGTGCCTGGTTCATCACCAGCGGCATGAAAAACTTATTCGGCAAACCGAGACCTGATCTACTGTCGAGATGCGACCCGGACTTTGAGAACGAGGCAGCTCACTACGTCCTCAATGGCACGGCCGGGCAAGTTGGCAGGCTCGTTTATGCGACTATCTGCCAAAATCAAGATAAGAGCAAGATGGATGACGCATTCCGGAGCTACCCTTCAGGCCACTCATCGTCAGCCGCCGCCGGCCTGATCTATCTATCTTTTTTCCTTGCCAGCAAGTTCGCCGTCGTGATCCCATTCGTGTCGAGCTCGGGCTATACTGCCGGCTCAGACTCCGTCGCATTCCCCTCACGAGCCAACACCGGCACCGCAGGTGGCAACAACAGTGCCTACAAGCCGCTGTCGCACGGAACCGACGAGCTCTCGGCGCCTGGCGATACTTCGGTAGCGAGACAGATTGCCTCCCACGGCTCATCCGTGCTGGCAGTCAGACGACAGGCAGCAGCGCCGCCGGTGTACCTGTTGTGCCTCACTCTCCTGCCGTTCTTCCTGGCCATCTTCATCGCCGGTTCCCGGTGGTGCGACTTCAGACACCACGGATTCGACATCCTGTTCGGCTTCATCATCGGGACCGTGTCGGCCTGGTTCGCATTCCGCTACTACCACCTGCCGATATCGTCGGGGGCCGGCTGGGCGTGGGCGCCGCGGTCGCCAGACAAGGCCTTCTGGGCCGGCGTCGGCGTGTACTCGTACGCGACGGACAAGAAGCACTGGATACGGCCCGGCGACGAGGAGGAGGGGCTGGGGAACGGCGGACCCAACAACGGCAACGGCAACGGCATCGAGCTGCGCGGCATGCGGTATCGGTCCAAGACGGACGAGCAGTCATCACAGCACCAGGCAGAGAACTCGGCAGCCAACACGAGGGACAGGAGCCATCTCGGCCCGCCGGACGAGGGCAGTCTACGGGACGATCGCAGTGTCGAGTCACATGACGATAACAGGATATAGAACGGAGGTCTTTTTTCTTTCTTTTTCTCTTTCCTTCTCTTGGTTCAAGCGAATTGGTGTCCCCAAAAACTGGTTCGGGTGTAGGACTACCCATACATGATTGGCGAAAAAAGGGGGTTCTCACAGAGTCGGGCTTAGCATCATGCATCCGACGGCGTTTGGGTTATTCTGGCTGTCAATTATATATGTACTAGAGGATATTCGGTTTGCCGTATCAATGTCACCCCACCTCTGCTCAAATCACGAGTCACCCGAGTCGATATGGCGCAGTGTAAGGAATGGTCCTAGTGGAGGGTTGAGTTTGTCTTTCGATTCTCACTGGTGACCATGCGTAGTTGGATTTGGCTTTATAAATTCGCTTCCTCCTGTAAGAAAATGCATATGCAAATGCCCAAGTGCGCCAATGCTACAGCGAGCCTCCATCGCACCTAATCCTACTGGGTCCCACATTTTGTTCGTTCTTACGAAACATGGACGAACGCTCGTTTCTTGACACTCTGGCCCTCGTCCTCGTCCCAGTTCTCGTCGACATAGTTCTTGACGCTCTTGTCCTGGACCTGCATGCCGACGACCTTGAGCGCCGCGATATTGTAGCCCATCTCGTCCTTCTGCGTCTTCAGGGCTTTCCTGAGGTTCGTCCGGATCCCGTCGAGCATGGCCCGCATGGTCCTGCTGGCGACGATCTGGTGGTGGTGCGTCTTGAGCATGAAGAACAGTATGCGGCACGTGAGGGGGATGTTCATGGACCTCACGGCGAACAGGTTCAGGAACGTGAAGAGCATCGGGACTGTCGCGAACGGGAGAACCAGGAGCGCATCGTGCAGGGCGGATGCCTTGATCTTTTGCAGGACGGACATGACGTACTGCTCAGCGCTGATGCTGCCTAGGGCTTGGAAGATGATGTTGCGCTGGGGCGGCGCGGTGTTGGGGTTGGCTGCTTTCGCCTCTTCCCACTCCCTCACCATGTGGAGATCCACCAGACCGAGCTCCAGTGCCTCCTGGATCCGCTCACCGGCCATCATTGTGTCGACTGTTTGCTTGGTGGCTGCAGCTACCTCGGCGCTCTGGTCTTCGTCGTCAGGATCTTGCTCGAGCGATTTCGTAAGAGTGCTTTCATATAGCTCTTCAATCTCCTTTTCCCGCTCTTCTTCCAGGAAGATCTGCTCGTCTGTCTCATCCCAGACACGGATGCTCTTGTCGTGGCTGGCACTGATGATGAAGTTGCCACTCCGGCTCATCGCCAACGCCCAGATCTCGCCATGATGGCCGTCCATCCGCTGGATCTGCTCGAATTTATCTCCGTCCCAATATTTGATTGTTCGGTCTTTGCTTGCACTGAAGAAGTGGTGTCCGTTGCCATCGCCATTGTGGGGGACAAAAGCGACTTGGAGGATACTGTCTTGATGCGCAAATAGGGCCTTGTGACAATCACCAAAGTCGAGACCCCATATCCTCACATTCTTGTCGGCAGAACAAGTCACAATAAGCTTGCTGTCATACGATATGTCCATGCTTAGGACTGGGAGCTTGTGCCCGTACAGGTTCAAGTATAGCTTGAGGGAGTCCGTGAAAAACACCTTCACCGTGCTGTCCAAGAGCGCCACCGCCAGATACTTTCCATCAGGAGAGTATCTGAGACTGAGAACGTCATCCGACACTTTCAATTGCTTGGATTGTACCAATTTCAGTTTTGGCGTCGTTCTTGTTGTGCCCAAAACCTCTTCCTGCACTATCTTGAATTCCCAGAACTTGGCTGACTTGTCAGCACTTCCCGACGCCATTGAGCGGCCGTCTGGATGCACCTGGAGGGACCAGATTGCATTTTCGTGAGCAGACACGCTGTCGAGGAGCTGGGCAGACGCCACGTCGAACACCTCAAGCGCACCCGCCTTGGTTCCTACCACAACGACCTTGTCTCCAGGGAGGAAGGCACAACATAGCGCATATCCACATTCGAAGGTTCGAATGCAGGATCGTGTCTTGACGTTCCATATCTTCAGGCTACCGTTGGAGGCAGACGCAAGCATCCTGTCGTCTGAGCTCAAGGCGAGGGAACGAATATCAGCTCGGTGCCCTGGCAAGTCAACGCCCAAGGACCGAGTGTAATCCGGAACGTCCTCTTGTTTTGATTTCGCGTTCTTCTCCTTGGTTTGTATGTTGTAGAGTTCCAATTGGTTATTGGTCGTGCCGACAAGCAATTGCAACTCTTTGTGGCCTCGGTTATCAGCCCAGTCAACACTCTTGACTTTGCCGCCAGTTCGAACAATGAGATGCTGCGCAAAGGCCTCTGTGACAGAAGCGGTGCTGACATCCTCGTCCTCGCCCTCCACATCGACATCGGCATCCCCGTTCTCCGCGGCACCCTTCTTGGCGAGCTTCTCCTTTCTTCTCTTCTTCTTTCGAGATAGACTCTTTTTGATTTCCGACTCCGTCCGTATCCTCCAGATCTCGACAGCCTTCTCTGATCCATGTACTGCGAAATAATCTCTGCGAGGATGAAAGATGATCTCGGTTGCCTTGTCCTTTCCGTCACGGAAGAGGGTGCCCCTGTCATGCAAGAATTGAGTGCCTGCGGGAACGTCCACTTGCTGTTGAGAGGCAGCCAGGCCGGTTGTGTCCAAGGCCCATACCTTCAGCTCGCCAGAGTTGCCGGCGGTTATGCAGCCGCTCAAGTCTGGCGAAAGCCCCAAAGCCCAGCACTCTCCGTTTGTCTGGGCGATGTGGGTTTCAATGCAGTGACGCGACGACAGATCCCAGAGTTTTATCAAGGCGTCCTTGCCGGTAGTGAGGAGAAACCCCTCGGAGCCAGCCGCAGGACCATCCAGGATCATGGCTTCGTCGCCGTCTTGTTCGGTGAGCTCTGGCTGTGGCTCGACGAATTGAAGACCCGTGATTTGGTCCTTGTGTCCACGGAGCTTGAATTGGCCAACCTCGGCGACCAAGTCCCACACGATGACATCGGTGTCTTTTGAGCCACTGGCGAGCCGCACGCCGGATTTGTCGAATGCGAGGAGGGTGATGGCTGATTTGTGGCCATTGAAGTTCACGATAGTTGTGGCGATCTTGCTGTCCCAAAGTCGGATGCTGCCATCCTCATAGCCCACTGCGAATACATCCTTGTCTGTCTTGCTCTGGGCAATGGCGGTAACCTGGGCCGAGCAGTTCTCGTCTCGCCAACGGTTCAGTAGTTCGCCCTTCTTGATGTCCCAAATCAGAATGTCCTCGTTGGCGGCGACCACAGCTTGACCTGCGCCCGTGTTCGTGCTCGACCGTTGATTTGGCGTCCATAGTAAATTGGAAGTGCCGGAGGCGACTAAGCCGAAGGATTTTGAATGCTCATACTTGCTACAGACACATTTGATCAGAAACAGAACCAGTCTGAGAGCGTCGGAGTATGCTTACAGATATGATTTGACCATGTTGGCAAAGTCAACTCACTATGGGCGACGGGATTAGCTGCTTGTAAGTCGGCCGTCAAGAAAGGCATCCCGAACTTTTTTTCCTTAGAGAGAGGCGCGATAAGAAATTAGAAACTCTTATCGGCGCCGAAGTAAGAGAGGGCACAGACCAGGCGGGACAAGCGACCAGTACAAGTAACTTACAAGCACCCAGCGAAAGTATCTATTAGCTGCCCCGCCCCTCCCCCTTATTGGCTGGTGAATGCTTGGGGGGCGGGCAGCACAGCACTGCAACATGTGCCAGCTTGCCAGGTGCCAGTTGTGCCAGTTGTGCCAGTTGAGCCAGGTGTGCCTGGTGCACACATGCATGCACTCTCGAGAGCAGCTCCAGTGGGCCTGCGTGGGGACCAAGCAGTAACAAAAGCAGCTGCGACGTAACTTGCATGTAAGCAGAGGGCTGATTGATGGAAGACTGCCAGACTGCCAGAACCACGGCCAATGCAGACCGGCGCATCCAGCCTCCAGCATCATCCGCCCCACTAACCTAGGCACCGTCAACTGCAACACCAACAGAGAGCGACATTGGCACAACTGGCGATAGTCCAAGCCAACATGCTTCTGCTCGACTATCAGAATGTGCTGCTGCAGTCAGTACTGACTGAACGATTCTCTGGGTACGTCCACAACCCTTTTCGACCTCACAACCTTGGCCAATCTCCACTAACACCGCCTGCGGCGTAGAGCTCCCCCCGTCTCCATCGATCAGGTCGTCTCCGACTTCGACGGCGTCACCTTCCATATCTCGACCCCCGAAACCAAGACACAGATCCTCGTCTCCATAAACATCAGATGCTACAAGGAATTGGTCGCCTATGGCGCTGAAGACGTCCTGCAAAGAGAATACGGCCAATATGTGGTCGCCCCTGAGCCCGGCTACGACTTCTCCATCTTGATAGACCTAGAACACCTTCCCGAAGACAAAGGTAGGCCACCCCGGAGCCCCTCAAGTACACCTGACAAACCCCCACTGATCATGCGCAGACGCTCGCGATGAGCTGGTGAGGAAGGTCTCCCTGCTGAAGCGGAACGCCATGGCTGCTCCTTTCGAGGCCGCCTACCAGGAACACTACAAGCTCAAGGAGGCCGCCTCGAAATACACTTCGGAAGAAGCACCTCAGGGTGTGAGGGAGGGCGGTGAGGTCATGTCCATCCACTACCGTGAGGAGGAAGCCATCTACGTCAAAGCCAGCCACGATCGTGTGACGGTTATCTTCAGCACAATCTTCAGGGAAGAGACAGATCGCGTCTTCGGAAAGGTCTTTATCCAGGAGTTCGTTGACGCGCGAAGAAGAGCTATCCAGAATGCGCCGCAAGTGCTGTTCCGGAATGACCCGCCTTTGGAGCTCCAAGGCGTCCCAGGAGTTACTGCCAGCAGCGGAGGAGAGATCGGTTACGTTACCTTCGGTGCGCCTCAGCGAATTGCAACATGTGATCGACTGGCTAATGACCACAGTCTTGTTCCCACGCCACCTTACACCGCAGCGGATGCCCGATGTCATCTCGCACATTCAGACATTCAGGGACTACTTCCACTACCATATCAAGGCGTCCAAGGTAGGCCTTTCCATAAAACATAATCCCGAGGAGAAGTCACTCATGGCAGTAGGCATATATCCACTCCCGTATGAGACGGAGAACGGCCGACTTTCTTCAAGGTAAGACGCATTCTGCACAGCCACGGGGAGTTCAAGCTGACGTTAGCAGTTCTCCGAAGAGCCAGGCCAGAGAACGAGGAAAAGGAAAAGAAGACGGCAAGCGGCCGGACGTTCAGGGCTGGGGCCTGAGCAAAGAAGGTATAGTGAGCAAGTGCATGTGGACTCGGACACGTACACTTGTTGGTACTGCTGACCATATGGCTGAGGGTGGTATCTCATCCGACCAACATAAAATAAAATCACACCCTCAAAAGAATCTGTTTTTTTTCCCTCCAGCTTCCGCTATGTGCAATGGCGCCCTTGACGCGGATGATGCTCATGACGCTATCAACGTAGGTCATAACTGCACTATACGAACCTGAAGCCAGGCTTAGCTGGGGATGTACGTGCAATTGTTTCATGACTATAGAACGTGTGGATATACAAGGCCATCCTGTGCATTGCTCAATATCGCAGTTAAAAGCGTGTATCCTAGCATGTGTAAACATTCTGCTTTGCGCTTTGCAATCGCAGTTTATGATGGTCTCTGAAACTGGTGATGCCGATCTGCTGCCTGCTTGGTGCGACACTGGGTCTCAGTTTCTTCGGTGGGCACCCCATTAACTTACACGGGTCCATACGCCAGTCGTACTGGTAGGTATGCCAGTTGCTGTCGGACCGTCGTCAACTACCAGGCCTTACAAAGTGTCTGTAATCAACTTTATTCAACTCCACACTGCAAGCCTAACCTTGCTGGTAAGCTAACTAGGTGTGTGTCTGTAGTCTGCAACAACTCAGATCCCGACGCTCCGGGCGGCGAAGCAGACATCAACCATCAGGAGTACCGTGGTATCGACGGCAAGCCTGGCCCTTTCAAGAAGCTTAAAAAAATGCCAGTATCGTACAGAGGAAGGGCGAGTTCCTTGGAGGTGGGGCAACGGGACTTGTAGAACGTCTTGAGTCGGGAGATGTTATCAAGTCTCCTTGGACAGGCCGCCCAACAGCATCAAACTGCAGTCACGAGATGATTCGCGGGCCATGGTTGCTCCGGCAGTGAGAAAGTCGTCACCGGCTGGACCTGGCTCCCAGCTAGGCTCGGTAAACCTCTAAAGACGGTCTTTTCGCTCTGGGCTTTACGATATACTTTATCGGCACCGGGCTGGAGCCGTATGACGAGCTAACTGATAAAGGTGAGCTGGAGAAGCTCTGTAAGGATGGAGTGTTCCCGGAAATGAGTGGCACACCCTTCGCAGATACTATACACGATGCTGGCGATAGGAAGTCGAATCGGCTAAGAGCTTGACCGACCTAATCAGACACCCAACGGCTCGAATTATCCCAGTTACGTAGCAAGAGAAAGCATACATAAAAGAAGATGTATGCTTTCCTTTCTGCATTTACATGTATGCTCACATCGTTGACGGAGATGTACCATTGGGTAATGCTGCCACGCTCACAGCATGACTATGCACATAAATAAGCACCGAGAGGCAGCTGAAGCAATATCAGTCAATATAAAGCCTGTCTGACCCGACGTCTACTTCCTCTGCCCTCCTCTGTACCTCGGCATAAAAGGGAGGAGGTGGCTACACAGACATGTTATAGCAGATAGACATGTTGCGACAGATTGGTTATAAGTCTTAGCGCCAATGTTAGTTGGCTGGCAATGGAAAATCGTCTCATGTACCCAGGTCTTCTATCGAGCTCGTCTAACTTGGATGAATGAGCTGGCATTGCTGGATGTCTTTGATACGACGTTGGTCCACGTTAGCCAATTCATTAAACACGGCGGCGGTTACCTTGTACTAAGCCAGTGGTACAAACACCCCTTAGAAGTTAACCATACGTAGAGTCTTGTATAAGTTATAAAATTGTAGAATAAATTACGGGCGTTGATGAATTATACATATTTGTTTATGTATTTCTTTATGATGTACAATTGCTTGGTTCACTCCCCCCCAACTTTAGCAGAGGTGGGCGCGACGTTGCGCGCTCAAGGCTCGAGGCTCGAGGCCTTGAGGCTTAATAAGGCTTAAGGCGGCGCTCCTCCTGGCTATTGGGCGGAGCTGTCCGCACCCGACATTTTCTGTCTACTGTATTAGCAACTGACTACCTCAGCTCACCCTGTCAAAAGCTCGTCTTTGCATCACGACGCGAATAACCATCCATCATCACAACAGTGGAAAAGGCATGACAGACGGTGGCTAATTTTTCCATCATGTCGGACGCTGACTTTGAGACGATCAGAAAGCTCCAGCAAGAGCGCAATGCTGCCGCAGCCAACAAGACGGGATCGCGCACCTTCGATGCCAGCAACCAGCGATCCGACACATCCACCAAGGCCAAGCTGACCGAGTCCTTCGACACCGACCTCTACTCACGCGACGCCGCTGACAAGTATGCCGGCTATCTCACCTCCATCCCTGCCGACGGGGAGAATGGTGATGAGGACATGCAGGATGCCGATGGCGACAACTCGCGACGCCTAGTCGGCCAGTATACCGCCACCCAGTCCCAGATCAATGAGTTTGCGCACGGCCATGGAGTCGAGGAGGACGATCCTTTTGCGGGGCGGGGAGAGAAGAGCACCAGAATCGTCGACCGTGAGACCGACTACCAGAAACGCCGCTTCGATCGCGTTCTGACTCCCACCCGAGCTGATGCTTTTGCCGCCAACCGCCAGGCTGCCGCCGCTGAGGGTGGCGAAAGCTACAAGGATATCATGGCACGGAGGGAGATTGAGCGAGAGGAGGAGAGGGTGCAGCGAGCCATCGAAGCCAAACACGCAGCCGGCGAGGATACAATCGGCGAGCACCAAGCAACTCTGCAGGATGGAGACAAGGAGAACGCCGAATCCGGGTCAACCGAGGCTGTGGCTTCTGGCCGCAAGCGAAAGAAGAGATGGGACATTTCCTCTGAAGCCGTAGATGAGCCGGGGTCTGACGCTGCGGACGGGGCCAAGAAGAGATCCAGGTGGGATCAGGCACCGTCGCTGGCTGTTTCCGGTGCCCCTGACGCCAGCAAGAAGCGGTCGCGATGGGACCAGGCTCCTACCGCCACGCCCATGGGTGCCAGCGGGCTTGTCACACCTATGCATACTTCTGCCATCGGCGGCCCCATTGCTTCGTTTGGCACAGACATTGCCGGACCGAACGCGCCTATAAGCGACGAGGAGCTCGACGAGCTGCTTCCTGGACCCGACCAGGGTTACCAAATCCTCACGCCCCCTCCTGGTTATGCACCTATCAGAGCGCCAACTCACAGAGTTGCTGCTACCCCTGTGCAGACGTCTGGGTTCATGATGCAGGACCCTGATAGTGTCAGGCTTGGTGGAGCTCCCATGCCAAAAGAGATTCCTGGCGTAGGCGACCTTCAATTCTTCAAACCTGAGGATATGGCTTATTTCGGTAAACTGACCGACGGCTCCGACGAAGATGCTCTGAGTGTGGAGGAACTCAAGGAGCGGAAGATCATGAGACTCCTCCTCAAGGTCAAGAACGGAACGCCGCCAATGCGAAAGACCGCTCTCAGACAACTTACCGACAATGCGCGTAACTTTGGTGCCGGCGCTCTCTTCAACCAAATCCTACCTCTGCTTATGGAAAAAACACTCGAGGACCAAGAACGGCATTTGCTTGTCAAGGTCATCGATCGTATTCTTTACAAGCTAGATGATTTGGTCAGACCTTATGTGCACAAGATCTTGGTAGTCATTGAGCCATTGCTCATCGATCAGGACTACTATGCTCGAGTCGAGGGTCGTGAAATCATCTCCAACCTCAGCAAGGCCGCCGGCCTAGCAACTATGATCAGTACCATGAGACCCGATATCGATCATGTAGACGAATACGTCCGAAACACTACTGCGCGTGCTTTTGCTGTCGTCGCTTCTGCACTGGGCATTCCCGCTCTCCTTCCTTTCCTTAGAGCCGTCTGCCGGAGCAAGAAGTCGTGGCAAGCCCGGCATACAGGTGTAAAGATCGTGCAGCAAATTCCTATCTTGATGGGCTGTGCCGTCCTTCCTCACCTCAAGGGACTGGTTGACTGTATCGGCCCGAATCTCAATGATGAGCAGACCAAGGTCCGTACAGTGACCAGTTTGGCAATAGCAGCCCTCGCAGAAGCCTCGAACCCATATGGTATCGAAAGTTTTGACGATATTCTCAACCCTCTATGGACCGGTGCTAGGAAGCAAAGAGGCAAGGGTTTGGCCGGCTTCCTGAAGGCGGTCGGATTCATCATCCCACTCATGGACGAGGATTATGCGAACTACTACACTAGTCAAATCATGGAGATTCTATTACGCGAGTTCTCCTCGCCAGATGAAGAGATGAAGAAGGTCGTGTTGAAGGTGGTTTCCCAGTGCTCTGGCACCGAAGGTGTCACTGCAGGTTACCTCAAGGAACATGTTCTGGACGAATTCTTCAAGAGCTTCTGGGTGCGCCGTATGGCTTTGGACAAGAGAAACTACAGACAGGTGGTAGAAACCACGGTGGACATTGCCCAGAAAGTTGGTGTCAGCGAGATTTTGGAGCGCATCGTCGGTAATCTCAAGGATGAGAGCGAAGCCTATCGAAAGATGACGGTCGAAACCGTAGAAAAGGTAGTAGCAAGTCTGGGTGCGGCGGACATTGGAGAGAGACTGGAGGAACGATTGATTGATGGCATTCTTCATTCGTTCCAAGAGCAGGGCGTTGAGGATGTTATAATGCTGAACGGATTCGGCACTGTTGTTAACGCTCTGGGCACACGCTGCAAGCCATACCTACCCCAGATCGTCAGCACCATTCTGTGGCGTCTCAATAACAAGAGTGCCACTGTGCGACAACAGGCTGCTGACCTCATTTCACGTATTGCTATGGTCATGAAGCAATGCGGTGAAGACGCGCTTATGGGCAAGCTCGGAGTGGTGCTCTACGAATATCTGGGTGAGGAGTACCCAGAAGTCCTCGGCTCCATCCTCGGTGCACTGCGTTCTATTGTTACAGTCGTTGGTATCAGCCAGATGCAACCTCCCATCAAGGACCTGTTGCCTCGTCTCACTCCCATCCTACGAAACCGTCACGAGAAGGTGCAAGAGAACACTATTGATCTTGTCGGACGAATTGCGGATCGTGGCCCTGAGAGTGTGAACGCTCGTGAGTGGATGCGTATCTGCTTCGAGCTCCTCGATATGCTCAAGGCTCATAAAAAAGGCATCAGACGTGCCGCCAACAACACATTTGGTTTCATTGCCAAGGCTATCGGTCCTCAAGATGTTTTGGCCACCCTTCTCAACAACTTACGAGTCCAAGAGCGTCAATCCCGTGTGTGTACAGCCGTCGCCATTGGTATCGTGGCCGAAACTTGTGCGCCTTTCACTGTGTTGCCGGCTTTGATGAACGAGTACCGTGTTCCTGAGCTCAACGTCCAGAATGGTGTGCTCAAGTCGTTGTCTTTTCTCTTCGAGTACATTGGCGAGATGGCAAAGGATTACGTTTATGCCGTCACACCACTGCTCGAGGACGCTCTGATCGACAGAGACCAAGTGCACAGACAAACGGCAGCTTCAGTTGTCAAGCATATCGCACTGGGTGTTGTCGGTCTCGGTTGCGAGGATGCCATGGTCCATCTTCTCAATCTGCTCTATCCTAATCTTTTCGAGACATCCCCACACGTCATCGACCGTATCGTGGAGGCCATCGAGGCCATCCGCATGGCAGTCGGACCAGGCTTGGTGATGAACTACGTATGGGCGGGCCTGTTCCACCCGGCGCGCAAGGTCCGAACTCCATACTGGCGACTGTACAACGATGCGTACGTCCAAGCGGCGGACGCCATGGTGCCATACTACCCGAACCTGACTGAGGAGGGCATCGACAGACCTGAGTTGGCCATCGTGCTGTAAAATTGTGTGCCGCAAAGGGACGACGGTCGTGATAGGATAGGCAGGGGCGGCATTCGACGTTGGGCAAAGTAAAGCAGGAGTTTTTCGGAAAGGGGATAGTTATTCGTCATTTTGTTCAATAGCATGGGGGTCTTTGCTTTGCTTCTTGTAAAGTAAATCGGCATCGATTAATGAGAATAGCATCGTTGATTACCTTATGATTAGAATGCATGCGTGACGTTCTAATTGATCGTATTGTGTTAACTTTTCCGGTGCCATTTGGGCTGGCTATCTCTTTATTTTCCAAGACTGTGGTTCAGTATATTTCAGCAGCGTCTGACTAGGTAATCAACGACTGTGTTTTGACACCACCAAAAGACGAGACACAAGCCAGAGCGTCGAAGACCTGGAAACAACGTGGGATATTTCGGCAGAGACCCTGGAGTAAGGCATTATGGTATGAGCCACTTACAAGTGCCCCATGGCATCATTTTGAGACATTCAGATCAAAATAAACCCGGTGATTACAAAAGGATAGCACTTGGGCGGTTACATATACATATGCATCTAATAGTGCTATGCAAATCAATCATAGTGATATCAGGATGTCCGAAAATTTCTCTTGCCCATCATCCACTGTTAAGAAACATGATCCAAAGGATCTAGATGATGGGCCTTCTAAGAACGATTCTAATCTGCCAACGTTCCGTTCAGAACTCATCCTAGAGGGATTTTGAGCTCAGGCTATCCCGAAGGATAGCACCGCTGGGGGTGCAAGTCATCATGAGATAGAAAGAGAGGGGTGTGGACCGCGACCTCTGCATGGCATCGCCAAGCAATGGGAAGTCGAAATCATTTACGAGGCAATGGTGGAACCCTGTCGGGTTGCAATAGTATGTGTATTGATATGGACCATACGGTAGTCTATTGCTGGATGGTAAAAAACAATCGAGTTGCCGAACAGGAATATGCCGGAAACTTTACTGACACAGTAATAAAACCTATTGAGACAGTTAGCCGGAGAGGTTCACGGACTTGAATCAATGACAAAGATGTGTGTGGTGTGCTCGTTCAGCAGTCCTTTTAATTCATCGAGCCGAGGCTCTAAAATAAGAGGTACCAGAAAAAAGTATATGTATTGAGTTTCATCATAAGAGACAATGGGGGAAGAAGGGAGGAGAGGAACACAATTGCTTACCAAGGTCAATTCACAAGTAGCGTGACAGTGAGATCTGGTAGATCATCAGTGGTGCAAACAAACCCTCGCAGCGATTTAACTCAAACCCAAGAGCTGGCCATCGGAATATTTGGCCGAGAGAAAATTGCGGTTGAAGAATGAGTGAGAAGATTGGCTGCCAGAAAATTTCCCAGCTCAGAGAAGTCTTGGACTGCAGGTGGAGCTAAGCGGCAGAATTTCGGTATCTTATCTAAGCTTTCTTTTTCTGGCCAATCACAGCAGCTACCACTACCCTCCACTCACCAAATCTTGGCAGGCGCACAATTTTCCCACTGAATTTCAGAGCGGGCAACGACTTCCAATCTATCGCGACTCGACCTCTCTTTTCTCGTGACAACGACAATCTCTCCAGCCGGACAACCTTCGCGACAACCTCGACAACTCCACCAACCCACCAAACCGTCACCATGGGTCGTCTTCACAGCTCCGGAAAGGGCATCAGCTCTTCAGCTACCCCCTACAGCCGTACTCCCCCGTCTTGGTTGAAGACCACTCCCGACCAGGTCGTTGACCAGATCGTACGTCTCTACATGAATACGAACCGTTGAGACTCTTGGGGAAATGCTGACACTGTTACCTCCAGTGCAAGTTGGCCAAGCGTGGAGCCACCCCCTCGCAGATCGGTGTCATCCTCCGTGACTCCCACGGAATTGCCCAGGTCCGATTCGTCACCGGCAACAAGATTCTGCGAATCCTCAAGTCCAGCGGTACGCCACGAACCTCCTCCTCCCGACCCGTCCGATGAACGATGCTTTGGAACATGTGATATTTGTGTCTTGTGAACATGATGTGCCTCGTTCTATTTGGAGACGAGAGCAAATACGATATATCATTACGCCTCTGCTCGGTTACGGCTGACAGAGTGACTTGAATGTTTATGCTGACAACATTCTTTTAGGTCTGGCTCCTGAGATGCCCGAGGATCTCTACATGTTGATCGTCAGTACCACCATTGTCCCCGTCTCAAAAGAACGTTACTGATACATATCCGTCGTACAGAAGAAGGCTGTTGCCGTTAGAAAGCACTTGGAGCGTAACCGCAAGGACAAGGACTCCAAGTTCCGTCTGATTCTCATTGAGTCCCGTATCCACCGTCTTGCCCGTTACTACAAGACCGTCGGTGTCCTTCCCCCTACCTGGAAGTACGAGTCCGCCACTGCCAGCACCATCGTTGCATAAGCGGTCCCTTGATACAAGGGTTGGTCTTGGTTCTGCATGAAGTGCTTGGTCATGGAGTTTTACGGAAAGGAAACCATTTGCTTTTAAGGCAAAAAGTCATGAACGGTTTTCACGAATAGATAGCCGTAAATTTTCACGTAGAGATGTCAAATGACAATCTCATGAACTGTACGATTGCAGAAACCAACACATCCGAATCTCATTGCAGTGGTATCATAAGTGACAAAACAGCCCTCCAGACTTGAACTGCGTGTTCAATCGTCAAACTATGCTTTTCCAATCCGCAGCCTAAACGCCGTCTCAATGCAAGAATCTAAGTACATTATGTCGAACCCTCAATGTCCTTGGAGCGCTGTAATAGGAACTCGCCCAACACACGCAAGGGATCCCTGGGTCTGTCGTGCGTCAATTAGCATAGACCAACCAACCGAAAGAATCATGAGAGAATGCCGAGGAGGGGGGGTTTCGCGGAACAAGAAACTTGGGACTTACTGCTCCTTGGCAACCAACTTCATACCCTCCAGCACTGCGCCCGTCACCTTGCTGTTCAGATACTGCCGCGCCGGCGCCCCGTGAGGCGGCGCCTCCGAGGGCATCGTGAACCCAGGGTCCGGGTGTGCGCTGGCGGCGCGCGACGAACTCTCCTGCATCCCGTTTGTTGCGCGGGCGGGCGTGCCTCCGGCGCGACCTCCGGGTGCTGGCGATGCGGCGTGTTGTTGAGGGGCCGGGGACTGTCATCTCATTGTCATTAACAGATGCTTCTTCTCCTTCTTCTTTTTATTTTCCCTTTCAAGGCGTTTGATATGATAGGGATACATATGCGTAATAGTTTATGTAAGAAGTGTGTACGTACGGCGGCGGCAATAGGTTCGGCATCGGTCATTGCGACATCCTTGGAGGCCGGGGCAATGCTTTCGGGTGCCACGATGTCTGTCGTCGCAGTCGTCGAGGTCGCAGTCGCAGTCGCATTCGCGTTTGTGCTGGTGTCCACTGGAGGAGGCGGTGGTGCCGCGATGGGTTGCTGGCTCAGCGGGCTCGGCGTCGGCTGGATGGTGGGCTGGTGCGCGCCAAAGGGGACGGGGACAGGGATTGGAGTCGTGGAGACCCGGCGACTCTCTTCGGCCATTTCTGCGGTTCTCGAATATGAGAATTGAACTTGTTGTGGTGTACAGTAGTGTTCTTGCTCGCAATCCTCCCCCAACGAGCTGGTCCTTTGGCCTGTGACCGGTGGTGGTAGTGGAAGCGGCAGCTGCCGAACGCCTGCCAGATGAGCTTTGGGGAGAAGTGGGAGGCTTTTTTTAATTGGGCTAGGTGATGTCTAGCACATGACTAGGCGTGCATCACGCGTTATGATTACTGCTTCATTAGGCAAAAACGCGCCTCAGCTAACATAGATTCTCCCTTTTGTTCACAATTTCACTGCATCAGACAAAATGCATCCTTCGGTGCAGTCGACTGCCTTGACCACAACCACAATATAATGGACAAGTTTGTTCAGAGAATTAACCCTTCAACGTCTCATCATCAGAACGGCTCACCTGGCAAAGGAAAGGAGCCGGCTCTGCAAGTAGAGCCACCTGCGAAGCGGGTCAAGAAGGAGATCCCGGACAGTGATGGGGATTCCGAGACGTCGCTCTCAGACAGGAACCCACTGAGGCCAACGCTGAATGCTGCTCGTTCGAAAAGGGTATACACGGCAGATACGGCATCGCCTGTTAATGACGATGCCCTCTTTCAGTCTGAGGCCGATTCTGTAGCTGGGCGGCCAACCGCAATTGAGAGCTCACTACCTGACATTAAAGCCGACAAGGAAGCGATAGAGGAGTATGAGACTTTCAGAGCGTCGCAAGGAGAAAAGTCCGAGACTGCAACCTCGAGATTCGTCAACCGGGAATGGGTGAAAGGTAAAAGCTCATTGTACGTAGATGCCTTCAATCTTGCCTTGAGTACGGTTTTGGAAGACGAGTCTCATCTGTTTGATGAGAAAGAGCGTGCGTTGTTCGATAACTGGGAGAAATCGAGCTATGAGGCACAATACTTGTACGTCCACAACAGAATTCAAACATAGCCCTGAAATTCTGATGGTGGAACTAGGTATGTTCGACTCTTTCTGCGGAAGCAAGCAGTCTGGCATCGAATAGCCAAGCTTGGCTATCACGGTGATGTCTCGGATCTTGAAAGGGCCGTAGAGGAACTGCAACAACCGAGAAAATTCCCAGCTGTGCTATCAGGATCCCAACCTGATTCTGAAGAAGATGCCTCTGATTTCGCCCAAGAAGAACACACCTTGGGAGGATCTTTCAAGTTTGCAGATAATTCCGATGCATGTATTAGCACAGTCGATGAGGCCATCACGCTTCTAAGTCTTGATGAACTGAAAGGGCTTGCCAAGGACGCGAAAGTTCAAGGCAAAAACAAAGCAGATCTGGTGAGATCTGTCTGCAAAATGAGTAACCGCCAATCCGGTTTGATGTCTGTGGGTCTGCGAAGATCCAGCACTCACAACTCAACTGTCTCAGATGACAACGGAACGCCGGAAGCAGATTCACCTGGACTTCAACCTGCCGATGAATCCAACAGAAATCAACATTTTCTGGAAAAGATTATGAGTATCGCGGGACCATGCATTAGGCTCTCTTTGCCGGTCCTCAAATTGTTCGAGAGAGTCCATCTGGTATTTTACAGGTCTACAGAGTGGACAGAGAAGTCTCTGACAGCCATCATTCTTTCTAAGATCTCACGACGCAATTTCCCCGAGTACATTGTCTGCAGGTCCGCAAACATATTCACATCGCGGAACCATTTACTTGAGTTTGAAACCGCAACGAGAACCGAGTTCTCCGTCGACAGCATTCTTGAATTCAGTGGTCCTCCACGGGATGAAGGGTATCAAAAGGTACTGGATATTTTCGAGCGCACGTATGACCGCTGGAAACAGCTGCTCCAAGAAGAGCAAATCAAAGAAGAAAGAGTGTACGAGACCGGCGAAGGCACGTATTTACGACGCTTTTCGCCAGTCCATCCATACACTCGTATCATACATAAGGCTACTAGCGTCCTTGGGAGATTCAAAGAACACAGGAGGGAGCACTCGGTTTTGACGGAACTTCTCGATCAGAGGTTGTTTCACCATGCGCGCCGCGGCGCTTGGTATCAACGAAAGGCGCTTTTGGAAGAACATTACATGTATGCACTAGAGCCAGATCCTACTTACAAGGATCCCGAAGTGCAGAAGAAAAACTGGAAACGAATAGCAGTGACAACATGCGAAACAGCCCTGGAAGACCCCGATTGCCATCTGAAGTACCACTATGATCTGCAAAAGCGAATCCTGAAACTTGAGAAACAGCTCAGGGTGCCTTTTCGCTTGCAGCATGATTTTGGACATGTCAAACTCAAGAAGCCAGAGGAGCACTTCATTGAAGGTGTTCAACTCAAAAAGGATGAAATCACAGGCAAGAAAGGGCGTGGTCCCAGCACGAAAACTATCTGGGTCGACGAAGCCGAAGGTGACGGCGAATGCAGTGTAGAAGCCATGTGCCTCAGTTCCTACCGGTGTCAAGGATGGAAAGGCTACCATGCCGAAGGCGGCATTATCAGGACGTTGTTTGCCTACCTCTTCTACGATATCCTTTTCCTTTATATCCCCAACGTCTTCCAGACGGCTTACCAGACGTGTCCGCTCGACCTGTTCACGGACGCCTTCTACCCAACGAGGGCATCCGAGATCAATCACCGCCTCGTCGAAATTGCCAACGGCGAGGCAGCACGCCTTGTGCAAGAAGTCGATGGCCGAGAACGAGAGAGACGCACTTGTGTCGTTGGCCTCAACTGGGACTATGAACTACCTGATCTTCTCGAGTTAGTCGACTGCTTCGATGGCGCGGCCCTGGCGACGGTATGTAAAGTCATGGCACAGGAGTATGGACAAAGGGGTGGGGGTCTACCAGATCTAATTCTGTGGAGGAAGGAGCCGAAGGAGGTCATGTTCTCAGAAGTCAAAAGCGCCAACGATCGCTTGAGCGATACTCAGAGGCTGTGGATTCATGTCCTGACGGGAGCAGGGGTAAGAGTGGCGCTGTGCAACGCGGTGGCTAAGGAGGTCAGACGGGTTTGAAGGCGAAGCTGGATCGTGGAGGGTATTGTAATTCCGTTGTGGCATCGTGCAACGTCGTGTCTTGCACCCTCGGGGCTCGTCTATGTTTAGATTATCATCTCCGTTATTAAAACGTGGGTGGTGTTCATCATATAATATACCCTGCGAATATGGCATGGGCAAAACTATTAATGCAAGACCCCACATGTACGGAGTGACGAGAATCAATTTAGATAACAATAAAAATAAAATACGCCTGCTTTGCAGAAGCCAATCGACGCGGCCATCAAGACCTCCTTGATCATAGATAAAAGGCCTGTTCCATAGAATTAACTCAGCCTGCTTATATCCTTCGAAACAGCGTACTGTGTATGACACCCATGCTTCTTGAATCTTACTGCTTTTGGCAGAGGAGACTGTTTCAATCTCCAAGCCAAGACCGTGATTCATTCTTGATGCGGACAGGGTTGGCACGTTTTTCTTCGGCATGGTCCGTAATCAGGGTTGCTATGTACCCATTCGTTGCCTGATGCGGTAAAAGGGTTTTCCTCTGGCTGAGAACCGAATATGTCTGTGCCTACTACATAAAGCTGCCCTTTGCGAACAAATGAAAAGGTAGGTCCATTTCAATTGAGACGCTGGAGAGGAGCTATGATATGCTATTTGTCGTGTCTCTGCGAAATGCAGCCTACTGCAATGTGTGTCACACGCGCCCGTAGAAGTCCGGGAAGAATGCTTGATTGTTTGTTGTGCTTAGATGCAATCAAAGGGCAAGCGGGCAAGAAAAGGACGCGCTATGTCGGACACGCATGACAGCAACGGCGCTTCTTATATCATAAGCCACTGGCTCGTCAACTAGTTAGAAAGAAGTCCCTGTGTCTTTGAAGTTGTTTTGAGAGACTCAGACACCCCCCCCAGCTAGCATTTCGTTCATTCATTGGATGGCCCCGTCTTTGACGAGGCCCTTCCGTGGTTCGCTTTGGAGTGGAAGTGGACTGGACGGGCGGTGAGGTCTCTATATCACCGCCCTCTTATGTATGGGTCTTAGTATGTGTCGACTATGCCGTAGTCGCCCATAGATTCATTCGCAAGCAGCACCAAATAGGTCACTTTACCTCCCTCGCCCTTGCTACGCATCTTGCACTCTCCCCTCCCCCCATGAACCTACACTACGTAGATTGTTGGCTTAGAAATTTCCCAATCGACGTCTAGTCGCATAGATTTCGCTTCCATGAACATGCTTGTAACACCCTCTGCGAACGCAAGGCTCCTCTCCTTCTTTGTTTCGTTCTACAGGCTTTTTTCTTTCTTTCGAAACACTGTCCCGACATCCTGGAACCTGCATGGTGCAGCGGAGGGGGGACGAGACAGGGGGGTGACCATGCCTACACACCACTACTTTTCTACGTATAAGCGCTCAGAACAGCCAATCACCAAGGAGCAGATCTGACCCCATAACCCCGCGCTGTAAAACGATTGGCCCGAGGCAGGGACGGGTTAAGCGCCCACGACTGCACGCACTCTTCTCTGGTAGGGCACCTCTTCTTGGGGGGGTTTTTTTTATGACCTAGCTTATCAAATGTGAATATGTTTTATGTTGTTTTTCGGTGAGCCCGTAAGACATGAGAGGAGGAGCCTTAGTCAAAGGCGGGAGAGGCCGTGTGCACACACACACACACACACGCACGTAAGCCCAGTAAAAGTTGGGAGGGTGCCATCGTCAGATAGAGATTGGATGGGGAGGGGGAAGGGGGAAATTTTAATTTTTCTTGAGATAGAGAGAGACACCAATATTTTTTCTGCAGCAGATGTATCGGGTCGCGTGGCAGCCTGGTTCAGGGAGTGGTGGTGGTGGTGGTCTATCCCCAAAGGCCCCCAACGAACAACCGACGCGCTTTCTAGTTGATGACAGGCGTTCTGGTGACACTTCCCGCGTTACGCGTTACGAGACTTGCAACCAGTGGTAGTCCCATCACATCGAGGTCCCACTCGTTTTTATTTCGGAGTGATCTTCTGCAAGGTATGTTGGTCAGCGGGTGGTTGGGTTATCTGGGGCCACCGAAACAACGGCCACCTGAGTAGTTAGTCATGTACGAATGGTCGCGTTTGTAGGCCGCGGCGGGTATGCAAAACATTGCGGCGATATCACTTGGTCAAAACAAACAAACATCACGATACGTGCGACACGCCGTCTACAGTGAAAAGGCCCAATCAGGATATCTCGTATTGAATGCCTTGGCTTGATGCCTCAATAAGTACCTAGATACAACAGTTGGATCCGTCTTAGTTGATAGTTAAAAGTCCTCCCAAATAGTGACGCATACCCAGTCACATGAACCATTCGAACTCCTTCCCTTGGTATCGTGCAAGCCGTGTCAGATGAGGACGCCGCCAGCAACGCCGTTGAAACTCCATAAGATAAAAGTCCTCGTAAAGTCGTTCCGTAGCTCTTTTAGTCGGGATAGGTGTTTACGCCTTGCCAAACGATGATGATTATCGTTGGGTTGAAGGCGTCGATAGATAGTTTGTGGTAATAGTAATAATAGTGGGAACAGGTGGCGCTCGAAGGATTAATATGAACAAAATAAATCGCTGAAGGATTGTTGATGGTTAGGTGGAGACTTTGGTTGATTTCGGAGACGTGAGGTTGTCAAGAAAGTTGTGTTTTAAGATCATGCTGATTTTGATCTGGTCGTTGGTGGCGGTATTGATTCCCCTGCTGCTGCCGCCGCTGCCTTCATAACCTGTGATTTTGAGCATTCCGTTCGCCTCCTCTTCCCCTTGGGTGCTGGGTTCATCCTTGGCGTGTAGGTGACTGTCCTCGTCACCACCTCTCTGATATGCTGCACACTTCTATTCGTTGACTTGGTGGCCCTGCAGTCCTGCGAATACCGGGCTTTTAGGGCCGCTTCCCAGTCGAAAGGTGAGCGGACTGATCTTGCGCTGAATGGCGACCGGGCTGTCGCGCTCATGGGCGACTCCAATGTTGACATGGCAGGCGAAGGTGGGATGTGCAAGCTCGGGAAAGAGGTAGCACCAGTCGGCGGTGCTGACATGGGGTGAGTTGGGTAGGGGCTTGCTGGTACGGGGGTGGCAGATTTGTGGTTCCCACACTTGCAAGAGCAGTCTGTCTGCGCGCTGCTAGCCGTTGAGGGCATGGATTCCTGTGCCGCGTCCTCGTCCTCTTCGCTTGAGCTGCAAGATCGCTTCTCGGGAATGACTGGCGAAGCCACCGACATTGCGTTGAGAAAGTCCATGTATGCAATCGGCGGACTGATGGGAGTCTTGGTAAATTCCTCCTTAAAGGTAGGGGGTACAGCTGACAAGGGCGTCCTCGCCGACAGAGCAGAAAGCTCCGAGGGGAATGTTGCCGTGACAGGAGTTGTCAACTGCGGGAGCTTGGGCTTGCTGGTGGGCTTCATGTCGTCGGTATTGACGGTTGAGTGTCTTAGTGCGGTATTGTGTGATGTGATATATCGACACAAGCTTAAGTCAAGCGAATGACTCAAGAGGTGGAGGTGGGTAGGAGGGCTGCCGACCAAGCTGCACTGACAAGTCGCCGTTGAAGAGGGAAGATCCGGCAGTTGTGGTAGGGAGCAGGTGGAAGTTGGAAGAGGGAAGCAATGGCTATAATATGTATGTATGTGATCCCGTCACGGCTAAGAGCCAAGCGCAGTGGTGTCTTGGAGGTAGATTGGCCAAGGCGGGTCCTGTTTTGTTTCACGCGCGCGAGGGGGGCTCGGAAACCTTGCCAGCAGACGCTGAGACGAGGGCGCCAAACGGCAAAGCTTTGAGCTAAACCTTCGCTAGAAACGCTAGAATCAATGTGACTGATCCAAGCGGATGGGTGTGCGTCCAGGGGGTGGAAGGCTTAGCAGTACTGGCGTGCTGAACGGAAGTGATCCTGTCAGTGAGACTGGCTTGTGTAGCTGGCCGGCGCGTGCTATAGTCCGGGGGCCAACCGAGAAATATCCCGTAGTGCGTGAGATGAACCTTGCCGGCTGACAAGAAAGACGAGTGTTGTCCTTCAAAGGATCCACGAGTGTCCTTGACCGGTGGGCAGATTCAACTGGTAGTAGACAGATGGGATTGGCCACGAAAGCGGCTGGCTTGCAAGTGGTGTTCAACAGTTCGCTGTTCCCGGTGCCGGGTAGCGATCAATGGTTTGGCGTGTGCTGAGAGTTGCTCTAGCCCAAGTACAACGTAAATGGGCGAGTTGCCTCCCAATGGAATCGAATATGTACACCTCGGCAGTCAAGTCGAGTATTGTCTACTTAAAAAATGCGTAGTGCTTGCGACGAACTACTAGATTGAATGGTGGGAAATGGTAAGCTGGATCTTGTTTGTGATTCGTTTATAAGCCCCTGCTGTAGGCCCTTGGTTGGCACAACGCTCCAGGGTTCAATGCTTCGCTGTAAGCGCCTATCGAGTATTCGGGACTAAGTGACCGATGTACCTAGCCGAATCCGCAGCAGTGCGATCGCTGATTCGTCTGGGCTCCTGCAAACCTGGTCCTCGAAGCGCTTCCGCTATTATTAGTACACTTTCATTGGTTCACTTTGATTCGACGTCGCGAAAACGACCACCACATCAACTTACATATTGATTTCGACCAAAGGCGCTATGTATGCCGGGAAGACACAACAACGCTCACACCTCGTGACGTGAGCCGGGCGATGTGATCAAAGTCCTATGCAGGGAAGAGGCGAATGACTGAGGGGCTAGTTGAGCTGAGGACTTTGCCCAAGTAACGGTCGTGAGTTGTTTTTCGTATACTCCACTCGACAATTCAGATGATCATGCTTCAAAGAAGGTTTGGAAGCTTTGGTCATATAGTGACTGAAAAGAAATGCCGTGGAGGATCCGTGAGAAATGTTGATGTCTTTCTTGGTAAAGGTCAAATATCATCACAACATAGTAGATCGGGATGTTGGTGCCATTTTATGCTCAGCATGGCGCTTATGTTCGCTTTATTCCTCGTCCAGCAGAGGCAAATTTCAGAGGCTACTTCCATGGTTCCTATGGTTTTTTCTTTCTTTCTTTCTTTTTCCCCCTCAGCCCTCAAAGTATTTGCTTCAGTCAGCGCGCGGCTCAAGAAGACTGCTTCACTTGTCATTGGATTCTGACAACTAGAGGCTGTCCTTCTCGGGGTCTAAACGGGGCCGTTTTGGGAGAAGAATGTGGAAGACCGCTAGCGGGGAGCGCGCGCATCCTGATGCAGGACATTACCTCGATGGTAGTCGTCGTTGTCGTTGGTCGGGATGTCTTCAGCGCTGAATACCTGGAGGCTGGCAAGGCCAACTACCAAACAAGAGCTATTGTCAATGCATCGCAAAACACAGCAAATCCAGCGCGCGGCTCTTGGTCGCAGGCGCCGACCGGATTTCTGACCTTGTTAGAGCCTCCAAAGGAGAGGACAACAACACCAGCAATCAATTCGCTCATGACTGCTCATCTATGCGGCTCTTGATTGCAGCGCTCCATATTACGATGTTCAACCCATGCTAATGGTAAAGTGTTGGTGGAGCCATCGCGCCTCTACCCAGTGGTAAGCGCCAACAACCCTTTCAGGATTCGTTAGACTTCGTCAAGGAAATCCTTCCGTATTGTACCCGCGATCATTTCTAATGATTGTCGAAATGACTCTCGGCTATGATTGCTTGCCATACCGCCGGCCACTTTAGAATGCATGGATGGCTCCCTGGAGTCAAGCTATATTACATGATGGAGGGCATCCCAAGACTAGCGGCACCCAAGGGAGGAATTTATGGTGGTGCTGGCTCCATCATTCATGCTTACTAGCATCGAGTTTGTCAATCATGTGCTTGTCCAAGTTGGCATATGCTCACGCACCTTCCTGGTCGTTCTTAGGCCATGTATCATATCCTTGTAATATCGCGGCAAGGGAACGTTCACGGAAGCTTCGTAGGAGCGATCAACATGTGGCGCCAGGATCTAGACGCGGCTCATATCCAAACTATCGGTCTCTAGACTTGAGCCGGAGTCTGGCCAGTGACTACTATGCATATTCCTATAGATCTCACCTGAATGCTGGCCCGGGAATCCGTCATATGGGCATGCTAGCTAGGGCGCTCGATCAGAGGCACTGGGCTGAAGAGTACTTTTGTTCAGCCCTCAGCTGGCAAGCTGGTCTGCGAGGCTATACCTCATTGCTGAGTGATTCGTCTAAGTCTTGAGTTTGTTCCGGCAGGAAACTCCTACGTTCCAGGAATGGGCAGCCATCCGAGCCCAGACATGGCGGTACTAGTTTCTTAGGATTGTCACCCTTGCTGTTCCATCGTGATGCACCTCTTGTTGCACTCTCAAGCGCGCGTAAGTCGGTTAAATGCGACCAGGTCGCCATAATTCGTTGGGAAGATCGCGGCAAACTACTTTCAGATGCATATCCGTGTCCTGGCAGGACCCCTTACGAGTACGCCTGTTGGCAGGAGTAGATGACCCTTCCTCCAAATTAAGATGATGAGCTTCCAGTAAGCCTGGTATGGTGCCAGTAGACACACCCCTCTCTCAAGCAAGGTGAAATTTTTAACAGGCTTGTCTGTCAAAATGCCTCTGGCACAATATTTAAAACACGAGACGTGCTCAAATGTCGTGCATCTTTACACTCAAGCAGGCCCAAGCCAAGGCATCGTTTGACGCGAAATACATCTCTGCAGCCCCTGAAGATGATGATACTGTCAACCGTCAGGAGGCGATGTTTACACACCATTCCATAGCACAACAGGGACAATACTTCGCGGATGTACAAGACTGTCTATAGTGTGCTTTTGCGCGCAGTGTCATTTTTCACTTGTAAAATTCAATGGCGTATCCAGATAGCCGCAGGCTTCGGTTCCAGAGTGATCGCCAAGGTGTCACTAGTAGCCACGGGGATTCAGGGAAATATCTCCGCCGAATGACTCTCACATCATAAAACGCATTGGTTGTAACAAATATCTGCGTTACTTGACCGGTTTTGACTGCATTGAAATACAAGGCTTTGTCAAATAGGGTCAGGATCTCAAGGGGTTCTCGGGGAGTCTGCGACGCCCACATCAAGCCGAACTGCAAATTCCTACCATTTTCACGCTCCTTCGAAGCATAAGAAACCTGCTATACAATTTTGCTACTCCTTTGAAATTTCTTTCATCAAATTTCAAGCATGTAGTTGCGTTTCAAAGTCTTCCTTTGTCTCCTATCCTATCAACCCTCTTGTTGTCATAGAAGCGTGGAGGCACTCTACTATTACTTCCTTTGATAATATTGTCCTTGGCTACAATTGAGCCTAATCAAACATGACTACAACATTTCATCGACGGTAATGTGGTATAATTCTCAAATCGATTGAACCGAAAGCAACCGCGCTCATCCGAAACTTTTGGTCACACATACGACAAACAGTGACTTCCAGACAGTGATCGAGTGGAAGATAGAACAGCTCGGTTTAACTTCCCATTACACGACACTTTGCTCTGAAGTACTTCGCATACCTCGAGTTGCTGACATGATAAGCCGAAGTCCAACACGTAATCATATGTCGTGAACAGGAGCGTCTTCAACCAAAAGGCACACGTCATGCCCGAAAGATCAAAGATTATCTCATCTAGACCAGTGAAGTCTCGTGAGCGGCTCGTGGGCGGTTCGTGGTATGAGTCGGGCTGTTAAGCGTCATCCAGATTTGCAACATATCTTTGGATATACTGCCAGATACTCCTTCTGTAGTAAATTCACCTCGTTGTGCTCTGCTGTTGCTCTCAAATATAGAAAATGCCTATGTTGTCGTATCTTTGCGGTGTCTACCAGTCATGTCGTAAGCTTATTTATCTAGAATTTGGACCTAGTTTATCTCTAGATAAACCCAACGCTCAACAGGTGGTCCCTTGTGTTTTATCACTTCCTGGTCCATAAAACCCGGAACGATAGCATCCCCTACGATGAGCCACCCACCGGATGGTAGTTTATGAAGCACAACGGGTACTGTGCAGCCCAGTAGAAGTGCTAGCACATCCCCGCGTTGAGTAAATTTGGTGACCCATCCCACCAGGCCGGCCTTCGTGACGCAAAGTCGCATACCTCAACAAATTGTTTCTAATAAACTACATGCTACACCTACTCGATCGGCCTCACGAAGCCTTCGGTGGTAGTTTTTGATCGGAACCAGAGATCCTAAGTAACCTTTTGCGCGGTAATCTTGCCAAGTATGTGACACGAGGCGCCAGAGGCTCGCAGCATCTGGTTGTGTGAACCGATCGCCAATGGTATGGCCATTGATTTTAAATTGAGTGTTTAGCTCACCACGAAGCCAAGCGTGCAGCTCGGGAAAATGAAGTTGAAGCCATTCGGGGTCGTCCTCGGTGCGTAAGGCTTTGCTGAAGAATAAAAATTCGTTTTCATATATCTGCCTGGGCCTGTCATCTTTAACAGGGCGAAGAACAACCATGAGTTTGAACAAAGAATCTAACGGGTTGTGCGTGTTTGGTGGTTCACCAGTCGGCGGGCCTGGAATTATCCCAGCCGGCCATTGCAAGGGGGTGGAGGCAGCTTCTTGGAGTGTCGCTGAACAGTCAACTATATTATCAAATAGGTATCCTAGAATGCTTAGGCAAGGCTCAAAGGCCCTGATGTCTACTTTGGCCCCGCCGGTAGCATTCCAGACATTTTGGCTCAATGGACCTCCATCCAAGAAACGCCAGAAAGCCTGTTGTCTTGACAAGTACTTCTGAATACGTTCCTCCGACCAAGTCTGCGTTCGAACCAATCTGGAATCCACGTTCCTGGAGGTATACTTTTGAACACAAAGGGGTCCAGTGAACCGGTTGATCTTAATAACCGTTGCGCCGCGTTAAAGTTGAGCTTATCGAGCGGCATTGTGTAGCTGGGTGCAGGGAATATGTCCATGCCGTCTCTTGACACGCCCAGGAGTGCAAATACCTTGTCGCGTTGATCTGTAGCTTTCGCTAGATGTGATCTAGACAGATATTCGATCAAAGACGGGCGATCTCTTGTCAGGTTGGCCACTTTCTGTCGCATAATCACAAGCTGTTGAACATGATGTCCTGGAACATCTGGGGCGCCATTAACTATGCCCTTGATTTTACGATAGGCCAGCATAATGCTGTACATATCATTTATGTCGTTTAAATCGATCAAATATCTGTTCCATAGCAGCTGCAAGCTCATTCCTACACAGAGTTCTTGGATGATCCACACTCTACTCCAATACTCTGCCCTCAGTATGTCTGAGAGGATGGGCCAGGCCTGGAGAATTTCAGCCTCTAGCATGGACGATAGAGGCTCTCTACTACATAAGACATCCCTGGCAGCCTTGGAGACGGCTTCTATCCTCAACAAGGACGATTCTATCTGTTGACGGTCATCGGCTGCACTTGATCCTCCGGATCCTAGCCACGCAATCACAGTATGCGCACCTCGATATATATTGGACATGAGAAGCACCTGAAGATCTCGTTCGTCAAAACCCGATTGGTCGATACACAAGGCATCAGCCCAAACGGCCAAATGCCCGCGGCGACGAAATTCGACAAGCGCATCGCTCAGATTCTTGTCAATTCTGACTTGCGTGCCGGCCACAAAAATGCGTCCGGACAGGTCACCATGCCCCCAACAATACGATAATGCAGTATACAGAGACGAGTCCGATAGCGAAACATATAATACGTCGCACACGAGAGGATCTTTGGCTTGAGTACTCGCTTGGGAGCTGGAGGAGTCGAATTTCTGCCTGAGACGTACGCAGAGGACGATATTCCATTTTGTCAGGACTGTGACACCATACCAAACTCTCTTGAATGATACTAACCACTGGTGACTTTGTCTAGGAGGGTTAGAAGTCTGGAGACTAAGCAAGATACGGTAGAAAGTCGATAAAGTTCGTCTTAATGAGGTGTGAACGATCGGGTGACCTACATCTCGGTTATCTGATTCGTCAGATCTGCTTGTGCGTCTCGTCACGTGAAGAGGCGACCCTGCAGCGATATGAACAGCAAAACAAGTTGTAGGATTTGAAATCGATTTGAACACTCTCTTAGTTTTCACAGCGCGAACTTGGAATGCTGGATATCGACAAGGTCATGTAATTTCATTCCTTCCTTGATTTAATTAGAAGATGTCACCCAATTTGTCAGTTAAGACCAGGCCTGAACTTAGTGTCCAACCACTGTTTGATTTGCATTCAGCTCGTAAAGCATGGTATAGATGTATGGTAAGGCATTTGTATTTGTCGGGCTCTCAATGCTTGCTTCTGATCGTGTTCATGTGATATTGGGAATGACATGATGACTACATTGGCCACTTTTCACACAATACGACTATACTTGGTACTGCACGCTTGATATTGAAGTGTGACTTGTGGGATCAAACAATAACTTATGTTGGTTTGAGCCAGGCAAGCTGCTGAACGGAGATATTTCAGACAATGCCTATTGGGGCCACATCAACGCGTATGTTACTGAAGCAGATTAAGCCCCCCTTGTCCTCAGGTAACTACACAATAGTTCAGGTTTGATTACCATTATATTGTAAGCCTTTCATAATGCGATAATGCAGTGATTTTTTGCGCAGCGATTCAACTTTATCACATCGTGGTTTACAATTGATAATGGTATCGGCCGATGAGGGACTCGTAGGATTTGTTTGATACCTGTGAAGGTGACCAAGCGATGATCTCTCGGCTTAACATAACATATGATCCATAACGCACTGTGGTTTATGGCCATACCATGACAATTAGAACAGGCCTTTGGATTGATATCAAACAACACATACGTGACAGGTCTGGTTCCAGGAAAACAGTAAAGCAGCGACTGGCTGGACCATCGAGCTGAAGACAAATTCACAGATTAGGATTGTGATGATGTTGATCACCCTCTACGTGAAACTACCCGATGCATTATCAGGTTTGGAGCTTTCTGCAAGGCAATCAAATCAAGGCAACAGGCAATAATTGTCGCTAAGCCCCAAAGTAGTCTAGGTGGAAGGCCTCTGATCACATGGCCAGCCTTGCGGCGGTAACGATGGATATCAAAGCCATCACACAAGGTCGAATTCGGCAAGAACTGCCACACATTTGAATAGAACCCTACATAAACTAAAATCAAAGTTGTCGATCATGTTGCCACTGGTTTCAGTGCCCTAGCGGACGTCTATATCCTGCAGGGAAATGTAAAGACGGAAGCTACTGTATGGTGAATCTGGCAAGACCACATCGTGCCAGGAACAGGAGGCAGGTAAACAAGCGTGAGGAGTAGCGATGAAGCTATGATAATGGCGTTGAAGCTATGTAATGGTATGAGGTAGTGTGATGCCGAATCAGAAGCCAGATGTCGGGCTCCGCGATTTGATTCGTCCTCGGACCCTCGGGCTGCTAGGATGAGCTCATTGCTGATTTAGGAAACAAATGGACCTCATCAAGGACGACACTTCAGTTCAGTTCAAGATTTCTCAGGTAGGTTAGACGTAGTTTAATTACATTGGTGATGCATCGGAGGAAGCCTTGCAACGTGGAGAGATAAACCCTGAGGCATGCTATGTAGGCGCGACGAACAGAGCAGCTAAATCGGAGCACCACTACGCCAGGACTGCAACCCTGCGTATCATGTAAGTTCCAACATGTTCAGCAGAATTACGAAGGGATACAGAACTGACAATGCAGGGCTGTAGCTCTAAGCTCCTTGCATCCGGATATCCCTTGCAGGCAGAGGGGTTAGCAGAAAAAAATAGATTAATAGTGCTGGAACAATGAATAGAGGATAGTCCAGCAAGTAATTCGAATTGTGCTATACAATGTTATGTGACTGATGCTGATGTTGATGGTATGTCAGCGCTCAACAATCATATAAGGTAGAAGTGACGCTTACAGTAAGCAGACAGGCGTCATGACATGCCTTTCAAAACACGTTGGCCTGCTGCACTTGTAAATTTGAGCCACCTTGTATCTACCTATCATACCCTAGTCCCTGAAGATGGACCCGACCCCCCCAGGTTCAAGGCAAGGAGCACTGCCGAAGTGACCATCTGAGGACCACTGAACGGCTCTAAATCGCTCAAAATGATGTTAAAGCTGGGCCAGTCACAAAATTCATTTGGTCGTGAATTTAGCACCACTCATGAGCATTGATCTTGAACCTTGTAGACATTGAAACACATTTTTGTGTTCAAGGCCTCTTTTGCCTTGCGTCGTAAAACCGGGCATCGGCTACCTGCAGGGCCACAGTTACAAAGTTGCGGCAGCCTGGGTCTCTATGCCACCCGCTCTGCAAGTCTTTGGTTACACCGACATTTCCAGTATTCAGCCCTTTGAGCTTCGGCGGGTTCGCCAGCCGGCTTGGATCATAACTGCCCTTTGCATTGCGTTGCGAGGCCCCGCTTCAAGCAAAATCCATATAGTTTTTACTGTCATCAGTGTGATGGGGTTTGATTCACTGCTTAGATACTGAGCCGTGTTATTGAGCTTGTGGCTTCTTCATGCTCTGTGCCGCCCACGTTGTGAAGGCTCATCAAGCTCATGCAGGGCATATCACAGCTATAATAATATGATGTCACATGATGCCGCGATGGAATACGGGCTGACGATGTTGCCACCGAGCACTAGAGTAGAAAGGCGAAGCGGTGTGGTCCGTACCGTGAACACCTTGGCCACGTTCTGGTCTGACAGCAAGCTGAGGAGCATCCCAACCTCTTCCCCAGCTCACCGCGTTGTAGATCCCGCGACGACTCGAGCACAGTCAGTCAAGTGCAAGGTCTAAATTTAGCGGCTGGCCCATGGGTAAAAACCTTTAGTAAGAACAATTGGAGACATAGCTCCATCGCTTCAGTTGTGGTAATGCTTTAAACAAGGCTAAGCAAGAGCTCTTCGTAAATCGAGCGCCGATCAAGTTGTGCTCCATCGTGAGATTAGGACGTCAGAAGCACTCATGCCCTGCAACAACAGTGTCTTTGATGCAGTTTGTCAACGTTGCAAAGTGTGAATGCGAATAAGACCGAACCGACTCTGACCACATTGAGTCTTGCCTGTCCCCTGCTTGCAACGCTGAAATCCCGACCACCCCCGCCGAATGAGCCCGGTCCCGCTCGAGGCAGAACCATTACTTGAAAGGCGCCAAAAGTACCAGCCGAGCTAACTCCTAGCGAGCTAGCCACTGTACCAACGGTAAAGTATTTGTACTCCCTTAGGCTAATCCCCACGGCCCAGTTCCCACGCCACCTGTTGAGCTTCAACCACAAAGTGTACTGTGTTGACTGTGTTAGAGGGTTCACACACGTTTTTTAATCCTTGTCAATAACCTGTCTCTCTGCATGCCGCTTGAAGCATGCTGTGTCTGGCGTTGAGTACCTGTCACTCGCAGCGGAACGAAGGAAACCAACTGTTCGGGGGAAAGGCTGCCCTGATTAGCATTAAAGGTAAGGTTGTACTTTCTGTACACCCTCCTGGCTGAGAAAATGGGCGCCAGATCTTATCGCTAGAGTTCCAAAGTTCCAAAGTCCCAGAGTCCCAAAGTTCCAGAGTTCTGGTCAGGCAAGTCAAAGTCTTCAGCCCAAGTTTCATCCCATGCAGAAAATAGCGGGAGCACTTTTAGAGTTGAGTCTGACAAAAAGAAACCGTCCCTCAGTTCAAGACAAATCTTGAGAATCCTGACGGGAACATCCACCGACAAGGCTTTGGCATAAGACCCCTGCTTTGTGTGTATGTATTCGAATGGTATTAGACTAGTCTCACCAGTCATCGCCAGCATACAACAGTGAAGCGAGTATTGATTGCCCCAGCCTAGAGCCCTTTCTCAACAAGAGAATCATCCGCATCGCATCGCATCGCATCCACCTGCTCCCTTCCCTAGCCTTGATCCTGGCCCTGGTTCTCGTTCCCAAGCAGCTCTGACTCCAGTTTGCAAGAAAAAGAATTGGAAAGGACTTGGGCCCACACTTCTTTTTCGCGCCTGCTCGCTGATTAGTCACTGGTGCCGCCCCATTAAAAGCTCTCTGCTCCTTCGTCGCCTTTGACTCGCTTCTGCCATTTTTCACCAATCATCCATCAATCTCCCTTCTTGGTCCACTGTCGACCCAAGAATCATCGAATCAATTGTCGTTCCTCCTACCTGCGCTTCTTTTGCGCTGCGATACTATTTGACATTGGCAAATCAGTTTCGGCGCAGCACTGCTTCGAATCAATCAATTAAAAACGATCGCACCGCTGAGACCAAGCGGCTTTCGTCAAATCATATCGAGTTTGTGGCCGTTGCTAAAATTACCCGCTCCGCAAACTGCACACGCCTCGACTATTCAGGCCTTGTTCTGCATCCTGATTCGATTCCGTTGTTTGGGATCAGGCACGAGGACCTCCCGTCAGCCAGTCAACTTTAACTTGCCGAATCTTATACTACAGGCTACTTACTTACTTACTTACGACAGTCGTCAAAGATCACTGTATTGTAGTATAGTACGGTGGCAGCAAACCAGCAGATTTGCAATCCAATTGTGGTCGCGCCCTTCTTCTTTCGCGTAGCACACAATTGAGAAACCCCTCTGCAGCAGCTTCGCATCCCAGCATAATCCCTCGGCAGCAAAAGCTCGCCACACCGTGCACAGCAGGTGCTCTCTAACCAGTGGCTTTGTCTTTTGTCTTTCGCCATAGTAAAACTCACTCCAGCGGAACTAAAGTGAGGGTCTTGACAGGAACACCGATCCAGTCAAAAACTCGTCGCAAAAGCGTCAGACAAAAGGATTCTTGTATAGCAAATCAGCTTCGATTCTCCGCGCCAATAACCGGGACTATCGCCATTTCCCCAGAGGCCTATCATCATCGCCAAACCGTACCTCGCCGTCGCTATTGGTCTTCAAGCTTGTCAGGTGACAAATCCCGTCTGCGGATATCTAATTAACATCTTCAAGCAATTGCTCAATTGCCGTGGTTGGAGATTCATATTGCCAGCCAAGATTCCAGGAACTGGTAAGTTTACATTCGATTTGTTCTTTCATTGTGTTGCGTGCCACACAATCTGCCTCTTTCGCTGGGCTCCGGACCTACCTAAACATTGACCCGGGCGTTATAAGTGCCGCAAGTTATCGCCTCCCTTCTTGGGCACGATGCTGTCTCTGTTATACCGAGTTCAATGGGCTAATTGAATCGATTGCTACCCCGAGTCCACCATAACACTTCCTTGAGCACACAGTGGACAGGACCGAATTTCGCTGACACGTGCAGAAGCAGAACATCATTCCGCCAGTTTGGCAAGGTGTGCACACTACTCGGTCTAACCTCAACCCAAGAGCTTGGGTCCTTTCACAAGGTATGCATTTCTTTTCCCATTTTGCTTCCTGGCATATCGCGGACACTCCGTTCCTCCGTTTGCAACGATACATGCACACACCCTCGGCATTTTCCCACCATAGATCTGCTGCCTCTTACACCTGGGTTGGGCGCGCGAAAATCGGGATGCATGCTGGCCTACTAGACGAAATTGTACAGCGGCGACACCATCTCTTCGCTGCCGTCTCGTCCTCGGGCCTTTCCTATTCCTTACAGCTGTTTCTCTCCTTGCACACCGATGTACCGCACCCTCCCCAGACGTGTGGCTAGTTCCCCACTTATCGTCCCAAACATCAGTTCCACGTATGCGCGGCGCGAGTGCCCTCTTCTTGTCTGAGGTCTGCATACGGCACGAACCTCAGTCGCCGATTTGGATTCTCCACCTGGGGACTTGTTACCGTCAAGCTCCGAAAAAGAAATCACCTGCGCGCCGTGCGTGATGATGCATTCACGACGGGGATCTTCAAGCCCAGCGCAATGCGCTGGGCACACTTGCCTTGCCTGCCTGCCTTGCGCCGCCACCGACTTCAAGTTGGGAAGACTTGACGCTGAGCTGGTGGACAAGTGGGCCCTCGCTCGTGCATATTCCGTCATGCATGCCAGCGCATCAATCAAATGGTGGCTCAAGGCGCGAAAATGGAACCCGTTGTTCACCCCCCCGTCTCACCCCCCCTCAGAATGAACCTGACCCGAGCCTTTTCTTTATACTTAATTCAGATAATCTAATGTATTTGGTTGGATAGATCTCCACATTCAAACAGCCCGTTAGAACACACCTTGGACAACTCGCTCCAAGCTGTTTCGCCAGATTCTCGACCCGCGCCGGAATCCATTAACTGCGTAAACAAGCGCGTCACTGGCTTAGTCAAACACATATTGTCGCGTCCGCAGGTCTACCTCACGTGGCTGTATCAGGCCGATCCCGACTACTCTGCCAGCGGCATCAACCAGTCCAGCAAGACTGAGCCACATTGAGAGCACTCTCGCCTTTGAGCTTACATCGTCTCGCATATGCCGTGGTGCGGTCACTCACGCTGTGCACCTACCACTTGAGCAACTGCCAGCTCATCCACGCATATCCAATAGATTGGCTGCACATCCAGCCTGCTTCGCGGCTACCTAAGTGACGGAACCTCATCCCAACGCGCGTGCCCAACTGCGGCCAACCTGTCAGCCATTTATCTCTATCTCTTGACGACGTCAAGCAACACTGGCTGCTCCGAGACAGTATCTGTTTATACCAATTCTCTTCAACAACCGCTGATCTTGCAAGCCCGCCTAGCGTAGCCTAAACCAACTGTCTCTGATCTGTACCACACGGCAGAGAGATCGAGTCTGGTAGTACAACAAACCCCGCTCTTTGCGCAACCAATTCCCGATATGATGGACTACGCCCAATACCAACAACCACCTCAATCGGCGCATTCGCAAGGGCACATCCAATCAGGTTACACCAATTCGAATACTGGCAATACCATCACCTCTCCCTCAAGTCACAGCATACACCAGCACGGAGTTCAGACCTCACCTATTCTATCCTCCTCGCATCAACCATCCGCGTCGAATCAAGGTCACAACATGTACTCGACGCAGTACAGCGTACCCCAGCAGGGCATGCACTATGGCGTTCCCGGTATCCAGGCTGCTGCCATGGCCGCAACTGCTGCTGCAGCGGGTGGAACACCGTATGGCAACTACTTGTCTTCTGACCCTAGTCTCACGCAGAGTTCGCCCAGGCTTGGTTCTGGGGTCAATGCAAAGAAAGATGCACCTGGTCCGCGTTCACCACAGCAGTTGACCCAGATGCAGGCGCGTCGCATGAGTCAAGTCACAAGCCCTGGTGTACCGAACGCGTCCATGCTGAACCATCGGTCCTCAGTTTCCGCCGTACCGCCGCCCATGTCAGCGGCCCAGTCGCTGCCGCAACCACAATCACCTGAAATGCCTGCTGGCGCCGAAGAATCACCTTTGTATGTAAACGCTAAGCAGTTCCACCGTATCTTGAAGCGGAGAGTCGCGCGACAACGGCTGGAGGAGGCTCTGCGACTTACCAGCAAGGGTCGTAAGCCATACCTGCATGAATCCAGGCACAACCACGCCATGCGGAGACCCCGTGGACCCGGAGGACGTTTCTTGACGGCTGAGGAGGTTGCAGAAATCGAGAAGACTAAGGGTGGCGACGACGAAGAGAAGGATGCCTCGCCCAAAGCAGGCACGAAGAGAAAATCAGAAGCAGGCTCAAACGCCTCGAGCAAGAAAGCAAGATTGGATGAGACCCCCGAAGACGACGATGATGAAGATGCGGAAGGCGACAGCTAGGTGCGCCTGGCTGGCATGCTCGACTTTCCCATTCTGTCTCATGCTACGACTTACGACGATTCTGATTCATCACTATACCTATTTCGCAACACTGGAACTAGCACTATTTTCCCTCACGGGGCCCACACCTCTGGGCAACGGGGGCACGGTGGAGCGAAGCATTGTTTTTGTTGCTTTTTTTATTCTCAGTATCTACAGTATCAACCGCAAATTCATGGAAACTCATTCTGGACCTTGAAGATGTACCGCATCATGTTATTGGGGCGCTAGGTCACTCGCTCTCGGGGGCTTCCCTAAAGTTTTTCAACATCGCCCACGCGATATTTTCTCGTTCTCTCTAATTGCGACTGCATTTTCGGCAATAGTTTTGATAGGAAGGAACAGGCCTAGGGGATCACTGGACGGGAAAGACTGCATGGAATGAACGAGACAATGGAAGGATACCCCCACTTTGCCATTTTTCTCAAGGCGAATTGTTTGCTTTCTATTCATGTTCACTATGTTTAAGGAGCCTTTTACTGCCAGTCGTTGTTACGCACAAGGTCAGGTTACCAATGTTGCGAAGGAGAGTTGAAGGACATTTGGTGACGCTCCCCAGAAAATAGTACAGAAAAATTTGTCTTCCAAATTGGACAAGATACATGCTGTCTCAATTTGATCGGTTGGGTTATGCAGAGAGGAACAATAGATACTTCCACTGGTATCCGTCGTCGGACGACTTGGGGCAGATACATATCAAGCGCACATATACATCTACACTGCTAAATTATGACTTGTGCCCGTTCATGAAATAGTTGCTAACTGGGTCTGCCAGCGGATGCCATGGGTGGCGTTGGGGTAATAATTATGTGATCATCTGCAAACTGACTTGGTTGAAAAAGCGCTTCGCACAAGTCTGTGGCTCACTTGGAACTTGCTCGTGCATGGTAAATCTCGAATCAAAAGTGGTTACATAAACACTCGATATTCACGCCTAGACGAAGGTACGAATTGGTGGCCAACTGTCACTGTCACGTGATCAAGCGGCGCCAAGGCTTCGACTGGACCTACTACTTCGCCCTTTTGGTGTGCGCCATTGGATCGAATTGCTGCACCACTTCACCGGCTTCGCTCTTCATACCAACGCGACGGAAGGTAAGCCACGACAAATGCCAATATGTTGTTCTTCAGGTATGTTTATTTTTCTCTCACCTGGGATGGTGTTGGCTGTTTATTTGGGAACACTGCAAGAAAGCCCTCGATGTTTAGAGCTATGGCCTGCCTGGGTTCATTGACTTTTGGTCGGGGGTGCGGGTTGGGCCATGATGAGGCAAGGACGTCGGAATGCTTCGAGATCGGTAGCACAACTCAAGCCTGGTCACTTGCAAGCGGCTACTCAAGATTCTGTGGACTTTGGTGTGGCTCGGGAATGATGGGCCAGCCGGGGCTTGTTGGCGCGACGTGGATGTCGGGAACGGAGCCATGGAGGTTGGGCCACCAGGTTACTTCTGCTTCCCACGTTTCCGCCGCAGGTTACCGCGGCTTGGAGTGCTCAATCCCTTTTTCGATGACGGCCTGGACTTTATCTGTGCGAGTCTATGAGTTGTTTTATGGCGGGTTTCTTGGAGAGCAGCGTCAGGGAGAGACAAATATAGAGAAAGAAAGAAAACGAGCATTAACCAGCTAACGTCATGACTTTTTCTTTCCCCAAATATAGTTTCTTCAAAACCCTCATCGACAACGAGGTAACCGTGGAGCTCAAGAACGATATTCAGATCCGCGGCACCCTCAAGAGCGTCGACCAGTACCTCAATATCAAGCTCGACGACATCCGGGTCGTCGATGACATCAAGTACCCCCATCTGGTATGTTTGTCTATTTTTTTGCATGTCTTCGCTTCGTCTCTTCCTCTTTTCTTTCACTTCTGCCCATCTCCCTCCCCCCCTTTCTTTTTCGCCTACCAGGGAATGGCAGATTTGGCTGACTCAGTGGACTTTCCAACATAAATAGAGCTCCGTCAAGAATGTCTTCATCCGTGGCTCCGTTGTCAGATATGTGCACCTTCCCCATAACGCCGTGGACGTGACATTACTGGAGGACGCTACTCGGAGAGGTAAGTCCTTGTCCTTCGTTGCATTCCTGACTGCCAATATGTGCTAATACCCAAGATAGAAGCCGCGAACCAGGCTCAGAAGGCGAAGTGATGGGACTGCTGGCAGGAATCGGGACGAAAGCAACCACAAGATCAGCCTCCAACCTTTGTTAGCCGGGGGCTTGGTCGTGATGGCGGGTCATGCTGGGCACGAGAATAGATGCCATTGAAAAGCAATTGACACGTGAAGCTTTATCTAGAAAGCCCTCATACGCACGATCAAGCATCATCACTACACGGGAGAACTCGAGGAGAATAAAAAACACGGTATCCAGATCCTTAATATTGTGACATCATTCCAGCATGGAACAAACAGACTTATATCCTACTTTGACATGGTTGTTCCTCATTGTGATTTCATCACCATACAGCGCCACCGCCCCGTCCATCCTTGCCCTCCCAAAGCACCTTCTCTTTGCCATTCTTGATCTTGGCAGAAGCATCTGCATCTGTGTCTGCATCGTGCGGAAGCTCTTCTTCTTGTTCATCCTCTTCCTCCAGTACCCCCACAACACCGCCGCGCCGCCTCTCGCTCACCCACCGGTCCAGCCACCCCTTCATCCTCTTCCGGCTCTGCTCGCTGCCCACGTTGACGGTGGGCACGATCTTCTCGATGCGCAGTGACATGGTGAACAAGGCGAGCTCGCGAAAGCTGCTGTGCTCCGAGTACGGCACGCCGAAGCACATAGCCTCCCTGGTGCTGCCCCTCTGGGCGACGAAGTCGGCGGCGCCGAACCTGGTCCTCCAGGCCGGGCCGTGCAGAATCTGCGGCATGGGGACGGAGCTGGGGCTCAGGTTGGCGCTGACGGTCTTGGCGTTGCTCTGCGGGTTCCTGAAGTTCCAGCCGGAGGGCCGAAACCCGACGATGCGGCTGAAGCCGTGCGCCTTGTACCCGTTCAGGTACTCCTGCAGCGTCTCGGCGCGGATCTCCATCAGCATCTGCATGTGGACCTGGCCCTCGCGCGGGTTGCTCGTCATGAGCGCCGAGAGCTCAGGGTCGCCGAGCTGCTTGCACAGGCGGATCTTGGCGGCCGAGGCGTAGATTTTGGTGTTGAGAGCTTGGGCGATAGCCTTGCAGATTCGCTCCTTACCGATGGAGTAGGTCCCACAGACCACTAGCAGGCGATGCTGCTGCTTGGGCGTCTCGGGGGTTGTTTGGTCTGAATCGCCTTTGGATGGTTCCTTGGTGAAGAATTTGCTCACGGGTTCCGTACCCTTTTCGCGTTTGATGGCATCGAAAGCGTCGTCCAGGGCATTGGGATCGCCGGAAATGGACCTGCAGAAATCGGCACAGGCATTGATTACATCGTCCTGGGGAGGAAACGAGTAGCGCGGATTCATGTAGGTAGTGTCGAGGTAACAGATGTCTATCTTCTGCTGCCTCGTCTTACCCGAGATGGAGTCGACGACGTCTGGTTTCAGGAGGGGATGCTTGACTTGAGCTGTACAGGCTCGGAAATCACCACAATGTAATATGCGTTGCTTCCTTGGGTTCGGGCCCATGCCCATGGCCTTCTCGAACAGAAACAGAGAACTGCCAGGGCAATGGTTCGCTGGTATCATCGTGACCGTCGCGCCCTCTGTACCTGGAATCTCAAGAGTTTCCTCAAACTCAATCTCTCTGACCCATTTTGCCGCTGTTTTCAATTGCGATTTGATCAAGCTTCCAGTGACTTTGCTGCAATATATCGGACCATGCGTCCAGTTTGCCGTCAAGCCCACATAGTGGTCGCTGTGAAAATGGCTCAGGAAGTATGCATTGCAGCCCTTGACGGCACCGTAACGAAAGGCATCAACACATATGTAAAACCCAGGCATAATCTTGTAAAATGGACATGTACGTTCGTATGCATATTTCCCTCGAGAAGCATGTTCGGTGGCTGCAGCTTGAGCCCACGCAGTGTCTTCGGCATGACTTGACATCAGCTTGCTGAAAGCAGAGCCAGATTTTGCAGTCGAGCTTTCTCCAGCTCCTGATCCAAGGGTGATCGGGTTTGCTTGGCCAGGTCTTGGCACAGCGGCTTTGGTAAAACGTTTGCTGATGTCCAGGACCTCTACTGCGTTCTCGGGCGATTGGTTGACAGGCTCGGGTGCCGGTACTGGTATAGAGGTTCCGTCTAGGCATGCGTTGACATGCGTTGTCGCCTGATCTGCCGTAACGCCGGCTAAACTCGCACTGCAAATAGGACAGCTTTCTACCATGCTGTCGTTCCCAGCCGCCTCATCAAAATCCTCGTCAGGGGCAAAACCTGCTTCTTCAGCTTCGATTCGTGCTTGCTCTTGGGCGAATCGCATATATCGATACTCTTCTCCTTCCTCTACGCTATCGAGTTCCCCATCAAACCCCTGGCCCATCTCCTCCAATGTCCTGAAATTATCATACACAGAATCCTCCTGCTTCAGCTCGGGCGCTTTGGGAATATTCGAACAGCTCTCGTCGCGTAAGAGTTCTGGTCTAATCGGTGGTGATTCTGCTGTCGTAACCTCGTTTAGTATGATATCATCCGGGGGTTCTCCTTTCGTTTCTTGCCTTGTAGGAGAACTGGGCATTGGGACGTCGTTCTCGCTATCCGAGTCGTCCAAAAAGGGGCCCTTGCGTGTTTTTTTGTTCTTCTTCCGCGACGAAGGTGCGGGTTGCGATCCCGTTATGCCGTTCTCTGTCTTCACTGCTGTATCTCCATCCTGAGGCAGTACAACACCATTCGCTGCATCGTGACTCAGCTTCCGCCTCTTGAATGATGCCTGTTCCTCGTTGAACCTCGAGGGTGTTTCATCATCTTCTGCATCTCCAAAGAGATCATCGATGCCGTCTTTCGTCTCCTCTGACTTGACTTCGGACTCGAGGATCGAGAGGCTGTTCGAGGGTCCAGGCCCTTGCTCTAGGAACAATTGTTCGTCGACCTCGACCTTCTTGAAGAAGTTCAATATGTTCCCATTACTCTTCTGCTTCTTTGCGGCGGATTTCGAGTTTGCACCGTTTGCTGCAGCGCTGAAATTGAGCTTTGTCTGCCGCGGTGTCTTGGGTTTTGAGATGGCCTTGGATGGCATCTTGTCGTTGACGAGGCTGCTCTCGGTGGGTATGGTGAAGGTGTTACGACATGTCCTATCGGAAACTAGCCGACCACTATGCCGTAGATCGTGGCAATGGACGTCCAGATATAGACTCACAGGAGATGCATACAGTAGTGACCGAATCTACCCAGGCGCGGTCACAAAGAAGTCAAGTTGCCCCCCCGCCAATAACCCAATCAGTGACGTCCGCGAAGGGGAGGACCCTTAAAACGCGCTAAATTGAGCACTCTCCAGCACGTTCTCACGTGCGACCGCGATTCAATTAATCACAATAGCTTTCTTCATCCAAGATGACCCGCAAATGATTTGAAGGGTAGAGCTGCTAGCAATGGGATAGGCGGTAGAATATTATTCAATACTATTGGGGGTCTTATGGATATCAATTGGTATCTCGCGAGAGAATTTACAGATAGCAATGCGGGCTGTCTATCAGGCCATGTTCGTGTTTAATGTTGCTCAGCAAGTATGGCTTCTGGTATTAGACCGCAGCATGATTTTCTAAGAACATCCCTTTTTCGTATCTTTGCTGTCGTAAGGTATTACGGACTTCAAAGTTTGGTACTGCAAGACGCGCTGGTGTAAAGCATTAACAAGATGAACGAGAAACAGGCGGAATGAGTATGAGATCGACTATTTTCATCTGGCGAAGTCTGTTAAGAATTATTTGTAGTCTCCGTGAACCTTTGTAAGGGCCACCTGCATAATACTTTTGCAGAGCCCGATCTATGTTTTCTACGTGATTGGTTTGAGGCACCGCAGACGGGCTCAATTTCTCTTTCTGGGCTTGACAGTAAATCATGGCATGTCCAACATGAGAAGGAGTTTGTGGCCATCAAAACCCGAACCGAGCCTTATGCTTTATCAAGGTGGTTCGTCGAGCAAGTCCTGCCCACCTTTTATCGTCTTATGGGTAAGACACCAAAGGTATGAGGTAGTCATTGCTCATCGTCGTAAGGCTGGCTTGCTAAGTCCAGATAGGAACCCATACCGTCCGAGGAGGTTAGGACGGGCGTATAGAATTACCCAGGTTGCAATCTTGGAACATGCATTTGTACAGTCACGACGGTGACAGCTTCAGTGTTGCCAGTAGGCTCGGTCGTTGCGCTTTACGTGATACCGCCAAACGATGTGAGACTGGAACTTGTTATCGTGTTCTCGACCTCTCTCTCTCTCTCTCTCTCTCTCTTTCTCTCTCGCCTTGGCATTGATGACCAATGCGCGCACTATCGAGGTGTTCGCGGCGACAGCAGCGTGGGTGTAAAATGCTCCTCTTTTCCGCAACAAGCTATGTAATTTGGCCGTGGGTCTACCGCCGTAAATGTAGTGTTCCTCACGAACAACACGCCATCCTGAGGACCACTGAGGGTAGTTTGGATTCACGTGAGGAAGAAGGCGAACATTCGGCCCGACATATATCAATTGCAATTAGTGTTGAAATACAGAACGTTGTCGAACGTATTGCCCCGTACGATGAGAGAAATAGAATCATGTCATGTGACAAAGCCATGGTCGGCACCAACTCTGAGCAACGTCATGGATTGAGTTTGAGTGACAAAACTTTATCCATCATAGCAGTGCCCCAGACTTGTCCGTTGACCGGACATAATAAAACACCGTGGTGACAGAAACGGTCCGATGACAAAAAAGGGAATATTGTTAGTAGAGGCAGGACAGACCAATGAAACTGCTCAGAATAGCCCTGTGGATGGTGGGAGTAGATCATGGTTCGTCGACGCTTGGGTGAGGTCTTTTGGTCTGGCACTGCCCAGGCGTCTGAGAAAACAGGGTCCAACGCCTGAGGAAGGTTGTGTTTTGTTGGCACCCGCCGGCGACCGTGGACCATGGCCCGAGCGCGGAGCTTATGGGTGGGGAACATGAGAGCTCACCTGGGCAGCTCCTGCCCGCTGTCAAAAACAATCGACTTTGCTTTACTATGGAGAATTGGTGAGAAAAGCATGTACCCCACCTACCCCTCCCCCCGTTCGTGAGATGACCTCGAACCAAAAGGGCAGAGGTCGAAAGTCGAAAGACCTCAGGGCTGTCTCGCAGGGTTTCGACTTGTTGACCCCCCCGAGGACCCCGCCAACATTTCGTATGCCGCTACAGTGTGTGAGGTTTTCGATACATACATACATGCATACATAGCTTGCCGTTCAGCCCGCCGTTCACCCAACTTCTAAGCTTTCATCTTCACTGTTCATCACTTGGAACCTTTTCTGATAGGTTTCATCTCACTTCTGCCCAATACCAGAATGTAAGTACGCGCTTTCTAGGTGAATTGTATATTGCAGTCTCCTCGCTATATGCCAAGGAGAACTACGAGTTTCGTCACAGCTACCCCACCTCCTCTGGTTGTTTGTCAATGCCTCAAATTTCGCAAGGCCTTTCGTCTGCTGCTGAGGCATATTCTTTTGGGCGTGCTTTCCAAACATACGCAGCAGCCACATCCGAGCCTTGAGACCTACCTGATCTATATCTTCGGACGCACCCCCCTTCCTCGAACCTTCATTTGTCATTTTCCTCGATATTCACTGTTCAAATCCTTTTCGGTGTCAATAACAACAACTGACCTTGGGAATCACATCAGAATCACACATAACAGACACGATGGCCATCAAGAAGATCCACGCTCGTTCCGTCTACGACTCTCGTGGCAACCCCACTGTCGAGGTCGACGTCGTTACTGACACCGGTCTCCACCGTGCCATTGTCCCCTCGGGTGCTTCCACCGGTACGTTCACGTCGATATGTCCCACATACCATGTCGAGCACGGCATGAGCTAATATGCATAAAAGGTCAGCACGAGGCCTGCGAGCTCCGTGACGGTGACAAGTCCAAGTGGGCTGGCAAGGGTGTCACCAAGGCTGTTGACAACGTCAACTCCGTCATTGCCCCTGCCATCATCAAGGAGAACATTGATGTCAAGGACCAGAGCAAGGTCGACAAGTTCCTCATTGACCTTGATGGAACCCCCAACAAGACCAAGCTTGGTGCCAACGCCATTCTCGGTGTCTCTTTGGCCATTGCCAAGGCTGGTGCTGCTGAGAAGGTAAGCCCTCAAACACACGCACACGCCTGATGAGAGATACCCGTCTAACATTCACGTCAGGGTGTTCCTCTGTACGCTCACATCTCCGACCTCGCCGGTACCAAGAAGCCCTATGTCCTGCCCGTTCCTTTCATGAACGTCCTGAACGGTGGTTCCCACGCTGGTGGTCGCCTGGCCTTCCAGGAGTTCATGATCGTCCCCTCTGCCGCTCCCAGCTTCACCGAGGCCATGCGCCAAGGTGCTGAGGTCTACCAGAACCTCAAGTCTCTGGCCAAGAAGAAGTACGGTCAGTCTGCTGGCAACGTTGGTGACGAGGGTGGTGTTGCCCCTGATATCCAGACTGCCGAGGAGGCTCTTGAGCTTATCACCGAGGCCATTGAGTCGGCCGGTTACACTGGCAAGATCAAGATCGCCATGGACGTTGCCTCCAGCGAGTTCTACAAGGAGGATGCCAAGAAGTACGACTTGGACTTCAAGAACCCCGACAGCGACCCTGAGAAGTGGATCACCTACGAGCAGCTTGCTCAACAGTACAAGGACCTTGCTGCCAAGTACCCCATTGTCTCCATTGAGGACCCCTTCGCCGAGGATGACTGGGAGGCCTGGAGCTACTTCTACAAGACCTCTGACTTCCAGATTGTCGGTGATGACTTGACTGTCACCAACCCCATCCGCATCAAGAGGGCCATTGACCAGAAGGCTGCCAACGCGCTGCTTCTCAAGGTCAACCAGATCGGTACCTTGACTGAGTCGATCCAGGCTGCCAAGGACTCATACGCTGGTGGCTGGGGCTGCATGGTGTCTCACCGATCTGGTGAGACGGAGGATGTCACGATTGCCGACATCGTTGTTGGTATCCGAGCCGGCCAGATCAAGACTGGTGCCCCGGCCCGTTCCGAGCGTCTTGCCAAGCTCAACCAGATCCTGCGCATTGAGGAGGAGCTGGGTGACAAGGCTATCTACGCCGGCGAGAACTTCCGCAACGCTGTGAACTTGTAAGAGAAGCAAGTCAATCCCGGAACAAAGAATGACAGATATGGGTAATGATCGGAAATGCAAGGAATGATTCGGGCTCAGCCGGTTGGACGGTTGAAAATAGTGTCATAGACAAAATGCAGATGCTTAAGCCATGATCCTTGGAGACGAAATGAGTGAACTTGATAGGTGCACAACACTGTAACCGTGGACTGACTGGGGCGCCTACTGCATAGTCCCTCCGGCTCGTCTTTTGATTTTGTAGAAGAGGAAATGTGGAAGAAGGAAAGTAAAGAGGAGAAAGCGAATCTGAACCGAGGACTTCCGGTTGTTCGGTACGAGCTATGGCGATGAGGGTCTGCCCGGTTATGCCCGGACATTTATTGCACCAACTGTCAGGGGGTTTGGTTTTGGAGTGGCTTGATCGGTTGAGGCTTGCTTGATGTGGCTGATGCAATTTGTTTTTCAGGATCCGTGTTCCGTACAATATATGTTGACCTTAGTGCTGTACTAGTCTGTCTCGGCTGGGTCGTCAGGACAACCGTCCTCTCTCAGGGGTGCCCAAACTGCACAATTCGGCACTTGCACCAAAACAGTAAACAACAAGGTTTTGACTGTGTTATCTATCTGCCGACCATGCTCCACATGATGGCCCTTTTTTGATCCTCCGTTTCTGTAAACTAACTAACAGGTATTGGGTTTCTGAGCAATTTGGCTTGCCATTCGCGGTTTTGCATACAAGCAGTTCAGTTCAGTATGGCGCCTTCAGAGGATCTCATCAACTTTGATGTGATCGAGGGCCAGAAAGAAAACATTCAGTCTCTGCCAGGAGGTCGATCGGCAAAGAAACTGGCACAGCTCTATTCTCCGACGCCACTTCAACAGATTCCGACCCCTTCGGACATCAAGGATGCCAACGAACGCACAAGAGCCGAGTACGAAGCTGAGGTAGCAGCGGCTGCCGACTCGGATGATCCCCTCGATGCTTTCGATAGATACGTCAAATGGACCTTTGACGCATACCCTTCGGCGCAAGCCACTCCTCAGTCGCAACTCCTTCCATTACTAGAACGTGCAACAAAGGCTTTTATCGGATCTGCACAATACAAGAACGACCCGAGATACTTGAAGCTGTGGCTTCATTACATCCGCTTCTTCTCCGATGCGCCCCGTGAGACGTTCGTCTTTCTCTCGCGCCACAACATTGGAGAGGGGCTTGCTCTCTACTATGAGGAGTACGCTGCCTGGCTCGAAGGCGCTGGCCGCTGGATTCAAGCCGAGGAGGTGTACAAGCTAGGTATTGAGCGGGAGGCTCGACCAACAGCACGATTGCTGCGCAAATTCCACGAGTTCGAACAACGACAAGCCGCCCAGCCCGATGCTACTGATGCCCCGACATCCCCAGCGATTCCTGCTGTGCGAAAAGCGCTAGGAGCAAAGGTTGATCCTTTCGCATCAGCCCGCGCTGTCGATCCTCAAGCACCAGCAACCGATGCAGCTGCCGGTGTCGCGACTTCCAAGCCAAAGAAGTCTAAGCTGGCCATTTTCTCCGACGCTGATGCAGCGCCACCAGCATTGCCCTCGTCGAGCGGAGGCACCAAGGGTTGGGATGACATTGGATCGCTGGCCGACAGGAAGAAGGAAAACACAGTAGCGCCAAAGCCATGGGCGGGAGAGACGTTGCAGGCGGGAGGAAAGAAGAGCACCGCGCCAAAGATGTCTATCTTCAGGGATCCGGTAAGTCGCTGACTTTCACTTCTCCGCTCGGCATATGCCAATTGTTGATGATCATAGGACTAATTGTTGGCGGTTTTCGCAATTGTAATTCAGTCCTTAGCAAGAATAGCAGAGTCTCATATTGTCATCGCACCATCGAAACACCAAGTGATCATAAATCCGGCGAATGGAAAGCGAGAACGTGTTTTTGTTAACCTTGAAGCCGTATACCCTACGCCCGAAGAACCGGGCACAGAGCTAAGTTTTGAGGAGATATGGGCTGCCACTCGGGGCTGGCTTGATTGTTCGTGGGAAGAATACGAGAACGAAGAAAACGATCACGATAACACCTTGCAGCCGATTGACGAAAACGTTCAAATGGATATGCTCAATCAAAAACTGGCCACAAAACTAGTAGTTCATCACGACGTCGTCGAGCTTGACGAGAACGGCGCAGTCAAGCAACAGCATAAGCCCAGCAAACCTAAAAAGAAAAAGCTGATGGAAGTCAACGAGACGCAAATTAGTAAGTGCCGAGATAAACATGACATCTCCTCAACTGCTCACATTTTGAATCACAGTCAAGGCGAAGCTGGACTCGCCGGCCAAACCTAAGATGAGAAAGAACAAATCATCTGAACCAACCATGACGCTTCATACCAGGGCAGCCACGGACGAGATTTATGATCTCTTCAACGCTCCCCTAGAAGCGCCTGAGGATCAGAATGAGAGCGACGAAGATGAGTACATGTCTGATGACGATTACACTAGTGGTGGAGAAAGCACGTGTACCACCCGTCAGATTTCGATGAGTGAGGCTGGGGATGATGAGACATCTGATGTGAAGAGTGTGAGCGAGTGGTCAGACTTTACTGCTCGAAAGCACATTCCAGACGTTAATGATGAAGATGTTGACATGGATGACGGAGAGGGAGATGATACTCGTGGTTCAAACTTCATCAACACCAACCATGACAACATTTCGGGCCACATCACAGGCGAATACGAGCATACCGAGGATCATGACCTCCACACTCCAATTGATGAAGAAGATCCTCAGACCATGTTTGTTCCAATCCCACCGGAGGACTGGGTGCCCAATTCTCGGCCGTATAGGGACCCGGCCGAGGTGGCTAACAACCGCCTTCCGTTTATGACCCCTATCACGGAACGTACCGAGTCTTCTCTTGGTTTTGTTACTGGTGCTAAAGCTAGGGCTGCTATGACGCCCGTCTCGCAAGGGATTCCAGAAGACGACGAGGAGGATGATGAAGACTTCGAACCTCTCAGCAGCCCTCTGCGTGAGATTCTTGGTCATGACCGGTCTCCCGTCAAAATCGCACAGCCCGTGCTTCAGAAGAGCACGAAAAGTACAGCAACAACAAAGACGATTCCGAAGGGACCTCTTATCACGGACCTACAATGCAATCCGGTAGATGAAGCCGTTCGAGGAGAAATTCTAAAAATGATGCACCCTCCGCTAAGCTCTTACTCTGGCTTCTTTGACCACAGAGATACTCGCTGCAATCGTGGTGCCGAGATTCGAAAATTTGGCAAAACGTCCAAAGCGGGCAAAAACGGCAACAGCGACCGAAGCAGCATCAGTAATCCAATCACCCTAGAGTTCCCCGGAGTCAAGTCGACCTACACCTTGAAGCGCGAGCTTGGCGCTGGTGCTTTCGCTCCCGTTTATCTCGTAGAGAACTCCAGTCCTGATCAAAATGCTGACGACGAAGGGTCACTTGTCGAGATGGGCAAAGGTGCCTTTGCTACATCCCGACGCTCAGCACAAGAAGCTTTGAAGATGGAGCTGCCGCCCACAGCCTGGGAGTTCCATATGATGCGCCTCGCTGCCACGAGACTTGGCCCTCAGCACAGAGCCACAGCCAGCATAAGCGCTGCGCACGAGCTGCACTTGTACCAAGATGAGGGCTTCCTCTTACTGCAGTATCATCCACACGGCACTTTGCTCGATGTCGTGAATTTCTTCCGAGAACAACCGTCCGGAGCCATGGACGAACCGCTGGCGATGTTCTTCACCATCGAGCTTCTTCGCACCATCGAAACGCTGCATTCGAAGCAAATCCTTCATGGCGATCTGAAGGCAGACAACTGTTTACTGCGCCTCGACGCCTTCTCGGGCGAGCAATCCTTGAGCAGTCAATGGCAACCAGACGGCAGCGCCGGCTGGTCCTCTCGTGGCATCGTGCTCATCGACTTTGGTCGCGGCATCGACATGCGCGCCTTCGACCCGGACGTCCAGTTCATCGCCGACTGGAAGACGACGGCGGCCGACTGCGCCGAGATGCGCGAGGGCCGGCCCTGGACCTGGCAGATCGACTACCACGGCCTCGCCGGCATCGTCCACTGCCTGCTCTTCGGCCGCTACATCGAGACCGTCCGCTGCGACCAGGGCGGCCTCGGCACCACCGCCGGCAGGCGCTATAAGATACGCGAGAGCCTTAAGCGCTACTGGCAGACTGACATCTGGGCGGCCTGTTTCGACCTGCTGCTTAACCCGGGCAGCTTCGCCAAGAACGAGGACGCCGCGCGCATGCCTGTCATGAAGGGCATGAGAGATATCAGGGTGCAGATGGAGACGTGGCTCGCGGCCAACTGCGAGAAGGGACTGGGCTTGAAAGCCCTTATGGGACGCGTCGAGGGCTTCGCGAGCGCGCGTTCGAGGAAGTAGGATGTCCGCCGTCCGCGCCGCTCCAAGGGCTGTTGAGTAGGGGGGAGAGGGAAGTAGAAAAAAAAGAAGAAGAAAAAACCGTTAAAATAAAAACGTCTTCAAGTCACGGTCAACCGGGGAGGAGAAAAGCCCGGGGACAAGTCGAGCTTTGATGACGACAAAGGATTGATTTTGCCACGATGCATATCGATCATTTCCCCCCTTCGCGGCTGGGGCGATGCCGCTTCGCGCAGATTTTGGAATGGTCGAGCAGCCAGGCTGATGAATGAACGATTTGAGGCAATGGCGGAAACACTGGATGATGAATTTGGGAAGGGCTGTCCCCACGGCATTTGGGGCGTTACTGGAATGGCACGATTCTGGGTGGTTCGTTCCTCATGTCAGGGATCTTTCTTTCAGTTACATATCTATGGAAGTTGTCCCTTCCGGGGTGCCATATGCTTCCCGATAGTATAGTACAGTTGGCGTTGGTGGTTGTGCCTCATTTCCTTCTTTTTTGTTTTTGTTTTTGTTTTTACATACCCAATTGCAGCACAAAATAGACTTTTGCAAAAAGCCGTCTGGTCTCTCTGACTGTTCATGCCTGCATTCCATGGGTTACCTTAATCCGATTCGCTCCCTTCCTCGTCCGACTCGGCCTTCTTCTTCTTACTGCCTTTCTTGGCTCTAGTTCCTTTCTTTGCATCCTTCCCGGCCTTCCGATCGATCTGGTCTTGAATCTTGCTCCTCTCGCCCTCGCCCTGCTTCTGCAACTTCTGGTCCAGCGCCCGGAACTCGTCGCTCTCGGCGTCCATGCCTATCAGGCTCTCCAACAGCTTGATCTCGTCCGCCCAGACCTGCCTGTCCTCGACCGTCTTGCCGTCGGGCCCCTTGGTGTCGATGGGCGTCTCGAGCACCATGGGCAGCCCGGCGAAGCGGTCCTGGTTCATGAGGTTGTGGAAGGCCCGCAAGCCCAGGAACCCGGTGCCGATGTTGGCGTGCAGGTCGCGGTGCGAGCCGAGGGGGGCCTTGCTGTCGTTGACGTGGAAGGCCCGGAGGTACCCCGGGCCGACGAGCTCGTCGAACTTTTCGAGCGTCTCGCGGAACGCCGACGGGCTCCGCACATCGTAGCCCGCCGCGAACGCGTGGCACGTGTCGATGCACACCCCGACGCGGTCCTTGTCGTCCACCAGCGCGATGATGTCCCGCAGGTCCTCAAATGTCGTCCCCACCACGTTGCCCTGGCCCGCCATGTTCTCGAGCAGCGTCACGACGCCCCGCGTGGCCCCGTGGGCCCTGTTGAGCTGGGCCGCGATGCGCGCGATGGCCTCGCCCCGCGGCTCGCCGTTGGTGTTGCCCGGGTGGAAGTTGTAGAGCCCGATGCCGAGGGTCTCGCACCGCCGCAGGTCGTCGAGGAAAGCGCCGTATGCCTGGTCGGCCTTGGCCTGCTCCTTGGCCGCCAGGTTCACGAGGTACGAGCCGTGCGGCACGCAGTGCTTGTCGACGCTGGCCCAGTCGTGCTGCTTGCGGCAGGCGTGGAACATGCTGACGGCTTCCGGCGCCAGGGGCGGGTTCTCCCACTTGCGCTGGGACTTGAGGAACAGGGCGAAGGCGTTGGCGCCGATGTGCACGGCGTTGTGGATCGAGTTCTGCACGCCGCCCGCGGCCGACACGTGCGCCCCAATGTACATGGCCTTCTTGAGCGAGGCGACGGCGGATCGTGGCGCGAGAGGCGGCATGTCTTCGGGCTTCTGCTTCTTGGTCGCCGTCTTGCGCTTTTTGGGCGCGGGCTTGGTGATTTCTGTTTTGGCCTTTCTCTCCTCCTTCTCTTCGTCCTTGATGTCGCTGTCCGCGTCTTTGTCGAAGGTAGTTTCGACTTTGCGCTTTGTTGTCGTCTTTCTCTTGGCTGGTCTTGTCTCGACTATCTCCTCCTCCTTCTTAATCTCACTTTCAGCTCCGACGTCCTCTTCCTCGTCTTCGTCCTCGGATGGAGCCGATACCTTCCGCCTTGAGGTCGTCTTCCTGACAGCTCTGGCGGCGGGTGCAGCGACGGCCGTGGAAGACTTGGGCTCTTCAGTTTTGATCTCGGTCTCTGTCACAACGGTGGTGCGCTTGCGCAGCGATTGGCGAGGCATTTTGTTCAAGTCTCTTATTGCGAAAACATGAATATCAATTAATAATTATGGCTCGTGTTCTAGGACCTCGATACCCGAGCGATGATGTAGTTTTGAGGTTTCGGGAAGAGAGACGCACTAGCTGCACGCGATTGGAAGACGCGAACTCACGTGCAACCAATTAAACTACGATTGAGTAGATACAGCCACCTCGGCTTAAGGACGTGAAAAAAAAAAGAAAGAAAACAAATAAAAGAAAGAAAGAAAAAGGAAAAAAAATTACGCCCAATAGATGTCTATAGGCTAAGCCATATTCAATTCTCTTTTGCATGAGCCTCCAGGACAGAAGAAAAGACGGGAAAATTTCAGCCAAAAAGTTAGGGAATCCTACAATCGCAATAATCACAAATTAATATGCAGCAAAATCAACTATGTGAGTCTTGAGGATATGTGCCTGACTCAACCAACCCATGGTCAGCTGAACGATCCAAGGTTAGACAGTGTTGTAGCTTTACTATGGTCAAATCTGGAATAGAAGGGGAAAAAGAAGAAGAAAACAATTGAAAAATTCACCACCTTACTTAATGTTGCATTGGGTCAAACTTAATTTCACGTGAGTTTTGGCGTGTCTCGTTTCATACCAACTGAAAAAAGAAATCGAAAATTCAAAATAGGTCCTTTACCCATAGAGTTGTAGCTAATCAAGTTTCATTTTCTCAGCCGTACAAACAAGGAAGACTAGAATGCAATGTTGGTACGTGATGTAACCATACTGCGAAACGATAGAACAGCTTCGTGGTGCTGAGGTTGGTATAAACATGTTAAGTGACTACGCGAAATCGCCATCTGTGCTGCACAATTCAGCATGCGACTTGATCTGCCAAGATGTATAGTTTCCAGCTTTCTCAACATCTACAGGTGATGTGTCGATGTTGCGGTGCTGCCGCTACACGGAAATACAATGGTCACATCCCTACGTACGTAGCATCGGGTAAAGGCGTATCCTGCAACGTAAGAGGTCTTCTTAATACGACTGCACGACTCCTCTTTTTGGATCATTTGAGCGAAACTTAAGTTGTCATGCAACTCGCCATGGTAGTATGTATGATTGGCGAAGGGGGCATCATTGGCACTCTTGTGGCTCGGCCTTACTACCTCAAACACTTTCCTCGGTCGTTGGATTGGGAAATAGACCACGTGCTCAGAGTATGCTCACGGTATGGTCAGCTATGGCAGATGCCCGGGGGTGCATGGAGACATGTCGGGTAGGGTTCCTCAGTGCCGGGTACGAAATATTGATATTTGGTAATATCCGTGAATAATGAGTAGTCATGCTCCGGGGACGAGAAACGCCCATTGGCAGTCGCTTCGAACTCTGGCAGTTCCGGGTGCATTGAAACAAACGATCCGGGCGTGTTCGAGACGACCTCGGCTAGTCAAGGCAATGTTCAGCGGCAGAACATAGATATCTGCGACACCGAGATCCAGGCACATGAATGTGAGTTTGTGGGGTATACTCGAGACTCGGTGTCTGGATTCGTATCCCAACCGCCTGAATCAGACGAGTGATATGGATAAATTGGGGATATCAGGATAGTCCTGAGGATTGACTCGCCCTAAATTTTGGGGAGTCCCTGCATGGACCAACATGTTGGACACAGAGGAACACAGAAAGACATCCACTAATTGGCCGAATGCTCTGAGTCGCCCACTTGCGTCCTCCGCAGCCTCCGCTAGTCGACAGGATACAGGCAGGAGACAGAGGATCCACGCGTACGATGCTGTTCGCTGCATGCAGGATATCATCCCATTCTGTACATTCCACCATGGGACAGTGATAATCATCAGAATTGAGAATTTTTACAGTGCGCACGCGACCTCCTTCTGAATTGAGAAAATTTTCCATCACTCGTGCGAGGGGACTGTGAAAACAAGCTCCATAGCATGCAGCCAAGCTGGTTTGGCGCAGCATCGGCGGGGAGCGCCCATATGATGTAAAAGGCTGGGCGCTGGGGCATTGCCTCCCAGGCCCTGCCAGACCCTGCCAAAAACACGGTCTGGGGGGTTAACAACTTCGGTGCATACTAGCCTGCGGATGGTCCGTGATCTGCCACAACCAATTGCCAACCACACGTGTTGCTGTTGCAGCATCTGATTGGCCACAGCATCTTAAGCTTCTCTTGAACCCCTTGACTTGCGGCTCGTCATCTCTGGCGTTATTGTATTCGACAAGATATTCACCCCACTATCGGCACGACGATGAGCGATCGGTGGCTTTGGATTGACGACAGATACGTGCTCTCTTGCTTCTTGCTCGTGTGCCTAGGGTTCACGCCAGTCTTCCCTTATTCTTGGGACTGTTCAACAAGTGACGTCGCTCTATGGCTTGCCAGGGAGGGCACGAGGGCAGGCGAAACTCCACCAATGGTTGAATTCTATGATCCTCAGGAAAGGTGAGAGTCGAGCATTTCCCACGATGCTGATCCATTCGCCAAGCGCTATTTCTCTGATCCACTCGGTATTGGCCGTGGTGTGGGGGATTTTATCCAAGTTACGGAGAGAAGAAGTGCTATGCCACAGACCCCTGTCCAGCGTATATGGATCGCAAAAAGATTTTAATAATAGTCGCCGCTGGTCGCGCTATACTTGCGGGCCTGTTTTGAACATCCATTTGGGCGTCCCTAAATATCTTTCCAATTCACTTCTCTGAAATCTTGGAATTCCCAGCTTGCTCTTTCCTCATTCACACCTTGGACCCTTCCAGAGTCGTTCGTGGTTCACGCCGTGGCTCTTCTCATTGAGCTCCACTAGCGCGAGGAAGCAACTCGGCCTTGTTCAAGCCCTTCCAACATCCCATTCCAACACATTGGAGCTTGGTGTTTGTTTCATTACGCAAGTTCTTCTTGTGGTCCGAACCTTCCGGTTATCTATCAACCGCATCAATTTGGCAACGTCATTACGGCCATCATCATGCCTGGTTTAAAGAACCGTCACCATGAGCAGGAGCCGCCTATCGGCGAGATTCCTGTTCCTCACGGCCCTGCTTTTGGCAATGAGTACGAAGACTACCCCCAAGGCATGCCCCCCGCCACAGAGTATGAGAAGGAAATCTTCAAGCACATTACTCAGCCGGATGACTCTTTTACACCCGATGGTGTGTACTGGGCCGATCTGCCGTTCTGGAAGCGATGGCGCTTCGTCAATCAGGTGGACAGAGCCGAGGCCGCAGCTGAGCTCGGCACCATCTGGTCAATGATGAAGAAGGATCCTCTGAGCCCTCTGGGTTGGTATTGGAGACACGCTATACTTCCCGGTGCTGGACTCGGTCTCGAGGGCTACACTCTTTTCTCTATTGGTAACCTCGAGCCATTGTTCAAGGATGTCTGGCCTCAGTGCTGGAGCAAATACACCGTCTGCAGCCACAACTGGGTGTCATCGATTACCTACCTTGAAGTTATTGGTATCATGGTCGGTCAAGTTGGCGTTGGTGTAAGTTCTCGCCCTTTTCCCTATTGGCGCAGCAAATGATACTAATCGGTGCATCACAGTTTATTGGCGACGCCATTGGACGACGATGGGGTCTCATTCAAGATGCCGTGATCATGTTCCTCGGTCTCTGTATTCTCACAGGCTCCTGGGGTGTCACGCTCAACGGCTGGATCATCTGCTACGCATGGGCTCTTTTCTTCTACGGATTTGGTGTCGGTGGAGAGTACCCTATCACTGCGACCTCTTCTATGGAAAATGCCGTTACCGCTGGAAAGATGTCGACTCGGGATGACCGTCTGCACCGTGGCCGCAAGGTCACCATGGCTTTCTTGATGCAAGGATGGGGTCAGTTCGTGAACCAGGTTCTCCTCATCGTGCTCATGTTCATCTTCAATCGCGGTTACGGCAACCCGCCCTACAGCGAGACGGCTACGCAGTGGGTTTTCCGTCTCTCTTTCGCCATTCCTGCTCTTGGAACGCTATGGCTCGTCTACTACCGTACCTGGAAGATGCCGCAAGCCAGCAAGAAGCTACAGCAAGCCAAGAAGAAGGCCAACGTTACCGGTTATGATACCAAGTCTATGAAATTGACCTTCAAGAACTTTGGTGGACGTATCCTTGCTACAGCCGGTGGCTGGTTCTGCAACGATGTCTTCTTCTACGGCAACAAGCTTTTCCAGGGACAATTCATCAACATCGTGTCGGACAACCCCTCGTCAGTCATGACAACCTGGACCTGGAATCTGGTCAACATTGTGGTCTCACTCTGTGGTTACCACTTGGCCTCTTTGTTGATTGATAACAAGATGTACGGCCGTAAGATGATGCAGCAGGTTGGCTTCTTCATGTGCTTCATCATGTTCGTCATCCCAGCTTTCAACTACAAGTACTACACCAGCCCGGCCGGCATTCACGCTTTCCAGGCCATGTACTTCCTGTCGTCTTTCTTCAACCAATTCGGCCCGAACGCTGTCACTTTCCTCGTTGCTGGTGAAGTCTTCCCGACCCAGATTCGTGCCAGTGCTCACGGTTTCTCTGCCATGATCGGAAAGTCTGGGGCTCTACTTGCCTCCGTTTTGTACAACTACATCGACAACCAGACCAAGTTCTACGTCGTGCCTTGGTTTGGCCTCGCTGGAATGCTTATGACTTTCCTCTGGCTCCCTGACACCACTGGTCTTGATCTGAAGGAGCAAGAGCGCCGTTGGCAATACATCCTCAGCGGCCATCCAGAGGACTACCATGGTATCGCTATTCACCCGAAGCATTTGTCTCTATGGGAGCGCTTGATGGGTGTCGGAAAGGCCTACCACCCTGACACCGATCTGAAGGCCAAGATTCGTGATATCAGAGCCGACTGGGAGGAGAAGCGGGCCGCTAGGCAAGACCCAGAGCAAGCCGACCTTGTTGATGATGATGACGAAGACCTCACCGACGAGATCCACAGCTACTTCACCACCGGTCAGGCACCTAAGGGTCGCGGTCTCGAGTACCTGAACAAGGAGAACAAGTACTTCAACAAGCAGAAGGGTGCCGCCGATGCATCCCCAGCGCAAGAGGGTGATCATACGAAGACAGACGAGATCAACGAAATTTCCGAAAAGGACCATGGATCTGCTTCGTCATCTTCCTAGGACGCCGGACCCAGAGAAGCTCGGAAACGTCCCCCGTCCGGTTTGCATAATTGCACGGATTGATTGTTTACTTGGTTATAATGATTGGAATTGGTCAATTGACACAAAAAGTCGGGAGCCGGTGTTAAGGCGTTCTAATACCTCTGAGGGAACCCTCGGTGTCGGGGAAATACAAAGATGATATCCTATTACATGCATAAAGCAGTCAATATATTTTACAAATCGAGGAACTACAAACCAGATTGGCCCACTCTACATGACATGAATTATTCTCTCTACTTGACTTATGTTTCTTCTATTGGCCCTATGTTCAAGTGCTGCTTTATGAAACAGCACAAATCTTCAATTTCCTTGTCGCAAGTTTGGTGAAACATGCCACTATAGTCATTGGGTCAGTTCCATCATCACCAAAGTTCAACCGATGGAAAGCCTCACCTGTACACCTCAAACCGCGTAGGAACCCCCATGTCCACGATAGCGTTGGCTGTACGTTGTGCCCAGTGCAGCTTTACCTTAGGGTCCCCATTTCCATGACCCAGGAAAACCGGTGTTCTACGCGACGAGGGGATTGCCGGCGCCTGCTCGGAAACGAGTATCTTCACCCGGTCGATCATGGGCAGGTAAGTCGACAGGCCAAATGCGCCGCCTAGAGACAGTGTAGCAGTCACGGCGGTGAAGAGCGCCACACAGCCGCCTTGGGAAAACCCACCTATATGGGACATGATGAATACAGAAGCACAGCGGCAAAGGTGCGGGGGAATGGAAGTCACGCACCAAGGAATATTCGCGACGGCGGGATCCCATACTCGTCTGTCTCTGCTTTGACGAGCGAGAGCAGAATACCCCTGGACGCTTCTAAGCCTTCCTGGTCATTGTTCTCGCTTGCCGTGTCGTTCCAGGTGGGCTTTATCGAATGTATGAGCAAAGATTTCCCGTTATTCCCCTTGCCGTTTCTACCTTTTCCCAGTTTTGTGGTACATCGGGGCGAAACTTACGATGTTGAACCATGCTGGCATCGATTCGCCATGCTTGTTCCACTGCTCTTCCGTCAGACATTAACTCCGCCGGGAGGGAAGTTGATGGCTTTAGATTACCAATGTGACCTTTCTCTCCTCGGCGTCGGGCAAGATGAATTTGGTGTTTTGCAGCGCTGTGTCCTCGTGCATCTTGTGCGCCAAATGAACCCTCAAAGGCGATCAGCCGGAAATATCAGATATCAGAAGTGAACCAAAACAAACCAATTCCTGGAGTTGTCTGCCAGGCCATGAAGAAATATAATCGTCGAGTCTTGGGTTTGAGGAGCGGCTATAATCAGCGGTGGTGGGTTAAGCGCCATTTTGACGAGTTCGCGACCTGGGGGAAGAAACTGGGGGGGGGCAAAAATAAGCATGCAATTGAACGGAAGATACAAAAGTTTGGGAAAAGATACAGATATTATATATCAAGTGGGAGTGTTATGTGCATAGCCGGAGTTGCTCGATTGTGGTCTAGATTATTGGCTAACTACTTGTGTATACCCCACGATCACAATATAATACAGCTACCGCCACTACTCTTGCCATAGTTGCGGGTGCCCGCCCAGACCTCTATCTTAAGGAAAGTCCAGAAAAACGGTGCAGGGGCATTCTCAACATCCTTAGGCCAGTATGTCGACGCATCCCCCTCGACCGTGACGATCTTCATGACCGTGGTGTCATCCGCCAGCGTGTCTACGGCGCCGGCGACCGCCTGGTCCGCCTGGTCGTTGTGGCTGGCGAGGGCGTGCGCGGTGCTATGGGGCACCTCGAAGACGGCCTTGAGCGCCGGGTTGCCGTCGATGTCGGCGAACTCGTGCCTGAGGTTGATGACGGAATGCGCGAGCTCGCCGTTGCTGTCCGGGAGGTCCGCCTCGAGCATCTGTCCGTCGCCGCTGAGGTGGACGTTCTGTGCACCCTCGCTGAAGTTGGTACCGCCCCACGAGAAGGCCCCGTTGACATTGCCGATGAACTGGTTCAGGTCAAAGGACCCCGACACGGGGGCTTCTCCGTCGGCTTCGACAGTCGCGTTGAGGATGCTAGAGCCCTCTAGGGTGGTAGAGCTGAGTTTAGGGTCCGACATTTTGGTCTATTCTTTGTTTGAGTCGAGGAATATGTAAAATGTTTGAAGCTGTTATGATCCCGACAAATCTGTTGAGGCCGAACAGGCTCGAATGGCCTTCAAATACATGTCTGTACTCTCCATCGAGCCAAATCGCCCATTCGAGATCTATGGTACTGAGATGAATCTGCTTTAGTCAATTTCATTCGGCTGAAAGCCTCAGGGCGCTATGAGGAATGTGTCGGCAGCGCAGGCCACTTGAGATGCTCGATACCCTGTGGTATTGCCTCAAACTCATGTTGCAGAATGCAGCTACGATATCATGAGGTTCCGTGGCGAGCTGAATTGCGAGTCTGCATTCTAGACCGCAACGCTGAACGCTCTAGACTGCACACCGCTCCATAGCTACCGACATCTCAGCCAGCCACAACATACGGCATGCGGGCCAATATCCCCATCAGTATGCGATGCAGTTGTTAGAATACAGATACGATCCAACTAAAGGAGTAGCGTCAACACAGAGGGGAAACTGGGTCGCTAGTGGTTGCACCAGAGGTTCCAGGGGCGGCCCGCACCTGCAACCACAGTCGTCTCTACAGAGAATGTCGACCATGCAACCGATACGAACCGATAGTCTTGTGCGCACTACATCCAATTGCCGGGTTTAGTGCTGGGGAACAATCCAGGCTTTGGGGGCTGAGTCTAGCGCGACAATAGTGCTTTGGGCATACGCAGACTGATTTTGACCCCAAGCACTCCGCACGATGTTGGAGACTGTCATTGACATTGAAGATGCCGCATGCCATACTAAGCGTCATGCAAATCTTCAGTCACGCTACTCGAGCACACCGTGCCTCTTGGTTGTTTCTATCTCTCTCTCAAGCTTTACCGTATTGAACATCTGGTAGTATGCCCCTTCAGTGTCATACGGGTCGCAGCCATTAGCACCCTGTTAAGCAACACGACCAGACTTAGTGTCCACCTACGGATACTGAAGGTGATCTGTCTCATAGGTTAATTACACAGGATATCTCAAAAGAATGACTCTACCTACACGATCATAGCTCCCAGAGTACTCGCTACCCCGCCTGCTCTTCCACAGATAGACTGGGAAGCGGATTCTCGTCGAACGCGGTGCGGACTTGCTGCCGTTTCGGTGAACTTGAACTATTGGGGCTCAGCCTGCAATGCGCAGTACCGATAGTGCTACGAGGCTGGCTGGTACCCAACCCCCATTTTCTGCTGCGGTATCTTATACCTCCATGCTATTCCTTTCCCACCATATTCTTTTCCCCCTTACCATAACCATACGATGGTTTAAACAGGCGCGCGTATTAAGGTCAATTATAAGATTATTTACCTACCTCACTTGTATGATAAAACATGAAAATAGCCGCCTGGTATATTCAAAAAAAAAAATTTACTTAGTATAAGCAAGAAAAATCGACGTCGCCGGATATCTATATAATAACATTGTAAAGTTAAGTTTAAGTCGGACTAACGTTCGAAGTGGCAGAGCTCAGATTCCGCATGTGGCACTTAGGTCCCCAAGGCTTACTTTGCGAACAGCTACTCAAATAATTGAATAGCCGCTGCAGCTGTATCCCGTTCTAAAATCGCACCAAGCCGAATTACCTGACTCAAAATGGCTGGTCGAGTGCGTACTATGTACCGTCATCTAATATCCAGGAGTTTCGTTACCCGCGAGATTGTCATACGTTGCAGTAAACATAGGAGGTTATCTTCATTGCGGGGCCTCCAGTTCTTCATATAAAAGACGACAGCGCCGCTAGTACCCCTTCTACGGTGTTCTTTAGGATGGTGTAGGAATGGCTTGCGGGAGCCTAGTTCAGAAGTGAACCTGTGGCTGTGGCAGTGAACACCTTGGCGCATAGGCTCGTGGAGGCTTGGCAGACTCTCGTTCAGCCTTGCCATAGATCGAGGCATACAAAACTCGTGTGAGTCCTGCGTATCTTTTCCTTCAGCTGGGAAATGCTCGATTCTTATCATTTCCTGCGGAGAATCGAGTCCTTTGCGGACCTTCAACCGTCGCGATGGATCCCCTCTCCATCATATCCGCCGTCGCGGGCATTGCAACGGCCGGGACGGCGCTAGTAAGCTCGTTGTATACGCTGGTAGAGACGGTGCGCAATGCGCCGCGCCAGATGAGGGATGTTGCCAAGGAGATGACAAGTCTAACCTGCGTCCTGGAGTTTCTCGTCGAGATCATTTCCGATGGCCACAAGATTGCGACACGTCACTACCTCAACGGTATCAAGTCGGTGGTGAAGAGCATCGAGAACACACAAAATGAAATCATGGACATGATTGACGACCACAGCATCATCAATCGTCTGAAGTGGCGTAAGGCAAAGACATTGTTGGAGGATATCAGAGCTCATCAGAGCACGGTAAGCATGCAGGTTGCTATCCTCAACCTGGGTATGCTCGCAAAGAGGGATGGCCAGTATGTAAATATGTGAATTTGTATGCGAGTGATTTGTTTAACTCACGTGATTTGTATAGCATAAAGAAAGCATCAGAAAGGCGGTTGAGGAAGCAGGCCGAAAGTTTAGTGCAAGCGAGTAATGCCTGCTTGGAAGCGAACAGGGAGGACACTTTGCATTTTGTGCCGCCCCCTCCTCGTCCGGCGTCGCCTCCGGTTTATGGTGCTGCCCCAGGAGCGGAGTGGTACTACGGTGCACCGAGCCCTCCACGCAATAGCGACAGTATAGGGGTCGAACCCTCCATACCTGACTATAGTGGCATTCCCAAAGTGCCTTTGCCAGATCGAGTGGCGACATCAGATAATATCAAAGAGCAGGAAAATAAGCCCCCAGATGCTCCTCGTCCGCCAATCATCCCAGGGAGATCGGATAGTCTGCCAGCTTTGCCAAATACGCCACAGCCTGGCAAATCGGGCTCTAGTGCTGATGAAGCGACGAGGAAGCATACACTCATGACGTATACGCACAACAGTCCGGGTGACGCTGCCACACTCCTCTACAACCTGGTTTTCTCGTCATCAGGAGGGGATTCTGGCTATGAAAGCGATCAAGCGGACCCTGCTCCCAGCGACACCCATGAGACTGAGGAAACCTGGTTTAGCGAGGACTATGATTCATCTGATGGTGATGTGGGCGATACGATTCGTCGAGAAAGTAGAATGGCCAGTAAGCGAGCCGATCGAGAGCGTCGAAAGGGTGAAGAAAATGCTGCAGCAGGATCAAGCCACCCCTCTGGCAGGAAAGGTCAAAATCTGAATGGCCATAACCAGCCCTCGATGGTTGTGAACAGACTCCTACTCAAGTGGACCTCTCTCACAAATCAGGAGGTGGAGGACACCGACTCTGGTGTAGAAGACTACGCGGAAAATGACCGCCTAAGATCAATCCGTGGTACAGTTGCAGCCATTGCCGCCAGAAACAACGAATCGGGGGTATGTACACTCTCCCCTTGTATTGTAGCTGTGAGAACGGACAATCTCTTACTAATACGTCGTGCTGTAGAACAACGCGAGGACGACTGTACCTGAATCATCGTTCGAATATGGATCCGATTCAAGAGACCGAGTTCCACCATATGCTCCGTATGGTGAGCATGGGTACACAGGTTATCCCCAACCGTGGTCTTACCGTCCGAGTCCTTCTATCAACGTACCTAACGGGTCGGCTCGTCCGCCGCCGCCACCCACCTCTCATGACACCACGGGATATGACTTTTATGGTAACCGTAACCCTTACATTAGTCCCTTCATGCCTAATACAGGACAAAATATGCAGAGCAATACACAATACCCAGGTTATGTTACACATAACCTAGCAGAAACAAAGGCTCCCTATTCTTTCAAACCACCGAACGTATTAATTCTGGATAGAAAATCCGAGATCGACGAAGCGAGGGACTCTTCTAGCGTTGACAACCTCGCTGTTCGGAACAAAGGATTCCGGGTTGAGAGGCAGAGCTCTGCGGAAATGATTTATCACCCGGCCTCATTCCTGTCAATGCATGGGCTCGAAGGTGAAGGCATTCTTGGAGCCCTTGCAGCTTCCAGGTCGAATGCTATGTACAGCGAGCTATGGCTGACATTGAAACATGGGTTTGACTTACAAATTCCCTATTCGCGATCGTCTGGTGAGAACCATCTTTTCTCATATTCCTTTGATTCCTATTCGCTGATGCTTTCCTGCAGACGTAGGAGAGACTTGGTTCCTGGGAGAAAGGCCTGTTTTTATCTTGTTTTATCACTCTTCCTACCAACCTCAGTTTTTCCCTTTATCGAAAGACGACAAGATAGCCTTTGATCGTGAGTGTGTAACAATCGGTGAGCAGTGGATTACCGACGAAGCTCTGAAGCAGCACGGCATCGTTCCAAGAGGAAAAGAGAATGGCAAGCTAATACTGGACCCGGATATATCTACGGTATTCGTGGTCCCGGCCGGTATCTAAGCATCCACACGCTAATTCCGTTTTTCTAGTCCGAGTTGGCAGGACTTGTCGACCTATCCCAGTCACTGTCATGGATAGAGCAGCGCCGCCGATATGCCAAAACTTTCTACGAGCCAGTAGATACCTTTAGGACTGTGCAAGAACATTATAATATAAATTTGTTTGATCGTCCAGCACCACCAATATCTTACACGAAACTTCCTATCCAGAAGGACCACCAGCCGAAAGTTGCAAAAGGGCCTACGGAGCTCGGTATAACCAACGAAAGACAGCCGCCGCAGAGTTCACAGACACCTGAAATTAAATCGGAGGAACCCATGAAAGTAGAAGAGATGATTTCTTCCACCAGACTTCAGCCTCAGGTTCAGATCTCCATCGACAAGCCAGACCAGACCTCCCCTGGTCACGCCGCCGTGGAGCGATCTCAGAAGAAGATAGATCGTGAACGGAAGCACTCCCCCAAACGTTCAAGAAGCGGACATCCGGAAGACGCACAACACAGTCGCTCGGAGCAAGAACGTGCCGATAGACGACTGCCCGAGCGACGAGGGTCGGAGAGAGAACGCTCTGAGTGGGGTCGTGGCGCGAAAGAACGGCCAGACCGAAAGCGATCGCGCGGGTATCACAGGACATCGCACCGCAGCTCCCATGCTTACACTGCACCGGAAAATAGGCTGGACGAGAACGGTCATGAACTTAGGAGGTTCGAGGATCGCAAGTCACGCGAGAATGAGCCACACCGGAACCCCAGTTCTGACTCAGGGATTAGCAGCGTGTTCTCTTTTCTCCGCAAGAGAACCTAAGCGCGGCATCCGAGAGTCGGTAAAACTTGTACGAATATTGCTTGATGCTCTAAACAATTGTGGAAGTAGAATGTGAGTTCAAGCGAAGGGATGCAAAGCTTAAGGTGATTGCCGAGAGTGCTCTGATAGAAGCAGTCGATGTAATTCAGTAAGTGTTTCGAGACATTAAATGGTTGATATGTTTATGTATAATCTTTTGCCACGGTTGCAGCTACAGCCTACGCATACCTAGGGCATCTACCATAGATGGGGCGATATCACCCTACAAGACTATGTATGTAGGCAGATGCGCAACTGTTCTCGAATATGACATGACCGCAAACTTCTATTAATAATAATCAGTACACACTAATAACAATATTTAGTTGTGCCCAGTATTTAATTTGTTATCGAATAAGCGGTTTGATCCAATTAGCCTGCTTGCAAGAGCTGCTCTTAGTCGGATCTTTCTGATATCCTAACCTGGCCATCTTTGTTATATCCCAACCAGACGTAGCATCAACACGGTTTTCCGGTCTTCACATTTGGAAAAAAAACTTCCAAGTTTGCAGACTCCCCCAAAATAACAATATTGCAGGCATTCAGGATCTGACAAACAGGCCGAACCACATGCATAAATAGAAACATGTACAGGAGAGCCTTCTGGTTGGGCATCAGCAGCATAGTTGTCCCACGTCGTCTTTATCGATGATTCTTCGATGCGGGAAAAGGTATAGTCGGCGATCGTGGAGTGGGTGAAGGGATACTGTTACTGCTTATCAGCGACGGCATGCAAAGGGGGACCGTAACTTTACGAACCTGATTGTAAGGCCTCGTTCGCTCCCATTCCCAAAGCGAGGACATCTGTTCCGGTGATACTCTATGAAGTGCGAGTAGAGGTATGCACCATATCTCCTTGTCTACTTTCAAGCCAACAAGCTCGTCTCCGGCAAACGTGGGGGACAGTGCCTGCAAATGCTCGCCGGTCTTGTTCATGATTGCGTGGCCGAGCACAGCATCACCTCAGCAGTCATTCTCGGCAATGTCATCATAACGATCGCTCAGTGGGGCGGAATTCGCAGTCAGGCGCTCCATGAGGCCCCGTGATAAGACGAATCCGGCACCGCCGTGGGCGAAATATGTTCCCTCTGGGCCAGGCGCGGGTGATCCCATATAATGCATCCTTGACGGGTCCAGCTGATCGAGCAGGCGGAATAGCGTATCCCAAAAGTAATATGCTTCCACCTCGATGAAAACGTACCATTTAGCCCGTGGGCGCAATTGATAGCTCTTATCAACCATGGGCAAAACCTTGAAACGATCTAGTTTCCAGCCTTCAGAAGAGTATTCGACAGGTTTTCCTTTGGACTACGCCTGCTTCTGCTTCGAGTAAATGGCGAAGTCTGAATGGTTCATATAGGATGCTGACAGGTCCGCAAAAACATCCACGACACGATGGCCTCCCACCTCTTGTTCCAAATCAGAAAAGATCAAGAGTTTGCTTATGCCAGAGGCGACCGTGGCGATATGAGCCTTAAGCTTGGCAGATTCTCCAGCGCCCATGTTCAGAACGACCTGGATACTATCTAGGAGGTGTGAGGGAAAACCGGCACAGGAGTCGGCGTATTTGCTGTCAAAGGGACCTCTTGAAGGCGGGAAAAAGGACGGCGTTCTCCATGAGTAGTATCGCGACTCGTCTCGTGTGTAGTATGGCGATTCCTTTGAAGCAAACCACGAAGCTGACGAGATCTTGGTCGGTATTTGATTATTATGGTTGGCAAGTGCCAAAAAGAAAATTAGACCGAATAAGACAGAAATATCAGCCCTCGGCCGTCGTAACAGCCGTGTCGCTGAAGTCAAAATCATATTAAGATGTACATTGGAAAAAGCGAAAAAGGGAAATAGGAGGGGGAAAATCTCGGCAATCCTGTCTGCGGGCCGGCGCCTTGGTCTAAGAGCCGAGATTTGAAGCAAACACGTAGGAGAAGAGTAACGATTACAGCGTACGGCACGGAATTCGCCCAAAACGGATGAGCGTTGCTTGAGATGGGCCGCACGGCATATGTGACGAACCGAACAACCTTGAACCAATCTCCTCCTATGAAAGGAAAACCAGGGGGCCTGGTCAACTTTGACCATAGGTGCCTATGTATTACCATGGTGGCCAAGGTGTTAGTCGTCAGTATATAGTACTTAGCGCCAACGCTAGACTGGCATCGAATGCCCCAAAATTCAATAAAGACTTGACCGCGTGTGTCAGTTACTGTGTCAATCAATGTTTACTCATCAGAAAAAGTGGATCTTGGGGTTGCGCAAGGATAAAACAGGTGTGTTGTTGTTATACTCCAGGTATCAGGAGGGCGGGATGGGGCTTCGTTCTTTGGCTGGACGAATGATAAGCTACCCTTGCTGAAGCGAAATGAACATAGGAGCCACCCGAGACTGGCCAATCAGTGAACAATAAAGCGATTACACGGTACCAGGCCTTGTTCCAGACGACTTATGATCTATTGTTGGTTTCAGTGGCGATTGGAATTTTGCTGTGCCATAAATCAATTGATGAGCCACCTGTTGAAATTGAGTTATCAACAGAAGTGGCATGTAGATCAAAGTTTGTGCTTTGAAATCATGATCTTTGTTCATTTTTTCCCCTGGCAGATTGTCCAAAAGCCTTTGCACAAAGTTGACGATCTCTGTCCTACCTGTTCAGCTTGTTTTTGCACTGCTCCGAGTTCTTGGTTTCACAACAGTCTATCATGTCATCGACTTGGTATTTTGCGAGCGGGAATAACACCAGCTTGACGAGTGAGACATATATACCTTGTAATACAACAGCAGTAGCACTAGGTCAACATAGTGCCTGCTATGCTCCCGGCGATATGTGCTTCACGAACGGTTTATGTATTGGTGTACTTGCGGCTCAGTTTCATTTCGAAGACATATCGGGTGTCGTGGATGAAGTCATTGCCTTTGCTGTCTAATATCCTCAGCCACGCCGATATCATATATAAGAATGGCCATACCGCAACCGCAACACTGGTACCAATACCATCTTGACAGACTATGTCAGGGAGCTACTCGTGGGTGAAGTTGTGTCAGATAAGACGAAGCCGTCAGGCATTGGCTCGTTCTACCTCTGTAGGGCATACTCAAATACGCCCCTTTTCCACATGACCGTTTTTGCTCGAAGCGATGCTGTGATGCTGAATACCGGAAGTATTCATGGGTGCTGCATATGTCCGTAGCGACCAAGAAGACAATTCTCGATAGAACGAAGGTAGAACACGACTGCGAATGAAAGTAGCCACTGATGTTTGGTTGGTATTGCCGCTCTTGACCTAAGACAACCTCAGAACATACGCTTACCTTTGGCAACAAATTTCGGCGACGATACCGTCCTCGGAATCAACCGTGATATTTTTCATCAGCTCCGGGAATACCGATGAGCTGAAAACGGTCGTTGATCTTGGTGGGCAATCGCTGGACAACAACCCGGCTGAACTGGACTCTAACCCATCGACTTATGGGCCATGAATGTACAACCGTAATGTACGAGAAGTAGCAGTTTGTAACCTCTGAACAATTTTACTGTCCAGTTGACTTGCAAATAGAGATGTTATTATATTGTTACATAAGAGCATTGCAAATAATGCAATGCTTGTGTCAACATCGCAGGTTGTGGGATGCTTCGGTACAAATTGGTCTTTGACGTACAAACGACCCAGCATATCTCACCCGCCTTGTGTGGCGAAATTAACTAACAACCCACATTCAAGGCCAACACCCTGGCAAAGGTAGTTTTGGGTGTTTTGACATTGGCGTTCGTACTGCAAAAATCTGTGCAGTACGATGTTAAATGTGACCGGATCTTGCAATAGACTAGTAATCAAGGTTAGTAACTTCAAACAGATACCGGCCGGGAAAGCTAACTTACGCAAAATGGCTGACATCAGGAAGCACCACCAGCCCCGAGCCAGACGTCCATTCATGCATAATCTTTGCTACCCCTTTGGTCGTAACTTCTTCCTCGGCACCCTCAACGTACCATACCACAGGCGAATCTCCGCAATTCTCAAAAGGTGTTGGTATTCGAGCAAAGTCTGTCGAGTTCCAATGAGGCTCTCGCTGGTACTCCTCGTAATAAGCCTGGCGTGCAGCAGGGACCAGTTCCGGATTTACCGATAACCGCGATAGCTCTTCAAGCGTACGCTCGAAATAGATGGCACCGGTAGCGTTGTATTGTGCTGTATCCGTGGTTCTATTAATGCTGGTGCTTGCATCATACGCTGCTCCGAAGACGAATGCACGCTCGATACGCGAGGGATAGTCTAAAAGGAGATTTACCAGAACCACCGCTCCATTGCTCCAACCGACAACAGCAGCCCGCGCAATACCGAAGTGGTCTAGAACGGCTATGGTATCTGCAGCCTTCAGCGCAAAAGAAGTGGTCATATCGCCGTACGTTGAGCGTCCCATTAGCCGGGAATCTATGGCTAGAATCGTGCTAGGATCATTTTGGCAGAGCAGATACTGGATCTGGTTTCCCCAGTAGGCGGAGCTTGCGTGTGCTCCATGTAGGAAGAGAACTGGAATCTTTCCGCGTGCATATGACTCCTCCAGTGATGGACCGAATTGGGCATACCAGATGTCAACCCCATTGGTGAGGTTCACATAACCTGTTATTGAAGCATCTGGCAAAGTGGGCGCGGCAGGCAATGTCATGTAAGGGGGGATGTACGCCCGGACCAGAATCCAGGGGACTAAGATTAAGTATAGCAGTGCTACCCTTGGCGTTGCTGAAGTTGTCATGTCGGCATGCATTTTTAAAGTGTGGTTATGTCTCGTACGAGTTGATGGAGTCTCAATGTGCTTACTTACCAAGCTAGTTATGTGCAACAGACCTCCCCGCCTTCCAATTGGTAGCGTTCAACCACGTAGCTCTTTTGGTCGGCCCCATGCACCGCACTGTGACCCTGGGCATGCAAACGCACTACATCAAGTAGTACCATTTTGATCGACTCTTGATATAAGTGTGCTTTGAAATTGATTTCGTCAAGGATACAGATTTGACCTCCTGTTTCATTACGTTCTGACTGGTCAAGCTAGACAAGAATAGATTCAATTCGATTGGAAGCGTGTTTATTGCCGTGGCGAAGAATTGAATGGATTGAATGCAAAACAGAGCAGTTGTGTTGGTTGACCGAATTCAACTTGAACGCTGCAACACGGCAATAGGAGGGAGAGTTGATAAAAACATCTATTGGATCCATCGAGGCAAGCTCTAGGGACAATCAATTTTCGCGCCTTAAAATAGAACTCGTTTGTCAGTTCCTAGGTTATATCGAGTGCTACTATCTACTGCAAGATAGGTCGGGACCAAGTCTAGAGCACAAACTCGATATATTTATCAATCTCAGTATGGTCACAGGTCTAGTAATGCAACTCTCATATATTTACTTGCTTTGAGGCGCTCTTATCTTCAAGCCTGATTGGAAGACTTACGCGATGGTAGCTGGTCCGGCAGGTTTTAAGAGAGACTCTCCCCGGATAATGAGACCGGATAATCCGCTCTCAACATTCCATCACGCCGGACTTCATTTATTTTGACTCCTGCTATATATTGCTTTGGCCTAGACCGGGTATCGGCGCTCAGCTCGTTCTAGACTTTTCATTTGGACCACCGGCTTGAGCGAAATGATGTTCTATAAATATGACGAGACGGAGCGATGGGCAGGTTCATTCCGAAATACAGTTGTGCATTGAAATTTTCATTGATGCTGATCTATATATTAATACAGAATTACTCACGTTTCAATATTCATTAATGCCAAAATCAATTTGTTCTGCATCATTCAAACCTAGCAGGCAGTCATTTGCCGCCATGCTCCGATTAGGGGTAACGGCTCTTGCCTTCGTGGCTCTGGCTCGCGGCGCACCAGTATCAAAGGCGGAAAGGGTGCTCAAGCAAAGGCAATTTCAGATTGGACCTACTCCCACGGTGATATGGGGCGGCACTACCCCAACAGCTATCCCAACTAGCGGTCCAGGTACTCTTCCCCCTATTACAGGTGGACTGAATCCTCCTCCACGGAGAGAGGACACCGGACCCGTGCTTGGAGGGAGTGATTCAGCTCTTAAGGCCCATATCACTTCGCTGGAACTTGAGTATGAGTTCTACGTCCAACAATATGGGAAGAACCCCCCGGAATTTGTCACCAAGCGAGAAAAGGAGATCGAGTTAGAGCTCAAAAAATACGGCATCACCATCATACAAACACCAGATGGAACTTCCACAACTATCACTTTTGGAAAAGTCAAAAGACAAGACAGCACTGGCCCAACTCTTGGCGGTAGTGATCCAAGTGCTTTGAAGGCTCATATCATTTCGCTCGAGCTCGAGTATGAGTTCTACGTCCAACAGTATGGAAAGAATCCGCCAGCACCTATTACGCAGCGAGAGAGGGAGATTGAGAATGAGCTCAAGAAGTACGGTATCACCATCATCCAAACCCCAGATGGGACATCGACCACCATAACATTCGGAAAGGTCAAGAGAGAAGATGCTCTTGTCGGAGGTGGAGGGTATGGCGCCGCGTCTTTTGACCTAGCTGGTCTTGAAAAGACTCTTGAATCATTATGGGACAAGTATGGTCCAAACCCTCCACATGATGTATATGTCATCGAAGAAAAAATCAAACATGTCCTCCTTGCTTATGGAGTGACCATTGTCCAGTCGCCAGAGGGTACCTCAACAACACTCTATCCCTCTACGAAGCGGTCATCTCCAAGCTACGATATCGAAAGCTTGGAAGTCATCCTTGGGACGTTGCTCCAAAAGTACAATGGTGAACGCCCACCTCTTGCTGACTGGTTGGTCATCCAGCACATTGGGGCCGTTCTCAAGTCCTATGGTACATCAATCGAGCAGTCTCCAAGTAGCACCGTCACCATCACCAAGCCCAGTGACAAACGTGATGGCGTTATCAAGGTTGGTGATAGCGTTAATGTTATTGCGCTTCAAGCCCTCCTGGCTCTTCTTGAGGCTACCTACGGCACTGCCCCTCCTCGCGACATTTTTCTTATTGAGCAAACTATTGTCATTATCCTCAAGACGCAGGGCATCATCATCCCTGGGTTTCCCATTCCTGGTGGTGCCATTACCCCGGATCCGACAATCCCTGGTGGTGGAATCACTCCTGACCCTACCATTCCTGGGGGTGGATTGAATCCTAGCACCAAGAGAACGAGCCCCAAGTTCGACGTTGAAGGACTTCAGGCTGCTCTAGCTCTGCTTGGGGATCAGTACGGTGCTTATGGCTCAGGCACGATCCCAATGTCTGTCTTCATCATCATGCAGAACGTCGTTACCATCCTTCAGGCCGAAGGAGTTACGGTTCCAGCTTGGCCCAATGTTGGAGGAGGCTCTACAACCATTGGGCCTTCGACCTAGATCTAGATAGCTGCTGAGAGTATTGAAGGTTGTGTTTAGGTTGGAGTGAAAAGGTGATGATGGGTCCATCTTCCTTGTGTCCCTCCCCAGTCTAACTTACGCTATTTATGTTTTTCTCTATTGTTATTATAGTTCTTTACCAATTTTCAAGGCTTGATTGAGTTATACCCCCTCAACCAGAACCTCCTTTATCGCTGCATGATTGTGTTTAAAATTGTAATAAGTGACAATTCTTCTATAGCATGACAAGATGTAGACAGGACTATTTGCAGAGACCATAAATTTGCACAATATAAATACCACAAGTCGATGAGCGCATGGCTCATTTTTAATTCCCCAACGTCGAATACCCGTGTACACAAATAGAACTTCCTAGATTGCTTCGAGCATATTTCACGTTGAGCAAGTGGCTATGCCAATGGCTCATTCAGATAGTTCATGCAGCGCTACATTCTCTGGATCTATTGCAATATACACCGAATCCCAGCAAATGTATCATCCTTGACTGCTGTACTCAACTCGTACCTGGCCATGTATAATCTCAGGTGTTTTGCAACTTGGCTCATAGTCAAGAAGCTGGTGTTCGTCAGGTACTACTCTATCAAGTAAGCGCTCAATCAACACAGCAAACCCAGTGATGATTCTCCTTCCTAGCTTGTTATGCTTAGAATTTCATGACAAGTTCTTACTTCAAAGAATCATGTCCCGGAATGAGCAGTCTGTATTGGTATTCATATCAAACCACATAGGATCTTGTTCATCAGCCGAAAAGATATGTACACACCGATCAAATAGAGGCGTCTTGTAAGAATAATGCTCAACTCTGCCGCCATCCACGTAACGTAGAGCAACACACCAACTGTGACGCAGGATCTATGTCATCTAAGTCCGATCGTACTCCAACAACGTCAAAGCAGGCGCTTCAAAATATGATTTACAACTACGCCAACCTTACATCTCGACAGACGCGATGCAGTTTCCGAGAGACCGGAGACGGCTTGGAAGTATGTAAAATCTACAACTGCAAACTTGTCATACGAATAGTGCATAGCAGTACTCTCGACGTGATGGCACGCCCTGAGTACCTATAATGAAGGATTCCAGCTACTGTAAATAAACTATGGTCGAGGATAGTCGTGCGCAGCTCTGTCTTGAACACACTCTCATAATGACAGCATCCGCACTAATTCTAAGTTTTATACATAGACTGCATCAAGACCTCAACTCCCGAAACCTTCAGCACTGTCCGCCAGGGACTGTTATTCTATGCGCAATATGCCGCCAGGAACTAGTGGACACGAATATGGATCAAACAGAGGATCTGCATAAGCCCTCAGCATGCCCGGACATTGGTCATCGGCCGTGCGTGAAGCCGAGTTCCAAAGAGGTCGCATAGCAAGAACGGGCCTAGTTACTGGTTGAATTTTATTCTTACTGGTATTGCGAACCTTTGTTAATGGAGCAAAGTTCCCGGCCCAGACCTTTCTGGAACCTTCATCCTCGTGGCTCGCTTGTCTAGTTGGTGGAGTATAGCGGGTCGCCACATCAAGGACAATCTCGGGCAAAAGCAGTCCACTATTGATGTAATTATGTGTGGAATCAGTAGATCATCTTGCCATTGATGTCTATGTGTTCATACGAATGCCGATAGGCATTGGGAGGGCCGACTTATGTCCTTCATCTCATTTGTGTACCCCCGCACAGCGACCCAAATATGGATCGCCGCGAGGTAGATGGCGTGGCATGTTCATTACATAGCACTAGATGCCCAAAATGAGAGTTTGTAAATGCCTGCTTTGAATACCCTAGCCGGGTTTAAGCCTGCGTCGAACCCGTGGAAGTTCAAGCCGCAAGGACTTTTGAGTTTCGCCTTCCCGCGTTCTCGTGGCATTAAACTCAGATTATGATACAACTACTATGTAAAAGCTTTGACTCAGATCTCTGCAGAAGATTTCAAATTATACCTTAGTTGCCGCGCCGCTGGTAGGGCTAGGCGAGCACAAGACGGTTTCTCGGCCGTGAAGTCTGCGATGACCAATTCTGCGTGCCCGAGATGCTCATATTGTCTCAGAACGATCTGGGGCAGTGGGCATAGCCTCGAAAACCACGGACCAGATGTAGCAATAACCTCCACTGGATACTCTGGCACAAACCAAGAAGTTGGGACGACCGCACGGCCGCAGCACATAATAAACTGAACCCTTGAACTACACCTAAGATGGCTAGGCTTTTGAAGCTTAAAGAAGACACTATCTATATTGGCAGCCAATAGTGGACACTCACCGACGAAGGCACGGATAGCACGGTGATGAACCTGAAGCTGATTCGACCATGTTATCAGTTGGGCAATAGTGCAATATGTAATTGCTCAAGCCTCCGAGTCAGTCGCGTGGACAAGCAGAGGCCTCTACTTACGGCGTTGTTTTATCGATATAACCTGGGAATATGATCACACGCCGCCCGCTTAACGTTTGCTTCGATCACGGACGACAATTTGATGGACTTTGGCGCATAGTGCCGAAACCCAGCCCTCGGCTTGATTCACCGAGAGGCTGGCGAATACCTAAACCTTTCATATGAGCGATGTAGCATGCCAAGACCCGTTGAAACTATAAGAGACTAGTTCAAGAAATTGTGTCTCTACTTCGGGCCGGCGCAAACCCGGGCTGATTTTGGCCTGTCATTCTTCGTTACCCTTATGACTCCAACTACTGGCCTAAGAGTGCGAACCACACATGAGTATTTGTGGCCAATCTGATTACGTGCCAGCTGCGCAGGTTTTCTGGCAGTGTCCAATCACATGATTATCGGCTTGCCAGTGGTTGTCTACCTCCATCTCCCTCCCCCCCCCAAAAAAACTATGATAGTAAATACGGACCTTCGATTGGCTCACTAAGACGCCCCGCCAGACATTGAAACAGCCATGATACGAGCCTACAGCATCATCAGCTCGCAATTGTTTCCACAGCAAAGCCACAAAGTGCTACAGGCGACATATTCCCGCAATACTACCGCCAAGCATACAGCGGAAACCTTCGCCAATACGCGCCGCCATCTCCGCCGCCGTGCCTATATATCCGCCGGAACGCCGGCTCTGGTCATCGGCATAGTGTTTAGATCTCAGCAGCTTACGGAGTGATCGCCACTACCATCTTCTAGAATACCCTGGCCAACAGTTGTGAGACCCATCTACCAATTCTACTGACAAGAGGTAATGAGGCAGTAAGCGCTTCTAAGTAGTCTGTCTTTACTCCGTAGCACGCGATGATATACTGAGGAACGTTAATTGGTAGTGTCTATGCATGTAATACGTCGCGAGCCGACTAGATCAAAGAGCTACGAAAAACGACAAAGCCCAGCGGGCATAACGCATACTCCATGATCATCCATCCGGAGTTATGCAGAATAGAACGTGCCATCATACCCCACAGAAAGTCGTGGCAGCACGGGGCTTCGGTTGTCTTGTGTGTATCGTGATGGGCCCTGGGAGCTGCCGAGAGCGCCGGCGCAAAGGCCACGCTGCCATATAGTACGTCGACGCTAGTTTAGGCGAGTGAGCAAAGATCGAGATGACACGCAGTCGATTAGAATCAGCTGTTTTGCAAATCACAGCGCGGCTGCCTTCCGGCACGCTATAGGATTTTCCATACAACTCACGGACTTTGCAATAGCCACATGTGGTCGAGACATGTGACCAATGAACGTGGCGATCGTTGACAACCGTCTTCTTTATCAAGCAGTCCACGTCACTGCATCCTACTTCGAAGTCCCTACGCGCAGCCCTCGTCCACTCAGACGAAACCACTTGACGCAAACCCACCGCAGAAAGTGATGATGGACTGGCTTACTCTGCAGGGTAGCTTTTGCCTAGTAGGCAGATATGATGCATCAATAGAAACACAAAATGGGCTGATCCAATACGTCCACGGCTCGGTTCTCGTCGACCCTGTGCCACTTCCACTTAATGAACCGGGGGTTATGAGAAAACAGTGACTGATCTATGATGCATCCTTTGGTAAATTTGATTTTGGCTTCGGCCTGGATGGCGGGATTTATGGCGGCCGCAAGGCGTGCGAAACAATCAGACGAGGCGTCGAGGATCGAAACGACACATTCACACATCGTCTCGTTTGAATCGCTTGAACCCACCGAAACACTGGGCTAATCTGAAAAATGCAGCTGGCAACTGTGTGAATAGGAACATAGTAAATGCAAATAAGGCGAAGGACGTTGCACGCACCGACACCAACACCAACACCAACACCACAAAGGCAACTGGAGAAATGGATGCGGTCTCAGACTGACGTTCACCGCCATGCTTTTTCCTCCGTCACTGCCAATCACTGGGGCGGCAGCGCAAAGAGGGGGCACCGAAAGCATCGCTTCGCATACTCTCGTACCAAAACTGGAGGGTGCTGAGCGGGAGCTGATTTGACCAGGGCAGCCTAAGCGGAGCAAAAAGCAAGAAACAGGTCAACCTCTAGTTCTGCAGCCGGCCCCAAGAAAAGTTGATGCGTGGCCTTGGAACTCATCTAGCCTGGTCCAATATGGAGTCTTGCGCACAGTCGCATGCATGCATGTGTGCACACCAAGAGAATCGACTCGCTGTGCATTGATGCCAGGTAGTAGCATGAAAATGACCGCAGCGATGATTTGGTCCTCTATGGCCTCCCATTCGCCGGGTGGGCCTGGGCTGGGCTCTGATGGTTCCGTAATCCGTGGAATGTGCAGAAAAGCACAGAAGCTGGCGTTCCGTCTTACTGCGACGCTACTGCACAATTGTGCATCAGGGCCAGCAGCACGAGCGAGGCTGGGGGTCATTGGAGGCTTCACTTTCTCGGATAGAGCTAATCTGCCAATCATGAAATCCCCACTCACTCGCCTTTGGATCTATCGATTAGACTTGGCCATGGTGGACTGTAGCACGTTTTCTCTAACGCTTGGCCTCCACACTTGGAAAGAGTGGAATTTAACGAGGAAGGGAGTTTATGACAGAGTAAGGAAGTTCAGGCAGCCACGGCACAGGCGAATGTTGTGTGACTGAAGGATGTGAGATAGGAGTGCATATGTTGACAGAGAAAAACAAGTTCATGCCCGCTGAATAACATATTGTGGCTTGTGTTTCAATGAAACGGCGTTGACGCCTGTCGGCATCATGTGGATGTGAAGGAAACTTTGATGAACAATTTACGAGCCCTGTCCTGGTCTGCTTGTCCCACGGTGATCACAAAGTAAGGCGGGTGGCGCTCATGCATGTGAGCCAATTGGCACCCAGTTGAGGGATATAGTCTTATCGAACTAGTCAATCTGCGACTTCAGAATTGATTGGGATCACCAACCTAGTTACATATGACGGATAGAACTGGGTTCAGGACAAGGTTGGAATCGCAAGAGACTACCACGCGGCTGAATGATGTTAGAACACTTTGGTTGCGCAAACTACGATTGAATGTGAGAAGTACTGATGTGCTTGGAGCAAATCATGCCCAATTGTGTGCTTTATTTTCGATTAGGGTAACGTAGAGTCTATGATGAATCTTGATCCCAAGGTGAGCACCACGGATCAGTGCCGTTGGTGTCCAGCAGAGTGGTAACGTAAATTGTGCAGGCCAAAACCCTCAAGCGCCGATGAGGCTGTTGAGTAATCCTTTCTAAAGTTTCGTATCCCATGACCTTTTCCAGGCTTGCTAACAAGCGATAACCTTCCCACCCGCCAAAAAAAAAAAACCACCCTGTATCCGAGAAAACTGTGGTATCATCCAAGCGAAAGTCTTTGGGCATATCCTCTCTAGATGCAACCCGCGCATATCGATTAAAACAGATAACACAATGTGACCACACCAATCCATGAACCACGATGTATGCCTTGCGCCGTCAAACAATGCATTGGCCAGACCATTCCCAGGTCAACCCTGAATCGCTCTCTGGTTTTTCAGTCTTTGAATGGATATAGTCCACCTTCTTTGAACCGGCCCCCCCAACTCCACGCTAGTAAAACAAAAGAGAACATGATTTTTCGAGTAGTTACAGATTTTTCAAGTGTAAATCAAGTTCCAGACTTTTCCGCGGCAGGCGCAACTTTTCCGGGCTGGTTCGTAATATCCGTGGCACGGGAAAAGGTTCGCATATCCGCCCAATATTTTGAGAATAGTAGTATGTAACAGTATAAAAGGCTGCTTCTCAAACGTCAATGTGACGCGAGGAATAAGCTAATAACAACCCTGAAGGTTACCGAAGAGTGGCACCGGGTGATGGAATGGTACCGGGTGGTGTTGCACCGGGTGTGTGTATTTGTTGAACATGTCCCAGATGTACGGCAATTGGAATTTAGGCGCACAGCTGTTCTGGGCCGGGACAGGTACGGACACGGAACATGGCTGGCACGGTTCCACAATGGCCCCGGCGTATTGAGGAAGGAACTCCTGGGCATAAATTGGAGGCTCTTCCTGATACACCTGTGGCTCCGGAGAAACTCGTGTAGATAAATCCTCATCCCGGAAATCATCGTCAAGATCATCGATAGTCGAGGGACTCGATGTCAATGATCCATCATCGGATGAGCATGTAGATTCACCGTCCGAATCAGATGCAGCAGGTGATAAAGGGGTGTTGAAGGCGAAGTCGCTGACAGGAGCGTCTTCATAAAGGTATTCGATGGACTCGGGAGAAGTAGGTGGAGAAGCAAGGGGTTGAGCTGCACTGACGACGGGGGTAGTAAATTGGGGGCAAGCCAAAATCCTTTCCCGGAGCTCTGCTAACGTAATTCTATGGTCTGGGTTTCGTTCAAAGATCCTTCCCAGGATGTCGTTCAGGTCATCTGTTAGAGGAAGAATAGTCTTGAGAAAGCTGGAATTCCTGGTAAAGGCACGGTAGGTAGAGTCCTCAAAGGATGCCTGCTTCCAGGGGTTGCGACCACAAGTCAAATTCACCAAGATGACGCCCAGACTCCAGACGTCATTGGGGGCACAGTAGTAGAAAGGCCTCCTGGCAGATGGATCTAGGCACTCTGCAGCACAAGCAAGTCAGTCCGGTCCTATGTTTGGCAATGCGAATACACATACCTGGCGACATGTAGAACGTCGAGCCACATCCGTAATCCTCGGATCGGTCGGACGAAGTAGCTAATCCAAAGTCTGCAAGCTTGACGGTTGCACCTTGGTTCGACACAAGAATGTTCTCCGGCTTTAGGTCACGGTGGTAAACTCCGAGGGTATGGCAGTGCTCGACGGCATCCAGGATCTGGAGGAAGACACTCCTAGAAAGATCGTCCTTACCCACGTATTGTCCACACTCCGTGATGTTAAAGAAAAGGTCTCCTTCTGGGCAGTATTCCAGTACAACATATGTACAGTCCGGATCATCCACGATCTTAAACATGGAAACAACGTTTGGGTGTGCTGATGCAAGGTAATGTAGGCGGAGTTCTCGCTGCTGGAAAGCAATCTGGCGTCGGTCCAGTGGAGATCCATCGGCGTTGTACTTGCTCAAAGTCTTGACGGCATATCGTGTCCCGTTCCTGATGTCGACGGCAGTGTAAACGACTCCATATGCGCCAGTGCCGAGAATTCCAACTAGCTGAAGGCTGTCACCGAGAAATTTTCCTAATCTGTCCTCCGGTCTGACTGGGTATCGTGGTTGACAAACTGCCGGGATGGCAAATGGATGTTGGTAGGTACACTTCTGGTCGTCGTACGAAGGCGACGCCGGGGGAGTAGGGTATCCGAATGCTGGCACATTATGCATGGTATACTGCAACCGGGGTCCTTTCTGGGTAATCCAAGGGCAAAGAGCAGAGGGGAATTTGGAACAAGAACGAAAAACTGAGAAAACAGCCTTTTCTACGCGGTGTCCTAATCCAAAATGATAAGTCCTGGAGATCCTGGTCTAAGAACGGAATTCCTTGGTTCGTATAAGTCCCTGGGTCGCGCAAAGTTGACTTCGAACAAACGAGTCAAACAGTCCTTGGTTGTATCGCCGGTGTGAAGTAGTGGTAACGGTCAGTGGTGGGTAATCGAGAGAGAAATTGGCGACGTAGACGGCAAGGGATATCTACTCCGAGGATAGTTGTAATGTAGGAAGAGGTTGTTACAATGAATGTGTCGTGATGTGAGGTGAGGTCTGGTAATGATACAGACTGGGTAAAGTGATGTAGATATTGGATACTAGAGATACCAATAACCGTTCGAAAAGGCAAGGGTGCTGGTCTTGCGTGTTTGAGTGGCTCAAGCACACCCCGGGCGCCTTGGCTCAGAAACTACAGGCTACAATGATTAATAGCCCGGCCCACTGTATGCGCAAGTCTGCACTATTCGTTCCACTTCACACGTATGCGCTATTCTTAAATTTCAATGGCGCCGCTAAGCAAGAGGACCCGGGCTGGCACGGTGGGACTCGCAGAAGAAGGGAGGTGTGGGTAAGGAATGGATCCAAGTGCTTCTGGGGCGTCCACTAGAGTGGAAAGGATGCGCAGCCTGAACATGGGCCGAGATTTTGTGACGCCTAGCAATATACGAGAGCAAGGATTGTCTGACACACGTAAATAACTGGCCCACCTTTTTCGAAGGGGGTGTGTCACTCACGCCCCTCCCCCCTAGCAGAGCTTCTTGTCCAATCATAGATAAGCCCACACCTTAGAAGGAAGTGAAAGACACCCTGGATCAAAGAAAACAACGGAAGAAAGGGGGCGTGCGTGTGATCTGGTTGACGGGGATTTGTGTGGCTGCCCGTTCTCCGCTTCTTTCATCTCGTTGGTTCTGTCCGCTAGGCTGGTCGGGCAAATCGTCATTATTGACGGGCCCGTGACTCGCATGGTTTTGCTTCTTGCCTTTTCAGTACAGTGGCTGTCGAGCGCCTGGGTGATCACTTGTAGGGAAAATTGAGCAAGTCCTGGCCGGGTTTGGCAGGCCCGGCAGAGCAAATACACACTTCCTTTGGTCTGGAGAAACATGACAGACCGCCAGCTTTTACCCATTGTTTCTAGGCATGTACCATTGACGCTTAGCGGTGACGATGGGCAACGATTTTCATTGGCGTCTGAGCCGGAGCTAGGTAAAAGTGATGGTCGTAATCTTGGCAAAACTGTCTTCTGCGGCAGTTTTGGGTCACGATACATAGTGTGTAGAGCCGTCCGCCTACACGGACCATTCGGGATTTTAATCGCTATCGTCCTCGTCAACTCTTGTGGCATCTAAACAGACGAGCTTCTGGTCCGTGTCATTGTTTGTGGGTTTAAGCTTTTACAAACATGACTGCATGAATCTGTTATGGGCAGGCGTAGCCCTGAGACTTCCAAGCACAGTCAGTCAGTTTCCTCCACCAAACTTCTGTCACAGGTGCTGCATCGTGCCCTGCTGGATCAATGCGATGGCCAGGCTGTGCCTTGTCTGCTGCAAGATCGCCAAATCGCTGACTCCGTTCATGTCTCAGTGAGACGATGACTGGGCGGGTTGTGCAATCGCTGAGGATGTGCAGGGCTTTGAATTAGCCGCTAGCTCATATCGTTCCGGCGTAATTCCCTTGGGTACCCTCGCGTTGGTGATCATTGCAGCTATTGACGGCAGGGTAGCCTACTGCGGCAGCACACGCACCCATCCATGTGTTGTTTGGGACATGAATGAGATGAAGCGCTAACATGTAGCTATGTTCGGACAGAGCAGTAATATTTGCATCCTAACAGACATGGCGTCTTGAATTGAACCCAGGAATGTCCGTGTCTGGTTACAGATGGATTCAAATGCTTATTGGACAAAGGCAATGCAAGACATCTGTCAGCGTCTTTGCAATATTGTAACGGTGAATTTGCCGCTGAGATTACGTGGTTACAAGACATGAAAATGGACATTGTGTGACTGAAGCAATTTAAGAGTCGCAGTAGCAGACGGTGAGGAGCTACATAGTGCTTTTTCATTGTATGATGGACCAGTTTGGTCGTGCTGTTGCTGTTGCTGTGTTCTTTCTTTCTTTCTTTCGTGTGAATGCGGTCACCCATGGCTCTTCCTTTGAAAAGTGGCCAAGTCGTTAAACAAAGGTGTACAGAGAGACCGAGGGCCAGCTCAAGCAAGTCCGACCTGGTCCACAAGCCCACCAAGGTCTTACAGGCAAGGGGCATCTCCAGAAAAACGTCGTCGAAGGGCCCAGAAGGCTTGCAGTGCATGGCATTACGGGACTTGCATGCCTGTGGCCAATGTCGCCAGGCTCTCATTTGACGGGCAGCTTGATTCGTTGACTGACAGAAGTGAATGGCAATAATTGCAGGCTTTCAAGGCTGCAGATGGTGAGATGGTCTGGCTCATGCTTGCTCTAGAACCACTCCATCGATTGGCCGGAAGTGGTTAAATCCAAAGTGTGTGGGTGGTAATCAATCCAACTTTGCATGCAGCAGCCTCGCAACGCAACAGAGGATAACAGCAGGCCAATGAAATCACTACAGTCCGCGTATTGCGATGGGAAGCAGCAAGAAGTGAGGCTGTCGTACCCTCGTCGTGCCCCAGGCTTTCTCTAGGATATCGCCCGTTTCTTTACAAATTGAGCATGGATGGCAGAGACGTTTTTGTACATGCGAAATTGCCCGTGCAGTAAAAAGGCTGATCTCGTTGGCCATTTGGCAATATCGCCGTCCGCTGTCATTTGCACCCCATGATCCGGTGGTTTGGATGTGTGTCTGTGGTTCTCTTCTGAAGGATCATGCTCTGCATCTGCCAAGTCAATGACTCCATGATCCTGCAAGTTATGCACCTTCATGGCAGCCCATGTTTGGTATTGACAAGGGAGTTGAAATTAGATAAAGTTCTATTCGGATCATCTACTGGCCGTCTTGCATGCCTAAATTCCTGTGCGCGTCCGCCTGGAAGGCGCCGGGAGTTCGAATTTTGAAGCTGCAACGATGCAGGTCCTTGTGACCCGCCTGCACAACGCAAGCGGCATACCTGCAACTTGAGGGGGGTCATCTCAATATTCGCGATTATTTGTGCAGACGCCCAGTTGCAACACCAGAGGCTTCTAAATTTACGGACCAGGGTGGAAATACAGATCGAGCTACCAGAAACATCTCCTGGCCGGACATCAATCGAATATCACACAGGATATGCTTGCATCACAAACCGTAATCAATTTTTAGTAACTTTTTGGAGATCATTGCAGCTGAGATGTAAGTACAGGCTTTGCATGCTCCTCCGCGCCGTATCTTTTATTCTTCCGCCTGTTTGAAACTACCTGACTGCTTAGAATCCACAGTCGAGATCTGAGCATGTTTGGAGTGGTGTTGATAGATCGGACGATGATACTAAGCAGCAACCAGAAGAACATTCACTGAAACTCACCGCTGCATTTTGTATAATGATTGACGGCTGGTCATCAATGACCCACAATGGTTGCAACCAATCCTGGCACGGGTACCAATCTTCAGATAGTGAAGGCATTTATGCCGCATCACATATTATAGCATTGGGTGATATTGGGGGCTTGACACTATTCAACCTTCACCGCATAACCTTCCTTGGTGAGGCACCTCCGCCCTCTGCTGTACTGCTTGCCTGGACAGCACTGTTTGTAGATTGCCCTTTAAAAAAGCTCTTCGAACATCATGTGAGACATATCTGGAATGGGTCTTAGTCGACACACACACATACATACATCCCAAATTCTCTTGTAGGTGTGACGGTGAAACAGGAAAGAAACATGCGTGCCTCTCAAGCCTCAGGTCCCATTGAATTTTTTTTAGGAAAAAAAAAACGTGTGCATGATATGATCTGCTCCTCGGGACATGAGATGAGAAACACGAGGTGAATCTATCCCTTGCTTCCGCGGGTTCCTCTTGGGGACTCGCTTCGCTTGGTATGATTCTTCCAATAAACTAGGTTCCAATCCCTTGCATCATCATCCTCGGCGTCTCGATGTGAAAACTCTCCCGGACCTAAATTTTCAGGGACCCCTTGCCTCAAACATAGTCCCTGCTGAACGTGGAGTATACCCATGGGAAGATGAGAGAGCAAAACTACAGTATGAGGCCGTGGGCAATCCACCACGGAAGATGGTATGCGACGATGAATAAGACGAGATGTCCGACTGCTGGGGCATCTCACAGACGAGATACATTCCGCCCAGAAGTTGTTCCACCTGAGTTAGCAAGCGAATCCCAACGTCGAGATCTCGGATTTTGATGCTAGCGTAAAGCCAAGCAAAAACGTTTAAATCCCGCCCACAGCGCAAACTCCAATTTCAAGCATGGAACAGACCCGAGTCCGAACCGTACCAAAGATCGGTTATCGGAAGCATCACCCTTGCATTGGCCTGCTTGTGCCTTCCCCTTCCTGCGGGATAAGCGAGGTTTTTTTTTTTTTTTTTTTGGTTTTTTTTGGACAACCAATTAGGAGGTTATCGACGTGAGATCCTTTGCTGAACAGGAAATCACCAAGGCGCGTGATCGAGATCGTGATCACTGATATATCTTCTAATGCTGGTTGATGTCAGCAGCCTGCAGTAAAAGGACATTGATGGGCGTCGTTGATTGCATGGGCGGGGGGCGTTGGAAGACAACTACCCCAGTACTGCTAAAGCGAAGCTGGCTTAGCCTACCCGTGTCGGTTCCATGCGCCAGAGAACAGAGTTGGAGCCGTTCTGTCGGAAACGCTCCAGTGTTTCGATGAAACAATGCCCTCGGCCCTTCAAGCACTCTGCCAAGTCTGCTTTCATGAGATAGATGGCTAGGCTCATTACAAGCAGCCAAGGCAACCGGAGTTGACTCTACTTCTGGTTATGATCCATACGCAACTCACCGTAACGAGGAGCCATATGAGCGCCAAGTTCGGGCAACATACGGCGATGCGGAACCTGAGCAATCGCTCTGCCGACACGAAAACAAAGCACATTTAAATCAATACGAGCAAAAGGCGTCAAGCGCGTTAAACAAGCTCATTCGCAGTACTGTCTTAGACATCAACCTTTTCTAGTCTTTTCTTTTTCTTTTCTCGCATACTTTCCCGTGGTGTTTCTCAATTTCCATTCCCTAAATTCTGTGCTTCTTCATGAGAGATGCAACATGCTAATGTATAATCGACGATCATCAATATCCCAAGATGCCCATACTTTCGGCCCCCACCTGACGAAACCCAGACTCATAGTCAATCTGGAGCACAGCCGCAAGGATCGTCACCAGAAAGATACGAGACAGAAAGAATCAAAGTCCGTGCTATCGAGACATCGTTAAATCCTTCCTGGATCTCTAGGGCCACCTTTCCAAACTCTCGGCTACCGGTTCCGATAAGAGGGTGTGCACTGATCAACATTCGCAGACCGGACCGACCAGCTAGTATCAATGCTGAACGGGCCCTTCAGCTACGCGGTACGTAGTGTTTCATCTCTACTATATCATGCCGCAGGTGTGAAGCCTACGCCTGACATCAGATGAATGCTATATGTAATACTTGATCGAACACATTCAAACTGATCAGTAGCCCATCGCGTAAGGAAGGGCGGACTGCTTGCCAATTCGGCCGCGCAGATCGACGTAGGATACGTCAGGATCTACATTCTAGAAGATTGCGCGACCAGTAATTGCAGGTGCTGTGCGGTCAGGATTCGTGGACAAATATACCAGTTCATGCTGCCTGCCCAACAGGGCCGGGCTTACGTCTGGTGTCATAGATCGGATGATAGGATTCGCCGGTTCATCCGGCTCCTATGCAACACAAACAATCATATCATACTTTCAAGTGAATCATTAATGGGCTATGATTGGCTGCTGCGATCAAATATTTATTGATCTTCAGCCTTCGTGCAAGAGAGTAAGAGTATTGTCGTATATAGATCGGTAAAGTGGTTTCGGTGATAATCATGATGGTAACCAATTACTAATGGTTGGACCATCACAAAAAAAAAAAAAAAAAACCCCCCCTTCATCACAACGACAGGGCGTGTGTCTAGCTGACGCTATGTGACCTGAACAGCGACCAAATCTGCCGGCTCGTCCAAAGAAGCACACAGATCCCGCGCTCTCAAACATTTAGGTGCCACCCCCAGACAGGACGGGAAGGCACATCAAGATAACTGAGGTAAGGCTGAGCAAAACACAACCCTCAGTGCACAAGCTGAAAGCCCAATCGGGTGCTTGCTACCCGCGATGACCAACCAAAGTACATTACCAAAGTGAGCGTGGCTGGTAATACTAATATCCTCCTGAGTATCACAAGACCGATTCGCCTTCGTAGTACCACAGCATGCTTGGCTTTTTCTAATGTACAGGCAATCGGGGCAGTTGTCACCACCGGCTACCTGCGCACGGGGAGAAGACACGGCGTTCCGACGAAGTGGCTGTGCTAAGCCTGTGTACTACTCGATACATTGCCGACGAAAGACAATTTTGTGCGACGGCACTATTGGATGACATGAGGGGTTGCTGCGCCGGTCATCTATCGAAAGTGCAATGAGAAGCTTTGGAGGCCCAGTTGGCCCTCGTGAGGTTGTGGCAACGGTCCGCAAGTGGATGCAATGGACTCTGCGAAAGAGGGCCTGTCAGGTTTGATTCGTATGATCTGATAATACTAAATGACTGCATACCGGTTGTACGGCATGTCCGTCCAAGTCAAATCAGACAGCCAGGGGAGCTGCTCGGGTCGGTCAATGGTTCGATGCACCCTGTTTTGACCCAGGTCTAGACTTTTTCCAGTTCACTTTCGTGTGAATGCATCTCGAAATCGGAGAAGAGCCACGACAGGTAACGCACGATGTATGTCGCGTAACTTGTGTGTTCTTGCTTTAGCTACCGGAGACCTCTCCGGGTCCTGTACACACGTGGCGCAATCATCCACTATCCCATGATTGTCCAAGCGAAGACATACGGCAAGCGTGTTTTTTCAGGGTTTATGTTCAGGTCCCTGATTCTAACGGCCGGCGGCCGCGGTGGCGACAAGGCCCACGGAGGATTACTTTTTCTGTTTCGTGGGAGATCCCGAACATCAAGCATAACTTCTTGGCGAGCTTACTGACATGTCAGAAGCTGGATTCATATTCTTGTAAAAGAAAAAAAAATTCGCGGCTGCTAGCGGCTACTTGTCTTACCCGGGTCCTCCTTGATCGAGACAGCCCTCACTGCAGCTGCGGGTTACCGCTGGGGGGCCGGGCGATATGTCAAACCCCTGAAGTTCCTCGTGTATTGGTTATTATTTCTTATTTCAACGGCTTTTGATGTGGGGAGGGGGGCGGCATTGCGTTGCGGTCAGGGTGGACGGAAATTAAACGCCTTGCTTTTCTACCGTCACCAAGGAAAGAAAAGGAACAGATTAAAAGGAAAACATAAGATAAAATATATTATTACGGGGACAGGTCTGTCACATTCTGCGCATCATGCATTTTCATCTAGTACCAGGCATGTCTCACGGGGAATATATATCGAAACACCACGCTACACCCCAACAACAAGTGTCTCTTCTTACCCGGCCCCATCATCCTCGCTGGTGTGCTGTCAGGAAAGAAAAAGGAAAAGAAGAAAAATAATTATTGTGTCTTGTCCGAATATCAAGACATCGTGGGTTACAAGTGCATGAATACCGAGACACAAACACGGGTTGCCTGCATGGTTGCGACGTGCACATGACTTGTGAGATATGTATCTCAGATTGCGTGTGAGGGGTGGTCTGAATCAAGATAGTTTTTTCTTCCCACTGTCCCTCTAGGCACACAATATTAGCTTATTATCGATGCTGGTTGAGACGACACGCGGCACCCCCTAGGCCGAGAGACTTGCGGGTGAGCCAAAAGGCTAAAGAGCTTCCTTGTGAATGCCTTCTCTTCGTGGTACACGCGTGGGAGGGAGAAAAAAAAAGATCAGTCAATCCGGGCGCCGCCTGTTTTCCTACACAGCTTGTGAAGCCGAATTAGGTAAATCACCTGTGTACGTGCACGTGTCACTTGTCCCCAGCCCTAGGCGATTACATGTACTCCCGAGGAATCCTTCTGCAAGAGGCAGCAAACAGGAGGCTCAGCAATATTGACATTTTTTTCTGCCTGTTACGGCCAGCCAGCCAGGCCATGGCAGGGCAGCACATTTCCGATTCAGGAATATGCGGGTGGGCTGGCCAAGTCGAATTGTCTTGCCCCGGGATCATGTTCGTCTAAGCGCGTTTGGACTTTGTACTGAATCCTTCTGATCGAAGAAGGAGCTGAACTGCTCGGTTCCTCTTTCGACTCGGGCTTATTCTAGCTGCACAACTTGATCTCAACTGGGCCAGGTGTAGGATTGCTTCCTCAAGTCCTTTGTCCATCACCAACTTACCCTAATACATGAAAGATACAGCTGAAAGGTCTATGATGGACCACTTTCTGTTGTGGCTGTGCCATGACCATGACGTACTATCCAGTTTAGAGAAGCTAAACCCTCGTTCCCTTAGGACCGACGCCTAATATTTCCAACATACCGGAATGACTACGATGATGCATGTTTGCCATCAATTATTAGACAGGTTTGCTGCAGCAAGTACCTTGTCAAGCCGTGTGACTCCATCGTGTGATGGCAAAGCTTAGCAGATTTGTCGCCGACGGTCACATGAGCATTAGCCAACACGGCAAGGTGAAACGAAGATGTCCTCGTTCGATGGGGTTACAATGACTTCTCTGTTACCAAAATATGCAGTCCTATTGCTCTATTCTATACACAGCAACAAGAATAGATCAATTAGACCCGCAGCATAGGCCATTAACTAGGTTATAGCGAACCTTGTGATTGATCATCCATGAGAGCCCGATGGCTGCAACCTCAATGCTTGGTGATGTTGTCCGCTCACCCCTCCTCCACTTCATTATGCCGCGAAGCCCCCGTGACACTATCTAATAGATGCCCTCAGGAAAAAGGGATGCTTAAGCGCCTCTGATGGAGTCATCCTCTTATCTGGGTTGAGCGCCAAACAGCGTTCCAGCAAATCGATGAAATGATTGAGATCCCTAGACTCCGCATCGTCCATGCCGCTAGACGCAGCCATAAGGCGAGTCCGCAGATCGCGGGTCGGTTTTACAATGGCCATGGTTCTAACATTCGTCTGTGTCAAGCACTAGTCAGTCGTCGAATCTTTAAATATAGATCTTGCTGCGATGAATCAATGGCAGGAGCGTGTGGGGTAAACGACGGGGAGTTCGCTTTAATTCATTGGCTTATTTAAAGCAGCAAGGGGGCCTGCCTCAGCGCGAAGAGTAATAGCCCATGGTCATCGATAGACCAGCAGTCGTTGGGATTGATGGTGGACGTCTTGAAAAACCCCGGCTAGCACGCAAGCAAAGCTGTTCCGGAGATTTGAGTTTACCCACAATGCTGACCGCAGATCTGGCCGTTTCATCGGACGTAGTCATTGAGCGGCAAAGGAAGCTGGGCGCACCGTATGCAATGGCTCGGACCCACTCGGATCGAGGCCGCCTCAGCGCTTACAGCAGCGTGATTCCTATAATAAACCACCCAATCCTTCAATAAAAATAGAAATAGGAAAATGGTTCGTTGGGGCCAGTTGAGACTATTTGAAATCCGGGGAAGATGTGCTCAGTGGAACAACAGAAAGGAATTTGTCAACATACCTTATCAAGCACCTTGTCTCTCTCCACGCTAATGAAGTTACCGATGTCGTCAAAGTGCATTTGCCAGAGTTGGCCTCGTTTATACATCTTGGTACTGAACTTGCCACGAATCTCCATGATCGTCTTGAGCATCTGATTGTTGCTGTCACCTGTAAATAGAATCTTGCCGGTATACAGCTCATATAGAGTGCAACCAATGGACCACATATCAACGGCGTAGTCGTACGGTAGACCTAGGATAATTTCGGGCGCCCGGTAAAATCGACTGACAAGGTAGGGCGTTATCTCGTTGTGCGCTGTTGCTGCATCAGATCTGTCAATTGCCGTGCCCAAGTCACAGATTTTGAGGATGTTGCGAGCCTCGTTGACCTATACCAAATTTAGCAAGATTACAGAGTTACAATTGTGCATCATGGACTTACCAAAATATTGTCGGGCTTGATATCTGCATGGATAATGGTGCATTTCCGCATGTGAGCCAAAGCCACAAACATTTGATGAGCATACGATCGAGTGGCACTGAGATTGATGCCAACATTGTTACCAAATTTCTTTAGGACTTCTCTCAAGTTCAGGCTGAGATTCTCAAAGGCGAGGCACAGATGGCCCTTGTGCTCGAAATGGCGCTCGAACTTGACAATGTGCTTGCGGTTCTCCGGATCCGAGTCGTTCAGCTTTTGCAAGATGGCAATCTCGGTGAAGCCTCCCTTCCTCAAAGCGTCGTTGTTGCGCATCATTTTGATGGCGACCATCTGCTTATTCGTGATGTCTACAGCACGAGCGACTCCTGAAAACATACCCTTACCCAGGGTGGCCTGCACTTGATAGCGGCCATTCATGATCTCTCCTATGCGAATTTTGTAGTAACCGTCCTTGTCATCGCCTTCAAGAATACCGCCTGCCCCTACTTGAGCAGGAGCTTGACCATCATCTGCTGTGGCTTCAGACTCGACGATAGGCTTTGGTGCTGCGAATTTGTCCTCGTCAAAATCTTCGGCGAACATGTCAAAGTCATCGCCATCTTCAGTAGATTCTGTAGGTTGCATTTCTTCTTGGGGAGCAATCCCATCTTTCTGTTCAGGGGGGAGAACCTCGCCATGGGGACCAATGTGACCATGACGGCGCCCATCGCGTTTCTCATCTTCCCGCATGTCCGCTGTAGGGTCATAGTCTGCTGCGGAAGGACCATCGTCATCATCGGCGTTTCGAGACTCTCCGTGTACATTGATGAGATCGTGGTCATTAGTGATGTCAAGCGCAGCTGGAGACATGCCCTCTTGCAAGCCTCGTGCTGGAGAGGCAGGAGACGATACTGCTTGGGGCTTATTAGCAATGTCACAGCTGCAAAGATTGGACACCGACTTACCAGACATTGGAGTATTAGCTTCAGTCGCTGAAGGTGTGCTTTGCTGAATATGAGCCGGCGAGGTTGATGCAAACTTGTCGGAAGAAGCTTGCAGCGCTTGTACAAGCATAGGTGTTGGGCCGCGGGACTTGGCTAGGAGTTCCTCACGACGCCGGCGCCGGCGTTCGATCTCGGCAGCTTCGTCAACCGGTTGCTCTTCTGGAGCTTCGGGTTCAGGGGCCGAAGTATTTGCTGAGCTGGGTGTTGTAGCTACCTCCACCTGGGACAATTTAGTAGATTTAGTATCGTTTTTCAGAATACCATTTCTTTCTGCCGAGGCGGACCCTCTGACTGCATCATGTCTCGCACTGTCTTGGCGACCATTTCTGTCATAGAAGTCCTGATCTCTATTGCTTGGACGGGTGTGCCTGTCATCTTTTCTTCTATCTCGATCATTGCGGTCTCTACCACTCCTCGGGGGCCGATTAGGCGATCTCGTGCGATTTCTGGGCCGCTTGTCCGCGTAGCCGTCACGATCGCGCTCGCGCTCGCGGCTGTGGTCGCGTGACGGGCCATGGTCTCTGGCTCGATCTCTGTCGTCGTAGCGAAGTCCCGAAGCAGAAGATCGGGATGGGGGCCTATCGTCATCATCGTAAGAGAAGTGAGAGCGGCGCGAATCGCGTGCATCTTCGTAGTGTACTCGGAAGTTGCGCGGGTCTCGGTCTCGGTCCCGGTCTCCATTCGATCTAGCGGGATAGTCGCTACGAGAGCGCTTGGAGCCTCGAGGGGAGCGATTGCGGGTTGAAGTTGAGGCGTATCTCGAGGCCGCGTCAACTTCGGGAGATGTTGATTTCGAATGTCTAGGTCGATTTCTGTCTGGACGGTCAACACCATTTCCATTGAATTGAGGCAGTGAAGTTGCCTTCAAGTCTCCTGCACCAACCCCAGTCTCTATGATTTCGCCTTCATCGGAACTAGACGGAGAAGCCATGTTCAGGTTCGCCTTGTGGCTGGTTGCTTTGCCTTGCCTTGCTGTGTTCTAGCACGACCGGGGGAGACAGAAAAGACCAAAGCAGCGAGAGAAGATATCCCTGCCTTGAGATCAGAACAACAGTGTCAGCAATAAGGTCAACGGCTAAGTGAAGCGTAGAAAATGTGTCGAACCGGGATGTCTCTCCTCATCTGCTACGCATCACGGCGTGTCTTGCGGGCTGCGCGACAAGGTAACAATCGTCCAACAGTTGGGAAGGAGAGGTAGGAAAGCAGTGCTTGCGCAAGGCAGGCTAGCTGGAATGCCGTGGCAGATGCAGAGTCTTGAAAACAACCAAGCAATCGCGCGGGCCGACGTCTGCTGTGTGTTGTTTTGGGCGAAGCTGAGAAGATGATGGTCTGGTGGTGAGGCTGATGTATCTATGTATGTATGTGGTGTGACGACAAGCCTTTCTTTCACTTGCACCTGCGCTCAGCCTCCAGGTGCTGCGGGAGCAGGTAGTCAGTGTTAGCGGATCTCAGCGGAATTACTCCGGATTTATCCCCCCATGACACTGGTTTTTGGCACCTTGACACGCCACCAAGACCCGTGAGACCCCCCCCAAAAGCCCCGAAAGCACTGCCCCGCGGTCGCGACCCGTCCTAGACCCTGAATTTCTGGTCTGACTATCCATTATCCATTATCCATCTGCTTATTATTCTTAGTACTCGGAAAACTCTCTTTTCTCTAACGTCGCTTCTCAGTACATCCATCTCTACATCCATTCGTTCCCTCAAGCAATACCTACACAACCCTCAAACTCACGAAATGGGTGGCGCAAACAGAGAAGGTATGCCAGACAAGTTTCCTGAGAGATTTGCCCCGCCAAATCTCATGCCATGCTGAACATCGACCGACTAACTTTACCACCCATCACAGGCGGCAAGGCCAAGCCCTTGAAGGCAGCCAAGAAGGCCACCAAGGAGATGGACGAGGATGACGTCGCCTACCTCGAGAAGAAGAGAGCCGGTACGACTTCATTTCATCCGACGTGCACAGATCTTCCCGAACTCGCCACTGACACTTCGCAGAGGACAAGGCACGCAAGGAGATGGCCGCCAAGGCAGGAGGCAAGGGCCCGCTGAACACTGGTACTCAGGGTATCAAGAAGAGCGGCAAGAAATAGACGGCGGCATCACAATCGCAACGCTGAAAAAGGCTTCATTTTCCGTCGTGGCTTGTGGTACGACCAGGAGCGTCGCGGATGATTAAAAGCCTCAGTCATCCCGGGGGTATGCGACAAGGCTGACCTAGACGCACTACGATATAACGAATTATGCTCCTCACAGGCGCTTCCATACTGATAGCGAAAGGTTCCTGGTTTACATACAGTTTAAATCCTAGTTCAATGATGGAATGCAGAGGCAACGGCCGCCAGCAAATATGATTATTGCAAAGGGGCCTTACGAAGTTAGCAGAAACGTCATGTGAAAAGTTATGTCTACGTGTGCAACCCCCTTTAATAGAGATAGAAGATGTGTTGGCATATTTTGACTAAACCTTCAAACCGAAGATTATACTGTAGTGTTCTGCAGCTTCACTGGGCGGGCCAATATATCACAACTTTTCCTTATTGCTTTGATTAGAAATTTGTCACGAAACTGTTGATGGTGGGTTCGAAATACAATGATAAATGGGCTGATCCAATGGAACAAAACATGTGTGCCCTGGTAATCATGCCTGCTTTTGCAGCATGAATGAATCAAGTTGTGGCAGATGTTGCTGGCACTTACCTCGGCGGGCCGAAGACGTTGAGGATTTCTTTCTCACATGCACGAGCGACACCAACATTGAAATCCCAACAATTCAGCACAAACAACACCCAGGTGAACATTTAAAGCAGAAAGATAATAGGTGCAGAAAACTTTATCAGACCTTGATTTTTTTTTTATCTTCTCTTGAATCTAGCTCTCAATTGCAAGAACCACAACAGTCTTTAGTTGAAACCCGTCCAAGATGGCGACCAACACCTCCCCCGGCCCCGATCCGGAGCCGCATCGTGCTACCACAGAAGGACTCCGGCAGCGCCGGCCCTCCCGCACTGCCGCAGACACTGTGATTTCCACAGCCAGAGAGCTTGAGAGCAGAGTCGAGCACGCCCTTCTTGTTCTCTGGGACGATCTGCCCGCCTGGCGTCGCGACAACCACTACATCATATCCGGGTACCGCGCCTCGTCCAACTCGTACCTGGGATCCCTCAAGTCGCTGTTCTGGCTCCACAACGAGTCCGTCAACATCTGGACACACCTTCTGGGCGCCCTGGTCTTCCCGGCCGTCGGTGTCTTCATGCACAGCATTGTTGCGCCGCGGTACCCGGGCGCTAGCAGTGGTGATGTTCTGGTGTTTGCGTGTTTCTTTGGTGGCGCGGCCGTATGCTTGGGCATGAGTGCGACGTATCATATGCTCTGCAACCACAGTGCCGAGGTGGCAAAGTGGGGAAATAAGCTGGACTATTCCGGTATCGTGGCTCTGATTGTTGGGAGTTATGTGCCAGCCCTGTATTATGGACTGTTTTGTCTGCCGAAGCTGATGACGGCGTACCTGTACATGGTTGGTATTCGCCAGTAACTCAAACGACTCAAAGAACGTAAAGCTGACGACAACACAGATCTTCTCGTTGGGCATTGGATGTGGTCTCGTTAGCTGGGTTGAGTTTTTCAGAACACCGGCATGGAGACCATACAGGGCAATGATGTTCGTCGGCTTGGGCGTCTCAGGTGTGCTGCCAGTCTGCCAGGGCATCACAATCTATGGATACAAAGATCTTGAAGAGCGTATGGGGCTGAATTGGGTACTCCTTCAAGGGTTCCTGTACATATTTGGGGCGTTCTTGTATGCCGTAAGTGTAATCCTTAACGCTGATAACCGTGTACAAATGTGACTGACCGGTAACTTAGATGCGCTGGCCAGAAAGGAGTGCTCCCGGCACATTTGACATATGGGGAAGCTCGCATCAGCTTTTCCACATACTGATTCTGTTTGCAGCGGCGGCTCATCTGAAGGGTATGTCGAAGGCCTTCGATTTTCACCATAGTGTGATGGGTGCGCAGTGTTAAATTAGACGGAGCCTTGAAGATGTTATTCTCATTTACGAGATAGACAACAATAGCAAGGCACAACAAAATCTTGATAGCCTTCGGGCCAGAAGACCAGCTTGTGGTCCATTCGAAGCAACAGCCAAGACTGTACGAGACACTCGCAACTCATATGTAGGTAGGTGCCTTATGAAGTCTGTGATGCGTTGTAAACGCACTACTGAAAACTGACATCTTTCATGACGAACATCTATCCTTCCGTGACGTAAGTGCAGTAATGGAAAATGGTGAAATCATAACATCTGTGATTGTCAAAGGTTTGGGTTCCTTATTCTTATCGACTCCTCGACAGTGTACGAAAATGGAAAATGGGAGAACTCGAACAGGTGTAAGTACACAGTGAGGAAAAGGAAAGTTGAGTTGAGTTGTTATCCTGGCTTCCCTTGGTATGGTGATGACACAACGGTTGCGTGTAAGGCTAGGAACTCTCACCCATGGGCCTGTGCGAAGGACCCATGGCCAAAAGAAATTGCCCGTGAGTTACCCATTGGAAACAAATTTTTTAAATCCATACAATTGAAACGTAACTATCGGAATAGTTACAAATATACGAACCATATTAGCGTGACAGCCAGTGAAACTAGTGCAGCCGCAAAACTGACAGCAGTCGTCAGGGAAGAAGAGCTGTTGATTGTTGTTGCGGAACTACTAACCGTTGCCGTAGAGGTGCTGCTAGCTGCAGATATAGTAGCGACCGCTTTCTCGGCCTCTGAGATGATGAAGTTGTGGCAGTTGCAATCGGCAGTGGTACGGCTTGCTGTGTAAAGGGCATGGATAAACACATGCGAGACTGTAAGGTTAAATTTATCATGGTCTATTGCAATAAACCAGTCGTAGTTTGTCGTATTAGCACCGTTTTCTATAAATCTTGCGTCAGTTTCGATTCGGGATAAATGACATTACTCAACAGTCGACTCCCTTCACGTAAATCTTGTTTATACTATATATAGCAAGTAAATCGAAGTTCAATAATAACGAATTATTAAGCTCTATAAAAGCTAACACTATTCCCATAAAAGTTATTAAAATTAAGAAAAGGAAAAGCATTATATAATAATAAAATTAAATATTGTAACGACCTGGCTCCAGCGTCAGCGCTGTGTTCGAACAGCGTCCGAACCCCGTTTCGCGATTAGCTACGATAGTAATCTCGTTCCCTCTGTGGGGGTATAGGTGCTAGTAATGGAGGTTGTTAGAATTGACAATATTGGTGTGAGACAACAAGCCTACAACGTCACGAACTGTAAAGCTGATTTGGCCTTGTAATATGTCTTGACTAGAAAAACTATTCTAGGTAGAGATTGCGAGATCTCTCTATATCGCTGTCAGGACACACAGTACCATTGTGGGTACTGTAACAATTAATATATTTAATTAACTATTAATATTCGTTATAAATACGCTATTTCTTACTTTAGACCTTATTTAATATGAGCTATTAATATAGCTATTCACTTTTAGTATCATATTCTAGTCATTAGAGAAATGCTAGAACGCATTCGGACCTGTTAAGAATTGGGCTTTAAACTCGATATAGTTTCTCATGGATATCTGACTCTGCTACAAGGGCTATATATTGCACGGACACTGTTAGCCCTAGAAGCAGACGATGTGGTTCGGGAGCGCCACACATCTTTGCTTAAGTATCATGAGAGTGATCTTGATGCAAGCAGAAGCAAAGCAACTGAAACTTTGTAACAAATTGCTTGTGTGATTGTATTTATCCCTGCCTGGTCTCAATTGTGAGCAGAGGTAGTGGTGTGGTGTGATGACTTATTGATGGAGGCTGTCTTCTAGCAGCTGCTCAAAAGTATATTCATTGAACCCATCGGTGTCGGATACCGACCAGTTAAAAAGCGACCCAAAGTCCATTCCGGCCATGGGTCCGAAAGAAGTTGACTCTGCAGAACGGTCGAGCGGTGAGGAATGGAGAGTTTCGCTGCTCATGTTGTTCTCTGGTGTTCTTATGCGCATCTCGTTGAGATCGTTGTTGCGGGCCTGAGCATCGGAAACCTCCAGCGCTAATATCAGCTTTAGGCTCTTGGCAGAGATACATGGAAGCACGAACCCTTTGCATATTGTTGTTACTTCCTGACCAATCCTCCCTGTTCTCTTCGTGAATGCTCATTCCATCGGCCGCTGACTCTGGCAGGTTCTGCAAGTACTGTTTCGCAATGTAGACAAATTCGCTCAGATGACTTCCAGGCAATAGTCCGTTAGAAGTATGTTCAAGAAGGCTGAAGTGGCCCGAAACAACATCTAACAAAACAATATTGGCTCGGGTGTCAGGGTGGCGAGGGTTGTGAATGACAAAGTCGAACAGAATAAATAGGGAGGATAACGGCATGATAGCAAGGATACTGGAATTGAGGTCAGCGCAAGTCAGAGACGGTGAAATAGAATGACATAACGTACAAGACTGGGGTGTATGGTTCGATCTCAATGAATCGTGTAAGCTCAATCACAGCTTGAGCCGCTTTCATGAGCTTACGTTGGCTTGTTTGCTGTCTAGTGCCGCGTCCTTCTTCGAGGTGCAATGTCAGTCGCTCTAAAGCCATCAAAAGATGATAGTAGTAATAGTGTGTTGACAAGGCGGCTTGTTTAGTCTTAGGATCCGTGAAGCTCGGTATATGTACCGCTTCTTGCGGTCGGAACTGAATTGGTACAGATTGCCGCCATTGCTCAAGACTAGTCTGGACTTGATCGACAACCAACAACTGCGACGGCGCGGGCTTTGATGAAGCCGTCAATGAAAAAAGAAGCTCGTAAGCGATAGAGAGCAACCGAGCAAACCGGATGGAGGAGTAGAACCAGTCATAAGTACCGAAGATAGATTCCGGAACGGAAGGGATCGGGCATCCAACATCGTAATCTGCTATCAACTGCACGATTCAATTAGCAAGATAACACAAGATACAATAAGAGCGGTGGTCCTACGGAGGCCGTTCTTGCTTGAAAACTATCATGCTTTTCCATCTGGAAAATTATCCAGAACGTCCGTTGGCTAATACTTTGCCGTTCGTCAATTGCGGATTTGTGGTAGCGAAGTCTTAGAGCCAGTCGAGTAGCCTCTGAGAGTAAAGTGTGGTTCACTTGAAGATAGCATGCGTTCATTGCGAATATCGACTTGTCAAGGTGTTAGATATACACTCGAATCGAATTAAGCATCAGGACATATAAGAAAAAAATACCATTGCAATCAGTGCCTAGTTTACTGTTAGAAAGAAAAGCTCAGTGGTTCAGAATTAGAAATGTGAGGGATCAAACCTGCAAGGCTGTAAGAGAGTCGCCTGTACGTCGAATATCGGGGAGATGGCCAAGTGCCACGGCGAACAACCCCCATGCTTTACCTGTTTTCGGTTCGAAAGATCCCATCCCACGATATTGGCATCCCAGAGCCAAGACAGTATGATAAAGTGCTGCAAACGAGGAGCATTTTTCCAGCAGTGTCGATGAGTCAGGACTCAAAGCCTTTCGTTGAAAGTCTTCCCAATCAAGGAATGGAAACATGGCATGAACCCGAACATGATATTCTGGACACGCATGAGGATCTTTCCAGTATAAGCATAGATTGATGCGCACCTTGTATGTAGACGACAGCCTCATCTGATGTAACGAGAGCTTCATACTGCACCCCGCGCAATGTCGCAAGTTGTACATCAGCCCTCTTCAGTAGACGGAAGCGCAAAGCTCCATCAACCTCGTTGACCAATTCTCGTAACCGCGGATTGCCTATTCTCTGGACCAGGCCCTCCACTTTATAGTTTGAGAAGAAGGCCAACCCAGAGCTAGTGACTAATCTGGCATTTAGAGACGATTTGGCCAGAGATGACATATGATAAAGAACTTACCACGTCGGTCATGTGCCTATAGACTATTACGTTAACTGCCTGTGAGAAACTAATACTCGAACTAACGGACCTTGAGCACCGAAAATTCATCATATAGTTCTAGTTCAGCGGACCGTTCTTGTAAAAGATGATCAATTAAACAACTGGGGAGCCTTCCCGTTCTGGTGGGTTCAAGACTAGCCGAGTCTGCTGAGCTCGGAGTTAAGCGGGCTAGAGCGCGGACCTCCGTCAGCAAAGAGGCCGTCCTGAGCCGCAGCAGATCTCTGTCCGTTACGTTCTGCTGTCCTGCAAAGCCAAAGCAAAGAGCTCACTTGTTCTGTTGGTCCGCAGTCTGCGATTCAATACGCTAAAATGGCAGATTTCTTTACGTTTCTGCAATGCCGTTCGGTGTAAGTCATGGTAAGCATTTCTGAAACAAGGACAGATCTCACATGGCAATTCGTACACACTACCGGGCTGTCTGTGGGAGCGCTTGGTACTGGGGGGGTCTTTAGAACTTCTGTTGCGCTGTAAAATGTTGCCAATCGCAAGACTTACGGAGGCACCGAACCTTCCGAATGCGGCACTGGTCGCATGATTTGTTGAGCGTAGCAGTTCGCATGGTGATTTCCATAGCCTGTTCTGCCGTGCTGGTGGGAACGAAATGTCCGAGGGGCGGAATTGTCAACTTGATCCAAAAGAAAGCGTCGGTCGAATGTCGCCGAGGCTGGACTGATTTATCTGCGCAATGATTCGGGGCTCGGGCCTTAGCAGTAGAGTATAGCTCTCTACTTACTACAGCCCGTCCCCCACCGTTAGTTATTATATACCTGACTCATCATAGTTACACAAGTCTTTGTTCGATCAGACCGCCTTAATGTCATTTAAGTACTCCACAGTCTGACGCCATACCTGTCGTTGTGTTCAAAACTTGTTTCAGCAGTTTAGATTCCTCTCTCTCTCTCTCTCTTTCTCTCCCACTCCCTCACTTGGGGCAAATTTTTTTAAATTTTTCTTTCTAAGTTTGAAAGAAACCCAAACCTTCAATTGTCATAGTTTGACACCTTTGAAATCACATTTTACCACAATTCAGGATTTGACAACGTCATTACTCTATAGTGATAGTGCAGCAAGTCGTGACACAACCAAACGTGTGTGTTTAGACAGGGCACGGCGATAATAGTTCTTAAATCCATATTGCGTTAAATGACCCGTATTGCCTCCCGTAGCGCAGCTGCCTCATTTTTCTTAGCAAATATTCTTATTGTGATGTTTTGCTGGTGCTTGACAAAGGCTAAAAAATAGAAGAAAAAAATAGCCAGGCCGTGTGCTCTCGAATGACTTGAACGGCTACCGGAAGTTCAGACGAAATCTACGTGCCTACTGTCTGAGTATGCTGTGAATATCCACCTTGTGTTGAATCCTCTTCCAATGAATGGTGACGACCACGAGATCTCTTTTCCCGCTGAAGCTGTGTTCCCGTGATATAACTCCAAAAGTAACTTCCATGCACGATCTCATGGCCCCTGTCTTCAAGAATCCATGCGTTACCCAAAAAAGTAGCAACAGCGACACAGATCCACATGAATGGGATTAGAGAGATGAATGCATACATAATGCCAGTCTTGGCTTCTCGGCTGTCGACTCCACTCTTGTTGTTAAACACCGTGGACATGATCGTCAGCGCTACGGTTCCGCCCAAGGGTATAGCAAGAGACACCAGACATGTTATTTGGGCGGTTAAGGTAGGGAAGTAGGCGAGCCCATGCAGTGCACCGGGGTTCATTCGCATCCCCACGCCGTGACCCGTCAGCGCCATCATGCCTAGAATCACGCTCGTGTTCCCTACATGTGTGGCCCAGGCCAGGACTGTGATGCCTATTGCAGAAGTAATGGAACCCAGGAAAAGGGGTGGAAATGTCTGCCTAGGCCAGGTATTCACCGAGTATTGAGCCATGTAGGCGCCAACTAATACAGTGTGTCAGCTTTCATAGCCTGATAGTATCGCAACTAGAACAGTTATAGTGAGGGTATTACCTACCAGCTAGGCCGGGTAAATAATAAAGCAGATACTTGCCTGCTTCACTCGAGCTCAACCCCAGCACAAGGGTGAAATAAAGGTCCATGAAATACATGACCGCGAACATACCCATGCCCACAGTAAAGTTGATGAAGAAGAGAAGTTTGATATCTCGGTGCAGGAGCAACTCCCATGATAGCATAGCTTTCTGGACTGGAAACAGACGGGACATTATGCGAGGTGGAGACATCAGGTACTCGTAGACGATCCACGTGATCGTTAGCACCGCACCAATGACCAGCGGGCAAATGACTTGGACTGATGCCCACGGATACGAACCTCCTGCCCATGTGAGGCCTAGAATTAGCAACGCAAGACCACCGAGGAACAAGAGCTGGCCCCCGTAGTCAATGGTCGAAAGGCGTGCTAAAATGCGTCGGTATCCCGGCAATGTTTCTAGGTTTTCTATTTCCGGGATTGGCTGTGAGCCGACCAGTTCCTTTCTAAGCAGTATGACAATAAACAATATAGCGGCCACGGCGATAGGAAGGTTGATCGCGAAGCACCATCGCCAGCTGACCTGCGTTAGATATCCGCCTACGACGGGGCCGATTCCGAAAAATACTGCAGATATAAGGGCAGAAAGTGTCCAGTTCCAGGCGAAATCTTCAAGCGAAACGCGGTCCGCCATAATGATGTGCCCGGTAACGTTGACTCCAGCTGCGCCTACTCCTTGCAGAGCACGGCCGAATAGTAAGAGGCCAAATGAAGACGTTGGAGAACCGGTGCAGATGGCACTCCCGATAGTCAGGATAATAATGACAGTGTGTATCGTAACATGACGGCCGAACACATCGGCGATCTGGGCCCAAAATGGTAGGAATGCGGCTGATGTCAAGTTGAAAACGGAAATAATCCAGTTCAATTGCTGTAACTGGTCTATTTGGTAAAAGTTAGTCAATCTGCGAGCGATTTGTACACCTCTATGTACAAATAATTGGCGGATCCTCGATGGTTGATTCAGAACTTACTGAAATCAGCGGCGATGAAAGGAAGTGCGGAAGCCATAATGGTTGTGTCCAGAGACTGAAGAGCGAATGGCAGAGCAAGGCCAAACAGAACCTTATAACGAAGATTCCGCCGCTTCTTGGCGTCTTGAACGATTCTTGTGTTTTCTTTTGCTCCCTTTGCAGTCTCCGGAGACTGATTTCTCGTTTGCCTGGCAGTGGCTACATCAGCGTTCAACGGGGCCGTGCGATTCGGTTCTACAAGTTCGTAAGAAGAACCATAACTTTGGCTTTGGTGAGGGATTGCTTGCTCAACCTTGGCTTTCTGTCGTTCTCTGAACTTTCTGATTCCATAAATGACAAAACTAGACATATTGTTGCCGTTCCTTTGAAGTTTGATGTCGACGGGCAAGTTGGGAGAGCTTCTAACTTTGGAGGCATCTCGAAGCGTATTCAATTGTGGGATGGTTTCATTTAATATTGCGAAACCATTCAAGGCACGGATAAGTAGACTTGATATTCTCGGATCTTTCAAGCCCCGAAGAAGCAATCTCAAGGGTTATAGGGTATTTCAACGACCTGTTGCTCGGTTGTAACCAATGACGGGTTTACATTGAGTTGGGGCTCCGCCAATTGTGGGGAACATGCCAAGACCCGAGGACCGAACTCGATTAATATTACGATCGGGGCTTCGTTTCTTGTTGCAAGGCTCGAGTCATTGGGGCTGAGTAGCACAATGAGCTTTGCGTGTCAAATCATAAGTCTTCTCTCCCAAACCGACTCATTTCCCGCCCGTGGCTGTGTACTTTAGATGTGAGTTCTAGTTGACCGAACAATGAGGCAGACGCTCATGTCATCATATCGAGGACTCATGACTACAGTGCTGCGTGCATGGCTTCAGAGTCCAATGAGGTGTACTCTACCTTGCTTCTGGACAGTCGTCTATATGCTTTCTTCCCAATGATAAGGTTAATAATTACAAGAAATGCTTCTAGAATGATGCGCACCATTTGGTGTAGCCAGAGTCAAGAGCAAGTTGAGGTTCTGGCGTACATTGATCATCACCTCGTTCAATGAAACGCCTCCAACAAGACAAATCCGAAGCATCACATACCATCAGAGCAATTGGTCCTTGAGATGAATGCCGCCAAAAACGCGTCTCGGTCGCCGAGGCATAAGTACCACTTACTAATTGACTACGGCGCAGACTCACCCAAATTTTATGATATGGATGAAGTAGAAAGCCTTTTCTATAGCGTACAAAGTTGACAACCTATCAAGACAACTCGACCACATCCTTTGAATTATAACATAACATTGCCTCCAACTGTTCGTGGCGCATCAGACCATGTTCAAAAATCAAAATAGGCCATAGTGTCCTAACGGGCGTACGCATCATACAGTCCTGCAACACCCCACGCCGCGGCGGGAAGCTGCTATTGCCAGATACTCCAATCCCAGCCAATATCCTCAAGTCGACCTGTGGCAAAGTCGTGCAGCACGATTTTGATGGGCTTAGATGTTATCGTGTGCGGTGTCGTGCCCCCGTTAGCTATAAACTTGATCTCGCCATGTTCTCCGTGGATGGTCCGTGTAAAGTCCAGGTTCTCTACAGTTTGCGGTGTCTGATTTACAGTAAAGAGGCCCGTTAACTACGATTTGCATGGACTCACAAGGCTAAACGATCAAGCGCAGTCGCCTGGCCGTGAATCCCAACATTTTAACAATATTAATGGGGACATAGAACTGTATAGAAGAGCAGTACGCTGGCTGCCTGGTTGAATTAAACAATTGTTGATCATATACCAATTCTCGGTTCTTGGAAGTACAGTAGTTGAACTGGCTTACGCAGACCTATAATATCCTTGGTATTGTATGAGCCTATTTAATCACTTAAAATCTCAGGTCGTTCTTAGAATCTAAGCTATCCCCTAATCACCTTGAAACGACATAAATTTGGGGACAGGAGTCCCTATTATTCAGTTGTACAAACCAAACACTGGTCGTAAGGGTCACGGGTCAAAATTGGCCGGATTTGCTGTCTCAATCATCCAAGTAAAAGCGTAGTCAGCCTAGCGACCTTAATCTTAGAAATTCTGATACGATATAAACATAATAGTCATGTTGCTAAAGGTATCTCTAATTCGTCTATGTCATTATCTATTATTTCGACTATATCGACTATATCGACCTGTGCCGTCATCCCCTAAACGGCTATTGCTAAACTAAATATATAAAGCTCTTGGCAGCGGGCATAGCAATATCATGGAATTATTTGTTGTTGCTAGACAAGCTATTCGAGTTTCAATAATTCACGATCTCAGTTGTGGTTATTTCCCATGGGCGGACGCGGTGTCGGGGATGTCATAATAACGCATCTCTGTCCCAAAGAACAGGTAATCCATTCCTCAGTCTTTTATTGGGATCAAAAACAGTAAATGTTTGGCCACCGCTTAGGCACCTCAAGGCCCCATCCTAGCAAGAGAAGTTGTTTATAGTTCCGTAGGGTTGTGCCATTTGCCCAGTATGACGAGGAAGGCGCGACGGACTGAATGGGCGAACCACTGAAGGTCTCATCACAGAACTGCGGCCATGAGCCCTCACCTGATATTATCCAACGCATCGTCAGCATGATCATGGTTCTGCTTGCCTCGCTGTGACCCAAAGCTAATCTCGGCCTCAAATATAACCCCGCTGATAGACTGGCTGTCTACTTCTCTGTGCCGTGCCAAGCTATCATCCGTGTGCGAGGGTAAGTTGAAGAGTTTAAACTCAGCCCAGGCAAACTGAGAGTAGAACCATATATACGCGAAGTTTGTCGGATAGATCGACACTAGCTAAAACACTTGGTGTCCCATACTCTTGAGCAGCCTGGTGGTAATGCCAGTCTTGTTGGTTCCATGCAAAGACGCGTGATAAAACCACGGAAGCTCAGCCCCTGACAATGTAATGATCCTTGACGCAGAAGGTGAATGCCTCAAGTCTATCCGACTTAATTGCTCCAAATCCTACAAAAGCTCCGGCTGTAAGCATGTAACCCTTTGCATGCCAATCGCTGTTAAGGTTGCTCATGTTGAGCTTATTCCGTAGCATAGGCAATCCATATAGCATAGCGAACTGTGCCAAATCTTGCCTGGTTATTGCTCGATTATCGAACAACTGCCGTCGAACCTGGCCGAGAAAGTCGTGCTTTAAAAACTCTCCTAGGGATTCAAGCGTCCTCACCCAAAGTTCTCGCATGTTGGCTTCGCTTTTATAGAAATAAGCAGATAAATAGCCGGTTTCATGCGTAAGAACACGCTTCGCTACCATCAGAACTTAGAGGCTGTATCTGTTAGCAGGGCTAACCATATCAAGGTTGTTTAAGACAAAGCGTTTATGCATTTGTGGATGTCTATACGCTAAGAGCGCTCTTTACCTCTCGCCGCTCCTATGAATTATTCGGCTAGGAAATGGAGTCTGCCTAGTAAATGCGTATGGTATATAAAGTCATACAAATATCATAAATGGTAGCAAGTTGATTAATAAAAAAGTGTTCAAAGGTGCGGCACCTTTTAGCTGCCAGATATCTTGAAAAAGCTGGCGAGCGATGACGATGCTGATGCCTTCCTTGAACGATACGGTATTGCTCTCGTCTGCCACTCGAGTATCTTTCAGGCGTGGACGCCCTAGGGAAAGGGGCGAAGCGAAGTTGCCGTCTCGAGCTTCCCTTAGCAAACGTGTGTAACGTAGGCCCGCTAGGTTACCTGGCTTCCTATGCGGCTGCCGTGTGGCATTTATGCCATTAGCTGACGTACGAGTCAGAGAAATGAAAGGAAGATAGAACATTAATGCGAGTAATAGCGGCAAGGTAGCATGGAGTATCTTTTGTGAACCGTCGACTTCGTGGGTACCTGCGATGTGAGGTTGAGGAGCAGAGTTGGTCCAAGCAGCTGGGTTCTGATTGGGGCGGCGGGGGCCTATGTGGGGCGGATTGGTGCAATCAAAAACGGAGGCTTTGACCGCGACACACGAATTACATCCAAAACACAGCTTTGAACTGCTTCGCATTGTTAATTCATCCGGCGAGTAACCGTCAATCAGAAGTCAATCGCTTGGTGTTTTCTTAAAGGTAATTTTGGCAGTTCTAGGCGTTGATGATGCCAACTTCAGTCGACGCTGAGAAGGGAATCCAGCTAGCGCGCACATGGGGAGCTGTTGACTCAGTTGATTGGCGGCGGACAAAAATTACATAAAGCGGCAGTCTTGTCTTCTTCGACAGCCCAAGATGAGGACTCGGAAGTCTAATCAGGAGAAACGCTTTCATCAACACGCTTTCGTCGCTCTAGATTCGTCGGATGAGGAGGATCTACGAAGAGCCGCCAAGGAACGGAATGATGACTCCGACGAGGGTTTCGTGGACGATCCGGCAAACCACGAGCCCGATGACGAAGATGGACTTGAAAACGCGGAGCTGACTGCTGCGTCAGAGTCAGAGAGTGACGACCCCGTGGAATACAAGATCATGTCGCACAAGGGACGACATCGATCTTCACTGACTAGCGGCAGATCCCAAGAAGGAGCAGAAAACACCGTCGAAAGAGCGCCTGGAGATGTAAGGCGGTATCCTGACGAGCCATCCATGAAATGGACGCGGAGTTATATGGGTCCAGTCAGCAGGCATGTGCATCTTGCTCAGTTGTGCGGATACTGGTTTGGTGATCGAGATAGTTATCGACGGATCATCAATATCTTCGTTCTCCTATGGAGTCCTTACGACCTCTTCCCACCGAAATTGATACGTGATAAGGATCTCGCGATGGCTAAGAATCCTTGGTTACCACAAACGTTCTGGGCAGATCAGCAGAAGAAACTCGTTGATTGGTACTTTAACTATCTTTCGACACGACAAAAACCCTCGCTTTCGCAGCCCATTCAGCAGACAAACGCGGAACGATGGTTTTTACCTAGGGCAGAAACACAGATGACGACATTTCTCGGACCATATAGTAGCCAAGTGAAGCAGAAAACAAAGCAGGACCAGGCCGTTGCGCTCTCATCTAATGGCGCACCTATCGAAAAAGAGGACACTGTCACGGAACCCAGTGGTGGCTGGATGCTGGATGTGGGAGGCATTCCTTTATCCATAGACTGGGCACCACGGACTGAAGCAGTTGACCAATTACTGGCTCTGACCGTAATACCGTATTCAGATCAGGCTTACTATCAGTCGCCCGATGAAGCACCGCCAGAAGGGAGTCTCAAGCAAGGAAACGTGCAAATATGGAGCATTGGTACACGAAAGGATGACAAGGGCATCGTGGCATTCGCCCAGTCGCAACCGTACCGAGCAGCAGCTTTGTGTTTTGATGGGTGGGGTCGAGCAATCCGAATACAGTGGTGCCCGGTACCGCTCTCAGTGGGTAGTACCACCGGTTTATTGGCTTTTCTCGCTTCAGACGGAAAGGTACGAGTGGTCGAAGTCAAACAATCCTGGAACGAAAGGGGCAAGAGATCATTTGGTAAGCAGCTCCCTCAAGGCACTTACTAGTGTGTAGCGAAACTAACGAAAATGCAGAGGAGATTCGGGAACCACTCGCCACTCTTGAGCTCAAGGGCGAGTACAACATTAGCATAATCTCATTCACCTGGATGAATATGAATCGCATAGCAGTTGGTCACTCGGACGGTTCAGTGGCAATTTGGTCACTGTACCCATGCGTGATGCTTCAGCGGCACCCCATCCATTCCAGCCCAGTTATCGACATTAAATCCGGCTATCCATCGCATCCATTTGTTTTGGCGACTGTGCCTACCGGAGGCGTTGTTACCATCACAGATCTCAGCAGGCCAAATGCCGAACTCGCCTATGTCCCGAACCTCATGGTTTCGTTTCAGCCGGGCGTGCTTGCTTGGTCAGAACACCTGCGTGGCTTCGTCTCGTTATGGCCATCCTCATCGCCTTCGAATATCGCCATGTCGTTTATGTCAGTCCGCGCATGGCCACAGTCGCGGTTCGTGGTTGCCATCTCAGGCCAACCGACCTGCGCTGCTGTAGGACGATGTCATCCCTACCTTCTGGTGGGGTCGACAGATGGAACACTATGGCTCTCGAACCCCTTCCGCAGGGTCTTCTTTCACAAAAGGAAACACAGAAAGCTAAAGGTCTTCCAACACGACTACCAGACCTTGCCAGCTAGCGACGGAAGTGGGCAGCAAGGAGACCACGAGATACCAAGAGGCATTTGCAGGATCTTAAACGACTTCAAACCTCTGGAGAACTCGCATCCGCGGCACGATAAAAGCGGCGCACAGGTGAGACAGAGGCATGACGCGCAAAAGAAAAAAGAGCAACAGAAACGCAACAAGAAGAAGAAGGGTAAAGGCAAAGCTAAGCAAGAGGCGGCCGCGGAGGAATCCGAGGGTGTTGATGTCGACAGTGACCCCGATGAGGAACTTGTAGGTAGAGGCACAGGCGACGTGGTGAATTGTGACCCTCTGCAGCGTATATCAGCGGTGGCGTGGAACCCAAACGTCGAGTTCAGCTGGTGGGCAGCGGTAGCAATGGCATCTGGTCTTGTGCGCGTCATGGACTTGGGCGAGGAACAGGCTGCCCGCAGGAAGCAAAGGCATGGGGACTTGGGCGAGGGCGAGGGCGAGGACAACAACGAAGACGCGACGGTTGATATGGAAGAAGATATCGACGAGGAAGTGGAAGATGATGCATTCGGTGAAGAGGACATTTCAGCGGATGAAGCATCTGATATCACCATGGAGGATGGGTTTTGATGAGTGTTGGCCCGTGTCCGCCGTACCGGAAGGTACGTACCGGGAACACGCGCAATATAGACAGGCTCTATGGCCGTAATCATAAGTTCCCGGCCATGAATAAGACAGCTTTTCGGCCCTTGCCCTGGGGTTGGCCCCGCGCGTCAATATATCGATGGGATGTGCAACCAGACTAGTCCGAATGCAGATAACCTTGTTCAAGCTTCATGAAGGGGGTTCCCCACACTCCTGCTTGGCGGCTGCATTCGATGGATCGATGGCAAGCCATGGCAAGCCATGGCCAAGCGCTGCATCCCCCATTGAGTTTTCGGTGGGCCGGCGCCAGCATCCTCATCTTGTGGACGTGGACGTGGGACGTGGACGTGCTTAAGCTCCGGCATCCACCATGTGCACACGCACCCATCTTCGGTTCCCGCTCATGGAGCACTCCTATCCCATCCTCGTACACGCACATTGGCATCACAAAACTTTCTTCTTGTTGCGGTCGCGCAAACTCTATTTGGCATTCCATTGACTCTCAACCATTGGATTGACCAGCTGCATTGCTTTGTTTATAACCCACTAATTTCTCCCTTCCACAAGGAGGCCCGGGGAGTTTGACTTCCACTTCGTGCCTGCCAATTTGCATTGAATGTATGTATTGTTATTTTATTTTATTTAATTTTATTTTACATGTCTTCCGTCTTAGCCGGTTGGCCAAGCAAGAATTTCCCTCCATCAGCTCATCAATGGCTTGACATGAACTCCCACTGTTTTCAAAAGCTGATCGGCTAAAGCGTTATCGCCACCCAGTGCCAGTGTTCGTGATATACTTGCGCCGGTAAACCAGGCCGCCATCAGATATCGGAGCCATCGTTCCTACGGCGATACGAAACACACGCACACATCAACTTGTCTGGGAATTAGCCAGATACCTCTTGCCATCGTCAATTGGACGAGCGCTCGCGAGATCGACCCGCGAGCCATCGTACACTCCCCCGAATAATCCGTTGCAAACGTGCGCAACTCCTGACACTTCCCTGGAGCCCCGCCGAGGCAAGCGCGCCTCGTTAAAGAGGTCTGAGCTGGACACGACACTATATTGAGGCTACAAAATCTCCCTGGTGATCCCGCAATAAACCCACCGCCACCACTCACTTCATATAATCGCTTAGAGATGCCTTCAGCACGCAGATTACGTGCCTTGATGCTACTGGCACTGGCCGTCGTCATCACAATCCTCTTCTTCACTTCACAATGGCAACAGACGGCCGAGCGCGACACGCGGACGATCCAGGACTTCTACCACAAGACGGTGAATGCCATGGACGGCAAGAGGGGGAGTGGAGGCTCGCAAATTCCTATCAAGGCAGGGAAAGTGAGCGCAGAGGCTAAAGACAAAGATGGAGATGGCTCAGTTGACGCCGATGACGAGCACCTAGCCGCAGAGATGTCCGACCGCCTGCGCGCTGCAGAACAACAGGCCAAGGATCTAGCCAACGCAAAGGCGCCCCTGAAGCCTGATTCTCCGGGCAAGGTTGTGGGAGTTGGTAGCGCAGCAGGTGGCCAAGGGAAGAAAGATGCTGCCGACGCTACCGACGAGACGGACGAGGAGCATCAAGTCGAAGTTACCCTGAACGAGATTCTTAAGAAGTCGCCAAGTATGTGCATATCACCACCAGAGGCACGTTCTCCTTTGGATACCTCTGCTGACCATGACCTAGCTATCATTTTCTCCAAGACTTACTGTCCCTACTCCAAGAAGGCCAAGAAGCTCCTTCTGGAGAAGTACTCAATCGACCCCGCACCCTTTGTTGTCGAACTCGACGAACATCCGCTCGGCAAGGAACTGCAGGCGAAACTAAAAGAGACGACTGGAAGGGGAACCGTGCCCAACATCATGATCAATGGCAAGACCATCGGTGGCAGCGATGACATCGCCGAGCTGGACAGCAGGGGAACGCTGATCGATAAGATCAAGTCCTTGGGAGGAAAACGAGTGTCGATGAAGGAGAAGTTCGTCGGTGGGTCCAACAAGGTATAGGTCTCCTCGGTTGACACTCTCGCTGGGATCGCGGCACCATCATATCATATGGATTACTAGCTTGCATTTAACGGCGTTGGAAGGAGCAGCTTTGCTGTACATCGGTTACAAGGGTGGGTTGGATCAGTGCTTGGCAAAAGGCTTTTCCGGGTGGTTTCTGGCAGTACTGCGCGACGGAGATGCAGTATTTGTATCATAAAAGCATGCCAGCCATGTGGCCCGAGGAACGGGCCCCAAGCGAGGAGGCTTGATCGGAAGGTTATCCAGTCAAAAAGTGCCCCATGGGACTTTGGGTGTTGAGGGGTAAAGACGTTGGCAAGGGCATCTTGCATTCTTACTCTGCTTATATGTTCATCGTCTAATCATAAGCTCTAGATCCCGGTAGCCGGGCCAAGTGTTGCGGCTGGGGGACGGAGTACCAACTCAAGCTGAATTCTCCTTAGCCGTTCAGCACGGAGTACACTAGGTTAGTGTCCAATAACATTTGATCTCTTTCAATGAAAACGAGCAGGCGGACCAGAGGCGCTACTCTTGATTCGCTGCTTCGGACTTGGACCCATGTCGTGATCCAGCAACCCGGGTCTCGTAAGAAATCACGGATGATACAATGAATATGCAAGGGACTTTCTCTTCCTCTTCCACTTCTATAGGATCGGGACCGAAAAAACCCCCCTCGAGATGCTGTTCTTCTTTCTCAAGGCTTGAAGGCGCGAGATCTTTCTCAAAGAGTCTTTGGGGTGTGATCCTGCTGGATGGGGTGCTGGGTTATGCACGGAACTAATCGACATTGTTCCCCACTTCTTTCGGTTGAAAAGGACCATCAAGGCGGCAGAGGGCGGGTTCCAGGCCAATGGCTGAAATCGCTATTGGCCAGCTACCGTCTCAGTACACGATGTGATCCTCTATCTCAAATTAGCATCTCCGAACTGGGTAGGTTTTCGCGTTCGGAAAGTTACATGACAGGCACAAATCATCGGACCGCGGCCGGATATTGGCATCATGGCGTTTCTATGGACCCCATCCTGGGAATCATGAGGCCATGTCATGCATCTTGCCGGCCAATGATATATTTAAACTTTCTGCCTTCTATGTAGTTCCGAAGTCGTCGTGGGTGTTGCCTTGAAAAGTTTCCTTGCCTATAACTGAGAGAGCTGCGTGAAGAGGGACAAGGCAACAACTACCAGGTGCCCTTTTCTTGACTTATACCTTACCGTCGCGTAAAAGGTCATGGCTTCCAGTTCGTCGAGCGCGGCCTCCTCAAAGTCGCGTGGGTCTAAGTCCAAGTCGACAAAATCCCCTTGCAATGCAGACCGGAAGATAAGCGCAAAGGATTACCTGCGGCAGAATGTATATGAAGATTTCTGCGATGTCTTTGCCAGAACGGCAATTTCTGAGGACTCGCCACCGGCTCTGGACGACATTCCAAAACGCGGCCTGCCCAAACGACCCAAGCCTACTACATGACGGACAGGGCCTGTCATCGAAGTTACCGGCCATACTAGCTACTCTTCCGCCGACCTATCCTCATGACGGACGCGTCTGTCCAGAGGAACCGAGCATCTAGCTCTGTTCATACGACAGTGAGGACGGGCGAAGGTGAATGGTACACCCCCTTGCCATACTCAAGATCCCAATCCTTGAATGACTGTATTCTATCAACAAGTATGCAAGGATCAATGGCGACCGGAGGCGATTATACAAGACCTGTTTGTTCCATTGCTCATCGTGTCGAGGTTCTGACATCTATGAGCTATCAAAAGCAACTCTCAATACACAGCGCAAAGCCTTGGATTCGTTTGATTCCATGCGGGTCATTCACGAATATGAATAGATGACGCTCGGATCGGCCTTCGCCAGTATAGGGCCTAGACTGTTGCCGTTGCAACGACTCAGACGATTCGAGAGCCAAGGAGACTCAATTATGTGCCAAAGCAGCGGCAAAATAAGGCATGCTCGTAGGCGATAAAAGCTTTACCCAACAGCTATCACCCGTAGTTGTCATATTTTTCACAAATATATGCCGTAGCGCTCGGCATTCACGCGTTCGATTACAGTACCTGGCACTACCAGGTTTCAACTCGAGCGGCCCCGAGCGTCATTTGTACACGAGCATATCGAAAATGCTCCGGATACACAAACTCCTAGCCTAGATATGAACGTTACGCTTGTATTTCCAGAACCAAATACCCTTGAGTAATCCAACATGACCTTACTTCGTATCTCGAACTGTCCAGGTGCGAAGACGATTGTGGTGTCAATCTAGGTCACACCATACTCATGATCCAAACAACTTAGCAGATATTTGGTTTCGCTGGGTTTTCGCTCCCATTGAGCCCATGATATCAGTATACATTTCGGCCATTGCGGAAATTGTGAGGGGTCAACATACAAGCTGGTATCGGCGAGGGGTGCCAGATAGCACCTCGGTTTGGCAGGGGCTGTATCAGACGGGAATTTGGCCAGTACATTCCTTCTTGCTCGGACTTTCCGGATGAATGCCATAAAGAAATATTGAGTTCTGCGTCGTTAGACCAAGACAGCAATAATTGCCGCTGACTCAGCGGTCGGTTACTTTTAAACTGCGACTGTTTATTCCTGCACGAGCGCCATTCTTTTTGATATGCCCCAGACAAAGCTTCCCAGATCAATACGGTGAATGTTGAGTGACAAGTATCCGGAATTCCCGCCCGGAAACGACTGCAAGGGTTTAATCGCGGGGCCAAAAGCTTAATACTTCGCTGTTTGTGTCTGGTTCCCCTCAATACACTTATTGTCGTTTCAGGCCTTGCAAAATGAATGCGAATTGCCGACTGCGCTAGAGGCCATGTAATTCTCTCCAAATTCACATATATAATTGCGAGTTCTACATAATTCGAGATCCCCTCGATTCTGGGGTCCTGGCTTTAATCGTGTCTCCAACACCCGTTTATAATTAACAAAGGCCTACTAGGCCCAAAAAACCCGTCTTTGATACGTTATAGTCTGAGCCACTGGTTAGTATGGAATATAGCGCGCTCTTACTCGGCGTTCTTGTAGTTGTGTTTCTTGCTTGCTATCACACAGTCCAGCGACGGAGATATAATGCAAGACTCCCTCCTCAACCGCCAGGTTTTCCGCTTATTGGAAATATCCCCCAATTCGCCGCCGCAGCGAAAAATAACGTTTTACACCTCCAACTCGAGCGATGGGCTCGAGTATATGGCGACATCTTCCGAGTTCAGCTTGGCCCCATCAACACATATTATCTTAACTCTGATGTAGCAGTCAAGGTATACAACCGGTTTTCGTGTCTCATAGCCGCATGCTAATGGCAGCGAAGGAGCTCATGGATAGGAACTCTGCGCATTCGTCTCAACGGCCTAAGTGGATCGAGGCAACCGATATCATGACCAATTCGTGGAATGTGCTTTCCCTTCAAGGTTCTGATCCACGGTGGAAAGTACGGTCTGTTTTACTGTCGTGGCTGTTCATGCTGACTGAACCATACCTCTGTAGCATCAACGAAAAATAATCCACTCGGAGTTGACAAGTCCCGCACGGGCTGATGCCGGGCTCCCGTAGGTTATTCTAACCTTTCCCTCGTTAGCCGTGAAAGGCTGAAGCGAAGCAGGTTCTTGCACTATGAGACCGTAAAGTTTATACATCAAGCAGCAAATGATCCAGATGCTGGGACTGATCAGCAGAACCTCTGGGCCCAAATTGGCAGATACACTTACAGCACTTTTGCAATGCAGACATTCGGTCTCGAGGTATGTCACATAACGCATTTCGGAAGGGTGTTACTCAGGAACACTAGATCACAAGCACTGACGACCCAAATATCGATTACATACATGGTGCGTATAGATTTCAGCCCAGAACGGGAAACAACACCATACTAACTACAAGCAGAGTCGGGTCTAGAATATATCAAAGGTCTATGAAGATGCTGCCCCGACAAGCTCTGGTCATTTAATGTACTGATTCTGTTCCAAGCGACTCTCCCTCTCACTTATCTTGTCGATACGTTCCCAATCCTTCAGAAGTTGCCGCTGTGTCTCAAACCATGGGAGCGAAAGGGCCGTGCCTTATTTCACGATAACCTTAGATGGTCACTGAATAAGAAAGATGTTAGTCTTCCTATTCTTCTCATCATGTTTGATTTTGCAGCTGACGGTTCCTTCATAGCAACTTATGACTGATGGTGCCTCGATACTGAATGCTCGGGAGACAATGCTGCATCGTATTCTGTCCGACGAAAAGCTTCTCGGCTTTGAGAGCCAGGAAGAGGCGGCATATCTCAATCTCATGTTGATCCAGGCAGCTGCTGACACGGTTCGTGTCCCGCGTTTCCATACAATTCACCTTGAGCTAATTGTTTCTCAGAGCAAAATGTCCAACATGTCGTTTCTGGAGGCCATGATAACATATACAGATGTCCAGAGAAAGGCTCAAGAGGAAATCGGTAGGTACAATCAAATAAAACGTGAAAAACGCCACACAACTAATATGGGTGGTGACTCACAGATCGGGTTGTTGGTGACAGGATGCCGGTATGGAGCGATCTCGAGAGTCTTCCATACGTGCGCTGCATGATGAAAGAACTCTGGCGCTGGCGGCCACCGGTCGCGCTCGGCCATCCTCATGTCACCACAAAGGACCTTGAGTTCAAAGGCATGCTGGTACCCAAGGGCTCTCGCCTTCATGTCAACTCGTGGTAAGCGGTTTTCGTTATTGTCTTGTTCTCCAGGGGTGCTGACATGACAAGGGCGATCCAACACGATCCCGCCCGCCACGAAAACCCCAACGTCTTCAGGCCCGAGCGCTACGCCAACGACCAAACGACCGTATGTGCATTGAACTGATAATTATGCTACGAGCAAGGCACTGACCCGCAGTCGTAGTCTCAGCAGAGCATCAACGCCTCTAATGTTGCCGACCGCGATCACTTTGCGTTCGGCGCGGGCCGACGCATCTGCCCCGGATACCACGTGGCTGAGCGCAGTCTTGCGGTGTCGATGATGCGCATTCTCTGGTCATTTGATGTCACTATGGCCCCGAGAGCGAAGCTTCCCCTGAACCCACGGGATTTTCCCGGGAGCATGCCTGGAAACCCCGGCCCGACCTTACCAGCTTGTTTGGTGGTGAGAAGTCTGGAGAAGAAGAAACTTATTCAGAGATTCTGGGATGAGGAACGAGCAAGATACGAGTCGGCCAAACTGGCCAAGTGATGGACAGTATCCACCAGGGGATGTGCAAAGATGCAAATCAGGAGATGATGGCTTAAACTACTCGCAGGTTGAGACCGTGGAACTGCATTATTCATGGTGTATTTATTTCGTCGTCATACAACTGACATCATGCCTTATATCTATCGTTATGGGCGGGTAGTGATTAATACACACCGTGAAGTTTGCGCTTAAACAGCTCTTGATGGTGATGGAACTCGAGGTTGCCATGCAAATGATATAGTTCTTTGCCTTGTAGCTCTTGCATATTCGTCACCAGGATTGTTGTTACCAGCACCATCCCACTCCTTTCCTAATGTCGTGCTGGCACTCAAAGTTCCACCGCGTCGAGGTGGAAGTGGGCCCTGTGACTCGATACTCATCGTCCTCTTCCGCGTGTTAGGACCTAGGATGGTGGTATTCGACGTACTGCCTGCTCCGCTTCGGCTGAATAGACTGAAGAAATCCTGTAGGAAAGAAGTTTCGAGGTCTCGAGGCTTCCCGTCGGTAGTCCAGTATCGTTCGTTGCTGAGTTCCATACTTAAGTGCCGCCGAAAAAATCGATCCTGGTTGACCCACCAGGCCCTCCATAGCACCACGATGAAAATGGTAAGAGGCAATGTGAAGGCCCAATATACCCAGAAGAGTGGCATGATAACCGGGTGAGGAAGGTCGGGGTTGGCATCTTGACTCGTTCCATCGTCTGATGCTGTTCCCCATTCCCAGTCAAACATAGAGATGCCGAAAAGACTGCTTATGAACTCGCCAGGTAAGAAGATGGCGGTGATGACCGCGAGTGCTTTCATTGAAGAACTATCTCGTGTCGATGCTACTGCCATACGGGCATTTAGGTTATTGTCCTCCTGCGCCATCTTTGAGTAGATCTGTTGAAGGATATTAGATCCGAGTTTCTCTGAGATCCTTTGAGATTTATATGACTTACAATGTCAATCTGGGCGCGGCAACGTAGTTCCGACATGCGTCTGTCGGTCTCAAGAGAGGTACATAAACGCCAGGTGCAGTCAAGATATTGCCGAATCTCGTGCCAATGATATGATAACTCATTCTCTTCATCATTTGCAACCGCAGAACCGCCTTTTTCAGCCGATTTCTGATTCAATTCTGTTAGTCGGGCATCCAATTCGTCGCCAGCTTGAATCAGAAGTTTCACGGCACGTTCCATCCATCTCAAAGTGTCAAGCAACTGAATGGCACCTTTCAGTACATCGTGGGCTTCTTTCATAAGATGAATAGTTTGAGGTGGAACGTAATCGTCCTCCAACGGCTGGGGATACTCAGGTTTGAAGTGATCGTCGTTGCGGCGCCCCATTTTGTCTCCAACAAGGTCTCTGATGGTGTTTAACCTTCTCAGAGGGCTGAACGGCGGGCTGTCACTCTTGCTTGAGTGAAGTCTCCGTAACTCTGCAGCAGCGCTTCGGTGACTTCCCGTCAAATCATCTACGCGACCTTCAAGTTCGAGGACTTCGCCATTATTAGCAACAACAGCCTCTTCGCAACGCAATAGTTGAACTTGAAGCAAGACTGTCGGAAGCACGAGCGGATGTGCCCATCTATCTCGGCTAGCGTCTAATCGACGCTCATACTCATCTAGGGCATCTTCATCATGCCATCGGGTATCGAACGACCGTCGAATCAGTGACGTGGTAACCCGTGTGCGCAGATTGTATGACATAGAGAGGAAATCATACGGCGGTGGGGGGTGGTTGGAAAAGCTAAGAATGAGGTCTTCAGAGACCGGCAAGTTAGTACCAAGCCTACTAAATCATTCATACGGAGTAGAGTGGCTCACGTAACGTATCCTTGCGGGCATTCCAAAACATGGATTCGACAGTGATGCGCTGCGTTGATGGCAGCGTCCCAGAATGTAATCCCAGAGATTCATAATCATCGACTGTAAGAAAGAGACCATCAGGATGGATACCTGGTTCGGAAGCTCCAGAACGTACGCGGCGCTCGGCAATTACTTGTCTGACTCTGCCTTGTAGGCGTGGTTTGCCTTTGGGCGCTGCTGTAAAATTGCCCTAGGAGAATAAGTTTAGTCTTGCATTACTATCTGTAAAATGGAGAATTTCTCTAAATATTCCTCGATTCGAGGTTTGTAGCGAAAGCTCTGCGAGCAAGGAAACCATGTGATGCTAACTCACTTCGTCGTCCAAACCATGTCCGCTTTGGACGGCATTACGGAACATAAGCAATGCTTCGTCGCCAGAAGCCATGATAGATGGCGAATGGGGCTCCCCCACACCATCAGGGGGCGTAAAAACGGCATACTCATGGTACGAGACCCGACTATCGCCCTCTGTAAAGAGGACTTCCTTGACTAGTTCTCGGAGATCAAAGTGGAACAAGTTGAGTTCATGAAGCCGTGGTTGCCGCCGTTTAACATGCCCCGAAGAACCTAAGTCGGCGCCCGGAGGCACAAGACTGCCTCTACGGGTACTCGGCACCTTTGGCGTCGAATTACCACGGCGCAAAGCTGGCAGATTGGGAGGAGCCCGGTTACCCGGTCCGATGGGGCTCGTGGCCGCTGCTGACAGTGAGGCGTCGAGATCATCCAGGTTGTATTCCATATTGACACACAGTAACACGCGCAACTTTTCCTACAATCAAGACCGCAAGAAGGAAAGAGTGACACCAAAATCAATAGTCGGCAGAGCCATCGCGAAGAGGCTGGTCAGCAGGTGATGGGAATTAGCTGGACGGAGCAGCAGCCGCAAGGATTCGAGGCCAAGACCCTACGCCGCTGCGTCGTGACTCCACAACTGGGGCTGTCTTCAGCGGTAGCAACCAGTGCAATTGCTTGCTCACATGGGGCCTGCGGATACACTACGTCGTTAAAGGAGTTGATTATCGGTGTAGCTACACCGATCCTTCGAATTGCTATGACTAAATATCTCATCTTGACGTCTGCAGGATGCCAGCTCAGCAGTCAAACTCATCAATCGAATTACTCGGTGAGTGCAATTGATAGATCTTGTTATAGATAAATACCACTAGACTAATCGCTTCCAGAAGGTCATGCTATCGCCACAAGTTTCCAAGGTTAGGCCTTTCCAAATGGATTTCCAAATTGTTCTCAAAGTGATGGATAATTGGATGATTATGTGAGGCAATGTGCACAACCAAATCAATTATATGGCCAGCAATACTAGACTGCGGCTGCTGCCCAGAACAATCAGAAGGCAAGCCAATATAGTAACTAACACTTGCATGACAATGCAACACCTGTGAGGCCCGCTTTTCTATATCTAATTTTGCTTCCTTTTTGGTCTTACGGATCCGTATATTCTAGATCGTCTGTTTGCGAATCAGGTTATGCTTAGTGCGACTGGTCTTGGCTCCACTATGAGCGACTTTAAGCCATCAAATGCAGCACCTTGCTCGACTATGTGTATTTATCGATGTTCATGGTATTTTATTGGACTGTTTCGGCCAACACCAAATATGACGCCGTTGTTCATCTTGCTAGGTCTGCCATAGTCTCAATCATCACAGTCATTGGTTCCCGGCCAGCCCTCAACTTGAGAAGTGTTCTCCATATATGGAGCAATTGTAGTTGATATCACTCTATGCCGCTAGGTATGGGCGTACATCGTGAAATGTTTGTCCTGAGACGACTCAAGAACACATTTGAACCAATGTGTGCACAACCACCTTTGTTTGCATGAACAAAGCTTCGGGACTTAGCTAAATGCAAGCGTCTGACTATTCAGACCAGTCAACCTAGTTTTGTCTTTTATGGCAATGCAGGCGATAATGTGCACACCGTCAAAGCATTTTCTTGATTGGGTCCGGAAAGGCTTCAAGTACAGATATTCTCATGCAAGAATATGTCAAGACGCCCATAGATCGCCATGGCTAACTGAGCGGAGCAGCTTCGACACAAATTAGAGAACTATTTTAGCCAGGATCCAAGATTCAACATTGAGACTCATATCGGTTCTGGTAACCACACTACTACATATCGCGTAAGATTTCAGCAGGGAGATATTTTACGATGAACTTTTGATGGGTCTGACGATCTTAGGCAGCTTCTCATGGAAAGAGACTTATCGATGGTTAGCATCCCCGTCGTGATCACTGTCAGTGTAAACTAAACTCGCTCATGGAGACTTCGGCAGAATGCACACATTGTCAATCTTGTAGACTTTCCCATCGATCTTTCTCAGAGGAATATGGCTCCAGATACCGTTGCCAGTAATGGCATTAGGGCTGACGCTGTGAAAGGATCTGCAGGTCATCGTGGTATTAATGGCAGTGTTAATTGTGCTGGCAGCGGTTTTACTGCCGGAGGCGATAACAGCGGACAATGGGACAAGGTTAGTGGTTCTATCAAAGCATTCTCGGAGTGCAATGAAGCTTGCACCTTGCTGTTTTCTTTTCTCAAACCCATGTGATCGGACTATACGTGCCATCAACAGGGTAGAGCTAACGTGAGAACTCGTTTCTTAGATTATGTGCATGAAATGGCTTGAAAATGGGATGCTCAATAATTTCGTTATGAAGGCAAGAAAATTGTACGAGAAATTGCCTAACAGGTTGTTGCGGGGGTTTTCCCTGTGCTGTGATTTAATCAAAATGATGGTATGATTCATGGAACTGATGTATCTCCAGTACTTCGAGCAGCCACTGGCTTGGCTTATTCACGTCGTGCCCCATTGGGTTCTACAAGCACTGAAGACATTCACTATCGAGAGGATACCTCAGGTTCGCAAGCAGTATTTCCCAGCGCCTGCAGCATAACCATTCGCACGATTGAAACAGTACGTATAAATCCTTTTTATAGAAAACCCATTGGCTGAGCTCAGGCAAATAGTTGTAATTATTTGGCGATGAACTTCTGGATACAGAGCACACAACTACACCAATTTTGAAATGGATAAACTTCGGTTTAGCAGTAGAAATGGGTAAGGATGTGTTTAAAAGCAGTTCATGGAGTGTTTATCAACTTGCTGATTCATGGCGCCCACCAGTACTTCTCAAACTTGAGTAAGGAATAATCTATACAATATAGGATTGGTAAGTACCCCGGCAGCGCTAATCAGAAAAGTGGCACGGCCGGACTTGCGCCTAGATCATGTGCGGATTGATTCTGAAAAGACAATGAGATGGACAAGTCTTAAGCGACCCACAGTCGGTGGTAGTAAGAATGGGCTCACCTCGAATAAACACTGACGCGCCCATATGGCCCCCTGTTGGTGGTGGTCCGGACCTAGTACCAGAAACTTTTGACCATTGTATCCGAATGTTCGTAAGTTGTTTGCTAATGGCAGCGGGTGTCGATGAAAGGCCAAGATTAGACCAGATTATGCGACAAGCTGTAGTAGTTACCCAGGCTCGACTTGCGGATTAATATCACAATAGAGAAAAAGAGCAGAATGACGTCAAGGCTCTGTGGAGAAGAATCGTACACGAACTAGACGTAGCTCCTACTCCAGTTGTGATTATGATTAATAGTTGAGGATATGTTTAGACAGTTAAACATTATATTGACACCGTATATATCAAGCGAGGTTGTTTATACACTAATTAGTGTGCTAGTATTGGGAAACGGCGAAACGAAGTCGTAGGTAGAAAGTATGCTCAATCACAATTATCTGGCATTAGACGATATGATATGTCACAGTCTAAAAAGGCTTTTACGTGCGTAGAATCGATTGTATTCAACTTCCGAGAGTGGTTAGAGCCAACCAAATGCTCGGATCTTAATGACTTTTGAATAATCACTTACCCGATAACATGTGCAATTACCTAGAATGAAATAAATCCGGCTACTTAGCTCCCTCTTTGAATGAGTCAGGATCCGGTTCCAATGTCGCTATTGAGCTCACTGAGCGCTCGGAGTTCGACTTCTCATCTCTGTTTACAGATAGTTGACTGTGACTCTCCCGTTCAATAAGAACATCGGCGGTATCACTACCGTCTACCATCTTGCGGTGGGCGGTCTCCTTGTCAGGCTCGGTAATGGTTAGAGAGTGCTTTGAATCATCGTCTGAATCGCTGTCTGTGTTGTCCGAAGTGGTAAAGGCATCATCCAGACGAGTTTCGGCAATATTAGAGACATGACTCGACGGACTAGGAGGTCTACTTAGGTTGTACTGCTGAGATATACCAATAACGACATCATTGGAGTCAACAGAAGCAAAGGACTCATTATCTGTTTTTGATGAAGGTCCGCGACCACCTGACATAAATGACTTGTGGTCGTGGCCCAGTTTTGTTGTGTAGTAATCGTCATTGTTACCGGAAATGTCATACACGTGGTCAGTTTCGACGGACATACCTCTCGGATAATGAGACCGAGTACCAGCCATGAAACCAGATTTCTTCATCTCTCTAAGATTTTCTGCAAGCTTCTGCGCTTCTGCCCACTTATTTGCGGCATTGTCTGGAGTGATTGGTTGCCTAGGCCGCCGAGATCTACCCCTACTGGAGTCTCGCGACGTGTACGGGAGCACCTCTTGTGGATAGATACCGGTTTCAGCAGGACCATCCAATGACATGTCGTTGTTAGGTACAGGCGGTGATTCAATTACCAAGTCGTGTGGTAAACAATGTACCAAAGGTCCGCGGTAAACAGGTTCCGTCTTCGGATGATCCGGACGAGGGTAGAAGAAGAATAATGGGTAGCAGAGCGCCTGGCAATAGTCCATATTGTATTACAAGCACTAGGTTGACTAGAGCCTAGAATATACTGTAGTTATTAATGGCTGCTAATTGTGTGCTTACACAGTAAGTTACTTTTTATGTAGGGTTATAATCATTTATTTCTTCACTCAGAAGTGAAAACCCACGCTTTTAAGCGTTTTATATACCTACGCAGTTTCTTCTTCATTGAATCATTGTTCGTCAAAGACCATGCCTTCTTCTCCGGTCCTTTTCTTTATTTCATGAGACCATTATGCAACAGATCTTTGTCAGCATCGACAAACAAGTCTTGAAGCAACAAAGGGCTTCGCATCCATCAATACATCTTTGCTGGATTGTAGCTCCCCATGGACGCTGTTGGCGGTTAGACCTCAATAACAACAGACTCTCATGCATTAGATTATGTGACTTCTAGGACACAGGATGTCACCGTATGAGCAATTCACCAGATTCACAACACGGCGTTTCACCAGGCCTAGTATAGGAGAACGAGTCAAGAAAGAGGCAAGTCAACTGTTCAACCACGGCCCAATAGCCGTTTTCCCACACAGGCTCCACACTACCTGGTTATGAGAAACCTTGAGACCTGTTATTTGGTATCTATCGATCGAATGTCGGCGTAAGGGGCTTATTGAAACTTTCAAGGGTTTCGCGTCCGTATCGTGAAGGCTGACTCGACATTTTCAACGTTGAGTTCAAAGTTGTCATTTTAAGGTTCAGAACATTGAATCAGGGGGCTAGGAGGTGGCGCCCGGGTCTTCTGTTCCTGAGCTGTCAAAAACGTGTGGCGTGCATCCCGCAAGACTGGCGCACGTCAGTGGAAGTTTATCGCTGATCACAAGATGTCTCCTGAAAGATGTTCCAGAAATCTGACTCTGTCATTTCCTTAACCCGCGCTCGCATTCTTAGCCATTTACTGGTGCGTACCCAAGTCGCCCCTAGATCTCTCGTAGGAAGTGCCGCTTAGTTTGATAGTAAGTAATCAAAGGGAACCCTGCTTAGCACTCGAACTTAAACACTCTCCAGAAAATCAGTGATGGCCACATGGTAAACACATTTCGATGTCCTTGCTTGTTTTTATGGTCTAGACCTCGATACATTATAAAGTCGCCCATATTTTTCATCCACCAAGCGGCGGTCGTAAAAGACGCAGGCCAAGCTGAACAATGTTGGTCTTACCTCATTCGAGATGACTAATTCCCCATTTGGACTTCTTCCTCTATGTCCAGCAACCTGGTTGGTCAAACTGTTTTTCTGCAGAGAGCTTGGGAGATTAGTGTGGCGCTTTCTAGTCTAGAAGGGCCGGCGTGCAGGCACACGTCGCTATAAAAGAACGCTATAATGAAACTATAGACCGCACTATACCGGATTCTCTTCTACGCTGCGGCTGAAGCTTAGATCTTTTATGCTCGATTCAGAAACAGGGGCCGCCATAAACAATTCGTTGTTTGAAGTCGAGACGTGTCTCCCCTGGTCAGACTCCCTTCCAGATAGGTTTGGTGCCGAGCCTCGATCTGAGATATGCGATCTGGACCCTTCTGGCATCAAACTTCAGCTTGTCTTATGGGTTCGCACGAACGTGCAGTGTGCCGCTGCCCCCATGTGAGATGCGATGGCGCCAGAGTGTATATAGAGTGCGAAGATTGTCCCATCTGACTCCATGATCATTGCTCTCGCTGTCTCGAAGGAATACATTGGTGCTGTGCTACCCAGCTGTCACTCTTTCGTCGTATCGAAGCAGAAGTATACTATTAGTCCGTGTTCACTTGTTTATACTCGACCCCACAGTTCTTTTGTACCAAAGGGAGATAGTCATGGGTCTTCTGCAACGCCTCGTGGGCCTCACAGCCCTACTAGCCACCGCACAGGCTGTAGTACCCGCGATTTCCGGGTTCACGCTGACATGGAGCGACGACTTCACAGGCGCCACCTATGCGCCCCCGAGCTCGTCCAACTGGATCACGGATACGGGCACCTCATACGCTGGCGGGCCGGCGAGCTGGGGTACAGGCGAAGTCCAGACATACACGAACAACTACAAGAACCTACGACAAACCGGCAGGGGCGCACTTGAGATCATTGCGCTCAAGAGCGGTTCCGCGTGGACGAGTGGCCGTATCGAGACGGTGCGGAAGGATTTCATGGCCAAGGCCGGCGGCGCCATGCGTATCCAAGCTAGGGCAGCTCTGCCGAGTGTCAAGCAGCCCGCGGGTTACTGGCCCGCGTTCTGGACGCTCGGCGCCGCCTATAGAGGCAACTATACGAACTGGCCGTTCATCGGCGAGTTCGACATCATGGAGAGCGTCAACGGTCTCAGCAAGGCATTGTAAGTTGTTGCTCGCAAGGCATTTTGCCAAACAAAAGGGGACCTCGGCTGACTTATTCTGTGTTACAGTGGTGGTATGCACTGTGGTACCAACCCGGGCGGCGAGTGCAACGAGCCCAGCGGCCTCGGCAGCAACCTTGCCTGCAGCGGCACCGCCTGTCAGGGCAACTTCCACATCTACACGCTCGAGGTCGACCGTACCGGCTCTGTCGAGGCGATCCGATGGTTCCTCGACGGCACGCTGTACAATCAGGTGACCTCATCGCAGCTCTCGGCAGCCACCTGGGCCCAGGTCGCGCACCAGCCGCATTTCGTCCTGCTGAACCTGGCCATGGGCGGCGGGTTCCCCAACGGCGTCTACGGGTCATCCACGCCGCTATCGACGACGACGTCCGGCGGTGTGTACACCGTCGACTATGTGGCCGTCTATAACAAATAGCCCTGGTGGTGATGTCGAGGCGGATTCCACGTGCAGTAGAAACACAAAGATACCCCAATTCATATAGATGAGCATAGATGAGAAATGAACAATCCCTGCAGGCCATTACGCGGACCATTTGAAACTCGCATGCATGTAGTCGACTATCGAAGCCTCCCTGGTGTAGTTGCCTTCAGCTGAGCTGCATGTAAGCTCATATCATTTCAAGGCAGAACGAACGACAGATGAAGAAATCGGGCAATTTCAACAAAAATAGATACACACCATATGCAGGGCGCCCAAGGTAAGCAATTAGCGTCCCGAGGATCTATGACCACAGATTCGCTAATTTTTGCCAGCACAGTATTACCACGCACCAACACTGTCGCACATGTCTGTCATAAGATTGAGGCAAAATAGATGCATGTATCAGCCGGGCTCAAACCTGTAACTGAGTCCTAAGTCGAGGCTCGTTCGAGTAGATGCTCTGGGGATACTCGAAACCAAATGCCGGGAATCGAACGGGCCAGCTCAACTACCGTGCCGCCCATCGTGTGTAGATCATACATCATCTTCCCAGTATGCATTGCCCCGCATCGGGGAATGGGTGGGCTTCCTAGTGCAGATCGTCGGGCCAGTCTAGTGATCCGGGGAGATGGGTAGAGAAGCGGGAGACAAGACTTTGACAAATAAAAGATACTACGAAGTCTTCGGCATTATCTTTCCGCCCCGATGATGATTCGCGGATGATACCCAAAACGTAGACAGGAAATGTTGCAATTGGTGGAAGACGGCATGAGGCCATGATTGCGAACTTGCATCCACTGGTGGACTATCAGTGGACAACCGGTCCGCGTCTGCAAATGTTATGAACAGATATGCTGATGACGTTTGGAATGGATCATATTTGTTTGACTTCATTTATGGAAGTTTGTTGGATTTAAAAGCAATCATGCATGGCCAGTTCATGTTGGATGTCATGGCAATAGAAAGATATGAGTGTCATTTTTCAACATCTGATTCGTTTGCCTTTATGAATCTAATTAGATTTGGGGTATATGATAAAACGAGTGACTGTCTAAATTCATAGACGAAGGGGTTCACAGATCCTGCTCAAAACTACACACAAGAATAGCCTTCCAACTCTGATAAGTCATAGTTGTAAAAAGTCGCCTGTTGAGGCAGGCCAAATTCCAGCTCAAGTACCACCAAATCCAGCGATACAGCTTCCAAAACGCCCTTTTTGATGCGTGCCTATTTCAACCCATGCCTGTGAATGCAAGTCCCCCAATAAAACCATCCAGCTGCTACCCGTAGTATTTGACATTAAAGTGATCTCGCTCATTTCAGTCGTGCCGTTCAAAAGTTGTGCACATCCGGAATGTAGCCAATTATGTACAAGAAATATCGTAAGGGACGAGTCTCCAGAAATCGAGGCATGTCGTTTTGGTGACCCGAACTCTTTTGTCGTCTAGATCCATATCGGCTGTGACTCGGCTGGTTCCGGCGCGAAGAACTTAGTGAACACACTTGACACCTCATTGAGGTAGTCTTCCGCTTGAAAGATGCAGAGACCCTTTCGAAGAAGATCTTGCTCTTCTTGGTTGGCGGCATGCATCTTGTCCTTTACACCAAACTCCTCGGCGATTTCGGAAACCTGCGCGAGTTCTTGACCAAACGGATGAGTAAATGCCGGCTCGGGCTTTCTCTGAGATAATTGCCTGCTTGGCAAAGGTGCAGTTACTGTTGACTCTGCAGGGATCACTGGAAGCTCGGGAACCTCTGGGATTGTTGCCTTGCTGCGGCCAAAGGACATCGATGAGACAGATGTGGCCGCTGTCGAAGTTGAAGAAGACCTCGATAGAGAAAAGCTGGCCTTGCTGGAGAGGGAGGTTTGAGACTGGTTAGATTGGCGTAGTGATTGTTGCCGGGCTAGGTTGTCGAAGGATGCCTTCTTGGTGTGCGAGAGAGCCCGCGTAGGAATCTTGGGTGGTTCGTTCATTGCTACGACTGGCAACTTCTGGCCAGGGGCGGTGAAGTAACAAGACAGATGGTTTGGTTCAGGAGAGACAGATCTGTCATCCACGGAATCAACATCTGGACTGGTGGGTGGCGACGACGCGCTGGTTTGGTTGCCATCAGACTCATCGTCTGATGCTTTGGATGAAATCGTTGACGGTGACTTCTTGGGGTATAAATCTGGCGCGTTATATGCTAGCATATTTGTGGTATGCGTCAACTCGGTAGGGGCAGAAATCTTGTTGCGAATAGATCCAGTATATCCATGGCGTTTGGTGCTGGTATTGCTACGCTGAAGGCCATTTGTATCGTTCAAGTCTAGAGCCGGCTTGGCCCGACGAGTGGTAAAAGCGCGAGCGAGAGACATCTCGACTATAGGCAAGATGAAGAAAGCTCAGCAGCGAAGATCCTAGCGGGGTATGGAAATGATATAATAAGCGGACCGGGGTAATGTTGGGATGACCCAATTCTGGCAAAGACTGCGCTTGAAACAAGTTCAGAAGCAAGCCTGACAGAAGTCTGGATTGCAAGCCACGAGTCGCAGAAGGATGGTCCACACCCAGTGGTATGTGCCAATAACCGAGCAGGATGACAGCCCAATTTGTTCCTTTGGGTCAGAGATGTCAGAGTCGCGGACAATTGATCCACACTTGTATTGCTCAGGATCGCTCACAGTGCTTTGCCGCTGTACTGCAAAGACTGCGCCCGTGTAAGTGCGTAGCACACAATGTCACCTGGATGCGGAAGGAGGATTGGTCAAATTTGGCTTTGCCAAGGCAGGCCCCTCAGGTATCAGAAGCTGTGGTACAGAAACTGGGCGGGGAGGGAGTCTTGTGTTTGTCCTAGAATGGATCGAAAGATCGCGAGGCACTCTTTTACACAAGAAGAAGTCTGTTCTTGTGTGTGAATAGCTGTGCAGAGAATTTGAGTTTGATGCAGCTGGACCTAAACTGGTTGTGGGAATAATAGTAATTGGTGAAATTCCAGGAAAGTCAAATAGGCGGTCCCGGTAAACGGCTTTTTTGGGGTATTCCAACGTCCAGGCGGATAAAGGCGTTCAGTAACTGTTTGCGCAGATGCTGAAACGAAGAAAGGAAGTGCAAGCGTGCAGGTTGACTTTCCAGGTCAAATAAGAGAATCGTGGTTCAGATGACGACAATTCTGGTCCTGCAATAGTTTTTGTGATACCGTTCCTCTCAAAGGCTGGTGAATCACAAAAGGTTATTGTGTGAATGATCGTGGCTTTCCAAACCGTCTTATCAGTCGTCTGTCAAAGAAGCGTCGCTGTGATGGTGGGGTATTGATTGCAGGTGACCAAGTACTCCCTATGTCCAAACGTGCAGCTGATCGGGTCTCCTGAGGGCATTCGGTGGGTGCTGTGTGCCAGACAAGACAGAAACAGTGAAACAACCGGGTTTCTTCAAGGACTGTGCCGGGGGAAAAAAATATGATTTTGGTAAAAAAGGAAGGACTGCTCCAGAAACCCAAATCAACGATGAGCTATCGTGATGCTGAGAATTCGTAGAGACTAAAGAAGAAGAGTAATATCCCGACCGATGGGTTGAGTTGACAAAAATCGAGAGTCGCCTACGCGTACAGACGGGGGCACAACGATAATAAAGGACCCCGACCAGACTTCTGGGGATGAAAATGGGCGCACCACAGTTGACTGCAGGGAAGGCAGAATGAGCAGCCACGGACTAGGATATTGGCAACTGACAGGGGATGCGCTTGAGAAAAAGGTCACTGGTACCTGATCCTGGCATCACTGCTCCATAGGAAAGCCGACGCATTCTGTGTTCAGCACCATGTATGTGCTACCGAGCTGCCCCATGTTGAATGCTTGACTCAATATCCAGGGCCGCCGGGCGGAGAAAAAAAACAACCTGCGATGCTAGCAAAAGCCGAGTTGATGCACCCGCTTCGAGCCAGATATCCACTAAATTAGCAGCAGGGGCATCGCACTGACAAGGAACTGATCCATGTTCGTCTTGTGTAGATGCAGGCGCCTTTAGCAGTTCAGGCTAGGGCGGGTGACCGTGATGGAAACCAGGGAAGTCCAGAACAGCAAACTCTCAGCCAAAAGAGGGAACGATCGGACCATCCTGATCAGGAAGACCAACTTGCGCTGCACCTGTACGCAAGCGGCGTGAGCTACGCTGGACCGAATCAGAGTCAATGTGCTGGAGGCCCGATTCATCCGCCCAATCAACTTGTAGAGATTTCCCTACCCGATAGCAAGGGTTTTCCAGTTCTAGGACCACGTTGTCAGCCACTGATGCAGGTACAGCGAAAAGAGGATTTCACAAAATTTCCTCTTCTGCCGCCAGTTCTGGATCAGATCGCAAACTGTCAAGCATCCATCCTTCCAATTAATTACACTTGCGCAAGGAGTCGTTATGACATGGTCGCACTCGACCCTGCATGCTCCTAAATTCACCCTATGGTATGTGGTCATGAACATCGTCTCGCCATGCCTCTTCAAAATGGTAGACAGGCAGGCAGTTCACACAATCTTTGCACAGCATGGAAGGTGCTTGCATACACCTGAGGCTTGATGAAAGGACGAACATTTGGACGAACGTCTCCCTTCCGAACCCAGTGCCGGAGCGGCGCTAATTCCCGATCGACGCGCCGCGTGCTAATTGAGTCCACCAATCCACCCACAATCACTTGGCGGCTTTGCGGGTTCCAGGGCAGCGATGAAAAACCACTTTCCAAAAAGGCGCATGTGTTGGTTCCTCTAGCTCTCGATAGAACACTACCGACTTGCATGGTAGCTCTCTTTTGCATTCTTGGGCGAATCGTTCCCATTCTTGCACCCCCTCTACAGCGTCCAAGTTTGTTCAGTTGAAACGGGGGCAAACGCGGCGTGGCTTTGCATGCCGACGTCAATGGTCCGTCTGATTGGACGTGTGTTCCAGACCTCCCTGCGGCCTCTGCATCCTTGCGAGCCCTGGTATTCGCCCAACGTTTCAGGAACCCAGGCAAAAAAAAGCAGAGACCCTCCACCGCCATTGGTGCCGCATGGTGGCCTATTCTCGATTGATTCGTGCTCGTTGATCGTCCGGCAAGACGAACCGTAGTTAAGCACTACAATCTCCAGGCATGTAGTCCTTTTATCGCGCGGGAAGAGAAAGAGAAGCCTTATAGTGGGTAGTATAGCTCAGCATCTCATCGAACAATACACGGTATCCAATAAGTACCTTTTGGACTTTCTACGACTACCGGGGTTCACGTACCGCCTCCGGGAAAGAGTGCCTTGATAACTTCATTAAACATGCCTTGCCATTTGTCTCTGTCTAAATGAAGCTAGGCCCGTCCCCCGCAAAACCACGTTTCGCCTAGATCTCCCCTTCATTAATCATGCGAGGGATGGTTTTCTATTTCTGAAGCCCCATCGCATGAAGATTGCGTCAAGCAAAAACATTAGTGAATCACCTGTTTTTCTCAACCTGGCTCGACGGGTTGTAGATCGTTTTCACGTATAATCAATGTACATGCGTTCGTTTATGCTTTTATGCTTTTATTTGGTCCGAACTGTTCATTTCGAATATGGTTTTCGCAAATTGATTGGGCGAAAGCCCTGGCGTCACATCATGCCGGTACGCACGCGCGCGCACGCAGGCCGTTGCTGACCTCAGATGAGACTCCTCATCGCACAAGGTTAACTACGGCGTCTTGACTTTCAGTGCGCGAGGTTCATCAAAACGAAGGCTTTCAGCAACCATCTCCACACCTTTTTGTCTTTGAGTTCTAGGCACAACGGTCTGACATATGCTCATCAGCGTGTCATGACACGCTCTTTGCTCGTAATTGAAGCCTCATCTGGGTATGGATGATGACGGTTTACCCATGCTTTTGCACAATTACCGGGCCTTGTGTGTCAAGTTGAGACTAGTTTTATTGGCGCATAGATCTCTGGTATATTATCAAGCTCAAGATTGCGGCTCAAGAATCTAGTCTTCATCCATGGAATCTCCGTCGCTATTGTTCTCATCATCCTCGCCCTCATCAGAATCCGAGTCGGTATCATCGTCTGCGACGCCCACTAACCTATCCTCTACGGCACCGTTCATGTCTCCAGAGATCTTGTGGGCAAAGGCTTGGCGCACGGCAGCATTGGTGCTAGTATCCCAGACATGCATAGTGCCTTTGCTTCCGGCTACTGCAAGACGGAAAGCCACCTCGGCATCGGGTGCGAATGTTGTGGAAAATACTTTGCCAACATCAAGGTTGCGTGTGACAACAACAGCAGGTCCAGTGGACTGGATATTCCAGAGCTTGACTGTCTTGTCTGTTGATCCCGTGACCATGTATCCTGGGATGTGGCTGTTGACATCGAAGGATGAAAGGGACTCGTCGTGGGCTTGCAGGGTCCATAATGGCTTGCTCGCCGCGGGATTTGAGGGAACGTTGCGGATATCATGATAGTGGATGATACCGTTCTCGGTCGAGACGTAGAAGAAGTTGGGGTCATGAGGATCCCACCTCACGTTCTCGACGTCACTCTCCACTCCCCACCTCGGCATCTTGGCCTCAGGGGCGCGCATATCCGCTGCCACGACAGTGCGGTCGTAACTTCCACTCAGTAAGACTGTAGACTCGACCGAGTGCCATGCTAACGAGCAGACCTTGTCGGTGTGATAACTGTATGACTTGGCACACTTTGCCGTGTTCAGATCCCACAGCTTGACCGTCTTGTCAGCCGAGGCTGAGGCAAGCAGGTTCCTGTGTTTTCTGTTGGCGGCCAGAGATAGAACGGCGTCGACGTGGAACTCATCGTTGGCCTTCTTGGACTTCTTCTTCTTCTTTTTGGGCTTCTCTCCATTGTTGTTTCCGCCTTGGCCGAGGATGGCATTGGGGTACATGCAGTCCACCGTGTCGAGGTCCCAGATCTCAATATCAGGGTCCATAGTGCCTATCGCCACGAAGTTTGCCGTGGAATCGGGGGCAACGGTGGGCTTTGCAACAGGAATGTCCAGCCACTCGACGCAGAGGGGAATTGCGGGCAGCATGATGTCGTGGTGGACATACATGTTGTCTGCCTCGTCTTCGTAGACATATACTTCGAGATGCGCGAGCTCGTCCTCGACCTTGGCGGCCAAGAGAAGGTTGTCCGTGGCGAGGATCTGCAACTCCTCGCGGTCGTCGTCGTCGTCGTCGTCCTGCCCCTCGGGTATCGTGATGTACGGGTCGTCTTTGTTGTTTTCGTAGTAGGCGAGGGACTTGACGTTTCCAAACATGTCCATCTTTTGACCTTGGGGTTGGTCCTCATCGTCATCGTCGTAGTGCTCCAAGTCGTACTCCTTCAGGTCGTCGTCGTCAATATCAACGCTGCGCCATTGTATCAGTGCATGACAAACAAGACAAATTTGTAGTCAGGACGGGGAACTAACTCATCTGCTGTCTCTCTCTCCTCGGTTGTGGCTGCGCCGGTGCTATTTCCTGTTCCTGATCCTGCTGCGAGCCTTGCGCCGCCCTCCTGCTCCTCTTGGGCCTCCTCCAAGTCCTCGTTGGCGTCGTCCAACTGCAGCTTGGCGAGCTCTGCGATGCGCTCAAACTCGGCCTCGTCGAATGCCTGCTTGGTGGGGAAGGGTGCCGCAAAGCCGCGCGGCACCCAGGTCGTTGTCGTGATCATGGTCGACATTGTATGACCTCTTTGCGCTGTGAAAACCAACAGGGCAGATGATGTAGTAAATAGTGAATCAAGTCGGTCACCGACAAAAGTGCCCCGCGGAAGCACCAAAATTTTTGGGCAGTTCGAGAAATAATTTTAGCGGGGCTCCGGGGGGAGCTTATCTTATCAGCAACCTCAGCTACAGCTACTGTACACACATACTGTACAGTACAGGTAGCAGGCTGGGCATGCTGTATTTAATTGGATTAGTGATTAGCGATCAGCGATTAGCGGGCAAAGGACAAATGAAGGGCAAAGGGGAAGCACGCCAGAGGCACAGATAGATCCCCCCCCCGTACTGTACCTCAACTTACCGCCGTGGTGACGAAACGAACCTTGACCTTCTGCGTAGAAGGACCACCACGAGACGCGACGAGACACGGTACAAGGTGCAACGGCCAGGTCGCAAATACCACAACTCACTCACTTCAAATGTCTGTTGGCAACATCTCATGTACCGAAGGAATTAATGTTTAGATATCCTTGGGGCATAGAACTCTCATGATCGTCTGATCTACAAAGAAGAGTGTTTATACGAGCACCAGCACGACCACGGAACTCAACCTTTTCATCATGGATCGTGGCGGCGGAAACTCCAGTCCCAAGCGCCGGAAGCTCGACTTCAACCCTCTGCGCTCCGACGACCGTTATGCGTCTCTCCCAAACAGGCCCTCGCGCCTAGCAGCCACTGCAAGCAAGAACGCTGCCGCGTCGCATGGTTCTACACCCCGCCAGCGGGAATTCGACACCCCCGAACCTTTCGTGCCCGAGGATGACCAGGCCGCCCTGGATCGGGACTGGTACCTAGGCGACGAGAATGGGCACACCTTCGGCGACGAGTCCCATGACCCATTTGCCTCGTACGACACCACCTGGGTCGAGCAGCGAACCCGGGAGCAGGAGCTCGTAGAGAAGAAGGCCGGACAGAAACACCTAAACCACCGCCAGCTGCAGAGGCAGAAGGACAACGATGCCTGGGAGACGAATCGTATGCTGACGTCTGGCGTGGCGCAGCGCCGCTTTGGGGACGATTTCGATGACGACGACGAGGGGACGCGCATACATTTGCTGGTACATGATCTCAAGCCACCGTTTCTGGATGGAAGAACCGTCTTTACGAAGCAGCTGGAGCCTGTGCCTGCTGTCAGGGACTACCAAAGTGACATGGCCGTCTTCAGTCGGAAGGGAAGCCGCGTCGTCAAAGAGAGAAGACAGCAGAGGGAGCGAACACGGCAGGCACAGGAAGCCACGAATATGGCCGGTACCAAACTGGGTAACATCATGGGCGTCAAGGAGGATGATGGGGACAGTGCATTGCCAATCGCCACCGAAGGAGAAGTAACGAAAAATGCCGGTAACAAATTCAGCGAGCATATGAAGAAGAATGAAGGTGCATCTGATTTCAGTAAAAGCAAGACGTTAAGAGAACAGCGCGAATTTCTCCCTGCTTTTGCAGTCCGAGAAGATCTCATGAGGGTCATCCGGGACAATCAGGTCGTCATCGTCGTTGGAGAAACAGGTTCCGGGAAAACGACACAGCTCACGCAGTTTCTCTACGAAGATGGGTATGGGAGCCGTGGTCTGATCGGATGCACGCAGCCTCGAAGAGTGGCGGCAATGAGTGTCGCCAAACGTGTTGCCGAGGAAATGGAAGTAAAACTGGGCAGCACTGTGGGCTATGCCATTCGATTCGAAGACTGTACCAGTCCAGATACTGTCATCAAGTACATGACCGACGGTATCCTGCTAAGAGAATCCCTCAACGAGATGGACTTGGAGCAATATTCTTGCGTCATCATGGATGAAGCTCACGAGAGAGCGCTGAATACCGATGTCCTGATGGGTCTATTCAAGAAGATCCTGCAACGCCGAACAGATCTTAAACTGATCGTTACTTCGGCCACCATGAACTCAAAGAGATTCTCCGAGTTCTTTGGTGGTGCACCAGAATTCTTTATTCCCGGTCGTACGTTCCCTGTCGATGTCATGTTCCATGGCTCATCGGTTGAAGATTATGTGGATGCGGCCGTCCAACAGGCCCTGAGGATACACGTATCAATGGGTGCAGGTGATATACTGATTTTCATGACTGGTCAAGAGGATATTGAATGCACGTGCGAACTGCTAAGGGAGCGATTGGACGCACTGAACGACCCCCCTAAGCTGAGCATATTGCCAATTTACAGTCAGATGCCAGCAGATCTGCAGGCAAAGATTTTCGATCGGGCCGCGCCAGGCGTGCGAAAATGTATTGTTGCCACAAATATCGCCGAAACCAGTTTGACAGTTGACGGTATCATGTATGTGGTGGACGCCGGCTACTCAAAACTCAAAGTTTACAATCCCAGAATGGGGATGGATACCTTGCAGGTCACCCCTATTTCTCAGGCCAACGCGGGCCAGCGTGCTGGTCGTGCCGGCAGAACAGGACCCGGAAAGGCCTTCCGACTATTCACAGAGAAAGCCTACAAGGATGAGCTGTATACTGCCACCATTCCTGAAATACAGAGGACAAACCTCAGCAACACAGTTTTGCTGATCAAATCTCTCGGCGTTCGGGACCTCCTTGACTTCCACTTTATGGACCCCCCTCCACAAGATGTCATCACTACCTCGCTATTCGACCTGTGGGCCCTAGGGGCGCTTGACAACATTGGCGAGCTGACTGATCTGGGAGCGAAGATGAACGCTTTCCCCATGGACCCACCATTGGCCAAGCTGCTGATTATGTCCTTCGAGTATGGATGTAGCGAGGAAATGGTGACCATTGTTTCCATGCTTTCTGTCCCCAACGTTTTCTTCCGCCCAAGAGAGCGGCAAGAGGAATCCGATGCGGCTCGAGAAAAGTTCTTCGTCCCCGAGTCTGACCATTTGACCTATCTCCACGTTTACTCACAATGGAAGTCCAACGGTTATTCAGACGGTTGGTGCACACGTCACTTCCTGCATCCCAAATCACTTCGCCGTGCCAAGGAGATTCGTGACCAGTTGCTGGAGATCATGAAGATGCAGAAGATGGACATGGTCTCGTGTGGTACTGACTGGGATGTGATTCGAAAATGTATTTGTTCCGGCTACTACCACCAAGCCGCCAAAGTAAAGGGTATTGGCGAGTACATCAACCTCAGGACATCCGTCACCGTCCAGCTCCACCCGACCTCTGCACTCTATGGTTTAGGCTTCCTTCCTGACTACGTAGTATACCACGAGCTGATCCTCACGAGCAAGGAGTACATGTCCACTGTTACATCCGTAGACCCTCATTGGCTCGCTGAGCTGGGTGGCGTGTTCTATTCGGTCAAGGAGAAGGGATACTCGGCTAGAGAGAAGCGCGTCACCGAGACCGAGTTCAATCGGAAGATGGAGATCGAGGCTCAGATGGCCGTCGACAAACAGAGGGAGGAGGAGCGTATCCGCGCCGAGGCAGAAACTGTACATAAGAAGGTCATACACGTGGCAAAGGAGGGGAAGAAGATCGTCAGTAGCGGTGTGGTCAAGAAGCCCGTAGTCAAGAGGAAGGCGAGAGGCTTCTAGATTTGGGGCCATGTTTGTCAGAAGATAACAACAGAATTCGGCGCCAGAAACTCATGTGACGAAGCCAGTCACAAAAGTTCACTACAATTTTAGACCGCACGAACAACCGTTGTCTTTTATCTTATTCGAATAGCCCCCATTGAACCTTGTGTATACTTCATAGCTTGGAATCCACCGCAATATCAGCCCTTGGGGAAGGTGTCATGCCTGCCGAATTACTAGGAGAAACATATTGTTGTATCGTACAGCCACATCCAACCTGCAGATCACTACCTACATGTAAGCCTGATCTCGTCGTTTGATGCTATAAGCATTTGGGCATCATCTCCCTTTTTAAGATATTTACCAGGGCATCTAAGCAGTGATTTGTTTCTAAACTGTATGGAAAACGACATATAATTTAAATATATGTTACTAATCATGACTATTATTATAACAAGAACACAAACTTTAATCAACTTATAATTGGATGATACCAAAATATACAATGATAAGCTTGTATAAACTTGTATAAACTTATAGAATTAAAGAGCGTAACGCCGTCACGTTAAAAGCAGGATAGCTTAAAAGCTTCATAGGGATATTTTATATAGTACACGACCGTTGACGGATTTTCATTGCAAATTTAGCCTTCACAGAGGTGTAGTAGCCGTTACAACTTCTAAGTCATGTCAGTAGAAAGAGCCTAGTCTAGTACAATTAACACTCATTCTTGAGCAGGCAAGCTCGGGCACATGTTTGACGTGTGGACTCAACACTGAAGTATATTGGTTGTTCGTCTGTTTAACGCCGCTGCGGTGGCTGCGATAGGAGCCTCCCCAAGCTCCCCGGGCAAAATGGCGTGGCTAGCAGTTCTATTATACATATAGAGAAGTGACCGTACGGGCCCGTCACATTAGAAAAGAGGCCAAATCATGCTTCAAGAGGATCCCATTCCAATCCCTTCCACCGCGACATTTCGATTTCCAGGCATTGCTTCATGTTGATCTGAAGCGTTCGATCACCCGTAGGTTTGTTGTTTACTTGCAGGTGGTGCAGTAGTTTGTCGGTTAAGCCGTTATAGGCCGGTTGGTCTTTGAGCCTTTCTTGGTTGTGGTTGTTGTTGTTGTTGTTGTTGTTTGTGTGTTTTAGAATTGTGTTGTCCCCTGTTAGTTGAAAATTGAAAATTGTGAAAGACCCCCCGTACTCCATACTCTTATCCGTTACTTTAAGAAAGATTTTGAATATCAGAGAGTCTTCCTTGCGAAAGCCTCTGAAGATTAGCCCGTACGGGCATTTAGTTGGAGTTACCACCTCTAATTCTTCGGGCTCCTCGTCTAAAGGGTCCTCAGGCGGTTTCAATTTTCTCCAGCTATAACGCCATCTTGCTTCTTGGAATGGTGGACAGCATTCGTCGAAGTAGTGCGTAAGCTCTAAGAAGTCCCCGAATTCTGTTGGGTTGCGTATTAGCCATTTCCAGTATTTCCAGTCGTCGTGACTAGACCGTAGGTCCAGTCTGTGCAGTATTTGTTCCCAAGAATCAGGGTGGTATTCCGTGCCGTCGTATTTCAGGCCTGGTTTTGGTGGCCTGGGCCATTCTTTCTCCTTCATACGAGTGTGAGTGCAGTCAACACTGAAGTAGAAATCATGGTTGGCCGCATAATTCAAGACATACAATTTGCTTCTGCTTCTGCTTCTGCTTCAGGTTGCTATAGGGACTCTAAACATGCTTGATGCTGCCAATATGAAATTACTCTGATTTTCACTGCAGTTTTCATCCTCACAGTGTGAACATTTCTTACGATATTGCTCGGCAGGCTACCTCTAGCTGTTTCAAATAACTAGCCGTACCAATATGATTGCATGCGCCTGAGGTACAGATATCGTTGCACTTCAATGTTGGCTCCTATGGAATGGGGTAGCATCTTAGAATTACGGTGTAAATTGGCAAATCAATCACGAACCAAGAGGAATGCTCTCAGCACATTCAATCGGTGATTCCTGTCTCTTTTATTGTTTCTTTTTTTCTTCGTCGTCGTCTTTCTCTTGTTTGAGAAAAATCAATCATTGTTCAGATGGAAAATGATGTCAGCAAAGCTATCCTCCGCAGCATTGGACTGTCATGATGCTCCAAGGACATGCAGCTTCCCTCGTAGTATCAACAGACACACGACGCGGCGTCCTCCCAGACCTCGACCCCTTTGTATATGCTCAGCGCACGGATACTAAGAAAATGATATCTATATCTGTACTGTCTGCTCGGCGATCTTACCTCCTCTAGAGTATACTTAAACTCGCTAGGACTCAGCTATACGCCAGGCGCTCAAGACGGCCGCAATCAGTAATGCAGGGTCTGAAACATTATTTCTTGCGTTGGCCTCGGCACGTCTCCCGAAGCGTCAATGTGTCTTGTTTGGTCATATGGCCTTGGGCAAGTAATAAAAAGACCTAAGATAGCGCGGGGACGATGCTTTAAAGCGATCTGCCAAGCCAAGTGTAGAGATCAGATTTCTTGTTCTGCTTACTTCGTTGGAGCGATCCCTATTCTTTGTAGGTATGGCCCTGTGCTATGTGTTCAGCTTTGTGATCTGGGTCCATAAAATTTGAGAAATATCACATTCAAAGCGATAAGTGGGAGTGATTCCAGAAATACAGGAGAGGGTAGACGTCTGCAACAGAGGATCTATTTCAGCAAGCGCTCAAGACAAGTCGCGTGCCTCCATCAATCAGCCGAGTTTCGGTGCCGTGTATTTGATCTCAACTTTAACAATAAATGCTCGTTTGTGATTCGACCTCTTGGGACACGACAATGATCTTGATTGTTTCGGTATTGTAGGTCAATGCCTCAAGACGAGGACAGAACAAATAACGATTAAATGTGAGCAATTCTGTGTGTGCATACATATGATTATACAACACTATGACCTGGCCAATCAAAAGTAATTGTTCCATCGTTTGTTTCCTTTTTCAGGTTAGAGTTAGCACAAAGGTTACGGCTTAGAGCAGATGGTGGAGTTTTCCGCAGTGTGCACAATTACTACCAAAATGACCCTTATCAGTGTGTTCTAGCAGTAGCTCACAGCATTCTTTGACGTTTGCGCACTTAGTACTTCTCACGTCACTATACGAAATAAAGGATGAATCCACGATTGAAGTAGTTCATGTAACTCGAGCAGGATGCCTTGGGTGTCGGTGGCATCGTCAAAAATGCACGCCATCGTGCCATATGTTTATATCACCCTGGGGATAAACAGCGGACTTGAAGTGCCTAGCATGGCGGATCTACTCTCAGCTTGATCAGCATCATCTGCAGACAAACGGGATAGACGCCACCTTGACTTTCGAGGCTACCTTCCACCTGTTATTTTCCACCTTGAATACTTACAACGTGGCAAACTCTCCAGTATTTTCTTCTGCCACGGTGTGATATCGACGCACAATAGTAGGTTTGAGCATAGACACAATACATTGATGATCTGCAACTGTCAGATATTTGAACCTTGTGCAAAATTTATACTCGGCATGCCTACACGAAAAAAACGAATCTGCAAGCATGGTTGAACTTTCTATTTTCAAAAGGCTGCGAATTTGGCCTTCTGAAAGTACACCACAAGCCATAATGGTATCGATACTGTTACTATGCTACCTAGATATCATTATTGGACGAGAGGGGAAAACTCCACTAAAGAGAATACACTTAATGTGTCTGTTTGTGTACCCACGGGATTGAACTACTCAATTCTGAAGTTCTATGAGGGCATCTATAGCCCAGTGCTTTGTGTCTCTCGTGGATCTAGCAAAAAACATCGGCGGCCCCTATTTCTGAGTAAGCCTTTCGGATGATTGGAGAGATGACCCCATCTTCTCGTCTAGAGAGGTTTCACCTACCACTAGTCACATTTCACTTATGTGGTCTTCGAGCTCAGTGTCCTCAGATAGAAATACACTTTTACAGCCAAACTAGTATGAATAGCATTACTGTCTTGAATCACAGGGCTTTAAGATTAAGACAGCGGCTGGACGCCATGGTAAGCTCGATAGCTCCAGCTCGTAAGGCAGAGACGCAGATGAGTCGGTCTCGGCTCGAAACCACGATTACCATTTTATCCATGGAGCTTCTGAATATTCGGCTGTACTAGAACGCTTTCAAGGCACTAGAAGGGTTCCATTATAAGCAGAAGTTGTTCAAATGGCAGACATACATATCCTATGGCTTTTTAAGGGATAAGCTTCCACAAACTATCGTGTCTAAGACTTCATCCTTCCTCTTCGGTGTCCTCTGCTGGGTGCGATTCGGGCGCAAATGTTAGACCTCAGAAAGCGCGCGATAGTTTCAAGGACATAGTCGATGTGCCTGGCTCCTGAAATTTTAGTAAGGCGTGAAGACCTTGGACATGGTGATCTCGTCAAGAAGGGCATGCAAATCTGAAAGTCAACGGTTCTTGGGGGAACTTTGTCGACAAGTGATAAAATGAAAGTCTGAAGGCAGGAAATGTCAGTGCCTTTGCCGACAGTAGTACCAGACAAGCTTTTAGACTGATCCCAATGATGTGGTTGCTGCAGTCTAATACCGAACAATGTGCTTATTCGCTTGGTTCCTGGTATGCATTGTCCAGAAAGTTATTTCTCCTGCTTGATTATGAGATCCGTATATTTCGATCTGGACAATGTTACGTGTTTGAAATTTGACTCAGGCAATCAAATTTAGGCATGAACTCTTTTGATTTTAGACCGCCAATACCATATTATCTTACAGTCAACTTTCATAGTCTCTGTCTTGGATCCAAATGTAAAAAGGGGGCCACATGAGGTTGGAGACTAAGGTGTGTAAGTTGACTAAAAGATAGTCCAGGCATCCCAATGGATGGACCTTGTAATGCTTTTCTAGAGCATGCCTTGATCCCCAACCCCGTCGTGTAAATTGCATGATGCCTCACGTACTTAGTGTCGTCTCCCAACTTGTACACGGCGTTGCCCCGTGCTAGGCCTTGCATCATCCAGACCTCTTCGAGTAGAGCTTTAATAGGAGACACGAATGCTAGCGGCCGTGGTCGAGGTATTGGTCCTTTGCAGCGACTTTCTACAGATGATCATGTTCAACGAGCGCGGAATGCGATGGAACATTGCGCGCATGGCTCAGTCTACCAGCTGGATCTCGGCAGCTAAGATCCAAAGTCAAGCAATATGGAAGTGACTTTACATCCAGCTCGAGACAAATAAAACATGATGGTCTTGTAAATAGCAAATCCAAAATAATTAATTATATCAACGTTTCCTCCCCGCTGAGTATGAGTCAGGAATAAGCATTACTTATGCAAACAGCTATCGAGTATAAAAGTACCTTCGAAAGAACCGATTGCTTTGCACCCCGTTAGTCAATACCATCAGCTTGCCTGATAAAAGAGGGGTGATCTTCCATTGTCAAAGCATGTTCTGCTGTAGAGTGCCTGATGTGACTGATTCGGATACAAGGAAGCACCAAATTGGACTAGTCTAGACTAAACCTGACTAACCTTAATAGTATTGAACTCAAATCCAACAGCCTGTCTGCGGCATTGAATTTCTTCCGCAGAAGCAATCGTGCCTTAGTAGAACGCGGGCAACCAGGTTCTTCACTACTAGGGATCTTCTGGTCCATAGGTTTTCCTATGTAAGTCTTGATTGCTGTGCAGAAGAAAATTCACGTGGGTTGACGACCTGTATGCTTTTACCCTGCGGATACAACATCTCCAGACGTTACTGACGTGTGGAGCGTATATTCCCATCTCGGTCTGGGCCATGCGATGTTTCAGTCGCCACTGTGACTGGCAATCACTACCTCAGCATTCTGTTACTTCTTTCTGCTACGCAATCGTTATGTTTGTACTGCATCTCATGATCTCTATATAGTCGAAGTAACCTGAGTTCCACATTAACTGTACGTAATACAACGAAGCAGCAGTACACGGATGCTGAGTGAAAAAAAAATGACAACAGGAACTGTGCAAAAACATGTGCTTGTGAGGCATGCATACAAGACTTTTGAAACATACCCCGGGGGAATGTAAACGTGAGAACCGTACGCTTAGATACATTTACGATCTCAACAGCAGGATACCGCTTAGATCTTGAGAAGCATTGTTTCCTTAGAACCAACTCAAACGGAGCATCTTCGGCCATGTGATGTCGTACAGGGATCGCCAGCAACCCTGGCCGGAAAACTGTGGATTACCACGATACATCTCAACGCGCTAAAGTGATAAGGTGCATATTATGGTCACACGGAGCTCGAATAGGCTCATACTATCGTGCCATCCGCCGTGAAGAATGGTGGAGACGGACTCAACGATGGACAAACCGGTCTGCCTTTGGGGCATGTGACAACTTTAACTCCAGTTTCCAAATCTTGTTAAAAGAAGAAGAAAATTTTGAAAAGAAAACCCCCTTTGCTTGAATCGCTTGTTAATACGGGCTCACACTACTAGAGTGATACGCACCGGTTCTTGTAGGTACTCCGAGCTAATACTAAAAACTTGTCTTTGTCAATTTTCAGATTTTGCATCTCAAACCTATGCTTCATCATCAAGTTCTGATCTATACTCGATCGTGAGACTGCAGACCAGAGCCTTGCGATCAAGTCGACGATCCCAAGCATACTCCACAATTATCCTTTTATAGTATCCCGACGATCTACATAGTACCTCGTGAGGGCTGGATCAGTGGATATTCAGGGCGGGGGTGCGTTGTTCGGTGCCCACCAGGTACTGGGAATAACACAAACCGAAGTACTAGTAACATATCTCAGATGTGAACATGGATTGAGCAGGGTCCTTGCAAGGATCTGCTGTTGTCGACACCAAAGCTCATGACGTCAACGGCAGGGGGAAAAGGGCTTTCAGTACCCAACTTAGATACGACCACAGGGTAGCCGTCAGCACTAGATTAGAGCAAGGACATTTCATGTGCCTAAAGTCGGCCTGAAGGATCTCGTTGCAACATGAGATGGCGGGAGCTCTACTGCAGCCTTCCAAGGCGTCCCCGAGTGTGTTAGACCGCAGGGTTCAAGTTGCTACCTCCAGTGTCAGAGTTGTCGCTAGCTGGGTGGTAAGCCATGCGGAATGCTCATGGCGTAAGTAAAATGAGATATTTTCCATCTTTGAAGAGGAATTCAAGAAAGCGGTTAAACCACTTCGCTTCTTAACGTTAATGTCGGTAAGCAATGGACTGCATGTTGCGGAAACTTGTGCCCACCATTTCCCGCACAAAGAGTTTGGAAAGTTCGATAAATCAGAGAAAGAATATATGGAGCATAGGGAAGTAGCAAGGACAAACGCAAAGCGGTGCAATTTCTTCGAGAACCACAAGGCGAGGAAGTTCCACTATGGTGGCACCGTTCTTGAAGCCACCAAGTACCTTTGAATGCAGACATAGAAAAGAGTCCCGTAAATATTCGCATTTCGGCCTAGCGTAGAAAAGAATTGGGAAAGAGTCACACAAGCGTAAACGGCTGTTCATTGACCAAACAATATTATATACTCGAGGGCTGTACGTCAGAATATTGAGTCCTTGAGACAATATCGAAGAAGCCATACCCCCTTTCGCGAATCGAATTGTAGACCCCCCAAATGCGTTTCCCCATATTAACGCACAAGAGGCAAATGTGATGATATGTGACATGTCTGCTGGTTGATATTTCCATTGAGTAGAAAGTGTTGGCTGGCGTCTATCATACCCCGTAACTTTTATCACCAGTTCTTGAATAGTCTAGTTATAGCTGGATTCTTCTTCATTACGGCAAGCATTTCCCAAATGGACCGCTTTTAACCACTGTCTATATTGACTTGCACAAAGTCAAAACTGTAAGGGCCAGACTACGAACAAATATATTTGGGTTTCAAGCCGTCTGGCCGCAGCTTTGTTTTATAACGGGCCATCGAGAGTCAATAATCTCACCATTATTTTTCAAGATGGATGTGTTGCTGAGCTGAACTTCATGCTCATGACGGCTAGTTAGAAATCTGTCCAAGCTTAGCTGCAAGGACAATATGCCTCAGTGAACAAACGAGGCGATGAAACAGGGGATATTCTGTGTGGTGGAGAAAAAGTTTTTACAAGGATTATTTTAAGCCAATATCCATGCCTTGGTGTTTGCGACAGCATGACTGTTGGAAGGATCAGCTGTAAATGAGTGAAATAGCATGAGTCCTACCGTTGGCAAGTGGTTCAGGCAACGAAAAGTAGAGCACAATGATCTGTTTCCCCTGTACCATATTACAATTTGCTCTTTAGCATCATAGCACTCTTCTGCAACTGAAATTCTTAAAGTTACCAATGCATATGGCAAAAAGTCAAGCATATGGTAGGAGTTATGTAAAGGTTGGTATATTTCGTCCGGCCTGTCGTCTCTTCAAGACGGCACAAGTTTCCAAACAGAAAGCATCAGAAAGCCCAGTACTCACATAAAGTATTCGTTAGATTGTCAAAAGAGTGTGTAATCGGCACGAACCCAGAATGGAGTAGTATCTCTTCAGTGCTAAAGCACATGGAAAAAGAATTGCACCCAATAACTCAACCGAAATTCCGAGATTCGTTTGGAGATTTTGTGCGACTCGTTGCTTCATCCAGTGCTCTCATACAAAGGGGAAATCTACATGTGAATATTTAACTGTAGGAAATCATGACGAACAACGGCACCATGATGGTTGCAAAATTATCAAAATTTGAGCCGAAATGGCTGCGGGTCAAGGAGTGATGAGAGATAAGCACATCGGACCAAATTGGAAAATAGGTTCGAATAGCGTTGTGCGAAATCTGTAAAACTGTTTTGCAGTGATGCAACATCCCCGAAGAAGCAGAAGATTGGCTACAAGAAGATGACCATAAGGCGACAGGCGGAGAGCCAAGTACTCGGGAAAGCAGCTGCGGGATTCAGACTTGACATAGTACAATACGTACAGCGCAATCTCAAACACATATTTCCGCATCTGAGTCTCCGTTGTCTCATTGACGATTTACCTGCGGGAACTCACTTCTAAGATCATGAGAGATTATGATTGGTGGTGTTCGTGGATATGGCATCATCGGCGTGTCTCCGCGGACTGCTAGTGGCTATCCAAAGATAAAAAGCGCCCACTACTCTGTGCCGTGAAGATCTGCCGGCAAATACCTCAGCTAACCACATTGCACGATCATGGATGTACGGCACTTTTTTTGAACCGCTCAAGGATCCCAGAAGGTTTGTGGTCCAGGATACATAGTGCCTCAAACCACATGGTCAAAAGGCAACCATTGCATGCTGGAGAAGTTGACTTTGACTAAACGGGTTGGTAGTACACGGATGTTCGGAATGCTACCCGTCGTAGCAACAGTTATGATTGGACAAGTCTTGCATGACTATTCTGCAGAGCCGAAGCTCGGTCCCGTGAGACGCCTCAAACTGGTGCATCGAATCCATACTTGTAAGCGTACCAAGTGGAGCAGCCAGCCAGGCACTGCACTGAGACTGACGTGCCATTGAGTTTGAAATGCCATTGAACATATGGAATTCAGCACTTCGCGGTCCTCACGCTTCACAATCTGCAAACTCAAAAGAACATCCCGAGACAAACCCTACCCGGACGGTGGCGTGCTTTTGTGCTACTTGGTACTATGTATCCAATCAAGCCCCTTGCAGCACGATGCATGCATTAAACACCCTCAGGCAAGTGTTTACAGGCACAACTCTAGGAAATCCCAATACATACGCCACAGTCTTTCGTTTAAATCTTTTTATTTAAGAAGAAAGTGGAATATTTTCTAACACAACAATAAAGAATAAAAAATATTAAATGAGATATAACAGCCTATTGGTAGTAATAGACTTCGTTGTTAAAGCTCACGAGTCCGACCTTACGGTGTTATATATATTAATCCTATAATTGGGTTATTGATATTCATTCTTAAATCCGCAGAAAGTAATGGCAACATAAAGAAAGCAAACCCGAACCTGCTTGCTGTCGCTGTCTTAATATCCGAATCGAAAAAGTTGCGATAGACACCCTATTGCGAATCCCCGTTGTTGTGAATACAACGTGTGTATCGATACTAGCTATAAAATTTCCAAGCAAGAGTTCTGGACTTCGGCTGTGCAGGGGACGGGATACTTTCCAGCTGGATGCCTCTCTCTGAATGGTTAATAAATATGCAGGAATGTAAGGTACAAAGTACTACAATAAGGAATTATCACTTAGAGTACGTTCGTCCGCAAGGATTCTGATTCTGATTATATACTTATGGCCCTGGTAAATACATATGGGCTACGCTTTGCGAACTAGCGAAAACCCGCCATTTGGCAGCTTTCAACCGCCCTATACAGAGTAATTCAGAATCGAAATAAAGCTTATCCATTAGGTGTATCGTCGATAGAGATTTTAGCGAGGTCGCGTTGGAGTTTAGCGAGGTCGAATTGAAGTAAGATATCTAAGATCCTTAAGGATTGCACCGCCATATCGGAGCCGTAACTAATCTCTGGAGTTTTTCCGCGCATCTACAGCGCTAGAAGCATTGGCTATGATCAGAATCATGTTTCGAGGACGAACACACTCCTGACTCTTAGGTACTGTACTATGTAGAATTGAGAGCCGGCTAGGTTGAAACTGTGGGGTGTATAAGGCCCAAGTTTGAGGGGCGCCTTTAAGGTACTACCTACGATGAAGGGTCCAGCCCAGTATCTACCGAGCGCCACTTGACTATCGAGCCCCGCCAATCCTGTTCCCCAAATGTCCGGCCGCGCTGCCGACGACGCCTGGCAATATATGATTGGCTGAGATCTCTGCAGTAACTGGTTCGAGAGAGAAAAAGCAATAGTGGAGACCGCCGCACAATGTCGGCCGTCTTGTCGGACAGGGGAACAGCCTGTGTACTATGGTATGGAGGGTGAACGGGGTAGGTACCGGGTTGATTGCATGGGTGTTTTTCCGCGATGTGGAGCTCCGAGCCAGTTGTACCTCTCCGAAAGAACTTGCCCCACTGCCCTTTTCTAGGCCTGATACCATAGTACACAAGGTGCAAGCGTAACGGAAACAGTCCCTGGACTTCGATGCGCTCACTGCAAAGCATATCATGCACAACAAGCAAATGTCCCGAATATAGATGATAGGCTCCAAGGACTGGGAGGAAAGGCATCGTCGTATCTTGTCAAACAAATTAGCGGAGGTGACTGGAGTACACATCGATATCAAGCTATCAGTCCCTCAACCTTTAATTGAGAATGGTGGTTGTATCATTTGTTAAGACTACCGCCACGTCCGAAGAGCTATCCGATAGAAATATAGCATTCACAGCAAGGAACACCCAGCACACCACTTTGTATTAAAGAGCACACACTACTCGAGGACCTAATATCCCACGCCACGCCATCTTCTCGGGTAGCTAGTCTCGCCAAACCGCCGAATACCATCTTGTCTTCTGAAACGAACGAGGCGGCGCGTGTCCCCGTGATCGATTTACGAGACAAGTCGATCACCCATATACCATTTTCCTGATCCACTGCCATTTATGACAGCAATGAATTCAGTCAACGCGTGGGGAGAGCCGATGCCTGACGATAATTGCATAATACCCAGCTACTCCGGACCCGGGCTTGCTTCCGTATCGCGCAGTGGACCTTTCGACCATGGCTTATCGATGCATTATCCAACTCCATCAGATAGCCACGAATTTTCGACGTCGTGCTTTTCCAACGGCGGCTATGACAATTCTTTTCGCGCTCTGAACAACCCTAACTCGACATTCAGTAATATAGACGAGGTGGGTTGCCCCTCATCCTTCATTATATCATTTTTCTTGATATTCCCCTTACCTCTTTCGTGCTTCGGCATTTAATCTGTATTCGCACTGTTTAATCTGGAGATGGACACCGGACTGATAAGTCACCCAATAGTATGGACAGCACCCAACACACTATTTCCAACAGAGTGTGCAACAAAATATCAGCCCGACGACATCGTTCCCTTCACATCAGCAACAGGCTGCTTATCAGCACCACCGGCAGATGCATCACCAGGTGCATCCCGGCAGACCCCCTTTTGTGCACAGCAACGGCTTTCACTCCGACCACCACAGTTCCAGTTACAGCGGAACTCCCCAGCCCCTGAGTGCTGGAGCGACTGAGGAGGGAGTCGATGCAGCCAGCTACGACTCAGATCATTCACAGCATGGCCTATATACCCACCAGTTCCGTCGGATGAGCAGAACCAGCGATATCAGCACCGCCTTATCACCCGCCTCCGTTCTCTCCTCCCAGGTAAGCAACGACAACAGCATGGTGTTTCCGGCAAGATCAAAGCAGCAGCAGCAACATGAGCGCACCCGCCGAAAGAATCGAATGGCGGCTAGCAAGTGCCGAGAGAAGTCCAAGAAGAACACCGACGACCTACGCCAGCGTGAGCGTGAGCTGGTGCTGCAAAAGCAGATATTGACAGCCTGCGCAGCGGATCTCAGGGACGAGGTACTGGCGCTCAAACACGAAATCCTCAGCCACGCCAGTTGTAATTGCGAGTACATACAGAACTACCTGATAGCGGCCGCTTCACAGGTAACTTGATTGCTGAGTTCTGCTCGAACCTCTTTCCTGGTTGTACTTTGTAAACTCAACCAGGCCGGTACCTGAGCGTCGTTCTTCTGAGTGGGCATAGTGCACCAGACCCATGGACGGAATTGCACATTAGCCGTGCACCTAATCTTGATCAGCATGTCGCAAATGTGGTATAATATGGAGAAGAACGTGTTGTAATCATCGAGGAACACGCAACTCTGAACCACATTTCGGCGACGTGGTTTGGCTGCCGATGAGGAGAGTATACGACCCTCGAAACTATTCTAGGTACCTATCGACGGAATCCTTCAACTTGCTCTGTGCGATGAGCAAGCAATGCAACGGCGTTCAGCAAACACATACGACCGACATAGGTTAGGTTCAAAAGCGGATAAGGATACGATTTCGGAAGTGGCCTCGATTAACCAGCAGCGTGCCATATCGTGTCGGCTGCAGAAATTGGAAGCGCAAAGCAGACACCGACACCAGGCGCCTCAACTGCGTTCGACGATCGAGACGATGTAAGACCGATGTTTCCTGGAGTTTATGATATGGGAAGAGCCATGAATAAGAAAAGTCCACATTCGCCCACAGCCCAGCGGCATCTATGGTTTAACAGTTTTATTTATGTATGGAAATGTTGGAAAAGTGTAAACAGGACTTTTGGCAGGACTTTGGCGTCACCGTGACCTCGGATTTACATCATAGCTGATTTGTGCGGGTCTTCGGCACGTCGGCATGGGGAAAGACGTGGTAGTTGAAAGGCAAATCGCCCAAGCTCATAATACCCAATTACTTTTTGTTCTCAGGTTGTTCTGGAGGTTTACGTCTAAAGCGACGAGCACGTTTGCACTCGCCACTGCACAGGATGCATGTATACACAGACTGGATTACTGGCGCCAATGGTGCAGCTGGAAGGAAGTTTGTTTTTGTGCCCAGACTGCCCACCGGCCACAAATGAAGTCGAGAGATTTCTCGTACGACTCGCAAATGTTTCGTTCCTAGGCGTGACTTAGGCATAGTGTTACCTACTGTTTAAGGGCGACACCGTCGCAGTTCTCTTTGATACAGACTACAGGTTGCCTTGGTGGTGGATTGCTTGGTAGCGCTCATATAATACGGGAATTCACAATACTACCCCCCAGCCACGCCCTTGATAACATCCTTCTCTTACGGACCTTGTTCCACAGTTGACAGTCGCGCCGAGAAGAAGCTTGTATGTAATAAATCTCACCCATTCTAAGACCATGGCACAGTGCATGTCAAACTTCTCAAACCTGGACATATTTCTAGTTATTGGCGTGTCATTTCCCAATCACTACACTATAAGCATGATTCACTGGCAAGCAGAGTCTGGCTTTCTTCTCTTGGGCACAATGATTGTTCTATTGACCGGAGGCTCAATTCCATCAAGCAGATCCGACCATATGACAGGCCAGAAGTTCATCAGAAACCAGATCTTGATACTTGAATGCGCGCCTTTCGACGGAAGCAAGGCACGTATTTTCTAGATTAACAAGTCAGGAGAATCCCTATGCGGCATGACTTTCATTGCTAGACCTAGGGCATACACAGACTAAAGTCGACCATAGACACCTGCTATCCAGTATGTGCGAGATGTGGGTTTAACATTCATGAATCACTCCCCGATCGATCAAGACTGCTGCCCAGGCACACGGTCTCTCAGCCCATATTCTCATGCGGCAGGCGATGGAGACAAAACTCCCCCACAAGCCTCGGCAACGACCGAGCGCGCGCCTGTTGGGCCCCCCACGGGGGAGCCGACGCGAGCCAATCGAACTACTGAACCATCTCAGCGAACCCCCAGCTCTGCAGGCCGCTAGATCAGCTACGTAGATTCTAAACCCAGGGTAGCTCCGGGGGACTGTTTAGTACTGCATGATGTCTCTGGAGGAGAACAACCAACGAGTATCGGAAACGAGATTGTGGCCAGAACAGAAGCCACACAACTGCCCATCACCCACGGAAAGAGGCCAACACTCCTTGCCGGGACACCATCGGGTCAAGCCCGCCTCGAGCCACGCGACAGTGCTGCCCCGTCGGGATAGCAGTAGACCGCGGTCGAGAGAGCGCCGCTCCCAACGAACACGGGACGACGACGCATACATCGTGGTCGAGGAGTCGAGATCGAGATCGAGGTCAGACCCCCGTCGCACGAGGTACCGCACCCGCACGCCTTCGCAGCCACAGTCGCCGCCGCGACAGCACCGCAAAGAAAACAACATGCCTGCCGTGTCAACCTCAAATTCCAGCTCGCGCAGCGCCACCAAGCGCCTGCTGCGCGAACTCGCGGCTTGGGAAAAGGAAGCTCCCGGTGAGACGGGCATCGAGAGGCTAGGGCCCGTGGGCGAGGACGAGCTACTCCACTGGGAAGCGGTGATCAACGGACGGGGGATCGGGAACGGTTACGACGGTTCGTCTTTTGATCAAAAACATCCTTCCCCTCGTCTCCTCATCTTCCTTGCTTCCATCTTCCGCTTGGAGCCGCCCCTCCCCTGCTCCCCTCATCCTCTCGTCGTCCGGTCTTACGAGAACGATGTCTACCTATATGTGTGAACCACTGTTCTACGTGGGAAAAAAATTAAATTTAAATGGAAAAAGAACACACACACACACAGGAACTGACCACAAGTAACAGAAGGCCGCTGGCTCCTCCAGATCCAGATCCCGCCGTCGTACCCGCTGGCGCCCCCGAAGATGACGTTCGCGACGCCCGTGGTGCACGCCAACGTGGCGCTGGAGAGCGGCGAGATCTGCCTAGACCTGCTCAAGGACGCCTGGACGCCCGCGTACAGCGTCCTGGAGTGCGTGCGCGCCGTGCGCATGCTGCTGGGCTACCCGGGCACCGACAGCCCCCTCAACGTCGACGTGGCCGCCCTCATACGCTCCGGGGACGGCGTCGGCGCGCGGAGGCTGGTCGAGTTCTGGGTCGGCGACGATGGGGGTCGGTATGATGGCCGATAGCGAGAGGGAGGGGGCGCTGACTGGTTTGGTGGGCAAACTTGCCCGCGTCGTTCTCCTCTCCAAGGAGTGGTCCGGCGAGGAGAAGGAGGATGTGGACGTTTGAGGTGAGGTCAGAGCGAGTTGCAAAAGTGCCACGGGAAAATCCAATAATGGGGGGGACGACCTGCAGGTAATTATACCAGATCTGAAAGAGCTATATAACAGGGTCAGTTGTCTACAAACCAAGGCTGTGTCTATATCTTATGGGGCGAGCAACACTGTCCAGGGGATTCTTTTTTGGTAAGGAGCTTGGTGGCAAAGGACATTTCCTCTGTATTTGCTAATATTATCGGTTCCTGGGTTACTATTAATAGGTAAAGCAAGCGAGCCTGCTGGATTCCAAAGCTGAACACAAGCACAATGTTCAGGTGAGAGCCCGGTCAAGGGGCGCGTGCAAATCAAAAGAGTTTAAAAGTCATTTTCATTTAGTAGACCGCGGACACTGCAACGGCCGTGATGAAAGATGAGAAAACACCTGTCTATGCGTCCGTATGTTTAATCTTTTATTCGTACAGTTCCCCCAACCAAAAGCCACGCCTTACGTTCAAATCCCACCCAGCAAACTACTGGGGATTGAAAAAAAAAAAAAAGCGAGGGAAGTCCAAATCGCCTTTTCCCGCAGGCCAGCGACGATTGCTGGTAATGACAGGATCGCCTTGCAGTCAAATCATACCAACGTACATATTCAGAAGCTCGTAAAATGCAAATGCTCACCGAGTAGCAAACAGACGTTTCAACCAGGAAATGGGCGGCTGATGTATTGCTTACTCATTGTAGTGATATACCTATGAACCGGATTAGCATGAGAGCCGACAGCAGGCTGGAAGATAAGCCTTACCCTGTAGTTGGGTAATCCCGTGGCTTGGTAGCCTAACCGTTTGGCCATTTTGGCGAAACCTTCCGTCTCAATGAGATGATAAAACGGGAATGGCGGGAACATTGCTCCATCGCGGTGAACTTCTGCCCTGACCATCAAAGCTGTTCCTCCTACACCGTCCAGATCGACTTCTACGCTGACATCTTGCTTGTTATCCAAGTCCATATACGCCATGAGTGTTCGGTACGTTGCCAGCTCGGCGTAACCTTCAAGCAGGAGGTCGTCCTTGCCCATCTTGGCCCCAAGTTCCTGAGCAGTCACACTGTCCTGCCAGCTGTTGAAGTCGTAGGCTCTCTCTGCTAGCTTGCCATTGTCGTCTGTGTATCTTTGGAAGCAGTTGGGCACTACGAGAGGCTTGTTATGGGATGCAAGATCCTGAATAAGGGTTTTTGGTGTCTCGACGATATCGGCATCGAGCCACAGCACCCAGGATGTGTCAGGACCCAGAGTTGTGAACAGCAAAGAGTTCCGCGCCTTGGACATGGCGGCACGACGCTCCTTCTGGTTGTGCAATTTGTGCCTCTCCGCCTCATCCTGTGACGCCAGTGGAGGGTCGAAGTCTTGTCGCTCGATGATAATCCTTCTGAACCGATTCTTAGAGGGTCCTTTTTGGGCTTTCGTGACGGCAGCCTGCAGAGCTGACGTGGCAGCATTTCCTTCCTTGTTTTTGGGTAGTATAAAGCCCAGAGTGATCAGCTCATGGGGGTAGTTCAGCTTCATGAGGTTCTCCCAGTACTCGTCGTAGAAGCGAACCATGGGCGTGAGAATGAGTATGTGCTCCTTGTTTGCGAGCGGGTCGTCAGTGATGGTAACTTTGTTGAGGTCGAAGCGCTGGACATCGCGTCTGATGTGCTGGACGGTGGACTTGGGGGCTGGCTTGGAGGGACGTTGCCGGTGGGTGTTTGTGTGCGAACTCGAGCCGGATTGCGACAGGAAGTAGATGATAAAGGTGCAGAGGACGACGCCAATGAAGACTGTCACGTAGTTCGTCCTCCTCATGCGAACCGGCCCCAAGGGGCGCGCCATCATGTGTTATGGTACCGTCGTCGGGCGTCCAGGCTCGGGATATTCGTGTGCGCGAAAGAAGTGCGATTTATGATCGAGCGTCGGCCATTGGGAAAAAGGGGGGTCCACTCGCGGTTGAATTGCTCAGCTCTGCTCTCGTAGGAAATTAAACTGAAATGTCTTGAGCTCTTGGAAATGCAGATTTCCCCGTTTCAATGTTGGCAGAGCCTGCTCGATTGATTGCAGTGGCTTCGCCGGACGTTGGCCTGTCTTTGTTTGGCAGGACAAGTTTGTGTTCCAGGGAGATGATAAGCCGGCTAAGTCAAAAAGACACCTTGAAAATAATCCATGTGGTTGCAAACCTTCGCCAGCCATGCTGCAAGCTGCTGAGTGCTGAGTGGTGAGGCTAACTCGTTTCAAGCCCAACGCAGTCAAGCGCCCTCCAGAGAGCCCGCTAGCCCCCCCATCTTTAGACCCCTTGCTAAGCCTGAAACCTGGGATTTTTGCCATTGCTGCTATTTTACTCCGTCTCCACAACCTCAACATGCAAAAGGGTTCGTAAGGATGCACCGGCTCGAGCATATCTAGTCAACGACTTTCCCTCTTCGACGCACCACATGTATACCATACTTTGCATCGTCTCTTCGACGCCCAATGCGTTCGCTCGCCGAGGGAAGCCTTCGAAAGGAGCACAAACCAACGGTCCAAGAGATTATTCACCTCGTATTCCTCTAGGGACCGGACTAACTAGAACAAGCTGGTCTCGTATTTAACGAAAGCAATTTCATGTTACTCCTTACAAGATTGCAAGCTGCAAGCTGCAAGCTGCAAGGTAGAAAGTCATGATTACGTTGCTAATCGACTCGTTTGCGAGCAGATGTGGTTGTTTTTGTAGGCCTTAAAACTGTATCTCGTTGTTTCTTCTCAGCCGACCAATGATCAACCATTGGAGCCTCGGGATGTGAGACCATGCTCTGCAAGTCGCGGAGGAGGAGGTTGTACGGACGGCTATGTGGCCATACTCATAAGAGTCCAATCAAAAGATTCAGACTGGCCTCATGCAAAGACACCAAAAGGTGCACAACCAACCTCGTCTTTTTCTTCTTCTTTTTTTGTCCTTTTTATTCCCCCTTCCTTTTTCTTTCTTAGTGACTGGGCTAGTTTCGTGTCGCCAACCAACCAGTCAGCCTCGTCCATGATATTGCAGACCTGCCAAAATTGATGCATTTACTCAAGAGTCTTCATTTCCACCCACCCATCAAGTATCAACTCCTTTTTAAAAGACAACGGGCAAAGACCATGGCTGTGCGAGTGGTCTGAGGTGATCACTTACAATCATTGGAGGATTAGTAACTCTCCTAAATCATTTGGCTAAAGTGTCACCAAAGCGAGGATAAATATACAGTACCCGGTACTGCAGGAAGAGCGCGAATGCAGGATCTCTCCCGATTCACAAGCGAGAATCTGCATGTGCCTGGTCTCATGGGCAGCCGCACGGACTGGGGGAGGGTCTGCCGGATCATCTACCTTTCTGCAAGTGATTCGAGGACTTGAAATGGACGCAAAACGGGCATGGCCATGACCTGAACCATGACGTGTGACAGGTGTTGAGCTGACAAGACGCCTCTTTGGGCTTGAGCTGCCACAATTGTTGGTCGCAGCAGTGGTTCATCAGATGTGCGCATCACGCAGCGCGATTTGCCGCTCTATTGAGTTTTACCAAAACAGGAGGGTCGGCAGTCTGGAACAAACCTCCAATCCAGTATTCCGTAGAGGCCAAAACTTTGGATACACATGCGATTGTGACCTGAAGATTCGGTTCCGCCGAGCCATCAAATCGCAGCAACGGATACATAGACGCCATGTTGGAGCTCCAAAGCCGGAGGGAGCATTTAGAGCCTCGGGCATGCGGTCCTAGGCCCGAGTCATGGGTCTTTGCGGCTCGAGTAAGCTCAATTTTGACACATGGTCGTTGCATGGTTCCTAGCCCTCAGGCTCTATCTCATCCAGCCATGCAAGATGATGCTATAAATCTCGTGAAGGGGCGTGGCATGGAAAAATGAGTTCCGTATTGCTTGTTTCCTTGTAAAGTGTGTCATATGAAGAGAAAGACAAATTGTCACTGTGCCTTTCATCTCGTTATGCTGTACTGAATAAGACTGGATATTCATAAAGTAATTTATCTGATGTCGGGCCATCCCGAATAATCTAAGGGTTCTAGGGTCCTCTTTAGCGTAGGCAGAGTCCCCTGAAATCCATATGAATCCAGATCCAAGTTCCTCAGCGGGAACGAGTCTAACCTAGTCGTTCATGACAAAACTCGGTGAAGAAAAGAGAGGGGAAATTGTTCGCTGTTGCTGAAAGGCAGGAAAAATGGGAACAACAAATAGAAAAAAGGAAAAGAAAAGAAAAAGATTCTTCCGTTCTTCAAGTAGACCATCTGAGAATCCTCCACAACCTGACGATTGGCAATGCTCGTTGTCGGGTTCTACTGTATGCTGGTTTATGCCCGCCCTTTTTTTTTTTTTTTAATATGGCCGCATAAGGCATTGTGAGGCGGGGCAACGGGGAATGGATCAGCGTAGGTGATCCACTGTCATGCTGCTGTTCCGGGGTGCTTGGCGACTTGACAGGCCTGTCGTTCGCCTCCAAGGAGTCAAAAGGAGCACTTGGAGTCAAGCGCATGAATACCCGCTCTCTTGGTAATAAAGACCCCCGACTACTGCCGCCCCTCTCATAGTGAACATCAACAAACAAACCCATCGGAACAGAACCTCCATCAAATCCTTCCATTTTTTTGTCCCTTCTGTTCCCCGAGACCCTCACCTTGAAATTCCTACGCTACATTCCTGCCGAAAGAAACACCCTCTCTGGTTACCTAGCTGCAGGCTGCCCGCATTCCTAACCGCAAGCCTTTGTTAACTCAGATACTGGTGCAACCACAATTACGACCCTCGTGTCCCATGGATACAGTTCGGTAGCAGCTCGCTTCAGTGGCCGCTGACGGAGGACAGCGCCAGGGAAACGTTAGAAAAATAAGTAAAGGTTCAGACACGAACCTTGATCATCCGGGCGTTGCGTCGCGTCGCGTCGCCTTACTCAGCCTTGACAGCTCAGGGGACCTGCGACCTACTTGAAGTACTGCTACGGTACATTTACATTCCAGGCGAAACGCTTATTTCGAGCATATTCTCAACACCACGCCCTGTGGCGGCCTTTCGAAACGCCCCTCACAGCGTCCCACCTTCACACTCGGTCTACGTCCCCCTCATCTCTCGCAACTACGACGGGGTGATTTCGTACATGTGATTTATTTATCCAAGCAATTGGGACACTATAGGCAGCATTGCGACTCATGCAACTCACCAACGACACATGGTCAACGTTGAAGAGCAATAAGCCGCCGTCTCCAAAGGGAATCAGTCACCATGGAGCCCGTTCCCGAGACCGAGAGTCTAGAGAGCTTCCAATCTGCTCCCTTGCCTTCGCTACGACTCCAGCAGCCCCGAGCCATCTCCACCGATAGTTTCGACTTCACCCGCAAGCCTCCGACAGTACGGCGGTCTACTGAACCGATGTCCCCGAGCTCGCCTTCTTGGAGCACTCCTCCGGCCCTGGCCTTGCCTTACCGGCCGAGAACTACGTCGCCTCTTTCCGGCATGCACACGAGATCAAAGTCAGCTGCCACTCTTCAGATTCCACCTGCCATTTCTCGGACCAGATCCATGCCAGGCTTTGATGCCGCCAGTCGCGCCTTGGGTTCTCCCCTCCTCCGCCCGGCCAGTCCAAAAGGATCCCCCAACCGAGTGAGGCAGCGTAAGAAGCCGGCAGACGAGGCGTTTCCACCGCTGTCGCCCATTCGATCGTCCATTCTGGATGGCCCCGAGAAGCAAGTTGCTGAAGGCGCAGCTCTTGGCCATCGACGTACTGCTTCGCCCTTGCGGCATTCTCTACCACTCCCGCCCCCAGCACAGTCGGCTAATGCATCGTTGCCCTCAACGCCCTCGTCTATGGCAGCGTCACCTGTATACCGGGGATATGATTCCTCTGCCAGCAGCTACACCTTTCCTTACTATCCGTCTTCTTCAGTTCCATCCACCCCCACGTCGATGAGATCTCGGAGTCCCAGTATCTCTAGTTTAGAAACTATTCCAGACTCCCCCGATGCTGAGGAAGCCGCACTAGAAGACGAGCGGATGGCCAAGCTGAGGGCTGCTGCGGAGGGCTCGGACGGCGATGGAGAGGATTCATCAGGCGAGTCCAAAGGGAAAGAAGGTCTTGCTCGGGGAAGAACTCTAGGCTTGGGGTCTACTCGGGACAAGCGCAAGCGATGGAGCGTCTGTGGTGCGGAAAGGAGGGGCGACATTGATCTTGAGACGATATGGGAAGACTGATGAACATGATGAGGCTGGCTCACATACAAGACAAGTCAAAAGCCCTGATGAGTCCAGGCATGGTTTTTACGATACACGCATTCAGCGCGGCTATTAGTCGGCTTACTACATCTGCATTTGGTTTGGTCAAGGGGAAGGGAGGCGTTCCTTGTTTTCTGTTCACAGCTACTCGATACCCTGCTGCAATTGCATTTCACCTGAAAGGCATCATGGACATAAGCAGACCTCACTATATAGCGAATCTACTGGTTATGGCAAGTGGATGGTCGATTCTCTTCCGTGATTTTGGCTCAATGCATGACTTAGTGACTCGTCTCGATGATAATGTGTTGGGACTGCGGCATCGATCAGTGCCAGTGAGTGAGCGATCTTTAATATTCTGTTGGATGTCTATAGGCCCACGGTAGGAGTTACGGAGGAAGTTTCTGCCAGAGATTTGGGGATGGCTGGCTGATGCGGTATTGATTGTTATACACCTGCCCAGCGCGACTGAAAACGAAGGGCTTTGCTTCATCCTACCCGACATTCTACACAAGGCCGTAGAAATGAAAGATTCATACAAATGATAGATCTCAAATCTCAGCAGCAAGACGACTGAAATACCCTTGAGCTGTCACTTTTTCGCCCCTTGCAAGGCCTGGGCCATAACACAGGTGTCTGCTACCCAGCCAAAACCGGATGCATCGCCAAAAGTGCCTGCATGGTGTAACCAACAAACGCATCTGCTAAAAGCGCCGGCTCTTGACCCAATTGGCCTCATGCCACATGATGGATACATGGCAAGTGAGTTCAAGCAAACGTAATATAACAAGACGCATTTGCACATACATAAATTCACACTGCACCTCTATACAGCGACCAGCCAGACTCCGGTTAATCTAATCGTTAAGTCGTATCATCGTCATGCTAGGCGGACCCCGTTCCCCAAGGCGGGAAACACTGCCTAGTTTCGCTTGCTTGTTGTTCTTGATTAGAAAACATGCCCGTCCATCTGGGAAACATAAAATTGACTGTTGTTATGTCTAGTAATTGTAATAATTGGCTTCGACTATAATACCTTTCACTTGATAAGCTATACCCTGCAGTACATAAATGCCTAGGGAGAGTATACGAAATAAGAGCAATAATACGCCATTGCTATTATGTATCATGGTTTATCTGGATTTTCTGGCGTTGGATACCTCATTCAAGACAAGTTTCCTTTGAGGGCATCGAGGCCTGGTTCTTTTGCACACTTTACTTATAAATCTCGTGGAAAGAGGGTTCAACGTCGGTGAGATGCTAAACATCTCTATTAACTAGGTTAGTGGGATATTAGTCTGCTAAAAGTGTGCTTCTTTCTCTTGATTGACTTCACTTCCTCACGCCTACTGTTATAGCTGTGACAGAGATCAAGCTTATTAAGGGCGTACGAGCTTTGTAATTTGAAAGTTGATCCGGACTTGTGTATTTTCTCCAACTACATCCGTCGAACGCCCACAGAACGAGGCATCGACAGTCCTAAACGAGTTTCACATGCGCTAAGTAGAGCAAATCCACCACTGTGAACCACTCACTAGTCCCGCCAAATAGGTCGCCAAGTCGACCAACTTGCTAATGAATCAGTTGTTGCTTATCTTATGCTTCTACAAGATCTAGTCAAATATTTATAGTAATGTTCCCTAAGCGCGATCTGACGGTTTATATCTTTATCTGTGCTTGTACATTGTCGCGTAAGTTTGGATTTGAGTTCTACTTGCTTGCCTATAGAATTTGACTCGACGGGCATAAACTTGATCGCTTTCAGCTATAGCTTGGTACATAGAGGCTCAAATTTCGTCTAAAACGCCACGAGAGTCCACATCGCATAAGCTATCATGTCCCACTTGGGGCAAGCGTTGTGGCGTTCATGCTGAGCCTACTATCCTGGCCGTTTCAGTGTGATAAGGGCATCGTGCTTCGTTCTTTTGCCTGAATACTTGTCTAGGGACTGACTTGTTTGCTGTCTTGTTCTACTATATGTTTTGGACAGGACCCATTTCGGTGGTAGGGAAGAGGTATGAAGGGAGCTGTTTATGACTTGCCTGAACCCCCCCCCCCCCTCTGTTAATGTAATACTAGGAATACATGGTCCAATCGCCATTCGAACTATAGTGTATTATATAAAGGCCCCCCATATTTGCCCAGGTTCTTATCATAAATACCCTCTATTTGATGCAGCGGAACACATAGTAGCTCATGTTATAATCTAAGTTGAAATACAATCAGTAACGTGCAGGCTTTGTAACGTTCTAATACATCATAGCTTAGCGGACAGTAATTGCATTTAGGTTTAGATGTTCTTGTGAACTATGCATGTTAGTCGCTTCGACGCATATAGTCCCCCGGAACCCAAAATATTGAAGATGAGATCACACCTAAACAAAGAAATCTGTGTAATACGGTATTCATCCCCATACAGTGCGAAAGTGAGCATAACCAGCAACCTCAAGCTTTATTCACACACACTTTCCGACCAGTGGCCCGTGCAAGAAGAAGAAAGCACAGCGCAGGAACTCACCGTACCCCAAAACTCATTTCCAGATCTCCCAATTCAATGACTTCTTCCAAGAGCTTCACTATAACTACCGCCGTTTTCTGATTCATCGATAAAGTTCATGTGCGAAATGTTATCCAGCAACCCGCACAGAGCCTCTGAACCGGGCAGACTTGCAAGCCTCGATGCAAGGGTGGGTTCTTTGGCTGGAGACATCAAGACATGCATCGAATTGCTTCAGACGCAGATTCAAACCCACCAGACAACCTTTCAGCTGCATTCTAATTCAATCAATGAGCTGTCGGGATGCATTAGCAATGTGGACGGCAATGTTGAGAAGATCCATCACCAAGTTTCAGACATACAGGAGCAGTATGAGGACGTGCAAGAGAAAGTTGACGAGACGATGGATGTCTTCGGCACTATTCTCCAAGAAGCCCAAGACGTGTTTGAACTGCGAACAAGCCAGCTCAAGCAGCAAGTAGATGCGCAGCGCCGCGAAATCGACAAGCTGCGCAAGCTGTTTGACGACGGGCCGCCTCAATTCCCCCAATTTCGGCGGCTTCCAGTGGAGATTAGGGGCATGATATGGGGCCAAGCACTGCCTCAAAGGATTCTGACAATCGAGGAAACAGTTAATAAAACTCTAAACATCGAAACAATGGCGATCATGAAATGGTCCCAATATCGGTTCTCGCCCAGGCTACGGCCTCCTGCCGTAGCTCAAGCATGCCGGGAATCTAGAGCTGTTGCGTGCAAAGCAGGTCAACTTGTACCTCTCAGGAACCCTCAAGCTTATGCTTGCTTGAATGGCAGCATCCATCGTCATTCCCATATGGGTGTGAGGAAGACCCAATGGAGCTGGTTCGACCCGGACAGGGACAGTTTACGGATCAAAACCGCAAAGGGTCTATACTCCACCGAGGTCCTCGAAGATATGCTCTCCATTGTGCAATCTATCATAATTGATTCACCGTCCAGGGTCCTTGGGATGATATTTGCCGATATTTGTAATCAGAGGCTGTTTCCCAGACTTACCGAAGTAAAATTGGCTGAGGATACAGTCTTGCTTCCACCTCACAGCGACCCTTACACCGAGAGCCAGCTCTTTGGGGTTGAGAGAACCAACCCATTAGCTATCGACGTCGACGATTCGCCCCTCTTGGAAGGTATTGTTCGAAAACTACAGCACTTAAAGCCCACGTTTATTCGAAACATTGACACTGTATTGCAAGCACGACCGCATATACAGACCAGAACGCGGTGGGGATGGGATGAGAAAGACCTTGAGAACTTGATCGATCCAGAAGTTTCTGAAAACGATTGGCCGAAATTCAATCGCTTTCTGGTGAAAGCATGGGATGAGGTGCAGCAAGATTGGACGGAGGGCGAGAACGTAAATTCAAAAACAGCCCTGTCTAACGCCCCAACATTTGGAAGAGTCGTCTTGTTCGATGTCGCACCATGGCAATCGCACCCTCACACCCTTGGGGCACCAATCATGTACTGGGTGGACGGTCGCGACCAACCATCAAATGTGGCTGAGCTATAAGCAAGGTACTTGGCCGCAAGCACCACTGTCAAGTTCCTAAAAGACCGTGACCCAAGCCGGCCTTCGAGACTGCCCACTTTCTTGACGGAATTCGATCTAACTCGGCTTTTCTGAGGTTGAACAAATGATATACGAAGATGTTGAAGAGAAACGATGAAATGGAGGCTCCAGGGACAAGTCAGATTTGTTTTATATCCAAAGGGCGCACAATAAGCATGTACTTGATTTTGACATATGTCGTTGATGAACCATTTGTGTCATCGTAGTGGTACTATTTATTGGTCTGTTATGAAGTAGTTGGTAACATCGTTTTGCCATGTACTACTATTCTTCTTCTTAATTATCATTTTTAATTACAATTAGCTTAGGCGACCACATTTACACGATCACCCTCTCTTTGGAACAATGTGTGCATGCAGAAAACTGTTGCCTCTGGTGGCCATTACTCATAAAATGAAGACAGACCTACCAAATTCGGATACCGCCTCCGCCATAGTTCCTTTCTTTTCCATATGCCGTTTGTTCTGGAAAATACCTCGAAATAAAGTCACAGCGGTTTAGTTAGGTGTTTCAAGCATATGTAGTTTACGGTTGAGACCCTTTCCTTTGACTGTCAGCAAAGCTCCCACGTCTCCCCGTAAACTACAAACCACTTCTTGTGAACCCTCTGTCTATTACAAACTTTCCTTGCAAAAGAAGCGATACTAGTTACATTATGGCCGTTATCTTAATATCAACCCCATTAGCCTTGGTGCCGCTCCGAGCGCCCAATGTTCGGACAGATCTCTGTGCCAGTATCTGGACGTGTATCACCGCTCGCTGTTCAAAAGTCTGCTGGGAATAAACTTCTGGACATAAGACATCTTCAACGATGGCTTCGAACTAGATCGACGGTCCAGACTAGTCAGATGAAATAGGATAAGCTCAACGGTTCTGTCATGCTGTCGCGGGAGTTCCTCTTACGCAGACGCAAGCAGCTCATGGGCACAAGCTTCAAAGTCCTTCAATCAATCTTGTGGCGCTATAGCTCGCTTGTCATTGATGATCTGCCGCATGAGAATACGCGGAGGGACAGGTTCGATCAGTGGAAGATTGAGGAGACATTTGGACTCGTGGTTTCCGTCGAGTATACTGCTCCGGCTTGATAGAATTCAGAGGGGCCTAACTGCGGCCGTTGTGGTGGCTTCTGATGGAAGCAGCAAATCAATGGGCCGTGTACCTGGAAGTTCCATTTGCTACAAGTAGTTGCATAATATACCGGTTATTAACCATCATGGCCCGTCTGCTATGCTAGATCGCCACCGAGTAGGAAATCAAGTCTTTTCATGGATGTCAGAATAGGTTTTGACTGGAAATGGGGTGTCTCAGTGGGCAATGTATATATATTGTCTTTTTTAAATAATACCTGTATTCCCAATTAATGCTCGAGTGCTTTCCGTGTTCTAAAAGTAGAAACTGCCAAACGAAAATTTCATCGCACAGCCAACTTCATGCCACAACTGCGAGTAGTCACAATTGCAACTGCCTTGGTGATTTCCGTCTGCGAACTACTGTGCTACAAGTTGCGAAATTTGTCTTGTAGCTCGTCATAACTGTTTACCTTTACTTCACGCGAATTCCAACTCCGGCGCAGTCGAGCAGTTTCTCTGCAAATTCCCCCATCTATCATCAGCGGCAACGGACCAGTCTCATCATGGCGATTTCTTCATCTTCCTACCATTATCTTCGAAATCGCCGACCCTCGTTTGATGGACTCATCGAGAAAGATACGGTTCTCCGCCGCCACCCCAAGACGTATCACACACTACTTCTCAACGACTTGTATAAATTGAACTTCTTCGAGAAAAGTGGACGAATCGTCTTGGAGACGGACGTAGAACTTGGCCTTATGAAGCTGGTCCAATACTTGCCTGGTGATTTCCCTCTGCTCTCGGGAACCTACCGCAACACACACCGAGAAGGCTTGGTAGCCGACATAGGCTGCATACTACCGGGTTACCTGAAGTTGTACAGCGCGCTTTTGTCAGACGATCTCAGACACCGCAACACGCGACGAGAGAAGGAGTCGTGGAATGTAGAGGACCGTTTCGGACTGATTGTCCCCGTCGAGCACAAGGATGAGGACGACAAATCGTAGTCCTCAGATCGTATTCTCAACCGCACTCTCCTGTCACATCTTGCGTTGCCTAGCCCGCGAAATAGATGCCCGTGATCCGTTGACGCAGGGTGAGGTAAGTCGTCCCGAAGTTGCTCTTGTCTGCCCACGACATTTTCTGACTTTTGCGTAGCTACGATCTCATGGTCAACATAGGTAGGACCGGGGGGTTCGAAGATGGTTGGGAAAGAACGACGGTTTTAGTTGAGAAAGTTGGGGATATTTTTCTCATAGAGGGCATACAAATCAACTTAACGTAGGTGCATAAACCAAGGCCCTGTAAACACGATGACTCACTTTCACCTCAAGTAGCGGCGTCTGTAACTGTTGATGATGTATTACCGATACCATTACTAAGTGGCATGCCGAGTTGACGCATAGCACTATTTTTGCGCTAACCATGTTTGTTGAGACTGCTTCTGAATCATCGTGAACGTCCGGTTTTAGAATTTTTGGCTCGGCGAATGCCAGAGTATAAGCTCTATCTAGTTCTTGTCTAGTCTCACAGCCGGGTTCCTCTCGATGAAGTTCAAATCGACCTTGTGGCCCAGCAGCTCGCGAATATTCGAGATACCGTACTTGATCATCGTCGGTCTCTCCAAACTGAGTCCCCAACCATATACTCTCATATCGCTAGGCAAACCCATCGCCTCTAACATCTCAGGTCGGAACTTTTACGTTTGTTAGTACATAGTATATTATTATCTGTAAGGTGGGTGTATTGCGCATTTTGGTGGATAGGACGGGACGGGTTACTTACCATGCCACTGTTACCGATTTCGACCAACTTATTTAAGCCTTTGTGGAAGGAAAAGATTTCCAAAGAAGGCTCAGTGTATGGGTTATAGGCAGGCTTGAAACGAAGATCTTCAATGCCCATCTTCTTGAAGAAAATCTCCATGAACTCCATGAGACCACCCAATGTCAAGTCGTAATCGGCAATGACACCTATAATCAGAGGTCAGTCTTAAGTGTGATGAAAGCTTCTTGGAATCACGTACCCTCAACTTGGTGGAACTCGGCAAGATGTGTTGCATCTACAGTTTCGTTTCTGAAGACTCTGTCGATGGAAAAGTATCGTGCAGGCGGAGGCTTGCCATCTGGTCCCTTCTTATCCGCCAATTTATATAGCATAGCCGTGGACTGAAGTGTCAAAGTCAGTAATTTCTCTTTCAGTATGGTCGAGGTTTCAAATGTCAGAAGTGAGTCAGAAAATTGCTTACGACGGCAGTAGTGTGAGTTCTCAGGACCAGCCTTAAAGACTCTTCCTCATCCCAACGGTATCTGTAGCCAATTGATCCATACTTGCCGTGTTCGTGGACAGCCTTGACATTGTCGAAATATGTTGCATAGTCCTTCTTGTCCTCTGCATCCTCAGCACGCGGCTTGTGCGCGACGGCTGGGTCACTGATATAGAAAGTGTCCTGCAAGTCTCTGGCGGGATGTTGTTGGGGAACGAAGAGTGTGTCGAAGTTCCAGAATCCCGATTCAACGAAGCGGGAAGTAGGCATCTCCTCGAAGCCCATCTCGAAGAAAATGTTTCTGAACTCATGGCGAACTTTCATGAGAGGATGTAAGGCGCCCGCATGCTGGTCAGCTCCCAAGGCATTGAAGTTGTACGGCTTGAATGTGGCCGTCTTCCATGCGCCGGAACTCAACATTTCTTCCGTCAGATCGGTCTCCTCCTTGACCAACTCGAGGGCGAATTTGGGACCCTTTGAGATGGAGAAGCTGATGACTTTTTGAATCTTTATGAGCTTCTTCTTCTTGAACTCGGCGAAGGCCTTGGTGTCGGACAATGTGCGCTCCTTCTCGATGGTCTGAAGCTGCTCCTTGGTTGTGTCTGTTATCGAGTCGACCTGCGTGGAGAATTAGCGATCTCTCACATGCTATGTGTAGGCAAGGCGACATGAACATACGGCAGCCTCGAACTTGCCGCCCTCGACCTTCTTGATCCATTTGTTCTTCATTGCTCCGCCTTGGCCAAATTTTGCGACATTCTTGTCTCCGACGGCCTCCTGGATTTCCTGGACGGACAAAGCCTTCATGGCCTTGCTCAGAGCGGCGAAGACGCGTGCTTCATGACTTCCCGTCTCGGCGATGGCCTTGCCCTCGGGCTCCAGGATAGCCTCCTCTCGTTCCAACTGCTTGTACTCGACCATGGACCGCGAGCTAAGGCGGTCAACGGTGGCCTTCAACTCGGCGAAGGGGACATTCGGAAAGGCATCGGAGGACAGGATGGGGCTGTTCTTGTCCAGGGCATTGAGCACCTGGGAAATGAGGTCGCTCGCCATTTTAGGGTTGTGTGGTGAATTCGACCCGTAGCCTCCAAGAGTTGCGAAATGTCGAGGGAATGCTCGAGGTCGAATTGGTCCCTGAAAATGTACGGAGCTTTGGGAGCGAAGTGGGATGTGATATTTTGAGTCATCCAAAGCCGCCCGCCGCCCGCTGCCTTTCAAAAGTCACAGCTCGGGCCAAATTTCGAAGTGGGATGTTTAATGCGACTGCGGGGTCATGTGCATAACTAGTTATACACTTGCTGGATGGGATACGGGATTATGTAGACGGCAATGTACTGTAAGCCAGTAGACCACACTAGTTGCAAATATGCAATCCACCGAGGCTTCCGTCGGTTTACGGATATGTACATCAGATGGCACGACGACCAGCTCTCGCAGAAACTGTAGTAGGCCGTGCCAATGCCAACAAACCACCCTTGGCGTCAGGTTCAGGTATCCTACATACATAAACAGCTTACACTCTAGACCCACCGCGCCTACGCGAGTGCCAATGCCATCCATCCATTCTGCACTCGCAGTTCCAAGCATGAACCCTTTTTGACGGGCTCAATCCTTTGTTTGCATAACGGCGCCAGAGGCTCAGACTACAACAATCGCAATCCCGCTGCAGCATGTGAAATTACAAATCATCTTGGTGGTTTTCTCAATGTTCGAATGAGGTGGAGCTATGAACCATGATCCCGCCTCGACCTCGCCGGCGGACCCTGACCCGAACTCCAACCGCCGTGAGGACGATGCCGACGATGACAATAGCAATGCCGCTTCGTCGCAACAACAAAATGGCACTGCCACAGGTCGGCGACCCAAGCTGTCAAAGAAGACCAAGGCTGGCCTCAACAAGAAGCTGCTCTTCGTGTTACATCTACTCATGAGCCTAGATGCTGTAATATATGCCGAGCTATGTGTACTGTATTATATGGAGTATGCCGCACCCGTCGGTCACCGTAATGCAAGGCCACTTGACTGACAGGTCCCATAGTGTATCCTTCTTCCGCCTCCTCATCCGATGGATTCCGCACTGGCTCTTCCTGAGTGTGAAGCCGGACATTGCCATCATACCATACTTCAACTACCCCATAGGCGCGATAATCGGGCCCAACATCTTCTGCATGATCCTGCATCTCGCCACGTCGCTGCCACAAGCTAGCGAGATATCCCGGGGTTATCTTCATGGCGGAGTGCTCGTAGATTTCGTCGGACAAAAGGCGCCCACTTCCAAATTCACGTTGCTGCTTCTGGACGTGTTGGTGCTGACACTGCAGTGCTTTATGCTTTCTGTCAACCTGGAGAAAGATCGGATCAAGAAGATACTCAACCCACCGCGACAGCCCGTAGGCGGCACAGGCGCGACGCCCGCACCGGCCAACGCGAGCCAGGACCACGATCATGAGGAACGAGGCGTACTGAGAGACGGGCCCACGACAGATGAGACGGATGACATTGAGATGCAGCCATTAAGGGGTAGCAATGACGCCGGCAACGTGGGGCATGCATCTCTCGCCGAGCGGAGGAGCAGCAGCGGGGGCAACTTGCGCGACGTACTATCCTCTGGCAACGCCATTCTGGCCGATTTCCACGTACGAGATGCGCTACGAAGAGCCTACACTGATCGGGGCAATACCTCCGAGGCAGCTGCGGCCTATACGTTGCAGAGCGTGGGTTACAACACGACTCTGGCAGCATTGGCGGCACAGAGGAGGGCACGATTTGCTGCAGCACAAACGGGCACAGTAAGACGGCCTTGAATGAATTGTACAAAATATAATATTGGGTATCACACCTCCTTTTTATGCTACCTTCCTGCCGACGTTGCCAACACCAGTCCCCTTCACCGAGACTATGATGTCGCCTGTGTCGTCATCCTCCACATCTCTCAGCCCCCAGCTGCTCGCGCCGAATGTCTTTAGATCACGAGCAAGCCCTATGACCTCTTCCGTTCCCATGATATTCCTTCCTAACCTTACTCTTCCGACATCCTCGGATCCCATGGCCATGAGAGTCAGGATTGTGTGTGCAGCAGCTTGGTCGACGCAGCCTCCGGTTTCTATTCTTTCCAGCAGTTGATATGCGCACCGCTTGCCCAGATCTTCAGAGACGACGCCTCCTTCCGCCGGCGCAACGATGTCTGCCGAATACAGGACACCAGTCGCACTCGATTCTGCTACCAGACTCAGGCCAAAACCGATACCCATTCTTCGTTTTTGCCCAGCCTTGTCTCCTGTCGCGACCAGTGGTGCTTGATCGTATTGGGCTGCAATGTGTATGTCGGCGACAAACGGGTTCAACACCTCCCTGGCCGAATGAATCATACGTGCATTGTTGCTCGCGGAAACACCGGTGGCGTACGACACACCCCGTATCCGCCGTATCCTGCCGGGGTTCCGGTTGAGATGTAATGTTTTGGGTAGCCGCACCTGACTGGCGAATCTGAGCTCAACGATACCGGCACCACCGAGGCCTCTGGGGCCGGCACACGCCCTTTGTAGCACTCTCAGTTCTATCCGCATGGCGGGGATTCCAAATAGGTTGTATAAGGGCAGGATGGCAGTTCGGAAGGAATCGACGGAGAGATCGCCGGTTTCTGTGGCTGATGTGATGACGCCGGGCCCCGTGAACCGCACATTCATGTGGGCTTTCGAGAAAGGGGCCAGTTGGCACAGGGCGAGCAGAAAGTATGTGACACCTCGCGTACATGTGGCGGGGAGGCTGTGTTCTATGACGTCGCCGGCATCGCCTACTGCACCAACACCAGGAGCAACTCCAGTGATGAGACCGGGCGAATATGTGATGGTAGTACCGGTATATGATATCTGCATGGAGGAGCCATTGGTGACGGCCTCGAGGAGGCGGAGGAGGGAGACTTCGTGGGGGGCAAGACCCGGACTCGTCGGCGATGTCGTTCGGATCTGGGAGATATGTACTGGACGGCCGGTGAGGGTGGAGAGGACGAGGCGCTGGGCCAAGTTTTTGTGGCCGGTAAACTTGAGGAAATGCGGCTTGGATTCGGACATGGTGTATGGGCGAGGGCGCGACGAGTGCGCTCGGGTTGGCTTGAGAAGTCCGGGGCCAAGTGCAAGTCCAAGAGATGAAAATAAAACTAAAAGATCTGCTTCCAGCACCAGAGCTCACTGGCAATAATGCGCAACACTCCCCACTATCGCCAATCGATAGAAGCAGCCGCTGGAAAAAAGTGGCAGAATTTTCGAAAAATTTGGGCGGTGAGATGCTGCGACGGATCAATCGACTGCCGCGTGTCCCGTGTCCGCCATGTCTACAACGGAATGCTTAAAAGTTGGGGCACGCGCTCAGCGCACCTAGGTTAGGTTAGGTTAACCTACTGTAAGGTTAGGTAAGTCAATGCATACAAGCAACTTAGTACCCAAGTACGTTACAAAGAAACCCCCTGTCCAAGCTGCCAGGGAGCCGTTTCTTTAGTGGACTAGCGCTGGGCCTCTGGGCGCAACGGGCTTGGGAGCTCTGCGAGTGGGCAATGAACAAATCGCTTTGGTTATTGGATTCATCCACCAGCTTTTGAAAAGTGTCATGATCGTGCTAGGGTCTCGGTGCATTTAATGACATCTGGACAAGTCAAACTGTCTCGCCCACCACCAAACACACTCTGTACAATTCTCCGAAACTTCGCAGACACAACGCATTATACTGTGCATAGGGGACTGTCTTGACCCTCGGACTTTCGTCTAGTTAATCAGTCAATCAGCCAATTTAGCACACGACGCCGCCTTCTCTCTCTCTCTCTCGCATCCCCCCAAACCGAGAGGAGCGAACCTACACATAATCGCCAAACATGTTCGACTTCTTAACGTTGGACGTAGATTGGTGGAGCCTCGCCCTGCCCTTTGGTTACATCTCAGTTCTGGCCGGCATGCTCTACACCTTTTCTACCATTTACCGCAAGAGGAAAGCTGGTGCGTCACCCTCCTTGCCCCGTCCTGCCCTACCTGCCCTACCTGCTCGACGAGTCCGAGTGCTGACATGCCCTGTCTGCAGCCCAGCTGGCAAACCTAGAGCCATGGTTCGAGCCGCATCTCCAGAAGCAGATCTACTCCTCCCTCCTCGAGATATCCGCCACCGGTGAGAAGACAAAGGTCCCCGATAGCGTCATCCGCGCCGCCCTTCTCCGCCGTGCCGTCGCCGACATTGGCCGCATCATCCAGGTCCGCCAGGCGAAGCAGGCGCTCAACGTTTTGTTGCAACGTGGCAGTGTGGGCGAGGACCTGAACCAGCGCTTCCAGCGCGCCGAGAAGGAGATCGAGGAGGAGCTCAGAGAGGTCGTCATGGAGGTGAGTTGCGTCCCGGTTGTTTTTGTTGTTGTTGACCTTCGTGCGCAATCTGCGGACCAATCCATGCTGACACACAAGTACGAAACTAGGCAAATGCCCTTGCGCCTGGTTGGGGAAACACCATCTTCCAGTCTGCCAACGAAATGGCCGCCAACACAATGCTGCGCGAGCGGTTAGACGAGATCGAGGCCCAAACCGAGCCCGAGAAGGAGTGGTGGGAGAAGCGCCGCGAAGTCATCCGACAGGACTTTGAGAAGGAGCTGGATGCTGAGGCCGCCCCCAAGCCAGATGTCAGGCTCGGTAGTGACGACGATGGTGTTCTGGTCGATTCCGGTACGCCTTCTAGCACCCCTAGCAAGAAGAAGAAGGGCAAGAAATAAAAACCCACACAACGGAACAATCTAGACTCTTTAATTGCTGCTCACCATGGTGGGAACGGATAGCGGTCCGGATGAGGTTTCACCAGGCGTCTTCATAGGGGGGGTGGGCATTGATACGGTGTCTGGCGTTTTGGTCTCCCATGACCTTGGAATTATTGGTGCAAGCAAATAATAAGCAATTCAACGCTTCTCCTACGACTCTTGTAAAAACAGTCTGATTATACGCTAATTGCCAATATCTTTCCCCCAAGTGCTATCATAATCTACGCAAGCCCCTCGTGGATAAACGAACGCATCTCCATGTCCGAACAAGCAGAACCCTGATCTCATGACAAATGCACCCTAGGTTCCAACCACTTTCGCAGCACCAACACTGCTACCGACGCCCCTCCTCCCCTTTTTCCTTTCTTTTATTATAACTTTTACTTTTCAAACCTTTCAGTACCAAGGCAGCTTCCTCCTCCAGACCTCCTCCTCCTCCTCCCTCTTCCTGGCCCTCCTGGCCTCGTCGAGTATCTCCTCCTCGGTGCTCTGGGCCACGGGCGGCGGCGGCGTCTCGCAGCCCCTGAGCCCGATGAAGCGGCCGATGCGGCGGCGCTTCTCCTCGGTCCCGGCGGCCGGGTCCCAGGCCACGGGGCACGGGTAGTGGCTGGTCCAGCGGCACGGCGTCCGCTGGTGGTAGAAGTGCGCCAGCCCCTCCAGCTCCCCCTCGGTCAGCAGCCAGAACCCCAGCAGCGTCCCCGGGAACGCAGGGTGCACCCGCCCCGTCGTCAGCTGCACCAGCGGCGCCAGCGGCAGCGCCATCTCCCGCAGCTTCTTGGCCAGGAGCGGGTTGTCCGGCTGTTGCCGCTGCCGCCGGTGGGCCGAGAAGGCCTGGCAGGGCTGCGGGAGTCGGGCCGCTGCCGGTTGGGGTGGGGAGGAGGATGTCCATGTGGATGTCGCCGCGCTGGCGAAGGTGCTTGCCGCCGTTGTTGGAAAAGCAGTAGTAGTAATAGCAGTACTACTGGTAGTGGTCGTAGGGCTGAGGACGGGGCTCAGGGGTGCCGCCGTGCTGCATTCGCTGGGGAACGGGTCCGGGAAGGAGACGTCCATGGGCGACGACGAGCAGCTCGAGGCGGACCTCTGCGGGAAAACCGAATCCATGGGCGCCGGCGCTATGGAAAACTCCGCGTCCATCGGGTTGCTGGGTAGCTGGTTGTCCGGGGGTTCGCCGGCTGCGAAGGCGGAAGGCCGGTGGTGGTGGTGTTGGTTAAACGGCATGTTCTCCTCTATATAAATTTTTTAATGGCTTTATAATATTATGGTATTATGAGACAATTCAGTTCCCCAAGTGCTAATGCTTTTGTTTCCTTTATCGTTTAGGGGGTGCTTTTTTCTTTTCTTTTCGGTCCGTATACGCAAGTGCTCAGAAGAGGTATTGCGCCAACGATTCTCTTTGTTCGAGACGAGATGATCGTGAGGTGAGTATGCTTGTCTCTCGATGCGGTGGTTGGGGAAGGTCGCAAGAAGCAAGATCTAAAGCAAAGGAGAGGCTATGTCTACCTTGAAATACTTTATACAGAAACGAGCGTGATTGTGTGTATGTGTGTCCGGCAGTTTCGTGTTGACTGTGCGTGTAGAAGCCGTCCAGCAGCTACTGGTTGCTATCTCTGCCAGTCAACAAACGTTTACAGACCTAATGCGACAGATGAGAGTTTTTGGTCGGTAATAAGGATTAATATGAGATAAGAGAGCACATGGGGATCTATAAAGATGAGAGGAGAGACAATAGAAATAATGCTTTTACTACAGCGCGCTGAATTTGTGACTTCGATGACACAAGAACAGTGGAACGGACTCGAAGGTGATTATGTCTTCTTGTACAGTGGCAACACTTTTGTTGGTCGTAGTCATCGAGCTTCTTTGTCTCTGCAGCCACGTTCTTTGTTTGCCGCTTTGGTGATCCGCGAGCCGAGTTGCAGGACCCCTAAACTCTTGTTCTAGACTATTGACCGGCAACCAAAGCCATGCGAAATAGAGTAAAAACAATAATAATGAAACAAGACAGGTTTTGCATGGGCTCATTGCAAGGGTTGGGATAGAAGTGCGTGAAAGCAGTGTGCTCTGACCAGCAACGTATTTGGTATGATCTAGACTCAAATTTCTTTCTTGCTGTACCCTTGTGGTGCTCAGTACAGTATTCTCCCCCTTGTGTGATACCTCAATTCGTCAATCCGTTTTACATTGTTGGTTGTTGCTTGTATCTCGAGGCCTAAAAGAAGCACAAGCAGTGATCATAGTCCGTGCCATGCCAATTTTGCAATATGATCCGCCTTTTTCCTGCTCTGCTTGACAAAGCCCAAAGCTTTCAACTCAGAAATAGCGCGATAGAACAAAACTAGTGTGGTGCGTTCATCTAGGCCATCATCGTTGTTTTCGTCGCCGACGATTGCATAAAAGGCGGACCAAAGATCGGCGACGTTTATGAGCGATCCAGTTTCGAGATAGAGATGGTAGAGGATGGCTGTTGCAGGAAGCGTCGGTTTCATTTCGTCTTCCACAGAGCTGCAGCAAGAACAGCCCAGGTAATCGTGTGGCCGCGACAGAGCCCTCTCGACAACTGCGCGAGGTCGCGGAATGAAAACGTCTTTGTATGGTGTTTTGAGATCATAAAACCACACCTCGTGAAAGAGGATATCCTCAACTTTATCCGTCTTGAGCATCAACTTCAATAGGTCGACCAAACCTTCAACCAACCCTGTATACGCCTTGTCCTCCTCCGTCAGGTTAGCCGTGTCTTGGCTGAGCTGCACTTTCTGAGCGATGACTGTCGTCCGGAGAACTCTGTTATGACCACTATACTTGCTTTTTAGAGCAATGCCGTCTTCTTCGGCCGTTTCCTGGAGGATGCGGATCTCAACCAGAATCTTTGACAGCGCTGTCACACATCCATTGTCTTTTTCCACCCATCCGCTCAGGCCGGTGCTGTTGTCGCCATCTTGAAAGATTTCCAGGATGCGGGTAAGGAATGAGGTACTTTCATCAGGGCTAGCCCGCTGCACTGCGTCTATGAAGTCTTTGTGGTCGTCCAACATATCAATACCGTTGGCTATGGTGTCCAGATAAATTTGCACGAAATCAAGCTCGGTTGTGGGAAATGCTGTCAGGATATTGACGTTCCTGAGTAGAAGCTGTGTCCACTGATTATACGAATGCTGCTGCACCTTCAGGCGTTCGATAAGTGCTTTGTCGTCATCGAGTAAGGACTTCACAGTTTGAATATCTCCTGTGCTTAGAGTATGCTCAATGAAAGTGCGGAAAGACGGCAATGATCGCACAATATCGAATGTCTCTTTCGATAACAGGTCGTGCTCAAGGGTTGGCGCTAAGAAGACACTCAAGGGATTTGCGTAGTAGTGACACATGTATGTATACTGTCGACGGTCAGCTCGGTCAATCCCAGCAGAAAGGTATAACACTCACTTTTAAGGAGTTCACAAACATTGAAAGGCCAGCCACTTGCTCTTGCTGACGTTGCAGAAGAGCCTGGAGTAAAGATGAGCCAAGGCGCAGGGGTGCGTCAACGTGAGCGACAGCGGTCTTGAAAATCTTCTCTATCACAAATGTCGATTGTTCCACGTCGAACTTGTCGCCATAAAGGTGGTGACATGTGGACTTCAGCAACCGCGCCTGGAAAAGTTCAACGGACGTCGCCACTCCAAACAAAAGCGCGAAGGGGATTCGATCGAGCCAGGAGCTATGCCTCCTTGTCAGCAAAAGCTACCGCTATGGCAAGCTATAACTTTACCTAAACAATAAAATGAGATCCGACAGAAGGCCAGCCTCAAAAGCCTCACTATCCTGGAAGCAAATAATAATATGGGTTCGAGGGCTGACTTTGAGATGACTGTGAAGGGCCTCAAGGTCATAGTTTAGGTATTTACGTCCCTACAAGGTCAGCGAGTGGCAAGGGTATGCCCAAAGATAGAACATACATCTTTGCCTACCGCGACTTCAAGGTCATCGCCATCCTCCGTCGCCCTGGCAGTGACATCATGTATGATCTTCTTGAGGGCAGCTTTGAGGTTGGATGCATCTGCTGAGCGTAGTCGCACAACCTTTGCGTCGGCATGATCTTGCAGGGTCTCTGATAATTGCTCAAACAACAGTTCCTGCGAGGCGATATTTGCACCCGTGACAATGAAACCCGAGGGGATCTTGTCTTGGTCATCCCGAGCGGGCGATTCGCGGACAAACGATGTCACATTCTTCAATGTTGACTGGTTGGCCTCCCTCAGAACGTACTTGTCCACGTCGTTGTCAGTCTGTAGCTATCATAGTGACCACAGCCCAGCAGTGCGCTTACATGGATTCTTTTGTCGAGATTTAACCATGCTTCTTGGAAAAGGGTCTGTCGCAATCGCACAGTGGCTTCAACTTCGGCATCCGTTTCAAAGAGAGGCTGGAATAGTGTTGCATCTGCTTGTGTGGGCTCCTTCGGCACTTTGTCATGCTTTTTGGAGACCTTTCTGCGTTTTGCAGGTCTCACAGCTCCATCAGCTTCATCTGCAGGATCAAATATGTAGGCAGCCTGGCACCATTAGCATGGAACAAAAGGGGTTAGTGATGCAATTGAAGCGCCTACCCGGTGCTCCTTATCATCAAACACTTGAGACGATTGATCCTCGGAAGCCATTTCATTCCATGTCTGTCAGATGATGCCCTCCTACATTATGGCCAGTTCAACCGTGTACCAAAACGCGGCGCGCTTTGAGCTGCACTGCCGCGACTGCCAGGGGCCGGGTTCAAGTGCGGCTGGTCTGGCAAGGGGGTGTCCGCGCGCGCTAAGACCGCCAGGTGATATCACTGATAGCTTTGATAGCGCTGCAGTCCCCTAGAAAAAGTTTTGGTCTGAGGCAGCTTCCACCCAGTCTCTAGACGCCCATTTTCTAGACCTGCTCGTCACATCTCGCGGCGCATCGTGCCATGCCTTCAAAGACGCTACTGATAGAAAGAGGCTCAAAAGACTACATCTGCAGGTCCTGCCTTTCGAGCCTTGGGAGGCGACCTCCGCCAACGCCAGCACCATGGGCTATCCGACAAGCATCCCAGGCGGCAGCACGAGCCTCGACGCCTCGACGGAACAAGACACGAGCAATTGACGATGCCGAGCGCCTGAGAACTTTAGAGAAGCTTGGTCTTCTGAAGCGTGAGAAGGAGGAAGAACGGCCTACAGTCAACTATTTCCAGGAGGACGGTGGAAAGCTGCGGCGGCTCGCCAATGTAGAAGAGTTCAACGATGCCCTCAACGATCCTGGCGATCAGATGAAGACCGACTTGCAGACACTCGAGCGAGGCGCCGGCAGTGCCAAGAGCTACTTTGATATGCTGGAAAGGGCCGAAATACAAGAGAAGAACGCCCGCGACCAGGAAGGCTTGGAGCTGGCAATGAAGAAAGCCTTGTATACGACCAAGTCACTCGGCCCCGACGCCATCCACGCGCTGGATGATCTTTCACAGGATTTGGGCGACGAGCCCACTGGCGCAATACATATCAACATTGACATTAGCAAATGGCCCGTTCACCACAGAGAGAAGGTGACACGCTTGAACAACAACCTGCAACTTGCTGCCCGACAGCTCGATCGCGGCAATCTGAACAAACTCGGTTTTGCAGTTTGGAAATATTATTTTGGTGCCCGCCAGGCTCTGTCCAAAGACTGGACCGCTGTTCCTCCTGCCACCTGGGAGCTTCTGTGGGATATTTTTGCCACGGAATCGCCTCAAAACCCAAATCGCTGGCACCATGTCCATATTCTTGCCAAAGACATGAGCAAGGCCGGGGTCCAGCTTTTTCCAAAGCGCCAGTTGATGGCCATCGAGGCTCTGTTTCTGGAGGGGTGGCACAAGGAAGCCATGGAAAACCACAGGAGAAAAGTCACAACTTTAGGGACCGATCCTGAGACTTTCGTGGATTTCTGGCAACTCGGCCTGCGAATGTGCTGTCATGTTGGTGATCTGGATAAAGCGAAGCGTTTGGCTGACACCATCCTCGGCTCCTCCTACCAGTACGATATTCGTTTCTTGCTTCCACTAATCAGAGCATATGCACAGAAGCCTGAGACCGCGGAGAAGGCCCATGATCTATACAGGGTGGTCCAGGCAGGACTTGGCGATGCCATGACGATTGAGGACTATGATCTCATCATTTCTTTATTTCTGGTAGCCCAACAGCCTGAAAAGGCCCTGTGGATATTCGTCGAGATGATGACATCTGGTCGAGTTGACTTGCGTAATCTGGAACAACTCCCTCCCAGCGTTGCCAATGAGTTCTTCGTTGGCAAGTGGTTAAAGAGACTCATTGGCGTGGGCGATCTTGAAGGAGCTTACAATGCTTTACAACACATGAAAAGCAGAGGAGTCATGCCCAGACCAATGGTAGTCAATGTCCTCATTGGATCTTGGCTGCGCACAGGAGTAGCGGAGAATGTGGAAAGGGCAGAGCAGATCGCATGGGCCATGATCAATTCCAGACTTCAGTTTGTAAAGCTGAGGGCAGAGTCCCACAAGAATCAAGATGTAGTGTCTCTACCTGGAATGAAGATATCGCATAAACAGTCTGGTGCAGGTTGGCCGAAGGCCACCCTCGAGACGTTCTCTTTGCTCGCAGAGAACTATAAGGACCGCGGCGTGCTTTCCAAGATGGAAGAGCTCTGGGAGGCTTTCAAGCGAGCCGAGATGGGCGCCAACACATTTTTTATGAACCAACTGCTCTTCTCTCTGCTTCGCAATGGCCGTGGTCTGGAAGTCCCCAAGCTATACCGTGCTATGATACAGCAATTTGAGCACGACAAGCTCGGGCCCGATTCTTGGACCTTCCTCGCTCTCTGGCAAGCCTTACCGCCTAATCGTCTTCAGTCTTGGAAACCGGAGGACGTCACACAAAGCATTGTGGAAAGCCGGCGACTGTTTGCAGAAATGGTGAGCTTTGCTGCGAAATTCCAGGCTGATGATGAGGGTGTGAACTTCCAGCTGGCTAGGACGATTATGCACACTTTCCGTCAGCTGAAAGATCCCCTGAGCATGTTGGTCGCATTCCGAGCCTTGCGCCAGATATTCCAATTGAAGGACCCAGGTTCAATGGTGCTTGAAATGATTGTTGGGACAACGAATCTTGAAAGAGCGGCTGGGGATAGGAAAATGAGAAACAAGATCATGACGGCCACACAGCACACCGAGCAATTCTTGTCCCAGAGACAACAAGAAATGGTGGTAGACGGTGAACTAAGGAAGAATGAAGAGATGCCAGACGACGTCAGGTCTGCTGAGATGGCAGATTTCCTCGAGATGCATTTAGAGGCTGAACTCAACAAGATTGAGAACGCGGATGAGCTATTTGAGCAAGCAGCCCGGGACATGGGTGTTATATGAGCCTAACGTAGTTGTTAGGAAGGGCCATTTGTATAAGATGTATCATATACATCAAAGCTTGGAAATTGGCTGAGCTGATGTGCATTGTATATAACGACGACACATGTAACATTAACCCACAATACCCAAACAATGAGAATCTCACATTTGCATTTCAGTCACCTCCTACATCGTACAAGCACGAGAAAGCAGTCACTGTGGCTATAGGTAATCGCTTTTGGGATCTATATAAAGAGGAACGAAGCTCCTATCCACTCTCGTCTGTTTCTTTATTCTTCAGACTATCCAATCACAACATACCTTTGATTATAGAACGAACCATCTTTAGCGTGCTTTACTTTTTTTTAGCGTGATTAGCGTAGGTTATATGATTAGAGGTGCTCTCATAACTATGATATATGAAATGTGATCTGAACACTACTCAAGGAACTAATGGGTGCATGACTTCCGCCTACTTAGCGAGTACAGACACCCCCAGATTATGATGCACAGTTCATTAAATAATACATTATCTAGACTTCATGTCCAAATGCTCGCCTCCCAAAAGAAAGAGCAAAGAAGAAAAAGTAAAAGAAAGGACCGAACCTGAGCATAGGATTATCGCCAATTCCAAGCAGATCATATCGCCGACCTCTAAGCAAGATCATATCGCCGGCTCCAAGCATGATGACATCGTCGACTCTGCGGTCCCACTGAAAATTATTGCACATTGTGATTAAAAAATAGAACTTCTGTGTCCACAATGGAAGTTACCTTGCTCATCAACAAGCCTCCAACCAGGAAAAAACAGAACACACGTCCTGAATAAGTTCAAGATTCTCGCCCAACAGACAAAGGCACACAATCTCAGGATACACGGTGAGATATGCCATTAACCCACTTGGTCTTTTGTTCACAATAGTAACTTTTTCGTCTCGGAGCAAGAGCTCGTCGGTGTCCGTCTTCAACTTGCAGCCTACTCATCGCTTTGAGAGGCTTGCCTTGTGTAAAATGCCTGCCAAAGATCAAGTTGCCCCAGCACAACCACACAACACAACACGACGACGAGGTGATATCAAGGCGCTGGTTCAGTTAGTCATCTCTCTCATTTCTTTACCTCTCCAACTCCCCTACTGCCGCCAACCACACTACAACGACATCCTCATCCTCTTCTCCTCTGCCGTATCTTCATGTTATACTACATCATGATCTGACTCCTCTTTTCCTCTGTTGCCTCTTAATATCATACCACTATACTCCGTTTTGTGAGATCAAGGCGCCGGTCTAGTCATCTCTCTCATTTCTACACCTCTTCAATTCCCTTATTGATATTCGTCACACTACAACAGCATCCTCATCCTCTTCTCCTCTGCCGCATCTCAATATCACACCATCATACTCCTTGTATATCGACCTAGAGACAAGCTCTAAATCCTTATGCCTCATAGGCATCGTTGATCTGCGCATGCGGCGGAGACTCTGCACAGCCCGAGGCTTTTTGGCTGACTTTTCAGCTTGGATTTGAACAATCGCATTGTTGACATTGCGCTCGCTTCAGTGCGACTTTGGCACTATCTGAAGGTCTGGAAGCATTCTGCGCAAGTATAAATGTACATATCATCTATAAAATCCAACAGGATCAACAAAGACTAACCATGTGGAAGTAGCAAAGTACATTCGATGTGTCGCCGAGGATTGTCTCACCAAAGTACGACATTACACTCGCCCGGTTGAGAGACATTGTCCTGCCAGCCCATCATGTGGTGAGTGGTTATTGTGTTTCGTTATCTCAAAAAGCATCGATACCCAGCCTCAAGAGCATGGATATGTTACCCAGCCTCCACTCCCTAGCCTCTCCCTAGCCTCTCCCCAGTCTCCAAGTAACGTCACGTCGGTGATTGCGGAACTCGTCGAGCTCCCCCCTGACAGGGCCAAGCGTTTCCCCCGCAATCCGCCAGTTTCAAGGCGAATGCAGGTCCCCGCATGGTGTGTTTCCGACGACTTACACTAGCTTTCCCATCTCCATCTCCATATCCATTTCCATCCACATATCCATCTCCAACCACTTAACTTATCCCCGGCGATAGCTTGGGGGGGAAGACCCCTCAGCTGATCATCATCCAAGCCCACTCTCCAACTCTCCTCCCTATTGCCTCTATCCTCCTTATTGCCTCTATCCTCGTGGTCATGTTGCACATTGGACCAATTGTGATTGATTTCATAACCTAATTGTATGCTCGGCTTTGAGCATTTTTTATCCCCTCGCAAGATCCATCCGCTTAAAAGCAACTTATCAGCTGCGAATGATTCCCTAGCTAATCAAGGCCACCATCTTACAGTGACCACAAGTACTGGCGTATAGGCCCAGCCAGCATCTTCCAATCCATTGCCAACCAAGTTCCCGTCTCTATCGTGATCAATATGGGTGGCGAGCGCACTCCACAGCCCCAGCCGGCTTCCACTGCCGCCGCGACTTCCAACTATCCTGTTCTAGCTGCCGGTCCAAAGGGTAAGAAGATATCAAAGATCTACATAGAAAGAATCGCACAGTTCTACTCAACAGGACAATGGGAGAAGCAGAACCTGCTGGCCATGATGTACGAGGGCAAGGCCTCTGGCCCTCCTCATGTACAGCTTTCGACTTGGGCTGCTCCTGATCTGTCGAGGCCTACCTTCGACGAAGCCGCCAAGGGCAAGTATGAGCCTACACACGTCGGAGAGTCCTTCGGTCCCTCTTGGTCGACGCATTGGTTCAAGGTTGTTATCAAAGTCCCGGAATCCCTGCTTGAGAAAGAACACCTGGAGCTGCAGTGGGACGCCAACAGCGAAGGTCTCATCTGGACGGAAGACGGAAAGCCGTTGCAGGGACTCACTGGCGGCGGTGAACGTGTAGAATGGATTCTGCCCAAGAACTTCCGGGATGGTAAGGAGCACACCATTTACATTGAAATGGCTTGCAATGCCATGTTTGGTAATGCCCCCGGCGGTGACTCTATTCAACCTCCCAATCCCAACAAGTACTTCCAACTGGTGAAAGCGGAGATTTGCGCCGTCAACATGGACGCTCGACAGCTTTGGATCGACACTTGGATCATTGGCGATGCGGCAAGGGAGTTCCCAGAGGACTCTTGGGAGCAGCACAAGGCATTGACCGTTGTTACTGAGGTCATTGATGCTTACAAGCTTGGCGACAAGGAATCCATCAAGAAGGGCCGCAAGATTGCCGAAGAATACCTTGGCTCAGACGTCAACTCTGCCAAGGTTTACAACAGCGGCAAAGTGCCTCAAGTTTTTGCTATTGGCCATTGCCATATCGATACCTGCTGGCTGTGGCCGTGGGCAGAGACCAAACGCAAGGTCGCTCGATCATGGTCCAACCAAATTGATCTGATGGAGCGCTACCCTGAGCTGAACTTTGCTTGTTCCCAAGCACAGCAATACAAGTGGCTTGAGCAGTATTACCCTTTCATATTTGACCGGGTCAAGACAATGGTCAAGGAAGGAAGGTTTCTTCCCATTGGCGGCAGCTGGGTCGAGCACGACACCAATATGCCCAGCGGTGAGTCCCTTGTGCGTCAATTCGTGTATGGACAACGGTTCTTCCAGAGCCGTTTTGGAGCGCGTTCCAAGACTTTCTGGCTGCCGGACACCTTTGGATATTCGAGTCAATTGCCTCAACTCTGCCGCCTTGCCGGGATGGACCGCTTCCTCACCCAAAAGCTCAGCTGGAACAACATCAACAACTTCCCTCACACGACCTTCAACTGGGTTTCTCTTGATGGCAGCCAAGTTATCTGTCATATGCCTCCTTCCGAAACTTATACTGCTGAAGCCCATTTTGGTGACGTGAGCCGAAGTATCTCGAAGCACAAGTCGATGGACCAAGATCATACATCACTGCTCGTGTTTGGCAAAGGTGATGGCGGTGGTGGCCCTACATGGCAGCATATCGAGAAGCTTCGCCGCTGCCGTGGCATCAGTGATAAAGTCGGTCGTCTTCCCCGCGTTCACTTGGGCAGCACGGTGGACGAGTTCTTCGATAAGTTGCAAGAAAAGGGCGTTACGCTAGTGACATGGTATGGTGAGCTATACTTTGAACTTCATCGTGGAACCTACACAACTCAAGCCAATAACAAGCTGAACAATCGACGCTCGGAGGTCATGATGAAAGATCTCGAATTGCTTGCTACCATCGCATCACTTGAACACAAAAATTACAAGTATCCCAAGGCAGCCTTTGACGAGATTTGGGAAGGCATACTCCTTTGTCAGTTCCATGACTGTCTTCCCGGTAGTTCGATCGAAATGTGCTATGATGACTCTGACGAGGTAAGCTCCCTAAGTATTGCCGCATGCTTATTTTCCCTTTTCCCCTCTTCTTTTCTTCTTCTTATTGGTACGGTGCGCTAATTACTGATAGCTTTATGCTCGCATCACCAAAATTGGTGAAGGCGTGCTGAAAGACATATACAAGCTTTACAATTTCCCCGAGGTTCAGCCAACATCTGTTGCTGGCGCTGTAGCACTGAACACACTTCCATGGCACCGAAAGGAAGTTGTTGACGTCTCTGAAACAGAGTGCGGAGTCGCTTGTGGCTCAGGTAATGTCATGAGCGTCAGGGCCTTCAAAACCGGCGACAAGAAGGCCGTCACTGTGAAAGAAGTCAAGAAAGGTGTCTTCGTTATGGAGAATGAGCAGCTTACCGTAACTGTGGAGGCCGGCGAGATCAGTTCGCTAATCGACCGCAAAAATGGACGTCAAGTCATCGCAAAAGGTGGTTATGCAAACAAGTACGTTTTGTTCGACGACAAGCCGTTATACTGGCAAGCTTGGGATGTCGAAGTTTACCACCTCGACACCCGAAGGGAACTTCCTTCTGGCGAGACGAAGATTTATGAGGACAAGGAGCACCGTGTCAGTGTCGTTACCGAGACGAAGATCAGCGATGAGAGCTCGATCAAATCTGTCCTCACCTTACAGGCTGCTTTTGAAGGATACCAGTCATATGTCGAGTGTACTAGTTACGTCGATTGGCATGAGACCATGAAGTTCCTCAAGGTCGAGTTTCCTGTTGACGTTGTCAACAACGAGGCATCATACGAAACCCAGTATGGTATCGTGAAGAGACCAACTCACTACAATACCACTTGGGATATGGCCAAGTTTGAGGTCTGTTGCCACAAATTTGCTGATTTATCAGAGCACGGCTACGGTGTCTCGATCATCAACGACAGCAAATACGGCTTCGCTACTGTCGGCAACCTGATGCGCCTGTCTCTGCTCAGGGCACCCAAAGCTCCTGACGCACATGCAGACATGGGTACGCACAAGATCAGATGGGCCATTCTGCCGCACGAGGGCGCTCTCGGACCCACAACTGTCCGCACCGCTCACAACTTCAACAACCCCTTGAAAATCACGGCCGCGCCTGCAGCAGAGGTCAAAGCAACTCTCAGTACTCAGTCGGTCAAATTGAGCGGCGACCTTTCCCTGATTCTCGACTGCGTCAAGCGTGGCGAAGACGATGAGGATGTTTCTCAGGATGAAAACATTCCGAAGCGGAAGGGTAAGAGTGTGATCCTTCGTATTTACGATAGTTTGGGCGGCCACAGCCGAGGCACGGTCTCGACAAAATGGAGTCTGAAGAAAGTCACAAAGACCAATATTCTTGAGGACGATCTGGAGGATGTTTCGCTCGATAAGGACGGCAGCTTCGCCATTAAGCTGAGACCTTTCGAGGTTGCTACATACAGATTGGAGGTGTGAAGGGTATGATGGCACTGGTATGACTTGGAATAGTATCGTAAGTAGAATGTAGCAAATGACACCAATCCCTATTATGTACATGTAAGACGTGTGTCAACCCCATGCATCTACCGTGTTTTTAATTGTGTGACTTCGAACTTGGTTCACATACCGGGTGGTGGCGTCACTGGGTAGCTCAATGTCATGTCCCAAGCTAGTGGTACAGGTCCGGTCCTGCCTCTCTTTCTATGAATGATCTTTAACACCCGTCGTTGTTGGCTCTCGTCGAGCTGTGAAAAGCTATTAAGGACCGCATCCACAGCAGAATCCTGAGCCGGGTGCACACCTACTTCGCTGTATGAGTATGGTGCATCATGCCTAGTATCATGTGTGCCTTGTGACTCCGCTACATGAGAGACGCCGTAATGTTCCTCAAGAAGTGTATCCTCTGGCGGCGGATATGAAGATATCAGAGGCGTGAGACCAGGATGGAGCTGACTTTCTAGCAACGGGACATTTGCCGGGTGATAGATGTCCACCAAGCCGTGGTGAGCGTCGAATACATAGCCGTCCTGGCCGAGGGCACCCATCCACAGGTTATCGAGTGAGTCGCTCACTACACCTCCGTAGTGGTTCGTGAGATCCGACATCCCGTCCGCTATATTAGGTGGCCACAGCGGTGCCGTCGCATCTGACACCGGGAGCGCTTCTGGTGCCGGTAGCGGGCTTCCCGACGAGTCCCTGCTGCTGCTGCTGCTGCACATGACGGATAGTGCGCAGTCGCCGGCGTCGCTCGGAGAGCTCGGCGACGAGTCTGCTACGTCGTCGGTCTTCAGGATCTGGTCCAGCAACGCTAGTCTTTGTTTGCGTTTTTCTCCTGATAATATGGTTGATGGCGTTAGCATATAAGAGCGTGATGTGTCTGTTTCAGGACGAGGGCGACCGGCGACGGAGCAGAGCGGGCGGGCGGACCGGATGCGCCAGGAAACTGTGGGAAAGGGGGCAGATAGATAAGGCTAGACGTACTATAAGCTCGAGATGCTATCCGGTTTTGTTCCTTGCGCGCCTCCGTGTTCCTGGGTTTGGGCGGCTTGTCGCTGCTTCCTTCACTATCCATGCCTTGTGTCATTGTTCGTTGTGCGAAACTCCCAAATATGTAGAGGCCGGGTGGTAATTGGTCGGAGATGCCTCCGTTATATGACTGGGAAATAATCAGGGGGGACCCCCTTATCTCTATTTTGTTTTTTAGGCAATACAAGTCCTTCGTCATCAACATAAACTGTTCAATATGGCGGCCTTCATGGGCCAGGGGTTCATTATCACCATTGTCAACCGTGGAGCGACTAATTGCGTCGAGACCTCAGAAAGTAAGCTATCCAAGGAGAACATCACATTAAACTTCGATAGAAGCCATGTCACACTTCCACTGCCCCCGCTCCAAAGTTCCAAACGTGGAGACATGATTTGCAACATCACCTCGCAATCTACGCCTCTGGATCCAGGAAAGCACAGAAGGGCGGCCGGGCAAGGATTGTAGCTAGTTCGAGGTGTTTCATAAACGAGCATATTTCGCGATCCTGATCGGCATACGGCACGGTCACGCAGCTTGGTTTCTATTGGCGGATGGTCGTTGGCGAGCTGTTTAGTCATGTTCCTCAGCTGCGGTATCGAAATAGAATCGCCGCCCGCAGCCGAATATCAGTACGTCTGCTATAGAGTACAGGGGGCCCGGTCCCCCACCGTTTCTGTTGAGCATTGGTGGGCTAACCGAAGGAGCGTCTGAGTCAGATCGGAGGGCATGCAGTATTGATACGTAGGTATGCAGGAAGAATGGGCCCACCGGGCGCGGAGTATACAAATGTGTAAAACATACTTCGGCAATATTCACTAGCAGCCCGAAGACGAGCGGGACAAGAGGTGTGAGGGCAGGGGTAATCATCCCTGAGCCTGCAGGAGGTGTCAGCACTTTGGCTCATTCTGACGAGGATTGAAGTGAGAGGTTATGAACATCCCGGTTGACGGCATGGCCCATGCGTCTGCTCGTATAAATTCCGACCAATCACAGAAAGCTCATCGCTATACAAAACTAAGACCCTGCGGGTTTTCGACCTGACTGGAATATTGGTTTACAAACAGGTTCCTGGCACGCCGCATGCCCCGCTACATTTCGCATGCACATGGTAGAAAGTCGCAAGGATTACATACGAAAGAAGAAGAAAATGCCCTTTGGTAGCTTCATAAGGGCCAAGGGATAATTCCAATAGCAGATAGACAAACCCAACCGTATTCGTAGAGCGACACTGCAGATGAGCTACCACTCATCAAGACATGGCAATCTGTCTCCTGTACTACGAGAATTCATCTATAGCAAAATTACGGGCCTTTCCTCCTACAAGTCCAGCATGCTACCTCACGAAGAGATCTCCTATTCCTATCTTTAATCCTTAATTTTCTTCAAACCGAAAACTTTATTTAATTAGACATAGTATGATGTTATATCCTGTATCGTCATCACTGCTATGGTTTTCAATCGACACATCATCAATCAGCAGGGCTCAGTCTGGATGGACGGCGTGGTAGGTATCAGCCAGTGCGGAATACGTCAGGCCAGAAGTTTACGTTCTCACAATGCAGCACACAGTACGAAGCCGGTTGACGAAGACCCCATAGTATTTACAGATGCAAGAAAGTCCTGAATCACAAGAGGTCGACGGAAGCGCATTAGCATCAAGAGTCCAGTGGCATCAGGGGTCTCGTTTACAAGATGAGAGAAACGGTGACAAGTGGCCAGAGCCTCATCATCGTACCGATCGCAGGACAATAAACGGGAGCTTCTACACCCGGCGCCTCCAAGCCAGCACAACCACGAAGTCCCCGAACCGTGAAACATCGAGCCACATTCGATCTGTCCCAGCCGCCCAGGTTGTGACGATCAGTAATGATGAGAGTGAAGAGCAAAATAAGTGATGACTTTCAGCAGAGGTCCTCAATCGTTCCACTGATATACTATACAATGAATGACCTTGAATTTCACTGTGCGTTCGTCATCCTCACAGTTAAGCATGGCACTAGGGACCTAATCTGGGATCTAATAAGTAGCCACAATTAAACCAGTACATGTTTAAATTGTGTAATTGCGTACATTTTCCATATGTGATGCTTGCTTGACTACCACTATCTTGCCAGTTTGACATTCACAGGTCAATAACGCTTGACTGGTGATCCGTCATACTATGGTGTTCCAGAAGTCTGCGGATAGTGTTTGGAGTCTATCATCCGAGACCAGCCACCTATGCTGGTGTTGGTGGTGCCTCAGAGTCCGCCGCAGGCGTATCACCTTCTTCGTCACCGTATGCGTTGTCAGTCTTCCGCAGGTTCTCAGCATTGTAGAGGATGTTGTCTAGCTCGGCTCTCGTAGCTTCGAGACCTTTCACATCTGTCTTTTGGTACTTGATCTCGGAAGGCTCCCACTGCTCTGAAGTGGTTTGAAAAACTGCCAGTTGAGCGCCGACGTTCTCAAGGCCTTCTTCGCTGTCCACTCCGACCACCAGGCGTGCGGGACGAGATTCCGAGGCAGGGAGTAGGGTAACATCTAGAGCGTTTCTAGCCAATCGAAGCGTTTGTGCGAATGTTAGTCCATCGGTAGTGAGACGGAACGCAAACACAGCCGGGACGCTGTTGGGTATGAAGTTAGCCGAACGGAACATAAAGTACACACCGAAACAGATGTAATGCTCTTACCGCTCGCAAATAGCAAACACGAAACCATCTCCTGATGATACAAGCTGAGTCACAGCGACCTTGCTTGCATCAGGCACTACCTGTCGAACATGATTCAATAGGTCCGCCTTCCCTTGCAGGACACCAGACCGCCAATCCCACACATATAACTCATTATCTCCGCCTCCAGACACCAGGATGTCCTCTCGCGCAAGGCATAGCGCGTTGACGAAAGCTGTGTGTCCCAGACAAAAGTTCTCAATGACATAAGACTGTGGTATACCACGAGACACCCGTATATGCTCATCACGGTCTGCCGTGATGATATAGGGCTTGCCCTCTGCCGAGGCGACAGTAACAGAGGTGAGCATGGACACATGCCCGATCAGGAGTTCATGTACAAATGTGGGCACCTCCTTGGTCTTTGGCTGTGGATTGTGCTGCCGTTGGTGCTCCTGGTCTATCAAGGCTTTCAGGTTGCGCTGAGTGTGCACCGTGAAACTGTTGGGACCCTTGGCTTCCAGCGGCCGAGGAGCCTTCGGGGTTTCTGTTCCCTCAGAGCTGGCTGATGGTATTAAAGGCAATGAATAAACGTCACCAAACTTGTCAGCGACCAGAATTGTGTTGTTATCTGACGTTACGGTCAAATCACATGGTCGTTTAGGCATAGACCTGGACAGCATTAGATTTGATCGTATAGAAGTTCAAGGGCGTATGAGGTGTAATTTACCGCTGGCTGAGCTCCTTCAACTGCCCCTGGCCATCATGCTGGAAAACCCAGATAGCCTTGTCTGTGCCCGTCACAGCAATAAGGTGGCTTCCCTCTTGAGTTGCTCGGAGCATAATGACATGAGGCTGTTCTTGACCTTTGTAGTCAGAGGGCTTGGTGGAACGTCTCCCCTTTTTTGCCTTAATTTGGTCGCTGCCTTTAGCATCGCCTTCTGCAGATACCTTTCCCTCTTGAGTATCCGCGGTTACAGCCTGCACACCAGCCTCTGTTTCTATTTTCCGTCTCTTGGTAGGCGAGGAAGTCTCGCCTTGGTCCGCTTTGACAGCGCCATCAGCGCCATTTTCTGTGGCATTATCCGCAGCGGTGGCTTGGTGCTGCGTTGCTGGGTGCTCCCATGAGGAAAGCACTGACCCATCGGCTCCGAATGTGAAGATGCTGGTGCCCCTTGCGGCAGCTACGATGCCGCTCTGCCCAAGAGCAGCAACACACTGATATGGTAAGTGCATGTTCTGCGCCAGCGGACAATCCTGTAAAATCGTCTAAGCCGATATTCGAAAATTTGATCTCACAGATAAGTGTGTGCCTATGTGAAAATATCGAAAATGCAGCAGATGGCAATTTCCCCAAGAAGTAAGAAAGTGTTTATCATAGAACTGCTGCTCCGTCCTAATTGATATCTGTGATGCAGTGAAATGTGCGTTCCCTTAATGTAGTTCATATTAAGAATTTGCTGCACGATTGAAGATATTTGCGAAAGTGGGGCACTACCACAGTTATTGCATTGTACAGCTGATGCCGCACGGATAAGAGCATACAAACATACTTTTCACATCATCTCACTCTTCGCCCATCTTTTAATTATAGAGTGCAACCACTCTGAAGACACCAGATACGCCCACGCCAGCAGAATGGCAGATTCGTCGGAAGAGGAGGACTACATGTCCATGGCGATCCCGGACTCGGACCCCACTTCTGCCATCCCCGAGACCTCGCTGCAGCGGCGCCAACGCCTCAAGCGCGAGGGCGAGATCAAGGGTCGTCCCAAATCCAAAGAAGAATTGGCGGAGGATGCGAAAGCTGCGCGTGAGGACGCGTTGTCCAAGTCTCTGCTGGAGGATGATCCGTACTCTGGCGCGGCCAAGAAGTCAAAAGGTTTGTCGATGATGAAGAAGATGGGGTTTGCTGGCGGCGCGCTCGGCGCGAAGGATAATGAAGGTGCGAAGACGGAACCGATCAGACTGAACCTTAAGGATGATCGTGGCGGTATTGGACTTGACGCCGAGAGGAAAAGGGCGCTCAACGAGGCTGCGGAGCGGGAAGGCGTGAATAAGAAGCCCAAGGTCGTGGACGAGGGCGAGTTCAGAGAACGGAATCGGAGAGAGAGGGAGATTAAGCGCTGGGAAGGTCAGGTCTACGGTGCACAGAAGGTGTGCGAGCGCATGGACGAAGAGCGGGACGCAGAGTTGAAGACTCAGGGTGGGAAGCTAAACGGAGAGGAAGAGGTTGACGGCAAGAAGAGAACGCTGTCTACGAGGCCGCTAAAAAGCATTAATCTGCTGTGGCGCGGTTTGGTAAGACAGAGAGAAGAAGCAGATCGTGAGCGACGTATGCGATATGATCTGGAACAAAGTTTGTCACGGCTGCCGACATATGAGGACGATAACGAAGACGCCGATGATGTCGAAGCACTAGGAAGAAGCAAGACGGCTTACGTGCCGGTAGAGGATCTCGAGGAGGAAGACCCCGAGCTAGACGAATTCAACGCCATGGAACCCGACCAGAAGCTGCACAGGCTTGTGGAGTATCTAAGAAAGGAATATCAATATTGCTTCTGGTGCAAGTGCTCCTATCCAAGCGAAGATATGGAAGGGTGCCCAGGCACAACAGAGGACGATCATGATTGATCATATTGATCAACACATCCATCAACGAAGCTAAGCAAAAACAATGCTAGCAATGTACAAATATTCCTCTACAGGTCATCAGCAGCATCGAAGCTTAGACTCGTGCTTTATTCGTACAAGAAGCCTTTACCATCCATTTCTCATTATACAGAGTCTTAACGCTAATTACATATCTATATCTGTGAGGAATTGGCGGGTCAAGACCTTTGACAGACCGGCAACCTAATCGAAACACCAAAGTGGTGCAAGAGAAGAAAAAGGTGGTATCATCGCTATAGGAAGTCGCCAGTGGGAAACAGGATATTGCAATCCAGGTACACGCAGGAAATAATGAAGCAGGTGCAAGACAGTAATCGAATGTTCAAGCTTTGTCTGCTGCTGAAGAGAAATCCAATTAGAAAGCATCTTCTAGCGGACAGTCGATACTGTCATGTCCATCCCTCTCGCAAAGTGCACACCACTTCTCTGGATCGACAACACCGCTATCTTTACCGGCTAGTGGCCCTGAATCTGTTGGGTTTGGCAATATATTGACTTTGGCCGGCGGCGGGTTTGCAGCTGGCGTGGATTTTACTGGCGTCAGAGGCCGAGGCATGAACTCGGCATCGGCACCGGGCACATTGAGATTGGATAAGCCTTCTTTCACGTCATCTTTTCCAGTCCGTACGGCCATGGGACTGCCCTGCTTGTGGTCGGCACCAAACATTTGCGAACAGGTCAGCACGTCATGACCACCGGTCTCGCATATCTCACACCAGAGAGTACTACTCTCGGTGACGGAGGAGTATGTATCGCTTTCGACCATGGTGTCCATTGTAGGTACGCGCTTGTGCTTGGGCGATTGTGGCTCGCGGGCCAAGATGACGGTACCTTTTGAGTCGCGGTACGAGTTTCGGTCGGTGCTGCCCACTGTCATGGCGCTGCCACGGTGAGTTGTAGCGCTGTTGCGGCGCAGTACCTCGAGTTCGCGCTCAAGCTCCTCCTCACGAGAGTTCTTGTTGGCGACAAGGGTGCGGAGGTCATTGACTTCGCGTTCGATATCGGAAGCTGGCCTGGACTTGGTGGCGGAATTATTGCGCTGCAGCGTTGGGGGCTTGTCGGGCGATTCGTTTCCAGCGATACCATCTCGGCTGAGAGAGTGGATGATAGCTTTGAGACCTCTAATCTCATCGTCCTTCTTCTCCAGCTCTTTCGTTGAAGATGAGGCATCTCCATTGGGGCTGCCATTAGCAACAGCAGATGCCTTTTCCCGCTCCTTTCGCAGTTCGGCCCTCGTCCTTTCGACCTCCCCGCGGAGAAACTCGACTTCACCACGTGCTTCGGCCTCGCCTCTTCGAGCATCTTCAAGGCCTTCCTCGAGCTCTTGAACAAGCTCTTCAAGTTGTTTGAGTTGCCGAGCAACGCTGTCGACATCCTCATTTCGGTCTTGGAGTTCGTTAATCTCCTGTTGCATTTCTTGGATACGTGCATCATATACTCGCTGTGTCTCAGTACTGGCCATCTCCAATGTATCGATTGTACTGCGGAAGTCAGCTCGATGCGCGTCGAACTCTGCCGTAAGCATGGCGATCTTGTCGTTCTTCTCTCTCAGCAGAGCTCGGAGCTGCGATGTGTCCTTGTCATCATGACTATCCCGCCCCAACTGACTGACATCTGTATTCTCCATTAACGACGTGAGTTCCTGGACGCTGCTCTCCATTTCAGCCAGTGCAGATGCCTGATCTTTAAGCTGCATGTCTCGGTCGGCGAGTTGGTTTCGAAGTCGTTCCAGCTCTTCCTCATCTGCCGCGGCAGCTCGAGAGGCAGGGCGCATCTTCATACTGCTCATAGACCCAATGCTTCCATTCGTCTTGGGTCGGTTCAGCGGTGTGATTTCGTCTTCATCGAAGTTGGGGTTCCCAATCTGGCCGAGAGCGGATGCGCTGCGTGGTACTATACTGGGCTTGCGTTCGAGCCTGGAGGGAGGCTTTGCGGGGTCGCCGGCGGTACCGCGGACACTGGCCGAGAACTTGCCGATGGAGGGAGTGCCATATCGCGGGGGCCCAGTGGCTGGACCTGGTGTTGTCGTCGAAGCACGAGGAGGCGCTGGAGTGAGCTGAAGCCTCCGCACGGGCGATTCAGGCCGCGGCAGAGAAGCTCTAGATGACTTGCCGGACGGGCTTGCGGCTCTTCCGGGGCCTACAGATCGACTGAACTTTGGCAAAGATGGTGTTGGAGGCGTGTAGTTGACGGTGTTGTGATTTGCAGCTTTGAGTGCGCTGGGTGTCAAAGGGTAGGACCGGCCGGATAACGTGCCGGAACTGTGTTTGAAGAGCTTGGTGACAGGCACAAAGATACCGGCGCCGGGTTGCGACGTGGTAAAATAGGATATCCTGTGGAGGCGCAACCATTAGTAAACAAAGGCGGGCGGAAGGTAAACCAGAGAGGCTGCGCAATGCGTTGGGTAGTTGGCGCAAAGGAAGCAAGATGACGGGGATAAAACTGCAGAATCATGAATGACTTACCCGTCGACATCTCCATTGTTCTTGCCGCGCTCCGCGAAATCGGCATCCAGCTCGACTCCGGCGAAGGTGCCTTTCCTCCCAGCCACGGAACCAACAAAACGGACGGTGCCGTACATGTTGCCAGGAACATCGACAGCGTCGCCGATGTCGAAGTCGTCGGCAGGGACGGGCCGGCCGGGGGTGAGGGGCATCTTGCGCGGGCTCACACTCTCGTCGTGGTTCAGGATGGTGTCGAAGGGGTAGTTCTCGTCATCAGGTATGGCGGCCAGGGATCCCGGGGTCAGCGCTGCGTAAGAAGCTTTGCGCGCAAGAGAGCCTCCTGCGGCGGAAGCTAGCCTGTTGTTGTTCTGGGCGGAGAAGAGCGAGTTCAGATTGGGCGTGGATGTTGTGCCGACGGCGCCTAATCCTGCTTTTCTGGCTGAAGCTCGAGAAAGGGTTTTTGCTCTCTGATGGTAGGGCGTTGTTGATGTTGTCGCGGTTGGAGACATGGTGGGCAACTCCAATTTTCCCGGGTCCCCCTCAGGACCTCAGGGACCTCAGGGCCTTGGAAGCTTTCGGGGGGTGCTAGTGGTTACTGCAGCAGCTGCACCTGCACCTGCACCTTCGCCTTCACTTTGTCCCTTCTTCCTCGCTACTACTACTGTACGTGCCCGCTCGCTGCCGCCGGATAGATCAAATCGCTTCCGAGTTTTGCTGTTGCTTTTCCTTCTCCTTTTGCTTTGTTCTCCTCCAATCCACCACACCAATCTCAAACTAGCTGCGACAACGAGCTGGCCCAAAAGACGGCCTTTTCCTTTCGGGTAGGGGCCAGGGTAGCTTGTGTTACGTGCTATGTGCTATGTGCTATGTGCCGCCACACATTAACAGGCAGAAAGAAGTCGCCAGGATGTTAAAGGTATAAATGTGTAAGATAAGTATTGTAGAATCAAGGAAGATGTCTACAGCCCGTGCAACATGCCAGTACAACTCCAGAGATGACGGTCAAGACACCAAGGTCTGCGGTATGCTTCTCGGGGTAAGAGGAAGATATATTTGTTGCCAGTGGCTTTCTCTCTTGGAAGTCGGACAGTGGAAAAAATAAACTTAGGATGAGAAGTTCCTCGGCCGCCAAATCGTTATCGCAATGGGGCCTGCGCCTACGTCTGCGTCCCCGAGCTTATGACCGTGCAGCTTCCGAATTACAAATCGTAACCTAGTTGCAATATAGAAACCAAGGGTAAGAACAGATGTGAGGCTTCAGCTGTTTCTGGAAAGAAAACAAAATACTCCAAAATGATGCGCAGTGAGGGTCAAAACTGATCAGCTGGGCGGTCAGCGTTGCTGTGCCAGAGGTGGATGTAAGTGGTTGGTATAATCTGTATAATTGAGCACAGCCGAGCAGCCGGTCATCAACGCACAGGGGGAATCGTTGGGCTTCGCGTCTGAACTGGTGGGGAATCAGCAGAAGTTGTGGTTTCTGCCTGTTATAATAATACATAAGTAGCTGAGCTCCTCAGTAAGGTTGTGTTTTGTCATGTATCTACATCACATCAGAGCGGGAACCCACCGTTACTCTCGTATGATTCAGCGCCTACAAGCCAATCGATATGATCCTGCAGATGATGACCCTGAAAATACACCCGCATCAACACAGCGTCCAGGATATGTGTTGACCCTCTTGCATCATAGTTCACACCACGAAACGAATAACGTTGCACCAAGTACACAGTTGCAATTACAATATGTAGCTAGAGATGTAACAGGGTTAATTGCTATTGGAAAACCACCAGCTGCACCCGCCTACGCAATGGAGTACAACCTTTCGTAGCTGAACGAAGCCCATTGGCTTGCCCCATAGATTATTGTGCAGCTGTGAGGTGCAGAAGCGCCAGTCCGAGCCTGCAGTAGATTTGTTTACATTTGGTTTGTTTACGACGCGGGGCCTTGGGTAGCTGCGTTTTGACCAGTTGAACATGATTGTCATACCGAAATGAACGAGAAAGATCCTGAAGCACGCAGGCTCCCTTACAAGCATCTTTCTTGTTCAAGCACCGACATATGTACACCATTGGCCGAATTTTGATTCCAAACTCAATTTCGTCATTCCCAAGAGTTTTGTAGGGGTTCAGGTGCTTGGACCACAAGATTACCGCTAACCTTGGGCCACTTAAGCTTGAGGCGCAGTCCAGGGGTTATCCTGGACCAACCTTTTGTTTCTATGCCTGATTTTTGTGTTGCTGCGACGCTAGAAAGTTCGGTACATGACAACCGACACAAGCCTATGCCCCCAAGTCGTTTACTGACGCAACAATAACAATGGTTGGAAAGTCTGAGCAGAGAGATCGCAGATATACTATTGTGTCAGCAACTTGAATGGTCGGAATCGAAGCAATGACAGCTTGCACTTTGAGGCTTGGATTGTAGCAGTATCATAAGATTGTAGAGTACCAGACGTAGAACACCTAAAAGCAGGGGGCTGAGTGCTCCAAGGTTCTTTGATGCCCGACCCGGCTCCCTGTGAGCGATTCTGTGTCACCAGATCTACTCTGAGAGCATTCACAGCTTAGGCTAAAACAGGTACATATGCTACAAACGCTGTGACGTTCTAGGTTCTAACGTTTCCAGCATGTACGACCAAAAACCTTGGTGCATTTGGCCACTCGCTGACGAGATTATCTCTCGCTCAAAAGTTCCCCAACGTTGTGTGGATTTTCATGACAAGAAAAGTGCTTCCAGAGTTTGGAAGCCACTTAAGAAGCTTCCGACTCATGCTCTCTTTCGATTATATCTCCTCTGCCCAATGAGTGTGTACCGTCATTGAGTACTATAGCCTCCCTGTGTCGCCTTCGTCGCCGCTGTTCTTCATCACTCTGGATCAGATTTCGCGGCACTAGCTCGGCCTGGAAACTCTCCTGATGAATCTCTCCATTCTCATCCTCGTTCTGCATGCTAATTTCCAGAATGACTTTGATGCCACCATTGTCGGAACCATCGTATGGGCTACCACGACCTCTGCCGTGAATGAGCTTACTCTGCCTCAATGCTTTGCGGCCGTCTTTTGTCCTAAGAAGCTGAGCACAAATATCGCTGAGGCGGTTTTTCCTTCGATGTATGTAGTTCGTAAAATTGGTGTGCTTGTCTTCATCCGTGTCACCCCAACCTTGCTTGATAAGCCATCTTTCAACAAAATTGGCGTCCATCAGAAATTTGACACTACTTGTATATCTGTGGAGGAGCTGTTGAATGAGCATGATGCAACGCCTCTCGTTGACATCACGAAGCTGGTATTCATCCCATAAGAGGTCGTTGATGTTGTTACGTGCTCTGTCATTAAGGCTGTGCTCCAGGGATCGTACAATTGCGCGATAGCCGTCTGGTGTATTTAGAGGTTTAAGCTGGTCCTGATTGGTATCCCTGTCTTCCATAGCGAATGTCAAGGCTCGCAAGTACTTCTCCCGTACATCGTAACTCGCCTGCATGATGCCTCTTAGTAAGTGGCGAATTGTGTCGCCATCGTTAACTGCCCTGCCAACGACAATCTTGGTCGCCGTGTCCCGAATGGTAGGGTTATAATGATCTAAGAGACTGCTGATTGTCTGAAGATCTAATGCATCCTCGGTTGCTTGAGTGATGTACTGAGTCTTTGGAGACTTTGGCCTGATCTCAGCCTCGTCGCGATAGTGGGTCAAAATGAGACGCATCATGCCAACGAAGCTGACCGTGGCCAAGCCAAGGCCGACAAAGATGAGCCGTTCATCCCGCAAAGATGTGAGAAGGCCCATGTTTATCCTGGTTATGCTGCGTAGATCATCGAAGAAGCTCTTCGGTAGAAAGTCACGCCAGAGACATCAGGTCATCGCCGTGGTGCAATACCTGGACCTGAAAAATACGGCTGATTTAAAGTGTCATCCGACGAGCAATGGGCGCTGAGTTGTTGAAGTCATAGGTATGTCCAAGGAGCTGTAGTGGAGCTTAGAAACAACGCCTGCCATCAAAACCATTGCAATCACGCTAAGATAAAAGATAAGCTTGTAGACGAAACTATGCTCCAGGATTACTTCGCATAACATGGGCTTTGTGTGCATCTATTACAGGCAGATAACGCATACCGAGAATATACATGTATCTGATCTTATTAATTGCTTGGAAATTCAGAGCAGCCTCAGAAGGATCATTTGTAGTTCATATAATTATAGATCACTGCCATGACATTACACAGTGATTTACAGTCACGGTCAAAGCCGTTTCGTATGATAGAAAATTATGTCCTCGGCGCACCTTTCCGGGGATGCCATCTTCACTTGGTCCCTTACTGAGCCAGAGGAATGGGGTTCATTTCTCAAACAAACAGAAAAACAAAAAAAAACAAAATTTTTAAACCACCCCCTCCCCCAAATTAAGATAAAACTAAAATAGAAAGCTGTTTTTGATGCGATCGATTTCATGTTTGCCAAATTTGTCTTGGTGCTCATGTGGGTATTTGGATATTTGGAACCAACAATGCTTTGAGGCTCGTCATGTCCTATGATCCAGTTCTCTTTCCTTGACCGGAGCGCTTATTACTGTAGTAAATCCTCAAGCGCATATTGCGCTTCCAGCTGGACCGGCTGGCTACGGAGAGGAAACCCGTACCGACAAATCCCGTAAGTATTTAACTGAGGTTTTTTATACGCGCCGTCGAGCCTATTTTGATGATCAACTTAGATGTAGATTCAGATAAGGGCAAGGTGGAATTATTGATTCTGAATATGTAGAGCTTGACAGATGTGTCTTGGCAGTCCATCTGTGAAGCCCTTGTTATCTAAATAATTTTATGCGTGAAATGGTCAAGATATTGGGGCTATCATGTGCAATGCTTCCTTCCTCAATTCATGTACTACAGCCTTATATAGATCTAGCAGCGAGATGACATTTTGAGCAGGCAGCGCCTCGCCGAATTGGCAGGTGTAGACACCAATACTCATATGATTGAGAGCGATATGAATGTCTGTGGCATAGTGGGTGTCATCACCATGACACAGCAGTGACACTCTTGGGAGCTGAAGATGACCGTATTTGATCATTCCCTTGGCTCTGTTGCAGGATGAATCATACAGTTTCTCAGATCTACGCAATCATGGTGTGGGATTCATTGAATTTGTAAGATTAGTAAGATCTTCGTTTTCCTTGATCAGTACGAGTGGTGGCAACGGGTAGAAGCCTCATAGGTGTTCCAAGGCCAGGATGCTCCGAATATAGCACTGCCATCGCCCTCTATTAGTGCTTCGGTTTCCCGTTTTTTTCTGGAGCCTACAACGGGGTTCTGGCAGCTTACACAAACAATCTGGGCCCTGCAACTATCTTCAAGGGCGCAATTAAGGTTAGTAAAAACTCTGCCCGTGAATATCAATGCCAAATGTTTGCTGATTGTGACATGCGTAGATCAAACCTGGGCACTACATGTTAGTCTCATAAGAAGAATCTTTAAGGTATGCCAAGTACCGGTATTTTGATGATCCTTATAACGTTAGTCGACGCTAGAAACACTAGGTTATAGTCATACTGATAGTCTTCAGACTAGATAGGGTAGATCCACGATCTGTAGAGCAAATGATTCTGTGAGTAAGAGTGTACGTGGTTGACAGCGTACGATTTGCCTTCGCATACAAACGTTCCAGTTGGTACCTATCTATCTGGTAACCTTGATTCTCCCTAGTTGCCGATATCTTCAAGCATTTAGTAACACAGGAGAGCGTTCTCTTGGCTGCCCAAGAGACTAGGTACTGATGTCCTTAAAATGTTTACTTTATAGTTCGACCTAGAGACAATAGATATCTCCAACGAGACCCTGAAGTGTTCAGTATCAGCCACAGGTCAGATTCATCCTAAACCCTGTAAATAGCAAGCTCAATGAAGACATTGCCAGCAAAACTGCAAAATTTGTCAGAGTGTATATTTAGTATTGGATACGAACGAGAGTCTATTGTTCAGGCACTACGAAATTTGGTCTGGCATGGGGATGAGGTCTAATTCACTGTAAGCAAAATTGCTGCTTCTGGAGTAAGAGGCCTCCTGACTTAATCCACATCTAGGCATGTTATTTAGGATCTCAGCATAGCAGCAAAGATTCCTTTGTCCAGACTGGCTGATGATAACGAGATTTAGGTCGTTTTAACATGCGATGAAGTTGATGAAGGCTTTGTCAGAATGAGTAATACCCAAGTCCAACAAAAATATAATGTGTCACACATTTCTGATAAATTAGTAGATATCATTTCTTCAACAAAGGCTTTCTACTTGAATCTGACTGCGCACAACCAGCCCCTGAGTTGAATCAGAAACCTGAGCTGTTAAAGGAGCTTTGAGATAAATCCTGGAAGCAGCTAAGCAGTTCACGGAGCATCGATCCTGCTGCGGAATCTTAGCAAAGCCAAGCCAATACTGCGCTTCAAAGATCCATGAAACATATCAAGTCGCCTTTAATCGTGGACCGTATGTGTGGGCAGGGGGTACTTGCTGAGAAGCTCAGAGAGAGGTTCGGGGGAAATCAAGATCACAGGCAGTACTTAGCAGCTGGTACGGCGATGTTAAGTAAAAGATACAAAACAGCTGGCCCCCACTCCACTCGCCGTTGTATGCGATCACTAAACGTACTCTAGCTAACTTCATTATTCTCACGAAGGGCGACAGACCCACGCCACTTGGAGATCACAAGTTGGTGGAATATGTATGTCAGCTGCCACTTAGTGTTAAGTGTCGTTACGCTCCGGAGGAATCTGGCTTTGGTAGTGTTCGCAGAGCATTTGGCAATCACGCTGAGGGTAGGTAATATTTAGGCTATGTTTAGGGATAAATGGATTATATCTGAGGTAGTGAACTCGTTCGTTACGGATGAGGTTTACTTCCGCCTCAAGCACCCCTGCTTGGAATCATGAGTGTTTTCTAAAGTGGGCATTGTACATCTCATGTTCCAGAGACTGTTGTCCAAAGGAGAATGTGAAGAGGATGGCCTCCTCTACTGGTGCGAGACAGGACTTTTTCATTCTTTTTTTTTTTTTTTCCACAAATGCTTCTGGAGAGGGCAGAGACTACAGAGGTTTTCGGTCTTGTCTAACATTAATCGTGAGAAGCTACATTTGTACTGGAAAGAGATCTTGAGTAGCCAGGGCGTCATTTTGATATACTAGGATAACCTAGTCCAGTATTATGCGACTATAGTGAATGCCAGTAATGGCCCCACCCAGAAACAACCCCTGCCAGCCACTAAGCCATCAACGCTAAGATAAGCGATAAGCTGCAGGAAAGTGAAATTTCCTAGAAAAATATCTTGAGCAACGGCTGCGACCCCTCTACCGCAAGCGACTCTAGACGTCCATTCAACCCACTTTCATTATGGCCGGGTCACAGTTGAAACGACTCAAGGAGTCACTACGGAGTCAAGGAGTCATTGGCCCCCAGCAGTCAAAGAAGCAGAAGAAGCGGAACGCGCAGGATGAGCGTGCGAACGGCGACAAGCGCTTAAGCCGAACAGCAAAGCTCGAGGGCATTCGCGAGCAATTCAACCCTTTCGACCTGAAGCACAACGTACGCGGACCAAAGTTCGAAGTTACGAGCAACAGGCCAGCCACAGGAAATGCCGCCAAGGGTATCTATGGCCGACCCAGTGAGGCCAAGGCCGCCGGCGAGGAGCGCCGAAGAGAGACGCTGCTGGTCGAGATGCAACGGCGTCAGAAAGTCGGCGGAATCCTCGATCGACGTTTCGGAGAAGACGATGCCAACATGACACCAGAAGAGAAGGCCTTGGAGCGCTTCGCCCTCGAGAAGCAAAGATCACACAAGCGCTCCACTTTCGACCTGGAAGACGATGATGTTGGAGAAACCTTCAGCTTGACTCACGCAGGCAAGTCGCTGTCATTCAACGGCCCTAGCATCGTGGACGACTATGAGGCCGATGACCTAGACGCTGCGTCTGACGAGGACGACGAGGGGCGCAAAGCCTATCTGAAGCGGAAAATGATGACAGATGGAGAAACGGAAGCAGAGGATGAGCAGCCAGAGCGGAAAAAGACGAAAGCCGAGGTCATGAAAGAAGTTATCGCAAAATCGAAATTCCACAAGGCAGAGAGGCAACAAGCAAAAGACGACGACGAAGACCTGAGGATGGAGCTTGACGGGGAGATGTCTAGTCTACGCGAGCTGCTGTTTGCTAAAGGCAAGGGTACGGCGTCCAATGCTGTTCCAGCCGCTTCCGCCCAAGAACTCCAGCGCGAGTACGATATGCAAGTACGAAAGCTGGCCGAGGACAGAAGAGCACAGCCTTCATACCGCACCAAGACCGAAGACGAGAAGGCAGAAGAAGAGGCCACTAAGCTTCGCCAGTTGGAGGAGAAGCGCCAGAAGCGTATGGAAGGCATAGTGGAGAGTGGAAGCGAAGACGAAGCGGAGCCCGACGAGGAGGCAGAGCCTACCAACGGCCCAATTCAGTTCATTGAGAAGGATGAGGGAGACGACTTCGGCCTTGGAACGGGTATTAAGCTGCGACCAACAGCAACAGAGCTAGGATTCGATGACGAGGACGATTTTCTTATCGAGGACAACCTCATCGCCGAGGGGGTTGATATTTCCCTCAGTGAAGAAGAGGAGTCATCTGACGAGGATGAATCTAATGAGTCCGATGAGGGCGAGGAAGTCGACGAGGATGAAGAGGATGAGTTCACTAAGGGCTTGTTGATGGAAGAAGAGGCAACAAATCCCGCCTTTACTCTGAAGCTAGGCGGAACAACCGATGCTGGAAGCCAAAAGGAGGATGCTGACGGATTGCCTTACGTGTTTTCCTGTCCAGAAACACACGAAGCATTCCTCGAGATCACGAAAACAGTGCCGGTCGAGAAGCTCCCGGTAGTGGTCCAGCGTATACGTGCCCTCCACAATTCGAAACTTGATAGTGGAAACAAGGCAAAACTGGGTAACTTCGCAAAGGTCCTCATACAGCACATACCGTATTTGGCAAAGCACGACGCACCATTTGCTACAACCGAGAACCTGATACGACATGTTCACTCTCTAGCAAAGACCTACCCGATTGAGATAGGGACTGAGCTGAGAGCGCACATCGAGAGGATTAGTGAAAACCCTCTTGATCTCGATGTAGGTCACCTTATGATCATGACAACGATTGGGACCATTTTCCCCACATCTGATCACTTCCACCAAGTCGTCACCCCAGCCATTTTGACCATGAGCCGCTATTTGGGCATGAAAATCCCTCGAGAACTTACCGACTACACAATTGGTATCTATCTTTCCATACTTGCCATTCAATACCAGGCCACGGCGAAGCGATATATACCCGAGGTGATGAACTTCAGTCTCAACACTTTGACCGCACTGGCGCCGGTAAAGTCCAAGGACGGACTCGGCCTCTTCCCCGTACACGAGCCCACAGAAGGCATTCGTCTGCACGATGCCAAGAGCACCGCCGTCCGGAAGCTTAGCTGTAGTGACTGTACGGGCTCTTTGGGTAAAAATGCTACAGAAGTCAAGATTGCTCTTGTCGACACTACAGTCAAGCTATTGGATGCCGCAGCAACCACCTGGACAGGGAAGTCATCCTTTGTCGAGACTTTTCAACCGGTGTCGAACGTCCTTGCTCACCTCTCGAGCAAACCTTGCCGTTCGCAATTGCCCAAAGCACTGAACGAACAGATTACCAAATCAAAAGCCAAGTTGGACCGTCTATCACAACTAGCGCGATTAGAGAGACGCAATTTGGAACTTCATCACCACAAGCCTCTAGCTATCAAGACGCACGTGCCCAAGTTCGAGGATTCGTTCGATCCAGTCAAGCATTATGATCCTGACCGTGAGCGTGCTGAGCTCAACAAGCTCAAGGCTGAGCACAAGAAGGAGCGTAAGGGCGCAATGCGTGAGCTTCGCAAGGATGCCAACTTCATGGCCCGCGAAAAGCTTCGTATCAAGAAGGTCAAGGATGCGGCATACGAAAAGAAGTTCAAGCGTATCGTTTCTGATATTCAGAACGAGGAAGGCAGAGAGTCAAATGAATATGCAAGGGAGAAGGCACAAAGGAAACGTGCTTCGAAGAGAAGTTAAGCATTGTTACATAAATCTGCACCAGCGTAAGGCATCCCTGGCGTTCATTTTTGGCTGGAGAAAATCTTAGTATCATCAGGTATTTCCAATGAATTTTCCTGTAGTTGCATTTGTTGCATCCATGATATCAATAATCTGTTTTCCTATCATTATATGTACACCTAAGTCTTTGGTCACCAGGGACGGTATACAGTCTCAAAGCTCATACCTTCCATTTCGGCAAAATCGCAGTGTGCTATTCCTCAAAGTTAACAAGCAGTCACAGCACAGCTTAGTCATTTTTACTATCTGAACTGACCTCAGTTCATAAAGAACTAGTTAAGATTTCGGTTCTCTCACTTTGTCACACTTTTCAACCTCGCCAATATCATCATCAATCAGTGTTTTTTTAGATGCATAACCAAAACCAATCTTACACTCGGGGCCAAAGCTTAGACCGCGAATCTTTGACTTCAGATATGAAATTGGTTCAACACCACCGTCCTTCAGCAAACAAGTAGGCCGACAAGGCTAGGAACCTCCAGGAAAGCGTCCGATCAATAGATCGTATGGTCCAAAGAATCTTAGAGAAACCTCAAACACAAGAACAGCTGGTCAGTTCATAACAACTGATCGAAAAGCTGCACAAGAATGCTGAGAATAGAGGTCTACGAGTTACGAAGCAATTCCTAAAGTTCGTAATACTGCCAGGGCTATTAAGAAATAAGATTTGGAGTTTCGCAGATGTCTGATATGCCTATTTTAATCAAGGAAGCCGTGCTAGCTAACCCACCACGATTGTCAGTCTAATTATCGGTTCGAGCAACGCCTGACGCCTCCGTCGGCTGCACATGTTCTGTTGCGAGTCTCGTGGCGTGTCACTCAAACCCGGTAGGCTTGTTCTGATCAAAATTTGTCCGGCATATCCCAATTGTGGTGGGATTAAGATAGCAGAGACGAACTCTTCCCAATTGCGTTGTTTCTACTGAGGACGACATAGGCTGCACTTGAATCTGGGCAATTATTATCTAACTTCGATTAGAGTGATTAACTGCTCTTAAGTGTTACCGAGACCTCAATTCCGGAGCTCGGCAAGAATCATATACACTTGTTTATCACGGTCCCTTTGCAATCCTACCATATTCCCTAGGATCGACTTAATCGGCGTCGTGAAAGGTATCGTAACATCACCGAGATCGACTAACCCATATACCGAAACCGCCCTCTTCGGTGCATATCTGAGCGACCTCCCGAGGACTATAGACTTGGCCAAGCTGAGCACAGTCGAAGAACTTATGAACCATTTGAAGAAGACACGGCATCCCACCGCTAATATCGCCCGCTTGCTTCCTTTCAAAGAGGAGCTTTAGCACGTCGAGGATGTCCATGAGATAGAAATGCATCTTGGAATGATTTTCAATCATGACTACGCGAAGCATGTCTACACTAGCCACCACGAACTTCTCTTAAAGCTTGAGCAGCAGACAACAAAAGGAGAATTATATGGGCTCGTAAGACACTGGGGAACATGCCCAAATCTCGCAGGATCCGCATGTTTCAACTTGCTCAGTGAAGAACCAGCCTCGCATTGGATGCCTACAGCGAGACCACATGTCACGCCTTGACGGAGCGTAGAATGGAGGAAGATGATTAGCACCAACGACTTTGCATCAATATCGCTACAATATTTGGAGGTTTGAACGCGAGATTTGGTCGACGATCTTGCAAAGTATTCATGTAGCCATTCATAAAATTAATGTACCAAAGATGCAATTCATGTTGCAGCATAGTTGGGTCTATCCTCTCTTCTTTGTTTCCAAGGATTTGAAGCCATTACAGTGTGGTCCATAAAGCCTTCGGTGAAAGATAACATGAGCTCGTTCCTCTCGGCCTATTTTGTGTATCAGTTACGCTAAACAATTGCTCTTGAAACAAATCTCGGGCACAGGTGTCAAACGAGCTCTAGTCTAGAGGACACCGCATATTGTAATATTGATGCGGCACTCTTTCCGCTTCGCCGCGGCTGAAATCGGCGGCCCGTTTACCTGGTTCAACCTTTTGGGAGAAATCAATTTCCAGCGCGAAATCCTCCGATCGAGCACACATACGGTATTGACGACACAAATCCCTTTAACGTCTCAATGCTCGAGTTATAACGTCGAGTCTTCATTTAATCCCGATTGTGGGACGAGGTATTATGCCTAACGCCTCTTATACACAATCTGTTCATAATATGGTACATCACACTCCCAACCCGCGGACCACCGAACCAGGGCTTAAGCGGCACTATCAGGTAGTTCCTCCACTACCTCTTCCACCATGGCTATCAGCTCGTCAATATCTGGCCTATGGTCCGGCTCGACCGTCAAGCATTTCCGCACAACCTCCTTGATCGGCTCACTGATAGCTTCCTCGGCTGCTCCCGCGTTCGCGTTCGCCGGAGCTTTGCCCTTCTTCTGACCCTTGGGGCCCTCATCAGGGAACCTCCAATCTCCGCCCAGGACACACATACTCAAGCTGCCTCCGGTCTCGTCACTGCGCATCTCGAAGGGCGACTTGCCGACTAGACAGGCGTATAGTGTGCAGCCTAGTGACCATATGTCTACTTTCGTGTCGATTATGGCCCCTGTGTTGACCTCGAACAGCTCGGGTGCTCGGTAGGGCATCGTACTGTGTTCTGCGGCTGTATCTTGCATAGCGATAGCTTGTGACCGTGACGTGATGGGTATTGGTGAAATCGCAACTGACCCCAAATCCATAATTATAGGGTTTGAACCATCGTCGTCGATCATGATGTTTCCTGGTTATTGGTGTCAGCTTCCATGCTCCGTACACTCACAAAGTCGCATTGCAACCCGATCACATACCTGGCTTGATATCACGATGCGCATATGACCTCCTCTCTCCAGGCGCGGCAACCTGCTCCTCGATCATGAGTGGTCTCGCCTGCTCCGTCTCGTCGTCCGCATCGGTCGCGGCGACTGCCTGATTCCTCCTGCCCTTGCCCTTTTTCCTGCCGGGTCCCGGGACGTCTTCTTCTCCTGCTTTCGCATTTCCCATCTCCATGCGCTCGCCGCCTGCTGGGGCTTGGTAATGATGCATGTCCTTCATGGCCTTACACACGCCGAGAAACAGGACCATGAGCTTCTTCTCCGGGAACTTTGTGTGGTTAACCAGATTGGCGTTTATGATATCCTGCAGGTTCCCCCTCTTATAGTACGGCAGCAGGACATAGACGGTCTTGGAGCCCGGGTCGTTGCGCTCGGACGCGATGGAGTAGTCGACGCTGTGGATGATGCCGGGCGAGTGGGCAAAGGTCTTGTAAGCCTCGACCTCGCGCATGGCCTGCTGAACGGACTCGGCGCCAAAGGGACAGCGGATCTTCTTGAGGGCGAACATGTCCCCCGAGGACGTGTCCTGCACCAGGTATACGTAGGAGAAGCCGCCCTCGCCCAGCAGCCGCAGGATTTTGAAGGAGCGGCTGTTTATCTTGAGGGACGGCGAACCCGGGAAGCAGTTCAGGCAGTTCCCGAAGGAGTAGATGAGGTCTTGGAAGAGTTGCGCCATGACGGCTGGTGATCTGCCGTTGTAGTTTTGAAAGCTGCGACTTGGCCGGCTATCGTAGCTCTACTGCGTGAGGCCGGTGTTTGGAGGTACCGGATCGGCCGTGCTTGTCGACGAGAATAATTGGTCGGATGCTATTCGTTACTGTAAAGAGAGGAGAATGACTACTCAGTGAGCCGATTCGAAACGAAACATTGTATCAATTGGTCACGAGAATGGGGAGATGAATCAAGCTGTCTTCCATGTACGTGTAAGTTGGGCGAGCTGACGACCAGTTCAAGCTTGCTGCGCCACATTGACAGCTCTGAAACCATGGCATCGCCATGGGGCTATTCACTTCACTTTTGACGATGCTAAAACCAGAGCATTGAGTAGAACAAAAACAACTGCATGCCCTGTAGCTAGGCCCGTTGGGACATGGCCATAGTTTGAACCAGCGAACCATTGACTCTCTGCACTGCATTAACATATCATGGCGTTCAATGCTTCCTTCTGATTGTATCTGGGACGTCTAAAGCACGACCTTTGTTGTCGGAGATAAGCTTATCAGATGCCACTCCAATCGTGCCACAGTAGCTTTGGGAGTAGGATAGGTATACTCCGTCGTACTTGTGCAGCGATTTATGCGCAAATATACACTTTAACGTAGTTGCTCCCGCAATACTTAGGCGACACGGGCTGTGTTCTCGCCTTCGAATGGAGCGACTTCTGCGATGCCGAGCAGGGCCATCAATCATGAAAGAAGGGGGGAAGCATCACGGTTGCCCGGGAAGGGCCATGTCTTGACAATGAAACATTGATGTGCTCCCTGAAGTTGAATGCTCGAGCGGGGTGCTGATCTAAAGTTCGGCGATAACATTTCGATGTAAACATATCCCTTGTACCATAGTGATTCCCGGCCATGCACTTGTTTGTTGCCTTCGGCCATTGAATCTTTTGCGTTACTCGACTCGCTGGCCAATCTGCTTATGCTGTAACACAAACACTACGACATCGCGGGAAACGAAGGCTCTTGGTTGTAAGGCAAATTGCGATAACCAAACCTGTTGGCAAAATAAATGAACGCAACGTATAGACGTTCGTGGGGATTTTCGTACAGTATCCCCATGCTGCAAGTCATGGAAAGGACGAAAGCGGAGATGGGAATGCCGATTCCAGCGACTATTGTCTCGGTAATCCACTACGAAAAGCCTACTACGGTACCGCTGCTGCATGTGCAACCCCTAGCCCGGACCCTGTGCCTTGACAGAAGAACCCGAAGGCATGTATCTCCAAGTAGAGGTGAGGCTGATTTGCCCCCGAAGCATGCTGCACAGACCCTCCAGAGTACCAGACCGATACCTTTAGAAAGCCACGATTCCATCAGTTTCTATTGGGAGGCGTGGCGCATGAAAATTTCAGCCTTCTTTGGGCGGGATGGGCGTGAAGGAGCAGGCGGAAACAGTGAGCATTTCGTTGCATTGCTCAGCAATAATAATAAGTCCTTTTTGAAATTCCCGATCTTCTTGTCCTGTGCAGTTGTTCCATCTTGGGTCTTACTTGTTGTATTCTGCTGTTCTGCGTCCGTCAGCCTAGAACATTCTACCAAGTCTACCGATAACTTGGTAAATTTCCACTTAGCCGTCGCGAAAAGTCCAATCCATCCTGACTCGTCCAGGCAACACATAAGTCGCCATACGTCAATTTGCGCTGCTCTCGTTATCCCACCTGCAGCAACCTCCCGACTCGCTCAGGTACGTACGTTCGTTCCGTCCCTAAAATCTGGATTGCAGGAGGGAGTGCACCTTGCCCCAGACCTGCCACTTCCCTACCGTGACTGTGACTGTGTGTGTCTGTGTACTTTCTTGATCGGCTGGAGGGGTTTCTCGATTAGCGCATCCGTGGGGCAATCTTTAAGACCCTCCATATTCTTCACTTATTTCCCGTTGCGCACCTTCGTCAGCCTTTCCACTTCACTTCACTTCACCTCACTTTCTGATCATCAGTCACTGACGTTGCTCTTTCTTGTAAAGACTTTTAACGTAACATCGCCCTGCCTTACTCTCTCTCTCTCTCTCCAGCAACGAGACCATTTCACCACAGCGTCCAGATACATTTCGCATAACACTACGACAAGATGGTCAAGGAAACCAAGTTCTACGACCAGCTCGGTGTTGCGCCTGACGCAACCGAAGCCCAGCTCAAGAAGGCATACAAGGTCAACGCCTTGAAGTACCACCCAGGTATGCTATGCTGATTCGCCCTGGCCTGCAACAAGTGGCCATCGTAACAAGACAAAATACTAATCACATTCCACGACAGACAAGAACGCGCACAACCCGGCTGCCGAGGAGAAGTTCAAGGAGATTTCACACGCATACGAAATTCTGTCTGATGCCCAAAAGCGCCAGGTCTACGATCAATATGGTGAGGCTGGCCTCGAGGGCGGTGCCGGCGGTGCAGGCGGCATGGCCGCCGAGGATCTGTTCGCCCAGTTCTTCGGCGGTGGCGGTGGATTCGGCGGTGGCCTGGGTGGCATGTTCGGTGGCATGCAAAACCGTGGCCCGCCCAAGGCACGAACCATTCACCACACTCACAAGGTCTCGCTCGAGGATGTCTACCGAGGAAAGGTCTCCAAGCTGGCCCTGCAACGGTCCATCATCTGCCCCAAGTGTGAGGGTCGTGGAGGCAAGGAGGGTGCCGTTAAGCGCTGTGCCGGTTGCGATGGCCACGGTATGAAGACAATGATGCGCCAGATGGGTCCCATGATTCAGCGGTTCCAGACTGTCTGTCCCGACTGTAACGGAGAGGGAGAGACTATCAAGGACAAGGATCGATGCAAGGGCTGCAGTGGCAAGAAGACAATTGTCGACCGCAAGGTCCTCCACGTTCACGTCGACCGTGGTGTACGAAGCGGTACCAAGGTGGAGTTCCGCGGCGAGGGTGACCAGTCTCCTGGCGTCCAAGCTGGAGATGTGGTCTTCGAGATTGAGCAGAAGCCTCACCCCCGATTCACACGTAAGGAGGACGACCTCCTGTACCGCTGCGAGATCGAGCTTGTGCAAGCTCTGGCCGGCGGTACCATTTACATTGAGCATCTCGATGAGAGGTGGTTGAGTGTCGATATACTGCCTGGCGAGGCGATTGCTCCTGGTAAGCCACCCTTAACGGTCCAAAGCGGCTCAGTCATACGTATAACATTGCTAACACTCTTCAAGACGCCGTCAAGATGATCCGCGGTCAAGGTATGCCATCGCCAAGACATCACGACTTCGGTAACATGTACATTCAATTCGCTGTCAAGTTCCCCGAGAAGGGCTGGACCGATAACGAGGAAGCTTTCGAGCAGCTTCGCAAGATTCTGCCTGCTCCAGCCGTCCAGGCCGTTCCTCCGGCTGAGGCCATGACCGAGCCCGTCGACCTGGAAGAGATAGACGTCCAGCAACAGCAAAGTGCCTTCGGCGGTGGTAACGGAATGGACGAGGATGACGAAGATGGCCACCCGCACGCTGAGCGTGTCCAGTGTGCATCTCAGTAATTGTGTTCCTCCTTTCGTTTTACTATAGACTCCGTCACTGGATTCGAGCATGAGTAGACGTTGCTGAGTTGGTTGAATACCCACACCGACCGATTGCTACGTCACGAAGAACAGCATTTATGGCGCGATGTTTAATGATCAGTTCCGCAATCTGCATATCGACTTGGAAGGAAATGATGGAACGGCGACCATGTATTGGTACCGTTGATGGCGGCGGGCATGTGATGGGAACCCTCGAGTAGCGTTTTGACTCCGGCATCTTTCGTTGGCGACTTTCACTATGACCTTCAAGGCGTCACATCGTCTGTCTAGGTTAGGTAGTGCTTTGCGAGCAGGCGTTCAGGGGATAGAGGTATCGGAAAGACACGTGACTGCAATTGATTATATTTATTCTCGCATCAAATCCACAACCATCGAACGTGTCTTATACTCTTCCGTGTAAGTCATATAGACTTGAGACCAATCTATGACTGCTTCTGGAAGCCGCAGAAGGTCGGGTTGAAGTTCATCGTCTAGTTGAGCCTCTTGCACATAATATGTTTGCTGCTTCTGGCACTGAGCATCCGTGTCTGTCCATTCCACTTCCAGCATCTCCACACGACTGGGGACGTCTGTTGTGCGCACTCTGCCTCTCGTCACCTCGGTGTGGTGTCTTCGAGATTGTATCGATTGCTGACTGCGGCAGTATACCGACATCATGCTGGCCAATAGGGTTTTGTACTGAAGTTCCACTGGACTCAATGCGCCGTTTAGTGTTCTGAATCGTCGTGTCCGGGACCTCCTTTCCTTCGTCTCTTTTGGCCTCGTGGGTAAACTCATGGATGGGATCATCTGTATTGGTTGGGAAGACACCATAGACGTGTTGTCATCGAATTGGGCCATGAGAACCATCGTTTGCAGCGGAAATATGGCCAGAGATAGACCTCGGGAAATGGGTGATACCCGTGGAAAGAAAAGGAAAAAAATTAGTATATTTTGGTGTTGGGAATTGGTGAGGCAAGTGCCGGCTGTTTGCAAGAATGAGGTGCGAGAACCTTGAGAACCTCGCAGGAACCTTGGCGGACAGGCAGGCAGACAGACGCTATCCTAGTAGGGAGACAGCATTCAAATGGGCATTTTGTGTTTTGTGCATGATCAACTTATTTGGAATATTGAATTCTAGGAAACACCACTCTAAAGAACCGTTGTAATCACGATAATCGATGAAACACAAACACAGGGGCTAACTCATGAGCCGGCCCTGCCAAAGCAAGCGGTGAGTGTCTATGCTAGAGCCTCAAGATTTGAGAAAGAGACTCCCCGAGCTGGAAACATCGAAAAGTATCCAGTCAGAATGGGACAATTCTGTGCCTGGATCATGACAGATGTGGGTGGTTTCCAAAAGAGTTATGGTGCAGAAAGTGTATTGGTCTCAGGTACGAGTATTTCAAATATAAAACTGGGCCAGGAGTTCTAAATTCCGAAGCTAGACTAGAGAGAAGCGAGCTCTACTGTGCGCATTGTGTATTTTGCAGGCATCTCAACTGTCTCATCGTCGCCAGCTTGCAGCGAACTATACAGTGTGAGTTATATCAGCCTAAAATTTCTCTAGAGTTCATAGCTCAAACATAGTTGAATGCAATACTCAAATCTTCCAAATACTATTCCAGCGTTCGGTCCCGACACCTTGTCATACCAGGAGGGGAAGGTCTACCATTTTATCGCCGGCCCGTTTGACCCGATGCGCAGCTCATCCTGTCGCCGGCTGGTCTCAACCGTCGTCCAGCATGACCTCAGGCCTTCGATAGTAGGTCACTCCAGGCGTCAGGCAGACCCACCGGCCAGCTTAGGAGTTCGCAATGAGAACGGCGCCGCGTCCGGGCCAGTGCATCCACGGCATCAGCAGCAGATTAGAGGCAAGAAGACAAAAACCACTATCAATTTCGCAGACCTGCCACAAGGGCCCATCAAGCCTCCGGAAACACCCTTGTCTTCGGTACAGGATGGGCAGGAGGAAGGACCCGCGTACCCTACCGTGGTGCTGCAGGCGCGGCGGAACATGGCCAAATTCGAAAACTGCGTGCTGCTGACACGGGTGGGCGGGTTCTACGAGCTGTACTTTGAGCATGCAGAGGAGTATGGGCCGCTGCTGAATCTTAAGGTCGCATCCAAGAAGACGAACGCTGGGCCAGTATCTATGGTATGGTAACCCAGTTTGGTTCATGCTACTTCATGACTATCTTGGCACACGTGAATACGTCTCATGGCGCATTGCGTAGTTTGTATGAAGCTATGGCTGATTTCGTTTGTAGGCCGGCTTTCCATTTTTTCAATTGGACCGCTTTCTCAAGATCCTCGTCCAGGAGCATAACTGCTATGTTGCCGTCGCCGAGGAGTTCCCTAACGATGCGAGCGACAAGGTCAGATCCAATGGTCTCATGCACGACAGAAAGGTCGCTCGCATCATCACTCCTGGCACGCTGATTGATGAGAATTTTATTGATCCGTATGCTAACAACTATGTCATGGCTATTCATCTAGATCAGTCAGTTGGTAACGTGGTCGTGGCAGAGACCGCGCCCGCGGAGGAACAGGATAAAAAGAAAGAACAACCTCTTCCTTCGTTGGCGACCGTTGGTCTTGCATGGCTTGACATATCAACCGGTCAGTTCTATACGCAATCGGCCACGATAGCCGGACTCTCATCCATACTATCCCGTGTCGGCCCACGCGAGATTGTCATAGAAAAGGGGCTGCAGTCGCAGGAGGACCATACACTGTTTACGATATTAGCTGAAGATAAGCATCTCATCACATTCACACCTCATGACACACCACTGCCTACCCATGAATGGGCACCCATGCTGGAATCAAAAATATCAGCATCGACAGCCAAGAATTTTACTGCAGACGAAGTTTTTGCTGGGAGCATATTACTTCAATATGTGCGAGACCGTCTTCTTGGTCTTAGCATGAAACTCCAGCCACCAATTCGCCATGAGAGTCTTCAAGTCCTCACTATTGACAAGAACAGCATGCGCTCCCTGGAGATCAAGCAGACAATTCGGGACGGTGCTTTCAAGGGTAGCCTTCTGCATGCTATTAGGAGAACAGTCACGAAAAGCGGTGCCAGACTCTTGAATGACTGGGTCAGTGCCCCCTCAACATGCTTAGAGACGATCACGCAACGTCAAGAGCTAGTTGAGTATTTCATTCAGAACACAGATCTACGAGACCTTATCGTTCAACTTTTAAGAAGAAGTCATGATTCACAACGTCTCGTTCAGAAGTTTGCCTTTGGCCGTGGTGATCCAGATGATTTGGTTGGATTGGCCAACACGATTCATGCTACGGAAGAAATAGTCCAGCTTCTTTCTTCTTCCCCGCCTTCCGCAAACTCGGATTCTCACCCGTTCGATGATCTTCTGAAACGTATCTCCCTCGCCGACCCAGCCAAGCTTGCTGACCGCATCCGCTCCTCCATTGATGAAGACGGACTCTCAGCACAGCACCAGTTAGAAGACAGCGAAGCAGGGCAGCTACTCTCCCTTGCATCGGACATTGTCAGCAACGAAGCGACAAGCGAAGAGGCTGCCACCATTCTCCCTAAATCCACCGCGTCCAAGATCAAGAGGTCTGTCAATGGGAAGCCGGCCTCGATCCGTGATCATTATGACGCAGATAATCCAACTTTCACCATGAAGCCAGGTGCTAGCCCGGCTCTCTCAAACCTCCACGGTGAACTCAACAAGCTCCTCCAAGAGCGAATCGCACTAACCACGACACTCAGCGTCCGCTTTAGCGCCCCATCTCTCACGCTTCGCTGGGCACCAAACTTGGGTCACATCTTGCACGTAAAGGGCAAGGACACGAAACAGATACCCCCGACGTTCCCACCCCTCACCTCGTCGCGGTCGACCCGGACCTTTTCCCTCCCGGAATGGACATCGCTCGGCCAATCCCTCCACCAGGTCCGTTTTGCTATCTCGACAGAGGAGACGCGCATCTTTGCCTCCCTGCGCGAGCGCGTGGTGCGCAACCTGATCAAGCTGCGGCGCAACGCATCCGTGCTCGACGAGCTGGACGTAGCGACGTCCTTCGCGCGGCTCGCCGCCGAGAACGGGCTCGTGCGACCCGTCCTGTCGGCATCGCCCAGCAGCAGCAACAACACCTCGCACAAGATCATCGGCGGGCGGCACCCGACGGTGGAGCTTGGGCTGCGCGTCGCGGGCCGCTCGTTCTCGCCCAACGACTGCCTGGTGGGCGCGCCGTCGCAGGGCCGCCTCTGGCTCATCACGGGGCCCAACATGGCCGGCAAGTCGACGTACCTACGCCAGAACGCGCTCATCACCATCCTGGCGCAGACAGGCTGCTTCGTGCCCGCTGCGCACGCCGAGATTGGCGTCGTGGACGCCATCTTCAGCCGCGTCGGGTCGGCGGACAACCTCTACAACGACCAGAGCACATTCATGGTGGAGATGCTGGAGACGGCGCAGATCCTGCGGTGCGCCACGTCGCGGTCCTTCGTTATCATGGACGAGATCGGGCGGGGCACGACCCCAGATGATGGCACCGCGGTCGCGTTTGCAGCATTGTGGCATTTGGTCAAGATCAACAAGTGCCGAACACTGTTCGCTACACATTTCCATGAGTTGGCGGATCTGATCAGGGAGAAAGAAATGCATGTGGATCAGGGAGGCGAGGTAGAGTGCTATTGTACAGATGTGGCGGAAGATGGGCAAGGCGGGTTTGTCTACGTGCACAAGCTGCGGAAAGGGGTCAATCGGCGTAGTCATGCGCTCAAGGTGGCAAAACTGGCCGGGCTGCCGGAAGCCGCAATCACTGTAGCCAAGGGGATTCTCGGTAGTAGCACGTAGGGGTCACGCTTAATGTAACACGACGAAGGAGCTGCAGGCTTTGCTGTCCTGAGCAAAATATCAGGCAGAACTGTAGGATAGTGTACACCACAAAAGACCTGAGATTGGCAAGTTAGCAAATATTCGCCAACATGTATAATGTAATGAGAAGATATTGACGACGTCGTTCATAGAATGTTGATACACATATCATCAAAGGAGTTCAGGGTTAAAAAGCTCGTTTGTGTTTTGATTATAATCATCACGACTGAGGGGTATGAATGGAAGCAGAAGTTTCGACTGACCTTTTAGAAAATTGATGAAAATAGTGGCTACCATGTTTCAATCACCAAGTTGTTTTGCAAAGACTGTAATGCAGTGTCTCGTGAGTTTCGTTTCATTGACCGGCATATCAGATCTATAGAACCCCATTTCTCATGAGCATAGACCTCGTAAACCCGTCCGAAAGCCAGGTTCGTGCTGTTTATGTGAACATCGTGACAATGTTAGGGTGTTTAGTCGCTGGGAAAGACGTTAGTAACAAACGTGACAACAAGTGTCTGGAAGGGTACTCACAAGAGACCGAAGCCCATATCGTCGTCAGACTCCTCAGCCTCAGACTCAGCCTTCTCCTCAGCAGGGGCACCGCCAGCGGCGGCGTCACCACCGGCGGCACCGGCAGCGGGAGCGGAAGAAGCGTAGGCGTCAGGGTTGGCGATACGGTCCTTGAGCTCCTCAATCTCGGGCCAGGAGATCTCAGTCTCAATGGCAACAGCGAGAACCTTCTTGTAGCTGTTGACAACGGAGTGGATGACGGAGGGAAGGGTGGGGAAGTTGATGGCCAGGGAGATGGAGGCAATGGTGGTGATAGCACTGGCGAAGGTCTTGAGGAGCTGATCCTCACCGACGTCGAGGACCTCAGGAGGGAAAGCGTTACCCTGGTCGTAGACCTGGGAGATTCCCAGACCGTAGGTGAAGGGAGAGATGTTCAACATGTTGAGCAGGGTGGCCTCGGAAGGACCGACCTTGAGACCAGCCTCAACGAGCTTCAAGTCGGCAGTAATCTCGATGGTACCACGGGCAATCTTGGTGGGGACACCGAGGGCCTGGAAGAAAGAGGTCTTTCCGGGTTCCATACCAGTGTTGCCAGCGGGAATCCAGACATCGGCAGGGGCGAGGGCACCGGCACGGGCAGGAGCAGCGACCTTGTTGGCCAGAACCTTGTCACGGATCTCCTTCAGGTCACCGTTGGTGAAGACGAAACCGATGTTACCCTTGATGTGAGGCAGGAGACGCTCGTACTCGGGAGTGTCGGCGATGAAAGTTCGGAGGGCACGGCGAACCATGGTGTTCTTGCCCATCAGGACGACAGCCTCGCCACGGAGGGACTGGCGGACCTCGTGCATCTGCTGGGAGGAGACATTGTCGACGCTGTTCGATGGTGGGGGCGTTAGCAGAGGAACCTGTCTGTCCGCGTCTCTCTCTCTCTCTCTCTCTCTCTCGGTGATGGAAATTTGGCCAACTCACGAGACAATGAAGCAGGACTTGTACTCCTCGAGCAGAGCCTTAAGCTTGCCGAAGTACTCTGACTTGTTACCCACCATTTCTTCTTATTTTATGAAGACGGACTTTAAGGGTAACTGCTGTTTTTATGGGATGGGGATGATGCGCAATTTGCGGTTGATTGATGCTGTCGCAGAAGTTCAAAAGTTCGCGAAGCTGAATTTCGATTTTCTGTGGGAGAATCTTGCGTGTGAATGCTCCACTTTTACTCGAGGTGGGGGCGCGGGCTATTGACTTCCAAGACTTCAGGTCCAGGTGAGATCCATTCCAATCTGACCGAGGAATGCAAGCTTATCTTAGCCCTCCCTGTCCCTGCAGGTGCGCAGTGTATTGCAGAGAACAACACCTCGTCGAGACATGGACACAGCACCCAGTCGCCGGTACTGTTATTACCAGATAAGTTAATGGTTAGGCCGTGACATGGTATTATGCTTTTTATCTTACCATTTCTCTCAACAACCATTATCTAACCAAGACCTGAGGATAAGTTCCGCGTGGTTATGTCGACATCATATTAACTAGTTCAACTGCCCACCAACAACATACGTTGAGTTGGATATGGCACGAAATTTGCTATCTGCAACACGACATCTTCTCTTATGGTCACAATTTCATAAATACCATTCCTCCGTATGCTAAATGCAATTGTCAATACTATCCGTTCCGTCACAATACCGGCTAACTATATGAAATAATGTACAAAGAGTGTGGTTTCCTGTTATCAATCTTCTCCGTGTAACCTCAAGAACGCCGTCAACAAATCCGAATAAGCAGTTTAGAATCTGCCTTGAGCACGATCACATTCCTCTAGGAATCTGTACACGCCTTCAAGTCCTTCGAACTCGTCGGAACACTGCTCACCCGAGCTAATCGGCGATGACATGCTTTCATAACCTTCGAGTTCTGGCGCGAGCCAGGGGTTGTCTTCCACCTCACTGAATGCTTCGAACAGCTCATGTTCCTCCGGAAAGCTGCCGAGCGATCTCAGCGACCCCCCAGGAGATGTAAATGTTTTTGTTTCGGCATCACTACTGTCTGGCGCAAACGGGAATTTGAGGGCCATTGGCACGCCGGTCTCGGCGCCGAAATCAGTATCCTCTTTCACGATGCCTCGATTGAGTTCAAGGTCGTTCAGGAGTGATTCGACCGTTTCGGCATCAACTCCCGGAAATCGTACGCGAAGAATATGACCCTTCTCAAGTTGTATAGGCAAATCACCGAGCGTGGATAGCTTCTTGATGTCAGTCAGTATGGCTGCCAAATCCTTCAAAGCACGTCCAAAGTCGACGGACAATACGTCCAGGAAGCCTTCGGTGTTCAAGGTAGTAGCATCAATAGGCTGAACCTTTTGACCTGCCGCCGCGTAGGGAAAAGCAGCAGCCAATGGGCTAAGTGCAGTCACAGTTGGGTTTAATGTGAAATCAACGTATGACCCTGGTGCACTTCGTGGCACTGCTGTCATCTTCCGGTAGGTTTCCTCTTGAAGAGTGGACACGGCACGGTACCGTCTCTCACCATGGGCCGTGACTCCGTCAAACTGTGCCTTCTGGCCAGAGATCCAGAAAGCTCTGACGGCGGCAGATACGTTCTGCATGACCTGGGCTTGAGTGGCTGGTGTGTGCGAAAAGTATCTGGCGCCACCAATCCGACCAGAACCTAGACCATAACCGCCGGCGGTGCGAGGCAAAGCCCCACCAGTCAGATTTGGTCGTAGAGTGCTTGCAAACGGTGCACGACCGGTCATCTGGGTAATGGCCTTGCCTGTTTGAGTGGCAAGAAACTTGCTGCGGTCAACGCGAGCGGAGGCATCAATGCGACCAGTGCTCATAAAGCGGCGTACAGCAGCGTCGATGTTCTTGTAGGTCGACGTTGAGTGCCATCTTCGATTTTTCTGCTGTCGCAATAAGGCCAAGGGATGGATAGGTTGTTTTGGATAAGTAGATCTCGCAAATGCTGGCTCCAAGGCGGTATTGACTGGTCGAAGCGCATTCGCAAGCTTCTTCCGAACCACCTTGGACGCCTTGTAAGCGGCTGTACGGGCCAGTCGCAAAACGACCGGTGCCCATAGCCCGCCCATGCCGGCGGCCATCGTGGTAGACTTAAGTTGCAACTGATTGCAACCTACTGAAAATAATAAAAAATTGATGACTGTGAGTATGTCGAGTCCTAGGTAACGCGGAACTCGATGATAGATAAGACGGCATGTCACATAACCGATGTGGCGGTGCTGCTTTTTGCCACATGTTGATGCAGATTGCGGGGCATCCGGTTTCTGCCAGCCACTGATCTGTAGACTTGGTCCGAGCTTTGATTAGCTTATCAAGGACTAGTTCAAAGTGCCTGGACCTCACTCAATCCACAACACGCGAAATTTTTAGGCCGAGATTTTCAATCTTTACCTTCAAAAGCTTCTCAACTTTCTGCACTTTCTTCTTTCTTCCACATCACAACACAATACAATACTCTCATTTGGGTCTCAGACCACAGGCAACTCCTGATGCCCGGAGCAATTTGCTTCGCTGTTGTATCTACATGTACAGCATGTGATTGACACTGGTACGTCGCGATTCGTCACATAACTCAACTCATTGCTGTGATTAAGTCACTTTTGAACAATCCAATTCTTACAAAACCATGGGGATCCTTTAAGACTCTAGAATTACCCTGAGCAATCACCAAGCAACATCTTCAATTTGGTTAGTTGTCGAAGCACTCGCTGACTGAAAACAGACATCTAGGTTGTAATTTTGATTCTCTCGATGCGACGCTCCGAGTTAAAATCTTGAATTAAAAGGTTAGTCACCACTGCTCAGTCTATTTCCACCTTCACCAGCTCTACCTTTAGGGTAGGGTCTCCTTGAGTGATGATGAAAACCGACAACCCTAGGGATTCCTCATGCCGAATATACTATGTGGATTGTTTAGTTTCAGCCTTGTCTGACTTGGATCAAAAACTTTCATCTCGATTTGAAAAACAATGCTTGGATCAAATTGCTAACTGCTCCTCGCGCTCAGGTACATGATTCACATCCTCCAATCCAACACAACACAAATACATGATGAAAGTTTGAACGAACGGGCGGTCATATCGAATATCTGTGGCCTTCTTCCGTTAAAGCAGGGCGTACAAACCTTGTGGGAGGAGCGTCATAGTGACTTCTTGTTGAGAATTCGTCAGCTGATTGTGTCTCTTCACATTCTTTTGCTGTCTCTGGCGTCAAGATCTTTGCTGACACATTACTCATAGGTAAATTTAATCTTCCACTGCAAACCGGCACCATAAAATGATGAACATTATTCACACTGTTTGATCCTTTCTTCGGACTGGAAATGAACATCATAAACAAAATCTGATTTAATGAGGTATGTCTATGTTGTATGCCACTTTCTGAAGACTTCTGACTAATATCGCTCCAGCCTGAAACTAGCTTTCGCTACCTACTTCGATGAATATTGCATTCAGGAATTGTCACTGACGCTGAACGCTACAGGTAAATCCATCGCATTTTTTCATGCCCATAGGGGTACTTTACATGTAAGCGAGTTCCTCTCTCTTTGCCACTATCCCTATAGCCTTGAGGATGATCCATAATCCTGTCTTATCTACATTGCCTGATATCTTCAGTGACGAAACTCTTATCACCTTGGAGAACTGAAAGGCTTTCGAACAAATCGAAATAATGATGCTCAAGTAATATCTTGGCTAACTAGTGATATTCTAGCTACAATTATCAAGTAATGCATGTTTCTCCTACTTGCAGCTTCCATACGGCAATATTATCGCCTCGTTGTTACATAGTACATGAATCAAAAATCATTACCGTATTTTGTTCCAGTATGGATTTAACCAACCTTTGACATATGCATGTGACAGCAATTCATTTGTCCGCTGTTGGTTTTGACATGTTTTTCGAGCCGTCATCGCCCTTGAGGAAGGCCGCCTTGGCCGCGTCTGTTGACTTCGTACTAAGGTCTGCTCCATGCACTTTAATCTGCGCCCAACCCCGCGCTGCATCATTGATCCATAAGGACAAGGACTCTACCGCCATGCTAGAGGTCGCTTACCGAGCGCGATACACGGGGGTATTCTCCGTACTCCGATCTCCTCAATGTCTCGATAGCGGTTAACTCACATGATCTCATATGCGTCTAAAAGTACATGGCTGCTCCTCTAGACAGGCACAGGGAAGGAATTCCGACTTGACCTTGAACCACGATTTTGCGTTTTACCTTTCTTAGTCTGTATCAAGTCCACCTTCAGTCGACACTCGGCATTGCTTCCTGGTTCCCCAATAGCCCCAATCGATCCCCCACCATATGCGGCCTTGCAGATCGGGCTTCTCTCATTCGGCCACTCCTAGCATAGTCGTATGACCATCTTGTGATAGTGCTCGAGGAAGTACATCTCTCCAATGCTTGCACATGGGAGATGTACATCCTCCATGACGTGTCAATGTGCCAGACAGAGGTAGCACTACGGGATATCTGTGGGGTTCAGGGTCTCGCCCCGAACGAAGCTTTGAGCCGCTGCTTTATTGGTGAAGTCATAGCTCCTTGGAGACGACTAGATGGCAATACTCTGATTGGAGAATGAGCTGGTCATGTCTGATCAATCCATCTGCTTAGGAAGCTTCGGATTCATGGAGGATGCTCAGTGAGCTGTACATAAGAAGTCACTTCCCCCGCATGATAGTAATGAATTGGCTTAACCCAATATCTACCAACATTCCCGCCCAATTGAACATTGCAATAACCAATATCAGATCTCAGTATCTATCTTTTTGAACCCACTCAATATGGATAGCAACAAGGGCCCGACACAGGAAACCCCATCCACCTCGAGTAGAAGAAGAGTGCGTCTATCGATTCCAGCTGGTTGTGGCACGGCGGTCACTAACATACTTACTTCACAGAGTTCCGGCCCCGCCTTCGAGGGTCTGATGCAACATAAAAGAGGCAGTAGCGATCCCATGGCTGCCGCCAGACGCCAGAGCCTTAATGAGCAAAGGCCCCAAGCTGGCTTCTTCGGACAGATGTGGCACAAGTAAGTCCATCACTCAGGTTAACTCTTACATCTCGTACCATCCATGCCAACCATACAATACAGCTTCACTCGCGGCGAAAATCCTTCAAAGTAAACCAGAAACATATAACTTGAATGAAAAAGAAGAGATGTTTATGGGGGAATCGGAAATCACGGCGTTCATCAATGAAATTAAGAATACCTTTTGGCAAAGACGATCAGCTTTGACTGATGTGGCGTTTCGGCCCCGGCCTGTGTATACCATTTGTAGTGTTGCAGATTGTATGAATTAAAGCAAGTCCATTTTCAAGATGCTAAATCCGACGTAATAGTGAATTCCAAAGCAATATACTCTGATAATTAGCATGCTACCGCATGACGCATATATGACTTCAACTGTGACCAGACGTGGGTGAGAGACAAACCTATTCTGCTATCCACCGACGAGCTATGTCCTTACCAGCCGACAGAAGCGTCGCACATATAAGCAAATGCAGCATGGCGGGCACGGGCACGGCCTCTGCGCCAATGCCTCAGTTTCTTTTGGGTGATGCTTCATCATGCCGCCTGTGACCCAGCCCATTGAGTCGAAAATGACCGCTACAGCCATCAGTATCCGCTAGACATCCACTCCTGCATATCAAGATCAGCTGGGACCACATGGCTATCTCCTTTCCTTGGGAAGTAGAGCTAAGGTACTACGCAAGCGCAGCTTTAAGCTTCATCGGTGCTCAGATTCATCACCATGACGTGGGGCGCTTGATCTCCATCTTGGAGTACAACCGTGACGCTCGGCACCGAAAGCTTGAGCGGCTACAAGATGGCTATCTATGCTGGAATTGCATGTAAGATGCCTTGAATAAGAACCCATGCCGTGAACAGTTGGATATGACGAGTTCGGTCTTTGCCACAGTAATATAGATAGACACGAACATATTTTATAAAGAGCGAGCTCCAGTCGGACTATTAACAGGATAGGGCACAACACACCGCCTCATTAGGCTATCATTAAACAGCAATGTCAGGCTTGAATTTAAGCTATCCAGCTACTTGTATGGTAAGAGAATCCACAGGTATCCCTCTTGAACAGAAATCCCGCACCTGCTACCGTTCATTGTCGAAGATTTTGTCCGCCCATCCGTAAGGAAACTTTTCGAACCATGTTTCCGTGTACGAACTTCTATGTCTACAGATATGACATTTTTTGACCGAGCCGAGGGCTTTTGAAGACAAACCGTTGGCCGCTCGAAAGCGGATAGGTGTCTACTGAGAGACGCGACCAGCCCAGCCCCAAGAGTTAGCAACTCTATTTAAACACATCATGCTCCTGTCCTGCACCTCCTGAGATTCTCCTACTCGTAGAGAAGACGGACGGTTGTCGTAATGCAAGACTGGGTTCTCCTGGGCCGAGTCCCAGACGCTGGCTCCGGAGCATAGTCACCTCCGCCATCGCTCACGAATGCACATTGTTTGTATGTTTCTTGGCTGTAGTGCATCCGATCCGGCGTCCAGTGCTAACTATCGCGCTTATCTCCTTCAGAGAGAACCCAAGCATGAAGGCGACCAGCCTAAGTTTACTTCCGGCATCTAGAGACGTCCGGTATCCAGAGGCGTGCCCCGTTGCCGGAGTAATATTCCGACAACAAGGTGGTCTAACAACTCGGTCGGGCTCAAAGATTAACATTGATCGGCGTCAAATTCCGCTCAATGCCGCAGCCTATTATGGAAACCTGACGGTATATTCAGGAAGTCTGCTTTGACACAATGCTGTAAACGTGGCACTCCATCATTGGAAATCGCCAACCACGAATACAAGGGACCTGGCGTTCTCCTTCCAATCGGAGATAGTGTAGTCCAAAACACTAAAATCGTTGCTCTTTGGACAAGTTAATCCGCTGAGTATATCGCACTAGAATCGCCCATGGCGAGAGTAGCAGCCAAGACAGGACATTCGTAACAGAAGAATATAGCGGTCCTGGCATATGAATCGAGCACGGCTCCATGGCCAAAACATGGACATGGCAATCGGAAAGAGACCCTACGAAAACCGCACGCCACGCGATCCCCCATCTTTGATACAATTCACCAAAGGAGCAAAGGCAGTTTCAAGTCGTGCCCAGGACAACACGATCCAGGAAGGTACTCTTGCCTAGGATATGTCAGCACTTAGCTTGTCGAACTGGGCAGAAAAGCTCCTACGTGTGCAACGTGGCCAAAGATCCCAAGCCCGAAAACCTTGCAACGCCTATTCCAGATGCTTACTTGCTCGCTCAAGGGAAGGCAATGCTGCCGATGCCCCTATGCAAGATTGTCCGTAGTATTACATCGTCATTCGTTTGCTGTGGCCTGAATTCGCCAACCGTATCCTGGGATCGTATGCCTGTAAACTGCATGTTAGGACAAGTGGAGGAGTAGGGCGAGTCTGTGTAACAGAACATACCGAAATGACGAAAAGCGCCGTCTATCCATGGCAAAAATGCCAAACTCTATCGCGGGAATCCAGATTCATGCCTATCATTAGATTATCATGACATCGGTACCGTCATTGTGTTGCACCATGCAACCCCATAAGCCTTTCTACATAATCGTCATGCTCAGGACGCCATTGGTCGGGAATTTGAAACCTATTCCACGACCCAGTAGGCAGTTTAAACGTCTTGCCCAGGACGCCCAAATTCGGGCAACAGAATGAAAGACACAGGAACAGATTTGGCGCAGTGAACAGACTATACACACCTCGTGGACAACAAGCTTGCTTCGCGGCGTGTCCAAGGACTGTCACTTGACAGCCAGGAATGGGCGGGCACGTACATGATGTCCGGACTTACCAGGGCAGACGAGAGACGAGCAATAAGAGATTAGCCACTCGGAAGTAGGCCACCGAGCTTTGATTGTGTATGGAGAGCCCTGAAACATCACAAGCAGGAGCAGCCCTTGATGGGTTTGACATGCTCTGTTATTGAGTTGTTGCTTGCTTCATCGTCCTAGGACCGAAAGTGGAATGGGGTTGTTATTCATAGAAGCTAACTTAGGAACCAGATCCGCCCGCCCTTCACATGGCACCATTTTAAGCTGTCGAAGATTAGGTGGGGCATAGCGGTCCGTCCAATTTTCCGTCGATGCGCTCAATCACGTCGACTCTGAGCACGGCCATTAAAGATGCCTTACAGGGCTACCGTAAGTCAGGCACATGTGTACGAATAGGCGCATTGTCGTGGCTCATGACTTCGAAATGTTTCCTGATGGTCGTCTTTATAGTTCCTCGAGGATTGTTAAGACCGGCTATAAACTAAGATAGTCTGTTCTTCGGGCTTTGAATATATCTATGGCGCTCTAACTGTAGGGCCTAGGCTGTAGATTCTCGTAAGATTCGTGTGGTGATCCTGTGGAAACACAAACCGTCCGACAAACAGTCAACAAGCCTGTATAGCAACGAACTCGCGCTGGTATTTATCTAAGTCGACTATAATGTGACATCTTTCTGGTTGTGTGGGAAAACTGGGGCTGAACCGTTTTCACCTTGTGTTTACGTCAGTATTCGTAACAGCTGATTCGTGGATGCCCTGAAGCAGTATTGCATAGTAGACATGGTTGACTAATGAGGAAGGTCGAAGTCTTTGATGTCGAACTAATAGCTCCAGTTGAATGGAGCCTCCTGATTATACGGTACTTGATATTGTTCCTGCAGTACATAGATCACAAAACGAAGCGGAGTTTGTTGAACTCGGATATTGACGGATGTTGGCCTGCGATGAATGCACTATCGCAACCTGCGGCAATTTGATTGTCAGATTGTGATTCACTTTTTTTGGCCCAAGATTGTTGACTCCCCGACAGAGCTCCGATACTGGTCCGAAATGGTCACAACTCTGTAGATCTGGGGTATCACAATACTGCGTCATTTGGGTGGATGCATGCAAATTTTTGCTGCGATGGGAGTGCCATGCAGCCGGGCGGACAGGCCCATTCGAAGATACGCTGTAGTAAACCTAGTATAGTAGTGTTGATTGTTCAAGACGCAATTGGTTATGGCTGACGGCTGGGAGGACAAATTTTCTTTATTTTTTTTTGTCGCGGAACATGCATATGATATCCCCGCGACCGGTCCTAGATCGCAGGGAAGTCAGGAGCTCTAGTGGGTGTTTCCCACCTGCGCCAGGGCGGTTATGGCCTAGCGCACAGCATCTGGCGGGCCAATTCAAGAATTTTTCTGAGCATGTCCCTCATTGATATCTTATCGCTGCCCACCCGAAAATCCGCTACAGTACGAACTAGGGGACCCTACCGTAGGCGGTCGAGTCACGAACCTGCCGGCACCTGCATCTCAAAGATATTCTACTTCTCGACTCGACTCGACTCGACTCTTGCCAATCTCCTCCTGTAACTTTCAGACAAGGTCAATTGACTCCAGGAAGGGGCGCATCTGACATCAGATCTGTCGAGAGGCCCTTTAGTCCATAGCTTGGAGAACGTAGCTCTTACACAGCTGGCTACCATAGCTATGGCTTTCTCCACAAAGCTCGCCCATCGCGCACCCGCGGCCGTTCGCGGTGGACGGCGACTACCAACCGTCTTGCCTCGCAGGCAGTTGACCTCGACCAGCTTCCCTTCCCCAGCCTACACCAAGCTGGTCTCTGCCACCAGGGCCTCGCAATGGAACCAGAGGAGGAATTTCACAGCCTCGGCAGCCTGCTGCAACAGTGGTATTGCCCAGGAGGCTCCCAACCCCAAGGCCTACCTTGAGAGCGGTGTCATAAAACCCAAGGAGATGGTCGATGTCAAGAAGGTCCTTGTCATTGGTAGCGGTGGTCTTGCCATTGGCCAGGCTGGAGAGTTCGATTACTCAGGTTAGTGCACCTCCAATTTGCGCACACAGCCCAACCACGATTCGAGTTGGCGGTCAAGCGTGGGACGAGACGAGACGAGACGAGATGAGTCAGTGTACATCTCGCCATGAGCGGCGCTAACATGTTCTCTCATCAAGGTTCTCAAGCCCTGAAGGCTCTCAAGGAGGCCGGTGTCGCCTCTGTTCTTATCAACCCCAACATTGCTACCATTCAGACTGCCCACGTGCTCGCCGATGAGGTCTACTACCTCCCCGTCACCCCTGAATATGTCTCCTACGTTATCGAGAGGGAACGCCCTGACGGAATCTTCTTGTCCTTCGGTGGACAGACTGCGCTGAATCTGGGTGTGCAGATGCAGCGAATGGGTCTGTTTGAGCGTTACGGCGTCAAGGTGCTGGGTACCAGCGTTCATACCTTGGAGTTGAGTGAAGACCGAGACCTCTTTGCCAAGGCCTTGAACGAGATCAACATCCCCATTGCACACTCCATCGCTGTCAACACTGTCGATGAGGCTCTGGACGCTGCTGAGAAGGTCGGCTATCCCATCATTGTCCGAGCCGCCTTTGCTCTTGGTGGCCTTGGCTCCGGCTTCGCCAACGACAAGGAGGAGCTCCGCAACATGGCAGCTCGATCCCTCACCTTGTCGCCGCAGATTCTTGTTGAGAAGTCCCTCAAGGGCTGGAAAGAAGTTGAGTACGAGGTCGTTCGTGATGCCAACGACAACTGCATCACTGTGTGCAACATGGAGAACTTCGACCCCCTCGGTACCCACACTGGTGACTCCATCGTTGTCGCTCCCAGTCAGACATTGAGTGACGAGGAATACCACATGCTGCGAACCGCTGCCATCAAGATCGTTCGCCACCTTGGAGTTGTTGGAGAGTGCAATGTCCAGTACGCCCTGCAGCCTGATGGTCTTGACTACCGTGTCATCGAGGTCAACGCCCGCCTGTCTCGTTCATCTGCTCTGGCTTCCAAGGCCACTGGCTACCCTCTTGCCTACACTGCCGCAAAGATTGGTCTTGGCCACAGCTTGCCTGAGCTTCCCAACGCCGTTACCCGCACAACCACAGCCAACTTCGAGCCATCTCTGGATTACATCGTCACCAAGATCCCCCGATGGGATCTGGCCAAGTTCCAGCATGTCAAGCGTGACATTGGCAGTGCTATGAAGTCTGTGGGTGAAGTTATGGCTATCGGGCGAACTTTCGAGGAATCCTTCCAGAAGGCTATCCGACAGGTCGACCCCAACTTCCTTGGTTTCCAGGGAGACAAGTTTGACAACCTCGACGACGTCCTTGCAAACCCCACGGATCGCCGTTGGTTGGCTGTCGGTCAAGCTATGCTTCACGAGGGCTATACCGTCGACCGGGTACACGAGCTGAGCAAGATCGACAAGTGGTTCCTGTACAAGCTTCAAAACCTCGTCAACTGCGTTCGCGAGATGGAGGCTGTTGGTAGCTTGGAGAACATGAAGCGTGATCTTGTGCTCAAGGCCAAGAAGATGGGCTTCTCTGACAAGCAAATTTCCAAGGCCGTCAACAGTGACGAGAAGTCGGTCCGCGCACACCGTCTCGGCATGGGTATTCGCCCATGGGTTAAGAAGATCGACACTTTGGCTGCTGAGTTCCCTGCTGACACCAACTACCTGTACACCACCTACAACGCCAGCACGCACGACGTCACTTTCGACGACAAGGGAACTGTCATCTTAGGATCAGGTGTCTACAGAATTGGAAGCTCCGTCGAGTTCGACTGGTGCGCTGTATCTGCCACCCTAGCACTGCGAAAGATGGGAAAGAAGACTGGTAAATGAGCAGCCCCTTCCCCCAATCCACCTTTTTGGTTCTGATTAACTAACGAGTACGTTTTCGATATTTAGTGATGATCAACTACAACCCCGAGGTATGACTTTCCAAAGGCGCCATGACCGGCGTCGGATATTTCTTTTGTTGCCTCTAGAGGCAATCTCGAACCCTCTTTGTCCTCAGTTTGACTGAACAATACTAATCACTGATTACCACAACAGACTTACTCCACTGATTTCGACACCGCCGACAAGCTGTACTTCGAAGAGCTCAGCTATGAACGTGTCATGGATATCTACGAACTCGAGAATGCTTCTGGTGTTGTCGTCTCCGTCGGTGGTCAACTTCCTCAGAACATTGCCCTTCGCCTCCAAGAGGAAGGCAAGGCTAACGTCCTTGGTACTGACCCTAAGGATATTGACAAGGCCGAGGACCGACAGAAGTTCTCTGAGATCCTCGACAGCATTGGCGTCGACCAGCCTGCCTGGAAAGAGCTGACTTCAGTTGCCGAGGCTGAGAAGTTCGCCCAGGACGTCGGTTACCCCGTTCTTGTCCGGCCCAGTTACGTTCTCTCTGGGGCTGCCATGACTGTCATTCGAAGCCAAGGAGACCTCAAGGAGAAGCTTGAAGCTGCCAGCAACGTGTCCCCCGATCACCCTGTTGTCATCACCAAGTTCATCGAGGGCGCCCAAGAGATCGACGTCGACGGTGTCGCTTCCAAGGGCGAACTTATCGTTCATGCTATCAGCGAGCACGTCGAGCAGGCCGGTGTTCACTCCGGCGATGCCACCTTGGTCTTGCCCCCTACCAACCAGGACGAACGTACCATGGAACGCCTCAAGGAGATCGCCCAGAAAGTTGCCAAGGCCTGGAGCATCACCGGACCCTTCAATATGCAAGTAATTAAGGCTACCAACCCAGAGGGTGGTGAGCCTCTGCTGAAGGTCATTGAGTGCAACCTCCGCGCTTCTCGATCTTTCCCCTTCGTCAGCAAGGTATTGGGTACCAACTTCATCGATGTCGCCACCAAGGCTCTCGTCGGCCAAGATGTGCCTGAGCCCACTGACTTGATGGCCGCCAAGCGTGACTATCTTGCTGTCAAGGTTCCCCAGTTCTCCTGGACTCGTCTTGCTGGTGCTGATCCTTTCCTCGGTGTCGAGATGGCCAGTACTGGCGAGATGGCTTGTTTCGGTAAGGACCTCGTGGAGGCTTACTGGACTTCAATGCAGTCTTCCATGAACTTCCGTGTCCCCGAGCCTGGTGAGGGTATCCTCTTTGGCGGTGAGACCTCCAAGCCCTGGTTGACCACGATTGTGGATTACCTCTCACCCCTTGGCTACAAATTCTATGCTGCCGGCAATGATGTCAAGGAGTTCCTCGAGTCTTCAACCAAGGATAAGGTCAAGGTTGAGGTTATCGAGTTCCCCAAGGAGGACAAGCGCGCCCTTCGTGAGGTCTTCCAGAAGTACGACATCAAGGGTGTGTTCAATCTGGCTTTGGAAAGAGCCAGGACCACAACTGATGTTGACTACGTCATGCGACGAAACGCTGTGGACTTTGGTGTTCCGTTGTTCATGGAGCCCCAGGTAAGTTCCTTTGAAATTTGAATTTTTGCGACTCGCCGTGCTAACATCATTTTAGACCGCCATGCTATTTGCTCAATGTATCAGCGAGAAGCTCCCTCGCAAGGAGGGTATTCCTTCCGAAGTTCGCCGATGGTCGGACTTCATTGGCGGCAAGCCTCTGTAAATATCTTGGAGATTCGGTTCCGGTTCTAGAGAAAATATGTGCTTTCGCCTTACTAAATATCCGTCCATTCCATGGCCATGTTGGGTCGGGTTGCCAGGCGTTCATATGACGGTTTGCGACATTCTGGTGGTGGGCAATTTTGGGTCTGAAATTTTCATAGTGAATACCAAGCGAAGTGAAACTTGAATTTTTACAATTTTTGTCTTGTCCCTTCTCGCATTTAATTCTCTCCAATCTTACGTTCGTATCATTTCGAGCAGGAGACTCCTCTCAGCAAGTATTTTGTAGAAAATGTGTCTGCCCATAACTGACCCGGGCAAGCTAGTTTTTCTTTTTCTAAATTTTTTATTTAAAAAATGATCTTCTTTGTAGACGACTGTTATGAATAGACGTCATTCGTCCTGCAACACAAACACAGCGCATTCATCACGCCCCTCCGCGATCAGACAGTAGCCTCCATGCTGCTTCACCAATCTTAACACTCACGGAAAGCTCTTTGGCCTTGAACACACAACAGTCATATCACTTCATCTCCATACCTTTCGTTGGCCGAAACAGAATAAGCGAGCCTAATCTCGTCGTCTGCGGCTTTGGGTCGTCAGATCCTCCTTTGCTGGCACAACAATGCACCCACCAAGACATGTTTGATGTTACGCTATGCTACATCCCCCATTCTAGCGGATAGTTAGCGACCTCCTGTGCACATGCTTATGACGACAAAATCGTCAGACCAAGGCATACGCATCAGTCTGTCATTTCGAGGTCTAACCACCATCGTTTCAAATCCTTATACCAGAGGGATTTCCTCCCTGTCATTACAACATGCGTTGTCTCTCCCCTCCAAAGACACACCAGCTAGCTTAGAGCCAAAGGCGCCTTTAGTACCGATCTCTACCGTTTTCAGAGATTCACATGTTCATACAGGCAATGTGAAGCCATCGCTGGAACCGGCAGTTTTGAATGGTTCGGGCACAATGATGGGAGACATATGTCAAACTCTGAGCTGGGGTTAGTTAGCGAGCTTGAAAAATAACGCCAGCAGGACAGGCTAGGTATCGTGTTTGAACAGTCTTAGAAGAGAAGGAAGTTGATCTTGAACTCGTTGTGTTGGTACCTTGATAGATAGACGGCACATAACAGCGCATTTTGCCCATGGCATTTCATACTTTGGATTCTCCCCCCCCCCCCCCCCCCCCTGTTACTCCATCCAGTGTCTGTGATCGGTGTTATTTCACAGATCTGTGGTCTTTTGCATATCGAAGGATAAAATTGATGGCCGCGTGCTAATCGTCGCCTAGCACGTGGGCATGGGATGATAATTCCATGACTTGGCTCATTTGGGCTACTCATCAATCTGGGTTTGATGTGTTTATATAACCAGGTCAGCGCTATGAAATTGGCTTTGATGCCGGTTATGCCTTTTCTCTCCTTGAACGCCATGAGGATGCAATTCCTTGCACACTAGTATCTACCTCCGCGCGTATTCGCGCGATGCAATTACCTTGATGCGCACCTTGCATGCTAATCTATGCCACGTCTCAGCACCCCGATGTCTCAGAAACGCCGTTCGCCAGTTGGACAAGGGAAAGTTCATGTCCATTCAAAGGTTTAACCTCTACAACTCGGTATGCGGCACAGGGATCGGGCGGGGGCGGCTCTTCCCATTTTGTTGGCGATTACCGCTCAGCCTAAGGGCAGCAAAACGCTTAGCGTCTGGTTCATCGTTTGCAGAAGTTGCAGCAGCAAGGCCACTTGTCGTGGCAGCAGAGACACCACGACCATTTGCTGGGGAATTGGGAGAGTTGGTGTCATCGACCCCGCCTCCACTGGGCTGGCGAGGACGCTTCAAGCTGTGCGAAGGAATGTTCTCACCAGTCGATTGTATGATAGCCTCTAGTGTCTGCCAACCAGGCGTGGAGAAGAGCTGATACGTGTCTGCGAGGTCACGGTTCGTAGCGACCTTGCATAGAAGTGCCTCCTCCTCCTGTTAAGACGGTTAGTAGCAGCTTCGCAAGCGTTGGGAACGTGTAAGATCCTACCTTTGACAGCACGCCTAGGTTATGGATGAAGCAGAGCAAATGAAAATTGGAGAGCTTTTGTTGGCCATCTGTGGTCTTGAGGGCCTTGGCAACGGCACCAGGTTGCTGGCTCTCGCCCATGATCTCACGATTCTCGATGGGGAAGCCGGCGTCCTTGAAGACGGGATTGGATTCAGTTGGGAAACCGTGCGTCAAAGTGACGAAGAGATACTCGACCGGGAAGGCTGGCTTCGCGTTTTCCTGTACATTGGCACCGTATTCGTTAATCTTGCGGAAAAAGACTTCTGGTATAAATCTTGTCCGACTCCTGGAGCTGTCGTCTTCCTCTTCTTCCTGCACGAGCATGACAGTGGGGTCAGCCGAGGGTTCGATGACATTTGCCCGAACCATTTCCACGGCCTCTAGTGACGCTTGGTAGGCCGAGATGGCAATCTGACCCGTCTCGTCGCCGGATATTATGCACGTGACGAAGTTTGAGCCATAGATCCCCGTGTCGCTCCACTTGGTCGGCTTCGGGTGTTGTGCCTGCAACCTTGCAGCATAGCAGACCTCGAGTGAGGAGAGGAAATATGAGTCGGCGTGTCGTTTGCAGACAACGGAGCCGTCGCCTGCGCCCGAATCGAGTAGGTCGGTGAAGATGGTACCGACGGGCTCCAGACCACAAAGCTTGGCAACAGCAGTGATGTCGGCCTCGTTCTCGAAAGGGTTCATGGAGATACCGTCCGACTCATCGACCTGCGGCACCTCATAGATGGCCTCCACCACAGCTTTGATGCCCAGCGGAACCTCGGTGTACTCCTCGTAGTGTCCGTACAGGAGCCCGACTCTCTGACAACCGGTCTTTCGCCAGGCATCGATGAATGTGTTGACTAGGTCAAAGGTTGCAAATTCGACGTGGTCGACGGCGCGCCAAGTCTGGGGTTGCAGGATGATGGAGCTGGGCTGGCACTTTGTGCAGATACCGTCGGGCCAGGCTGGATGTCCAGAGGGGCAGTCGGATTTGACTCTGAAGTAGGGCTCGTTCAATGGCGGTATGAAGGAGCTTCCGAGCTCTGGCTTGTTGGTGGCGGAGTTGATCTTGCGCAGGTATGAATGGAAGGACAGGTACTTGATCTTCTTCTCTTCGAGGTACTGGGGATTGAACGGATCGAGGGGCATGCAGAAGTCGCACATTCCCTTGGGGCCGTGCTTGCACATCCTGTCGCGACCCCTCGGGATCTTGCCGTCTTTCTTGTCCAGGCGATCATCCAAGGCCGACTGTTTGACTACCTCCCATGGGTTCTTGATGAGGACAGGCTCCTTTCCTATTGGCTGGGGTTTCAAAGCGACATGGTCGGTTGGCAGTATGGGTTTGCCATTGAGTCTGTTGGAAGGGGCCGGGGCGGGGCCGTTGGACTGGCTGGCGTCGGTCGCTTCACTCCTGTGGTCGTAGGAAAGGAAGATGAGGTCGCCGTGCTTGAGTCCTATCTGACTGAGCTTGAACTTGGCGATTTCCACCAGACGTTTGCGCTCGCCACCGGTAGGCGAGTTAGACATGGCGATGGTTTCGGGGTCGACGGTGGCAGGCAACTCGTTGACGAGCTACTCTGCAGTCAGTAAAGGGAAAAGGGCCAGGAAAGGAGAGCAAAGCAAAGAAAAGAAGAGGGTAGGGGTTCCAAGCTCACGATGCGGCCCAGATCACCAAAGGTGTCACTGGGCTCAATAGTGACCCTCTTCATGCCATCGGGCCCTCGAAGTCGCAACAACATGTTGGGCGATGGTGGCAGGGGGTGCCTCTGTGTGTGTATGTGTGTGTGTGTCTGTGCGTGTGTCTTTGATGTTATGGTGATGGGTGACGGCGACTGCTGGTGGTGGTGTTGGTGGTGGTGATGGTGGTGCCGAGGAGGTGGGGGGACGGTGCAGGTCGACAGTGAGGAACAATGCTCTGTTCCGTTCTGTCCTGAAAGTATATCCTATGCGTAGATGGGTTGGAAAGCGCCGGCGACGTTTAGAAATTGTTCTCTGGAGGGGGTGAAGATGGGCAGTGAGCTGCAATCCCGTACATTGGTTCCATACGCTGCATTCATTGCATTACATACAGGTAGCTTACCTTAGTTAGCCTCAAGTGGGGAGCTTTCAGGCGCTGACTTGAATGACGTGGGCGTCCGCTCAGAAGTCCGCCACACCCTCTGATTGGCTCAAAGCCGCCATTCTTAGGCTGTGTATACTAATTATGTACTGTACGCCGGATGCCACTGTGTATATGTGCGGTAGGCATTTCAGATTGAATGCAAGCTTCGCTGGGGAGGCTGTATACATACGTTACCTGCCACGTGTGTAACAACCAATTGCTCATCGTCTCGTACCGTTAGATTCATATGCATTCCCTCTTTCCGTAGCAGCAGGCAGGTGCTCATCTAATACTGGGTTAGTGGTAACCCAGCACGTATCCGTAAGTCAGTCGCCTGCCCGGCAATCTCCCGGCCCTTCAATACTGCCGTCGCAAGGACCAATATCATAATGCATGCATCCACACTGGAAGCTCCCGGTCATGCGCTGTTGCAACACGAGAGAAGCCATGCAACTGCAACTGCAAATGCAAGCCACGCCACAAAAATATCCTGAGAATGACTTTTATTGCGAACTTGATATTGTCAAACTATCGAATTTCCTTGGAATACGCCTGAGCAAAACCACACGACCTCCAGAAACCCTCGCGCGTCGTCCTCATGAAGCCAATCCCCCGGCAGTGTTGCCAGTATGCTTCACCAGTCTGTATGAGCCCCTTTACTTCCATCGCCAGATCAGGTTTGCTCCCAATCCCGCCGGAAGGGCAACCATCCTGCAAGACTTGTGGCTAGACCTGCCAAAATATGGAACGCTGCCATTCCTGCTGCTCCACGGCCTCTCGTTGCCCTGGTACACATGAGAGAGTACCGCTATAGTACATGAAAAAAACACAAAACCCGGGCACCCTTTGTGTCTAATAGAAATAGATGCCAGCCATTTGCTCCTGGCTGAATGGCTCTGTGCAACAAAGGACGCTTGCCGTGCACTGCCTCATCAAACCATGATAACGATATAATGCCGTGCCAAACCACACCAGAATCTTCACCGTCTTCGCCCGGAACCTCGGAACGTTGGCGTCCACTCTAAGCAGCCGACTCGACGGTAGATGGCTCACCGGAGGCAGTCTATTCCCATGTTAGTCCCTGGTCGCCGACTTCTTCTTCAACGCATAGCCTGTTGAAGAAGATGAACAAAAAAAAAACCACCCGGAAGATGAAAAAAAGGCGAAAGAAAAAAAAAGGGCTTACCTCTTCGGTTGGCTTCTCACCAGCTGGTGGGGATCCTGCCTTCTCCTCAGTCTTCAACGTTTCCTTGGTCTCGTCCTTTTCTCCCGACTTTTCTTCCTTGGTCGCTTCCTTGGAACTTTCGCCAATGCCCACGCCGTTGACGCCATTTGTGACCTCCTTGATCTCCTTTGAATCCCCAGAAGTGCCGTTGACTCCATTCGCCGGTGCGGCCTCTTGCGGTTGCTCGGTAGCTAGAATCTTATTCCACTTTTCCAGCAGCGCTTGCGACCGTGGCTTGAAGTTGAACTCGGCCTCCTTGGGGATTTCGCCCAGCTTCAACATGGCTTTCAATACCTTGTTGATCTTGGTGACGCGGATGATGTTGGCCTCCAAATCTGGGAAAGCCTCGAGCTTGCCGAGGTATTCCGACATATTTGGCATATCCGACTCCTTGATCTGGGCGTCCTTGTTGAGGAGTCCCTTTTGGAGCCTGTGCCGCAGGAACAGAATTTCTTTCTAATCATCTAGTTAGCAGCCCTCTCTTACGTCCGAGAACATTGCACCACCCGAAAGATCTTACCTCCTTGCGCTGGTGCTTCTCCTCTGGTGTGAGCTCAGGCTCCTTGGGCGCCGCCTCCTTCTTCGTCTTCTCGCCGTCGGTTTCCTTTGCCGCCTCCTTCGCAGGTTTGGACGACTTGGACTTGGCCTTGGTAGCCTTGGTGGCGGCCTCCTTGGGCGATTGCGCACCGTTGGTGGCGGTCTTCGGGGTGGCGGATGTGGTCAACTTGATCTTTGGCTTCTTGACAGATTCGGAGCGCTGTGGAGTCTGTTGAGTTCATCAGTTCAGGGTCAAATAGGCGAGTGTGAAAATACTAACGGCACCCTCGTCTTCCGCCTTACGTTTCTTGGTGGCTTTGCTTCCATCTGACTCTTCACCTTCCTGAACATCGGCGTCAGGCATCTCGGTGTCGTCGTCTTCGGTGGCTTTAGGTTCACTCTTCTTGGTTGTCTTTTCCTTCTTGGCACGGGCTCGCGCTGCCTTTGCCTCTGCCTCGGCTATCTTGGCCTCTTGGAAGTCAAACAGAACCTGCTTATAGTGCTCGATGTTGTTCTGCTCCTTGGCTAGGTGATGCGCGGCCGCAAGGTCCTTGCGCATCTTGGGAGTAACGAGATCTACGACAACGTCGGGGTCGAGGTCATCGAGGTCTGTGTTGCGAGTCCATGAGCTAGGTGGTAAAAGTCAGCAGGATGATGACGAGAATGATCGGGTGCGTGCGAACAAGCAGCTACGCCTCGTCACCTCACGGAAAGGGGTTGGGAGCTCACAATTCGTTGGTCTGTAGATACATGACAGGATAAGTCCTGTCAGCAGCCTTCTTGCCACCGTCAGCATAGTCATCGCGGTAAGTGCCGTCGGGGCGAGCAGCGGTGACAGGTCGGGAGTTGATCATGTTCTGGGGGAGCATCTCCTCGTCGCAAACAATAACAGGCCACGGGGGGAAGCCCTTGAGTCTTGCGAAGAAGTGATCACCCGGCTTTGCGTCGAGGTGCAGGATCTTGGCCATTGACTTCTTCTTGTTCAGCTTCTTGCCCGTGCTTGCCACGGCGGATTTCCTCCGGTTCTTGCTGGCTGGTGTAGACTCTGCTGCCGGAACAGCAGTGCTGTCTCCGTCGGCCATATCGGCGGTTCCCTCTTCCGTTGCCGGCTTGTCCTCGGCGACAGCAGCAGCAGCAGAGGACCCGTGCTCCTCTGATGGCTTGTGTTCCGCGTCGGGTTGCGCCTCAGGCTTGGACTCCTCGCTCTTCTCGGCGGGCTCGGAAGGCTTCTCAGCTGATTCAGAGGCGTCCTTCATATCGACGTCAGCGTCAGCAGCTGGCTTCTCGTCTGCTGCATTCTTGGGTTCTGTCGAGGAGGATGAAGATTGTTAGCTTCTGGTCTGAAGGGAGAAAATACAAGGACGCGCAGGGCGTTGCACGACCACGTGGTCCTTACCTGAGGCAGTAGCAGGCTTGTCCTCCTTCTCGGTGGCGGGTGCTTGCGCATCGTCGGCCTTCGCGTCAGCGGCAGGCGCAGCGTCGGAAGCATCAACAGCAGGAGTAGGCGCGCTCGGCTCTGAGGTCTCAGGCGCCTTCTGCTCGACGGGCGCGGCAACGTCGTCAGACATGTTGTTGTGTTGTGATGGTGGATGGTTGAAGTGACAATGGACGCGACGATTGGGGGTGTTTAGTGCAGTGTATGTGATGGATGAAATAAAGTTGCTTGCAGAAAGTTGCGTAGTTGTGGAGAGTTTTGGTCGCAGCGACGCGAATGGAAGCGAAAGCTGCCAGGTGTGGTCCACTTCTGGAAGCTCGAAAGCTCAAAGCGTGTAAATGTAATACTAAGGCGGATTGCGGGTCAAAAAATTAAAACAAATTGACCTCGAGTCAAGCCCTCGACGCGCCGCCCGTTCGGTACAGTACGGAGCAAGGTGTAATGTATCTGTATCGATATCGGTATCGGTAGAGATATTGATATTGGTATTGGTATAGGAAGTACGAGGTCTACGTGTGATGTATGTAATGTAATGTAATGTAATGTAATGACCTCGTTCCCTCTAATCCGTACGGGATACTCTAATTCGAATATGAGCAGAGATAATTTTTTTTTGGGCTCGAACCACGATGGAGTGATGCTGCAATTGGATGCCACTCTGTCGTGTGTTTGGCTGGGATGACGGAAACAAAGGACAAAATTGGGAAAGTCAGAGGTCACGGTCGATCACAGTTTATGGAGCGAAATCTCGGCGAAGGAATAGTTTGGCTGGCTGGTTTTTGATTGATCGATCGATTGGCAATGGATGCTGGCTGGAGTATTGAAAGAGTGGGGTCACGTGGCAGAGTTAGATGCTCAAGATTGCCCTGAGGCGTCCGCAGGTAAGGGTACGAGAGAGTAGGCGACAACCACCAACGCACCCACGCTTCATCCGATCTAGGCATCCTTGGCCGGACGCGAGAGCGTTCCTGGCCCTCGTTGGTCTACCAACAACATCGGAAGGCCATCCAACCATTGACTTGCCTTTTTGCCCCCCATCATGAACACCTCGTCTTTCGTGGTCTGACTCCCAAGGCATATTGAGTCGCGACTACTCTAGAGTCTCACAAACGCCCACTTAACTCCATCTTCACCACCCAAGCTCTGCACAACTCCTAATTTGGCGTAGCAACTCGGTGAATAGTCCAGATCCTCGTCCTGTAGAATTTCGGGCTATTTAGGCACCGCTCGCCAAATTGCCTTTTTCGCCGAATTGGGCCTATACTGTTGTTGTAGTGTGGTCATGGCCGTCTCCCAGCCACGGCTCTCGGCATCGCCACCCGGCTTCCGTGCTGAGACTATCGCCATCGTTGCGTAGATAGCATCCAGACAGCCTTGAGATGGCCAGTATCATGAGCCTTCCAAGCCATAGTGGCTTTGTCCAGAATATGGACACCGAGTGATTAGTATGGGACGAAAATGGTCACCACGTACACTTACCCCAGAACAAAACAAAACAAAAACCACAACTTCGGAGAGTCCATCACAGTGGCGCACGGCCTTGGGATGTGCGTCGACAACGCCGTCAAATATCAATCAACTCCAAGCTGTCCATTATGCAATGTCTTTCAGGGTCCTTCGATGGCCCTGCTATTGAGTACAGTAAGCGTGATATACACAAAAAGTTTGATTCGCACCTTGTACGACAACCAAGAACGCCTATCCCCATATTTATTCACTGTCTTCCTCATCTTCATCGACGTCCATGCTCTCGCCCGCCGTAACGGAGAATGTCGGTTCTTGATCAACTCCAGAGTAGCTGTCGCTCATCAAGAATAGCTTCAAATCGTGTTTCCCAGGCGATGGCACGGTATACTCGAGCTTGACCTTGAGTTGGCGCCCAATCGTGACTCGTTTAATCGCAAGTAGTGTCTTCGTGCTCTCCTCACCCACCACGAGCCACCAATTCTCCAATTTCTTGGTTGGGTAAAATGGCGCGTGCACAGTGGTGTCCACTTCCTCGTCCTCGTCAACCTCACGGTCAATCTGCACATTCAAGTATGCAGGCTCGCCAGCGCGGATGTCATCCTCGTCGACGAGCTCAAAGTTGAGGGTCAAGTCGGGGTATTTATTGTTCGTGAAGTTAGCTGCCTCAGCCAATTGTTTCTGCGACAGACCCAGCCGCTTGATCAGAGTGCCATAATTCGGGTTCTCCTCTGGGTTCATCGACTCCATGAAGTCATAGATATCCTTGATTCTGTGACATAAGAAGTTAGCGTCGTCGTTCCTGAACGGATACACTGGTACATACTCGAACTCATTTGCCACCTTGATCACCTCTGGCGTGAAATGAGGTATCTGCTTCAAGGGGCTATCACGGTCCCACATAGCCTGAACGACCATCTGGGACATCTCCATGGCATTCATAGCGTTCAGGTAGCCCTCTGAGGACAAGACATCCACCGTGGCGCTAAGTAGGCTGAGTACCTTGGAGATGATCATCTCTTGATCTTTGGCTAAATCGATTGGCAACTGCATCCGCGAGAAGTGAGCTTGTAGAAGGACGAATGCCTTGAAGTGAGGCGAGTCGTAGACTGGCTCGGCCATCTTGACTGGTACCCTATCGTAGATACGTCGTAGCAAGCTTTCTTCGTGGCGCCGAATTTGGATGGATTCAAACTCAGTAGCTGACGTTATGATTTCAAGAATGCCCTTCAGCTTAGTCTTCTGGCTGAGTGACAGCAGGAATGTCTGCATCGTGATATATGAGATGTTATAATATGCAGCGATCATGGCAGCATTCTGCGGTGCCACGGACCCGTCGTCCTCATCAAAGTCAATGATCTTCGACTCGGTCAGTTCCTTGAGAGTTGTTTCTACAAGGTCGGAAAGATATGCATTGAGTGCGTCCGCATCTTTACTTGGCAAACTGTAATAGCTGGGATTGGCTAGGAGTCGACGGTAGAAGTACGTAAAGGTGGTCCAGTTGATTGCGTCTTCGCCAGACTCGATCATCTTGGTGCTGACTTCAGTAACGAATGCATCGTGCACGAAGTTCTGGAGATGAGACTCAACCGGAAGTGCTTCGTTCAAGAACTTCTTGAAATATTCGCGTCGAGTAGTCGGCACCATGAGTACGCCACGCGCTCTTCCATCATCCGCGGACTTCAAAGCCTTGCCGAACATTTGCAGAACTTCGCTGAGTGGGTAATCAATATAGCGATGCTCGCGACCTTCGAAGTATTGTGTGCCCATTACGACAACAAGATGTGCTGTGCAATCCAGTTCCCAACAAACATCACGAGAAGCAACAAGAACCTGAATGGCACCCTTGTTGTAGAGATGTTTGACGATCCTCTTATCGCTCTGGCTAAGAGCCTCGTGATAGTATCCAACACCATGAGACAATGCTTCAGCTAGAGCTTCTTCATGAACGCGCTCCAGGAGTGGTTGCAATTGCTCAGGGTCAACATGTAGGAATCGATCTTCATCATCGTCAGCCAGGCATGTTGCCAGAATGTCGCGGGCAGTAGATCTTGTCTGCTTTCGACTAGGCACGAAGATCAAAGCAGGCTGAGCACTGGACATCTCAGTGATGGCTAAGTAAGTCGGCTTTGCCATCGCGAGCATCAGTGACGGAAAATGAGGGATGGAGAAGGATTGAATGCGGAGCTCCAGCGGCACTGGGCGAGCATGCGGACTGAAGTTGTAAATGTCCTTCTTTTTGGCATCTATCCATTCTCCGAGATCTCTTGCATCAGCAAGTGAAACACTTAGACCGACAATCCGTATGTCCAACTCAGCTTGGGTACGAATGTAATGCATACGAGAGACGATGATCTCGTAGATGTAGCCCTGTTGGCCGCCAAGTAGGTGGAGCTCATCTGCGATAAAGAGCTCAACTGTTAGGATGTTCTTCCGTCGTTGCCATTGGCGTGACAAAATGTCCCACTGTGTTGGCGTGGCCAAGATCAGATCTCCCTTCTCAAGGAGTTTCAAATCAGTTGTGGTTTCGCCGGTCAACTTGACAATTTCTTTGCCGCCCCGGAGGTGACCGAGTCGCTTTTGCCAGTCTTGAAGGCGTACATCAATTTGTTCTTGGTACGGCGCAATATAGACAGCACGCCCATATTCTTGCTTGGCCCAATGCCTCAGGATCGCAAACTCGGCACATACGGTCTTTCCACTACCAGTAGGTGCGCCAACGAAGACATTGTCGTCGGTGGTGTAAAGTGAGGTGAAAGTCTGGGTTTGAATCTTGTTAAAATAAGTCCAGTCTTCGTAGATCGCAGCATAGTCCTTGGCCTTCAACGCAGCAACCGGCAAGGGTTGCAGGTCCAGCAATTGAGTATGAGGCGGGAACTTTTGTGGCAGGATGAGCTTCTGGAACGACACAGGGAGTCTGGTCTCTGAATGCATCCATCTATCTGATATCACTGATATGAAGTAGTTCGGCGGCATAGGCTCGGTGATGGGGACAGTGAAGTCCACCACGTGCTCATTGGACTCTGACATGGCGTAGTCCTTGCGTAGCAAAAAGGTGTCGTAGAATAGAACATCTTCACCATCGCAGTCCTCGACCATAATCCAGAAGCTCTCCGCAGTTCCATGCAGGGCGTCATCCCACTCAAAATTTGGAGTAATGCTTAGCTCTACGCGAAGCAAGGAACGTGTCATCGGCTGAGCTGATGCTTGAATCTCAACTCGTGGAAATTTCGAAACAAGTTCACAGACCTTCTTGCCGTCACGTGGTAGACCGAGGAGCTGACCCATACGGGGAGGGTCAAGGTCAAAGAAGCTCGTCCATGGCACATCGATTCTTTCGGCCTTTGCCACGATATGCCGCTCGTTGGGCTTCATCGGAAATTGGCGGAGCGGCGTCATCGTCGGCCACATACGCTTTTCAGCCATCTTGCAAAGGTCAAGAGCAGTCTTGCAGACGCTCGCCCAGCCCTTCTGCAAGGTGATCTCGAAAATGGCACGGAGGATACGACCAGCGGATTGCGTGACATATACCATATCAGCCATCAAAGCTAGACCGTCAAGCTTGAGGCGCGATATGTATGCTTGGAGTAGGACGTTGATTTTGGCCATAGGCTCTTCGATGCTTTCCTTAACGGGGATGGGCACTCTTTGAAGCAGTTTTGCGAGCTCAACCTTTTCGTCATTCCTGACCGGAATGTATTTGAACTCTGAGCTCTGGGAGAAGACCCTGAACAGCTCAATGGTAGTAATTGACGGCTGGATGAGCTTATTGTAGGTGTCCATAGACCCATGAGTGATGTAATAGTGCGACGAGATCCTGCCAAGTTCAGTTGCCTTCATCTTGCCGGTCTTCTCATCGTAAGTGATCAGGTTTGTCTTCTTCAACACAGCAGCAGCTGAATGGATCAAGTCCACTCGCTTTTGTTCTAGTGCCTCATCGTCTTCGTAATCAGCACCGACGCTATAGAGGCCAGGTGAACGAAGCATTCGTACGAATAGATAAGTGTATCCTAGCCACTCGACACCCTCGTCTCTCGTCCGAACGTTGCCCAACACAATCTCGGCATTCAGGTTATCCACAAGTTTGCTGGCAAATTGAGACTCTATGGGCAATTGCTGATTGAGCAGCGAAAGGTAATATTGCATTTCACTCTGTGCCGTGATGATAATACCTTCACCATACGTGTCGTATTGAGGTCGACCGGCGCGTCCAAGCATCTGCAGGACATCTTGGGGGCTAAGCTCTACCCAGCTGCCTTTCTCAGGCGAGTAGACTGAGGTACCCTTGATGATGACGGTGTGCGCGGGTAAATTGACACCCCAAGCGAGGGTGGCTGTACAGACAAGCACTTGAATGAGGCCTTTCTCGAAGAGGTCTTCGACATCCGATCTGTCGAGACGACTCATACCAGCATGATGTATACCAAAGCCGTAAGGGAGAAGATCCTTCAACTCCGCATCGGCAGCATTCTCAGCGGACTCCTTCAAGACTGCCGTAGCACCTGAATCGTGTCGAATTATTTGGTTGATGGTTTCCATTTCCAAAGCCTTGTCGCGGACATACTTGGCCGTTTTTGCCGTCTCCTTTCGAGAGTGGACGAAGATAAGCATCTGGTTGTTATTTTGACCCACGTGCTCTATGACTTTGTTGTATGTGATGTCGTTCATGGTTTTCAGCTGCTTGATGGCTTTTCGGTCTGTAACTCCAATAAACTCTTGTTTCAACGGGCAAGGACGGTATGTACCATCGAAGTGGAACAAGTCCTTCTGCACATCAACTCGCAAAAAGCTGGCTACATCCCTGTAGTTGGGCAGAGTGGCTGAGAGACCCACTATCCTTACCGGATCTCCAGTCTGCTCCGTCTTTCGAATTGTTCTGCTGACAATACTCTCTAGAACAGGGCCACGATCATCGTGCAGAAGATGAATCTCGTCAATAATGATAAGGCGGACGAGGTTCGTATAGGTCAGGTCCGTGGCTTTTCTCGTGATGACGTCCCATTTCTCTGGTGTGGTCACAATGATTTGTGTTTCCGAGATCTGCTGCTTCGTGAGCTGGCGGTCACCCGTCAACTCAGCGACTGTGATGCCATAATCTGCCAGACGCTTGCCGAAGTTACCGACTTGCTCTTGTACAAGGGCTTTCAGTGGGGCGATGTATACGATCTTGAACGAGTCCAGGTCGATGTCTCCTGTTTTGGGATCCCGGTGCTTGCCGATTTCTCGCAGAATGGTAAGCATAGCAACGTTTGTCTTTCCAGAACCGGTGGGAGCACAGATCAACATGTTGCCATCGTCTTGGAAGGCTGAAGGATAGCACTTTGACTGAATCTTGTTCAAGGATTTAGCTCCAGATGCGCTGAAAGGTACTCTTGACCATTCCGGCATATCCCCGACGGGAATGTTTTGGTCGGCCGGATCATTGCGCCTCTTGGGTGGAGGAACATGAATCTCTTCGTACCCCTTGAATGTCCGCTTTGTCGAGCCCTCAGGCAATCTAACTTTTGGATTTGTCATCAAGTGATTTCCTTGATCGAATATAAGGTTTTCGAGGTTGATGAGTTTGCGCGGCTGCAAACCACCAACAAGCTGGCCGTCGGCACGCTCAGCCTTGGGAGCAGCGCCCTCGGTAAAGGCTGCTGGGACATCAATGTCCATCTTGATCTCCATTTTCTTCTGGCCAGATATGGATTTCTTGCCGCTAAGTTCGTCTAGAATCCACCGGACGCCTTCCGATGCCATTTCGCGTTGGATCACCCCTCGGGCCTCCTCATCTTCGGCTTGCGCTAAGCGTGTAAGCCAAACAATCTTTTCCTGGTTCTGGATGAGCTTCTGCACGACCTCATGATGCTCATAATCGAAGAGCTCCATTAAATCGTTCTCGATCTCTCGGAGCTGCTTCTCCTCACCACCCTCCTCGTCGGGTTCCCCAGAAAGGATGTGGAGGGCCGATCTAGTCTTGTCGTGTTGCTCGTGCTCGTCAGGATACAGTTTACCAATCTCTCGTTGCAACCAGTACCTGTCGATGTCGCGTGCCGGAATCCAATTTCGCTCCTTCTTCCGTTCGGACCCTTTGGCTTCCAAGGGACCGGCGTCAATGACCATTTCGTCCCCATCGGCCAGACCTGCTGACTCCTCGTCACGATCTTGCCCAGCTTCGCCAGCGCCTGCGCGTTCCTCGATTCCAGGCATATCTTCCTCGTCGCCTGCCTCGTCATCTGAGGATTCTTCGCGAATCTCGTTGACCATTTCATCCTCGTCGTCCTCGTCGTCAAAGACCACAGCGACACCCTGGCGGTCATCGAGCTCTGCGTCGTCGTCGCCGGCGCCGGCAGCATCCTCCATTTCCTCGTCGTCTTGGGCATCATAATCTGTGATTTTCTTTCCGAGGTTCACCAATTCGTTGAAGTCCTTGGGGTTTAGTGTGGTACCCAAGATATCGTCGATCTCCCTCTTCTTGTCGATATCCTTGACATCATCGTCCTTCAGATACTCCAAGACGACATCGGCGGCGCTCACAACGACCTCATTTGGAACGTCGCCTAGATGCCGTGCGGCAATTGTCAGGATGAACTCGTAGGTTTGCCTGGTGGCAGGTGTTCGGGGTCGGTATCTGAGATCTTCAACGAGCAGATCGGCTTGGCCCAGAATGCCAGTGCCTCTAGTCTGGGTAGGGCCAGCTTTCCTCCGCTGCTCTCGTGCTAGAATGTCTGCGCCTTCCTGAACAGCTCCTCTCTCTATTGTCGGGCCGGTAGCCTTCTTCTGCTTGGGGGCCGCTTCACGGGCAACACGGCCTCCCATGTCCTGGATGCTCAGGCGACCGGCGAGCGACTCGGGGTCGCCAGTAGCCTCATCGGATCGCCTGGTGATGAAGCGACGATCCGCCTGGAGGACCAGGTTGGACATGGCCGAGTATTTGTACTGGGACACATCGCGCGCGTGGTTGTCAGCCATGTTGACGGTTGTTTGCTGGATTATGGCGGGCGCCGCTCTGCGTGGTGGTGGGGGTTGAAGGTAGAGGTGCCGACTGTGTAGTTCAGATGGCGAGGCGCCTCCTTCGTGTCGGGACTTATGCCAAACGCATCTGAGGGGTATTCCCAAGCCCTTCGACGCTCTCGAAATAACAACTGTCTCAAGTGGGGAAGGGGCCGCGCTGCCAGAGGATAAAAAGTTGCACTGGCTGGTCGTTGCCTTGTTTTGTCTGAAGCTTGATGATGCTTGAGCTATTGGTAGAAATTTTGGTTGCAATGGTTCACACTCATGTGGCGCAAAAGCTCGCCAAAAGCTAAGCTGGTCTAGTTCAACTGCGCGCCACAATAATTCACAATAAAGAAACGCGCTACAGCACATAACCTAAGTTAATACTCCGTATTGCATGGGCGGCACCCAAAAGACAAGACGGTACCCGATTGGCTCAATCTTGGGTGCATACAAGTATTGTCCAAGAGGAGCTTCTCAACATCCAGCGCGTCTCATCCTCGATTCCATGAGGCTTTGTCGGCCTCCATGCAGGGAGGAAATTTGCCAACAGCCTGTGCAGCTTGAATATAAAATCCACTCAATTCGTACGGCCGAGTCTGCCATTTGACAAGATTGAGACCCCCACGGCCGTTGGAGAGACCGATTGCCGTCTCCTTCACCATGGATGGACTATCTCGAGATGAAATGGCGGTCCGATGGGACGACATCATCGACTCGGGCGGCAAATGTTCAGCTGAAGAATACGGTCTCATTCGAAAGATGATTGCAGCCAGCCTTGCACAAAACCTGGGCAGCCAACAGATTCATCATCCTCTATCACTTGTTGACCCCACAACTTTACAGCCTTCGGATTCTGAAGAGCTCACTGGCGTTCAAGCAGACTATCTCAATGGTATCAAGCGATATGCCCAAGGTCAAACGATCTTTTCCAATTTTGCCGCGCAGCAAAAAGTGCTTGCACAAAAGGTCCAAGAGCAGAAGCGGGCCAAGGAAAGAGAGAGGGCTCTGGACCAGGAAATTCTGGCACTGCAGTTAGAGACTGCAAAACTGCAGAAAGAGCATGACCAGCGCAGGACCTTTATCAAGCATCTTGGAGAGCTCGAGAAGATGCCCGCAGCCCAACCTGACTTTCTCAACTCCGACATTATGTACGAGGACTGCAGTCCTATGCCTGAGATGCCCAAGGAGATGATCGACGGTTTTGCGACTGACCACTCAGCAGTCAATGCCCAGGCTGAAGAACTTCTACAGAATTTGAAGAAGCATGTTTTGCGCAGCAAGCTCATGTCGCAGCGACAACAGGCCGATTATGAGCGCAGCCAGGCTGAGAAACCGATCGATGTCAATAGCCTGTCGCCTGAGGTCAAGTTATATGCCCTCAACGCTGTCAAGAATGCTTTGATTAACTGGGTCGAAGCCCAACTGGCAAAAGCTGGTGACGATGGCTCTGAAGCCCATGTTGAAGAAGGAACTGCCAGTGCCCAAGTGGAATACGATCACGATGGTATGTTGTCGGAAATCCAGCAGAAATATCAGCGCCACATTGAGCTGCGACAGAGCCTACTCAACCAGCTCGCTCAGTTAGATCAGGTCAAAGAGAACTTGAAAGCTACCGCCACCACTGTTGAAAGCCCGAAGACGCAACATCAGGCTTCTGCCGAGAAAGCCCCACTGCCGACCAATGTACCTGACACATATCTCCTTACACCATACATCGAGAGATTGCAGACTCTAGCCCGCCAGCAGAAATCAATGGTTCAGGAGAAGTCGTACATCAATGGCAGCCTCGCCAAACAGCAGCAAGAGACCAGACAGATACTGGATCGACTTGCTGAAGAAAGCCAGCTCTTGTCAAAATTTCCCGTGGTTAATGAGCCTTCAAAATCCGAGCTCAGCTTTGACGACCGAACAAAAATCACGGACGAGATCAAGCCGTGGCTCCACGCTGCCGACTCGGCCAAATTGGCGACCCTGGTGGAGGTAGCCGAAAGTGTCGAGATTGGTATGGAGTCGATTGACGAGGCGATCGTGCGATTGGAACAAGCCTGCAAGCTATTTAATGTTCCATTTCCACAGGGAGGAGAAGAGCTAAAGCAGGAAGACGGCGTAGAGGACTCTACAAAAGTTGCGAGAAGCCCCAAGAAAGAGCCGGCAAAGAAGATTGACGAAGTCAAGACCATCTGGGATATACTCGATGGAAACTTGGGTTCGATCAACGAGTTGGATTTGCGACACGAAATGTGAAATCTTCAGTCATGATTCCATGGCTCTGACACTATGTAGAAGTAATACACCCAGCCCTGGGTGGCCCTTGTTGCCAGCATACGCCCCCTCTTGAACGCCTTGCATGCCTTAAAACGATGCCTCTATATTTGTAAGTTTTGGAAGAGGGTCCGGATTCAACCCTTTCCGGCCAAGATGTTCGAGATTCTGAGTGCCAGATCCAGAATGGAGAGATGCTCGTCAGCACCATCCACCAATCGTTTGTCGACCTCTGAGAATATCAATGTGATCTTGTTCTTCTGCAGGTCAGGTATCGTTTCATCCTGGATCACTGCTTGGTAGAGCTATGTCCAAATCAGTATGCCATCTGCTTTTTAAGGCGGTAAGGGGCAACAAACCTGAGAAACGACCTGGGTAGCACTCCATCCATCAGCAACCATGTCCTCGACCACCTTCGCAACAGCCTGATATGTGGCGGCGGCCGACCTCGGCTGCATGGCCTTCTGGAGCTTCTGGATCGTGTCTTGTGGTATCACACCTGCAATGTCTTCAATGACGCGTACTGATACAGACCTCTTCTCCCCGTCCACATCCATCTTATCTCCGAGATCGCCATCGCCATCTTCATCCTTTTCTATCGCACCCACCAACCTGGCGGCACTTTGCAAAAACGTGATGGCCTTCCGCAGGTCCCCCTCGGAGCACTTGATCAAGGCATCGATAGCACCATGCTCGAGCGCAACACCTTCCTTCCCCGCGATCTCCTCCAGTCTCTTCTTTGCGTTGCCCTGGTCCAGACTCTTGAAACGGAATTTACTGCATCGACTCGCTAGGGGGTCGATGATCCGCGTGACGTAGTTGCAGATAAGGCAGAACCGGGTGATCTTGCTGTACGTCTCCATCGTTCGCCTGAGGGCCGACTGGGCATCCTGTGTCATACTGTCCGCCTCGTCGAGGATGATGATCTTGAAGGGCGGCACGGGGTACCTGTCCTTGTAGCCAGGCGGGGCATTGACGAGCTGCATCCGTGCGAAATCCTTGACCTTCTCTCTGACGATGGAGATGCCTCGCTCATCTGATGCGTTGAGTTCCAGCACACGGGCCTTCATCATCTCTGGTCCGTACAGTTCCTTTGCCAGCGCCAGGATTGTCGATGTCTTACCGGTGCCCGGGGGCCCGTAGAAGAGCATGTGCGGCAGATTGGAGGCTTGCAGGGTCCGCTGCAGCACGTTGACGGTGTGGTCTTGGGCGGTGACGTCGGAGAGAGTCTTCGGTCTGTACTTTTCTACCCAAGGCTGCTTGCGTGCGGATTTCTTGCTGTCCTCCGATTTGGGCACTGAGCCGCCATTAGCGGCAGCAGCAGCCTTTCGGGCCTTGAGGTCGAAGAAACTCGCCATGGCGCGTGTTTGTGGCGGTTCGATCGGGGCAGGTCTTATTTGCAACAAGAAATTGGACCTTTGGGCTGATCCGTCTTAATTGATGTTGAATGGCTGACGAGCTGGGTAGCACATAGGCCTCGGGACTGGATGAGTAGCTCGTACGAATGCTACGGGGGAATATTCATGCAAACGCGTCTTTGGTGATCGGAGACGCGCTTCAATTAAACGGTGGGGCATAATTGGAGCGCCGGAGCTTGCCTAGAGCTTGCCGACGATTCGGACGTGGCAATGTGCACTCAAAGCAGATAGCACTTCAGCTACTCTGTAGACACTATCAAGTTACAGTAGGTCAAATGTGTATCGACCATGAACTTTTCCATGGTTGTACGCAAATATTATTGGCACAAATATACCACCAGTCAGCTCAAGCATACCGTTTCATCCTGTAATCTACCTCGGGGGCGTTGCTTGAAGTCACAACTGCCTGGTCCAAGTTGGTGCCCTGTATGTGTGAGGCTCCCAGCATGTTCGCTGCCAGCACCGTACAGCTTGAATGCACATGAATTACTGTATCAGCATGACAGGATCTTATCAGTTACCCTTGCTACATAAATGGATCGACCGACCTGTCAAAAACGAACGTAGGCCCAGCCTGGGATTCCGGATCGACGCTCTAGGTTAGCCAATTCAGCCCTCTTGAATAGTTGGACACCAACCCAGTTTTTCCGACCTATCCATCTTTTTGATCGGTTGGTATTCACACAAGAAAGCCACCGAGCCGCCAAGAAACAAGTAGTCCTATGTAGCTGCAGGTTTTCAGCTCTTTTCCTCGAGCAAGCGTACGTGCGGGACAAAATCTCCAACACTGCTTCAGTCTTTAGTCTTCAGTCTTGGAGCATCGTGATGCTAGTGCGGGAGCGGGATAGCGGGGCTCATTGTGAGTACTAAATGACGTAAATGAACGATTCCAGCCGCTACCCCAAATGATGATGCGATCTTGTACACAGTCGTGCATCAGGCGACCCCGGACGAAACTTTCCAATCGATATTCTGGAAGTATGATAGGCATTGACTGTTTTTGTTTCTTGTTTTGATCAAACTTCTGGTCTTGCGAGCGAAAACATCATTGTTCAGACGCAGCACTTAATCTAAGCAGTTCATCTCGAGCTTTTGTATTCGAAGCCTGGAGCTTTGGTCTATATATTTTGTAATATCACAAGCTGTCTGAGCAACGCAACATGTCTAAGCTGTGGGGGTCCAAGAAGGACCAAGACGCAGACGACCATGTCCATCGCAACGGCGCTGGTCCAGCTCGAGATTCAGAAGATCAGGATAGTTTACCAGATGAGCACACTCGCCTGCTCCCGAATCGCGTCGAGTCCACCAACTATCTGAGCCCCGATGATCCCGCCGTCTCGCCCTACAACCTCTGGTCTGTCAGGTTCACCAGATACTTGACTGTCTTCCTGACGCTGGTGACGTTTGTATGGTGGGTTATACAGTTGGTCTCACAATTCATCACACCACCCGGCTTCCATACGCGCGGCTCGGGGTTCTTTGCATTCAGCTATGCTAGCGTTACCCTGGCAAATCTCCTGTTCACCTTGATCTTCTTCGCCATTCCGTCCAAGGCAGTGCGCATAATGAGCGTGGTCATGGGCGCTCTGTTGCTCATCGACTTGGTATTGCTGTTGGCCGTTGAGAAAACCCGACACGAAGAGGGTTGGGTTGGAATGGCCACTATCTTGTGTAAGTCGTACTCAACACCCTACCATAAGAAAAGGAAAAAAGGTTATCAATGGCTAATGACGCTTACAGGGACTTTTCTCATCGCCGTTTTTGTTCTCGTCACAGACCGACTGGTGCTTTGGGGCAAGCACGAGGAAGAAGAGCGATTGACTGGTCGCGCTGAATCTCGACGAACCTTGGGCGAATGGACGGCAGTCTTGATCTCGACACTTGCTATAATCATCCTCAATGCCATCCTTGTGCTCACGACTTGCACTTTGATTCTACGAGCACTCGACGCTGGCTTGGCTCCCCCAGGCAAGTTATATGCTGTTGATGACGACAAATACCAATTGCACCTCTACTGCAAGGGCAACATCACAGACTCGCAGGGCTCCAAGCTCCCTACCGTCCTGATTGATGGTGAAGGTCCGGCCGAGGATGGTCTTTGGCAGTTTGCCGATGCCGCAATCAAGAACGGCTCCATTAGCAGGTATTGCTTCGTCGACCGTCCCGGTATGGCTTGGAGTGACACGGCACCCTCACCCTCGTCCGCCGGCATGGTAGTAGAAGCAGTCAGTGAAGCGCTCGCCCGTGCAGGCGAGGAAGGCCCTTGGGTTCTGCTCGGCGCCGGTTCGGGGTCGATCTACTCGCGTATCTTTTCCGCTCGCCACGGCGATGCCGTGCATGGCCTGCTTTTCATCGACCCCTTGCACGAGGACCTTCTGTGGCGCATCGGTGCGCCTGGCCGTGGCTTCATGCTCTGGGTCCGCGGTGTCCTGTCGCCACTCGGCCTGGACCGCGTCCCAGGCGCTCTCTTCAAGGGTAGGACGAAGGAGGACCGCGTCTGGGGCCAATCGGCATACCAGACCGGCAAGTATATATTCTCGAAGCTGCAGGAGAACTTGGTCGCGGACTCTCTCACCAAGCGCGACGTGGCCAGCAGCCGCGCCATCCAGTACAAGGACACCCCCTTAACGATCATCAGTTCGGGACCGCGCGTGCGCGCCGATGATGTGTGGGCTGACAAGCAGAGAGATCTCACGCACCTGACTAGCAAACTACAACACTGGGATATCGCCAACCAGGCGCCGCATGAGGTCTGGCGCACGCTTGAGGGCCGTGATCTTATTGAGAAGAGGCTGAAGCAGATGGTCCATCTGTAAATCAGGAGTCATTGATATACACGCAAAATACTGTTTCGTAATTTTCCAGCATATGAAATTAGCCAATTAGTTTTACAGACATGAATGAGCAATGGGTGGTATAATTAGTGTAGTTACACGGTAATAGGAAATGCATTACGCTTGATTGGCGCGGAATTGAATGTGCCCCTTTATAATTGTAAAAGCATTTTTATAAAAGTAGTGTTACCAGCCAGCTGCGTTGTGCCATCATTCCCGAGCATGTAAGGAACTCCTCGCTAAGATGTAAATTCCAAAACTAGGCACACTGACATCCACGAAGATGGAGAGGGCTGGTTCTTCGCAAGGCCACATATTAGCCCCCCATCACAACGAAAACACAAAATTTACATTCCTCCAGGGTCCCATTCTCATCTGGCCCAACATAGCGCACAGCGGCGTGTAGTGCGGCTAAACGATTACAGGAGCCGTCTTGGGTATCAGCAAAACGCCAAATCAGGGAAAATCATATGCCGACTCTTCTAAGCGTCACTTTTGAGCTCCCTCAGAGCCAGACTGTTCAGCGACGAATGCTGACTAGCGCTCGTTCGAGATCCTCCAGATGAGCTCGCCGTTGTCTGGAATGACTGCCGCTGTTTTCTCTTCTGCTCTGCCTTTCTTCGTACAATTTCTTCCGGGTCAAGTCCTCGTCCGCATGGTTTAATAGCTTCGGGTGGCAAAGAAATTGGTGAGATATGGAGCTTTACAGTTGCCAGCGGGTCGTTTGGAGTAGTACCTGCTCGTTTGAACGCATCTCTCTTATAATCCTTCAATGCCTTCGTTGAAGGTTCAGAAGTTGACACCCACTCCTTGATGTGTGAGAACCATCCTCCTCTACGTTCTTTTTCCTTGCAACCTCCAGAGCCTGTATTTGCGTCTCCCTGTCTACCTCCAACAGTTGCTGTATTCTGCGGGGAATCTCTGCGGTGCATGTAGTCCATTCTGGGTTTCGGTAATATTTTCTGTGTCTCTTCTGATAAAGAGTTGTCCAAGGCATCAATTGTGATACTGATACATTCCTTGTCTGTTATTGTGAGAAGTGATTCGTCTTTTATTAAGACCAGCTCGCTGATCCGGGTGTCAATGCTGGTATCTTCTGAACTGGAAGCAGGGCGTAGCAGCTTTTCAATATGCGACTCGGATGGATTAGAGACATCAATAGATTTGACAACTTTGTGTTGACCCAAAGAGTTTCTCTTCAATCTGCCAACTGCAATTATTTTACGTGACAATAAAAGGTCACCCGATGATTGGCCTTTGGACACTTTCGTTTCCTTCAACTGAAGTGTATGGGGAGCCGAGTCTACGAGCGGAGTGTTCTGGGCCTGAGGTATCGAAAGCCCGAGTATTGTGCTCCTTCGCTGTTTATTGTGGGACTTGTGCTCTTCCTTGAATGGGACCTGAAAGTTGAAGCGGCCAAAAATCCGAGACGAAGTCCGAGGTCGATCGTCCTTCTTCACCGAACGAATACATTCGACCGGCTCAGCAATGTACAAGAATGGGTCGTCCGGATCAGCAGCAATGGCCTTTGAAATATTATCCGGAGAGAGGTCGCAAATCGATTGGCCAATATCAGATGTATTGGGACAGGATGAACTATTTGTCCCGGCCGACACATTAATGGGGTAGGAGAAATTCCGCTGAACTGGTGGCGAAAATACTTGGAATATGACCGGTGTCTGCGGGGAAGTTTTGTCTGTCTCTTCTGGGCCAAGGGATTTAGAGCACTCGGGCTTCTTGGAACGAGCGAAGTTCAACATGATCTGACAATTATGATCTAATTATCTTATCAGAACGGGAACTGTACGCTTTGGGGTGGTGCTCTCCAACCGTCTAGGCCTTCTCCTAGTCAGTACACTATCCAAACAATGTTCCGAAAAGCGTTGAGGCTTACCAGCTGGATGAAGGTAGAAGTGGAGAGCACGTTATAGGCGACAGCTGGGTTCTCGCCGGAGTTTGTGATATAGAAGGCTTAGTGGTCAAAGTCAAAGTGTAAGCGCACATGCTAGGCACTTTAGATTCGCCAGTCATAGTCTGAGTGACTGTTCCGTGGGGAGATCAGCGAGCGATCTAGCGAACTTTGTTCAGACAAATTCGTTTCTCGGCCGAGCTATGACTTTATTGTCAGATATAGCAGGAACAAATGAGATACCGGTAGTTCAGTTGTATATGGGACAAAGCAATCCGATCGAGTGGGCAGTCGGGTGTCTCGCTTGAGTGATAGAACTAGTGACCTGGAATAGAAGAAAATATGCGCCTTTGGATAGATGCAGAATCTTGCCACAGATGGCGAGCTCACCCGTTGTGCTAAAGTGGCAACTTCAAGTGGGTGAAGATAAGTAGTTGGAGATGTGGACTCCACGTCTGCATCAGCCCGAGACACGCGACACGTGGGTTACGCAACAGTAATTGATTATATTTTGTGTACCGAAGAAGGTACGATAAGATGTCTTTATGAGATTGAGAGTCAATAAGTCTCGAGTTGATTGTGCCTTCCCAGGTCATCCTTCCGTTCCTTACCTTGCAATTGTGGTGTGGCGGTAATAGTGACTAATAGACGAGCGACCGATCGACTTGCATCCTGTGATATTAGGTAGGTTAAATCATTGTACCTCCTGCAGCATATCACATATTTCTTAGTGCTACATGCTTGATTAACCTATCGGAGTACAGAGATCGTGGAGTCGGCAAAGAAGCAAGTCCAGGCGAGCAAACTCAACGCTCTACTAGCGAGCTGAAGCGCTCGATCTAAGATAGTAACTCAGATCTGTCCGATGGGGTAAAGAAAAGAAGAAGAAGAAAAAAAAACCCAAAAAAGGAACAACTTTTCTCGATCTAAATGCCCAATCAAATTAATCCGACTACTCAGATATTTGATTGATAACTTCTCATATTTCGTGCTGGTCAATGTGATCAATACACGACCGTGTCCTACGTGAGAATGCCGCGCCACACCACCTGATTCGGATTAGCTGAACAGTCATGGGTGAAAGATGGACCATCTATGAGCATGAATATGACGCGAACGTCTAATCATAACAGAAGGACCGACATGTATCGTGGCGTTGATCTAGTCTAGAAGGAATATCAGTCCATAGTATTACGGCTCCCCCAATGCTCGCCCCTCAGGGTACCCAAAATTGCTTTGGTCAAAGATCTGATACCCCATGCAAATTTGAAAGGCTTAGTTCGGTCCAATCGGGGGTCATAGCCTCTTTAGCGGATCAACAAATGTATGAAGTCAAGTCACATTATTATGCAGGAAATATGTTGCGGCTGTCAAATATCTTATTGAGAGGCGCTCTCAGGAGCAAATGGCGCAGGCCAGGAACGCTTCATTAGCTCACAAGTATGGGGATACATCTAATCGACAATGTCTCTCGGGGTGGCTCTAGGTGGCCGACAATAGCGCTTAGCCACATATCGCTCTTGATCCAGTCCTTCCCCGGGTTCAATCGTTCCAGTTTCCGGAAGTTTAGTATCCGCAAAACTCTCAATACGAGCCTGGCTTGAGCTCCGTGTCTTTTGATAATCGCACCAAGTTGATGAGTCTGCCACTCAGGACGACCGTCCTAGTAAAGACAGTGCGTATCACTGAGTAGTGAAGAAGGGAGCAATATTGACTACTGAGAAGAAGCTTGGTGATGACCCGGGGCGGCAGACATGAGTACGTTGCTAGGCAAATGAACCTAAGGTAGAATTACAATTCTAGCTGCTGTTTGATACTGGACAGAACCAATGAGCAGTTTAGGCGTCTATTTATCGAAAACTTGTCATCATTTCTGCCCAATTTGTGTCTTATACTCGAACGCTAAAACTTGTTTCTTGGTACTTCTTATAGACCCGTAGGATATTGTTCCTTGCCATTATATGGACATAGGGGCGTTCTCTTAATAGTGGAATCGTAACCCGTGAAATTGAGAAGTCTGGAATTGGAAAGGCATGATGGCAGGGCCGACTCTTCACATAGTTCGAATATAAACATTAGAACCTGATCAGATATCTGATGGCCACAACTCCAGTCAAAATCAACATGGATCTCGATAACGAAAGTTTGCCTGTTACGTTACTTGGAGTTGGCGATGGGCTCCCTGTGGCAGTAGAGGAAGGCGTACCTGTGCTACTTGGAACGCTGCAACCACTATCGTACGCATTTCCAGTGTCCAGATTCGGCCCCGTCTGATTGTTGTAGGCTAATTTGATGAGTGTTTGGCCGTCGGCGCTATATTGAGGCCAGCCATCACCATATGATAGTAAACCCTTTTCGGGGTCCTTTGCGAATGCAGCCCAAGCTCCACGGATGTACGAGATTATGTTGCTTTCCGCGTCTGTATTGGCGTGCACTGATTGTGTTACCGTGCCGAAAATGATGGGGAGCTGGAAGATGAGCGATTAGAAGTTCGACCCCCGTCTGCAGGTAACATAAACTTACCTCGGCGGTATGGTAAGCACCACTAGGAGGGTCATCACTCAAGATGGTATTAGGGAACTCTCCAAAATAACGATACCGCCATATTGGGTTCGCGTTCAGCACAGCATATTGGGCTCGCTCCGCAGTTGGACAGACCCAGATATCGTGCTGCTGCGCATCATATACATCTGCAGCCACATTGATTTGTGACAATGCTCGTGTCAGGCCTGGCTCAAAATCAGTGTGGCCGACGAGCATCGGCAGACCCACTGGCTTTTGCGCTGAGTAGTCTGAGAAAACAATTTTGTCATCAATAATAGCACCGAATGTCGCAGTCCCCTGTATTGCGGACAATACTTTTGTGGCTGGGAGGCCGTTCATACAGCTTAGAGTATCGTCGGTGCTTCCGGTGCAGCCTACTGTTGACGCAGCACTCTGCCACTGGTCTGTGGCGGCGCTCTGATCCTGCAAGCCAAAAGCCCAGGCTACTCCGCTCTGGGAGATGACTCCCTTCACAATAGGATCATCATTCCATGCATATGAATATATGTCGACCGAAGACCCTCCGACACTCTGACCAAATATCGTTATTCGCTCTGGATCTCCTCCAAAACCTGTTGACGACTGGGTATTAGCGATACTCATTATAATTGCAATTATTTGTGCAGCGAGTTTTGAGACGGTAGCGCATAATTCCGAACTTTGCAAAGAGAAACTCTTTAGATCTGCTCACCTTCAATGTTGTCACGGATCCATTCTATGGCTAATCTCTGGTCTAAGAGACCTAGGTTTGCCGTGGTGTTGGGATTGCCAGGAAACCCGAAGATATTGAGACGATAGCTGAAACTCGATCAGTACGCGAAAAGTTTGAGTAGAAACGAAGGCTGTACTTTATGCTCACGAGAACTACATCCTCCTGGTCTGCAAAGTACTGGCCGTTGTACCATGCAATACCAGATGCACCAGTCTTCCATCCACCACCATGAATCCACACCTAGTATAAATCAGTTGTGCAACTTTCTCCAGTTCTCGGCACGGTCTACTTGCCATTACCGCCTTTTTGTCGTCGCCGGTCTGTGGTTTTGTCCAGATATTCAACGTTAAGCAATCCTCACTCTGACTGGGTATGCTCGTAGCATAACTGGTGAGTAGTACAAGCCCAGCCTGAGTCAAATCCAGCCCAAAGATCTGGCGCTTCCCAGTCCCAGAAAGACTCAGGGCCGGCTGCATACAAGCATGTCCGAAAGACCTTGCAGCGATCGTGTCTGTACCGTTATATCTAACAGATGGCTGGAAGCGCAGTCCGTCTACCGGTGGTTGCGCATACGGTATGCCCAGGTATTCGGAAACCTGATCCGCGTCCTTAGCAGCATGACCTTTTATCAGGCCGCTCGATGTCTGCACTATTTGGCCAACTCTCCAGTCGGTGTTAGCAGTAACGACCAAGCTTGTTATGGTAGCTATATAGATAGACTGTACAAAAAGTGACTTGGAGAAAAGCATGATGGCGGCCGAGACGGTAAGAACCAGCCAATAAGGTGTAGAAGACTAATGTAGTATACAATAGTTGTACACTCTTGCTACAGTAATGCTCACGATTGCGTGCTCTGTTTGAGCGAAATAGGAAATATGGTTCGGGGAACAAAGGAGTGAGACAACCTTGTTAAAAACCGGTCTGTAATTATAAGTCGCATATGGGGAACTACCTTCATGTCTCAGGAGCAAACAAGCACAGATAAGCGGGCATTTCACATGCATATTGAAGCGGGCATGGCCTCTATGAGGTAGCATCGATTTGATCCCGGCAGTAAATTGTGTAGCAGTCGAGGACCAACTGGGCCAACTAGAGAATGTGCCAGAGGATATCGAACTGCATAGGGTCAATATCATCGCTAAGAGCTTGAAGCTGCATTGGGACTAGTCTAACCTAGGTTAGTGGCTCCTGGTATGGTTTATATATCAAACAAGTAAACTTTCCATGCTGAATGGGGACTACAACCTTTTGCTTTCGCACATAAATATCATTTTGACGACAGTATCAGTACCGATTTTTAAAACTTTTTATTAAAAATCCCAACGGTCAAGTATCTGGATTTTGTGGCAATGCGGCATCGGGAAGGACTTCTTGAGATAACGCGGTACTCGACGCATTGAGACGGCATTGCCATGTGATAGGACTTTATACTTCAATGGGAAGGTGCGGCCTCCAATGTCGCAGATCCGCAAAACAGCATTGATGACTTGAGGAAAGTTGCGAAAGTGAAATCCATCCAATGTAATTGAGAGCCGTCAGGATATTATACTGGGTCTCTTTCATCACCATGCTCGTTCGAAAACACTGACTATACTGGAAAGTAGAGTTTTATGCTGACTCCACAGTAATATAAGCGGGATACTGCCAATCATGAGTACCCATCGTGACCCCCGGGTTTACGCAATTCTTCGTTTATCAGGGCACCGATCCACAGACTCTCTGGATTATAGTTCATTCTTTCGTTTCCACCATGAATGCTACACATTCTGCATGGATCGGTCCTCTTTTCTAGCACTATTCATGAATTTCACTTGATGTTCTCTGCTATTTCTCCTTCTTCTATTCCCGGCAATTCTGCCAGCTCGTGCCTCACAGTCTAACCCATCAGAAATAAGGGCTGGCTGACATGTCTCTTATGGTTTTGAAACGGTACTATTGTCAGATTGGAATGTGCACCGCCATAATCAGAGGGACAAGCATCTGGAATATACTGGCAACTCATGACTAGTCGCGAGAAACTTTGAAACAAATTGTCGATGTCAAATCAGACTGGTGGCTGGTTACTCTTATAACGGTAGCCAGTCCGAGTGATTTAGTAGGCTTTTTAACTGCTCTGCGAAGTAGGAGAATCCCACAGCGAGATGAGTGTGACTTGGTCTTTAAGGCAGGTGCAGATGGGTGCTATTAACATCTAACTAGGGAGTACATACCTTAGGAAGTAGAGTGTTCCATGCCCGCTTGGGTGTTATACTCGGACCTGAGCCGCGCTGCTTCAAGCCTGAGTCTGGCCGGAGTCTGGCTTGAGCTTGACACCCGATAAACACATCATGAGAAAAGGGCTGGTATACACGAAGATATTATGCACATCTCTGCCGCGACGAACAAACTAACATTAGGCTACAAAAGCTCGTTAAATTTGGATATGCATATCGAAATAGATCAAGTTGATTGGTAGAAATCAGTGTGCACATCCAAGAATCCGCAAGTTTTATATCTAAGATTAAGTGCCAGTTCGTAGACTGTCAAATGCGTCTCTTTGTCTCGTCGGTAGCATGTATCTACGAGTAAGTATATGTCTATAGGTTAGCACGGCTGGCCTTACTTTTAGTCGATCTATATAGAGCTAGTTCTTCCTTGTAACAGTACTCCCTCAAGAATTCTCGTTTAGCCAAGTGATTTTACCTACATGTGCCAGTCAGCTCCAGCCTTATGCAGAATCCAACATCTAATTAGTCTAGGCATCAGGCTCTCTCGCCACTACATGTTATTCCGGACAGCATCGTTTTGTTACATTTTTATCAGGCACCAAACGAAATGGCATGAACATTTTATCCCTACGTCAAGGATCAACATCTCATCTTGACCAAATTCGCATTCTAAAGGTAGGAGATAAATTCGACCAGGCCAACGAGGTTCAACAGGAACCAGAGTCTCTTTCGGAATGTATAGCAGAGGACGGAGGCCACAAAGAAATGTCGCTCTTCTCGAACACGGGGGAGAAGTTCGAGCATACAAGGCAATAAGAGCACTGCATGGCTCCGCGGACCCCAAACCCATCGCATCATTTATGCTTGATGTCACTTTTGCGCCTCCTCCAAAAGACGTCCAGAATTTATTCTACATTCCCGGCATCCTTCTCCAATTCATTAATGGATTTCAGCCTTCGGAGTTGACACAACAAACACCGATGACTTGTTGGGAGCAGATTATCAGTGACGTCCTACCAAGGAATATCATAGTGGCTCGTCGAGGAGCCAACGAAGCTCAGCCATATATCGTTGACTTTACACTTTTGATTCTTTCAGCCTGAATGCAAAGCAGAAGACGACGAAAACGGTTGGGGGACCTTTGCCTCTCTTGTATATTGCCATGAGAACCTTATAGTGATTGCGAAATTGATGCAGAAACGGTTAGGTAAGAAAGGATACAGCTAGGTATTCGTTGGAAGAGCTATCTAGTCCCACGGCATTCTAGTCTTCGGTGTTTTATCTACTCTCCTTATTCAGTTAAGGTTATACTAGAACGCCCAGCTCGTTGGTCCCACAAGGCCTAAGTCAGTCCCTCTAAAATCGTATTCTGAGACGGGGCACTATTCACATGGCATGTCGCAAGGGACAACTCGACAATCGACAGAGGTGGGCCGGGGTACAAGTATTTACGGATCCATAAAGCGGTGCGGTACAGATTGATGCTAGCCTGGCTAGGCCCGATGTGGCCAGCAAAAGACTGCCATGGACATCCAAGGACCCCCACTATTTCCTTGTGCTAGTTCCCGAGATCGATAGCCAATGACACCCCCGCCACTCACCCTACGCCTGCCTGTTGATGTTGTCTGACGCATGTCTTCACGATCTAATGCTGTTTTGGCTTTTGCATCATCTTGGACTTGAAGCATTATTCTCACAACTCAACGACCTTGATACACAATTAGGAGCAGGGTTACAGTGTCGTATCAACTCTTTTGGGTCAGGCTGTCATTGTGGGAGCTCTAACTGGTGGCGCATATTTGAGAGCTATAGGGAAACCAAGGAAGGGAAAGGCCAAGATGCCGGGGACGACAAACGGTACTGGCGCCCAACAGACGCCTATACCTGTACCAGTACCTCCCGTTCTTCAGACACAAAGTCAGACGCAGCAGGTAAACTATGTGCCGCCGACACCAGCGACAGCTTCGGGCCCAACAGGAGCTGCTGTGTCGTCGGTGCCGCTATTGAGCAAAGCCCCTGTCGCAAGTGTCGCGCCCATCCCCTCAAATACACAAACACCACCAACACCAGCGCCTCCCCAAGCTCAAACTATTTCGCGTCCAGTGGCTGTGCCAGCCGCGCAAACGCCAATTCCTGCGCCTGTGCCGCATGTGAGTTTGAGCCCGCCCGCAGCACCGACGCCAGCAACGCCAGCAGCGCCAAGAGGGGCAATAGCAGCATCACCAGCACCTGTTACAGGCCTAGATACAACGAATGCTAAACCAAACGCTCCTCCCCGCAAATCCTCGCCAGAACGACCCAAAGTAGAGCCCCTAACACCTCCCCTGGGTCCTGTACAGTTTCCTCCGCCTAGGCAAAGCCATGCCTATCCTGGCCACCCGGAACAGCAGACTGCCATAGCACCTCCTGCTCCGGAACCGATAGATTTTGGCAACAATCCGGATGTGTTGGCCCTGCAGTCTGCTATTTCGATCCTCCAGTTGCAAAGTGCCAAGTCCAAGCGGGACATGGTTGTGCTCCAAAAAGCAAAGGAGGCCGCGCTTGCTGATCCCGAGGCTTTCGTCAAGGATCTCGGAGCGGGGAAGGTTCACATGGGAGGCACGGGTCTGGCGGCATCACTAGGGGAAGACGACGATGACGATGAGGACTCGTCAGAAGACGAAGCTGAAAATGCTACGGGTGCAGTTAAGAGCGAACCTGGCGCCACGGCTGTCGACACGAAGCCCAAGCTGAAGCCGAGGCGCGAGAAGCCCGAATCAAAGCCTTGGAGTCAGCTTCCCAACAAGCAGAATGTGGTACGCATGCCACCGATCAACTGGAGTCAGTACGCCGTTGTGGGAGAGTCGTTGGACAGACTGCATAGGGAGCAGGTATCGCGCCCCTCACAAGGCACCCCGGCAACGATTAGTGCAGACGGCATGTTTGTCTTCCAAGGCGCAGGTCGACAGGAGGAAAATAGGGGCATCGCAGCCCCGTATGACCCCCTCAGGGATAAGCTGCCCGTGAAGAAACCAAAAACCAGGACTCCGAGCCGCCAGCAAGGATAGAGACCCGAGGTTGGCCAGAGTAGTTTGATGGGACAAACGCCGTCCACTTTTACGAACCAGCAGACGCCGTCCGGGGATTCTCTTGTGCCCCAGGTGCAGAAAACAAAGACTGCGACACGCCGAACATTGATTGCCAAGCCACCTAGGCCTCGAGGCAGACAGAAATCTAGCAAGGTCTCGGAAGCACAAGCGCAAGAAGCCAGCCAGGGCGTCGCTGATCCGAACGCTCAAAACGCCCGGCCTAGGAATGCCAAGGGACGATTCTGCAAGCCATAGGGCTTTTGAGACGGCGCGCCCGGCTTGACTGCATTACCGCTCGAGTAGTGTCTGAACGAACCGGCTTTAGATGAATCCAGCAGTGTGAGTGAGGTAAAGGACAAGACAACCGGCTACCTCCACAAAGTTTATTGTTGAGTGGTAGAATCTAGATTTGATGTGGAATAGCTACAGAGCGTTCAACGTAAAGGCACGACACACGAAAACATTCCGCCTGGACCTGATTGCCACAAGGGACTACGTGCATAATGACCACAATGATGGGGTGATCTGAGTACGATAAATATTATTGAGCAGATTTGCCCTGGTCGCGGAAGAGGTATCAAGCCTAAACAAAGTCTAGAGAAAAACCAATGCCAATTCCACCAAATATGCAAGTTGATTCTTTTCCGTGCCGCCATGGAATTCTCGTATATATGCTGTGAAGCATGAGAGGAAGGGGGAGAACCTCCCGAATGCTGCCAGTTCTGCAAATGTGCCGACTCCAAATCCTCATGCATGCCTTCTCTGATTACCATAAACGCCGTCGTCCTGTCTTCAAAGATCCAAAAAATAAATTTAAGAAAAGAAAGAAAGAAAAAAGGGAAAAAAGCTCGTAGACAACACAATACCCGCTCGAAAGGGGACAAATACAAGACCGGGGGAAGGAATTAACTCGTAACGGCATCAGGTAGAAGCTCTTAGGAGGACTAACAGTCCTCCATACTCTGCTGCACAGATCTACGAAGCCTCCTGTTGTACAACTTGCGCTCATCCTGGCCGCCCCAGAAGAGCTTGTGGGCTTCTGGATTAGTCAAAGTTCTTGGGTCATAAGGAGGATGTTCCTCCTCTAGAGTGTCGAGAATTGCTTCAATGTGGCCCTTGACATCATCTCGGCGACTCGTCTTGGGGAAGTAGCAAGGCGTGCCATCCTCGGCAATACGGTGGTGAAAAAGCTTGGTCTCAAAAGCAACCCTTGGCTGCTCCTCTGGAAAGCGTGGGCTGAAACGAAGCATGATGTTGAATAGACCACCGTCCAGATTCGTCATAGGTCTGCCGATGTAGGTCAGATTCCAGACGAACGGATTGCCGCCGACCAGCTCAATGTGGTGTGATACATCGCTCCTCTTGAAGGATTCTTGGATTTGCTCGAACTGTCGAGCGAGGTTTACAGCTACAGTACCTTCCCTATATTTGGGCAGAAGACCTTCTCTGGCCCAGGAAAGAGTCTCGAGATCTAGCGCTGTTTTGATGTTGCGCAGCCTCTTCTCGAGCTCGGAATAATCGAAGTGGCCTTCCATGATATTGTTGCCGCCCTCGAAAGGCATACGGACAAATTTCTGACCATCCTTGACCTCTGTCTTGGCTTTCTCAATGGTGTCTTGGTATGACTTGTAGTACCACAAGAATCGCTGCTTGATGAGGTCCCTAAAAGGCTCCCAAGGTACAGAGGCCTCGTCCAGATCGTCATCGTCGTCATCGTCATCATCATCAAAATCCAGGCTGTGAGCCGCTCTCTCGGCGTCTGTGGGGAACGGAGCTTGGAGGCCATGGGTAATGCCTAGATATTCTTCCATCCGCTGGATGACAGACACGCGCAAAGTTTCGTGACGTATCTAGCGATGATGGGAAGTTAGGACTAGTAAACCACGAGCAAGCCACTAGACCAGCGCATTCAGCTTACCTTGGCGACGTAGTCTTTCTGATTCTTTTTGTCGTTGGGCTCGTTTGCATCCTCGAAGCCAGGTTCGTTCTCATAGGGGTTGCTAGACATGAGACTCTGTATGGACAAGAGGATGGACTCTAGGCCTTGTGCGGCGGACCACTCCTCGCCAGGCTCACCTCGCCAGGTACCCAGAATAGACAGGCACACCTTTCCGGTGGAGTAGATATTGGGGTTGAAACGGCATCGTCCTCCGTTGGTCGTAGTGGCTGTAACAGATGGGCTCTTTCGAGGGTACTCCTTGTTGAACTTGACTGCGAACTCAAAGAAGCCGAACTCGTACGGTGTTTCGTGGGGACCAATTATCAAGGCTCGCACATTGCGAACGTCGCGATCCCGAAAGGCGACTGCTAGCGAAAGATCTGCATGTTTTTGGATTTCGCCAATCTCCTTGGTGATGCGAATGATGCTCTGGTCTGCCATGGCGGTTCCTGCTACCCAGCAAGGCTTTGGTATGCCCGAAAGCTTTAGAAGTGTGAGCTAGGAGGTGGCAAGTTGGGATGGATGTATGGCTGAGGTGGGTTGCCTGCGGGGTTGATGAGATGGAATCCAGCAGCAGCTCAAATAATTAAACCCATAGAGGTGGTGTTCAAAGAAACGGGTTGGAATGAGACGTCAGCTGAATTTACGTCGTGAAGAAGTGAGAAACAGAGATGAAAGAAGGAATTCACGGTTGGTCCGAAGGGAAAGGGTTACTTGCGGCAGTCTGTCTGCCTTCAATGATTGTACTGAGGTGTCTTACAGCAGGAGGGGTCATGTTTCTCAGATTAGTCTAAGTTAGGTGACGCGCAGCGCGGTGGGACCCAGCTATAAAACCCGGCGGGCAAGGTAATCCGGGCGAAGTGGGGGGGAGGGAGGTCACTGGCTGACTACCGCCTAACCTACTGTAACCAACCGTGAGTGCCTCACAGCATGCCTCCTGCCTTCATACGTGAGTGAGAATGTGAGTGCGCCAACGAGTACTGTCAGTGTTGTGCCACTTGGTGAAGCCGTACGAGTAAGACGCCCAAGAGAGAAGTTGAAGCCTTCTCTCATATTCCCAAAGCCACTTTACTTATTACGTAGTCTTCCACTGGAACTACTGAGGTTCTGGTTTAGCACTAAGGGGAGTAGTCTAGGCTGCATTTCTCAAATATAGAGAACCATACCTAGTATATATATGCACATGCATTTCTCTCTCTGTCTCTCTTTCTCCCTCTCTGTGTGTCTCTTTCTCAGAGGAAAAAGAGAGAGAGAGAAAAGAAAAGAGAAGAAAAGAAAAGAAAAGAAAAGAAGAAGGAAAAAAAAAAGTATCAAGTTATCAATCATGCGTGACATGAGTTGAACTGGCCCCGTAACGTTAGAACGAAAGTGCAGCTGGGATAGTAGACTACATGTACTTGCTGCCCGACTGTACGGATAGCCAGTAACTAAGTACCTACCATTGGAGCGGCTGCAGGTATCAAAATTCAAAGAACTGCAGGTGAAGACCCCTGTCGGCGCGCATGTGGATTCCCCCAAGCTGCATCCCTCATCCCTATTTCGGCAAAAAATGGGCTCCAGCTGCGTCTAGTACTACAGTACATGGAAGAGTTCCTTAGGTAAACCACATCACACCTCTTGACCTCCTAGGTAAACAATACCCACGCTACCGTACAACCCATCCGCCCGGAAGCAAGCTCAGGCGGTCAATTGCGTCTCCCTAGTCAACATGGCCAGCGAGAAAGCTCAGAAAGCCTCATTGGGCCGCGTCCTTGTCATTGGCGGCTGCGGGTTTCTCGGCCATCATGTCGTGAACGTCCTGCTCCGAGACTGGACCACCAGCGCCGTCTCCGTCATCGACTTGCGATGCCAGCGCAACCGACGCCCTGAAAACGACGGGGTGGAGTACGTCGAGGCCGATATCACAGACTCGGACAAGCTCACCAAGGTATTTGGCCGGCTCAAGCCCGATGTTGTCATCCACACCGCATCGCCCCCAGCCCAGGGCAGCGGCGCCGTCAGCAACGACTTATTTTACAAGGTCAATGTCGAGGGCACGAGAGCTGTGGTCACGGCGGCGCAGCAAAGCGGCGTCAAGGCACTTGTATTCACCAGTTCCGCGAGTGTCATGAGCGACAACAAGAGCGACCTGATTAATGCGAATGAGAACTGGCCCGTTATCAGGGGAAAGAACCAGTCGGAGTATTATTCTGAGACCAAGGTACGTGGTTGTGCGGCCGCCGCAGCCTTTTGAAAACTCGGACTGACATGGACACTGTGTAGGCTGAAGCAGAGTCAATTGTCTTGGCCGCGAACCGCGCCGAATCGCACCCCCAGCTCCTAACCGCTTCTATCCGACCCTCGGGCATATTTGGCGAGGGTGACATGCAAGCTGTCTTCCACATGGTGAACATTTACGAGCAAGGGCGAACAAACGTACAAGTCGGCGAAAACACAAATCTTTTCGACTGGACCTATGTTGAGAACGTGGCGCATGGCCACCTCCTGGCCGCTCAAGCATTGCTCCTGACGGCACAGAGCAGGACGATACCCTTGGACCACGAGCGTGTTGACGGTGAGGCATTCATCATTACCAACGGCCAGCCCGTGTACTTCTGGGACTTTACCCGGGCCATCTGGCGCGCCGCAGGAAACGACAAGGGCACCGACCACGTCTGGCAAATGTCGAGGGAGGTCGGCATCGTGCTCGGCCTGCTCAGCGAGATCGTATTCGGCATCTTACGAAAGCCGCCTACCTTCAACCGCCAGAGAATTGTGTATAGCTGCATGACGAGGTACTATGATATCTCCAAGGCAAAGAGGAGGCTCGGATACAAGCCTCTGGTGGATTTAAGCGAAGGTGTGAGAAGGGCTGTGCAATGGACATTGGATCAGAAAAAACTGGCCAAGAATTGAACGTCGTGATGCGCCGCATACCTAGGGCGGCCCGCAATCAGGCAACTGGCGCATATAAATACCTTATTAATGCATGGGCTGCCCAGTAAGCTGAATATTGATTCTGAAGTTGGCAAGATATCATCAGCAGCACTGCAAATGCCTAGTAATAAATTACTCTGACACATATCAGCCTACGGCGCTGTTCAAAAACACCTTTGCAAGTGTGTTCATATGTACAATGTCGATGTATGGGCTGCTAGCAAATCCTAGAGCCCTCGGCTTCTACATCGTCATCAATCTGGAACTGGTCGGTTGTCTGATCTGTCTGGTTTTGGGTCTTTTCACGAAAATAAGGGGGGGTATCTGGTTGGGGGGGCGTTGGACCAGCACATGTCTAGTGTGCTTGCTTGAACACGGCCGAGAGAAACTCGATGCCTCATCTGCGGTACGCGTTGCTAGAAAGAGCAAAATGGCCTGCCTATAAACCTCTCCGTAGGGGACATCTACGACCTAAAGCTCGCCGATGACGATCCAGGTACTCCACAGTCCTTTGTAGCGAGCGCTTCACCAGAGCGTGTCTCCCGGTTCGTTTGGCTGGAAACATGCTAGTTCCGGTGGCTACTTCGCGACATTATTCTCGGATATAGTGTGTGTGCGTATGCCAAATGGCCCAGAAAGCGACGGTACAGGGCCGATTTACCCCTGCGGCAGATTTTCGACGGGGGAAAGCGAGCTTCGCCAGCATCTCGACGAATGGCATCCATGTTGCGTTGGAGATCAAGGGTTGGAAACGTATAAGTTCGTGGAAGCGCAGTAGCTCACTTATATCGTGATGTAGGATTCGTCGCGCTCTAGATTGATTCACATCAGCTTCATTGTAGTTGATCGGTCGGCGCCAAAAACCCCTGGATAGGAGTTTGTGTACATTAACTGCTGATAAGCTAAACTCCTAAGCTATGCTAGCAGGTAGCATCTCCTTCTATTGCGGCATAGTTGGAACGCCCTACTCCTAATATTAAAAAGCTAAACGGTTCCTATACTACGCTGTTTCGGGGCGCCATCTGTTCCATTATGTAAATACTGATGTTTAGAGTTCGTAGAAGACAATACTAGGAGTTCAACTGGCTCATCTTATTTTCTTTTCGTTTTCTTCTTTTTTTGAGTTTTCGAACCTGTCCAGGTACACCTTCGTCCGAACTACGCCCTTCTCCCTATCGAGTCTGCATGTTGCTTCGAATACCTTGATGTTCTCAAGCTCGAACCTTGGTGCCAATGTCCAGAACTGAAGAAATGGGTGTCGCAGTGGTACTGGAAGCAGGTACAAGTGTAGTGCGTGAAGTAGACATCGTGGTAACGATTTCTGTGTAAACATACATAGGTGGCTGAGGAGGATGTTTAGGCGCGCTCTGGTCTGGATCCTTCCACACTGTTGGGAGCCTCATTCTTCCGATTCGCACTCACACGTTGATTGGCATGTCGCTTGCCAGATGGAGAAAGCTTCGATACTCGCCGAATAATTCATTCTTGGCAATGGACGTCCAGTAAATTGCATGCGGATACGTTTATGACTTGTTCATCAATGGAAAAGGCTGATCGCGCTGCATCAAATATTGCTTCTGATCATACAACTCCTGCCAAGAAGAGTCCAAATCCCTTCTGGCCCTCCTCTTTACCATGAGTAGATGATCGTATCCATTGATGCCGCTTCATAATCTTGGCAGCGAGCCCCTTCTATTTTGGACAATTTTCTTAGCAGGCCACCAGGCTTCTTGGCTTGTCACCATTTCCAATCGTGGAGTTATGTTGCGAGGGAGGTTATGTTCTCCTTGATAGTAGCTAAAGCTGACCAGCGTCAGACTGACGGCTATCACAAATTTATGGAACCAAATGCGTTTAGGAGGAAGATGGTCTTGGCCTTAGAAAAACAAACTAGATGCCGCCCTGCACTTGTTCTAAAATCAAACTCAGGGGGCCCTTTACTTACGCCGGTTCCCATGCATATAAAAAATGAGTCTTTGTCGGCCTCTTCCAAATTTGAGCCGAAGCACTTTTGCAATCGATCGTCCGTGTCTCGAACGCCCCCCTCACCACTCCATCCATGTATTGCGATTAATTGATAGAGCAAGCCATTCGCATAGTCGAGCATCTTATGGTTTACGCTCTAAAAAAAAACACCGGTGTAGTATCATGAGCGTAGGCGTATCCGGAAAGCCTGGTAAACGATGGAAATTATCGGAATTTCTGCATCTCTTCCAGAAGCTCGCCCAGGTCTTCGTCAGTGATCTTGTCTTGCAATGAGGGGATCAGCGTCTTTGCCTCATCAGCATCGGCGCAGCAAAGCGTTCCTGTCTTTTCATCAGCCGCCGTCCATATGGCACGAATAAGTCCACCTCAGAATAGCTGATCGGCCAACAACAATTGCTCTTGAAACATACCCAGTTGTGCCCGCTCGAACTTGTGGAACTCTTTATGCGCACTCAGGAGTCGCTCCACGGCCTCGACATTCTCCTTCTTCTGGAATCGCGCGAAGTTGTCGAGGTAGTCCATGGTCTTGGTGAGCATCCTGTTTCGCCCCGCGTCAGCGATCATATGTCTCTTGCAGGTGCTTGTCCACCACAGACGTCCTCCTTCCTCAGGCGCAGTGGCCGCCGTAGCCCGTGTGTCTGGGGGGTCCAGAGAGACCTACTCATTCTTATCCACGTCCTTGCCCTCCAGCCGGCGTTTGTTAACTAGCGCGTTGATGACGAGGGATGCTTCGGAGAGTGTCAAGGTGTCGACGTCCTGGAACTCGCCGAGATTCAGCACGGCGGATGCCTCTTCATTGCCGGGTGGCGTGGGCTTGGCGCGAGAGGTGAACTGATTATTGGCGCCGCGGGCACCGTTGCTCTGGCCAGACATGTTGGGTGAGATGCAATGGCCGCTGGAGAGAGACGGGTTGGTTAGACAGATAGGCAGAGAGACAGGCGTGGCTGTGGTCGCAAAGCTTATATCGGATGCGCACAGATCAGAACGTCGAGAGGTCGGCAAGGAGTGCTTCGGTGTAGCGGTCGGTGGGAGCTGGCGACGAAAGACTGGGGTAGGAATGCGACTGTCGCAGAAGGTCACGATGCGATGCGATGCGGCAAGTGGGTTGCAAAAGTTCACGTCTCGACCCGAGTTCGATTGCGGCTCTTTGAATAAAGTTGACAGGGAGCTTGGGAGGTCTAGTCCGCTAGCGCATCTGGGGATGCGGGACCCTTGTCGGTGACTTTCCAGGCTGTACGGAGCAGGTTGGGTAGGTAAGTTACTGGATAAACTCCGGTCGCTCTGCTGGGCCTTCCCCTAACCCAGACTGGGCCAAGGTCCGACTCATTGGAGTGCTGGAAGAGGTTACTTATGAACAAGGCAGTCTTGTCATCACCAAGCAGGCAAGGCTATCATAACAAACCGTGCTGCAGTAACAATCACTAGTTCTCATTTAAACCTTTCGCAGTCTTGACTGTGAGCAGGGAGCCAAGATGTGGGCTGCCGTATTCCATGAGTGGCATGAGATATACTAACAGCTTCTCAGGGGTGTGCTGGCGCTCATCATCATCAACAAGGCCGGCGGTCTCATATACAACCGCACTTTCTCTGAAGGACTCAACCAGCTGAGCACCAACGACTATCTCGTCCTCGCTGGTACATTTCATGGGTGCGCTCCTGCGTCTTGCTCCTCCAAACAAAAGTGTCACCATATTGATAAGCCAGCAGAGTCCACGCCATCACAACTCGCCTCAACCCCTTGAAGGCACATCAACCCCGGCCGGAACCTGGCTCGCGCCCCGAGCCCCCCAACGGCTTGGAGGTGCTTGAGACGGAGAACTTCCGGATGCAGTGCTTTAACACTCAGACCGGCATAAAGTTCCTGCTATTCACCGACACCTTGCAGACCGGTATCACGGAAGGCACTGTGCGCAAGGTTTACGAGCTGTATTCCGACTACGTCATGAAAAACCCCTTCTATCAGCTTGAAATGCCAGTGCGCTGTGAAATGTTTGATCGGAAGCTGAACTCGTATATCCGGGAGATTAATAATTCTCGGTGAGCAGGGGATGCATGGAGGACGGGAGTGACTGGCGAGCACGGGGGACCCGGAATGGTGCTCGTAGATGATGATGGATCAGGGGATCCGCACGGCACTACACTGCGAGAGCAAGGCCTGTCTGTGCACGTGTTGCATTGCTCGGCGTCGGGAGTTTTGATTTAAAAATCCTTTCTGAATCACACCAAGTCCAAGGAGCTGTCTCTGAATGCGACTATGGTATTCCCCATCAAGTCATGCCATCTTCTTCGGGTCTATTATGGTACAAGTACAGCAAACTTAACTCCGTATCCGAGCCGTGACCATGCCTGTGCCCTTTTACGGTCAAAGAAGTCCAAGTCTACGATGTATCCATCTTGTCGTCGTCCTTGCCTTTCTTGGAGGAACCACTTGCCTCCCCGTTCTTATCTAGTAAAGGTTGGTTCTCGCCCTCCTCTTGGATACCCTCGAGGTTCGTTTTGCCCGATGCATCTTCCTCGGCCTTGGCTTGCCTTGCCTGCCTTGCATTCTCCTCTTCCATGCTCATACGCAGGGCAAGGGCCAGCTCCGGATCAGCACTAGGGTCGAAGTCGAAACCTCCAAAGTCGCCGCCGCCGCCGCCGCCACCGCCACCACCACCACTCTCCATGCCGCCACCGGCAGCGGCAGCGGCACCGGTACCAAGCATGATCTCGGAGGCTATGAGCTGATCGCTGAGTAGCTTGCCACTGGGCGGTATGACAACCAGATGCGAACTATCGTTGCCCTTCACTACGTTGTTGAAAGCCTCGAGCTTCTTTTGAACCTCATCATCGTCCAAATCACCGAATAGTACAAAGTCAATGTCGATGGCGCTCTTCTTCATCTTCTTGGCAAGGGAGACCAGCTTCTTCTCGTCGTCATCGACAGGGGAGCAGACGAACACGATGATCCTTTGGCGTTGTGACTTGTTCTGGCGGTGCTTGAGGGCGAGCTAGAAGGAGTGTCAGTGGCCAATTGTGGTGATGCGTCGAGTGCGGAGAGAAGGGGGGGGGGAGAAGCTGTCATGGCTGCTTACACTAGCAATCTGAATTCCTGTGGCGAGATGTGACTTTCCCGAGATCTTCTTCTTGGTGCGGTGTAGGCCGTCGAGCAGCTTGCCTCGTTCTGTTGTGAGAGTTGAGAGGACCTCGGGGCCCTTGCCGCCCATGCTCATCAGACCTACTGAGGATTCGGGGTTTCCTTGTGTGATGGAGTCGAAGAGGATGTTGATGGAATCGGCCTGCGCATCGAACCGTGTGGGCTGGTAGTCTCCATTGCGGGAGCTTTCGCTGTTGTCAGCAATGATGACCACTGCTTCGAGAGGCATCCTGGCGGTTGTGTGATGGCAGTTGTGGTTGATGCGTCGTTCGGGGGGCGTAAGAGAAGAGATGGTGGTTTGAGAGCTGGCGGATGGAAAGGCTGGCGGGTGGAAGCTGGAACTGGAAGCCAGAAGCTCTCAGACGTAAGGCAATCGCAGCCTTGAGTTCACTACGGACTAATGTACGGAGTAAGGTTACGAAAGACCAGCGCTAGGCAGGCAAGAGCTCGGGCCAGTGGTAGGTACTTTACTTGACCTGTAAACTGGCAGGGAGTTCATAAAGATGATAAAAGAGAAAGAGCACAGTCATAGATTACCCCATCTTTTTGGCCTCAATCACAAGAATCCGCGAACGTGATTACTTGCCTGGACAATGCCAATTTATTCATACCCGTGCGCTTTGTCCGGGCAAAAGATCTGAAAGTATCTGAAAGTCTTATCCGTACATATGTCACTTGGCACCCCCTAGGCCCTGCCCATATGGCAGATGTGGCACCTGGAACCGCCAAGCCTTTTCAAGATCAAATCGGCCGCTAACACCACCGCGGCACTTTGTTTACTCGAATCCATTTAAAGCTCGTTGCATGTTGAATTGAAGCATTCACCAGCGTCTTACACAGACACCCAGTACCGATTAGTCTTACGCCATCCCGTTCCGTTTCGTTCAACTCAGACCCAGAATCCACAAACGATCACATCTCTGCAACCATAAAACCAACATTTTAAGCATTCATCACTAGGAAAATGGCGCCAGTACGAACGAGAAAGCGCAAGTCAGACTTGGCCACCAGCTCTCCGCAACGGAGCAGCCCCATCAAGAAGAGGAAGATGGCATTAACAGCCGCCCAAAAACAAGCCCTCATCGACAACCTCCAGCTTGAGCGTATGCATGCCCTCACCGTCTCCTGCTTCCTGCACTGACTATACCCAGTCACGGAACGCGCTCGAAGATTAAGATCTCAGTATAACATACAGGCACAGCAACTACGGTCACGCGTCGAAATGCGCGTCAACCGCATTCCTAACGCGTTGAGGAAACTGAGAATGGGCGACCTGCTGGCCAAGCACTCAGAGCCCCAACAATCACGAGCCTCCCATTCTCTACGTGATGCAAAGCCTCCACCAGTCCCCGTCAAGGACGGCGCGTCACCCAAACCGATCCCGCGCAAACCCGTGCCCGGCAAGGCTCAACGTGGTTCAAAGCGCTTGAGGTACGACGCAACGGGCCTGTCTACATGTTTTGAAACGCGCATTCCTGTACATAGCTGCGCCGGTGCTGACTGCGACTTAGTAATATGGTTGACGAAACCGAGGACAAAGAGAACTCCCTTGAAACTACAGGCAACCCCAAGAAGAAGCTCCGCGGTGTCCCTGCCGTCATTGAGTCTGCGCGCATCCAACCGGGACAAATATTGTCACCCACGTCGACCAACGCACGAATCGTGCCAAGGGTGTTAGAGAGACCACCTCCCGCAAAGATGCCTTTGGAGCGTCCGGCCACTTCTCCCGGTAAATCCATGATTGCCCGCCCGGCTTCCCCTATCAAGGCCTTTGGTAGGGAATCCCCAACTAAAATACTGTCCAATATGGTGTCCAAAGCTAAGGCAACCCGTGGAGCCGCATCTACAGGAACTAGGAAAGGAACCGCTTCCACGACGGCTTCGAGCAACTCGGGAACCGTCCCACGGGTCAGGAAACCAGCAGTGCCTACTGCTTCGGCAACCGGTTCCACGCGAGGTAGGAAAAAGCTCAGCCAGGCGAGCGAGTCGAGCGAGGCTAGCACCGGAACCGTCATCAAGAAGACGACAGCAGCATCGAGAGCAGCTACGGCGAAACCCGCGCCGGGACCGAAACGGACAGTAATGGGCACGATAAAATCGGCCACGACCAAGAAAGCCCCGGCGGCAAAGGCACCAGCAGCGGCAGCAACGACCACAACTACCGGGCGGACATTACGGAAGCGGCAGGCATAACTGACAAAGTAACGAGTCTGGGCATGAAGCTGATATCATTAGGTTGGCATTTGGGTATCTGGTCAAGTACGATATGGCCGTCACGAACAACAGTGCCTTGTGGCTGTGCATAGGAAGCAAATTGTATCATTGTCTTTGGCGTTCTGGAGAATAGGAGTTTAGCCAGAGGGGCCTTTTGATTCGGGCTGTCGGAATTGAATATATTTAAGTGGCTCGAAATGCCTAACATCCAAGCAAGCCTGGGCTTTCGTACTCGAGCTACTCGCCATTTGTTCGAAATGGGTTCTAATCATTATAAATTCGTGTCGAGAATGCTGAGATCTCCCAGCCTCTTTCCTCTTTTCTCGCTCGCGGCGCGAAAACTCCCTCAACACCCAGACCCCGAGACTATTGTGACGCCTTCTTCTTGGCCTTGTCGTCCACCAACTCGATGTTGTCCTCTGGGATGTCCTTGTATTTCTCCAGGAGGAACTCTTCGATTTCGTCACTCACGTCACCCTGCACCACGATCTCCTCGCCACCGCTCGGCACCTTTGTTACACTGCTACCGGTGGCGAACTTCTTGCCAAACTCCTTGGAGACCTTCTTCAGATCGAGGCCAAACGCCTCGAGGCCCGAGACGGCCGTGACGAATTTCCGCTTGTTGCGCTCGACCCGCTTGATGGTGACGACGCTGTTGGCTATCTTGGAGGCTTGCTTCTCGGCGGCCTTCTCGGCCTGCGCCGTCTTCTTCTGCGCGTCCTTGGCGGCGCGCTTCTGTGCGTCGACGCTGAGGGAGGCGGTCGAGGCTGCCAAGGCTTCGGGAGACCAGATCTGCGCGTACAGCGTGGGGTTGGCCTTCTCGAGCCATTCTTGACATTTCTTCACCGTACCGCCGTATTCGCAGTACTCCGGGGGGAGTGTGCAGACTATGAGTCGCGTGAGTTAGCCGGCTTGCTTGCTTCAAGATATGAGATTGGATGGAGGGGCACGGCGCGACGTGTTTTGTCGCGATGTTGCATGTTAATTGAGCGGTAGACTTACCGCCACAGTATGCTACGTGGCGGGATTGAAGTTCGCCTCCGACTTCTGACTCTGTATCTGCCATTGTGTAGCGACAGGAAGTGGTGTTTTCCCTGGTCGAGGTATTGCAGCGTTTTTCTCTATCGTGAAAGATGGCAGGTAAGCCGCTTGCTTCTGAAGCTTCACACGACTGACTGCGGGGTCGTTTCGTCGGTGGGCAGATGGATGGCGGGGCAGTTTTCGAAAGGTTAGGTACCTACAGTAGATACGGGAGAGAGCTGTCTGACGTCCACTACCGTTTGGACCAAGCGCACAGTGCCTACCAGGTGTGTACGTACCACTCTCGGTGGGCGGCTAGGCCTGCAGCGCCCTCTACTGGAGTTTCACACGGAAAAGCATGAGAACTCTCACGGTCCCCGACTCGAAACCTGATTGCCGCAATCTTGCTGGTTATTAATAAGCTTCTCTTATCACGGCACTAGACTAATAGAAGAAAATACAACACTACTGTCAATGAAGAAGATAAAATAAAGGAAATAGGAAGGGTACTCTGCGCGTCGTCTGTTGAGTGCCATACGTCATATCGTCATGCGTGCTGACCATGTACTCACTACATCATATCCAACGGTGAGGCTTGGGAGGCAGGGAGGCCAAGGGGTAATGAGGGCAGCGTGCCATTTTTCATGTAGATTGCATGAGATGAACTAATGTTCCATACTTCAATATCGGCTGCATGCATAGCTCTTCGGGCACATTGTGTGCAGGTCGATGCACTTGCTATCACGCAGGAATACCGAGCTCGATGAGGTTTACGAAAATACACGTGCATTCCGTGTCCTTCGCCATGGAAAGAAGGAGTGCGTTGCTCACTGAACTGACAGGCTGCTCTGAGATTGACAGCCGCATGTACGCGTAAACACTGCTGGACTTGACGTGAAATTGCGATGCACAAACTAATAGCTAAGCTCTACGGTAGTACAGCACGATATCCCGTGCGTGGTGACTCGATCGCATTATTACATAGTCAGTGTGGCTCATCTCCTGTCTGTATGTATCTTGTGTTCATGGGGGCGGCCGAGTTACGGATCAATACCGGCCGAGGCCAAGCATCGGTATAATGATATTTGGAATTGGTTGTACCATACCTATCAGCAGATTCGACCTGCTAAGTTAGATGAAATTCCAACCGACATCGTCGACTGGGGCTCCCTTGGCATCTATCATCTCCGGCTTGGAGATATCTTGTGTTTCCACTCCAGGTGCGGACTATGTAGTATGTACTGGAGATGGTAATGGCGATAAATGATAATGTAATTTGCTACAACTCTACTGGGTAGGACGCGACCTCGGCGAGGCCTAATTTGTTGAGTGTTGGTTGATTTGTGTGTCCAACTACAGCAGTTCTTCGAATTCAACTGTCCATTGACTCTGTTGCGTTCATCTTCCTCACATAACTTCCCCTTGGAATCTGTAATTATTTCATGTTCCCTTTCCCCCTTCCCCTTCCCCCTTCCCCTTTGCTAGCGTGCCTCACTCGGCAAGGTGCAAGCGTCCGTCATCCCCCCCCCCTTGGGCCCTACAGTAGTTAGCTTAGGTATGTAGGACATTTATGATTTGATGGACCCGTTTTCCCATGCCAAATCTAACTCGACTTGGAACTGCGGTCTGCCCTTTGAGGTCTGCAGCAAGGTGTACATAGTACTTTCAAAGGCGTATGGATAACGGGGGAGACCTCCAACATACTTCATTCCCGCCCCAAGCATCTTCTCCCAATTTCGTCCAGGGGGGAAAGCGCTCAGCATAACGGCGTCGTACCGTACTGAGCAGGTCGCCATCGTTGTTGTTTTCATCCCATCCTGATTAGTTATATTTTCATTTCTGATTTTTCGCCTTTACTCCAGATACGACGGTGTACACACAGCACAGCAGCCGCAACCATTGTGAAAGAAAAGAAAAATATACAGTACGCGACTGAGGATATCCATCCATCATTTTGCGCGACCGTGAAATGAAACTGGCCCAGGTCAGCCCAATCCAGATTGAAGCAAACGGCCTCACTCACACTGCAACCTCTCTCTCGCTTTGGTGACCCGCTCAACTCCATTGCAAGGTCCGGGTCCAGGTCCAAGTCCAAGTCCAAGTCCAAGTCCAAGTCCAAAGTCCAATACCGCCTAACCACATCCACATCCACAACCACAATCCACTCCCACTCTCGCTCGCCCGCTTGAACTTGACGAAGGATCACCTAACACCAAGCTTCACTGCTGGCCACCGACAATCCAACCACGGCAAGAACAAGGCCTAATCTATTTTTGGCCCTTCACTTCCCTTTACTTGACTTTACCTTGCTCTACTTTACTTTCACTCCTTGAATGTACCTGGACCTAGCCGGTTTGTCTTTGACGCTGCACGACGCCGTCACCCAGCATTCAATTTTCGTACCATCCCAAACCCCAGCCATCGTCGCACGCGCCGCACGGCACCGCTGTCCGCTGTGGAATCTGACTTCTCGACTCTGGAATCCCATCCCCTCCGCCGCCCGATGCTCAGGTCCGACGTGGGACAGCGCCCAACCATCGTCCTACCGTAACCGCTCCTCACGACTGTTCTCGCTCATCCCCGACATTTAAATCTCGTTGCATACGGACAATCTTGAGCCTCATTGTCTGGCATCGCCAAGGGCCCAAACTCCGTCTCCAAGATGGGCCCAGATTACGGAGGCGGTCTGGGAGGAGGCGACCATGCACACACTCATACCCATGACGGAGCCTACCAACTCGACCGCGAGCGACCAAATATGACCCCGAGCCCGTCGTATCAGAATGGTGCTTTCCAGCCCCCTTCGCGTCCTCCCCCGAGGGAAGCCTCGCCCGCCCTGAGCTCCACCAGCACCACCGACCTCCGCAAGAGTGCCGAGCGGAACCGATCAAGAGGACGCGGCCGAACCGCCAGTGGCCAGCTGCGTATCTGCCACAAGTGCGGCGAGCCTTTGACAGGACAATTCGTGCGCGCTCTGGACGGCACCTTCCACCTCGACTGCTTCAAGTGTCGCGTAAGACCTCCCCGTCCTTGATCCCCAATCGTTGCCCATCTAAGCTAACTCTCGTTTCCCCCCGGCAGGATTGTGGTACCATAGTAGCTTCCAAATTCTTCCCGGCAGAAGACGAAGAGGGCGGCGGCCAGTACCCATTGTGCGAAACTGATTACTTCCGGCGGCTGGGTCTGCTCTGCTACCAATGCGGAGGTGCACTGCGAGGTTCATATATCACAGCTCTCGATCGGAAATATCACGTGGACCACTTTACGTGCTCGCTGTGCGAGACTGTCTTCGGTGCTCAGGATAGCTACTATGAGCACGACAGCAACGTCTACTGCCGCTACCACTACTCGACTCAGTTTGCGCAGCGGTGCAATGGCTGCCATACCGCCATCCTCAAGCAATTCGTCGAAATCTTTCGCAACGGCCAGAATCAACACTGGCATCCCGAGTGTTACATGATCCATAAGTTCTGGAATGTACGCCTTACACCAGCCGATGAGATCCAGACGCATCCCGAGGAGCTGGATGAAGAGGGGCGTAATCTAGTCAAGACAGAAGAGGAGAAGATGGAGGAGAAGGTTTACCGCATCTGGAGCGTTCTCTCCGCATTCGAGGAGTCTTCTGCCGCGTGCATCTCGGATATGCTGCTCCACGTGAGCAACGGCGCCTTCATCGATGGAATCCTGACTGCCAAGAAGTTCATCCTCCACGTCGACGTATTGTTCCAAGGTGCAGACAAGCTGGATGCATCCATGAAGGACATCGAGTTGAAAGGTGAGTTGGATCATGAATGAGGCGGCCATATGCACCGCTAACACACAAACACCAGGTCTATCATATAGTCGCGAGGCAAAGCTCCTCTGCAAGAAGATCGTTTCTTTCTTTTCTCTTTTATCCAAGACACAGGAAGGCGGTGTCCGACAACTGGGAGTTACCCAAGAGCTGCTTTCTTTGGTAACCGGTCTTGCTCATTACTTGAAACTCCTAATCAGAATCTGCTTGCAGGGCGCTCTCAAGATCGAGAGGGAGCACAACACACAGGTCGAGTTATACCAGTTCCTGGATGATCTGAGTGTGATTGAAACCACTAAGAATGAAGACAACACGCTGCAGATCAGCGTCGGCATGGCTACCCTTTCTGCCAACGATTCAGATCACTGCACTGCGTGCCGGAAGCCTATCGAAAGCGAATGCGCTTTGAACGGCGACAAAAGGTGGCACCCGGCTTGTGTCAACTGTGTAGAGTGTGGGCAAGAGTTGGGTCAAAGCCTCGAAACTGCGCAATTGCAGAGGGACTTGCGTATATTCTGCACGTCATGCACACGACAGCTTGGTGGTGAAATGAGCGGGCCCTTCGAGCGTATCTCAAGACTTCAGCAATACATCTTCTTGCTCAAAGTAGCGCTCGCTAGGCTTTTGGGGCAGCTTAGGAAGAGCGGCGCCATTCCACCCGCCAACGATGACGACTCACGTAGCGGAAACAACTTGTCGGTTGACCGGGGCGCACCGATGTTGTCGACGGAATCTCGATCCAAGTCCTACGCAGGAGAGCAAACAGAACGACATCAGAGAGAGTCGTCTTATGAGAGCACTCTCAACGACGTGCGCAGACTGAGAAGTACTCGCCTTGACAAGCATCTTTCCTCGAGTCTGAGGAAAGCGCGGTCGTCTCGAATTATGGACGGTCCTGGCATTGAGAATGCTGGCTACAAAGATCGGGAAATGCAAATCGATGAGGATCAAGAGCCCGGCTTGGGTGGAGATACAGCGCAGTACTTCGGACACCAGGATGCTTTGACTCTGGACGACATTCCACGCATTGTTGCTGCAGAGCAAGCCAAGGAGAAACAGCCCACTGCATATGACAGAAACTCCCGACAAGGACTGTTCCGCGCGCCGACTACGCATCCATCACTTGGGTCAGGCCACCAGAGATCTCAGTCTGATGGCAGAGGAGAGGGGTTGAGAATGAATCCAGAGCCTTCTCCACAAAGGGTCGGGCGCAGGTATTTCTCGGAACTGTCTGCTCTGGAATATTTCATTGTGCGCCACGTTGCCGTGCTCACAATGCAACCCATGCTCGATCCCGAGTTCTCACTTGATGAGCTGCTGTCACTAATCGAAGCCAGGAAACAGCCCAACTTCTGGAACAAGTTCGGCAAGGCTTTTGCTGGCAAGGACAACCGCAAAAACATAAAGAAGAAGGGCGTGTTTGGTGTGCCTCTCGAGCTCATCATTGAAAGAGATGGAGCCGACTCCACAGACGGAGTCGGGCCTGGTGCTCTTCGTATACCCGCCATCATCGAGGACACGATCACGGCGCTGAAGAACAAGGATCTGTCGGTTGAAGGTGTTTTTCGGAAGAATGGAAATATTAAGAGGTTAACAGAGCAGGTCAACGCAGTTGACAGAGATGGCTGCGACGCTATCCGGTGGAACGATGAATCGCCTCATCAGCTCGCTGCTCTGTTGAAGCGATACCTGCGAGAATTGCCTGAACCTCTCATGACTCAGAAGCTATACCGTCTCTGGATTGCCGCCACCAAGATTCGAGAGGATGAGAAGAGACGGCATTGCTTGCATCTAGCATGCTGCCTGCTTCCCAAGACTGAGAGAGATACGCTGGAAGTTTTATTCAGTTTCTTGAAATGGGTCGCAACCTTCCACCAAGTCGATGAAGATACTGGATCAAGGATGGATGTGCACAATCTCGCCCGTGTCATGGCACCCAATATCCTTTATTGTGGCCAGACCAGTCCCAGCTTCTCAGATGAGCCAATGACTGCTGTTGCTTGTGTTGAAGAGTTGATCCAATGGAACGAAGAGATGTGCATGGTAAGTGATTATTGATTCCTTGAAACTTTTTTGAAAGAAGCCCCCACTCTACTATTTTTGGTTTCCTTTCAATAGTCGGCGATGGCTTGATTGTCACTTTCTTATGGGGTGGTTTTTTTCTTCGTCATTATGATAAATCGGCGATGGCTAACAGCGCGATAGGTCCCGGATGAACTTATGGAGGTTCTCAGCGATCCTAGCTTGCTAAGCAGCAACGGAGAGCTATCTACCAAGGAAATAATTAAACGGCTTGGTGACCGAGCGGCTGGCGGTCCACGGCAATACGACACGGAGGTCATCAATAGGCAGGACAACTCAAGGCCAATGGCAACCAGAGTTGATACAGATCAGATGGCATACCTACAAGAGCGAAGTGTCCGCCCTGTTCATGACACAGCTGTGCCTTACACTACCAATCCAGGAACACCTCCACAAAAGTGGCGCAGTCCTGAGCATGTACAATCGCCCTCGCTTTACGTGGATCACCAGTACGATAGCGACAGCATACCTCATCCCTCAGAGAATGGCCAGCGCCGTGAGTGGCGTAACTCTGGGTGGGGCAGGCCGAACAACAATTCAGTTCCTGCTGGATCTGGTTAAATGAAGAGTCTCACTCCTGGTATATACTCATTCACACTTCGCCCTTTCTAGTCTCTCTTGGAATAAAGACGCAAAGCATATCCTTACACCATTCGGGAGGGATTTATGAATCGTTACGACATAGCATGAAATGGTGTAGTCAGCATTTACGGCCGGCGTTTGAATCAAATCCCACCTACAAGGGCACAATGGTTTTTGTATTTTGTCTCTGGTAGCTTCTCTTCACGATTCTTTTCACAGCGAGCCTATTTGTCGCCTTGGGCGACTTGTGCAGACGGTTTTTCACGTTGCAACCTTTTCTTTTCTTTTCTTTTTTCCCCCTCGTCTTATATAGACGTCTTTTGACCATGAGCTTGGAGTATCGCGGACAGCCATTTCCGCCTTCTTGAAAGCCTAAAGCTGGTTTGGGCTGTTTGACAGTCCCATCTGGAAGATATGGATGGCTACGGCGACGGCGACGATGACTTCCGGGGAGAGCATTTGTTATTAACTTCTGCATGGCAAAATCACACTTGTCGTACCTCTGGCCGATCGGGAATGGGGCGACGAAATGTTGGACTTGGGATAGAGCTTCAGTGGGGAGGGGGGAGGTTTTCCAATAAAAGGGGTTCACTCGCGTCAGTGAAGCTGGATTGCACGTGAGGATTCACCCGCTACTCGCTACTCGGTCCTTTGCCATTTGGTGTAGAAAGATTCCTCCTTGCTTGTCTGGTAAAGTTTTGCAAACCGGTCAGTCAGCGCATACTTCTCTCTGTGCAGCTACTGGCTACTTGTAAACGTCATGCTAGGGAAAAGGTCTAAACAGATAGTTGTCTAGATAAACACATTGGACTGGAAGCAGAGTCTAAACCTCCTTCCTGACCTTTCGAAATAAAGAACGATCACAATGGTATCAGCTATGATATGCTGCAACTCAAAATTGTGCCAGTGAATTGGAACCGAAAGGTTTGCTTGATTAATGACCACCTCGAGATTTATTCAGTACATTTCATATCGTCCAGGACCAGGCATGAATTTAAAAGATTACTCACTTATGCAGTTAGACAGGTTAAGACAAGACGTGAACCGGCATAGGTACCAGTGGAGGAGGGTACCTTGATGATTACAACCATGAACGGCTTGGTCTTCAAGGACAAGGAGCCCCCTTTGTGGAGGCCAAAATCGCAGTGAAGAATATGTATACAGGCAGCATACATGTGCAGACTTGACTTAGCCTATGGCCGTGTGGGGCCGGCGAGAGAGCCCGTCCACCTGTTCTCGTAACCAGGGACGGGGGGAGAGGAGCTGTTTAGCAGCCCCGGGCCCATGGTAGGGAAGGAGGACATCTAGATATATCTCGCACCACGGGTATGCAGGAAATTTTCATCCACCATGCAACGAACGGGTCCAGCAAACGCCGCCCAGCAGAGGGTCCCCCCGGAGCAGCCTTAGATACGACCCTCCTCTCCCCTTCTCTCTTCCTCTTTTCCCCTCTCCGGGGTTTGTGTTTAAGGCTTAACGGCACACCCTTATTGCTGAAACGGGGGTTGTTATAGCGCCTCGGTGATCGTATTACAGGCTTTAGAACTATCTGGTCCTCCCCTGGGGAAATGCTCATGATAGGCGTGTGTGAATCCGAGTTGATTGGTGAGAGATGATAGCTGCAATATTGTTCATATTTACAATACCCACACGTTATACTATGTTCTAACTAGAATATCAAGAAAATTCTTGTTGTCATTGCTTGAAATTGTTATATGAGACGAATGTGGCCTATACAAAAGAGACTGAATTTTTGTAAGAATAAGACGATTACTTAAGACATTCGAAAAGAACCTTGATAAAGATAAAAGATGCGGGCATCCTAGGAGGCGATATCAGGGAATGAGCGAAAAAGAAGAAGAAGAAGAAAACCAGCCTCTCAAAGTATCCTCATTAAATTCACCTATGAATTAGCTACCATGACGGTCATATTTGCTATGTACATGGCAAAAGTAACCTTGGCTATAAATCCCGAAGGTCGCCATTCCATACTCTTATGTGTGGGGACGTGGTTAATATAACTTCCATGGACCGGGTATCAAGCAGAAGCAATTACGCCATGTTCTCGTAGAAAAAAAAACCCCCCTCCAACTCAAGTGCAACGCGATTCTCGAATATCGACCATTACCGTTTAAGCCCTGCCCCTGAACCAGGTATGTCTCGTCTTCACAAAGAGTGTATTTGCGTTGAAAGACATAATCTCCCCTTTTTGTCTCATCAGATACCACTACAGATGAGTCCAGCTGTTGACGTGGCGATTGCTTTGGACATCATCTGCCGTAGCATTCATCGTAGCTCTGAGACGTGTACGATGATCATACGAGCGCGGCCGTGCTGATTGGGGCCTATTTACCACGGAGACGACGGCGGCTTCGCCGCTCTGAACCCGTGTCAACTTCTGTTGTTGTGCATTTTGGACCATATTGGGAGACGAGCCGGAAATCAGCGACTCGGTATGATCGCCTCCCACCTCGTAAGACGGGCTCTGAGAAGCTCGCGGGGTTTGGGGAGGCGACGGCGTAGGAAGCTCCGCCATCTGTTTCTCGGCATTAGCCGAGTAAAGCTCGAAATGGAGAGGCCTAGAGTCGAGCTGAGCCGGCTCATCGGACTTGTTCTCCTTGGCGGTGGCATCGTCATCTTTGGCGGCGGGCCCCTTGAGCAAGGGCACTCCTGTACCCGGCGGAGAGAGGGGACTGAGATAGTAGCTATCGGCAGGCGAGCTCGGATAGCTTGCAGTGGCGGCAACGTCGTTCTGGCTCTTGGTGGATCGATACGTGGACGGTGACCCGGGGTTGAGTGCTCCTGCAGATTCAAATGAACTCGCTCGGCCTGGAGGACACATTTTCTGGTCAGTAAGCTTGAACACCTTCGCGAGAGAACGCCTGGTATGGGTTGATGGATGGAAGGGTGGTATTAGAGAGACACAGAACTCGGGTCTTACCTCCAAAGGGCGCAAAAACGTCACCGTGTCTATTTCCCTCGCTTGCCTGAGCGCGGTTGCCCACGTTCTTGTCGTCGAATTCGCCACGGAGGTTGTTCTGGTACGGCGGCATGCGCTTGGCGACCTTCCGGCAACGGCAACGGTAGAGGAGAAACAATGCCAGCAAGAGTCCCAGAGCTCCAATCGCAACTCCAACGCTGATGCCAGCGATTGCACTCCGGGGCAGCCCAGAAGAGCTAACATTGCTGGCCTGAGCAGTGGTAGTGGTGGCTGGACCGGCATTTTTAGATTCGCTGCTTGTTGCTGTTGTGCTTGACGGAGAGAACCCGACCAACCCAGAAGTGACGATGGTGGTTGAAGGCGTGGTTGGTAGCGAGGCTGCTGCCACAGTCGTCATTGTCGTTCCCGTCGACGGTCCTGCCATCTCTGTGGCAATTCCAGCAGTCACGGGCTTGCCCACGCCGCTCGTTGCCCTGACAGAACTAGTAGAGTGTGAAGAAGTAGAGGGTGAGTCACCACTCATCGGCATGTTGATCTTGGCATTAGCTGGACAGCCACCCGGCTGACAGGCCTGCTCCGAGCAACAACCTTTCCAGTATATTGTCTGGCCACTGCAAACATAATAGGTGCTACCGCTGGGGCATTCTCCCTGCGTGCGTCGCCCCATGGGACCGAGACTCATGGTAACGGTTATGCGATGGAGTGTTGATCTGTGGTGGGGTTGAAGTGGCTGCTGATATCTGGAAGACAGAAACTTGGCAGGTCGTCCTGTCTTGAATAACAGTTGGTGCAAAGGCCGAGTTCTTTTTGTGCTGAGAGGACAAATATTCTGATTCTAACAGATGAGAAGCTTAGAAGAAAGGAAATCGTGCAAGCAAGGAAATAAAAATGAAGTTTTGCAGCTTGGGTTTGTTTTTGGATCTATGGGAGACCTAGGATCTATGACCAGTCAAGATCTCCCGGCAGAAGGCAAAGGCGGAGAGCAGGTTTAGTTGTCAAACTGCAAGATGCGTTCACAGGACGGCAAAGCCGTTACATAAGTGATGGGGAATTCGCGTTGTGCAAGTGGCACGGGAAACGGTGGCTGAGGTGGTGAAGTTTTCGGACGAAAGGTCATGGGCTTCAAAGTTAAGACGCAGGCAAACGCGGTGCTGCACGTCGATTTAGTCACAACTCAAGCCCGGACCCATTGCCTCCTGTGAAGCGGACAGATTTCTACCTCTCCTTTGTACGTAGTCTGGATCTAAAGTCCAACCCTGCCAGAAAAATACCGTGCAAGTGAGTGGACATGAGGTAAAATAGTCGACGAAACTGTAGTAAGCTGCGCTCAATATAATAAGAATATTCCTTGTTCGGATGTGGTAGCACTGAATGCATCTTTCATAGTCCAACTGATTGCTTGGATATCACATTGTTGCAGGTTAGAAAAATATACGCAGCGGATGCCCATGTTTGCCTCTTGTCTATCTTGTCAAGCTATGAATGACCATGACCGCGCCCACGTCGTTCTAGATCAAACTGGTTACATACAGTCACCCGATCGGTCTGGAGCCATGCACCATGCCATGCCTCGGCTCATGAGCTCAGGGTCTTGTGTTCATTTGTTTGATGGATCCCTACGGGGCCGGGAGTTAGGGGGAGTAGGGAGGAGATTGGAAGATCACGAAAGATACGCAGCTTGGGACATATGGGGGGGATATAAAATCTCATTCAGTACACCTGTCCTTGGGAGTCACTGCTCAAACAATGTATTGTACCCAAGCCCAATGTATTCTTTTCAGTTAGGCATAACTAAGGCGTCCAGTCATCCCCCTCAGCATCGCCACGACGTCGTGCGACTAAAGGCCTGCCTTTGTGATACTCTCTCTGCAAGACCCTGCAGTGCCCCGTATTGCTCAAGGTATACGGCAGTCGGTTCGTTCGACGCAACTGTGTTCATGCAAGTTTATTAGTACCACAAAGAACGGACCAGTGACGGTGATGACTGGTAATGAGGAGTCATCGTCAACACGTGTGAACACAGTTGGTATTTCGCTTCTATAGTCGTACCATACATTTAATTCTTCAACTTCTCCAGCAAGATCCTTGCACCGGCATTACCCACGGACCTCTCCTTCTTGGGGGCCGACTTCTTTCCCTTCTTGGCAGGCTTCTCTGCGTCACCATTAGTCTCTGCTGCTTCGCGAGAAGCCTTCTGTTCCGGCGTCTCCTCTGTGGCGGCCTTCTCTAGGGTCTTCTTCTCCTTCTTCAAGATCTTCTTCAGCTCGTCTCTCTGAGAGAAGTCGTCGGCCTCGAGTAAGGCGACCGGCACAAACGAGCTAGGGCCGGTAGCCCACGCAACAATGTGATCTTTGATGATAGGATAGAGAATGTCGGCAAAATGCAAAGGAGGATCAACCGGTATGATCTTGCGAGTCGCCTTGTCAAAGTGTCCACCAGCTATAAGTGTCTTGAACAAGCGACCGCCATGGGCTGTCTTGGAGATGTGAAGGTCAATTTGAGGTTGGTCCTCGCCCTCCTCGGTGGCCTCAGCTCCCGCCTCAGCCTCAACATCAACATCAACATCCATGGCCTCGGCAGATGGGTCTCCCTCGGCGGTGGTTGCGATGGCCTTGAGCGCCTCGGTCTTGTCACCAACGCTCGAAAGCAGGATATCTTGAACAACCTGGCAGCCAAAAGACGTCGAAACCAAATCATATGGCGCCGCTTCAACACCAGTGAGCAATGCAGGAGACATGGCCGCGATGAGTTCTTTCCTGCGGATCTCCGGGTCCTTCTTACTGGTCGTCTTCCTGATTTCATGGATCTCTTGGAGAACCTGCAGATGGGGGGCGTGACTAGCATCAAAGAGTGCCTTGGAGGTGCCCTCAAACAGGTAGCGGACAGTGAACCGTGCATTGGGCTCGTTGGCGATGATGACAAGGTTGCTGGCCTCATTGCCATCGTTTTTGCCTAGTAATTCTGGGAAAATGGATTTTGATGTCAGGACGGTGTCATCGATCAGGTCGTAGGCGGCAAGGATGATGAGATGACCCCAGGGATCCCCCGACATGAGCTGGAAGGTATCCTTGAAAGTCTTGAGAAGCTGTTTCCTGTCCTTGGCGGTGCCATGTGCAAGAAGCAAGCAGGTAAGGCGAGCGCCTGATTTGGTGAAGGCCATGTTCTTGAGCAGATCGCCGTTCTCGTCCTCCTTGACCATCTCAATGAACTCCTTGTGCTCGTCACCGCCTGACTGGACATTCAAGAAGTACTGTAGCATGGCGTCGTGCAACATGGTGAAGCCAGTCATCTTCTTCTGAATCAGCTGGTTGGTCGCTTCCAACAAGTACCTGATGATGAATATCCTCTTGCTCGGTTCTTCCTCGATGATCTTGGATAGATCGGCGGTGAGATCCTTGCCCTCGCTCCTGAAGATGGCGAACTCTGGCCCGTACCATTCCCTAAGCATGATGGCCTTTTGCTCGGGGGTCGCCATTTGTCTGTAGATGTCGTCGAGGATCCATGAGGCCTCGGGGTGGTTGATCATCTTCCGGACCTTGCCGTAGAACTCGGGGACAATCAGATCGCGGACCTCCTTGTCGCCCTCGACGAAAAGCTTGCCGATGAGGAACTTGGCATACTTGCTCTCAGCGAGCTGGGCGTAGGTGCCCTTGAGCTCGTTCGCAATCATCCTCCGCCGTTCGAGATTCGAGTACTTGATGGCGGTCTGGACAACTCGGACCGTGTCATGCTTGAGGGCGAACTCCTTGATGCGGCCGGTGACGATGGAGAAGAGCTCTTCGACGAGCTTGGTTCTCTCCTCCTTGGGGACGTGGGACTTCCTTCGTAACTTCTCCCACAGCTTCTTGGCCCGGTGTGACTCGTCGGCAAGAGGCTTGGCGGCCTTCCGCTCAGCAGCCAGTTGCTTTTGTTTTATATGCGACTCGCGGGAGTTTGCGCCTGGGGGGTTTATCCCTTTGTTAGCGGAGAGTGTCTTGGGGGGGCTGTGTGTCAAGTGGTGACCAACCCTTCTCGAATACTTTGGCGGAGCCGTCGTCGGCCTTGCCATTGGACTGGTTGGCGCTGTGTGGTGGCCTCCCGCTGCTCAGGGAGACACCGCCGTCTTCCTGGTCATCTGAAAAGTCTTCGAAGGGGGTGTCATCGCTGATGTCGTCGGCTTCCTCCTTGGGCGGCGGGGGCGGTCGCTTCTCGAACTTTGGCTTCTTTGAGGATTTGTCCTTGGTCTTGCTGTCCAGCTTGCGCTTGTAGCCGGTGGAGGAGTCCTTGGGAGCCATCGTGGAGGATTGGCTTGATGATGTGGTGAAAGTGCCTGGATTCTGTTGCACTGGCAGATAGCGGCGTCCGGGTGCAGTGCCAGCGCTGCGCAGCCCGTACCAAAAGTTTAGCGGTATCCTGAAATTTTTAGAGGATCTGCCGGGCGGTCAAGACAGGCCCTTGTCCCTTCCCGGCGGACCCCCACCATGCATGGCTTCGTTCATGTGTAACTTACATGTCTGGAGGCTATACGCGTTAGAGTATACGGTACTGGAGTACATACATACAGTACAGTACAGCAGGCTGCAGTTGAGTGTCGCCATCGCACCAAAGTGAAAGTAAAGTACGTCTTGTCCGGACCGGCCCTCTACAGTAAACACTCTGAACAGAGCCGCCCTTGAGCAATCGCGAATAAGCACATGCCCTAGTATCGATGCTGGCTCTTCAGCGCATTTGCACCAGCGGCTTCACCTGCTCTTTTTTAAATCCAGCTGCCCCGCACCCTGTAATTTGAGCCGCTATACAACAGCACTATAGAACATCCAGAACACGCACAGTCCCTACCTACCTTTGCAAGCCGTCAGAATGGGGCGCGAGGAGCAGGTAGAAGAGAGAGAAGTCCTCGACTCCATCTTCCCAGAAGAAATCACAGGTAAGCCCTGCTGCCCTGTCCATCCCTCTCACACCCCCTCGTCCGCTCTCCAACGCTCTCGTGCGCTTCCTATGCCGTACTAAAAAAGGAAACGCCCAACCACAGATGTATCCGAGACCGAGTACCGGATATCCATTCTCCTCGACCTCCCCGACGATGAAGCCGACAAAGCAGAACCCCCTACCGTAGTTCTGCACGTACGCTATCCCGAGTCGTATCCGGACGAGCCACCGCACCTCGACCTTTCCCCGCCACAAAATGCGTCTACACACCCCTACTTCTCCGTCTCCTCGGACAAGGACGCCCTGCTGTCCGGCCTCGAGGAAACGATCCAAGAAAACCTGGGGATGGCCATGGTCTTCACCCTCGTCGCCACCCTCAAGGAGAATGCCGAGCAGCTCATCCTGGACCGACGGGCCGAGGTGGCGCGACAGCACGAAGAGGTCCTGCGCGCTGCGGAGAGGGAAGAGAACAAGAAGTTCCACGGCGAGAAGGTCACGCCCGAGTCCTTCATGAGGTGGCGCGCAGGGTTCTTGAAGGAGATGGAGGAGGAGGAGAGGAAACAGGAGGAGGAGAGGCTCGCCGAGGTGAAGAAGGCCAGGGCCAAGGAGGAAAAGAAGCTGACGGGCAAGCAGCTCTGGGAGAGTGGATTGGTTGGTAAGGGTGATGAGGGCGACGAAGAGGACGGGGCTGGTCTAGCCGACGGTGTCGAGGGCTTGAAAGTTGCCGCATAAAGATGCACACAGCCTACCTTGTCAAGAACGCGCATATCAGAACAGCCAAAACCTCTCGGCCCAATGACCAAAGGTCCAGGTGGATGGGTGCAGGGAACTGCTGCCATGCCTGATTTGGAGCGCATAACGAGGTTGCGGTACGAGATGTATCGACAGCATAAAGTAGCAAAATATCGCAAGCATTGTCAAGTTGTCAAATGGATTCTTGCCATAGGTTCAGCAAATGCAAATTCGGCGCGCTAACGGCACATATGGTCTATGAGCTGGAAAGAAGAAACTAATTACCTTTTTGAGATCCGACAACGCCGTGAAATGCCAGACCGAACGCCGCTCCGTTATTCTGGGCCCTGATATACCATCTTCAAGAACCACTCAATGGCCAAGGGTCGGAGACAGACCCGATGTGAAGCGTTCAGCCTTCCATTTCGTCGTCCTCATTAGCCTCATCGTCTTCCCAGTCTCCCTCTTCTTCTTCTTCCTCGCCTTCCTCCATGATAGGTGCAACGCCAAGCTCCTTTGCAATGTTAGACAGAAGCTCCTGAGCGTGGTCGCCGAGTCTGTCGTCCTCGTACTCCTGCTTCTTGAATAGCATCAAACACTGGTTCAACCACGTCCGACTCGAGAACCAGGTCATCTTCCATTCTGCGTCTTCTTCCTTCTTGTTCGCCTTCTGCTTGTCGCCCATGACGAACAGGGCCCAGCCGCCGAGATACCAAACCTCAACGCTATCGTCGTCCTCGCCGACCAAACGTTCAAGTACTTCTAAGGCCTCTTGCTCCATTTCAACCTCCATCAAAAGCCTCGCTAGACTAACCCTCGTGGGAAAGTCGGGCACGCTCGGATCCTCCATGGGCAGATCCTTCCAGATCTCCACGCTTCTCGAGAGCGCTGCCTTCGCATCATCAATCCGGGTCTGCGAGATCCTGACGTTCGCCAGCGTCTGCCAGCTCTCGGCCGAGTCCGGTGCGACCATGGTCGCCTCCGTGACAAGCGCCTCGCAGCGCTGCTCGGCATCGGCCTCCCAGGACAGGTCCGTCATGTAGATCTCCGCGACCGCGCAGAGACACGCGGCGTGTTTCCTCCTCAGACCGTCGAGCGTCGTCTCCTGCGCCTCGTCGCGTTTCCTCAGGGGCGTCGCCTCCTCGAGCCTCTGTATCTGCGCCTTCAGCACGCCGGCGCCCCGCTCGAACCACTTGACGCTGTCCATGCCGCCCTCCTCGCTCAGCTGCGCCAGGCACAGGAACTTCTCGGGCCCGCCGCCGACCTCCTCGCTTCGCGACCCGTCCTGGTCTATCGACACGGCGCGCATGAGGCAGGACCGCGCGGCGTCGAAGTCGCCAAGCTCGATGTTGATCTGGCCGAGGAGGTTGAGAGACGCGAGGGCGCCGTCACTGCTCGGCTGGGACGCCTCGAGCGCCTGCTTGCAGATCGTAAGTGCATCCGGTGCATTGCCGCCTTGCACGAGCTCCTCGGCGACCGAGACGAGGTAGAGCGGCGAGATGGCCTTGGCGCCGTCGTTGGTGTTGGAGCTATCGGCTTGGGCGGCGCGGGAGATGCCGCCTTTCTTTTTGTTCTTCTTGTCGGGGCGTGTCTTTCCCATCTTGTAGGGCGTTTGAAAAGAGTAAAGGTCTGCAATGTTAGGCGGCTGTCTGAGTTGGGTTTGGAGGGTGGCCGCAATCAGATGCACGCAGCGGGGCTAAGGCTGGCAGCTGGTTTTATCCCAATGATTTTGGCGTTGACGTCGAAAAATTCTAGGAAATCAATTTGATAACGGTACCGATAAGATTCTGATCTCTTGGCGTTGGCGGGGTTGATTGAGTATACGGTCAGCGTGGGGCAATGAGATGGAAGAAAGCGACGGGTTGCAAGGACTCTTCAGCTACGCATCATCCTCTCCAGGAGCAGATGTACGAGCAGGCAGCTGGCAGGAAACGAGGAACCGGAAAGTTTTTGTTTTAAGCCCGTCAACTTTTGTAATTGGTCACAAGACCTTGGATCCTGGCGACCGGCTCGGTTGATGGTTGCACTAAAGAAATGAGAAATGAGAAGTCAGGTATACACATAACCAGCTATACACGTCATCTGGGTTTGCAAATTTCGCACGAGAAATGCCGTTTTCCGCATGAGCTTTGCGCATCTTGTGTCACTGACTAGGAGTTTATGATGGACTACCGAGTTGAAAGGCATGAATACAACCAGTGCTTTTTTATGCAAAACGTGGGAGCCAGGGATTCCACTCGTGTCAAGTAAAGAGAAATGCATAATCAATTCATCTCTGTGGGGTCATTATCATTACCAATGTGTGCTAGAGTCTCGTATAGTCAACTCTCAAAGTGTCATCCTCTCAAGCGAGTGCTTGGCGAACTTCTGCAGCAGTCTGAGCGAGCACGCAACAGGCGGAAGCAGGTTCTGTGGCAGTCCAACCCGTAGGTTGGAACATTCCATGGCAGCAAAATACCCAAGTACCCAGCCGCAACTCCTACCAAAACGCCATGAAATATGCACATGTGGGTTCTGAAACCCCCGGTCCTGCCCTGTCTACCCACGATGCTTATTGCATCTCTTGACCTTCCATTGACTGTGACGACTTTGGCCGATCCATGTTGCCTAGTTCCGATCCTTGGCCGCTCTGTGCCCTCTTGCGTCCTGGAATAAATCGCGACATGCCCTGGCCGTGAGTGCTGTGTGTGTTTGACTCCTGCGAATCACCGAATCTTGCGAAGAGGCCCCGTTTCTTTGGTGCTTGTTGCGGAGGCGGTGGTTGCTTGTTGGTCTCATCATTCAGCCCGACATCCTCGAAACCTTCCTCGGCTGTGGGTGGTTCCCTGTCGAAAGAGCGATCCCGGACTGACGTCCTTGGCATGCGCGGAAAGCGCGCCGAGTCGAGACTTGTTCGTGGCTGTATGTCGTGAAGTATAGGAGACTTTGCGGTGATATCCTGTGGTGGTTGGAATTAGCTGATTGCGTGTAACACCATGTTGGTTTGCCACATACGAAGGAGCGTCGGTAAGAGTCAAACGACTCTCGTGAGATAGAAAAGTGTTCGATGTCACCAATGCTGCTCCGAGTGTCCATTGACGTCCTCGAGGGCAGTGCAGGTCTCCGGGGCCACAATCCTTTCTCCTCGGTGGGCGAGGGCTGGAGCTGTGTCAGCAATCTAGCATACGGCCATTTAAGCAGTTCTTAGCACTCACAGGAAGATATACGCCGCTGTCATTGACAACTATGGATTGAAGCCAAGTCAGCACATGTTTACGCACCACGCGGGATACCGGCAGTTGGTAGCGACCTGGTGGTGCATACCGCTCAACTTGTAGTCACCATTATCCTGGTTCTTGGCACTTATGATGCTCAGCGCAGGTGATGCCTTGGAACCAATTATGTCCACTCGTTCAAACCCGGGATGCGATGCATCTTGGGCAGATAGCTCTGGACGCACGTTCTCGTCGTTGCCGACTCTTCGTGCGAAAGGATTCCGGATTGGCATGGTGGGCTGGCGGGCGGAATGCGACAGGAAGTGTGGTTAACGTGTTGTTGTTGCTGCAATTGATTTCTGGGTTCCTGGGTACCTAAGGTATTGTTGTTGTGGATTTTGTACGGAATGAAAGCAGACGGGATGATGTTAAGTGGACCAAAACGATGACTTTGATTGAGTTCCAAGTGTTTTATAATGGGTTTGATTTCAGCGTCCCTGATTAGATGGATTTGACCTCTATGCGCATTGCTGACAGGGAAAGATTACAGTTGAAAGTTGGATGAAGGACGGTGACAAGTAACTAGAGTATGCAAAGGCCGACCATCCGGATTCCTTGACCCAATCGATAAATCAAATAGACCTATCCAATCGAAGCGAGACGACGATCAACCCGGGGGCTAGAGGACGGCAGTGCGACCTGCCGACTAGTAGGACTTCGACTGCTTTCTTCTTCAAATTTTTCAATGTTCTTTTTTTCTCGCGCCAAACGATACCTGCAACATAAGAGTTTGTACCGTCCTGTCCTTGTCTTGTGAGAAAAACAGCCAGTAGTTTTCCCTCGCTACTCATATCGGACAACGCGCGCGCCGCTCGACGCACCACCAGTTCGCAGTGGAGATGGAACTAAACCTGCTTCGGTACAGCTTTTGCGGGGAATGACTCGGGAGCCTGCGCACAAAGCTCCAAAGCAAGGTGATGATCAAGTTTTTATACCATTTCGGAAAACCCAAGCGCCTGGGCCGATGCCAATACTGGCAATACTCGAGTTTCGGACCTGCATCTTATTTGTGAGTCGCAAAATCTATTCCGTCAGATCGAGATAATCCTGGCACCGTCCCTGGCCCTGCATCCACGAAAGCCGGATTCCCGATGCCCCCATTGTTCTGTTTGTGCCTTGGAAGAATGCATAGTACACGTGGGACAAGTCTCCCCTGTGACATTTTTGCTAAAGGTCATGGACTTTACGCACAAGAGATCTACCTGCCCAACATTGTAACGTGGGTACACGACCTTGTTCCTTCGGATGACTTGTCTCTGCTCCCCAGGCGACATAGCCGGATTTGACAGTTAGGAGTGGTCAGATACCTACTGACTATGGTAAGATCGACGGTGTGCAGGGTGTGGTTCTGCAGGCACCGCCTCATCCGCTGGCGAAAACCCCACCGCTTCTCGTTGCCAATAGAACACCCAGGCTAAGACCACGTACGGATCTGTACCTGTATGCAAAAAGGGTCTCTAGGAATTGCTGACTTTGTGCATTTGCCCAGCGCCCAATAGGTAATCCAGTACAGCAAAATGTTTGGGTCAGCCCTTGTGTCAATCTCCTGCCAATGCGATCTGAATTTCCGAGTTCAAACTCAACATATTCGTCTCAGATTCCACCTTCAGTAATACTAGCGGAATGATGGCCGCAGCAGTTCAAATTCTCACGCAATAGTCTTGGCGCATGGTGACGTCACAATTAAGGACTATATCGATTTTTGCTCAGGCCAAAGATTCTACCAGTCTCGGATCGAAACCATCCTCCAATTGGTACAGAACAGATCCTTATTAGGGGTATTGCTTAGTTCTGGTTTGCACGAGTCATCCTATACACTTACTGGTAACAATACAGGTACTCCGGTCAAGTGCACTACGACAAGTAAGGGTATGTGGCAGCGCAAATGTTTCCGACGATATAGCCACCAGAACAAAAACAACACATGTATGTCGTTATGAGTGTGTCTAAAGACAATTTTCTTGGGTATTATGTCAAACCCAAGACTCCTCCATATCACCGAGAAGATCTTCAGACTGATAAAGGAGTGGCAGACACATCTTATACATCTTCCCTGTAGAGGAGACTCGGGAAAGCAAGAAGGGGACGAAGATGGCATGGGGGCTATTAGAGAATGAACGTTTTCTGGTTTGGAAACTTGTATTGAAACTTCTCAACCTTGATGGCCATACCATTTTAATAGTCTAATCATCATGGCAGTCAGTATAGTTTCAACCAAGCTGGCCCCAAGCATTGACCCTGATTGGTAAATGACATTGTCGATATAAAGACAAGATCCACAAGTGAAAGGTTGTATTTCTTCTCGTCAGAGTGAGATTAGAACTTGCAGTTTGAAGGCCGTTTTTCGTGGTATCGTGGTGGTTAGACACGGGGACATCAGCTTGGCAGGAGCACATGACCCAATTATAAAACGAGACATTCTAGTCTCTTGAAATTCTTTACAAGGCTTTGTTGTATAAACGTCTACTTAATCTAGGTCGTTGACTTTGATAAGATTAATTGGTAAATGTAAAGGATACTGCTTGATGTTCTGTCTCTGGTGTTCCACACGTCGATGTATTCCGTATCCTGATTCAAACAGAGGGATGACTTTCTAGCAGCAATTGATGGCGAAAAAGGAAAACATGGAAACTGCGGCAGTCATTCTCGTTTGGTGGCTGTGAGGCGCTTGAGTTAGTGAAAGGACCAACAAATCGAATGGGCATGCCAGGGTGGCATACATGCCTATAATAAACCCGTGTATCCATGCACTTCGTTCATATTACCGGATGAGAACATGGAATTCTTGTTAGAATTCAAATGCCCCATCGCGATCGACGGAACCAGCTTGGGGCACAGTTGACCCATAGTGGCTCATAATTATTATTGAGGCCCTAAAGGGTAGGTGTAGGAAATATATCCGATGGGTATCAGACGTCACGCTTGAGATGGTGTTGGGTTCAAGGCCGTCAACAGTATCCAGTCGATGACAAGCTTAACCTAGGGGTATACTCTGAAAGAAGAGGTGTGAACTCGTTTATTGTTATTGTTCATTTGTTTAACGTCTGTGAGAGGTGCCACAAAGCGGCCGCCCTGAACCACCCGAGGGGTATAGGACGTGACTAGCTAACTAGATGAGGATTACTTAAGCAGGTGACTAAAAGTAAGGCAAATCGTCCAGAATGCTACCAGACAATAACCTAAACTCCAATCCGATCTTTTGTGGGTAGTTGCAGTATGAGAATCGCAGTGACCCAGTCTCGGGAGAGAAATTCTGCCATGGCAAAGAAAACACAGGTTGCCACAACAAAGCACCTGCAATCCATGAGCCTTCATCGCGAGTAAGCAAGAAGCGTGGAAATACGATCAGGCCGATGCGATTTGTTCGAATCACCTTAGAAACTATGGGGCAACACTGTTGGTGAATATAACGTAGTGCATATCTGTAAGGCCACACTGGGCCATTGAACCATCAATCTCACGCAGTTGACGAGCCGTCACCAAGTAACAGTTTGACGGGCAGCGGGTTGGGCTAGGAGGCCAGATGGTGGAACCGTTTAAAGAGCCCGGCATCCACAATATCTAGGTTCCACACGGAAGCGGAGCGATCTAGGATCGACAGGGCCCGAGCAGAGACCCCAAGTTGTTCATTCGGGAGCCAATGTTCCAGGCCTGAGCGCAGGGTTTCATTTTGCAGCTCGTGCTTTGATACGCCAAGCAAAAGGTATACGTTGAAACGGCGCAAACGGTGAAGCTAGAAACAAGCAGGAAAGACGAGGTCTGAATGTGTGACTTTGTCCCTGGCTAAAAGAGCGCCAGGGGCGACACATAGGCTTGCAGAATCTTCAAGGACCAGGAAAGATTCTGACCTTGTGTAACAGAAGAAAACCAACAAAAGACCGTGTTGCTATAATTGTGCAATATTGGCTCTGCGAATATCTGCCGAGCCAAGTAGGGCTGAACACAGAAAATCGTCGTAAGCACTCTATTCAATATGCATTCTCGCGCGACAGGAACCACAAATTGCAATTAAGGCTTATTATAAATCTTCAATCCCATTTCCTTACCTTTTGCCGGGTCGGGATGTCGTGGTAATTCGCCGATGCATGAAATCAATACTTCGAAATTTCCTGGGGTTAAACTAGTCCAGATTAAGACGGGTGAATAGTCGAACCTGAAGCAGCGAAATGGGGCATGCCGGTAACTGGATCCTCCCGCCCAGCCAAACGTGGGTGGCTTGGATCCATCATGGATGCTTTCCGGTCTGCAAACGCTTCAGGCGACTCCGTTTCTCACTCGATTTTGTGTTCGTATTCACTAATCTTAGATGTTTGCATCTGCAAGGGCGATCTTTCTTGGCTTCCCTTACATGATACTACAAACCAAGCGCATTGTTACCAGGAGACCACATACATCGTAGTAAATAATAATGGTTATACATGTTCTATAGAAGTAAAGTCAGAAAGAAAAGGCGAACGTCTAGGTTTCTCCGGATAAAGTCCCAATGCTACTATTTCCACCCGATTTTCTGCGTTGGCTTTCCACCGGCGACCTGCAGATTCATAGCAAAGTTGCTACCGGGCAGTCTCTTGGGTTTAGCCGCTTCAAGTGAGCTGTCACCGTTACACATGTAACGCAAGATGCAATGGTCCCATAGCGCCCGGCCTAGCCAAGCGACCAGGCCATCCCAGGTAAATGGTTTACTCTGGCTGCACATCCTGACTACATGACGGTGTCGCTCGATGCCACACCGGGGAGCAAGTCTCTTTGCGCAAGGATTGCATGACTCTAGTCTGATCAAGATCAGCAAGCATTTTTCGGGGCCATGACAAGGAGAGTCTCTAGCAAGTTTGAAGTATGTAATCCAACTCCAAGGACAGCCCCAGCGTAGGTCCATACCTGCTGTTGGGAGCCGCCCTACTTGTCTTATACAAAACTCCCACGGTTCCGTCTGACCGTCAGGCAAGGCCAACCGGAAACAGTGTCTGTTCATTTTTCACCTTTGTTTTTGTTTGTCACTCGCTGTATGATTGGATCGCCTTGGTCCTGTCCTTTCGTTCGAGAACGTGCTACCGACCCTGGGGTTTATGCCGGCTATATTCACTTACTTTGGTCTACTGACCCTGTGCAACACGACGCTCTACGCGGCTGCCAATTTATTTTCCGATACACTTCTACTTTTGCAGCTTCCAGAAATTTATCGGCTATTCACTGCGACCTTATAATTACAGGTGGTTCGAGACCAAAGCCTCCACAGCGAGCTGGTTGCAAGCACCGTAGGATATATTCGACCAAGATCCTGCAGCGGGCCTGTCTGAGATCATCTTGCTGTCCTTGCATCCCGAATCACGGCGCAAGTTACTTTCCTATTCCCTTGGGAAGCTCGAATCCACCAGGGATCAACATATTGTTGTGCTGGCACTTTCAGCGAAACGGTGTTGTATTGAACGTCAAGCTTCAACAGAGCTCGTACCTCGCATCTTCTTTGTATTCCGCCTCGGAGGCTCTACCGATTGTTGTTCGGCCATCCCGGCCTTTTCACTAGGTGATTGCACTCTTCTTGCACATCGGACCTTCCGCCAATAAATTTCTTCTTAACATTGCTGCACTCCGAAGAGTTGGCACCCGAAAGTAGCCAAAAGTTTTCCATATTCGTTCGCTAGCATATTGTTCAGATATTCTGAGCCAAATTCGCGGGACCGCTTTGAGCCAGAGCTCCCTTCTAAGCAATCATTTCTTCCCTGAGCTTCCCACATTTCCAGACAGCAGTGCCGAACAACCTTCATGATGGTTGGCATTGATTTCTTCACGACCTGGCAGCTCTGGCAGCAAATGACCTTCGTAAGTTGTCTATCTTTGTCACATCTCTCCTATGACTAACACTGTCAAGGTCCTTGCCTGCGCAATTGTTCTCGTCTTCTTTGCAGGCTTAGGCAAACTGTGGTGGATTAATCGGTCGGTCCGGAAACATGAGTTGCTCGACGAAGAAAAGAAAGAGAGAATGACAGAGATACGAAAAACAGGTATCCCTGTCAAGAAGCGACCAGAAATTCCGTTTGGTGTGCGAGCTATCCAAAGTGGTATTGAGGTGGATGGCATCTGGATTTCCAGACCAGGCACACCAAACTCGCAAACACCTCTTGGAGCATCATTGCTTTCCTTGTCCGGGGCTGAAGGAAAGGGTAAAGCGAAGATCAACTACGACGTGGTTACGACCTCTCCACAGCACAGTCCTTCTTCGAGTATTTTTGAGACGAGCATATCACCGCCTAAATCGCCTGCTACAGGCCCACAGTCGACTTACAGACCCAAACACGTACCAAGACAATCATCAGCTCGAGCGAACGAAGCGCTGAATGCCGACGCATTGAGCAAGCCTGACGGTACCACAATCCCAAAGCCTGCTTTGCAAACCTACATACCAAGATCATCGTTTGCTATTATGCCCTCATCGTCGCAATCATCTACATCAGAACGCACATCTAGCTCATCAGATGAAGCATACGTCCCATTACGTCAGCCAAGCGCGCACATTCACGCCCGGAAAAACAGCTCGTTCCCCGAGCTCATGGACACTGAGCGGGAGGGATACTTTAGTACGCCAAAGACTTCCCCAACGGGTTCTCCCGAAAACCCTTTTGCAACACCGGAGGGCGGAAGAACAAGACAAGCAAGTGTTGCGTCGTCATTCCGACTTCCAACTGGCGTTCAAACTCCGGCTATGGCACCACCCGCACGCTCCTATTCTGGTGAAACGCACGTCAACCGAGCATCAAGGAGGGTAAATGCTGGCTTCGAGGTTCTTCCGGCTGGTACGTTTGGAGCAGAACTTTCGGCAAACGGTAGCGAGGTCGACTTGGAGAGCGGCGATACTTCCAAGGTCCAGTCGAGAAGTCGGTCAGTCATGGACCGGTTGCATAAGAAAACCACCAATCGATGAGAAGCTGAATTCGGGCAAACATTTGTGGTCGATATATGTCAATACCTGTACATATAATAATGCTGAATGGTCGGGGCTTTGATGTCTCTTTGTCGATCCTGTAATAGATATGCTATTATCGGAGCTATCTTCATAGTATGGGAATGACAGCATATAGGCGTTTGGGAAGTGGTAGGAAAAGGGGCTAGCATATTTGGGACCCAACCATACTGAGATTACATACTACAATTTTAATGTCATCATTTACCAAAATCATAACACTATCTCTCAGTACCGCGCCGTAGTGAGCTTTGCTATGGATGGTTATCAGTATGCAATTCTTGTAAATGTTGACTACATTCGACACAGGGCTCAACACTGTTGAACCCTGTTTGGATTATATGACCAAGGAAAAATAAACGATAGGCATCGAATATGCTTTTGTGTTATGTTGTGTTGTGTTCTGTATAGACACGATGAGCACAGCCAAGGACAAGGACATATACTGCTGGTATGCAATATTATGCAGCGGAGCATTCTAGTCTGACCAGATGCCCACCCCATTCTTGCTAGACACCTCGCCCATTATACAATAACGAACATCATAATTCTAATGAATGGGACTCTTGCCGTCCCTCTTACCCTCGGAATTTACTCTAAGCATATAGCTCGTCCGTGGTTATTAACCATAGTGGTCGCGAAATACCAACCGGCTGGTATAGAAGTTGAATCTTGAAGGTGAAAATGAGCACAGACCAAGAGCGTGCTATAGACTTCCTTTAATATGTAGTAAAATCCGGCGGGGGATATGTATAGCAAGAATGGGGCAGACTTCAGGACTTCATGAAAAGTTGCTGTGTCGGGGTCTAAGCTGCCGAAAATGGCACCTCAGGCCCACCATTTCTGGAACCCCAGAATACCCCCCAACGACAAGTACATCTTCGGTGGGACACATGTACTTCTCGAAGTTCATTTGACAAGCACAGTACGTTCAGTGTCCACATCACAAGGGCGCTGTGGCGCCAGAATCATGGACTCGGGTGTTCAGCAGCCAGAGAATAAGATGCAAGAGAGGAACAATATGTACTGAGGTCTGCCACGCTAGTCTAAATCTCTTTGTATGGTTGAAACTTTCTCTTCCGGGGCATGGGAGAAAGCCGCGGGCCCAGGAGTCATTTACTGGTTGATAGACTTGATGTTAGTTGTGCGTATTAAACTATTCTACGTACCCTCCGGACAAGTCGCAATCTTATCAAATACAAACCAAAGCAGATATACAATAACTTAGTAATAGCACGGCCACTTATGTATGGTTGCACAATCTATTAAGCTATGTAGGTAGTGCCACATCACCTTCGATCCCAGCTTGTTGTAGTTTCGGTACGTATCGTGGTCTTCTCAGTCCTCTTGGATTTTATGCTAAAAGTGTCCAACTGCGTGGTGATGGTGGTATCGGCTGCGTATGCCGTCACAAAGGATAATGAAAAGTAATTCAAGTGTTGTATATATTGTATATCATATTAAATATTTGTGAGAGTATGGGTGCGATTAATAAGTGATTGTTAGAATTGACAATAATCGTATGAGATAACAATCCTACAACGCCACGAACTGTAAAGTTGATTTGGGCTTGGAATATGTCTTGACTAGAAAACTATTCTAGGTCCAGATTGTGAGATCTTTCTATATAGCTGTCAGGACGCACAGCCCCAATATGAACAGAATTTTAGCCTACACTTGAGGCGGCGTCCAGGCTTGAGTATTTTGAGCTTCGTCGGCCTCTTGTTGGATCTGGTATAATGAGAGTGGGTTCAGGATTCGATACCGTCAGACAAATATTTTAGTATCGAGCCAGGACAGATCGGTGGAGCAGGTATCCAATCTAAATTTATTATTAATTCTCGACACTCATGTTGAAGAGCGACCTCTCTCCAGCGGGCTATAACTTCGTGATCAAAGGAAAAGTCCCAAGAGCTAGACCACATAAGCATCGCTACGGTATCAGATGGCCTTCGTTTACACCGGAAGATTGCAGCTTCTCCTCGACGCGCATTCCAAAGCTCCATGACTTGTAGTTTCGGCCACCACTCACAGTAGATAAACTCTATGGCTAGCAGTTCGCAGCCTCCTCACCTTGATAATTTATCACACAATACCTCATATTGTGAGGACTGTAACGTCCCGTGACCGGCCAGCTGATTTTGGTTCGCTGAATCTTTCTCAGATTCTGCCTAATGAGTACATTTGCTGACCACTTGCACTTTTGGTGGGTCGGCTGCCAAGCTAAAAATGAAACTCTAAATCATGCAAACGCACTATAATCTCCGCCGTCATTGGAGAAGCAGGTGTCATTGATAAGGATATGTATCGTCGATAAAAACAAGTTTGAGGCTCTCAAGGCTGATCGGGAACTACTAGTTAGTTAGTCCAGATACGGATTCATATTCATCGAAGAATCGACTAGCCGTTGCTATCGACAATGCGCAGATGAACTCTATCATGTTTTGCTAGTTAGCCGATCCCAGTCACGATCTTGAAGCATAGTGAGGTCGAAGAGTTGTGATGTGAAAAGAGATGGGTCTTTCTATGTAAGGGCCCGACAAAGATGAGGATATCTTGGACATTGATCAATTAATCATAAGCTTCATCTTCGGTCTTTAGGAACACATCTTCCTCACATCAAAGTCAACTCAAGTACAATGGTTGTCAATGACGTAACTTTTAGCCCCCAGTGTATTCGCTACGTCCATTCATGGTGGCACTAGTAAAGCCTTGTTCTTCCATGAGAAGGACATCCTGGGCCCATACGGGATGCCTTCCTCATCCGCGTGATAGGCTTTCCGGACCCGATCAGATCGACGGGACGACGCGTATCGTCACCTCCAAGCTTACCATTGCGCAACCCTCCAAAAGGCCAGATGCCGATGTTGACTTCAAGATTGAGTAACTGGTACCTGAAGCTTTGGGTTAAGTAATAGAGTGGGTCTACGAAAGAGGCGTCTACTTGAAGGATGTGAAGAGTCACATGTGTGAGGAATGGAGGAATCTGAAATCGGCATACTCGACCCCGACACGGGAATTTCAGCATTCGGATGAGCCTGATGGATGGATGGACGATGGCAGCAGTTTGAAACAGACGGAGCGATTACTAATTGAGTCCCGCTGTCCTGCCTAGAGTCATGTGACAGCGCTACTCAAGCGCGTGGCAACCTTCCAGGAGCACTTGTTTTCTTGGTGGGGTGCTCACCTAATGATTTAAATTGCCTCCAAGGCTCAAACGCGTCCGACGCGCTTCTGTCTTCCTGACCTGTGTAGTTACATGAGAAGCACTCCTCTTTACGCAGCTCTGGTTTCCTCTGACTCTTATCGTTATACAACTGAGCCTCAGGATTTTCCAGGTTCTTTGTAACTTTCCTTTCAGAATGGCCGAGGAGCACGACGAGATGCAGGGTGGAGAGGGCGATGAGAGTGACGTGACTGGGCCCGGTGCCCCGACGCCTCTCGGTGCTCTTGAGGTAAGTTGATCACTTTCTGTTGTTTTCAAAAGTCGGTCTTGGCTCACCCATCCGGCCAGGGCGTTGCAGGTCTTACCAAACGTGATATTCAATTAGTCACAGATGGTGGCTACCAAACCGTGGAAGCTGTCGCTTACACCCCGAGAAGAGTTCTGGAGCAGATCAAGGGCATCTCTGAGCAAAAGGCTGCCAAGATCTTGGCCGAGGGTAAGCACAATCAGAAGGTCTCTACTTGAAGTAACGCGACTGACTCATCCTGCAGCCTCGAAATTGGTTCCCATGGGTTTCACAACAGCCACTGAGATGCACCAGAGAAGAAGTGAGCTCATCTCCATCACAACTGGATCTAAGAATCTCGACACTCTTTTGGCCGGTGGTATCGAGACTGGTTCAGTCACTGAGCTGTTTGGTGAATTCAGAACCGGCAAAAGTCAGCTTTGCCACACTTTGGCCGTAACATGCCAACTGCCCTTCGATATGGGTGGTGGCGAGGGCAAATGCCTTTACATTGACACTGAGGGCACTTTCCGGCCGGTTCGCCTTCTTGCAGCGGCAAATCGATACGGTCTGTCTGGGGAGGAAGTCCTCGACAATGTTGCATATGCCCGTGCGTACAATTCGGATCATCAACTGCAACTCCTCAACCAGGCCTCGGCTATGATGTGCGAGACCAGATTCTCCTTGTTGATCGTCGACAGTGCAACTGCGCTGTACCGAACAGATTTCTTGGGACGTGGAGAGCTGTCGTCACGTCAAACCCATCTTGCCAAGTTTATGCGTACACTGCAGAGACTTGCGGATGAGTTTGGTATTGCTGTGGTCATCACAAACCAGGTCGTGGCCCAGGTCGATGGTGGGCCAAGCTCCATGTTCAACCCCGACCCGAAAAAGCCCATCGGTGGAAACATCATTGCGCACGCAAGCACTACGAGAATTAGTTTCAAGAAGGGCCGAGGCGAGACTCGTATTGCCAAGATCTACGACAGCCCTTGTCTGCCAGAAAGCGATTGCCTCTTTGCCATCAACGAGGATGGTATTGGCGACCCATCGCCAAAGGACATGGAGAAGATGAACCAATGATCAGGTGTCACGTCTGCCTTGCCGAGTGACGAGGAAACGAAGGAAAGATAATGAAGGAATGATGGGTGCTGAGCTGGGGATCACTTGCATGGCTTTGGCGTTTGGAATGGCTACTAGTGCAGATTATTCTTTGCTTTTGGTTTTAATGTAGTCTACATACATGGTATGAACCTCGCGTCGTGTAAGAATCGATTTACTGGAATTTCAAGTTTGACACCTGAATGACAGTCCGTAACCACGTGGAATGGGAACTGAAATACTTGCTTTTTTGTTGTTATTTCATATGTTATGTCTTCATGGACAAAGGTTTCGACCTGGGGAAGACTGGCGGAAGGTGGATGGACTGACCTGCAAGTGCCCGGCAGCTGCCCAGCCGCGCCCACCTCTGCACCTGACGCTCACTGTGCTCACCGGCTCACTGGCAAGCTACCCAGCCTAACAATAACACGGATCCGCAAGGTGAGCTAAGCTAGGGAAGTTAAGGTGCAAGTATTCGACTGCTTTGCTCTTCACCCATGCTCAGTCAATTGGATGGATGCAAGCTTGCAGACCCGCGTGCCAAATAATTTCAAAGACCGCGTCCCGACAATCGCAAAACAGCATCGACCTGCACCCCGTTTCCGCGCGACCTCAGCGCAGCCTAGATGGGCTCACCATGGCTCCTAGAGACTCCTTGTACCTGCACAAGGAAACTAGACTGAACCTCGAGCCCTCATCGCCCGCCCTCGTTGTCGACCTCAAGCTTGGGACCCAAAACGCCCGCCCCGCAAAGCGAGCCAAGAGCAGTGACGAGGACGGAGGACTCTTTCGCACCAGGAACTGTGCTACCTCGTCTTCAGTGTACCACAGAAGACACCATGCCGAACCGAGGAGCTTCCTATGGCGGATCCTCGACGCGAACACCTTGCTGAGCATTCGCTGCATTGATGTCTGCAAGACCAAGAAAGCCCCCGATGCGAATCTGGTCCTCAACCTCCGCTTCTCTTCCTCTATCCGCCCTTCGTGTGTTGCTCTTTCCGATCCTCGGGATCACGATGCGCTTAGCGTCTTCGTCGTCGACCAGTCCAACCAGCTACACACCATCACCTTGAAGCCCGAGCATTTCCGCAAGCGCTCAACCGCCGAGATCTCGGATGCTTGCAGGACACAGCCAATTCAAGCTTTGGGGTTCAAGGTCGCACATCGCCTGGTGGCTGCCGACGACAATCTGCTCGTGGTGACTACCCACGATGGTGGTATTGTCCGGCTGGACAGGAACAAGATCCACGACGGTAGGTTCATGTTTACATCCTTGGGCCCGCACCGAAAGCTGACAAGCCTTTAGCATCACATCAAACATGGAAGGAGACACAGTATGGCTCGAAAGGTTGGGGCCAGAGCTTCAGAGGCTTTCTGAAGGGCAGTCACTCAGTCAGACACAACAATACTGACATGGACTTGAACGCTGCTGCATCAGTGGCTACCACCGACCTTGGCCAACACGATGCCTCATTTCTCCTTACCGTCTGCTTGGATCATCGCTTGAGGGTCTGGAACCTCCAGACTGGGCAAATCCTCAATACCCAAGACATACTTGAGGCAGAACGCAATCCGCAAGAAATAGGCAAGTGGACCATAGATCCATCACAGACCAACCTTGTCAAGGTCGTTGGCGCAACAGAAGGGAAACGCCTCTGTGTCACGTACTCTCCAATAGGCGCCGGAGAATTCAAGTTTTGGAAGTTAGAAGCCGACGCAAACGAAGGGGGCATGACCATCGACTCGTTCTTCAAGGGCTCACAGCTGGTACCGCCTCCACCTCCAGGCACTGATGCTTGGACGTTGGTGGACTTCACCGTTGCGCAGGACGGTCCAACAGGTACGCAACTGTGGGTCCTGTGGAAAAACAACATGACGTATCGGGCACAGCATGTATCGTTCGCTCCCGAGGAAGTAGACGAAGCATGGCGAGATAGGTGGACTGGAGTATACTATGATAACTCAAATCCCACACCGCAGACGTCCAATGCCTGCGACCCCACCGATCCTACAGAAAAGTGGTTAGAGCTGATATTATATCCTGGTCGATTTACAAACGCGACTCTTGAGACTGCTCTAACGATATATGAGCAAGGCCTGGGTCTTGCAAAGGACTCTGCCGCCCGGACTAGCAAAGGTCTGGCTGAAGCTATCTGCTCTGTCATTGGTGCCACTTCTTCGTTAGAGCGGAGCTCTTCTGCTTCTGGTAGTATGGACTACGAGGGCTTTCGGAGTGCAAGTGAATTGCAGTGGCGCCGCTTCTATCGGCTTCTTATCGAGTTGGACAAACAGCGGGGTGAGGCATTGTCATTGTCGTATGAACCCACGTCTGGCTTGTCGTGGGTGGTTTGTGCGGATAGCTTGTCTTCGATTAGGGAATGCAGCCAGCTTGAGCAGATCTGCCACAACCCAGCAGTGCGCCACGAGGGCCTGGAGGACTCCACCCTGCTGATATCTACCGCACTCAACTTTGTTGATGTATTTTCGGACAGTATGCTGCAGATCTGCAACGCCGTCTTGCGCTCAGAATTGCTCGAGGACTCTGCGAAGACGGACGACGAGCGGATTCAATATTTCTCCGACAAGGCCGCCTTTTGGCGACAAACTTCCGACGAGGATTGCGCTCAAGTCACGGATGCTTTAGGCCAGAATTTTGCACTCGTGACTATGGAGCTTTATCAGAAAACTACGGACTTGATGAAGGCAACGGAGGACTCGCAACGAGAACATCGGTATCCCTTGACCGATTTTGGACGAAAATTAGCCGTCAAGGCAATCCAAGAACTTGTTGAGTTTCAATGGAATGTCTGCTTCAGCCAGCTCATTCTTCTCGTCCATATGGAGTTTGAATTTGATAGTCCCGAGGACGCTCTCCACAATAGATTGGACATCGGTACGGTCTACCGATATCTCATCACATGTCTACGAAGACTAGAGCTCATTCGATGGCTGGTCAAGACGCAGCTTCCTGTCCCAATACATAACGCAGATAAGTCCGAGCCCGCTTCGCCTGCGATCACAAAGCGCCAAACGGAAGAAACTCAGACAATTACTGCATTTGAAGGATTGGCCGGATACCTCCTGGGCACTGCCGAGGTCGATGATCTCCCGGCAGCGATTACAGGGATTGCCTCTAACCTGCTGGCAGAGAACAGTGACACATCGCTGCTTCCCCAGTATTTCCAGTGCGCGTTCTTGGTTCAAAACAGACCCGATCTAGCCGCCGAGTTAAGCCCATTCTCGGAACAAGATCCTTTCTCCACATATGTTCAAGGACGTGTATATCTCAGTCTGAAAGATTTCGCCAATGCAGCCATGTATTTCAGGAAGGCAGCATTTGGTCTGAGTAAGTGGTCTTTTGTTGGTTTCATATCGCAAAGCTAATCTGGTCACAGGCCGTCCCGTCAAGAACCCTGATAGGCACAGCAGTGGTCTCCTCAATGATGTTGAATGGAGGCTGTTCTACGCCGGCATGCCGCAGTATTACGCCCACATCGTCTCACTTTTTGAGAAGCAGAGGGCACACTCGTACGTGGTGGAGTTCGCGGGAATCGCCCTACAATTTATAAACCATACAACCAAAGACGCTGCTGCAATACGGACAGAGATGCAAAGTCGTCTGTTCAGTGGTGCGGTCAGCATCTCCGACTTCAGGCTTGCGCACACAACGCTAGTGGCTATGATGGACCACGCCCTGCAGCGTTCGTTGCTCAGGACACTCATTGAGAAGATGTGTGATGGTCTGCACAACTCGGAGCTTGTCGAGCTGCCATTCCCGAATCTCGAGAACGCCGTCGACGATATTCTCGCCCAGCGTTGTCGAGATACAGTCGACGTCATGACCGACAAGCCCTGGCATCAGATCCTCTACTCATGGCGCATCAAGCGCAACGACTACCGCGGAGCAGCGGCTATTCTGCTTGACCGTATACACAAACTTCGTTCGCGAGCCGACGCAGACGACGTCGTTGGGGAGGATGTCTTGGACACTGTCATCACGAGGCAGTACCTAATGCTGATCAACACGTTGAGCTGCGTAGACGAGAAGCAAGCCTGGATCACGACCGAAGCGTCGTCGGATGGCGAGACCAACGGTGCATCGCGATCGTTTGGGGGACCGGGAAAGAGGAAGGTTGTTACACTGGCAGATATCAGACGTCAATACCAGGACGAGCTCGACCGGATCTCTGCCATTAGCGGCGACCAGTGGCCGCTCGTACCTGCAGATGGCGAGGAGATGGACCTGGAAGCTTGAGGTTGGAGAAAAGGGTTTCAAGGGCTTTCATGTAAGAGTAAAATGATACCAAAAGACCTTTTTTTGCGAAAGACGGCGTGGTGATTTGGATTTTATTGATTTCATTGATTTTCTTTTTGCGTCAGGCGAACGGAAAGGCGACAGGAACGGCTGGAAAATTACATTGATGATTGATTTCTGGACTAGACAAAGTCCGTCCCTATAAAAACGTGCCTTTGCTCTCTATTAACCGTAAACGCCGTGCCAACCAATGCTGTCCATCTTAATCACGAACTGCTGTGGTCAAGTAAATATCTACAATTCGTTGTGACCAGCTGAAGAACAACTACTACTGCCCACGCCGCCGCCGTCGCGGTCTCTGTGATGCCGGTATCTTGCCGGCGCTAAGCGAGCGGGCGACTTGCCCTTCTGAAGCTGGTGGTGTCGCCTGGCGATCTCGTCTGCCTCTTCCTCCCAGGGATTGTGACTTGCACTCGAATCCGAGTTCGCATTCGAGTGGGAGTTGGGGTCCGAGATCTGACTCTCCGTCACTGTATCAGCCGCGGTTGAGGGCGCCTCTACCATGCCATCAACAGAGCCCGGAGAAACTGCTTCTCGCCATTGATGGATGCTTGTCGGAGGAGCCGTCAGCCTCAGTCGCTCGCCGGTTGTCTCCTAGCTCTCAACGGGCAGCTGCTTGTGCACTGATGGTTCGGGCACGGACTGGATCAAGGGCTGGTTGTTCGCGGCGTCAGGTGCTTGGCGGAACAGGATGATCTCGGACTGTTTGAAGTAGCGGCGTGCGTCCTCGTCGATGAGAACTAGAGATAAGTAGTAACGGGTGGAGAACTTCTTGTTGACGTCGCGGAATGTCGGTGTCAAGTCAAAACCACCCAGGAAGAGGCGGATGGGAATGGTCTCACCGCGGGATGGGGAGCCGTCCATGATCTATTTTGTGATTAGCCTTGAAATCCGGCCGAACAGGTGGGCTGTCGGGCCCTCGCCAGGCATACCTCAAACCGTACAAGCGTCTCACTCTCGTTGTACTGATTCGGCGCGGCACCGGTGGTCTCGCGCCGGATGATGCTCAGCTCCATGTGCTTGATCTTGAGCCGCACCAACAAGAAGTAGATACGTCCGACGATGACGTCTTTCAGGTGGTACTTGCTTTTGCTGTACTCGAACTCGATGTGGAGGCAGTCCTCAATGCCGACGTCCATCTTGATGCTGCTGTTCATCTCGGGGGGGATGCGATAACTGTAGACCCAGATATCCTTCTCGCGAATGACATCGGCCATGCGCCGGGACACTGTGACCCTCACGAAGTAGCGGAGCTTGACGTTGATACCGTTGTAGGACTCGTACTGCTTCTCCACGTTTTTGAAGTTGAAGTCGAAGGTCTGAGGGTGTTGGAGCTCGCCTGGGGCGGCGAGCTCCTGGTTGAGTGTGAGAAATTCGTAGTGATTGCCGCGGTCAAAGAACATTTCTGGAGTTGTATGTCAGCCAGGGGGGACGGAGACAGGTCCACGCAGAATGCAGCGTTATGTTATGATATAGTATAGTATAGCATACAGCTTGCGTCATCAGGCGCGGCGCAGAGGGGTATGCGTGTAGTCTAGAAGCAGCACTCGGGTTAGAAAGAGCATCGCGTACCTATGGTGCCAATGAATTGGACCTTGATGCCCGTGTGCTCTAATCTCTTGCCATCCTTTGGCCTTACTGTGACGGCGCCCCTGACGGATTCGCCGTCCATGTATAGAGGGGCCTTCTCTCTGCGGTTCTTGTCGAGCTTGACGTCGACCATCTGGCGGTCGTCTGCATCTTCCAGGACAACGTCGATGTCGACGGGGGTGGAGAAGAAGTAGGACATGCTAGGCGACAAGTATAGCCGGCAATTGGGACGTTCGAAGTCGACGGCGACGGCGTGAGTCGGGAAGTGTGTTTGGGGGAAGCTCGGCTTAGCTTGGTTGCGACACACGAATGATAGCGGGATGCTCGCCTGGGGCAAGCTGTACGGATTGCGGATGGGATTACAGTAGCGGGTGCGGAGACGGGCACGGGATGGGATGGGATGGGATGCGGCGCGGTAACGGCTCAGCTCAATTCAGTTTGTTCAGTTCAGTTCAGTTCAGTCCAGTTCAGTTCAATTACTGAAGCCTAATAATAAGTCCGAGGCTGGCCTAGAGCCTGCGTGCCTACTATGTACTAAGCCTGACAGCCTGGGGAGTGAATGGAGGAATGAATTGAATGGGTGGATCGACCGAAAGGGAAAAGTGAGAGTGCATGTGGGTAGTCTAGTACTCTTCAGTGAGCAGCCAATGAGAAGATACTATACGGTAGTACGTACAGTGGACGCAGAGATGATCAACAAGTTCAAATGATTTATCCGCAATCTTTGATAGATAGATAAAGAAGACAGATTATGATATGTCTTATAATAGAGGAGTCAAAATAACAACAAAAGATAATACACAAGCTTCGACCCACTCATCTCGCTACCTACCCAACGTACAGTTTTGTAATACTCAGCTCGAAAAAGTAGGGGAAGAGGTCGGGTCTATCAATCATGACGATGTCCTTCTCCCCCACTGCAGTTAGCCAAGTTGGTCCAAGCGGCGGATTGACTGACTGCCTTTCCCATTGAGTGCATGTGGACCCTCACATCCTGTGGCTGGTCGCTATCGATAAGCCCAGTCAAGCCACTTTTGGCCGGGTCAGCCACGGCTTCTTTTCTCCCTTTCCCCTTCGCCGTAGGGTTTCTACGCACAATCAATTTCGAGCTCAAATTTTGAGACGATTCAGCCAAGGTAAGGAACTTCGGAAAAGTTCGAACTCACATCACCGCATCGCCAATCCTTCAGGTACGGATACCCCATCCGACGACACGACACGAATCTATCGCAGACAAACTGCCTCGCGTCCAATTTTCTTGTCATCAATTAATTGCGACAAATTACTGACATTCGGTCGGCTTACAGGTCGATATCCCAATCAAAACCCCACCTGAGGAACATCCGACAAGATGCGTTACATTCACACCGAGGAGACCTTGGAGGTGCCTGAGGGCGGTATGTCGCTCACTTTCATTTACCGGCGCCCTTGATTTCCATCCTGCTGCTTGGTCTGGTTGCTGGCAGGGTCGGGCGGAGAACGCTGAAGCAAGAAGAGAGAAAAAAAGAGAAAAATATTCGACATTCGCTGTCGTGTATCCAGAGGAGGCCCGCAGGGCCAAGCAGAACAAGCCAACGAGGCGCGCAACAAGACTCGAAACAAACTTGCTGACTTGTCGTGTCCAACAGTCTCCGTCCAGATCAAGGCCCGCAAGGTCACCGTCACCGGTCCCCGTGGCAAGCTGTCCAAGGATCTGTCCCACTTGGCAGTCAACTTCTCCCACCCCAAGACGAACGTGATCGGAATAGAAATCCACCACGGCAACCGCAAGAACGTCGCCGCCCTCCGCACTGTCCGTTCCCTCATCAACAACTTGATCATCGGTGTCACCAAGGGCTTCAAGTACAAGATGCGCTACGTCTACGCCCATTTCCCCATCAACGTGAACATCGACAAGAACTCCGAGACCGACCAGTACGAGGTCGAGATCCGTAACTTCATCGGCGAGAAGCTCGTCCGCAGAGTCGTCATGCGCTCCGGTGTCGACGTCGAGGTCTCCACCGCCCAGAAGGACGAGCTCGTCCTGTCCGGCAACTCCCTGGAGGATGTCTCGCAAAGTGCCGCCGATATCCAGCAGATCTGCAAGGTGCGCAACAAGGATATCCGTAAGGTATGTTTTGAATACAAATCCCCCGTAACCCCACCCTCAGCCTCCAGTAATCTCACAACTTTTCACAGTTCTTGGACGGTATGTACGTGTCCGAGAAGGGCAACATCGTCGACGAGGCTTAAATGGAATGAATATGGATGGATGTCACGGTTTCTTTGCTGCTTTCTGGGTCTCAATAAGGAGTGACCGGGGTTCATACATTGCATCAGGTTGTAGCGAATATGGCTACGCAAAATGAGAGAACTCTTTCCGAAGCAAAACAAACAAAAACACCCTTGGTCTTGCGCGACAAATGTGCTCATTGCTTCCATTCGATTGGAACCAAACCAAACCAACTTTTGGAGGTCTAGCGGGCGTGCCAGGCGTACAGGGAGAGCTGCCATGTCCAAACTCTTCGAGCCTTGAATAAAAATTACTAATCTCAGCCTGTGGTGTCTCAATCGTGCCAGTCGTTCTGAGGTGAAGTCATTCCCGTGGTTTGTCGATACGCTCTCACGGTAATGAGAAAACTAGTTGCTGGTGGCATTCGGTTATCCCTCGTGCCACCTACGCGCGGGGGAAAAAAAAAAAAGAAGTATATTCTGTGGACATACATTTGCAAACCTGGCTGGGCAACCTCTGATTTTGTTGGAAGCCTTCTTGCAACTAACCACTCTTGGGTTATGGCGCAATAACGAACAATTTGTAGATCGGCAACATCCCAGCGATGACTTTATTACTTCTGATGATGCTCAACACATGATGATAATCAATCATTCCGTTTTGGCCTGTCGGGAATGCCTTGTTAACAATTCAAACGTAAAGAGGGTATGTTCAACTCTCAGAGATCAAGACTCCAGCAGGGCAGCCTTGTGGTGGCAAAAACAATCCAGTGTAAGGTTGTTGTTGTTGACCAACTTCTAGATGCCCATATGGACCTCTGTGGGCTTCGCATCAAAGGTAGGCGATACGTCGGAAGATAACAAATTACTTAGTCAAGCCACAAGCCCTCGATTCGACATTTCAGCGGCAGATATAGAGGAAAGTGAATCCTTCCTGCCTGTATAGATTTTCAGCTTCGGAACAATCCACGAGACGTTCCTTTGTTATTTTTGAGGAAGAAAGAAAGGAAGAAAGGAAGGGCTTCCCTGTCATTCGCGCCTTGAATATAATAATATTCGTATGCAAACGCGAATCTGATAAACATAGATCGCAGCTTCAACGAAGTCTCAAGCATCTTCATAAATGGCATCTCTGTCTCAGCAGATCGCAATAACAGGACGACACATGCCACGTTAGCCACTATGACAGCGTGGGCTTTCAAAGTAGATCTCTCTCAAGCTTTGGTGAGATTTCTGAACAAGATAAGCATCGCCCTTCTCCCCCCCTAGTTCTCGGTAGACCACGACGGGTTCACGTCGATCTCAAATGTCGCCATAGTGCTCGAATCTCCGTGCCACGAGGAGAATTTTCTTCAAGTTTTCCAATATGGCTGACTGAAAGCTATTACTCGAATCGTGTTTGTGGAACCCAGAGCATGTCAGTAGCCTCCTTTTCATATTAGCATGTCCTGTCCACTCGTCCTGTCCACTCGCGAAGCTACGCTTGACTCTGTCTCGTGTGCACAGATGATTTAGGAAGATCAGAAGGCGAATTCCCACTTCCAGATGCGAAATATGATGTACTTCATGACCATACCATCTCTGCTCCGAATGGCACATGGTTTGCACCGGTTCTCGAAATGCCCATGAGGATTATGCGAAGCTAATATATACGCAACTATGCTATTTTGGTAAGTATATGATAAGATTTTTATTGTCTGTTCATCTTCCTGATCTTATGACGAACCATGCTCTTTTAGCGACCTGTCAAGGGGGTTCGCCGAACAAGAGCCACGGAGGCCATGAACAGAATCAATCTTCCCCAGCGATCAGAAACTTCTGCTAGATATTGCTTAGAAACCACTCCACCACCCGTGGCTTCTTATGACTGATGCCTTGACTGGGATGTCACCAGCAATGATTATACTTGTGGCCTATCTCTCCTTGGAGCTGAATCGTTGGGCAGGCAAGATGACGCTCGTCTGGATAGGAAGCGGAGATAGGCATATGGTGCGATTCGGTGTTGACGGTGATAAAACATCAGGAAGAAATCAAGGGGCAAGAAAAAAAGGAATATACATAAAGGAAGTCGTTGCGGCATCGGCTGACTTAATTGTTACCGGCAAAGGTTTCTGGGGGACTCAATCGCAGATGAAACCTATATGACCCATCGGCTCCTTGCGGAAGAAGCTCGAGAATCTTCGACGTCAAGGAACGTACCCTTGGAAGAATATCTTGCTTTCTCGTCAGCACTGGAGATGTCACCGCTGATAATGTAGTCTAAGGGCAGTCCAGTGTGTGTTTCGCCGCTCCTCGTTCTGGCAGTTGTTACCGGTATAGTCGCCAGCGTCAATCTTGTGCCATTCGCCGCAAGAGCAACGGATCTTTCCGTGTTCATGTCCTGCGGTGGTTTAGACGGGAACTCAGCTGAAGTCATGCCGGCGCTGTCTTTGCCAATGCTCGCGCTGCCATGTTGAAAGATCTGTGGAAGCGGTCCAACATACGACTCCCAGTTCAGACTAATTGCATGGAATTTTGCGAGAGACGGGCGTAGCACTATGTGATGGAGGATGGATAGTCTTGGAGACGGCTTAAGTATTTGTGAAGCGGGTAGTCCGTGATATATTGTGGGTATTGGTTTCGAAAAGTGGCTAAGGCTATGTGTGTACAAGGATTTGCAGCGCGTTCGAGTCTCATGTGCTGATATCTACGAGATACGCTGGCTGAGTGTCTACAATGTGTGCCACAGCTGCATCTATATGCTCATGATCATAGAAGTCTCTTCTGGATAGTAGGATAGGCTGGGGCACTATATTTGATGTACTTGCGACGCTTGCTTTTGTGACCACGAAGTATTGTCATTAACTTCAAATTGCTCGAGCTGAATGTGTTGAACCATCAGTCCATTGCTGTAAGGCAGAGCTCAGTCCAAACGACAAATCCTGCTTGCACAATAAGCATTTTATAAGGAGACAATGTTTGCATTGGCTCACGGACTACCACTGGCGAGGTCGACGCTATTTTTATAAAGCCAAATTTAATGAAGACATTGGGTGTGATCGAAATCGTGACAAAGTTGAATGAGAACCCCGAAATCAAGAACTCTTTGATTATATTCGTCTCTCCGTATATAGCCACCTGGTTGCCTTTATCAGGGTGTCTCTATATCCAGTGCTCCCCTCATTAACATCGTCTTCGCTTCTCAAAACTCCACACAATGAACCCACATCTCATCAACATCGGTACTTCTTTGCCATGCTGTCATATCGTATCCTGATTCATTCCAATTTTCGTGCCATCCATCGCAAAATACAAGTCGTAAAATTTCTCTATGATTGAATCGAAGAGCCGTAAAAACGAATAAAAAAAAATAAAAAGATTTGTCCCCCGACGCCGCTGTTGTGCTGAATGCGTGCATGTAGCGGTTATTGACAATGGGTATGCTTATGAACAATCTAGTGGGTATGGTTTATATGTAGACGGGATCAGGATCTTCTCGTATGTCTGGTATGCGAGGTTCTTCTTGATGCCCTCGTTCCCTGAGAATGTCTAGATCGTCGTGTCTCTCGTGTCCTCCTATCTGAGCTTGCGCTACCTGAAGACCTTTGTTAGTGGCTAACTTCCAGACAGTGTATGTTCAGATAAAAACTTACTAGGACTGCTCGCGGTGAAGGAGTCCGTGTAGTATGAGCTGCTCCAGTCACTCCTAGGAGGCTTTTGGCTGCCCTCCTTCTTCTTGTCACCCCTTCTGAGTCCCAGGAGCAATAAGGCTGCTCCACCGGCAGCGGCCAGCCAGCCTGCTCCGCTCTTCTTCTCATTCCTAGAAGCAGCGGTCGACGGTCGACCACCACCGCCGCCTCCGAACCAGGTACGGTGCGCCGGTCGAGCGGCTGCTGCTGCCCCATGAGCGCTTCCATGGCGTGAGTACCGCTCTTCGATGATCTCGGTACGCTCAGTCTTGTGCTTATCCTTACCACCGATACCGAAAATAGCGAGAACTGTGGCCCATAAGCCACGAATAATGCAGCAAATGCACAGTAGTAGCAGCAAGATCACACCAGCAATGGTTCCCACCACGATGCCGGCAATGGCTCCTCCGCTCAGAGAGCTGCTTGTCGTGGTTCCCACGGCAGCTCCGCCAGTGCTAGTTGCAGTGATGCTCGCGGCTGTACCTGTTGTCGTCGCTGTTGTTACAGTGCCAGTTCCTGTAACTCTGTAGGGTGCAGAGAAAGCCGTTGTCACGACACCAACGGTCGCCACCGTCGTTCCGGTTGTCCAGGTTCCAGCGTTGGAATTGGCTGAGCATTGGCCCTGGTAAGCACAATATTGCCAGCTCGCGCAACAAATGGTTCCGCAGGCAATTTGACCGGATCCAGAAGGCGGCACGCAATCCTCACCGTCGGACCCACTGGATGCAGGCGTTGTTGCTCCTGCGACGTATGAGCTCCAGGTGCTCGTATATGTGCGCGTTTCCGTCCAAGTTGTTGTATAGCCCTCGTAACCGCTACCGCTACCTGCGGTGCAAGCTGCTACATTGTTGGCTGTAACACATACTTGGTCGGAGGAGCAGCAAAACTGATCATCAACGCCGCAATAGGAGGCACACGAGCGGTCCATGAGATATCCAAATCCCACATCGCGCAGGCTGTCACGGGGGAATGGACTGGCTGATGTGAGACTCGCAAGAAGCAGGCCGAGAAAGGCCGACGGAGGAGCCCGGAGAAGTCGCATTGTGAGAATGAGACTCTGGCCCTCGGTTTTGACTAGAGGTGTTGGTGGGGGTTGGTCGGAATGTGTGTGGAATGCGCTTATCCGCAAAGTCGAGAAACAATGCGACAAATGCAATCCGACTCAACCTCTTGGGTATAGAGCTCCGGGCAGGAATGCCGAAGCTCTGTGGTGCGGTTATTGGGTGGCTATGGTGGTGATGGAATTGAAACCGCCCGCTCCGCAACCTTAAAGTCGAAGTCCTAAGAGATGCGTGACTTGCACCGTTGTGAGGTTAGTGTTGGTGTAAGTAGCTGGGCGACAAAACTTTAAAGATAACTAAGTCAATGATGCGGATAGTGAGAAAAGGGTGTTTGAGTCGGAACGGAATTGCATGAGACCTTTTCTTCTTCTTTCCTTTTTTTTCACAGGGAAGATGACTACTGCAGGTCTTGCGGATTAGGTTGCTTTGATGTGGGATTTTCTTCGCGGCTGGTGTGTACTCCCAACCTCCCAAGTTCTGGTTGTGCGCAAAAAGTCGCGGGGTCGGGAAGCTTCAACTGGCTTGGTGTCATGGGCGGCACTTACAGTGGTGAGGAATCCGAGGAGGTTGGTAGGCAGGGGCTGTGTTTCAAGGCTGTTCTTTCTGGTTTGTCAATCAGCTTCTAGAAAAGTTCAAGTCTCTACAACATTCAGGGGGAAGACTTCTCTTTGGCTTTTCAAGTTTCTCTCCAGTCGTCCGTCAAAACATGGCACACGATTGAAGACCAGATGCGAATGGTACCTGATCGGCTGACAGCGGATTGTGTGAGTTGGCAGCGCGGCAGCTGCATTAAGGTAGACGCTAGTAATCTAAGGTTAGATCCCAGATTCAAGTTGCACTCAATGTTGACGGGGCGACGGGGCAACCACTAATTACATACTGTACGTAGTACATATGAGGAGTCAACTAGTTGTACATGTCATCACCGACATATCAGTTCCCCGTAGCCTGGCCAAGCTGTTACATTTACGATACAATCTCGCGCCTCGGGTGCTCTCGCAGAGTTGTGCACATCGCCTGGATTTCTTCAAAGGTTCACCAAAGTTTGAACCGGCATGAATGCTAGAAATGTATCCTGACTCTTTGGAGCGTGACTGTACTGCGACCAGTGATGACGGTGATCAGGGTATCCTTTCGTCTCTTCATCAAGCACACAAGATGGCATAGCAAGAAGAAACAATTCAATCGATTAATGGTACTAGGTTAGGCAACACCCATCTCCAAAACTAGTTGGCGCGTCGCTCTTCTCAGGATATAATAAGAAACGAAGGGCTACAACACATAGTTTTTCTTATGGTCAGGGCGTCATGAAATGATGTCACTCTATGGTAAGAGATTGAGCATGCCTTGAGCCTGTTTCACCGCCCATGTTGGCAAGATGATTATTAATTGCATGAGAATATGGGAACGTGAATATTCATGTCTCGTTCTGCTTAAGATAACTTCTAGACTGCATTTTCAGTTCAATTTCATAACCATTAAAGGTCAGCTCGTGACTTGGCATAGGTGGCATTCGAATGTCTGGGTATAGCTGTTAGTGTTTGGTGCAACAATATCTAACCTAAGAGGCATCTAAATGGGAACGAGCAATACGGCGCTGCTTCGTATGTCGCATCAATTGCAGCTTCTTGATGCAGAGTACTCCTGTCATATACTACCTCTGTACAAAGCGGTTGAGTGCAATTGAGTTGTGCCAATTACTTTGGCGTTTTGGTGTGCGCTGGCTGTGATGGACCTCCCCGTCCTATCATTTGTGGCATCCCATAGCTCGTGTCATTTGACTATGAAGCAAATCTGTCATGACCTTCTTCAAATAAATGATATCCAGTGGGCAGAGAGTTGCACACGTCTTTGTTCTCGATTGACCAGTTCCAATTTATATCCGTACACACTTTCGAAGCTTGGGCTCCTAACCCCACTAATTGTCACGCCTCGAGTGCGGGCGGCTCAATTAGAGGCAGGCTGCCTTGAACCGGAGGAGACCTGAGACCTTGGACCCAAGACCTTGGGACCTTTGGCCTTGGACGTTTGGACCTCTGGATTTTGGACCTGAGCTTTCGGAGACAAGCAAGCTGCGACTAGACTACCTACTTCCGTACTTCGTGTGAGCTCCTTCGTCATCGCATTCCGCCTCCAATAGCTTCCTGCACAATACACCGCACAACCCTTTACTCGCAACCCACCTAACGAACCTGTATCGGAAGGGACAGGGCCAACTATCATGTCGCTCGATCCTCCCCCTTATCTGGGTTCGCTTCAAAACAATATTCGCCAGCGACCCATTCCATGGGACGGCGCAGTCAGGGCCAACACTCTCAACGAGGGACAACTGGCCAAGATCAGAGCTGTCGATAAGGTCAGGAAAGAGCAAAGAAAGGAAGTCGTCGAGCGCGACCTCGATGGCTACCGCGTATTGTTCGTGGGCGGCGATGGCAGTCCCAGCGTGCTCGAGTCTGCGAGCAAGCGGACAGACGTCGTGCAGTACATCTTGGTCCTGCTGAACGACCTACTAGAGGGTACGCACATGTGCCATGCCCCTTCCCTGCCTTTCGTGCCCTCGTCCCCTCATGCCCTTACGCGACACAAAATACAAAACACACAATGCGCACCAGAGCTGACTCTACTTGGTATCTTTATTTAGGTGTGCCGAAGCTAGCAGGCGCGTTGTTCAAGACGTCGGATCCCTACAAGCATTTCCTGCCTCTCCTCGCCCACTCCAACAACCTTGAAGACCCTATCCCCTTACTTACATCAACTGTACTCGCCACCCTCATGACGCAATCAAAGGATGAATCGCAGCCCACCGAGAATGCCTTACCTCTGATTCTGAGTTACCTGTGTAGCATGGCCAAGAACACAACCGATGCTGGCCTACAGGATATTGCCGTAACACAATACTCTTCTCTATTGTACGGCAAGGCCTCCCGGCAGCTTTTCTGGAAGCAACGAAGCGAGACCGTGGCACCCCTCGTCGATATCTTGAGGAAGGCCGCAGGCGTTGGCGCAGATTCCTCCGCCAGCCTGTGGAGCGGCAATGCTACGGTGAGAACCGGTGGCTTCGAAGGCGCTATCGGTGGAGGTGTCGGCTTGCAGTTGCTATACCATGTCTTGCTTGTCATGTGGCAGCTGAGTTTCGAAGCCGAGGATATTGGCGACGAGATGGATGAGTATGTGCACCCTCTGCAGGCATCCGGAAACATGTTCATGACTAATCGCAACACAGCGAGTACGACGTTATTTTGCTTTACACGCAGCTCCTGCGTTTATCTCCGAAAGAGAAGACCACACGTCTGCTTCTTTCGACACTATACAACCTCCTCAGCACTAACCCCAGCTCTCTTCTGCCTACAGCAGTTCTGGCTAGGTTGCCCGCCCTGCTTCAAAATGTGGGCGGAAGGCACCTGACCGACCCCGACTTGCAAGAAGACCTGGACCAGCTCAAGACAATGCTGGAAGAGTACACGACAACCAAGACGACTTTGGACGAGTACGTGGCAGAAGTGCGTTCAGGCCACCTACGATGGTCCCCTCCCCACAGAAATGCCACTTTTTGGGCAGAGAACTCGCGAAAGATTCTCGACCTGGAGACGGGCGAGATCCCTCGTAAGTTGGCTGAGATCATGAAGAAGCCATGGGACAATGACAAGGCGGTCTTGGCGATTGCTTGTAACGATGTTGGGGCTTTGGTCAAGGAGGTTCCAGAGAGGAGATTCCAGCTGGAAAAATTGGGAATCAAGACGCGCATCATGGAGCTGATGCAAGATGCAGATGAAAATGTGCGATGGGAGAGTCTCAAGGCTCTTGGCGGTTGGCTCAAGTACAGTTTTGACAACAACTGATGTGTAATAAATAGTGTTGTACGCGTTTGAAACACGCCGGCTACATCCAAGCATTGCGGCGAACAACATAGAAGTCATTTTCAACGAACACCTGGCATCGAGCCTTCGCTGCTATCATCTCAACAATTGCAAATGCAGAGTGACATTCCAAGCCGTTCGGAGCAAACCTTACCACTATGCTCGATACGTAGCTTTATACTGTTTATCGTCGGATTTGGTTCGGCGTCTGTACCGCTTGCATACTGAAACGGATGACAAGACATGTATACAAAAGGCTCCTGAACCTGCTCGTGCTTGGGATTACCCACAATGGAGATTCGTGGAGGTGATTACTGTTACGGAACAGACCACCTGGACTTGGGTCCGAGCATGGTAATGTAAGTGTTGCGTTGATGGCTTATGCAACCTACTCGGACAACCAGGGGGACGACCCAAAAAGCTTTCAGTTATATTGGATGTGACTATCTGTCCGAATACAATCATGATAGCGGTCACCGTCGTGCCAATTTTGGCAGTCAGATGTTTAGCATGTTGAGGGCATTGGGAAAATGACCGACGGACAAGCTCTGACCAGCATTTGATTGAGCCGGCGGAAAACGATTGACAACTGATACAGTGTAGGACTTATGACATTCGCTAACTCGGTCATAGGCGGTTGGCACCGGGGAAGAGCGCTATACCCCGCACACTAATGTGCTAAACCCGCGGCTTCATGTCCAATGTTCCAGTTATCGGTCCCCTGCTGCCCCTGGTAGCGGTGCTTAGCGGTGATAAAGCATAGAGTAGGCTTGCTATCTTAATTACATGCACTCGACCACATGACGGGGAGGCTGGTCGCGACAGGAACGACCTTGCTCAAGGACAAAAGGATATTTGCCAATCTGACCGATCAGACTACCTCCTCCTCCTCCTCCTTATCTAGCCTCTCTCTCCTTCCTTTACGATACAATACAATGCATCGTATATCTGCAGCACGAAGCATCTCCGCCCGCGCTGGCCGCACCGCATCTCAACTCCGACACTCCACACAAGCTTCAATACCCGCGGCGTCACCCAGAATGACCTCCCGAGCAACCAGTGCTACGCGGCGCCTTGCTGCCACCGCAGCACACCTCCAGTCGCGATCGTACTCCCTGCAGTCCACAGCCACCTCCTTCCCCAAAACTCATGACAAAATCTCACAGCCCCAAGACACCCCATGGTTTATCGACAATGAGTTCAAGACGTCGAGCACCGACAAGTGGATCGACTTACACGACCCGGCCACCAACAACCTCATTACCCGAGTCCCTCAATCCACCGATGCCGAGTTGCAGGCCGCCGTCGACAGCGCCCAAAAGGCTTTCCCCGCATGGAGGAACACGAGTGTCCTGGCGAGACAGCAGATCATGTTCAAGTTCGTGAACTTGGTCAGGGAGCATTGGGATCGCTTGGCTGCTAGCATTACCTTGGAGCAGGGCAAGACCTTCGCCGATGCCAAGGGTGATGTGCTCAGAGGACTACAGGTTGCTGAAGCTGCGTGTGGCGCACCCGAGTTCCTGAAGGGCGAGGTCCTCGAGGTCGCCAAGGACATGGAAACCAGGAGCTATAGAGAGCCGTTGGGTGTCACCGCTGCCATTTGTCCCTTCAACTTCCCCGCCATGATTCCCCTTTGGAGCATCCCCCTAGCCACCGTCACCGGCAATACTCTTATTATCAAGCCATCTGAGCGGGATCCAGGCGCCGCCATAATCCTCGCCGAGCTGGCCCAGAAGGCTGGCTTTCCTCCAGGTGTTGTTAACATCGTCCACGGCGCCCACAAGACGGTGGATTTCATCCTGGACGCCCCCGAGATCAAGGCTATCAGCTTTGTCGGTGGTAACAAGGCTGGAGAGTACATTTTCACCCGTGGGTCAGCCAATGGCAAGCGTGTGCAGGCAAACCTCGGTGCCAAGAACCACGCAGCAGTTCTGCCTGATGCCAACAAAAACCACTTCCTAAATTCCATTGCCGGCGCAGCATTCGGTGCCGCTGGCCAGCGATGCATGGCTCTCAGCACCTTGGTCATGGTTGGCGAGACCAAGGAATGGCTACCAGAACTGGCAGAGCTCGCCAAGGGTCTCAAGGTCAATGCCGGCTTTGAAGAGGGCGCAGACCTAGGTCCCGTCATCTCGCCTCAGAGCAAGGAGAGGATCGAGAGCCTCATTGCGAGTGCAGAGAAGGATGGTGCGACAATCCTACTTGACGGCCGTGGCTTTAAGCCTGAGAAATACCCAAACGGCAATTGGGTAGGTCCGACCATCATTACCAACGTGACACCGCAAATGAAATGCTACACCGAAGAGATATTTGGTCCGGTGCTGGTCTGCCTGAATGTTGAAACTCTCGACGAGGCCATCGAGCTCATCAACAAGAACGAGTATGGCAACGGCACTGCTATCTTCACCAAGTCTGGTGCCACGGCCCAGAAATTCCAGAAGAATATCGAGGCTGGTCAGGTTGGTATCAACGTACCAATCCCTGTGCCTTTGCCCATGTTCTCCTTCACTGGTAACAAGAAGAGTGTCGCAGGTGGCGGTGCAAGCACTTTCTATGGACGTCCTGGTATCAACTTTTACACCCAGTACAAGACGGTCACGTCCATGTGGGCGAGCACTGATGCTATCGCGACAAAGGCCGATGTTGCTATGCCTACTCATGACTAAGTACTGCCAACATATGGGAATGGTTTGCAATTCGATATGGCACAATGTGTATATAAATTTGCCATGGTTCTTGTGCATGCAAAAGTATCGACTCCAGTAGGTACGGAATTGAAATGTCAAGCAAACAAGTCGTTTCGTATATCACCACAGGTTGACAAGCACATTACTCGCAATTGAAATAACGTGCGAAATGGACGGTGGGATACTCCTGGGGGTCACCTTAAGCCCGTTCCGTTGTCTGCCAACCGTGTAATATAAAAAGGGAATTCAACCATGAATAGAGCAATACACTGAAAGTGCATAATGCAAGCAAGTATTAAAGCATCGATCGTACCACTTTGTAGTAAAATTGTTGGGTCTTGTTTGACAATAAAGGTTTAAATGAAAAGTTTAGTGTAACAAGAAAAATAAATAAGGACAAGTGCTGACTATTCACAGCTATGTAGGCTGAAACACTGTTGCATCGGAAGGAGTAATAATGCTAACTCAGCTAAACCCCGTGGATCCATCTGCAGCCTAACATTGCCATTGCCACCTCGAACTTCAACTTGTCGCGCACACCAACAATGGCGGCCGACGAACATCCTGAAATAAAACTCAAGTATGCACGAAGCCACGACGGACGTGCCATTCATGGCGAAGCGCAAATTATAAACCTTCCAAACGATATATTCCTGCTCGTTATCTCGTACTTGTCACCAGAGGATAATATCATCTGCCGCCGCGTGAATAGGGCTTGGCAGCAAACATTCAGCTCGGAAGATGTTGCTTTGTACTTGCTGAGATTGCATTTCCCACGGGCGCTGGAGATGCGGATGACAGCACCCTTCTCGAAACGGCCAGATTGGGTTGCCATCTTCGGAAACGTGGCGCGGCGATATCACCATCTCCGCGCCGCCAAGCCGCATCTCACGGAGAAGATCAAGGTTGCCAGAGAAGACAAAGGCGGTCAACGGTATCACGGCATCACGCCTTGGAACAGGTTCCTGCACTTCAACGAGTACATTGCAACTTTTGCGCACCGCGACCCGGTTTGGTGTATGGACAACGGCCTACTGATATACCTTGATACTGACGGATGCTATATTGCTTACGATCTAGAGTCAGAGGCCAGGCTCAAAGTACCATTCGAAACATCGGGCAAGACAGTGAGGCGTATCCGTTTAGCATGTAGAGTGCTCATTATCGAATGGTGCGAGCGTGAGCCGTACCATCAGTTGAATGACAGGGAAACTGTTCATCGGCATTTTGCTACGGCCTTTGATGTAGAACGGTGTCCACCGCGCTCATCTTCAAAATCTCCCAAATTGTCTGTGGTGCGATCGATATCAGAATTGTCAGACTGGACCATCACACTTCGCTCAGAATGGAAAATACACTTCCTCGGCCTGCCACTAAATCGTCAGGATCGCTTCTTCTCAGCGCATACCGCCACTCATTATGCTCTATATCTCTGGCAGCCCAACAGATCCCCGTGGGGCGAAGGAGATCCTCTGGAGCAACTTACGATATGGAATATTTCATTTCCTTCCCAATATCGCCCTTCCCACGATCCGACAGGGATGAACAAGCCTGATCATGGTCTGGGACCACAAGTTATTCAGCGCTTTACTTGGCGAGATTTGGATTTCCTGGGCCTTCGGCAGAGGGATACACCGTCGTTCAGGGAAATCATGCTCGATGATCAGAACGTCTATATTCATGAAGAGGAGCATCGCTGGCTTGCTGGTCCCCAGTCTTCTCTCAACCCTCCACGACACCATCTGGTTCGGTGCACCGGTATCCCCATGACCGGCACCGGTCCAATATGGTTCGATGAATGTTGTGCTGACGGTGATGTTCACATGTCCTTCTGTCCGCGTGCCGGTTCAATAGCCCGGCTGGACGGTGATGACTTTATGTCCACATGTACAAAACATAGGCCTGCTTTCGCTCCCTGTTGGCGTCATGAAGAATTCCCGTATCTAACTATTAGTGAAATGATTGACTCTGCAGCAGGCGTCAGGATTGTTGCCAGACAGTGCTTCATGGTCGAAGCCCTCTCTGTATTCGTCATGCCACGAATCAGCGTCAAGGAACAAGACGAAGATGGCCATGAAAATAGTGAAGTCAGGTTCACAGACGACATGTGGGGCGAGCTGATGGGGAAAGGGCGAATATGCGGTGATGAGCGATTTCTCGTCGGAGAGGATATGGAGGGCATGGTCACAATTATGCGCTTCTGATCCGTATGTGGATCGTGCTCTCCGCTATGGGCTGGTCCAGATGACTCTTGGAGTAGATCGACCAGATTGCTCAAAATCCTATCCATGCTAAGTGGGTAGAGAACCATACGTTTCAAAACTTTTCAATAGAAGCACATTGCTCTAGAGCGCACATGTTTCGAGGGCAAGCCCACAGCAGGCTCGGAAGGGTCACTAACGATAGTCGACTCAATGTCAGTCCGCGATTAGACCTGGGCAGAATAATTTCCACAAGTCCTCGGACACTCTCAATTAACCTAGTGCGGGTTTCGCCTGGCTTTATATAGCTTACGTTTGAGCTAGAATAAGTCACCGAAAAATTGGTATTTGAATTTTATTAAATACCTTATTAAAGAGTGTTCAGGCCTCGGATATCTCATAATATGAGTTAGCTACATTCGAATACCGTGTCGTGGCCATAGTTATAACTGAAGATGGCAAGTTTTGGGCTGCAAGCGTCCGAGGACTGATGGAAGCCGTTCTGCCGGGGCCGGGCCAGTAGGATAACTCACCCGTACACAGACGAATTATCAATCTTATCTCCACCGGATCGGTCTTGCCCAGGCGGCATCGGCATTAGGAAATGCTCGGAAATACTAGAAACAACACCCAATTGTTGCAATGAATGATCCTTACCCTGGTCAAGGTCGACACTCGACTCGCATATTTCTCCACAATATACTGTGCCGCTAACACGAACTCTGGCGTCTCTTCATGTGGATGACAAGCTTTTTTTATAGTTTCTGAGATAGCCATTGGTCGAGCAATACTGCATGTAACCTCAATGGCTTGGGATGCCTGACCGAGTTCCGTTGTCGCCCGACCCAGAGGTGTGTTTTTGCTGGCTGGATGCCGCGCAACAGAGAGATGTGATGACAGTGACGGGGGGTCCTAGGCGGGGTATGCAGAGTTGAGACGGATCTTATATCTTAGCAATGGAAAAGGATGCCTATGTTTTCTTTTTCTTTGAGTTCTGCTAAGGGCTTAGTTATAAAGCTCTCACGACTTCGCTTGCTGCGCCTGTTGCTGCATCACTCATTCGAGAGCATCACAGATAGTCACACATTTGTGTCAAAATGGCAGGAAAGCTCGCGACTCTGGCACTGGCCGCCATTCCGGCTGTAGGCGCCGAGACAATCCTCGGTGTATACATCTTCTCACGCCACGGAGATCGTACACCTAAGGCTCTTGCCCCAGCCAATTTGACGTCTTTGGGCCAGGAGCAGGTGTATTCGTCGGGTAACTACTATCGTAACAGATATGTTTCCTCGGACGCTACCTCGCCCATCTACAAGCTTAGTGACGACGTCGCTATTGCTAGTCAGATGATCGTTACCTCACAGGTCGACACAGTGCTGCAGAACTCCGCGCAGGCCTTCATGCAGGGCGTGTACCCGCCCGTTGGTACTCTTTCGACAGAATCCCTTGCCAACGGGTCCTCCGTTGAGGGAGCGCTGAGTGGATATCAGTACATTCCCATCAACGCTGTCGCTTCGGCATCGTCTTCGTCCAATGCCGAGAACAGCGGCTGGCTCCAGGGCAATTCTGGGTGCGGTAACGCCGTTGTCAGTTCCAACAACTACTTCAGCTCCAGCGAGTACTTGGACACGTTGGCCAGTTCCCAAGACTTCTATACCGGTCTGCTGCCCGTCATCAACTCGACCTTCAGTGAAAGCCAAACCAGCTTCAAGAACGGCTACACTAGTAAGTGATTCTCCAGAATACCCTGGGCGTGAACTACATAATAACGTATGAGCAGTCTACGACTACATTCACGTAGCCACCATCCACAACTCCAGCATTCCTTCCGAGGATTTGCTGACCAACGCCACTCTCGACGAGCTCCTCTGGCTTGCCAACGCACACGAGTGGGGTCTCGCCTACAACGAGACTGATCAGATCCGCGCCGTCGCAGGCGCAACCCTGGCTGGCCAGATCTTGACGCAGCTCAACACCACGCTGACGGGCAAGTCGAAGCAGCCCTTCGCTGCGCAGTTCGGTGCCTACGCATCATTCATGTCCTTTTTCGGCCTCGCGCAGCTGCAGAAGGTGTCCGACGATTTCACGGGCGTCGTCGACTACGCCTCGACCATGGTGTTCGAGCTGGTGGCCGACTCGGATGACGTCTCCTCTTCCTCGTATCCCGCCGCCTCGGACGTGTCCGTCCGCTTCCTGTTTGCCAACGGCACGGCCGCTCAGAACGAGCCGCAGGCGTACCCGCTGTTCGGCCAAAACGATACGCTGCTGCCCTGGAGCACGTTCGTCAGCGAGATGAACAAGTTCGCCATCGCAGATACCGAGGACTGGTGCACCGCATGTGGTAACTCGACAGGTGTGTGCGCGGAGTACGCCAGCAGCTCGAGCAGCGGTAGTGGCGATGGTGCTTCTACCTCGTCAAGCTCGACCTCCGGAAATGGCATGTCGCTGGCTGTCGCTGGTGTCATTGGTGCCCTGGTGACGCTAGCGGTTATTCTTGGTATCGAAGCTTTGGTGTACTTCTTGTCCGGTCTTAGACTGGTCAAGAAGTCCACACTTGCTGCTGCGTCGGCCGCCGGTGGCGCTGGTCATGTCAAGGCTTGAGCGGTGAGGGCAAGGCCTGGATGGGAGATGGAGGTTGGCAAGACCAGAGGAGGATGCGATTAAGCTCATTTCAAAGCGTCTACATGATGTTAACCAGGTGCCATTTACGATAACGAGTCATAAAAATATAGTAATTCTTGCAGATAACACGCTGCCGGTCATCAATTTTCGAAACGAGTCTCACTCCACAACGTGGCGTTCTATGTCATTCCATGTCATCGCTTTGTTGGGTTCCGATACCGCTACTGCGATCTTCATGGTTTTAATTTCTGACACTTGCCGTTCAGATCCTACCACTGGCTTAACTGGAGTGGTAATATATTTATTCGAGTATGTGTTCAAGAGCACTGTGTGGAGTTGCCTTATGGTTGTGGTTCACTACTGTATCGTGTTATACAGTACTGCTGAATATTGCCATCTTTTAGGATACAAGCACATCGAGTAGATTAACCATGTAATTGTACTATCTCAGGCCGGTCAGCTTGAGTAAATCATGCCGGTGGAAAAAACTGCGGTTCCTCTTGCCAAATATGTCTATACAGATAATCATCAGCTCTCTCTACGTGCAATACAAGAAGATCAGGGAACTTACACATTGGAATGCTCAGTAAGCAAATCACGAGCTGCACTGAAGCGAGGATCAGAAATGTTTTCTTAATACCTCCATGGACGAGCCAGCCATATGCTTTGAACGTGAGCGCGAAGCTAAACATGTTCTTGAAAATGATTAAGCATGTAAAACCTTCGACTGCTAGGTCGCCTACGGGTGGGAGGTCAGTTGTGAGTCTAGAGATGGGAATGCGCGACACTTGTGTAACTCACGGTAAGCATCAACGATGTACAGAGAGCTAGCCACGGCTCCAATGACCATACCACAGACCTCGAACCCGAAAAACATGATAGGCACAGCCCAATGATACTCGCCTGCCAGCGTGCCTTCACTTGTAATGGCAAAGCCGTACAGGCCCATGCACCCGAAGATGAGCTGTGGAATCACAAGGAGTATTCGGAACTCTGGCTCGTAGACACCGCCGTTGCGTTTCGTCAGGTACTTGGCGCTCCAATCTGAGAGGAATCCGGCTATCAAGAAACCGAGTAGAGCACCAATGAACGGCCCGACATAAGCATAACCAGTCGCGACCTCGTCCCAAAATAGCGGTGGTCCCAAGAATATGGCTGCAAGAACGACGCCAATAAAGACCGTCCAACCGATCAATGCGCCTTGTATCAAGCAAGCCCACAGGAACGCCGGCTGGAAGAAAAGTGGGAACGGCCGGAAGAGCAGCTTGAGGAAGTTCTCGTCGGTCTTTCGACCATCAAACGGAGCCAGCGATTGCCAGTATGTTTTCTTGGCTCTACTGATGGTAGCCATATTCTTTGGAGTGCCCTTTGTTTCCTTGGTGGGCTGGTTGTGAAGCTCCTGGCCCCCAGATGCTGTAGTATCCGTGTTCAGGGCTACATCACGCCTGAAGGCTGTTTCGGGACAGCAGAAGATGATGGCGAAGAGGCACACAGCGCTGAAGATGGAGACCAGATAGAAGGTCCACCACCAACCAATCGTGTGGGTGATTTTCCCCACGACAATAGGGGTAAAGAAGGCACCGCCAAACACTGCCAAGTTGGTGAAGGCCATGCGCGCACCTCGTTGCTATCCCCACCGGTCAGTGATGAACGCATTTGAAAGCTTCTCCCTCCCAAGACTTACATGCACAAAGTACAAATCTCCCACGGCAGCATTGATAAGCGACTCAAAAGGTGCTGTGCCCACCCCTTGGATGATTCTGGACCAAAGCAGACTTGTATAATCCTTCCTCCTCCCAACTGCACCTGCCCAAGCACTAGATGCTATAACTAGCACGGCGCCGAATAAAAAGGCATGCCTCTTGCCCCAGATCCTGCTTGATGGGACAAAGAACATGCCGGCGAAGCCAACTCCAAGCAGGAAATACCCGGTTAGGATGGCAATCCATGTGAAGTCCAATGTGAAGTAGAAAGACAGCGTGAGAGTATTAGCCGCTAATATCGGACCCAGCGCTGTCGCAAAAATGGCTGTTACTGAGAGGATGAACGTGATAAGGTCGCGCCTCCATAATGGCCAGTTCAGGGGATCGTTTGGGTCGTCGGAGGGTTGCGGGTGCTGTGTCGCATCGTACAGGGTCAGCAAAATCATGTGGAGCATGGTGGAGATATGCCATAGTATAGTAGTCACTTACCAGTATGATAGGAATAGGACCGCTTCTGTCGCATTTCAATCCCCTCGCATCCACCGTAGCAGCTGTTTGCGGTATGTCCGGATTATCAAAGTATCGCGTTGTCCCTTTTGGCGCGGTATTAGCATGTGCATCGGATCGTGAGGGGGTCCTCGGCCCAGCAGCATATTATACGAACCAGGAACATGGTCAAGGACCTTGTCTTCCAGGATACCGAGTCCCATCGTAGGTGAACGACTACTGACGTGAGTCGCAAGACCGACGCGAATGCACAGGACAAACTTTTGGTGTTGCTCGCCACGTCGCGGCTGCTAAGGCTGTAATGCAAAGCCAAATGTGAACCTTGAGATGCAAAGCTGAACTTGGTGGCGCATGCACGTTCCCCAATATTGTATGGTGTGTCTAGTTTAAGACGATTTAGACGTACAAGCGGCAGACGAAGAGGGGATCCTCACTCCCCCAGACATTAAATTCTGGTTACTATTGGTTGGAAAGCTCTTCCCGGCCATCGCTAGAGACCTGGAAATGGGGGAAGCTTGTCAATGATATTACTGCTCCCCTCACAATGCAATGAGCTGTTATGCACCCGATAATCCCAAGCTGTCCACTCATTGACCTTGTTTTCCAGCTCCTGAACGTTCCATCTTTCCTTCTCCCTTGCAAAGCTTCGGATTCGAGACCTCAAGTTAGTTGCCCATCGTCTCAAGGAATTGGCTGATTGCCAACTATCTACCCTGATGATGAAGGTTTATGTTCTTTACTTATCCCTTATGGGTCTGGTGGCTAGTCAGTCCGGTCTGCCACAGTGTGCTGTAGGTCCTAAACATTTATCCACATTCTCACTTGGGCCGCAGAAAGCTCTGGTCAGGCTATTCGTTTTTCCGTTTGTGACTGACACAGTCTTGCGATACAGAGAGATTGTTTGGCCAAGTTCACATCAGGCGCCAGCATCGGCGGTTGCGCTCAGATCGATGCCAAGTGTATCTGCTCCCAGCAGGCCTTCCTTAACGATATTGCATGCTGTCTAGCCTCTGTATGCAGCCAGTCCGATCAGCAAGCCGCCGTCGACTACGCCGTCAATCTCTGTGCGGCTCAGGGCGTCACTGTCCCTTCCGCCGTGTCCTGTTCGTCAACATCAGCGGGTGCATCAACGGCTATTACAAGCTCTTCAGGATCATCGACTATCGGGGCCGCCAGCAATACCGCTGTAACCACTGCCATTACCAGCTCAACGGCATCAGCTGCAGGATCATCGACGACGACGACAGCTAGCCAAAATATCGGTAAACAAGGCAATGGAGGGTCTGGAACCAGCGGAATCATTGGCGGATTGCTAGCAGTCTTAGCTCTCTTTTAAATCTATCCCAGACATAAAACCGCGATCGTGCTGGCCATCCAGCGCTTGGCGTGATCGCGGATGAGGCTTGAACGATTCGCGCAGGTTTAATTGGCGATTTCGCCATCACTATATCCAGTTGGGGCAATGAATCGCTTATGTTTTGGTCAGGGTGGGAATTTTGAAAGGCTAGTAGCACACGGTCTAAACCCTTCCTTTATCTTTCGTCGTTGATCCAATAACATGGCTCTGTTATATACTGCACGTCTAGGCTTTGCAGACGTAGGTTGTATGGTGGTGAATGCTGTTAATCGTCGGCATGCTAACACACTGATTATACTTGTTTTGGGATCCATAACTTGGAGGAAATAGGGAAACCGGGATGGTAAGATTGACCGCAGGCGGTCACACTATTAAACGATTGTTGTGCTATAGTCGGGGACTTGTCTGACATAATTAGAATCAGAAAAAGTGATGACTGTTAAAGGTGATTCCTGCGAAACCCAAGCACCCCCAATAGTGAAGTCGCTGCTTCATTCAACACCATACTCGGCCGAATGCGTATGACACGCATGATGATATTTTAGTACTGAAGTGGTTACTGTGTACTAGCACAGCATTCGGTCAACAATTCTATCGCTTCTAGGGATATTAGGATAGACTAGACTAGCTCACTTTTCGGCCTCGTGGGATCGAGTCAGGTCTTGCGCGGAGGCTTGCTCATTGTTGTTTGGGTGGACATGTCTTCATGCACCGAAAACATCATAGCTGCACAACATACTTGCCCGTCATGCTACCCGCTGTGGAGACTATTGCATTACTAACCTGGACGAACGATCAGAAAGTCCGACGGTAGTAAGTACATATGATACCACGGAAGCCGAGCCCGTACCAACTCTTGCGAGTATAGAGCAATCGTTGAATGCGGGATTCTTTCCAAAAGGTCGGGAAAGTACCCCGTGGCCATGATGACCGATACAGTCTATACAAAGAACCCACAAGGCCATACGTTGCAAGGGGGAACTAGCCAAAAGATCCGGTGCCAGCTTCGGGATTCATTGCAGTGTAATCGAACTCACCCGAAATGGACTTGTCCTGGTAGCTTTTTCCGGGCCATGTGTCAACCTCGAGGTCCAAATGGGTGTGGCTTTGGAGTAGCTCAATCTTAGAGGCGTGCCTACGTGGATCCAGGGTTCAAGCCGCCAGTATCCATATTTGGCTGCACTCTGTCGAATATTACCGGATATTACCGGCGCAGGTTCTTACAGCGTGAACCTGGAATCTGGAAGGCCTGCTTGGCCTGGAATGCCTGGAACGTGGAATCTGTGCCGCCACGGCACTACCGTAGTGGCCTTCGCGGAGCCGCGAGTCCAGTCCGGGCAACGAGCGGCCAAAGGCGCTGCGCCGCTCAGAATCGATGGTGCTGTCTGTGCAGACAATCTCAAGTCGACTGTGCTGTTATGCTACTTCTGATTTATAAATCCTTTATAAGGTCGCCGGACCTCGTACGCTTTGCCGCATCCGACAAAAGCAAGATGGGACGATGTGCTCGGACGTTGCAGCAAAAGCAAAAGGGGATATCGGCAAGGACAAGGACAAGGACAAGGACAAAACGTTGATGACGCCCAAACGATCGATTCTCGGGTAGAACAAAATGGGTTCAGACAGTGCACTGGCATCAAGGTTGTAATCGAGAACACTTGGCCAGCGCTCGGCTACCATCAACTGAGGCGGTAATGGCCACAGCTTGATGATTTTGTCCGCCCAGGCTGTGTGTGAACTATGAAACGAGTCCTAACGATGGCTTCTAGCTCTTGTGAGATCAGCATTGCTATCACCCAAATTGACACAAGTTCTTCTGGGGGCAGGCAGTGCCAGCACGTCTAGCGTCAAGGTAGTCTGTTGATAGACAGACTCAACTTTGATATTTAAGTAAACGTGAGTTGAGGTAGGCTTGAGGGAAAAATCGGTACAAAGTACTTGTGTGAAGTGGGATGTCCCCCGACGACCCTCAGCTAATAACATGGAAGTGTACGGATCCGTATCTCGGGTGCAAAAAACTGTAACGGTAGTATGAGACCCACAGCCACAAGGACCCGCACCTTGTTCCTGTCATCAAAAAGCTTTCAGGTTGTTGGCTCTGCTTCAGGTCTCCTGGTCAGCCTTAGAAATGTCTGTCTACATACATTGCAACCAAGCCTCATCGTGTCGTGCCAAGTCAAAGAGTTCCTCAGCAGCAATTTAGCATCAGCCAATCTGCTCCTAATATGGCTTGACCGTCATAGACACCCGCCCGTCCTGCAACCGTACCAAGTACTTCTGTATGTATTGTCAGTTACAGATCCACCTCACGAGCTTCTACTCTTGATCTAAACGCAACTTCAGAGTAGAACTGTCGGACATACTGTATTCAAATTCAACTCCGAGACAGGTCCGAAGGGCATATAGGCCCCCAAACCAGTTTCGCATGTGCAACGTAAAGGTTATGTATCTACCGATCGGGTTTCAATATCAGACCTGAGTGTACTTGACTTGAGTATTACTTAGTGCTGCTCACGTGTCAGGCGTTATCAGTCAGGAATTACCTCATCAACCGCAACCTTCGTTAATACCAGGTTGATTGCACTATGTTAGACTTTGAGCTAGGGTTAGTCACTTTTCGTCACCTTGGCCATGTCAATGGCTGCCAAAATTTTCATTTACTGTGTACATGTGTTCGGTGCCGCTAATACTGACATGGCCATTGGGTCAAGTCGGCTCTCGGCCTTCACTTCAACGTCGTAGCATCAACGAGCTGTCAGTCCGTATGCGGTAGATGTCAAGTTGATTATGACACCACCTGGACATGGTTTGATTGGTTGGTTTTGTTGATAGATGAAGGACATGTCACATCCGATCAAACGTCGAGGCTCTGATCATTGACCTGGAACCTGCATAGGTGGGGTCACACCTTGACCAAACAATTTCATGTGCGAGACCGAATCGGTATAGGACGATAGACGAAGTCAATGCGCTCACAGGTGCATACGCATGTCACGCGCGACATAATATGTGCACATATAGTTAAAACAGCCTACTATGTACTTTAGCTAAAGGCATGTGTCGTACCAAGTAACACAAAAGCATGGCAAGATACCGTCCCGCTTTCAGTTGCAGTCAGCACATTCCAAGCGAGATAGCGCCTGCTAGGCGGGGTCGGAGTTGGTCGGCGGACCGCATGGTATAGTCGGCTACGCTCCAAAGTCCTTTCTCTCTTCACACAAAATCCAATACCAGATATTGACACTCTTGGCTACTCTTCCACGGCTCGACTCTGAATATTGATCGATGGGGCAGATACCATGTGAGAGATCAAGCGCACTGTTTGGCCGATGCCGCTTACCCGACTCGTATATACATGCTACTACAAAGTACAAAGCAAATATATGGGTCATCAGGTCGTTGAACAGTCTTCATCCAAGCTCGGGCGTATCTCGAACGAAACGAACAGGCGAGCAGCCATCTTTCCAACTCACAAGATCAAGACACGAGAATATATGACTTTTTCACATATACTGTCCAACTCCACATTGCTGTGACTTCGGTGACATAAAAATTCAATTTTTTTTTTGGTAGGTCCCACTTTGTTGAGTGACTTACAGTCAAATAAGGCCTGGCCCGTACTTCCTTGCGTAGCACGATACATTTGTGATGTGACTTCATTGCGGGAAGAGCCGCCACTTGTATGCTCTTTACCCTGGTAGGTAATCCCTTCGCCAAAGGAGGATCTGAACACGGCCAAGTAACGACTAGATCCTTGGTTGCATATGCGTGACCATGGGACCAACAAGACTTGGAGCTGACGTCCATCCGAGCTAGCGCTACCTGTGCTGTTGGTACGTACCGGAGTATTCACAGTCGTCGTCGCAAGATTGCAACATTGAAGGATGACCAGGCAGCGATCTTTAACAAGGAGCCGCTGAAGGTTGCATTCGTTCTGTGCGCCTTATATATCCGGCGTGGCGATATTGCTGTTGAGCACAGGGTTCATATATTAAGTTACCTGTCACGGGCTCGGAAGCAGAAACACTTCCGCGAAACAAGGGAAATGCTACCAAGCACATACAATGTTGCCGCCGTCAAGCAATAGTAGATGCAATATTGTTAACCTCAAGGCTTTCAAGCGTCGCCGTGGACTGGCGCTAGCGGCATCATCAATATCGAAGCTTGGAATCAGTTCTGACTTGATTCCCAAATGGTTCAACAAAGCAGGTGGATGCCCAATCGATCGCAGCACCTTATTGACTAATTTTCGGGCCTACTTAGAATTCTAGCCATACTACGGATTATTTGCCGGATGCCACTGTCAGTTGAGAACGAACGAAAAAACTCGTCTTTAACTCTAATAGTAAGTTGGTCATGAAAATTTACCCACACGTTTTACAGAGTTTTTACGGCTCGAACCCACCAGACATGGGTACTAGTACACTGTCAAAATCCTAAGCAGTGGCAAGACATTGTTGAATACTAACTTCGGAAGCCTTCAAGGGTGAGGTGCTAATTGTAGATAGACAAACTAATGACGTCTATAGTCGCGTATGCACGCTTCCGCGAATAGACATACATCATCATCTCGCAAGCTTAGCTCCTACTTATTATATGGCGTACCAGACAACCCGTGACACTGCTCGTACAGCGAAACCAATTTAAACTATTATGCAATCAACCTATCAAAGATCAGACGGTTGACCAGTTCTTGTTGCTCCCCACACAACCCACAAAGTTCCTACTTGGCCCCGCGCTCTCCGTACTAAAAGGCACAGAGCCAAGTGGTGGCTTAGAATATTCTACCACTAATAACTATCAATCAAGATGGAATATTTCTAAAGAGAGTCATTATATAATTTGATATTTCTTACGGGACTTGTCACCACGTTCATAAATCAGCTCTAACTCATATATGTTGCGTTATAAGCCTAGGTATGAAATGGATTTTCTGCTTTCATGCATTTTAGAACGGAGAGCGCGGGTTGGGGATCTCTGGAGTCTGCCGACACTATCCCTGAGGATAGTTGAGGTTCGGCCCCACACAACCCTTGCGCCGAATCAACCGATCTGCCTTAAGAACATCATGACTGGCACGCCTATCACAGCCATGGCATCGATAACAGCCGTCCTGATACTGATGATGAGGATGGTGGCAATAATATGGGTACTATCCCTCTTACGAGGTGATGTCAAGCTATGGAATTGCTGGATTGATGTTGCTAGCTGAAGCGGTCTTGAAAAGTCTCTCTCGTATATCGCTGTCAATAGCACCACTGTTGCCGAACGAACAAGGCTCAACACAAACTTTGCCATATTTTGCTTATTACACGAGACGTTCCCCAAAAGATCAATAACTCGGAATCGGATGTGCAATAGTAGAAACTTTATTGCGTGCGCACGTTTAGTCCTGGCGGATACTATAGTTCCAACGTCCGAGTACCCGAGGCCTGAGCTGAGTGTAGGGTCAAAGTTGGGTGGACCAGATCATTCCTGCATACAGAGACATGGGGACGATGACGCCTCGGGCGAGCTCTTCTCGATGCATGCGATCCGGACGTTTTGTTTTATTTTATTTTATCCAGATTACAAACATAGATCGTGGAACTTGTTTGATAGACGGGTGTATCAAACTTCTATCTTCGTCCTGAAATTGAGTCTATTATTGTCATCGGTACATGTGCCGGATACACCAGAGTTGCGGGCTCATTCCGCTGCTCGCTTAGAGTAAGGTTTCGCAAGCTTAATTGAGGAGATCCTTGTTATATTTCAAATAAGTTAACTGTCAAAACGGTGGTCTCACCACGATGGTGGAAATTCGCGGCCTTGTCGCTTCTCTTGCTCAAGACTGAAAACGAAACGGCGGAACAGTGTGTGATAGAACGGCCTGGCGAGCAATGGCTTGCGATATTACCTGGAAAACACACCCTAAACACTGCCCAAGCCCGAGCAGGGGCGCATCGACAAGTAGATTTACCGTGCAGCGCGCCTCCGACAGGGTCGCTTCTCCACGAGCAGGCCGGGGATGTTCCCCTCCCGGCTGTTCAACGGGCGCTGAGGGAGGACCCTTGGGACCTTGACTTCTAAGTTAACAGCACTGTCTCCGAATTACTTTGTCGCTAGCCGACCTACATACCCTTTTTCGCTCGCATACATACATACTTGCTTGAGATGCTTCTTCGATGACAACGCAGTACCCTGTACGGGGCACCCCCAGGACTTGCCTACTGTACAGTAGGTGCCGACCTAGTCTGGTTCCTAGCTTTGTCTCTTGCAACTCTACTCTCCGGTCAATTCCAGCTGTTTGGCCACTGAGCGCCGCCTGGCTCGTCCCACTTATCTACGTACAGTATGCTTTACGCCTTTCCCCTCTCACTCGCAACCCCCAACTGCCCCATCCCGACCCTGGACATGGTTATGGATATGTCTGTGGACATGGACACTATGGTGGGGCATCAACAGGTACAAGGATCGTCCTTTTCTTTCGCGCACCTGGCACCATGTCTCTGACTCGCCCTGTCCTCGCCATACCCTTGCCTGCCCATTGATCGTCTGATGAAAGCTCCAGAAAAGACAGCATATTGAAGGTGTTGGGTCACACGTTGACGACCCAGGCTTTTCGTAGCTCACTGACCGTCGTAACGGACGCGATCTTGATACAAGCGCATTTCCACCCGCCATAGCTTCTGCACAGGGGTCAAGCTTGTGCGTTCTAACCATGCTCATGCCCATGTCTTTTCCACCTCTCGACCCTTGGTTCATTATATACATTACCCATGCTTCCTCCGATGGTAGGTAGCCGTTGCGTCCAGTCCCTTGGTGAGAATGAGGTTTTGCTTGTAAATCCGCTCAAGATGCCCTATATTACAGTTTGCTACGCCCTCTGAATCACCGCACCGAACCCTTGCCGCAGCTTTCTTATTTCTGACTGTTATAAGACCGGGATTTCTCGTCCATGGTATTGCGTTTAGACGTAGCTTCCTCACTACGCAGCCTTCGCACACTCTCTTTACATATACATATATATATATGTATATCTATATATATCTATATATTTATAAACGACAGACCGCGAAGCCATCTGAATGTCCCTACACAATCATCAAGCTCCAACTTACTTAGCTGACTTCTGGTCACGAACCATACTTGAATTCCCAACCTTTCAGCTCAGTTCTCATCTCGTAAGTTGTCATCGTATGTAATACCTCAAGTACCACACTAAAAATGGCCGGTAGCAAACCCATTGCATAAACAAGAATACGCCGATCAAGATGTGCGATTTTACGAAGAATTATTATATCTACACATCTTGTGTCGACCCCGGTACACACTTCTTCAGAACTTCGGTTGATGGTAGCCGCAAACACTCATGCCCCAAAGGGCCGCACGAGCGGTACATTGTTCTTCCCGGCCAATGCCACCTTTGTGGATGAGACCTGCAAAGTGAGGCTGAAGAAAAGAAAAGTAAAATTTATGACCTCAGCTTCACGAAGACTTCATTGGTCAGAAAGCGATGTCAGAACACTCTACGGCGTCATCATACCGTCAATGTTTCAGTTGAACAATGCACGTCATACCGTCGCGTGGGCAAACGGAAGGCTGGACAATGCCATTCGGGAGATGTTACCGTCACCGGATCTACTCGTTATCACAGAACTCACTTGTGATGAGTAAAACCTGGCTATCGTTGTGTCCCCCGCAAACGCGGGCCACGAGACCTCTGTATAGAAGGCAGTTGGGGCAAAGATATATGAAACGGAGGCAGCTGGTTTTTTGTTTCGTTTGGTTAAGCATGACAGCATTTTAGCGGCATATTTCGGCATGGCGTAAGGGGTTAAAAAGGTTATTCTATTATCACAAGCGTCATGATTATTTATCATGATGCGGGTACACGATGGTCATCGGGCGCGTACTTTTCTGTTGCACCCATAATGAAGGCATTTTGCCACATATGTTGGGGGCTTATTGGGCATCCCACTCAACTGTTATTTTGTTTTGTAAGCGAATCGAAATGTTTACAGAGTACGCATCACCCTTTAACCGGTGCTTTGCCACGTTGGTGTCAGATTAAGTTAGCTGACGTGTAACTGCGCGTGGGAGAAACGCAGCTGCAGCTTATTGTCTCCCGTATATCAACCCAAACACACTTGGCGAGTGACAGAGGCGTCAGCCTCTTCGTTTCGATCTCTATCCTTTTCGGTGTGGCACGTTTGTTCCGAAGCTGTACTTTCCCCCTAGCACTAGGGCAGTTACTTGCCGTCCATCACTCAGGTGTGTGTATAGTACACATTCACTATAGCTATGGCGGAAAACACTCTATCTATAGCTCAGGAGGACTGTTCATAACTAGATTTGTGGTCCGAAATTGCGAGCTAGACCAGGTGGTTTTGGTCTTACAGGCGGCCCAGATGGTGTTCCGTTTATTCCCTCTACGGTTGGTCAGCAAGGCAATGGGATAGACTCACATGACAAATCCGCAAAGCTGAGGCATGGAGACTATATCCAGCTGTTCTGAAGCCACTGTCTTGCAACTGGGACCTCAACTCCCGCATGTGCGGTCACCGGCCGCATTCGATCGCCGCCAAGAATATAACCATAATAAAGGTGTCGAGGGTACCAATAGTCATAAACACCACCAGGCCCAGACGGCTCGGATTTAGAGAAACATTCCCAAATACAGTCAAACCCCATTCCTCTGCCTATCTATCTACTGGGCTGAATGTATGACACAAGACGATCGCGCGGGCCAGATATCCTCTTTGATACGCCTGTTCCGTTCTTTTGAGCCAACCAGCCACAGCGAAACATTGTGTCTATGATCCTGGTCTTCCTAAGCTCCTCGGTATCCTCCATACAGCGCCGCAATAGGTATATGCATGCAAGATTATCGTGGCGCATATGATATAGCTCAAGGGCGTGCTTGTTGGCTACGGGAGACCGTGCCACGCATCCGCAACCTACCATAATCCTTGCATGTCAGGCCACGCGATACAATGGTGGGTAGAAAGACAACAGTTGACTAGCTCTCGTCGTTACTGTGCTCACAGGATCAGCACAATGCGACGCATGAATTGTTGTCCTTGAAAAGTACCACCGCTAGGCACAATGTGATAGTACTCCATACATCCTTTCCTGCCTCACATGTTGCAAAATAGGCTTTGTAGTCTGTGCGTAAGAGCCGCAAATGTTTTCTCTTTCTGGACTTCCCTCAAGCGGCATTGCGATCCCGGATCTGCGACAGACGCTGGAGGTGCATGGTCCTTTCGCGGCGACCAGCGTGATATAGCCCACATGGTATGCTTACTCTTCAGAGTCCATAGGCTAACAGCGATCGGACGACACTTCGGCAGGAATGAATCGCCACAAAGCTTCGACGACCTAGCTTAGACATAAACCATCCAGCTTGGGCGAGATGCGGGGAGCGGATGTGCCCTGGTCCTATATGACATTTCGACTTAATTATATATTGCTTGTACTCGTGCTTGACCGGGCGTATGCTCAAACCAGCAAGCATTGAGATATGACATGCTTTCCGCAGCCATAGCCGAGCGAGAACCGGACAACAGAAGGCGGTGGTAGCATATCTCCCAGAATCCGGATCATGTGCTCGAAATTTTGACCGTCTATGATCGACGTCCTGCACGATCTGGTCCCGTCCTTCTATATGAATCATGCACGTGCCGTAACGATCGAATATCTTATACTTGATGGCCAATGTTTCCCAATTTGAAATCAGGTCATCTGCAAGTATACCGTTGCGAGTTCCAGAACGTGTCGAGTTTCCAGTGCTTGCATTACCCAGCCGGCACATGGAAGCCGTTTTGCGACACATGCATACAGCAGACCAAGCAAGTTGCCAGGGCGGTCCTAACGTAACCGATGCTTTTTGCATCATGAGAGAAAGCGTACTACTTTCCGCTCGGCGGTGCAATTGAGACATCAGCACGAAGCCACGAATACCTCGCAGTGATGCTCGGTCGGTAACAACCTTTGATACTGATTTCAGAGTTGTATCAAACAGCAGTTGAAACCAAAGCGCTCATCCTTGAGTCCTTGAACCGACCAATCATGGAGAAGTGCACACGCATGCCGACGGTCTGTGCTGTTGTCACACAACAAAACCGAATGCCCAAAGATAGAAGGATGATTTCCGTCTTGAATCCAATCGTTGCCGACAAGTGTGCTGCTTCATGTGTGGAATGAGAGAGATTCGCGCCAGTGATTGCACTATGGATTGTTTTGACCTTCCGGATCGGTCAAGCCACTTTCACCCCACCCTTGAACCGCGCAAAAACGACTTGGGACGTAATTCCCAGCTAGGATCAGGCACTTCTCAAGGTAATGGCAGGTTCACGTATTGCTTACACTGTTTGATGTATGCAATCTTAGTTCGAAGAGTGCGGCAAGCGAGATGTTTTTCAGCGTTAGAATATGTGTGTTCAGTTTGATTTACGCGCCTTGGCATGGCCATCCTCTACAGCTTTTCCGGAGGGTTCGAGAATGCATAGATTCTACCTGCCTGACTGGAAGGAATGGTTTGTTTCAATATTGTAACAATACCGTAATTGGTAAGCATCTACACACTTGTTGCACTGCAGTCAACCAGTTTTCCGGTTGATCAGCGGCAGCTAAAGCTCACAACAATTGAAGTGTAACAGGATAACAGACAATGCAGTACTACTAATACTTCATGCAGAGACTACCAGTTGTCACTATCTCGTTTACGAGCGTCACGCCGTGCTCGGGTCCGTCGCCAAGTTATTGGGCACTTGATCGCCTTTCAATACTGACAACGCCAAGCATGGGTCAATTCGCTGTGCAGACCTCCCGATCATTGCCACCTTGGTAATAGTGATAAATAGTCATCGCTGCACATATAGGACTCCCCTTGCCACGGCAACTCTCCAATTGTCTTTTTTTTTTTTTTTTTTTTTTTTGGTCCCTCTCAGGTTTCCAGCGGAAACAGGGCCTCCACTATCGCCCAACACCATGAGGCTGTCGCATCAATATCTTTCAAATCTCGAATCCAGTCTAGATAGAGACGTATTGTTTCCTTGGCATCGATAGCAAATTGATTACCTAGTAAATCATTCCTTATTCGGATCAATATCGGTACCTGCTGCGAAAGATGTAACAAGACCAGTATGCCAAAAAGATTCTGAGACCAGAAAACAATGCATGGGATGAGACGCTTCTTATCTCGAATTGGCGACATCGCCACCGGCCAGAGCAAAGAGCTTTGTAAACAAATGGCCACTCCTTCGGCATCCTCTTGTGTCATATGCTCCGGATAGTGTAATGCTTTGTATATGAATGGCCGGAAAATGAGAAACTTGACATAGAAATATCGGGTCCGAAGCATGGCGTTCTGGATGTCTTCAGCGTACAGGTAATCGGGTGCTGGATCGTTGATCGGCTCTGAACTAAAATTGACTTGCGAATGTCCATCTAATACTTGCTGAGAGTGTACCGGGTTGTTGTAGGTATTCAAATCTGTGCCTAGGAAAGAGTCGAATGGTGTATCTGCCCAGCTAAGATATGCAGGCAATAACCCACGCCATTGATCCAACTGTGCAGCTAGGTGTTTCATAGTCGTTATGACGGAGGACTGCGTTCCATCCAACGGTCCGGGAGTGGGCGACCCTCCAAATGGCATGTCGTTAACTACAGAAGGGCCATTAGTCACGGGCCATGGCACAAGGCTGAGCTAAGCGTCTTGTCTGGGGACGGGAGGCTATTCACCATTACTCAAGGTTGCATTGAATTCGACTGATAGCCTTCGCAGTGCTATCTGAGAAGCGAAATGCTCCTGAAAGTGAGATGCTTGGTTGCTGATATAGTCCTCCTCCGAGAAATCGCCGGCACTGAAGTCGGGAAGTCCAACGATGTCTTCTAGGTGCTGTAAACCCGTCGACGGGACATTGAATTCCAGATTTAGAAATCTATGGTCGTCAGAAATTCGTTGTCGGGGCTCATATCTGATATAACATACGTCTCCATGATCAGACAATGCCAGAAAAGCCTCCGCGCAAGATCTGCTCTTGGCGATTTCAGTTCCTCCGGATTGCTGAAACAAAATTAGCCCATGCATTGGACATAACTATTTCGATACAAACCTCGTCAAAAGAGCCTGACATGCCAATGATGCAGAGCTTGTCATGCGCCAGAATTCCTAGGTAGTCCGTAAGATGAGTTGCGGCTCTCTAGCCTAAGTAACAACCAATACATACTGTATGAAGACAACACGAGCCGTAGTAGAGCCTGCCTGAACCATTAGTGTGTGACATCGCGTAACGACACGCCGTGACTTACGAAGCCAGAACAAATAATTGCACGTTTTCAAGGCTGAAGTCCGTGAGATTAAACCCCATTCGTTTTCTGGCTTCGTTAAAGAGCTGGGAACCCGGAGGTCTTCCTGGGGATCCGCCTTTAACACCGCTGGGATGACCTCGAAAAATCACCAGAGGTTCACCTTCAGTGCCAGCTATGGCGACTTCACCAAGTGATAGCACCAAGAGTGCTAGTGTTGATTCCATGCCCTCGTCGAAGCCATGATTTGTGACCATTGGAAGTATTCGTGTCTGGAAGGACTGCCGATCGACGACGGGGTACAACAGGTTAAAAGTATCAAAGTAAGCTTTGCTCTGGCGGCTGATGGTTTCCCAGCTGAGGTCAATCGGGCCAAAGGTCATTTCCTGGTGGCCAGAAATTGAGGGACCCAGGCTCTCCAATATTTGCGTACCAAAGGTATCAGTAGATAATGGCGGCGGACCAGGCCTCAATCCCATCATTATGGCGAGCCCGTCTTTCTGCAGCGATGCGAAATTGATTTGCGAAGAGTCAAACTGCATTGTTTCGAACAACCGCTGCACGAAGGGCCAGGTGAGCATTTTGTACGCACCAGATACATATTCGTAGTGTGACTTGCTCGAAGTGTTTCGACGAAGTGAAGCGTGTGGGTTGGCAGTACTAGTAGGAGGCCATGAATTGGACCGACTTGGTTCGGCTGAAAGCGAGTCGGAGCCGTGGGTTTGGTGCGGATGTCTTGGTAATGGTTCGAATTGCGAAGATGGTGCCGTGCCCCTGATACTCAATTCGTCGACTTTTCTTTCGAGGCTTTTTAAGCGGTCCAGTATCTCTACCAAAGTTTTATCTTTTCTGTCATATGTCAGATGAAGTTAACCAAGGAACCACTATCCCGGATAAACAAAACAAATCTAAGGTAGTGTGGCGGGTTGCGACTTACTTTGTCGGCTGTGGCTCCCGATACTTGCAATCAAGCTAAGCCAGAGCGTCAGAATATCTTGACATCACCATCATCAGCTTGTCCGTACCTTCATTCGAACACAGCTCGCACATTTTGGCCGCTCCTCTGAGCATCGCTGTTTTCTCTGTAATCGTCAGCTTGTCAGACTCTGAGGCAAAGAACTGATACGCTCAAACAAGCTCTCTGGTACCATGCTGAGCGCTTGTCGTCGACAGCTTTGGTATTGCTGTGTGCTATCATACGCATTTTCGGATACCCTCGGCGTCGTCAACTCACCTGTCGGCAATTTTCGCACTGAAAGAATTAGGCGTAGTCAGTTTCTAGCAGATCTTGGATGGGCATCATGCATTGGGGCTACTGTTTGCCATTTTTGGCTCAGGAGAAAATAATTTCAAGTACAAGCTTGAGAGACGATTCAGAATGGTCATGAACTACTTACGGCTTGAGCCGCAATGGCTCCCCTCTCTTTCCTGCTGTTGATAGTAGCCGATGGACCAGCTGAGCTTGATGGAGTGCTGGTATTCATGTTTTTCTGTGGAGCAATACGTAGTACGCTCTGAAGCTACCAGACCTGTACCTTAAGAACCACGTCCGCAATGGAAGATGTATAACTGCTCGGCAAGGCCTGGTGTCATTGAGTGCGGATCAAGTCCGTTGGCTGGCGCTATAGGGATGACTGTCTGAGAGTTTCAGCAGTCATGATCGAGACGAATCCAGTATAAACTGACCTGCAAAGTGTCTTGCCCACATATCAAAGCATGCCAAAACTTTTGAGCGTTGATGCGCATATGTTGATACGAAGGTTCTATGCGTGACGTAGTTGTCGAGTGGACCGTCACAAGATTTGTGTGGATGTGTGACCTATTGCGTCCCTGAATATTTGTAGAACGGGCTATGAGCACAATGGAGAGCTCAGCTTTTAGTGAGATGTTCCGGGACTAGGGGAAGGGGAGCTGGTACCCGTGAAATATCGACAGAAGTCGCGTGAGTTGAAAGCAGCCGCGCGGAGTGAGTGCCGAATATTTTGATGACGGCGTTCGGTGGGTTGAGTACGGGGGCGAGTCCGGCTCCCCACCATCTTAGATGAGCACGGCTTCAGTAGAGTTTCTCTAGCTGGCACTCAGCATTTACATAGTAGAACACGGGCTTTCTGCCGAAAAGAAACACCGGGGAAAAACAATGTGGAAAGCTCAAAAGAAGCCTTCCCTGCATCATATACTGCTTCTGGGCGATAATATCAGGGAACCAACGCCGCAGTCAGCGGAACCGTTCGCTTAGTCCCAGGCGATCGTCCCTTCATTAACGCGATGCGCGACAAGCCAGGAGTATTACAAACTCACTCAAATTTAGCCACGTTTGCGCAGTTCCTGTTACATTTCAATGAAGCCTCTCATGTTTCAATGCATAATGGAGGTTTACGTCTTTACCTCACCGATAGGAATCGACAATGCCATGACCAAAATTCCACCCACAGCGTGGAACATGGGTCAAACTATGACCCTGGAACCGCGTAACGATTAGCGACAACCTCCCATTTACGTTGTGGCGGAGTACGACGATTGCCCTTATCCTCTTTATGTGGGGTGTGTAAGTCCAACAGCTCGCGGTTTAGGCAAGACTTGGTGTCGTTGTGCAGTTAGATACTTTCATTCTGACGGCATACTCACCCACGGTTGGCCATAGTTTGTCTAGCTGCCAGTATCTTCTCGCAATATCGGTAGTCGGTACCGCAGAGAGTTAACCAATACGGTGGACGGGAATCTGAGTAGCTTCTCTGAAGGTTGTAGTGATATTACAGTTGAGTGGATGCGTACGATCTCGAACAACGGAGACTTTTGGTTTAGGATTCGACTTCTTATAGCCAAAGACATGACAATTACGTCGAGACTACGACATTGGCCTTTATGGATGAGTTGCAAGCTACCCGCCTCTAGAGGCCTTTGTGAAAACTCAGGAAGCATACTTGCGCGACTCCTAAGCCATCAGTTGTAGTGGACCTATATTGAGAAGAATTGTTCCAGTAGCACCCGAAATTGAAAGTTAGGGTCGTGGTTCTTACAAAACATGTGCGCCATTCGAAATTCGTTGAAGTCCCGGATTCCCGTTCCAAACATCTGATGAGGAATAGTATTCGACATCTTCCTGGGCGATCTTCGAATGTCCTGCTTACAGCCCAGTCCCGTTACACTCGGAGGCTAACGCATCCGAAAGAGTTTTGCCCAAGAACACAAACTTTTTATCCTGCAAAACAAAGCAGCAAACCCGGTTGTATAGAAGCAGGCAGCATGTGCCGTTGATTTTCGAAAAGGTTCTATCCTCAGTATTGTTGCCTGCTTTGCAATCGTCCTGCCAGCTGCACATCCGTCGTACTCTACAGTTTGTAATACCATCAACGTCATACGGTCGTCGCTCGTAACTGTCACCCCAGCAACAGTCTTGAGCCACGCAATATCAACTAATAACGACCACTTGTTTCCACCAACGCAGTGCACGGAAGTCGATGTTCCATAACTAGATTACTACCCTTTCGGCTTTAGCAGTATGCGCACAATCATAAGCTCCCACGTGCTGGGGACGATATTATATTGTTCGTCGTGATGCTTCTGTAATTCAAGACTTTTGAGCCAAGACAATACAACTGAAACGGAGGTCTTTCCCGCCGCTGTCCTGTTCTAATTTGATGATCCTCCTCAGTCCTAACTGGAGAGCTCGTGGACTAAGCACATCCTCGTCTTCATCAAGGCCACCACGATCCAGTGGTCCCTTTCGCGAGCCTTCGAGCTCCCATAATCTTCCTTTCGCTTTGACATAGGCAACGAAGTGCTGACCGGTGTGCTCTGTAGACGGGAGAACAGGCGTGTCGCCGACTTGCTCAACAGACTTATGAGCCTCCTCGAATGGCATGCTGTTGTAGAGTATATCAGCACGCTCTGCCATCTTGAGCGGAATCGCGCTCTTTCGTATCACATCTAGGGCCGACTCAGACTGTATGTACTCAGCAGCCGGGCCGTTAATGGCACAGTGAATCAGACCGATAGAGCCACAAGCATTTCCTATGGTTTGTTTGAACCAGATCACGGGCTCGTCGGCTCCAGCACCTTCATAACTGCCTTTCCCTCTGTCCTCATATTGACGATCTTGGTTCCACGCTGGTGTTAGCGGGATGATGACAAGAAGTGCAAGCGCTGGGCGAGGAATGTGCGCCAAGAGCTCTGGTTCGTCAAGGGAATAAACGTCATAGAAGCAAACTTCTCCGGACAGTCCTAGCTTGCTAGCTAATTGGTTCATGACCTCCGGGTTGTTCTCTGCCCACCATCACTAGTTAGAGGGCTGGAGGGTTACTAAGAGCCAAGGAAAGAGTCTGGACCAGCCTCACCTAGCATCGCCCATTGTTTCTTTGCCTCCATGATTGCTGCCGTGTTTGAATATATCATACACGCCACGCCGAACGAATTGGATATAATGTTGAATTCAAATTGATTGCATGTAGGCAGATCCTTGTACCTTTCTGTGCGTTATCTGCTTCTCCTTCTTGCTCTCGTTGGATTAGATCTAGTTTGGTATCCTCAAGGCATCTAGATGTTTAGTCGCAACTGCTTGCTGTTTAAATATGTGTAAACGACGAGGTTAACCGAGCCTAGCCGAAACGATTGTCTTGTCGTCGCAAGAAGCTCTCAGGTCTTTGGTTGTGAGATTGGCAACATAATTTTCCCAGGCTCCTGGATCTCCAACTTGAAGCTTGCTGCAGGCAGCCCCAGCCCACGTCAGCTCCAGCCTTTCTTCTGTGGAGACCCCAAAATCTGGGGTAAGCCGCCTCGTCAAAAAGGAAGTTTATAAAAAGAAATTAAAAGGTTTGAGCCGGCAAGTCTGCTGGAAAGTGATCAGGATAATCACTGTCGCATGGGTTTTTCTATCTTCGAAACTCCCTGGTTCTGCCCAAAGCCTTTAGCATCACCTCAATATTGCTGATCCACTGTTGTGTAATCCCAGTCCGTGTAATATGCATACCGAATTGGCCAATGGAATAAAAGAAACAAGCCTGGGTCTGGCACGTTCCATTTCGTTCGACAACACGATCATACATAAGTGCCCAGGGATTGCAGAATATCATTAGCTATCCTTGACTGTTGTTCGCAAGGACGACCGCACGCTTCTGGCCGTTTCTGTGCTCCCAGTATTTTCTCATCTTCTGGCAGCAACCACGGCATAATTGGCTAAATTTCCTAGTGCGCTACGTATCTCCTCGTCAGAGAGCATAACCTCTGTAGCTGTAAGCATGAGGCTTCAATAAAAAAGTCTCCTGGGCCGAACGCGTAAGCTTCGATCTTACCATCACTCAGCCTTAAACAAAACGGCAATTATGGTATGGTTCGAGACACACGAAGGGGCTGTGAGATCGGTCAATATCTAGTGTCCGCGGCCGCAACTGATGATACATCGTTTGGGTGACCGAATGGAAGAGCCTGCTGCTGACCCGGCAGAGACTCCCGTGCCTGTGCTGTGGCAGTCTGCATTGTCAAAGACTATCGATCAGTCCTTTCAGTCTTCGCCGCTAGTCGAGGAACTGCGGTTGAGTAACCCGAGAGAATGTCTCACGACACTTGTTTTGTAGGGCAATGTTGTTGGCGACTATTTTTAGCTTGAGGCTGTCGTACTGTATGGCTGGGTGTTGACTAGCTCCCCAGCTTTAACTCTCTATACAATAGCGCGAAGTTTGATTGACTTTCTAAAAAAAATTAAATTTTTTTTTTTTGGAAAACTCATGTGTCTACATGAAGACACTATTTTGGGCTGGAGCTGTGCGTAAAACGTACTGCCAATCTGACAGGTAACGTTGTTCTGAACTGGCAGACCAACACCATGAGAGGATGACTGTGTCGCTAGCTTTACTTGACTTGACTAGTTTTCTTTATCTCGAGAGATATTATTTTCTGAGTGATCATTTACAACTCAACAGTACGGTACCGCTAATGCGCTTGTAGTCCAAAACCGTGGCTGTGGTAAGATGTACAGCTTCGTCTACCACCCTCTGAGTGTTTGCAGCTTCAACAGCTACGGCAGTGCGGGCTCGGACCGGTAATCATATGCTTACTAGGCATTCTCATCGCTTCAGAAATCAATATCCCAGAGTATATAAAGAGAAAGAACACCGTACGTTGAATCTCCAGTTCACCAATTCAGACACATCCATAACTATAAAACAATACTTTACAAACAGAGTAATTTCTCACTGTTCAATATCAAAATGCAATCCTTCGCTTTGGCCACCATCACCTTCCTCGCCGGCACTGGACTGGCAGCTCCATCGATCAACGCCCGCAGCTATGTCCAAGTCCAAGTTCAGTTCCAGGGCGCTGCTGGTGTCGCTCAGACTCAGTACGTTCCGGCTGACGGTAGCACTTATCCCGTTTACTCTGACTTCAGTGTTTCCCATATTGCTATCATCAACGATGTCCCTGCAAGCGTCAACTGCTTTGCTGAGGGCGTTGATGGCTCTGAGACCTATACTTATGGCACTGAGACCGTCGACGTTGGCCCACCTCAAGTTCAGATGTCAATCAGCTGCTATCAGAGCCCGGCCTGATAATTTGGACAATGCTGATGGATACCTACGCGACAAATTCTAGCGGTATGTTACCAGTAAATCTGGTTGTTCGGATTTGGAAACGGGATCTGGAGGGGCGTTTGGGTAAAAATGGACGCAAGACATTCTTTCGCACACACTTCGGGTGGCCACCCATATAAAACCAAGTTTCAATATTCACTATAGACAATTAAGAGTTTCAACAACATCATTATACAATATTGTATTGTGCAAAAGTCATCAGCAAATGTGTCAAAATACATTGCACCACCGCTGCAAGCAATGTTTTTTTGTGGATGTACAATTAGGCTGACAAGATGCGTTGTCATCTGGATGAATTCCCACACAAACACAAAAATATTATTTGTGTGGAATGGCTTCTCCATTCATTTCTTTCCGTACAGTTTGGGCGACAAATAGATCTATTCAGCGCTATCGTACGAAAGGAAGAAGGGATTCTTCCCATCGTACGCGATCTACAGATAGGGGTTTGGCCTATACGGCTGCAAGCTGCCGACAGCCACGGTGTGGCTGTAGTGGCTTGCCGTCAGTACGCCGGTAACTAGCTAGACTATATGGTCGTGCGAGACCGCGGATAACCATATTCCAACAATTTGATGATTTTTTATTATTGCTATTATTTAGGTCTCCATTATTTTTGGGAATGGAAGAGAATCAATCAAGTGGCAGCCGACTGGGATTATACCCGCGCTTGTAAATAACTCAGACATAGAAGTGACAGAAAAGAGTGCATTTTCATTGATACCACCAAGGTAGCAAGAACAAATAATAACCATTGTATAAATTGGTCTACTTTTATATCAGCTTGATGAGTGTGGAAATTAAGATAAGATAGATAGGGGTATGCGTAAATTTGGCTACCAGTGAGTGTCCAGTGACTGCAAAGTAGGAAAAAGTAACAAGAAACTATAGGCAAATGTAGCCCTTCGACAATTCAATTTCCATGAGAAATCGAATCGAAATTGATTGGAGGCAGCTGATTAGGCGATACAAAATCCTCATGCGGCCGTCGTGCGAAGACCATCCGCCACGCACATTCGTCGTCTATTCCTCGATATAGTATGTCTTTGCAAGACGGATATCCATTTTCTGGACGCCGTAGTTCGACTCCAAGTTCAGGCCCATGGAACCATTGTTGTATCTTTAGGACCAAAGTATCACGATCAACAACCGGTCCATGATGATTGTCGGAAATGTACTCATCCTCACTTGAAGATTGCTTGTACATAGAGACCTCGTTCAGTTCGTCAAGGAAGCCATTGATGAAGATTTGTCTATTAATAAAACCTTCGCTCTCAATCTCGATGGCCTCATCCTGAATGAGTGAACTCACCAAGCCTACCTTCGTTGTGTGGGATTTTCCCGTGCATGACCAAGTCTGTATTTTTTTCATCCCCTGCTCCGGTAGACCTCGCACTGCAATAACCGTAGTTGGCACGCCTGCGAGTATCTTCTAAAGCAAAAGCTTCGTCTTTCCAGGCGTGGCCTTCCGATATCCAACGGTGTACACCGTGCCTAGCAGCACTGTAGGTGGAAAAGGACGAACAATCTCCACTGGAGTGACTGTCAGTGAGATGGCTACGGAGGACTTCCACATTGTATTGGAGTAATTATCCTTTGATACACTCAGTGTCCTTTAAATGATTATCGCGGGCGGTGTTCTTGCGGAGCCACCTAATCACGTCGACCATGGTCTATCGCATTTGACTTGGTCCACATTCTTGCTGTTTTGCAGCTTCGGGTTTGCCGTCCGGGCCTTAAAGACTCAATGATATGGATCGAGTGATCTAGAAATGACTAGCGCGATTTGAACAGAGGACATTCATATATATGTGCCGCTCTTCTTCGTCTTCTATGACGGTCCAATTGGCAAATAAATTCAGGGCACGGTTCGCTCGTATGATGGACTTGGAGATTCACAGGGCCGGCGTCAGTCGAATCCCTATAGACTCAAAACATATATCTAACAAAGCTTGAGAAAACAAAGTAGTTGGCCAAGAAAGGCCCATTATTGGGGAGACATGGCATTGACGACAGGAGTTTGGATCACTTCCTTGTTCATGACAATAAAGCAAACGGTCTTATTTAATCTGACGCCTCAACGCTTGACCTTACATTATGTAAAATCTTCAAGTATCATATCATCAAGACCTCCTTCTGACTGCTTGGAGCTGTTGGATTACCCAAGTCAGATCGAGACATCCTTAGCATTTTCCGAACAAAAAGCTACAGCAAACAGTCAGATGTGTAAGGTTATCAAAGCAGTCTGTATGCACTGCGAACGTATCGAAAAACAACACTCGAATTGCGAAACCTACAAAAAGCAAAAATCGTCTTTTCGTAACAAGTTGCTCGGTACTTATAAAGGGCGAAAGGACTGCGGATCTGTCCAGAGACTTCCCCTGTCTAGGCCTAGCTGCGACAGATGTTCTTTCGGCAGCACGGTACTTGCGAGCCAGCGTGTCGGAAATGGTGCACACCTCTTCTACCGCCTGTTGGTTGATGAGAGTTTTCAAAAAGAGCATCACGATGTTGTAAGTGAATCATCCAAAACTGGAAAGAAATTGTTGAAATCACATGGACATCCTCGTCATGAGGTGATATCGAGCAAAAACTCTGTATGGTGTCCAGAATATTACTATCATCCCAATACCGTAGCTGGAGTGAGCTACAGCCGGCCAAGCGCAGCAGCACCCCCGGTAGCACCACCGCGGGCCCAGGAAAATACTAAACGGCTTGACGGCCGATCTCCTGGTAAGTCATCATCTCATAAGTCCTCTCGTGAGACCCGTAAACACAGCGGACACGGTAGCAGGAGTGAGCCTCATGAGGGCTATCAGACAAAGGGGTGGGAAGATGCTCACAACACTTGGAATGCCCCGGGCGTTTTGAGCGTCTCTGCAGACAGGACACCTGCTTTCGAGAGGATCGGCGCCCCCTCCCCTTCTCAGCCTTTACAAAAACCAGTCGAGCCGCGGCCGGCACTGAAGCCTCGTGGTCTTCATCGTGATAGCTCGGCTGGGTCCCCGCCACCTGCTGATCGGCCACAGGTACCCAATGTTAAACAAGGTCTTTCAGCAGCCTATAAACGTAAGCTTCCAATGGCTGGGCAGCGCCACGCTGCTACTAGTCCCTCGGGGCCACGGCCGCCTAGACCAGCGTACGAAGTCTACCTCGATGCGCAAAGAGAGACCGAGAGAGCATATGCATTGCGCCAATACAAACCAATTCCAAGGGCACCCCATATTCCTGTACACGCCTCAGTCCACACTCGTGAGTTATTAAACCAAGCTGGGACGAGGAAGATATGGAAACGCGTGGCAGGAGATATGGGTTTCGGTTTCGGTTTACATAATCCCGGGGAGACAGACTCCGAGGTCTCATTCGCCTGCGGTGCAGCACGTGAGATCGAGCGTGGCATCCCGGGAGCAAGGCGATAGCTGCCACTATTGATGTGCATTTTGTTCACATAGTGTTTTTTATCCCCCCAACCCAAAGCAAAAAAAAAAAAAAAAAAAAAAAGGGGGGGGGCCGTTGTTCCATTATTTTTTCATTTTCTGAAGGTTAGGGCAAGTTTGTTTTTATCATTCATGGTATATATCATAACCCGAAATACATGTTCCGCTGCCGCTAATCGCAAGTATCAAACCGTTGATGTGATCTTGAGGTCTGGACAGGGTTCTCTCTACAGTGTCGATACTCCAGTGAAAATGTAGAAAGCGTAATAAAGCGAAAGGGTATCATTCGGTGACCAAAACACTACTACACGTCCATCTCGTTCTACTCAACGACGTCCTCTGCGCCAGGTCAGCTTTTCGATGTGCACGGCAGCCTGAGACCTACTATTCGGGGGGTGTTTTGTCTTGGCACTGCTCGGTGACTAACCACAAGGCTGTAGCAGTTGTACACTACAGATGGTAGAGCATAGTTCTGGGACTTGTAGGAGAAGCTCCTCTTGGCATGCCATGTTAGAGGTTGTGCTGTATTGGGTGGGTCCTATTGGGTTGGTAAGGCATGCCGTTCATTGCGCCTTTCCATTCTTGGGAGGGTTCTGTGCCTTTCGTGCTCGAAACTTGGCGATCTCGACCTGGACGGCGTTGTCTACGCGGCTCTGCAGCTCTCGTCGGTAACCGAACTTGAAAAGCAGCTCAAGCCAGACAAAGAGTGGTGCGAGGAAGACGGCCTGGACAAGGTTGTCGAGAAGAGCGGGAGCTCGGCCCTCGAAGGCGCCGTGTCCCAGGAACTGAAGTAGCCAACAGATGATGTGCGTGGCGATGGCGATTTGATTTGTCTGGGTAGGGTTTCCGAGCAGGGCCTTGTTGGAGGCGGCAGCAGCAGCCAAGCACATTGCGCCGAGGACGGTTCCTGCGACGGGCTCGAGTAGGACATAAAGTACCGCATAGGCAACAGCGGCGAGGGTGCCCAGGTTGAGGTCGAGGTAGGGCACAGTTAGAGCGTCAGGGAGCGGGATGAGGGTGCCGGTATTTGCTGCCTTTAGACGAGGATTTCGCTCAGCTTTGGGGTCCTGTGGTAATACCTCGACTTGAAGGGTCGTAAGAGGCCTGTACATACCATGCAAAAGCCTGAAAACAGGATCAGAGGCACACATGTCATATGAATAGCAATGTTGACCGCATTGTGATGATATGCACCATACTAATTGATGGCGGGAGATTAGCGGTCGTTGTTATTATTACTGGTCGTGTGCGATGCGATGCGACGCGATGCTATGCTTTGGGCGGAGGGTCCGGCAGGGCCTGGGATAACTTACAAAGGTAAGCTGCTTTTCTAGGTTGAGAGACATTGTTGCAAGTTGATGTGTCCTGAGGGAGCAGAATATGATGCCGGGAAGTGAGAGTAGTTGTTTGCTTAGGATCGGGCAGGAAGTGAGGAGCAAATGGAATCACTACTTGGTGTATTCGTGATGAGCATAAGCATAACCTTGTCCAGGGTGAGCAGTCCGACTGCTTGAAGCAGTGGTGCAGTGCTGTGCAATGCTTGTGCAGTCGCCAGGCCAGGTCGCTAAACCCCGGGCATTTTTCTTTTTTGGAGCAAATACCTAGGTTAGGTTACCCAGCAGTGAGGTTAGTCTAGGTTAGGAAACTTGCCGTCCCTCTTTCTGGTGGGGAATCGCCAGAGACGATGGATGGGCAGATATCCATGAGATGTCGGCTCCGTAAGAGGATTCAAGGTATCAGCACTGTATACATACATGTAACTCCATGGCAGCTTACAACTACGCTGGAGAGTCATGCTGAGCTTCAGCTCTTTGATGACGTAGAAGCCTCCGAGGTCATTCATTGCTTTGATCATTTCGATGTCTGAATTCCCAAGCAACTGGGTGCATCACCCAGGTAAGACAAGTATGAAGGACAGGGCACAGGACGCTAAAGCTTTCTTGCCCTGGCGCCTGAGCAGCACATAACTACACGTGGTCTAGCATCAGCATTAGCGCGTTGACCATGCTAAATTGAGCAAAGACGTATTGAACAACGAGGCTGATGTTTATGCAATTAAGGTTCAGCAGCCTGGCCGTTTGGTTGCTTTGCTTTGCTTTGCTTTCGCCCTAACTTTTGGCTCTCTGGTGTTGGCTCTGGCTTTGGCTCTGGCTCTGGCTTTGGTTTCGGTCGCGATTCGCTACATTCCTGACGCCAAAATTCACCATCGCCATCACCATCGCCATCACCATCGCCAATCTTTCACCGTCCCTTGCGCATTTGCTGGTGACAAGTCGCGCAATTTGGGCGCTGCCTGCATCCGTTGAAGGCCGTTCACAGTTTCTAATTTCTCCCAAGCTTGTTCTGGTCCTGACCCTGTTCCTACTTCTGGCTCTGGCTCTGGCTCGAGGTTCCTATTTCTTTGCCAGCATATCTAGATGATACCCATAATTCTGTGAGCCACCCGTGCTCTTTTCTTGCAGAAGCATCGCAGCAGTTGCGATTTCCTCGACCGCCGGCAACAGTAGCCTCCATACGTGCGATTGACCTACCGTTCTGCTCAAGGGCGCGCAAAGTATTCTGCGCTCGGAAAACCAGCGCCACACTGGATTGCGATCGATCGATCAATCAATCGACCCCCCGAACGCTTGCCGGGGCACATCTCCTGACGCGTCGTTATCAACACTTGTTTCCTCATCCAGATACTCTGAATACCTTCATATATCTTCATACAGATACAGGACACCTGTCGCCGTCGCCATGTTCTTCCTCTACACCCTCGAGCGCCGGGTAACCCTCCACCCCTCCTACTTCGGAAAGAACATGCACGAGCTCGTCACGGGGAAGCTATTGAGCGATGTCGAAGGCACTTGCACGGGCAGTTACTATATCATCACAATCATGGACACCTTTGACATCTCTGAGGGGCGCATCTTGCCTGGAAGTGGATTGGCCGAATTCACTGTGAGGTACAAGGCTGTAGTCTGGAGACCCTTCAAGGGAGAGACGGTATGCCTGCTGCCTTTCGCCCTTTGCCAGGTGCAGCTATGCTAACCACTTTCAGATTGATGCCATCGTCGTCTCAGTAAACCAGCACGGTTTCTTCGCCGAAGCTGGTCCTCTCAGAATCTTCGTCTCCTCTCACGTATGTGCATCGTAAGTCATGTGCTGGGACTGGTCCAAAGGCTGACACACAGGACTTAGTTGATACCCGGCGATGTCAAGTGGGATCCCAATGCCACTCCTCCCGAGTTCACTAACGGTGAAGACATGCACATTAGAGTTGGAACTCACACACGTATTAAACTGCTCGGTACTCGAGCTGAGGTGGGTGAGCTGTGGGCCATCGGCAGTATCAAGGAAGATTATCTTGGGTAAGTCAGATATCCGGTCACTTCTGTTCTTACACTTTTCTTTCCATGAAGCAACGGTCGTTAACATGTGACCATAGACCTTTGGAATAAGGTGGTCTACATTCACATGTATATCGCTTCCATTCGAAACTAGGTCGAAGGCTGGGGTGACGTCTTTGACATCAGATCGACCTGTGGGCAAGCACGTAGTCGGTAAGGGCTGGGGGACAGGGATCGACATGAAGAGTCTGCATCTATCATCCAGGGTATACTCATTACTTTCCCGACCTCAAGGTAAAGCCGGCCTGTTGCATTCCGAGACTTGCCTTGCTGCCGTATTGGTCCAAAACGAAGTGCCAACGATGATTTTGGCCTACTAACTTTTGTGCACCGGCAAGCTGTACTTTTGGCTATATTGTGGACTTCCACACTAGCATTCATAAAGATGGAACCCCTCCTGAGCAGGCTTTTATCCAAATAGCTAATCTGCATATGCAGTGGCCGCCTCTGCGTCATGACCAGGATATGACACTGGGAACAATGCCGGCTCGTACTGGGTCGCCTGTCTAAAAAGGTGTTCAGCGTTGTTGTATCCATATAGGATTACCGCCAATTGAGCTCAGTTTCTGCAATCTGATAACCGGGTGCCAATCTGTGAACCATCAAGAGGTGCTGTTTGTGACTTGTGCTAGTGTTTGCTTGACGGCGGGCTTGTGGCTTTTTTGCAATCATAAACTGCGCAATTTTCTGAGAGGAAAAAGAATTCTCCTTTTTTTTTTCCTGTTTTTTTCTTGTTTCCTTTTTCCTCCTTTTTTTTCTTCTATCTGTTTGTTTCTAACACTTACACAACAGGCAAGGCAGTCCAAGTACCCATGCAGACATCTCCAACAAGCCTAAGCCGTTCAAATGCCCAACGACTCCAGCGGTCAACTTCAGGTTGATCCGACAGTGGAAAATGCAAGGGGCGTGGAGCTCGTACCATACCGACGGGTCAAGACTAATCATGGTCGAGAACCGAGCTATTGCCACAGTACGGACGCCAACATTAAATAGTTACCAACATCGATAATACATATCAATGCTGAGGTTTCATTTGCTGGTTTCACGGGTAGTCGATAAGCCCCTTGTAATTGAACTGCTGTGCCACTCCTAAGCGACCTATGTTACATTGAAGCGCGGCTCACGCGCTCATGGAAATATACTGCCGGTTGGTTATCTGTCAACGCGGCTGTAATATGTGCCCATCACGACTTCCCAGGTGCATCGGAAGCAGCGCACGTATAGCTTGCACCTTCTGGGCTTCACTTCAACATATGCATCAGACTTTCGGCCACACTTCAACATATGCATCAGACTTTCGGCTATTTCTTAGCAACCCAGTCATTTGCGTTGGCACAAATACACCTCAAAGTACACTGACTTCCTCAGCCGCTGCCCCGAGTCCAAAGGTAACTTGTTGCGATCCTTGATCTTCTAGTCTAGTTGCAGCGTAAATCCTCCCAGGCAGATCGCATGACGCAAATCTCTCAACAGCTAGGGTGGCACAGTTCAAGCAGACCTGGTCGGCTTCCCGCCATGATGGAGATTCGCGTCCAGACGTGAATACTTAGTTTCGGGGGAGTATGCCGGGTGGGGTGGCTGTCATGTTTGGCCCCATCATATCCTAGTCTTAATACCTTCTCGCTTCGTTATGTTGCTAATCCTCACAAGTAAGAACATCAATCGCGCGCATGACATCTGTCATCCAGTTTTGGCTGCCGGTGACTCCTACTAGTCTTGATACCTAAGTGAATGCTGGTTGCGGACTTAGGTTATGGCCATGGCACTGTTCGGAAGTACAACAGAATCAACAGCTGTGTGCGCATAACCGGACCCCGAAAATATGGCTTCTCGCCATGAAACAACTTCGGCCCCAGCTTTGTCCTTTTTAGACAGCACGTACTGTACAGGTCGATCATATTACCGCCATGAAGGATATGTCCTTGAGGAGCGCGGAGTGTTGGTAGATATCCAACATGAAACTACCTTGTCCCCCGGCTTAGGCAGGAAAGTGAAAACCCAATCAAGACCTTTGAAGCCAGTGAATGAGTACTTCAGACCAGTCCCTGAGGGTTTGAAACTTCGCCCTTGCTGCATCTACCAACGCTCGGTCTCGGTCCCTGTCCTTGCCACGCTGGCCGTTCTCGGTCGGGTATCTGACGACATAGTCGGGAATGACTACACCGGTTCTGGTTCCACATTACGTCCACACGTAAACCCAGCCCCTTTGAGCAAACGGCTTTTCTTCAAAATTCATGAAACAAAGGCCAGCATTCGTTGAACGCCGTTTTCCCCCCTGAAGACGCGTCAGTTCTGATCCGACATTTTCTTCACTAATGTGTTTCCGCGCGCGAACTACAGCGGGCATGGGCATGAGAAGGTTTCCGTACGGCCCGCTCCGTAGCCACTGCTCGCACTACTACTGTTCCAGTCGAATCGCTTCTACTATCAATAAGGGATAGTCTTCGGCAACTCTTGGCACATGGAAGTCTCCAACTCTCTGCCGGCCGTTTTTCATCACGATGGGTTGATTGCTGGAAATCCGCGCTGAAGAGCTGCAGGTTGACGAAACAACCATGTTGCAGCCTTTTCTATGCGTCCAAGGCTGTTGTATAGTGGATACCACAGTGTGTGTGTGGCACTTTAACAACAATTTTATGATGCAGTGGCAACCGGACGATTCTGACCAATCATTGCCATGACGAACGTTGTCACATCGACAACTGTAAATCATATTCGCATGACAGCGGCTGGGCCGTTTATCATGCTGCATGTCAGCCAACAAAGACCACTCGCTAGGTTCGACGTGAAGTATACAAAACGTCATGGGTTGTCAGTAACGATCTGTAGGACAACGGTGCTTCGCTATGTCTCTGCGCTCAGATCATTAAGCCATGAGCAATTAGGCTTGGAGGCTTCATCAGTGCTCAATAACCGGAATTCGAAATGTGTCCTACCCGGCACAAAAGTTTGACCTATAGAGTATCAATATTGCATCTTGTGATAGGGTAGTTCTATCCGACGTTGTGTGCGGCGTGGATGTTGTCGGTGGGCCCGAATTGCCCGTGCCCAAAGGCCTGTGATTAACTATGCGACTGTCGAAACTCAAGCATCCATAATTCGTCATGTTACGGAATTTGCTGCCAAAACCATGAGATCATTGGGGGCACCGACTGGGCAGGTGGTTGCAAATCAAGAGCGGAACCTTGGACAAGTTCGGAAGGGGCTTCCAAATTGCCAATTCGGAACAAGGCGAACCGTATACTCGGTAGCCAATGATAACAAACGTGTGCTTCCCCACACAATGCCTTGTATGGAGGATTGTACAGCAATTTGTTAACTTTAGCCTGGTGAGCTTCTGCGTTCAATCCTAGGCGTTCTTTTGGAAGCAGACCGGTCGATATTCTGAGGCTTGGACAATCCCTACGTGCTCTGCTTGTTGGCGCTAACGTGGGTTTCTCTGCAGGCTCGTCAATCTGTGCAATGGATTCACTCACTCATTGGCGATAGCTCTTCGCCATATGCCCGCCCCTTCATGACCGGTCATAGATGGAAGACTGGCTTCGCCCCCACCAGTTGGGCTGTGCAAATCCTCAGTTTTGGTTGATCCTTGATGAATCACGCCTCTGTACGTTGAGCAGGTGGGACGCAAGACAAGACGTTCTGGATAATAATAATACTCACATGAAGGACTTATCTCAATTACCAATACCCAGACTTACCCCATGCCCCTTCACAAAGTTTGCCTTGACACAACTAGGAAGGAAAATAAGGACTAAAGTTTAGAATTTAACAACCAGAGCCAATTGACAATATCCGGGAGTTTGGTCACAACATGCAAGTATCAACAATTGCAAGTCGTTTAATGCTCCTTCCCGCATCAAATGGATCATAGGCTAATGCAAGCCGGGCCAACCCCTGATGTTTATGCCTGTTAGGCCGTAAATACGCTCACAACCACCGCTGTTGGACCCCAACCAAGAGGTCTACGGCAATTTTCATGGAGGTCGGGACGTCTGTGAGTGCTATCCGGTCTGTCGGATCAAAGCCCGGCAAGTCATGTGAGGAGTTTGGATATGTGTGATGATGCAGCCTTCATACAGCATGACCAGGGTCAAAGAAGCTAGCAGCCACCCCGGCTTCTCTGTTTGTATTGATCCAACTGCTTGCCATGAACTATTGCCACTGTTGTAGAATGAGAGTAAGAAACTGCTGCATTCCAAAAGATAATATCACAAACTATGAGTAATTTCCGAACCTGTGTCTTCGCCGCTTGTGTTGGTACTATCACAATATGGAGAATGGATCCCTAAAAAAAAGTATAAAAACCCTGATCCTCAAAAGCAGGTCTCGAAATGGGCCAACCCCTAAGACGGCATGTTCTCCAAGCTTCAATTGAAAGACTAAATTGTCACCGGCCGGTATCGAGCTATTCCATCTGTTTTATAAGTATCATAAGAGAGCGAATAGATCCTTTCACTTGTGAGCTATCTCAACAGTCTCTACCACAACCCCCAGCCTCGCGTGCCACGTTTCTGTACTACCGACTATTCAAAGACCTTGTATCACGGTATCGCGAGCATCCTATTACCTAAGGTTCGTCATATTCAACTATTATAAGTAGCTGATGCTTAGTTATTGCAACAGAACCTATAGAACATAATGCTGCTGCATTTTTCGACATCGTTGCGCTCGTCTGCCCGCAAGCAATGCAGCGGAATGACGAAGCTCGACGGAAGACGTCAGGAGATAACGAGACAACTCAGCCAAAGCTGCATTGCCAGAGAGAACGTCTGTAAACTCTCGTACAACAAGTGTTTCCCGAACCGTCAATTGTCGACGTCGTCGACGAGATTGGCTCGTGAGATCCCTATACCAGAATTCCACCCGGAAACCCCCATTGTACCGCTCATGCCAGTACCCTTACCACAAGACAACCACGAATTTTGGCGGAAGATACCCATGTGGAAGGATGTTTCCGCCGATCAGTTTATGTCGTGGTCATGGAGTGTAAGTGGAATACGCGCCCTAGCCACGGACGCCTCGCTAAGTCATGAGTAGCAAAAGCACCATGTTCAACTGCATACTAGATCGAACCCTGACCGGTTTCGAAGCCTCATCAGTGAGCTCGTGCCTGATCACGTACCTTTTGATAAGAGTATCGGTCAGATGCAAAGCAAGGAGGAATTCATCGACGATGTACTTGCCGGCTTTGCCTGCTCCACCATGTCAGTCCGTTTGATGTAAGTTGAGCCGCAAATTCCGTACTGTTGTCAGAAGACTGATACACTCATGAACATAGGCCGTACATGTTCAGTAGAATCAATTGGAACGATCCTCGACACGACCCCATCTTTCGCCAATTCATACCACTTGGCTCAGTGATGCTTCCGGATCATCCCATGTGCAAACTAGATTCCTTACATGAAGGGAACGATTCCCCAGTACCAGGTCTGGTACACAGATATCCTGATAAGGCACTTTTTCTAGGTACGTCTATCGAATAGCCTTTTGCCATATCTACACACCCGCTAAGGACGGACCAGCAACATCTATATGCCCGACATACTGCGCTTTCTGCACCAGGTCATACGGAGTTGGTGCCGATACCGTAGAACTTGAGAAAAATCTCGAGTTCAGACAAGGCAGGGCTCGTTGGGAAGCATGCCTGGCCCATATCGCAAAGACTCCCGAGATTCATGATATAGTCATCTCTGGGGGCGACTCATTCTACATTGGACCGCAGCACATCATCGAAATTGGCTTGCGCTTGATTAACATGCCCAACATCAAGAAGTTTCGTTTCGCATCCAAGGGACTAGCTGTCAGCCCCGGACGGTTTCTTGATCCCAACGATAAATGGACGGATGCTCTAATTTATGTAAGCCAGCAGGCAGAGAAGGCAGGCAAAAGAATGTCACTGCATACACACTTCAACCACCCCAATGAGATCTCGTGGATTACGGAGAAAGCTAGCAAGAGATTGCGAGATGCCGGTGTTACGGTTCGCAATCAGAGTGTGCTTTTGCGGGGTGTCAACGATGATGTACAGACCATGGGCAGGCTCATCCGTACGCTTTCTGACACCCTAAGGATTCAGCCGGTATGAATGCTCTGCCAATGGCGAATGGATGTCCCGAATACTGACAGTGTTGTAGTACTACGTCTACCAATGCGACATGGTACCCAAAGCAGAGCATTTTCGAACACCACTGCGGACGTTGATCAACATGGAAGAGGAGCTTACCGGTTCTATTGCCGGGCACGATCTTCCCAAGTTCATTGTGGACTTGCCCGGCGGAGGAGGGAAGCGAAATGCACAAAGCGGCAAGTTTGACCCGACGACTGGTATATCTCATTTCAAGGCCCCAGCTGTCAAAGGGGGCGATACGATTTACACGTACCATGACCCAGTGAACTCCCTTACCAACACCCATTAGGGTGACCCAGGTCTATTTGGGGAGATGTCTGGCGAGCTGAGGCGCAGCATTCAATTTTATATTGACTTTGGGCCAGCGTGTAAAGCACAGGTCGAAATGTGACGCAAGAGTCATCGGCGAGACGCGAACACCAACTATTCTCCATTGAAGGGAATTATCCATCCTTGATTTTGTTATTGTACCCATTTTGGGAATACCTATTCAGTCAGATTAATGCCTTATCTGTTATCAATTGATACTACTCGTGAATGTGATATGTCTGATTAGTGTAGAGCTCTCTTTGCGTCTACAGGCATACGGATCCTCAATACAACTCAGACTACCACTTGCCCAAGTCCCGTTTGTGACCCGAATTTGACTTGAACGTTCATAGCAAGGTCGGGTATGTTCCTATAAACTGGATGGCAATGTGTGAGCTGGTGCCTAGTTTAACCAATACATCGATCGTGTAGGGCGAAATTATCGGCAGGTACTTCCGATGCCTGTGACATCACTCATGATTGTACATAATGCAATGAGAAATGGTCTGTATACCACCTGGCGGAATCTGGTTACAACATAATGCATTATGATTTGATCAATTGGGTCTCAGGCATTATATTTGCTGCATCAAACTTTGGACCGAGTATCGTCAATGTCCTGTAACGAATAATGAGGAATAAAATTGAACCATTCCTGGTGAAGCGACACCCACCTTGACATATTCAATCGCTCAGAGCACTGTTCGGAGGCTGAGTGATATACATGGTTTGGATGCTATTCACGGTTCGTGTTCTTTGTCGCAAAATCATAGAGAACGTTCTAGCCAGGTGTAAAGAGTCTCGATTCTGGAGTCAGGACGTACGTACAAAAGTGGCTGATCTTTAATCATTGGAGCTTGCCAGGAAACCCGACAATCTGGTTCCATAAACGCTTGTTGCAATCAAAGTGGACACAGGACCCTGACTGAGCAGCTCGAATGATAAGAATGAAATTAGCCATCGCTGAATACGATGCCTGGACTTCGGGAGTTGAAGACCCAAGATTTGATGTCTCCTCATAGCAGACAAGCCAGCTTAAAATAGCGTCAGCCCAAATCATCAGCACAACCGAAATGACGAGCATGCCAAGCACGTTGACATAGGAGTTTACGCAATCACTTTATAAGAATGTCCAATGCTGTGCGTATGATTTTAGTGTTCATATCGTGGTTCATGAAAACCCAGGATTTTGATTCATATAAATTCCTTTTTTGAAAGGGCAACTTGGAATACCCGTACGGTGTAAATTCGGGGAAACGTGAGACAATAAGACAGATGGCGGGAGCCCAGACAGTAGCTCGGCTCACCACAATGGTACCTTTATCCAAGATCGACAATCAATTCGTCATACGATAGGCGTGGCTCACAATGTTTTTTAAGATCGGTTCTCGCAATGAAAAGACAGAAGATCTGACTACTCACGAAAAGGGGACAGATCGCCGTACCACCGTTTATCTAGAAGAAGACGTTAATCGACGAATAAACCCGTGGACGTGGATCGAATTGATAGTGCATGGAGAAGAACGCGGATCGTTACCGTAGCTGGCTTTCATATCGATTGACCCTTGGCAAGACCTGATCAGCTTGACAAAAAGGGTAATAGAAGACCAGGAACAGTACTTTAGCGTCTTGGAGACTTTCCAATCCCACACACTCGGACCAGTGGCATCAAGCCACCAAGCCCACAACCGCCGTTGACACATTGCTTAGTGGATCTTCCATGGAACTTCCGTAGTCGATCATTGGTTTAGTCCAAGGTTGTCGCTGGCATGCTCCAGGCACAGCTGCGTCAACCTATCCCCAACTGTGACTGGGAAAGGCCCATCAAGGGAATGAACCAATCTTGTGAACCGAAAGCTGGAAATTCGTCCAAACCCCTTGTCAGTCTTGGGCCCACGAGGCCGTGGTACGCTCACGACCCTGGTCACGATGGATATTATGACCCTAAGAGGCTGTTGTGCTTGAACATGGGCGCTTCGAATAGACCCTGGTTTCTGAAAGGCGTCGGGTGTGTGATTGACACTAGAAAACTGTCGATCCAGAAAAGACTGAAGATGTAGCCTCCGCCGCACCCTCTCCTTCTGTACGATAATTTCGTCGATACGTCAACTCTTATTTTCTCATGTTGTGGTGTGTTGCTGACTACTACTGAGGGTCCGTGAGTGCGCTGGTCTCTGGTCGATACCGGCAAAGTAGAACGCCGAGGTCTAATTGATTTGAGTTACCACGGATCCAAACAATGGCGCCGGCTCGTTCCTTTGGCACCAATATAGGGCCCATGAGGACGCGGCCCAGTCCAGTTGACCTCAGCACGACGGCGGAATATCATCATAGCCTGCGTGGCCAAAGTCGACAAAGCGATTCAGAACGGTATCCGGAAGACCCGCAACCACACGACGATTGGGCAAAGAAGTCTACAACACGCCGATGGATTCCAGTTAGACCCAAGACAAGCGACTCCATCACCAGAGTGAAAAGATCGGCCGGCAAGAGAGACATAATCATCGATTCTCCATTGCAGCTATCCCGTCGACAGGTTGAAGAGTTCGAGACCCTGCCAATAGCTGTACGCCGCAAGGTTAGTTAGTAATTTATTTCAACCCGCCAATTTATTTATTTCTTGTCCTTTTTCCTTTTCCTTTTGCTTTTCCTCCTTCTATCAGAGCACGGCCGTTGCAACCAGCTTCAGCGTGTGCTTCTGACAAAGACGTCAGCAAGAAGCAACATTCTCTGTCTTAGTGAGCGCTCCACTTACATGGAATGATTTGGGGACGCCACGGGCCTCAGACGAACGCGTTTTAGCCTGCTTGTGTGCAAGTGTCACTTCTGGCGTGGAAGGGGACAAACTGTAATCTGACGGAAAATACTTCCCGATTCTTTGAGTACATGCAATGCTTGGCTCTGAATCACAGTCGCAGTGGCAGCAAGGGTGGAGATTACTGCATTATATGTATGTGTAGTCTGAGCCTGCACGCTCGACTTGCATTGCATGCTGTTACGGTATTGGTGTTGGTATTGGCTTCTAGTGCGCTGCGACAGTCGACGCTATGAACCCCAATATGCATGCGGTCCCACGCCGGTGTCTGGTCCCTACTCTGTGCAACCCTGTCTCACCCGCAAACCCACAGCCATAGCGTCCGGTATATGCTAGTGATGAGTCTTTTCTGTGCTTTTGTTATACGCTCTGCCGTTCCATAAGAATGTGTTTCCATCTTTGTCTTTGGTGGCTTGTGCTAAGATCCTCCCTTTTTTAATAATTTTTTTAGTACTTCTCCACGTTAGAACGCTTGAGATTCGCTCAAACATCTGGTGCCCTGGATGACAGCCCTCAACTTGGCGACTTTTACAACTCTCCTAGAAGCTTTACTTTCTCCAACGATACAGCGTCACGAAGAAACAACGGTCAAGGGGCTGGCGATTTCACGCCTCCAGATCTAGGAAGTCGATTACAGACTTCAATTCATCAGACCCAAGCTGCTTCTACGGATTGTCTGCCATCTGGCGTGGCACTCCCCATTTCGAGCGAGCGCCATCTTACTAGAGAGCAGCAAGTGGCATTGGCAAAAAGTTTGAGGGAAAGCGTCATTTTGGATGCGGCAGACGAAGCTATATATAAGATAGGACGTCGGGCGAGTCGCCACTTGAGCCCATCGGGCAACGCACACACCCTCTCTCCAACCCAGTCCAGCATGGAAACCCAAGAAAGCAGGGTAACCAATGCCCAGGTTCATCAACCTGAGGCTCTGGATGCATTCTATGATAGCTTCAGATGGTTGGATGGCGACGACAATCTGGATCTCAGCTTACAACTAGATGATCACCACTCCAATCTAAAAGAGAACTTGGAGCGGCCATCCACGGACAACCGCCCATCATTCCGCCGCCATCTTTCTATCAGCAGGATGTCCTTTGGTCGTCCCTCCATCTCAACGGGCCGACCTGGGACGCATGGTGGTATCTCGATTCCCACTTCGCCTACGTCGAGCTCATTGGCCCAGCCAGTACATAGCAGACGGAAGTCGAGGACACTTTCCCTGATCAACACGCGACATACGCCACAGCCGTCGACGTCATCCATCGACCCTGCCGCAGCACACTATCAGGATCCAGAAGCTCGCGCCAAATTGCGCGTGTATCTGGCTTCGCCTCAGAAGTTTGACGAGGCGGTCGAGTTTGGCTTTCCCTCACATGACGCCTTTCCGGCCCACTCGACTCCAGGTACACAGATGTCGCGTGGTCACTCAAGACAGATGCTCTCCCAAGACTCGTCAAAGTTTAAGACATTTCTCTCAGATGATCGATCGTCAGTATATAGCGACGATCTCTCATTATCAGATCCGGAGTCACCCAAAACGCCTCAGAGCCCCGACAGAGCAACTGCAAGACCCGGAGGAGACCTTGACAGCAGCGAGCTCGCACTTTTTGGCAAAAATTCCGATGCCTATGCGCAACTACCGGTTGCCTCGAGAGAGATGACTTTGCGCATGACGCTCACGAGGCCCGACTTACGTGCTTGCGAGGAACAAATTTACGGATGGCAGAAAGGGGTGGAACAGCACACAAATAAGCTGGCCAAGGTTTCTCCAGCCCACGGAGACTTACCGCCTCCAAAGAAGACACATGTCGGAGACAATAGCAAACCCAAAGAAAGCTTTGAGGCTTTCTTTGCCAGTTTAGACGACGAGGAAGAAGAAGCCGCAGCAGATAACGGCGTCGTCAAACGATTCTGGAACAAAATGCGGCGCAGCTAGAATGGTTTACGCAAGAAACCAAGTTCACATGAGTACACTCGCGCTGGATGCTTGGGAATGCGATTGCTTGGCCAAAAAGAACTGCTCGACACTTCGTGGTCTCAGCACTATACTATATACAACGCTTAGGAGTATTTTATTTGTCATCTAGCGGAGATATCATTTGTTTTACTAGCTTTGTACTTTATTACTCATTGCACGGAGTCGGTACTAGATTTGGGTGACAAAAATCAGCGTCAAGAAGCTCGGACAACAGTTAGCTGTTCAGATCGTCAAACAAACAAAATGAATTTCCACATGTTTTCCGTGCCAGTAAAAATCTTCTCGGTCGCTGTCGCTGCAAAGTGGTGATGAAATTTCTCGGCTAACCTAGTCATCTCTGGCATTCCTGAGCTGTCCGACCGGACCATGCAACGGTCTATCATCTCATCAGGCTCCTCGGCGGGCATAGTGGGGGACAACGCTAAGATGGTGTGACTGGCCAACCTGCGGGATCCGCAGTGCCGATTCTACCGTGCTGTGACGGATATAGCACCTGGCAGATAGAAGCACTGTGCTATAGCGACACTATGACGTGATGGGATCTGCAGACTCAATACCAGCTTGGGGGGACGATCACTGACGGCACAAACAGCACAATACGTTGATGAAAACAGCACAATTGTCGCGTCTCGAGTTCTCGTCGTATAACTAAACCCATGGTGTGGCATGTACGTGGTATTTTGTCACTAGTGGTGCTTCGTTCAAAGTCTCAGCCTCGACGTAAACGTGCTTGGTGCATCTGCGCACAGGACCTCTCCGTCTCAAGCCTAATCGATCTGATCCTCCACAGATTTTCTCCAAGGACATGCTTTCGTCTGAACACGGGTCCTATATTCCGACGAACCAACTAGTCCAAGTTCAAATGGCATGCAAGTCCCTGTGATGTGTTGAGTAACATTACCAACACTGCCGCACCGTCCCTTGCAGGAGGAGCGGCCCTTGCATAAGCGCCAGCTCTCGGCAACGTCTTTGCTTCCTGGGCCAACTTCGTCAAGGACAATGGCTTGTGACCAGTGTTTGTTTCGGCCATTTGAATTTTTGACTACCCAAGATGCATAGCCAACGCCACTAACCTTAGGGTTTGTGTGTGTTTGTATTCTACAGCCGAAGGGGGCCCGTCACTTATTGACATGAACCAAAAGCCCGAAGATCCCACTTTGTTGGCTTGTTTGCCGTTGCTTCCAGATATTTCGCACATCTGGTCGTCCACTCGGAACGTCCGTATTCCACCGTCCTGTTTTGCTTCATCGTTCTTACCTTTTCGATGCGCCATGCATACGAAGTGAAGTGAAGTGTACATGTGTACCATCTCCGTTCTGCATGTTTCAGGAGACCAGAGCTGCATCGATCGGACTTGAGTACTTCACTGGGACAAAGGCGCGCGCTCTCCCTAGGATCTTTCAGCTAGCCGTGCAGCTACATATGCAGGTGCTAGTACAGGCGGTGGCTCGTGGCCATGTGTATAACCAGCACGTTGCTAAGGTTGGGCAGTCAGGCGCAGTGCTACGCTGCTACGGCCTCAATGACTGAACAATACCCATATAGCCGGACACTCGGTTAAACATTTTAGATGCAAATTGAACAACGCCGTGTCACAACAGTGTACCACGATGGCTATTAACACACCAACATTAGGCAATCGACAGTAGGCGGTCCAGCTTATTGTGATGTCGATTTTCGGGGCCGCGCACAGATGAGGTGTGACGAGCTAGTGGCGCGCTGTAATAGCAATGTCAGATATCGATTAGCAGTTTCCGACGTGCGCCATGCGCCATGCGCCATTGTCCAAATAACCTCATGCAGACAGACGCGCACATGGTCGGATGCAGTGCAACGCCCTACATCCACTTGTTATACGACCTACACGGTTCCCCCTGAATCCCTGTCCACGGCATCTCCTGGGGCACATCGAGATTTGAGAATATTCAAAACGGGTTTGTCTTACTCGTCCCTGTATCTACAAGGCTCAGTTGGGGGACATGTCCACCTCGATAGAACCCAACTGAATTGTTACATAGACTGGAAACGACCCTCTCCAGTCTGCACCGCAGCTATGCTAAACCCGCGATCCCACCTGTTCTCATGATGCTCTCATATCAAATAGTCGGACACTGTAATCTTCAAGTCTATACAAAAATTCCGTCGCATGATATCTTGTTATACCTCTTCATCGCTATCATCTCCCAACAGCTCACCTTCATCATCGTCAACAATAGCGTAGTCGGCTCTGCCACGGGCAAAACTGTCTCTTGTGGTGAACCTCCTAGGAGCGCCGTTGCCAAGCCAGCTGTAGCTTGAGCCTCCTCTGCCAGTCAAGCTCTCAATCATGGACGAGGCACTGCGCCATAGACTTGAGGCAAGCAGCGGTAGAGCTGCAACAACCGCTGCAACAGCAGAAATGGCGATGACAGGATACTTGACCATGGGAGATTCGCTGTCAAAGGTGCTGCCATGATCGCCCAGTCGAATCTGACCGAATTTGCCGTTCCAGTTGCGCCACACCCACCAGCCAGCTCCAGCTGCCAGTCCCACAGGAATGATAATTGCGAAGAAGATGGCGATTCCGGAGACACTGTGTGCCCTTTCAAACTCTTCCTCTTTACCGGGGCACGGAAAGGGCTCCTTCACCTTATCCATTTCATAACCATCAGAGCAAGTGGTGAGCGGAATTCGGCGATAACCAGATGGCTCGTAGTACTCGATCGCACTGGGATTCTCCTTGCAATATTGCTCGAGAGAAATAGGAGTATATCCCTCCACGAGTTTGCATTGGCCGTGCTTATCCATCTCGTAGTTGTAGTCGCTGTGACTGATTAGCATCTTTCAGCCTCGACCATTGTTCGACTTGTAAACTTACCATTCAAAATCCTGGCGGGTGCAGGTGCAGTTGTTGAATCCCCACCGGTGTACTAGCCTTTGCGCATTGAAACATGTTCTGTCCGTCTTTTTCCTCAAGTACTCCGCCCTGTGGCCGAAAAGGCACCCACCTGGTTGCTTAGGATGTTCGGGAGTCCATAGACCATAGTCTGACTTGGATGCATCATCCGCATCGAATACACATTCCTGACTGGTGAGACCGGAGAAGTCGATATTGACTGTGAAGAGTGAATCGCCCTCATGGCCCCACAACAAGAAGTTGCGCGAGGCGCCTGACCGAAGAGTCGTAATGTCAGTGACGACGACCTCCGAATCCGAAAATACGTAATCCTTCCAAGATTTACCTTCGTCGAGCGTGTAGGAAATGGATTTGGTTCTAGTGTCTCGTTGAACGAGCAGGATAATGGATCCTTGGTCACCAAAGGACCAAGTCCACCGACCTTTTTTGACCATGTTCCAGCTGATCCCTGCATCGGTAGTCATGAAAGTGTCAGCATCTTTGGCATCTCCCAGGACAGCCCCAACGTTGCCCAGACCAAACATGATACCAACGGCGCCTTCGGACGAGTAGGTCTTCCCATGATCGACCCTCTCAGTATAGCCATGAATGTGCAACGCACAATTCTCGTCGCCTGCAGTGCTCGAGCAGCTGAACGATTTACCATCCAGGTCTTTCTTCGGAGGAGGCAGGAAGGACCATTCGGCTCCGTCGTTATGGCTGATCTTGGTCTGTAGCTTCTTCGGCTCAGAATCGGCATTCGGGTTTTCGACGGTATTAACAAGGACGACACCTTCGAGCCCGAGCATTTTCTCGAAGTCGACGTAGCCGCTATTGTCACAGTTGACTCCGGAGATGCTAACCACGTAGGATGTACCATTCGAGTTGCTCTTCAGAATAGACCCAAACCGGCGTTTCTCGTCTTCGGCAGTCTCCACGAATAGGTTGACAGCATGAGTTGAGCTGTCAAGAACGGTGTAAAGCGTTTGGTGCCCAACGTCGAAGTTATAAGGCCAATGTGCTTCTGCGTAATTCTGCCCATTGACGCTGGCCCAAGCGTGCAGAGTACTGGCTGTCTGGTTTTCGGTTGCCACGACGATAAACTCTGCCATGGTGGCAAAGTCTCTCGTGTTTCGATGCACAACTTGCATGTTGCCCTTATCCTCAATGAAATCGTTGGTGTAGACTAGATTCCATGGATTGTCTCCCTCGGCATCCTCGCGCTCTCTCTTCAGGCAAACGACCTGTTTCTCTGGTCGCCCAAAACCTTTGTAGGCTTGTGAGCCGGTAAAATCACACCTTGCAACAAATCGGGCCAGTGTTTCCCAGTTGTCTCCTCGATCTCGGGAAACGGAGGCAATGTCGTGACACACCTCGCCATCGCAACTCTGACCATGAAATATGAGCCAGTCTTTCTGATCAGGATGAAACGACCATGGGGACGTCCTACGCTGGAAGTTTGGAGGATACGGCGTCTCGAAGGAGTAGAAATGTTGACCTTTGTCGACACTATAGATGACTTTGGCCTTGCTTGTTATGAAAAAGACCATATCCTTGAAGTATTGATGTGACGTGATGGACCAGATGCTTTCATCTGCAAGCCGCTTGGGAGTGTCCCATGTCTTGCCATGATCTTGTGAGATCATGACATCCCCAGCGCCATTACCGCCGGTTTTGAGCGGCCTCATGATGACCGTTTCATCCTGTATAGAGCTGGAATCACCACGCTCGAGGTAATGCTTCTCGAAGTTTACGAAATCGCCCTTGATCGGAGTTTGCTTATGGCTGATATTGCCGCTTGCTCCACCGCCACCGCCACCGCCAGGCGTTGCTGCAGCATCCGAACACTTCCATTCCTTTGTATCGTCTTTCTGTGAACCACTCCTCCGCTTGCAATCGTTACCAGGAATAAGCCTCCATCCACTGGTACCTTTGAATGTTTCCTCTGGGTCCCCCTTTTTGCAAGCCCCTTCTGGCGGGATAATCGGGCCAGCCTTCTCACATTTGCCATCTTTTCTGACAAAGTTGAAATCACACTCAAAGTCGATATCGCTGCAGTCGCACGGCTCGGGAATGGGAGCAGGATCCTTGAACTCTTGCTTGATAAAGCATTTCGCATCCTTCTTTCGACGATGGTATGTTTGAGTATGGCCCATTAGGCAGCTAGGGTTTCCATCATCATCCTTCCGGGCAACCCAATCTTCCATGTCACTCTGCTTGCATGTATCCTCATGAAGGCCATCAAAATCAATGGAAATAACGTGAAACTTGGAATCAGATGACTCGGCTGTCAACACAAACTTGAGGCTGGTGGAGTCTTGGGTTGTGGTGAGGACCCCGGGCCGGACTTTGAGATCGTTGCCCAGTGCAACCTCGGACCAGTCTATGCCGTGGTTCAGAGAATACTTGATTTTGCTAACATCGTGCTCCTTTGTATCCTTGACGGCCAACAATACGGACCCTTGATCGCCGAACTCATATTTGTGAGGCCCATCAAGGCCCTTGAGCCAGTTCCTGCCCGCGTCGTCAGACACGTAGAGGTCGGCATCAGCAAAGGCTTTCAGATAATCACCAGTATTGCCGTTGCCCATGACAAGGCCGGGGGCAGGACTGGAGAAAACGCGACCGACATTGTTCATCTCGGTTACGGAGTGAAGGTGGATTTCCTTGTCACCAGCCTTGACGGATTCAAAAGTTCTTCCATCGTCAAAGGTGATCTTGGACTTGATCTTCTTGTCAACTTTGTCACCTTTTTCTTCCACGTCTTCCCAGTTGCTGACTTGGTTCACCATGAAGACACCTTGAATGCCGGATATCTTCTCAAAGTCAACGTGACCGAATTCATTACGGTTTGTGTGCTCGGCAGCGCGGGTAAAGTACGTGCCGTTGGAGTTGCTCGTGAGCAAGACACCCATGGGATTGGAGGGCCGGGCATAGCTGACGTCGATTTGGATGCTATAGTTGGTTCCTTCCAGGACGGTGTAGGCCTCCTGGTTGATGCGATGGTCGCTTGGGAAGACAGCACGGTGCCATTTGAGAGTGTCATCTGTGACGTACAAGGCCATCTCGTCTGTGTTCTTGGACGTGGTGGCGGCGAGAAGGTACTTCTTGACCACGGCGATGTTCACGACACCCTGAACGGGTCCAGCTCCGTTGAGGTTGGGCTCAAACTGTTGTATGACACCGTCGGAACTCACAGCGCTGAAATAGTTGTCGGAAATAAGCAGCCGGTTGTCCTCTTTCAGGGGTGAAAAGTCGCCGCGGACAGTGCACAAGATCCTGCTGGCGTCGAGGTCCTTTTGACCGGTGGTGAAGAGATCTGAGGATGCAGCCCACCAGCAACCATCGACCATGTTTCGTAGGTATTTGGCGTCGGACTTGAAGCCATCCGTGGTATACATGACGACGTCATCCCAGAAAATGCTCTCGTATTCTATGCCGTAGAACATGATGCTGTCGGGGTCTTGCGCGTGGAAGACCAGCCAGTCGTTGCGGTAATAGTTGGGTTCCGAGTCGGTGTAGAAGGTCTGCCATGTCTTGCCCTGGTCGTGGGTCTTCCAATGATATACTCCCTTGGTCAGGATGTAGGCACGGTTATTGTCAAACTCGTGCATGACCAGGACGGCAGCCTTGCCCTCGTCGACATCATCGACCTTGGCCCACGAGGCGCCGCCATCGGCGGATCGCCAGACCAGGCCGGCTTTCTGGTCTTGGAACAGGAGGACATCGGAGTCTTGGAAGTAGTTGAGGTTGATTGGATAGTGGTCGAAGTCATTCACTTTGATGGTGGGTTCGTCCTTGGCGTCGGCTGTGCCTATGGCCAGGATCTGCCAAAGAAGGGCGGTTGCGAAGAGCATATTCTGCCAGGAGAAGGGTCTTGCCCCAGGCAGGGCTTCTCTGTGTACCCTCATGATCTCGTGGAAGGGGCGCGAAGTTGAGAGATCATGTCAAGTTCGAGTATGGAGCCTCGGGACTTTCTGGGAGCGGCCGGCTTACGAGATCCGGTGACGAGTAGGGCGATGGCAATAACAATAGCGACGGCAGAGATAGGTTGGCCCAGCCAGTGAAGGTTGATTCGTGCAACAGAGGTGTGTAAATAGGCGAGCAGAAAGGCGTCGCAGATGTCAGTAATGAGTTTACAAATGGGCCACGATTGACCTGCTGCCGGAGGGTCGCGTTTGTGGGCGTTGTCGGAAGCTCCTTCGAAAGCGCAACAAGTGTCATGAAAGCAAAGCATGTCATGTACGGAGTAGGAGTAGTCTCAGCTTTCGCGCCGGTGTGGCACATTGCACCCAGCAGCTTACCCAGAGCATACGTAAGTGCGGATCTCCCGTCCACGCCTAAGCTTTCCATTAGATGGGTCAAGGACTCCGTTATGTCTGTCCAAGGTTAGTACCGCTACGTCTACACACATACAGTAATAATACCTGTACTGTACGGAGAGCAATTGGCACCGGCCTTCTACTGTAACTGTACGTGTGCCGCATGGACTTGGGTTTCGTTAGCGGGTTACATGCTTCAGGTTGCTCAATCGCGGGCCATTTCTTACAGTACGATAGCTCCCTCGAGCTACAGCTTGCTGCAGCCAAGCACCAGCCACCCAATCGAATATGCCCCTGTTGTTTCCTTACGCATGGTGCCTCCTGTGTTCCTCGGGGACTAGGTACTGCCACACAGCTCACACTATGATCTCGCTGGTACACATCAGCAGCGCTTTTGAGATATGTATGCAAAAGTTAACTTATCCGACATGGGGTTGCTCCGAACCCTCCTAACTTAGACTAACCTTATAGACTACAAGGTAGATGGATAAAACTAGGCTATACTACTAGCCTCCAACCTTTTATTTTTTATTTTTTTAAATTAACCATGCGGAAGAGTAGCACTGCATACATTGAAAAAGGAACGCTCGGTGAGTATTACCACGAACACGCTTCGTATTGATATCGATTACAACATCATGGCTATCATAGCTTCTGGAAAACATGAACTATGTAGCTTGGTACGTATATGGCCTGTTTTAAGCGCACCCCCTTTCAGAGCTCTTGTCCGCTTCATGGACATCTCAAGCATACCCGTTCCCCAGGGACCGTGCCTCTAAACCATCCATCTCCCTAATCGCATCAGACATGCCCACCCATGCGCAGATACCTTTGCCAGCATCCACAACGCCATATCATCATGAATCCCACATATCGTAGTCGCCCAGGCCGATGATCTCAGCCCAAGAGAGCCCACGGCCCATGTTGTTCATAGCACGTTGCCGATGCCTTAAATACTCTCAAGGAGGGAGTCGGATATCTCCGGGATGGCTCTGTGACTATAGTTATGGAAACGAGAAGCCTTGTTGGCGGTAACGGGGCCAGAACAGGCTATGTGACCAGCTTTGATCTTTGCATTTGAATCTATTTACATCCGGACTATTCATATTGAGCGAATCATCTAGAGTGCTAAAATCGCTCGCCCGCTCGCGCTCGGCGGTCCGCATCATGTGAGCCGAGATACATCTTTGTGGCTGCCAGACATGTGTTGCAGACTACCCCAACAGCAGCACAAACACGGTGGATCTGTTGCGAGTTGCTACTGCGAATACTCATCGTGCGGCTGACAGCGCTCTCAGTCATGATGGATACGCTCCTGGTGGCCTTTGGTCCAGGCACGACTTCCGATGCGGATGAGTCGCTGATGTTCCCCGGGCAGTCGCAATGAGCGAGGTACATAATTACCAAGGTGGACTTTGCATACGACACTCGGAATCATATGCAGGAAAGAAAAAGGCGTATCATCGCCTGTCGGTGTATTCATGGCTGAAACGGGAAACAGACCTCGGCTTTTGAAATCCAGCGAAAGCCGCCTCTCAATAACAGCAGGAGCCGAGTTGTGTGGTCTTCGATATATGAAGTCTCTTGGTGTTGTTGTGCCAAGCATTCTGATTGTACATTCGTGTAGATATGCAGGGGAATTTCAGACTCCTGAGATGACGTGGGAACAACGAGGATTTGTGCTTGGCTCAGCACGAAATCTTATATCCAAGAGTAAGGCCAGGGGTTGGAGAAGGCGGGAGTCCCCGAAGGGTATCAGTGATGCGCGAGGCGACGAGGTCAAAGGGTAGAAGACAAAGACAAGTCTAGAAAATCGAATGAATTTGACGTCCGTCTCAAATTGAGGTACCAGCTGATTCTACGGCCTAAACGTTCCAGATGACAATTCTGCCGTCCACGCCACTCGCTGTAGGATATGTCAGCTGCCTAAACAGAGTTCAAGAGGGTCAACGAGAAGGATAGAACTTACTGGAGAACTTGGTCACAGAGTCGCCGTTGGACTCGTAGACACGGACTGTGGAAATTGTGTTTTGGTGAACCGTCTTGAGCTGCGTGTCGTCTTTGACCTTGCCCTTGAGATCCATTTGTTTGAACATGTTCAAGGCAGACTCTTCTCGGACGTCGCCCAAGCCAGGTCTTCCCTTTGATTCCAGTGTGCCAGCAATCTGCCAGCCAGAGGCATCTCCCCTGAACCTGAAGGCCTCGCAGTCGTAGCCCGCAGCAATGATCTCGGCCTCGCCGTTCCAGATGAGGCTCTGGAAAGGCAGCAGCTGGGTGTTGATACTAATGACCGCGCGAGGCGGCTGGTCAGGGGCCGAGGGGTAAACGACAGTGATACTGCTGTCATGGGCAGCAAAAGCGAGGGAGTCGCCGGAGGGTGAGAAAGCGAGGGAGTGGACCCAGCCAGCGGAGTTGTTGAGGTACTCGCCACACACGGTGTTGAAAGGCAGACGCTCACCCCAAGCACTTGGGTCCGGGCGAGCGTCGACACCCTTGATGAAGGCGGAAAAGACTCTCGCATGAGCATCGGTTGACCCAGCTGCCAGCAGGACCGAGTTGGGGTGCCAAGAGACGCTGGTGATGGTGCTTCGGATGGGCTTCTTCAGGTGCTTGGAAACCCACCAGTCGTTCTCCTCTTCAAAATAGCAGACAGCAATGACCCTGTCGCCAGAGCCGACGGCGAACTTTGTTTCGGAGGGGGACCAGCGCACAGCAGTGGCAGCTCGGGCAATACGGAGCAGGACAAGGGTGGGCTTATAGCCGGTGGGAGAGGGTTCCCAAACGAGAGCATTTCGATCTAATAAAGCAGGTGAGTGGTTAGAAGGTCGGACTCTCTTCGTCTTGAGAGGATATGAATCGAGATGAGAGGATACGAACCCTGTGAGCAGGTGACAATGCGTCCACTGTGGGGGGCAATGTCGACACCAGTAATAGTCTTGTCATGTCCCTTCAGTTCGTCCTTCAGCTTGAAGGCACCGCCGGCCCTCTCATATAGCTCGAGTGCCGAGTCCTTTGCGACGGCGAGAATGTTGCGGTCGGCGGAGAAGGAGTGGTCGGCGATGGGATGGTGGAAGAGATGATGAACTTCGGGGGCAGCCATTTCTTTCTTGCTTATTTTGTTTATTTCTGGGATTTATATCTGGGGTTTATTTTGGGAGTGATAGGAGTAGCTCTCTACTATCACTTGTTCTACCGGGGAGTGGGTGTCGTGGGTTGGGAAGACAAGCGAACAGTAGTAGTAGATGACTTGAAATGTAGTGTCTCTTGACATGTACGTCAACAGCTTTTGGGGGGGGTGCTAGGTTAGTACTGTCACTAGACAGGTGGGGTGCCTTCATACCTTCTGTACATTAGATAGTCTGTCCTAAGGTGAATGTAATCTGTACTCCGTATTATACTGTAGGTACTGCCTTATGAAAGCTCATGTAAAACACATCACTCCGTACGTACCATAGGTTACCTCTAGTCTAGCTAGACTAGTACCGATATTACATTACAGTGCTTGTGCTGTAGCAAGGCGCTGTCGCTGCGGGGATTGCCGTCACTGTATTTCCATTCTGTGTCTATCGATAAGGCGGCAAGCGCTTAAACAGAACCATCAACCAACGTTAAGCAACTTAGCCGTAGGTAACTCGAACATCCCCCAACGCCGCGCATCACACACAACAATCCGACCAGCGAGGGTACAGTGCTGAGGAATATTCAACCACCACCTCTCAGCTCCAGCAACGGAAACACGTCGTCTCATCACTGAACCCAACACGACAACATCCACAATGGCAACGCGACAACCACCTGCGAAGCCCTCCCAAGGCAAGCAACCTCCAACTCCGCCCAATCAAACGTGAGTTCTCTCCATACCGTGCTACGCCATATCATCTTACCAGAGCTAATCCTTCGTTCCTTTTCCAGCCTTTATATCACCGGTTTACCCTCCTCCAAGATCCAGAAGGCCGACCTGAAGACCGCTCTGTACATGCTGTTCTCCACCTACGGTCCTGTTTTCGATGTCGTCGTTCTGAAGACCCTAAAGATGCGTGGTCAAGCTCACGTTGTCTTCCGAGATATCCAAGCTGCTACCCAGGCCATGCGCTCGCTCGAAGGCTTCGTCTTCTTGGGGCAACCAATGGTAACCTGACCCACAACCCAACAGCTCTGCATACAGCCTTCACTAACCCACCCCCACTAGAGGATACAATACGCCAAGGGCAAATCAGACATCATCGCCAAGCTGGATGGAACATACAAGATGCCCGAGACCGCCGGCGCTGTGGCCGCTCAGATGACAGAGACCCAGCAAAGCATCTTCAACGCCCCTGCTCCAGGCACTGCTGTACCTGCCACGGCCGCAGCTACAGCCGCTGCCCCGACCTCGACCCCGGCCGCTGCCTCTGGTCTTCCCGCAAAGCCTCCCACCGCGGCACGTGGCCAGAAACGCACTCGTGACGAAGAGGAGGAGGGGGAGGAGGACGAGGAGGAGAAGGAAGAGGAAAAGGACGAAGAAGAAGAGAGTGATTCGGATGTTGCTATGGAGGAGGACAGTGACGACGAATGAGATACCCCTCTAGCCAAAAAGTGAAAGCTGCAGGCTTTGGCTGCTCCAACACATCCCAACCGGCCATCGCTTCCTCTGACATCTTCACCTCGTCTGGTCTAGAGCCATCTCCTTCGGTACCCATAGACCAACACATCCACCGACCAGGCCGAGCCAGACCATGAGATACTCCTCCTTTGCGCAGTCGAAACCTGTCATGGCATCCCCCAGGAAGCAGGGGTGGACGAAGAACGACGGTAATCCCGTCACAGGGTGATGCTACCAAGTCATGTTAGCCGTTTGAGGTAGAGCTAATAAACTCCTTGCATATCTGGGTGCATCGTTGACTCTTGGTACAGCTCCCTCGACAGAAAACTCACATCTGCTGAGATGCCGCCTACTGGGCCGACGCCACGGAGGACGCCCTTGAATGCGTCCGGAACCAGCCGCCGAAAGACGGTCTCTGTGTCGAAGGCGGTGTCAGTTGCCGGTAGATCATGCAGGCTGAACCAGAGGCATGGTGCTTGATACGTTGGGTGGAGGTGGATCTCATATATGACATGTCCAATCTTTGGTCGTGATGGTTGTTTGACCAGCTCTTCCGGGTCTGTCGCCCATTCCATCCCTGCGGCCCCTGTGGTGAACGAGAGGCTGTTCATGTATGATTCCAGCTCATCAAGATCATCTGACTCGTCGAGGGGTCGTGTGATTTGTATGAAAGTGATGTACTCCGAGTCCGCACCAAAGGACATGTCCAGCGCCCTGTGAAGGCGCAGCTTCCATTGCTTCCGAACAGGCCCCAATGTAGCTTGACAGTATTTGTTTTCAAGGTGGTGGCATACCTCGGCGAACTCATCAGCGCTCAGGAAAGGGTAGCGGTGGTATGCTGGCTGATTCATCTCGACTCAGCATTGCTAGAAGGACGCGGATGCAGACACGTGCTAGTAGACTGGGTCTTCGTAGCGTCTTGCTCAGCTGCAATCAGGTACCAAATAGAACTTTTGCATACATGCCTCAAGTGCCTTGGGCAGGTTAACGATATTGGATTCGTCCTAATCAGAGAGGTGACCCCTCTGCCCCCGTGAATGCAGGGTCCAATCGGCGACTTGCATGAGTAGGACCCGACGTCTTTCATGTTGCCGACCACCGACGGGGCCCGCTGCCAAGGCTCGATACCACTGCGTTCTGCCTGTAGTGTAGGTACCTTTTGAGGGCCCAAGTACTCCGTAGCTCGAAATAAAATCCAGCTGTCCTTTACGTGGGCCCTCGGCCATGAGCTAACTTAACCTGCGCGCGTGTGTAAGTCAGGGTCCGTCCCCATAAAGAGAGATTGACGACAAACAGTTTCCGATACATTGGCACTCCAATGTTCACGATTACGATGTCACGATAGGCGGAGACTGCATACTTTTCTTTACCGTCGCATATGTATTCCTTCCTTCAGCACAGGTGTATCGTATTTATTGTTGTGCCGGTTGTCATTGTAAAGTTTGTTCCCATGTTCCATGCTTAGCTCTACTGCCCTTCCAATTCGAAGTAGCCAAACAGCGAAGAAGACGACGACGACGACGACGACGAAGACGACGACAGCGGCCAGTATTTGGTCCCTTCCGTAGGCAGTGTATACCTAGGAGACAATTTTGAAAGAGAGAGAGAGAGAGAGCGCGAACCTCACCCAGAGTGAGAGCGGAGCCTTCCTGACGTGCCTTCAGAAGTAACACGTCTGTGAAGAGCATATCGTGCCACAGCACCATTTGTTCGATGGTGATTCGAGATCCCTTCAATATCCACAAAAAAGGTTCGGCCGTCTCGATTCTGCGTGCTACTGCCACCCGTGCAGCAATCGGGATAACCGAAAAGGCGGTTGAGGCGGGCATAAACGCAATAGAGCAGGGCAAGAAAACAGCCGAAGATATGGCCTTCCAGCTCCCTAAAAACATGCCCTCTTTCTCCAACCCGCAAAGGGCCCTTGAAGATCAGAACTGGGGCACGGGTTCTGCCTCGTCTTTATCCTCACGCTTCGGCGCAAAATCCCAGACCCTCCCAATGTACAAAGACAAGCCATATGCCTACCCGCCCTCGCAGCGGTCGCGCGCCATATGGCTGCGGAAGCGAGTCGCCGCCATCATCTTCCTAGTCATTACCATCCTCTACTACCTGGGCGCGTTCACCTCGAGTCACGACACCCATTCCAAGCGGCCCTCCTGGACCTGGCTCAAGGGCTCCGAAAACGAGAACAAGGTCGACTGGTCCAAGAGGAGGGAGCGCGTGGTGGAGGCCTTCGAGCTAAGCTGGGATGCCTACCATCGATATGCTTGGGGTAAGCCCCCAAAGTGCCTTTCGTATTCCGTGTAGCTTTTTGTTCCCCTTGTTCTAACATGCAGTGTCGTCTCGCAGGCTATGATGAGTTTCACCCCATCTCCAAGAAAGGCAAACAGATGGCCCCCCACGGCATGGGCTGGATCATCGTCGACGCTGTGGACACTATGATGATTATGAACCTGACATCGCGGGTCACGCAGGCGAGGGAATGGATCTCCAACTCACTGTCCTACGATCAGGACCAGGATGTCAACACCTTTGAAACCACCATTCGAATGATCGGTGGCTTGCTCTCGGCCCACTATCTCTCCAACGAATTCCCCCAGTTGGCTCCCCAAACAGATGACGACCCCGGTGCTCCTGGCGAGGATCTCTACCTGGAGAAGGCAAAGGATCTTGCAGACCGCGTTATCGCCGCTTTCGACAGCGAGTCTGGAATTCCTTATGCCAGTGTCAACCTGGCAAAACTTGAGGGTATTGCGGCCCACGATATGGGAGGAGCTTCTTCGACAGCTGAGGCCACGACACTGCAGCTTGAGTTCAAATATCTTGCCAAGCTGACAGGGGAAAAGGATTTCTGGGACAAAGCCGAGAAAGTCATGCAAGTGGTGGACGACAATGGCGCCCAGGGCGGCTTGGTCCCCATCTACATCAACGCTGATTCTGGTCATTTCAGTGGAAACAACATCCGGCTGGGAAGCCGAGGAGATTCTTACTACGAGTATCTCATCAAGCAGTACCTTCAGACGGAGAAGGCGGAGCCCATCTATTTGGATATGTGGAAGGATACCATGAAGGGTATCCGTCAGCATCTAATAACTTATACAGAACCTTCGGGCTATACCATCATTGGCGAGCGTCCAAGTGGTCTGAACGGAAATCTATCGCCAAAGATGGACCATCTGGTCTGCTTCATGCCTGGCACCATCGCCTTGGCTGCGACGGGTGGCTTAACGGAAGCTGAGGCGAAGAAGCTCCCCACGTGGACTAAGCAGGACGAGGCAGATATGAAGCTCGCAAGAGAACTCATGCAAACCTGTTGGGGCATGTACAAGTGGATGGCGACGGGCCTGGCCGCAGAAATCACCTACTTCAACATCGCAGACCCGCCGGCAGCCTACGACGAGTCTCATGAGTCACCTCGTGATGATTTCGATTCGGATCCGCATGCTACCTGGCGCAAAGATTTTGATGTCCACGCCATGGATCGCCACAACCTGCAGAGGCCGGAGACAGTCGAGTCACTATTTTACATGTGGCGGATAACTGGGGAGCAAAAGTACCGAGACTGGGGCTGGGACATGTTCAAATCTTTCATGAACTATACCGCAGTCGAGGAGGGCGGTGGCTTTACCAGTTTGTCCAATGCCAATGAGATCCCGCCCGCTACCAAGGACAATATGGAAAGCTTTTGGCTGGTAAGTTCCTATTGATACACGACCACCCGGCAAGCCTCGAGAAACTAACCTTCTGCAGGCCGAGACATTGAAGTACTTCTATCTCCTCTTCTCGCCCAATGATCTGCTTCCTCTGGACAAGGTTGTCATCAATACGGAGGCTCATCCTCTTCCGCGATTCCAGATGGGTCAGCTTTTCTCGACAGGCTGGCAACGGAAGCCGAGAGGCGCCGATGGCAAAATCATTAAGCCATCTCACAAAGAAACGTAACATGAATGCTCATCAAGTATACGGGGGAGTCCGCTTCCTTCGACGTAGCGCCCAGTACACCTTGTTTTGTATGACCGACATTGTCGACACACATGCCAAGCTGAAAACAGCAAAGAAGGGGAAAAGAAGAGAGGAAAAAGAAATGAAAGAAAGAAACAAATAATAGAGAAGACCAAGGAACCGATTGCACTGAACCTGTAGTCGCACTATGAACTTGGACAAGGAAACTAGCATTGAGGAAGAAGATTTTGTTGCGCTTGATTGCACTCGAAGTATTGTACGCCAAATGTGGCGGTATCTTTTCCATGAATTAACATTTCCCGTGGCTGAAGCAATCCCGCATTTCCTTCGTGATCCCACAGTTCTAAACAAAACCCCAGGCGCCCTGCTTTCAAATAGGAATCTGTCTTTCGTTATCGTGCTCCGTTGCTGTGACCCTCAGCAAAGATACTTATACACCTTCTTCCACTTGGGCCAAGTCCTCTTTTCTTCCCGCTCTTGAGCTAATAAGATGGGCAAATTAAAGTCTCTCCTGCCCGTATCGATATCCATATCATCCATGTGCACCATTGAGGTCCTATAGTAAATGCGATGAGCGAGATAGAAAAGGATGACAATAGGCACCGCCATGTACTGGAGGAAAAAGTTTTCCGCAAGCTCAATGGCGCTCATATCTTGGAACCCGACGGGCCATGTACCGACCCAGAACTGAGCAACCAGGACAAGGAGGTTTAGGATTAGGCCGATCCATGAGCCCCAGACGCCGCACTGAGAGCGAAAGGCGAGCTCGTGCAGGCCGTGGCCCCGGAGGGCCCAAGCCTTCCTAAAGCGAATGTGTGCTAGGCATATTGACGCCCAGGTGAATATGGACGAGAGACCGGAGATGGCAAGCAACCAGTCCAGTACCGTAGATTGCACGTCCAGATCGGCCAGGTACGCGAGTAGCCCCACGGACAGAACGGCTATGATGGCGACAAGAGGCCGGCCGCGACGGTCCACGTATGACAGGATTCTGGGGGCTTGACCTTGATCAGCCAATGCTGCCAAGGTACGTGAAGAGCCGAAGACCGAAGAATTGCCGACCGACAAGACGGCGACTAGGATGACGACGTTCATGATCGAGGGGAGAATGTCAATCTTTGCGTTCTCTATGGCAATGACGAAGGGAGAGGCGGCGGCGTTGGCGTTAGTATCGCCCGACAAAAGTCTTCGGTCGTTATAGGGAACCAGTAGCCCAATAAGTGTCAGGGCCACAATGTAGAAAAGGGTGATGCGCCAGAAAACTTGTTTGATGGCAGTCGGCAATGATTTGCGCGGGTTCAAAGTCTCGGCGGCCGCCAGACCGACCAGTTCTGTGCCAGCGAATGCGAATGCAGCCATGACAAAGACGCTGCATAAGCCTTTGAAGCCGTTATGAAATGCGCCGGGGATATGCCAATACCGACCACCTATGTAACCTGTGTCAGGAGTACCGCCAATGTTAAGTACGACACCGAGCAAGCTGCGGGCAATTAGAGTTTGTTCAGACTGGCTGATGAGGATACTAGGACTCACATGAAGCCTATCACGGCAGTGACTTTAATAATGGCAAATATAAACTCGGCTTCCCCGTAGCCCTTGACGCCGAAGAAGTTGATGACAACAATACAGAACAGGAAGACAGTAACAAATATGGCCTTTGGAAGATGCGGGTTCCAGTACTCTATGGTAATGGAGGCGGCGATAATCTCGAGGGGAAGCACTACAGCCCATTGTAGGGCGTAACTGCGTGATCAAGTTAGCATGGCGCAACTTCGTGTCTGAGACACTGGCTGTAGATGTAATAGGTGAATGCCGACTTACTTCCAGCCCATGGCAAAGCCCCAGGAAGGATCCAGGAAGCGTGTAGAGAAGGCGGAGAAGGATCCAGCTACCGGGAAAGCCACTGCGAGTTCTCCGAGAGCCTGGACAGTAAAGTAAAGCATAGCGCCAATGAAGGAATATGCGATCAGTACCGAGGCTGGGCCTCCCAGCTCCAAAGCCCTACCGGAAGCTACAAAGAGACCAGTGCCTAGTGAAAAAGAAGAAGAAAGTTTAGAAGAGCAACCCGAGACATGGGAGGTGTTCGGGGGGAAAGGAGGGGGAGGGTTGACTGGGCGAGCGTACCTATCGATCCACCGATGGCAATCATCTGCAGATGCCTCCCCTTCAGTTTTCTGGCGAGCCCCGAATGCGCAGTCCGCTGCGCAGCGGAACGTATGTCATAGTAGTGGCCGCTGCTGTTGCTCCTCAACAAGGGTGGGCGCGCATGGATGGATCCGACCTCGGCAGCGATTATGTCGTCTATGGGGTCTTTGGGCGTGATGCTGGAATTAGGATCCCGTCGAAAGCCGTCCATCCAGCGGGCCCAGCGACCCTGAGGCTCGATGTCCTCATACATAGGCTCGCGCATGCTGAAACCTCCAGCACCCATGGTCGTGGCGTAGCTGCCCATATTGTAGTGATTATGTCTGCTGAATGAGTCCTCCTTCAGCGGATACAGCTTGAGCTCAATATCCCGGCTCGATGGCATTGTAGTGGGTGATGCCCGGCGCCGCGCCGGCCGTTTTCACGCCGATTGTGTTACGGGATTTCTGATGCGCCAACGAGATCCTCGTTGATATCTAGTTTTCAGTATGGCAACTTGTTTGGCTTCAATGCACAAGTACGGACAACGATTGCACAGTCGCTCGAAAATGCATAGCTTGCGCGGGCGCGATGCAGGCTTTACGGCAGGCACGAACAGACTGCAACGAGACCTGGGATGCTCTTCTGTGTCGTTGCTGAAGATGGTCGCCGTCCCAGGTTGGGTACGACTTGGCGGCGAGTCGCTGCGACTTGATTCGCTTTCGAGTAGACTGCTCAGTTTCCGCGCAACTTTCGTCCCCAATAATGCTACGACCACAAGATGCGAAGCGATGCGATGGAATCGGGGGGTTGCGATGTGACTGCGATACTCTTGTTCGAACACAGACATGCGTCTTAATGGTCACGGTTTGAAGCTAGAGCGAGCTGGCATGAGGAGGAAGCGAGGGCTTATCATGGGCTGCGGGCGGACAGTAGTTGCCGTTTTGGCTGTAGAGAGCGGCAGAAAAGAGATAGAGGGTGTGATAGCCAGGCCGACGACCTGCGGACGTGATTCGAGTAGAGGTCGGTCGGCCGAACGAACTGCAAATGGGGGGGGGGGGGGGGGGGGGGGGGGGGGGGGAGCCAGCAAAGCCAGGGTCCAGCTCTCTCTAAATCTTTCTATTGTCTTTTAATCATTGATTCCGCTGCCAGCCCACGCAGGCTGAGCAAATGTCGCGTGGGGGGGGACACTTGTGTTGTGTTGTGCGACTGTATGCTACACCGTCGCTGGCCTTGGTAGACCGTGTTTCCTTCGTGTAAAGTAAAGTTGCCAGACGTCTATATAAAGGTATTTTTGGAACATTCGATCCCGGTTTCGTTTGAGTTCTGATGACACATGAGAAGAAAGCCCAGCCCACGTCTCATGGCGGTTCATGTTGGCTGGCGTTAGTGCCCGTTGAGAGCCAAGCTTGACCCCGCGAAAAGCAAACCCCGTTCCATTGTGCTGGGAGCATCTACATAACTTGCACATATCCATTAGGTACTGTACGCACTGTACTGTATACACTTTTGGTTTATTTAGTTATGTAACTATGTATCTGTCACCTTACTGTATGACCTCTGGGCATGCCATCTATTACATTGTGCTGCGGCTTCGGAAAGGGACCCTGCATTGTGCAAGCGCCACAAATTGAATGAAGTGACATGAACTTGCCGCCGCGTTTAATGTTGGTCTGTAATTATACCTCATCAACCTACATATCGAATGCACAATTTTCACGAAGACAGGCTTGTTTTTTGCTGATGGCCGCCTACGGCCAGAGATTTGGACTGCTAAATGACAGCAACTGCAGACGTTCGCCTCACTTGCATGCTGTGATACTGACTTATTCAAGAACTATGACAGGCACATCTCAATGGTCCAGAAATCCCATTTTGAAGGCCATCGCCGAAGAGACGACAAGATCGTACCAATCAGACATTGACCACTCAAACAGCAAATCTACAGATACGACCAAAGCCTCAGGAACCCGGCCCGCAAGATCCAATGGAGAGAGACGAAGGTGAAGCACAAAATTTGAGGTCCGAACTTGCCAATTTCATCAGCGCGTGCGGTCAGGAAGACAGCGGTCAGAAGCAGCCAAGACGATTTAAATGGTAGTGGTAACAACCGCGTAAACCACCGTGGAGAAGAACACCCGCAACACGCACTGTCATCGTACAAGACTCTCCGCTCGACTGCTTCTCCCGTTGCTTCATCTACCCAGATAAAGCAGATCAGGACGATACAGAATACCTTACGCGCGTGGATCTAGTAACACATGATCAAGGTGGGGATAGAAGATGGATTATCACGTCAACGTGACCAAGGGAATTGATCATAGATGGACCTGTGTGAGCAAGCTCAGAGGTTCGGATACAGAGCAATGGCTTCTCCAGCTAACGTCATACTGTCTCCAAAGACGAGAACGAATAAGGCCCTACGAGGCCTTTGAGTATCATATATCGCTCCACAGTATTGCAATAGTATGGATTCGGATTGGCGAGTCGATTGGTTGTTCTCTTTTTAAAGATGCCATGGTCATGAGTTCGAGGTTTTTATATATTTGGGTACAGCATCATTTGAATATTGTTTGCTTGAACAGTTTATCGCATCCGCGAAACCCTTATGGAAGCAGTCCACAGATGGAGATTTAACAGTTATTTAAAGTGATCAATGCCCACCAGCACACATACCATACAATGTTTCTCCGAGAAAGTTCGTCAACCTTGCTGATTTTTCAATAATCGTCAACAACCTGGACAACGGTGGCACAATGCCGACCGTGTCCAACAATGCAACATGCCTTTCCCATCCAACTACAGGTCCAATCGGGTTCGTTGGCGTCAAATAGGCAACACGGTGGTAACTATTGTAGGCATGAACTAGTCCAGTCCTGGTCTAAGCATTGGGTTACAACAATATTCTGCTTGTCGTATACTCCTGATCCGGACAACACATCTCGTGGCCATCAGCATGCCATGTTGGGAAAAGGTACTCATAAGTCGTTGACGGCGTCAAGATGTACAGATACGTCATGGAGAGCAAATCGTGGCGAGAGTTGTCCTCAACGGAGGTTGGAAGGTTTTGGCGGACTGTGAAACACGTCCCAGTAACAATTTCCAGATCTGGCAGGACTCATTTTCCTGGCCGAAAGAGGTCCGCTTGGCTCCTTCTAGAAATCCCAGTCGAAGCCCCCAGGCTTGGCCGCATTCTGTTTTCTCCCCGGTAGGTTCTTAGGCAGCTCATCGTCATCGCCACCAAACAGCCAGTCTCTGTTAGTGCCCTTAGAACCGCCCATACCATCGCCCCCAATGTGAATGCCTTGATTGTCACTTGGCTTACCACTTGCCCTGGGTTTGACGGGCTGGTTCTCTTTCTGAGCGGGGGACTTGTCGTATGACGACCAGTTGGCGTCCATCATCTTGACGGCCTTCTGACGATCCTGGGCCACGTGATGTTTCTCCTGAACTTGAGCTGGAGATTTGTCTGCCATAGAGAAGTGGGATTCAAAAGTCTTGCCCCGGCTCTTCAGGTTGGTGACGTTGCCAAGAGCGTCCTGGACAGCGGCTGCAGGATCATCGGCCTCTTCTTCTTCGCTGTAGACGTTGTTCTTGTACAAGCCTAGTCCATTGTTGTGAGTGGCACCCCGAGGTCGGTTTGCGCGCGGCTCTCCCTTGGGGAGACCGTCATCAACGAAGTCGAAGTGTGTCTCAGCATCGCGACGGGGCTTTACTATGGCAGGTTTGCGAATGGGAGTCTGCTCGACCTCGTCGTTTTCATTTCCCCAATGGCGCACATCCTGATGGCCCTTCTGAAGCGTCTTGCCGGGACGGGCCTTGGCAGGAGTCGTGAAGTCCTCAAAGTTCCACTGGCTGTTGTGTTTGGTCTTCTTCGAGGTCGGATCCGCGGCCTGGGGCGCATCCTGGGGATCAGAGCCATCGGCGAAATCGAAGTGGTTGTACTTGTTGGGGTTCGGGCGATAGAAGCGATCCGGGGAGTTGCCCTCGGGCGCCTCAGGTTCATCAGCGATGTCGCCCTCGGTGTCAAACAGACGGTTTGCTTGGAAGTTCTTGCCAGCGCCTGATTTAGGAGCAAATGCCTTATGCGGTGACTCGGATCGGTTGCGGCCGCTACTGGGCGAGTTGGGGTCATGGACGGGCTCGTCACCCAAGATTTCTGTAAAATCGCGTTGTCTAGGTCTTGCTCCGCCCTTAGGGGAGACGACAGACTCGAGGGTTTGCTGCTCGATCTCCTCACGTGGCGCAAACAATGCAAGTGAGGAACGGGGATCGCGCGGACCGTCGTTGGAGCTGCCGCGAGCACGAGCGGCTGGACCTAGACCTGAGTCTGAGGCAACAGCTACTTCACTTGAGGCCTTCCAAGAAGACTCGATGAGCTTAATTTGCTCCTTGGCGTCGCGAATGGGCCAGTTGCGGCCCGACTTGCCAATAATATCCAGCTGCTTCAGAAGTGAAGCCTGGTCCCAGCTCTGGCGGATTTGCTGGACCTTGCCTTCGGCATTGAAAGTAACAATGTGTGTCTACAGGTAGATGGGATGCATGGTTAGTCAAGTATGCTCTTGATTGAGCGGTCGACGATGGCTCAAGTATCCAAGAAGAGTTCCTGAGAGGACTTACGATGGGCAGGATGACTGTGCGGTCTGCTAGAAAATTGTCATCTAGGCCTGGCAGGTAGGCGGCGCCGCTGGTCACAAACTCCAGGGAGGTGTCGACCTCGATTGCAGCGGCGTTCTGGCCTTCGATTACGGTGAGGAACTCTTCCTTCTTCTTCTTGACCTGATTGCGCAAGGCGGCGAGATGCTTGATGATGTCGGTTGCGCCTCTGTAGCTTGTCGTCGTGGTTACATAGTGGAGCGCTGCGTCGCTGGCGAGAAGAGAAGAGTTGGGTGCAGCTAGAAACTGCTTGTAGACAGCTTGTAAGGCCATGTTTGGTTCAACGCCTGCTAACTTGGCCCAAGACTGCGTTCCCAGGATCGAGAGGCTGCAGTAGCGCTCTGTATGACGTCGGCGCAAAGAGCGTCAAGCTTCAATGTAAGTGCCTACAAAATGCTGGGGCAATGGTGGTATAGACGACAGGATGGATTGGAAATTGAACGTTTACGTTGTTGCCGCTGAACGAGAGGAATTGGGATGATGAAGGGTACAAGTCAGAGGGAGTTGGAAATAAGACAAGCTTATTAGCGGCAAAGACAAAAAAAGAAAGTGATGGTAATGCTAGGGGAAGTTGCTATGTACCTGTACCGTGCTCCACACCAAGAATGGATAAAGTCGTCCTGGAAAGGCCTCCCATCCTGTTCATGTCCTGTCCTGTCCTGGCTTGTCTTGTCCTGCACGAGGAAGGAGGTGGACGCTTTGTTTTCTGTTTGGATGCGGCAACTACGAACTAGGATCCATGCAGCGCTCGAGATGATTTCGGAGCACTGTCAATGACATGGGGTCAATCCTGGGGTCAAGGAGACCCTTGCTACATGTGGCTTATGATTTTATTTTATTTTTTCCCGTGTTTTATTTGTAACCTAAAGGGACGTGTGAACGCATAAAACATTACTTGCTATATGCTTGTATACGCCGGAAAGTCGATCAGATTACTGTCCGCCCAGTGTTTGCAGACTACCAAGCTGGCACCACGAGCACTTCAGAGACTTTTGAACGCGTCGTTCCAACGCGCTCTCCCCCAGCAGAGGCTACTGCAACAAGGCCGCGCCACGCATAAACCTGCAGATGGGACAGCAAATGAGGTTGAGTTTCTCCACCTTACCAGCATCATTGTCTCGGCTGCTGAGATGAAGGGTCATTTGTCGATCTTCATGCCGGAGGGCAACAGGTTTAACACAGGCAGACACAGCATGCCATCATACTTGAGAACGATTTTCGAGCGTCCGCAGGAATAAATATACCTATTCAAGCATCAATAGAGGGGTTTGGCTGCCCCGCGCTTCCGGGGGAGCACGTGGATAAGATAGGTAGTCATTGTCCTGGCTTTGGTTCCAAGATCTTCTTCCCCCTGTCCAATCTCGGAGATTTTTGAGCAACAGTTTCAAAAACTAAAATGTCGATGCTCGCCCAGAACTTCTTAGCGCCCTATGGAGTGAGTATTACACTATCAGGGAAGTGGTCTTCTACTATACTATGTATGTAGGACGTAGAACGTCGGCCTTCCGAGATATGGGCACCCACCATAAGTAATTGATATACCGGTACTCCGTACTTGGGTCATTCATGTCTCTGGCAGAATACTTTAATGGGGTATTTCTGACCCTGACAGCTTTAGTGGATGCTTTCGCTGCACTTGCACTGGACTGGGCAAAAGGCCTGGAAGCCCACCGTTAGCCGTTTCAACATTTGCAGGGATTCCGAATACGGCTAAGCCGTTTATTCAGTGGTCCCAGTAGACTTCCAAGTTGGCATTGGATTGGGACCCTTGTCTGTGGATCTCTACATCGTACATAGAATGTACACAGTAACTACAGTACCATTGCACGGGGAACAGGCGCCTCCCAGTTGAGACCGAGACATTTCGCTATGAACGTTGAAGAGGCGTCCGACATAAGACGATCTGAGACGGGTTGACTGGTTACATTAAGACACAATGTTGATGAGGTTTTCATCTTTGGCTTGAATAGATGAATTCTACAATAAGCAACCATTATCCAAGTGTGTTTTCGAGTGCTTGAAGAACGATGGAAGAGATCGCGTAGTATTTCCATCGAATGACTAATATGTATGTAGGTATGCTTTACGTGGAACTCTTTTTGCAGGCCATCTCCGCTGCAAAGTACCTTACAGCTTAGATTATGTGTTTACGAACAAGGTGAGTCCATGTCCGACCTGTCCATCACTAATAGTGAACATATCGTGGTGGCCCAAGGCTAGATGGCGCAGAAGGGAATTTAGGGTCATACTCTTCAAAGGATACCGCCGTAGCGCTTGGGGCTTCTTCGTACACGAGCTGTCGTCGAGGACTCTCTGGTCTTGACGACATCGCCCCCCGCATCATCTGTCGGTTACCGGTTGTGTCTTGTTGATAAGCAGACTCGCAAACTGACTCTCGTCGATATACGTTTCGCTCCTGACCTCGATAAGTTGTTGTTGCTTCACGATACCTAGGCTGCTCGTCCTCGTATCGTACGTAGACGGGCGCTGGCTCTCGCCTGATAGGGCGCTCGATGTAGTACTCATCTCCACGCGAGTCACGAACAAGGACCCTTTCCCACACCTCAGTATATGAAATTTGAGCTTGTGCTTGTGCTGATCGAACAGCTTGGCTCATTGATGATGAATCAACGTATTGAAATGAAGACGCAGGACGTGGTCGCGGATCGTCAGTATAGACGGCTTCATGAACTTGCGGTGCAACCCGACTATGGTTGTCCACGTGAGCCCGTAAAGAATCTCGGTCCCCAGCCAAAGATTGTGCCACCTCAGTTGGATCATCAACCCTGGCATAAGCAGGGTTTGTGTCATAAGCTGGAGGGCCTCGGTTGCGATAGACGTATCCGTGTTGTGAGGGTGCTTCTCCAAGCCCTGCCCTATCCGGTGAGCGGGACCGACAACGTTCATGAACAGAGCTCTGAGTCAGACCATCGCTGGCCCTAGAATTCTGCACTGGCGCCTGCTCGGATATTGGCCGTCTGCTGGACACGGCAATATTTGTAGGCTTCAACACGCGCTGCTGATCTAAATGATGTTCCAAGCCCGCAAATAAATCATCTTCATGATCCAACACTACAACTGGTGGGTTGCGTGAAATATCTGGTCCAGCGATGGGCCGAGCGACATGGTTCAGAGGCGGCGGTGACACTTGCACTGCCTGTGGACGCATAGCTGACGGCGGACCGTCAGTCGGACTTTCGGGACGTGTTGTCTGCGGCGGCTCAGGATCTGACGCTATACGGGCGGCGGTTTGGCGATCGGCTGCCCACATGGCGCGGATGGCCTCTTCCTGGCGTTGCGCCTCTGCTTCTGCTTCTTTGTCCTCTCCAGACTCGCTTTTCTCGGCAGCTGGCTTGCCTTGCCTCACACCATGCTTTGCACTCCCCTTTCGTGACTTTCCACCTTGTCCAGCACGTCGCTCCTTGGCAGATGATTTGCGATTGCGATGCTTTCCAGCCGCCCGGTCCGGGGTACCTCTCCCGACATCGCTTGGGCCAGGTTGGTGTAATAAATGTTGGGGGAAAACCTGGCCATCATCGTTCGCAACAACGTTGGCTTGTGAGAAATAATTTGAGAATTCATTGACTAGAGGTCCTTCACCACTGACCATCGACTGGGGGTGCGGGAGTGGCCTGTCCTCGGAGGCCTGCTGTTGGCCAAAAGCTACGTGCATGGGCATGTAACCATCCGGTACTGCTGCTGAAGAATTTTCAGCGCTATGTGCAAGACTGTGGACGCCGTGATGTCCAGGCAAGTGGTTTTGGTGAGAGGGTGCCGTTTGCCCGTGTGACCCTTCTGCACCGAAAGGTCCAGAAAATGTCACTTGAGGGAAGGCTTCTGTCATCAACCCATATTTATGACTGTCCATGCCAACCATCGCTCTGAGATGGGATAGACAGGCGACATCGGGCAGAAATACCATGTCAGCAATCCAGTTCAATATAGGCTGTGTCATGCCCTGCGCTGGTTCGACATGTTTCTTCTGAAAATGGTTCACTAATTGAGGAAGAGAGAAAACGCTCCTCTCATTCTCAACAGGGGCGCAGCCTCCCAGGTGGAGATGGCATGCCTTGCACTGAAGCCCGTTTACGTTGCGCACTGGGCGCATCTCCTTGTGATTAGACAATCCATCGATAAACATGCCCAGCGGTGGATCTTCTGCGAAATGGGACCTATACCTCTTCGCCAAATGGTAGAAACAGACATACACTCGAATGTACCCAGGTAGTTCTTTCACCCCGGCTGTGGCCATCCAGACCTCGCGTGAAAAACATGCCAAGGCCTCAAGCTGAGTACGGATTCTATCAGACTGGGAACCGCCTGGAAAACCCAGATAGCCGGCTTGTCCAGTCAGCTGATAAGCATCATAGGTGTGACTGTTATGTACGGCAGGAACCGGAAATGGCAGGCCATGCGCAAACTGTTGAGAGTAATTTGTTACAGGTTGTGGCACAGGTAGAGACGCTCCTGTGCTGGAGGCTATACCGTAGCCTTGATTGTAGGGCAAATGTTCAAGAAATGCAGGGGTATAAGACGCCTGCGTCGTGGCATACATTGTGGATGGTGCAAAACCACTATGCTGGTAATGGCTGTCCGGTTGATTATATTGTCCGTAGTATGGGTGGCCCACATGTGGAGCCATCGACACCCCAAATGATGTAGGTGCTTGGTGGTGATGGTTGTGCTGTTGCATAGGCCCAGCAGACTGATACACGGGAGAGGTGGTCGGCTTGCGATGCTGAGCAGTTCTCGCAACGGGATCCGGGTGGAAGGGCGGCACCTCAGGCCATTCTGAACGCCAGTAGACGACGATACTGCCAACGCTCATGGAGTTGGTATGTTTAGCAGCGTAGTGTTGAACCACACCTTCAAAGCCATATGCTTTCAAACTATCGTCGCACCCATTACATAAGAAGAGCTCTTTACGATGTGTTTCTGTATGAGGTTTGACTTTTACTTCGAATAGCCACTTCAAGTTTTCGAGTGTCAGCTTTTGGGTAAATGGCCCTTGTGGCGGATCGCGCTTGGGTTCCTTGTGTGTTCCGCGTGATGCCGCTGCATCTCTTTCAATCTTCGCGTAAAATTTCCTACGCACATAGAGCAGGACCTCAACGGCGAAACGTGGACTTGACTCTTTGTTTACGTTGTTTCCGTCGTCCCATGCATCACGAATAATTTCGTCGGCGTACATTGAGATTTGGGCTCGAAGAGGAGCTTGCGCATCATCCCAATCCTTGTCCGTCAGCTCTTTTATCTCCTTGCCCTGCCTCTCAAAAACGTGTTGCTCCTCCGCAGGTTCTTCGACAGCGACGAGCGGCATGGCGGCGACTTGATCACGCTCTCTGCGATTCTTTACATCAGCTCTCTGCAAAAGTAGCCTACGCTTGAGCATCTCCCATGCGTTATCATCGAGAGGTGTAATGATTTGCAAGGCAGCTTGAAAAGATGGAATTTGAGCTAAGACGTCTGGCTGGAGTGGGGGTTGCAGTAGCATGGCTCGTCTCTCAATCTCAGCTCGACGGGCTGCTCTTAACTCAATAACCTCATGAATGGTTCGTTTGGACTGCGTGGGACCCGACTGAGTAGACTGTATCATTGACTGTGATTGCGAGAACGGTTCGCTCTCTGCAAGTAAGAGTTAGTTCATTGAGGAGGCGAGCCACAGACAGATGAGCATACCTTCAATTCGCAGTGGTGGGATCGGTTGCATCTTCGAGGCTGTCGTTGACTTTACCGTCATGCCCAGCGTGTTGACTTTGTGGTTGGCAATTGTTGATCTGTCAGCAATGGAGTTGTTCTCGACTTGCCTGGACGACTCAAGAGTTGATGGCATAGCAACCGGTTGTGCTCCAGGAGTGTGCGACTGCCATAATTGTCGAAGACCCCCACCTAAATCCCACTTCTCCCACCGTTCTGCATCAAGGCGCCGTTCCTTGCCTCGGTCTTCTAAGCCTTTCAGCCATTCCTCTGCTGCGCCAGGCCCGAGGTTTTTCACAGACACAAACTCGTCTCTGAGCTCGTCGATTTGCTTTGTGAAAAATATTTTTGTAAGGGCGGCATCTCCCAACGAAAGTCCCTTGGTGAGAGCGCCTGGAGTAAAAGCTTGTATGTCACTTGTGATGAGAACAAACGGCAGTGCCGGGAAAAGTAGGTGTGGGATAGATGGGGAAAGCAACAAGTCTATCTCCTGCAGTGTATCAGAAAACCTGGGTCATTAGGAGCATGATTGCCTATGCGTACCTTCGTTGTGTTGGCGATTAAGCAAGATCCGCAGCATATGACAGCAAATGGCCATAACATCCTCACCCTTCCCACTCCTGGGCCGGGTGATAACATGGATTTGACCGCTGGTGAATCGCCTCGCTCCTCTTTACCACAGTATTGGCACCGCCTCATGTGCACCAAGCGCCACATTTCGAGTTCTGTTTTGTCTTCAAGGGGCGCTGGCATTTTTGGCCAATAGCGTTTCCTCGAAGCTCGCCAGATTTCATTTGGTTGCAGTGTGGACAGATGCCCTCGAATGGGGGGTCGAGGCTGAGGAGATTGTTTGGAGGAAGAAGGGTCGAGATAGAGATTAAATAGCTTGCTAACTTGCAATGAGTTGCCCAGTCCCTGAGGCTGGGTCAAGGTAAAGATATGGTGCCAGATCTCGGCCGGCAGCAGGGACTTATCTGATGTAATGGAATCTGCATGATTCGGCACCGCAGGCCTATTCCCGTTGAGCTTGGCCTTCTTGGGAGGGTCCGAATCTGTCAAAGTAGCTGGCTGATCAGCAGAGAGCTTGCGTTTCCTGCCGTTCTCGTTTCGAAACCCAAGAGGCAGGCTACTGTCCGGAATACCATCCCTTTCAATTCCAGTTGCCAGGCGAGCGGAGCATTTTTGACCCTCGGTATCATGGCTCTCAACATCTGAGGCAGACATGGATACATCCGTATCGGAGCTCTCGTCGAAAATGATGACATCTTGCTCTTCTGCAAGCCGAGTAGGTTGAGCAGCATATGTGCCTTTATGTATCGGCCGTGTAGATACGGAGCCTGGTGGAGGTTGGCCTTGTCTCATAGCTGCTATGAAGTAGGGCCATGGAGAGAGGGACTGAAGACAAGCTCGCCGGGCTTCCTGGCTAGCAAGCAAGGGCGCCTCAGGCGAGCGCAAATGGGTTTGGTGGTGACGGGCCTCGTCAAACACTTGTCAAAGAGGCGGGTATCTGACTATTGGTCCCAGGTCTGACTCAATGTTCAAACAGGGGCGGACATTGATGGATTGCAGTCAAGGCACGTCACAAGGGTTTTTTTTCTTTTCCGTCCTTCGTCTTTTTGCGGGAGAGAGAAAAAACACCCCGTGGCTCCTTAACAAGAAATAGGAAGTCTAAGGAAAACAATAGTTGTCTTTACCATATCAACTGAATACCGTTTCAGGGGATCAAGTATGAAAGAGAAAGGAACGAGGTTTGGTCAGGAGCATGAGGTATACAGAGTAATCAACCTTATTTGGTCGACTGAAGATGAGTTTTGGATTGCGGAAGAAGCAGAATAAACACCGACAATCCTTAACGGTTATCGAGTCTAGACTAGTCGAGACCAAGTTGCCAGCCACGAAATCACAACTTTGGAAAACTGTAAAGTGAAGGAATTGATGGGGGGGGTGGCAGGACGAGAAGGTTTCGATGAGAGATGTCGGCTTGTCGCGTTCTGGGCTCGGGCGTTGATGAAGCTCCAGGGCAGACCCAGACTTCGCGGTAAGCTGTGTGAAAGCGTGCCTGTATACCTACTGTAGCGTGACGTGGCGTAGCTTAGCATAGCGTAAGTACCGTATCTCTTGTATTTGTGTGCCTACTGTAACCTCCCACCTCCCTCACGCTGTAACCTAGGTTAGGTGAATTGAAGTGCTTTCCGGGGAGTGATGATGCGGCACCAGCCGACAACCAGCTGTGTGCTAACCTAGTCCGGACTGTTGCCGTTGCCGTTGCCGTGGTTGCCCCTCCCCCGCCAAAAGACCAAAGACCCCTCCGAGACCTTTTGTTGTCATCTGCAGCCCTCAGAAGTCCACGTCAAACTGATCCCAATCCCACTGCAGGCCTCTCTGCTTGCAGACATCCAAGATAGATACTGCACTCGATTCTTTCAACTCCGTCCGCGCACACAACCTCGAGTAGACAAGAGCCTGGTTCTTTGTACCTGACAAGTAGCATGGCTTCGTCCGAGATTTTCTCCTTGGAGGGCAAGGGCCTGAAGCTCGACACGGAGCAAGACCTCGAACCTTATATTGCTGACCTTCGTGCCAGCGAGGATGTTCAAGAGGTTCGCCTGCTGGGAAATACTCTCGGCGTAGGAGCCTGTAAGCTCCTGGGAGAAGTGTTGGCCACCAAGAAGTCACTGAAGGTAAGGTGACTCGACCCTTTCTTTATACCAAATGAACTGCCCCTGCCTCATGCTCTGCTCCTCGCACAACTCCCCCACGATAGGCATGTGTACTGACTCAACCGTTACGATCCATCCAGTCCGCGAACCTCGCCGACATTTTCACTGGAAGACTTCTTAGTGAAATCCCCGATGCCTTGTCGTCGCTGCTCACCTCGATACTCAACCTACCAAATCTGCGCACCATCAACTTGAACGATAACGCCTTCGGACTGAACACCCAGGCGCCCCTCGTCGCATTCCTTGCCGAGCACGTCCCCTTGCAGCACCTCTATCTCAACAACAACGGTCTCGGACCCCACGCCGGTATACTAGTTGCTGATGCGCTATCCAAGTTGCACGCAAAGAAAGAGGCGGCCCGCAACGCTGGCCAGGACGTGCCCCATCTCGAAACCGTCATTTGCGGCCGCAACCGTCTTGAGAACGGTAGCATGACTGCATGGGCCAAAACATTTGCTCTGCACAACAAGCTCAGGGAAATCAAGATGGTTCAAAACGGCATCAGGCAGGAGGGCATTATTCACCTACTCAGCGAGGGCCTGAACCACGCCCAAACTCTCAACATCCTCGATCTCCAGGATAACACCTTTACCCTATCAGGAGCAAAGGCCCTGGCCAAGGTTGTACCTCTTTGGTCAGAGATTCAGGAGCTTGGCGTCGGCGACTCCCTACTGGGCAACAAGGGCGGTATCGCCCTCGCAGCCGCACTCAACAAGGGCAAGAACCCTCAACTCCAAGTCTTGCGTCTACAGTACAACGAAATTGCCTCCCCTGGACTCAAGGCCTTCGCCGACGCCGCAAAGCATGGCTTACCCGGATTGAAGAAGATCGAGGTCAACGGCAACAAGTTCGACGAGGATGATGCGTCGGTCTTGGCCCTCCGAGAGCTTCTTGAGGAACGCAAGGAAAATTTCGGCGGTGATGTGGTCGACGAAGATGCCTGGGGGCTGGACGACCTTGATGAGCTCGAGGAGCCCGACTCTGACGAAGAAGAAGAGGAGGAGGAGGAGGAGGAGGAGGAGGAGGAGGACCACTTTGAGCCTGAAGAGCTGGCTGAAAAACTCGTCAAGGAGGCTGAAGAAGCCCAGGAGGAGCCTACTGTGCAGCTCAAGGACCCTGAAGTGGATGCTCTGGCCAAGTCTCTGGAGAAGACCAACATATAAAGTCCATCTCGAGTCAAGAAAGTGCAGACCTGGCATCTCTGTGGAACGATCAGAAGCTGAACATATGAAGGAAACGAAGCCTTGCGGCGCCACGAAGATGATACCCTTAAACACCTAGAAATATTTAAAGTAGACCAAATAAGATACACTATCGCCCGTACTGTAGGACTTGACCGCGAAAACCTGATCTCCGTCGATCCAAACATGGATGCTGCCTACCTGCGTCTTGGCGGTTCCGACTTGTACCTGCATGACCTCTTCAATCTCAGCTTCCCAGTAGCAAAGGTCGAGGGAAGTGCTCGCCTGTACAAGGATCAACATGATCCAGCAAGATAAATGAAGAGGGCCAAGCTCAACGTTGGGTATGAAAGGGGCGCGCACAACGTGTTTGGTACCAGACAATTATAGGTTGCTTCCGAGTACGCCTCATCGAAAGGAGCAGTAATCACTTCCGAGGCCGACAGCAACTGGTGAGTTGAAGACTTCTTCTAGAAAGGTGACGCTTTTTCGTACTATTTAAGTCGTGATGAGTAGCATAGCTCCAGGTTGTATGTACAGATCTTTCCGGCACCGTTTAATCTCTTCCCGTGATGCCATCCGTTATTTCCTCCTTGAAAGCGGCGCTAATGCGAGTGTACCTCTCCAGTAGTCCTTCTAGTTTTACAGAGTTTGAGAAATTCAACAAAGGCGAGTCCCATTTCTGACATGTTTGCAGCCCAAGCGACACCCACGTGTCTCCACAAAAAGTTTCTAGTACAAGATGAACGGCTATTATAACACTTCGCCAATGATTTTGGCCGCCTCGCGGTAGGTCTGCAACAGCTTCTCGCACTTCTCACGCTCCTTTTTGATACCATCGTCCTCGTACAGCAACTCCTCAAACAGTGTCTCCTTGTAGAGCTCACTCACAAGGCGGTTTTGCACCACATCCTTGCTGTGGTTGACAAGAAGGTGCATGACCGCTTTCGGTACTTGATCAGCAATAGTCTCGCGGACGATGTTGAAGTAGGATGAAATGAGCGCGCGAATGAGCTCAGTCTCCATTGCCTCACGCTCTGTAAGAGCTGGCTCGGCATCCTGTCCCTCACGGTCATATTAGCCACAGATAATGATGAGATGATTTCCGACTTTTAACTTACAACTGTACCAAAACCGAACTCGGTTGTCCTTGGACTCTCTTCCTCACGAATTAATGATGAAGATAAGGCTGGTCGATGACTAATCTTCTCCTCGGTTCGCCGTATGCTTTGGCTGAAGGTCGCTTCCTGAGACTGACTGACGTGGCGTGGCAGTGCGCCTGGAGTCCCGGCGCCGCCAGGATGTTGAGGGGCACCGTCCTTGCCAAAGAAGTAAGTTAGGAAGCTATCCCGCGCACCATTGCCTCCGAGCCTTGCGGGAGAATCGGAGCGGCCATTCACGGCCGCTACTAGACTTCCAGCACCGTTCTCCCGGACTGCTGGCGACATGCTTCGCGTTCCCTTTGCGGTCAGTTTCCGAGAAGCAAGAGTGTCGCCTTTCTCTGTTGCTGCGTCTTCGTCGTCTTCCGGAACCTCGGTTCCGTTGGCTCCCAGCTCCTTGAGCCGTCGCTTTTCCCGCCGCGCTCTCTCATCCTCGATTAGCTTCTTGCGCTCTCGGTCTTGTTTGTTGGTGACAACATGGCTCATTGCCGCTGCTGCGCCCAAAAAGTTGGGATGGTTTGTGTTGATGTAGGCGCGCTGGATAGAGATCAACGACTCGACATAGTGTGACGCAGGTCCTAATCTTTCCCTGAGCAAATCGGAAACCACTTCGATCAGTTTTCCCTGTAACCTCGGGAAACGTGATAGCTCGTTGGAGCCACAGGTATGGCATATTTTGATTAATTCCTCGTAGACGAGCTCGACACATCGCTGGCTGGGCCCTTCCAGCATCTTGATCTGCGGCTTCACAAGAAGATCAAAGGCCATCTCAGGGACGAATAGACTAGGACGAGGTCCGGTCGAGTTGCGGATGGCAGTCCTGATATCGAGAGCTGAAAGGTTCGAGGTGGGGTCGATAGTTTCGAGCGAGCTTCCAAAGACAGAGTTGAAGATGTAGTAGATGCGGGCGCCTCCTGACAACTGCTTGGTTGAGATCTCGCTGGAAGTTCCATCGATGGAGGAAATGAAGGAGGAGGCAAATTTGGTCATGAGTTGAAGAATCATGGAGCCCCGATGCTCCTTGCCACTGAAGTGATTGTCTCCGTAGGTTGCTAATTCTTGTTGCGTCTGGCCCATCAGTGTGTTCAGACGAGCCTTGATATCGGGCAGACGCTCTCGGATGTGGTGCATGAGGGTTTGGTTCAGGGTCTTGGCCAAGAACTGAGTACCGCAACGATTTGCGATATTGCGGTAGGCAGGGTGATGCTTAAAGAAGTCGTTCTCCGCCTGCAAAGCCTCCTCCATGGGCTTGTTGCCCGTGATGTCTTGCTGTGACCTGTTGACGACACCGATGAAGCCCAGCTTAAGAGGATAGACACGGCCGGAGAGAATATCCAGCGCATTGGTGCCATGGTCCATGAGGTCGACCTTGGTCAGGACACCGACGGTGCGGCGGCCCAGGGGGTCGACATGTCTCGCAAGTTTCAAGGCTTCCGAGTTGACGAGATCGACATTCGCAGGGGACACTGCGAGGATAATGCTGTTGGGCTTTGCGATAAACTCTGAGATCAGAGTTCGTGTCTGCTTCTCGATATCGGCAGGCTGATCACCAATTGGCACCTTTGTAAGACCAGGCAGATCGACCAAAGTCAAGTTGAGGACATGCGGAGAGAAGATCTTGAGGTTGATGGGTTGTCTGACAATGCCCTTGTTGCTACCAGCGACCCGGTTGGTCTCGTTCTCGATTTCGCGCTTGACATCACCGAAATCCGTGAAGCGCCTTGAGGGGATGTGGTGAAACTCTGCCCACTCGGAGCGTCTGGCTGTGTTTGGATTTCTGAATGCATCAGGGGCCTCTGGTACGCTTTCATCGTCCTCGACGTTGATGAGCTGGAGGATGAGAGGGCGACGCGTGACGATGCCGCTACCTCTGGGCAAGAAGTCACGGCCGACGATATTCTCGAGTACAGACGACTTTCCGGCAGATTGCGAACCGACTACGACCTGAAGAGAGCAGCGTGGTAAGTATGCGCGGGTGTTTTGACCATGGGGGAGGAAGGAAAAGTTTGTGAGCTGGCTGTGTGAGGATGACGTACAATCTGAGGAAGGTCTAGGCTGTCGGTGCCGATGGTGTTGAAAACCAAGTCTTGCAACTGGTTGACGATGCGAAGCAGATCATCGCCTAGAGCTGCCATGGTGTCTGGTTTGACACAGGCACAGACACAGACCGAAGCTGCGTCTCTCGTGGTCGCAGAATCTCTATTGGGCGACGGCAAGACAGAGGTTTCCCGAGAAGAACGGAAACGAGGAGAAATGAGTGACGCAGAGTTGCTTGCGGCTACAGCAGGCAAAGGCGAGGCGAGGCAAGGCAGGGCAAGGCAAGGTTGCAGACTCGAACTTCAAAAAGCTGCCACGGCTCTAATAACCTAGACTAAGGTTAGACTTCAAATGGCACTTGTACTTTGGTCGGGGGCCCCGGGCGCTTCAGGAACCGGTTTATCTCTGGCCTGGAAATACAATTGGCCAAACGGTGCCTCCAAGTTTTGATATGTGCAATCGCCAGCTGTATGGGATTTTCGCCTGCCGGGGACTGATGGAAAGATAACCGCCAGTCGCGAGAAGACTGCGAATGAAAACTAAAAGCAAAAGTTTTGAAAGCAGCAAGACTACATATGCTGTTACCGTACTGTGCGCTGCACACCCATGTACATAATAAGTTAAGACCATGCCGTCCAGGAGCCAGGAGCCAGGCGTCGGCGACAGCACCTCACAACCTACTGTACATAGCATGAGCTCAATCATACACAATCTTCAAGCTGAAGCGTGTAGGCAACCCCCCGTACGCTGCTGCGGGTACCTCCCCCGTCGTACCTGGCTTGCCTCTGCTTGTCCAAGAAGATAAGTAAATGTGCATTTCATGCGCCCACCTTGTCCCGGCTCCACACAGTTAGCTTCGAGACGACCATTCATTTCACCTCCATTATGCGACATCGATAGGAGGTTCGTCACTTGCTAATATCCATCACAATTTGATATTACTGCTTATAACAACCTACCGGTAACCATCAGCCGTGCTTATTGCAAATAACTCGCACCCTCGCTCAGCGTGTTTGCTTTCCATTCATATTTACTCCATTATTCAAACCATACACGGGACACTTTTGGCAAATAGCATCGGGCTATACTCACGTCGTCATGCTCTAAGTGATACTCGAACTGAACATCAGGAAGCAAGAGGAGGAGGAGGATATCACCCATGAAACAACTTATTCGAATGCACGCTCGTCGTTGTTCTGCGAAGGTGTCGCCATGACTGACATTCCCACAATACCGTGTGGATGAACCAGATTGATTCCATGATTTATTGAATAGACCGTGTGCCAAGAAAAGTAGTCCGTGACATCACCAGTAAATTCGGGCTCGAGTATCACACCCTAAGGCTCGACCTTCTGATATACATGCCATGTTGGGTCCTGCCTTGCCATTAGTCACCACGAACATGGGCGAGGATCTGTCGTAACCTCAAGATAGCCGTGGCTTCTGATGGTGTAGCCTCTCGTCCACTTTCCTGAATGTGACGAGCCTCTTTCTTGGCCTCCTCGACGAGCGACCCTAGATCACCCCATACCTCGTCAGTATAGCGAGATAGCACATTACCCCATTGCTCAGCCCAGAGATTGCTGGCTTCCTGAACGTCCGATGTACCCAAATGTTGCAGCAACTCATTATGGCCCCAGCTCGATGCACCGTTAGATATGTACTCTGGGACGAAGTTCAATAAATTCGCCCAGTCTGAAATGTCCTGACTGCTTTCACCTGAGATGACGTCGCTTCCGAAAAGAGCCTGCCTCAAAGACGCTTCATCTTCCTGACTCAGCGATGGCTCCGGGTCTGCTTGCAATACATCATCGTACGCAGTGTCTAGTAACTTGACGACCTCCTGGCCGTCATTGTTCGCAAATCGACTGTCATGGAATGTTTGTGTCATTTGGGGAGCAGAGAGTGGTGTGTTATCCTCGAGGCCACCAATGAGTTGGGCACTACTGTCGATGCTAGACGGGCCAGACTTGTCGATACCGTCCAGAAAACGAGAGAATGCGGCTTCTTCTCTTTGCACATAATCGTATGTCTGCGACGCTCGGAAGCTACTGCCAAGATCCGTGCTGGAACCTGTCTTTGCTTTGTGCCTTGACGCTTCACCTATTGTAGACCGCGTGGTTGTATCGGATGCGCCTCCTGTTTTCTCTGGCCCTAGAAGTCGAGTCTCAGTGTCTGGATTGGACAATAGGCTGTTACCCAATGCCACGGCCGAGCTTGCGAGGCGTGACACGACAGTGGTATCCGTGGGCAGTTTCTTCGTTGGTGTTCCAGCCGCATCAAGGAGATTTTTCTCAGTGGTGTCAGTCTCAACAGCCAGTTCTCTACCCTTGCCTTTCCTGTTGATCGACCCATGCGCCAAATGAGCATTTGGTTTTTCCATAGTAGTGTGTATACGAGTTTTGGTATATTAGAGTCGTACACTGGAAGTGAGAAAAGCCAGCGTGCAATGCATGCATAGGGTGACATAATGGCAACAAGCAAAGCCATGTTGGACTAAAAAGAAGTTATTGGGGCTCGGATACTCCATTGGACGCCAGCCGGACAACCTCGGGTGATCAGATGGTGTGCTTCCGGAGCAGCTATATAAGTTCTCTAAATAGCTTCGTGATTACTATAGAAACGGCAGAACCAGGTTCTATCCTCATGATCTATACTGCAATACTTGTCGTCCTCGTAGTTTGCTGTGTAAATCTGCACATGAAAGTGCCAAGGCGCATGGCATGTGACAGTGTCAAGCAACATCGGCGTGGAAAGGCCCCATGGCCTTTGACTGCCAATCTTGGAAGTAGATATAGTACATAGAGTCTAATTGGAGCACCTCTTTGCGAGCTCGGCTATGATGTCAGACCTTGTTCCCGAGCAGCGCGGTTCCTCAAGACTTTACCAAACGCATGCTCCGGGGTGAGCGTACCTGCAAGGGGCATAAATCTAACAGAGCAAGAACCGCGCGTTGTCTCAAGGTACTTGATAGAGACAAGATACGGTTCATATCTGGAGGGCATGTGAAACGCTGAGGATAATCCATGATATGTCACGTGCGATGATGCCGTCGAGTCCAGGTACTGACGTTAGGGACACAAAGCCTCACAAACAAGCAGATATTTGAAGAACGAGGCTTATCAAATCATAATACGTCGCATGGCAGCAACACATCTACAGAACCGGTGACGATGGTCCCTCTTGTAGAATAGAGTGCCCTCTGAGTATACAGAGTTGAGTAGCCACATTACAGGCCCGGGTATCATAGTGTTTCGTTAAACAAGAAATACCTGGAAAGAGCCCCTGGGCGTCCTCGACTGACAAGTCGTGACTTGATGACCAGACGGGGTGATGGTGTGCATCCGTACAATCGAAAGAGCCTTGATATGCTATTATTCGTGCATCAGTTGAAAGACTGACCCCGCCACCTTGCCCTAGGGAGAGGGGAACCTGGTTATGTCATTTCATGTTCCGGAGATTTGGGCTCAGCTTTTTCGCCGCAAGAATAGACTTCAGCCAGGCACTACAATAGCCCTCGTGACCTGAACTGGACATGGAAATCCAACCTCAAGGGCTACCTCCAGCCATGCCGGGTACATAGCTTCTGAATTCAGGCTCCACGTTACACTGGCAATTGAGTCTGACTTGGGCCCAGGTGCTTGGATTTCTTCCTTGTTACCATGTACTTCCTGCTTGTTTGGTTGAAGCCATTACATAGTCTATGTAGACCTGCACTTCTAGATCAATACCAAACCTCCAGACTTTTTGTACATCCCAATGATTGATTAAGATGTATGATCTCAGCTCATCTGGTGTTATTAAGAACCCTGAAGCAGATCACATAATGGAAGTTGTGCAGTGTTAACATCTCTTTTCTTTTTCTTTCTTTTATCTTCTCCTTCCTCTGTCTTTCCTTTGTTTGTTTCTAAATTTGGCAAAAAGTTATAAGTTTGTAATACCTCGCTTGGGGAAACAAAGGTCATGGCCGGTCACAGTCTGTCATCATTGGCAATAGATCGATGGTGTTGCTCAAGCACACTTGCAGCGTCAGCGAAACTTTGGGGCTTCGTCACAGGGCGTTACATACTGTCCAGAACACCTGGGAGGGGGAAGGGGGCAGACTCGGAGTCGACAAACGGGAGACTCTGCCCCCAACCGACTACATACATTACATAGGTAACCTAGTTAACATTAGCACCAAGTTAAGTACATTGCATATTGAAGGCTTTAAGCACTCTGTACCTCAAAGAACGCCACTGCAGCGACATTACCAAGCAAGTTACCTACCTAACATAACCTAGCCTAGCCTAACCTAACCGAACCTTTACTTCCACCTAGACTGCACTACACTACACTGCACTAACTGACTAACTTACCACGTACACTGCGCTGCACTGCACCGCCCTGCACCACAGACAGTACCTATCATACTTTGCACCACATCATTTGCACAGTAGACCTGACCTTCAAGCCTGCTGCTCTCCTGCTGCCCTGCAAGATCCACCTCACCACCGTCTCCGTCTGGTCTCCGTCTTCACCACATACGACATCGAACCTCCCACCCACAACACCAAGAACAACCACCCTGCCCGTGTGCCCAATCCCTGCGACCCCCATTGTTGACTTTCCGCCATCTACTAACACCACCCATCAGCTCGACCAATTTTTTGAGCCCTTTGTTCGACTCGCATTGCCTACCTCGATCACCCTTTGACCGACAAGTCCATCGCGCATCCCATCCTATCGACCCCCCGACAGGAAGCTCCCACTTGTCGCCCAGCTTACCCCACGACCAACCGGCCACTCTGACCAGGATCACCTCGACCTTCATCACCCTCAGGCTCACGCATTGTCACAACCATGGTGGATGTAGACTCGAACTCTCCCACGTGGAAGTTCACCCAGTAAGTTGCCGCCTGCTGTGCTGCTCTTTTTCTTCCGCTTCCGCTTTCGCTTTTGCTTTTGCATTTCATTCCCTCCAACCTCGTTTCATTCCATTCCATTCCCTTCCCTTTGGTGCCGAGTCTCGTGCTAACTCGCATTCCTTCAGGTGCTTTGGTGACAAGGGAGATGTTGAAGACATTACAGAAGGTGAGTACTCGACACCTGCTTGCCACATTCCGGGTCTGATGGGCCTCAACTGCATCGAGGCCCGAGACGCTCGAGAACAATTGACCACATGTGAGCTCCCAAGTGCTGATTCCTAAGTCTTGCAGCCGATATCATCTCGACTGTAGAGTTCGACCATACTGGCAACTACCTTGCCACGGGAGACAAAGGCGGGCGGGTCGTATTATTCGAGAGGAACGAGACGGTTGGTCCTTGGTACTGTTGTATCCGCCATGACATTGAAAGCTGACAGGCCGTCTTCAGAAAAAAACTTGCGAATATAAATTTCATACCGAGTTTCAATCGCACGAGCCCGAGTTCGATTATCTCAAGTCTCTGGAGATCGAGGAGAAGATTAACAAGATCAAATGGTGCCGCCGGCAGAACGCCTCACATTATCTTTTATCCACGAACGACAAGACAATCAAGCTATGGAAGGTCTTTGAAAAGTCGCTGAAGGTCGTGGCCGAGAACAACCTATCCCATGACCTGACGCCCGGAAATGCGCTCAACGTAGGCGGAGGCGCTCCTAGAGTAAGCCCAACAGCAGCACACTTCAAGTCTGCTGGCGACCTCAAACTGCCTCGTTTGACACATCACGACACCGTCGTTGCAGCCGTCCCACGACGCACCTACGCCAACGCTCACGCTTACCACATCAACAGTATTTCCGTCAACAGCGACGGCGAAACCTTCATCAGCAGCGATGACCTTAGGATCAACCTGTGGAACCTCAACATTCAGGACCAGAGCTTCAACATTGTAGACATCAAGCCGGCCAACATGGAGGAGTTGACCGAGGTCATCACTGCCGCAGAGTTTCACCCCATGAGCTGCAACTGGTTCATGTACGCAAGCTCCAAGGGTACCATCAAACTAGCAGATATGCGCGAAAGCGCTCTCTGTGACCAGCATGCCAAGCGTACGTTGATCTTATTATCGTTACCATGAACACCATCATCATCACCATTGGCCTTGAAACACGTAGTACACGGCCGAGACTGACCACTGCTACCCTTGACAGTTTTCGAGCAAGAAGAAGATCCGTCCTCCAGGTCTTTCTTCTCAGAGATAATCTCATCCATCTCCGACGTCCGCTTCTCCCATGACGGTCGGTATATCCTGTCGCGAGACTACCTGACGGTCAAAATCTGGGATGTGAACATGGAGCGCCAACCTGTCAAAACCATTCCTATCCACGAGCATCTTAGACCGAGGCTATGCGATACATATGAGAACGACAGTATCTTTGACAAGTTCGAGGTCGTCTTCTCCGGAGATGCCAAGAACGTCATGACGGGCAGTTACAACAACAACTTCATGATATACCCCTCAGATCCCGACAAGGAGATGGAGGTTGTACTGCAAGCCGACAAGTCCGCATTCAAGGCCAAGAAGGTTGGCGTGGCTACGCCGATTAATGCCTCGGGCAGCCCCTCGACCAACGGCGGTAAGAAGGGAGGATCTCGTGCTGCAAGTCCCGCTGGTGCTGGCCAAGGGCAACGGATGCGCAAGGAGACGGACGCCGACCAGATTGACTTCAACAAGAAGATACTCCACATGAGCTGGCACCCCTTCGAGGACAGCATTGCCATCGCCGCGACAAACAATGTGAGTATCTACGTGACCAATTCCTAACTCGTCGGCTTATCTTTCGACAGCTCTTCGTTTTCTCGGCGCTATAACGGCACCGCTGCCACCGCGTTGGCCTCTCATCCGGCATGCCTTATTCCAGTTACCATAGCACGTAAACGATGAGAAGGGAATGCAGTGAGGTCGACTCTTCCCGACCTACTGCCATTGAGTTCGCTACGGTAAGGGAAACCAACTCTTTGGCATGAAACTGGAAGCAAACAGGCAGTGGGCTCAACCTGTGATGTGTTCTGTTCCGCACTGCTCAGGGCAGGATTATGGATGACGGCGAGTAGTATGCCGCCTGTGTTTCATGCCATCACATGTGCATAGGGAGGATGGATTTAAGTTCTTTATGAGATGCATGAAGCGGCGGCATGGTGCAAACGACTCGGGAGCTTCAAACACAGGTTTTCCTCACCACGAAGCTTATGGTGCGACCGGGGTGACCGTCAGGGGTCTGTAAAGGGGCCTCACCTTTAATGGTATGCATACAGTACAATCTATAGGCCACTGAAATGACCATCACTAGACAAACAACGTAGCAATGATGTTCCTGCTAGACCTTTGCATTACTGACGTGACACGATATGTATACTTACCGTCAGGCGCGGCGGAGGGAAGGCTGGAGAAGCGCTGGAATCAAACAGAGCTCATGATATGTAAACTCGTGGCCTGTGAGCTGATGAGTGCATGGTTGCGAGTATGCACGCGAGAAATCTACCTGTCTCATTCCGAGATAGTGTTCTTTTCCGTTGTCGTATCTTTCCACACGCGCGGGCACTGCTGGTGAGATGCCGGCGCAAATATGTGCATCGCATACCGGTAGTATTACATGTGAGGTGGTGTGCGGGTGTCTCGTGCTTCGGTTGTTCTACATTATAAGCATTTTTGTTACGTGGAGGGGGGGCAATCATGAACGTCTGGCGGGGTTCGAGAAGGCGTCGTACCTGGAGAGGTTAGCCAATGGCGAGACTAGAGCACCCCTCCATCGAGTGTTCTCCAGGAGCAGCGGGCCGCGAGTTCGTCCAGGGGTCCTGAATACAGATATTGGCTCCGGCACTTGAAGATTTGGGCTGCTTGGTCAGTATGCTTAATGCTAAAAATGACATGTGCTGCGCCGGGTGGTCGGTCACTTGGCCTTGTATGCAAATGATGTGTGCTAGCCCCCACCCAGGTCCGGTTAGAATCTCAGCACGAGGTGCTGGAGATTCTCCGTTTTGTACCAGTAGTAGGTGTTCTAGAGGTCTGCATGATGGTCTTGTTTACAAGCTACACACAAATGAGAAAGTGCAGACATAAAAGCAATTGGACGCATTCGCTGTGTGGTGGGTTTTAGCAGTGTGAGGTTCGGTGATTCGAAACATGCAAGCGTTTGTGCAGATCACAAAACCTGATTGTTTTCTAGAACTTGATCCATGCCGTATGTAAAATAGGAAAAATAGAGAATAGAGAAGAGAAACGGCGACACCATGTAGTAATGCAATGGACCCAATGACCAATGGTCGCCAATGGTCTATTTGGAGTTGCATACGAGGTTACTCTACGTTCATGTGTGCACATGTATGCTAGAGTACCGGGCAAACGTTGTACTTCTCATGGGCATCAGCCCACTTTCCTGTCAAGAAATACTTCCAATACCACCTGTGGACTACATCCCCCTAACCTTGGACTACTTGGACGTTGATGTCCACTACTTTGCCTCAAGGCGAGCTTGCTAACTAAGTTAGGGTGCTAATAATGGAATATCAACTTCCGAGTGAATGCCAATTGCAAAAGCCCATTGAATTCTCCCTCACATTACCCTGTCGCATTTCACTTCCCTCTTTTCCTGGGGTTTGAAAAAGTTAACACTGTCTGTCCTACAAACAGCCCTGCTGTAGACTGACTACTGCGCTGCTCCCAAAATAAGACGAGACGGTTGTAGACCATCTTAAGTTACATTACAGTATAGTAAGCTCCCTCGCGCATGCCTTGCAACCGTGGAACGTGAAACATTCCACCGCCACCCCCCGTGTCCTCCCAAGTCCGAACTCCCGATCACATCACGACAACGCGCGCCCGCCCGTCTGTTTTCAATCCTGACACGCAGCTCGATGACGTCCCGATCAACGGCGAGAAGGCGCCAAACACTACGAGAAACCCACGCCGTACAGCACAATGGTGACACTATGACGCCCAAGGTCATCAATGCCGGGCCTTCCCTCGAGAAGGCCCAGATGTACGGCATAACCGACCAACGGCCTGCCTACTCCAAGCTCATGGGGCTCGCCGGCCGCATCTTCATCGAAACAATCCCACAATGGCTGGCTGTAGGAGCCATGCTGAGTTTGATATTTGGAGGATGTTGTTCGAATGTAAGAAGACGCATTCACAAACGCAGACTGTAGAGACACGCTTGGGCTGACGCGGGCATCGCAGGTCTTTGCACTTGAAGCAATCATCAAGTGAGTCACACCCGGTCAACGAGAAATAAGAAGAAAATAGAAGAAAAAGAATTGGTGCACTCGCGGTTCGTCGAGGCCAGCACCAGGTGTGGTTTGGAAAGCATCTCGCTAACATGAAACCAACCTCAAGAGTCGAGCCTGCTAGTGGTACGAAATAACCACATGATCAGGGATTTACTTAAAGCATGCGCTCATGTTGGCCTTATAGGAACACTTCTTACCTTTGTCCAGTTCCTCTTCGTCGCCATCACGGGCTATATTTCCCAGTTCGACTCTTCGCGCCCCCCTTTCTTTATCGCACCGAACAAAGTGCCCATCCGTCGCTGGCTGATCAACATTGTCTTGTTCTTCAGCATTAATGTTCTGAACAACCACGCCTTCAGTTACGACATATCCGTGCCCGTACACATCATCCTAAGGTCCGGCGGCAGCATTACGACCATGATCGCGGGAAGCTTGTGGGGGAAAAGATACTCGCGCATACAGATCGTCGCTGTGCTACTACTAACCGTGGGAGTCATCACCGCCGCTTGGTCGGATGCGCAGTCCAAGGCAAGGCAGAAAACACTCGGGGTCAGTGAGCAAAACCAATGGCTAACTTTTGACGTTCAGGACAAGACAGGCCAAGGGCCAAGCGAGTCTGCATCAACCTTCAGTACCGGCCTGATCATTCTTTTCGTGGCACAGGTGCTCTCGGCCATCATGGGATTGTATACCGAGGAGACTTACAAGAAATATGGCGGGCATTGGAAAGAGAACCTGTTCTACTCGCATCTTCTCTCCCTGCCCTTGTTCTTGCCTTTCAGCGCCTCACTCTACCGACAGTTTATACGACTCGTCAACAGTCCACCGCTTACCTTCCCGGCGTACGTGGACCAGCTGGCCGTGCCTTGGAACGTTCCCCAGTCACTGGGCGACAGCTTAAAGCATATATACATACCAAGTCAGGTCGTGTTCTTGATGCTCAACGTGCTTACGCAGTATGCCTGTATCCGTGGTGTCAATCTGCTGGCGGCAGCATCGTCGGCTCTCACTGTCACGATCGTGCTGAACATTCGAAAGCTAGTCAGCCTGTTGCTGAGTATCTGGCTATTCGGGAACAGGCTCGCTCCTGGTACCCTTGTTGGAGCGGTTGTGGTTTTCTCGGCTGGCGCACTGTACTCGCTGGACTCTGGGGGCCGATCCAGGGCTCCGAGACACAAGGCTGCCGCGGCCAACAAGGCTGGCTAGTACCAGACCAGAGCAGGGCAGACGGAAGCAGATGGGGAGAGGCAACAAGACTAGAGTATATAGACAGAAGCGGAGCAACAAGCAATGGGGAATACGCAGCATGAGTGGGTCTGTGAAGGCAAAGTCGCCTGTCTGTCTCTCTGTGATTTATGCAATGCGCTGCATTCAACATCGGTCGCCGAACATGTTTGCAGCAGGTCTGGGCAACATCTGAAGACTGGTTACGTAGGACCGAATGCGACGACTGGACCATGCGATATTGCATATGCTCCCAAATCGACAGGCTGGGACTGAGAGAACCCTTCCCAAGTGCAACTACTACGTGGTCATACAAGGCACATGTCGGCATAAGTGTAAGCACGAGCGAGGCTCTAATGGCCATGTTCTGGCAGAGCTTACAGAGTAAGTAGCAAGTGTGTGTATATTGCATGCCTGCTTATGTAACGGTATAGCTTTCTCTCGGCGCCTCAAGGATATGGCCTCCTGCCCCTCCATTTTTACACTCAAATGTGTCCTTCAATTAACGCGTCAAGGGGGGAGGGGCAGCCCCAGCGCGTCAGAGCTCCCCGAAATTGGACCCGACCTTTGTGAGGTGGGCTGCACATGGTTGTGTGCAGAAGTGCTGTATTTTCTGCACTACACTACGGGTTACAGCAGGTCAGGTCCCGCACCGGCACCCCAGCTTTCTCACTTACAGTACATACAGTATATACATGCATAGCAGAGTCTTGGACAGTAGTATAGTTTGTACTGCAGAAGGGCACGTGGCACTAACAGAGAAACGTAACTTGGGCTAGTGGACAGGTTAGTTGAGTAAGTTACGTACAATCGCCAGTAATTCAGACCGAAGACTTCCCCATCCCCCACCCCCAAACTGCCCGGGCATTTTACAGGCGAGATCCGATCAAGCTCCGGCAACCGATAAAACAACAATCCTAGAAACTATTCCCCTACGCTCACGGCCCCGGCCGCTCTCACATTGCACACAGAGGCCTCGTGAGTCATGATTTCTTACGAGCCCGACTGTTCTGAAGTAAAACAGTCAAACCACACCCGCCCCGGACTTTCCTCTTCGAGCCTGACTGGCGCCATATCTCTCACACCTGCATCTGTCATTCCTGCATATATACATCTGGCTGACCGCCGAAATTGCAGCCCATCTTAAAGATGTGTACCCAGTCCGGACCGACTTCGCCCAAGGAGCTTGCTCCTGTCGATTATCCTTCCGATGAGGACGGCGTCGAATCCCAGGCACTCGGGAGTGACTCCGGCGCCGAGGCTGATGATGGCCCTGGTCGCGATATCGAGGGAGATGGCGGGCCAGAGGGCATGCTCCCTCGCGACCTTCCCAAGCGGACCGCCTACTACGACCCCGTCGCCGAACGCCAGATGACCCAGACCGACGCCAAGCTGTTCTACCAAAGAAGCCAGAGGGCGGATGGGAGCAATTGGGGCCAGTCGCAAGCCACAGCCCCTGGTAGCCCAGTCATCTCGGCAGGACAAGGACTGGCACACGCACAGGTGCAATCTCAACACGCGGCTCACTCTCACACGGCCGTACACAGCCACCAATCTTACGCCGCCAATGGACATCTCGGTCCCAACTCCATGTCCTTGCCCCCCGCTGGTCCTACCAGAGGCCTCAGCTACAACAAGCTGCCCGACGTCGGCGGCATGACTGTCAGAAATGTTGATCTGGGAGTGGAATCGACACCACGTACCGCTACTCGACCCGCGCTGGCTAGCCACTACAGCCATGTCCCTGGCAGATTACCTACCAGCGTTGATGCACACAAGTCTTCAAATGACCTCGTCCAGCCCGACATGAGTCTGCCAGATGCCGGTCCAGTTCCTATTGGCAATGACTTCGAAGATACCGACCCTCACATCGCCGCTGAACTGAGCTCCATCTTCGCCAACATCCAGAAGTGTCTTGACATTCGTCACAAGTATATCCGCCTTTCCCTTCAGAGGGACGGCGACAACCCGAAAGATGATCCTAGCTGGGACGTATACCCTCCGCCTCCTGAGCCGGCGTGGCATGGACCTCGTGCCGCACAAGCGACCGGAAGCAATAGCCTGAGTAGCAGCATGGTGTTGCCCTCAAAGCCCGACCAAGAACGGCCAACAAATGAAGCCACCGCCGAGACACCGAGGAAGAGAACGTCGAAAAAACGCAAGCCCGGGCATGATGTCGGCCAAGATTTCGACATGGAAGATATCCTTCCACTTCCCTCTCCCAGTGAATATACCTTCCGGCTGGATGAGAACGGCGTCTACCAAGTCTTCGAGAATGATGGGGCCGACAAAACCAATAGCCCCATTGTCAGCGTGCCGACCATCAAGGACTTCTACGTGGATTTGGAGACCATCCTGACCATCTCGTCCGACGGGCCCAGCAAGAGTTTTGCCTTCCGAAGATTGCAATACCTCGAAGGCAAATTCAACCTTTACGTGCTCTTGAACGAATACCAGGAGACAGCTGATAGCAAGAAGGTGCCGCATCGAGACTTTTACAACGTAAGAAAGGTTGATACACACGTTCACCACTCTGCTTGCATGAACCAGAAACATCTGTTACGCTTCATCAAGAGCAAGATGAAGAAGTGTCCAGACGAGCCGGTGCTGTTCAGAGACGGCAAGCTGCTCACACTAGCTGAGGTCTTTGAGAGTATCAACTTGACTGCTTATGATCTGAGTATCGACACGCTCGATATGCATGCTCATGTGGACTCGTTTCACCGCTTCGACAAATTCAATCTCAAATACAATCCTGTCGGCGAGAGTCGTCTGAGAACCATTTTCTTGAAGACCGACAACCATATCCAAGGTAGATATCTAGCAGAGATCACTCAGCAGGTCATCGCGGATCTCGAGTCTAGCAAATACCAGATGGTCGAGTGGCGAATCTCGATTTATGGCAGGTCGCTAGATGAATGGGACAAGCTTGCGGCATGGGTCGTGGACAACAAGTTGTTCTCTCACAACGTGCGGTGGCTCATTCAGATCCCACGCCTGTACGACGTGTACAAGGCCACCGGAGCAATGGAAAGCTTCGAGCAGGTCATAAAGAATATTTTCCAACCCCTATTTGAAGTGACCAAAGATCCGGCGAGCCACCCAAAGCTACATGTCTTCCTCCAGAGAGTCATTGGATTTGACAGTGTTGATGACGAGAGTAAGGTGGAGCGCCGCTTGTTCAAGAAGTACCCTGTACCGAACGAATGGCAATCGAAACAGAACCCTCCATACAGCTACTGGATCTACTACTTGTTTGCCAACATGACTTCGCTCAACTTCTGGCGGCGGCAGCGTGGCTTCAGCACCTTCCTTCTGCGGCCTCACTGTGGTGAAGCAGGAGATAGCGAACATCTTGCCGTCGCTCTGTTGTGTAGCCATAGCATTAGTCACGGCCTACTCCTGAGGAAAGTGCCGCTGCTCCAGTACCTCTTTTACCTCGAACAGATCGGTATTGCCATGTCTCCTCTCAGCAACAATGCTCTCTTCCTTGCTTACGAGAGGAACCCCTTCCATCAATACTTCAAGCGCGGCCTGAACGTCTCTCTATCTACTGACGACCCGTTGCAGTTTGCCTTCACCAAGGAGCCTCTAATCGAGGAGTATGCAGTCGCGGCGCAGATCTACAAACTCGGCCCGGTGGACATGTGTGAACTTGCAAAGAACTCCGTGAAGCAAAGCGGCTATGAATACTCAATCAAGCAGCAATGGTTAGGAGACAACTTCCACCTTCCGGGTAGAGCAGGAAACAAAATGGTCAAGACGAACATACCCGATCGCAGGGAAGAGTTTCGGCACCACACGTGGGTAGAAGAACATCATATGTAAGTTATTCTTTTTCTTGAGCTTTTTGGGACATGTTGCTCATGCATCCTCAGGATCTCTAGGTATACCCAGCCATCCGTGGCGAAGGCGGATCCAGAGGTGGCCACGGATGAGCAGCAAGAAAAGATGCAACCAAACCCACCTTCGCCGTCTTCCACATTGAAGAGTGGGCCACATTTAACTACCAAAGCCAACGACGAACAGGAACAGCAGGAAACTGTGAAAGGTTATCCGAGCAGTTCCCCTCATGTTGCGGACAAGAACGTTACTTCCGATTCGCACGCACAATGGCCAACTGAAGGCTTCAAGGAGATGCACTTATCAGGACATGAGCCTAGGTATTTTCCGGGCATGATGGCACGGGCATCTAGGCGGGACAGCATGCGGCAGGGTTCGATGCATGAGTCGGACGACGTGGGTTCGACGCGCAGCGCCCCTAAGAAGGGTGGTGCGAGAGAGGAACCATCTTAGTCGGACGACCCTTGCTCGGCATGGAAGTGGTTTATGGTGCAAAATTTTGATTCGGATAGGGTCAAAGTCAACGTGAACGTGAACGAACTCCACGACAGGTACTTGCAGACTGGTGCTTTTGATAGAATGAACAGTACATGACCCATGTTCCCAAGTGCGAAAGGCTATTTCAACGTCATATGTTGTGCTGTCGGTCACGTTTGAATTAGATTCAAGTGCTTAGTTGCTTAACCTAGTGTATCGAGGCAGTCTAAGCAATCGAGGTTCCGGAGCCCTCGGTGACATCATGTAAGGGATTCGGGGAGTCCGGTGTTGGGAATCCACTTCTTCCGGAAGGAAAAAGCTCAGCTAAGCTCCAAGAGAATTAGATGTACGTAGCAATGAAGCACATGCTCCGTACGGCTTGAAAGACGTAGCTTTCCTTTTCTTTTTTTTCTCCACAAACACCTATCCTACTTGCGGATTGCATTTCCAACGGTCTTACTTGAAGAGCTATTATATAGGCGCAGCCACATGGCCACATAACACGGTCGCCATCTGCTGCGGCAGGACACTCCAAGAATCGACATGTCGCAGAGCTCTCGTGGCAGGGGGAACGGGTCTTCGTCCAGTCAGAAAACGCCATGACCTGTCGAGACGACCTCAACCATGCTGACTCGGAATTAGAATCCTTCCACTTCGCAGCCGGCCTATGTTCCGGCACTTCGGGCGCCGTTCTCCTCCAACCCATCGACCTGCTGAAGACGCGAGTCCAGCAGTCGGGCTCGCAGTCGATACGAGCGACGATCCGCGAGATTGCCAAGTCGCCAAACGCCATAACCGCCTTCTGGCGGGGCACCGTCCCCTCGACCCTACGCACCGGCTTCGGGTCGGCAGTGTACTTCACCACCCTCAGCACCATCCGCCAGCATGCCACGCCTCCAGCCGCGGCAGCCGACGAGCGGGCCGGCCGGCACACCTCCTCCTCGTCCTTGCCCAAGCTCTCCAACACGGCGAACCTCCTCTCCGGCGCCTTTGCGCGCGCCTTCGCCGGCTTCCTGCTCATGCCCCTGACGGTCATCAAGGTCCGCTACGAATCGAACCTCTACTCGTACACGTCGCTTGCTGGGCGGCAGGGGACATCTACAAGGGGGAGCGGATACGGGGCTTCTTTGCCGGGTACGGCGCCACTGCCGTGCGCGACGCCCCCTATGCCGGACTCTACGTCTTGTTCTACGAGCAGTGCAAAAAGCGCCTGAGCGTGGTGTACGGGAAGGGTAAGACGGGCGTCGACGTAAATCAGATGGGTTCCACGCTCGCAGCCTCCATCAATTTCAGCTCTGGGGCCATGGCGAGCGCCGCTTGCTCGTTCATCACGAATCCTTTCGACGCCGTAAAGACGCGGATCCAGCTGCAGCCGCGAGAGTACAGGAATACCTTCCAAGCCATTCGCAAGGTTGTCGCCGAAGAGGGCGTGCGGTCGCTCTACGATGGGTTGGCACTACGTCTCACGCGGAAAGCAATCAGCTCAGCATTGGCATGGATGGTTTATGAGGAGTTGATTCGAAGAGCAGAGACAACATGGAGCCGCGACGTGAGCGGCCAGGTATAGTAGACCCAGATGACGACAATACCCAACTCAACCCAACCCAGCCCAGCCCAGCCCAGCCCATACCATATCGTCATACCATACCACTTATCCCCCAGAAAGCAAAGTAACGCAAAAGGCAAGCTAGCTAGCTGAAGCAATTCTCAACTCAAGATATGCACCCGTAACCTGATGCCGCACGTTTCTCATCATGCAGTCACTTGTATAACTCGATCTACGCTGGCTTCGCTCCTGCCAGGTACATCAACAGCGAGGGGGATCGGCTTCTTCTACGTTCCTTCTTACGGACCCATTCAAATTCCGGTTCCAGGGTTGCACCATGGTGGTGCTTGTGCTTTTTCGGCTTGTCCTCGATGGTCATGATCAGTTTGCGCTCGCGCTCCTCTCTGATGATTCTGGTGTGCCTCCAGAGGATATCTTGCTCCGTGTCAGGCACCAATCTCCTGATTAAAACAAACTCGGGATCCTGAAAACAAGAGTGGGATGGTCAGTTCCATGTCATGGGCAGTCTCGTCGACTTGATGAATGCACGACTTACCGAATCAAGCTGGTAATCAACGTTGTATATCCGCAATGTCTCCAGCGAAAGATGCCGACGAGCCATGCGGGTATATGTCGGACGTGCGTCATGCTCTTCCTTTTCTTTCTTCTTCTCCTCCTTCCTCTTCTCAACCTTCTTGCCTGAGATGATGGCGTTGATCTCCTTCTCATCAAGGCCGGACTTGAGCAGTTGCTCCTGCAGTCTGTGCTTGTACTCGCGCTCCGCCTCCTCCTTCTCCGCTTTCTCCTTGGCTACACGAGCAGCTTCATCCCTCTTGTACTTCTCGATGGCCTCCTTCTCCATTTTCTGGCGATGTTCCTTGGCGCGGCGCTCCTCGTCCTCCTTCTTCAGGCGTTCGACCTCGAGCTTTGTCTTGAGGCGCCTCTCGGATTCTTCCTTCTCCTTGGCGAGCTGGATATCGTGCAGCTCCTTCTTCATCTGACTCAACTCGCGCTCCTCCTGGGCTGTCTTGTTGCGTCGACGCTCGTCCTTTTCAATCTTTTCCGACAGTTTCAGCTCTTCAAGCTCCTTCCGGGCCTTTTCGAGCTCGTAGTCCTTGCGCCGGTGCTCAATCTCGCGATCGACCTCATGACGTCGCGCTTCCTCCTGTTCACGTGCGAGGTACTTCTCTCGGTAGTAGTCGGAAGTGGATGAGTCGGCCCGGGAGCGCGAAGATTGGTGATGGTGGTGGTGGCGAGCGACCTGCATACGATCATACCTTCGATGGCTATCGTCTGAAGAGTCGGAATCGGAATCGGAGTGGTTGATGATATGATTGTTGATGATGACGGGAGCAGGGGCGGGCGGGGACCTAGGGGGGCTCTCACGTCGCCGACGGTCCCTGGACCTGGAACGAGTGGTCACGACGGTGCGCTCCGCTGCCGGGACCAGATACCGGTCGCTGTCACCATAGCCACGAGGGGCGGCAGGTCGACGGGCTTCGACGTAGTGCGCAACAGGAACGCGAGCGGGACGTGCTGGCGAGGCACGGTGACGGCTAATGTGAATGTCGACATCCGAGTCGGAGTCGGAGTACCTTGAGCTGTAGTGGCTCATGTCGGGCGCAAAGGCAGCGGGGGCCTAGTCACGATAGGTAACAGCTAGTAGTATGACTTGGTATAGACGATGGAAATGTGTGGATATAGTCCCAAAACAGTAACCTTGCAATACGGCAGATGATGGCTTAGAGATATTTTGTGAGAAACCACACGAGACTGCTGAGGCGCTTACAAGTAAGACAAGAAGCGACAAGTGATTTCTGGCACAGGCGAGAGAAGGATTCCGAAAAGAATGTCAGCCATCTGAGTGGGGGAAAGTCGTGCTGACCCGCCCATTTATCATTCCCAGGGGGGGGGTCCTTCATCGGCCGCCTGCCTCCTCTCGCACCCACCGACCATTGGGCAGCCGCATGAGCTCTGCAGTGTCCGACGCGATGGATGAGGAGGTGCCGGGCCCTGGCACGCTTATGCAAGCCGGAGGGTCAAAATTAGCACAGCAATACTGCGTGTCAAACACAAGCCCCCCCGGCGGTGGCCAAACAGAGTAGGATAACAGGACTGTCACTGGCGCTGGTCCAGGTCCAGGTCCAGGTCCAGGTCTTACTGGGCTGTCTGCCGGCTGTCAAGCCATACCGTACGGTGCTCGTGCTGGCAACGAATGAGATGCCAGGGTTTTGTACGATGAAGCAGGACTATCGAGCAGGCAAAGCTCGCAGACGCGGTACTTGTGGCGCTTTGTCTCGTGCTAGCAAGATGGGATGTGGTAGTACATGCGTGGGTACGGATCAACCTGGCAGGAATCCTTCGAGGGAGAGAAAGAGGGGAGGTGGTGTAAGCTGGTGGTTGGGGGCTGGAAATAGAACCTCACTCAAATCTCTCGTCCGCTCGACATTGGTCAGTAGTCCCGGTCCGCCAAAAGGGCTGAGAGGTTGTGGAGAATCTTGGCCGCAGGACGCATGAAATGGAGGGGCGCTCGGCAACTTTAGAACCGTTCAGGCAGGAGGGGGGTTAACGACGAATCCAGTTTTCTGGGAACTTTTGGAGAGGGCTGAAATTGGCCGGGTCCCAACTGGCTAGGTTGCGTACATATTACAATGCATAGTCGAGCTGCGTGGGAAGTCGTCTTTGGCGGTCAGCACGCACAAATCACGGGCAGAAAGAACCCCTCGTTTGTGTCTTCAACTCATAATTCAGCATGTTTGAGATGTGCGTTTACTGTTAGATCAAGACTGTTGCAGCGCCAACTACCATGATCCATAAGCATTTGCCAATCTCTAGGTTAGATCCCAGTTCAGCACATGCAAGCAGACAACAGGCTGGCTTCGGCCTAGGTTAGTGAACTGACTAATCTGAATATGCAACCTCACCACGAGAACCGCCAGCCGTTGGGCATCATGGGGAATGGGCTTGATCATGAAGAGGAAGTCACCCGCTTAAATCTGTCACCTGCAAGCAGCCTTGGAGCGGAGACCAGTGACCATGTGAAGCCAGAACCATCTATCTACAGTAGACTAACGCTGACCTACAGCAGACATGCTGCTGTGATGGCTCTGACCCAAGACACTTTGAACCCCCTGGCTACCGCCGCTGGATTAGGAACACACGCGAGCACGCGTCTCGCTTGCCCCCTTACACAAGCGCAAGACACCAAACGCCGCCGCAACTGCGAAAGTACAATTGCAGCAGCTGCACTACTGCTTCAGCTGCCTCGCATCACATAGCAGATTTCCTGAGCCAATAAAATATCATCTTAATACGTCAAAAGCTTCTTCGCGCGAGGTTCAGAACTGGTGGCTGCCCGGTTTCAAGAAGCGCCCATTCCACCCCTCAGCATCCGATCAATATGATCTCTGCTGTTTTTCTGCGTGAGCTCTAGGGACTGCAGCTTCTTGCCCAAACCTTCCGTCTCCTTCTGTGCCTCCTTGATCTGCTCTTCAAGCTTCTCCTGGAGTCCCGACATGGGCAGAGCTACGAACCTGTCATGCTGTGAGTCAGCAGGTCATCGTGGCGCGAAGAGTGCACTGTGAAATCTAGCGTGCGAGAAGCGGAATAGCATATCCATACATTTTACCAACACCCTCGTAGACGCCTGTATCCGCGGGCAGAGACGACACTTCTGTCCGTGTCAGTTGTGCCATGCGCAGCTCTCTCTGTTTTGATGCCTGTTGTGTCCGGACGAGTGATATCTGCTGCTGAGCCACCATGGCTTGCGTCTCGATCTCTCGGACGAGCTAGCTGCGACGTTAGCTGTCATGATACCAGGTCCGCATCTCGATGGAGCAGCGTACTTTTTGTAATGCCTCATTTGAGATCGACATTTTGACTTGAGGCGTGCTGGGGGACTTCTGGTGTTGTGCGTACGGTGATCGTAGGAAAAGTGCAACTTGGTTGCTGGGGGGGTTATCGTTCAAAAAATAGCTAATGCGGAGAACCGCGACTGTGCGTGCTCCAGTACAGCGCCCAGAGCAGCATAGCAAACCAGCCCAGCAGACATATACTGCGCCAGCAGTCAATCCTGAAAAGCACGACACTGCACCGTACCTGCGGCTTTCCGTTTTCTTCTTCTTCTTTCTTTCTAATTTCATGGTGGAGCCAGACATTTTTATTTCTCAGCTACATTTTTCCAAACAGATTCTGGGCACAGTGCGGTCATTCTCATCTCTACAAATGCGAGACTCTCTAAGATGCTCATCTGCATGGATGGTCGCACCCAAGTTCATAAAGCATGTGAGCACCGTCGACATAGTAATTCGTTATTTAGCCATAACTCTTGACCTTGATCAAGCCTTCGCAGGGACCTCTGACGGCCTCCGTTCCTTGTTGCCTACTATGGACTCTAGACGGCCTGCCATTATCTTGTGGCGCTTCACCACCTCTACCCATTCATCCTCGGCTCCCTCACCGATGTCGAGACTTGCTAGTAAGACGCCAAAGTCGCCTCCTAATCGACCCAGACTGCCAGCACAATACAGTACCTGGGTCAGGAGACTTTCTCTGGATGCTTGGTCCTTCACGCTTGGCAGATAGATCCGTAATGTTTCCATTAGCATTTCCACTAGATGAAGCGGAAAGGTGGCAAGAGCTGACGGGATCGGCTGTAAGGGGTCTGCTTTTTCTAAATTGTTGTTAGGAGCGCCAGAGTCCGGGAAAATACTTTTGAACATGGAGATGATGGCAAAGCTCTGCTCTCTGAAGATTTCGATATACCTCTTCAGGTACCGCTCCGTTTGCTGCCCCCCGGACCAAGAGCTCCCGCTCGCGACGTGTTGCTGCTGGCGTGCTTTTTCCTGGTCTGCCAGGTCACGAAGAGGCTCTAGAGCACCTAGCATGTTCATCAGAGTCGATAGACGACAGACCAGGAACAGGGCGCCCAAGCCTCCGCCATTACCTGCGGCTCCAGCCGGATCAAGATCTGGGACAACTCTTCGAAGCCAGCTAATTGTCCTCAAAGCGGAAGCCAGCTTCAGGCCCGGAGTACGTAGACTTGACATCAAATTGACCGCCATTGCCTGCATGGCTTCGTCGGCCTGTGAAGATACTGAGTGGACTAGTCGTGACTGGGGGTACAGCGAGTGCAGCCGCCTGATGTGGCCATTTAAATCGAGGGCCGAACCATAGTTTGCTGCCGCCGCCGAAGAGCCGGAAGTTATGGCGGACGACAACAGGGTGGGAAGGTCGAGCACGTCTACTAGCCGCTCCGTGTTCCTTGAGAGCAGCAAGGCCTTCTTCCTCGCGTTCAGAACCTCGTTCTCGCCGGATTTGTGGTATGTGGTGGAGAAACGGACTGCCTCATTGTCCAGTCTCGGGATTGCAGCCCTCAAGTCGCGGGTCGAGGCGGACAGAGCCGGTAAAGCCGTCTTGAGATTTGCATGATTTGATGCAGACTCAATGATGGATTTGTGGGATCGTTTTGAAAGTGCCTGCAGTGCCAGGAGTAGCGAATGCGACGACTGGGCTAGAGTCTGTTGTTCTGCAGATTCGACGGACGACAATGACAGTGAGGCTAGGCTGGATATGTATTCCAACGCAACGGGGTCTGGCGGCTGTATGTTCCCATGGCGGGGGTCCCCTCCCGACGAGGCGGGTGATATGAGAAGATCGTGAAGCAGATCAGCCATTTCCCGAGGCGACTGACGTTTCCGAGGGACCAAGTTGCCAACGACCGTCACATGACCTAGCTACAGCTACGTGAATAGTTCCAGATGGAGGGCTCAACTGTCTGACCGCTTTCAGCGTAGGGAGGTCCGAGTTGGGAGCCGCGATTTGGGCGCAGCCGACGAATCAGGTGAACAAGAAATGTGTCTCAGTGCACAGCAGATATGTGTCACCAGAGCATGTGTTGTGCTTGCAGCTCAGCTGGATGATTGACAGGGCGATGCCTGGGGTTGTCAGTTTGTGTGGGCCTTGAGGAAGTCGGGTTAGGCCTAGAGTCGTAGTGTAATCCGCAGAACGGCTTCCAATGTCATTGACTGTCCGTAGTAACTTGTCTTCTGTCTTGGACAGAGGGCGATCAGAAACGGGACCTTGAGCTTGAGGGGGGACCAAGAGTCGAGTTCAATTAAAGTACAGGGAGTGCTACCGTACACGGCACAGCACAATACAGTACAGCACAGACAGTGTGTACGCATACACATGGTACACAGCGATCAACCTTAAGATTTCCTTATCGATTGTGAAACGCAAAAGACACTGGGGAATTGGAATGCCGCTTCTCCGTCCCGTCCATCGCTCCATCTACGGGATCCGTACATAACTACATACATACTAACTTGCATGCATGGTGTAGAGCTATCTTTAGAGCTGTCTGTCTGTAATGTCGGCTGCTCACCAGACCCTGGACTTGGACTTGGACTTGAGCATTCAGCATGGGTCATGAAGCGTGGGCATGGATATGGGGCACGGTGCCAAGATCGCGTCACAAGCGTCCCCCCAACAAATTCGGCCATGTGTCTTGGAAAGGCAGTAACAAGGGCAGTTGTCCAGGATAGACCTGAAGCATGTGGCAGTGGCAGTCGACAAACTCTAATAACATCATCGTGCCTTTTGACGGTTGCCCCCAAACTGATTGATACGTATTGAGCATTACTGTACTCTTGTATTTGGTGACTTGCCAAAGAGCGAATCCAAGGCCCTTTTTGGTCTGGCGATCGACACGAGACCAACACCAGCAGCCCAGCCCAGAGCCTGCCCTCCATTAAACCGCCCATAAGTGGACGGAGGCTCCGTTTTCTCCTTCTTATTTTTCTTTCTCTACTCTTTCTTTCTTTGCGACTCTACAGGCTTTGTCCGGCTGACGAGCGACCATACGGTCTGTCTATTGCAACCGAGTCAAGAAACATCTTGCGCAAGTCAACAGTTGATCTTGTCCTGTGTATAGAATAGAACAGCACACTCCGCTCCGCGTTGCCCGCCCTGGGCCTCCAACTATAGGACTTCGAATACTTCGACTACTTTCCGCGCCCTTTCCACCTGTCCTGCACCCGAATATATGAGCAACACGCATTCGGAAAATCAACACCAGTCGCCATGAAGGACCCTTTCCCTATTGCGCCGATACCCGCTCTGTCCAAGGCTGTGCAGCCATGGGCTGACTACTTCTCTCTGCCGACATTGCCGCTGCACATCCACGAGATTCTGATAATAGCCGCCTTCTACCAATTTGTCATGGTCATAGTGTCGCCTCTTGCCTCCAACTGGCTGTTCCCTGTCCAATACAAGGGCTTGTCCAGGAGCAAGAGGTTGAACTGGGATGTGCACGTCGTGTCTCTCGTTCAGAGCTCTACCATCAACGCCCTGGCCCTATGGGTTATGTTTGCTGATGAGGAGCGTTGGGTAATGGACCCCCAGGAGCGCGTTTACGGCTATACCGGTGCTATCGCCATGATCCAAGCCCTAGCCACTGGCTACTTCCTCTGGGATTTCGTCATCACCGTCTCCAACATGAACATATTCGGCCTTGGTATGCTGGCCCATGCCGTCAGCGCACTACTTGTTTACTCGTTTGGCTTTGTAAGTCCCCCTTCTCGGAAGGCCCAAAAAACAAAACATAAAAGACTACTTTTGGCTAATAGCTCTGCAGCGGCCCTTCATCAACTACTACAGCACCACGTTCATCCTTTGGGAGCTGTCCTCCCCCTTTCTCAACGTCCACTGGTTTTGTGATAAGCTGAACCTGACTGGTTCCAAAATCCAGTTCTACAATGGAATCGCCCTCATCGCTACCTTTTTCTCCTGCCGGCTGGTCTGGGGCACGTACAACTCTTACAAAGTCTTCTCCGATGTTTGGAACGCCATGCAGAGCAGGCCTTCATACATCCCACTCACGGCCCAGGTTGCGCAGAATTTGACGGTCCCCATTCGTTACGAGTCGACCATGCAATTTGTGAACGAGTCGAGCCACGTCCCCATGTGGTTGGGCATACTATACCTTGGTGCAAACTTGACCCTGAACTCCTTGAACTTCTACTGGTTCGTCAAGATGATCCAGGCCGTTCAAAAGAGGTTTGGCCCCTCAAAGAAAGAAGAGGCAGAAGACAAGCCAATTTCGAACGACCGCGGATTGACCACCGCCACGGAGACAAACTCGGGACTGAAGACACGCCCACGAAGGGGGACAATATTGGATGGAGAAGAGGTCGACCAGCCCCCACCCGGCATCTAACATTTGTAAGAGCAACGTTAGATAGGACTTTAAACGAGTAGATATTAGAAGTTTACCTCCCATTGTAAGCCAAGTATGTAAGCTCTGCTTTATTCCATTCCACATAACATCAGTATTTGTTCAATAAGTGATGGCTTGTGAAATGGGATACTGACGATATTCAGTAATGTGCGGCCAAATGATACCCCTTCGCGACGCACATGAAAATACGAACCACACGGATCTTAGGCGGTTGTATTTAACAGAGGACCACGATGTGTGGCTCCCGAAGGCCCGAAGGCCCGAAGGGAGTTAATTGTGTACGACCGGCCCTATACCATTTTCAGAAGTAATAATATAAAATAAAATAAACTAAGAAGCATCGATGCGCCCTGCAAGGATCTAAACTCGTCCTGGTCAAAGCAATTCACTCGTCATCTTCCTCGTCTTCACCGTCATCCTCCTCGTCGACCTCGTTATCAACCTGCTTCTTGGCAAGGCCGCCGAGGAGGCTGTCAAGCCCTCCTGTTGCACCTCCTGCGGCGCCACCTGCTGCAGCACCTCCCGTTAAACCACCAAGCAACTGGTCGAGGCCTCCAGTTGCGCCACCGCTATGCACACGGAGGTTAGCACCAGCATCTCCTTCACCATGAGGAGCACCTTGCTTATCAGTGAATACTTACGCGGCACCGGCACCGGCACCGGCTTTGGCACCTCCGGTCAGACCTCCGAGGAGCGAACCGACATCCACCTGCTTCTTGGCGAGGCCGCCGAGGAGGCTATCGAGCCCCCCAGTCGCACCTCCTGCAGCGCCGGCTCCAGCCGTGGCGCCTCCAGTCAGGCCACCGAGGAGCGAATCGAGTCCTCCGGTGCTGGGTCGCGTGTCAGTGCATGTTACTATCAATAAACTCGACTCACTCACGCTCCGCCTGCGCCGCCCGTGGCACCACCCGTGGCACCACCTAACAGAGAGTCGAGAGGGTTTGCTCGCTTCACCAGATCTTCTTTTGCCTCGGTGGCCACGGTTCCCACGCGGGTAGCGACATGGTAGGCTGGTGCAGCATTGGCTGTGACGAGGAAGGCGACCAGCGCAGCAGAGACGAATGAGTACTGCATCTTGGGAAAGACGACTGTTTATTACGATAACGGACTAGAAGATTATAGAAAGGATTAATGAGAAAGAGACGAAATGGCAACGTTGCTTGCAGAACGGGAGGGCAATCTTGGCTTGAGAAAAAGGCATGGACAAGGCCAGTCTAATATACACAAGACCAGTCTCACAACACGGGTTCCATTTTGTGTATCGTCGACCGAACATGCCTTCGTCTGACCTTTCTGCGCCTCTCGAGGAATTACTGAGGGCTTGGGCGTTTCGATATTGCCTTCAAACACTGGTTCGGTCTGAAAGCAGCCATTTCATCGCAATCTAGGCACTCTCACGCGTGACCACGGAGCATGACGTTCACATTTTCATGGTCTCTCTACTCCAGGTTCGTCCGCCGATCAGTATGCGATTTGAATCCGGGGTCGCAGGGTAAGCTGCGGACATGGCGTCGTAGTCTGATCGCAAGGGCCCGACAGTGCGTCGAGGAGTAGCTTTCCCGCACAGACGCCGCCATTTTGACCTGTGTTTTGGCATCAATGCTTTTTGCATGCTCCAGGTCGGCTTCGGGACTCTTGAAACACACATCGACTCATCTTAACCGTGAGATGTTTGGCTATTGATTTGGTGCCGCTTTGCGCCCCACGGGCTGCCATCGAAACACGAGCATCTCGAACATACATAAAAGTCAGCCATGATACTGATCATTCTGACGAGTGAAACCTTTGGCATCAGACACTGCGATTTGGTTGTCGGCAGGAGGGAAAACATGATGTTGGCAGTGCAGGAATCGAAGATACCGACATGGCAATGTAGTATTATATATAGTGTTATGTACGGTCAAGCATCCGCCGCTTGGCCCAGCGTTTGACCCAAGTAAAATAAACATCAATGGGCTGAGATTATGCTTAGTTTTAGTGTCCAAGCGTTCGGCACGTCTTTATCGTAATCCAAGATCGTCCCTTCATCTTCACATGGCGACCGCCTGGTGGCCTGTGCTTCTGTTCAATTGGTCAACCCATAGTCGAGTCGTTTGTAGTATCATTGGAGCGACGGGCTAGACTAATATAAGCTCAAAGAAGGCAGCTTCCTCAAGTCTAACGAAGCGGTCATGCCTTCCTGGCCTCCCGCAACATTGGCGGTGGAATAATGATACTAAACCCAAGACGCTAAAACCCAAAGGGATTTTGCGGGGCTGTGGTGGGTTAGTAAGGAATGCACTACACATGGTGGACAAGAAACACTTACTAGCTTGTGCGAGATTCGCACGGCGTCCCGTTGCCTGAGGTTGAATCTTGTCAGGGACACCAAACCGTACGGGGGGTGCCGGTCCGGTCTGTTGCGGCTGTAGAGGTGCGATGGGGGCAGCCTGCGTCGTTTGATTATTTAGACCCGAGTTAAAGCCCTGACCAAAGCTTCCGCCAAACCCAGTCTGCTGGGGCTGGAGTCCGGTCTGCATTTGTGGCAATCCCGTTCGTTGGGGCTCCAAAGCTGGTGGGAGGTACTGGTTAACGGTACCGGTTGGCTGCGGAAACTGTTGTTGGCCAGCACTAAAAGCGGTCGGGAACCCAGTAGGCTGATTTTGCATAGGTGAGAATTGTTGTGAACGTTGATCGGCGAAGGGACTTTGTTGCATTGGCGTGGCACCGGTCATGTTAGGTTGCATGAACTGACCAGGCATAAATCCTGTTGGCTGCATTTGCATAGGTTGTTGTATGCCAGACCCAGCAGTGAACCCCACCATGCTTTGTCCAGTTGGTTGTGGCTGGAACCCAGTCATGAATGGCTGTTGCTGCTGCTGCTGCAGTCTTTGCTGACCGAGGTCATTCAGACTTTGGCCTAGAGGAGCAATGCCTGTCATCTGGGGTTGCAGGGGTGGCGGTGCGAAGCCGCTGGGCTGCGCCGATTGTGGAGCGGAAAGGGGACGAGAGGGCGGCGGAGGAGCTACGAGTCCAGACTGGCCTTGTGTCATCTGAGGAGCCAAAGGCCGCTGGCGACTGCCGGCAAGTCCTAACCCTAATGGTTGCCCGGTAGGCATTGCGGCGACGCCTGTCTGCTGCTGAGCAAGACCTGTCTGTTGTTGGGCTAGTCCTGTAAAGAATGCTGGCGAGGCCCCCTGTTGAGCTTGCGTCGCCACGGGCTGCTGCTGCAGTACAGGCTGTGGAGGCGGCTGCACAATTTGAGGAGGTTGGACAGGCTGGATCTTTTCTGGCTCCAACGGTTTTGAAAGTAGCGAGAGATCAAGCATTGCTTGCGTGGGTGCAGACTCCTGAGCAGCGGGTTTGGATTCCGGAGCGGACGCTGGTGCTGCAGAAGGCTTAGCTGTAGTTTCTGGCTGCTTGGACGGTTTGACATCCCAAGCATCGTCATCGAAGCCTCCAGCTGCACCCCTATCGGCTGCCTTCGACCTCCCACCGACCGGAGAAGGTGTCGTACTATCTGCACTTGCGTCCTTTTGCTGTGAGAATGCCTTGAGATCAATAGTGTTGTTTGTTTCAACGGTGGGAGTGGGACGTCCTTTTCGAGTGTTGTTTCGAAGGGTTCCTCCAGGACCAGAAAAGAGTCCTCCTTGGCCACTGCCCTCCCCATCGTCATCGCCGGCAAAGCTGACATTCCGCTTCTTGCCATCCCGCCCGTATTTCTTATCCAGGTACCGCATTACTTTGATAATATCGCCCTCGCGGAGACCAAGGTTCCGAAGCACGCTGGCGTCCACATCGGGCAGTACAGTCTCATCCATCGAATCCTTAGTGAACGACTGAGCGTATCGTTCACAGAGTCCGACTGCAACATCACATGATAAGAAGAATTGGAACCAATCGTACTCGGGCTTGGGTGCTTCGACGGAGGCGCCAGCCCTTGACGGGACCTCATCCTTGATGGCTTGTTTTCTTTGGGACTGTGCCCGCTTGATATCAGACAAGGGCCTATGTTCATCCAGGGATATACCAGTAATTAGTTCGACATATTCAAGATCTTTGACGGACATTTTGACAACTGGGACAGCAATTTTAACGCCGTTCACCTTGTGCAGATTAATTTTGCCATCCTTAACACCGAGGAACTGGGCCTCGACGCTGAAAGACTTGCTCCGGTCCGTCCATATACGGACCTTGAGAGGATCGGGTTCTAGTGAGAAGTGAGCAACATGGTTACGTAGCATGTAGGGATCCAGGGGGTTTGGAAAGACTGACTCGACTTGCCCGAGGAGGACTTGCTGCCGGTGGCATCAGATCGACCGTTTTGTTTGCTTCGCTGCTGGCCAAAATGGTTACTACTGTCTACAGCCGACAAACTACTTTTTCTGTCGGGCAAACGCATTCCAGGTCCTACCTCTGCTGCTTTTTGGTCCCTCTTTATAGCCTCCTTTGTCAAGCGCTCTTCTTCGAGCCGGTTCTGGGCAACTGTAGAACGGCCGGCATTAATACCAGCTGTAGACGACGTCATGGGGGATGCAAGAGTCTCGGTGATCTCGATATAGCTGCTGGGGACGACGCCTTGCTTGCCGTTCTTGAGGCGGCGAACCTGCCACCACTCCTCGCTCTTACTGTCGTCAACGACTACAACCTCATCGCCAATGGCCACGGTGACTTCATCGTCTCCCTGAGCCATGAAATCATAGAGAATGATTCCCTTCCTTTGGGCAGTCTGGCCCGTTCCAGCCATGATCACTTCACGGAGACCTTCAGCTCGTATGGCGCCAGCGATTTCGCCCAGTGCGCTCACGATCTCGGCGGCAGTGTCTTTGGCACCGGCATGGAAGTCGATGCTTCTGCTCGGCCGGACCAACTCAAGGAAGACATGCTTGCCCTCGCGTGAATAATGGGTCATCTTATCGGCAGACCACTCCTGGGTTGGGCCGTCAGTAGCTCGCTCGGGGGCTATGAGGATAAGCCCGGTCTTCAGGTTAACGCCCAGGGTGGTAGGCATCTTCTTTTTCTTGCCCATGACTGAGACCATCTCGTTGATGTTGTACATGTGAAAACCGCCGGGGGCGATTTGGCCGTAGGAACCCTCTGGGACTTCGTCGTCGATATCCCTATGTCTACGACTAGCGGTCCTTTGGGGTGGAGATGCATGTGATTGGTCGTTTGAAATGGTTGATTGAGACCTCGGGCGAACCGGCAGTGCTGGGCTAGGCTCATCTCCAGAGTCCTCGGAGAGATTTTGTCGGCGTGGCGGCACGGCGATGGGCGGAGGAGTAGCGGCTCTTCTGGAAGTTCTGCCTGACATGACACCGGCCAGCGCGGCTGCGGGCGTGGCTGTGGCTGGGCTCACCTCGGAAGCGATAGAGGGCTGGCGCGTGGGCAGTGGTGGGCTCTGTGGTTCCTCGTCCTCATCCTCTTCCACCTCATCGTGCACAGCTGGACGAGTGGGAAGGGAGGGTGGCAACGGTGGAGCTGCGGGCGCGGGCATGGGCACAGATGCACGCTCAGGTTGGGAGCGAGGTTCCGGTTCTGGCGCAGGTTCGGGTTCGGCGGCGCTCTCTCCCATGTCAATATAGTTGGCCGGAGCAAAGCCGAAATCGCCGTCGGTTCCTACGAGGATCCAGTCAGGATCGGAATTGTCGTAAACCTGTAGTTTCGCGTCTTCGGAAAAGGATATCTCTTCGTCAGTCTGGCGAGTATAGTCGTAAAGTGCGCGGGCTTGACAGATGATGGGAGCCTGTTGTATTGCGGCGCATTAGCATTAGAGTCGAGCCGAGTTTAGAATCAGAATCAGGATGGACATGTTAGTACCTCTTCAACATAATTGTTGGGGATCAAGCCTGAAGGCTCATCCTCGTCGTCGGCGTTGGCCTTCTTTTTCGCCTTCCACCAATCATCATCGCCGTCTTTCTCCAAAAGATAGAGGACGTCGCCTTCCTTGATGGCAAGCTCGCCCTCACCCTGAGGCTCATAGTCGTATATGGCCTGGTAGACGCCGAGGAACCCCATGTTTCCGGCTTGGTCGGGATTGCAAGTGCGGCGCGCCGTTGACGTCGTATTATTGCCGTGAGAGGCCGCAAAGTATGCTGTATCGTATTCCAAGGCAGGTAGGTGCCCGTGTTGGACGCCTTCAGATACGTGATCAATACTTGGAGGTGTGGGATTTCTCTGCCCCTAAACTCCAACAAACAACACTATACAGCAGCGACGTGGCCGAGCAACTCCGTGATTGTCGGGAATCGAGAGCAACGTCATGCCACACTTTGCCGGTTACGAATGGATTGGGGGGCGGCGGCGGCGGCGGCGGAACCACAAAGTGAAGCGCAGTGCAGTGCAGGGCGCAAGTGCCAGCTTTACCTGCTTTCAAGGTACGCAAGCAACGAAACGAAACACGAGGCAACGCAGAGGCAGACGCTGGGGCGGCAGACGCTGAGACAGAGACAGAGACAGATCCAAGATGCAGAGATGCAGATGCAAAACGCTACCCTGGAGGATTTAAGCAGGTAGGTATGGGATGTCCTTATCGAAGTCTCATGGGGGACTGGAGAGATTGGCTTAACTTGACAAACAGTGAGGTACCTCCTGCACGGATTAAAGGTTGAGTCAATGCTCCATCTCCCTGTCCGGTCAGTGGAGGCTGGAAGGTGCAGCAGCCCGTGAGGTAACTGGTGGGTCTTCTAACTTTTGTTGCGCGGTTCCCAGCTGAACCGTCCTCCCTGTACGGGGCGCTGCAATTGCTTACTTACAGTAGGTAGGTAGGTACATTTATGAAATTATGCATGCAACATATAAGTAATAAGTCACATGTCGATCCCCCGATAACACCATATATATCTAACTGCCAGGGTTGGCCGCTTGGTTCGCGCAAGTTGGAGTCAACGCTTACACGTATTCTAATCGGGGAGTTTCTATTGAGTACCTTGGCAATGAGAAATAACCGTTGCTGCAGTATGGTTAATTCCCTGGTTTTCTCCCACGTGCGGGGGTTTTGTGTCTTTATCCGGATTGGGATACCTATGAAGGCCTGATAAATACATTATTCTCAACATGCTGGGTTCGCTGTGTGGCTCATCAACCATGTGCCCTGAATTGCCCCGAGGCCCCATGTCTCATCTTGAACCATCAGAATCGGGATCTTGCCGCTGCATTGTGGATTACTTGGTTACTTATAGATCCTCAACTGGACCAATTGAATTGAGCCCCAAGACCACCGTTGAGCACTCCCATCGTCTACTCGGGGCCAAGGCACATTGTCTGTTGTGTACTTGTTTGGCTTTCAGACTTTACCATTTCGTCGTGGTCCAGACTCCATACCTACTGGAGTAAGCGCGCGCGACGGCGCTCGGGATTTATAGCCTGCGGCATTCCTGTCTCAATCGGCCCTCTTTCCATTTCCATGGACTGGTACATCTGCCGCAGCAACCACGTCGGGCATGGAAAAGACAGAAGGCCAGCTTAGTCGGTATTTGTCTTCGTCGCCATCCAAACAACGGTGTATCCAGACCCTCCACGTGATGTAGTAATACGCTTTAGACATCGTGTCAGCTTGGCCTACCCAGCAAGAGCCATCATCTCCAGCATACACAAGCAGGCCCTATTTAGGGCAGTGGGAAGATCAACTCACCTCCCAGCCCAGTCATCAGATGCCACCAAGCGTGCCCCTCTAGGACAACTGCCCAGGGAAGTCCAATGTCATGTCTCCATCTACGGATTGTGTTGCAGTAGACGTTGTCGAGATTCCAGATCAGGAATCCTCCCAAAAACACCGTGAGACCTTGACGTGGTGTCCGTTAGTCACTAGAAACACCACCCAGCGATCAGCCCGTCGTACGCACCAGTTGCAACCATGATCCACATCTCCCTGACAATTGCATCGGCCGGCGGCACGCCCGAGCTGGGCGACCGTTCTTCCTGCCGTCTCCTCAAGGCTGGCCGGACAGTCTTCTCTATGATCCACATGTTGGAAAAGACAACCACAGCCGTCAGAACACCGTACGCGTCCTGATGAAATTGGGCATCTTTCGTCTGGTAGTATCTTGCCGTGATGTACCATGAGAGGCCTGAGAGGCCAACACCAAGTAGGAGTGAAAACAAGCGCGATCTACCGTAGGAGAATGTCGCATAACACATGAGACAAGTCGTATAAATCATGGAAAGCTCATCAACGAGCTGCATCGGATATTTGAGCGTGGCATGGAAAAATGTCGAGCCCGCTCCAACTAGCATGTAACCCATGAACGCCACAACAAAAATCGCAGGATGGCCGTATTTCAAACAATCCCGGATTCCCTTTAGGCCAAGCCAGATGAAGAGCATGTTCGTAACGGTCTGTACGTAACAAAGGTTAGTCGCTGCCGGGGTTCTGTAGTCCTGGCACGGAATGCTCACATTGCAAAGCTCGGCACAATAGTAGCTCATAACGTAGTCCTCCTCGCAGAAGTTCAGTGTCACCGTCTTCTCGCCCCAAAACCCTTCTCGAGGCTCATGGTAAGAGAAGGCAAGGGCCCCAAAGATGGACCCCGACATGATGGCGAGAGCCAAATTTTTACTTTGCACCTCGTGAACCGGGAATTGGGATACAGATGAGGTGGACTTGGCGAGAGAAGAGGGTCAGTTTGCAAGTCAGCTGTTGATGCAGGAGTCACTGGCTGTACATGGGAATATGTTACCGAAGTTGCCTCGTATGAAACCCAGCTTGGTTTGCCTGGTAGAAAGATTGCTAACGAGCTGGCTCCCCTGGAAAGAGAGGAACACGTCGGAGCTCGCACTTAAGGTTATGGCAATGGCAATGGCTACGAACTCAAACGGAGGGAGAAGCACGCAACCTGGGCCTGCGGGAATTCGTCCACTACTTGGGATTACTTAGCATTAGATCTCACCACTGTGAATTGTACAACTCCATTCAAGCCCCGCCAACCACCGAAGGTTCCGGTACACCGAGGTAGGTAGTAGTTGGAAATCCGGGATTGGAAAGCACATGCGCAGACAGGCGCAAATGGTCCGCAATGGAACAATGACGGCACTTGTGCGCGGCGCGACGTGTGCAGAGAATGATGTGAGGTTTTGCTGGTTCTAGTGCATTCACATTTCCATACTCGCTGGGTAGGTCTTTTTTATTCTTTGGTCTCCCCTCCCCCCTGGGTCCAGCAACCTTGGCACTGGAGAGCCTCGGAATATAGTTATTGTTTGAAGTGACGCAATTATCTCGGCTGCAGCTCAGACAGACATGTCGTTCCTGGACTCGAGGACCGGGGCTAAACAGCGGTGAGATAACCACATACCGCACTCGCCATTAGTGGGGCTGGCTTCATTCACTCTAGCTGTTGTTAGCTGATTGAGATGTCGGGTACTCGATTGAGTACATGGATCAATGCAGTGCTGGACTGGCGCGCGTCTAAATCCTGAATATGCGCCGTAGTGTGAGTGGGCGTGTGCGTCTCAAGTACCTCAGGTACATGCTTGCCTTTCGTGGCTGTTAGTGCTGTGAGCCTCATGCCAGCGTAACCTTTCATCTCGATAGCCGATCACGAAATACTGCAGCCTGCGCATATACCAACTAACCTAACCGTTAGGTGGTTCGGCGCTGCTCTGCTGTCGCGATCGACTGCGCAATCTGTTCTTGTACCAAAAGCAGCAGCACCGTGTTTAGGTGCTCTAAACTCCCGCCCAGTTCTTGTATTACCCAGAGTATGCACTCATGCTTTCTCTTCCATGCCATACCAAATCGTAGCCCAAGATCCATCCTGCAAACAACTTAGTGCTAACGAGCTTCGTTCGAAGTACCAGCCTCGGCTTTACAAGTAAGCATAGGCACTGACAACTGTATTGCTATCGTACCACGCTTCTCTGACTGTTTTTTTTTTTTTTTGCTTCAGTCAGACTGCATTGACCGGACTGTCTGCCGCATCGGACGCAGCAGCGCGAGTAAGCTGCGATTGCTATCGAGTGTAACACTACGGCTTGACGACGAGTAGACAACAAACAACGGTCGCAACTACACAAGTCCTCAGCTGTTTATATTTACGATGCACCACGCCAATAATACCAGCGACGTCGCCTGCAGCCCATGATCGTACCCGCTCGACATGTCCGCACCGTCCAAATCAAGATGGGGTTCCCTCCTCTCACAAGCCGTTGCTGGCGTCGAGGCAAGACTCGATACTATTCTAGCTGAAGAAGACCCTACCTCAACTACCAAACAACAGCCGTCGCGGCCTGCATCCGCTGCCTCTAACTCTAACTCCGCCTCGACAAAATCCAAGAGCGCCAACGACAGGTTACAGGAGCGATTGGCAAGGGCCGTGGCTGCCAAGAATGCCGCCGGTACGGGATCCCCGAGATCAGAAGCCTCGCCAGTGCGACAATCTGCTGAGTTGTCGTCCGCGAACCGAAGCCCACGGCCCAGCTCGGATCTGGCTAGGAACGATCCTCCGACACCTGCTGTTACTGCATGTCCACGAGTGAGCCTATCCAAGGACGAAGCAGCAAGTGCAGCGAGCGCAACAAGTGACCTCGGGGACAACAAGATGGAAGAGAAGCAACTGCAAGAGACCAACGTCCCAGGCAATGAAAACAACTTGGCAATGGGTTTCCCCCGGTCGAGCACGCAGGAGGAACCCCTGCATGCGTTGGAATCAGAGCCAACCATGGCTCCTGCAGCCAAGGAAGACACTATACAGGTCTCCGTCAAAACCAGCGACAAGATCGTCTCTTCGCTGGACCTCTATGAGAAACGGGTTGCGGAGCTAGAAAAAACTTTGGCAACTACAGAAAGCCAACACCAAGAGGAACTGCATAGTCAAGTAGAACAGGTTGATGCGTTGCAAGCCAAATTGCAATACCTGGCTCGCGAGGCAGTTGAAGCCGCTAGAAAGGATGCATCAAACGCCGCACCGGGCAGTTTGGAGAAGAAACTGGCCGAAAAGGATCAGCAGGTCGCACAGTTGATGGAAGAAGGGAACAAGCTCGCTGGTAACGAACAGAAGCTTCGCGCTGTGATCAAGAAGTTGCGAACTCAGATCACCATCGATGAGAAAGAGATCAATGAACAGAAAATTTGGCGTCAGAAGGCCGAAGCCGAATTGGTGACCCTCCGCGATGCTGTCCGCAGTATTGATGAGTTTAAGAAGGCGAATGATGAGGCGCAAAAGACCATATCACAGACCAGAAAGGATGTCGAGCGCTCCAAAACCACCATCTCCTCCAAGGATGCCATCATATTTGATCTCAAGGCACAGCTGAAGGAGGAGTCTGAACGTGCCAAGACCATGGCAGCTAAAGTGAACGACCAAGCCAAGGAAGATAGCCAACGCAAGGTTAAAGAATTAGAAGACACTATTGCTGCTATGCAAGTCGAAAAAAGCCTGGCAGCAGACAAAGCCAAGTTGGTAGCCAACGAACTTCGTGAGAAGGCTGAGAGGACAGCAGAGCGTGCAAGAGCAGCCGAATTAGAACTCAAGGGCGAAGTGCAAATCTTGGAGAGCAAACTTGAGGCACTTCGTGCAACAGCCGAGGAAGCCTCCTCGGGCGCTGTCGGTGATGCACAGGCCAAACTACTTCGGCAAATTGAGACTTTGCAGACGCAATATTCGATAGCTGGTGAGAATTGGCAAGGTATGGAGGCGTCATTACTAGCGAGGACAGCGAATTTGGAGAAGGAAAGGGATGAGGCGCTACGGAGAGAATCCGAAATGAGGAAAAAGGCCCGGGAAGCAGTAAGTATTCGTCTCGAGGTCATCCTACATTGCTACGAAGCTAAATTCAGGACAGGCCGCACGCGTCAAACGCCAGGAAGAGGAACTAGAGGAAGCAAAGACTCGGCTGCCTGGTGTGCAACAAGATCTCTCAGAACATCAAGCCCAGCTTGAGTCTATAACCAAACGTGCTGAGGAAGCTGAAAAGGCGCTGGCCGAGGCCAAAGCTGAAGTTGAGAAACAACGTTTGGCCATGAGGCAAGACTCGCTAGATAAGGCTGGGTTGGAAAGAAGACCTTGGCTAGACGAGGTCGCTTTGCAAAACAATAGCCGGCCAGCATCACCTCTATTGTCAGCACCACAGCGGGCGTATAGCAGCGATTATCTTGGCCTGCAAAACTTTCCGACAAAGCTTCGCAAGTCAGCACCATCCAGTAACGGCGACGCCAGTCCCGGTGAAAGGCCATGGTCGGCTCGACGGCCTTCTCAGCAACCGCGCCCGTCCATATTCTCCATACCGTCTGCGGTTTCTGGCGGCACACCGTCATCGCTTCTTGGGGGTTTAGAGCAGATAGCCTCACCCACTCATCCGCTTGACAAAGAGGATATCTTTGACGGTGCAGAAATTCCAACTTCACCGCAGAATGTTCTTCAGGACATGGTCTCAGTTTCAACTGTTGCCGCTGGGCCATCAGTGCAGCTTGTTGAGAGAATGAGTGCTGCCATTCGTCGCTTGGAAAGTGAAAAGGTTGCAGCGAAGGAAGAGTTGACGAGAATCACCAACCAGAGAGATGAGGCTCGAGGCGAAATAGTCATTTTGATGAAGGAGGTAGCGACAGGAAAATCAGCCAACGAAAAGGTCAAGGCCTTGGAACAGGAAGTCGCGGATCTCAACGATAGATATCAGACAACATTGGAAATGCTCGGAGAGAAGAGTGAACTAGTGGAAGAACTTGGCGCTGACATCCAAGACGTCAAGGCCATGTATAGGGATCTGGTCGAGCGCACACACAAGTAAGTTTGGCCTGGCGCTTTAGACTATCACACGGTCTCTTTTTTTCACGGTGCGCTGGAGCGTGGTCTCGAAAGGACCCCTAGATACCCGCCTAATCTATCAATAAATTCACAAGTCAATTCCCTCGTTCTCCGCTTCTCGCTCGATGTACTTGCGGACCTTGCACAAAATGTGTTTAGCTGGTGAGACGTGTCATGACAGAAGAAGACTCACCTCTCTGTCAGGAGACAAATCGAGCGCCAGGAACCCATCGGCGTCTTTCTTGTCCGTCTCGGCTCCAGCCTTGATCAAGGCTACAGCAGCAGCACCTAGCACCGAATCAGTACACACTGGAGCGAAAGATAAAAGTTTGGCAACTTGCCGTGACCCTCCGCGACAGCATGATGCAGGGCTGTATAGCCTGTGCTATCAGTGGCATTCAGGGGGCTTTTGTTCTTGACCAGCAAGTTGATCATAGGCACCGATCCCACGGCAGCGGCTCGATGCAGTGGATACTGGCCACGCTTGTCTCTAACCCTGGCTGAGGACGGCGGTTTATTGTTGAATAACAGACGAGCGATTTCGATATGGTTCTTGGACGCTACAAAATGTAGGGCAGTCTAAAACTCGTGTAAGTGAGGTGGCATGGGGGTTCCGGAGTGCAGTGGATGTCACCTGGCCGCTGTTGTCTGAATTCATGTTAGAGTACAACAACTATAAAGATGAAGCCAGGCTGTCCCTGCCTATATCCACTGGTACATGATACTCACTCGTCTGGTTCACATCGGCGCCCCATCCTAAGAGCAGGCTGACTAATTTCTCTCCATCCTTGACACTTGCCGCAATCATCAAGGGTGTCCAGCCGCTGTCGTCCTGTTTCGGCATTTAGTATGCAGCCATGAAGTGGCAGGTGCTCAATAGATGTTATCATGGCCCACCTCGATGTCAGGGTCGAAGTCTTTTTGCTGTGCCAACAGCTGAACTATATCCGGTTGGTTGGACGAAGCGGCCCAGTGAATGGGCAATCTGCCATCATCATCCTTCTTGCGTGCCTGCTTCGGGTCGGCCTGTGGCCCAGGTCAGCACACGAATTCTGCGGCACCCATGGTCCTCTGGTAATTTACATTTAATAAGGACTCAACCACAGTGACTGGCCGGGAAACAACACCATTAGTATGGACTCATGCTTTTGCACTGGCCGGGTTGATTGAGTACTTGCCTTTCCCTTCCCGAGCGGCTGCGTGCAATGCGAATTTGGACTGATCTGGGTCCATGTTTTATCTTATGTCTGGAGACTCGGTGATTTAGAGGTTGGGTGAGTAGACTTGTTTTCCTCGGGGGGTTTGTATTTCCTTTGGCGTGAAACCGAATGTGTTGGCCAGCAAACAGGCAGCCGTACGACGTAAGTTTGGTCGGAGGGAAGTTGGACGGCAAGGAGACGACTTTGCGCGTCAATCAATGGCAAGAGCGAAATGCAAACCTTGGGTAATTTCTCACGGAATACGAGCAGCTAGACAAGCATGTGCATGGTTAAACTATATGTCCTGTAGATCACCCAAGACCGCAGGTTCTGTGATTGTATATGGAGGTCATGGAGGTTACGAAGGCTAAGAGATATTATGCACCTATCGAGGCGCCCGATGGCTGTTGAGGGAAGATTCATATCTGATAGCCGCCTCCACCACTACTAACCTTGGGTTAGGCGGCTCCTGCGACTTTATTGCTAGTCCAGCTCCAAAAGCAACAGCAATAGCCAACAGTCAAACAGCCTTGACCTTTATTAGCATCCCGACGCCAACTCGCTTCCTTTTGTTGTTGTTGCATTCCCACTTGCCTATAAAGAGCAGTTACTGTACTACGTATCGCCGGCACTACAAACTTGGTACCCGCGCTTTTGAACTCATCACCGTGCCGCGGACTCTAGACTTCCCACGAAAGCACAGCGTGGGACGCGATTCATCCCGCCCGCGCATTCCAAGATGCCAGACCTTGAGTCGCTTGCGCTCAGCAACGCGAAAAAGTCCAAGACGCTGTTTGCGGACACGGAGAGCGTCGCAGCAAGGAAACGGCAAAAGTTTAGTACCGAGACGGAATTGGAGAAGCAGGCCATTTCCATTCGACTACGCACCGAATATGCCCAAGTCAAGGAGCTCCCCCCTGCGCTGGCCGCCAAACAAGTCAGCGCTCTGAGCGCCAGGAAAAAGAAGAGCAAAGGCACGGCTGTCGAGGGCGCCCCAGCTCCAGAAGAACAGAGGACACAAAAGCTCATTGAAGGAATCGCCGAGAAAACCACTTCGTCGCCACAGACACTGGGCTCCTCAACTGCCCTAGTGCAAAGAACCAAGCAACCCTTCACCTCGACCACAAGAGCCAGGGACGAGCCCTCCAATCAGTTGACCACGGCCCGCGCTCAAGCCATACATCAGATCAGGCCCGACTGGCACCCACCATGGAAGCTCATGAGGGTCATCTCTGGCCATCTCGGCTGGGTACGAGCTTTGGCTGTTGAGCCCAACAACCAGTGGTTTGCCAGCGGCGCCGGCGATCGAACCATCAAGATTTGGGATCTTGCCACCGGCAACCTCAAATTGACTCTGACCGGCCATATATCCACCGTGCGCGGACTGGCCATTTCGCCCCGACACCCATACCTTTTCTCTTGCGGTGAGGACAAGATGGTTAAGTGCTGGGACTTGGAAACGAACAAGGTCATACGCCACTACCATGGGCATCTAAGCGGTGTCTATACAATGTCTCTGCACCCCACTCTCGACGTCCTAGTCACTGGTGGTCGGGATGGTGCTGCCAGAGTATGGGACATGCGAACGCGAAGCAACGTCCATGTGCTCTCTGGCCACAAGCAAACCGTCGCCGACGTGAAATGTCAAGCAGCCGACCCTCAGGTCATCAGCGCATCCCTCGACGCAACAGTACGACTATGGGATCTGGCAGCTGGTAAGACCATGGGGGTTTTGACACACCACAAAAAGGGTGTACGTGCGCTTGCTCTCCACCCGACTGAATTTACCTTCGCCTCAGCCAGTACTGGAAGCATCAAACAATGGAAGTGCCCCGAGGGCGCTTTCATGCAAAACTTTGACGGCCACAATGCCGTCATAAACTCTCTGGCTGCCAACGAGGAGGTCCTGTTCTCAGGTGGCGACAATGGCTCCATGAGCTTCTGGGACTGGAAGTCGGGTCACAGGTACCAATCGCTAGACTCGATTGCGCAACCTGGATCTCTAGATGCTGAGGCCGGTATCATGAGCTCCACTTTCGATCAGACCGGTTTGCGACTGATAGTAGGAGAAGCGGATAAGACCATCAAGATTTGGAAGCCGGATCCGGATGCGACACCCGACACACACCCGCTGGAGTGGAAACCGACTCTAGGCCGACAGAAGTACTAGAAAGTCAAGCGAGCGCCGCAATGGTCATACCTTGCACCGGGTATCATCAGAGAGAAAAGTAACCGTCTTCGAGCAATGGCCGGAATTACGGTCAAAATCAGATAGGGTATCATTAGAGTTGGGGTGAGAAGAGATAAAGGCTGCACTATGTACACTAGAATGCTATACCCAAAGCTCTGATCTCAGGGTCGTCACGAAATGCCAATTTGATCTCTTCGTCACCAACAGCAAGCCTTATCTTGCTGGGTCGTTCAGGCCTCTGGCCTTCCAAAATAATGATACCTGCACCAGTCAGATCGACAGCTGCTGCACTGATGCCGGTGGCCCTCGTCATGACCGCGGCGTTCTGTTTCCGCTGCCGCCCATCTGGATCGGACTCAGACTGCCCAGTGAGCAATTTGACTCGCCTGCTGCCCGTGTCTAGTACCAAAGCCCGTCTTAGCTCTTCTTGCACATCTCCATATGTACTATCTGGCAACCCCGTCCTCTGGTTGCGGATCATCAGAGCAGCCAAAACTAGCTTAGAGGCATAGGGCAGAGCACGCAGGTATTGCTGCAGGGGGCTTGAGGTTGCCTCGTTGATGGCCCGCTTCACCGTTGCGATTGTCACCCTGCCCTTGGATTTCTGCTTCTTGTCCAACTCAGCCATCTTCTCCTTTTCCCTCGCCTTCTTGCTCGGTGTTGGAGGTTGTGATGCGTCGAGTCCCTTTGCTTCAGCTTCGGCCAGCTCGACAGCTCGTCGGCATATATCGAGTGCTCTTCGCGCATCACCGCTGACAGCAGCGACCTTTCGACTTGCAAACTGCACCGCATCGGGCTCGACAATATTGCCTGGTACACCTTCTAATCGCGACTGGATGATCTTCATGAGCTGTTCGTGGTTGTAGCCGGGGAAGGTGATGCGAGTCAGGCCAAGACGGCTGCTGATCTTGTTGCTCAAAGTCCTCTCAGGAAGGTCCATGGTGTTGGCAACCGCCAGCACAATGAGCCGAGAGTGCCTCAGCCCGGGCCAGTTGAAGAAGTTGTACATTACACTCTGGTTCTTTGTGACCAGCTGGTCCAGCTCGTCCATGAGGACGACGCAGGGGACTCGTCGTGGGCTTGGATTGTTGAATTCTCGTTCAAGGAGGTCCAGTGCTTGGCTGGGGCTCACGCGCTGTCCGCGTAGTGCCTCCCACAGCAAGGAGTAGGACTGGTGGGGGTCGGTAATCTTCATCCCGTTGATCTCGACGAAAATGAAGTCGTCCAGTTCGTCTGAGCTCACTGCATGATCCAGTCTGGAGACAACCTCCCGAACGGTTGCTGTCTTACCGGTTCCGGGCGTGCCCGAGATGTAGATGCAGGCACCAGATCCGTCTGTGATGGCGGCCTCGAGGTGAGAGTACACGAGCGAAAACTCGGACTCGCGGCAAGGAAGGCTCGTAGGCACTGAAGCGACATGAAGCTGGGCACGTGCCAGTTGGAAGGGGGAAGCTTGGTGATGGCTGGGGGAGAGTACACGTGTACCTAGTGGGGTGAACTCGAGCGCCTTCTTCAGGACAATCTTTCGGTTTGAAGGAGTGGCCACCTTGGTCGTCCTTTGTTTCTTCCTTGGCGTAGCAGGCGCCGGTCTCCTGGGTTCGTCCATATCCTCGTCGTGGTCGAGATCATGGCGATCTGCTACGAAGGCAGCTTCGAGTGCTGTATGGTCTGTTTTCCGCTTCCTTCTGGTTGCCTTGGTCTTTGATTCTAGAAGTTCGACCAGCGGACCTATCTCCTCTTCTTTGCCATGAAAAATGTCCTCCCAGACGAACTCGTCTGTATAAGTGGCTGTTCTCGTGTTGCATCCGCGCCGACAAATGAACGTCTTGTTGTGTCCGGGTGAATTGCGTGGGATCTTTCCGGTCGGGTATCTCTCGAGGAATGCGGAATGGGACAGGACGGTTGCTTTGCCGTTGATCGAGGCCAGTGAGTTGATGTCGCTACTCGGTGTGATGTACAACTCGTTCTGTCGTGAATCAAGTGTCAGCAGACGGCAGCGCAATGACGATGGTGGTGATGATGATAAAAGGAAACAAAATATGCTTCGGAGCACGCCCGTCTTGGACATACCGGTAGGGCGTCGGTCCTCTTTTTATCCCTGTTCCTAATCTCGTTTTGGCTGGAAAACCAGAGGAAAGTGGCTGCTTTGTCGCCATCCTCGTCGTTTTCCATGAACTCGGTGATAATGCCCACCCAGGCTTCGTGCGATCCTTCGGCCTTGAGCAGGACGCAGTCGCCTACGTAGCACTCGAACTTGCCCATCTGGGCGCCAATGATCTTTGGCTGCCCATCTTCGCGCTTGCGCTTCCGTGCGGACTCTGCTCTGTCGGACTTGACGTGCGATTGATATATCCATTCCCAAGGGTGGTCCTCATCTCCTAGCTCGTCGTCGGAATCATCTCGTGCAACGCCTAGTGGGGACGCTGCCGATGTGTGACGTGGCATGTTGGAGGGATGCGTACTCGGATTTAGAGGCCGTGTTCGGTATCTTCGTGGTGTGTTTTTGTTCGTGTTGTGATTGGCGAAATACCTCTTTATACCGGTACTATGAAAAGCGAGGTCAAGTTGCTGGCGCGTAGACTGAACGGACGCGTCGCGCTGTCATGTGACTCCATTAAGATTGAATTGATTGGATATTCTGCACCACAGTCACCATAACTATGCCCAGGCAAGCTGGAGTTCTTCTGTTTGGAACGACTTTTCGGTGTTTGGCTCTGTATAGAACTGGAGAGAAAGACCTATTGTCTCCTTTCCCTTTCCTTTTCCCTTTCCTTTTCCCTTTCCTTTTCCCTTTCCTTTTCCTTTTCCCTTTCCCTTTAGTCCGTGAATTTGTATATTTGGAGGTATTGGTGCATAAACATTTAACGTGGGCAGAGAAGTTTGCAATGTAATGCCTTAATCAGCGTCTACTGACCTATTGCTGACCTCACGTTTCAATGTGTCCGGACTCAGATCAAAGTACACAACACTCGTGTCCGGCCGCGACTCACATAACAATAAAATAAAATCTGCCGCATTCTTCGCCATCCTAGTATGGTTAGACACCTTTTGATTAATAGCACAACTGCCAGCCTGGGACGATCTCGTTCCTAGAAGTCACGACTTGCTCGTGGACCAACTGGATACTGGGTTAATAGGTATGCAGTGTATGGTACTTGTCCTTATGTTTGCCAAAAAGATATAAAACATAATAAAGTAACATGAAGGAACACTGATCAGTCCACTATGGCTCATCACGTAATCAAGACTGGTGCTAATAGACTATTCCTTGAGATGATCCATGATTTTTATGGTTGGGAGGTTATCTACCAGGCCATGACTTCCAATTGTTTTCTTTTCGTTTTGTTCTGTTGGCCAAAAATCAGTTTCTCTTATTTCCCCGCCCAAAGTCCAGCGGATGAAGCATCTAAAGTATGAGAGTTACAATATGGCTACAACGCTAAACATGCAAAACCATTACAATTGGCACAATTGTCACAATCCGACCATAGGACAAGTCCAGGCCAACTAAATCCATTGCCGTCAGACTCTAGGACCTCAGGCCTCGAACAGCCCCGCGGGAAAACAGCTGCAGGACCATATGTTATTATCATGTAGCCCATGAGTTCTCAGCATCTTCATTATTTCTCCCCCTAGTCACATTGAGATCACAACACTCACTTCTTCGGCCTTGCTATAGAGTCACTCATCATACATCCAGCACACTGACACCAACCTCAAATTTTCCTCTAATTCTGGAGCGTCGCGGTCATGGAGGATCTAATTAGCTTGTAAGTACGCTCCTTTGATTTCGCTACTTTAATCTTCTTATTTTTGGTTAACCATAACATGAAGCGACACTTCACCAAGTCGCCAAGCCGTTGAAGTGATTTTCCATGGAAGGAAACCCGATCGCACTGCTGCACTCACTGACGAAAATCCTTCGCGAATTGAAACCAGTCTCTTGCACTCTTCCGATGCCGTTTCAGGGGTCGAGTCGAGTGACTTGATCGACTTGATAGATCCTCATGGTGGCGACTTTCTGGTCGCTCCGAAAAGACCAACCCTAGAAAAGCTGCTACAGCGATCGCGTCAACAGATCCTTCTCCCTCCACTGCCCATCGTCGAGCAGTGGGTGGACGAAAAGAAGCACAACGCTCAGATTGGACAACCTGATGTTCTGGGCCCTCGTGGCAAGGCCTACCTGTTCCTATCTCACGACAAGGACATGGAGAAGGGAGTGATCAACGCCGTGTATCTTGAAATGGAGGAATTCGCCAGTGGTCGTAAAGACATCTTCTTTGAGGTCCAAGGCCCGGTGGAGCGTCCGTACCTGTATATGGAAGCACCGTCTCAAGATCTTGTGGCTGAATGTCTCGATGAGGCCCGCACCTGTGCTGATGATATCGTCCATGACAAGTCAGTCAAATTCGATCTCGTTTTCCTAGAGACCCCTGCTTCTTCACAGAACTTGGTCCAGGTACAGGTTGTACAGGGGCACCCTCAACTCGTTGACTGTTTGGGCGCTGCCCTAGGTCAGAATCCATTGTTCAACAAGTATATTTCCCAACAATTGGCAGCCGCCCTCAAGAAAGCAGGTCGAATCAAGGATATGGTCAATTTACGGGTTCGTTTCGGACACTACCTACTTACCTCTAAGCCCCAAGGGTTGGTGGATCGACCCTCTGTTGGATTGGATCAGTTTTCCGAGATCATCCGCCACGGTCGGACTAAGGGGGAGTTTCAAACGCAGATTGGAAACCTCGAAGATGCTATTCAAGTGTTACGAATCATCAAGAACAGTGGCGACATGTTTCTCTCCCATGACATAGCCGAGATGGCTGCCGACGTGCGCCCTGAATTCTATCTGGATGGCGTGTCGAGAAAGTGGCGTATCGAAACCCGATTGCGACACAAGGGCGAGACTTTGCGCGGGCAGTCCTCCCAGAGCCGGGCCAGCGCCTTCGACGTCCTGACTATTCGAGCAATTGAGCTTTCTGAGAAAGCCAGAGACAGCCATCTCGACTTCAAGGTCCTGAGTCTCAGACAGTAAGTTGTGCCCCTTTGCTTTCTCTTTATTGATATCTTAGCACAAGGAAGTTGGTTATATCACGTGCAGGAGACCAAACGGGACATGGTTTGCTGGCCATGTGCTTACCTCACTACAACGGGCGTGGAGGGGCTTACTATAACAATCCACGGCTGGGACAATTTAATATTCTCTGAGTGGTTACTAACTTTGGACAGGGGTCTCGACTGGAAGGTTGAGACTGTCACTGGCGAAACCATCAAGAATCATGGCTATGACAGCCTCAAGTCAGAGATCAGATCTGCTCGCATTCGATTCTCCGGGTCGTCGAACATGCACGACGAGGACTATCCTCGAATTCACTTTATGGAAAATGCCATCAAGGCCCGATCTCTCGAACAGGTTACCATCCGGAGCGTATTTCGGTTCAGATACAGCCCAGCCCCGTATCAGATCGAATTCACGATACATCGCACATGGCCCAATGTAGATGCCATGGGCAGGGACCAAGAAACTCCACTAACGTCTTTCGGAATCACGGTCTATGGTGAGCACTGGGGAGAAACAAGGGCATCCGAAATTGCTAGAACGGGACAAGGGTGGGGTCCCGAGCTTGAGAATCTTCTTTGCATTTCTCAGAGCAGCCCCGGTAACGAAAACGGTGCTGAGGTCGGTGCTGAGAGCTCCGAGGTTCGCGTCAATGGCGAAGGGAGAGCCCAGAGCCTCCTTAACGTCATCCATGACATCCGACGTGCACTGACTGCCTGACCCGTAACAGATGTTCATGCTCGGGCTCGGGCTAAGGCTAGTGACTGTTGAACTATTTACATGAGGGCGTCCTCGACCAAACACAACAAAGGTCGGGGAACGAAGTAAGGCGAACTTTTGGGGGTATTTGCCTTGTTGTATCCATCGAGGTACACGAGTGTTTTGTTCTGGTTTGTTTCATGTCGTGCCTGTGCTGGCTCAGGCTTGTTGTTGCTGCTGCTGTTGTGGTGCGGCCGCCATCTTCTGTCTTAGAACTAGGTAGTACAAGCAGATGTCAGCAGCATATATAAACCAAGAGAGGCTCGATCGAGCATGGCGTTGCGACCTACCCTCTTCTATCACGCGCACATTGTTGGTCTTGGACTGTATGATGTTGTCCAACTCCTTGATATTGCTGCCAACTTCATTTACCTTGCTGGTATAGAAGTCGGTGGCCGACTTGATATCCTTCTCGACGTAGAAACCGGTGCCAACATCGACAATGACATGCGAGGCACTGGCCAGCTTTCCTCGAACGTAGAGTGAGTTGGTCAGGGGTACGAGAATGGACTTGTCCTCTGCACGGCGTCAGCACCACAGAGGTCAGCATGAAGACCTAGGACGCCACGGCGCATAGGGGAAATGCTCATGAACATACCCTCAAGGGCAGGTGACTTGCCGCCCTGCACACACCTGAGGCATTCTCGAAACTTGGACTGAGCAGCAGCAAGCTGTGTAAAAGAGGACGTCAGGTGCTCAAGTTCCTCGTCGAGCTGCTTCTTGACCTGGCTGAGTTGCGGTGCGCTGAGCGTGTCGAGATTGACTGTTGTTACCAATATTGTCAGCGAATGCGCATCCTAACTGAGTTGGTCGACATGGACGTCGACAGTGGACGGTGGACGTGGACATTCACATTGGGGACATGGGTGTGGGCTCACCAGTCTCTCCTCCACCTCCGCCTTGACCTTGAGCTTGGCCCGACATCTTCCTGTTCGTGCGACGTGATATGGTATGGTATGGCGTCGGCTTCCGCTGAAGAATTCGACAAACAAAACCACGCTCGAGCGGTTGCTGATCTGTTGCTGAGGTAGGACACGGCAGTATGGTACAGTACGTATGGGAGCAGTTGGCCGTTCGTTGATTTTTGGCCGGCGTCCACCAGAGCAAGTTAGTAATGGCGGGGTAGTGGGGTGAAGTAATGCAGGTCACCTCAGGTTGCTTGATTTACCACGACGTCGCTGCCTCCCTCGCCTTCTGCCACCCTCTGACTTTCAAGCCACTTGAGTACCTTGACAAGCCTGGATCGTAATCGAACAGACCAGGAACCAAATGCAGCCATCAAGCTTTCTTGGTTTACTATTGGGCCGGACACTGCAGAGCCTACAAGGAATCACTGCATTACCTATACTATACTAGTCTAGGTGCCAGCATTATATTTGCGCCAATTGAACTCCTTTTCAGGTCCACCACGTGAAACAAGCACGAGATTATGGTAATTCGTTGGAGATCGATATTTGGCATCTATGGTAGGGTTTGACAGGATGAAGCCAAGTCCCAAGTATATCTGCAAACCATTTGTTATGGAATATAATGTCCGTTGCCGGAATTGAATGTCACATACGACCATAGGTTCTAGAGAACTCGGCATCCCGTCCGCTCTGCCCTAGATAAACTGGAAACCGCTGGATTAGTACTCAGGTCGGTGACGACTGGGGAATCCCCGGTGTTGTATGTTTTTGCTTTTTGGTGATGTTCTCGGTGTTATAGTCTGAAATGACAGCCTTGCTAGAGTGTGCGGCATATTTATTTCTTGCTTCCCATGCATGTTATGCTGTGTTAACTGCAAGGTGAGTGTTCTTGGACTAGGTTCAACGCAGGCTATACTCCCCATTGGAAACCCACTTCGTTCACTACCCAAAAAGTTCTACCCGTGACGCTGGGGACACCCAATTCGGACTTTGTACCAGTGCTCTAGGTTAGGTCTTTTGATGGTGGTCCAGAAAGTACGTATTCGAATATGGTCCAGGCACTGTCTCTGTCGTGCCTCATCAAGATCTAGCAGTAAATAAGCATGAATGACTGAGCCGCTCTTGCATAATCTCACAGTATGGATTTGGGAGTATGACTGTCTATCACATCAATACATATCAACTTCCACATCATATCAGGTCTCTCGCCGATCTACGGCGTTAGGGAAGACATTGGAGATGCCAGACTATCTTGAACAGAATGCCGCAGGGCACCTTTCTCTACAGTGCTAACGGGACCAACGGCTTGGCTTGCATGGATTGCTACCACTAACAATTTCCACGAAATACCAACAGACACAAATTCTCTCATGATTTCAACAAGCGACCGATGAGATTTCCTCCCGCGTTCCTCTTGGCCTTCATGCGTACACCATCGTGCAAGTCTATCCTCTTGATATCAACAGCCCCCTCTTGAACTTCTCATATCCATCATGGAAGACAACGGCTCTCGCAGGTATGTGACAAAAAAACAAGTATTCGTGCTTGCTGTTATGCCACGCTTGCTTAGGAATCCAGAACTCCAGCCAACAAGCAAGTTTCCGTACACTGCGGTATTCCACTTTGCGCCATGCCTTCTTCACGTCAATCACGGTGATGGTAACGTTTCGCTTTCTTTGTTCAACACGTCGTTCTGCTTCCCGCACTGCAGTGTTCTCGTCATCGTATACCGAAATGAAAGGCAAATGTTGCCGGTGGGCCCAGTCTAAATGATTCATGATATAACGTCTAAGCTCCCAGCACTCCTGTGGGCGCCTGGCATTAAAGTCAATACTGGTTCTTTTGTCACGAGCCAAGACACCTTTTCCTCGCACAGTTCGCGCTTGCGAGTCATCGTCCTCAACACGGTAAAAGATATAATTAGAAGCCATACTGTGTCTAAGGCGGATAATGCTAAATGGGATACTGAGAAGGGCGAAGACAGGTTATGAAGAGGTAAGAAGGTGGGGGACAGGCACTGACATGGCAGACGCGTCTTGTACCAAACGCGTTTTGGCATGCGGGTGTCAGAGCAGCTCTCAACCACCCTTGGACAGCGTTGGACCGGTGCCGATGCGGATAGGCATGGGACGCTGACGCTGGAGCGGCAAATTCATCATATCTGGCTGTATTGTCAAGGGCCAATAAAAACCCGCCACATTACAAGGCACCAGCTGCGAAATGCGGACGCTGGAGTCATCGATGCTACCTTGGCAGCAGGCCTTGAACAGCCGGTAGACATGTGCAGACAGTTGCAAAAATACTAATTTCATGGAGCGGAAAAGGTCTGTTGAAATAGAGCAATACAGGCGGTCGGGCTGACGGAACGGCCAGCCAATCAGTGCGCTGATGAGAGGAAACACTACAAGTATGCCAATACCTCAAGGATCGTGTTTTAGTGTGTACAGCCCAAGCCGAGATGACCGTGGGAAAAGCTCAGTTCGACCTTCAAGTCCAAGTCGACAACCAGATCCTAGTCGCCCTGGGATGATCCCCGAGACACACTCCATGTTTGGCTAACCGATGACTACGGGGGCTGTCGCACATTCTCTAGGATACAGATATTCGTGGTATCCCGGACGACAACAAACGCACCTTAGTACGAGCGCTACGGTTGGCCGAGTCGGACCTGGAACATTTATATCGAGGCCGGGTTGACCGGGTTGTTCCTCGCGAGGAATGTGATCAAGGATAATCGAGCAGAAGCGCGAAGACCAAGCATAGGGTGCGAGCTGGAACATATGGGTGAATACACCGCAGCTTTCTCATCATATTCACAGTGACGGTCAAGGCTGTCGCCATCACGATCCCAGTCATCCTCGGATGAATGGACACTTGCTGGACTGCCCACAAAAGCTTGATGATGATTTTAGATGTAGTTATAGCGGGTGGACTTTGTCCCGGTGACTTTGTGGACGTGGAGGTGATTTCAGTATCAAACGGTTTCGTCGAGAACATGCATGCAACTAACAAAATGAAAGTAGTCTCAAAAATCGGAACTTGTATATGGCTACAACGCTCCGATATTTACGCTTCTCGCGCATGGAGAATCGATGTATGTCCTTTTGGCCATTTACAGAAACACAAATAACGCGGGACGATGCACCTACAATCTGGCGTCCCCCTCTCCTGTCTATGGACTATTTCCTGACTGTCCGGTGAGCCTTGAGAACGATAAATAATTAGCTCGTCCCTATCCGATTGAATATAATCAGCCTTTCTCTCTCCTGGGCTCGCTTCCAGTCCCAATCTGCTCTGAGAGCTTGATAGTGTCGATTATAATAAAGATGCTGGAGGCGTATGCTTGAGATTTCTTTTGAGACCTGCTTTAGCTTTCTTGATAAGATGATAAACGGGTGCCCGCCCGCACCTCCACGGCAAATAAGGCTCATGGACTTGCATGGCCAGAACTCCCAAGACTGTGGCCTGTATGAGGCGCAAAGTAATGGCGCCCGCTGGACAGACACAAGCGTGCTTGCATACGCTCCTCCTTCCATAAATTGCTCCACTTGCACAAAATGGGTGTCCTTCTCACTTCGAAGAAGATAATGCAAGACAGTAACACAGTAGTAAGTGGGCGTATGTATCCCTTTCTCTATTTCTTGCTAGTTCTATCGATCAGTCGCAACAACTGCGCCTTCATATGCGCGGGACCAATTATGGCGACTGCTGTATATCGATGGCCCTGCGTGGATGCGGCAGGAAGACATGGTCGATGTCGCCGCAGTCCTAATGATATCCCGATCCAGTGGATGGTGCTGGGGTGGGAGATAAGGGTTGTGAGCACGACAGACCACGTCGGATACCACATTATAGTTGCGGGGTATATCTCTAGCGACATAGTGGTAGCATCAAATATGTTTCGTGTGCAGATCGCAGCGCCTTCAACCGCCAAGGCAGTGTTGCTAAACCATGACCAATAAGTGTTACGGATGTGGTTGAGCAGGTACCTTGCAGCACTATCTATCAACCAGTAAAGGAAATACTAAAGTATTATCAGTCCGATTTGCTCAAAGTTGTTTTTCTTTTTGATTCGAAAATTTTCTTATGACAGACGAATAGTTTATTTTATGATTTCATTACGACTGTCTTATTAAGAATTATTGCGATTTACATGTTCCTAGAAGCCTTTACAGTCAAAACTAAGCCCGCGCAGCGTGGCCGTCTCGCAGTTCTCGCACCAACTACTCATGGCCCAGACATACTCTTGTTCGTGGGTGTAACCGGTGGCGGTCGTTTTGCCAGCAAGTTGTCAGGCTAGACGTTTTTTATTATTTTTAAATACTTTTGGGGAAGTGAGTACCGGGCACACTAGATGCTTTTCACCCGTCTGCGGCTATGTAGTCGGGTTTGTTGTTCAAGCCCAGAGTCAAATTCTAACTCTGGGTGTGAGCCTTCGATCGATATCAAGCCTTTTTTTCTCGACTCGTACGCAAGCTCGACGCCGTTGCCCAAGCTTGGAAGGCCAAGGTATCGCTGATGAGCGCGTATGGCTCTAGAACCATGTGGACCGTGAAGCAGCATAGCTTGGGAGTTGGCGCGGAGGGAGGAGCAGTGATAGGGCTGGGGATGATAAAGACGCCGTAGTTAGTGTGCGTGATAGACACCTGGTCCGTAACGAATCACATAACTTTCTTCGGAACTACTACGATCGCACTATACCCACTCTTTATACGATATCCTGATGATTTAGAATGTGGTCCATTTCCTACGAAACTGGATCCAAACGTCGTTCTACAAGTAATTCTAAACCTGTTAGTATCGGGGATTATTAGAGTTATCCTAGCTAACAGTTTATATTATATTCATAATGCTCGTCGGGATTAGTCAATTGTCTTTAGATCGACGATTCCACACGTATATCGATACATTACCAGCCAGGGACAAAGCTTCCGCCTTATTAATATTGTTGGAGAACTATTAGGTGTCTAAATGCATTAAATCCGAAACGAACGATGTCAAATTAATCTGCGTTTTAATGTGATCGACTGGATTTCTTATATTTACATGAACGGTTTTGATTTAAACGCGTAAAGGTTCGATCTGCTCTTTCGAGTTAATATTTTAGTTGGCGTAATCGATTACTGCCCCTCGATTTCGCCGCTTAGTATCTCAATAGACGACTTGGTCTTATCTGTCTTGATTCCATGCTAGAAATGCTCCGTCTGTGTGACCTGAAACTTCTTCTGGTTATCAATAGAGTGTTGAGTGGTCTTGAGCGGTATTGACCGGGGCTTGAAATAACGAGATCTGCTCTACTAATTTAAACGCTTTGTCATTAGTAATGTTAGCCAGTATAAGCAATAGATATTAGCGGATTGAGCGAGGCATTTTGATTAATATTCCAATGAGTAAACGCTTATGGAAACAAAAGCTGTCTGTGACGGTGGTTCAAAGCACTCGCTGTTCACCGTCTACGCTGATCAAGCAGCCGCCCACAGTAAAGACGGTGATCTGGGATACCGGTGGCGTTCGTCGGGGCATTGAATAGAAAGATAAAGTCGAGAACGTCATCGACCTCTAACTATACTATGCAGTGTTCTGTGCTGTGAAATCTAGAGCAATCATTCAGCGCTCCGATTCGTTACTTTGACATCACCTCGTTCACAACTGTGCTCTTCCATCTCTTTATTTTACACTGGCGCCAATCATTGATATTGGCGACCTCACCGTTCATCGGGCTCAGGTGGTTTCCTAGAAATGGTATTGCGTCGATTATGCGGGTCATGATTGGCTTAATACTTGAAGTGGGGCTAAGCCATGTCAGACCACTTACCCCTTTAACTTGCATTGTATGTGATCTGAGAATGTAACATCTAGTAACAATACGACAAGAGCGAATGCGTCACAAGCAAGGGTAGGCTAGTATATGTATAATATACCGATGTTTCCAAGAGTAAGAAATATGCAGCCTGGTGATTATGGCGATGGTTTCAGCCAGCCGGAGTCCCCGAGATTGGGTTATCAGAGGCTGGCTAAACACCTTCGATGGTGGTTACGAAGCTAGTCAAAGTAGTATATAATGTCGGATATCCGTCCGAGTCATTTCAGATGGATCAACTTCTACAATTTTGTAGAGAAAGAAGAACCAACAATGGCAACACATAGTGAGTCCCAACCCGAAAAAGGACCACGGTCATTCCCCTAACCCCAATGAATGAGCTAGCCATACCGCCGTCTTCTATCTCTCAATCATTTCTATCTGCTAACTTTTATCTAATTCCACAGATACTGAGTCGGATGCCGACATTGTCCGCGACTATGATCGAGTTCTGCAACCTAAGCTCCTTGCGGCCCTTGGATCAATCCATGGCCTTTCGTGGGCTTCCTTCACTCTCGTAAAGGAGAGTAATCAGTACACCCTCCGCGTTGACACACGGAATCCTAGCAGCCCCAAGTGAAAAGATGCAACTGCAGCCCCTGAGGCTACAATTCTACAGTCGACTAGCCAAAAGTTCGTGTGAATGTCTCCCAAGCCAAGAGGTTCGAGGAAACGCGTCACGTGGCTCCGCGCACGGCACGGCCGTCCGATGGTAACAGCAACACCCCTTTTGGCCTGTACTCACTCGGCCAAAGTATTGGAGTGGAACAGCTTGATGGCCAGGGTACGCTTGGAGGTTTCATCACCGTCTCAACTGGGGACAAGACTAGGGTGTACGGCTTGACCAACAACCATGTTATGAATGTTGGTAAGACTACAAATACTGAACGTAGGTTGTTTTTGATACGATAATGTCTATGTGTACTGGCAGAATGAGCCCAATCACTTGATTCCTATCATTACTCGGCTCGGCTGTGTAACCTAAAACTCATATTGACAACTACCTTGTGATAGCGGCAAGTCCGACACATGTAGAGAAGGACATCGCAATCTACGGTCCCAACTATCATGATCTCGAGGCCACCAAGATTACCCACCAAGACACAAAGATCCAATCGTACAAGCTAGGTCAATTGAAAACCACCTTTGGACGTACTTTGGATCTGCCGCCTGGGGAAGCAAATCCTTGTATCCTTGACTGGGCTCTCTTTGATCTGAACTCCGACACCCTGAAGACCATGAAGCATGAATTTTTGAAGCTGAAGCCTAACTTCCAGTTGCCTCGGTCTCAGGGAAGAGGTAAATCACAACATACCTGTTTACCTTCCAATTCCCGAAGCAGAAACTCCCACATACTACCCCCTGATCCCTACACATAAGCTGACGGGACACGATTTATAGAAAATCAACCACCCATTCCCAACATCCATCAGCTACGACGCCAATGTTTTCCTCCAACCAGATATGAGGATTTACAAGTGGAGACGCATGACCGGCGTCTTAGAATGGGAAGTGAATCTGGTCCGGAAGGTGATGAATATTACCGACATTGAGACATGGAAGGGAACGCTGCAAAATCGTCATAAGTACAGTGCTGTTGTGGAGTTAATTTTGCGCCCAAGATGCCAACAACCCTTCTGTCAATCGGGGGGCTCTGGGTCTCTTGTTGATGATGAGAATGGTCACATTGTAGCGCTCCTCTGGGTACTGGCAGATGATGATACTATCGTCACAGATATCCGCGTGGTATTTAAGTCGATTCGGGAAAAGTTGAATTTGGACTCGAACGCGGTCCTTGGTGTTGCTACCACATTTTGATTGTGAGGTTTATTTATCTTGAATATCGCAATTTCAATATTATTATTGTCTACTTTTAAACTTCCATAAATCTGCGTTGGTATTCGATCGTAATTAAACTTTGTTTTAATACTGAACTTAAAAAAATATCAACATAAGATTTTGTAACTGTCATTAATGACGGTTTTATTCATCTAAAATCAAGTCAGCGTAATATCTTTCACGTTCGTTATATCTAAGGCTCCTAAAGCGATCATGAAAGCCTTGGTATAGTCGTGGGAATATTTCTAAAGCCGGTGATCTTATCGCGGTTCCTGGACCGACCTCGCAGGCGTGGCCCGCTCAGAGTCATTGGCCACAACGCATAAGACGCAAGGCGACATTTCCAAAGCAGATCCAGTAGTACTCCCCCGAGCTACCTCTCCAGAAATGACCAGAACGTCGGGTGGCAATTTAGTCATGTCATTACTGCTATCGAGTACCGGTAAATGCATGGTTGGCAGCGCAGTGGAAGAAGTTGCAAGATCTGTCTAATACTCTGCCGGAGATTCTCTTGGCCACCTGGAGCCTCGTGGTATCTATCCGCCGAGAGGAGATTATTGTGAGCCATATCACTATTCACACATAACATAATCACACTACTAACACAGGGCCAGATAATTCGGACCAAGCTAGAATTTGGAGATCCCTCGATACATATCGGAGTGTATCAGATTGACTGGACTCTACGGTGCCCTCATCTGGCTCCAGATGGTTTCGACTAAACAGGGAGATCTCATATCACCTTACGGTGTTCACCCGTCTTAGTACCGGTTTCGCCGTGTGGTTCTTGCCGTAATTATGCACCATCAAATCCCGTTGGCGGCTCTCCCTTCGTTCTATCTCCTGCAATTTGAGATCCAGCTCGATTATCGGCCTTACGCTCTTTTCTAACCACGTGTGAGTGCTACTCTCGAAGCATCCTTTGCGCATTTCCCATAGTCGGTCGCTCCAGAATTTACGCAGCATCCCGGACGTGTCGTACGGGATGCAGCTACTAAACTCCTTCCACACCTCAACCGCGCTGCGGGCAACTTCCGGTGGCACTTCGAACCACTCCTGGTGGTCCGTTCTGCACTTGGCATTTCTACAAGTGATTACTTTGCGACGGTATTTATGTAATGACTGATGGATTAGTGATTCCATCACTCTTGCAGCGCAAGACATCGGGATGACAAAATCAATAGTCAAATCATACAAGCAGCCCCTTTTCCATTTTTCGAACCTCTCATTTACTTGTTTCGGCAGCTGCCCACCCTCGGGCATCGGGGGTTTCCAGTCAGGCTCAGATCGTAGTCCATTAAGGTTAGGCGGCTCCACTTTCACAAACCCGATTTTGAGGAACCCGGGAGCGGTGACCTCACGGAAGGAGTAGATATAGCCGGGAATGTGCGTCTTAGGTGCCAAACTGTCTCGCATCCGGTCGATTATAGTGAAGAGAACCTTTGTTATGTGCATCTCATTCTGTCTCTTCCACGGACCGAATTGCATCGACTGGGTCCTAGCCGCTCTAGAAGGAAGTCTCGAGGCAATTCTAATGCTGGCGTGCACTACGAGGTGTCAGCCATTTACACAGGACTAACATTGCGATATATTCAACCTACCCGAATCTTCGTCACGATCTGTTTGTTCAGCATGTGCATCACTTTGCGCGCACAAACCTTCTTCAAGGTCTAGAGACCGGCACTGAGCAGTTCCCAGTGGTATAAGAGGCGGAACATTTTGTTGTGTGTCATTGGGAGGAAGAAGCGCTGAATGCGTCCCAATCAAGTCGGCATGCGATCGACGTCTCCTTGGGACAGTTTGCGTTTCCGCGATTGGTGGTGTACATTGTAATGCCAAGTCATGGCAATCGGCTTCCGCAGACGAGGCAAGCTGCCCAGCATTACCATCGGAATGTACTTCTTGATAATAGTTGCCATTGTCATCTGCGTGGGCAACCCAAGATTGCACTCCAAGCTCATCCTTGTCTCTGATCCATTCTTCACCCAGTTCTAGTGGAGTTGCAAAGATGGATTCCGTGTCATCAAAAGATGACTCGCTTGCGTCTTTTCTGTACCGCGGTATCATCAAGGGACTCTCTGCGATCGGTCCGATTCCCCACGCAACTTTCGTTTCCGCGTAGTTGGTCAAAGGGGTGGCTTCTCTAGAGGACACTGTGGATTGGTCAAATAATTCAGACAACGCCGGTGAAGCTATCGAATCCGGCGTCCGCTCGTTGCACACGTCAAGACCATGGGATAAGCGCGAAGTAGTGTATTTCTCTGGAGTTTGGATAGAGGTACCTCCAGACATACTCCGGGAGTCTGCGCTGGACGAGTCCCATACTCTCGGTACACCCTCTGCCATTTCATCATGGCGCTCGAGCCTGGGTCGAATGGGAAGTTCTCGAGCTTCCTGTGAATCACTGCCTGTCCCCTCTTGGGTTTGAGGATGGGAGAAGTTCGTATGATCCGTAATGACATTTTGAGCCGTATCCAGGGACTTCTCAACCTCCACTGTCTTCTTCAAGACTTCTGAAGCATTCGTTGGGTGTAGTCGGATTTTGAAAAGTCGCACAAGATACTCTTGCTGGCTGCGATGAAGTCTACCGTCTTTGATAAATGGTGCAACATGCTTGGAGCCGCAAACCACGTGGTTGGCTAAATCCCGAAGAGATTCATCAACATCATCATCGTGGCCTGAGCTCCCGTTGGTACTCTCTAGTAACTGAGCTAGTAAGTATCGGATCTTCTCCCCTTTATCTTTTCCTAATGTTCTAGAACAACAACCTGTGCCGGAACGGGCTTTGGAGCATACGCCAGGCAGGTTTTGTAATCTGCAGAGATACCAAGCAACTCTTTCAGAGCCTCCATATCTTCAATAAGATGCAATAAAAAAAATGGAATATTCAGTTATGGAAGGAGGAGAAATCACAACGGCGTATGTGAGCCAGAGCCTTATGTCGTGGCTCGTCAGTAAACATTTAGTAGCCACTGAAGACCGGATTGAACTTGGGAAATCTCCAAAGTCCAGGATGATATGCGGAGTTCACCTGTACTTAAGTGGCACATATACTGCTGGATTTTTGAATGGCTGGTCGCCGTCTCGGGGGGCTGGAAACTGGGTTCCGATCAAGGCACAATCCTGCAGAACAACCCGGCTCATCAACCCATGCTGCGACAAGGATGGCCTTCAGACGACCGGAAAGGACTTCCAAGGCGTGACGCACATAGAAACGAGGTCAAACCGCAACTTAAATAATGTCGTAGATATAATAACAAAAAGCAGTATAGCCCGGTTGGTTGCATATTGAGTATTTCATTATCTGATAACAGCGCTGCATTATCGTGTTGTTTGGATAGACTGAGAAGTCTTTCTAACACCACTGAAGCTCCCCTGTCTTATCCCTGGCTCACTTGTTGATCCTGAATGGCTCAAAAAGGCTACCTTGTCACTAACTAATGTGTGACATCGGTTGGTCACATATGATAATCCCTGACGAGGGCAGAGCATTTCACACAAGCGAGTGGACAATCTCGAAGCAGAACTGGCGCGTAGCCGATGCGTTCAGCACTGGCTACAAGATCGGGCAACTTCACCAATAATTGCATTAGTAGTAGCTCAATTTCAATTTTAAAACCATGATATATTTTTTCCCATCTACTTACCTGGTACCGAAGTGAGTAGTCCTTCGGTAAGTTATCATCATCGGAGGGACTACTAGAAGATCATTAGCTCTTATAATAAACATAATCATAGTACCAAAAGATAAAGGGAAAACTAAGGAGAGGTATTTTACGTACTTGGCAAAGGGACCACTTTCGACACATCCACCTCCGCTTCCAGCAGGATGGATCCATACTTGACCACTGCCAGCTACACTTCCGTTATGCGCAAAGTAGGCACCATCACCGCCTATTCTTATATTATTTCCATAAAAAAAAGGTGATGCTGAGAGTTTATCTTGATGTTTGAACCAGTTCCAATACTACGAAACATTAGGATGGGTCTGGAACGCATACACTTGTCATATCTTCCTGTTTCCCACTGTCGCCCGCACTGCTTAACCAAAAAGTTTATCTAGGAGACCATATGTCAAGTTCCAAGATCACTGGAAGCTTGTACGAACTGTTCCTGACAGGCTTCCCGAGACATACAATTGCACCTACCTTGGGCGACTGGGCAAACAACGTTGTTCGTAACTATGAAGGCCTAATCGTCAGCGCCTCAAGGCTGTTTGAACTTGCTAAGAAACAATGGGAGAATAGCACGGCATGTGAGACGTTTAGCAATATGTCCCGTAAAATTACCCCTCCGCACCGACAATAATGTGAAGAAAGTCACCAAGATCATCTGCTTCGGACTTATCGACATGAACAGAATACCCCCTGACTGGTGGAGGCTTCAGAACGAAGAGAGGCCGGAAGACAAATGGGAGCTCGATAGAAGCGTTAAAAATGGGGCTTTGATTGATCATGCGATCGTGTTAACAATGCACGTTATCATCGACATATGAGACATGTCACTTCTAGTTCTTAAGAAAGTCAATATGTATGGAGAACACACTATGAGGAAAATTGGAAACAAGTGCCCTTGAAATACTCTTCGTAAGGCAAACAGCGCGTTCCAACCATCTCATAGGTTCGTGGCACCACAACAATTTGCTACGGACTGGTGGAATTCAGCAGGAGGTTACCGAAATGATCTCCAATACCTCAGCAACACAGTGACACAAATTCATCCACCAGGCCGAGGCAACGGTACTAACCTATGTGATTACACGGGAAATGCCTTGCTCCCAGCCCTATGGGGTATTATAGAGCTCTACGGCGAGTAGTTTTGGTAGGTGACGTTTTCCCCTCCAAACAATCATTTAACTAACATTGGAATACAATATTACATATACGGTATGACTTTCTAGTTTAAATTAACCGCGAAGTTGTTAACCGTTTCTTTGAAAAGCCACTTGAGGGCCGAGGATGTCATGTTATTCACTGCGGAACCTGTTGCAGCAGAGACTGAGTCTGTGTCGTCGCTTCGAGCTGTATGGGTAGGATCTACGGTAGACTGGCCTTGGTTTGCAAAGGTCCTAGACAAAGCGCTCAGCGCAACTTTCTGCTGTAGCGGCAGTTGCTTTCCAGTTGATCTCTGGAAGGCATGTGATGAGGAAGCTCTGCCCGGTTCTGGGTCTCTGTTCTTTCCCAAAACTCCCTGGGTTGGGCTTCATCATCGGCGATGGAGCCATATTCCTCAGGCTGGAGGAGACTGTCAACTTCGAACGTCTCCGGTACATATGCCAGCCATAACAGTCACATGGAACCGCACATAAAAAACCAAAATGGGCCAGGTTGGGTGAAATCTGACATGTGAAGCCTCGTCCGCTCGACACAATATCTCGGTACTGCTGATCTTTTCAACAGAAAGACCTGTTTCCAGGATGTATGAATAATTGAAAATGTCAAAGGATTGTAACACTCTCTATAGATCTCGTGTAGAGCCAAATATTGGCCTGAGGGAGAGAAGTGAACGTTATGAATATATTAACGAGACATCGATTTCCCTTGGTTTCTAAAGGAAATCGGATCTATGCTGGCCCTTAATTCGCAATGGTCTAGACCAAATCTTAGGATTTGCTTCGCTCTTACCCGGGTGAATCGTGTAAAGCTGCTGCAGGATGCAGAATGACATAGCGTCAGAACTAATAGCCAAGGGTAAGTCAATACAATCCGTGTCAGGGTATTCCAGGTACTTTAGCAATGGAAACAGGATTTCTTCTGCGTCAAGCGGTAGCTCAAGCTTGGCAATGGGCGAATCGGGAGCATCTATCCACTAGACAAGATATGTCGCAAGCCAATTCTCGCAGAGGGGTCAGACATTTTTGTATCTGTCTCGGTCTATGCATCGAATCTGTGTGAATATCTTCCGATCATGGATTTTGCTGATTGATTGCGTTATTACGGCGACGACTTCAGCACGAATTCAGCCTTTGATCACTCACCGAGGTGCCCAGATGCTAAGAACCCCCTTGATATGGCCATCGGACGACGTTCTCGACATTTGAGCCACCGGAGTTGTGGACAGATGGGGGTGGCCAGGGGATTCAGGCTCTTGCTTTGAGGCTTTCAGGCTTTCCGGAGAGGAGAAAAATCGGGTTCTCGCAAAATATGTCATCTCGTCCCAAATAACTTCTGGGGATTCCTCTAGTCGGGAACCCCAAATGCTGATGATTTGGTTTATATCACTTGATAGCTCGTAAATAAGTCTCCCGAAGCTTTGTGAGCCGCGTATCGTGCTTCTTCGACCCCGTCTTTATTATCGAGTGGACCCAAGTATGAACTACTTTCAAAAGCGGATTACAATAGTCGACCGCCTGTCTTTGGGACTTTGCGATCTAAAAGGTTTCGAGCCATGCCGAGAGCACCCGAGGCGTAGCTAGAAACGTCGATGGTGTCTTGATGATGTCCGTGAGAACAGAAGTCTTGCATGTCATTTCTTTCTCAGGTTCCATACATGCGTCGATATGACCGAACCAGTGAACCGCGGCGTAAAGCGTGAAGCAGTGGTTCTCGTCCACAGACTTTTCAAAAGCACGCTTCCCAAAAGCGCCAGATAGGGGCTGAGCCGGTGTGAAATAAAGGAGCTGTTGTAAACAGCTAACGGCCACCACCATATTCGCTACTGTAGGACTAGGAATAAGTCCTTGGAAGACTTCTGTTCTCAGTCCATCGTAGCAGAGACGTTTCTAGACCCTGCCAGCCAACATGATCTGAGGGTCATTTGTCCAAGTGCGCAATCCTTGACATTCGATTGATTCGCTTGGTCGTCCTTTGACAGTAATTGATTGCGGGTTCTGGATGGATGATTGACTTGTGATCAACTCCTGCGGGGACAAATGTATAAATCGAATGGTTGGCTCTCCCTTTGGCCACCCAGAATTAGACAAGTCGGGAAGGTTTGACGAGCCCAGCACACGCCATGACAACAAACTCTTCAAATTCAGAGATGTCGCCTGACAGGAACGTTTGTGGTGCGTTGCCTTGGGCTGCATTGGCTTGGCGTAGCTGGGGGGTTGAGAGGGGAACGACGGCAAATGCAAGCCATGTCAGAATACTGGAAGCAAGACTGGCAGGTATTGTTCCCCATTCACGTATGAGAATGGCGATTATTTCATACATCTTGTCTAGCCCCTCGGGAACATTCACTCTATGAATTATGTCAAGTCGGCTTTCTTTTGTTAGATAGGCCGATCGAAGACAACGCGTCGTTAACCGTGCCCAGAGGAACATGCCAGCCGCACCGTTGCAAAGTTGGTCAGCAAGTGCGTCCAGCTAACTGGTGCGTGAAAGTGGCAAGATGCGCCGTTCTAACATGTTCTCGAACTCTTCCATAGAGAAATGGCGAATGTCGGGCGATATTCGGCTCTTGGACATGGTATATCTTTGTTTTGTTGGTAGCGAAAAGCTTGAGAGCTGGGACGTTAACTCGGCTGAACAACATTAGACGGAGCCTAGGGAGACTTCTGGACACTCTGTCGAGAGAATGAATAATTGAGTCGCTGTCATCGCATTCATCGATGCCATCAAGGACTAGTACTATGTCCTCCGTGAGGTATAAATGCAGAAGATCAACGAGCACGATTCCAGGTGCAACAAGCTGACCCTGGCCTTTCACATTGGCAATGAAAGTGAAACGATCCTATATTTGAGGGTTTCTGCGTTCTTTCCAAAGCAACTGTGCGAGGATCGAGCCATATGCGTCGCTTGATCTTCGACTAGAAGGGGACTGATGATCAAAGAAGTAGTAAAATATGTTAGAACGTGATGATGTGGCGTATTCGCCAATGGGCTCATTAATCACAGTCGCAGCAATTACGGTCTTGCCCGCCCCGGGGTTTCCTACGAAACTATATCAGTCAAATCGTATGGCGCCTTTTTGCCAGGCTACACACCTTGTGCCCATAAAGCACTGCCCCCAAATTGGGTCTTTGTAGGTAGAGCCTCTGATTTGCACCCCTTCCAGTTGATGTAGCTCGGATTCTCGAGGAACCACAAGGCGGTGCCCTCGACTTGAAGATTAATGGCGTTCTCAAAATTGCTGGTATGATTTGGCGCAGCGAGCCACTAGAGTATTCTTGTAACAATTTCCTCTGATTGGTTGCGCAGCTCTGGTCAGCGGTTGTGTGGTCGAAAGATCGATCTGACATACCTTTCCGGCTGTTACTTAGAGAACGAATCATTTCCTGAATATCTTTGGGAAGTCTCTTGTTCTCGAGGTAACGTTCCCGTTCCTTCCTCGTCAGGGCACGCTCCGTCTCGGCCAATTGACGTTCTTCTGCTGCGTCGTTGAATTCGGCACTATGAATTTCACGGTCTGCCGCAGCTCTTGTCATGTCCTGCGTGAGGTCACTAGCATGCCATATTACTAGTTGCTCGAGAATGAAGCGCCGATGCCCTGCCATTCGCCGAAGCGTATCATTGGACGGTGACTCAAAGGGCTTCCAGATACTAGTTTCGACAACGACAACGGGTTTTCTCTCTCATATATCGTGTCAATATAGCAGGGACAAAATCCAATGAAGCCAAGCGTCCTACATACTCCCATCAGATTTCGTGAACACACGAGCCGCGAAGTGTAAAATTTGGAAAATATCTTGGTATACCTCGCCGATGTGTTGAAGGACCTTGTGGATGTTGGTATCCGCTGGATCATGACTTGCATGACTCTTATCGGACCAAAGCTTGATCAACTCGCCATATTGGGGAAGGGCGTCAGTGATTGTTGACAGCATGTCGACTAGTTTCTCGAGGAAACTACTGTAGTCACCCGCCAACTAATCCAATAGTTAGTTTGTTGCAGCTGTACCGGATAGAGTCCCAATCCGCATAGGAAACAGGCAACTCATGGACTCGCCTTTAAAACACGGCGAGTGATCCCCAGAAAATGGCAGCATATCCAGGGTTAGAAGACACGAATATCTCAATGATCTTGAAATATGGGTCAATACTGTCGGCAAAATTCCTGATTGCGGACAACCATGCCAGGCTACAGTGCGCCTCAGTGTTCTTTGCCCGCTTGTCATTCGCAGGATGCGTGTGGTTGTGGTTATGTGTGTATGTCACTGCCTCAATCACCTAAATCTATAGTCCAGTAGGATACCCTAATGTTGAATCGGAGCTTGAAAGTATAGAAGACTATGCTACAATGGCAAAGTTGCAGGATTTCGCAGGCTGTGCGAGGCACGCCCTAAGCTTCCATCCTTATGCTATCTCGATATATAAATAACTACCTTACCGTTCTGCCCTGGCCTCACTTCATAATAGATAGTCCGCTAAGGTCCAATTATTATCCCGATCTCCAAATATCAATAGCAGAATCCGTGCAGTCGTCCGAGCTTTGATTTCGCACATAAGTAACCGCATAGATTACTTACTAAAAGAGGAATAAATACTTTGCGCAATAGCGGGCTAGGGAAGGCATATACTGCAGTCTATTACAGTTGTGGATTGGTAGTTATGGATGTTGGCATTAGCAGGTAGCAGCAATATTTATTGAGCCTTATGTCTTATATAGCTTAGATGCCTAAGTTTGACCCTAGGTAATGATATGCACCCTAAGCAATAATAAAGGCTACCTTTATATATGCCTCGTCGGACGTTAAGAATGTAATAGTGTGCCTTGCCAAAAATCGTGCCGTAAATTCAGGGGTTATTATAATGTACGCAAATATGACTGGCCAGGTTTGGGACTTAGCCAGGAGGATTTTAAGACGGTGAGCTAATGCGGGATAATGTGAAAAAACGTGAAATTGTTTGGGTCCCGTCGTTATCCGTTTAAGATGCACAATTTGAACGGGCCGTATAAGCTTATGTCAGATGTTGGGTGTGGTGCCTACATTTTTTAAGACGAAGTTGCCCATAATGAGCAGCACCAAAGCACATAGATCATCCCTTATACCGCTGGATTAGTACTCAGGTCTGTGACGACTGGGGAATACCCGGTGCTGTATGTTTTTGGCATATTTTGCTTCCAGATCATATCTCATCAACACGTCTTTCAATTTATTGCTTAATAACGCCAAACAAAGCTCATGTAGGATTTATCGAAGTGTATTTAGAGTACCTTGTGAATCTACCCTGCATAATCTTGCTCGATGGGGGGAAAGTTGATGTATGAGGTACTAATTCTTTCCGCCGTGGAAAACGTCCTTATTCACATAGTATGAAAGAACAATCTGAAATACATTTTGCAGGCTGTACAGATGTAGCTAGACACCGCTATGTTATTGAGCATGGAAACGCATATACGTGCCTAGGAGTTGTTAATACTTAGTTACTCTGACTTATAACACGACACCTAGTATAATACTCACTTGGAGCCCCACGATTTAGATCAGCCAGGTTGGCTTTACAAATATCCATCTAGATTAGCCCTACCAAATACACGAAAAGATTGGTCAATGTACACACAATGCTTTACTTATCATACCCTTGTGGCTCTTTTTGCGCTCCTGTTCGTACCAGTCTACACTGTACAGTTATCAAATTATATAAACGATACAAGGTAATCTAGCCATACATGAAAAATACTCTCAGCACGAACAACTACATGGAGGTTTCATACTCCAACGTGGTCTAACCATCTGTTACGGCGCTTGCGTGCTGCCTCCTCTTTGTAAACAAGTCCCTCCGAGACCAACGTTCTCAAGGAGTCCAATGCACACCGCACGCCTATTACGGCTGATATTCTATGGGCAGCCCCCTACACAGTCCATTCATTCCTGATCTTTCTCCTGTGCTCTCTTGAAGGGCTTTTTCAACAAGCCCACCAGCTTGCCCAAACCGCCAAAAACGTAGCCTAGCCCGAAACTCCATCCCCGGACGCGCACGGTATAGATAAAAAAGTATACCAGGGCCCAGTTGGAGATACAGAAAGCCATAAATATGCCGAAATTCCTCCATTTATGACTCGCATCGATATTGAGGGTACTGAGGTATTGGTTTCCAACACTGTACGGGCAGTACATGCACCCGCTAATGGCATCTGGGTTCAACAAGTATCCACCAGCGCTCTCGGCAAATGCACCCGCATAAGCCTGGCATGTCTGACCAGGCGGCGCGTCGAAGCGTGCAGTCTCTGACTCGGCACAGCGGACAGGAACGCCATCAAGCGTTGCGGCCAGCATGCCTCCAATCCAGTACGTGGACGGATTGACCCAATACATCCAGTAACGCCAGAAAACCGGTAGCGAAGAGTACGGCCGAACGACGCCGTTAAACAAGCCAAACATGACGAAGAAGAACGGCAACACCTATTGCGGTAATTAGTACTGGAGTTGAACATTGCTCGTATTTCACTAGTTGGGAGAAGGAAGGGAACGAGGGACAGAGTAGGCAAAACTGACATTCGAGATCACAGTGAAGCTAGGTGCAAAGGCACATATCCATTGACCCCAACTGTTCATGAACAGGAAGAAGAGAATGGTCATCAAGAATGCATACCCAGAGACTGAGCTTTCTTGAGGGAGTCCGGTAGGCCAATACCAGAGCACCCAATATAGAAACCCCGATACAATCGCGGCAGGTATCTCCGCCACAACGTTGGCAGTGCAGAAGGCAACCCATCCGTAGATACGAGAGGGGTACTCGCGAGCCTGCCAGAGTGCCATATTGCCAAAGAACTTGGGGACCACAGCATTGACAACGGTGGCAGGGATTGTAATGATCAAGAAGCTCGTAAACATACGATTTTGCATGTCTTGAATCGAATATCCAAGCTGCCAAAATGTGAAGCCGTTGAAGATACCCATGATCACAGAAGTGAAGAACTTGCCGTAAAGATACGAGGGGTCGCGCCAGTATTGCTTGAACATACGCTTTGTGAGCTCGGCCGTCTGAACCCAAACAGGTGCAGCAAATTCACGTTCCTGTTGCTTTGTAACCTTGCCAGGCTGTGAAGCCCTGCTCCTAGTTCGTTTCAAGCCATCAATCTCCTCAATCACCGCTTGAGCCTGCTCACTGTTGAGCCACTCGTCATTCCAGTCGACTTTAGTTCCATCGGGCTTCTTGTGAGGCCGAGCCGCCGTCTCAAGAATGAACTCTGCGACGTTCTTTTTTGGCGGGCAGGCGGCTCCCCGATCAGCAAAGTATTTGATGACATCTTTACCGCTTTCGCCGATCGGACCGAAGTAGAACGTGTTGCCGCCAGGATTCAATGCAAGGACCATATCGAATTGCTGAATAAGTACAGAGCTTGGTTGATGGATAGTACAGACAATGGCTTGCCCAGCCTGGCTCAACTTTTTGAGAAAACGAACTATAGAGTAGGCGGATTGAGAATCCAGTCCGGATGTTGGCTCATCGAGGAACAATAGTAGAGAAGGCTTCGCAGCCAGTTCCACACCAATTGTAAGCCTCTTTCGTTGTTCCACACCGAGCGATGAAATAATAGCGTCTTGGAGGTCATTGAGCTCAAGGAGGTCAATGATGTTGTCAACATAAGCTAGTTTCTCTGACCGGGGAATCGAGGGATCTTGTCGTAGAATTGCAGAGAACTCGATAGCTTCACGAATAGTCTGTGTGCCGTCATGGAGATCACCCTGTAGACAGAAACCAGTGTTTCGCTGGAAGTCAGGAGGAAGCGGCCTTCCGTCAACGAACATCTCACCAGAAACGACACCGGTGCTCTGTCGCTGAGAAAGTGTGTTCAATAGTGTAGTTTTTCCTGCACCTGATGCCCCCATCAGGGCTACCATTAGACCTGGCTTAGCGTATCCGTTGACCTTGTTCAGTAGCTTTCGCTCGCCACCGAGGTAGGGCACCGTATACTCAACGTCCCTCCAGGTAAAGATCGACTCGCTCTTGGTCAATTGCGCCAGAGCTCGGTTCTCATTATCGCCTGTGCCTGGTGAATCGCCTAGTTTGCTGGTCGAAGAGTCATTGCTTCTGTCCCCATCTTCACCACCAGTCTTCTCCTCGTCATCCATGGGTGAACCTGCTTTCTTCGCTTGACTCTTTGCTCTTCGCGTCTTTTTGAATATCAACGCTCCGCCCCCGCTCGCAGCGAAACTGAACAACTCCGTGGCAATCAACGTGATGACAAGATATAGTACGGTGAAAGCAATTACCACGCCGAGATTACGCCACAAGTTCGAACGGCTATAGCCAAAAGAAGATGACAGGTAAGCGTCACCAGAAACTGAATGGGCATTGATATCAGCACCGCTGATAGCGCATCCCTGATACCCAGACTGCACGCCTGGCCCCTGAGGAACGAGCTGACTTGCAGCGCATTGCATGGTTCGACCTGAGAATTCATTGGATATGACACCTTCAAAACTGTACGAAACGGGGTTGACCCAGTACTGTGAAAACGTTGGTTAGCATATCTCATGGCCCATGTGCCTGCAAACAAGCTAGTGCTCAATTTCCACACTTGGTAGAGTATAGCAACTTACCAGCCACCCGAACCAAATATAGTTCGACAGTAATTGCGTTTTCGGGATCACATATCCGGTGTAAATGACGAGTAGATTGAGCGCAATACCGGAAAAGCGCACTGCTGTATCGATTTCCGGGGACAGGCTAGCGAACATGCGGTACAGACTGGTAAGGTTTATCGTTGTAACATAGACAAATAGCACTGCATTTTTCCAGAGTTAGTATGTCAAAAAGCAAATTTAATGGCTGGGAGGTTTTGGGTCCGATAGGAAAGTCACGTTACAGGGATATACTATACGAGGTATGAAAGTGATTTACTTGGAATGACTTACTATAGATCCAGAATTTGCCAGCGTCAACGTCAAGGCTGGTCATGAAGTACATAATAACTCCGAATATACAGACTTGCACAGCTATGACAGGAAAGTCTTGTATCACTCGTGCAACTGCAACAGCTGATGGCCTATAAAAGGCGTAATCTTTATGGCGCGCAACAACCGCGCGGCCGGACACTGCTTTCATGAGCTCGGAAAGTTGCAGCCAGCCAAGAAAGAGAATCGAGAAGAAGAGGGCGCCGCCACGAGTAAAGGCGCCATCAGTTGACAGGGGTTGGCCATGGAAGATAGAGCCGACGATGAGACCGTTGGAGATAATGATGAAGAGTTTGGTCCAAAGAGTTGTTTTGTCGCCGAAGAGAAGCCAGAATTCGCGTTCCGTACAAGCCAAAACTTGTCTAATAAATGACACGGTGTATGGAGACTTCTTTCGCACAGTTTTCGATTTTGATTCTTGGACAGCGCCCTCAAAGCGTTTGGCGTCATCGAAACCAGTACGGTGTAAGTGACTCTCATAGCTCTCAATGTCATCCAAAAGTTGCTTGTAGTGACGAGAACCACGAAAGGCCTTCTCCAATTCATCCGGTGTTCTCGGCGCCCTATCCTTGAAGCCGGGTCTGAAGCGTCGTTCGTTGGGATCTGTGACCGCGGTTAAGAAATCTGCGGTGGTCTGTCGTTCCGGGCATTCGTACCCAAGATCAACAAAGTATTGTTTCGCATCTTTGGTTGGGCCCGAGAATATCTCACGCCCCTGGTCGATGACGAGTACCTTATCCATGAGCTCGTAGATTCCCTCGCCAGCCTGGTATAGCGTTACGAGAGTCGTGCGGTTGCTGACGTCTGTCATGATACGGAGTGATCGGGCATAGTCCAACGCAGTTGATGCGTCAAGACCACGAGTGGAATTGTCCCAGGTCATTACCGTTGATTTTGACGCCAGAGTTTCAGCGATCGACACGCGTTTACGTTCGCCTCCGGAAACGCCTCGCGTATACTCGTCGCCGACTTGTGTGTATTTGGTGTGACTGATTCCAAACATCTTCATAAGCGCAGTTGCGATAATGGGGATATCTTGCTGGGCGTGCTTCTTAGTCTTGTTCATGAGAGCAAACGTCAGGGTCTGCCAGACACTGAGAGGTGCAAAATGGATATCATCCTCGCCATTGTAATTAACCTCGCCTCGGTACATGTTTTCTTGTTTGCTACGCGGTATGCCACCGTAAGAGATCTCCCCGTCTACCGACGCATATGATTTGGTGTCATTGCTCACGGCTTTCAGAAACGTACTACATCCGGCACCTATGCGACAATCAGAGATCAGTATGACTGTACTGGACTGGGGAAAATACAGTTTCATGCCATCTCGCAAGACAATGAATAAATAGATCGGAAGGGTAAAGGGGAACTTTGAGAGTTGCATACCAGGACGTCCCAAGACCAACATCATCTCACCATCCCGCACACAGCCGCTGAACCCACGAAGTAGAGTACGAGTCTCTGTCTGACCAAATTTGATGGAAGGTATAGCACGACATAAAAGACGGTACAGATCGGGACCAAATGTACCCAGTATTGCATCCGGAACAGTACGAACGAAGGATGTTGCAGCCCCGGTACCCTTTACGGTAAGATTCTTGTATATTATGCCAACTTTCTTCGCAGATCCAGAGCCGGATCGTTTCTCAAAGTACCCTTCACGCATAAAATCGGCCAATTGAAAGTCTTTATCGTCGTGTGCGCTCGGAGCAACGTCCGTGGTGCTCTGGCTGCCTGAAGTTGTGGTTGCTACATCGGTCGCATCTGACCTTGTATGATCGCGCAGGGCTTCTCCTCGACTTCTCGTGCCCGGTTCGATAGCAGTTTGAGCGGGTTGTGAGCCCGCGGTCCTCGTCCTGTGAAGTTGAAGCAGATTGTTCCTGAGGGCTTCGTACTCCTGTACTGCAATCTGCTCATTAAACCCTCCAACATCTTGCTCACCCCAAGTTCCTTCGTTGCCTCGTTCAGGAGAATCAGAACCTCTGTGACCAGCATGTTGAACCTGGCCAGCTGGTGAATGTACGGCCGGGTCAGAACGAAGCATATCACGGTGCCATTGGTGTGTTTGCACGCCGGAATCAGTGCGCCGAAGCGCATCGTTGTCGAGCGTACTGCCCCACATGGTAGTGAGAGGATATAGTCTGGTGGTAATAACAGCCAACTGCAAAACAAGGTTTCATGTCCTTGACTCACATTACGTTCCAGATATGCTGAAGTCCCAAGGGCATATTTCTATAGTCAGTGTTTACGATCGACTTGATATTCTGGACAGCGGAGAGCCCTTAAATAGTGCTGCATTAGGTAGTGGACTGTAGTCACGGACAATTCTTCGCCCATTGCTGCGGGGCATCACAGTGATGTCACAGCAGGTCAAAACTACAGAGTATGCGATCACGTTTGTTGGTAGCAGCTACTGTAGCGGTTTGCTACACAAGGTTAGGCGATAACGCCCCAGCTACCACCAACGCTCGGTATTTTAGTAAGACATCCTATTCAAGCCGTTCGGATCAGTAGCAGGAAAAGCGAAAAAAGGAGTTAACGGAGCTTACAGGAAAACGCTTTTGATTTCTAATCGCCCGCGGTCCACGGTGTTGAGTTTGCACCTATATCCACATAGTATGTGTAGATCATCGTCACTGGTGTCTTTGGAAGGTTAAGAAGCTTGGGCCCGTCGGAGATTTGAGGCGAATAAAAGTGTGTGAATAAGAACGCTTGTTGTTGGCTGCCCAAAATGAGTCAGTAAAGCCAATCTTTATCATTTGGCCCCAACGGATAGATAGTTCTCAGTCCGTCTCGAGGTGGATCCACACAGTGAATCGGTCCCGACTTGACCTTGACTTTCTAATGTGCGCCTCCCCTCCTGCACCTAAAACCAGCTACTAAAAGGTATGAGTATAAGCAAGTTGCATGATAAAATTACATGGAGTGGGGGAAATCCACACTGAAATATCTAGCCGATATCCCTCCGTGGTGATAGCGTTTGTTCAGAGTACGGATTACCAATACATTGAGTGACTAACCGTCCTTAAAAACCCGGCATTCTGGGTGCGCTCAGAGCAGGGGTAGGAGACATGGGGTCCATGTCTTTGCGGCTGTGCTGTCTATGCTGCATAAACTTCGACCACGCTCTCGTAGCAACGATGGCGGCAGTGGGCATGGTTATGTAGGATTACGAATGAGGTTGAAAACACTTAATATGTGCATTCATGTTTTCAGTATGCGACTATCCTCATAAATAATTAAGCCGCTCCCCTGTCCAAGCTCTGTGCTTGGCACATCTTCTTGTACATTTTGCCGAAGGCCAATAACTCGTCATGAGTGCCCGACTCGATGACTCTGCCGTTGTAGAAAACGCAAATCCGATCCGCATCTTTGATCGTGCTAAGTCTATGAGCGACCGCAATTGTGATTCGCTCGCCTGATGCCGCGGCTTCTGCCAAAGCCGACTGGACAATTTTCTCGGATGCAGTGTCCAATGCCGATGTGGCTTCGTCCAGAAGCAGGACGTTGGGCTTGCGGATTAATGATCGTGCAATTGCAATGCGTTGTCTCTGGCCGCCAGATAGTTGGGAACCACTCATACCACATGGTGTCGCTACACCTTCCGGGAGTGACATGACAAAATCCCATGCGTTCGCAGCGCGTAAAGCCTCCTCCACTTCGGCGTCACTCGCGAGGTTCTTGTCATTGATGTGCTTCCCGTCTCCGTATATCTTGCCTAGCAATATATTTTCGCGGATGCTGCCCTGGTAAAGTGTGGGTTCCTGCTGAACGAGGGCTACGTGGTGTCGGTACAATCTTGGATTAATGTCAACAAGGGGCTCAGAATCCACCTTGATGTTGCCCGAGGTTGGGTCGTAGAAACGCTCTAGCATGGCAATCATTGTGCTTTTGCCACATCCTGTATGCACAAACCCGGGGTCAGTATTGCTCTAATTGCAGGATAATGGGGATGGCTCAGGGTACCGCCGGGGTAGTGGAAGGAATGTCTGGCTGGGACGAAGAAGGTGCTGCGACACGCTTACCTGATGCCCCGACGAAAGCAACGAACTCGCCACGCTTGATGTCTAGCTCGATGCCGCGTAGGACTCGGGCATCTGGGCGTAGAGGATATGAAAACTGGACCTTGTTGAGCTTGATTGACGATATGTCATTAGTGGGGCGGTGGTTATGGTTCTCTGCTGTATCTGGGCGGATGGTTGGCTGCAAAGCTTCGATCCAGAACAGATAGTTTGCAGCGCTTTTACCTTTGGTCATACCTGGAGCATCTGTAAGTTGCAAGTTAATGTGCGCTGGCTACTGGGCCTCGACTTACTGCTAGTATACCTGCAGGCCGTGTCAGTTTTAAACCCATGACAAAAAATTAAAATTGAAAGAAGAAGTGATACATACGCGAACATCTGGCTAGCAGCCTGCCCGGAAAAGAAAGTGCCCATGAAGGAGACAAAGAATTCATAGAACGTCACCTCGCCCTGCGATACCAGCTTGCAGCCGTACCAGAATCCCAGCGCAAGGATGAAATATTCGATAGACTGGGTAAAGGAGAACCAGAACATCATGTGCGCAAGAGGTGAGATGGATTGGCGCATAGCATGGCCTAGTTCTTCGCTATACCGGTCCAACATAGTATGCTCAATAGCAAGACTTGACACGGTCCGAATGGATGTGATGGACTCAGACGCGATGGCCGCACTACCTGAAAACCGTTTGGAATTGCCCGCATCCATACGTGTTTCGAGCCGAATTCTTGCATAACCTGCGAACAGCATCGGCGGAAGCCCAGCAAAGACACCTACCAGGCCGAGTTTCCACGACACCGCAATCGCAAGGATGCTAGATCCTACAACGTTGAATATGTTAATCAGAATGAGCCCCATATTGAAGCTCATGAGCTCAAGTATTGCCTGGGGGTTTGAGTCGAGTCGACTGGTAAGAGCACCGGTCGTGTTCTCAGGGCGGTCAAAGAATTGAATATCTTGACGGAGCATACTATTAAGAATCGTCGTTCTGAACTTCTTGTTCATCGTCTGCGCCACGATATTGGTAGTCCAGCCCATGACAAAGTAACATATTAGACAGCCAATACTCAGGACTAAAAACATCAATGCGTAGAAGTTTCCGCGACTTTGCATCGCATCAGTTTCTAGCTGGAATACATCCATGACATTGGCAAGTATAAGAGCTTGGCCAGGATACACAGCAGCTGGCTAGAATCAATAATCGGCTTGCAGAGCGTGCAGTTTATGGTGGAGACTTACATGCCGTCAAGCATGCTACAAATATTATCAAATACTGCCACTTGAGTTCTGGAGTCCGTTGTATCAACCCGAAAACCGTTGAAATCAACCCCGCATGCTTTACGTGGTCGTAGCTATCGCGCTCGCTGAGAAGCGCGAGCTCGTGATTTTGCGTGGTGGAGTGTTGCGTCAAGGTCTTATTGGATATCAGGTCATCCGTGTCGTGCTCGTCTTCGGATTCTGATCTCTCCTCTGAATCGTCTCTGCCCGCCGTTGTCGCAATACTCTGAGCTGCAACCAAGCGAGAATAGGCTCCGGCTGAGGCTAAAAGTTCGTCGTGAGTACCTTGCTCTAGAATACACCCCTGAGCCATCACGACGATATTATCAGCATCCCTGACAGTGGTAAGCTTGTGAGCGATCACTATAGTAGTACGATCCTTGGACACGTTGTCGAGAGCCCCTTGCACGATACCTTCGGCTTGAGGGTCTAAGGCACTTGTTGCTTCATCCAATAGCAGCACTTTGGGGTTAGACACAATACTGCGGGCGATAGCAACACGCTGTTTTTGGCCACCGGAAAGAAGTCCACCACGTTCACCTATGCGAGTATCGTAGCCTTGAGGCAAGTCCACGATGAAGTCGTGGGCAAAAGCAAACTGCGCTGCCTTTGTCACCTCATTCAACTGCGTGGCCCGGGGCTCATTCTCCCATTGTGTCCCGACCAAACCATAAGCAATGTTGTCAAATATTGTGCCGTTGAATAAAACCGGCTCCTGTTGAACCATTCGGATGTTCGTGCGTAGCCAGTTAAGGTTTAGGTCTTCGATGGGCATTCCATCTAGCTTTATAGTGCCCGACGATGGCTGATACCAACGTTCAAGCAATCCGACAATGGTACTCTTCCCGGAGCCGCTCGCTCCCTATCCTGCGGTCAGTATATCATGGTGGAAGTCAGGTAATGATCCTGGCTTACCACAAGTGCTGTCACTTTCCCTGCGGGAATGTGCAGGGAGAATCCGTTCAGAATGATGGAATCGGGCCGAGTCGGGTAACTGAACGTGACATTATGTATGTCCAGAACTCCTTGAGTTGTGGCTGGCTTTTCACCAGATGGGTTGAATGGGTCAATCTGCGATTTTCTATCGATCAGAGAAAAGAGTTGGTGTGCCGCTGTTGCGGCGCGCCCGAAGGATATCGTGTATGGTGCAACCATGGTTACCGATATTGTGGCAACGATTACAGACATCAAGACTCTGTGAACATTTCAGTGATTCGTGAAACAATCGACACAACAGTTCAGACGTACGTGAAGACCGTTCCCAGTGAGGGCACCTCCTCGTTTGCTGCCATCTTAATTCCCTGCCAGAAGGCCAAACTCATGCCAGCATAGATGAGGAAGTATTCAATGCTAAACATAAGTCCAAAAAGCGGGCTTTTTTGGTCACCCAAATCTTTTGCTCTTTGAAGAAAGTCGTCATATCGGGCTACAAGTCGTTCCCGGATACTAAATGCATGAACTGTTCTTGGTGTGGACAGGATGCTCTCGGCAAACGCGCCACCTTGAGCGTATAATTCTAGCATACTGGTTTCGAGCTTCGCTTCCGCTGTAGCAATGAAACCCATCAACACGATAAGTGCTGGAGCTAGCCTGTAAGTATGAACCATCAGCGTTAGTCTGAGACCTATGTTGTAGTTGTTCTCTTCCACCTCTAACTAAGTGGCAGGTGAGGGTGTCCCATACCATATCAAAATGAGTGTGAGTTTCCACTGACTCACGAAGGCGACAACGAATGCTGCGACAAATGTCACAGCAGATTGAACGCACAATCCCAGCTTTTCTGCGATGCCAGAATGTATCAGATTTCCGTTTGTTGTTGCCTGCACTACGCGTTTTGAAGTCAGTAACATATCCCCAGAGCATCAACCTTAGACATGCTTCCGTGGGGTGGCCCCGTCGGTAATTCAGCGAAGCACAATGGGTCAAGGGAGAACGGGGAAGGTACGAACTTGAGATGGAACCTCCAGAACCATAATCAAAAAAGGCGATCTCTTGCGCCAAAGCTGCCTTAAAAAATTGCTGTCTAATGTTGCGGACGATCCTATATGCGCAATATGTAGATAGGGTTGTGTAAACATACACGAGAACCAAGCGGCCTACGCCAATATAAATGAAGTATAAGCAGTAAGTCGAAACGTCGCTCATAAACTGGGAAGCGGTGCTCTGGCCGGCTACGAAGTTAGTGAGAACGGTAATGAATCCACCGAGTACTAGGTTGACAATAGCCAATGCAACGCCAGAAGAAGCTGCGGCCACGAATGCTATACTCTCGAGGAGTATATCCACGGGCTGTGTAAATTTGAAAATGCGCTGGCGGTTGTGTCAGTAAAAACACTTTACTTTGTACATGCGACACCAGCCTTGGAACACGTAGAGGGCTTACCATGTAGGATCCTGCGCTGGAACCACTGCTTTTCCCGTTTAGTATATCCGCATGATTCGGAAGGTTGGGGCTGGTCGAGAGAGGCGGGTGCCTCGTCTCCTTTTCTGTAGACATCGAAATCGTGTTAAATTACTGGAGGATTTGGAATGTAAATAATGAATACAACTTTAGGGAATACACGTTATATCAGCCTTAGATGTGATGGCTCTGATATCCTGCAGTAAACTATGCACAAAGTCCAGTGCATCATAGACCCTGAAACAAACTTGAACCAAAGAATCTATGAGGTCGAAGATGACTTGTTTCTGGGCGAAGATGTGCTTTTATACCTAAGGACTCTGAGCTCAATTCGAGTGTACAGACACGGGTTCAAATTAGCTAACAGAGGACATACGAATTGTCAACTGTGGAAAGGCCGCCGAGATCTTGGCACAAGTACAGCGGGCTCGTGTTTTCCGTTGCGCTAAATACCGGCGCACTGAATTCGCGAATTGAGAGGTCATAATATGCAAGTACTAGACTAAGGTTGTGTAATCTGGCGGAGATCTGGGATGTCTGCCGAGCAAATATATTTCATTGTCTGATGGCGTTCGAAGGCAGTGATATTCGACTTGATAAAATGCACGATCGTGATTGGCTCTGTCGTAAGGTTCTCTTTTAGGACTGACATCGTCTCCTTAAGTCTTAAGCCATTAACTGTGGGTGCGGAGTAGTGGACGGCGCCCGCGGGATCCATTTCCTATCGACCCTTGATAAGTTTAGAACGTTCCGTTTCTAAAACGAAAAGTGGTAAGCACGTCGTGAACATAGTTAATTACTTTATAATTAAATTACATAAGTTTGAAATGAAATGAATTATTATAATTAAATTTATAAAATTTAAAATTATTTAAAAGTTTTAATTAATAAAGTAAAAAAAATTTTTTATATAATAATAATAATAAATAAATAAATAATAATAATAATAATAATAATAATAATAATAATAATAATAATAATAATAATAATAATAATAATAATAATAATAATAATAATAATAGTAATAATAATAATAATAATAATAATAATAATAATAATAATAATAATAATAATAATAATAATAATAATAATAATAATAACAACAACTTTATTTATTTTAAATATTTTATTACTTTTATTAAGTTATAATAAATTTTTAACTTACTTTTTTAATTAATAATTAATTAATTATATATTATATAAAAACACTTAATAATTATAATATTTCTTAACTTTATAAGACCTTTTTATTTATTTAATAAAAGTTTATATTTTTATAATAAGTATATTTTTCTTTTTAAAATATTAATTTACTTAAATATAATAACTATTTAATTAATAACTTTATTTAAATTAAGTTTTTCATTACTTTTATAAAGTTATAACGAGTATTTAACTAAGATAATATTAAACGCGTTATATTAATAATTTTTTTTTAAAAGCTTAAATTTAAATGAAATAATTATAAGTAATTTTTTTAAAATTAAAATTAAAAGATAATTATATATTTTCTTTCTTTAACGCTTTTTTATTTAAAGCTTTATATTATCGATTATTTTATAAAGCGTTAACATTTTTAATATAATAATTAAAGTTTATATAAAAGTATAAATATAAATAATATTAAGTTATAAAAACTAATAATAAAAGTATAAGATAATATTATTTATAAAACGCTTAAGTTATTAATTATAATAATAAGTTTATTATACTTTATTAGTATTAACTTTTTATCTTTTTTTAATAGCTTTCTTAATAACTTTAATCTTTTTATTAGTTATATTATTATTAACCTCGTTAATTAATCTTTTAAACTTTATATAAAGCTTTTCGCCGTTAAAAAGCTTATTATTAAGAATAATAATTTTATAAATAAATATTATATTAAGAATAATAAAAGAGTTATTAAATATAATAAAAATTTTAAACACTTTATAAAATAATTAAAATTTAAGCTTATAAATTAAATCTTAATAATAATCTTTTTAAGTTTAAAGATATTAAAAAAGAAAATTCCTTTATTTTTATTTTTATTATTAAAGTGGAAAACAATTTCTTTAAATTATTTATAAGTTGTTTATAAAATTAATAATGTTAATAATAATATTAATAATATTTATAAACTTTTTAATATCTTTAATATATTACTTTTTAAAATCTTTATAAGCTTAAACGAGTTTATAATAAATAATCTTAAGTCCTTTATATATAGCGTTAAGCTTTTCGACATTTATATTATTAAAAGTAACTTTATTTCCGTTAACTTTACGAACTCGTTTATTTTTTACGACTTATTTATTTGATTTATTTATTAACATTATTAGTGAATTTTAAATATTATTAAATATTATATTTATTTTAATATTTAAGTTTAAACTTATTATATATATTATAAAGTTAGTTTTCTTAAATATAATAAAAAACCTATTAATAAAACCGTTAAAACGGGGTTTAAAGTTATAATATATAATTATAAGAATACTTACTTTAACTAATATAAAGTAGTTAAATAATACTTTTATTAACTTAATGATATTAACTTTATTAAGGCGATTTTTAACACTTTTAATAAAATTATTCAAAGTTATTATTTTTAACTTTACTCGTCTTTTATAAAACTTATAAATATAATAATAAGGTTTTTAAAATAAAACGATATTATTATTAATTTAAATATAAGCTTTTTCTTTAATAATATTAAGTATAACTTTATTTATATCGATAAATTAATTATAATTATAATTTAATAATTTATTTATAATAATTAATATTATCTTTAATATATACTTCGAAAATTATAACTTTCTTTTTATTAAATGTAATAATATTAATAATTATTTTATAATATAATAAAAAAGCCTTTATTACTTCGGTTTTATTACTTTTAGTAATTTATTATTTATTATACTTTTATTATTAAGAAAAGCATTCTTAGCTTTTTTTTTTAATTTATATAACCTTATATAATAAATCGCTTATTATTAATAAAATAATTAATAACTTTAACTTTTTTAAAAGTAAAATTAATTATTATATATTTTATATTCTAGATTAATAAGTAATATATATATATATATAATGTTATTAATAACTAATATTATAAGTTATACTTTTATCTTTCCGTTATATTAAATATTTAAGTTAATAATAAAGTTATTAAATTCGACGATAAACGCTAAATAAAGAATATATAAAAATATTTACTTAAATGAATAATAAATTTTTTTAAACTAACAATACATTTATTAAAGGCTTAAATGTATATTATAAAATAATTTAAAAGTTTAACAAAAAAGGTAAAAATAATAAAAAAGATAATTAATAATAATTATTAAAGTTAGAAAAGATTTATTTATATTAAACTAAATAAGCTTAATTTTAAGCCCTTCTTTAATATAATATATTTATAATACTTAGCGCTTCTTTATTAACAATTATATCTCTTAAATATTGTTAGGCATGTTAGTACGGCCAACGTGTGGTCAGAGAAGAGTGTTGTATAAAGCATGTCTAACAACCTATCTATGGTATTGGCCTAGCCAAAGCTATGGCTGGCCTCACGCCAATGCCATGGCTGGCTTAGGGCCAGCCATGTGTTAGTCTAGCCTAACAAATATCTATATAAATATAAAGCATAAATAATAATAATAATTATTATAATATATTTATAATAAATATAATACGTATAATGTAAAAATATAGAGATGTAAAGCGTTTTCGATTAAAATATTACCCTTTATATATAATAATAATATTATATAAAGCGATATTATTAATAAACCTTTTTCTCTCGCTTTATTATATATTAATGTTTTGTATTTTTATATTTAATCTTTTAATTTAAGTGGTTTCGAAGAAAATATTTAATAATTAAAGTATTTATACTTTAAATTAATTTATTAACCGTTACTTAGTTATTATCCTTTAATATGTAATCTCTTTAATAAATAAATAAAGAAAAATATAAGTTTACTTTATTTTATTTAACACGGTATTTAATTACTCTTTTAACTTTATAAATAAGTACGCTTTTTACGTTATATTTTATTAATTTAGCTTTTCAAGTCTCCCTTTTATATAAGTCTTCCTTTTATAATAACTTAAAAAAGTAAGCGATTAATATAATAAAATAAACCTTTTAAATATTAAACAAGTTTAATGTATATACTTATTACCCGATTACTTTCTCGACTTAAAAAGTCCCGCCCTCTTTAATAATTATTTTATCTTTATATTATTAAATGAATAATAACCTTTATTATTATATTAGTTTTTAACGTATTTATTAATAATATTAATATAAGATAATAACCTTGATATTATAATTTACGTTAAGAATATTAAAAGCTTTTAATTATACTTTTATACCCTTTTTTATAATAATTACGTGTAAAGCCGAGCGAAGTTTAAATCTTATAATTATTTTATGAAAGTTTATATTAAGAATATTCATTAAATTATTATTTAAATTATATTATAACATTAAAAGTATTTCCGTTTATAATATAATAATAATAAATAATTACTTTTATAATTTAAATTTTTCTTTCGGAGACTTTATTTATTTAAAGATAATAAGTAGTTAATATAAATAACTTAACCCTTAAAATGTTAAATATCTTTAATTATTAGGGTTTAGAATTAATTAGACTAAAGGTGACTAAGATTAAGACTAAGACTAAGACTAAATTAGGTTTAGTTTTAATTAGATTAACTTAGTTAAAAAATCCGTGATTAAGACTAAATTAATTAGTTACTCATATAATTAATATTAATTAACTTAGTCTTAATCTTAGTTATGATTAAACTAATGACTAATAATAAAAATGTATAGTTTATATTTTATATAAAATATACTTTAATTAATTATAATTATTAAATAATAAGATAAATTACTATAATTAATTTAAAAGTTTAAATATATAAAGAGGAAAAGAAAATAAGGAAATAATTTAAAGAAAAGAAATAAACAAGCTTTTTATTAATATTATATTTCTAAGTTTTTAAGCTCTTCTTTTTCTTATATAATCTTTTATATTTCCTCGATTAATTTTATTTTCCAACTTTTTAACCAGGTTAACCATTTAATTGTGTTAAGATTTAATTAATTTCTTGTTTTAGAAATAATTAACCCGGAAATTAAAAATACACGTTCGATAAAAGCTAAAGTAGCCGGAATTGCTAAATATCGGCGAGCCATAATTAATAAAATCGGATATTTAATATAAAACTTAAGATTTTTCTAATATTATAAA